ATATCCGAGGTTGACGAGGATGATTTTGAGCGTCTTTATTTGGATGGAAGCTCTTGCTAGCCTTCTCCACCGATCGATGCTTATTGTTTGTTTGTGTTTTTTTCTTTTTTTGTTTGTCCTCCTGATTATTTTTCCCTCACCACGCTGTTCCGGCTAGCAGCTAATTCTGTTTCCTCCTTCATTCATGCGATCCTGGGGCCTTGGCTTGGGCTTTCTTCCAACGGTCACCATGGATACGTCTGCATGGTACATTTATATATCAGCGCTGTCTTTGCACATCACGGAGAGTACTGTTCACCCTATATTGTGACAAATCCATAGAATGGAAATTTGTTATTATTGATTGTCACCTAGATAGTGAGCTGTCTAGGGTTATTCTAATTTATATTATACACTTCCTGGTATTTGGAGGCGTAAGTCGATTGAACATATAGTGAGCTGCAGGCCGAGGTAGTCGATTAGATAAGCCACTTAATTGTCCCGAAACACGCTTAGCGCGTCCTCACGCGTCAAGCTCCACAAGGTCCAGCCGGGGTTGTAGTGAGTTGACTATCTATCTTGCGCAACTACTGCAAACTTTCCTTTTGTTCATGATACTTTTGACTCTTGCTGGGGCCTAAGAGTCTCATCGCAACTTGTTCTCTCGCTTTCTGTACTGCCATTGTCCGATAGAAAGCCAAAGTACAAGTATTCGTTTTCTTTTCTTTTTCTTTCTTGATTTTCTTCCCTCTCCGACAAACAGGAAATATGCCCTCGCAGTCGTCTCAACCGCCATCAAATTCATCCCCGAACCTCAAGCGCAAGCAACCCTCCATCGCAAGCTTTTTCACGAAAAGACCACAGGCAACCGAGAAGGGTCCGCACAATGGCGCCGACGAACAGCAATCACGGGGCAATGGTGTCACTGAAGCCAGTTCTCAAGAGAAGGAGAATAAGAACGCAACGAACACCATGGATGATGAAGATGAAGATATAGTGGCACCTGTGGCAAAGCGCTCTAGAAGAAACGAAGCTCCCTCAGAAGACGAGGCTAAACCCTCTGCTGAAACAGCCCCACCCCGGCCAGATCGAACGTCATTGTTGAATAGCAGCCAACGAACTGAGCTTTTCCGATTCGCGAGCTCGCCGACCGCCGTTCCGGAAAGGGAGGAGGAGCACAGATCAGACGAGGAGGATAGGGAGCGACGCAAAGAAAGAGAGAAGCTACATAAGCAGTTTGTTCAGAGGCTGGGTGGACCAGATTGTCTCATCGGGATTGGCAGACATGCTGCCAATGAGGCTTCTGTCGCGGTAGATGAGGCCGGGGAGGGCGATGAAGAAGAAGAACCTACGCCGGCTCCTCCGGCCAAAGGGAGGGCCACGGCAAAGAAAGGTGGAAGCAAATTGACACCAATGGAGAAGCAAGTTATCCAGATCAAGCACAAGCACATGGATACGATATTGGTGGTCGAAGTTGGCTACAAGTTCCGGTTCTTTGGCGAGGACGCGAGGGTGGCTGCGAAGGAGCTGAATATTGTCTGCATCCCGGGGAAGTTCAGATACGATGAACGTAAGCGTGGGGATTACTCTTTGCCTTTTCATGTCATGCTCACATCATCTCAGATCCCTCGGAAGCGCATCTGGACCGGTTTGCATCCGCCAGTATACCAGTACACAGACTCCATGTCCACGTGAAACGACTTGTTTCTGCTGGGCACAAGGTTGGAGTTGTTCGGCAAGTGGAAACGGCTGCTCTGAAGGCTGCTGGCGATAATCGCAACGCCCCCTTTGGCCGCAAGCTCACCAATTTGTACACCAAAGCAACTTACATTGATGACGTTGAGGGATTGGAAGGACCCACACATGCGACTTCTAGCGGCGCTTCTTTAGCAACTGGCTATATGCTTTGCATCACAGAGTCCAATGCGAAAGGCTGGGGAAATGACGAAAAGGTGCATGTAGGCATTGTCGCCGTCCAGCCGGCAACCGGAGATATCGTATACGATGATTTCGAAGATGGATTTATGCGGAGTGAAATTGAGACACGGCTACTTCACATCTCGCCTTGTGAAGTGCTCATTTTAGGGGAACTGTCCAAGGCTACCGAGAAGCTTATACAGCATCTTTCCGGCGGCAGAACAAACGTCTTCGGAGACAACATCCGTGTTGAGAGAGCGCCAAAGTCAAAAACAGCGGCAGCCGAGTGTCACAGTCATGTTTCCAGCTTCTATGCAGGAAAAATGAAGACGGCTGATGCTGTGGACGATGAGGTGTCGAGCGCCCTGCTCCAAAAGGTGCTGAATTTACCTGAGCAGGTAACGATCTGTCTCTCCGCGATGATCGAGCATCTGACAGAATACGGCCTGGAGCACGTTTTCCAGCTGACCAAGTATTTCCAACACTTTTCGTCTCGGTCGCACATGCTGCTCAACGGTAACACTTTGGTCAGCCTCGAGATATACCAAAACCAAACCGATCAATCTACTAAAGGCAGTCTATTCTGGACACTCGATCGGACACAGACTCGCTTTGGACAGAGGCTGCTTCGAAAATGGGTGGGACGTCCACTTCTAGAGAAAGCGAGGCTTGAAGAAAGGATCGATGCCGTTGAAGAGCTGAAGAACCCAGAAAGGATCGCTATGGTAGAGCGTATCAAAGAGTTGCTGGGACGAGTGAAGAGCGACTTAGAGAAAAGCTTGATACGGATATACTATGGGAAGGTAAATCCAGCGTCTTCTAATGGGCACTCTATTATGTTCACATGCAGGCTAACAGTTGAATGTAGTGCACACGCCCGGAGCTTCTTACTGTCTTGCGGACATTGCAGATGATTGCCCAGGAATTTGCTGATTTCCAATCCCCAGCGGATACTGGGTTTTCATCGACCGTTGTTAGCGAGGCAATCGCATCTTTGCCCACCATTTTGAAGGAAGTCGTGTTCTTTCTCGATAAGATTAACCTGCACGCCGCCAAAAGTGACGATAAATATGCCTTTTTCAGGGAATCAGAAGAGACGGAGGAGATAAGTGAGCACAAACTCGGAATCGGCAGTGTCGAGCACGAGTTACAGGAGCATCTTTCTGTCGCCGCTGAAGCCATCAAGAGGAAAGAAGTGCGGTATGCTACTGTTGCGGGTATCGAATACTTGATCGAGGTTGAGAATAGTTCACCTGCCATTAAACGTGTGCCTGCATCTTGGGTGAAAATAAGCGGTACCAAAAAGGTCTCAAGGTTCCACACTCCTGAAGTTATCCAGTTACTGCGTCTTCGAGACCAGCACAAAGAAGCCTTGGCTGCGGCTTGTGATCAAGCGTACATGGCGCTTCTCAGCGACATTTCGGCAAATTACCAGTCTTTCCGGGACTGTGTGCAGTCTCTTGCAATCCTTGATTGTCTAATCTCGCTTTCAATCATTGCTAACCAGCCTGGCTATGTGAAGCCTGAATATACGGACCATACATGTATCCATGTTGAACAAGGCCGTCACCCTATGGTCGAACAACTTCTGCTGGACAGTTATGTTCCGAATGATATCGCTTTGGACAGCGATGAGACCCGCGCTCTCCTCGTGACGGGTCCAAACATGGGTGGTAAATCCAGCTATGTACGACAGATAGCGTTGATTGCCATCATGGGACAGATTGGCTCCTATGTTCCTGCTCAGTCAGCTAAACTTGGCATGTTGGATGCTGTTTTTACCCGGATGGGGGCATTTGATAATATGCTGGCGGGCGAATCTACTTTCATGGTCGAGCTTTCTGAAACGGCAGACATCCTGAAGCAAGCGACACCGCGTTCACTGGTTATATTGGACGAACTGGGCCGTGGCACATCCACGCACGATGGCGTTGCAATCGCGCAGGCGGTTCTTGATTACATGGTCAGGTCTATACGCAGCCTTACCCTCTTTATCACGCATTATCAGCATCTTGCCTCGGTAGTGCACTCATTCCGCAACCACGAGCTTCGAAATGTGCACATGCGCTTTACGGAGTCGGGATCTGGGAAGGACGAAGACATCACCTTCCTCTACGAGGTTGGAGAAGGAGTGGCCCATCGGAGTTACGGACTTAACGTTGCGCGATTGGCGAACCTGCCAAGGCCTTTGCTTGACGTTGCGAAGCAGAAGAGTGCCGAACTGGAGGCTAAGATCCAACGCCGGAGACTTGCTGGTCTGGTGTCGGTGGTGGGCAATCTCATGGACGATTCATCCGACACAAACGAAGCATTGGTTGAGCGACTGATCAGCAGCGCGGAGCAATAATAGCAGGCTGTAATATTGTCCGGCACAGTCGTTGTTGAATCACCGGCAATTATCTTCCATTTCAAGTCCAAGGAATCCCTGTACCAAAGTGAATAGTCCAGTGTAAATAGATCCAAACTTATTTTCGGGAATAATCATGTCTACGACGAATCATTGACCAGCTACACGTAGATTCTCACGAAGACCATGTGGGCGCGATGAACTCAAGCGTGGTTGAGCGAGACACGATTGGAACCGGGGAAAAGATGTAGAGATTCAGGATATCATTCATTTTGTTCGATAATTCCAATCCGACTCCGTGATTCCGCTCCCAGCACCCAAAAGAGACGTGGGGAAAGGCATCCAGTGGTAGAAGTCGAGTTCAGGAATCCGCCGAAAGAAAAAAAAGGGTTCCCCTTTGTAAGTTTCGTGACCTCGTACCTTCTCTCCATCCACACGAACTAGTTGATTGCGACATGGTCTGAAGGCATCGTGAAATCACTCGAACCCGTTAATTTCAAATTTTTTCTTGTTTCATTATCAGGTGGATCGATCTTTTCTCTTCTCTCTTTTTTTCTATTCTCTGGAACTTCGACGCAGACAGAATGTTCAAAAAGGAAACGAAAAGAGGGTCCACCACCGGCATGTCGCATCTCAAGCCCATGATCATATTTTTTTTATCGCCTTCCCGACCTCCTCCCAAAATCATTTCCAACGCAAGCAAACGTACATAGCCTCGAGAGGAAAAAGAGAAGTAGAATTCGGAGGGAGAAGGAAATTAGCGCAGGCGGCGGGCCTCACGTTCGGACTCGAGCAGGCAGAGGATGTCGTCGACCTTGACTGTTGGGTTGCGACGAGATTGCGTTAGCTTTTCAACACCCTTTTTGTTTCCATTTTCGCTTGCTTGCGTGTTTTGTTTGTTCCCATCCCAGCCCACGAAAGTTCCCATGCGGAGAAAGCTGTTCCAGTCCGAGTAGCGTTGAATTTCATATTCATCGTATTCCATGTATTTCCGGCTCTTTCTTTTTCTTCTTCGAACGATTCCGAGTTCTGCAATCCCTTCTCTTCTGGTTTCCTTTTGTGGAAGCTTCTCTTTTTCGTGCACGGTCGATTTCGCGGGCGGGTGGACACAGCAAGGAATAGAAATTTCAAGATCACGGAAATCGCATACCTGGGCCCTTGACGTTACGGATGATGCTGCGAGAGGTATCGTCCATGAACTCGACGCGGACCTGGGTGACACCACCACGGGAGCCTTTAAAAGTCGTCAGCATTTGTCCCCTCTATCTATACACACATCGGGGACCTCCGATGCGCCGACACAAAAATTCCACATGACAAAAACGTACCGGTACGGCCGAGGACACGGGTGACCTTGACGAGCTTAGCGGGCTGCTTGCTGGCATCCATCTTGAAGATAGGGCTTGACGACAGCGAGGGTTGACGGGAAGGAGGTGTAGATGGCGAAGGGGGCGGGCGGAGGTGGAAGTTGAGGCCGGCGTGAAATTGGAATCGAGGATTTGCGGCTTGTGTGGGCTTGCCTTTCCTCTTTGGGCTCAACTTTACGCGAGGGTTCAGGGCTAATCGACACCTGAGCCGTCGGGCATCAACCCTGACCGCCCGCAGGGATGTCTGTATGCCTTACTGCCTTAGTGCCTGGAAACCCGGGCCGCCGTCACGGTCATCATTGCCCCGCCGTCCCGATTTCGGTGGAATTTCCGATTTCTCTTCAGTCTCTGCGAAGCTTCCCTCGTTATCCCCGTCCCTCCTCTCCTGCAATTGAGTCCCATCTCCGGTAGATCTGGTCTCCCTTCTTCCGTGTCGGCGTCGAACTTGTCTTTTGAGTTCTTAACTTCTCATCTTCCTTTCATATCTCCAATTGCTTCTCTGACACGAATTCTTTCCATCCGAAGTACCCCGCGCATTGATCATCTGCGAAAAATGGATCTCGTCAACCAGTGAGTCAATTGCCTTGCTATCATCCCGGATACTCTCAAGGGCTCTATATCCTTTCCCGTCTTGTTCCAATTGACTTTCCTTGCTAACGATGCCTCTTCAGCCTCGAAGGAAGACTTCTCTTCGCCGTCCCCAAAAGCAAGTGCCCGCCATGACTCACCGCTGCTCCCGCACAACGTCATTATAACTAGGCGAAATCAAAAGGACTTAGCTAACGTGGTATCCTCCTGCCAACAGAGGGTCGCTTGCAACAGTCCACTTTGGACCTCCTGGCCGGTTGCGACATCCAATTCCGTCGCGAAACCCGTCTCGACATCGCGCTGGTCAAGAACCTCCCCATCGCCCTGATCTTCCTCCCCGCTGCCGACATCCCGACCTTCGTCGGCGAGGGTCGCGTTGACCTGGGTATCACCGGCCGTGACCAGATCGCCGAGCACGACGCACAATTGGCACTCGGTGAGACGTCCCAGGTGGAGGAGATTCTGGACCTCGGATTCGGAGGCTGCAAGCTGCAGGTGCAGGTTCCCGAGAAGGGCGACATCTCGGAGGCCAAGCAATTGATTGGCCGGAACGTTGTGACCAGCTTCACGGCTCTGACGGAGGCCTTCTTCGCCGGTCTGGAGAGTGAGGGCGATGCTAGCAAGCTGGCGCGTGCTGACGGTGGCTTCGACATCCGCACCAAGGTCAAGTACGTCGGCGGTAGTGTCGAGGCTGCTTGCGCCTTGGGCGTGGCCGATGGAATTGTGGATCTTGTCGGTGCGTTCTTTCTTGGAAGGACTTAAACGGCTTCTCTCTCATATAGGGCACGTTGAACTGACCCATTCTTTGAACTCTACAGAATCCGGTGAGACCATGAAGGCCGCCGGCCTTAAGGCCATTGATACCGTGGTCGAGAGTACCTCCGTCTTGGTAAAGGCCAAGAACACGCAGAACCCTCTCGTTGAGCTGATCGCTTCTCGTATTCGTGGTGTCATCAGTATGGACTCCCCCCTAATAACCTCCGATGTATCTTTCCATCCAAACCCACTCACTGACCACCCCCTTTCCAGCCGCTCAAAAGTACGTCCTGTGCCAGTACAACATCCCTCGCTCCGAGCTTGCCACCGCTTCCTCCATCACCCCCGGAAAGCGCGCTCCCACCGTGACCGCCCTCGAGGAGGAGAACTGGGTCGCCGTCAGCTCGATGGTCGAGAAGAAGAAGATCGCCACCGTTATGGACGAGCTGACCAAGGTCGGCGCTTCCGACATTCTGGTCTTGAACATTGCCAACTCCAGAACTGGTTAAAGAGTTATGGTTAAGATTTTCTAAAGATACGTGAAAGACTTTCTTCTTTCTTTCTCTTCTTTTTGCCCATTTTTCTTATCTCCGCATGTGATGATATAATTTTTTTTTCTCCCTCTTTTATTTTTGGGTCTTTGGACTTTTGTTGTTGGCATCAGGCGTGCTTTTTGATTCATGTGTCGTTCTACGTATACTCCGAGATATTCATTTCTTATTCTTTCTTATCTCTCTCTTTTCCCTCTTCTTTGGTTCAACATGTTCCTCTCTTCCTGGTTGAAGCTTTACATCTTCTTCACCATCTTGTTTCCTTCCTATCTAATCTTCAAGACTATTTGGAGGATTTAAGGAAAGGATATGATCTATAGATCACAAACATAGACATTAATGATCGATCTATGGTACTATGCGAACACGTTTTCCATAATTTTAATTTGTATTTCTAATGGTTTGTAACTATATACAGGAGTCGAAATAATGTACAAAAGCCTGCAGACATGCAAACAAAGGCCTATGCGAGATATTTCTTCTATATGATAGGGTTATTGGAGCGAGCCATGAACGTTATCGTGAATCGCGTTGTCATCATCGTAATCAGGTTGATAAGGAGTTGGGAAGGGTATCGCTTTGAAAAAGCAGAGGTATCTGGAGAAACCTCAGAAAAGAAAAAATCAAAATGGAAAAAATAAGAAAAAAAGAAAAAAGAGAAAGAAAAAGAGAAGAAAGGAAGAGAGCAATCCAGAGAGACGGATGATAAGAACTTAGGAGCTAGGGTGCCCCAATCCCACTCCCTCTCGTCGTCCACGAATCAACGCCTGAATGCATTGGCCGACCCCTTCTAGATCACCTAGCAGGCCGACATGGCCACGATCGCTCTTCACCAGGCCATCTTTGATGATGCGATATCCCGGCGGGAGCATAGCGGCCGACGCAAGACAAACGCCGTCACCGGCTGCAAAGGCCAGATCGTCGTATGCATCCTGGCACTTGATGTGCTCGCGCGACCAGACGCGTGCGCCGTACAGCGTGGGAACGGACTTGCCGTATATGACTGTGAAGGGTGGATAGCGGTTGCTAGAGTGATGGGAGGGGTTAAAAGCGAGTTCCTGTTTGAAGCGAAGGACCTCGGCAAGCGTGCGTTCAAGATAAGAGAGAGCGGCGCCGCGTGGGAGGGTGACAGCCGTTGTAGTCTTCACATTGGATGAGCCCCGCAGATGGGAGGTTGGCCCCACGACGCCGTCGACGCTAGGGGCCATTGCGGAGGCCTTGTCGGCCACCTCGGATGGCAGACCTGGGTGACTATGGGTGGTGGGATTGCGGGTTCCGTTCTGACTCTGGGCGGTCTCATTGTCACTGGTTCCACTACGTCGCGACGATACCGAGTCGGCCGACGCGGTGGGGGAATCATCGGACGATAAGTTCTCCTTGCTGCTAAGAACGGTCGAAAAGCGTTTGCTGAGTCGAGGGATGTTATCCATCAAGTTCGTACCTTTCGCCGTCATAGGGGGCAGGGCCGTGCTGATACAAGGGGAGAGGCGATTTTCGTCCCACGCCTTGGCATTGAAGAAGTCTACGCGGTATTCTTCCTTGGTGCGCTTGTCAATGAAGCAATGTCCGTCCTCGGGGAGCAGGGCAAAGCTCGTTCGGAAAGTGAAATTGACCTGTGCCGTGAGAACGCGAGAGCTGAGCAGCACGTCATCTCCGTTGCGAAGTGGGCCCAGAATATTCACGCAGTGCTGAGGAGTGCCGGCGTAAACAACGCCCGCAAAAAGTTCCGGACGCTGGTTGACGGCGTGACGCGTGATTAAGCCTCCGAGACTGTGGGCGATAACATGTGCTCCTCGCTTCTCTTGCGGTACGTCGGGTGCGTTGCAGGGCAGGCCCTCGAGGAATTTGATCAGTCGCCGGGAGAGGAGATGCGGGCTTAGGCGCCAGTCGTAGCCATAGTCCCATACACGAAGGTCTCCGTTCAGGGCATTCTCGCACTTTTGGAGGCGCTTCAGCAATCGGCGGCAGATGTCAACCGGCCCGATGTGGGAGAGAACGCCGGAAGGAATGATGCTTTCCTCCATTCGTTCCTCATCCTCCGGGTTCAATCCCACCTCGAGATCCACCTTGCGGAGATTGAGCCCGACTTTCATCGGAACCCATAGTTGGCGCTGGGGCGGTTTCGCGGAGCGTAAGATCGATCCACGATAGCCGCCCATGACAACCACATCCCCCTTGAGTTCGGACATAGCCTCGGTCAGAATGGGGTGCATCGTATTGGAGTTCGAGCGGGGTGGACGGGTTCGAGTCTGCGCCGCTGTCGGTTCTCCCGGAACGTCACGCGGGGAAGGTGGCTCGTTGGTGTAGTTGTTGCCTTTGCGATGAGCAGTGTCGTTAAACGGTTTGTAGCCCCAGTCGTTCCGCAGATCCTGTAAATGAAGACTGGGCATGCTAAGAAGACGGCTGCTCGAGTCCTGCAGACTGTCTTTGATGGCTTTGAACCGACTGTTTACCTGGGTATGCACATTCTCATATTGGGGTCGCTGATCAAGAGAGGACGCTGTGGATGAGGCTCTCAAGTACAGGGATTGGTCCGAAGAAGATCTCCGCAGGATGGGCGGAACTCCCGAAGCCGTGGCACTGGGCCGACGAGAATACGAGTGCTTGGCTCTTTTTAGTCCACCCAGGGGATTCAGGTCGGAAATCGGTTCCTCCGCGTTGGGGTCCGGGTCAGTGAACGACCTGCGCCGCAGAGGTGCGGTGCGCGGAGGTTCCTCCTGGTCCAGTGCCAACCGCGACGAGGAGGGCTTCAAAGTCTGGCTTCGGCACCGACGCTGGGAGTTGTTCGAACGGAAAGAGAGCGATGACCTTCTGGCCAGCGAACCCAAGTCCGGAAGGAATTTCTTGAGGCTCCGATTAGCCAGACTGTCCCCGGACCAGGCGCGCGGCCGCAGCGGCAAACCATTCTTTAAGATCGAGCGAGTAAAACTGGACCGTTGGCCAGCGTTTTTGGCCATGTCCGGGTGCAGCCCGTTGTGACTTGGGGCCCGTGCATGGGCGAGGCCGTCGTTGTTGCCCGACGATCTGCTGGTGTCTGGCTCGACCTCTTCCGGCTCTGCCGTGATCTCGCCGGCGAACACGCCTTCGGAGTCGCTAGCATCCAATATGGGCTCGAAATAGCCACCATTGCGTTCCATTATACGGTTTTTCTCCTCGGCAGGAGTGAGACGCGCCTTCATACGACTCTGGGCGCGACTGATACTGACACCGACGACTTCGTCGGCTTCATCTTCTCGGGCGGCATTCAGCCCCTGCTGCCCGGGTTCCTCGCTATCGGAACTGGAATGCCCAGCCGGAACCGATTGTACGAGGGCCGGGGATGGCTCCAAGATAGAATTGACCGGGTCATGGTGTTCACGCGGTGCCAAAGGAACAGCCATAACTCTAGGAGCAACGGAGAGAAGGGACGACTGAAGATTGGGTTACAGCATGTAGGGAAATCTCGGAGAGGGCCAATTGGAATAGCCAGAGTAATACGTCAGAATTTTGGAAGAGAGGGAGAGGAGGAATAAGATCCAAAGAGGCGACGAGAGAGGACGCCAAAAGAGTCGATAAGACGAGGGATTCAGAAAGGGAATTAAAAATAGAAGGGCGAAAAAGAAGAAGCAGCTTGAACTAGTATGTCGTCACATGTAAAGCCCACTTAAGACTCCTACTCCGTTGGAGTCGTATTCGTACGCCGTTTTGGGTCCGTTTTTGTTCGCGCTAGACTGATCGATCGATTGATGGGCCATTGATTGATTCATTAATTTGAAGTCCTCATGGCTCGTGGTGGTTCGTTGGTGGCTGTGGAAACAAAAAAAAAATACAGTAAAAACTAAAAACCGGTTCCACAGCACAGCCTCCGGGAGCTCCGGCTCAAGCTTTGGGGGGATCTTTTTGGGGGCAGCGTATTGGATCGCTTGAGAGTGCCATGGTTGGCATCCCAGTTGAGGGGTACATGGATGACAATTCGCCGTACCCGAGTAGATGACTAGATGAATGGCGAATGCAGGTTGATAAAAGGATAAACGATGTGACGGAAGATCTTCGCTGGAACCTGGAAAGAGCAGTTGAAGGTGGGAAGGAAGAAGAAGGACGGAAGGCGTCGATCCGCAGGAGAAATGGAGCGTTGATGCCTCAGGCAGAAACTGTCGCCTCATCGTTTATGCAAGGATCATTCAACCTACTGCTTTGGACTTTCTACACTGTTCACTAGACACTTCTTGATTCATCTGTTAGAGTAATTTCATCTGCACTAACGTACTAAATTACAACAAAGAACTATTGTCGATCTGGTTCATAAAAATACAGTGCTCTCATAACTTCGTCACTCGTGGGATAAAGAAATTCAATGCATCATACTCAATGGGCATTCCGACCAAACTGCCCCGACTGAATCTGACGATCGCCTTTATTAGCAATTTCTGCGTTCTTCGCCGCGCCCTCTTCGTGACCGAATGCCTTATCTACGGCCGAAGTGAGGCCACCACGAAGCGATTCTCCGGCGCCCTAGAGAAACCGAGTTAGTATCTAACGTTGCGTCTATCGATCTGGGCTATAGCAGAGGAACTTACATGAACTCCCGCGAACATGGACTTGACGTTGTTGCCAAGTTTCTCGCCCTTTTGAGCGGACTTAGACCCGGTACCGCTCGAGCCCGTGGCAGTGGTGGTATCATACTCGCGCTGCTCACCGTGAGGGACGTACTTGGCCTCATGTTCAGGGTTGGCACGGGCGTGGATCGGTGCGTGTCCAGCAGTAGAGCCATATCCAGCTCCTGCCGCGTGACTGGAAGTGTCGGCAGGCGTGTGCACGGCGCCCGAACCGGTCTGGGTCGTGGTCTTGGTGCTTGTCTCTCCGGTCTGGGCGTCCACGCGAGGATCGGCCTTGTTCATCATCGATGAGCTATGGGGACCGTCGTTGGCGCCATGGCTGTACGCATTGTCCTGGGTAGTGCCAGGGTGGGCATTGCCCGAAGCAGTGGTCCCAGGAGCATACTGGGCCCGGTTGTCGAGATCACTGTCCACACGGGGATCAACCTTGTTCATCAGGGAAGAGCTGTGAGGACCAGCGTTGGAACTCTGGTTGTACCCCTGGTTGTGCGAGGTGTGGTGGGCGTTGCCCGCGGCAGTGGTTCCGGGGGCGTGCTGACCACGATTGCTCCGGTCGCTATCCACGCGAGGATCAAGCTGATTGCCCATGTTGGACTGGTGAGGGCCAGCAGTAGAAGGCGCAGGTCCAGTTATTGGATCCGTGGGGGGAGCAGCGCCAACCTGCGTTCCAATTGGGGTGGCAGCGCTGGGGTCCTGGTTGGGGGCCCCGAAGGTGGAGGTGTGGTAAGGAGGTTGAGTGCTCATGATGGTATGGTAGAAGTAGTGGTTTAGACTGGTTTTGAGCTAGAAATTTGAACTAGAGATTAAGCTTTGAGATCAATCAAAGGTCGATCAATGCCGACGCACTTGAAGATCGGGGAGGATGCTTATATAGAAAGCGATCAGGCACAAGACATCATCGGTGATGCCATGACGTCAGCCTCAGGAGCTGGCTGGTTGGCGACAAACCGGTGGCGTCAGCCAATTTGAGACTGAACCAAGCCATGGGAATGATCTGCAGTGTTCCACGGGGATTTCGCATTTCGGTCTAAGGTTGTGCAAGGGTCTTTGTCTGCTTCATCATTCTTACGCCGGTGTACACTTTATATGGTCACATACGGTGTAGTGCTAGTAGTTGTCGAGGGTCATGTGATGCAGTTGCTTATCGATAAGTCATCGTTACGTCATCCAGTTTATGCACGCATATAACACTGCATAACTTTCTCTGAGTCATCGCTGCTCTTATGCATGTCTCCCTCTCTGCCTTCTTCCCATAGAAGAGCTGAATCAGTTGATTTATCTAGAAGATAACTCGAACGAATGAAGGAAATAGAGAAGATGTATTTTTCTCACTACTACCTAGAAGACGAGTCCTAATAAGCAGACGATGAGAAATCAAGAATGTCGGCAACAGCGAAACAACCGAGGTCCAGTTGCGACGAGGAGAGAGAGAGAGAGAAAGCGAGCGATCGGCCCCCTTCAACATCGGTCATTCAACACTCCAGTCAAGTGAGATAAGGAGATAATTGAATTCAGTCTATTTCTTTTTCTTTTGTCTTCATTCTTTCTTCATCCCTTTCTCTCTGCTCGGACTTTTGTCACAATGGCCACCTCCAACCGTCAGTTAATCTACGCCAACACGCCCTCCCCGGCCATTGACCCATCCCTCACCAACGGCACCTTCAAGCTCAACACGGTGCCTATCCCCGACCATGTCCCCGACGACAAGGTGCTGGTGCGCGTGCACTACCTCTCCCTCGACCCGGCCATGCGCCAATGGCTGACCGCCAAACGATCGTACATCGCGCCCGTCGAGCGCGGCCACGTCATGCGCGGCCAGAGTATCGCCCAGGTGCTCCGGGTCGGCAGCGCGCTACAATCCCAGTACCAGGCGGGCGACTGGGTGGTCGCGTACTCGGGCTGGCAGGAATACGCCCTGCTGGGGGCCAAGGAGGCGCAGAAGGTCACCGTGCCGCCCGGGTGCCAGCCCACCGATGCCATGTCGGTGCTCGGGATGACCGGGTTGACCGCCTACTTTGGCATGATGGAGGTCGGGAAGCCCAAGGCCGGCGAGACGGTGGTGGTCTCCGGGGCGGCCGGTGCGACGGGCATGGTGGCCGGTCAGATTGCGCGGGTGCAGGGCGCGAAGAGAGTCGTGGGGTTGGCGGGCAGTGCGGATAAGTGTGAGTTTCTCCGCAAGGAGCTGGGCTTCGACGCGGCGATCAACTATAAGGATGCGGACTGGAAGAAGCAGCTCAAGGAGGCGACCCCCGAGTACATCGATGTCTTCTTTGACAATGTCGGAGGTGAGATCCTCGATGCCTGTCTGGCTCGCGCGGCGCGGGACGCTCGATTCGCCATCTGCGGTGCGATCAGTCAGTATAACGCGGCGAAGCCGCAGGGACCGGCGAGCTTCATGACCGTGATTGTAAGTGCATGGACCTTCTTTGCTTTTACTCTCCAGTTAGGTCCAGGAATAGCCGCTAACAATCCATGCGAAACAGTCGCAACGAGTGACGATGAAGGGCTTCATCGTCTTTGACTACGCGAAGAAATACCAGGCTGCGCTGAACGACCTCGCTACGTGGCTGACGCAGGGCAAGATCAAGCGCAAGGAGCACATCGTCCCGGGAGGACTGGAGTCGGCGCCGAAGAGTCTGGTCAACCTCTACGCCGGAGTCAACACGGGCAAGATGATGGTCGAGGTGGCTCCGGTGAGCGAGGCGATTGCAGTCAAGGCGAAATTGTAGACGGCCGGTCTGTTGCAACGTGTCTGGACTTGTGTTGGCTCTTCCTTGTGTTATTTGTTTGCAATTCATTGATTATATATAACATGTAGATATAAGATTGGAAATATACATGAGTTTTAAATCAGGGTGGCTGGCAGATGATGGTATATGGTGTCAGACCGGCAGCATAGCAACCTGCTTGCTATCTATTTCACCATCGACCCACCATAGCCAAGTACCCTCAATATCTCATAATGACCGCTCGCGGGGCCTGGTGGTGAAGAAACGAAAGCAGCTGACCTCATTGAAAGTCGAGGAACCTGGTAGATGATCGACGTCATACTGATGGAAGCCCTCCTCTTTGCACCACCACGGCCTGCGACCGACAAGACCATACATAAAAGCCCTGCAATCCACTCATTCTCTCATCTGATTTTCTGACTCTAGTCATGTTCCAACCGAGATATCTCGCAATCCGTGGACCTCAATTCTCCAAAGCCATCCGAGCTGATTCTCGAATTCTATCTATCCCAACTCAACGACTCCCTCTGAATACTCACAGAACCCAACACTTCTCTACATCCCCCTCTTACCCATTTACCACTTCATCGACACATCAATTCGCTTCTACACAAACCAAAATGAGCGCCCAAGGCAGCAACCAGAACTTCAAGTTGGAGAACCTCTTCAACGTCAAGGGCAAGGGTATGTAACACCTCCATCCACTATCCCCTACCCTTCCTCTAGCTCACAGCAGACTAACATACGCCCACCAGTGGCCCTAATCACCGGCGGCGGCTCCGGCATCGGCCTAATGGCCACGCAAGCGCTCGCCGTCAACGGCGCAAAAGTATACATCACCGGCCGCACGGGCGAGAAACTGGACCGCGTCGTCTCGACCTACGGCCAGGACATCCCCGGCGAGATCATCCCCATCACCGCCGACGTGACCGACAAAGCGTCCGTCGACAAGCTCGTGCAAGAGATCTCCTCGCGCGAGTCGTACCTCTCGATCCTGATCAACAACGCGGGGATCAGCAGCCAGACGCAGACGACGGAGCACGAGGACGCGAACAAGCTGCGCGAGAGCCTGTTCGAGGCGACGGCGGACGTGGCGGAATGGGACCGCGTGTTCCGGACGAACGTCACGCAGCTGTTCCTGACGACGACGGCGTTCTTGCCGTTGTTGCAGAAGGGGTCCGAGCAGGAGCGGGGCTGGTCGAGTACGGTGATTAATATCTCGTCGATCTCCGGGATCGTCAAGGTCTCGCAGCATCATTTTGCGTATAATGCGTCCAAGGCGGCGGCGATTCATTTGACCAAGATGCTGGCGCATGAGGTGCAGTCGTCGAACTTGCGGATTCGGGTGAATAACATCGCGCCGGGTGTGTTTCCGAGTGAGATGACGACTGGGGAGAGCGACGAGGGGCAGAAGAGTGCCATTCCTAAGGAGAAGTATGAGCAGAAGGTCCCCGCCGCTCGTCCGGGTAAGGACGAGGATATGGCGAGCACGGTGCTTTTCACGACTACGAACCAGTATCTGGATGGGCAGACGATTGTGGTGGACGGAGGATATGTGTTGGCTGCGGGCTCGCTCTAAGGACTACCAGTATAGGAAGTGATGGGCAAAAAGTATATGTATCATTAATGTTTCCGTACGATAATAAGCATCCGAGTTACGTGGTATCTTCAAACGAACCTACAATCCCATTTCTCCCGCTTCGCAAATTCTCACATTGTGCAACCACTCAGACCGAAGCACATCGGCAGCCCTAATCCTCCGACTGGGATCAGGATGTAGCATCGCATAGACCACATTCCGACAGCGTACCTGCATCCGTCATTCAAAGTTAGTGATAAAGTCCTTCTAAAGAGCAAAGCAATGTCCAATGAAAAGATATGCGAACTTACGTCTCCCAACTCCTCGATGGGGAAGTATCCCTCAGCCTGTTGACGACCATGCAGATACGCTCGATACCCACCGTCTTCATCCTCGCAAGCCATTCGCCAGAGTAAGCGACCACATCTCATAGCCATGTACGTCAACCCGGCGGCCCATAAATCGCCGACTCGACGATCCGGCATGTCGCTCTGGGGACGGAATTCCTCTGGCGGAAGATAGGCGATCGAGCCGCACACTTTTCGCGGCGGCGAGTAGTACGGCCGCTGGGCAGCTCGAGGAAGAAACAAAGACCAAGACAGTGATCGAGAGCGAGAGGGGACTAGTATTCTGTCCGTCTCTTCATCTTCATCATTGTCTCCTTCCACCTCATCCTCTTTGCTACCAATCGCCGCCTTTGCCCCCACCCACTGTGCGCTTCCAAAATCCGCCAGTTTAACCGCCCCATTCGGCGTCAACAGTACATTTTCCGGTTTCAGTTCGCAATGTGCAATGCCCTTCTCATGCAAGAATGCCACCGCCCGGATGATCTGCTTGAAGAAACAGTTCGCGGCGCAGACGTCCAGACTCCGACGCGGCGACGTCGCGATGAGCATGCTGAGGTCTCCACCGGCGCAGTATTCCATAACCTGGCACATCTCGCCGCGCTCGTTGAGCAGAACATCGCGCGTGAGACAGACATTCGGATGAGAGATTGCCGAAGAGAGGGCCTGTTCGAATCGCTGGGCTGCGACGATCGAGGGATTGGATGAAGGACGGAAGATCTTCACGACGTGAAGTTGGAGGACTTGCGGGTGATTTTTGAGCGTAGGAGATTGACATGAGGGAGTGGCAGGGCGTGCGTAAAGCCGTACGCAGCTCTTGATGCCATAGTGAAGGATCTTCTGACAGCTGCCATATTTCTTTGCGAAGGACGGTGGAGGGAGGAGCAGGGGGGAGTGTTCGAGGGAATTGGAATCATCGGATTTGAAAAGCCAGCGGCGCTTCAGAATGCTAGGCAAAGTGAGTCCGTGGAAGAGGGAAGACGAATGCTGGGGTTCGCGAGCATCGATCTCGTGGTGGTGGTGCTGAGGGACCTTGTATGGTCGGATCATTTTGCCCTGATGCTTCGCTGCCGATATGTCACGTCCTCATCGTGAAAGAGGATGAATTAAAGATGACACTCCCGTGGATTATTTCTAACATTCTCCCCAGCACCCATTTATATCCCGAATTAAATGACAGCTCCCAATATCAAGGGATATGCAGGTATCCGGTCATCACGGGGTCATCACACTCGCGCCCCGAAAATGCCTCACCGTATAGAATTGGCGGGTTAAAACCCTCATGCAACAGCCACTTAGTCATATACTTTTGACCGTCTCTGGTTCTGAGGCTTCCCATTGCATTTGAACAAGGAATAATTGACCACAACTGTACAGGTTTTTGTGTATATCAATCATGGAGAGTAAACTTTCCAAGGTATCCCACATGCTCGGTAAGTATACCACTATATGGACTCTTACATTGGCTGAGCAAGGGTCTCGGGATCTCCTTGGTAATAAAAAGATGCCAGTTAGACCGAATGATCGGGGGAAATGAGACAGAGTTTTGTACCTACTTTCCTCTGACTTTTCCATTATCTTCCGGGTCAATCGGTGAATAATGATGATCCAGTCGAACCATTCTCAATATGTTGCGAACCCGGGTATCAGTCTCATCTCCTTGGAAGTTGCCTGTGAAACGTCTGCAAAAGCTAGTGGAATTCCCGGCAGCACCGTGCAGTTCTTGAACCCAAACCAGAAGGACGACGTGCACAATCTAGCCTTATTATTTGCCGACGTTTTCATGGAGCGCGAGCCGGCCGTCCCATGCCCTCACACCGGCAGATGAAGAACAGCGGGAGAAGCTTCGACTGACCTGCCAAAAGGAATTTGCTATGTTGGCTTCATCCGCCGTCGCTGTGGTCGCAAAAACGGCAGATAATACCATCGTTGCGGGCGTAATTGTTGCCCAGTGGAGGAAGAGAGAGACCCTGCGACTGTTGGGCTGGAGCCCATGTACGACCTTTTTGACCGATTGGACGCCCAATTTGCGCGTCACTTGGCCAATCGTGCAGACCCGGAGAGGCAAACTCTCGAACTTCTCTTCGGAGGAGTTCGCCGTGACTTCGAGAGTCACGGCATTGTAGCTGATCTGATATGGGTCGCGCTGCTGTATGCATGTCACAATGGCTACGAAGAAGTCATGGCCAAAGCGACCAGTCGATCACAACGCACCTTCCACAGATATGGCCTTGTGACTCTGGCTGAAGTGCCCTATCAAGACTTCGAGTACCAGGGCACTCGACCGTTCGAGACCATTTCGTCTCCTGCCACAGCCAAGCTCATGTGGGCCAGACCAGAGACATTCTTCCGGCATTATCCTGGCCCATTGGCCAGGCGCGCACATTTGTGAAACCTTCATCGTTGATGGATTACGGATCTGCCCCGCCCAAAATTGAATTGTTGTATATCCAAGATGTCAATAATGATAAAATTTGCAAGAATCATGAAAAGTGATGATACATATTGTACATAGGTAATGGTGCTGAGGTGTATGGTTGCCTAGGGGTGCATGTAATCATGAACGAGGGAAAACAGCACCATCAATGGACCAACAATGAAGAAGATCAAGAAAGGACACTAGCCAAGTTGCCAGAAAGTATATCCAAAGAAAAGACGGCCCAAAAGAGAGCACGAAGAAAAGAAAGCAAAAAGCAAACGGGCGTTTCAAAGCGACGGTCGAACGCTTTGATTTAACCATAGTCAAGGTCTTCAATGAACATTCAACTCCTAATTTCGCACTTTACCCGCTTCCCGAACTTCAGTCATGAATCCATCCTCGTCACCTGCAGAGGTGAGTATCCAGTAGTCACCCTCGCCGGCATTGGCGAACTGTCCGCCGCCAAACCCAGCGGCAGAAGCTGCTGGAGCGCTATGACGCTCTCTCGGTTTAGCCCCCGTATGGCGTGGACCCCATCCCAGAATATTTTTGACAGTGAGACGACCCTGGTCGTCTGGGCTGGTGATTCCAAAAAGCTGTGGCTGCAAGCAGCCGAGAACCGCGACTGCCGCGCGAATCATGATGCGATCCCCCTCGAACACCCAGCAATCCCAGACGCGACTCGCGCGCTCTAAATCGAGCCCGTTGGTGAGAAGGGAGCGAAACATGGGCTCCCAGATATCTTCATCGGTGAGCTGCAGTGTCTCGTGGAGATGACTAGCAAGGCGGGGAAATTTATAGCGAAGCGTCGCAGACGCTAGTGAATATGTACGGCCGATGGCCCCACGATCCAAGGTGAGAAAGGCCACGGCGAGCGGTCGATTGAGGGCATTGGCCATGGCCAGGAATGCGGATGCAGGGGACGGGAATTGGAGGACAAGAAGAGCGGCAATTGTCTGTCATGTTCGTTAGTTATCACAGGATTATGGTATAGGGACTACCCATCATGAGACACTCACGTGAAGACCGCTAATGTAGCCCACATCGCTACGATACATGGAGTATGCTTCAAGCACGTCGATCAACGTATCGCGCAACGGGCCGCCTTCTTGAAAGAGATTCAGATCTGGGAACGCTTTAGACACGTCCGCTTCGATGGTGTCAAACCACTCCCGCATCCTTTTGTTGCTCTCGCCGGAATCTCCGGCGGGTCTGGCTTTGACGTCTTTGGCTCGTTGTAACGCCTTTTTGTACGTTTCTTCGGACAGGGCCAGCTCGTTACCGATGGCACGTTGCCAAGTTGATCCTCTGATTTTCGGAGGAACACCCCGCCACCAGAGCTCCCGCGTGCGGGTTTCACCAATGGCACGGTTCCAGTTCGGATATACGTAGTCATCCCAGATGTTCTGCAGGGCCTCCCTGGTATTATCCTTTTCGCATTTCGCCGAAGCGGCCTTCGCGGCCCGACGCTTATCTGCTGGATATTAGCTGACCGGTTTCTTCACGAAAGTTTAAATGAGGCTGCAAGGTGCAGATACTGACCTGCTTCGCGGGATTGGGCCATCATCTTCTTGTACTCCTTCAGGTGTTTCTTTTCCTCCTTTTGATCTTTCGGAGGAAGCCAGCTAGGCCGTGTCCGTGTCAAGACTGCCTCCTTCTCCTTGCTGATCGGCAAGGGGTCGATCATTATGTTGGACTTTTGGAGAGGAGGTAGCTCGATGGTGCCTCTGGACCCCCGCTTGGAGTCTGTGCTCGATCGCATCGATGACAGGCCACTTTGTAGGTTTTCCCCGCGCTTGCGCTCATGTTCATCGGCATGGAATTCCAGCGCCTCCGTTATGATCTTTGCTTCCTCCGACAAATCGGACATCATGCTGTTGTACGAGTAGACGCGGGGATTTCGGGGGGAGATCTGGCCACTCTTAGGTCCTGCAGAGGTCGATCGCAGGTTGTGTCGGCCGGAACGAGATGCACGGGGAGACTTGCCACCGGGAGACAGGGGAACAGACGTTTCCGAGACTGAGTGCGACAATGGCAAGGGCCGGGGACCTGGACTCCGGCCATCGGGACTTGTCCCGCGAGACGGGGCGCGATCTTGCATGGGCCGAGGAGAAATGGGCACGTTCCAGAGACTTGCATCCTCCGGTAAATCCTCATCGGAATCATGATATTCCTCCTCCAACTCCCTGAGAGACTTGCGATTCGGCTGCCATGATTGTTTGCGGTTGAGAGGAGGCCGGGCACTGACGGGCGACAAAGACAGGCTGTTGGTAGAGGGCGACGAGCCTAGGGCGGACGACGGCCGCAGCGGCGACGTGGAGCGCGAACGGTGAGGCTTGGAAGGATGCAACGAGGATGTTGTGGTGCTGTTCGAATCGCGCTTGCCTCCAGTCTTAGGTTTAGAGCCACCCCGAGTCTGGAGACTTAAGGTGCCGTTGACCTGCTTTTGTAGAGGCGGATAGGGAGATTTGGTCGATTTGGGGGCTGCCGTTAGGTCGCGTGTCGTGGTAACGGGGGATTTGGCTTGCAGCCTAGCCGTTGAAGACCGCGACAATCCAGCAGGTCGCCCGTAAGCAGTCTCCTTGTAGGCCAAATCGGCATCGTCTTCCAGGCCGATGTCTTCGAAGTTGGAAATATCGGTTAAGATGCCATCCGGGGCAGATAGTTGCGACGAGGAGCGGAACGAGGACGATTTGGAAGATTTCGACCCGGATAGCTCGGGCGGCGAGTTGGGGGTCGTACAGACGGTTGTCATCTCGTACCGCAGGCACCAATTACTGTGAACTGCAGGAGGTCCCGAGGAAGGTATTCTGAGCGTGGGGAATAACCGGGATACCAAGTCAAAGATCGGAAAATGAAGTCGTTCGCACAGCGAATGGGAGGGATAAAATTGGGAAAAGAAAGAACAATATAAAAGAAAAAACAAGGTTCAGCGAAGGGCGGGATAACGAGTCGGGATAAGTTGAGGCCCTGGTCAATGATATAAGTGATATGTTCAAAGAGCAGCGAGAGCCATCAATGATCCCGTCAAGAACGCAGTTATTTACAACCGGACGTTTTGAGAAAGGGCCGGATGCGGTAAGAATTACGCAAGAGAGAGCGAGAGGGCGAGAGACAGGGAAGTCCGACCAGCGATATTGCGCCCGAGGATGGTTTGATACTAGGCAGGCTAGTTTTCCTAGACAAATGGGCGAGACGGACACACAACCTCCCCGACAACAAAGGAAAATTGAAGCGAAAGCAGGGAGAGAGAGATAGAGAGAAAGGATAACAGGATAAGCGAAGGACAGGAATGAAGGAATGACAAGAGCGAAGGAGGGGAGGGAAGAAGGAAGAGGAGGAGGAGAAGGAAGATGGGGGCAGAGATGGGAAGGGGATGATGGGGAAAAAGCGTTGGATCAAATCAAATGAAAGGAAATGAAGCCGCAACCGGCGTGACCGGCGGGGAGGGCCTGAGGCTGCCACTTCAGCTTTCGACGCGGTCTGGGCCAATCCGGGTGGATGCCAGAAGGAATTCGCTTCTCTGTACTGTAGGGGGGGGGCCGGTTTAGTTCCTGGTTAGTCTCGTCTCCTAAAGTTAGGCTGTTACCTCTGGTGTACTCGGTGTATAGACTGTTTACACTGCAAATACTAGTCTGGACGGAAATGGCCCACCGATCCTTAATATTTTCCAGCGGTATCTAGTATCAAGGAATACAACCATGGAATCGTCTGCGGAAACCAGGGGTTTGACCTTGCTGTTTTCGGCCCGACCTGGTGCCGCTTTTGTTCACGATCTGGGAACGTGTTAGCTGTGTCCTGATACTATGCAGTCTATACTATAGGTCTGTCTAGTCACTCAAGAGAAATTGATAGCGGAGTATAGGTTTTATCTTTCGACTACATACTTCTTTTATGGCAAATTTATAAGTGGTATAGTTGAACAGTACTTTAGGTAAATCTAGAGCGTTATATATAGTGCAACTACGGGCCATATCTATACTAAGAGCGACTATTCTCTTAACACTATAAATTCTAAACTGGAATTGAAGTTACAGAGCGGCCCTAAACAGACAACCACATGAGTCCTATAAGTACTTTTCCTCAGTGAATCACTCGATTTACATAAACACGAGATCAAGCTATCAGGGCGACTGGTCCTAAAAACCCGTAGTTTGTAGGAATACCCTCACGGATACCGTGTAGCAAATCAAGATCTCAGCAACCTCAGAGAACTATTAGTCTAACAGTAGACATAAAACTAGGATATATGCTAGACTTTCCGCATTAATCCACCCTCATTCTCGTGGTCGCCAATGCTGGGATTGAGACTCTGTCATTAATACCATCCCAATCCAGTATTTCTCAGAGTGCACTGCATACATTCCATCATCGTGGCAAGTGTGAGCAGTCAATCTTTGAAACCTCTCTTGAAACGACCTGCTCCCTTTCTCTTTTTCGAAATACGGAATGAGTGGCTGGATATACCACGTTTCTTTGCGTCTGATGGCTAAGCAACATAGTCAAACCTCCGCATAGCACCTGTATGCAAAGGAAGCTAAATCGTTTTTAGTGCGACACATAAAAAAAAAAAAAAAAAAAAGAAAGATCTAACAATGCTTAGCATCTGTTGTGTTCTAGTATGTAACAGCATGAATATATGAAATGGTGTTCCATCTCCATGAAATGTCAAAACATCCCAGGCCTTCAGTGCTACTGTACAAAGGTACATACAACAAAGAACCCGCGGCAAAACACTTCATTCTCTACAACTTAACCAAGAGTCAAACCAGCTAACCAACACACCATTAACCCATTTAAAACACCCCCCAAACTTGATTCCATTGTTACCATCCTCCCCAACGGGAAACCAAGAACAGAAAAATCCCGACCGATTCGCCTCCCCCTTTCTCCTCTTTTCCCCCTTCTTTCATCCTCACCCCCTGACCCAGTCATATCGAGCCCACCGATCCGTGGTATGTCATCGACGGAACTATGGTTCATACTTTAAAAAGCCCACCCTTTTTCGTCCTTGGTCCATGCTTTTCTTTCGCTTCTTTTTGGGGACTTGAACAGAGCGTTTGATTGTTCTAATTTTATTCCCTAAAACTATCGACGAGGGTTAAATGGTGGCAAACAAAGATGCCTTGTCGGACTGACTGCTCACACGACCCCTTACTACTTGTTTCGCACCACATGAGCATGTTTACTTTCGGGGAAATAAACAATGGCTACAATTGAGAATCGTTCTTATTTTCAAGATATGTATTGTAGCTTTAAGTAGAGGCCTTCGGCCGATCAATACCGCCAGCCTCCATAGAGTAAGTTGCCTTTGCGTACCACCTGCGCCAGTCGTGCAGACTTGCCATCGGCTTTCAGTCGATTCGCTTTGTAAACCCGGTCCAGCCAGTTCAAGATAGCTCGGTAACGGGTTTGCTTGCGACCGAAGACATGCCGAAACGCCGCCGCCGAGAGATATTCGAGCTGGGAATGCGAGGCGATACAGGTCGTCGCCGATGATGACGTGTCTGACGTTGAGTCAGATGGCTGCCGCTTTGTGTGAACAAGTCGCCATGCCAGCTCAGTCAGGTCCCCAATGATTCGAATCACCACTGCGGGCGTAGGGTGGCTTCGGCCGCGGAGAGCCCGCATATACCGATACATCTTCATAGCCGTTGTGAGGAAATTGGTGTATAGGTTTGATAGTACTACAGCGAGGGAGTTGTGGTTGGTGTCGAGGTACATGGGATGCATGAGTGCCTTGAAAGATGTAAGCATCTTCTGGTGAAGGGCGCGCCCTGGAGTCTTTGATGAAGCAATAGTCAGAGAGTTTGATAGGGCCGCTGCAGTGGTGTCGCCGACTTCGAGCATCCTGTCATGATCTTTGTGAACTTCTAAAGTGCGAACATCGATAAGAGTCCCACAGTACGGGAATAAAGAAGTATCGATCAATCTAGGGATGTGTGTACCCTCGACCGCCGCCGCAAAGTTGACCAAGCTCTTTGAGGGATTCACGGTGACCCCATACTCGGGCTGCCCTTTAACCATCACGGTCAAGAACTTCATGGCAAGGGTCGAATTCGAAGTGATGAGCAAAAAGTCGTCCACGAGGCGAAGAAGCAGAGCTTCATGTGTATTAAGAAATCCCAAGACATCTCGTTCCATCTCGCCGTAAAACAAATTGCAGAGAAGACTAGAAACCTTAGAGCCTTGAGGGATTCCCTTACGCTGCCGAAAGTACTTCCTTCCAAACTTAACCAGGTTATTTTGAAGGTGTTCATCAAGGAGGTCCAGCAGGTCTTCTGCAGAATAGTCTTTTTGTGTCTGACTACTCACGAAGACAGTGTTTCTCCTCTGGCTGACACCGCCGTTGGCGAGGGTCTCCACTAGAGACTGGGTTTCGGTAGCAGGGCCTGCTCTACCTGCGGATTTTGGTCGACCCTTGCTCTGTCTTGACCCATCGGACGGCCACATACTACTGAACTCATCAGCCGCTGACACCTCACGATGGTTAGAGACATAATATTTATCCTCAGAGACCAGGTTCTCAACAAGAGGAATCAATTTCTGCTGAGGTATGGTGTCATAACTGGCTTGTATATCGAGTTTGACAAAGTAGAAAGGCGATCGACTATGACTCGTGCGCGTTGCCCATTGTTCTTTGTAGGCTTTGAGCCGAGTGTGTATATCTCCTACACAAGTCATGCACGAGCCAAATTGAGCCGACTTCCGCGTAAGCTCGTAATCCAACATGCTGTAAACAGGTGCAATGGTTTGGTTGACGCCTTGGCCCATAAATCTTTTACCCCATTTGCCGTCTACCAGCATTGGCCGGCTTAGGTTCATTATAGGCCTGATGCCTGTCGTTTTCGGTTTGAGTCGCAATAGGCCGTACCCTAAAGACCTGCATCTCAAAATACTAGCCGCTTTTTCTGGCTTAATTTCGTCGAACATGGATGATTTGAGGTCAGCCAGGGGCTTCTGCGTTAGCTGATGCCACATGTCATGTCGGAAATAGAACAGGCAACCCCGATGACTTTGGGACTCTGTAACGTAGAAACAGGATCGAAGGAGAGGCATCAGAATCGAGTCGAAAACATAGTAGAGAAACTCGTGAAGGAGCTCCGTGCGTTTCTGCAAGTCGGATAAAGAAAGCCTTTTCTGCTGGCCTTCAGTGTTGGGATGTTCAAGCCAAGGAATGGACGTAACCTAGAAACGGTTTGACCATGTTAAATGATAAACTTTGCATGGAAAAGAAGTTCCACAAACTCTTACCTTGATGCCTTTGCAAATCTCGTGAATGGTAAGAGTCTCAAAGCGTCTCATACGTACAAATCGATCAACATGCTTGAGAATGATATCTTGATTAACATTACCCTGTTGGCCGACTCCGTACCACTCTGAAGTAAATAGTTTACGAAGGACTGCTCGACAGAAAGCCGACACCGAGGACGACGGGGTCGCATAGTCCAGAAGACTGAGTTTAGGCCTCGAATTATTGGATTTGGGTTTCTGGACTTCTTGGTTCATCTGAGCCCCGGTAGGTGTGTGTGCGCCATTAGGACCGCCAGGTTGGGTGATGAAGTTTCCTGATGCTGATGATTTCGGATCTTGCGACACCTCATTCTGAGTATCGATAGAGTTGAACTTCCAAGGACCCGAGGACTGTATATCGTTAATGCTAAATCGACATACCATGCCATGAATATCTCCATACCTCAAGTGGACAGTAATACTGCAGTAGCTGCCAATAGGAGCAGTGTCTCTGGCGAGTTTGCAACAGTCGGACCAACTCCACGGGCCTTCCTCGAAGCCTCTTCGGAATCCGCGGCGATTGGCCCGGATTGCCTTGTTTGTGTGAATTAGATCGTTTTAAATTCTGGGCTTTGGCTTGCTGTTGAATTTCGCGTTTAGAGATTTCCTCCTCACGCGAGGTGAAGTCTTTTACGAAAAAAGCATTTCCGCTGCTGTTGAACACATTTCGCAGCCCAAACTGCTTAGGAAAGACATATTTCATCACATGAACAGTGTCAGACAGTGAATCGGAAGAACCGGGGCGATTGAGGACATCTGTTCCGTTGGTTAGGCCGAAGCAGTAAGCTGATAGGTCATTCCTAGAACTTACGGCGTTTTGACAACCCGTACTGAATCTTGCCCTGCGGACCGAGCACGGGACGCGCATAGAGTATTCGTCGACGCAGGAAGGTTATGCTATTGGGTTTGTATTGAGATGATGGAGCATCTCTGGTGGACGAGGGTTTCACTTCGTCCTTTCCGGTGGTAGCGGACTCAGGAAGCGCTTGCAGTGGCTTCTGGACTGTCTCCAACGCAAAGAGCGGCACTCCTAAGCGAAATCTCAGAAATTACAATATAAATAGTGTTGCGACGAAGACAAAACATACCGCTGACCTGATAGTATACGCCTTTCCGAGGATCTACAGTAGTGAAAATGCCACAATCACGCAACAGTTCGAACATGATGTCGTTTCCGTTGTACCCTAAAAGATCCAGGACATCCGTCCATGGGGCTTGCTTGAGCACCTGGACATTGTTATTGGGAAACTGTTCCACATGGCCAGGGATACTGCAAGGAACTTCGCCGGTCCTCCCGGAAGCTCGCTGGAACCCATGGGTTAAGAGATGGCGAGCTCGCCTTAAGGGTCCAATCTCTTTTAATAACCTTCGGATGACAGAATTCACAATCTGTTCATATGGATCACTGTTAGAGCGCCCCTATGTTGCTATATCAAGGCAAGAGCAGACGGTGACGGACAGCTACAACAACGATGTGGCATTTGGGTAAAGGGAAAAAGGGCAAAAATCCGCTACTCTTGACAGGGTATACAAATATGAGCAACCTTACCTCTTCCTGGGCAGAAGTTGCTCCAGTATCTGTACTATCGAGCTGAGAGGCGGTACGTGTTTGTGTAGAACTTCGAGCGGAAATCGGTGACAAGTCCTTCAGAACGCCCACGAGCGTCGTATCTAGAAAGGTCGCGAGTCCACTGCTTTCCAGATCAGGCGATGCTAAGTCATTACGCACCGCGGCGATTCTGCGCCGACGTGACTTGGAAGAGACCGGTATCCGCTTCAGGAGATACTGCCTCAGCGTCACCACCCGAGGGTAATATAAAGAAATGACGGGATGAGAATGAGAACGTTCAGGGATCTCTTCTTGTGACGGAGACGGGGGACTGCTAGGTTTGGGCAGGTGATCGCGTGGCCGGTCGTCCTTGACGGGACGCTTCCTTTTTTTGCCCATTGGCGAGGCTTGAAGACCAGGAGAATGAGATGGAACAATGGTGTGAAGTGAGCTGCAGCTTAGTGTTTGAACCAATTTTAGAAAGAGCCAGGGACGGCGTCATGCCTGTGCTATCTACGGTGTAGGTAGGTGCTACAGGGGTTGCGCCGGGAGACGCGCCTGGACGCGACGGCGTTTGCACTGTTTGGCTGTCACCTCGTGGCTGTCGGCGCGGTCGGTATACGGAGTACTCTGAACTGTTTATTGTCACTGGCCACAATCAGGAATCAGTATCAGCAGAACCATCACCATAATCATCTATCCTATGGATATGTACTCGGTCCAAGTCATCGTCCTCACCGACCAACCATGCTCACGAGATCACTGGACCAAGCGACCGCTGGAAGGCGCTAACCGTGCAAGCGAGCAAACAGTATGGAGACCCGGGGGGAAGAAGAATCTGGCGTTTTGAAGTGAAACATCAAGTCCCCACTCTTCGATGCACACTGGAACAGGGCTTGGATATCGGTCAATAATTGAAGAATTGGAAACGCTGGATTATTGAACGCCTCGTTCGTAGCACGGGGGCGTTGCTACCCCTGAACCTTCATACCATGGTGCGTGAGGATTGTTCCACATAATTTGGCGTTCGTTACAGAGTACTACTACCGACGCCCTGAGTAGTTTGAAGATAGTGTGCATTGTACTTCGTACAGATCTACGGTGTACTTTCACTCACACAAAGGAGAAGATTGAGAGTAATATCTTACGGACTGAGGAGGCCTCAGACTCTGTTCGGCAATCGAGGTGGAGATCCAATTGCCAATATGTTTTCTGACGACGATCACTACGCTGTTTAGCCACCATTACACAACAATGACCAGGGCGGAAGACGGTGTACGGACTACGGAGTCGTTGGACTGTTAGAGCATCATCTGGATGGAAGAATCTTTCTCTCGAATTGCCGACCATGAAAACTCCATTTGTGTTAGTCGGTGACGATCCTGCCTTATGTAGTCTGCACGAAGTACACAGTACGGAAGCACTCTCTAAACGGAGAACCTAGACTCCTCGACGTCAAACCAGATAATGGATAATGGACGCACTCCGTCCTTCGCAAATGTTCCGTGCAACCTCCATCAGCAGCAGTACTTACTCCTCGGCAGCCCGGCGACGATCGCAGGCTAACAGCAACAACCCCTGTCTTCCAGGCGGGCCGATCAGACCATAGATCTTCACTTTGCAAGGAATCCTGGAACCTGAGCGAATTCGAGATACACACACCGATATGACCCTCGATTATTGGCGATAGATGCTTGACCGCAACGAATGCAGGCATGGCGCAGGATCGAGCCGTTTCTGCCAGAGACCGCGCGGATGCAAGAAGGCGAATTCCGCCGGCCCGACGAGTGGCTCAGGGCGCTCAGGTTTAATTGGAGTTGGGAAATCACCCGACAGCTGCTAATCGGATTGACCCTTGCAACAAAATTGATTCTATTAGGATTTCAAGGGTTGATCCCTGGACACGGAAGAGGTGCGCATATTGAGAGTAAGCGGACATTGGACCGATTCTTTCAGGGGGCAGCAATGCTGAATGCACCGTGGTTTTGAAGATTTTTTTCTTCTTCTTCTCTTTTCTTTTTCTCTCCCGTTGCAAATGGATACATTATTTTCTACACATGACGCTTCTTCTGTAGCGTTCAGTTCAAGACCTTCTTTTCATTGCTGTTCAATTGAATTTTCTTTTTACTTCCTTCTCCCCAGATCAAGGCTGAGACTGCCCGAAGCAAAACAAACGACCACCACAAAGGTTAAAATAGCATAAAATAAGATAAACTAAAACCGACCAAAATAATAAGGCTCATAATATAACCGTTGCTGATTGCCGAACAAGTCGCGCGTTCCAGGCATAGATCGGGGGGGATCTCATTGGAACGCTCCGTAGACATGACCCGAAGGGGACAATAAATTGTTGATCATTGAATGTTCCTGGCGACTTCGACCCGACAAGAATAGAAATGATAAGAAAAGCGAGTCTGACTGCATTCGCACAGACGAGGGCAATCGAGCCGGATCCTTGGAACGGCGATGGTCTAGAAAGGCCGCAACGCTAGCAGCATTCCCGAGGAAGGGGAATTCGAATGCGATTTTCCAACAAAAGGCTCCACTTCGCCAGTCGCCTCGCTCGCTTTCGCTGTCCCTTGAACCTTCTCTCTGTTCTCTAGGCTCTGAGTCTGACTCTTTTCAGCTCTCTGTTCTCCCCCTCCGGCGGTCCTGCGGAGTCTGGGGGAAATTGTTTGTCTTTCCGGCCGAGAACTGAGAATGTCCCTGATTATGATGCAAGTCTCGCAGGTCCCCAGGTCCCGGCTTCTAGAATGTATCATCTGTCTGCTAAAAGGGTTCCCACTTAGCTTGATGTCCATTGTGGTCTCTGACAAGGGGGAATATCCGTCCCTAATGCAGTAACTATTGAAATCGCCGACGCCTCTTCCATTCAATAATTTAGTATCCTCAAAACACAAATCAATCAAATGAGAAGTAGGCGGTGTACGGGATGAATCACTCTGCATTGACCAGTGACCGCATTACACGAATAATGACGGCAGTGGAACCGTTCGGGCGACATCATAGCTGTACGGGGAGCAGAGAGCGGCACAGCATGAAGAGATGCAGGTTACGAAGATGACCCGCGAGTCCATTCCGGTAGACGTGGGAATCCATGGCGAAAGATTACCCGACGTTTGTAATTAAGCTTAAGCCAAATAGGACGACGGTCTGAGAGGGATATGAGTTGGCACGGGCTAGTTGGGATCAGATTATTAGACTGGACACTTGTACTCCGTACTACGCCATCCCATGCAGCAGATGCAGCCGCCGCCTGTTTTCTGGATTAAATGTCAGTAGGGGTTCACATCGTGACCTGCGACACTCGCAGGGTCAGTAGCAAGTCCCATCTCAATTCTTCCAGAGGCATGGAACGATACCTACGAGTCTACGATTTCATGCACACCGACATGGGATCAATGGAGCACCAACCCTCGTTCCCGCCGTCTCCCTTGCCTGTGACATTCCAGAGTCCACGATCGTGGGAATCGGTCAGGCTCTCGTCTACTTGTTAGTCCCTTGGCATGCGCAGGAGGAGTCGACTTCCATGAGACACTTCACTCACAATGACCCTGGCGTTGGAACACTGGGTTTGATTTCCGATGAAAGTTCTTCTTGACAGAGGAATGGGGAGCAGGGCTTGTTAGTACCATGGACCGACTCCTTCTACGGCATTGATTTCCCAATTCCCGGAGTCTCGTTTTGTAGCGCCGTTGCAATGCGATTGGGTTGCGCGACCTGCGGCGTCTTGCGAAGAACTTGGCGCGTGAGCCACTCTTTCGAAGTAAGTAAGTAGGTTTCATTTTTTTCTCCCCTTTTCTTTTCTGAAGGAGTATCATTTTCCATCGGATTGCCCTCCCATTGAACGACCGCGTGAGAACACTTGGGGACGTCAGTGCAAGTCGAGGAATGTGTGGGGCGGATGAGTTGGATCCGTGGATCCCAGAAGCCAGAAGGCATTCGAAACAACGACTCCCGAAATCCAATTCAGTTGACGAGGGCCAATGATGTCAACACTTCGTGGCCGAAAGGATCTATTCTCCCAGTGTATGAAATAATGGCTAGGAATTCTACGGGCGAAAGATGCTGGTCATCTTGTTATCCATCCACTGCAGACTGCGGGTGCTCTCCGGCCGCTAAAAATGAGATCCCAGCAGGATCGCCCGCGAGAGACGATCGGCCTGACGAACAGACCGAGCGATCTTCTAGGAGTACGGAGTATATCGTGTACATTGTGTGTATACACTCCGTAGTGTATAATGATATACCGTAGATTGGATGATTCCCGTTATGGTTTTTCTTTCTCTAGAATCTCTTTATGTTTGACTTCCTTTTTTTCTTCTTTATCCCGTTCGGCGATTTTCCGCATTGATTCTGCTCTTTCTTCTTTCAATGCGTCTTTTAGATTTGGTGCCAAAAATTTTCATCCTCCACCAGATCGACTAGACTTGATCGAGACTCTCTCGCTGGGCGGTTTGTTTACTCGTCAACTTTTCTGGTCCGGGCGAATCACTTGGCCAGTGATTAATCTTTTTTTCCTCCTTTGTCCCTTTGATCGATTTTTTCTCTCTCGGACCAGTAACCAGGAAGCCGAGTACCAGGGACCACCCACTGACCACCGACCACTTCTAACTCCCCCCTTATTGTTCCTCGGCCCCTCTTTTTCCGCATCCACCGGTTCCGTAGGACTGTCAAAGTTCGAGATCAATTCGACAGCGAAAGAGGAGTGGGAATACTTCGGGAAGGGTGAAAGAATGATCAGGATGACGGACGGAGTACTTATGAATCTCTGACGGAAGAGTCTCCTCTCCAGACCCCCTTAACCACGCTAAAAATAAAAAATCCATGTCGACGAAAATTGACGAAAATCCGAATAAATTCAAATCAAATCAAACAGGGCTGTGGTTGTTGGCCCACCTGCAGCCCTTCCCAATTGATGGGACCACAGGATCGCTGTTCGGTCGTCATCGACGATTCTATTTGATGGGTATCAGAAATTCCTGTTATATTATTATACGGAGGGAGTAATTATTCTTGGGATATTTTCCTTATTTTCCTAGTAACTACTAAGTACTAACTACTGTAGCATCTTCTACCCTGGTCCTTGCCCCCCTCCTCTCTCTTCCCCCGTCCTTTTCTTCTTTAATCTCCATGGCTTCTTGACTTCCTACTGGCTCTGCCACTTTGACCTCAACCGACCCCTCTCGGCCCGCCTGTGACTGTGACAACTTTTGGTCTTCCTCTCCTTCCTCTCCACATCGTCTTCTTCCCCCTGCTTCCTAGACGCCGTGCAAACGTTGCTGTCCCGCCCGTCTCACCACCCTTGCCCTTCTCTTCTCTTCTCTTCTCTCTTTTCTTCTCTATTTTCTTCTCTATTTTCCTTTCGGTCTCTCTTTCTCCTTCCCTCCGTGCTGTTTTCTATTATTATCACTTCCCGCTACTTCCTTCGTCCTAGTTACTTTTCCTCCCCTCCGTCCTCGTCAAACCGCCCGCTATCGAGTACAAGAATAGATTCTGGGGTTTCCGAAGCACAGACCCAGGATTGCTCCGCTGATTTGGTGGTCTCATCTTGTCTCAATCATGACCCCCTACTGGGGTAGTGCTACCCGGTGATGATTGCTTTGTAGTTCTGGCCGGTCCATCTGCAACCTCATCTGTGGCCTACCAGGTGTGAACAACGCATCGCGAGACTTAGTTCCCTCCGCCAGGAAGCATTGCCGCCAACCAACCCGTTGGGAGAAAATCAAAGGGTGAGAATTAAGAGAATTGGGGGAAAAAAAGAAAAGAAGAAAAAAAAAGGAAAAAAAAAAAATCTCCTCCCTCTCTCCTCCCAGGTCGGAGCACAAATTTCCTCTTGACTACCTGCCTGAAGAATGCAAGATGTCCGGCAGCGATGTCGAGCACGTTTCTTGCTTTCTCAAAGGCAACCCTCATCAGCCCCGGCACCAATCCTCTCCGACTCCTGACGACGATTACTTTTACGACGCTCCATCACATACCGTATCGCTTATCGCGCCGGCTTCACCTCCCGTTCCTTCCCTAGCAAGTACCACCACATACACCGAGCAGCCGCGTCTCACAAGCTCACAAGCCTTCCGCATACCTACCGACCTATCCTCGACCGACTACCCCGAAAGTTGCGGTCGAGATTCCCCCGACCCTGACGACTTTTATCGCCCGCATCAGACTTCATTGGCTGTGGAAGATGGTGTTGGCGTTGACCCGGACGCTACCTTGATGGTCGGAGTCAAGAACAACGACGCCGCAGAGAAACGTCCCGCGCTTTCTCAGCGTATCTATTCCTTACCAACCCACCCGCCAAACGTGACGTCTGCAAGCCGAGAGCCATATCGTTCAACGTCGGACTCGTCTTATCGCGGGGTCGGATTGAATGCTACTAAGGGTCCTTCGGTGAGGGCATCCACCGCAAGGTCAAGACAGACCTCTTTCAAGGATCTGATAAACAAGTTCAACAACAACGTCGATCAAGTCTTGCCCGTTCCAACCGCATCGACACCGATATCCCGTGAACCCTCGAGGGCCGCCAGCCCAGCCAGTCCGGTGGATCCGTCTTTCCGACCCAAACCTTTATCCTATCGCCGTGGTACCTTCGATTCCCTCCCAGACACGAACGAGTGCTCTCGATTAAACTCGCCGTTGACCTCGGGTCAAGCTTCCTCCGACCTCATTCCCCCTCCATTGAGGAAATACCCCGAGGGCCCTTCGTTGACGCCCTTGCAGCCGGCGGAGTCGCAGCCTCGGCGGCCTGTATTTGGTGAATTGCTCTCAGTCGACACGGGCTTCCGGGATTCGGGATATGGACAACCGTCGCCTTTGCGACGTCGAGGTTCTGAAGGGAGCGTTCCGAGTCCAAACCCCGCGCTCCTCGACCAACTCGAGCCGCCGTTCAGCTTCTCGCCACTGACCCCGACTGCGTGGTATTTGGGAAAGACGCCATTTCTTGAGGCCGTGAACAACGGTGCTAACCCGAACAGTCACCGAAGGGTCAGGAGTGATCTCTCTGGACACTGGCTCGGAGGTGCGCCCGCGCCCCCTTCTGAATCCCACATGGCGGTCTCGGGCCCCTTGCAGCCGCACCCTGAACCGCCGTTGGAAAGCCCACATTCCAAATCCCGCATTCCTATCTCGTCTCGCCGCCTGAATTCGGCGTCGGGCTCGGAAGCTTCCTCGCCTACCGCCAGTCCAACTTTCGGCAACCGGTCTCCCGCTCAAATTCCACTGCCTCCGAAAGGTGTTAGCCGTCTTCCCAAACCGGCGCTCAAATCTGCTCGTGACATTCCCGACGATGGCCAAGCAGCGTTTGCGTTGTCACCACGGGCCAGGAGGGAAATGGCCCACGGTCGGTCGCGTCATCAACATCCCGCGAAAGGCGCTCTTCTGGAGGCATACATAGCTGCTCCTCCCCCGAAGAAATCGCCGCCGCTACGTAGCTCACGACCCCGTCAGCCCGTGTCGCATGCGCCTCCCTCGTCACGATCGAAGGTAGTGGAAACCGTGTCAAATTTCCAAAATCAAATAAACCGCGACCGTGATCCGCGAAACCTACGACAACGGAGGCTGCCGGAGCTGGGAAATGTGGATTTCGCGACTCGACGACACCGAATCCAGCAGGCCTTTAATCGCACGGTTCAGGAGAATGAGCAGAAGGAGGAGAGGGCTGCCGAACTTCGCCGTCAAGTCAAATCCCAGGACGACCGGACAGAGCGTCCACGGACCCCTACTACTTCGACCTCGTTTCTACATGAGAATCCGCAGCCGCAAACACCTCCACAGCCTGATGACACTGCGACCGTGATAGATGAATCGACGCAGACTTGCCATGAGGAGGAGCATCCGATTTCTGGAACGGGGCCAGCGCGAGCGACCCCTCAACTCCATGTTGATACCGATGTTGGCGTGCAGGTGAACCAGGGCGACAGTACTGAAGATCATCCGGTGACGATGGATTCCCCAACATTGGGACATGCGATCATCGCAAGCAATGGGCAAGATGCCGATCCCAAACTATCCGGCCTGCCGGCCTCTGCTGTCACGTCGACATCGGACGAGACGCACGTTACTGCTTTTGACCCGGAGCCTCAGGCGGAACTTTCTCGACAGAATCTTCACGCCTCGCACAGGACGCTTTTGAGTCAGATCATGCAGACCCGCGAGTCCAGTCCCAGTAGCTCCTCGTGCGACGAACCGGACCTCAGCTATTCCGACAATGATGATAAGGAGTCCATACCGATCATGTTGCGGGATGCCTTGGGTCTAGAGGACTCGATGGACAGCAGCGATAATCAAGGGTCTTGCGACCTTTACATGAAGCAAGACCCCACTGCCAGCGAGCCACCAAACAGGTGGAGCTTGAGTTCGTGGTCATCCTCTCTTCAGAACCAACATTCCACAGATGATCAATGTGAGGGTAGTGGAGATGACCTCTCCCACGCTCAACACTCGGCCGATGATTGCGAAATAGCCACCACTCAGTCGTGCTCTGCCGCCTCCAGCACGCCCGCTTCTGTCGCCGGGGACCATCAACTCCCATTCTCATCATCATCGAACCTGATCAACAACACGGCGCCTCAAATGAACCATGAAGGCACACCGACCCGAAACGCTTATAGATATTCCAATGCGCCGAGTCTAGCAAGACTGGGTGGCTGGGACTCCAGGCGGGTTACTCAGCTTTACTTTGAAGAACTCGCGCGTGGCAGAGGCCATAATCTTCCCATGCCGGCAGTCCGTGCTACGCCAGAACCCAGGCAGTCAGACAACAAGAGTGATAGCTTGGGTGATGATGCGGTCGTGGTATCCCGACCCGAGGACTTACCATCGGAACGCATAGGCCACAGTGCGAGCCTCGTATTGCGGGACGATTGGGAACATGCATCGCCGTCGATCATGGATTGGATGCAGATCGCTGCCCACAACGAGTCCGGCCCGAAGGACCAGATCGGCGAGAGTACCAAGTATGAAGGTGATCCTACTCCTCGCATTGTAACCCCCAGCACCCAAGGGCCCCGTCCTGAGGATGGCACCGATGAAGGTCTTGGCCTAGCCATCAACGTTCGATCCTCTTTGGAACGCGATTCCAGCCAAACAAATCCTCCTGCACCGAACCATGAACCTCCTCTGCCGCCTTCATCTGTGGACGCAAATGAAGACGGCACTGTGCCCCAGCAGGCTTCCACTTTCTCGCCCGGGATGGTTTCCGCCAAAGCTTCCTTGAGTACTTTTGCGAGCGGCGCTTTCGCCCCACTGGGTCCGGTCCAGAGCAGCGGTAGCAGCGGTGATTCATCTCTTCGACGCGTTGATCGTCCGCATTCTCCCCATGCTTTGGATTCGTCGGCGACATCTTTGGTTCCTTCTACTTCAGAACCGCCTCGTACAGATAATGCCTCTCCGTCCCCGGACCAACGGCGTCTCAAGAAACGAAAGCACGTCATCAAGGAACTTGTTGACACTGAATATACATTCGGAAGGGACATGAAAGTTGTGGACGATATCTACAAAGGAACTTCGAGCTCATGCCTGGATCTCTCATCAGAGGATGTTAAGATTCTTTTCGCAAATTCCGACCAAGTTGTGCAATTTTCCCAGGGTTTCCAAGATGCACTGAAGGAAGCGGCCAAGAGTGTATACATCATGCCCAAGTCCCAACGGTGGAGCAGCAAACGCAGTCGCAACCACCACGTTCCCCAAACGGACGCCGATACCCCGACCGGGACTGGAATATCAGAGCTGGAGAAAGACACCGCTACTTTTATCGGCCGGGCATTCGTTACCAACATGGCCTACATGGAAAAGGTCTACGCGGATTACCTGAGAAACCATGATGCCGCCAACAAGAAACTCCAAGCCCTGCAGCGGAATCCCAAAGTAGCTATCTGGCTCAAGGAATGCCGGGATTGGGCGTCAGACCTCACCACAGCGTGGGATTTGGATTCGCTCCTTGTAAAGCCTGTCCAGCGGATCTTGAAATATCCTCTCCTATTGAGTGAGCTCCTTGACTCGACACCCAGTGATCATCCAGATCGTGCTTCACTTGTAACTGCCCTAGAGGAGGTCACTAATATATCCGTCCGTATCAACGAGATGAAGAAGCGCGCAGACCTGGTCGGCCAGGTAGTTGCCCGGAAACGGAAAGATTCTGATGTCAGGACGGGCCTCTCGAAAGCTTTTGGGCGCCGCACGGAGAAGTTGAGACAGCAAGTGGGTCTTTCTGAGTTGGTCGAAGACAAGGAGTACGACAAACTTGCCCAGAGGTTTGGAGACAACTTTTTCCAGTTGCAAGTCGTCATGCGAGATGCCGAGATGTATACCCGCGAGGCCCAAGGATCGATTGACTGTCTCAACGAGTTCGTGATGGCAATTGAGGGGTTTATCGACGTATCCCAAACCAATTACTCCGAGCTGGAGGGAAAATGGCGTGAGCTCAAAGTCTGTGTTCAAGACATCGTGACGACTGCGCTACCGGAACATGTAAGTAGCAAGGGACTACATCGTCTCTCTGATTGTGTTTTGAGGACAAGTTTGCTGACTCGAGATTTTTAGCTTGCGGTTGTCCGAAAGAGTGTCATCGAGCCCATGGTCACCTTATTGAAATTACACGATGGACCGCAAAGGGTGATGAAGAAACGCGACAAACGCCTGATGGATTATGCTCGATTCAAGAGCATCACGGAGCGAGGTGATAAGCCCGACAAAAAGACCGCGGAACAAGGAGAGCAATATGTTGCTCTCAACGAAACACTCAAGGACGAGCTTCCGAAACTATACTCCCTCACCGCAAAATTGATGGAGGCCTGTTTGAAGAATTTTGTCCAGATACAAACAACTTGGTTCAATCGTCTGCAGGAAAAGCTCGCTCCCCTTGTGGACGCATTCCCGGAGGATGTTCACAAACTCGTGGATGACTGGTCGGCAATATTCAATTTCTCCGAGGCACAGGTGTTATCACTGGGTATCTGCAATGGGTCGTTGCTCGCCGATGCGGTCAATCTCGTCAATTTCAATACCCCCTCGACTGGGGCCACTATTAGCTCCCCGCGACGCCCATCCACTGTGAACAGCGTCAGCACCCGTGTCGGATCTACTATGGAGGAAGCATCACCTAAGGCCTCCTATGATTTCAGCAGCGGGATTCATCCTTTCCAGTCTCCGAGCATCGACAGTCAATCACAGCTATCTCACGGACGCCTGAGAGCTGATTCGTCCTATTCTGGTCGCGCTGCTCCGGAGGCACCGGAGATCCCTCGAAGCCAAATACTGCAGCAAATCACAAGCGCATCGTCCGGCTCCGCGCCTCCTCCCTCCGTCACTCAGACAGAGTCATTTCCGAGTCTTCCTAGGCTGAGTCTTGATTCTCCGTTCCTTGCCGATATCATAGGCCCCTCGACTAGTTCGACCAAGCCAGATGAAGACCAACCAACCTCTCCTGCCGGTCGGTACTCGGGCTTTTTCTCGTCAGCAATGCCCATGTCGGACAATCCCCAAGACGAAAGTGCCCCAACCGAAGCCAGTGCTTCCAAAGAACCGACGGTGCTATTCCTCGCGGCCAGTATCTACGAGTTCAATATTGACCGAGCGCGACGGGAAGCTGGATATCCGTACCTCACCTACGTCGCCGGGGAAATATTCGATGTCATCGCCGAGAAGGGTGAATTGTGGCTGGCTAAAAACCAGGACGACCCTACTCATCAGGTTGGCTGGATCTGGAACAAACATTTCGCCAAACTTTCAGGCTAATATCTACGATGCCACGATGCTTCGCGTTACATGTTTTCATATCAATGTACATGTTCCGGATCGGACTTTTGTTCGGTTTATTGGCTCTTCCTTGGGTGAGCTCCATCTAATAAGTCAACCAAAACCGAAATCATTTCGTTGCTATGTCGTCTGACAAACACGTCTGACTTGCCTTGTTCTCCGGGCGCTCCTTTTCTTTTTTCTTTTTCTGTCTCTTCTTTTTCTTGACCAGTCTTTCTTTCTGCCTTTGATACCCAGCGTGATACTAGCCTAGCCCTATGGCTTTCTCCTCTTACCGAGGCGTTTACCTTGATATGCTCTCCTTTGAATAACTTGCCCCCTTTTTCTTCTTCTATTTCCTCCACCTTCATCTTCCGGTTACTTGTCCAGAATACATTTGGGGAGTCTTTGTCAGGGCATTGAAGAATTGTGCAAAATGTGTCTTGCGTGGGATTATCTATCTCTGGCATATGTGGAAGGAGAAGAAGTGTGGATATATGTACATTTAGATACCCCTTGAGTCAAACCATGACATCAATTAATGCAGTAGAAGCGACTTCATCCATGTTTCCACGGTAGATATCTTGATTCTTTAACACTCGGAGACTCCAAGAACCTCGGGCGGCCGAGATGCGTCACGTGCCCGCGCCACCAGTGACGTCTGCGTGCTGGAAGGGGCTTCTTCTCTTGAAACTCGAAAGCAAAAGCGCACTCCTGCTCTCCTTGCTTAGGCTCACTTGTCATTGATCAACTGCTGGCTTTGGCTTCCCTTCTTCCCCCCACCTCATTCCACCGAGCGTGCCTCGACAGCAAGTCAATCCGTTCTGACGCACTTCCGATCTCATCCCTCCCTTCCCCTCCTTTCCAATCGCCTCCCGCCAGCGAGAGTCCACCAAGGGCCGCAATCATTGCTCCGTCTTTCCATATCTTTATCCTGGACACCGCCGAAATCGCCCTATTATTCGTATGTCTTACGGTTCTACGCACGACCCATCCACCTTTCGTACTAGCGCGGCCCTTTGATTCTGTCTAGGCAGACCCATTCTTAACCGTCACTGGCTGTTCGGTTCTCCCCCGCGGAGGATTCTCGAGTCAACAACCAGGCTACGATCCGGAAAATGCGTGACGGTGGGTTGGGAAAACTTCAGAAGAGGATGAGGCGGTTCGGTGACACGGTAGGCTCAGTTGTGTGGTTCTGATGACTTCGTTGTTGTCGCTCTACTCTAACTTGTTCCTAATCCCTAATGCGCTAACCGCTCTCAGTTGAACCCCGACGATGCCTATCTCAGCTGTTAGTGTCATAATCTACTTCCCCGTCTGATCTAGTAGTTAGTTTGCAGCGACAGACGAAACAAAAGGATACGAGAATGAGGTCTGACTAGGTCGGAGCGTACAGATCATGATGTTCGATGTACGTTTTTGCGACACCTGATGCCAACTTTGAATGACCTAAGAGAAAGCCTGACTCTTCTTGCTTGTAGTGACCAGAGAGGATATGCAATCACTCAAAAATGACTGGCTCACCGATAATGTGTGTTTGATCACAGTTGTTGTAGGATGGATGGACTTCCCAAAGCTAACCTGGTGCAGGTTATCTCCTTTTGGGAGGAGTAAGTCGGCCACTTGACTTCCCATTGGTCTCTCGCCCACCGCGAAAACTGATCTCTCCAGATATCTAGAGCGCGAGTTCCTCGTACAGTTTAAAACATCCAACATCGTACTCCTGCGACCCAGCATGTCCTTTATGATCCTTCAAACACCCAACCCGATAACATTGCGCGAGGCACTACCGGACTTCACGCGCACAACGCATGTCTTCCTCCCGATAAACGACTGCCGTAATGTCACCGAAGCAGAGGGCGGGACCCATTGGTCATTACTTCTTATCTCCATCGTGGACGGCATCGCGTTCCACTATGACTCCCTTCCCCCCGGGAATTTCTGGGAGGCCCGCGCAGTGACGGCCAAATTCGGGACGTTACTTGGTCGACCCATTCGGTTCATTCATCTGGAGGACTCGCCTGTTCAGGAGAATGGCAGTGACTGCGGCGTCTTCGTCTGCTTGAACATGCGCCATCTGCTACTGAAGCGGCTATTGACGGCCAACGCCAGCGAGAAGATCAGTATGAGTCTTGGCGGAAGGAAAGTCGACGCTCGTGCTGGGAGAAAGGAAATCGCCAAGATCATCGATGGGTTTAGGAAAGAAGGCGAGCGGCGTCGATCGTACGTTCTTCTCTCTGCTTTTTCTTCAAGCTGTCATGATGCTAACCGTCCTGATACATCAAGTGCCAGTCTAAGTCCATTAGGAAAGAAATCGAAGAGTCCACCGAGAATTGACTGATGGAAATGAAACATATAACTCCGACCCCGACTACGAGACCGTCGATCCACATAGCATAGCATAGCATAGCATAACATGGGCTGGCTTGTCTGGTGCATGCAGAGAAGAAGGCGGACACTAATGGGATATGACAATGACAGGATATGAAATTACAGTCTGGAACCTTTGATACATTCCTCCTTTTGGCTTCTTTTTCCCCTACAACTTCTTTTCATTCCAAAAGACCCAGAAAATACTCTTTTTTTGTGACCCATGCTCTGCATCTGGATCCCTGTGTTATCAGCCCTCGAGCGTCGAGATGCGTGGGTGTCTGCTTTTTGCATCATATTGTCCTTTTTGGTTTCAGCAGCTCGTCCAGTACACAACTTTGCATTTAGCAGTGCAGTGATAATCTTATCGTCTTATTACTTCCTAGATTCAATACTTCCTTCCTTGGGTCCTCCCTGTCTTTGCCATTTGTACATACATACAAGCATTTAGGTCCGCGCATTCGCGCGGACTTTTATACGTGATTAACCAGATAATCTTACTATAGAGAGAACAAAATCATCTATCTAGTTATTATTATAAAGATATAAGAAGGATTAAAATAGTATAACATCTTCTTTATTATATAATATACTTGTAGAAATACTCTAAGCAATTATTGATAGAATAAAGAAAACAAATAGTATAATCTAGAAGTAGGCCTTGTATGGTGTGTATTCTAGTCAATTAATACTATCTAATAGTTATAAGGACCTTGGGCCTTTGTGAGGGTTTGTGATAGATGTGAAAGGTGATAATGATTAGAAGAAATATTGTGAGATATTAGTTTAAGAATAAGGAGTGCCCAGTTCTCGGGCGCCCAGCAGGCTGATTATATATAGTATTAGGCACTCGACGAAGCTTATGGCCTTTGTGAGGCAACTTGCGACCCTCTGAGCTCTCTCGGCCGGAGATAAAAAGGTCTTTGGTGTTGTTGCTTAGTTCCAGGAACGTTCAAGGCTAGGAAGAACGGTCCGTGCCGCGTGGGAGAGACAGCCCTACAGCTTAAATCCGAGCCAGATGGTAGATGGAATAACACTAGCTTATAGATAGGTTGGGAAGATAATTTCAAGGTTGAGAATGAGAAAGGTGAGAGGGGTTTCAGTTAGTCAGCTTATAATTCTGGAGTTCTCATGTATCATCATATGTCCTGCCTGCCTATAGTATTTACTTGGTTTTGGGGGCAATGCCAGTCCAGGTCTCTTCGATCTATTTGCTGTAGAGAGATCATACTGGGAAGAACATATCCAGCCAATGACGTAGGACTCCTCACCGAGGTGACCGCTCCTCCAATCAAGCGTGTACCAAGAGGAAAGGGATGGATGGAACGATCCGGAGTTAAGCACAGACCTGTGACGGCTTCTACCGATTGGGCAAGAAACGCCGGCTATAGAAGTGGCGCGTCGGGCCGTAGCATCAGCAGCTGGGCCCTGTGGGAAATGGACAGGATAGATAGGAGGTGGTAAATGTATTATGAGGAAATGAACAAGCCCAAGCTACAGGAGGAAAGACAACATTCGTAACGGGAAGCCCCAGAGGTAGGTAAAACGAAGGAAGAACACCTGCAAACACCGGCCAATGTAAAGAGACACAATATGCAAAAGCAGTAATAGGATGTCCATAACTGAGCAGTTCGCAATCAAACTACCAGCGGCACAAGGTGGGACAATATCACATAGAATATACCAACACGCTCACAGCCAAAGAATCTATAAGTAGAATAACAAATCTGTGACCCGAAGATGCGCGAGAACTAAATAGTGCTAGTTGCCGGATATATCAGAGAGCGGGAATGGAGACCGGCGGGGAGGTAACGGTTTTCAGTTACCACCTTTATCGACATAAGGAATCCGAGCGAGATTGCTGTCCTTTCGAGAGGAATATCGTTCATGTTGGGGAGGGGGTAGATGGAGACAGACTGTGGAATCATCAAGTGGAGAGAAATGGAAGGTTGAGGCTAGCTCGAGTGCGTTAAGGCGGAGTGGGGGTCTGGCGAACTTCCGAGTGATCGGGGCGGTGCTTCTCGCGACGCGTATACATCTCGTCGGACTGCGAATACGGCGCTGTGGCTGCTGCCTGAGGGGGCGGCGGTTGTGTCTGTTGCTGCTGCGTGACAATCTCTCGAGCATAGAACTCGACAAGCATCGTTCCGTACGCCTCCAGTTCTTCCACGGGAATCGACAGACGGAAATCGTTCAGCAACAAAAACTGCAGTTCGAGGTGGTTGAGTTCAACCAACGGAAGTCCTCCGACCTGAGTGAAGAGGCATCAGCAAGATACCGGACGGATTCCCAAACCAGCCGGGAACACATACCTTTGCATATCGTGAATTCGTATAGAAAACGTCAGAGAAGAATTTACTGGCACAGGTCACGCCGGCGATGACCAGCCGATGAATGTTAAAGCTATCGACAACGAAGAAATGTGACAAGGGATCGTATTCCTCCTGAGGACGTAAAGACGGGGATATGGAAGGAGACGTGGGGTCCTGAGCCCTCATGCCGGTCGACGACGGCGGGGTGACCATCGGCGAGGCGTGCAGCGCCGGACCGGTCGAGCCCTCCGACGACGCGGGCCGCGTTGTGACCGTGGAGGGTTCGGTTTGGATGGGATCCCAGTGGCGCTGCAGGCGATCCAATTGACCCTGATTGACCATCTCGGTCATACGATCGAAATAGACTAGGAGACTGAGAAAGACCTCGTAGGTGGTCGGGCAGTACTTGTGAATCCGAGTCAGGTAGCTGAGGATGCTGATACTCGGGACATTCTTGCCGTGGAAGGCCAGCACGCTGGTGGCCTGGGGGCTGAGATTCGCCGTGCCGTCGGGCGGGGGGATATGGCGATGGACATGCTCGTGGTGCATGTCGTTGGTGGTAGTGATCTTGGTCAGAAGCCCAGCAACCATCTCGATGATGTCCGTGACCGGCATGGAACTAATCTCGTACTGGCGCTCCTGAGACCACTGGCCGGGAGCCTGGTCCCGCTGTGACTGGGCGAGGAACTCCTCGCTGGCGAAGCTTTGGATGTGGGACAGATCCCGCACTTTAATGCGACTGGGAGAGTTGGCTTCCGAGCCGGCTAGGGAGCGTAGGGACTGGAAGGTCGGTCTCAGCCGGGGCGAGGCCGGCGAGGCGCGAGAGTCCGGGCGCGACGCGGGGACGGCAGTCCCTTCGACATGGGGCGGCGCATGAGAGGAGGCGGAAGGAGGCATATGACTGGTGGAGGGGGGCTGAGCGTAGGTCGAACCCGGCGTGGCAGACGAGGCCCGAGTCGAAGGTAGGGAGTTCGGGTGAGATGGACGACTCAGGTAGGACGGCACATCCTGCGGATGGTGGGAGGAGGGGAGGCGAGCAGAGCCCGCAGCGGACGTCGACGGCGGGGCCGTAGTCGAAGTGGGGGTGGTATTGGTCGACGCGGACCTCGAGCTGCCGGATTCCAGCGCTGACGGAGCGGCGTGGCGAGACGACGGTCGATACGCGGATTCCGAGGGAGTGACGGCGCCTCCCAGCATGGTGTAGGAGCTTTCGAGGTGATCCGACCGCGGCTGATCGAGAGCGACTGATCCCATGTCAAGTCGAGGGAGCCGATGGCGACACTATAACCACCAATCGGGGGAACCAAGTTAGCGACCACGGCGCCCGGTTCGGGAGAAGATGCGAGATGAGGGGTCATTGGACGTGATGGAGTTCTTGGGCTAGAGATCTTTAATGGAGATGGAAAGGGAGGGGGATGGATGTATCAAGATAGGATGACGACGTGGAGAAAGTAGGCAAGCGGAGGGGGGAAGATATACGAGCGGAACCACCAGAGGAACAAAGGAGTGACCAGGCAGGAGGGAAGTAAATAGATAGGGATGAATGGATCTGATACAATGCAATGATAACTGGATCTAAGAGTCAATTACCCAAGATAGTACGAAGCAAGTCCGGGCCTATGACGATGGCAAATAAGGGCCAGAGCGCGGTGTTATTCTCGCAGGTGAACCCGACCCAGACGCGAGTGGGAAGGGAATCACAGGTGAGCACTGGCAATGGAAGAGTCCATTGCGCGGGGATTCAGTCAAGGTGACAGATATAAATGAAAAGTGAGCAGGACAGGAATCAGTAAGAGATAAAAAAGAGCGAAGAGTGGAGGATGGAGAAGAGGGAAGAGGGAGGGAGGGAGAGAAAGAGGAGAAGGAGGGAAGAAGAAGAGGAAGAGAGGGTCGAGAATCCGGAAATCTGGAGGTTTCAATCAACCAGGCCGAAGTGACCTCAGGATCCACCGCCAGTTCCCCCGTCACCTTGACTGGATTTGGTCGGAGGCTAACAGAAGGATGAATATCAAATTTAAAATAAATTTTAGGATAAACAAATATAGAAAATTCAATCATGTAGGCTGTCAGTAAGGAGTCAGTACTATGTATACCCATCCACCTATGCTGATTCTAGATCCTCAATCCTCAACACCTCCGTCTTCTCTGAACTCTCAACTCTACAAAAGGAAGTATCTGCAAGTCGACTTCAATTGTCCGGACTGTCCATCATGGATCTAAACCACAACCGACGAATGACAGCAGCCCGATGGCGCAGGTGTGTCGACGGCGGCGCAATCATTGGATCTCCGACGTGCTGCACCTTCTCGGCATCTTTTCAACTCTTTCGATTCTTCTTCTCTTCGACCCGTCCGACCTCGTTACGAAGTCCCTACTCAGTGTAGCTTCCCTTGATACATCATCTAGTCATATCCGTGTTAATCGGGGCAAGGCCATCCCGTCTCTCTCTCTCTATTCAGCTTACGGTGAAGAACGTCCCCCAATCCTCCGTCACGTCAGAAAAAGAAAAGAAGGAAAATCACAAATCATCATTCCATATGAATGTCATCCATACACACAAGAATCCCAATCAATTGGTCACGCCAGGGCCGGTGTAGTCGATGTGCGGCAGGTAGAGATGTCTCACCGCACCCTTCGACGTCAGCACAACCAGACGGATAACGCCGCCCGAGCTGCCGTCCCATTTGATCGCCTCCCGCAGCGCTCCTCGCACGAAGTTGATGCCCTCTTCCTCCGTCATGTTCTCCTTCCAGTTCGCGTCGCAGTAGCCGTAGATGTAAGTCGAGCCCGACCCGCCGATCGAGTAGGCCTGCTTGTGTAGCGATCCTCCCAACGGTATCGAGTACACCTGGCCGCCATGTCGGGGATCGTATCCCGCGATAATGATGCCGGCACTGCAAAGCCCCCGGGTTAGCCACGGAGTACATCCCCCAGACCTCTGATGAAGAAAAGAACCCTCCTACCTCAACATATCCTTGTTCTCGTAGCACAGCTCCTGGAACAATGACGCCGCCACCTGGGTGCTGGGCGCCTCGTTGTTGACGATGGAGTACATGTTCAGGTGGTAGGAAACGATGTCCGCCACGGCCTGCGTATCGGCTGCCGACCCGGATCGGCAGCACCAGATGGTATCGTGAACCTGCGTCAGCTTATCCGTCACTCGGTTGGCGATGTAAGCTCCGGTTGTCGTTCGACTGTCGGCGCCGAGAATCACGCCGTCCTTGAAGTTGATGGCCATACTGCGTCCCGTTAGTACGACCCCATTCTCCCGTTCCGCCTAGCAGGATCGACTCACATCGAGGTACCGAGGCTATACAGATCAGATGGTTAGCAGGGACTCCAATCAATGCGAGTGCAGTGCACCCGAACAGGGACCCGGGAACCTACTTGACCTCGCCGCTCTTCAGGTGGTTCATATCGACGTGGATGCCATCTGTAGCTTGCAAGTCAGCTACCACCCTGTTTCACCAGATCGAATTCAACGAGATGTTGTCTGACCTTCTCCAAGCATCCCCGAGGTGCCGTGGCCGACCATTCTGACCGAGATCGAGTAGGAAGGAGGTTGTTAAAGTGAGGTGACAAAGCCGTGGCTTCGCCGTAAATGATCAAGGGGAGGGAGTAAGCAACGAGAGAGGAGCTGAACCCCAGTTATTCGAGAAGAAGCGAAAAAGGTTGTGGACTGGGAGGATGAATGAGAGCGAAGTGATGAGAAATGGGAACGAAGGATGGAACAGCTTCTCTGGACGGTGACGGAGCTTCTCCAGGCAGCCCAGCGCCTTACGTTGGCCAGCTTCGCCCGGGCGGTGAGAGCGTCCCTCCCCCCGCAAGAGTCTCCTGAGACGAACTTCCCGATCGTTCAGGACGCCATCGCCATCGACAAGCTTCAGGCTGGCCCTTCTTCCTGAGATTGAAATTGTTTTGAGCCCTTTGTAGCTCGTTTCATGGGATTCTTCTGCTCCTTCTTAACCACCCCTGTCCAGCGCACATCCGACGCAGTCGAACCCCGATCCACCCCTGCTACTACTACTCCCATCATATCTTGTCTACTATAATAATGTCCGAGTCTCCGCCCCCCCCACCGTCTTGGAGCATCGCCGGTATGGCCAACAATGCGGTTCAGTTCCTGCGGTTGCCGGTGTTAGCTTCGTCCGGCCTGGCCGTGGTCGCGAGCGGTCTTTTATATTTCAAGCAGAAGTTTGTGTTACCCTGACCCCGGCGCCTGGGAGTATACAATTTCCCCCCTGCTACCGCATAGGACACTGACCACGTGTGCAGCGAGCTGATCTATCCTCGCAACGTCCCTACTGATGCACGAACCAATGTTCCTAAGCCCCGCCAGTTCGGTATCTCCGATTACGAAGACCTCCAGATCCCCACGCCGGACGGGGAGTCGTTACATGCGCTGTTCATTCGCCCCTCGAAGAAGCGCATTACCAGGAACATCACCGTCTTGATGTTCCATGGGAATGCCGGCAATATCGGACATCGGGTGCCCATTGCCAGGGTTCTACAAGACGTCCTGGGATGCAACGTGTTGATGCTGGAATACCGCGGCTACGGGCTGTCGACTGGCGTGCCGGACGAGGCTGGGTTAAAGATCGATGCGCAGACAGGTCTGGACTACATCCGACAGCGAGCCGAAACCAGCGACTCCGACATCGTTGTCTACGGCCAAAGTCTTGGAGGTGCCGTGGCGATCAATCTGGTCGCCGAGAATCAAGATGTCGGCGATATCAAGGGATTGATCCTGGAGAATACGTTCTTGAGTATTCGCAAGCTGATTCCTACGTACGTGCTGCCGATCGTGGGGTGTTCTTCTCTTGCGCCGTATATGCTGACACTAACCCAGGGTTTTCCCTCCCGCACGTTACCTCGCTCGTTTCTGTCACCAGTATTGGACCAGTGAAGAAGTATTGCCCAAGATCACCAAGGTCCCCATACTCTTCTTGAGCGGATTGAAGGACGAAATTGTGCCGTAAGTATTATTTATGAAGACTTGTTGAGCACAATACTAAGATACGGAATATACTAGTCCCTCGAATATGACGCAACTATTCGCCATTTGCACCGCGAGCCGCAAAGTCTGGCGCACTCTTCCGAACGGCGGACATAATGACAGCGTGGCTGAGCCAGGCTATTTCGAACATATTCACAACTTTGTCATGGAAGAGGTCGTCGGTGATTCTTCATAGATAAAGCCGTGCCATACTTCACGTACCACTGATTGCGTTGTAAAGCGCATCCGTGTTAAAATACCTCGCAGTGGCCTCTTCCGTTTGGATCACCTCTACCGTCTCTCGGCATGGGCCGTCGTTTCGCACGACTAGGCGCAAGAAGGTCTACCGCGTATACGATACACCTACAATGGTTCGGCGTGAGAACTTGGACCCGGACCCATGATATGGCTAGACCGACCATTTCACCACTTTTCTTTTCTCACGTTTTGCTCGTTGTCATCTTCATACCCCTTTGCTTTCTGCTGCTTCCATCCCACCTGCACTTACTCATGCTCATCATCTACCTTCCTCTATACTTCAGGTAGACAGAATTCTCCCTCTGGCTCATCTTTGAACTTTTCATTCTCATTTACTGTATCTATAATGGCACCCCGTACTCGGCGAGCGACCCTTAATGACCCTCTTACACTCCGCGTTCCACCACCTACCCTCCCCATTTGCCGGATTTGTGATTTGTTATGACGTTTTCCTCTTTTTCTTGTCTTTTATTCTCTGCGTGGACTTTCAAACAGGCGCTGTCCATGGCTTGGTTATTTGGCGTAAAGCGGATCTCTTTCGGCTGTTCTCGTTAGCTGAATTGAATTGAATGCCTCTTCTGAGAGTAGTTTGAGAGTTCTGGGAGAGTTGGTTAGTTTTAGTCTATCTAATTGTTTGGAATTATGTGTATCGAAAGTAGATTATTCGGATGAACAGACCCTTTCTCACAATCAAACCAGAGAGAGGGAGGGGGAGAGAGAGAGAGAGAGAGAGAGAGAGAGAGAGAGCGTGTGTGAGAGGTACTATAAGTCATCATTTATATTCTATATGTTGGTACATAACAAATAGTCTAGACTAGATGTGTTCCTGCAGCCTCAAACCCTCGGGATCCAAAAGCCCCGTACGATCGTGGTAATACAGTATAATCCGTGAAGACGAGAAATTAGAGCTTCTCCGCCTCCTCCAGCAGATGCTCGATCTTGAAGTTCTGCGCATCGCCCCTGGTGAACATGCGCAGCAACTCGCCCTTCCGACCATTAGCCTGGCCGCCGAAGTCATAGAACCGCTGCACGCAGCTAGCCAAGAAGGTAGCCTCGGTGGTGGAGATGCCGGAGTCGGGCATGACCTGGCCCAGCATGAGCACGATGCCCTTCTCGTCCGCCAAGTCGAGGTGGTGCGTGATGGTGGTGTGGGGCTGGGCGTAGGAGCCGTGCGTCTGGAAAGCGGCGAGATGGGTGAAGATGATGGTGGAGGTGTGCGAGCTGGCGAGAGGGCCGGCGGGGACGGGCGATGAGGCGGCCGTGGCGGGCGGGTGGAATCCCCATTGCAAGAAATGGATGTCGGCGCCGGCGCCGTCGGTGCCGGAGTTGCTGGCCTCGTCGCGGATTTCCTGCGACTGGGACTCGCTCTGCTTGCGCGGCAGGGGCAGCACGAATTGTGGGTTCTGGCGCGCGGCTTCCGCAATGCGCTGGTACGTCTCGACGGGGATGCAGGCGCAGATGGAGTGTGGGTTGTTGGCGTGGCGGAGGCGCCAGATGGCTTCGATCTCCTTGGGCGGGAGCGCGAGGGTCTTCTCCAGGTCGATGTAGGAGCTGAGGGGCTTGATGCCGGATTTGGAGGCGTCGGTGGCAGCCTTTGCCTGTTGCTGGGCTGGGGAGGGCGGCGGCGGAGGCGAGTTGGAGGGAGAGGGAGAGGGAGAAGCTTCGGGGGTGAGGGGGGTGCTGGCTTTGCGACGGAGTTCGTCAATCTTGTCCTTGTAGGCATCTTTCAGGGTGTCGACGTCCTGGTGGCCTTCTCTGTGGGTTATTTGTAAGTAGCTTGTCCGAGTATACGCGGGATTGATACCAATCCGAGTCGTTGCATGACACTCACGCCTTGGCTTTCTGGTCCAGCTTGTTGCGGTATCGATCGATCACCTGGTTGGGATCATGATGCGTGGCGAGGAAGCGCACATCATGCACTTGGGCCCAGCGTCTTTGCTGGGGGCGTATAAAGCAATTGCGAGTCCGGAGAAGGGACTGGAAGGCGGATGACCTGAGATTCGCCATGTTGTAATTGGTGGGTTGCGGAGAAAACGGAGGTGAAGATCGAGAAAGGCGGAGCGCTTTTGATAGTTGGGATTCTCGGCTTGGCGGGCTTATGTAAGCACTCATGGCCTCCTACACTGATATATACTAGCTGTTGTATGTTACATTGCTTTATTTGTTTATAAGAAATATTCATATATTTGAAGAGTACGAAGCAGCATAGTCAAACTAACTGCCTGGTGTGCTGCCTCAAGCTAAATGTGTATGCACTTCATTGCCCATAAAACTATGCGCTCTTCAACTCCACCAAAAGATAGAGGAAATTGAAGGGCGATATAGACAGTGGTAGATACATTGAACCACTCAAAGCCACCAGCACCTAAATTTGCGATGTCGAAACCTTAAAAAGCTGGAAATCGAGGCTTCGAATCTTCGCAGTGAATGCGCTGAGCATAAGTGACTAAGCGCGGCCGCATGTTTCATCCACGTGGATCTCCAATAAAGGATGTCGCGACGCAAGGAGTTGTTCGACCTGCTGGTTCGGCACGGTTCCGCGAACTTCCTATTCATGGCTTTGTATCTAATTCTTTCCCCTAACTAATTCTATAGTCAATATCCTGCACAGTCTTTTATTAATATTGGTCGCTGAGCGACCCTGCCACAATTGCATTTGCCTTTCATTGACGACCTAGCGTTCCCCTCTACCCCTACTTATCCCCTCTCGCCATGGCGAATCGCCAGATTGCTCGACGTATATTCATAGGCGCTGTGATTGCAGCCATTCTTCTTTGCTTCTTCCTCATTCGACCGCAAGATTCGTCGAACGCCGCTATCCGCACGCCCAGCCAATTCACGAATCCGGAGCCGGGCTCCGAGCCGGCCGCATTGACCAAGGATGATGTGACCAAGGGCGACGTGGTGATGCCAAAGCTAGGCAACGAGACGGCGAAGTAGGTTACAATCTGTCACCATGTCATGAGTGATGCGCCCGGATTCAAGCAGGACTGATCATTCTGGGTCACTCTAGGGCCGAACTAGGACGTGCGACTTGGAAGTACTTCCATACGATGCTGGCGCGATATCCAGAAGAACCCACAACCGAACAGCAGGAGACCTTGCGGTCGTTCATTTACCTCTTCGCGCGACTCTATCCTTGGTACCTTTGCACCTGGACACCGCAGCCGAACGGCCACATTGTTCGGAACATGGCTAACTTCCCCGACACAGTGGCGAATGCGCCTCGCATTTCCAAGGACACCTCGCCAAGTATCCCCCACAAGTCTCATCTCGGAATATAGCGTCGGGCTGGGGCTGCTTCATTCATAACGAAGTGAACGCGATGCTCAAGAAGCCCGAGTTTGACTGCAACAAGATCGGCGACTTTTACGATTGCGGATGCGCGGATGATGAGAAGGCAGACGACAAGAGACAAGAACTTCAGAGTCGGAATACGGGAGCCTCCTCGGTACAAATCGACAGGAATGAAATGGTGTGATTCCAATCATCACGTCCATGGAGAAATCGCAGGACCCGTGAGTTACTCTTCCTTCCCCCTTGCATCCCCCGCACTTCGCCATCTGCTAAACTCTTGTACGAGAGCAAACCGGAAACACACTGACCACGAGGATTTAGATAGAAGCACGCGGGATTGATTAGCTTTTAGTCTCCCCTCCTTCATTGTCTGGTTTTGATCCGTGCACGGTATCTTGGTCTAGTCTACCTATACCCTTGCATTCCTCGCCAGCGCTGGTTCGCTGAGCCTCTAAACTAGAGCGGGATTTTGTACATTAGTGCGCGCTTACATATTTGCATCCCCAAGTCGAGAACTGGCATATATCCTCAAGACAGACAATCAACCTCATCTGACCCATGTAGATGAATGATAAGCACCAAGCACGTCCCCATCCTACTGACAAGCGACAAGGTACTACACGGGAGAGACCCCTCGTCGCGTGGTGGAACCCATAAAGCTTTTTCGGCAGTTTCTTGCCCATCCGAGACTTGAGGGCTACACCATCGACGCACTTGCGCGCGCATGACTGCAGGAAAGTCTCTGTGACTGGAGCGGCTGACCAGCCAACAGGGTGGGTTGCGTTCTCCGCCGCCACCGAAGGAGAGGGATCTTCCCACCTTTAACAATGACATGCATCTATTTTTCATCGAGTTTGGTTAGGTCGTGAGGGGGACCGTGAAAATTGATAGAAGTGCCTGGGTAACCGACTGCGGATAATCTCTGAAACTGCCCCCATGATATGACGAAACGACACGAACCAACTCCTGAAAAAGAAAATATAAAAAAAATAGAAGAAGGAGCATGGAGATCTCGTAAAGAGTGGTTTCAGGCATACGCAACATTCACCAACCATGTAGAAAGTCAACAAGAAATATGCACCGACTAACTCACTAAACAGCGGTTGTTATTAATATCTCCCGGCGCACACACTCGTGTTCCAAATAAAAAAAAGTGGGATAATGTCAATCGGATCGCATCGCCCCCTTCCCAGGCGCTACACTAACCGCGGCCTGGTTGGATGGGTGACTTCTCCTTGGCTGACGGCGAGTCTCCTGACGAGTCCATGCTGATTGCGAAATGTATTTTGCTTAGCTGAACAGGCGCCGTCGGCCCCCCTTGGAGCCCAAACGATCAACCGATCATCGTGTCCCGGTGCATGGACATCCCGGTCCTTCCTGACCGCATATCTTCGCTTCGGAGGGGAAGGAAGGTCAGCCCAGGAATCAAAGTTGACACTAGAAAGGATCGTGGGAGTATAAACAGGACGCGGTGGGTTCCCGGGGGGGGACCTGTGGGATGTTTCGTTTTATTCCCGACTCTGCGACCGTATGAATCAATGGACCTGTCTATCTACCCATCTATCCAGATTTAATTCAGATAGTATATCCTTCCTTCTTCTATGAAGAGTTGAATTGCGGGGAGTGGGGGCCTGATCGGTAAGGCAGACCAGACCATCCAATCTCGTCCCGAAGAGGAATAGCGTCGTCCGTCGGCATTTTCTTTTTCTTTTTTTCTCTTCTTCTTCCTCTGGACGCGCCGGAGAAGAATTCGCAAGGAAAACAGAGACCGAGAGGGCCGGAATATCCCCAAGACCAAACTTACGAGATTCTCCTCGCTTAGCGCCGTGTCCCTGGACTGTTGCGCTGCTGGTTGCACCTCTCCCATCCCATTATCTCCGGTTGTTTATCCCAACTGTTTATCTTCTTGTTTTGCGACAAGGAAGGGGTTTGCCGCTCGTCTGATTCTCTTGTCCCGTCAGACCTAGTGATCTGTTGCAAACAGACCTAGTCGCGTGACTGTGTTTACTTTGTTCGTCAGTTCGAGAGAGCTAGATCTTATTCTATTTGCGTTTTGTTCTGTTTCGTGAAGACAGCTCCCCACCTATAGTCGCGCAAGTGTGTAAGTGGGATATATCGCGGGGTCAAAATGGTGTCTTTCTCGTGCGAGGTAAGTCTACTTGAACGCGGAGGGACCGTTATTTGACATCGAATCTAATCGCTGATTGACTTTCTTTATCGTCCAGGCCTGTGGTGACATTCTCACCAAGAAGAAGCTCGACCCTCATCGCAACCAATGTCGCGGCGCAACTTTCACCTGCATTGACTGCATGGTGCACTTCCAAGGCACTCAGTATAGAGCGCATACGGTACGCTTGTCTTCCTTCCTTGTTTCTCGACAGAATGATTAACTGACGCGGCCTGTCTAGTCCTGTATGACCGAGGCGCAAAAATACGAGGGCGCCCTTTATAAAGAGAAACCGAAGAAAAACCAACGCAACGCCAAAAACAACGCTCAGCAAAACCAGAATCAGAATCAGAACCAAAACCAGAGGCAAAACCAGAAGCCGAACGGCAATGGTCACCGCGCGCCCTACGTTGAAGATGCTACGGATGTCGACAACCCTAAAACCAGCGCGGCGCCTCCGCCTGCTCCTACACCTCCCTCTAACGGTACGCAAAAGCCGGAGCAGAAAGATGACAAGCAAGTCAATGTGTTCGACTTCCTGGTTACCGAGAAAACTCCCAATGCGTCCAAGGTCTCGCTTGGCGGGCCCAAGGAGCAGATGCAAATGGTCGACCACGCGCCCTCGGTCTTCGAGCCGAGCAAGGCTCTGGCACACCTCAACAACGAAACGGAGGATGAAAGTAAGTTTTACGACGTGGCTTACGAGGAAAACGGATTCTCTTACGGCGCCGAACCGATATCTCCGTCCGCTTACCCGAACAAGAACGCCCCTAACAATGCTTCTGTAGAATTCATGACACCGGCCCCCAAGAAGAAGAAGGGTAAGTTGCGAGCAACTGGAGACGCGAGCGCCACGACGAGTGACAAGAAGAGGAAGCGTCGCACCGAGGACCATGACATGGAGGATGCCGATACCCCGATGCTGGATGCGCCATCGAGCGTTGTCAACCACCCAGGTACCCCCATGCTGAACCATTCCGGGCTGACGGGAGGTCTCAACCGGATGATGCGATCACCTTCCCTCGATGGGGAGGAGGATCACCCTCAGCGACGATTCCAGGACCCTTCGTCCCCGATCAAGCGCACGCGTCGGGACGAGAAGGAGAACAAGAGCGATGCCGGTCTCGGCATCTCCATGAAGAACCGCGCGGAGCGTCTTGTATCGTCCATGTTTGGCGGCTCTTCCGTCTCTGGAGGCAGTGGGGTTAGCCACGAGCCCTCCGGAAAGGCCCTGGTTCGGGCGCGGCGACGAAGCTCCTCGGATGACGGAAATGAGAAACTGGAGGTCCGCCACTCCAAAAAGACTCATCGCATACGCGACCCCTCGACGGGTCAGGTCGTTTCGGCCGATCCTCGCAAGAGCAAGCGCAAGAGCAGCGCTCAGACCGAGGGCGATCGGCCGTCGCGACGTCTCAAACAGATCGAATATCCCGACCCGGCGCACCCGCACTCTCCTCGAGGCCAGGATGACCAAGTGGTCGTGTACGGGCAACCGAATATTCCCAACGAACTACAACGCGAAATGGCCGGACATTTCTTGTCCCTGGTGACCAAGGGACCCGAGAGTGGACGCGGGTTCTCCGTGAACAAGGTGCTGAAGCGATTCCACCGTGACTTCACCGACGAGTTTGACGGGGATCGCGGCCGCCATCAAGGCCAGAGCCGCGCGGATCGGGAGCGGAGGATGGACGATGAAAAGGATCTTTGGCGAACATTGCGTCTGAAACAGAATGAGCGCGGAGAGGTGGTGCTTTTCTTCTAGTCAGTTTAGCCAGTGGATCAGGGCATGAAGGGATATGGATCTTTGCATAGCGACGTGTCTGTTGATTGGACAGTTTGTTAGTAATTTTCTTAATGATTTCTCATTGTGATTATTGTATATTCTGTCTTACTGTCTTTCCAATAATAAGAATAAGAAGTGAATACGATCGAGAGTCTCCACTGTGACTGTAAGAGTCCAAGAAATGACTCGGAATGACTCACGGCCCAATGACGCCCCGTCGCTGCGGGAGCCTCCGCCACTGCAGGAACATCCTTCATTCTCTTCCCTCTTTGCCACTTCTTCTCCCTCTCTATTTGATTCGGGATTTCCTTCCAAATCCCCGATTGACCTGGGGATTAATTGTCTCATTCTCGTTCCAGCGAGCTTCATCCGTCGTTCGTTTTCTTTTGCTCTTTACTTTTCTTTTCGCCTTCTTTTCTTCTCTACATTTTTTTTTCCCGACTAGCTAACCCCACACCCATACGCTAGCGGTTGAACGATCATTTATTACCTCCAGCGGAGTGCATGATAGCAGCTACGGCAAACGCGAACCTCTTCCAATCCTCGAGCATGACCGAAACCATCTCCGGCGCTCCGGCAACCGCTGCCCCCGAAAACACATCCCGTTCAAGAGGCCCGCGCCGCGGAGGCCGAGGACGCGGCAACCGATCGCATCGTCGTCCGCAGAACCAGGCTCAGGCACAGAACTCGACGCAGAATGCTGAGTCGACGAATGACGCGCAACCGCCAGCTCAGCCAGTTCAGCAAACGCATCAAACGCAACCCAATGGCGACTCCACGCCGAATCAACCTCAAGACGCATCTCGCTCGCGAAGAGGCCCGCGCGGAGGGCGACGAGGAGGAGGTCGAGGTGGGACCACACCGGCCGAGACGAGTCGACGACCAGGACGAGGAAGGGGCGCGGATCAAATGGTATCGAACACCGGCCGGCGATTCGAGGGACGATTGACGAAATCTGAACGGACTCCCGAGGATGACGGGCCGGACGGTGGCGAGGACTTGAAGGATCTGGAGTTGAGGGCCGATGCGCCTGTCTTCGTGCCCGGGGGACAATCGAATGGAAATACAGTGGAAGGGGGGCAGCCGAATTCTACAAACGCGGCTGGGAAAGGGAAGGGAAAAGCGAAGGCGAAGACCCCGCAACAACCTCGACCGCCGAAGGTTACTACGAAGTCAGTCGCCCCGGACATCGCCACGCGGATTCACGAGGATATTGCGCACAATCTTTACGAGTGTCCTATTTGTACGGCTGAGTTGGGCAAGAGGTCGCGTATTTGGTCGTGTGACTTGTGCTGGACCGTTTTCCATCTGAGTTGCGTCAAAAAGTGGTCGAAAAATGAAGGAGCGGCTGCTCAGGACAACCGCCGTCAGGGTGACGGAGAGTCTAGTGCTCCGCGCGCCTGGCGTTGTCCTGGCTGCAATCTTGCGAAAGAAGTGTTTCCCTCAACCTATACTTGCTGGTGTGAGAAAGATGTCGACCCGCGCCCACTTCCCGGCCTCCCTCCACATTCGTGCGGGCAAACCTGTGCGCGGCCACGTAAAGGCTGCCCTCATCCGTGTGACGCGACGTGTCATGCTGGGCCTTGCGCCCCGTGTACCGCCATGGGTCCCACTCAGGATTGCTTCTGCGGCAGGAATTCGTCCACCAAGCGTTGCCAGGACACCGACTACGAAAATGGATGGAGCTGCGGTGAGGTCTGTGGAGACTTGTTGCCCTGTGGGGAGCATACTTGTTCTCGTCCGTGCCACGAGGGTCTTTGTGGCACTTGTGAAGTGAAGGTCGAGGCTCGTTGCTACTGTGGAAAGGTCGAGACAGAAATGCTGTGCAGCTCCAGGGACGAGGAAATGGACAGCGAAAAGATACAGGATGGGGCTGATGGTCAAGTGGAGGAATGGACCGGTTGTTTCAGCTGCCCCGATCAGTGCAATCGCCCCTTTGACTGTGGTGTTCACTTCTGCCAGAAGGGTTGCCACCCTCAAGACGTGCACCCGGCCCACTGCCCGAGATCGCCCGACGTCGTACACCATTGTCCCTGCGGAAAGACGCCCCTGGCCGAAATCTCTGGATATCGGCCTCGGACGTCCTGCGAGGATCCTATCATCAATTGCCGAAAGGCTTGTGGTAAGATGCTCCCGTGCGGACATGGCTGCGACAAGATCTGTCACACAGGGCCCTGCGGATCCTGCATGCGCAGCGTTCCTATACAGTGCCGGTGCGGACGTAACTCGTTCATGACCGTCTGTCACCAGGGCACAATCGAGCCGCCGCAATGTTTCCGAACCTGCAAGACCGGACTGCACTGCGGACGTCATGCATGTGCTGATAGATGCTGTCCTGGGGAGCAAAAGGCAGTGGAGCGCCAGGCTTTGCGGCGGAAGCTCAAATCCCATCTCCGCCCGAGTGATGAAGATGTGGAGGCCGAACATATTTGCACTCGTATCTGCGGTCGTTTGTTGAAATGTGGACGGCACACTTGCCCTGAGATTTGCCATAAGGGGCCATGCAATACTTGCAGGGAGGCGATTTTCGAGGAGATCTCGTGTAACTGCGGTCGATCTGTCTTGCATCCGCCTCTGCCTTGCGGCACGCAGCCACCACCCTGCTCGGCCCCTTGTGAGCGTCCCAAGCCCTGTGGTCATCCCCAAACACCTCACAACTGCCATACGGACGACGATGCCTGTCCCAAGTGCCCCTTTCTTACGGAGAAGGTGTGTCTTTGTGGCAAACAGGTGTTGAAGAATCAACCCTGCTGGCTATCTGACGCACGATGTGGCCGAATTTGCGGCGAAACGCTCAAATGCGGCTCGCATTCGTGCAAAAAGAACTGTCATCGACCAGGCGACTGCGAGGACTCTTTGAAGCCCTGCCAACAGCCTTGTGGGAAGACGAAAACATTGTGTGGTCATCCATGCAAGGATCCTTGCCACGCCCCATACCCATGCCCCGAGAAGACGCCTTGCTCGTCCACGGTCACGGTAACATGTGGCTGTGGACGCCTTCGACAGGAGAGACGCTGTAATGCAGTAAAAGCAGTGGCCTCGAAGGGACAGCTGCAGCAACAGCAGAGACTACCGGCATTGACTCCATTGACGTGTGACGACGAATGCTCCCGACTCGAGCGGAATCGATCTCTGGCATCGGCGTTGGGCGTCGATATCAACCAAACGACCACAGTAGCGCAGAACTTGACTTCCACGAACCTTCCGTATTCATCCGAAACGCTTGACATGTACCTGCAGCTCTCGTCCTCATCCCCTCTATCAACTCTCCAGACCTACGAAGCGACACTCCAGTCCCTCGCGATTGGCACCACGCAACGGTCTGTCCGCTTCCAACCTGCCAAGTCCTCGCTTCGGGCCTTCATTCATTCCCTAGCCACCGACTGGGGCTTTGCCAGCGAGAGCTTCGATCCTGAACCCCACCGGCACGTGTTCGTTCTCAAACCCACGACCTGGACGCCCCCTCCTTTCGGCATGGGCCAAGACACGGCGATCGGAATCGGCGGCATGAGCGTCGGCGAATGCGTCAAGCTACGCGAACGTCAACGTCTCAAGGAGCGTGAAGCCCAGCGCCAGGTCGCAGCCGAGGCCAAAGCCCAGCGCGAAGCAGCCAAGGCGCAGGCGAGCGCGACGGGCGAAGGTGGCTGGGCCCAGGTTGCTGCGTCCCGGCGCAGCAATAACGGTATGAGCGGTGTGAGGAGCGTCACGCCCGCGGCGCAAGGCTCGAGTCGCTCCGGCCTGACGATGTACGCTGCTCTCGCTGGTGACGATGGCAGTGGCTCCTGGAGAACCGGGGCTGCTGCTCCCAAGAAGGAAAAACTTGTCCTTCGGTCGGGCGTGGGCGCCGGAAAACAGCTGCGGACTCAACCCGCTCCTCCCGCAGAGGTCGCCGACAGTTGGGAGGAGGAAGAAGAGAAGGAGGAACAGGAGGAACGTGCTCGTGAGGCGGATGAGGTCCCGGATCCAGAACAAGTCGCGGAAAAGGATGATCAGCAAGAGCTCGAGTCCGTTCATGAGCCCGCACAGGACTACGAACAGACCGCAGAGCAAGAGCAAAGTCAGATTCCTGACTTACAGAATGATCCCGCCCAGGGAGTCGAAAACAAACAACCAGAGGTCCTTGAAGCACGTCCACAAGAACCCTCCCACGAGCCCGAAGCGGTCAATGAAACTCCCATTGCCACTTCTTCTTCGACATAGGGTTCCTCAAAAGTCGTGTCTTAGCAAATGGGTTGTTTTGAGGTATCGCGATAGCGTGCTTTATAGGGGAGGGGGCGTTGTCAGCATTTCCAGTGCATTTTTTATCCAGTTTTGTTGTTTCGTCACTCGAGAACGATATTATTACCATTGAACTTCATGCATACGCATTACATATGGGGGTTGGTTGGTTGGTTGGTTGATGATTGATTGATTGAGGAGTACCACCTAATTTAGCGAGCATGAGTTTGTTGTGTTTATGATTTGCATAGCAGGCGCGCTTGTGCTTGTGCTTGTGTCTGTGTCTGTGCTTAGGTATGCATTTTATGGCCAACAAAAAGTTTCAGGTTTAGATATGGAGTTTGATTCCTTTTCGGTTCTATCTAACCTCTACTGGGATGGAAAGTACGTTAGGGAACCCTTTTTCCTAATTGGGTTGTAATCTTCATGGTGGAATTTGATGAATAAAAGTGTTATACAAGAAATGAGTCTGCACCGAGCTAGCACGTCCTTCCGGACAGAACTCCCTCTCCTTCTCTTTCTTCCTATATCTTCATATGTTCCATCCACTGGAGCTTTTATATTATCACGAGTAAGTGAACAAGTGCAACACCCTTCGTGCGGGAGAGCTCGAATCTGCCTTTACAGTCAATGGCATTGAATCACCCGTATATCTAGCTCAGATCTCCCAAAACCTTGGCATATCCTGCCCCTGTGCCCTCGAGCCCGAGCTCAAACTAGGAGGCAGATCATCCTCGCCCCTTCCCCAATCACTCTCCTCATCCCCAAGAACCAACTCCAGGGTCATCCCCTCCGTGAAAAACTCATGACCGATCCAATTCTTCTCATACGGTTTTCCATTCAACGTGGCACTCTGAATATAAATTGCACGGTAGGACGGATCGAAATTAGCGTTCCGAATAGTAGCGGTCTTGTTCGTGATCGGATGCGTGATGCTCACGGCCTCGAAGAACGGCGCGATGATCAGGTACACGTTTTGGCCTGGGTTCGGGAAGAGGCCGAGCATAGAGAAAACGGCGAAAGCGCCCATGGCCCCGGAGTCGTCGTTCCCTGGGAGACCCGAGTTTGTGGCGTTGAAGCGTGAGGGGATGTAGCTGTGTGCGCGGCGCGCTGAGAGCGCGGGTCGCCCTGCGTAGTGGTATTGGTAGACGGTTAGGAAGACGGGCTCATTGCCCATGTCGGCTAGCCCGGAGGTGTGGAAGAAGTCGAGGCGGGAGACGAATGTATCGGGGCCGCCGAGGAGGTCGATTAAGGAGGCCATGTCGTGGGGGACATAGCTGTTATGGGATGGTTGTGTTAGGGCAGGTACCAGAGGGTTGGTTTACCGGGAAGATCACTTACAATTGATATTCCCATACGCTCGATTCGAATGTCTCCGAGGGGTTGCTGGTAAGGGAGCACCACGACGCAAGTGCGCTGCAGGCAATTGGATCCTGGTATCCCCAGGTCCCATTCAAGTACCTTGGCTGGAAGAAGCCGACAAATTCCGTATCGGTGCCATTGATTGAGGATGTTTGATCGGACTTGTAGATGTTTTTCCAATTGCTAGCTCGGCCAATATACTTTGTATATTCGTCCTTGTGAAGGGCCTTGCCCACAGTCGACAGACAGAAATCATTGTACGAGTACTCCACCGTCCGGGATATGCTGCGAGAATTGGTGCCAAAACCTAGGTAGTCAAAGTCCAAATACGGGATGTAGTTGACACGCTTCCAGCTCTGTAGACCGCCGCGGCCTTCATAGGACCATTCTAGAGGCTCGTTTTCAGCGTCGTTAACCATAGCTTCATATGCGAGGTCCCAATCGATCCCTGTTAGGTTTTTCACAAAAGCGTCTGTTAGGACGACGTCGGCATTCGAACCACCCTGGGTCCAGCCTTTGCAGAGACTCATGCGACAATCTGGAAGCCAATTCTCATGCTTGTATGTATCGAGAAGGCTCCGTACCATCTTAGATTGCGTATTAGGGTCGATGATTGTGAGGAATGGGTGTTGAGCTCGGAAGGAGTCCCAGATACTTGATAGATAAAGTCAGCGCGAACTAAAAGCAGGAGGTACGAAACGAACCAATAAAACGAATCAAAATAAGGCTCATCACTGTCCCAGAGAGGATTCTCCCCTGTCAGATCCTGAGGATCGAGCATTGTTCGGTACACACCACTCCAGAAACTGCTGAGTATGTCTTCATCTGCGCCACCGGACTGTACAGATATCGGACTGAGTTGCTTGCGCCAAGCAGCTTCTGTATCGCGCCGAACCCCTTCAAAGTCTTCTAGCGGGTGAGGAATCTCTACCTGGGCATTTTTGCATGCTTTCTCTGTGCTGATAAAGCTCACACCGACTCGTACATTGACGGTGCCATTCTCGGGTCTCTGGAATCGAAGAAAGCCGCCGGCTTGAAGGTAGAAATTATTGAATCCTCGAGTGACATAGAGCTCCGTTCTTTCAGTTCCTGCTCTGTTGTTGACCCAAATTCCACCGTCAAGAACCGAAGCCCCCACGAAATCCGCACAGAAATACGAAACATAGGACCCGGCACCAAAGCTAGGCAGGAAAGTGCCGTTTGCTCTGATCTGGCCCTTCTCGACATCTACACTGATTGAGGCATTTTGTCGGCTGTCCCATAGATCTGTCAAATCTAATAGTATCAACGGATGTAGCTGCGATCCATTTGCCGTCGTAGCAGTGGGAAATTCAAACCGGTAGAGCGCCGCATGCTCCGTAGATGTCATTTCAGCCCGAATCCCGCCATCCAGGGATAGGCCGAAGTAGCCCGGTCGAGCGACGACCGAGTCGTTCGCATAGTGGGTCGCCCGCGCAGTCTTCAAAAACCTGCAGTTGTTGATCTCATCCTCTGGACAGTATTGTGGAAACAGAGGGAAGTTGCCCAAGGACGGGTTGCCCCCTGTTCCCGAGTCATGAAGTGTAGAGAAACCGGTCACCTTGCTTCCATCCGTCGAAAAGCCACCGGTATTTTGCCCATCCACATCCGCCACGGGCTTCGCCATGCCGTAAGGGCGACTGGCCCCGGCAAAGACGTTGCCTCCATTGTTGGATCCGATCAGTGGGTCGACTAATTGAAGGATGTCGGGGCTTTCAGCTGCGACGGTGTTGGGGACATTTCCTAGCGTCAAGCTCGCCCATTGTATTGAAAGAAGGCATAGGCACCTTGTAAATGACAGCATCTCGAAGATCACTTGTGTCAAGATTCAAACGGAGTGAGTTTGTGACCAAGGCGCCAACTGGGACAAGATCCGCATCTGTGTTTGTAAAGAGCATGGTGGATGGAGGGAGCGGGGAGTATTGCGGAGCCGACCAGGGGGTGAAATAACTAATGATAATGGCTTGTTAAAGGGTGGGATCGAAAGTGGCACAAAATTGGACTGAATCCTGGAATGCAAGGGAGAGCAAAAGGGAAAGAGAGGGGGAGAGGGGGAATGCCCGTGCGGGGAGTGTTTTTGCCGGGAGCCCCGTGATGGTTGGCAGCCCTGAGAGAACATGTCATTACCATTTAATACTCAGGCTTCAAGAAGATCTGATTGATTCAAATTTCATGATATTTCTTTTGCATTAGATCTTGACATAGAAGCTGGAAGCTCTGGCTAGGCCGGATTCGTGTGATTCTTCACTATAAACATGAGTTTTCGGATGCGTTCATTGCGCAGAAGATAAGGAGATTTGAGAAAGACATGGGGGAAAGAATACAAGAATAGAGAGAAACTATTAAAAAAACACTAAGATTAGATATTCTTTTGGATACGTCGCAAAAAGAAAAGATAAACCGCCCTGTTTCTCACCAACAATTAAAAATTCACGTTCATCCACTCTATCAGACGTGAAAACCTGGGTATCTGTGCTGTGTTCCATAACCAAAAAAAGCTCTTAAAGCATAGTACCCTTGTTCTGTTTCTTGTTGAGGCGGTAGTTCTTCCACATAGCAATGCAAGGGATGGAAAGGACCAGGATACAGGTGGCAGCAATGCAACCGAACATCTGGCTGTGGCCCCAGGCGTAGTTGACGGCGTTGCGCTTGTCGGAGCCAAGAGGGTAAGTCTGCTGGATCAAGTAGCCATCCCCCGAGATTTGCATGGCCTGAGACTTCTCGCTTTCAGGGAGGGCGGACTCCAGCGCCTCGACGAAGACGTTGTTGTAGATGGCGGCCTGCACAGCCTGGCCGATGGCACCACCCAAGCTACTGAAGAGTCCCAGGACGGACAGCATCATAGGCACACCCTCACGGTCAGCAGCCGCCATGACAGCCATTTCGTTACCAATGACCAAAGTACCACCGCCGAAAGCAATGAAGATTTGACTCATGATAAGGTAACCGATATCGTCCGTTCCGCCGTCGCCACGGAACTTGATCATCAGACCAGCACCAAGAATCATCAGAGGAAGGCCGAAGCACAACGAGGTCCACTTGAATTCCTTGGTGAACCGCATCCAGATACCGATGACAACACCCCAGAAGCACGAGCCCACGTTGTAAATCTGCAACATGTAACCAGCCATGCCCTGGTTCAGGTTGTACACAACCATACAGAAGCTCAGGAAATACAGATCCCAGCAGTAGAAGCTGAAGAAGAGGAGACCGGAGTTGGTGCAAGCACCCAAAACGGTGCGCTTCTTGAGCAATTCGTAGTTGATGAAATGCACACGGGCGACGAACTTCTCCCAGGCAGCAAAGAGCAGCAGAGTAACAAATCCGAAGACGATCATGCAGATGAAGGTGGCGCTCTTGTACTCCGCCCTTCCGTAGCTTGTCAAACTGAAGGGCAAAAGGATAAGGATCCAACCAATCATCAACAGTAAAGCACCGGCCACTAGAGAAAAAAAGAAGAAAGATCAGTTTGTGGCGTTTCAAGGCAGATGGATTTAAAACACACCGTCAAATTGATGCAAATAGTGCACGATAGACTGGGTCACAGTTCGGCCACTCTTGGGAGGGTTGAACACGCCGGTTTTCACGGCCTTTTTCTCGTAGTACTTGAAGACAACGGCGAGGGGCAGGAAGACAAAAGGCATGATTATGGCGAAAGCACCATAGGCCCACCGCCATCCGCCAGTGTTATCGACAAAGTTCTGTCCCGCGAGCGAACCGGTGAAAGCGGTGCAGATGAAAGGAGTACTGGCGAAGGCGAAGGCGAAGGCTCGGTTTCGCAAGCCAGAAGTATCGGCGATGAAGACCTGCAGAATGAGGTAGATACCGTCGTAGCCGACCCAGTAGATGACATAGCCTGCCGAGTATGAAGACGGGCCATCGCACGCCGCTAGGATGATGATTCCGAGGATGTAGACTGCGACGGAGGCGCACAGGCCCTCGGCACGACCCCACAGGTTCAGAGTTTTGGCGATGGGGAGTTTGAGAACACCTCCGATAATGCTGGCCAGAATGTTGGCCGTACTGACGGCAGGCGCGCTTTGAAACTTAGCATAGGCGGTTTGCTGGGCAATGCTGCTGATCGATGATTGCAAGGCCAGCATGAAGAAAGAAACCCAAATCCTAAATTTTGATTGGTCCATGGTCAGTATTCGTCTCTCTTTGGATGGATATATGGACGAGAAAGCAGAGACTGGAAAGGCTTACCAGGCGTAAGTGGCGACGAGCGCTTTCTTCGACCACACCAAGGCAGCGGCTTCAGCCCTTTGAATACCCAGCTGAGCACCCTCAGTGACCTGATCCGGGTGCAACTCGATTTCCTTCTCATTCCGTGCCTCGAGACTCTTCCGGTCGGACTCGCTACCCGAGGTTTCCGGGTTCTCAGGCGAGCTGTTCTTAGGTCTGTGATCCTCGGTGCCAGCGAGGTCGGACACCATCGCGGTGTTGTCACGACCTCGAACCAATTCGAGGACACCCATGGTGATGTTTTTGAGGTCTCTCTTTCCTACTCAAGGAGACGGGGGGTGAGACTACCCGACGAACAGGAAAGGGTGAGGTTGAATTTGTCTTGATGAACAGAGAAAGGAAGGAGGGGAGCAAGGGACGGAAGCTCGGGAGGGTTAGATTACTATATAAGTATGCTGCTTCACAACCCGGCCGAACAGTGCCGCTTGCCGCCAGAGCAAAGTGGACTTCAGTCCTGGCAGAAAAAAAAAGTGGAAAAAAGAAAAGACAAGGTAATAAAATAAAATTTCGCCCATTTTCCCTGCCGCAGGACGCGCTCCTTCGCGGGTGGATCCGTTTTTGGTTTGGTGGTCGGATCAGATAACACTTTGGGGCAACGGATCAGATAACTTCCATTCTGAGCCAATCACGGCCCCCCCAACACTCGCAGCGAAATGGCCGAGCCACAAACGAGGCCATATAATTGGTGACAGACCCTGGCAGGAACCCACCGCGCCATCTGCAAGTGTCTTTCCGTCGAAGTCAGCCAGGCCTGCGTCGCCAATCCGAGGCCTGGCACCATCTTTCAATTCCGGTCCTGTTTCGCTCCATGAGTGATTTTGCGGTCATGTCCGTTCGATTACCCACGGTTCCGAGGCTGCGTGTTGATGACCCTGCGGTGAATACTTCGAATGCTGATGAGAATCTAGAATCATACACTCGGTTTGATTTTTTCTTATGTGTTCGATATCAGGGAATGTGAAGGAACTGATGTTTTTCTTCAGGAAAAAAAAAAAAAAAAGAAACATAACTTTTTTCCGCCCCTCTCTAAAAGCAAACTAGCATGATCGAGTTACGGAGTAGAAAAAACTCTTTTGTCTTGGAGTGATGTCGGCTAGATTGATAGGCCTGTTGTCACACGAAAATTTCCGGTGGATATAATACCCACCACACCACCTTAGCCCCCTCCACGAGAGGTTTGTCTGATGTCTACTCCGTACGCACCATGCAGTGAGATCCCACGCGATGCCAAGGTGCGCTTACTGCTGAGGACGGGATTGACAACGCGATTGATCCTGAGGAGGAACATGAAATGCCGTCAGATCACCCGTATGGCAGAGTTTAAGAAAGATTTTGAACTTAGATCCAACACAAGAAGTGGCCCGAGCAAAGAGACAGGCAGGTACCACTCGAGGTCAGCTTGGCCTACTGTGGGCCGATACTCGGACGACGCCCCGGTTATTGACAACTATGCTGTCTCTCGGACTAGTCACTGAATAATGCAATTATGTCGCCGCAGCTACTCCGTAGGTTTTCTTGTCCCGATCAATACCGTTGTTGGCTGCTGCTTTTCTCTTATTCCTTCCAGGGTTCCTCGAGAATCGAGAATCTCATTCGATCCGAAGGAAATAATACCTATTGGATGGAATGGTTTCTACGCATCGGACAGTGGGACAGCTTCCGTTGAGTGGCGTTTTCCTTTTCTTTTTTCTCACTAGTCAAACTAGTCAGTGGTCGTTGCCCTTGTCTCGCCCTTCTTCCATCTTCCCCCCTCTCTTTAGTCGTTCTCTGCATCGCTTCCTTCTGTTTGTCTTTCTGTGCCAATTTGGTACTTTCGAAGCACTAACGCTTTACCTCTAACCGACAATCGCCGACGGTGCGTCGTCATGCCACCGAAATTGCATTACTCCGTCCACTTCCTTTTCCACTCCGTAGTCCGTACCCATCTCCACCCCAAACCGCGGCCGTCCCACCATCGGCTGCACCGTTGAGGCAACAAGAAAATCTCTTCCATTCTCTGACGTGTGAGTTTGAAAGACGTGATTCCTTCCAACAGCTCGTTCCAAGGGTTGATAAGATCCAAGCCTGATCAGCTCCATCAAATCAATCTAATCTAATCTGATGACCACTCTTTTTTTCGACCGATCATCGGAGTTTCCGTTTCCAGAATCCTGTCTCTGACTCGAGACAAGCCGATTTTCTTTTTCATAGGCTGTCTACCGGGGCTGAAATGGGTAGTTAGAGTTTTTTCTTAGTTGTTAGCGCCACCACCGCCGGGCTCACAAGGGGTACTTTGATCTCGAGCATCCTTGTTCAATTGCTCGGCCTCATCTCCTTGCCAAGACACCGGTGGCTGTCGTCGTAAGGCTTTGGCGGCGGTACAGATTTCTAGCCCTGTGCAAATATTGCTTGACTCTTTTTAAATGATGACAAGGTGATCATTCCACTAAGTGCGAGGTGAATGAAGATGCATAGAATGATCCAAAGTACAGTGTAGGCAGACATTGCCTGTTCTTGCCTCGCATCAAAGCCGACTCCGGTTCCCCACAATACCAAGAAATTCTGATACCGAACCAGATGGGTGGCCATATGGCATGAGACTAGAGGTGAATTTTCTGTGGACTATTGGGAACTATCGGGGGAGCCAGAAAAGAAGCATATCGCCACAAAAGAGCAGCCTTTTCGGGGCCACATTAAGTCTGAGTCGTGGAACCATCTGACGCTCCTAGCGGAATGCTTTTCTTGTTCTGGGTTTCTCATGTAGGAAATATTTCCAGACGATATTTTCCCGCTTGAAAAAATATGTGAGAACAGGGATTGGTTGCATTAATTACCTAAGATTAATTGGTTTTCATATCCGCGAAGCAAGCCGAAGGGGAAAAAGAATTAAGTAATAAAAAAAAAATATGGCGCGGAGTACTTTGTGGCAGGCTTTCTTTTCCCTTTGTTTTTTTTTTTTTTTCTTCTTTTTTTTTTCCTCCGTGTTGGCCTTGGGTATCGTGAATTGAGATAGAATTCGTCACTTGCATTATGAGGCATGTTTGATAGCCACTGGATGAAACCGGCCACATCGACCGCCGATCCCCTCTAACCAGGCCGATCAACTCGAGTATAATTAATAGACCTCGTCTAAAAGCTTGAAATCCTGCTGATCTATGCCTTGAAGTAAATGAAGCTGCTGCATGCGGGATATGAGTGGGGGAGCTTAGATTAGATCGTATGCACGCCGGGGCTCTAAGGTTTCAAGAGCAGCGGAGGCCACTGCTTTGGTCTATGGGGAGCCCTTCTTAGATTTGGAATCCGCGATCAAAGGTAATCTAGTGCTCTATAAGGTGCTCGTGCATTTTCTGCTACAGCTATGACGCTATCTGATATCAGTCAGACCTTAGGTCTGACAATTGACAGGAGCGAAGCCAATTCAGTTTTTGTATATCCCGAAAGTGATACTAAACATCGTCCACCAATCTAATAGTAGCTCAAGGACTCGTAGTCCCATGTCTAGGTTACACGCCGATCTTCTCCGGCCGATGGACGAGCCCACGGAAGAGGCCAAAGAGTCACCTACTGTCCTACGAACGGAGATCACTTCAGAATGGGGCAAGCGCGAGCTCATTAGCGTGCTAAAAGACTCACCATGCAATTTATACCTCCCTTGGCGCTTATTCGCTCTTTGGTGCTCTTAAATAGTTGCATACTCTTAGGGCGGAACAAGCTTATTTCCGCCTAGAGGGCTGGCCTCGCTGACAACTACTGGAATGCTATTGGATCTTTGCGTTCTCATAATTCAGCTTAATTCTCGATGCCAAAAAATGTACTTTCTTAATCTGTACAGACGTAGTTCACATGAGAGCAGCGATTTACCAGACGATGGGGCTAAAGGGCGCTCGTTCGGGCAAGCAGTCGCGTGCCTTCCATGCTTACTTGACTTTCGTGTTGAGAAAAGAAATTATCTGGCCCCTTATTGACCATTTGACTTGGCCAAATACAATCACTAGTCAAAAGATGAGTTACGATCATCAAGCCAATAAGGACTCTGGGATTACTCCTCGTTAGACCTTGGAATCTTGTGGTACCTGGGCATGCCGCAGTTCAACTCTATCTTGAAGGTCTGACTCTAGTTTCCTATGTAACCATCACCCACAGCTGCTGTGCGTGGAACACATTTCAACTTGGACGCATAAGGGGACCAATAAATCCTAATTTGCTGCAATGAATTCACTTACGTGGCTCTGCTGCGTTGCAGTACAACAGACGAATGGCTAGGTATCGATCAGACGTAGTAGTTTAGGATATTACTAGCACTGGTACCGGTAGAACATCGTGACCACCGTCGTCAATTTGTATAACAGTTACTTTGGAGCGGACTTCTGTTGCTACCATATGAATGCAAGGAGGACCGGGTTCCAACTACTTGTAGTAAGGAACTGTACTACATTCATCTACAGTCTAGTGTAGGTGAAAGCCCTCGGAGGAGGATCAACCAATCAGCAGGCACCGGCTCAACCTTCCGGCCGAGGCCCCGAGATTCGGCAGCAATTACTCCCGGGACGGCCACTTCCGCCCGCCTACGTGTCGCCGTTTGTCCTTCCCACTATTATTGCATTGCAGCCGTGCTACGTTCCGTTGCTACTCTATGCTGTCCTAGTCCTACGGTCCTGGACTACCACTCCCTATCCACTTTAACTTTTCTACCCGCTATTGTTTCGGTCCCTCTGTGGTTACTTTGTGTCGTCTTCCAATCATCTTCGCCCATTGTAGGCAGCTAGTTCTTTCCCTTGCCCAACTACAATTCCAACCTTCCACGCTACGTCATTCTTGGATATTGTCGTCGGGTGCATTTGAGATCTAAATGCCTTCGCGTCGCAGTCATACAAAGTCCCGCAAGGGCTGTCTTCATTGTAAACGAAGGCATGTTAAGGTCTGTTGATCCCCGCATCCCACGTGTGGTGTTTATTATACTGCTATTCTGCATAACCACGTGTAGACCCAGCATTCTTTGAGATTTTCTTCGTTGTGTTACTGACGCCGTGCAGTGTGATGAGGGAACTCCCAAATGTAGTCTGTGCAGGAAACGCAAGTTAGAATGCATATATCCACCCCCAACTGCTGATGCCGATGGTCAATATCCATCTACTCCACAAGATGGGGTGGAGACCCTGTCAAACGCCAACGAACTGCCATTGCCGACGCGAATGATTGAGATGCGACTGTTCCATCACTACCTAACAGAGTCTTATATCACCATGTGTCAAGGGAACCTGGACGCTAATCATTTCCAATCCATCGTTCCGCGCATGGCCATGTCGCATCCGTACCTCCTGGATAGTCTACTAGCGTTCTCGTCCCTGCACCTGGCTTCGCTCGAGGTAGACGAGAAACGTCAGTGGTTAGAAACGGCCCTCATGTACCAAAATCGAGCGTGCTCGGCCTTGGGCCAGGTTCTGGCGGGGTTCTCGCTGGAGAGTTGCGGCCCGGCCTTCATCAGCTCCATCTTCATCATGCTATGCGCAACGGCGTACCCTTGTATCTCTCAAGACAGCCATACGATCGATCCCCTTGCCCATATCTTGGAAACTCGTCAGTTGATTGCTGGTTGCTCCTTTCTGTTCCAGCAGCTTGGTCAAGCGGAGAATCTGGGCGAGATGAAAGGATGGTTACAGTACACCGACCCCGACAAGCCTGGGGCGGCCAACGAACAAGAACCGTAATGTGTTCCAAACTTCCCCTCATTGCCAGAGTATTGATGTTGTTTTCTAGGAAGCCGGACTCGGAACTTGTGCAACTGCGAGGGTACGTCTTTAACCCTTGCCAATGCGTGAGATAGTAGAGAATGCTGACATGATAGCAGCGAACTTCTAGGGTCTCTAGATAAGCTCCGAGGGAATATTGACCGCACCGAAGAGCCCCATAAGGCTGCGTATCTGCATACCTGGGAATTCTTGCAGGCGGCGGTCAAGCAGTGGCCTTTCGGGGGTCCTAATGGGGGCATACTGGCGTTCCCGATCAATATCGGTGAGCCATATATCGAATTGCTAAAAGACGGAGAATGGATGGCTCGTATATTGTTCCTGCACCACGGAGTCAGTATGCACCTCATCTCAGACAAGTGGTTTGTCAGAGACTGGGGGAGACGCCTTGTAGCCGCGATCCTACAATCTCTGGAAGAAGTTCCGGCCGAGTGGACCGATACTCTCGCATGGTCCCGGCAGGCTGTGGGCCTTGACACGAAGTAATTCAAGATATGTGTATCAATAAGGTCGTGGGGTAAAACAACCCATTATCTTGGTCTACCTGTCAACTGATAAGCCCAATGTCGGCCTTACGAAGGAATCAAAGGAATCGTTAGCGGCAAGTCCAACCTGAGGCATCTCGGAGACGTCACCCAATCGCCGGCTTGACCGTTTCCGGCCTGCCGATAGCCCGGAGCTTATCACGGCCATGTGACCCTTATCTCCTCGCGCTGACCTGGTCGTTCCTTGTTACGTTTATCATTCTGCTCTTCCTTAATCACTGTGTTTGCAGCGATAATGTGGCTCCTCGAGACCGTCTTGTCTTGATCAGCTTGCGTGTGCAAAGAGCCTCGTCGTCATGACATCGGCCAAATCCGAACACCATATGCAAGCTTCCCCGGCTATTGATTGCCAAGACGTGGAGAAGCAGGTAAATGATAAGCATTCCATACCACTTTTGTGTTGTCACGCCATTTTGGGACGGCATTGCTCTTCGCTAGTGCCTGGTGCCTGATCGTATTTTCTCCTAGTTATTTCTCGATCGTCCCGTCAGATCGATAACTCAATCTCCTTCAACGACGCCCAAGCACAACATGTGGTTCCGTGGCTTCAAAAATGCGGTTGCCGCCGCTCTACTACTTGTGTTGTTGGTAGTAGTACACTCACCCAGTGCTCTTGGTTCTCCGCTTGAGCTTGCGCCGCGTCGGGATCGACAGCCCGGTCATGGCTTTCACGACATCGAGGAGGGCAAGCGCGGTGCAGTGGCCAGCGAGAGCGCCATCTGCAGTCGCCAGGGTACAAAGATGTTAGAATTGGGCGGGAATGCAGCCGATGCTGTAAGACACCAGCATTTTCTGGCTCTCTTCACCACTACTACATGGCACTAATCATTGTCGGACAGATGGTCGCGACCGTCTTTTGTGTTGGCGTTATTGGTAGGTCCTTCGAATTACGAAATCGATGCAAATCGTGTTACTGACAGCAATCAAGGCATGTATCACAGTGGGATTGCAGGAGGTGGTTTCCTGTTGGTGAAATCCCCGAATGGTACATACGAATTTGTCGACTTTCGCGAAACAGCGCCAGCCGCCGCTTTTGAGGACATGTTCAACAATACTTCGGACGCCTCAACTAAAGGTGGCCTAGCTAGGTTTGTATTATCGGTCCGTTCTGTGAAGAAAGGTTCGGGCTAATGTACATGCAAGTGGCGTGCCAGGTGAACTACGAGGCCTAGAGTATCTCCATAACAAGTACGGCGTTCTCCCCTGGTCAACCGTTATGCGTCCGGCCATAAAAATTGCCCGCAACGGTTTTCCCGTGACCGAGGACTTGGTTCGCTATATGGATTCAGCTGTTGGCGATGGAGAAGACTTTCTGTCAAAGGATCCGACCTGGGCCATTGACTTTGCCCCTAACGGGACAAGGCTTGGTCTTGGAGACATCATTACTCGTAAACGCTACGCAAACACACTCGAAACCATTGCCAATGAAGGTCCAGATGCTTTCTATTCCGGTCCAATTGCAGAGAAAATGATTCAGGCGGTGCAAGCCACGAATGGCACAATGACGATGGACGACCTCCGCAACTACACCGTTCTTTTACGAGATGTAGCACACATTGACTATCGAGGGTACAAGATCGCAAGCACGACCGCTCCGTCCAGCGGCATCGTCGCCTTGAATATATTGAAAGTGCTGGGCACATACGACCAGTTCTTCACTGCAGACAATGTGAACCTGAGCACTCATCGCTTGGACGAGGCAATGCGTTTTGGATATGGCTTGGTATGTGTATTCGCTTTTTAGGATTGGGACCTTCAGTTACTAACCCCTTGTTAGAGAACGAACCTAGGCGATCCCCTTTTCCTCGATGGCCTAGATGAATACCAGAAAGACATGCTGAAACAATCAACGATTGATGAAATTCGCCACAAGTTATCCGATTTACGCACGCAGAATGTGTCGGTGTACGATCCGGAGGGATATGAGAGTCTTGAAACGTAAGTTCTACTTCTGAGATCGGTTGATGTCATGCTAACCATGAACCTAGACCGGGAACTTCGCACATTGCTACAGCAGATCATTCTGGATTAGCGATTTCCACGATCACCACCATCAATCTACTTTTTGGTAGCAGAGTTATGGTACCAGAGACTGGTGTCATCATGAACAATGAAATGGATGGTATGCACATATCAATTCACTATCCTCGTGATTCGCGACTTGATCAGCTAATGTTCAACTCGTAGATTTCTCGGTTCCTGGCTCATCCAATTCTTTTGGCTACATTCCGTCGGAAGCGAACTACATTCGGCCAGGGAAACGTCCTCTATCATCCATTACTCCGGCGATTGTCACCCGCCCCAACGGAACAGTGTTCTTCATCGCTGGGTCCGCAGGAGGTAGTCGAATCATTACGGCGACCGTGCAAAACATCATTCATGCTGTGGATGAGGGGTTGTCTGCCGCAGAGGCTTTGGCTAGACCACGTCTGCATGACCAGCTCGTTCCGAACCAGAGCAGCTTCGAGTATGCCTATGACAATGCAACTGTTGCTTTCATGAAGGCCAGAGGCCACAACGTGACCTGGGTTGCACCGGGTGGCAGCACTGCGCAAGCCATTCGAGTATTGCCGAATGGAACATTTGATGCGGCCGGGGAACCAAGGCAACTGAACTCCGGGGGCTTCTCTGTTTAAGGGTTGTCGCTATAGTTGGCGTCGTCGACGTTTCGTATATGATCTAGACATTGAGTCTGAGAGGTGGTGTGGATATATTTTGGCTGAGACTGAGTGCCGATAGAGATTTATATAGAGAAGATTAAGACTACATAGAGATAATGAACATAAGGTGGCTAGAACTACTGTTCTTCTTAAGTATATCTTAGTTTTGCTGAATTTCAACGCAAAATTCATTCACTGTTGCCTTTGCTGCGATGGGATCGTGGACCGATCGAGCATTCTTTGATGAGAGGCAAAGCGGTCTGTGCGCGGATCGCAGCTTCTCCACGTTTTGGAGTTTCCGTCCCTGATTGCTTTCGCAACTCACTGGCATCAGACATTCATCACTTTTATCTACGTTATTCACTGCGTCTGGGTGAATTTTTGGACTTGACAGCTCTTTTGGTTGACAGGGACTTTCGGCTATCCCTTATTGGGGAATCAATAGTTGGATTACCATAATTCGCTCGATAGGTCGAATTATGGGTGAGCTCTAGTCACCAGCTGATGGCGAAACACAAAGACTTAGATCATGGCCTTGATCTCCAGCCACTTGTGGGTGAATCTCCTTTCCATCGTCTCAACAACTCGCCCACTCACACCGTTTCTACCGTTAGGTCTTTGACAATCCTGCGTACCTCGCTACCTAAACCCTCAACCATGCGCGACCGCACTTCCCACGCCGACGGTTGAAGATATCGCCCAGAAGACGATATACGCTGCTTGGTTGAAAACATATCTTGGAAAGCTCTTTTGATTAAACCTGCATTTTTGGAACGAGAGACGTCAAGATGTATTCACCCAGTGTCTCCGTTGTGATCCCCCCTCCTACAGTCAACCTGGATTCCTACGACTTCCTCGAGCGTACATGTGACGAGATTCTCTCGCGCGAAGCTAGCTTTGATAGCAGCTTTGATGATTACTCCGAGAACAGAATGATGGATGGCAGTTACGAAATAGTCACTGGGACTGTTGATAGGAATCGTCTCAGGAACGACTCAGGGCATGCGAGATCCCCCTACTTTGCGCCGCAGAATCCTTCGAAGAAACGAACGGTGTCGACGAGACATATCATGAGGATTGACAGTGAGAGCGACGATGAAGAAACTGAGGAGGAAGAAGACGAAGAAGAAGATAAAGAAGGAGGAAGGGAAGCAAATGTCTTGGATGCCCTGAATTCTGCCCCGAGCGGGCGCGCCATCTTCAAATCCACAGAGGAAGAGATCGAGGCGTCGGAAAATAACCGCTTCTTGGCTGAAATGGAAGCAAATGCCTTTGCTCAGGTCGATGAAGAGGTTCAAGAACGGCTGATTCGTTCCATTTCCGAACACCCCTTCTTCAGAAGTGATGCGTATCCCGTCAAACGTTCAGAGCGACGCGAATTTGTCAATCACATGCGCCAAGCCGCAGCAGGCGCCGGGCTCGATGAAGACACTACAAAGAACATCATCGCTTATGTCAAAAAGCTGTACCTTACTTCCAGTGGATGGGGTCATGTATGTGAGAGTGGCTCAGAATATGGCGACGAGATTGATGATGAGCCAACAAAGACCAAGAAATCAGCAAAGAAAAGAAAGAAAGATCGCCAAAGGAAGCGAAGTAACTCAGACAAATCGACAGATCGGCGTTCAAAGAAGACAACGAACTCTGCGAATGCAACTGACTGCCAAGGAGTGAAATCCAAAGATACGAAGGTTGGAGTCCACCCCGAGAAAACAGCAAAGCCTGTTTTGCATCCGGCTTCTTCAGAAGACCAGCTCCCTGAAACTGCATCTGATCCCCCCAGTAAGGCCAGGGATATGATTCATCTGGACTCGAGCGACTCTGACGAACCGGCATTATCTACGCCTACAAAGCGACGCAACAACCCAGTTAATGGGGATGGAAGCAAACGCTCTCGCCGGCCCCTGTTGACAAAGCAGAGAAACCCGATCATTCCCTCCGATAGCGAAAAGCATGCGCGGTTATCTGAAGTTCGCGCCACGCAAAGGCTTACGAATGAAGAGTCCCCTTCTCAAAATCTATATTCATCTCGTCTAGACTCGGCTGTTTCGAAGGCGTCGTCCAAGACAAGACGCCGGAGGAAGAGAAGGTCACAAAAGACTCTCAAAGCTCCCAACTCAGATATATTGCAAGAGCCGAGAACGGAAGCTCAGAAGACCAGTCAATCCACCAGCACAGTGGCGCCCAAAAAGTCCAAGCCTGTTGCTGCGGCGCAACTCAATATCGATGATTTTGATTACTATGACTTGGATTTTTAGATACCAATGATTCGTGTGACTTGACTACCCACGATGAGGTAGAGTCAAAATATTTCAAGTGCCTGCCGAAGAAAAGCAAAAACAATCAAAAACCCGTGGATATTGTTACGAAAGATGGAATTCCCGATAACCCTGAACAAGCGCTCCCCGAAGCCACCCGGCAGATTCTACAAGAGCTACAGTTACCGCCTGACTTTCTCTCATCTGACTCGACATTGAGCGATGTGCCTAGCAGTGATGACTCGGCCGCCGATAGCAACAGCTTTTTGCAAGCTACGGATCTGTCACCGATGAAACCGCCTGCGCACTGTGTTGCCGAGGCATTTGCTACGCCGACCAAAAGCATATGCTCTGAGAGAACCAATGCTGCGATTGTCAAACCGCCCCGTCTTAAACTCCCCAAAGCATCACCGTATTTCTTCAGTCCTCTTTTCCAACCAGAGTCATGCCTTCCGTTTCCACCAACCGAATTCCCCGCATTTGGACTGGTCCAAGAGCAGCTTGCACATGATCCGTTCAAACTGCTTATCGCGACAATTTTTCTTAATCGAACTAGAGGTGGCGTCGCCCTTCCGGTTCTCTTCAAAGTGTTTGACTATTACCCCACAGTTGAAGCTATGGCCGCGGCCGACTTGACGGACCTGGTCTCTATGATTCGTTGTCTTGGCTTCCAAAACCAGCGGGCCAAAAAATGTATCGGACTCGCCCAGACATGGCTTGCATGCCCGCCTACAAAGGACAAGCGGTACCGCAAGCTTCACTATCCCTGCAGGCGGGACGGCCGAGACCTTGCTGAAAACGAATGCATTGAAGATGACGATCCGCGCGTGGCTTGGGAAATTGCACATCTACCTGGAGTGGGCGCGTACTCCCTTGATAGTTGGCGCATCTTTTGTCGTGACGAGCTGCGAGGGGTGGCCAAAGATTGGAAAGGCAGTGACGCCATGGAGCCAGGATTTGTTCCGGAGTGGAAATCAGTTCTTCCGCAGGATAAGGAATTGAGGGCTTACTTGACATGGATGTGGCTCAAAGAGGGCTGGGTATGGGACCGGGAAACGGGCAAACGGACGCGAGGGAGCGAGAAGCTGATGCGAGCAGCGCGTCGGGGTGGCGTGGCTCATGAAGAAAACGGGAACTGGATTCTCGAGACCTCGCCAGTTAAGAAAGTTGCCAACGGGCTGACAGACACTACCGACGTCACTTAAGAGCAAGGAGTTTGATAGTAAAGGAGGATAACAGTCTTTGTTGAACGCAGGTGGCAGAAGCCGTGTAATTAACATCATGCCTCTGCGGATAGGTTACACCATACAGATAGAGGAACATAGGCTTTGTCTTTTCATGAGAGAACTTCTCTAACTTCCTTTCTTCTCTGTTCTCGGAGTCTATAGACCATAACATCTCGGAGTGGTATATCGCCTCAGGCACTGACAGGCACGGACTGACTCACTGGCGGCGCTGCCTCAGGCACCCAGGTCACACCTCCCCCGCGGCTCCTCCGAAACACAACTTTCTTTTGCCTCGACGAGGTGAAACAGAGTTCTATCATCATTCATCTTCCCTGTTCCATGATCGCATCTCGATCTTGACAATGACTGGGATGTTCAAGTAAGTGAAGAAGGAGCTCTCCACTAGCCCATCCTCCTCTTCGTCGGGCTTCCATGCAGCGACCACCACGTCACTCGGTTTTGCTGCCACTAGACTAACACCAGCTGCTGCTAGGCCTTTTCTGCGGGGAATCCAATGATTCAGCCTCTCTCGTCCCTCACCGCAAAAATCTCCCCTCGATTAAGCATCCTTCCATCGATTTTCTCATGCACAGTACCTGACTTTTTATCCCTCCTTTCTCTCTCTCGATCTTCCCGCCTTCCCCGTGCGAACGTTTCGATCTGTGATTCGATTCCTTGCTTCCCGGTGAATAATCGCTCGATTATTGTTTCGGTGGTTTCATTCTGGTGTTCCCTACGTGCGACGGGATGTCGCATGTCGTTCAGCACTTTCGGTGGATTGACACAAGCGCCTTGTCCGACTCTCGACCAGTGAGAGCGACAGTATTCGACGCTCGCTAAGCGCCAGACGAGAAGGCAACCGACTGATCACTGCTCAACTGACTTGATCGGGGGCTCGGATCATTTGAAGGATTCACTTCTGCCGCTCTGTTTTTTACGAAGCGTCGGCGTTGCTGCCTTTTCCTTCTGGAACTGAATTGAACTTTATTCGTTCTTCTCGCTCTATTTTCTTTTACGAGGTAACTAGCCGGACACCGCAAACGACGGGGGGACTGAGGGAAAGAAGGGGCTTTACAAAAGGGACGACAGGACTTTTGTCGTCTTCCCGACTTTCCATCGTCCGCGCCATTCAAAGCCCACCTTTTCCATACGTCATGTTTTTACCTGTCAGACCTAATGACCGAGATCGCGACAGGGACCGCGAAAGAAAACCATCTTCTTCGTCTATTTCTTCCAAAAGCAAACACCGTCAACAACGCCCGTCCCACGGTCGGTCCAGCCGCCTCTCAACCAAGGAACACGACCCTGACGCCCCGACGGCCCGCTCCTCGACCCCTTCCACCTCCGTTCCCAGCTCCCGCAAGAAACGTCGGTCCTCCATGCCGGGCGTCGATAGCGCCAGCCGTCCCGAAACGGCTTCCTTCCTCGAGTCGAGGACCAGCCTGCCGTATCCGACCTTCTCCAAGGCTCACAGCAAGGAGGCTGTTGCGAACCCGGGCATCCCTACCCCCGACCCCACCGACTTGACTGAGGAGAACAAGGATAATGCGGATGGCGACCGTCATCATCGGTCGGACGACCATCATGCCCCGCCAAGCCCGCCGTTGACGAGTTTGGACCAGCACTCACGCAAAGGCAGCACGGTCGGCGATAAAGACGAAAAGGGATCTGGAGAAAAGCCCAAGGAGAAGACCAAGATTCGGATTCGAGCCGAGTCGACGAAGTCGTCGTCCAGCCTGCGCGCGAAGAAGGATGAGAGTTCCAAGTCAAATAAGACCGTGCGTCCGGAGACAAAGCGCTCGAGTCACGACAAGGATACACTCTACCGGACCTCTAGCCGGAACTCATCCAAATCGAAAATAGTTGAGGAGGTCACGCCGCCCAAACGGCCCAGCAGTCGTACTACACTTTCTCCTTCCCGATCCCCAGCAACGGTGCGTGATGTTGGCTTAGAATCGGCGAATGGCTCCGATGCCACCATTGCGGCGCATAGAAAGTCAACGAGTTCTCGGAAGTCCAAGAGCCCCGAAAAACCGCCGTCTCGGACCCAGACTCGATCGTCGGCGTCTCACCGTCAGAGTAGCAGCCGAACCCCTGCCGACGCTGCATTTGAATATGGGCGGCCTCCTACAGCTAACTCGGCCTTTGGGGCGCCTCCCCCACCCCCGCCCCCGCCAGAGGTGCCGGTCACGATCCCTCGGGTGGACTATCTGCTCCAAAACGGTGGTTTGGACCACCGGGTGCCCAAGGCGTTGCTACTAGGGGCCGACCACCCAGAAGGGTCTCCTCAGCAGCCGTTCCAACCCCAGGCTGCAGCAATGAAGATTTTTGACCCCTTCAACCGACTGCTTGAGGACTACCACAAGGTCATGATGAAAAATGGCTCGCTCGCCGTTGCCTCAGGATATCGGTCCGTGGCGCGTCGTCTGTTGGACCGGCTAGAGGCTGTCTTTGCTCGCGATATTTCGTCCGAGTCATGCCACTGCTTGATGTGTGACCATGAGGATCTGGAGGAGCGCCAACCCGGAGTGAGTTGGGGCGAAGTCCTCGAGCTTGTTTCTGGTCGCCGTGAATTACCCGGCTGGCCGCCTTTCGCGCTGTCAGCACCGGCCGGTAATGCAGAGTTGTCTGGCGATGAACATATTCCCATGCAGAAGATGGATATTGATGTACCTGAAGAGTATCGTGACCACTACATGCGACAGTCCCGCAAGACGAAGACTGCAGTGGATAAATGGCTGAACGAACAAGATGGACAGGGCACAAGTGCTCCAGAGGAGGTCGACGACGAGACTCTCACCTTTGCCATGTTGACGCACATTGGATCCGAAGACCGCGCTCTCTTCTGTGCGTTACTGGGAATCAACTCGACTTCGCCCACTCCTCAGCCTGAGGGTCAATCCCGTCCACGTCCTCCTGCACTTCGGTCATCGTCACTAGCTATCCAACGACTGTATCGACTGCCGTCACTTCCTCGCGACCCTGAAACGGCGATTTATATGCTGAACAACCCGGAAATGCATCATGTGTTAGCGACGCTTGCAGGAATCAGTGACGATGAGTGGGACATCTTGATTTCGGGTCGTTTTGACGGTTTCCTACGGAGTGGCGCGGAAGACGCTTTGTTTGCCGCGCAAAACGGCACTCCCTCTCGCTGGAACAGTACGAGTCGGTCCAACACTCCTTTCACCACAGGTGGCATTTCTCGAGGCCCAACACCTAGTGTCATGGATGGCAGCCTCCGGCCGGCCAGTCAACCATATGGCCGCAACTCGCCCGCCGCTTTCGGTGGACCCATCGCACTGGACGAAGAGATGGAGATTGCAGCGTTGGCCGAAATCGAACGGGACATCTACCTCGGGATGGAAGCCCTCGAAGACGCATTTGAAGCACTGCACTGCAAGGCCGAGGTGGTGCGCCGAGGACTCCGCGAGCGCGGAGCCGGCCTGTCCGTTGCGAACCAGAACCGACGCGGCTCATTAGTCGAAGCCCGCATGGGAACGCCTTCTTCGGCTCTGGGCAACGGATGGGAGAGTGGTGATGATGATTTCCTGGACGACGACCGATCCCTGGCGCCTGACGATTCAGCCAGTAATATCAGCTCGAACCGCCGACGTCGACCAAAGCGACGGACCGAGCGACGGACTCCTGCCCCCGTCGAAGAGGAGGATGAAGACGACGAGGAACTGCACGATAGTCGACGAGATCGTGGTTCTCGCCGGAGGTAAAAATGACGAAGAACCTGAAGACGAACGGAGATGACCTCCAATATTCAGGAAAACAAAAACAAGAACAAGAAAAGAGCCAAAAACATCTCTTTGGCGAAAATATGCGCGCTCCCTTCATCAGAAGATCAAGTTGACCCTTATGATGACTTCTCAACTCCGATAAAACAAATCAAATCCTGATATCAACCTACATGCGTCTACCCATCTTTTATTGCGATTGTTGTTTTCCTCCTTTTTTCAAAATGTTTATTTGCCATGGCACAGGAGGACTCGATAGGCAGATTTTTCGCAAGTTTCTGTTCTCCTTTTCCATCCCCCCCCTATCTTTCTTTTCTTTTACTCTACATTGTTCCAGTTAACGACCCTTTTGATGATGAGCGATATAAACCACGAACGCAATGGCATGAAACGAAATGAAATGCATATCCATGAGGCTTCCTTCCCTCTTTTTTTTTTCCATTTCTTCCTCCCCTCCCCTTTCCCACCCACTCTTTTCCTTTTTGCTTTCTTCCTCAGAATGCAAAAACTCGATTTGGTTGTATGTATGTATCTTTCTTTCTATTTATGTATGCATGTTGCTTTCTGTACATGGAGGCAGATTGATCTTACCTCGACTGGATTGACTTAATGCCACATACCTATTTGATTTCATGTTTATTGGATGGACTTTTTGTGTACTTGTGCTCTTTGTAGTGTTGTACCTAGTTGATGAACGTCTTGGTCATGATGAATTTCTCATTGATCTAGTAGATTCTACTATAATGAAAGAGAGTGTAGGACTAAGTACTCAAGGAAGGCAGGCTATGACTCACCGAGAGAGACATAACTACATACCCAGTTACAAGTAGTTAGCGGTTCAAAAAAATCTCCCACCGGCAATAGAAGCTGTACCTATCTGCCGGTCCCTACCCCTAGATGATGATTGCCATGATAACTAGAGACCATATTCCCAATCTGTAGCTTCTAGACCCCCCAGCAGCGAGTAACCTACATGTCTTCTCCGATCTAAAGCCGAGAGCAATGACCACCGACTAATTTTACCCCTGGAAATCATAAGAACAGACCAGCTTCGTTGTATGATGACTTCTTCTCCCCGGTGGGAGCTCCACTCCCTCTCGCTCATGGCCAGCCAGTCACCTCCCTACTCTGTTCTGTAGTTAGTTAGCTAGTAGGTACTAGGCGTAGTAGTAAGGAGGTATAGTATACACCTCCTAAAACAAGCCTAGCACATCAGATCCTCACGAAGCCAAGAGTCAACGCTTTCTCCCACTAAAGAAGAAACTAGGAGAAATCAGAAGATCAAAAGAAGGGGCGAAGAAGTGGAAGTTGCAACTTGGAAGACTCAAGATTCAGGACACGGGAAGTGCAAGTCACCGGAAACAATAGTCTCTCTCAGTCTCCAGCGACCACGATCTCAAATGATCTCCTGATGGACTCTGCCGCTAATGCATGAAATCTCTGCGATCGTCTGCGTTCTTGGTATCTTCTTGGATTGTCTGCGAGTCAGTGGGACGCCACTGTGTGGGTTGAGGCGCCCTGCGTTGAGAGTGCTATCCGTGCAAAGGGGAAATGGAGGTAGTTGCACTGGAGTCTGTAGCACTAAATGGTATACCAAGAGGCAGCCAGGCGACCAGGCCCCACTGGTTGAATTGGGTGGATACAAGGTTCCCTCCCTTGGAACTGGGAAGGGGGAATTCCGTGGATCGTTCATTACACACCACGCACACGGCACAAGGCCAAGATTGCTTGAGTGGGTTAAGAGATTGTCGCTTTCTGGGCTCTGGCGGATTCGAGATTGCGGAGTGCTGGTCAGGGGAACCAGGGGATCGGAATTTTGGTGTTGACTGAAAATGCACGGGGTGGGTGAGTTTGTGTAGACTGTAGGGTGGAGTGGGGTCTGTTGATGAGCCCTTGAGCGGGTTGTTTTCAATTTTTTCTTTTTTAAGATCTTTTGGTAAAAAGGGCGAAGTCAATCAATTTCATCGGAGGCAGTATCCGTGTGGCATGACTGGTGCATTGACGATATGACAATTCAGAGCTTTGCTGGAATTGCGACTTGCAGAACCATGTAACCTCTCCCCTAATGGGAAGGTGGAAAGAAGTCGAGAGAGACGAGGTCGAGGTGTCATAATCTCATGGACCATCGCGAATTGCCAGACCCGGGTCGTGCCGATGAAAAAATAAGTGCCGACCTTCCCTTCTGGTGATGGTTCGAAAGGGGTGCGTCCTTGCGGGATGCATCCTGTGGTTCAGGTCCCGGGGAACCATGGATGGGTTTTATCAGCAGGGTATCCAGGGCACCTTCCGAGCCAGTCATTGGTGTTCATTGGGACATCGATTTCCCGTCCGCTGTCTAACTCTGAGCCCCGAGCTCGGCAGGAAGCTTCCCTTTCCGTTGGATCCATGATCCTGGGATTCGGAAGCCGCCCGTCGGAAGCGCGTCTGAGGGCACGAACTGTTTGACTTTGAACTTTGATTAAACTTGAACCTAATGCCGAATCGGGTGCTTTCTCCGGACTATGCGTGCTGGTTGATGTTAATCTGCATTGAAGGTTGTAGCTAGTAGGTGGAGGGCGAGTTCAATCTCCCAGGACAAAAATATGGGGAGTGTAGATTTGCAGCCTTACACAGCTAACCCCCAGCTGAGATCGATAGTCGCGATGATTTGATTTTTATTCATAGTGTATGGGGCAGCTCCATTTCGGCGTGGTGGAGACCCCTCGAGGATCGGTTACCTCCTGATCCTGCCGCCACCAGAGGGTCGGTGCCTCGTGGTGATCACTGTGTACATTGTACGGAGTACAGGTGTACTCCGTGCGTCTTGCTGAATGTCCAGAGTACGGAATGCACTCTGAACTAAATCTGAACGAGTCAAGAAAATGATGGCCCCTGGTTCCGTGGCAATGTTCAGTGACGTGCGTTCATGTCACAGTTTTACCGAATCAGGACTCTTTGACGACGATGCACGACCGCATTGCAGAAGAATCTAGTGCATCGTTCGAATTCTATGGGGTAAGCCCAACCACTCCGTCGGGCCCTTTGACCAGGATTCTGGCAAAAGCCATCCCCATTATCTGCATGGAATCTTCTACCACGCTGTAAAAGCCCCCAAACCACTGTCATGGGTCAGATCAAGTCGCCTAGAAAGGAGATTAGACTGGAGCACGCCAAGGACATGGTGAAGGAAGATCATCCCTAAATGAGTGCACGGAATTTGCGCTGGGTCTATTGGCGTACTCCGGAGTAGTTCAACGGAAAGAACGCAAGGCTTAAGCCCGGAAACTATAACATTCGATTAGGAGTCACCTGTTTCGGTCGATGGCCCGATGATTTGCGCGAGACAGCTCGGCCATCGAGGACCCGACAGGGGGTTCACAATCACATATGCGGCCCCGCTACTAATTGAGCTGAAAAAAAGATCACCACGGAACAAGAGCCGGCGGGGTGCCTCGTTGTGATCAAGAACCACATGCTACTCTGTATCTGGCAATATCATGTGATTGCCAATAAGGGACCGAAAGTGCGAGCAGGAGTGGAAGCCCTACAACGGGTAGGAATAGGATCCGCTGAATTCGGTTAGATTGCGATCGTTTCCATATAATTCCCCGATTATGGCATGAATTCGACCGTGTTGTTCAGTAGACACTACTACTGACTGTTATCATGATCGTCAGTTGGAAAACTTTGTTCTCGTTGAGAGCATAGATTGCTACAGTGTCGGAACAAAATTGTACCGAATGATAAGAACAAACGAAGTGTGTCCATCTACCAATGAGAGCAATGCTCAAGGCCATATTCATTTCGACGAAGACGCCAAACCCATGGCACCAAAGCAGAATTGGGCACGAAATGGCTTTCTTGTTTCCTGCAATGGCCGATGTTCTCGCTTCCGACGTCAAGAAGCATGACCACTTGACACTGGCCAGTGTCGGCCGCTCTGAGCAGTGAACATTAACGATAGGAGAGATGGCGGAGAATTTCACATGGGATCATGAGTGCAGAAGAATTGTTTGCCTGTTTGAGTTTGGCTAGTTTGTTTTCAGAGTTGTATAGACGGGGATCAGAAGAACTAGACCGTTCTCTAGGCATAGGAGAATACATAACTAGCGGAGGTTATCACATGGAGCCTAGTTGCAAAAGGCGCTGACAGAACTGTAAATTAGTTAGTGTACCAGCTAAATTCGAAGTCTAATAGTGCATCAAATTGCCGCACTGTCGGGCGGGTGCGAAGGATTCAAGTCCTAAAGGCTGGGATCGACCGTTGGCCGCGGAAAAATTTGAGGCGAAGAGACAACCTTGGGAGATCTGCAGGCTCGCATCGCAGGCTGCCAATGACCCAATGCCCAATGATGGGCTTGATTTCAACTGGCGGCTCAGGGATCCGGTCGCTGGCCTCCGGGCTAGGACATCACAGAACCTTAAAAGTCGGGGAACAAGCCAGCGGTTTCGAATGAGAGGTCGCATAGATTGCTAGTACTCCGTAGAAAAATTTAGTATCCCACGAGCCAGGCCGTGGTGATTCTAATGCCTTTTTATCAAGTAAGAAGAAAAGGAGAGATGTACGGAATAATTCTCTCACCCTGTGTCCTGGGAAGGCCCCGATGCACATGGTCGGATGCCGAGGTTCACACGTTGTTCTTTAACTTCTTTTCATTTCTTTCCTAACGGTCAAGGATCTACATGCTAGATCGCCCCTAAATGAATTATTGTTGGCCTTTTCATTTGGCTCAGGCTAGGTGGCATCGTTGTAATTTGATCAGGACGGGCGGTGATTGATTTGTTGATACTTTGGGAATAGGACATGTTGATTTTAGTATCAGGGGAAACCGGAGGGCAGCATCCGGTGTAACCAGAGCCCCATAACAATGACCATGAGGCTGGCACTGACATCGAGTGGGTATTGGCGCTAGACATTTAGTCGATTAGTTTCTGGAGCAAATTACCATTAGCCAAAGTCAAAACCCAAACGCAGGCGGAAACATTAGTAATAACAAGAACAGAAACTGATAGATAAATAATAATTGAGGGTATTATTATTTGCAGGGAAGAATACGAGATCCCCACGGAGTAAATTGTGGCATGCATCGGTCGAGAGGAATACTCCGGGGTATAAGGAAGGACCTGAACGCGTCCTGCAGCAGTGCCAAATTGATCAACTGCCAGGTGTCCGTTGCGGACGAAGAGATATGTCGGGAGTCGATGAATGATGGACATTGATGACGGTCAATGGATGAGACTAGAAGGACGATCACGAAGAGAGAAGGGAGAGGGAGAGGGAGAGGAAGAGAGAAAAAGAAAAAAGAAAAAAAAAAAAAAAGGGGAAAAAAGACGCCCGTAACGATACAAGGATACACCTTCCGATACCAGTATTTTACACGGTCCCTGCGGCTCCTCGTCTTTTCTTCTTCCTTTTCTTCCTGTCTTTTCTTTTCTTTCCTCTGCTCTAGTTTCACCCTACACATACTTTTCAACAATAATCCCATTGACATCGACGGGAGCAGATGGGGAAACTTTTATTCCTCCCGCGGACCATCCCAAGCTGGAAGGTGTCATCAGTTTATCTGTTATCAACCAAGCTAGAGCCTGGCTAGTCTCTACCTAACCAACCAACCTATTTCTACCTTAGTGTTAGCCACCTGCTACGACTTCCACACACGCCGTCTGCCGCGTCAACGCATAGCATAAATACATGGATCCTATACGCAGGAAACGTTCTCGAAGCCTTATAAACCTGGCACGGATATTGTCCGGTGGCGTACCGCCGTACACACAGTACTCCGTATGTATCCAATGCCCACTTGGACGTTGAACGGAACGGAGACCGAATGCCTACCGAGTGCCGAGTATGGAGATGGTGAGGGTCTTGCTGTATCAGACTGATTCAGCATCCGAGAATTCAAAGGACTGCTGCGTATGATTATGGAGTATTGTCAGTCGACTTCCTCCGCAGAGAAATTGGTTCCGGTTTGTTGAGGATCTAGGCAATGATACGTCTAAGCTCTCACGGTCAGTACCATGGATCACTGTTGGTTATCGATCCCTTGGCGACGCTGCAAAGATCGTCCCTGCTTTCTCAAACCCCCCTCTTCTGTTATGTACACCGTATGTGTCTGGTACACACGGGATATTTGATTTACGAAAAGTGTTCCATCTAAAGTGGGCCTCCGGTATTTAGTTTGCCTATCCGATCGACATTGGTGGGACTGAACTGGGAATTTCTGGAATGGAGTCTCGGCGACACTAACTCTTTCCGCCCTAGAGTCTGTCTTGGTTGTTTCCACTCAAATCTTGTCGGTGACCAAGAGGAGAGAGAAGTCTTGTCCGACTGCGATTCATGCGGGGAGACATCGCACCGGTCCTGGGCATGATGACTTTCTGGCCAGGAGCCGGCTTCTTATGTCCGGAATCTACGAGTACAAGTGCCTTCTGGGATCTGGGATGGTGACGAATCCCAGTCAACCGTCCTGTTCCGCGGCGGAGGCCATTCGTTCTCTCGTGCTCAATTGAAACCCACAGTGCATGGGCCCAAGCCAACCGCTCCCCTGCAGCTGCGGCGAGTGACGGATGACGGTGGTTTAGCTTGAAAACTACCCCTTGTCAAATCACTCAAATGCCAATTCAACGGAACACGCTCGAAAGCAAAGTTATTGGGGAGGGGCTTGTAATTGTCACTACCAACTTACCAAGGCCAGTTGATCTGGGGCCACCCCCCTCGGGGTTCCCGCTAATATCACAGCGAGGAGAATGACGTTGATTCCCTCCTGCTTGGCAATGGCACCTGTCCTCGTGTCTAAAGTTTCAGGAACCACTCGGCCCAGACATACATGATCCCTTAGTATCACTGAACCGCGATTCCGTTCGATGATCTCGGAACTGCCCCTGTCTCGAGTCCTTGACCTTAGCTTCTCGAGACGGGGTCGCCAGGTGGGGTACCTCTCCGTGAGCTACAGTACTACTACTGGGTCTGCGATGATGGCGTCCACGGCGTCGTAGGTTTGAATATGCTGATCCCAGACGACTAGGTCTCTACCGATTTAACAAAGCTTTGCCCGGTTCAAGGCCTTCACTCCACAGCAATCCACACACACATGTCGGTAGTTCTATTCCCATCCCAATTTAGTCTGAACATAGTCTACCGTTGTGGCTCGAATTCCATTTTCCGCCACCGACTCCCCTTTCCCCTCTTTTATTTTAATTTTTATTCCCCTTCTGTTCTGTTCTTTTCTCTTTTCTAATGGCCGATGCTTATTGATCGTGGCCACAAAAAAAGGTACAGAACCAACCAACCAACCCCTGAGGCGGATCATTTTGGGTTTGTCTACTTTTTTCCCAATAGTTCATCGTGGATTTGCATAACGGGGACTTGGTTATTAGATCACCTGGCACCCGCCTTGACCGTCGGGAAAAAAATCCATCTCTGTTGTCAAAGATTGATTCCCTTCTACCTCAGGGCGCCCCGGTTGTGGTTCCTTCATTCCCTTTTATGAAGAGAGTGGGCACCGGACTTCAAGACTTCATCCCGCACAACGCTTTTCGACCATGAGTCTTGTTCAAGTATTGAGCGCCCTGAGCGACAGCGCGGGCGGGGGTAACAAACTCTCGCCGCGACTGGCCTATACAGAAGGAGGTCCAACGATGGACATCAATCCCCTTCCCAGTGCCCAACGCAAGGGTCTCATTGCCATCTCGGTTATGGCTATCCTCTCCTTCATCGCCACTCTCATCCTGATTTTATTCATTACCTATCGACTGGTCTTCTGGCGGTCCAACTATGCACGATACATCGGTTACAACCAATATATCGTCCTGATTTACAACCTGGTTTTAGCGGATCTGCAACAATCACTCGCATTCCTTATTTGCATCAAATGGATTGTCGAAGACAAAATTGAAGCATCGTCGGCGGCGTGCTTCCTTCAGGGATTCTGGCTGCAGATTGGAGATCCCGCCAGTGGAATTTTCGTGCTAGCCATTGCCTTTCACACCTTCCTTCTAGTCACCATGGGCCATAAGTTGAGCCATCGAACTTTCGTTTCCGGCGTCATTGCACTTTGGGTATTCGTCGCCGTGCTCGTGATCATCCCTCTCGCCTCACATGGACGGTTTGTGTTTATTCCGTCAGGTGCCTGGGTATGTGCACACCCTCCGTCTTACTCCCCAAATCGCATTGCTGACCGTCTTCCCAGTGCTGGATCAGCGAAGAATACGAACCCATTCGTCTGTGGACACATTATATCTGGATTTTCTTGGCCGAGTTTGGCACGGTTACCCTGTACGCTATCATGTGGTTCCAGCTGCGCCGGCAGATCAAGCAGTCCGCGATCCTGGGAAGCAGCCACACGGAAAGTCTGAAGCGCCTGCGTCGCGTTATCGGATACATGGTTATCTATCCGATTGCATACATCGTTCTCTCCCTCCCCCTGGCCGCCGGACGAATGGCGACAGCTCAGGGCCAGACCCCCAACGTGGCCTTCTTTTGCGTTGCGGGTGCCTTGATCACCAGCTCCGGCCTGGTCGACGTCCTTCTTTACACGCTCACCCGACGCAACCTGATCCTGGAATCCGAGCCGAGTCACGATCGCAGCTACAACCGCTTTGTGAGCAGCAAGAACCGGAAGACCGATCATCTGACGACGATCACGGCGGACCCGAAGAACCGAACCGATATCAGTGCACTGCGCACCGTGCGGCAACGTGATGACGACGAAGATATGGACCACCACGTCCGGGACGGATCGACGGACAACATCGTGCAGAACAGCGGCGTCGAGTTGACCCCCATGGGCAAGGTGTACCAGCACACCACGATCGAGATTACGCACGAGCCGGCATACCCGTCCGAGGCCGAGGGCAGCGACCGTTCCAGCCGCGACTCCGACAAAGGGCATGAACAAGCATCCAGGATGTGGGGGAAATAACGCAGTTCTCTCCCGATCACCCTGGAATGCCCTTTTAATGTCATTTGGTTGGTTAATGTCGACGTTGTTCACGCCTTTCATTTCTTACTACATTCTTTTTCTATTGTATTTTATATCTTTTATTGATGACTCCGTATACTGGAGATCGCCTCATACCCCTTTTGATGACCCTGGCACTTGCATTTCTTGTGACATAATTGCCTCTCTTTCCTTTCTTCTGGGATCTACAGTGATCTATACCCTGCTCTTTCCTTCATGTACAACATGTGCAGATATTTCCTTTACCTATCCTTATACCATTTCATCGAAAAGAACCAATAATATACGACATTGCGGCGACGCAGCCAGACGATGTTTTAACGATCCATTTCCACTCTCGTCAAGGAGACTCCGTAGCAAATTAGGAACATTACAGACAAAGGATCCTTTAAAGTAAAGGAACCACACGACGAATCGCGATCGGAAGGAGTTCAGGAAAAAGCAAGGGCGGATCCCACCCCAGGTTTCCCCGATCGGACGAGACTCAGACCGTTCCCCTCCGTTATTGCACATGCATTATCATTACTGATTAACTACTATTAACCATGCGGAGACCAATCCAACGGCCTGGGGGCCAAATCCAAGCTGTTGGGTACGAGGTGTAGGAATCGGGCTATACAACTGTGTAAGCACTAGCATGCGACCGGACCTATCAAGTAATCAATTAAATAACAAGAATCACTACGGAGTTGTTAGTTGGTTGGTTAAACACGGAGTCATTATTAACTAATATGTCCGAACAAAGAATTACTTCTGGAAGGAGTGTATACCTGACCTGGCCTGACCAGGCCTGACCAGGCAAAAAGAAATGTCCCGGTCGCAAGTCGCAAACCCCGTCCTCTACCTACACAATATAGTAATAATCCCGTACCCTGTCTGTACACGCGATCATATGAGTTCCCTAAATCCCTAATTCCACAAAACAAAACATTCGGGAGACAAAGTCTGGGTCAATTACCGACGGGTGGGTCCAGTTTGTGCCGTCGGGCTTGGAATTAATGGCTTTTGATTCGATATTCGATATCCCGGCTGGATCTGGTCGTTTTTTTTTTTTTTTTTTTTTTTTTATTATTACATAGTAAGTTATGGATGGGTGAGAATGACCGCGGTGGGGATCCGCTTTGCTTTGGGAATTTGCTCCGGTCTGGTTCTGAGTCGTGTCCTTGGATTTAATTTATTGCTCATTTGCTGCATACTCCGGAGCTGTGTTGAATATGGTGGAGTGCAACGGTTAATTAATTTACTCTGGTTTCATTTCGTGCATGGATTTGATTAGATATCCTAGTACTGCATATGACAGGAGACGGAGATGGCGGTGGTGGGTTCAAAGCCCGGAGCCCGGAGAATGGACTGCGGATTTATTCCCGTGGTACTTGTTTGCCACCAGGGGTTTGACTGAGTGTACAGGGTGTCAGTTTCAGCGTCATTGTTCAAACTGTTAATGAATGTGGAGGAGTGAGGATGGAGTGAAGTGGAGAGCTGACGAGGGGCAACTTATGTCAGAGTACAGTATGTAGCTAAGGCTCTAAGCGAGGGTTATCCTTATCGCTCACTTATCAAGTTATCGCTGTGGTGATCGACAACACTGCAGTGCTTTCATAGTCATGCATCTTCTCTCGCCCGAGACTTTTGCCGAATCTATCGCCTAAAGCGCTCGCTTAAGAGGAATGCTAAGCGCTGTCTACTATGTACTCCGTAGGTCTGGGGTCTCTCCACTATGCGCATTCTTAGGAACGAACGTGCGACGCGCAGGAAGCCTTTCTTTGCGCCCGTTCTATAAGACGGATCTGTTCAGTGATAGACGTTTCTGGGTATTTATGTTGACGCTGGGAAGATAGGTAGGTTTGTAGGAATTTGGGGTGCCAGGGGTAGGCTACCGAAGTGGAAGAAAAATTGAATGAATTATTGAAGCTTGCTTGAATGCTAACTAGGGGATAGAAAGGCCCTTTATATCTTCAATATCACGTGGTCTTCATGGCCGATTTCATGGCAAATACCGCTTATTTTCATGGAACCTTCCGCTTCATATAAAGGTTTTCGGAACTTGCCTTTAGCGAGGGTTTGGCGGATTGCTCGAAGCACCTGATTCTTCTACAAGGTTAGAGCTTTCGTTGTGCGGCTAATGATTTAGGAGAACTTCTTATTTCGAGAGAAAATATATTAATGTCCTGAAGGAGCCTGCGATGATAGAACCTGGAAGTTGCAGTTTCTCTCATGTCTTGGATTGCATATGCAGGCCACGTTCCGAGGCAGTGGTTCTCGTCCGAGTATGAACAGTGTAATCTGGCCGTCACCATGACGAATATAATCCGGGGGCGAACTGCAAGGGCAAGTGGAACGCGAGAGACGATGGTGACACCATACTGCGCTGGAAGAACTCCCCTTGCTGAACGCGGGTATATTGGAAATGTTGCCACTGTACGGGGTAGCGGACGGATCACGGTCAGCAGTCAGCACTTAAAGTCTGAAACGAGAGCCGAGCGGTTCGAGATCAGGCGAGGGGAAAATTTCCGACCAGATTAGAATTGCTGGGGAGATCTGGAATGGGGACTCTGGGGGGAGGAGATGTATGGAAGGTATTCCCGTGCGGGAGGACTGCCATATTCTCTAGAGAATACCTCCATCTATAGATCGATCTATATATATCGAAAGATATATAGAGATCTAAATCGATAGATTCATATTCATATACATATACTTCGTATATGAATATTTCGGCCTCGGCCGGATCCTCACGCCACGCCGTTGCCAAGCGACGTGTTCCATGGAGAACAGTTGATCATACGGTGGATTGACATCAACCCGGGATTCGCTTCTCCCCGTCGGGATTTGCCTTCGTTTTTCTTTTCCCATTTTTTCCCTTCCAAACCACGCCATGTGGCCCCTTTTCACGACGTTAACTTCCTGTCGCATGGCCGGTGTTCCCCCTTTTCGTCGCCAGTATGGTTTGGCTTTCTGGGAACCATGAATAACATCTTGCCGGTCGGGGAGTTGAAGCGGCCCGCGCGTCGTTTCAACGATCCCCCCGTGAAACTCGCCTGTCTATCCTGGTATTTCGAATCCTCCTTCAATGTGCTGCAATTCAATAAATGAGAGAATCCTCCGTCGCTAACTATTCCCATCTAGTCGTGCCCTGCGGATCCGTTGCGATGGTCAGGCCGAATGCGCCAACTGTATAGCCAAAGAGAGGCCATGCTGCTATGTGCCCAGTCGTCGAGGCGGTCCACGCAATTATCCCGGTCGTAAGAATAAAGGCCCCGTCGTCCACAGTCCGATGGACCTCACTACCGAGGGGAAAGATTCTCCTCGGCAGAAGACTCCCACGCCGATGGAGCCCGAGGAGCACGCTCGCTCGGAGGCAGAAGGTTGGTGACCGTGGTCCGTCTTTGCTGCCAGAAACCGTACTGATCGTGCGCTCGCGGGTTGTTCAGAATGGGTGAGCCAACTGTCCGGGCTGTGCGGCCCCGGAGCTGGCCTGCGTAATGTCGAAGTGCCTCTGGCCGAGATAGACTCGATCTTCGATTCCATCTTCACGCCCGTAGACAAGAGTCCGCCAAACTCGCAGTCGTCCCCCAAGCCTAATCAGATCCGAATCTATGACAGCAACGAGCACCTGCAAGTTGACTCCGCGAGGAACACGGCGCGTGACCGGCACTTTGCTAATCGTCGGAAGCAGACTAAGCGCCTACTACATCTTCATCCATCCGTATTTCCCCATTCTCCCCCCGCCGGAGCGCCTGCCGGTGACCAGCGGTCCCATCTCCAAAACGCCGCCTAGCTTTGAGCCCTCGAATCCGCTGGGGCGGGCCATTGCGGCCATCATGGTCCTCATTCCTCATCCGAACGAAAAGGACCCTGCGCGGCCCGAGTACGTCAAGATCCGACGGGATTTTGCTCATTGCTTCGCCAAATCGGCGCTGGATGCGGTCGAAATTGACTACGAGTTGAATGATCCCAAAGGCCCTGCCGCGGAAGGTGTCAAGGCCTTTGACCGCGCGCCATTCCATCCGAAATTGCCGGTCTCGTTGGAAGGAGTGGTGGCGCTGGCGATGCTGAGCGTGTATGAATATGCACAGCAAGGGCATCTAGATCGGATGCTGCATCGGTCGAATCAATCTCTAGCGCTGGCGCTGAGTATGTCACTCCACGAGGCGTTGGACGAGGATGAATTTGCGGATGCTCGACGTCGAGTGTGGTGGATGACCGTATGTTTTTCTGTTGTATCTGCGCTGGGAGATTCTAATGTCTGGAAAGTACATGACAGCTTGTCAGTCGTTGGCTGTGAGCAATATGGTGCGTACAAGACATTCTATGAACGGTGGCGAAACTAGCACTGACTGCCACAGCCCCCACCGTTCGACTTGTACGATCCCTGGTTTGTGACGCCGTATCCTGAGGTATGATGTTCCCTTGTACTCAAATGTACAACACGACTCATTTGATTCAGGGATGGAAACTGCTCGTCGAAGCCCAACAAGCGATTCTCGAATCCGCCACATTTTCTCGAGATCTCGACCAGGCCATCAAATCCGGCGGGGACGCATCCTGGGTTCTGTCGAGAATGGCCGAACTCGACAGCCAGATTGCGTCGCTGCTGCTTCTTTGTCGCGACTCTCTGTCCGTGTCTGAAATGGTGCCCCCGCCGGACTCGCCCGACTTTGTCGCATCGAGGACGATGCGTGCTTTCGCAGAAGTCAAACTACATACGTATGTCACCACGAACACCCCAACCAAGACCCAAACCACTCACCACAAACGCAGCGCTCGCATCAAAACCCATCGCCTCTGCGCCTTCCAAGACATAGACACCATATCCCCCGAGCCCCCCGATCTCTCAGCCCCAGCCGACCCGATCGACTTCTCCCTGGAATCCGGAAACAGCCCGATCTACATCCAAGACCCCCCTGTCCCTCGCCACGCGCACCGTCTCCCCTTCCCGTTCTCCTCCGACGAATCCTCCCGAATCTGTCTCCACGCCGCATTCAACGTCGTCGTCCTTCTCGACAACCTCCCCCATCCGCGCCCTACCGCTGAGCCCTCCGAAACGAACGCCTCGCTATCCCTGCGCCGACCGCGGCATGAACTGCCCCGCACCATGCCGACGCTGATCTGCTGCGCCATGCAATCGGGGTACGCGATGCTGATGCTCTGCGTGAAAGCGCGCGCCCTGCAGCGCTACGGCGGCGAGGAAGCGAGTCGTCTGAGCGCGTCCTCGTTAACCGCGTTCCGGGATGAGCTGCATCAGAGCTTGCGGGGCGTGGTCAAGTGCTTGGATAATTACTGTATTGCGTATGAGGCACTACACGGCGTTAAAGGTAATCCCCTCTGCCAATCCAATCTCACTTCCGGATTCTATCAACTAACTAACCGATGTGATATGGTAGACGAGATATCTCAAGCAATAGAGCGCGAATTCCGACTTTGAAGTTCTGCGATAGTGCAGTAACTGCCCCTGCACCTGCAACTTCCAAGGTCTTTAGATCTGCACCCTTTGATTTCACTCTTATTCGCATTTGCGATTGGGACTGCGACCGTGAACATGACTGGTAGTTTTTAATTCCCAGATCGATGTCTGGATGTTGATTTTGGTTTTATTTGATATGTTTGGTTGGCTTGGCTTATTTGCATCACCTACCTACCTACTGGATGCTAGAAATATCCTGGGTAGGTCACGAAACGGACGGTACACGCTGATAATAAATACACGAGACGAGGCATGACTGAAGAATGAAAATAGACTTGATAATGAATATGACTATCTATGATTGCGTTTTCTTTTTCCTTTCCTTTTCCTTTCCTTTTCCTTTCCTTTTCCTTTCCTTTTCCTTTCCTTTTCCTTTCCTTTTCCTTTTCTTTTCCTTTTCTTTTTTTGATGTGGATCTATGTGTTTGGGTTTGATATATTATGATGATCAACCTAGATGTAATTCTACCTAGCTAGACACATAAGTATTGAGGTATTGTGCAGAGTATATTCCGATCTAGAGAGATAGATGGACTGCGGAATTCCAGCTCTAGTGACGCACGTCTTCTAGCCGACTGGACTGGACTGGACAGGGTAGGTATCACCTGGAAATTTCGGTCTGTTATGCGCGGCCAACGAGGCAAGGAAATTAGGACCTTCTCATCCTCCTCATCCGACTTCTTGTTTGCATTTACTCGCTCTCTTATGCAGCCACAGCCCTAAGTATGTATGTACAGTCATCCCACCGAGAGAGCTCATCTCATCTCATTTCATCGTATACTGGAAGAGATCGATCATTAATAGTATGACGAGATCACGCCCGCGGATCTCGAAATAATAGTTTTAGTATTATGGAAATTCCCTGGCTCAATGCCACCGACTACGCCACCTCACCGCAATCCCACCTCCTGATACATATCGAGCATCTGCCCCCTCACCGTCTTCGCCAACGGCCAGACCTTCCCTAGTACATTCAGCCCGCCCACGCCCAGCTGTATCCTCGCCTTGAGGGACTCGATCTTGCCCGCGGACGGAGTCACCATGCACGCGGCGGTGTGCACCACAATGCAGATGGCCAGCGCGCACGTGAAAAACGGTGTGCGGCTTTGAATGGGATTCGGCAGGGTGGCAAGGTTCGAGAGCAGGTCTGCGGCGCGGAGGAACTTCTGCGAGTGGAGATCGAGGTCGGCGGAGCTGTGATGCGAGGCGTCCCGGGCGGCTTTGAGGCGGGTACACGAGGTGCGGCTGGTAAAAGAGGCGAAGCGCATGCTGGAGCGGGGGTGGTGGAGGTAAATGATTCCGCTGGGGGTGGTTAGTTTTTCTACCCTTCCCTTCGCTTGATTGTGGAGGGATGGCACTTACATGTAAGTGATCATTTCCGCCTGGAATAATAATTCGTCAAAGTCGGAACTGTCATATCCGGACCCTTGTGATGAAGGGAGTCGCATCAAGGAGGATACGAGGCTGGCGTCGACGGTCTGTACGCGGGCTTCGAGATCCATGTCGAGTGATCGGTTCACATCCATGACCTTCCCCAGATTTTGGACGGCATGAATACGATATGCAAAGGAAGAAGGGCAGGTGCCCTGTCCGAGGGACCAGTTGCGTTCGAGATCGTTTAGGGTCTGTCGTATCGGCATCGGCTATCATCACGTTAGTAAGGCGGCGCGGACAATTCAGAAAAGGAGAGCTTACGGCAATCCCCGAGCTAAAAGCGTCTTCCGCACAGGGTAATCGAACATCCGTCCGTTGACGACAGAGGCGGAACGAACTCTGATCTCGCATGGTGGCTAATAAACCGTCGACGACGTACAGCTCCCAAAACGTCCGGCACCAGCTCTCCTCCATCAGGAAATCGCCCTCGGAGTTCTCCACGGCAAAGCCGGAGCGATGCATGCCCAGATCCAAGGCGAGGTCGATGGCCGCCTGCATGGATCGATGGGCATTGTCGTCCTGACCGTGCGCGTGCTCGACAATGGCCAGCAACAGCATGCCTTGTACCTTGAATCCGTCTCGCAGGGTGGAATCCGCGAAGACGGTGTAAGCCTGTGCGCGGAACTCCTCCTTGAAGGCCGGATCGGGGTAGAAATGAGCGCCGACGTAGCGCATGATGGACAGCAGGTAGGGCGGGATGCGGTCCGCGAGATTAGACGCCAGCGCCTTCCGTGGGACCAGCAGGGGGTGCGACCGGTGGAAATTCTGGTAATACAACTGGATCATGGGGTCGTAAGCCACCCCCGGGGTGGACAGCTGCTCCGGCTCGGGCCAACTCATGGCATCGTCCGTTAAGCTGGGCATATCGAAGGTCTGGGGCGTGCCGAGGGACTGGAACAAGGCTTCGCCTGCCTGGAGAGAGGAAAAGGGAGGTTTATGTGAGATTTCGGGGGATTCTTTTGTTTCATGATGGCCAGAGAAAGGTAACACATACATCCAGGTCCGGAGGGAGGGGGGTGTTATTGAGCCAATTGGAGAAAGCATCAGCGTCGAACAAAGGCACGTCGTGATGATTGAATAAGGGCGACGGCGGATTGTCCGGTTTGCTGCGCATTCCGCGACGGGAGCGCACGTAGCGACATTCCAGGTCGGAGGTCTGACAGCGACCGCACACGGGCATGATCGAGTCACATTTCAGGTGTCGTCGTCGACAAGGCAGACATGCCAGTGACGAGGGCTGACGAGGGGAGGATCTGGAGGGGTGGTGGTGTTGTTGTTGCATGGCTGCGGTGCGGTAGTAGTACTACTGAAGAGAGCCCCGGGATCGAGGCCACGGCGGAGGAGCATCATTTTTAAGATGAAAGCCAGGCAAGCGTGTCGGTCGAGGAATGAGGTAAGTTCAACGTGGGGGGGAAGCGAAGTGGAAAGAGAGTCCTGAGAGTAAGGTAAGATTGTCCCATGGAAAAGGGAAAAGAAGGCAAAGAATGATCCCCTTCGATCCCGAGATCCCCGATTCGGCGACCACTTGAAAAGGCCGAAAGGAAGGAAGGACGCCAAGCCTTCCTGCTTCTATACTCCATACGGTGTACAATAGAGATTTCTCGGGGAGTGACTGTCTCGGGGGACCACTACGTCACTGTCCGATATACTCTGAGGCAGCGAGAGAACATATATGATGAAAAGACTGAAAAGACTGAACAGACTGACTGCCATGCGCCGGAGAGTCCCTTAGTGGTGTAACACGAGAGCTTTCCATCGGGCTTTCTAGACCGAAGGTTATTGTTAGTTTGGCTCCAGTCTCCATACTCCGGTGTACTAAGTTACTAACTCAAATACTTGCATCCCTATTGCAGTCCTCCCCAGACCGATGCATCAATCGGATCGTCGTCTGGTCCGCGATCTCGTTGGCGAGAGATCCTGTCGGTCTTTCCAGACGGCGTCCAGATCGGCGACCTGAGTCTTGTTATAAGCCAGAACCGAGTGGACGCGGGAAAGAGGATCGGACCTGTTCGCCATGCATCTCCCTGCAGTTGGCGGTGGGGACGAGACTAAGTGGACAATGCAATCCCGAGAGGATGGATTATGGATTATCGAAGGTCCCCGACTAAAAAAAAGTATTGAGGCTGACGCGGTCGGGCTTTAATTCCGCCTTCTGATTTACTGAAGGCCTGAGGGTTCCCGAAGGTGGCCTGATTCAGGCATCGGCTGACGGAGAGGCGCTAACCTCTCTGGGTTAGTCTGACTTGGATGGTCCCCTCAGGCAGACACCGACAGTCGGGGATCTCTGACCTTTCTATACCCACCACGGCAGGATCACGACAGTACTGTACTATCGGGCCAGGCCTAACGCCATGACTGTCATTTGCCAGTTATTCATAGAAACCTCCAACTATGAGTACAGCGCTTAGCGAGCCAGGTGGATACGTCACCCTGAGCGCTTAGAGGTTCCACTACGACCAGACTGGAAGGTGGTATACAAGGTCGTTGATATCAACTCAGCTGTCGGGATGAGGGATCCACAAGGTGATCAGTCATGATGAGCATCAATTGTATTCAAGAAGCAGAGCATGATTTGAATATATAACTAACTTAAATTGGTTACAGTTACAGCATAAGCACATCATGAAGAACACCAATCATTACAGCAAGACAAAACAACATAGACAAACAACAACAAGACAAACACCCCCTCATCAAGCATATACCTTCCGACGACCGGAATCAGATACATACGGAAGAGCGTTCGAAGACATTGCTGCATGGCCTCTGTTTTCCCCGCTGCCCATCACTTTGCGAGAAAGATACTCCTTGGCGGTATGATGAACAAAGCTAACCACATCGCCTTGCAACGTGAGGAATGAACCACAGAGTTGGGCCAACTCCCGAAGGACCTGCGGATCGCGAGCATATTCGGTCGGAACTGCAGCGGAGCTGGCGAGCTCGGTCAAGCGCAGCGGGCGACGGGCCGCGACCAGGGAGGTGAGCATACGCGTACAGATTTCGGCGTCTTCCGGCTCCGGCAAGGTCTTCACCTCGTTCCACATGCGAGCGTAGATGGATTCCAGCGCCGGCGGAAATCGGTTCAGTACCGTCGCCATTCTGCGCCGAGGTGCATCCTCCAGGGCATTGCACACGGCCGCCGCCCAGAGGAACGTTCCATCCGCGCGGCCCTGGAGATGCTCATGGACCGTGAGATGGGCCGTTCTATCGTACGCCTGGCTCTGTACGAGTCGCGCCACCCTCCGTTCAATGTACTTTTGCACGGCGGTGGTGATCTGCGCTGCGTTCGTCTCGAGATCGTAGCGGAACAGCCCCGGGGCCGAGCTCAGCCGATCGTCGATATCGGGCTTATGTCGGCTCGAGATCACCCATTTCACGCGATCGGACTGCGTGCGCGCGATGAGGTCCAAGAGCTGCCGTCTACCCGTCGAGCACTGGTCCAGCCCGTCCACCACCAGGACCATCCTCTCGTAGTTTGGCCGGGCCAGAATCTCGCGGAGCATGTCCGCCAGCGCGTAGAAGGCGTTCCGGTCCTCGAACAACGCCTTCCCCGCGTGCGAGTACTTCTGCTGAAACACCTCGCTCAGATGGATACCCTGAGCTAGCATGAGGAAGACCAGGCCGCGAAGCACCGCCGTGCCGGTGGCCAGTTGGGGGTCGGTGCCGTCGCAGAAGAAGTAGAAAACGCTCTGCGACGGGAAGAAGTCGCCGACGTCCGACGCCATGCCACCGTTCTGCAGCAGGTGCTCGATGATGTTGATCACCTGCATTGTCTTGCCCTTTCCGGCGTCGCCGCTGATCCACAGCGTGCTAGGTCCTTCGTGGTGACTCCACGACAGGAACTCCTCGGTCTCGAGGATCCAGGCGGAGGCCTCCTTGATCAGCCCGCCGTTGGTCTCTTGGATGCGGGTCATGTCGAGCCGGGGGTCCGTGACGCGGAGGTCGGCACGCATGCTTTGACCTGTCAATGTATATTAGAGGCGATCGTTCCAAGGCAAATCGGAGACCATTCAAGTTTCGCAAAAGGGTTAGATAGCAGTTTTACGTACCCAGACTGACAACATCACCCACATGAAGATAGGTGTGGTCCCCAAAGGTATTATTGGCGATATCCTTCGTCTGTACCGATCCGTCCCGTCCCAGGCTCTGGGCCTTCGGGTTCAGCTTGACGTCGTACGGATCAAATTCCTTCTCCTTTTTCACTTGTTGGCGATCAGCCTGCAAGGACTCAATCCAGCTGAATGGCATCTTGAAGGGAGACAAAAAGAATATGTCAAAAAAAAAGATAAGACAAGAAAAGTTAAGACAAAAAGGCACAAGATTCAATATAATAGCAAAAGAGGAAACCAGCCTCTCGAAAAGACAAGCAACAAACAAAAGAAGAAGAAGGTAAGAAAAGGAGTATCTGTAGACTTGGCTGTCCTTCAGTGTTGTTGATCAGGTGACAATATTCAAAGACAACGACGAACATATCCCCCTTTATATATCCGCAAACCACCCAACCCTCTTCCCATCGCCGTTCCCATTCCAAAAATACAAACACATACAATTGGCCCATGATACCACGAAAAAAGTACCATCCCCATGCTCAGCGGCAAGAACTTCGGTTTCAGAAATCCCTGGTAACTCCACCTCGGCCCCTGCCAGCGCTTAATCCTTCCAATCCCAAGATACTGACATGGATCTTATCACGGCGCTTAACGAAAGGCTCTATATTTTAGATCGAATGTGATAAGAATATCTTGCCGCAGGTACTTTGCAGCTTATCACTGTGCATAGAACGAGGGGTCTTTAGCCATGTAGCCGCCCGGTCCGGAACTTCGTCGGTTGAGATGTGCTCATGGGGTATGATAACTACAACCCTGTCGTGCGAATCGCCCGGCGCTGAGAAAGGAAGGTGAATGCGAATGGAGGGGTCCAGAACAAGGTGATCGACTGCTGATGCTCGTAAACTAGGAGGGACAAGTGGATTTAACAGGCACGAAGATAACATGTTTGGAATGCTATAGGTGGAATATGCGCCGGCACATCAAGGGTCTAATTTTAAACATGCTACGTATGTAGATGTGTATGCGTGCATGTGCTTTTGGTCATTTTATTAGCTTGGCTATGGAGCGTTCACTGGAAGGACGACTCTGTTGTCTGTGTCTGATCTTTTCTGATTGTGTATAAGCCCTCTTTCCTTAATGCTTTGAGCAAAGAGGAGAGTATGTTTCGAAGTCTTTAAGACCTCTTGATTCAGGACTACGCTTATTGGCCAGTGAACTTTGTGAATGACCAAGAGCAGATCGGACGTCCCAATGAGCACAAACTCAAAGTTTCAGAGGACTTTGGACGACCTGAAGAAGCTGAAGGCTAGACAGAATGATAGACGTAAGTGCACTCCTCCGTCCATCTACCCAACCATCTTGCCGCTCAAAAATAAACCAACCCACAATAACCAAGTAACCCTAACATCCTCCCTCAGATCCAAATCCAGACCCAGACCCTCAGGACCTTAACCTATCCGCCGAGAACGAATGTGACTGCACCCCGGACACCGAAAGGGACCCCGTGGAGGTCAACTTCGTCGAGAACGTCACGCTGGACCAACCGCGCATCATGTTCGGCATCGTTGGCGTGCAGAACTGGCAGCGCGCTACCGGCGTCAAGGCCAATGTGCGCGGGAACCAATTCGGGAATGAGATGAAGTTTTTCGCGGGCATTGCGGATGCGAGTGTTGCGCAGGCGGTGTTTACTTAGGGAGTGTGTTTTGTGCTTGTTTGGGTAGGGCTGGTTGATTTGATTAGTTTGCGGTTTTGTTTTGATTTCTTCATTATTTCTAGTTTTGGATGCTTGTTTACGTTGTCTTGTGGTTTAGTTATATTGATTTTGGTGTCTTATTCTGTTGTTTACATCGAAATTTATTCTGTACTCCGAGATTAGTCTATGTGAATATTACCGACTACTCTAAATAGTGTATCTTGAATCTTTAGATTATGAACCTCCCACTGTTCAATAATTTGCTCGGGTCATAGCAACCCCCAAAGCCCAACCCAAGTTCCATTCTTCATCAACTTAGTCTATCCTCTCCTCTCTCTTCAAAATAATAATCGGCAAAGCGAGCATCATCGTGACCACCGACGTAACCGCATCACTATCAATATATGCCCATCCACGACACCCCAAGATAAAATTCACGTAGAAAAAACTGATACCCAAACGCCAAACAAACCTGCACCAACTCCCTTGCCAGACGAGAACAAAAACCTCGAGTCACTAAGAACACCCCCGATATCTGTCCCACGCACAAGATAACCATAAGCTCTTGTGAAATGGGATAATCAAGAAAGTGTGGAACGCAAATAACAGAGGTAGCATTATATTTTTCAGTCCTGGACGTACATAACACCCATGTTGACCCAGGGGAACAATTTAGCTTTGGCCCACCCCAGCATGTTCCTGACCTGGCTGAAACTGGCGCGCCGCCTTGTCCAATTCAAGACATAGTCGTAATTCAGGGATCTGACACGATCCACGGAACCAGCAGCCACTGACAGAGGGACCAAAGCCATTATTCCGGGGGGAAGCTCGCGGGATCTGTACTCCGTCAATGGTGGCTGTCTCATGTGACAGCGACGCTGATGTCATCGCCTTGAACGATTAGTATCGTGGTGGGCAGAACAGGGGATTGACGGGCTTCACTTGACTTAGGGCGTTAGGTATCATACGATGAAACCTCCTGGGATGAACGGTATTTCAAATGCCGGTCCCTGAGGAATCGCAATGTTGGGATGTTTGGCTCGGTCCTGCAGCCATAACATGGCCTGCTCAATTAAGAAAAATCAAGTGTATGGATGGGATGGATAACATGAGCTGGAATTTCCAAGGGAACAAGGATGTTGGCCGCGGCCCGATATGTTGTGCCCGGACAGTGAAATCATGAAGTGGATGCCGAATACTAGAAGATATTTGATCGGTCGTGAATTGGACGACTTGAGGATCATCAAGACTGCCCAGAGCGCGGTAGGTAATTTTGCTCAACCCTGTTAGCGGTCGCTCTGTCACAAGCTCCCTTCCAGGAGTGAGATAGTACGGCGTGTACTGTGTGCGAGCGATGGGCCATTCGTTCTCCACGCGGCCATGCATTAAATCTTGTATTCGGAGAAATGTGATAGCAGGCATTGGTGTTATTGAAACAATTCTGATGACAGGAAGGAAGGAGAGAAAAAGGGATTGTGTATGTGAGTGTAAAGTAGACCAGATTTCCACGTGAGACAATGCATTTGAGTTATGATAATTCATTAGTGCCCAGGGGTTCCCTCATTTATGGACGGATCGCACGTAATTATAATGAATGAGCCTGTCATTTTAAATATTATGTTTATAGAGTGACTTAATATACAATCTACCCATGGGATTGAGGCCGAGCAGGTCTAATAACCTCGAATCCCTTCGCCTTGGACTTCCGCTGCTTCCATCGAGGTAAGCCCCTGGGAGGCTTTGACTGCGAACCGGAATCTGCCGACTGATTCGATCCCATAACAATCTTCGCACGCCGATAATACTGATCCGCCTCGCGGACAGAATAATCGACATTAGACGCCCGGTCAGACACAAGGTCGTCTTCATCCTCTTCGATCAGTTCCATACTGGAGCCACCGGACGAGCCGACGGAGTCACCCATGTCAGAGGATGACGGCACCGAACGAATGGTGCGCGTGCCCTCGGTTGGAGCATATGACGGAGCATATGACGAAGCGACGCGTCGCGGAGCCCGATAGAACTGGCTTGCATCATCTGGAATGCATGATTGGCCTCCGGAGGAACCAGGTCGGGGTAGGGGAGTGTGAGTTATATACGCGGTGATGGATTGATCTGAATGGGATTAGCGGCGATCAAACGAGGCATCAGAAGGGGCATACCTGGTGGACTGAGCGCAGGCAGGTGGGAGAAGCTCGTTCCCCGTTTCGACCGACGCGACAGCTGGTTTAATCCGAAGACCTGATGAGCATTAGCGATAGCTGACTAGAGGCAAACGACAGAAAGAACCTACCGGAGCGTTTTGCTGGTCTGCTTTGACACCCACAAAGTGAGAATCCAGCACCCCAAGTCTCACCAGGATGTACATCACGCAGTTGAACATCGATGGCACAAAAAAGCCGAGAATGAGGGCCGACGCATGTGATGAGAGGATAAAATACCCCACCAAGCCCTTCGATCCCTCGTTGAGTCCCGCCGAAGGAAGAAAGGCACAGCTCATGGCCATCGTGGTCAGTCTCACGGCGGCCAGGCCGATGGGTCTCCACACCGAGCCATTCTGTCGGTACAGCAGCAGACAGATAATGAGAGCAATCTCACAGGCCATAAGAATGACAATCTGCCCAATGCCGGAGATCTGCAAGCCGCCAATCGCGACGCCCCTGACCAGCGGGAGCCCGTACAAAGCATCGAAGAACCACTTCCGTGTGGACCTGCCGGGGAGAGTACTTTCGCTGAAGAAGGAATCCTGTCGATTATGTGCCGTCAAGTATCGGACTAAGAATCCCAACGAGACGCCGAGGGCTGCCGGCACCGAGATGGCAAGAAACGACCGATATGTCGGCGAATGGGCCATCAATGGTTGGTAGAGTGAGAAGGTGACGATGGGCAGCAGGTAGTAGTGGAGCACCATGCGGAGAACGCTCCATCCGGCGTGCTGGATGTGCGCCAGGAATTCCGTGCGGGGCTCAAAAGCCCCAGGAGGTCCCCAGAAGGGAAACAATCGCCACATCCACTTGATCAGCGAGGTGATTTGTGTAATGACCACTGCGATTAGAAGCATGACCGCCAGATTGATGATGGCATTGGGCCACAGATCCCCCATTGTTGTCGCTCCCATGATATGAGACATCTCTTCTAGTCCGTAGGTGGCATTGAACGCGTAAATGCCATCCTCGACCCCGGGATAGGTGAACTGATGCGTGATCGGGCCATTTGCATAGATCAGGGACGACCAGGCGAGTTGGCTGACCACCGGTCTGAAGAATCCAGGATACAGCAGAGTGAGACAGCCGGATAGAAACACAAATTGAATGTACTGCAGACATTCGCCGATGCCGGGAAGCGCCGATTCGGCCGGGTCGTAGGAGCTGTTGGCGATTTCATAGCGGAACATGCTGGACTGGCGACCCATATAGAACCTGATCGCGGCTGCAATGATTCCCGAGAGGAGCATGATGGCCATTGGAATGCCCTTGAGCAGACTCTTGGCCGTGGAGCCTAGATCAGAGGTGATGTTTGCGGCGATACAGGCCACTTCCGTGCCATTGTTCAATCGAAGACGGATTGTCGTCGCCAGCGTGCTGAACCTATGAGGGCTATCCAGGGAATAGGATACCAGGTACTTCGAGTACGTTCGAACGTCAGACCTTTGGCGGTCAGTGTTTAGTGCATGGCAAGGCTGCAAGGAATCAATTACCGTAGACCATCGTCCGGCAAAATGGTCGGACATCTCCCACTCGTCTCGGTCTGGACTCCAACCGGGCGACCCAGGACACTGACATTGACTATGGGCGTTGCGAACTCGCCTTCCAGGGCCTCGCAGTCATCAGGGCCAACATAGTCGCCGTATAGATTGAGTGATAGCGTCGTCGTATCCGATACCTGGAGGCCACCGCTCAGGCTGTCCGGGGTAAAGATGCCGGGGACGATGGGTGCTTCATTGGCCGGAGTACATGGAAGCCTACGAATAAACGCAGCTAGCCCGACCTGCGACCACAGCAGCACCAGAGTCAGCGTCAACATCAACATGTTGTCTGACGATCTGCATGACGATGCATGTAGAGGATGAAGTATGAGTCCTTCAGGGCTCTCTTCTGGAAGAAAACGAAAATCTGCAGCTTGGCGGAGTGGGTCTGCGCCGCTACTGGTTCGCTAGCAGTCCACCCTCTAAAAATATCTGGACCATGGTCCAATCGACAAGTGTTTAGAGCGCCCCATTCACATTTTAAGAGCTCCTATTGATGGACTTGCTGTGGATACACTCCGCCGTGTGTTTCGAATAGGTAACAATCGTCGGGTATTCCCTGAACAGGCATGGCGTTGCTATCTCCGCGCTTGACCCGATTGGGTTTAATCTCCTGCCCGATATTTCAGGCAGAAAGACGGCTCAGAATGAATTGGCTTTGCCTGTCCACGGCCTTTCTCTTGTCGTTAACTTCACGATGCTTGAAAGCATGCGATGAAAGTGTTGCACTACATCGGATCCTACTACAAGCTCTTCGCAGATCATGAATAATCCTCAAGGGCCACAAAAATTACAAATAAACAGTGCCCTCCAGACCAAGGATACCTGATGTATCCCCCCTCGTTCGTGATAAACTAAATGAAAGCCCCTGCAGTTCGTGTTCAGCCCCTTGAAACCAGGGCGATCTTCGTCTTTTAATCGTGCCAATTGCCATTCGTTGGCCCCTGCAGACGAGAAAGCGCCCCAAAGGACTGATCCGCACGATCCGTCCCTGGAAACGATGGCCCGCTCAGAAAGGTGACCAGCATGGTTCTGTGATGATCATCTCGTGAAATGATACATGAATAGAAACCATGCAGCTCTCGCAACATGTTACTCAAAAGAGATACGAAGACCAACGTTACTGTCATGTTCAACATGAGATGAGATCAGCAAAACAACGCTGAGCTTGAGTCCAATGTCAAACATAAATGCTCCGTCTTGCGCTCTAGATAGACATGCCACGAAAAAAAAAACAGCACTGAGACTCAAATTGACAAAGAGCATTGTCTTCAATCACATCTATTCTACCACATAGAACCATGAAGTTTACCACCACCCTCCTCATCGGCAGCTTTACCTCCAGCGCCCTGGCCGGCCACAGCTTTTTCCAAGCTCCTCGCAACTCCAGCGAGCCTGACACTAGCAAGCCAGACATCGGAAAGCAGGTCCTTGACAAGGCCATGACCGCCGCCGGTATTCCCTACGCATGGGGCGGAGGCTCCTGCGACGGCCCTTCTGAAGACCAGCCACCGTACCAGTACGGAGACATTGGCTACGACTGCTCGGGACTTGTCTGCTGGGCTGTCTGCCAGATTACCGGACGGGACCTCTTCACTGAGGGTCTCCGCGTGACGTCCGACATGTATTGTGCGTCGGAGACGACTCTGAAATATAAGTGTGTACCGCAACATATTTCTCCCGACGAGAGCAGACGTTGACCAGATAGGAAATACCCCTACGAGGAACGCAAGGCTGGCGACGCCATTTTCTTTGGTGGAGAATGCGACTGCGCTGGTAGTAGCAGTATACACCACGTTGGGTTGATGATGTATGTTCTTGTTCGTTCTTATGCAGTGCCTAGGCTAATGATAATAGGGATTCGGGCGATCGCATGTGGAATACTCCGAATGATCGCGTTAACAAGGTCCAGGAAAACAGCATTGCTGGTTTCGGCGACACGCCTTGCCCTTATGTGGTTCGGTTTGCTTAGATTTCCGACCGGAGAGTGAGAGGAAGGAGATTCCTGCTGGTCGCTCAGACGTTAACTGTAGTTTATAAGAGTCAGTCACTTGCTTAAAAAGATCAATGATAAACAACCGACCTGTTATCATGAAAACCAGACAAAAAGAAACATAGTTAGGAAGAAATACGGTGAACGGTCAAAGTCCGCACGATCCCTCTCGTATCCAGACCCTTTCTCGATCCTGCAATAATCAACCTCCTACACCGACGGCGCACTAGCCTCCTCAACAGAGAAAATCCGGCCTAGAAGAGCGACTAAATCTCCAGCCAAGACCAGACAAGAACGGATTCTTCCCATTCACAACCCGCAATTCGCCCATCACCCGTTAACTCCCAGACCAGGGAATCCGGCAATGCAAAGTGTCACGCTAAAGACCAGGGACCGTTTTTGGCCCCCATGAGGCTATCCCTTTAGAATGGTGGGCCTGCAGAACTGACAAGGGGTTTATCTGATAGTTTATTGAGTATCTTTATTTTTTACTATTTGATGCGTGAGATCGCCCCCGATTCTCCTTTCTTTCCCCCCGCGGGTCGGTTGGTTCCAGTTTCACCTGGGGCTTTCTGTCCAACAACATCATGAGAATCTCCAACAGTTTGCGACCGACGATAGCCACGGTTTTCCTTCTGGGTGGAGTTCTGTTCTCTGACTTGGCTTTTTCCCTCGCTGTCACTGGATCCTCCTCATGCACGGAAACATGCGGCAGCGGCTTCACTTACGCCAGTGACCTCGTCTGCAGCGACTCCTCCTTCAATAGTACATCAAAGGGCCTAAAACTGAAAGATTGTCTGCTCTGCGAAAGCACCAGCACGGCGTATGAGCTGCCAAATCAGAACGATATCTACTGGTTTCTCTGTATGCAGTCATGCTCCGGACTCCGAACTTTCCCCCTCCACACATACGCTAATTGTGGTTCTCTTCCTAGTCAACCAGAAATATACCCTCCAGGACTGTCTCTTTGATCGCGAACCCGACGTCTCGCTCTCGCCCTGCGAATCGTCCTGTCTGCCGCTCAAATCCGTGTTCAAGACGCTTTGGTACCAGAATGGCTGGATCCCGCAGTACGAGTACTGCGATATGGGCGGCGGCGCGTTGGAGACGTATGCGGGTGATTGCGCGGATTGTTTGAGGGGAAAGACGGGGTCGGTGTTCTTGGGGAATTGTAAGTCTACCATGTTCTATCTTGCGTGCTAGTGCGATAAGCCAGGCCAAGAGATGCTAACATGTCTTTAGTTATGGACACCATGAACTCAGCATGTCAGAACAAGCCGAACGCATCAGACGGAGAGACAGTAAAGCTGCGACAAGCGCTCTTCGCCACAGAGACATCTCTCTCATCAACGAGTACCAGCTCCGCAACCAAACCCACCACGACCACAACCCCCACAACCTCAACTTCTACATCCACCACCTCCGACCCATCAACAACCCCGACCATAGACGTAGACACCCAGCCCGAGACAGAATCGCAATCAAGCAGCCTCTCCACAGGCGCAGCAGCCGGAATCGGCGTCGGAGCCGGAGCAGGCGGCCTTATCCTCCTCGCGGCACTAGTCTGGGTATTCTTCTTGCGACGGCGCAAAGCGCAGAACGACGAGAAATTGATCCCCCAGTGGAATGACGAGAGTACGAGTAGTTTGAAACATGGCGCGCCGCTGGTGTCGGAGATGCCGACGCCGAGGTTTGCGAATATGCAAGAGTTGGAGGGCGGGGTGGTGAGGGCTGAGTTGCCTGGTTCGTGATGAATTGGATCAATGATGAATTGTGATGGGCTATGTTTGCTTTTCTCATGATTCGTATATTTAATCGATGGCATGTACACATTCTTACATAGATATATAATATACCCATTTATTCCATTTATTCCATTCATCCATCTCTCCTCCTTCCCTAACCCCCTCCCTACATCTTGGCCAGACCAAAGCAAAAGAGAAAAATCACCTCCAAACCGCATCCACACTAACACTCCCCCCCTCACAACCCCCAGGAACAGTAAACTTCCGATTGGGATCACTCTCCCAAACCCAATTCCCAGCCGTATTCTTCTTCACGAACTTAAACTCAAACGCCGAGCCCACGGGCAACGAAACACTCCCCTCCCACACCGGATTCGACGCCGTATACTTCTCCGCGGACAACTTAACCCCCTTGTCTGGATTCCAGCTACCCAGCTGCGCAATCGATCCGGTTAGGTAGATATTTTCGCCGAAAGAGGTGGTGACACGCGAGCTGAAGACCACGGAGAGGGATGTTGCAGCTGCGGCGCATGTGGTGGTTGGTTTGGCGGTGGTCGTGGTTAGCGTTGTTGATGGAGGACCCGTGGAGCCACAGAGGCCGCTGCCAGAGAGCCAGGAGGTAGGGACGAGAGAGCGAGGTTGTCCCGATGCCATGGGGACGGAGAGGGAGCCGCCCGAGCCGGCGGTTATGGTCGCGCAGGTGTAGAGTTCTGTTAGAGATGTGCCGGACGAGTAGCCCGTGTTGCTGAGGGTCAGGGTGTAGGTGTTTCCGGAGGAGCCGCGGTTGCTGAGGACGGTGATGACGGGATTGTTAGAAGAGCCTTTGCGCATGGCGAGGGTGTTGGAGTCTTGATAGAAGGGGGTGTTCTGGTTTCGAATTAGTTTCATCTTGGGAAGGTGAAGGTTATGAAGGGGGAGGAGGATTACTCGAGCTGTAATGTATCCTGAGTCCTTCGCCACAGCTAATCGACGGATTGCGTTCGTGCGCGCAATGAATGTATAAAGCTCCGAGGACGTCGAGTAGCCAGATAGCCAGGTAGCTTCGCGGTTCGCGGGGTCTTCGCCGCCGCTGTAGTGCTGTTCCTGGCCGGCGTAGATGATGGGAATGCCGTCGGAGAGGAAAAGGAAGGAGATGACGTTTTTGGCTTGGGAGTAGTCGCCCGTGTAGCTATATAGACTCATGAGGAAGGGTTCAGGGAGATAGATAGGAGGGAGGGTCATACTGTGCAAATCGAGGATTGTCGTGGTTTTCGATAAAATTTCCGAGCAAAGTAGGGTCTGAGCAGCTGGAGGAGACCGAGTTGATCATGTTGTAGAGGTCGCTGATGCTGCCGCTGGAGGATTGGAATGCGCGAAGGAGGGGATAGTAGCTGTCCATAGTTAGTGAGTGATGCAAGTGCAAGTCCTGAACATCTGAATACTCACATCGGGTAATTCAACACCCCATCCATGTAGTTCTGGTAAGGACAGGTATATGCCGGGTCGCCCTGAAAGACCTCTCCGACACAATAAACGCCAGCAGCGCTATTGAATCCGGGCCAGAAGGACTTTTCGACATGTTTGACGGTGTCGACTCTCAGGCCGTCAACTAGGGTTGTCAGTATTTGTTCAAGGAAGATAGAATGGCTGACGAACTGGAGTATTTCGAAACCAAATCCCGGATCCAGTTATACCAGATTGTCCGGACATTAGACTGCGAAGTATCAAGATCAGGAAGGGAGACAGTGGTGCTTCCCAGCCAGCAGTTCTCGATGTTGGATTGGTCATTGTAGTTCGAGATCAAGCAGTAGGGATGAAAGTAGCTGGAGGAGCTAAAGGGATTGAAGACACTGTAGTCGACCGAGGAGCCGATTCCTTTGTAGCCCTATAAGCTTGATTAGGCAAGCACTCTATAGAATTATCCAAGAGGAGTACGTACCATATGGTTAGGAACCACATCTACCATCAGATACATTCCCCGTTTGTGCAGTGCGTCGGCCAGGCTCTTCAAGTCATCGGAAGTGCCTAGCTTAGGATTGACTTCGTATCTGGGGAGGTTAGCATCAACCCACGTACATCGGGATACACATCACCTTACATATCCTGCTGCCAATAGCCATGATATGAAGTGCCGTCACCGGTGCTTTCATAGAATTGATCCGTCACCGGGGTGATCCAAATGGCCGTGAATCCCATCCCTTGGATATAGTCCAGCTATCGACAGATGAGCATCCAGTTCGAACAAAAAATCGCATCTCATACTTGATTGATAATTCCCTGCCATGTCCCACCACAGTATTCCTAGGAAAGGGTCAACAAGTATATCCGTTAGAAATCCAGATCCCACTTACGCGTTTGTTCACGTCACACGAAGCAGAGGTCGACTTGTCTGTCCGACCAAACCGATCAGTCAAGAGGAAGTAAATCGACTGAGAACGCCATTCCGCAGGCGACAACGACAGCACTGTTTCTGCGAGAAGAAATAGCGCCGTGAACAAGGCGTAGAGATATCTCATCTCGATGTCAAGTCAGGTATCTGTGAGAGGACTGCTCAGGCTTGAACCATGTGCTCGAACACGAGAAGTCAACCCGCGACCAGCATCCCCTTTTATATCCCTTCTTCCCCGAAGCCAAGCATCCGATACTCTCCGCAGAGTGAAGACCGAAATCCTCTCTGCCTACGAAACAAGTCCGGAGAAACATCCGCGGAACCAAGCCCAACTCAGCCCAACCCAATCCAATCCAACTGCTCATGCGCACCATAACCATGCCACATGGCCCCGGGATAATCATTATTCAGCCCAGACTAACAGCGATTCTGCAAACCAAACAAGGATCTCTCACCTCCACTACCACCCAATAATCTGTCATCTTTCCCCGCAAGTTCTTCTTCAGGACCCGAAAATGCCGGAACCATCAGACCATTTCGCAACGAAGGAACCAGGAACGGAGAATCATCGGGGAAGCGATTGGACGGGGAGAATTGAAATTTGCAGCTAGGGCTGATGCCTATGCACAGGGGTCGGCAATGATGTCCTTTGCTGGACGGGGGTGGCGCTTGGGTGCCTTAGCGTGATTTTAATGGGTTTAGTGAAGCCGTTCGGCGCGGAGGAATTATTGAGGATGAGGTTGGGTGGTGCAGGATGTCGGGCCGGAGTTGTCTTGGACGGACATTGGCTTTGTTTTCTGGGCTTGAGGGATTTATCAATAATTCGTCAGGAATGGGTCGATATCATAAGAGGGTTGGCAGCCGGCAAGATGGGGAGACGAGTTAGCATACAACACACCACTCTTTGTTTATTCTATAGTAACAAGAATCACGAGTATTGATTGTAAAGAGAGAAGGAATCAATTTCCCCCTAAAACTAACCCAACTCCCGCTCACTCTCCCTCCAACCTCATTCCCATCACAAATACATACATCCATCCCATCTCCTCCATACTCCTACAAACCAAACCCTTCACCCATATACCGAAATCTACTTCTCAACCCCCACAACAACCTCCCCCACCTCCCCCACCTCCCCCCTTCTCCTCCTAACTCTCCCCGCAGCATCATGCTCAGCATCCCAACTGGCCACCTGCTCTCGGGGTATCTTCACCAACTTATGCGCCACCGCACCGCCATCCATCTTCAGTATCGTTTGCCGGAACTCATATCCCCCGAACCGCGGCAATAACTTGATATAGATCCAGTAGTACGCGCCGCAGGCTCCGATACTATATTCCCTTTAGTGAGCATTGCCCATATTTCTGGAATTCGGGTCGACGATCGATTATAGATACTACATAGCCAAGAAACCTGGGCCAGGGAAACAGAGAAGGGATGAGGGGAAAGAGTGGAAACATACATAGCCAACCCCACAACCAAATAAGTCCCATACCAAAAACTAACATCACCACCGGTAGCGCCCCCGTCGGGCGGATACCACGGCGCAACAAGCAAGTAGAGATTCGAGATGATGGCGAAACCGACGACGACGTGCCAGGCGCTGTAGCCCGATTTGGGGAAGTTGAGGCGTTTGCGGTAGTAGCGGGTGAAGATGAGGCCGATGGCGAGGAGGAAGTTGAAGAGGTTGGAGGGGTACATGCTTAGGTCGACGACTAATTTCATTACGTTAGTTGGGAGGGTGTTAGATGAGTATGGGGTTAGACGTGGGTATGGGATGTGGGAGCGGTTGATTAGATGACAGGGAGGACGAACCGAAGTTAAAGGCATCGCCGGCTGGAGGAGCCAGGATCATGATCACCGTGAGGCCCCATTTCAGGGTATATGGGCCCAAAGGAGTGCCGAAGGGACGTGTGGATGTCCAGAACCGGGTGAAGGGGAGGACGCCTTGTCTGTATGGGGTTAATATTGCATTAAAATCTGTTATGGAGGTGTAAGAGTTCCTACCTGCCACACTCGCGAAGCATACGAGACTGTCCGATCAGCACGGCCAGCAAATTCCCAAACGCACTGAGACAGATAAGAAAGTTCAGTGCGCGAGAAGCACCACCAGTACCGAAGACTTTCTCGAAGAACAGGCTGGCAACACCGATTTCTGAGTCCAAGATCTCCTGCTTCGACGCGACGGTAAAGTACGCGATGTTGGCGAGGATGTATAGAGTGGCCGTGAGGGTCAGTGAGAGAGGAGCGCTCCATTTGAGGGTTCTGACAGGGTCCTATAGAGTTGTCAGCTGCAAATCCCAGGTTGAAATCGATATTAACTGTATACTTTGACCTCGTTGACCACGTTGAACGCGTTCTCATACCCCATGTACGAGAACATCACCTTGACCAGGGCGTTGGTCGCGCCGTAGACCGACGCATCCGAGGTGCCTTCGAACGCGTTCCGAAAGTTGACTTTAGGATCCGGGATGGAGGATACATTGCCACCGAGAACGACGAGACCGCTGATACCGATGCTGTGATATATGAGTGTGTGCCCAGTAACTGTAGTATAGCTGCGACATACAAAACCAAAGTGATAAGCTTGACAACGCCGATTGCGTTGGCCAGATGAAGAGACCATTTCGTGTTGAACGCCAACGCTAATCCAGTCAGCATCACCATCATCAAATATGATATAGACCACATACCTAGAAACGCAACACTATAAGACGCCACAGCGACGCCTTTCAGCTGCCAATCGGTCGGCTCCGACTCAGCCAACTTGAACAAATACTGCGCCAGCACTAGAGACAATCAGCCGGTGATCAATGCCACAATCCCCATCACACTAGGGTATCCGATCACCTACCAACAGCATTACTGCTACTAAACGAGAACAGCACCGTCTGCATCGCAAACACCGTCGGAAAGAAATACTTCGGTCGCGGGTACGACTGTTCCAGATACACGACCTCGGAGCCGGATCGACTAGGGAAATAAGACACGAATTCGAGATACACAGCTAGCATGCCGTAGGCGACTAGGTATCCGATCACCCAGTAGAAGAGAGCCAGGCCCACGGAACCGGCACCGCTGAGAACGGAGGATGCTATACACTCGCACGCACGGTTAGCCGTCTGCTTCTGCATCCGCAATATCCCCAGCAGAGAAGGAAGAGGAAGAAAGGGCCACTCACGCGTCGTAAAAACACCCGTCCCGATCATTTTACTCAGATTCAGAAAGATAACAGTCACATAGCCCACTGAATACCCCAACGGCGAATCCACTTCGATCGGCGCCCCGCTAGCCTCCTGATACGTGATCTCATTCGAATTAAGCCCTCCCTCCGCAGTATAATGCAAACTGCCATTGTCGATGATACTGGCGTTATCAGACCGTTCATCCTGATCGAGGACAGTTGCCTTCGACTTCAAAAACGAGAACCCCATGGCGGCAATACTTATAACTGCTCAGCCGGGGTGGTAAAAAAAAAGTGTCGATCGCGGAGATAAAAGGAAAGTTGCGGGGAGAAAAAAAGGCAGCTTTAAATATCTCCCCGAGATAAGAGACCTGCCGACAGAGACAACATGCTCATCAGAAAAAGCAATGGCGTGACGGTCTTGGTTATCTGTGTCTCATCCAACCATATGCTCAAGGGGATCGGCTACGAGGGGTGCGATGGAAGCTGAGGTTGTCCATGCGGAAGTGTATTTAGAGTGGCCAAGGCTTGTCGTCTGCTCAAGGTGGCATCTTCTAGGAGGCGAAGGTGGTGAGATCACGGCTAGGGTTACATTGACAAGATCTTGGGAGACTAAAAAAGATAAATGTGGCTGGCAATGGCGAATCTATTCGGTACTCTGTACATTGGGTGGCTTGAATGCCAGACCCCGAACCAGGTCCATACTTACGGAGGACTTCAGGAAAAGAAGGTCAAACTTGTAGGGAAAAGCTACAGGTTAAAAAACTAGGCCCCTCCCCCCAGAAGAGAAGTGCAGTGGTTTTACGAAAAGCCAACGAACCAACACGGGGTGATAGCGGGATTGCACGATTGCAGGGAAGAATGACAGCATCGTTGTCGCCATCTCCCCCCATAATTGGCTTTCAAAATGTCACCGCTAGCCAGTAAGCTCAGGGCTTGGGAGCGCTTGGCTGCATAAGCCGGATTTACGCTTATCAGGGAGAGGTTCTCGTGTCGCATGGAAGTTGACGTTGATATTAGGTTAGAGCAAATGGGAGAGATAAGGGAAGAAAAGAGATTAAACAAAATACATGTCAACTTGGTAAAGGAAAATTGACCACAAGCCACAAACTCCAAAATGAAAGTTCGCTAATCTACCAAAAAGGCTAAGTCCATGAAACACGCTGAAGATCGGCAGGAACCTGCCAATTGTGCACCCGACAAACTCGCACATATGCGTCTATGGCTTCGCCCACGGAATAATCACTTCTATCGCTCATTTGAAGCCGTGCTGGCCGCGGGTCCGTGCTCGTGATGGCCATGCGAACCTGTAGCAAGACTGCCTCGATACTGGAGACCGGGGACCAGCCCGACGTAGTGAGGAGCTCCATGCAAAGCGCTCCCCCTGGCGTGATATGCCCACCACCCCCTTGGCTAAACATGACAAATCGCGGGCGGATGACTCGCACGAACGGTGGGGACATGGGGAACTGGGGAGGAAAGCGGAGCTCCAGCACGACACTTGTGAGGCCCAACTTCTTCAGGTCTTTAGCCAGGGGCAAACTAGGATCAAAGCTGTGCAGCTCTACAATCCACTGATACACATTTTCGATCAGGTGGTGATCTATGTACCAGCCTAGTTCATGTAATGGTTCTCGCTCTTGCACCTTTAGTGTCTCCTGTAAGTGCTGCTGCAGGACCTTTGTGGCTTTAGTGGTTGCATACTGGGGTGGTCCTAGTAGCTTGACCGATGATTCTCGCAGAGTTCCCGGACGGAAGTCCGTCAACGAGGAGTTGTTTTGCAGTGGGCGATTGTCGAAATCACCTTCACCGTAGCGTTTCTGGAGTTCTTCATCGGTGCCCCAGTCCAGTAACATGCGATCTTCCAGCAGCGTCATAACGCTGCTGGCATCATCATCATCATTGTCCTTACTGTCCTTAGCTGGCAATTTCAATTTTTTAGCACGACCGGCCACCTTTGTGGGCGAATCGCTAGCCGTGGCCATCCGGCGACTGCTCAGAGCAGAGAGAGGAATAGCAACAGCCTCGTTCTGACAGCCAAATGCTCGGCGATTTGGGTCTTGATCATAAAAGGATCTGGCGGCGGTAGCCCCGGAGTACTTTGTGGAGTCCTTGCATTCAACGAACAGATATCGTGACTGAATCCAGTCCAGCTGACTAACGACGTAACAGCCCTGGGAAGTGACAAACTCACCGGGAGCATTCACAACTTCGTTCAAAACTATGGCCTTTGAAACCTTTAACAGGCTATTAGGCCAGATCGTTCCCCCGGCCGTGTATCCAAGCGATAGGTCGAAATTAGGTGACATGTATACGCCGTTCCCATAAGCACGGCCGTGGGCTACGTAATTAAAATGCAGCCCTTCTCGCAGAATGCTGTGCCAGTTATGCAGCGCGCTACCATGCCAGGCAAAGAGGGTAGAATGCTTGAGCTTGAGACGGTTGGTCGTAGAAGTCACAGAGTGCACAAAGCGATGCTCCTTGTCCGGAGCTCCTTGAGCCAACCGAAACTGCATCCAGCCAGGGACACCGGAAACACGGTCCTCGGGATTCTCTTCGTACCTGATACAAGACCTATTGGATGAGACAATCCATCGGAGCACATATAAGGCGGCCGGGGATATCCGCTCTGTCCACGTCACCAGAGACCTTCCGGAGACCGCTGCTCGTTCGCTCGTCAAGAACGATCGCATCTGATCGACGTCGGGTAGAGTGTCTAGAAGCATGCAAATGGCTTCCCGTTTCTTTCTGTCGTCCAGAGCGTCAAAATTTGTGTCGTACACCATGAATTGAACATCGGACGTCATATGCATCGTGGGCGATTTAGACCGATGCACCGGAGAGGCGAGCTCGTACGAAGGCGCGAAAACAGTGTTCATCACTCGGCAGTGCCACTGGGAATCTGTACCCAGTGGACTTTGATTCACAGCCTTCGTCAGGACAACCCAATCGCCGGTTTTAAGCGTGACCGACTCATCCACCCGAAGACGCATGTTCGCGAGATCCAACTTTCCCGCATGGGCCTGTTTTCCCTGAAAGCAGGGAACTTTGAGGCCAAGGCCAGTAGGGAAGTCGTCGAGGTGATTAGCCGAGGCTCTTGCGTACGCGAAGCTAACGAGAATGTCAACAACATACGGCTGCGACAAAATCTCCCACTCGATATTTGGGCCCATGCCGAGCTTCATATATTGATAAAGACATAATCCTTTGGAACAAACGTAGGGCTTCAACGCTTCGAATCCAGTATCAATCTTGCAGTAACAGTTGAGGCAGAAGTCCACACACTTCACAAACCGACGCAGAGTAAACTGCATTGCCAGAAGAGGAAATGATAAAGAAGATGAGCTAGGATCGAGATCATCGGAGATATGGTCGGCTTTCAGGAATGCCGGCGTAGACTCGTCCCAATGCTCAGGGGTGTGATATTCCGGTCGCTGAGAATCCTGCCTCGCCTTGTCTTGGATACGGCCTTGGTTATTGTTAAGAAAGAGCTCGGCGCTTGTCCATTTGAAACCGTAGTCAAGTCGGTAGGCGAGCAAGTCGATGAAATATTTGTTGAGCAGAGATTGAAGTGAGTTCCCAATGAATATGGGCTTCAATGGCGCTCCTGAGTGCCGCGATCTCACACTGTCATCGGAAGACGGTTTGCTCGAGGCGTTGAAAAGCATTCGGGCTTCATCCAAGCCGGGTTTGTACTTCTCACACGCACCAACATGCATCTCGACAGACGAACTCCCCTTGCCAAGAATGTCCTTCATCCGAGTGTATCCTTGCGGATACCGAATGAGGAGCACGAGGTAGTCAAGGGGAGAAACATCCCAAGCCTTCATGGCCTCGATGGAGATGCCAAGCTTGGCGATGCGGCAGGAGACTGATATCATCACGGAGCCGGTCGCATGGCCCAGATAGCCAACCTTGTATCCCGCCTCCTTGGCGACGCGCAGGTCCTCTCGCACTTCCGATATGACTGTCCGAGCGTCTGGTCGAGCGTTGAAAAAGGATTTCTCCTCGTCTTCCCAGTCGATTTCGTCCTCGGACAGGAACCCCGTCTCGCCGTCAACATCATCTTCCAAGTCAATCTCACCCGAGGAGCCGGTCGGCGAGGCTAGTTCCAGAATAGCTGCGTCGAGGCGCTTACTAAAATGTTCTAGAAACTCCACTATCGTCAACGTGCAATCTGCCGGCTGAAACTGTTCTAGAGCGGATGAAACTGCCTCTGGGATGGAGTCTGATGCCGCAAAAGCAAAGTATGTGTGATCTCTAGGGTATTCTGAAGTGTCAGGTACGGAGACTTGGAAGTCAATAGTCTGGGTGTCGAAAGGAACCTGATAGGTGAGGTAGATCGAGCCGTCCTCGTTGCCTGATCGCACGTCACGTAGATGTGCAAAAAGATATGGCACCGAGGACTTCGCAAGGTCTCTCTGGAAATCTTTGCGGGGCATTTTGAAAAGTATGTGAGATCAACCGAATAGCAGGAACGGGGAGTGGGGGAAAACAACCTGGTTTATCAAGCACTCCAAGGCTGCCGTGGGGATCTTGGCCGCTTTTGTATTGCAGCCTAGATTGAAGAATCCAGTAACCAGGGAGACAATACAAAGAAGAGCCAAAATCTCTTTGGCATTATATTCCCAAGCAGGAGGGCCGCAAGACAATGGAGAGAGTCGAAATCAGAATGATGAAAGAAGAGAAAGGAGAGCAAGGAGAGGAAGACGAACAAACGACGACATCAGCAGCCGCCCGATGCGGTTAAGCGCGCCGACAATGGAAGTATGGAAGGACCTTCACTGCCCTCTTTTGCGATCGCCTCCGCTTCTTTGGCGGGGAATCTCACTATTTTCACTCAATAGGCTATCAGTCGGCCAGATCCGTTAATTTCTGGACATGTCGTTCCCCATCGATGCAAATCGAGGAGGTCCAAGTACCGCGGAGGTACCCGTAAGTGATCGAACGGGCGGATGTTGCTCCAGAGCCAATGGGGAGCTTGCTAAGAGGAAAGAAACAAAGGAATATCATGGAAGCGACTTCTAGGGGACTTCAGCGGATTTTGTTTCTAGTAATGGAGGTATGTTTATGTCTTCCACGTGAGCAACTATCTATGTTCTAACAGATGAAGGAAGGGTCGGCAACCCAGGGTACGGCCTTCGTACGAAAGGTGAAGTACAGTACATGACGTGAAAAGGGTATACATGAGCGAATAACACAGTTAAACTACCTACTAGAGAACGGTTGAGGGAGGCAAGGCCATCCTAGTCTCAACCTGGGGGGTAAACAAACAGCAAATGCTTGGGACCTTGCCTCAGGTACTGAGTATTCCACCATATCAATGAAGGTATACTGTGGATATCCTCCCTGTTCGCAAGTTGTTTTGATCTCTGTGGCACTGCAGTATCACCTAGCTGGGATCATCTCTGAGTGACCTGGCCACTCGTCAGGAACGATTTCGTCAACCCGGAACCGCAGTGCAATTACTGTGAGATGATCTATTGGGTTATCGAGAAGTTGTCTTAACCAGATTTTCCAGTATATTCGCTCTTCTGAAATGATAACTCAATGTCAATCTTCTATCACCCGAATCCGATATTGTGGTGAAATGACCTTAGATGGCCGAATTAACTGAAATAGCTTCAACAGGTCTAGATCTCTTCGATCCAGGTATATATTGTTCCTTAACAAACGGGTCAAGGGAAGATTTATGATATTCTATTCGATTAATTGAACAAGAACATTCCTAATTCTCTGGCAGATACAATGAATGAAGTTTGAATGGAAGATAAATCATCTGGGTCTATCGTCGAGAGTGAACGACTGTCCAGTGTGAACAGAGGCTATAAATAGCTATCCGACAGGGATGCATCCCTTGTGGAAGAGGGGTCAGTCTTCCGGGACCAGAGTGGCAACGATGAATATGCAAGGGATAAAATCTGTGTAGAATATCGAGATTCCAGTCCCTTGCATCTTCCACGTCTATTAACCGATATCCAAGGCACTGCCAATGATCCTAGGAAACCCGAGATCACTTCTCTCCGCTAGTAACATCCTCGGCACGATGCAGCCCCAATCACACGGTATCTGTCCAAGGTGTCATTGACAGCGCCGATCATGGCCTTTCTCCAGCGGGGACTAAATCGTGCATATCGTCTAGTCCCAATACCAACAAACGACATGCCGACCCCGCTTGCTAGTCTTGTGCATAACACGTCCATATAACCACATGAGACCCCTAACGCCGACGACAGAATGCCTAAGATAGCTATACCAAGCGAAAGACCAAATGCCCACCTCTACCAACCTAACAATCCCATTCCTCATTGTCCTCGCCAACATGATCCCCCTTGGGGCCCTTGGGGCCCTCGCCCCCACCCCACCCCTCCTCCCTACACCCCCCATGGGCTTCAACAACTGGGCCCGGTTCATGTGCGACCTCAACGAAACCCTCTTCACGCAAACAGCTGACGCCATGAGTGCCAACGGCCTCCTCGCCGCCGGCTACAACTGGATTAACCTCGACGACTGCTGGATGACCAAGACCCGTGCCCCGAACGGCTCCTTACAATGGAACTCGACCCTCTTTCCCCACGGGATTCCTTGGCTCGGTGAATACGTCAAGGCACAAGGCTTCCGCTTCGGCATCTACGAAGACGCCGGCAATCTCACCTGCGGCGGATACCCCGGCTCACTAGACCACGAATTGCAGGACGCCCAGACCTTCGCATCCTGGGGCGTCGAGTACCTCAAGCTAGACGGCTGTAACGTCTTCCCCGCGGGCACAGAGGGCCGAATAACCCTACAAGACGAATACAAGCACCTCTACGGACTCTGGCACGACATCCTCACGGGTCTCGATCAACCACTCATCTTCTCGGAATCCGCCCCCGCGTACTTCGCACACAACCCGTCCCTCTCGGACTGGTATACCGTCATGTCCTGGGTCCCGGAGTACGGGGACCTAGCGCGGCACTCGACCGACATCCTAGTATACGCGGGCAACGGTAGTGCCTGGGCCAGCGTGATGGAGAACTACGAGTTCAATACGCGGTTGGCGAGATACCAACGTCCGGGGTACTTCAATGATCCAGACTTCCTGATCGCCGATCATCCTGGGTTGAGTTTGGATGAGAAACGATCGCAGTTTGCGCTGTGGGCTTCGTTTGGCGCGCCGTTGATTATAAGCGCGTATGTGCCTGATTTGACGACAGATGAGTTGGCGTATTTGTTGCATAGAGGATTGATTGAGATTGATCAGGATGGGATGGCGCAGCAGGCAACACTGGCGAGGAGGGATGGGAGTGTGGATGTGTTGACGAGGAGTTTGGAGGGAGGAGATCGTGTGGTGACGGTTTTGAATCGGGGGGATGAGGTGGTGAGGAGGAAGGTGTCGGTTGAATGGCTGGGGTTAGAGAGGGACTGTGTATATGAGGCAGTGAGGGTGTGGGATGGGACAGAAGTGGAAGTACAGGAGTTTGTGGAGGTGGAGTTGGCGGCGCATGCGACGGAGGTTTACAGATTGCGGCTGCCGGAGGACTGCAAAGACGTCATTCCAACGGGCATGGTGTTCAATACCGCGTCGGGAAAGTGTCTGACGGGGAGTGAGCATGGAAGAGTGTCAATTGAAAGTTGTAAGGGAGAGGAATCTCAAGGTTGGCAGGTTCATGCGTCTGGTCAGTTACGTCTGCTGGCGCAGCTGGACAGGTGCCTGAGTAGCGACGGGAAGTCTCTCTTGCTCGAGCCATGCCGGGATGCAAGTCACCAGAGATGGTCCTATGGAATGTCAGGGAACCTTAGGAACGTCAAGACAGGGAGATGTCTGACGGAGGGAACGGGAGTCGACAAATGTGGCGTAGAGTTGGACAGGCAGGTCTTTGGGTTGCCAAGTGGCGTGCAGGTCCAAGACAAAGAATAGACTTGTAGATGTATATCTCATGCCTTGGCGATGAATTTATGGCTAATGAATAAGGAGCAATGTTGGGCTTTGATCTGTCTCCAAGAGAAGAGACAAAGACCTATACAGAGCGAAGGCACGTGATTAGGGCAAGCATCATTCTGTTCTAGATGGGATGGCAGTCGAATCGACATCAGGTGCCGTCTACTCTGTTCAAGTAGTTTCTCTGGGTGACGAAAGGCCAAATAACAGTCTCTGGACTCGAGGCCATCTTCTGAGCAACGAATGTGTAGGCCCCCCAGCTGGTCACCGCCAACAACATCCCATCAGGTTTCTTGATCAGGACAAGAGGGAAGACCTTGAAACCGACAGATGATAGGAGATTCAACATGCGAGCTCCCCTTGGCTGATGCATTGCTGCATCGTCCATAGCCACATGGCACATCGGGACATGTTTCCTCGCTCGGCATAAGGCTGAAACATGTTCAAGCAAGGTCAGCGATTGCATAGAGAAGGAGAATTCCTGAATTGACCTGACCGAAAACAGGATGGTCAATTCCAACTCCCTCAAACCTTGAGGATTGGCACCATCATCGCCAAGAATCCTGGTTAGCTACCGATGCCTGATCCTACTGGGTATAGACCGAGCGACCGAATCATGATCCTGCTATGCATCATCCAACGCCCTGCTGGCCCCACCGACGAGGCTGTCATAGCCACGCCCGCCTTGGCTCATGTCATGATCCCGATCCACTGTTCGGCCCCGGGGGCGTAGATGGATTGCCACCGGAACTACTCCATGTGGAAACTCAGTTGGCCAAGACTGCTTGCTTCTCGTATGCTCTACACGTGGAACCGCTGCGTTTACCCCGGACAGGTAATAATTGAAGATGATGCCAAGCGACCTTGAGTGATTCAGGAGCCTTGTCTAGGACCTTCGCCCCGCCGTCATACTCTTGTCTGACGATAGAAGGATTCTGGGTCGCATGGTCGAAGAAGAGACTAGGAAGAGAAATGTATATAAAGAGCTCAAGTTCACGATGAAATATTTCTTCCACAGGGACAACCCCATCATACTACCAACATGATATCATTTTCTTTTACCTTTCTCATAGCGTCTCTGATTGCCGTGACGCAGGCAACGCCCTTGCGTCGACAGTCCCGACAACAACAAGGAATCCAATGGCACCAATGTCCCGACGACAAAGATTCTCCGCTGCAATGCGGCAATCTGACCGTTCCGTTGGACTACTCGGGTGAAATCTCGAACGCAACTGTCCCCTTGGAACTATTCCGGCTGCCGGCCGCAAACAACCAGTCGAACGGGAGTGTGCTGTTGAACTTCGGGGGACCTGGCGCGAATGGACGTCTTAATTTGTTCGCGTATCGGGAAATTCTGCCAGCGTGAGTTTTCTCCCATCTCGGGTCACAAATACCAACACTGACATAAAGTGTAGTATAATCGGTGGCAACCACGATCTCATCGCCGTCGTTCCACGGTATGTTACCCATACCAAATCAATGGAGGAATATTCCTAACCCGAGCAGAGGAACTGGAAACAACACCCTCCGCTTCTCATGCTACAACACCCAGCTTGAAAGAATAGCCAGCAGTCTTTTATACCGGACTCGTGCTGGAAACGCTTCGGACACAACGATCGGCGAACTGTGGGTCAACAGCAAATTCCAGGCCGACGCGTGCTATGCGACGCGGAACCGGACCGGCAGCTTTGTCAGTACGGGGTCCACTGCGCGAGACTTGATGAGCGTCGTGGATGCCTTGGATGAGGACGGGATGTTGCGGTACTGGGGTAGGTTTGAATCATGTAATGTCAATAAGAATCTGGCTAACAGAAATGGGTAGGTATCTCGTACGGAACGGTTCTGGGATCGACACTGGCGGCCATGTATCCGGATCGGATCGATAAGATGGTTCTTGATGGTGTTGCCAACGTGCATGAGTTCTACCAGAACAAGTACGTACCTCCTACCATTCAGCCTAACATGGTGACTAACTCCATTCAGAGAAACAGAACTGTTTGCCGACTCCGACAAGGTCTTGCGAGGTTTGTTCGCCGGCTGCGTCGATGCCTCTGATCAGTGCCCTCTTGGCAGAAACACCACAGCCGATGAGCTGGAGGAGCGTTTCTACGCCACACTGGATAAGATCAAATACGCACCCTACCCCGTGACCTTACCGGGTGTAGGCCCGCAGGTAATCGATTACACGACAGTCAAATCGCGCGTCTTCAGCGACCTCTACTCGCCAACCCTCTGGCCCACGACTGCCTCATTCATCGACGGTCTGTTGAACGGCAACCAGACGGCCATCGCCGAGTACCTGACCATCAAACTCAGCCAACCATCGGGCATGGAAGACGAGGCCCAGTTCGGCATCAAATGCAGCGATGCGTTCGGTTCCGGATCCTCGCCTGAAGATATCGCTAGAACCATCCAGGGACGACACGACGCAAGTCGTTTTGGCGGCGACACTGCGGACATTGTGCCGATGATCTGCGCGCACTGGAAACTGGCCCCGAAGGACCGATACGACGGGGATTTCCGAGTGAAGACGAAGACGCCGGTCCTGTTTATCGGGAACACATTTGACCCGGTGACGCCGTTGGTGTCGGCCAGGAATGTCAGCTCGACGTTTGAGGGCAGCGTGGTGCTACAACATGATGGATACGGGGTAGGTTATGTTTGGACCCTAATGATGATGATGCATAGAGCTGACAATATTTACTAGCATGGGAGCTTGGAGCAAGGATCTGTTTGCACTGTGAGGGCCACCCGGGCATATTTCCGCGATGGCACTCTTCCGGACGCCAACACCAAGTGCGATGTTTCGACGTCGCTGTACTCAGGGAAGACGGGATGGGAAAAGGTGTTCGAGGAGTTCGGTACGGGTGAGCAGTAACTGAGAATCTTTCTTGATGTTTGTTTTTCTCTGTCAGGTTTCAGCGGGGATTGAGTAGGCGAGGAGGTCTACATGGTCTATAATATCGTGCATCCGACGCTATACGTATTTCTAATTCAAGACTTCCAAACCGGTTATTGTTCTGTAGCATTGATCCAACCTTGCGACTGCGACAGGAATGACATCTTCATCGGACTATCTCCGATGACTCTGTCAGGATCTATCACACAGAGAACAATGCAACGTGCATCCTTCAAGCCAATGTCTCTACCATCCCAATCTCAGTGGTCAAGTTTCTTCACCACCACTTGTATACACTGACAACCTACTACTACCTGTCCGAGCATCAGCCCACTCTAGGAGAATCCCTCATCGGTCATCATCAGCAAAGCATTTGACTCTTGATCCGGAAAGCCAAACGACGCCACGCCCAATCATGCCTCCAGCCCTGTCGCCACCTCAGCAAGGCCCAGGGACATGCAGAAGCGAAGCACAGACAGCGATGCCGATATCAGAGACATGATCACAGTCAGCCAATCTCGATAGATTAGCGTTCTCGTATTCCTGGCTAAATCATAATCTGCGCCAGGACCAGTTTCTCAGTTCGGCAACGCCCAGGGGGACCCAAGGCTCGGCTCTTCTGGCTCTCTGATGTTAGCGTGCGAAGCTGTCGACGCCAAGACCCGTGCGGTGCCAATGACGGGGAAGAGTCCAAGACATGTCTGGCACTACGGCCTTTTAGGGCTGCGTGTTATTGGCGCTGTTTCCCCTTAGCGGGCTTATCCGCTTATACTGCTTTGTTTGGGTTGAGCTGATTTTTTTTTCATGTTTTCATTTTTCGCCTGGGACTTTTGATCTCCGCAGATTGATAGGAGTAAAAATCGAAAAGGGTCTCATTGAGGAGTCGACTGAGTAGTAACTAGCTGATTTCGTGTTACATTGGGCTCGAAAAGAACCGATTTACTAATTTTAGCCATTGTTCCCTTTTTCTGATATAAAGTCGATCGATCGCCCCGAGATCTTCTCCCCAGATCATCATCATCATCATCCTCCCGTCTTCACAACCAACCATCCACTTCACTCTCTCTCCCAACTCCACCAAAGTCTACTACCGTCACAATGCGTCTCCTCCTCACCACCATCCTCGCCCTCACCACCACCACCCTCTCCCAATCCATCGAACCCCCAGAGGGCTGCCCTCTGCCCCGATGGACCATTAACAACTTCCAATGGCACAACGGCTCCAAGAGCCTGGACTGCATCCACAACGAAGCCGACCGCTCCGCCAAGGGCTGCCTCTGCAACGGCGGCTGGTGCGAACCGGACCCGGACATCTGCAACGGCACCATGGTTCCTCTCTGCTACACGGGAATGCCCAACTACGAGCCCTGGGGCTACGGACCCCCTCAGACGCTGGACATCGATTTCGCCGACGGCCTGCACTGCCACGACGAGTACATCGGCTACCGCATCCACGATATCGGCAACGGTGCCAGTAACTGCGGCTACGCGGACCGGAGCCTGGGCCGTGTGGTCTCGTTCTACGGAACCTCGAATAAGGAGGCCAGTGTTGGCCATCTGGATTACCAGCTGGGTCGCGGACATGCGCTCGAGTGTCAGGATGGTCGCAAGATCACGTATTCGGGACGTACGGATTTCGAGCTGAATTGTGTGCATGATTCGTTCTTCAATGCGACTTGCACGGCGGAGCCGTTCCAGGTTCCCGTGCTGTCGTTTGAGTGGGTGGAGTAACTTTTTGCTCTTCTCTGTCGACGAACCTTGCTTGAATCTCTATCGCTGGATTGTGAATGGGGAAGGTTGTGAAGACATCCAAGGGGATGGGGATCTGGTAAGCAGACGGATGAATATATACGCCGAGACGAGTGAAGATTGAATGTGAAGCTATGAAATATGGGGGTTGAGACTGTACCTAGGAATAGTCCGTACATAATAAATTGACCGAACTCTTCTGGACCTTTACTCCGTAAACCACACCAGAAATTTTAATTCGCATATTAAAAACGCCCCGTTCAATTAAGCCCTACGGGGACTAAGTGGATAGACCCCGATTTACTCCGTATGGAGTCTGCACTATGGAATATGGATACACTCAGGTCCCATGCCTCGTAGTGCGTCCCTGGAGCATCGGTGAAAAATCATCATTCCGCTTCCGAATAGAGTACGCCCACCGAATAAAAAAGTTGAAGACAGGTAAATCGGTGAAGTGACAGCGACCAGGTAAGCCCTTCTGATGCAAGGAGGCAATCTACAGCTGTCAGCCAAGGCATGAAGAAGAAAACGGAAAATCAGATAAGAAGGAAAGCTTCGCCCCCACGACTTGCCCCTTCCAGAAGGATTCAACGACCATTGCCTGATCGGGACGACGCGACACACGTGCTGATTGGCTTTGGCGGCGCAGGGCTCTCAAAGGGGTTTAGCTGATCGTCACGGGGTTTTGTACTGCCTCGCGGGTTCTTCATTTATTTATCCTCTCCATCTCTCTCCATCTCTTGTCACCTGCCCAGGATGTGATCCTACACTCACCTGACAGATCCTCAATTTTGTCAGGTCTCCAACAACAAAACAAACAACAATCACAATGGCATCCACAAACCCATTTGCAAACCCTCCTTCATCAGACCTTCACCCTGAGTCTGAATCTGAACCCAACCGTGACTCTCAACCTCAACTCCACAATCAACTCACCTCTCCCACCATAGCAGAGAGCATGATGCCTCCCCCCAAAACCGCGCTGCAAGTCGACTTTTCGCTCAAAAAATGGAACGTCATCATCAGCCCCATCTCCACCTCTTCCAGCTCGCCCGACCCCTCCACCTCGGCCCTCTACCGCATCGACACGCAATCCACGCGCCGACCCCAGATGCTCTTCCGCCACGCCAACGCCCCTCCCAACTCTCCCCCCTTCGGCACAGGCACCCTCCACACCTTCAGCATAAACCCTGACTACACACTGCACAACACCTCGCAGCCCCTCACGGCCACAAAACGCTTCCGCACCTCCTACACCTACCAATCCGCCATCTTCTCGCGCGTCCCCGGCCAGACCGAGACCATGACATGGACGTCCACAAGCGGGTTTAAGAACTGGGATTTCATCCTGCTCGACGGCGACATGTTGCCTGTGGCGCGGTATTCGAGTCGGGTGTGGGCGGTGCGCAAATGGGGCAAGATTGAGTTTCTGGGCGAGAGGACGGAGGATGAGCGTGCACGGGAGGAGATCGTGGTTACTGGTCTGGTGTTGTTTTTTTGTATGGTGGTGAGGGCGAGTAGTATTTTCAATTTCTTTGGCGCGTGTTTTTATCGGCCGAAGGGTCATGTTCAAAGGAGTTTGGAGGGCGGGAAGGGGGGTTCGGATTCAGCGACTATGGATGGTGATGTTGATTGTGATGGTGGCCATGGTCATGGTCATGGGGGATGAGGGGGTGACTGAGATGTCTTGGTCGGGCTTTTCTCTTCTCTCCTCTTGTCTTGCTTTTGCGGCTTGGATTTGTTTTGTGCTTGGTTGAGATACCCCGGTTGTTTTTGTTTCTTGTCTACGTAGGCCTTGGAGTTGCGTGCGCTAATAGATATCTGTATCACTGCGTGTTTCTTGCTTGCCATCGAAAGAATGCATTCTATATTCTATGGGTATCTGCTTTTAATCTATACAAATCTAATGCTAACCGACTAGCCCATTAAGCATTACTCACCTCAACTTTGGTCGTGTCCAATAACCGCAAATCCAATGCAACGCTGATGAATCACTTTTACTTTGTCCTTCCCCATCATACCGCAATGGTCAGGAGAATCAATCAACCCTTCCTAAAATCAACCTCCCCCTTCGCCGCCGCCTGCGCAAACTTACTCCTCCCGCGAATCCACTCCCCATAGCGAATAAAAACAAACGGGATCACCGCCACCGCAATCGCAAAGAACCCCAACAGGGAACTCGCCCAATCAATACCCAACTTGGTATACATCGGCGTCGTCGCAAGCGGCAAACACACAGCGAAGATAGACCGCAGCGTACTCGCCGCGGCGGCAGCGGAGGCCGAGAACTGTTTATACGCGTCGGTGAGGTAGTTGATCAGAGCCATGAAGATGAGGAGGTAGCCGAAGCCGAAGAACACGCCGGACATCATGGGCATGACGGGGTGGATGGAGAGGCGGGCGGACCAGCCGAGCCAGAAGAGGGCGATGGGGATGGTGGGTGCGCCGAGGCAGGCGAGCGGGAGGCGGCGGTATTCTTCGACGAGGGTCCAGGATTTGCCTTGGAGGGTGGCTTTGGTGTGGTGTTTTGAGTAGAGGACGAAGGCGCTGAAGGCGAGGATCGAGCCGGGGAGGACTGTATGTTGTTAAAAATGGGGTTTATTGGGCTGAGGGGTGGGACTTACTAGGGAGGAAGCCGAGTCCGGTGATACCGGCTGATAGACCGTAGAGTTCTGGGAGGAGAGCTTAGCTGCCATTTGCCATTTCAAAATGACTGGGAGGAGAACATACGCTGGAACACAATCGGGTATGCCTGAAAGTACAGGTACAGGATGGAGTAGATCAGGGCAAGATACAACGAGCAGCAGAACACGATCGGCTCTCGCGTGATCATAACGAACGGCCGGCTCAACACCGAGCCCATCTTCTGCGAGAACTCGTGCGTCTGCACACGGATCTCCTCCCATGCCGACAACTTCTCCTCATCGCGCAGCAGAGATTTCTCGTACCGCTGAATTAACACAGGCATGTACGTCTCCGGCATGGTGACTAGAAGCGGATATCCCACGCCTGCGATGATGAGTCCTGCCCAAAAGGTCCATCTCCACGAGACGGTCGACACGAAACCCGAGATGATAGGCCCCAGAAGAGGCGGGAACGTCGTTGCGAACATGAACCAGCCCATCACCACGCCGCGCTGGTGCGGGTTGTCGTAGATGTCCGAGTACAGGCCGCCCAGGACGGCATTGGGCGCCGACCCTCCCAGTCCGCAAAGAAACCGGAAGATCAACAGTGCCGGGAAATTGGGCGCCAATGCGCAGGCCATGGTGAAGATGAGATACATGGTGAACGTGGTGAGTAATACCGATCTCCGACCAAAGTACTCGCTCATCGGACCAAAGATAACGGGCCCGATGGCGAAGCCGGCCATATACAACGACGTCGGAAGAACCATCTTCAGGCTGTCGCTGGGAATGTCGAAATACTCAGCCAGAGCATCGTGGGCACCGGAGGGAAGAGAGGACCCCAACGAGCTGTTGAACACGAAGTGAATGCCGGCGAGCACGATATGAAGTTTTCGTTTCTACATAATGAGTCAATGACATATGCATAGATAGACACAGAAAATAGACCAAACCCAAACAGTCAAGAACTAAACATAAGGAAATGAAGTGATTACCGTCGAGAATTTAGTAGGATTAGCGAAACCTTTCTCCGTCACGGGCTCTAGGTCGACCATATCCGCAGGGACCGGGCGTGCATCGCATTCCTTGGGCTTCTCAGATACAGTGAGGGTCGCCATACTCAACGTATCCGCGATTCCAGACTTGCAATATCGTCAACACGGACGATTGAAGGCGGGACTCGAAGAGTTTTATTGTTCTCTTACAAATCCGGAACAGGAAAAGACCACGGCATTCGTTCCGAGCTACGGGGTCGAAGCAACGCGACTGGTTGGGAAGTGAAGATCATGGCCCACCTCGGCAACCCGGTGGGCAGCAATTGGGAGAAAAAGACCTTAGCGGTGGTCTAGATGATGCCACTGACTGTCCGCCCCTCGCAGGGCCAGCGCACCAAGCGACTGGTCAATTGAGGCCAGTTGCGATATTCGCGCGTGCCGTTTGAATGTCATTATGTCTATGAACGATATGATGCGTAAATTTCGAATCTTGTTCGTGCTATGATCTCTTCGGACAACTGTCCGAGTTCTGAGATGACTGTCACGCCCTGCGCCCTGTAACAGACATTCTGTGGGCCAAGAACAGAATTTTTGACTCATGGTCTGCGACGGCTCCACTTTCAGCACCGTGGGATGCTTGAGTCTGGTTGCGGGTTGATTTTGCGCGGAATGAGATCGAAGGAACCCACTTGCCGGCATTACATATTGCCCGGATGATTCAGACCTGATTCGTGGTCTGGAAACAGTGGAAAGACTGGAATCAAGAATGTGATGATGTGCAGGTATGGCAAGAAGACAGCCCAGAATCTGTTTCCGGAGATGTTTTCTCCTGGCACGTGATCATCGGAGAGTTCCTATACACGTGACACCTCTCTTGCCTCTCTGAGAAATCCGGCCTTCTTTCATGTTTCTTCCGCTCCCTATCCTCTCTCAGGATGAATCACGTATCGGCCAGTTCATCAATTCGCCTACAGTCTCGAGGAATGAACAGCTGGGTAGAGTCGCTCGTCACCGCTAACTCCATCATTTCAAAACTCTCAGAACCATGCCCAAAGGAAAGCCTGTCGATCGTGTTTGAGCTGGTGAATGGGCGACCATCGAGGAAGACATGATTCGCCCGCGGAAGACTGTAGTTTCCAGGAAGATTACATGAGGGGCAACGCGGCAACCGATCAAGGAATGCAGTTAGTGAAGAGTTGCCTGTGCTTTTCCGACGCTGCGTCTTCCCCGCACTCCGATATGTCCATCAAGCTGCGTGCAACCCTCACAAGGTGACCCATACGTCAACGAATGGCTGGCTTTTGGTGCACCAACACAATATAAGTTGCACGGAGTCGGATAACCCTATTCTTTGTTGACTCCCAGCTGTGGAGGGGTCATCGTTCACAACTCGAAAGCAACTGCGAATTCCGTGAGGGGCTGAATCAACAGCTAGGACAATATCCTGGGTCGAATAAGGTAACTGGAAAGGGGTTAACACGTTTTCGACTAAATTATCCATGTCATTCTCCTTCTTCATGACACTCACCAACTAATCAACTGCCAAATTAACTAACTGTGATCGATTCTATTTATGAAACTAATCCAGTACACCCTATAGGACTCATAGTATTCGTCTACCGTTTCTTGTTGCATTGGCCAACATCGAGTGGCTGCATGATGCTTTCGGCGATGGCTTTTGCCTTCAGTTGCACAGAACCTCGCGGGCCCACAGTCGAAGACGGATGCCGACAGGAGGCGTTATTTGCTTCTTAGGCTTCACAGGTTTCTGAAAAGAAGACGATGATGAGAAAAGCACTGCCTGTCATGAAGGAAATCGCTTTCACGTTGGAAGCGCGACTGGTCCATAAGATGCAAAGCAGCTCGTTCCTGGCCAAGGCTATGCCACTATCCCTGTCTACCAATAACGAATTTGATAGTAAAGATTATCTTGAACGCAGTACACGTCGTTGATGATCAAGTCTGCCGGAAAATAGCCATATTCGCTAGGCCTTTTCGCATCTGCTAGATAGTACTCGATTGTGACACTGTGCTGGGTTTTCCCGGGCCTTTCAACAAATGTGACATGCTATTCTAGCATGATTGCCATTTTTGCTCTTTCTTCCTTGTTGCTCCGACACTTTACAAGTGGAGCTCTACTGAGTTAGCGCCTTTGATTACATTTTCCAAACGGGCCTTCTTAATGTAATACAAAATCGGATCTAACGTTTATTGTTGATGGAACCATGCCACCGTCTTCCGCGCCCTCGGTGACTTGGCTACAGTGTACACTAGTCTTAAATGCCCTCTTTGGCATTGTATAAATGAAATCACATCTTGGACGCCGGTGAGAGTAACACAAGTTGCAATATCTATCCGGGGTAGACAGGCAGGGTAATGCAATGATTGCGTGGTGTCATTACCCAACCTCCTACCGTCCATGATAACGGCCACCGGTCCTCTCGTGTTATCTTGACCTACACAGAGTCGAACTCTACCAATAGGCACAGGCTTCGGCTCACTAGTAGTTACCGTTCCACGCCTCCTCGGTGGCCGAGCAGCCATCTAGCAACTTCCGAACAATTGCGAGTATTGTCTTCCCACGGTCAGAGTGTGGAGATGTGATGAGCTCTCTAATTAATCTTAGGTTGACCGGCCATCCGCAAAGCATAAAAGGGCGCTACATTCTGGTGCCATCTTTTAATATCCATCAGTCTCATCATCACATCTCCATTCAGCTCCCAAAGCCAAACCAAAACCCAAACAACCCAAGCAAGCCAAAACAAAATGCACTTCACCAATTCCATCCTCGCTGCCGCGGTCGCATTCTTTGCCTCTTCTGCTTTGGCAGTGGACGTTCAGGTAAAGCTCTTCCTTCCACATCTCTGACAAAGATCCCATCTCCAAGCCACAGCTACTTACCGTCGCGTCTTACTAGATCGCCTACACTATGGACAACATGGGTGGTTACACCCAGAACATCCCAGTGGATGTCTACACTCCTCTCGACCATCCGTAAGTATCAGATCCGCAATTTCATTCCATGCTGTCTCAGCATTGTCTTCAAACATAAAAGCTTTGGACGGATGCTAACAAGCACAGGGGCATGATGACCACCCTCCAGACCAATGCACGCTGCGCGCTCTTCACGTAAGCTTTTTCATTTCGTTTCTCTTCTTTTTCTCTGGTACTTCCCCGTCCTTCTTCCTTTCTAATATGCTGATATATGTCTGTCTCAGGGATGGCAACTCTGCTGCCACCCAGGAAGTTGAGAGGGGTGCGCGCGTCTTCAACCCCCCTGTTATGGTCGGCGGTATGGTGTGCCATGATCCGTCCATGCAGTGAGTGGGTGGGTGATTATCATCCATTCATCTATCCATCGAGCCCGGCCAGGAAGTGAGCCAAGATTGGGATGTTGCGGGTAGTGGTTAGTTTGTTAGTTGATACCGGGGAGAGGAAAGGGACATCGAGCCGGGTGATTGAATGAAATTGACGTTTTGATGGAACTCGAAGATAAACAGTAAGACGTAACATGATGTAGCGAAATCCTTGCCAAGACTTTGTTTTTCATGGGCGTTTCTGGCCGGTAAAGATATCGCTCGCGTAGATATTCTTGTTCAAGCTCCGTGAGGTTTTAGAGGTGATGAAACATGGTTCGAAAAAAGAGTCACCGAGAATGTTTCAATCCTGGCACAGAAAATGTCTGTTATTCACTAGCTATTGACCCAATTCGAACCAACTTGATTGATAATCCTCCATGAATGAACAAGACCGTAAAAAGAAGAACCCGCTAGACATGCGCGGCACCTTTAAGACGGTTAAGATTCCCACGGGCGGCCAATAATGGACCGCCATGAAGGTATCCCCATAACGGCACCAGCCTCAAACTTGGGGGCCAATGATTGATTTCAAAGCAAACCCTCCCAACAAAGTGTTGATGGCCTCATAGTTTGATTTCAAAGCAAGATGAACATTCCTGTTGGCAGTCGACGATGCAGTTTTTGCAGTGGTCGCGAAAGGCATAAAGGGAGCGTGGTGGCGCATCGTTGTCGTTTTCATCTTCAAAACAATTGAGTCACTCTCGAGAAATCGTTCAAAAAAAGCCAAAACACTTCAAAATGGCATCCTACCTAATCACCGGCACGTCGCGAGGAATTGGCCTCACCTTGACGAGGATACTAGCTTCCAAGCCTGTCTCGGAGGTGTCCACGGTCTTTGCTGCTGCGCGCACCGAGACAGACGAGCTCAAGCAATTGGCTGCGAGGTCGAACGGGCGTGTACAGATCGTCAGTATCGATGTGACGTCTAAAGAAAGCACTACGAAGGCGGCAAGTGAGGTTGAACAGGCTCTCGGGGACAAGGGGCTAGATGTGTTGATTAACAATGTCGGCATTATGAACTATACCCCGGAGGGTATTGAGCATATGTACGTTTGCTTCCTTCTGCTTTCAAACTATTGGCTATATACTCATATGATATGTAAAAGGGATGATCTGGACTCGACATTTACGACGAACGTGACAAGCACACACCTCGTCACCAGTGCATTTCTACCTCTTTTGCAGGAAGGAAACCTGAAGAAAGTCATCAATATGTGAGTGCGCCCCGAAAGCAGCTCTCAGGTCGGTCCCTTTCTAACACATAACAGATCCACAAGCCTCGGCTCCATCGCCATGTCCCCGACATACAGCCTCTTCCCGGTCCCCGCGTACAAAGTGTCCAAAGCGGCGCAGAACATGCTCACAGTGCAATATGCCCAGTCATTCGCGGATCAAGGCTTTACATTCGTGACTGTCTCTCCGGGTGTAAGTCCCTATCAGCCGATGTTGACTGAAACAAGCTAATAAGTGTCCAGTGGGTGAAGACTGACCTCGGTGGATCTGGTGCCGATCTGACGACCGATCAGAGCGCCAATGGCATTCTGGAAATCCTGGCCCGTGTGACGAAAGAGGATAATGGCAAGTTCTTTAACATTAGGGTGGATGGTTGGGAGAAGGCCGAAGGATTGAACCGGTACGACGGGGCCGAGGCGCCTTGGTAGACTAGGGATAAATCTGATACGTTGAACTTCATGAATTTACCTTGTTGACACTAAAGCGAAAACATCCCCTGCATTAACTAGATCAGGTGTTACTTCAACGGCGAACGTAATAAGTTCGGAATGCGACAGCAGGCCGTAGTTGATCGGGGAAAGGACTCATAAGGAAAACTATACACAAGATATGAGTATTAGACTACGTATTAGCTGAATAACTTTATTTATGTGCTCTCTTCAGGCTAAGACGATATCGCTATCACCGAACAAAGCCGCAGCTTAAGTCAATTTTATGGCCGAGCAGCACCGACCAGCGAACAACGCCGAGCGCCGAACAGGGCCGAAGCTCTAAACATCCGAACAATGCCGCACTACTCGGTCATACTCGGTGCTCACCATGAAACAGATCCATCAATTATCGTAGAATCTGCAGTTTGAGTCAAACCTGAGCTCTTGTGTTCTATTCGAAATGTTCGAACTAATTCCGTACAGTCGGAAAAGCATTCATTTTGTGCCATAAACCAAGGACTTCTAGATTGTTTTGCATTAACTCAGAAACACTCGACCAAGGGGATGACAGCCGTCCAATACTAAGATTTCGATGAGAACCACGAGTACAGAGTAGGTACTGTGGGGTAATATGCCGGTCAGCACGAGGTCAGACCGTTAAACTCGTCGCGCGGTCTTGTTCGGTCGATCCGCGCCATCGCCGAGTAAAGCCATCTATGTCCTCTGCGCAGGCCAAGTCCGAACAGCGCCGAACGAGTCAGGAAGACACATTCTGCATCGTTTCTCCGTTTTGTGAGATTCTGTTTCGATATTCGATTTTGGATTACAGGTGCACCGATAATTTCTGCTTTCATATCCCTTCCTTTCCTTCTCTTCCCCTTGTTTCTACTAGGCTGTTATGGCTACAGCTGATTCAATCACTGTCAATCAAGGCCTCGCTCACCTGTGGAGCCCGACTATCTTCAATGATTAGCCCTTGTGCCTGCTTTAGCCCACTCACGCGAGAATATAGATACCAAAGGTTTCTAAAAATGACCAAGAAAGCTTTCAATGAGAAACGATTCATCGGGCATGAGTATCTAGAGGTCAAAGGCAGGGTCGATGTACTCGATGTACAGGTCCGGCAGAATTGACCTGCTACATACATTTTAGGGTAGGAAATAATGTTCTGGGAGATCGTTTGCTACTCAATTATACGCCGTGGAATTACGTAGATCTCAAATAAAGCCTTGTATTGGAAAGTACGATATGAAACTCCGAAGATCCACCCGTGTCTCTGCAAGCATATTGCCGATGCGACCGCAAAGCAGTCATACCCCGCCCCGTGAAAGGTCTTGGAGGGACTAAGCAATCAGATAGGCCGGCTGGAGGCTCGGTGGCCCCTGCGAAGTTGTACCAATACCAGAGGCCGGTCTGGTCGTCGTGTATGTACAACGATTCGAGGTTTCTCAGCGAGTCGCGAGCAGGACGGGAGGGTGCGTCGCTGACCTAGTCATTCGGAATATCATGGATGGTGAGATGACGGATCGTGTATCGTGTTGTCTCTTGTATATAGCTTCAACGAAACGTCTTAGCTTGGGTCCTGCAACAGACGGCCAGGTAGATAGACGCGGCGTTGCGATGTGGTTGAACAAGCGACATGTCTGGCTAAACGAGGCGAGGGCGGGCGAGCCGTCTAGTTGGTCAGTGATGGCGAGTATGAGTTCTTGTGGAAGTGTTGTGAGATTGGGTCCTTCCACCTTGACTGGTGACTCGCAGGGCGCTTTATCGTAGCCATCCATCGGAGAAGATTCTTGCATTCTTTGGTCCTGAGGCCAGGAATATAGGCAGCAGGGCATTCAGGCAACAACCGAAGGCTCGGTTGCTTTTGTCTCTGTCGCCTCCCCAATTCATAACACACACCAGAGATTAGTTGTCAAGGGTGTGCAGTGTGTTTACTACTTTACATCCACTGGATACTTCTCTTTGGCTAGGTTGCACGTCAGTACTCAATAGTTACATTTCACGCTGTGCGGCGGATGAATATCCGGCAACGGGTCCCGTGTCCCCAAAATACCCAAATAGCAGGGGTATCGTAAACGCTGAAGGAAACAGTTTGTTTTCGGTCAATTGTAACTATTCCAAGTGTTTATGTTTTCTGCTTTTAAACACCGTATTATTCATCATACTTTTTACTGAGGAATGAAGGATATTAACAAAATCACAGTTGAAACAGGTCGATGTGGGGAGTTAGCAAGATACTTTAAACAATTTTGTATCAGAGGTAAGACCTCTGTCGGCATTGAATAAACGAAGAAGCCAGTATCTTATATCAAGACGATTTGCCTGCTCATTAGGTGGTTATTGGCTATCATGCCCCTTGTACTGCCTCCGCAGTCATATCGAGCATCAAGAAGAGATTCGCATATCTCAATCGCCAGTCACCGAAACCCTTCACAGTTGCCAGATTAGGGCAGGGTGTGGATGCTCGATATTTGGTCTACCTGAGTGAATCATCCTTCTCACATCAAAAATCGCTGAATACATTCCTGTATCTACACAACAGTCTCATCACAATAACTCATACATACATTTCCATCGTAAATCATTTCAAAAACTCGCTCATCTTCTCCCTCGCCTGATCAGCTTGTCCCTGTACATCCAAGTCCCATAACCACCGCAAGCGCTTTTGGAATGTCTCCTTCAGCTTTGCCTCGTCATCATCCACACCGTCCAAACACAAACAGAGAAGATAAGCATTCTCCTTGCTGCTCGTAACCACCCGTTGACTGCGCGGTCGTCGGACATCATCGTATGCCTTAAACACGGCCTCCACGTCCTGTACACTCGTGACACGAGGATCGCTGAGAAGTTCTGCCAGGACGTGCGCATCCTCAATGGCCTGACCGGCACCCGCGCCCTGATGCGGCGTCGATGCATGAGCGGCGTCTCCGAGAATTGCAACCCGGGACTTGCAATACGTCGAGATATGCGGATGCTCGAAGATCGCCCATTGCGATGGGTCGGGCATGTACTGGATATCGATTAGTTGGTGCTAGCAAAGTCACGACAGATCTTGAAAAGCGACTCACCTCGACCAGCGACTGCACATATCGCCCCATATGGCTGGCATCCCGTCGCATATCCTCCTTACTGGCCGGTCGCACCCAGCTCTCGTGGTCCCAGGTATCGGTCAAGATGTAGAACCCGACATTCACCTTCTTGGCCCGCATGATGGGATACGAGATCCCGTATGCGCCCTTCCCAACATACATGGTTGAGACGCGGGCGCGCTGGTCCCCAACCGCCTTGACCATATCCTCCATGTCCAGCACGGCGCGATACGCATACATGCCACTAAACCGAGGCTTCTGCGCCTCGTCGGGGACAATCGCCTCCTTAACCTTGGACTTGATGCCATCGCACCCGACCACAACGTCAGCCCGAACCTCCGTCCCGTCATCGAACCGCAAATCAACGCCCTCCGGCCCCTCCGTCAGACTCTCCAACCGCTTCCCGAAATGCACGATATGCGGCGGAATCAAGTTCACCAGGGCCTCGAGGAAGTCCGCGCGACGGAGCGTCGTCTGGCCCGAGGGGAGGGCCTTCAGGTCCATGAGCGTGTCGCCTTCATGCTCGCCGCTGGCCCAGACGATTTCGAACCAGGTCTGTCGGAAAGCCTCATAACCGGGACTGTCGGCGTGGGTGGTGACCAGGGAGTCGTAGATGGCGCGGATCTGAGGATCGATCAGGGGCATTGCGCGATGCGCCGCGGGGCCGATGGACAATCCCAGGCCGATCTCCACGAAGGCGGGCGCAGCCTCGTAGATCTGCACGGGCACATTGCGTCGCAGAAGTCCCACGGCCAGACTGAGGCCGCCGATTCCCCCGCCCACGATGGTGACGGTGAAGTTCTTGGATGGTGCCGTGCTGCCCATGCTGGTGATGATATCTTGGCATGCACGGGATTATTTTTTGATTATTATTTTCTTTTTCCCTGCGTTAGATAATGCAGAATCGGATCGATTTTCCTGGTCTGCGCCCGTGGCAAGGGTTGAGTGTGTGCGTGTCACGGTGGAGATTGACACTCGTTCCAGCTCCCCCTCTCGGGCTGGGGATTTAAAGGGCGTTTGAATGCGTTCAATGCAGACGGATTACACGGCATCTGACCACGGACTAATAAAAAGGTGTGGTATGATGTTGGCCACTCAGAATAGGCTTCGCAAGGTGGAGGTATGTAGTACCATCCATGGATCCTGCAGCAGCACCCCTCCTGAACGAATGAATAACTTTCACAATTCTCTTCTCCAACAGCGCAGAGACAGAGATAGGCTTGTCAGACGCAGATCCGCAGGTTATGTAATACCACCCCCCCTAAACTGGAGGCTAAAAGCGCTATACTTTAGCGCGGACTGTGCTGCGCTGTCCTGCGGAGTCCTCCTATTGACCCTCCCCGTCTGTCGAGCGATATCCGCGACTCGGCCGCGACGTGATCCACTTCGTCCAGTCCTTGAATAACTCCGTATGAATTACGGAGTAAATTATTAATTAGCACTTTAATCTGCCTCTGACCAGACGGAAAGCCTGGAACAACAGGTCCAGATGGCAAAGGGCACGAGGAAACATCCGCAGGAACTCCATCACGCCGCCCACCTGCGACGCAGTAGCCCTAATTGCATCGACCAATCTGCGGTCCTTCAGAACGTTGGCCTCGTTCGTGTCTGACGGGTTTCTCCACCCCGACCAAAAGAAAAAAAAAATTGAAAAGAATAAGAAAAAGGGGCGAGGAAATACCGACTACCGAGGTTTGTGGACAAGGGTGTTCACTTGCTAAGCTCTGCCACATTCGCTTGTGTGTTCTTAGCGAGACACTTGCCAGGGAGCCAGAGCAAGCCAGAGCAAGCCAGAGCAAGCCAGAGCAAGCCAAGGCAATCTAAGGAAACTTAGCCCCCAAGGGTAGTGGAGCCCCGGGCTCTTAGTCGGAGTTGAAGGACTGGAATGGCCCGCGGGAGAGCATCCGGGCCGTGCAGTCTCGGATCGATTACAATCATAAAAGATCATGCTATGGAGATCCACTGGGCGAACCCGACTGGGTTGCTTGCTCCGAAGTTGTTCAGCTCACTCTGTTGGTTTTACGTAGTACTCCGTACTCCGATAATAGTACACCGTACACAGTAGTATTCCGTACGGTGTAGTAGTTGGTGGATTCTCGACAGGGATGCTTCTCCTGAATAGATTAACTATTCGCCAATGTTGCAATTTGTGAGATTTTTTTCTTCTATTCCTTTTCCCATTAGCTATTCTGAATAGATTAAGTTTCGAAAGGATCGAATTATTACTTTTCGCTCGCCCTTCCCTTCTGGAAGATATTATTTGGTCGCCTGTCGCCTGTCGTCTATCGCCACGCCGTCCCAGTCCCTCCATTGGCTCATCTATAGATCCCTCCTGCGGAATTTCCGATTCCTCGCCATGCCGGAATAGTCGAACGCAAGCCTTGGCTTTGGCTGTCCTTTGTGGCTTACTGCCATCTACCTTCTATAGATCTTCGATTTCTCGAGATGGAACATCTCGACCGATCTTCTAACCCGACCGTCCGTCTTTGTCGATAACCTCACAATCAACGCCTCATGGCGTCCTCGCCGTCGCCGAACGAGGATGTCTCTCGTGCCTCGGTGGTTACGATTCCTACGATCGTTACGACCGTCCTCGCCCTTGTCCTGACCCTTCTACGACTCTATGTGCGGCGATATATGATTCGGTTGCTGGACTGGGATGATCTGTTCAATGTGCTTGCGATGGTGAGTTCATCCTGTGCCAGAGAACGGGAATTTCGTGAATATTTCGAGATGGGGAGGGTCTAACTTGAGTGTTTGGGACAGCTCACCGTGCTGGTCGTCATGGGTCTGGTGATTGCGGCAACGCATTACGGACTCGGTCGACATGTCGAATTCGTGGATCCTGCTCACTCCGCGTACAGCGTGAAGATGTTGCGGGTGGCCGAGTTCCTGCTTATCTTCTCGACGATCTTTGTGAAGATCTCGATCAGTCTGTTCTTGAAGAGACTTTTGTAAGTCAATTCTATCGTTTCTTGCTTATGAGATTCTGGAAAACAACTAATGTCTGTGACTAAAGTCTAACGAGCAAGAAGTGGAAGTTCTTCTTTTGGTTTTTCATTGCATTCAACACCATCACGAGTATTCTCGACGCCGCTGTCATCTTCCCGCAATGCACCCCCGTCGAGTATAACTGGAACAAGTCGATTAAGGGAACGTGTTGGTCAAACGAGGCGATCGATGCGGTGGGGATTGCGCAGGGGAGTAAGTTTCTCCTCATTTGGGGGCTATTCGATATGATAGTGAGAGGCCAGAACTGACGAGTCCAGCAATCGCCGCCGCCACCGACTTTGTCCTATCGATTCTCCCCATCCTGTTCCTGTGGAACGTGAAACTTCCCAAGCGAGTAAAGGTGGGAATCTGCGGGATAATGGCCCTGGGATTTGCGTGAGTCATCCCATATTCAATCATCAGATCCATATTTCTGCATCTATCGAACGATTACTGACAAAACACAGGAGTGGGGGGTTCGCTATTGCTCGAACGGCCTTGGTGCCTGACTTGACGATGACTACGGATCCGACCTGTGAGTACTCCGTAATATTTCCTCAGTTTCTTTCCCTCGGAACCGTTGGATCTCCGACTGGTAGGGGAGGTGATAGACTAACTTGGATCTAGGGGACCTGGTTGAGCTGTTCATGTGGGCCAAGTAAGTATTTCCGCTCCACCCATCATACCATTTGCGATTCCACTTTTTTGGCAGAAGAAAACTCTCCGACCCAGATGCTAATTCGTATTCTCCAGTTTGGAGGCTACTTTCGGAGTGATTGCGGCGGCCGCTCCGTCGGTCCGTCCCCTCATCGGTCATAACGCAATGACCACCGAGTCGTACACACGGTCCAAATCGCACACGTTGCCACTGCGCAGTCTAGCAACGGGCCACCATTCGCGACGGGAGTGGGGACAAACCGTTCTTGAAGACGAGCCGGGCGATCGCATCTCCAACGACGGGGATAGCCAGTCGAATCTCTGGCACAGTGACCAGGGGATTGTGAAGACCATGTCCATCGAGGTGGTGACGAGCCAGCGCCCGCCCGACTCGGAGATGCAAATACAAGTGCATAGGGGACCGGGCGAGCGCAGCTCGAACGAGCGAATTGGAGAGCCATAGAGTCCTTAGAATAGACACTATCGTTAATACTAGACAGAGGGGAGGAGTTAGGGCTAAAAGTCTACGGTAGGATTCCGAACTGGGTAGGCTACATAATTTCAAATGATACTGTACATAGGATAAAAGTTAATATAAACGGGCAGTTCTGGTCACAACTAACAGACTTTGAAACATGCAGCTTCACCCACTTGGTCAAAGTCTGTTAAATGCGGACTCCGGAGATGACCGCATCTCGTCGTCCCCGGGGGGGAATTGGATCCGCAAAGGAACACATCCCTGTCAGGACTCAGGCCAGACTCTGCGCTCCGTAGTTGATGTCACGCTTCGGCAAGGCCCTCGGAAATATAAGTCGGCCATTAATAACAGCTCGATATTAAACCTTGCGCTAAGACCAGCAAGCAAATTGGCCACCGTCGCTAAGCAATCTAGTCCGCGCCGCTAAAAGGCCCTAACAGCGGACCGGGCCCCTTGGCAATCCGATGGCTGATGCTGCCCAGTGGGACCCTCCGAGACGCTGTCTCTGTGTGGCAGTTTCATTTGCTCGTGCGTCTCGCGGATGCAGAGCCGGTCGATGCAACATCGACTGCGTTAGTTTCGACTCTGGAGACTAGCAACTTGAAGTGAGGACCATTTGACTTTTTTCTCAGTTCTTGGCCGGAGCACCCTCCTCTTTGGTCTTCCCTGTTGGTTTCTCGCCTCGAGGGGGTGTTGCAATTTGCTCAGCTCGTATAAAATATCACCGTAGCCTTATAGCGCTCATTAGACCCCGACCCAACAGACACATGGCTGCAGGGTTCCTGTCTCTTCTTTCTATAAACGAATCCTTCTGCTGCATTGTTGCCTTGTGAACCTCTTTGTTTAACTTTGCTTTGTTTTTCTCTGCCACGTTCCCCTTGCATTAGTGGTCCCGTTCTCGTGGTACCTGACAGCCATGTCTGGCGAACCGGTGGAAAAGGTCCCCTCGATGGACGTGCGAGCGGCCAGCTCGAGCGATGGATCTGAGCATTCCAAGAAGAATGACAATGGCATTGTGCTGGTTCCCCAGCCTAGCGATGATCCAGAAGATCCCCTCGTGCGTTCACCTGCCTCGTCCTGTCCCATTGCTCTGACCGTGCGTGAATCTGACTGATCGACTGCAGAACTGGTCCACTAAAAGGAAGCTGATCATCTTCGCATCCATCTGCTTGGCGGGCTTTGCTGCCCAGATGTCCCCCAATTCCAATCAACTCACTTTCGTGTACCAAGTCCCGGCCTACCACAAAACCCAACTTGACCTGCTGAACTCGGTGGCGGCCGGTCTGGCCGGATGGGTAGCCGGACCCTTCTTCATCATCCCCTTTGTGGCCGTCATCGGTCGCAGCGCCGTCGTGCTATGGAGTCTGGTGGGCATCTTCGCCTGCCAGATCTGGGCCGCCGAGATGACCGGCCCGAACGACTATATCTCGTTTACCATCTCGCGACTGTTCGCCGGTCTGTTCGGTGGTATCCCCGCGATCCTGGGTAGTGGGTATATCATGGACATGTTCTTCCTGCATCAGCGTGGCAAGGCATTTGCCATCTTTGAAGTGTTGATCATCTTCGCCGTCGTGGGTGGCGGTACGCTGGGTGGCTTCATTGCTGAGCACAAGCCCTGGAACTATGTCTTTTGGTGGACCCTGGGGCCTGTCGGGGGTGCTATCCTGGCTGTGTTCTTCTTTGTCGAGGACACGACGTTCTCGCGTGATGCGAGCACGCCGGGTCGTCCGCCCTTGCCTAAGGGCTGGTTGGCCAACCGTATCGCCACTTTCTTCCCTGGTGTCAAGACGACGCCGTCGAACAAGGGCTCTGAATTCGTACGTACCTCCACATCCCCCCCCCCATACAACCCACATATCCAGACATTATACTAACCTCATCCAGGTCCGCCGCGCCATCATCCCCCTCCAAGTCACCTTCTCCCCCATCACCCTCCTCACGGGAACCTACATCTTCATCGCCCTCGGCCTTCCCATCATGCAAGCGTCCACGCTCGCCACCTTCCTCGAACCCCCCGTCGAAGCCGGCGGCTACGGGTTCTCTTCCCTCCAAATGGCCTTCTTCACCATGACCGCCTGGGTCGGGATCATCGGCGCACAAGTCTTCGGCTTCTTCTTCAATGACAAGATCCCGCTCTGGTTGGCCCGTCGTCGCGGCGGAACCTGGCACACAGAATACCGTCTCGCCAACACGCTTCTCCCCAGCATAATCCTCCCCATCGGACTCGGCATCTACGGCGCCGCGCTGGAATACCATCTTCACTTCATGGTGTTAGCGCTGGGATCGTTCCTGATCTGGTTCGGGGCATTGCTTGCCCTCCCAGTGTGTTATAACTATATCATCGAGTGTTTCCTGCATAACCCCGTCGAGGCATCTGTGTCGTTGAATGCGTACCGGGTTAGCTTTGGACTCATGTCGGTGTTTATTGTGACGCAGTGGCAGGATGCTGTTGGCGTTGGTTGGATGTGGGGTATGGGTGCTTTCTTGATTGTGTTTGTTGATATTATTATGGCGGGGATCGTGTTGAAGGGACATTTGGTTAGGCAGTGGACGAAGGGACTGAGTGAGGAGATTGGGGTTACGGAGGATGGGGCTATGATTAGTTCGAGGGCGGCGGGTGTTTGATCTTCCTTTGTTTGGTTTTAAGCTTTAAAAGTGTAGTATACAGGTTTTAATTGAGAGGTTTGTGTACATAGATTAGTGAGGTTCGTCGTGTTGAGTGTCTTAGATTCTCTTATGGTTGGTTTATTTGACACTTCAACGAAGGCATCTAGCTGGTTAAGCTACTGTACATGCACCAGACACTGTAGAAGTCTTATAAACGGCGTTAAGTGTTCATCTCTCAAACTATGGACAAGCTACTTTGGTCTGCCGTAGTAGATGTGTATGTACTGACCAGCACGTTTTCAGGTAGCCTCAAATACCTAGCACTGTCTCAGGGCTTCGGCTTGGCGATGATACCAATGTCTTGACACATGATTGATGTTCCAAGCTTCAATGAATGAGGACCCTGTGGTTTGCGCGGCGGCTGCAAGTGATGCCCTGATCATTGGACATAGAACGGGTCGCGCTATGTGTCTATTGCTTGACGAGTCATAGGACTACACCCCGGAACTAGACCTACCAACTAGAAATATCTACTTCGCTCCTGGGTTGGCGTATCCACCGAGTACGGCGGTGGAAGATCATTACTGAACTCATGTGGATCCCTCACAACGGCAGGCTGAACCTGCTGAATCGACGCCTCCAAGTCGCCAGAACTTTCCTGCTGTCCTTGCTGCTGCTGCTTCTCCTTCCTTTTCGTCGCACACTTACTCGCACAGCACCAAGCCAAACCACAACAGGTAACGCCCACAATCACCGGAATGAGCACAATCACCGCTGTCGGGATCCCATGGTTCCGCGGCGAGCTGCCCTTGTCATCGTCGCGATCCCCGTACACATCCTCGAATGAGGGCGGGGTCCAACGCGTCGAAGATCTCTCGTCGTCGTCATTATTGAGCAAGTCATCGAGGCCCTCGCCGAGGGAGGAGGTAGACGAGGATGGAGACGCGGTATCTTCACTGCAGAATGAAGCTTCGCGGGGCGAGTTCAGGGTGCTGTACACTTCCACTAGGTTAGATGCACATTTGGTAGAGCTGGTAGTCGTGATGGTCAGGGACTCTGCGGTGGCGATGTCGGAGAAGTTTATGCTAGTTTAGCCATGTTAGTATAATATTCGTCTCAGATTCGTAGAGAGGTACATGTATGTACATGGGTAGTAGGTACTCACGCCTCAAACTCCCCCGAAAGATCAAGCACCCCCGCATCCTGAAGCGTCGAGTCTATCGACATAGGCGATCTCGCTCGGATGGTAATTGGCGCATCTGTCTGCACCATCTGACCGAGGTTCACTCTATTTAAGAAAGAAAAACACCGTATCAGCAAAATCCCCGCACAGCATCTCGAGAAGAAACGATAACAAACATACCGACCAATATACCCATCAAACCAAAGTCCACCATACGCCTCCTCAAGCCCATCCAGAAAGACCCCTTGAAGATCCGTGCAATTTGCCAGGACCTCCATCCCATTCGGTTCGGGGGCATTCAGAGCACCGACTCGGGCGAGGTTCGGTGTTTCGAGGACGCTTACATGACCCCGGATACTCATCCACCCTACTTCGCGGAACGAGGGTAGGTGGATTTCCAACGGCTCGGATTGAGTCCCTTCGCTGATCCTCCAGCTAGGGTCCGTCGCGATGATTAGGGCCGTGGCTTTTCTGAGGGAGGGAAGGGAGACACTATATGAATCAATCAGCGAGCGGACGACTAAACACACGCACGGCAGGAAGGCGTCAGTCGTACTTCGTCCACAACCCCGCCATCTCCAAAGAACCCCCAACACTCTCCAACTTGGCCAAATCAAACCAGCTCTCCTCGTAGGCCTCCTGGATAAAGACCAACTCATCGCGGACGGTCTGCAGGGATCGTAAATCCACCCTTTGCAAGCCCCGGGTCTGGGGCAGGGTGATGCTCGTGATCTCGACGAGACCGGGCATCTCGATTGCGACGAGATCGCTAGCCCCCGTGTTAGTGTCCATGGTAATGGACCCGTTGATACGTGTTACGCCTTTCAGCGCGAATGTGCCGGAGAAGGAGGGGGAGATTGCGACGGAGCCGGTAATGGTTGTGCAGCCATTGTAAGGGATGAGGTCGGAGGGGCTTGAGAGTACGGCGTTGGCAGTGGTGGTGCAGTCGCGAGCATAGATGCCTATTGGTAAGTGTTAGCAATGTGATAAGATGCGAAGTGACGCTTGTGGAAGACATTAAATGACAGAGTCCCATACCAACTGGTAGCACTAGCGCGAAAAGCGCAAGAAAGTTCCTAAGTGAAGTCATCTTTAGTGCATAGAATGAACAAGAGCATTCTGAGCAAGGGTGTCATTCGAGAATCGATAACTATCTGTCTCGTGCTTTTTACCATCCTTGCAAAAGCCCGGGGCAAACAGGCTGTTTATATATACCCTGCCTTCGAACCCCAGTCATTTTCCCTGCCCAACCAAATGAATCATAATACCACCGCCGAGGTCACGCATACTATCGGGCAATCGGGCAACCCAGACGGGGCAGGGCACTCGCTAGCTCCGGTTACTGCTTATCACTGATTGGCGTGAAAATCACGCCGCGCCATGTAGAAAGGGGTAGTTCACTATAAAATACTTACCAAGACCTTGGCAGAGGGGCTGGAAGACAATTATCATGTGTTTGAAGGTCAGGCTATTTTCGAGACGCACTGTATAGTTGGGGGGGTGTTTTGATGGTGTTGTACCTTTATGGGGACAGGTCAGATATGAATTAGGCCATTGATTGTGAGAGTCTAAGCCGACTGTTCATAAAACACTGGTAAGACTGCGCACTGGACTAGAGCCAAAATAGTCTCATAATGATCTAGAGGAACTCTTAGGAATTCAGCAGTGTAATAACTAATAAGTAGATAACGGAAGACAACAGATAAATAATAATTTTTCCGAGAACCATAGAGGGGGGTTTCATATGATAGTATAAGTAAAAATGTATTTATAGATGTTATTAACCAACTTATTGATACTGCATACCTTTGTTCATCCTCTCCCAGTCCCACCCCGCCCATGACGCCTTCCCATCTCCGCCTGTTCTTCACTCAATCATAACCCATCACCCATATTGTACTGTAGGTAGTTAGCTCCCCCCAACAACTTAAAACCGGACCTAACCCAACCTCAAGCTCGAGAGCGAGAGCGAAAGAATCTACCCAATATTCCTCACATTTCCCGCCTTAAACCCATCCACCGACCCACCAGACAACCAAAACAACTGCCAAACACCCTCGACCTCCGTCTCCTTGACATAGAATTTACTTTCCAGCGCGTTCCCGTTCTGGTAGAGAATCCACGCGCCGTACCAGGTGAACTGATCGGTCACGGCGTCGGATGGGGTGTTTGTGCCTGTGAAACCGACTGGCGCGGCGCTGTTGGTGTCTGGGCGGACGTAGAGAAGGGTGTTGGCCGGGAGGGAGGTGCTGGATGCGGAGTGGGCAATCACTTGGCCGTTGGAAGCAGTGACTGTTCGATTGGATTAGGGCTGTTGGATCAGGGGGTTTGAAAATCTGGGGATATGAATTGGTGGATGGAGGGGACTTACAGGTGACGTCCGTGACGACATTGCCGGACCATGCGGAAGGGGAGCCGAAGTATGCGAGGCCTATCCCGAAAGCATACTGTTAGATCGCAACCTCTTGAGAAGGAAAATAGGGTGTGAGGCTCGAGTGAACAGACCATCAGCGTAGAATAGCTTTATCGCACGGGTAGTGGCGCCGTGGTTGTACAGACTGAAGCTACCGGAAGGGTCTCGCTTGACGACATCGCCAATGGGATGGAGAGTGCTGGCGGTGGCGGTAGCCAGGAGAGAAAGGGTGGAGATGAACGAGGTGAACTTCATGATGGGTGGTGACCTTCTGCGTAGGTGGATGCAGAGGCGTGGATTGACAGATCTGCAAATTACGGAGCATAGGCCATGTCTGGACTTTAAATGTTGCCTCTCCTGTGGGGTCTAACCCACTCTCTATGAAGAATCACTCGGTATTTATCTAAGGTTACATTGCTTTCAAGCTGCGGACTGGGGCCAACAGATTAGACACGGATTATATGATAAGATGGTAAGCCAAGACGTCAGGATGTGTCTCGTGAGGGACTGGCATTGGTAGGAAAGGGGCCATCTACTTGGCAATAACGGCAGACCGGTCTGCACCCAGTAGTGCAGAGCTAGAGTTAGCGAAGGAGAGGTCGGCAGTTTCCGACGAGGGGTATAAGCAATGAATGTGGCTGAATGGTGTGATTATCAGGATTGTGAATCCTGCAGGCAGCGGTATCAGCCACATTCCAACCAACATTCCAGTCCAGCGGAGATAGGAGTTGGGTATATCGAATGGATGATAGCTAAATGGAGCTTTACGGCTCAGAAATTCAAATTTGACAGCTATTATATCTACAGTGATGTTCCTGGCAAGCTGTTTTGAAGATATTAATATATAGTGATAGCATATCCTGAAGTAGGGCAACGTTAATTCCGCCCGCAAGCCACGGAGACAACCATTCGTCAGGTGGATGCAGCTGTAACAGCCGACATGCGCTAGTCGCTATCCTGAAGACCCGTAAGCCCTTATTAATACGATCACCATGTTCAGTTGTACGAATACGCTCCTCTCGTTCTCGCATTCGCAGTGGTCAGCGGTTCCGGCACCGGGAATCTTCCAACCAAGCTTGTTGAACTGCCCCCAATAATTCGTATGTCCAACATCCGGGCGGCGCTCTCATTGGGGTCCAGCTCCCGGGGTTTGTTGTGAAATTATTATCTAATGATGAGTAATGGGAGATCGTGGCCCTGGGAAGAGTGGTACCATATATAGACAATTGTCAGTCATCGTTGAGAATCTCGGGGCCAGTTGCTGTTTAGACACCCTGGCCAGAATCTCTGATCTTTGCAGATACCACCGTCAGGCTTTATTGGGGAACCTTTACACCGACGAAGAAGCTTCGGTATGGAACGGAAAGTGAGTTGGTGTCCTGTACTGCACGAGATCATTAAGGCCCGCTAAGGATGCGCTCTGCACAAGAGCATATTTGGGCCGACGATCTTTGTTCATGAAGCAAAAGATAGATGAATGCTTATGGCTCGATAGTAAGTCACTCTTTTGGAGAAAAAACAATACCAAAAGTGATTAATATCAGCAACAACAGAAATGCAAATTATGGTACCATTGAGATCAATTCTATCTCGTGATCTATAAGGTTCAGCCAATCTTTCATCAACTAACCCCTCAATCCACCCCTCAATCCAACCACGCCAACTCTCAAAAAATCATCATTCTCCTCAATCCGCTTCCTCAACTCACCCTTGGAGTACTCCTCAATATCCCAAGCGGCCCAGACGAATCGACCGTGAAGAAACTTCGCCTCTTCGGTCGTAGCCCACACGGCGAATGAACCAGGCAGGTCAGCTAATATATGTCAGCTGTCGCTCTATTATACTTCGGTTGTAGGTACTCTTACGGTCATCGAAAGGCAGATCCGACTCGGAAAGGCCCATTCTCTTGAACTCAGCACTGTAAAGAACACCCGGATGGAAACTGACGATCTGCAATTCCTCGGGATTGGCGTCCTTGGCTATCTGCTGGATCAGCATCGTACCCGCGTTCTTGGTCAGTCCGTAGACGGGACGCTTTGCGGCGAGAAACAGCTGGGAGTCATAGAGCATGTTGATGGCTTGAGTTGCGACGTTCACGATAGCCTAGGGAGTTTAGTACCTTGGCGCCGATGAATAGGACATGAGGGCTAGAGAAAGGAGAACAAACTTTCGGTCGGTTATTCGCCGTCTGGCTGGTAAACCCTTGAACCAACTCCAGCGGCCCTCGGACATTCACCTCGTAGGCTTCCCAGACCTTGTCGGCTCCCAGTTCTACGATGGGCTTTTCCTCCGAAAAGGAGGCGGCATTTAACACCAGCGTGTCGACCACGATGCCATCGTTGCTGAGCTTGGCCCAGAGCTCGCGCACCGAGGCAGGGTTTGCCTGGTCGAGGATGTAGGTGAGAATGGTAGCTGACGCGCCCTTCTTCTCGATTTCCGCTCTGAGGTTGGCCGCGGCGTCGTCAAGAACGTCTTGTCGGCGCGCGGCGATGATGGCCGTCGAGACACCGGCAGTAACGAAGCTCTTAACGATAGCATATCCAATGTTCGTGGCACCGCCGGTGACCAGAACAGTCCTACCGGATTGGTTCAGCTCTGGTCGAGACAGGGAGGTGGTGGGCTGGGCGGTTCGATGGACCACCTGGGTGAAATTGGTGGTGTTTTGTTTAACGGATAGTTCGAGAGCCATTACGGATATACTTTATTAGCGCGGTAATGGTTTGATCTGATTCTGAAGACGAGGATTGATTGCGAGTGCTGAATGACAGTTGCATCTTGTTCACTCCATCTAGTTATATACTTCTTCCCTCTCGGCGGGATGGCGGACGCCCCGTCCCTTTGGGTTAGCGGCTGTCGAGCCTAAACAGCGGGCGCTAACTGCATCGGGTTGGTGCCCGCTGGCCTCCCGCATTGCGTCTTCCCACCCGGTCTTCTCTTCGCAGACCTTTCCCATCCATCTCTCTCACTATGCTTCCTCTCGAACCCAGAGCTTGCAGTTCCTGCGGAAAGGCGAAGCGAAAATGTAGCAAGCAGCTTCCGACATGCAGTCGTTGTCAAATCAAAGGCCTCGAGTGCGTCTATCCGACTCCGCGACCGTCTTGCTTCGTGCTGTACGGGGACGATCTCAGTGACCCGCCGACCCTGCGGGATGCCGCACCGGCGGACGCGGACATACGACTCCCCACGCCGACACTGTCTGCCCTAGACGGGCTCCCGTCGACCCCGTCAGGTCTCAATCTTGTGTCGTGCTCCAGTCCGTCAGTTTGTCCGACGCTGTCCGACCTGCAAGAAGCGTGGTTTCTCACGCGAGACTCCTGGACCGTCCAGCCCCTCCACATAGTCCACTTATCTCCGACCACCGTGTCCGCTGGCTGGCGGTACATCAACCGCATCCGCGCATGGCTGGCGGACTGGACCACCGGCGCCCGCAACCCGCTGATCCACTGTCGGCTATACCAGACCCGGTTGCCGAATAGCATCCAAGACGCCTTCACGGCATTGTCAAGCTACCAGTCACGCACGCCCAGCACGGAGGAATTCATCTATCGCATTCTCGAGTCGCGCGCCGCATCGCTTGTCGATGGCCAGAGCCAGTCCGATACGGACCTATCCTGCTTCGAGCACGTCAGCCGAGTCCAGGCCCTGATCATCTACTCTACCATCCGTCTTTTCGACAGCGATATCCGCCAACGCTACCTCGCCGAACAACAACTACCCACCCTCTATTCCTGGTCAAACGTCATGCTCTCGCGCGCCGCGGAGAACAGCCATCTCCTACTCCAAAGCTCTCTAGAGGATGTCGCTCCAGGGTTGACACAGCCTGTCTCGCCCATGCAGCAGGAAGAAGTCCTCTGGCGGGCGTGGATCCGGTCCGAGAGTATCCGACGCACGTGGCTAGTCGCGCAGATGGTGCATGCCGTCTACCTCGCTATGCAGGGACGGTCTGTCGCATGTCCTGGAGGTATCATGTTTACGACCAGGAAGGGTGCGTGGGATGCGGAGTCGGCACATTCGTGGATGAAGTTGTGTGCGGAGCGGAATGTGGGGTTTATGCAGCGGAGTTGCATGTACAAAGTCATGGAGGAGTATCGACCAGACGAGGTGGATGAGTTTGGGAAGTCGATTATGGAGATGGACTTTGGGGTGGAGAGGATGAAGAGTTGGGGGGAGGTACATTAATCTGTCTTATATGTAGCGGAATTCAGCTTGTGGTTTTCAATATAGCACGGATGATATATACTGTGGTTTTATTAGATATATATAGTTTGATATTCTCTGCATCTCCAAGAATCAGCATGTCACGCCTACTTCATAAATTTGGGAATCTTTCAAAAGTTTGTAGAACCACAAGTACAAGAAAGACTATTAACACAAACCAAGACTGATGTTGCAAGGCTAGGATAGTATACCGGTAAGCCTACTGCCGTTTATCCTGTTAACCATGAGTGTTTTTGGCGGCGTAGAAGTCCTAGTTGAACAGACTATCCATTGCTCTTAGCTGCCTACGAGAAGTTATCCCTATGACTAAGACACCCATTTTTAACTGAACATTCCAATGCCAGTTAAAGGTTTGTTTGAGTAGAAAGCCCACAATATGTCACAAAGGAGACCGTAATTTCAAACACATTCAGGTTGATAGCAAACCAATCATCCCGACCGATAGAATCATAACTTCATCCCATCAATATCAATACATCCCTTCGCCATCCGCGAAAATAGACACACATGTTCTCATAATACAATGCAAAATCAAGATCACTCGACCTTCACATTCACCACATTTGACTCAAAGTCCCCTCCCTGGGCCTTCCCGTCTAATCCCTCCAACTTTCCACCGTTTACATCCCCCTTCTTCCCCTCCCATACGCCATGCCACCTCCCTTTCGCCTTAACACTATACTCGCGCCCCGCCTGCAGCTTGACTGGTGGCAGTCTCACTTCAACCTTCACCGAACTCTCGGGCGCGATCTCCACGAGATCCTCCTCCGAGGGAGGAAGTTTCCGGTTGAACTTGACAATGTCGATGGGTACGTTCTGGTCCTCGACTTCGTCGTGGATGTCGAATACGCCGAGGACGCCGGCGCGCGGATCTAGCGGTGTGTTCCATTTCAAGACGGTAATAGGACTGGTGGAGGGATTGTGGATTGTTGTTGTAATGGTGAGGTCGGGCGTTGGTGTGGAGGAGAGGGAGATGAGTTGCGGGGCGAGGATTAGGACTTGGAGGGCTAGATTGGTGGGGAGCATTTTGCTTTTTTGCTTTGTTTTTCTTTGGTATTTAGTTTGATTTAGAGGGTTATTCTGTAAAGTGGAGGATATGGATGTGATAGCGCAGTGTATAATCAGAGAGGACAGATAGCTAAGTAGGACAGATAGGTGTGATACAGTGATAGTGACTGAAGTGGGGGACAGTCAGACAGTCAGATCCCGTCTGGGCAGGTTAAATAATGTCTACGGATTCGCCACCAGCCAACGACCACCGCAGCCAAGATAACGAATGTCTCGTGCTGCCGATCGCTCTCGATCTGATGATACCCTGCAGCCTGTCGTCCGTGAATCACCGCCCCTAGCCAAGCCGTTAGGGCCGGGCATTTAATAAAGGGATCGGCGAGGGCTGGCATCTAGGGTTGTATTCACTACTGGTTAGCGGCGTCAGGTCTGACACTAGTTAGCTAGCAGCCCGCAGTTGATTAATTGCAGAAAGACCGAGACAGACGCGATGGCTGATGCTGGTGTCATGCAGGCAATCTATCCCATTCTCACGCCGACGCGTCCAAGACTTTGGCTTAAGCCACGGAAAGGCTTAAGAGGCCTTCCCCGGATTGAATCATCTCTGCGCATTTGTCGCCATCAGGGGCTGCATATCGGTGTTGATTCGGACCCTGAGATCGCTATCTGACATGTGTGACACTGATAGGTGTCTACAAAAGGTGTTCTCGTGTTGGCTAGATCCTTCGTCAGCCCAACTGCCCATTACTCCGTACATTTGTACTGTAGATCTTCGCCGCGACAGGAAACCCCTGACGGAGCGTATCTCAGCCAAGACCCGGGGCACCGCCGGCCTAGCCAACGGCGTGGGCTGATACACCTGCACGCCTACGTCCGTGGCTCTCCGTGTCGACTCTAGGACTGTGCTGCGCTGCGGAGAAGGCTTGCGCTGCCCTGAGTATACAACGTTCCTGGACGGACGCCCGCCGGGCCAAGAGAGCCAAGAGCTTTGGACGTGGTAATTTAGATGCATGAAAGGCTTCTCTTTACCTCAACTGTGTCTGATCGACACGGAGGTGAGCGAGAATTGGCTTTCGCGGTGTGTTATTCGCCGGGAGATTTGCTGCTGATACTACCTCGACTGTGTACCGCGAGGGGATAGCACATGTTCAGCCGGAAGAGCGACGGGGGATGCTTGAGAGAGGGGATAGTGAGGATGGATAGCAGAGAGAGATTCAGGTATAAATCCGGCCTCAACTCCAAAGTAATCCAGTTCATCAACTCGATCTCAATCGCTCTCTCAAGCCCCTCAGATCAATTTCCAAGTCCAGCCTTCATTTGCTCAACAGCCAAGATGCGTTTCGCTACCGTCTCCGCTGCTCTCGCTGCCTTCGCCTCCACCGCCGCCGCGGTGCCCGTGAGCGATGCGGCCTCAGCCTCGCCTTCTCTCAGCGTCAAGCTGAGCCAGATTGACAACACTCGCGTCAAGGCCGTTGTGACCAACTCCGGCAAGGAAGATGTGGACTTTGTGCACCTGAACTTCTTCCGTGACAGCGCTCCTGTCAAGAAGGTGTCTGTTTTCCGCGGCAGTATGAGCTCTTCCCCTTCCCTTACCGTCCCCTTGCCCGTATACTTTCGCCAGCACAATCCGTCTCTAACAACTCGCAGAAAACGAAGTCCAATTCGAAGGCGTCAAGCGCCGTTTCCGCATGAACGGCCTCACCAAAGAAGCCATCACCTCGCTTGCCGCGGGCGCCTCCATCGAAGATGAATTCGACATCGCCTCGACCTCCGACCTCGCCAAGGGCGGCACCATCACGCTGAACAGCAAGGGCTTCGTCCCCGTTGTCAAGAACGGCAAAGTAACCGGGTACATCCCATTCACATCGAACCAGCTCGACGTGGAAGTGGACGGACCCAAAGCGTCCAAGATCACCAAGGCGATTGCCCAGAACCTCCGCCGCACCAGCCTGGAGAGCTGCTCTGGCGACCAGAAGTCGGCGCTCGAGAAGGCGCTCAGCAACGCCGCCGACCTGGCCACGCAGGCCGCGGACGCCGCGGAGTCCGGCGACGCCGATAAGTTCGAGGAGTACTTCATGACGACGGACAAGGAGACCCGCAGCACTGTGGCGGAGCGGTTGCGGGCTGTCGCGAAGGAAGCGTCTTCGACCTCTGGCGGCTCGACCAAGTACTACTGTGAGGATACCCTGGGATACTGCGAGCCGAATGTCCTGGCGTATACGCTTCCGTCGCAGGACCTCATCGCGAACTGCGATATCTATTACTCCGAGTTGCCGGCCCTCGCGGAGGAGTGCCATGCTCAGGACCAGGCCACTACGACTCTTCATGAGTTCACTCATGCCCCCGGTGTCTACTCCCCTGGTACGGATGATCTGGGATATGGGTATGATGCCGCGACGCAGTTGAGCGCGAAGGATGCGCTGAACAACGCAGATTCGTATGCTCTGTATGCTAATGGTAAGTGGGGACCTGGTTGATGAAACCTAGCATATTCCGTTTGGAAAGCTTGTTGCTAACTTTATTTGCTACAGCTATCGAGTTGAAGTGCTAGATGATGACGGCACAGATCAGGTGGAATCGGATCCCGCGCGACCCGAGGATTGAAATTCTGGGGACACTCAATGATTAGAGTGTAGGGAGAAAGGAGCAAATAGTGTTACTCAATGCTATCATCCCAGTCAATTTCCGTTTCGGGTAACAGAACCCTATCTCGCCACTGTAGATCACGTCACTGGATGCTCTCCTGCGTAGATGGAAGTATATCCAAAGTCTAATCTATCCAGCTCTGCTTCTATCGGTGTCGAGGATACTTCAAACCCCGTGGTGATGGGACCCAGTTAAACTTGTTTAAGCCTTAACGTCACAAGGTGACGCACGTTGTCCACGGCGGAAATAAAGGACACTGCTGTCGCGATTTGATCTGCATTCCGTGCTTCACTGTTGAATCCGTGCATCCCAAGTTGAATGGCCATGTCTCTGTCTGTGTCTATTGCTAGAATCTGTCCGCGGACGTCCGTGGTCAGGCCCTCTCGTCCCATTCGCTATGTCCTCCCATCCTCCTCGTCCCGGCGATCAATGGCTCACGCGAACCCTCTCCCTGCCTCATCGATGCCCAGTGAATCATGCGAGGCCATTTCGCCCTATCCCTTCAAGCCGTACAGTCTAGCTCCTCTTGATATGACCTCCCCTTCTCCACACCATTTCACATCACTTCTCTTTTCCCTTCCTCCGAACCATCTCCCGCACGCCTTGAATCGTCTCGAGGGCGCCGTACTTCGTCTCATTACTCATTACCCTTTCTTGACTGGGAACGTGGCACCGTCCTCTCTACAATCTAGTGCCAATTCCGGTCTGAATGACAATCATAATGTATTTGAAGTCCAACCCGTCACGGCATCGCTCATGCAACATTCCCCAATGCTTCAAACACAACATCACCCGGCAACCAGCAGCTTCCAACCATCCGGCCACCCCCAAAAATTCCTACCTTTCCCTGAATTCTCGCTTCCGACTGGGCCATCTCCCGCCCTCCGATGCAAAGCCAATGTCCTCGGCGACAAACTCGTGCTTGTCTTCGGTTGGGATACGCGCGTTATGGATCCTGGCGCAGTCTTTGCCGTCGCGCGCGCGCTGGCGGAGTTTTGTCGCGACCTGATGGCAGCGAGAGAGGAACTGCCTGTCTCGGATCCATGGTCAGAAGCACAGGGACAGGGTACAAGGTCGTGCGATGATGTTTTCAATGACCTTGGACTTTCGTCGGCAGGGCAAAATTGTCGGTGGAGCGCAGGCAGGCGAAGCCGGGTGGGTCCGACGCCGACCGAGCAGGTCTCGTTGATGCCAGAGACTCGCACGGCGCGGTTGAATGGAGACAAGATCGCGATGCTGACCGATGCGTGCAATCTGCTCGTTCGGCGAGTCGCAGGTGATGCGCTTCCTGGACGGCTACATGAGGAGGATGTGGTTTCTGCGGTGCTAGGAGTGACTGGGTCGAGGGCTAGGAAGCATCCTAAAGACTGCTACTCTGAATCCGAAAGAGTCCCTGCCGATGAAGAAACAATCACCGTGGCCATCGACTTGCGACATCTCTCCCCGCTGCCCAGCTCGACAACATACATGGGGAATGCGACCGTGTCGATCCCCGTTTCTGTTCAGCCGAACATCCTTCCTGCGCTTGATGATTCCCAAATGCGTTCCATACTACCGGATATCTCGCCCCAGGATCTCTATCAAATCTGTAATGTGGCTGTTTGTCTTCGTGGACGGATTGGTGCTTCAGAAAAGGACAGGGAGAAGAACACCACTTTAAATACTGACGGGAAATCTAGCATGGGAAATGGCATGCAAATTAACTCACTGCGACCGCTGGACTTTTATATGGATTTTGGACCACTGGGACGAGTGCGTGATGTCAATGCCCCTAGTGCCAGGGAGAATGGAGCATGTTGGATTCTTCCTGAGCAGGAAGCTGGTGGCTGGGATGTCGCGGTTACGGTAGATCAAAATGCAATGGAGAAGTTGAGCACGGATCGAGTAGTGAGGTGGGTTGTGGGCGGTGGTTTTTGATAACAAGGCCTATGGAAAGAGAGGTGGTATGGATGGTCTGCAATCTATAATATACACGCTGCTTGTTTATAGGTATTCATGCTCGTTGCTCGTTAGTCGTTATAATATGCCGTCTCATGATTCAATCATGATGCTTGGTCGTCTTTGGTAGCATGGACTTCAGGCGACTTTGTACGGAACGGTAAGACCTTTTCACTCCGACCGTGAGTTGAAGCCTTGCCGTGCGCACTGTCATGATCGGTTCCTGCCGCATGCAAGCTATGCTGGATCTTGTGTTTCGAATTATCCACTTTCTCATGCAGCGCTCGAACTGTGCGCTTGGCCTTGCCGTATCCCTCTATTCCAGCTAATACGGCGTACGATTTGCTGATTGAGACATGGGACATGTCGACACCTTGGTCTTGTAGTGCGTGGACGAACGCACGGAAGTTGGCAGCCGGGGGACGATAATGACCGCTGTTCTTCGATTAGCATGGGACAGAACCAATAGACAGCAATAAAGGATCCTACCTAAGTGGTGCTAGACTTCGCAGCTGTCCCTCCTTGATCTTGATTAACCCTGCCGCCGCGATGCGAGCACCTCGTAGGAACGAGGAGTGTTGGAATGCGCCGGATTCTTTGATTCCAATGTAAACACGCCAGGAAGTATCGGCGACCTAATCGTATTAGCACGATACATAAAGCGATCAACGGGAATGATCGGACGCGTACAAATATCCACATGTCGCCCCTTTTCACAGATTTCCCCCGTAGTTGCTTCAATACTCCCCCGGGTGTCGCATGAACCAGTCGCTTCACGAATTTCGCAGACTGATAGTCATCTTTCTCCAACTTCTCTATCTCATCACTGGAGGAACTCAACGACGACTCCGCCGAATCCGAGTCAGAGTCCACTAGACCGGCACCCTCCGCTGACGAAGATAAGGAAGACGAAGAGTATGAGGCATTCGTGAAGTTCCCTTTAAACGGCGGCGCATCTTCCTCGACTGGCACCACCCCTCGCAAACTATCCTTGAACCTGGTACTATCCGTACAAACTAGCTCCTCATTCTTCGCCCAGCGAAATCGCCCGGCCACATCCACCCTGACCAGGTAATTCATTCGCTCCTCCCTGGTCAGATACCGCACCTGCTCCCGATTCAGTCGCTCACGGGAGCACTTCGGCAACTCCAATTCCTTGCCTTCGCCGTGGTCAAGCCAGTAGAAGAAATTCTGCTTCGACGGCGAGTTCATCCAATAGGTGTGGTATTTGCGCAGGTTACTCCCATGCCGATGTTTCAGGTCCACCATTTCCAAGAAGTACTGCAAGTCCATGGTCTTCGCGGACGTGCCGGGTGGGAGGTCATGCGGACGTGTCGCAGTGGGCGAGGCCGGCTGCGACTGGCATGATGATCGAGGGCTGTCATCAGCAGGGGATGTGGGCGTTGGGCCGAGACCGGTGTTGTCGTCGCCGCCGGCTTGTTTGGCCACGCTAACGGCGCGCTTCCAGTTCAGTTTGGCTTGGCTTTTAGGGGTGTTGTTGGTTTCGGAGGAGGGCGCGGTGGGCCGATGGAGGAGGTGCCATTCGGCATCTTTAACAGCCTGTCTCTGCATGTTAGCATGCGATGCGATTGTGCCAGGGGAAGGGAAAGAGAAACTGTACCTCAACCCATCGTGTTGATGCATCTAGTCCTAAGCCGCACAGCTCACGGCGTGTGCGATAGCCACGATATGCCCTCTAGAGATCACAGATCATACTAGGTCAATCTTTAGGCCTTCGAGCAGAGCAGAGGGGCGTACCTGGATGATGCGGGCGGCATTCTGGGCCGTGACGTCATCGAGGGGTACCTGGGACCTGGCGGTGGGGATGTTTGCATCGGTGCTTGCCATCGAGATCGTAGAGTCGATGGAGATGGAGGATCCGCTGTTACTGCAACAGACATGTGAATGACAGGTCGTCCGAAGAGAATATCGATGGAAGAGACAAGACCAGGAAATATAAAGAAAGAAAGAAAAGACGAGAGAAAGAGAAAAGAAAAAGGAAGAGGAAAAGGAAACGGTGATGTTGATCGGCTTGATTGGGCTTAGCGTGACGCGTGACGGTGGCGGGCTGATCCCGTCCGGTTCAGCCTTGCCTCGATGGATTCAACATGCATCTACAATTCTATCCATGCCATTCTCATTTTCATTATCAGACACTATTCCGTTTCAACGACCAGTTGACATCCTTCCAGTCTATGTGAGCCTGCAGTATATAACTGCACTAGGGATGGTCTCGGATAAACACTTCACCCGTTACTCCGGCATTTGCACTGGATCCGTATGGCTTCTCCTTGGTGGGTTGACTTTTCCGAACAGTCAGAAATAGCACCCAGCAAACCGCAAACCCCAATAGAGCCTCAATGAGAGATAGCTTTTGCCTAACGAAGCTAAAAATATTAACAAGCCACAAACGAGGGGATACTATTCGTCTTTGGTAAAAAAAGAACCCCAGCGTACCGTGCTTGGAGGAATCTATTAAACGCTCAATCCAGCAGGGAACTAAAGGAATCTCGGATGAGCACCGAGAGCATACTCAAAGGGCATAGTGTCCCAGATATACTCCCCGAGAATCTCCCGGTTCTCCAATAACCGATTGATAGCTTCCAGGCAGCTCTTGGCATCACAACTTGAAATTGCCGTCGCTCGCCTTTCTGTACAACCTAGTGACTGCTGTCAACTTCGCACAATATCTTTCTGGAGGCAGCATGTTAATCGAGCAGCCGCATGCATGGGATAATCCTCTCAGAGGGAAGCAGCACAATGAAATCGAAGACATAAACTTTCGCGATTCCAATTACGGCCGAACTCCCTTGTTTTGGGCCGCCGAAGATAATCAGACCGAGACGATCAAGTTTCTCCTCGAATCGAAAGCTGATGTCAATGCCCGCGATCGTCATGGTCGAACTCCGTTGTTCTGGGCCGCCAAGAACAATCATTTTCTTGCGGTCAAACTTCTTCTTGAATGGAATGCGGACGTCAATGCCCGGGATCATCACGGCCAGACGCCGTTGTTTTGGGCCGTTGACGATGATCAGATAAATGCGATCCAGATTCTTCTCAAATGGAATGCAGCTATCGATGCCCGTGATCACCAGGGCCAAACCCCGTTATTCTGGGCTGCTCAACGCGGCAAGGTTGGTGCGATCAAGCTTCTCGGTAAGCGAGGTGCTGATCTCGATGCTCGCGACGATGAGGGTCAAACTGCCTTGATCTTGGCGACTCAGGGTTTTTGTCGTGAGGCTGTCAGCTCTTTACTGTCGGCAGGTGCCAATCCTGATATCGAAGACAAATGCGACGGTCGGACTCCGTTGTCTTGGGCAGCGGAGACAGGCTATGAGGAGATGGTAAAGATACTAGTGGATGGAAACGCTACAGTCGATGCAGCAGATGAATCACATCGAACCCCACTGATGTGGGCCGCGATGAAGGGTCATGCTAAAGTCGTCATGATCCTACTTCAAAATAACGCAAATGCTAGCTTGGAAGACATCGATAATCGGACATCGTTTTCATGGGCTATGGAGCATGGACATAAGCATGTTATTCAAGTGTTGGAGAGACATTTTTCTCAAGCGAGACAAACTAACATACCTGTGCCTCCCACATCAAGTGTCTCTAGCCTTGACGCATTGCGAGAGTTATCTCTGACCGAAACACCCTCCGGGGATCCCATTCGCCTCGGTAATCAGTTGATATCAGCAATTGATGACGGAAATGAGAATGAAGCTCAACGTCTTGTCCGAGAAGGGGCTAGCTTGAATTCACAAGACGAGAACGGAATGACACCGCTTTCCAATGCTGCAAGGCTTGGACAACTGAACATAGTTATTCTCCTACTGTCAATGGGTGCGGATGTAGAACCAGTGGACGCTTTCTCTCGGACTCCCCTTTCATGGGCTGCAGAAGAGGGCCATTCCGACGTGGTTAAGGTACTCATCGAGAGCGGCGCCGATGTTGATCTCGGTGATGAGGAGGACATGACACCCCTTTCATTTGCAGCGTCTGCGGGACATGACACCGTCATCGCTATGCTGCTAGACGCCGGGGCAGATCCTGATAACCAAGACCAAAATGGCGATACCGCAATATCACTCGCAGCGGACGCAGAGGAATTCTCGACCGTGACTTTATTATTAGAGAGGGGTGGTATGCCGGATGGACATGGCGATTCGTCGCCGTTACAGTGCGCCACAGATGCCGGCAATACAGCGCTGGTCAAGTTATTGCTTGCGAAAGGTGCAGATCCGTATTCTGATGCCTATAGCATTAGTGAATATCCCCCTTTGGCCGTTGCAGCAGAAAGGGGGAACGAGGTGATTATGAAGCTGTTGTTAGAATGCAACATCGGATCGGATGAAACCAAAAAGGAGCATGTTCGAAGAGCTTTGACGGAAGCTTCTTCGCAAGGCCATGCTGGGATTGTGCGAATTTTGCTCGATCAAAACCCTTTTGATGGTATTGAAAACGTCAACTTGGAATCAGATGCGCTCTATTGCGCCGAATCTGAGGGTTTCGACGAGGTTGCCCGTCTCTTACGGCCTTATTTTTCAAATTGAGTAATTCGTCATTGGGTCATGCGAGTAAGCAAAATCGCTTGATGCTCTGGCACCTAGGTATCAATACTTGCCACAATCCTCATACTATATGGTCAGGCTCCACTTGATAATAATGTCAGGCCCATACCCTCTTGGTGTGGAATGCCTAAGGCAATACGCCAAGCCATTCGTGTTTGCTCGAGCGCTGTCCTCTACACCCAATTTCATCCTCTGCAACCATCTTTTTTATCAACCCTAATAATTACTCTCGTGTATTTCATCATCATTTCTGAAACTCTCATATCGCCACAATCAGGCTTGTTGTATATGTATTGTACTTCGCTTAGAATCTCTTCTTCTCACTGTATGTTTGCTATTTACATCACTTGTTGACACAACGCCTCTCAGTACAACGAATAATAGTCTTCGCATGGGCCATCAATCGTCACATCCAACAATACAGAAGAGACTTCCTTTTCCCCCAGCGCCATAAACTTATCACTCGTTGAGATGGGCCATCCTTGGCGCTTCAACCCAGTCTCGGGGTCTTTAGCAAAGGCCACCCACAGATCTTGCATCTCCTGGCTCACGGCTTTCTCGAACGGAGTGTTCGGTCCAAACACGTCGTCCGCGGTGCCGAAAATCAATGGCAACTCCGACGAATGGTACGCCCCAAGACTCGGAAGCGAATCGATGTTAGAAAAGTTTCCTCGATACTGATACCGATAGGTGGTCAGGCCAAGTTCCTCTCGGCGGGCCGTCGAGTAAGGCACCGGACATTCAAATTTTGAATACGTGATCTCTCTGGCTTCGGGGGAGTCATATCCGCCAGCCATCAAGGTCCCTTCGTCCTTGTTTGACCCGAAAAGGGCTGGCTTTCCGCTCACGTGTCGACGGTGATACTGCTGCGTGTAATTGTTGAAGACGACTTTGTCATCGATGTACGGGAGGAAGGTCAGGTTACTGCCCCCTCCAGCACCGAGGTAGGATGTGATTTTCGCCGCAGGAACAGAGCGCAGACAAGCAAGCTCCTTCTCAGCGGATCCGGCACACCCAAAGTGCGATGCTACTGTGCTGAAGTTCGAACCCTGCACATCATTCGATCGCGTGTCAACTGTTAGAAAGGCCGAACCCGAGTTACAGGCAAACCCCTGCACGATCGGATCGTCTGGATACGCGAAGTTCAATATATCGGTACTGCTGGCCCCGGCGCTTTCTCCCCAAAGAATCATCTGCTCGGGGTTTCCGCCAAACTGCGCGATGTTCCGGCGCACCCATTCCATGCCAAGACGCTGGTCGAGGATCCCCAGGTTTTGATCCTTCAGCCCACGAGCCGCGGGGAAGCCGAAGATATTCAATCGATATTGAACGGCCACGATGATGTGCTCCTGCGAACGCTCAATCCATGGTGATGGAATCCAGGGGCGAACATTGGTGCCGCCGTAAAGGTACTGGCCGCCGTGGAGCCAGATGATGACCGGCAAATCCTTCTTTCCGTTATTCGGAGCCCAAACACTTAGCGATAGGCAGTCTTCGTTTATGGCTCCTGCGACCATAGTTTGGGGGGCAAACTTTCCAAACGGCCCCTTTCCCATGGCGATCAGGCTCTGCGGACAGGCGGGGGGCATTGCAGTCGCGTTGACCAAGCCTGTGGAATGGTCTTCTAAGCCCTGTGGAGGAAGCCATCGTCGGTCGCCGACTGGTGGCTTTGCATACGGAATTCCGAGAAATTGTCGAACATTTGGGTAACTGCTGTTGACGGTTCCCTGAACAATGCCATTGGATGTTTGAACTTGCAACTGGGTGAATCCAGGAGCGGCCGTAGTAGCGGCTATCACAGCCCCAAGAATAACTAGCAACTTCATAGCAAAGGGAGTATATCTGCGACGAGATGTCTGCGTGTCGGGTTTGTCAGTTGGATGAAGAGAACTTATGAAAATCTGGGGAATTCGCATTCGCTCGGATATACCGAGTGGTCGGCCCCTTAGTGACGCTAGAAACTGACGATCCGGATTTCGGGCCACAATAACGGCTTTCAACAATTTCCTTTGACTTCTGGCCCAGAGAGAAGAGCGATCGTTTCTAGCGAACGACGTACTTCGTGGTTTGATTTTTGTCCACCTTATACGGCATCATCCATGCCTAGCAGAGGCTGGCAGCTGGTTGCTAAGATTCGATTTCCATACACCGATGCACTCCTTACAACCATGCCTCGTGGAACCTGCTGGTAAAAGCTATATATGCATTCTAGAAATTGCTATGACAGCAGTATCTCTGGCCATGTCGTAGAATTATGATTAATGCCCACAGTCTACTCGGTAGTCGGCAGGTTCCCCATGTCGGGATTTCCGAGTCTCGATCGACGTAATCCCAGCTGAGCATCTTGCTTGGTTTGCTTATGTTTCAACAGCTCCTGCGACAAGAGTTAGATCGAATGCCATCTCCGGATTCCCCCTGGGCTAGTTGAATTTTGCTTTTCATGTGGCTGTGGGGCTTTGCATCTTCCCTACCCTCGGGTCTATTTTCTGCCACCTGATCGCATCTTCGTCCTCCTCTAAGATTCAACACAAGCTATAAGACGCGAGGCCATCCAGGACGCTCTATAATTTGTGAATTCTGGTGGCATGAGTTGCTTCTCTTTGTCTCGCGACGCCAAAGATCAGAGTGAAGACCTGGGAATCCAGATGAAAGGCAGTCAACTCGCTCGAAACTCTGAAAACGCAGATCATGTAATGCTCAGTGTTATCATGACTTCATATTTCTTTCTCAAGTCCTACGAATCACCGTAATGACTATCAGTCTTGATTCATCATCTCTAATCAATAAAGAGCGTTAGAAGAAACAATGGAAAAGGACCACGTGTCACAAGAAGATGCTCACACGTATCAAATGACAGCGAGAAACGGTTCCTCATATTTATTACCACCAGACATTTTCAAGATTCTCTTAAGGTCATTGCGTCGACCTTAGAATCTCAACTTCCGACTCACGATGAGTTCCCATTTCGGTAATTGCGGTAAGTGGATCGAAGCCAAAGACCATCAGCGGAAGTGGAATGTCTGCGATCGACACGCCGAGATCATGGAAATGTCATTGGACCGTGCTAAGCAAATATCACCAGCTCTGTGATCTCGGCACTAAGAAGCACAAACCTTGCTACGGATCTGTGAGCTACGCAAATGATCGACATGATCCCTCGCATCCATACCGTTTGAGGAAAAAGTCTGATCGATTCAGCCATGCAGAAGGAACCCGATCAGCCACCCTCACAGAACCATTGCATTAACTCACCAGATCTCTGGCCCCATCCTTGGCTTTGGAATAGGGGAATTACCCATCCACTGCTGTTCAAAGCCAAATGATATCTCATAGAAAACTCCACTCAGGCAATGATTTTCACCAAGACCGCCACAAACATTCAGATCGTGTGACGTAGCAGCTTCCACTGATAACAAGGACAAATATGTAACGAGCTGCCGCCCAGGTTCGTCTGGTTAGTTTACCTTATCCTCTTCTATCTCATTGCACCTCGATCTGTCCGGCCGCTGACACTATGGCCTTCAATATCACCGAGCATGTTATTGACAGTCAGTATATTCGAGAATATCCCCGGTCTACGGCGACACAAGATGCATCCTTGAGGCTTGCAATCAAGAAATATGCGCCAACCGACAACCCAAAACCACTTCCTGGCGATGTGACGATAATTGCGGCTCACGGCACTGGATTTCCCAAGGTGCGCAGGTTTTCTATACGCCAACGAGTGCGATACTAACGTATTGCATCGCAGGAACTCTACGAGCCATTGTGGGAGGATCTCCTCGCCCGAAGCAAACAAGATGGATATCGTATCCGGGCCATTTGGATGGCGGATGCCGTGAACCAAGGAGCCAGTGGGGTCTTGAACGAGGAGCATCTAGGAAATGACCGTACGCCGCCCTTCAATCTCATCATCCGAATCACATGCACAGAAGAGACTGACATATCTCATCAGCTTCATGGGTCGATCACGGTCGGGATCTGCTACATATGATCAATCACTTCCGCGCCGACATGCCTCAACCGATTGTTGGTGTTGGCCATAGCACCGGCGGAGCCCAATTGTAGTAACACCTTCATCCCTTGCATTTTGCCAGTACATAAGCAAACTCATATTCAATGCAGGGTTCATCTTTCCCTCATCCACCCCCGTCTCTTCACAACCATCTGCATCCTCGAAGGCTACCTTACAGATAATGATGTTGGCGAACGTGCCCGTGCTCTATTATGGACCACGCTGGTGAAGCCAGACGTCTGGCCGACCCGTGAGGCCGCCATCCAACAACTCCCCAAGTTCTTCAATCTCTGGGATAAGCGCGCTCGCGCTCGCTGGAACCAATACGCCTATCGCGACCTCCCAACAGCCATCCACCCCGACCTGCCCGAAAACGTCGACCCCAAGAACCCGCCCGTCACACTCACCACAACCAAACACCAGGAGCTCACGATGTATACCCGACTGAATCCGAACCGCCACAAGGAACTGGGCCTCCCCGAAGAGCTCGATAACAACAAAGGCTACGGACCCAGCCCTCCTCACGACCCGCTCTTTGTCCCCGACATGTTCGGACCCCTCTACGAAAGCCAACTCACCTACTGCCCCGAGCCACTGCTCGCATTCCGCCTCCTTCCTCATGTCCGGCCACCCGTGTTATTCATCAACGGCGAAGCAAGTGAGCTTTCTCAGTGGAAGCTGGGAGAAAAGGCCGCGGCTCGCACCGGTACAGGATTCAGCGGTAGCGGAGGCCAGGCGTATAACCGTGTCAAGCACGTCCTATTACCCAAGTGCGGACACATGTTACCCATGGAGAAGGTCCCGGAGACGGCGGGCGAGGTTGGGCCGTGGATCGGTCGACAGTTGCAGCAGTGGAGGGAGGACCAGCGGCGTCTGGCCGAGGGGTGGGAAGGGCTGTCGGTGAAGGATAAATCGACGATCGGGCCCGAGTGGAAGGCGACGTTCGTCAAGGCGATTAAATCGCATCCGAAGTATATTGAGATGAAGAAGAAGCATCGGAGCTCGAAATTGTAACCTCGCGTGGATATAACCATCTTAGAACGAGACTTTTGGATTGGAAATTGACCCGAATCTTGTTCTTACCTCGTCTAGACCCTCCGGAGTAAAATAAAGTACTAGTAACTGATCGTCAACAATTAGATCACACTTCGATCTACTCCGGTGTACTCCACGGATCCACATTGCACACACGGAACTCGGTCTTTGCCCGCGAGGATATGATTGCCGTAAATGCCCCACTGTACACAATGCTGAAATATTTCAAGGATGGTTGTGTGCGCGAGTCCCAAGCCCCATGCTCAACCGAATAATGCTCTTGGGCGCCTGAGCCGAGGCATGAAGCCGAAGAGGTACAGAATGGGGGTGTCACGAATGATGCATTCTAGGGTTGGAAGATTAGATTTTGTAGCTCATACGCTCATTGAGTAGCTATTGCATTGAGTCTATTTGTATAGCCACCCTACCTCCACTATACTGTAAATGAAACCATCCGTGCCACAGTCCAGTGGGAAGAGGACACATCCAAATGATATCATATGTCCGATAACGCTGGTGGGGCAGCAGATAGATTAAATATCCCTGATTGGCGGGCGTAATTGGCGTGTCTTTGCCAGAATAATCGAGCCAGGGCGTCAGACGCGACATGCTCTATCGTGAATGGGTTCGGTTCTCTCGCAACAATTCTAAGTGTTGGACTCCAAAGAGAAGAGTACACCACTGTCATCTATCACAGCAATTAGCCTTGTCATGAACGAATAACTTGTACTTAATTCTTTGTGCCTTTTGACATTATATATCTTGAAATGCATGGTACGGAATTGTCACATGTTCTATAATCACGCAATACCTGCCACATGCTATGGACAATACTATCTATCCGATATGTCTTGTCCGCAGGCTCTACGAAAAAGCGATGAAAACCCCCAAATTTATAACACCCATCACAGCAGTCTCCCTCAACGGCCTCCGGAGGGCATTCTCACCATAGGCATCTATTCCGTCCTAGAGCTAAAAGCTCTGGTTCCTACGAGAGATGGCACTGGCAACTCGAGTTGATCAGGTAGGAAGAATAGTCTAAGATCAGTTAAAAAAAGAGCCAATGGATAAAGACCGGTAAACTTCGAAAACAATAAAGAAAGATGTATGAGATTAGTCATATAACCCCGCGCACTGCACTAGTCCCGTTTGGGCACCTAGGATCTGTCTTCCCCTTCTCGTGCTTTTCAATTCATCCTAAAGTTCTCCGTACATGCGGGGATCATCACATCGTGTCTGAATCAATGTCTCCAAATACTCCAGGACCCGTCAAGCGCAGGAATGGCTCGAAGCACGATAAAACTGGATGCCTTACCTGCCGTTATAGGTACGGTCTCTTATCCCTTGCATGTCCCTGGTTTCTAAGCGTCGAGTACCAGGAGAAAGAAATGCATCCAAAACACGTATCCTGTATGTGGCGAATGTGTTCGGTTAAATCTTGAATGTGTGCGTGAGCCCATTCGGCATGTTCTGCCAGGGGAGACGGTCAAGGAAAGGACAAAAGGAGCCAATAATCCAACGCGAAAGCCAGCCATCCCTCAATCGGTAGAGAAGTCGCCGGAACTGGCAACTACGAAGAATGGGAACGAGCGGACTCTACGAAGACGATATGCAATGAATTACTACATCACTGTCTTGTCCGAGTTGCTGACGGTAAGCCAGGAATATAATTCGTTTCTGTCTGGTGAGCCCCCATATAAGAAGGGCGTGAAACTCGAGCTAAGATCACTTGCTAGCATTCATACCTATGGCAGTAGACTCGCCCGCTCTTGCAGATGCGTTGATTTCTTGGTCATCAGGGCATCTGGCCGCGACCAATGCATCATACCGAGTGACAGCCCTGGAAGCGCGGTCTACTGCGCTGCACGCATTGACGGAGACGATTTCGTCTGCGCCCGATGATTTGACCTGCTGCGAAACGAATGTAGCAACATGTTTGGTCCTTTTAACGTCGGAGGTCTGCCTTGGCGATCATACTGGATGGTACTACCATTTGAAAGGCGTCAAAAATATAATTCTGTCTGCTCAGTCGTCGGGAAGTCAAGGCACACACTTTCGAGGGACGGATGCCTTGAGACAAAGCTCGGAAGGTCAATGGATTTTACGAAACTTTGCTTACCATGACGTCTTGGGCAGTGTCACGTTAGGGGCCAAACCACTGATCAGAGCACAGTATCTTGAAGGAATCACTGGTCTCGTGGACACCTACCTTGGGGTGGCTTCCGAAATCTTGATGCTCATCTCGGAAATCAGTTGCCTCGAGCCGATGGAGTCGGTTTATGAGTACGTCGACGAGTCAGACGACAGCCCTTCTGTCTTCTTGGGTGGCCGTTATGCATCGCTCGAACGCAGAATTAAAGGCTGGAAATGCGAGCTTGACACGGCGCCTCCCCTTGAGGCGGTCGCATACGCATATCGGAGTGCCGCTCTTTTATACCTATATCGACGAATACTGCGTGCCCTTGACGACCGCACGCATCGTCGCGAAGAACTGTCGTCGATGATCAACTCGAGAACTCAGATTGAGGTCGCGAGGGTTTTGAAACATGTGTGCGACGTTCCCCTTAGCGACAAACCAGAGACTGCCCTGTTGTTTCCCGTCTTTATGGCAGGGGCTGAGGCGACCGAAGGAAACCACATTGAAATCGTTCGCATGCGGCTAGTTATCATGCAGGGAAAGCGACCATTTCACAATATCTCCCGGGCGCTGCAAGTTCTGGAAGGGCTGTGGACACGGCGTCGAAGTCACAGTGACGTGGATTGGAGGGACATCGTAGAGCAGCAACCTGTAGGACTCCTTCTGACCTGATAGTTAGCGAGAGTTTGCGGACAGGGGCCTCGTATAAGGCACGAGTATGAATGGCCCAGATCACACCAGCAGGACACCCTCAAGGCTCCGACCGGCTTTAAAAGTGCAAGAAATCCGAGATCCGCGCCGAACCCTCGTTCTGAACGACATTCTGACACAAATCATGTTCTGCCGATGGGGGCCAAAACGCAGCCCAACGCCGTGTTCTCGAAGGCAACCACAAAAAGGAGAAGAGATGGGCTATTAACGCTTGAATTTGGTTTCCAGCCTTTGCAAGCAACAATTGACCAGCCAAGTGCTATGTAACCTCGCAGCCATACGAGCCTTGCAATCGTTGCATCCTTTGGCGCGGCATTCCGGATTCCCGACCGACCGGGATTCGCACAACGCCGTCTCCGATCGTGGGCGTCTCACTTGTCTTTTAACCCCCTTTGCCCCAACTCCGAATCCCGTTTCCATGCATCAAGTGTGTGAACTCCGACATGCAGAACAACACAGGAACTGCTCAGTACGGCCAGGCGTGCCTGAACTGCGCCCGTGCCAAGTCCAAATGTGTCATGAGCGGGATAGGGAGTCGGGGGTGCGATAGGTATGTGCAACCAGCATGTGGCGTAAAGCTTGGCGAGATCTTGTTAATGAAAGGATGGCAGATGTCGTCGTCTACAGAAGGACTGCTGCCCGGCGCCCAGATTACGCAAGCGCAAGGCACCGTCGAAGACGGAACTTCTGGAGCAGAAAGTGGATGATTTGATGGCCTTGTTGAAACCGTCCGAGCCCCTGCCACAGCTGCCGCAACAAGGGTCTGAAAGGTTCCCGGCATATCCATCGCCTTTGTCTTTTACCAGAGCAAATGAGGAGGATCTGTCCAATGCAAGTGGTAGTGCGCCAGAGTCGCCGTCGAGCTCGGTCGTCCCTGACTTGACTCCTGACGAGGAAGAAGAGGTTCTCAGGGCATTCCGGACCGAGAAGCTCCCATGGATGCCAATCATGCACATTTCGGAGAATACGCGGCCCATAGACCTGAAGACCGAATCTCCGTTTGTCTGGTTATGTATTACGGCGATCCAGAATAGGTGCACGTCCCATACTCGAATTTTGTGTGATCGGGCTCGTGAAGAGGCCGGTAGGAGAATGATGCTTGAGTGCGAGAAATCACTTGATCTATTGCAGGGCGCTCTAATCTATCTGGCCTGGTATGACATCCAATAGCATGGCATCAATTCTTTTCTGACCAATCAGGATCACATTTTCTTGCCCCTCGGACAAAACCTCGCTCTGCACCTATACGCAGATGGCTTGCGCAATGTTGTTCAACCTCCGGCTTCAGAAGCCTCCGCCTCTGGATCCAAACCATGCTCTTCCCACCTGCAACCTTGCTGGTCATTTCACTCACCGCAGTATGCATGTGTCGCTAGTTCGCACCATGAACGAGCGAAGGGCGCTGCTTGGGTGTTATCTCATGAGTTCAGCGTACGTTCAGGCTCTCGCACTTGATATGCCACGCTAATATTGCTCTACAGCGTCTCCCAATTCGTTGGCCTCACCGAGCCGATGACTTGGACGCCACATATGACAGAGTGTCTGGATGTACTCTCCGCAAGTACGGAAACCCCTAACGACGCGGTCTTGGTGCAGCTGGTATCGACACGACGAATTACAGACAAGATCCCGATGGGGACTTGGAACTATAGCGACCCTAATCCGACCATGCGCGCTCCTTATGCCTGGCATGTAAAGGCTCTTGAATCGCAGCTGACTGACCTAACAAGCCGTATGCCCCTTCACCTTCATCACAACAGTGAGTGACTCTCAACTCATCATATCTCCAAAGAAAGGCCTAATCTGACATCATCATAGAAAACGTGATGCTCTTCCTTCAACATCTCAAGGTTGCTGTGTACGAAACCGCACTTCTGAGCGCACCAACGGAGCCGTGCAATGACACCGATATCAATCGACTGGACCATCTGTACACCTGCTTGAGCGCCATCAAAGAGTTCTCGGACATTATCCTGAGTTTTCCGCCCACTATATACCCCGATCTCTCCATGCCCGTCTACATTCTCATGTCGCACTGTTTCATTACACTCTTTCGCCTCTCGATGTTTGACTACCCAGGATGGGACAAGGAGGCCGTCCGCCGCGACGTCGACCTGCTGGACATTACCGGGCAGTTGGCGGAGCGAATGACTCAAGTACCGGCGTTGATCGGCATCGTCAATGATGGCACGCATCTGGATACGTGTACGAGATTTGCTGAGAAGATCTTGAGGCTTCGAGCGGGGTGGGAGGCGCGCATGGCAGGTGAGCCCGAGGCAACCGAGCCCGGAACGCTGGATCCCATGGTAGCGATCGATTCGAAGTTTGATCCGTGGTCGGATACTTCGTGGTTGTCGGGGGCTTTGATGTCTGGGGCGTTTTTTTGATGGGGTGCCCTTGCTTTCATCTGTGTATTCCACGTGGTTAGAACGTGGTGTGGTACCTTAGAGATTTATTGTGTATATAACGATTGAGCCTCATGTTAATGTTTTTTTAACGAGATTACTGCACCGAAACCCAATAGCCGTGTTTTTTCTGTATGCTATAGACTACCTAGATTCCAATCTCACATACTAAGAAACTTAATGCTAATCAATTAGAAACATAATAGACCCAAAAAATCGTCAGGGGCGAGGAAGCAAAACAAAGCCTTATGTCCGCACCGGAGCGGACATAACGCGGACTCGGGCCTTAGAGTTAGGAGTTAACAGCAATAAGGCTGTCCCGCTATCAGATCCGGACTCAGAGTCAAAAATAAAGCCCGTAATTCTCCTATTCTAGACCAAGCCCCTAACATCTACCCGCTCGCTAGTAAGCATTAGGCAAGAGGTACCTCACGAGCAGTTGGGTATGACTCTTTCTCAGCCTGCTAGCACCTATCAGGACTAGCTACGTACCTTAGGCCTTTAGAACCGGACTCGCGTTCGCACGAGTTTCGCCGCGATCAGCAGGGATCGGAATCGGGCTGCACGAAAGGGCGAGGGCTGCTGTTTTCTGACCGTCGGGGATCGCATCCCCCGACTCCGCCCTGTCCGCACGGGGCGGTCTTTGAGAATTCCATGAATCAGTCACTTGGAAAGGAGCTTATTTATTGATATTTGAGGCTGCTGGTGTTGTCAGATTTGGATTCAGATCAAAATATTCAAGTTTTACCTTATTATATATATTGTTTCCTGTTGATACTGCTTCAACAGGATCTTTTTGTTTTTCATCGGACATTGAAGCCTTGTTGCCTTAGATTTCTCACTCGGATATAACACTGCGACGTTCGCTTTATCTCCGCCATGTCGGACCAACAATATCCTGACGCTGCGAGCTCACCACCAGCGCGCGACGGTGCTGTGAACGCGGAAAATTCAAACAACAATGCTCTCTCTACGGACTCGAATCTGAAAACGAAAGAATCTACCCCCGACGCAGGCAGCACGCACTCGAAATCATCTGGAGCTTCGTCGACGACCAAGAACTCGGCGGACGAGCATGAGTGGATTCAGGGGATACCGTTGTTTATGGTGCTGGCGGGAGTGACGCTGGTGGTGTTTCTGATGTTGTTGGATGTGGCGATTCTGTCTACGGTTGGTGCTTGCGTTCAAGATTGTTTGGGAGTTTGATACTGACCGATGGGGTGTGCAGGCTGTTCCGGAAATCACGAGTCATTTTCACTCGCTGGATGATGTCGCTTGGTATGGAAGCGCGTATACGATATCGAGGTATGGCATTTCTGGAATGGTGATCGGGGATAGTATACTGATGAGGACAGTGCGGCTCTTACGCCTCTGACGGGGAAGTTTTATTCGCACTTTAGCTCGAAGGTGAGTTTCTCTGTACAATGTAGGATGATGGGAGTGGTGCTAATCAGCGCAGTGGACGTTTCTTTTCTTCTTCGGTCTCTTCGAACTCGGATCTCTTCTCTGTGGTGTCGCGAACTCGTCGAAGATGTTGATTATCGGACGTGCTGTCGGTGGTATGGGCGGTTCGGGGATGATCAACGGCGCATTGAATATTGTTGCTGGCGCGGTGCCGATGCAAGGACGACCTCGTGAGTGTTCTATATGTTTGGTTGCAGTGGAAAGGCAAGAATGCTAATAGTTCATAGCATTGATCGGTATTATGATGGGTGGTAAGTTGGTGTGCTCTTGGAATTGATAACATCAATCTAATTTTCACAGTCGGCCAATTAGGGCTTGTTCTGGGTCCTCTCATCGGCGGCGCCTTTACCACCTACTCTACCTGGCGATGGTGTAAGTTCGCCGTTCACCTTTTATACTAATATCGAATACTCAGCTAACCAACTAGGCTTCTACATCAACCTCCCCATCGGCGGTCTCGTCGCCGTTCTCCTCATCTTCACCAAAATGCCCGAACAAGTCCCCAAACGCCCGCCGATGGAAGTCTTCCGCGACAACTTCATCCGCAAATTCGACTTCCTCGGATTCGCTCTCTTCGCGCCCGCCGCCATTCAACTCCTCCTGGCCCTCCAATACGGCGGACACGTGTATTCATGGAACAGCTCGCGCGTGATCGGCCTATTCTGCGGTTCCGGCGCGACTTTCATCGTCTTCTTCCTCTGGGAGTGGCGCGAGGGCGACAACGCCATGATCCCGCTACGAATCCTCGGTCGCCGTATCGTCTGGACATCCTGTATTCTGTCGATGATGTTCTTCGGAATGACCATGGTACTGGCATACTACCTGCCGATCTACTTCCAGTCCGTGAGAGGCAGAACGGCCATCATGAGCGGTGTGGATTTGTTGGCGAATGTCATTTCCCAGTTGATTGCCGCTGTGGGATCGGGCATCCTGATGGGTAAAATCGGCTACTATCTCCCCTGGGCAGTCGCTGGCGCTGTTATAACCACCATTGGTAACGGCCTTTTAACCACTCTTTCGCCGACGACATCTACGGGTCGATGGATCGGATATCAAATCCTTACCGGATTTGGTCGTGGTATTTGCATGCAAGTCGTACGTTCCCTTCCCCATGCCCAACAACCCCAAACACCTTATCAAATCCACCGAGTTATATACTAACATGATCCTCGAATAAAAGCCCATGATCGCCGTCCAAAACGCCGTGACCCCCACCGACGTCTCTCCCGCCATGGCAACCCTCACATTCTTCCAGACTTTCGGCGGCGCAATCTTCCTCGCCATCGCGGAGGTGATATTCGCCGAGGGCCTGCGCGACAAGATCCCGCAATTTGCGCCGACCGTCAACGCCGAGACGATCATTGCGGCTGGCGCCACGGGTTTCAGGGACATTGTGACGAAGGAGCAGCTGGTTGGTGTGCTGTTGGCGTATGCGAAGAGTATCGGGGAGATCTTTTATATGCAGATTGGCTTGGGCGTGGTGGCGCTGTTTGTGGCGTTTGGAATTGGGTGGAAGGATATTAGGAAGAATGGACAGAAGAAGGGGGAGGTGAAGGGGGAGGAGAAGGTTTGAGCATCTAGTTTGGGTTGGAATCGGCATTTCAGTATGAAAAGGAAGGAGTTTATTATGATGTGATTATTCCTATAGATGTAATGTTAATCAATCTCCACTAATGGATTATAGCTTCATTGCAAGTGAGGAATTCTGAGAAAAAGGTGGTCTAAGTAACTGACAGAAACATGTAACATCACATCTTAATATATTTAACCCTCTAAGATTGTACAGTTACATAGCTACCTCCTCAAACCCCTTCCCCCCCTGCCCCAGAATCCGCCCCGGATGAAAGAAATGAAAAACAACCTGCACCCCAAACATCGGAATCGTATCGAACACATACATAAACACCTCATGGCCCATCAAATACCCATCATGCCCTTGCACGAACTCCACAATGCGATACAAGCACCTTACAATGATGACCGCAGACACGACCAATAACACGAGCAACAACCTCATCACCTCCTCAGGGACTGCACCTGCTCCTCCATCACCACTCAACAACCTACCTCTCGCTCGTCCCCTCAACCTCCTCACAAACGTCCCCGTCACGGTCAGGAAAAACCCAAAGAACCCCAACTGCACGAACAGCCCCACCACCGCGATCTTCTGCCCTGCGTCCGCCATCCCCTCCATGGCCATCATGCCACCTCCTGACGCCTGGGTCAAGAACGCGATAGCGTCCCCGATGACAAAGATCTTGGTGACTTTGTACGGCGAGACAAGCGAGAGGCGGGGCTCGCGGAGATGGATGACCACACGGCCGTAGATCATGTAGATTGTGGCGGCGTAGAGGGAGGGTGGGAGTAACGTGCAGACGCTTTGGGCGATGTAGGGTGGTAGGGAGGTTTTGTTGTTTGCGGAGATGGTGCGGGCGATGTAGCCGATCGTCATCACTGGGTGGGGATTTGTGTTAGTATTAGATCTGAGGGATGCGGAAGAAGGGGAGGAGAGGAGAGGAGGAGAAGTGAGGAGAAAAGTACTGATTGCGCCGACGATGAAGGTGGTGAAGAAGTAGGCTTTCAGCCGGATGAGTTGGTAGATGTGGTAGATTGTGCTGAGGCCGTAGCATATGATGGCAATCACCGCGGCTGGCATGCTGGGTTCGTAGCGATAAAAAGAATAGGCCATTTTTGCTGTATATCGAATTGCTGGGTTTAGAGAAATGAAGCGAAATGAGTGACAGGTGGGAACGAAGGTAGTGGAATGCAGCAACGAGCGGACGGTCCAGAGGACCAGATGATTAACTGCGGCTTTTTGATGGAAATGGTATAACGTAAGGACATACTAGAGGCATTCTTATATTTCCTCAAAACGTGCCTGCCTACGAATCTTTAAAAGATTCTGCTAACTTAGCCGATATAGAATAAGTAGCTATATCCGCCATTGACCAATCACCGCCTCGTCGTGTCCGTGTTCGGGACGCAGATTTAGAGCGAGGTGAGCGCTAAAAATGGGTTGAATGGCCCACTATCGTAGTGCAAAGGCCAAAGGCCAAAGCGGAGGACAGTCGGTTTCACTTATTCTGGTAATTATGTGTACAGCCTAGTTGGCCTGGTCTTGCTCTCATGTTTACGGATACGGTAGCGTAAATTGTCGGTCTCCACTTAAAGGCTGTGGACATGGAATAATTATGCTTAATCCTCCTCGGCGGATGCTGAAATGTCCCGATTATGAATATGTTAATCTCTCAGAAATAGGAAAACCGGTAAAACTAGCTATAATAGTGGCAGAAGTCCGTTGGAGATAAAAGTGCTAAAATTATGTCTTGTGGAAGCTCGGCTATAGACACCGACTCGATCCGCAAGAAGACTTTTGTTAAAACCAGATGGTCAGAAGTTATTCCCAGTAACAGCACCCCATATATATGTCGCCCAACTTCCCAAAACAAACAGCAACAGAGCACCAAAACAGCAAAGAGACACCCGCCCATTCCATCGGTACCGGGCGACAAGATGATGCTCGCGTAGAGCAGCAAGACGAGTCGAACCGAAGGTCAGCCTCTCCTTTCTCGACCACTGCAAGGGCGCCAAATTCCGGTTGAACAAGGCGGCCAGCAAAATAGCCACGCTGACTGCCATCAAGATCGCCGCTGCACCTAGGTAGACCATGTTCACGCGGTGATATGACTCTTTATCTGCGTCTTGAATAGCCCCCGTGACCAATCGTATGATGATGTTCATTCTGCATAGACCGTTGGTTAGGCGAGAGTTCGATGGAGTGTGGCAGGTATAGAAGAATGGCATACGCGTTGTTCATGGTTTGGTCCAGACCGCACGCGGATCCAAACACTGATTCCTCCCATATGATTGTGCGGATACTGTCGACTATCACCGTAGTTCCGAAAGCCTTGACCAGGCCGTAGAATACAAAGCTTGCGGCCGTGCCAGATTTGGTTGGGACGATATTTAACAGCAACATGCTAAGCAGCAACATAGTGCCGCAGAAGAATACTTGGATTGTTAGATGGCATGCCAGCTTTGAAGAGAGAATTTAGTAGGGTAGACTAACAGACATATGCTCGCCTTCCATGTATATCGAGAAAAAGGCCCATCAGGGGGACCAAAAAGAAGCCTGACATGGATTAGTGGATGGAGTAGGCATAATACCCGTCGACCTCAAAAAGGATATAAAGAACAGTTCCGAGTTTGTAGGTCTCACAAGATCGAGGGAGAAGGACACTTACCTCCATACTGAGCAACGGCACTATACCACCCCGCCGTGACTGCACTAACGTGGAAACGCATCTCGGCGAGCTCAGTGGCGTTCTGACTGAAAACTACGGTCGTGGTTGACTCAAACAAGGAGAACGCTAGAATTGACCAGAACATCCATGGAAGCTGAAATACCTTGTAGAAGCGAAAGGCCTTTTTAGAGGATCGTAAACTTTCGCCGTTGGCTAAATCTGACGGCAGATTGTAGTGCCGGTCACAGTAACGTTCGAGAAACCAGAAGAGAAGTGTGGCCACATTCGCGAACACGTTGATAAAGACGTTGATCCAGAAGCTCCATTCAAACCCACAATTCTATACATTTAGTGTTGATCGTCTGCAGGTAGTCATTGAATCTTCTCACCTGAGCAATGATGTTTGCTGTAGCTTTACCGATAAACCCACCAAGCTAGGACATCTCAGCGTAGGCTACAACATGATAACCAAGAAGGTTAAGGAGAGATACCTTTCCCGCAGCCCCTTCAAATCCGAGGGTAATTGCAAAGCCATTGCTAGGTGCAAACCATGAAGAGAACATCTTATACTGGGCTACCTGGGTAGTGATGTCCCCCATGGCCATGACGATGCGACCGGTGACCATGAAATCATACGATCGAATAGTAGCCGCGGCCGCAATTAGAATTGACCCGAGTGTATACACCAATTTTCCGATGACAATAACCGCTAGGAAAAGGGTGGTATAAGTGTTGTGCAATTTTGAACCGATCAAGGGAGTGCAATGACAAGGCTACTCACATAGGCCACCAATTCGGTCGGAGATAACCGCACTAGCCATGATGAGTATCGTTGCCATGAAATCCTCACTCGCCTCCAACAGGGAGAATTGGGTGTTGGAAATATCAAGTTCCTGACTTATGTGTTAGAAAGCCATTAGACGGCTGGGTGTATGTACATACCTTTTTAATAGTGCTTTTCATGGCTTTCGTCACGCCAGAGCTCCAATGAGTTGCACCGCTGATACAGCAGATGAAGCATACAGCTGCTGTCTTGAGAAGAAATGGAGTCTCGGGCTTAACATCCTCAGCTTCAGAGGGCTCCTCGATTCTCGGAGATTGGCTCTGTAGGTTTCGTGGAGTAATGGATATCTCGGGTCGTCCCTTATGCTGCGACATCATTACTTATTCGATGAATGAAATGCCTGGAATGACCAGTAGGGCAGCCTCTAAATCACGCATTCTGGGGTTGCAGAGACCGACTAAATGACTTTATACTCGATCTTTCGAGTGTGCTTCTCAGCACAAGGACATCCTTTAGCGTATGCATCCTGAGGCCAAGCGATGTATGTGCAGGCCACTGAGAGGGGTAGATATCAGAGACCTTCATCATAATCAACGTGGTTGGCAGATGATGAGGGGAGCTGATGGACGATTGATGCAGGTCAGCCCAACTGATGAGAGAGCAGAGCCGGGTTAAGCGCCTCGTTTTAAGCATGCCAAGATGAAGGAGATTGTTGCATACTCCGACCGAAGCACAGAACACGTCCCGGATGAGTCTATATCAGCTCACTCAACGATCCAGCAATAATACTCACCCCCCATGCTGACTTGCATTTTGAAATATCCCTGGCCATAGTTATGGCCCGCGATGCCCGTGTTATTCCCCCCTCACCTTCGAACCGGAATTTTGCGGCATCTTAACACCGAATCTTTCATCGTTGTTGCCGCATTAGGGCCAACGCTAGCTTCATCCACCTGCATCCTTCGGACCGGTCATATGTAGCGTTGATTCCACTTTCAGTTATGATAGTCGCTGTGCATCGAATCAACCCAGTCACTGGATACGGAGTCGTGTTGCTGCTGCTTGCAAATACTGAAAACAGGTATTTTCACGATGTGTCACAGATACTGAATCAGTGAACCGGTTTTGCTCTCCAATAGACCTGTCACAATTGCCCACTGAAGTGCACATATATACGTGGCTTCGGTAAGGTCCAAGATAGCTATGTTGCACATGGCCCTTCACGCCGCAGCTTCTGATTAACATGGATTCCAGAAAACCATATGGACTGCGATGTCTTCGAAATCTCCTGGAATTGGGAAAATAACATACGGTAAGAAGAAACAATTCATTCATCTATTGCCACTCAACTAGCTGGCCATGACTAAGTACACCATGTCCGTCTTTGTAACCCGTGCATGGCTTTCAAAGCTCTTTTGGTCTAGCCACATGGCTATCTTGCCCTGTTGCGCTCTTTGCCGTGGCATATACTCCAAACGGCGGGTATTCGGCGTGCTTATACTTCTGTCGAGAATAGGATGTACTGTACAAAGGTCGGTTTCCTCAAGACGAAACCCAATGCGGCAATAACTTTGAATGTAGCTTATTAGACGGCACTTGCTGTAAGGTACCGCGTCCACATTCATAGGGTGGAGTCCCTGTGAGGCACGTACTGAGCAATAATTGAATGGGTTTCTTCACATTACTCCCAAAACCTCCCCAGCCACGTAGACTATGTGGTGCTAGGGTTATTCTAAGCTTCAACCTATACGCCCGCCGAAGACTACATACGTGGGCTACAAAATGCTCCAAATCATGGAAATCGCGCTGTGGCCAGCTAGCATATATAACTTACCTTCACTAAAGCACCCATGAATACACAATTTATTTAGCATTACAACAGAAGTTACACAAGAGGCAAATCCTATTGCTCGTGATCGAAGATCATCACCCACCCTCCTTTCTTGGCAGGAGTAGTATGGGATATGGAAGTCGAGTACTAGTAAGGAACCAGGGATGTCAAGTGAAATTCCATGAAAGGAAAAACTGACTCGAATCCCAAAAATATACGGCTAATTTACTAGGCTTTAGTAGGCCTTACTGAACATACCCGTCAAGTTAAGAAGGGGTTCAACCCCTTTCAGATGGGTAAGGGGTCTCAAGTTTAGTACAAGTTTAGGGCATTTTCACGATCTTTACGTAGGACTCTTGCGATCTTGGCCTAAAAAAGGCTTAAACTACCTAGCCTTCAAGATTCTAGTATTTTGCTCTATTTTAAAGGCTTCTATGGAGATGTGTCTTTTGATGATATTCCGCTCAATACAGTATCTTATGTCTTTTGGTCCGGAACTTTATATAACCTTACTAAGGAGCCTTTTCAATTCACATAAAATGAAAGATATCGATGAAATACCAAGGTTTCTAAATGAAACAATCCTCAATGAAATCTGAAATCCCGATAAGGAAGAGGAGCAGCCGTGAAGCGTACCTAGGGGCACAAAACAGGGCGGCAGATGTAGGTGGGCCGCCCCTTGCGTCTAGGAACAACCCGAGGTGGTTGGCATTCCTAGGGCTCGCAAAGGCCATATCAGAAAACGGCATGATAATTTGAACCTCCGCAGCAAGGGGCACTGGCATCAGAATAAACAGGGTCTGCAAGTTGTATTTCCTCCGATGGTCTCTTCTTATATCAGTTGTGTTAGCGAAGAAATTTTCACTTGTCAGAATAATACTGATCAGCTATGGGGTCGAGGGACACCGACATCAGCTCTGCAAACCCCGATGGCTACTCTGTTACCACACTCCCTCCGGACCTGGCAGTGGACCGAAAAGAGTCTACACCGCAAGATTGTTCCATCGAATCACCGAGCCAGCAGTATAGTGTTCTATCCGAAAGAGAGAAAATTTTTACCATCGTTCTCTGCTCGGCAGTAAACTTCCTGAGCCCCGTGTCCAGCAACATGTACTATCCCGCCCTAGGGCCTTTAGCCAGAGATATGAACGTGTCGAAAAGCACAATGAACTTGACGATCACCGTGTTCAAGGTATAACGTTAAGTCACCAACCCCCATAGAAACCTTGCGATTGACGAGAACAGATTGTTCAAGGCATTGCGCCATTACTGACAGCGACGATTGCCGATCGAAACGGCCGTCGACCAATTGTTCTTATCTGTCTAGTCTTTTTTCTTGTCAGCAACATAGGTCTGGCACTTCAAACACACTTTGCTGGACTCATGGTACTGCGTTGCGTCCAGAGCCTCGGCAGCAGCAGCGGCTCAGTTGTCGCAAATGCTGCGGTGGCTGATCTCGTCACACGCGCAGAGCGAGGGAAATACATGTTTTATTCCTCGCTGGGAATGACTATTGGGCCTGCTATCGGGCCTATTCTCGGTGGAGTCATCATCCAGTTTTTAGGGTGGCGAAGTTCCTTCTGGTTTTTGGCCATTGTATCCGGAGTGATTGTTCTAATAATGGCTATGTTCCTGCGTGAAACATGTCGTGCAGTCACCGGAAATGGGAGTATCCCACCACAGCGTTGGAATAAATCTATCCTGCAGATGATCAAGGGGCAAAATGGGCTCTCGCCAAACTATGCAACCCGGACTGTCTTCAAGCGTCGACCGAGCCTGATCGATGTGTTGAAGATCGTGATGCATCGTCACATCGGAATCCTAGTACTCTGCAGCACAGTACGCTTCAGCGGGTCGATAGCAATACTCAGTACGCTGCCAGCGCTACTAGAGCGGAATTACCATTACAACACTCTCCAGATCGGGCTGTGTTATATCCCCTTCGCTGTTGGGGGCATCGTCACCCGTTGGACAGTGGGGACAGTGACTGACTGGAACTATCGGCGCCATGCACAGCGAAATGACGTAGAAGTCCGATCCAACGAGCAGCAGGAGCTGCGGGAGATACCCATTGAAAAGGCCCGGCTGCAGATTACCATTCCCCTCATGTACCTGTCATCCTGTTCCGTTCTGGCCTATGGCTGGACCATGAGCTACAATGTGCATATTGCAGCCCCTCTCATCACTTTGTTCCTGCTGGGAAACACGGACGCAGGTGTCACTAACACCCTGAAAATGCTTGTGATGGATTTGCATACATCCCGGCCGGCTACTGCGACGGCAGCCATGAACAGCTTTAAGAATCTCATAGGAGCTGGAGCTGTTGCTGCTGCCTTACCTCTGATCAATGTTGTCGGAATAGGATGGATAGGGACGATAATCTCCTTATTGTGGCTCCTTGTTACCCCGGCTTTGTGCATTCTGTATCTTAAGGGACATGCTTGGCGAGAGCGACAGCAAGTGCAGGTATACGATTGAAAAAGCAAAGGGAGGCGTCTTCAAAAGCGGACGTCATGGTTATTTCTTCCCTATATAGTCGGCGAATGTGTGGTCGTCGATATAATGACTAACAGGAACAAGGAACGCATCAATATACCCAAAGATCTGAGACTGTTACATAGCGACATCACCCACCTGCTCCTACCCCTTCCAGAATCCACCCCGGATAAAAGAAACGGAACGCCACCTGCACCCGAAACAGGGATTGTATCAAACACATACATATACACACCTCTTGATCTATTAAATACCTATCTATGTATTGCATGAACTCCAAAAGGCGATACAAACACCTTACAATAATCACAAGCGACACCGCCAATAACACGACCAGCAACCACTCCACTGGCGATTAGACTGAGGTGTTTCCAAGGAGAGGAAATAGAGCCTTCAGCCAATAATGGTGGTGTAGGTGTCCGGAGTTTTTGGCACGTTTGACCTGCGAATAGTGACTTTGTATCTTTCAAGATTCTATGCGTCACTTCCGGGCAACTAGATCCCGATAGCGTAGACAAGTGATCATTGTCATACAGAATCTAAAGAGGGTCAGGAAAAGGCCGACAAGAACAGACATAGAACATAGAACATAGACGCAGAACAGATAGAGAGGCTACAAGTAGTGAGCGAGCAGACAGGGAAGCAACACCGTACCGAGGCCTATCATGTATATAACTGAGATATAATTATTAGTCTTTAGGTGGATCATAGGTGAGTTTAAACGACATCACTTTCCAATGACGGTCGTTTCCTGCGTTCCCCTCTTCGACAATGTCGAGTTGCCTCGTTGGAGGCCTGGCAATAACTCTAACCGTGGCTTCCGTGGGTATTGGATTCCTTAAGGATACTTCTGGGTTGACCTTATCATAGGGCATGATTAGGAACTGAGTAATGGTGCTCGACTTCTGTGTGTTGTCCAGGAAGATGAGAGCACCATTCAAATTCACCTCTGGCTTCAGACTAGACTCTTTCTGAACGTCTTGGAAGGCAGACAGTTAGTAGTCGCCATTCTTATCCTTGGCTTGAAGTATGTATGATGTATGATAATACAGCTGTTATGGTCAACTCACATGTATAATTTTACAAGGCAGGTGTTTGCTCACCACTCTACCAATCGTATCCACCTTAAGTTTGTACTCTTCTGCTGTCATCTTTGCCGAAGCATGGCTTCCCCTTTTAAAGAAGTCATAGACCTTCTTTTTGTTTTCTGACTCCAAAACGCCCCAGGAAAACGTGTTGAGACCATTCTCAATTGGATCTTGATATGGGTCAGCGGGGCGGAAGCAAGGGTAGATCTTCCATCTTACCAAAACCTGGATTTGGTCCTTCGTCTTGTAGTTGTTCTTTAGACAGGATCCACGGCTTGAGATACCCGTAGTTAGCTGCCACCAAACTGACAGACCAGTGGCCGACTCTCGCTGGGGGAAGAATATCCTAATGGGTTCAAAGTCTGTTTGCTATGAGATATTAGTAATGAGTCCTAGAAGCAAGCCATCGTAGACCTACATGCATCACTCTCCAGGTATAGAAAGAACCCATAGTAGGACACCATTCCGGCGCACTATCACCGCATAACCTATCAGCCTCCTTACTTTATACCATAGTGGGATGTCAAGACTAACTTAGTGGCTAAAAGTGAATTGCCCCCATGGGCTTCCCAGGTGATTGCCATGTGCATATTACTCTTCACCCGCTGGTTAACCTCCATCTCTTGGTTTTCGTAGCTTGGGCTGGCAGACGCCTGAAAGGAAGGCCAGCAAAAGCAACGCTTGCACTGGCTTTCATAGCCTTCTTCATTTCTGACATATTGCTGGCCTGGTTTTCGTTGACGTCTTCTGTAGTCGTCCACCGAGTTCAATTCGGAGTGGGATGAAGTGGCCTATGTTACATGTTGGTAAGGCGAGGCCAGAGAGAGCACTCTTCTATCTTGTAAGCAATAACCGCTCTTACCGTATTTCTTAAAAAATTCATTCTCCAATGGAGAGGTGACGGCCAAGTGCCAGTCTCGTTGACATTCAGGTGTCAGCTCGAGTGAATCTAAGTCGAAGACAATGACCACGCGTGGGAACTGGTTGCGTTACTTAACAAGGGCACGGTCGCTATTAAAAGCACACCTTGAATATTAGCGTGGGATATAGGGTCACTGACAGAAGTTCAGCAGATTGAGATACTAGGATGCATGCTGCGTTCCATATCTAGGACGTGTAGCTCATCGGTTGCCTTGCCGTTATTTTGGTCTTTCTTTTTCTAGTTTCGAACGTTGACGAGGTTGACGGCATAGCCATTCAGGAGACTGTTGTTTGCGATGGCAATATCCCACTCTTCTTGTGACATTTCAAAGGGATGGCTATACATTAAGACAGTAGATATAATTTTAGTACACTTTTAGCGAAGCTGAAAAGGATGGCTTACGCCAAATTATCTCCCGATCGAGCACTCCAGCCGCTGGCATCATATCTCCTATCAATTTGGAGCCGTGGCGCGTTCTTTTCCTTGAGCTTATCATCCTATAGAGAGGCTAGACACATCGAATAATATCTGAGCGCTGCACGTTAAGATTTACTAGAGGAGTAAGTTCTTGCTTTGTATCAAGCACTTTCTGGAACGACTCTCGCTCCGTCTAAGATTCAGTCGCCGGTTCTCATATCCTCATCAAAGCGCCAGATATCACAGACCTTTGAGCTTGTCCAATAACTAACCACCGGATTATCCGAAGTCCGAAACTAGCCAGGTCAGGGCAACAATAGCAGACAGAGACAATAGAAATTAAAAAAAAGAAAAACATACAACAGCTGGGATTCGCTGGTGGTCACCCACCCAACTACTAACCGGCCGGCGTGTGGCTTAAGTACGGCTGAGCGGACGGGAAGCCCTGTTCTCCACACCCTGTGGTCGTATGTACTAAAGGGAAGTAAACAGTGGGATATATTGGGGGTTTAATATAGAGGTAAATGTGTTCAAATATACCATACGAGGACCATACATCATTAACCAGGTATAGTGAAACCAACAAGTTCGCAATAGTTTGCAAAGGTTTCAAACAAGACTGTCGCACAGTTAAATGACTTGAGTAAGACTGAGAAAAGCCTTCAACATTGCTGATCGAGCTTAAATTCCTGGGCATCAAGATAAATTCGGCAGGAACTTGAGCGCCTGGGCCGCCTTCAACGCTTCCACAAAGTCCTCCGATGTCTCCACCGTCCCATGAAACCCAAATTTCCTGGCCTTACTCACGTCCAACATCATTTCAAGTTGAAAACTAGCTGCTGCATCAGCAAACGCCCAGCTCGCCGAGTAGAACATTTCCCGCCCTTTAGAAAAGCTGACGAGAAAGTTTCAAAGGCGTAGTATTTGCCGGATATGCCGTGTTACGCGACCGGTCTCCGAGTTCGCGGCTAAGAGCTACGTAGAGCCTGATGGCGATACTAGTCAAATTGAGTCAGTTTGCGCAGGAACCAGGAAAGACAGCAACGAGCATAATAACAGGTGTGCAACTTACGCGATATTCATGAAATTGCCTTTGACGGCACCGACAATGAGTGCTGGACGCCCAATAATCCAGTCAAACCCTTGCTTGGTGCCGAGGTGTTTGAGAATGTTCTCTTGTCTTCGAAGCGTGATATCTCGTCAGCTATGGGCTTGTCTGCCAGATAGGAGATCTCCGGGTTGGGTAACTCACCGGTAATAGAAATTTGGTAGAATGTGAACGCGTGGGTCAGTTTCCTTGGAGGATAGAGCAATAGGCCCGATATGGACATCATAGTGCTACTTACAGCAGGCTAATAATCGATTCGTGAGAATAAAAACAACATATGAAAGAAATAAATTCATTCATTTTAGTACCAGTCTCTAGAACCGATCGCTTCATCGAAGAATACTCCATAGCCAAGATAAAGCCCCGCAGCATTTGATCTGCCGTGGCAGCGTATCAGCAAATTGACCCAGTCAACGTTTGTTAAGGTAAGAGACTGACTATTATCAAATACCATCTGATCCTGATTTCTCTAGAACGTACCGTCATTTGAAAAAGATTCTTTGTAGGCAAAGAAAACGCATATTCAACTGCTGTGTATTTAATGTCTGGCGGGTATTCTCCACTCCACCTAAGAGATCAACCGGTAAATGCTCTATGTCCGTCCCATGAAACTTGCCCTGAGATAGGCGATAAGAAATTGCATAGATTTTTGTTTAGCGCTCGGGGCGTTGGGACAAGATCTGGAGCATGTAGTGCCCGAAAGTTCCAGTTGCGTCCACAACAATGGCTGTTTGATCCTTGATATCCGGAAATAGTAACAGACTGACGTAGGGTCCCTCGATGTAGACACGGGTTGATGCTGATTTATTGTAAATAGCTATTGTGACAGTGGCTATTCAAGGAAAGGAAGATTGAGGAATAGTGAGCTTAATGGTTTTAATGTTCTGTTGATGGGCTTAAAAGAAATAAGAAGATTGATATAATGTTGTCAGCATGGCCAGGTTTAACGATCAGTAACAACACCCTGTGTGGGCTTGTTGGTGGTAATACTTAAGTATCAAGCCATCTCCGGGACCCCGAGGAGCCATGAGCTGTATGCGCAAAGATAGTGGCTCACCAGAAAATCCTGTCACCTACTATTGATCATCAAGAGAAGCTCCACTACATAGTCCAGCTCTGTGAGACTCTGTCAAGTGTCTCTTAAACAGTTTGGTTGTCGATAGAAGATTGTTCTTCATAGTTCTAGTCTGTGTCTTGCAGGTGTTTTAGCTTCCGCACATATATCTCTGTCCAGCATCATCATCACAATCAGATAGGAAAGTCGATCCTTGAACCTTGGCAACGAAAGAAATCTACTGACTAATTTGTATAGCGTGAAAAGTTCGCGATCGATGCTGTTATCCGCAGCGGGATTCGCTACATGTTATACGCCTCTCTCGCATACGGCAATGCCTCTGAGAGCAAAAGGTCCGTCGCCTTCGTCATGGAGACGGATACTCACTGGTCCCCAGGCACTAGATTATAGGCAGGTTGTGGAGATCCCGAGTAAAATTATAGACAAACAGATCCACATCAAAATCATCGCAGATGAGAAATGGGCTGTGATTCAGGTAGTAAAAGATAATCTGCCGTATGAGAACATGGAATATAGATTGGATATGGCATCAGTGTTCGAGGCTATTCGCAAAGGTAAGATAGTTACTGTTAGTCCCTTGCTAAGAGACCTCCTAGATCGCGAACCCGAGACGCCCGAAACTATTGTATCGGAAATAGTTGAGACTACCACCTTTGGGGAGCGTACATTCTGGGACAAATAGGGGCGTTCCTTGGAGGGCTTAAAGCCCATAATAGATTATTAAATGTGCCTACCGAGTTGCCCTTGCAAAGCATTGATTAAGATTGTCAACTGGTACATATAAAGACAAGAGTTTATATCTTGCATGGTGGTCCTTCGTATATCTGTTTCCCTAAGTGATAAAAACATGAAGCAAGCCCTGAAGAGTCCTTGCGAGGGTTGATATATCATAATGATGAATAACCGGATCATTTGGTCACAAACGTATCATCATACAACTGCTATACTATGAGGTTCACATTAGGCAATTCCCTCCTTTGGTTACCGTTCTCTTTCCTACCCTTCTATCTTCCGAACTCTCGTTACCAGTTTCTCGAATCATTTAAAAATGTCGTAAAAGTCTACGTTTTCAGTTTGGAAACTATAGGGGCCTACGAGTTCAGCAAAGACTACAGCTTCTCAAACCGATCTATGTGCTCACGAGTCTTCTGGCTCTAACCTTGGAACTGTTCAGTGCTCAATTTCACAAGCAATGTGTAGGTTAACAGTTATCACAAATCTGCTGGTCACTGAACCTTCGAGCCATGTCTACACAGTTTGTGCCATTAGGAACCACATCGCCTGTTCAGACCCGGACAACAAATATGCGATAAACATATCTAGGATAAGCTTGTCAGTCACGCAATCTCAAGGAAGGACAGTTGATCTTTTTTGTTTTTATTAGTTCAGGTATCAACTTTGGTCTCATTCCTAGTAGCTCCATTGGACACTTCGAGAAGTTCATTATAGCGGCAGACACTCCAAATATTATTTGAATAGAATTGGTTAGTGACAAATGTATGTCTATGGGTATTAATCAGACTAGTAAATATACTTGTGTGCTTCCCTATCGTCAGTCAGCGGTAGTAGTTTCCATGGAACTCGTGGGTCTAAAATAGCCAGCGTATTTGAAGTAACATCACCCCCTGTGTTGAGCTTTGCACACTTTGCTGGTTTTATTAACAATTTCTTTTAAGATTCGCATACAATCATTTCTTGTTCTGAGGGTCTGGATTTTGATGATAAACGGTGTGTATGCTTTTGGTCTCCAATATGTCTTTTGGGATCTCTCTTAACAAGGGAGTTGTGCATCTCGAAAACTCCTTCATTCTGCTTAGTCGACTTCGAGTTCCGCAATAACGTTTACATTCATATGATACAGTCAGGATATTTTAAAGGCTCCTTTTACGATGGTTAGGTCTGTCTGTCAGAGAGCCCTTCTGCTTGTGCTTTGGGTAGGTTTGACAGAAAGGTATGTTGTTTCACGGAGCCTCCAAGCTGCCCTGTTGGTTTAAAGTTTGATAGGAATACTTGCGTTACATCAGAACCTCCTTTGTGTCCTTTTGGTCTCAGCCTCTCGCACTTCCCAAACGGAGACGCTCGATGGTGTTTAATGGGTCTGGTTTGGGATGGCTCATATTGTGTTCTGGCCACGAAGGACCCAGGTTCATGCCCTCGTGGAAGTCACTATGACAGCTGCAAGTGCGTATATACACCAACGCAAGAGTCAAGCTGCCCACCAGAGACGACATTGAAGAGCGGGGCATGCGTCTCATTCAAACATCCGGCATGCCTCCTAGGTGCCACTTTCAACGGAGGACATTGTGTAAATCAGGAGCAAACTACCTTCCCACCTGGCTCAACTCTGAGTGGAAATGCATGTGTATCCCATACGGACCCTTCTTGTCCACCACAAACCACCTTCAATGGGCAGGTCTGCCTCTCTGCTGAGCGCCCGAAATGTCCTCCCGGGTCGACCCCGGCGATGGAGTTTGCCTCTTCCCCGAGACTCCTATCTGTCCAGAGGATATGAGTTTGAGCGGCGAGCACTGTGTGTCTTCCAAGTCTTCAAACTGCCCAGCCGAAATTGCTTTCGACGGGATATCTTGTATATCCAAGGACCGGCTTAGTTGACTCCAAACTTATATTTTTTGACGGGCGCATTTGCGTCTCAGGTGAGCTTCCGTTTTGTCTCTTGGGCATGATCTTTGACGGCCGCTCCTTTGTGTCAAAAGCCAGATCGACTTGTCCAGTCGGGACATTTCTCAACGGAGAACATTGCACGTTTGTAGTAAGCCCTTTCCGTCTACCCGGCTTGACGTTCGACTGTCAGACATGTGTTTTTGATATCCAGCCGGCTTGCCCTTCAGATACAGTTTTCGACGGCAAAACGTGGGTTTCTGATGCACATTTCACATGTATTTCTGGTACGACATTCGACGAAGTTACTTGTGTGGCTGAGGACTGGTCGAGCTGTCTTCCTGGAACAGTGTTTAATAGGGATATCTGCGTATCGACTATCTCTCCTGCAGGTCCTTTGAGTATCAAATTCGACAGTACTAAATGTGTAGCCACTGCTTTGCCGTTCTGTCCATTGGGGCTATTGTAGGTCGGAAATACTTGTCAGTTTACTGAGTATCCTGTTTTTCTGTCAGGGATGACGTTCGATGGTAAGCGATGCTTGATTTGGGGTGGGCCCGGAATTCTTTGAGATGTATGTATGTCCGTCCAATAGTTAGATAATTTCTATTGTCGCTTGACATCCTTTAAAGTTTCCATTGGGAATGCCGGAAATAATAATGTTATTAGTGGTGGGGAGGATGTTGAACAACGGGCATTCTCCATTTTTTCCAATTATTATTTTCATTTTTCTGTTGTCGATCATGCTGTTGTTGTCTTTCCCCATCTATCTTTAAGGAACTAAACGTATGGAAAGGGAAAAAGTATTGGCGATTTCTTCCGGATTCAAACGAATAGACAGCCTCTTTTTTACTAGCTAAAGAATGTTCGTAAATGCAAAAAGCCCTATCGATAATGTAGAAGGTCACCCTCATCCAACAAATTTGAGGCTGCTGTATCAGATAAAAAAGTAGAGTTCCCCCTTTTCCGTATTCATCCGGCGGTACATTCATGCCTCACGCCCCACCGCCACCCACAAACTTGGTCACTGTTGCTGCGTTCTGCCACAACCCCCCAGCCTACTGCGTCCACCAAGCATAATTCAGCTGGAGGAGTCGAGTGCATCTCGTCTCTACTATCTTGTCCGTTAAAAACACGACCCTACCCATCTTGCACCATGTACTCGCCCTACAAGTGCAGGACCTGCTTGAAAGGCTTTTCCACGAAGAGTCATTTACGTCGACACGAAGTATCGCGTGAGTGCCGATTCCATCACAAGGCACACGGAAGCCTAATAACTAGCAGATGTCGTCTCTCGTTCCCATGGTTGCTTTTTCTGTGCCCAATACTTTTCTCGAATGTACCATCAAGCACACCACGTCTTCTGTGCTTTCATATACTAATACCCTTTCCTAGCGATGCTGCTCGTCGACATGCAAGAAAGTGCCCACATAGATGCGACCGGCCTATGCCCCATACTCTGAAGAGGGGAAAGCCTAGAACCTCGTGTGATTACTGTGCCATGGCGAAGGTTGCTTGTGACGATGGTGTTCCCTGCGGAACCTGTTCGAGCAACTCTTTTCTATGTAGGTATTCACGCGTTTCGGGCACCATCCAGCCGGACTCGCCTCAGTTGCCTAATATATCACCTTCTGAGGAAGAGGACACGGTCGCCGGCACAAGGGAGTGCCGGATGTCCCCTGCTACCCAAGAGTCTACGGATACTGCATACAAAGTGAGAATTCCGTTTTTAGTGAATTTCTATCGTGAAACAAATTCGTGCCAGGACTTTTACACGGCTCTTGAATCTGGGAGGCCTGAACCTGGGCAGCGGTGCGGACCTTTCACCAAGCCAACCGAGGCTGTAATTATGTCATCGGCTTTTGCACAGGCTAGCCTACCTGAAGAAAGCTGCGAGGATTTACCCTTCTTTGGGTTTCCCGGAGTCAATTCGTGGAGCCAGGAACCTTTCGATGACAAAGGCTCTGAGACTATGGCTGAACCGCAACTTTTCTGTTTCAGAAAACGTGGTGAAGAAATTGTTAAAGAGCTTAGCCGCACCGCTGACAACAGCGGGATGCCAACAGAGGGAGCTCGGGACAGCTTATATTCTGCGATTGAGCAGGGCCTATTCTCGGTGACAAATTTAGTCGAATACACTCAACTCTACCTGCAATGCCTCCGCCGACATTGTCCAATTATTGATCTGCCAACCTCGCGTATCTCCTCTGTGTCATCGCCACTTCTGTTGGCCATGTTCCTGGGTGGATCAATTCTCTCCTATCCAAGAGATACTTACCATTTAGCCATCGAATGCTTTGACCTCGCAGAAGAGTGCATCTTTGGTTTGCCTATATTCAAAACAGGATGTAAGGATTCTGGAGCTCCCGAGAGTCGACTGCCGGATCTCGCTGAACCATTGATGGCCGCGATTATCATGATAAATCTTCAAGTTGGAAGGAATGATCCCGGTATTCGACGAAGAATCAGACGCCAGCGTTTCCCACCGTTGGTGTATGCTGCACGGTCGCTGTCACTTTTTCAAATCGCTCACCGAAATACATCCCTGCAGCCAGTATTAAATGGGCTAACATTTACAGAGAAAGAATCTCTGATCAGGTATTACATTTTTCTTGAGCAGCACAAAGCATTACACACTAACATTTCGGACAGGACTGCGAATTATATCTTTCTACTAGATTGTCAGTTCGTAGCGTGTTTTAGGTCTCCTCCGCTTATTACAATTGCTGAGCTCACAGGAGACCTTCCGTGCTACGAAGGAGATTTCTCAACTGAGGGGCCATTGTTGTCTACAGCCACTGACTACTATAGACGGTCGCCATCACTCGTGGGTCTTGTGGATACACTCATGGATGATTCTCAGGAAAAGCTGGACAGTCTTTTAACTCACCATGTCAGCGTATTTGGTTTGTTTGCGGTAATCTGTGGTATGAATTATGTCCGAGTCTAGTAATTTGCCAACTAATTGCGCATTCTTAGGCCTGCATTCAATTTTGTTCTCTGCTTTCGCTAGCAATACTATCTGTAATCAACTAGCTCGGCTGAGACGAGCATTAAGCCGATGGCATTTGCTCTGGAAAAGCACAATGTCGCAAACCCCGAAAGATGAATTGGGGTTGATTGGCTTCATGATGTGCGGGGAGGAAATATGGTTGCTTGCAAGAGCTCTGTTGCAGATCGATACGAAGGAATTTGTCCAGGATCTAGATTGTTATTCAGTGGTGTCGTTCGTGTCACTGCTGAGGCAGCAGACGCATGAGATATCGAGGGGACCAATCTATGAAATGGATTAGCTCTCTATGGGTCCCGACATCACTGTCGAATACACTACTTGCTATACTGTGGCTATACAGATTCCTACAGATAAAATAGACTTTAGGCCATGACATAACAATGCAATCATCGATCTCCCCGCCACCATTAACAGCCGCGAGAACGATTATTTGACCTCCAGCCTGTAGTTATCCCACCAGTGGCATAATTCATGCCTCCAACATTTTGGAATATACGCTTCCGCCAACAGCACAATCATAAACCCCGCTTCATCATCCACCGTATTATGGATAGAGAGAATGAATGAGACAAGTGATGAATGATAACACGGTGCTCCGACTCAGCGACCAAACTGTTCAAAATACTTCCGCCATTCCCGGTCTGCACTTTGTACACGCCTATATCTCCGCTTTAGCTTGTTCAGGGCCGGAGGCCCACGGATCGGGGTCCGACTATTATTATCTACAACGGATATGAGCTGCTCTTTCCCGAATACTAACCTTTCTTGTGACAAGACCCCACCCCTAAAATACCACTCGGGAAATACCCACCCACAATAGTGGGAGCCAAGAGTTGTAACGTGTCCTCGGAGCGAACCATATCATATACTCACTTTGTATCATCAGAATTGACGGAGAATGCTGCCATTCCTTCGCTCTCGTGGTGCATAATTCTAGTATAAAGCAGCTCAACTTCCAGCAAAACCTCCAGACACCGTTTCCCGGCATAGGCGATAGTTAAATTTGGAGTTACCACCTTCCGAAAGCCCCGCACACCATAGGTATGCTGGTAAATGCTGATCCATGCGTACTTTGAATTGTTCATTCATATACTCGCTGTTCAGATTGTTGAAATGGTAGAAGTGTAACTCATTGAATGTGCCCTCAGGCAGCTACTTGAACCGATAAATCCATCGCTATAAAAATGCAATAAACTATAGGATGCTGTTCAATACCAATATTTGAAAATCCAACGCCACACTAGGATTGTAGCTAACTAGCTTAATTAGAAAAATGTTTTCATACAGTCCAACCAACACATGACAAAGTCGGCAAATGAGGTGACGGGACGGGACCGGGCGGGACCACGGCGGGTCGCAACCGAGCTTCTGACCAATCGGGATTTATCCACACGGGTCATCTACCAATTAAGTCCATTCCCAATGACGAATTTCATAACTGGTTGTGGATAGGTACAGAGGAAACCCTTTGCAGACTCCCGATGAGGGTGTCATTCTCTCAAATCCACAATACAGTTCCCGCGTCTTTCTAGAGGAAAAATGTAGTGGAGAAATTGCGCCTCGGAGACCAGGTGCGTTTCGGTATTCGGATCGCCCAATGCCCCGAGCCAATATTCTTTTACGGAGCGAAGCAAGTATAAAGGTTCCTTGAAAAAACGAGAGGTAGGAGTTCTTCAATCATCAGAGACGCTGCAAACCTTTCAGCGGTGAATCCTTCCCATCCCATTATCAATTCCTACCAGGATACGACCTCCAATCACTCAGAAGTTGCGATGACGGGAAAATACCTTTTGACCGGAGGATATGTGGCGACCTTGGACGACTCAATTGGCGACTTCGCCAAGGGCGCCGTATTAGTCGTGAATGGTATCATCGAGGCAGTGGGAAATGTCGAAGACCTCTCCACCACCGACGCCGAAATAATCGATACAACTGATGGCGTGGTGATTCCCGGTATGGTAGACACCCATCGACATGCCTCTATGGCTCTGACTCGCGGCTTGGGAGCCGACCAATCGTTGCTTCATTTCCTCTCCAACACCTACCTCCGATGGCTGCCAGCTACTGGAGTCAAAGACATGCATCTATCCGCTTTTGTTGGCGCCCTCGAAGCTCTTGATTGTGGCGTCACGACCATCATTGATACATGTGAATCGTTCCATTCCAAAGAGCACGCCGAGGCGGAGCTCGAGGGTCTGAAAGATTCCGGAATTCGGGCGTTTTTTGCCTACGGCATGAGTGATGGCGAATACAACGGAGCTCCCATTGGCCAAGATGCGTGGAAAGCTCGGTTGGACCACCTCGCCGAAATGCGTGCAGCGAACCCATCCAGCGAGAGCCTGGTCCAGGTGGCGTTGCAGCTCAGTATTCCGGGAACTGTTCCTTTCAATCTAACGGCTGCCGAAATCAAGTTTGCCCAGGAGAACAACATGCTGTGTTGTTCTCATTCGTGCGGTCTTAACAATTCGGTTATCTCCACTGGCCTTGATGAAAGGGCTGATAGTGGTCTGATGTTGCCGGGTCATGTCTATATCCACTGCACAAACCTCTCGGAGCGCCAGGTCAAGCTTATCGCAGAAACCAAGGGTAAAGTATCTATTGCGATGGAAACAGATATGCAAATGGGCATGGGCATTCCGCCCATTAGGTTTTGTCTCGAGCACGGCATTCAACCGTCACTAAGCATCGACACCTCCGCCGCCGTTGCGCCGGATCTGTTGTCTCAGATGCGCCTAGCGTTGCAAACGCAGCGCTTCCTAGACAACCTAACCATCCACTCCCGGCGCCAAATTCCATTGCATTTGGATTACACGGCTCGCGATGCTTTGCGCTGGGGCACCCGTAATGGGGCCGATGCAATTGGTCTAGGTGACCGGATTGGCACCATTACGCCTGGAAAACGGGCAGACCTTGTTTTTCTCTCGAACAAACGTTTTTTGACTCCCTCAGCGTATCCCGTTGCCACCGCTGTTCTGCACTCAACTGCCGCCGACGTTGACACTGTCATGGTGAATGGAGTCATCAAAAAGCGCGATGGACAGCTCGTCGGCCATGACATTGCGGTAATCCGCCAGAAGGCCAAGGCTGGACAGCAGCGTATTCTTGACAATCTTGCAACAATGAGATCGGAAATGACGCCTGACGAAGTTAGCAAGTATCTCGAGGATGCAGAGCGCTCGACCCGGGTTAACCTGGGACAAGCTTACCTCACACATGTTGCCGGTGATGGGTTTAGATCTACTTAACCCAAATGGTGATAATTCACGAGACCTTTGTGGTCAGTGTCGCATGCGCCGGCTTTGATTGAATTGATAATAAGAAGGTGAAATTCCAATCTCTAGCTGTCTCGGTTCCAGAAAGATATCTTCAATTGGTTGAAGGTGAACGAGGACGGGTATTTTTCTCTTGTGCCCCGAATGGGAGAGCTAGTAATTTCTTACTCTCTCAGCCGTTCAACGTGAGCCAGTGGCCACATTTTCTATCACCCAAGCAATCTTTATAGATGAATGTCAAAATGGACATGTACAAAGTCTGCCAATTATTCTGAAATATAGACCGCGGCTATTGTGTAAGAATACGAAGTAGTACCCCCTTAGACCTTCCTATCTTGAATCGAGACACTATGCTGCATGTAGATTCCTTCCTGTAGGAAGTAGGGGTCCACCACGGTGCTTTGGGTTGAGAACCCTTGCGACTGTTTGACTGGCTCCTTATAATGTCCCGGCGATGTTGACTGTCGAACCTCTGTCCAGAACTTGCGTCGACCGAGTCGAAAGAGAGGGCGAAAGCTGGACATTGATGCAGCGGTGATGGCAACTGCAGCCTCGGTACACGTCCACGCTGCCATCGGAACTTGGTTAACTTTGCGAGTATGGTTAGCAATGAAATAAGAAGAGAGAGTAGGAAGAAATACAGGTCATGTCGGGCCCAGAATGTGTAAACTGAATCATGGCCACGAGGCGAACAATGTCGAAAACCAGAGTTCTAAGTCGCGTTAGATGTCTATAATTGGAGGGAAGAGGGTTGAAGGGGCCGTACAAACAACCAACCAGGAAGACAAACGACAGCAGCACCCGTTGTCTCTTCGAAATGGACAGCGACCATACTGGCTTCAATGGTATCACTAGTAGAATCGCATCACTCAAGATGTTGGGAATTTGCTGTGTATAGAACAGTTTGGCAGGCTCAATACATTGGCCATCCAGTGTGGGGATCCAAAACTTTTGGACTGGGATACACTGCATAACACTCATAATGTAAACAGCGAAGGTCCATAGTATGACGAATGAAGCCATAATGTTCACGGTGAGAGCCATGCTACCAGTGGAAAAAAGCCGCTTATATAGAGCAAGTATCGATAGCTTGGTAAACATTATGCAAGTCGTATAGACGAACGAGTTTGACCAGCCAATCTGCTCCCCATTAGCGATGCCTTTTTGGCAAAAGAAAAGCGAAGCTGACCTTCAAATAGACAGTGAGGTTATCTGGAGGAATCTTCTCTAGGTGAGACCCTAGCCCGTTGAACAGTACTGCACGCAAATTAATGATTCACACAACAAAATGATATCAGATTGCCAAGACAGGCTGTACTTACTAATGACAGTTCCGATCGAGCACCCATATTTGAAAAGCTGTCATCGATCAACATGCGTCATGCGGAAACCACGAGAGATGATGCACACCAGTGCTACAAGAATCAGATAATCGTCTAGAAATAGACCGGTACCTGTGATTCGTCTTGCCACGAGGCGAAGGGCAACGGCAACCGTCGAGACGATGAAGGCGAAATACAAGCTCACGACCACGGTGCGGCGCAGGTTCTCATTGGGATGCCCGAAATCCCCTGAAGCGCCACTATCTGACACTTCACTCAGCGACATCGAGGATAACTTGGCCAATAAGCTGGCTAAGTGAAGCAGGGAGGGATACGGTGGGAGGAATATGGTGAGACGATGGCGATGCTCAATGCAAGTATTTGGAATGACAGAAAATTAAAAGCGTATTGGAGGCGAGAGAATCATAAATAAATTCTGGAGAGTAAAAAAAGGAGTCGGCGGCTTGGAAGGGGGCATGCTGTCACTTTGATACTTTTCTACATATCACATCGGCGTTAAAAGCCCACACAAGGCGGGATCGGATGTACAAGCCAAGGGGTTTTTTACTTGATAGTGTTCGCATCATAAGGCGGACCATTGGAGGGGGGTTCACGCTAATCTATAAGTTCAACCCCTAGTGAAGAAGGGAATCTTATTATTCGAATCAAGGCTTTGTGGCTATTGTCATGCGTTTAACTAGATGCCTGTGTGTTAACTGCCTGGGCAGTGGGACGTTATCGAAAATATTAATATTGGGGCCGATCTCTGACCTGTCTACTGATAACTACCAGATCCTCAGATGATAGCCTATAAATGGCCAACGCGCCGTCGATCAGCGACAAATTTAGAGCTGTCTAGAGTTGAACATGGGATGGATCAACCCGTCCAGATATTTGGGTCCACTGACAGACGATAGACGTTTTCTTGGCGATTTTGGCGATTCATGCATGCAAGGGTGGAAAATCACTATGAGGTTTGGCAACTTTGCACTACACACGTTGTCCCCAAACGGACGGGCTTTACAAAGAGATATATGCTCAGGAGGCTGGATTTGCACAGACCGTAGCATGCGGCAATCAATCCGCGGGCTCAGATCCTCATTTTGAGTTGAGACCGGGAATGGTCTTTATGTAAGTGAAAGAGAATATCGGATTCAGACCTGTCAAGTTTTGGCAGAAATCTTGCGTTTCTTGCCCCGTTCTTTAGTGCTGGTTGTGGAGAACTAACGACAAGAAGGACCCACAAAATGATGGCATTTTGCCGAACCCTTCGATGGGGAATAAATTCACCCTTCAACTCATGGAGCCTGACTCGTCCACCTACTTGTGTACCTTTATTACGGTTCCAAGCTTGACTCCGGCTTGAGATTAACAGTGTTCAGCAATTTTGCCCATATCAGCAGACTACGTGCAACTTCATATCCAATTTTTGTACGCAACTCCACGTAATCTCAGAACACATCTAAAGCTCATATATAGATGTTAACACGAAAGACGTATCCAAGATAAGGAACCACCTCGTTGACTCACAAAAGATCATACATATTATTAAAGGAGTATGGATATGTGCAGTGTCTAGGGGGATTGTTTCTTATACATGCAATCTTCACTAGAGAGATTTAGCCATAGACGCATCTTCATGATCGGGGTTAACATATCGGAGATCGACAAGAACCAACACAGCCACCGGTGCCCTGCACCCTTACGGGAAGTTCCACGGGACTAATTGAATACTCTAACCTTTACGTAAATATCTTCTCTCTACACTTCTAGATTCGCTTGCAACCAAAGAACCACGCAAAACCCGCAATGGATTTATCGCCGAATTAACCCCGAAACCGATCTCACTTGACCTCATCTACCACTATCATTTGTCGAGACACTTCCATCGCCCGTGAAGTTCAGTCTTGGCGGGTATAATACGATGACCGGATGTAAATCCGAAGGTACGTACGACATTGTGTGCGGAGGTCAATTAGAATGTAGACTTGCACTTCCATGTCCTATTTATACCCATCTCCCTGTCGCTCAAGAGTTGAAATTTCTCGCTCTACAACTTGACAAGAAACAATAAAAAAGAATGGCACTCACCCTTCCACCCACAGGCTTTGGCCTGCTAGGCATGACCTGGCGTCCGCAAGCAACCCCGGACGAGCAAGCCTTCGCAGCCATGAAGACCGCCATCACCAACGGCGCCACGATCTGGTCCTCCTCGTCCATCTACGGCATGCCCCCTAACGAACCCACTGCCGGCCTCTCTCTCCTACGTCGATACTTTGAAACTTACCCCGAGGATGCGCCAAAGGTGACACTATTCATCCGCGCCTGCCTCGACGCAAAGACATTCGCGTCGACGAACACCCGTGCAGGGGTGCGGGCTAGCTACGATGAATGCGCCCGTGTGCTGGGCTCCGCCAAAAAGATGGATATCTTTGGTCCGGCACGTTTGGATCCAAATGTGCCTGTTGAGGAGACGGTGGGTGCGTTGAAGGAGCTGGTAGACGAAGGGAAGATAGGGGGTGTGGGATTATCGGAGGTTGGAAGTGAGAGCATTCGACGAGCTAATGCGGTTGTGCCAATCAAGGTCGTGGAGGTCGAGTTCTCGCTTTGGAGTACAGATATTCTGCACAATGGGGTGGCTGGGACGTGTAAGGAATTGGGGATTCCGATTCTCACATACGCCCCGCTTGGGTACGGATTTTTGACAGGACAGGTCAAGTCTCTGGACGATATCCCCAAGGGGGATATACGGTTGTTGTTTGGGAGGTTTCAGGAAGAGGTTTGTCTTGGTTCACCCTGTTATTGGTTCGTCGGACGACCAGCTGATTGTGCTCTGAATTTGCAGACCTTTCCCAAGAATCTTGAGTTGGTTGATAAAGTGAACAACTTCGCGAAACGTAGAGGCGTGACGCCCGCGCAGCTGGCTTTGGCGTGGATTCGGGCACATTCGAATACGGAAAACTGCGGGATTATCATTCCCATTCCCGGCGCGACGGCTGCTGAGCGAGTGGAGGAGAATTGTAAAATTGTGGAGTTGTCGCCGGGGGAAAAGGAAGAGCTGGATGATATTCTCGTGTCGTTTGATGTGGCTGGAGCGAGACAGATTCCTGGCCTGGAGCATCAGCTTTGGGGGTAACCGGCTGTTTGGTGCGTTTTATCGAATATGAAGGGAGTGGAGTGAGAAAGTTCCTATAATGAGGCCATTGTGGAAAGGCCTCCAGCCATCGACTATTATTGTCCTTAATATTGCAATTGCAGACAGAGGACTGTTTTTACTCCGTTCTTTCTATTTTGCCAGGAGGAGAGCTTTTGACACATTGTACCTGTCTAATTATTCCAGTTTTCTTTTAGTATTTACGAAGTGATGATAATCCACATAAGAAGCTCTCAATGGGAGTATATAGGAATTCTACATGTTTATGCGAGACAAGAATAGACCCCTGAGTAAGCTAGGAGAGCGACAAAGGAATACAGATGATGAACGAGATTCATATTGTTCTGGCAAAGAAGGGGCGATTCCCAGTACAACAGAAATTTGCAATTAGTGAATTGAGAACTTGAAGGTGCATATAGATTTTGAGAACAGAATGCAATACAGCTCTCAAGCATAGAAGTCAGCGGTCGCTCGGCGTTCTGCCATTGTTCCGTCTGGAAGACAAGTCTTACAGTTAACAATGGGGAAGCAGTTTCGGCCAAGCAGCGATGCGAGAAAGTTCAAGATGCATAGAACAGAGAGTAAGGGTTATCAAAGATCGAGCGCGGCAGTTTCAAGTCTCAGTTCTCCCCACTGCAAACAACTGACTCCCAACCCATGGTATCATAAACGAAATACGGAACTCTGTATTTCAATAGTCTACCTGCGAGAGCCTATCTTATACTAGTTGATCTGCTTGAGCGCATTCTCGAATGACCTGTCAAGTTGCTCAGTGATGGCACCAATGGACTTGCTCTCAGGATCGGTAGCTTTGTTTTCCAAGGCATCTGACAGTGGAAAGCATCGGCTGTGGAGGCTTTCAAAGTTGTTGAACATGAAGTCGGACTTGTTGGTCTTCTTGATAAGGTCTTTCTGTGAGAATGTTAATACCCGTTTCATTTGATGCTGATGGAGCTGAGACTTTACGATTTTGATCAGATCACCAAGCATAGTCTCTAGGCCTTGCTTAAACTTGAGATGAGCTGCAGTGAGGGTCTTGCTGTCCTTATCGTTGAAGTCTTTGTTCTTGCTGACATCATCGAATGTGCGCATGATCAACCATTCCACGTTGTAAGCGAGAGTGCGGATAGAGGCGATGTCAGTCTTATTGTTGTATACCTTGACTGCTTTGTCAAGCTCTGTGACACCAGTCCCGATTTTGTTGAAGCCATCGAGGACGGAACGAATGTCATGAGGTTCAGCAGTGGCCACTGGAGAAGCATGGATGAGATTGACCATGAGAGCGAGAATAACAACAATAAGAACAACGCGGTTCATCTTGATAGCCATTGCGCAAGAGAGGATGACAACGAGGTACTAGAGATTTGGGAGCTCCTAGTATGGAGCAATCAGTTCAGAAATGGGGCTTAATTGCAAATTTGTGCAAAAACACTTACGTTGAGAGGCAGATATGGAGACTAGAAGTCTATGAAATATTGAAAGGAAGAAGAGATGGATGAAAGGGGGAAAGGATAAAATAGGAGGGAGCTTGAGGGGACATTTATGTGCGTGGCGTACACATCCTAGAAGTTGTTGAAGGCGATAGGGTATTGCCTGGAGAGCCCAGATTCACAGCATGCTTCTGGAACTTTCCGGCTGGATCCAATCAGCCTACTAAATATAGGCACAGGTGTATCGGTAGAAGCAGGATTGGAGGCGAAGATCACGAAGTCTCGGCCGAAGTTGATAGTCTTAACGGGAAGTCACGGTGGATGACATGACCACATGCACCTGGTTGTTGTGATAGGTACCTAAAATAGTTGAACCTAAATTCAGTTTAGATACGTTATCAATCTTCAACTCCAGACTCTATTCCGTTCATCTTGGTTGTGGCCTGAGTACGATCTACGTTCTGCGGCGCTGAGACGCATATGGAGTCTTAGTGCCTCAGTGTATGCACTACTTAGGCATCTCCTGACTAGAAATCCAGTCACTACGTTCGGTCGCCGTGCATAGAGAGAGCAGCAGAGCCAAATGGGGATATTTGATCCCACAATTTGAGTCTGTCGGTTAGTAGCGGTGAATCTATTCTCGTCCTATTCCACTTGTTCTATGCGACTCATGGACTAGAGCATATGTGCAACATGGTTTCTCGGCGAAGGTTTGATGAAAAGAGGGTCATTTCTGGATCTGACCCTAGCTTGTCTTGTTTATCAACTTTTCTTGACCAAGCCGTTTCTCTCGTTCTTCAGGCCATTCATATGAATTAACCTACCTGTTCAAGAGGAGAAAATGTAGATCAAAACCCGACTCATCCCAAGTTTCTTCTATAAATTTCTCAGTAGAATTGTTTTTGCAGCTGTGAACTTTGTTAGGTGTCAGGCAGCGAAAGTAAAAGAAGTCCTACGCAAGGGCAATTAGATATGGTACCCTCCAAGTCTCAGACATCTTTCAGTACACAGTTTCTTAAAAGCGAGCATGAAGAGGCTACAGCTATCTGTAGGATACTTGTTTTATGTCACCTGCAACACGCTGGGGAATGCCACTAGAGCGCCCATCACGCGGCAAGACCCATACATGAGACTTCCCGGAAGACATAGTGGTAACAAGGCCACAGGTGGAGCACCAATGGGGCTAATGGGGTCAAAGGGTGCTGTATAAATAAAAGAACTGGGGATCTTCCATGCACGCTTTTTACTAGTGAGGATTTTTTCCTTTCCTACTTCCTCAACTGCCACCTTACAATTACCCCTTCGATCCACGTTCGTTCGATTACCGTTACATTAAGACTCAAAAGGATAATCCAGCACCACCCTCGGTTTGGAACGCAAATCACAGACGAGAATGCCCGACAAGCTAAGAGACGATATGGGACCCCATCCCGTGTACTGTGGAGACATTGTAAAGGTCATACAAGAGCTTCATCGTGATCTGTCACGGAAGTGGAAGCTGTACGAGAAAGAAATCAGGGAGACTTGGCGACAATGCGACAAGCTCGAGCGAGAAGAAGTCCTGATCGGGAAAAAGGCTGGAGGATTGGTTCTTGATAGTTACGATGACGAGTCGAGGGGTGAGATAGGCTTCTTGATCCCTGAATGGAATCTTCAAGACCTTGCAGAGCCGGATTCTGATCTGCTTCTTGATCTGATCGAACATCGAGCAACAAATTGGCTGAGTGACCAATATTTAATGGGACCAAATGGTGAGCTGGGAGATGAAAAGCACATCCTCGAGACCATTGATTGTGGCGACACGCCGTACGAGGAACTGGAAAATGAAAATTTTAGATGCTTTGCCTCTGAGTATCACTATGGAGAGCAAGTCCATATCCCCGAGCACCAGCGCCATGGGCCAAATGGCAAGGATCTACCAAGATGCACTCAGCCGGAAATCATTGGCAACTTTATATTGGCTCGCCAGATGCACTTTCTTCAGATGATGAATCTGGCCATTTGGGAGATCCTCGCCTTGCACTGGAAACATGAGAAGGCAGGGGTCTACCGAGAAAAGCCACAGGGACCAGGTACATTGACCTTGATATGTTTGTGCATCAGAGAAAAGAATCCAAAATTTAGTTTGTCGAAATTGCGGGATATGGCCTCTGACAACAAGAAATCCCTGGATGACTGGGCCTGGCTTTGTCGGACAGACCCTGAGTACCTCATCGACATGATTTACATCTGGTTCTTGACCCAACCCGGGCTCATTGCTGACGCAGATGATCTCCTACTTCCCACGATGCATGACAGAAATGTCTCCAGCTGTCTGTTTGAAATGTTGCATACATTCGTACTCAATGCTGCCGTGTGGGACTATATCGCGCGTCTCCTCGGCGCACTTGTTGACGCCAAGGACAACGATCGATTCTGCCGTACCGCCATCCTACAAGAGTTAGTCAACGTGATTCACTTCGAGTACGAGCGATCGCAAGACTTGCTTAAACGTTACACGCAACGCAGTGTGGGCCACGGGCATTTGAAGCGAGTGGATGATCCCAACAACGCCAAATCCCGTGTTGTGTTGACAACCAAGCCGGCTAAGCTCACAAGGTCAAACCCAATCGCTCACTACATTCTGCGTCTGTACCAATCTGAGACCAAAGTTGCCGATGCAGGTCACTGGCTGCAGAAGATATTCAGTCTTTATCGTTTGAAGAATGAAAGGGCCAAGGTGGACGATGTCGCGGGACGCGAAGTTTTGCACGAGCTCGCGGTAGTTGTCGGCCTTTTCAGACACCTAAAATCTTTGATGCAGCTGCCTCCCTGCAACCCCAGAAAGTGTCAGACATACATCAATCGCATCAAAGCGATGAACCCCGAGATCGAATCCATCAAAGAGAGCCTCGATCTGTCGGAACTGGCGGTTCCGCCGGACCGCCTTCGATGCCCCGGGATCGCCTTCAAAGCTCTTAACAAGGTTGACGAGGTGATTGAAAGCTACACCGGCACCCATCTTGCAAAGCTCTACGAAGAAGTTAACGAAAGTTGTTTCCTGGAGATACGCCAAAAATGCGACCGGAAGAAGGCCCAAGCGCAGAGAGAAAGAGACTCTATAAAGGGCAGATTTCCCATCACTGAAACTCCCGTCGAACAATTGCGTAATAAGGAACGCAAGCAGAAGCCCAAGACACGCCCAGCAGAGCCTCCAGTACAGATTTCCCCAAAACATACCTACATACGTGGACCGCAGACGGTTCCTTCTCAGATTCCCGACAAAGTCGATCCCTTCAGAGTTAAGCCTGAATCATATGAGGTTTTTACAACATTGCTTTCAAGGAATGAGCTTCGCGGATCGCTTTCTTGGACGGCCTTTACGGCGGCAATGACTGACGTGGGATTTTCTGTGGATCACAAGTATGGATCCATTGTCACTTTCGAACCTCCAATCTTTCGCGGCCATCTGAAATCATTTACATTCCATCGACCGCACGAATCTCACATTGAGGGATTCCGTCTGCTTTGGTTGGCACGTCGCCTGAAACGAGTCTATGACTGGAGTATTGATAGCTTTGAGTCTGTGTGATATGATGGACATTGTTCATCTTAGTTTCCCAGGCAAAGAGATAATGCTTTTCTTTTTTTGGAATTGCGTGCCTGTTTGATCTCAAATTTGTTGATCTACGATGGTTCTCTCTTTAGCTATGTACACCTTTTGCTTATTGTCTTCCCAGTCCTTCTTTGTATGTTTTGCAGGGTTTTGTAATTGCAGAATGTGATTATTTCAAGATCATACAGTCCTTATAGTATCTTTCTCGTACAGCCAAATTCGCGGATTATTTGGATAACCTTGCTTGACTCTGTTCCCACCTGTAGTCCTTCTTGACTCTTTCCTTTTTTTTCATTTCTTATTGGCTGGGCCCTGAGGTGACCGAATAATCCACCATATACAAGGCCTCCAAAGCCATTACGTCACATACGTCAATCAACCCCTTCAAATAATGGCGTTTGTCTAAATATCATACTAATAGGGTTGGTGGTGAAAACTGTCATTCATGTGTAATACTATCATTCAATATCAATTGAAGGAAATGGTAAAGCAAGCGTGCAGACAACAGAAGAGAAGTGTCTTGTGTGAGAACCTGTTTCTAAGCAGAGGGAACAATTTCTGCTTGTTTTCCATTCTTGATAGGCATGTAGCTCAAAGGGTCCCTCGGGTCTGGTCGCACGGGGTGTTTGTAGTACGATCTGTTAGCCTTGTGAAGCTTGATCTCGACGTCCATGGATACAGGCTAGACATGATTAGCAGCGTTTCACGCAACTGGGTGAAGATAAACCCTACCTTTCCCAAGGTGTTCAATGCTACGTATCTGGGCTGTGGTACTTCAAGGTTGTTCCGGATGAAGTGCCGAGCAGCGATGGTAGCAGGAACTTGTGCAATATGTTTCACACCTTCCTCGGCCTGCTTCTTGCAGTTTGGGCAGTTTTCCAGAGAACCGCTAAAGTTGTAGATACTGCCGACAAATCCCTGTGATCCCGGTCCACTGTATGAACCTGCGGATACTTCGCCCAAAAAGACATTGATGGTATAGGGTGCTCCACATAAAGCGTATCTGTCAAAGTTAGTGCTCAATTGCTTATGGTAAAGGAACTGTGGCTTACTTGTTGTAGACGACGGTAATGACATAATCATCTCGTTCCTTCTCATCGTCGGTCTTGTTATTGGAGTCAGGGATGCGGGCATACAGATCTCGGACGTGGTCTCCGTATAGCTCGCACACTCTGTTGATAATAGTTTCCCTGTCAGCGGGCTTTTTCTTTGTTCCTGTCTGGTCATCCTGCAAGATGCCGTAATCATAGTTCAGGTCACGCCATTTTTCAACATCGTCTGATTTGTAAAATTGTCCATCGGGCTTGCGGAATGGTGTCAGGTCGTTGTATCGTGCTTTTGCACTATATTCGTCGTCAAACCATTTTTTGTGATCTCCATTTTCATTTTGACCGCCACTTCCGTTCAACGCCTGCCAAATGGCCGTCAACCGGTCAATATTGCTTTATCAATGTTAACCAACACTATCTAACAATACATCTTGATTCATCAGTACTGACCAATGGTGAAGCCAAAAGATTGGGTCAAAAGCTGCCACAGTAGTGCTTGACATGTGGCCAGCGCCCCAAAGATGGATATTATTACCGTCGGGACGGATAAAGCTGGAGCCTCCAACAAAGTTCTGAGGTTGTCAGAACAGATCTTGTTGTTCATCAACAGTAGCCACATACATGGACGTTATTGTGAACCGACTCCACGGAGTTTGCTTCCTTCGCATTCTCTTCTTTGGGGTACTTAGTGGTTGCAAACGCTCCCCAGCTTTTAAGCTCGGTCTGGAACAACCGAAAGACCTTGTCCTGCAATGTAGGGACTGGCGTGCATTTAGGGAGCAACTCCTTGTTGCAGTGCTCGTTTAAAGCAAAGTTCGCTCGTAGCCAGTTCTGCCCCCCATCGGCCCAGATGTCTTCGTGGAAGGAGTCCAGGATACCGTACTTGGTGGTTGCGGTACATTTATCCCACTATTTGGGTATGGTCAGCCAAGGGGTTGGTCAAGGATTAGAATTTACAACTCACAGGATAAAAAAACTCTGGGGTTTCTTTTTTCGGATCCGCATGTTGTTTCTCTTTCTCGATCCTGTATTTCTCCGGAAGCTCGCCCATCGGTTTTGAAGACTCGTATTTATACAAGGGGTTATCTATCCTTTCGAGATACGGCGCGTCTCCGTCAAATGCAACTATTCTAACACTTGGCATCATGCAGAGAATTGGAAGTCGGAACTTGTCGCTGTAAGTGTCACCCAAATCAGGAGCAGTAGCAACATTGGCATGAGACACATTGCGAGCGAAATCCCAATATGGCAGGCGCCATTCATCGGCCTCTCGCTCCCATTGTTTTTTGAACTTCTCAGGGACTTTGTCGGATGTGATGAACTCCTTCATTGCTTTATGCAGTTCTTGCTGTGTGCATCTGTACGTCAGCTTTCTAGGCAGTAACACAATAATAGTCGCTCCATCCTACCTCATAAAGAGCCACGTACACCCGATGCCAAGTAGGAAAGGTGTAGTCGCCGTGAACACAGAAGCCGTCGCCCTTGACGGGGCTTTCGCCGCCCCATTCACAGAAGGGAGCACCATGAATACCAGCCAAGCGGAAATAAGACACTTCATCGTCCACGTCGCGGCATTGAAGGATTTCTAAAGCCCGCATGAACAGGGTGAGCTGAACCCTGCTGTTGTCTTCTTTGATTACGACTGGTGGTTTCTTGATTTGCTCGTTATACCAGTCGTCGATGTCCTTGCGAACATACTGAAGGCCATCATCAGGTGTAGTTTTGATGCCCGTGACCGGGTGTTTGTTCTCGAGATTGGTCGAGCCGGACATGATGCGGTAGGAAGTTTCGGATATAGGAAGAGATGTGGTCTGCTAGGTGCACTGATAGACTGAAAGACTGACAACAGCGCGAAACATGAGGGGTTGATAAATACTTGAGTCCCCAGCCATATTCGAGAGTTCGCTCTTGGTAGCAAAATCCATGACGAAACCGGCCACGGTTGCATCATCGAGCTGTAGCAACATCCTATCGATACGTGGTAGTGCTGGAGCCCTACCATACCAATTGGATAGACCTACGTGTTCCCATCATGGTTCCTGGGATATATCTCGTTTGGTCAAACCGTCCAGACTGGGCAAGTCCAATTTCATACATTATACATTGAGCGACTGTTCATGACACCCAGTATGATACCCAACGCAAGCTCGTCGAATCTAAACAATACAATACTATTATTCTGGTGCGCTGGCCCTTTAGTAGATCTGCTCACAACTGTGGCACAGCACTGCTCGCCGTATACTATAGGCGACTCTTGGATTGATTGAGAAGGCGTACCATTCAGGCCAAGGAGTGTCCTAAGAAGAAGGCCCAGATAATAGTTTATGCAAACAGCTGCTCCGGACCTCTACACGTCATATCGAATAGATCATGGCCGGCCACCAGTATATGGCGACCCATGGCACCAATCTGGATCCAGACGTATACATGGGCTGTACCAAATTTACTAACTCTCATGTCAACAAATAAAGATATACCATTGAGCAATATTATCGGATCCTCCTTGGTTTGATATGAGGTATTTCGGATGGTAGCTGGCGACAATATGGATGAGTCGTCGAATAAATTGGTTTCGGACGTTCCCCTGATCTCTCGGAAGAATACGTCAATCTTCCAACGATCCTATTCCTGTACATCATCAAAACGCAAATTACTCCCACTCCAATTAGTCTCTGTAGCCTTCTTTGTGCCGTGGGGCTTACACTACGGTGCAGTAACAAAAATTGTGTTCTTAACGTGAATGTGCATGCAACTCGGTATGGAAGTTATGGTGGCAGGTCCGCCGCCAACGATCTATGGTGGATACATTTTCCGATGTAACGCTCAGCATCTAGCTAGCCTGTTACATCGGCATTCTGTCAAAGAGATATACTCTCTATATCAATCCAGAAGAGTACTCAGATCACAGATGGGATAAGAAGATTGTAGAGATGGTCTTTAGAGCTATCCGAAGGGTTCCGGGCATCTCCCTGACGCCCAGAACCACTTGATGGCTGGAGAATTATCAAATCCACAGATCTAAGAATTGTGATAGTCATTCTTTCTCACACGGGTACAAGGGCATCTTCGTTATTTTGATAATCGCAAAAACTTCTTGTTAGCTGATACCTATGTGTTGAATCTATTTTCTCTTCTTTCTCTCTCTCTGTAGTTTATCACTTTTCTTTCTTTTCCTTTTTTTCTTTCTTTTTCTTTTTCTTTTTTCCTAATTCAATATCATCTATACTGCCTAAGACGTAAATTGTTCCAAGCCTTGGGGTTGTTCTTCCTCTGCGTCTTCGACTTTACTGAGCTAGGGTTTAAAAGTACTATATAGCATGGCAAGGGAAGGAGCGAGATCCCGGTTACCTGTCAACAATCATACTAGGGCTCTATACAGTGATGAGATAAATTCGGATAGATTAGGAGGTCCAGATCTCAACCAATCTTTCAATTGCAGGACACGCAAATAAAAGTTCTTGTCTGTGCCAGATGAGGTTTTCTGTTCTGAGGGCATTCGCAGCACCTTCCCAGCTGGGACTAGCGCATGCCATGACCCACCCACTTTGTCGATCCCTTCACCTGGTCGCCTTGATGAGACATACCGTGCAATTATCATTTCGGGATGTACTGCTAAATCCCCCAGCTTTAATACACAACTGCTTTAAATTCAAGCTTTTTCTCTAGCAACTTCAAATATCCCGAGTTTTGGGTGTTCAGCCGATTGTCCAACTTGGATACACCGTCATACACGACGTCATTGACTTTCTATACCGCAAGCCTGGACCACAAATGTCTATAGAACGTCATGATTACATCGCATGATGCTATGATTTGGCCGGCCGAGCTGTTTGAATGTGAAATCGAGACCGTTTTGAATTCTACAGATAATGAAACTCTTCTGCACATTCTCAGCATACCAGTTACTTCTCTCTCCAATTTAAATTCCATCGACAACATTCCACAATGTCCTCGAAATCCGATCCACTAGACATCTCAGCCTATGGGGTCGCTCGCTCCACAATCGTGGGAAAGCCCCTCTCCGCCGATGAGATCCGCAAGACAAACGCCTACTTCCGGGCCAGCTTATACCTATGTCTCGGCATGCTCTATCTTCGCGATAACCCGCTTCTGAAAGAGCCGTTGAAGCTTGAACATATAAAAGCGCGTCTTCTGGGCCATTGGGGCTCCGATGCGGGCCAATCTTTCACTTGGATTCACATGAACCGGCTCATCAAGAAATACGACCTGGATGTTCTTTTCGTCTCGGGGCCTGGGCACGGCGCCCCGGGGATCCTGTCCCAATCGTATCTCGAAGGTGTCTACTCGGAGGTGTATCCGGATAAAGGGGAGGATGAGAAGGGCATGCAGAAGTTCTTCAAACAGTTCTCGTTTCCCGGGGGCATTGGCAGTCATGCGACGCCTGAGACACCGGGGAGTATTCACGAAGGTGGGGAGCTGGGGTATTCAATCTCGCATTCGTTCGGGGCAGTCTTTGATCATCCAAATCTAATCACCCTGACGATGGTCGGTGATGGGGAAGCGGAGACGGGACCACTCGCGACGAGCTGGCATAGTACGAAGTTTTTGAACCCGGTTACAGACGGTGCGGTGCTGCCGGTGCTGCATCTGAATGGATATAAAATCAATAACCCGACGTTGTTGGCGCGGATCAGCCACGATGAGCTCTCGGCCTTGTTGACCGGATACGGATGGACGCCGTATTTCGTCGAGGGGAGCGAGTTGGATAGCATGAACCAGGCCATGGCAGCCACGCTGGAGCACTGCATTCTTGAGATTAAGAAGTTTCAGAAGCAAGCTCGGGAGTCAGGAAAGCCTTTCCGCCCTCGTTGGCCTATGATCGTCCTCCGAAGTCCGAAAGGCTGGACTGCCCCGAAAGAAGTCGACGGCAAGCGCCTGGAAGGTTTCTGGCGGGCGCATCAAATCCCCATTACCGACGTTAACACAAATGAGAAGCATCTCAAGGTACTGGAGGATTGGATGAGGAGTTATAAACCGGATGAGGTATTCGATAAATCCGGGAGACTGATCCCCGAGCTTCGAGAACTAGCTCCTATAGGTGTATCTCGAATGAGCGCGAACCCGATCGGTAACGGCGGTCTTGTTCGCAGGCCTCTCGATATTCCTGATTTCCGGACGTACGGACTTCGCAATATTGAGCCGGGAGTCACCGTGCGAGGCAGCATGGTCAACATGTCTACGTTCCTTCGGGACGTGATGGCCCAAAACATCAAGACCTTCCGTTTGTTCGGGCCCGACGAGACCGAATCCAACAAGCTCGCCAAGGTCTACGAGGCTGGCAAGAAGGTCTGGATGGCCGAGTACTTTGACGAGGACACAGACGGGGGCAATCTCGCCTTCGCCGGGCGCGTGATGGAAATGCTTAGTGAACATACTTGTGAGGGCTGGCTGGAGGGATACGTGCTATCCGGCAGACATGGTCTACTCAACAGCTACGAGCCATTTATCCATGTTATCGACTCCATGGTCAACCAACACTGTAAATGGATTGAAAAGTGTCTAGAGGTGGAATGGCGGGCGAAGGTGGCGTCGCTGAATATCCTTCTCACTGCGACCGTCTGGCGACAAGATCATAACGGATTCACCCATCAAGATCCCGGGTTCCTCGACGTTGTCGCTAACAAGAGCCCCGAAGTCGTTCGCATTTATCTCCCCCCAGACGGAAATACTCTCCTCTCGGTGACGAACCACTGCCTCGCAAGCGTCAACTACGTCAATGTGATCGTCGCCGACAAGCAAGACCACATCCAATTCCTGAACATGGATGAAGCGATCGCCCACTGCACCAAGGGTGCCGGCATCTGGGACTGGGCTAGCAACGACCACAACGTGGAGCCCGACGTTGTCATGGCCGCCTGCGGTGACGTTCCGACACATGAAGCACTCGCCGCGACGTCTCTTCTCCGTGAACATTTGCCCGGCGTGAAAGTGCGTTTCGTCAACGTGGTCGACCTATTCCGCCTCATCTCCGAAACAAACCACCCGCATGGCATGTCGGACCGACAATGGAAGGCGCTCTTCACCGAGGACAAGCCTATCATCTTCAACTTCCATTCATACCCCTGGCTCATCCATCGATTGACATACAAGCGACCGGGCCAACATAATCTACACGTCAGGGGATACAGAGAAAAGGGCAATATCGATACGCCGTTCCAGCTTGCTGTCAGGAATCAGACCGATCGGTATCGCCTGGCTATCGACGCGATCGATCGGATACCCGGGCTTGGTAACAGAGCAGCAGGGGTCCGTGAGACGTTCATTAACTTGCAGCTGGCGGCGAAGGAGGACACTATGGAAAACGGCATTGATCCAGAATATATTCGCAATTGGAAGTGGCCGTATCCGAAGAATCAGGAGGGAAATGTCTATACCATGTAGTCGGATATTGAACGATTTTACAGCATTTGATATTCTGATTCATTGAGGGGTTTTCCAATATAGGTTCGAGTTATAGTTCTTACTCATCCTTTTATACTAAGCTATTGAAAGCACTGGAAGCGTAGAGAGGAAAGGCGTATCTAGAGTAGAGTGGAGAAGAAATTCGATCATGCGCCGGCAGTCACCAATGGAACAGTTTTCCGCCCATGAAAATCTCTCACCCCATTTAATTGGGCACCGTGGCGCAATTGCCTTTCTAGGAGCTTCTACCCCTGCATATTGGAATTCATCAGGAAATTGATGAATAAGTCCATGCCGTTCGGTCTCAAACTACTGCCAGGTACAGAGTTGTGAAGAAGCGTGGCGATGGGGCCTGACATGACACTAGTCTCGTCTAGTTTCTCCGGTTCAGGGTTTAATATACTCTCTACGGCTAGATGAGCACGCCATGATCTTTCGAGATCTGGGCCCCTGGCTCACCGGAACCCAGTTTCAGAATGGATATTTCGCGACGGATTTTGTGACAGCTTGTGTCGTAAAAGTAGATAACGAAAATACATTGTTTCTACAGGTTAAGATGGGTGAGTGATATCCATGGTTTAGGCTTTTCAAGGCATGACACCATGCCATCCGTCTAGATTCCACTTAGCAATTGGTCTCTAGTTCCTGCAAAACCCAGAGTGACAATATTTAGACCATGTTCGATAACTGGAAGAGGCCCAAAACGGTCACAAAGTATGGCAGAATCTCGGAGAATATCACGCAGGCGGATCCAACGGACAGGGTCAGGATTCACGAATGGGTTACAGAGCAGAAGGAAGGATTCCGCGCATCAGTCATCGCTTTCTAAGCCGGCGGGTTGAGTAGATCGGCACGCAGACCTTCTGTCTTCGGCTGCTTAGGCGACGATTATTCACGGCAAGCCGAGACACGGTGGACCAGCAAGATCCCGAGCCGTTTCATGATAAGATTAGATGGAATCACATTCTCTTCCCCTTCCACTAGATTCCTGATGGCTTTCTTTCCCTATATTCGCGGCGGACATATGAATCTTCTCATTTGCAAAGATCAAGATCTCTCGACAAGGCAATCACAGCCTGACTAAAGATTACAATCACCTACTCGGCAACATGCCGGGCCCGAACACCGGACCGAAAAATAACCTCATCCCAAGAATGCACCAAGTGGGTCGCAATCTAACCCCTTCACCGGTTCACCAGCTGACAAAAGATTACTCTATGCACGGGTCCCATCATGCAAGGGATACAGCGGTCCCATGGCCCGCTCGTCACAGATGACCCATCTTTCAGAACAGGCATGACATGTTAGATCCAGGCAATGGGTCTCCGTTTGACCAGCCCGGCTGATTCCAACCCGTACATAAAATGTCCTTTCCCCCGTTTTTGTCGATCTGCTCTCCCTCTAGCAGCATCAACAGCAGCAGCACACTCAGGTCGCCATGTTCAGCCGTCTCATCTCCGCCGCGGCTCTCCTGTCCGTGACAGGATCCGTCCTTGCGGCCTCATCTCCTTCCTACGACTACATCGTCATCGGCGGTGGAACGAGCGGTCTTGCCGTCGCCAACCGACTCTCCGAGAACCCCAAGGTCAAGGTGCTCGTCGTCGAGGCCGGTGACTCTGTCTACAACAACCCGAATGTCACGGCCGCGGACGGCTACGGGCTGGCCTTCGGCACGGACATCGACTGGCAGTATGAGTCGACAAACCAGACGTATGGAGGCGGCAGCAAGCAGGTCCTGCGCGCTGGAAAGGCCCTGTCTGGAACCAGTGCCATTAACGGTTCGTACATGTACTTCCATATGCCAGACTATGCAAGCGAGGTCTAACCAAACAAAGGAATGGCATACACCCGCGCTGAAGACGTGCAAGTCGACGCCTGGGAGACCATCGGCAACGAGGGCTGGACCTGGTCCTCCCTGCTCCCCTACTACCTAAAGAGCGAGAACCTCACGAACCCATCCACGCCGCAACTCGCCGCCGGCGCGCGCCCCAACGCCGACTTCAACGGCGAGGACGGACCCCTGAAGGTGGCCTACTCCGTTACCTCGCCCAGCCAGCTCACCACCGTGCTGAACAAGACGCACGCCAACCTGGGCGTGCCCTGGACCGACGACGTCAACGGCGGAAAGATGCGCGGCCTCAACGTCTTCCCGTCCACCTTGGACGCGACGCTCCAGGTCCGCGAAGACGCCGCTAGAGCGTACTACTTCCCCTTCCAGGACCGCAGGAACCTGCACGTGCTGCTGAACACGTTCGCGAACCGCATCGTCTGGTCCAACGAGTCCTCCCACGGAGACGCCACCGCCCGGGGCGTCGAAATCGCCTCCCGCAACGGCACCGTCAGCGTCGTCTCCGCCTCCCAGGAAGTCATCGTCTCGGCCGGCTCGCTCAAGACCCCCGGCATCCTCGAACTCTCCGGTATCGGCAACCCCGACATCCTCTCCAAATACAACATCCCCGTAACGGTCGACCTGCCCACCGTCGGCGAGAACCTGCAGGACCAAGTCAACGCCGCGTTCGCCGCGACCACCCGCACCAACATCACCGGCGGGTCCACCGTCACATACCCCAACGTGTATGACATCTTCGGCAACGAAACCGCCTCGATCGCGCACACGTTGCGCTCCAACCTGCACAAATACGCACACGAGACCGCCAAGGTCAACGGCAACATCATGAAAGCCAAACATCTCCTCCCGCTGTTCGAACTGCAATACGACCTCATCTTCAACCAGAGGACCCCCATCGCCGAGATCCTCTTCATGCCCGGCGGTGCCGCCGCCCTGTCGTCTGAGTTCTGGTCCCTGCTCCCCTTCGCCCGTGGAAACGTGCATATCGCCTCGAAGAACCCCCAGCAGAAACCCGTCATCAACCCTAACTACTTCATGTTCGACTGGGACGTGCAGGCGCACGTCGGTGTGGCCAAGTTCATTCGCAAGGCGTTGCAGACGGCGCCGTTGAGCGGTCTGGTCGCTGAGGAATCGACCCCTGGGTTTGAAGTTGTTCCTAAGGGCGCGTCGGTCGAGGATTGGAAGGAGTGGGCGTTTGATGGAAACTGTATGTCCCCCATCCCTTGTGTCTTAACCCTCCTTTCTTTTGCTCTTTCCTATCATGATCATATCACCTCCCCTCCCCCTTTATCCGTGTCCAGTGACCAGCAGCGTCCTAACCGAGAACCAAAACAGACCGCTCCAACTTCCACCCCGTCGGCACAGCCGCCATGATGCCCCGCAAGTCCGGCGGCGTCGTGGACAACAAACTCACCGTGTACGGCACCTCGAACGTGCGCGTCGTCGACGCCTCGGTTCTCCCCTTCCAGGTGTGCGGCCACTTGGTCAGCACGCTGTACGCGGTCGCTGAGCGGGCGGCGGATCTGATCAAGAAGGATTCGGATCTGTTCTAGACTTACCTTGGATAGTATGCGAGGGTATCAACCAGTCTAGCTAGGATGGGTTGTCGATTTTAGTACTGTTGTATTTTATGTTTTTGCTTGGGTTTGCTTATAGACGCGTAGATAGATATATTTTGATTTAGAGGACGGCGTGGATGTGTTTTTCCTTTTCAATTCAGTTCGGTTTTTATGGATCTCAAACTGTCGAATGATAGTCTAGATAACCCGAGGTAAGAGTACCTAAATACAGTGGAAATGCCTTCCTCACAACACTGCAGCCATCTATCCAAAAGACCGAGTCAGAATTCGATTGAAAACACATCTTGTTATTCACTATAATTATTCCCTTGCTAGATCGAAGGTGATAAATTTATCCTACGTAGTACAGTACGGCTCTGCCACAAGCCATACACCGGCCACAGCCCATCACCAACCCCACGCACAGCAAAATTCAGGAAAGAGTATTCATTAAAATAATCTCATCGATCCATCCAGCCAGGTAAATCAACCAGTCAGTCCATGGAGAAACCAGTCGTTTTACCCAAGCTGTCTAGATGGAATTGATACTAGAACTAAACTAAACTAACGGACAGATAACGACCAAATATCCGTGCAGTCTCATCTACAGACGTCCATCCGTGCCTAGAGATCATAATAAAAGATGCGTTTCCACGCCCGCAGAGAAGAAAAAAGACAAGCATAAACGTCGCATAAGATGTGAACTGGTCTTAGCTGATCTCATCTGCCAATTAATACGCAACCTATCTTGCCGTCAAACCATCCAGAAAATGAAGGGGAGATTGGCGCCATGACATAGGAATAGAGATAAGAGACATTCAAAATTACACCTTCTCGGCGGTCTCCTGCGTGTATGTCGCGCCGCCAGTCTTGCCGGTGCCCGTGATCTTGAGGTTGCCCTCGGCAATCTCCGCCTCCAGGTCGTCGAGACGGCTGCGCTTCTTGAGTCTGCGCCAAGCTGGAATACCGCTGTCGAAGACCTCATCCATTTCTTCGAGCGTATATCCCTTGGTCTCGGGGGCGGTGAGGAACATGTGGATAAAAGCAGCAGTGTTGAAGGCAGCGAACTATTGAGAAACAAAGTTAATTGGAGCCAGTGTGTGGAGGGAAAGGGCTTGGACTTACAATCATGTACATCTTCCAGTTGATCGACCACAGAAGGGGCGGCACAAAGAGCGCCAGCAGACAATTCCAGGTCCAGTTGCAGGCCGTCGACAGCGACACGGCTTTGGCACGGACCTTGGCAGGGAAGATCTCAGCCGGGTAGGTCCACGAGGTGGGACCGATGGTGGTGGCGAAAGAACACACGAAGAGGTACGACATGGCGATGATTGCCTTTCCCACGGCAGGATGATCGGCGACCGTCCAGGAGATGGCATCCAGCTTGGGATCGGTGCCCGGGTTAGGCTTACCATATCCTGCTTGCAGACCTCCCTCGATGTAAAGGAAGACCGCCTGGCAGAAGAAGCCGATCAGAAGAGCGGGGCGACGACCAAACTTGTCAAGGTACAGGATGGCCGGGAGAGTCAGTGCAGTATTCAGGATGTACTGGATCGATGCGGTCAGCAAGGGGGAGCCGGCGCCGGTACTCTGCATGATGTAAACAATGTAGTACATCATGACGTTCATGCCGCAGAGCTGAGACCACATCTGCACACTCATTCCCAGAATCACACGCTTCAGGATACGTGGCTTGGTTAGCTCCTGGTAGCTGGTAGAGGCTTGTTCTTGCTCTAGGGCCAGAGCCTCCTGGATTTCACGGTACTGAGCTAGCACCTTGGGATGGTTCAAATCACCGTTGCCGTGAAGGTTGGCGAGAACCTGCATAGCCTCTTCCCAGCGATCCTTGCTCGCCAGCCAACGAGGCGACTTGGGATAGAAGAACAGACCGAAGAAGAGAATGAAGCCAGGCACGATCTGAATGCCCCAGGGGATCCGGAACGCGGCGGTGCTCTGGGTCGGGTTGTCGGGGCCTCCGTCGATGTTGCTAGCGCCATATTGCTAGATACGGGTCAGCTCTTTGCTGTCTTTCCAAACGTTTTTCGTGAACATACAATGAAGTATTGGATCAAGATACCCCAAGTGATCGCCCATTGCTGTAGGGAGATGACTCGGCCACGAATCTCCTTCGGCGCCACTTCTGCTTGGTAGACGGGCACCATGGCAGAGGCGATACCAACACAGAGACCGGCGATGACACGACCGACAACAAGCAAGGCAATACCGTTTGAAGCGCATTGGAAGCTAGGGTAATCAGTGATAGACCCTCAGAGAGGCGAGAATGGCATACACTGCACCAATGATCCACAGAATCGACGAGAACTGAATGGCATAGACACGGGAGTATTTATCGGCAATGAAACTGGAGCAGAGGGCACCGACGAGGGAACCGAACGGCATGGCACAAGTGATGGCACCCTACAATAGACAATCGGTGAGCGTAGATCAATTTCATTGAAGTGTAGACGCGCGTACCTGCTTGTACTGGCCAGATCCGACCTGGAAATAGTTGGTGTAGGCATTCGTTCCAAGCACACCTGCTCATTTCAGTACCGCGACGAGTCGAGTCGTCAAGGCGACAGCTTACCACTCATGGACGAAATATCGAAACCAAAGAGCCCACCACCTGTGAGGGGTCAGCAAGAGACCCGGACGGACGAACGTTGATCAGGGAAACTCACCCAAGGTGATGAAGCTACAAAGGAAGTAAACATTGTAGAACTTCTTCATCGTGACGGCGACCAGCTATCGAGAAGACGAGAGCCAGCCGGGAGGTGATCACATCCGACGAGAGGAGGGGGAAGGAAGGAATCAGAATACGGGGTACCGGTCAGGGGAGGGGATTTAAATGAGAACTGAAATTGAAATGATCAAAAACTAAAATAAAATCAAGTGAAAATAAAAGAAAAAAACAAAAGAGGGAGGAGGACCAGGGACCGGGAAGGCACATGGACCGCGTCTGGCAGTCACGACTCCATTCACCGTCCAGCATTCACTGCATCGCCTGATGGATTTGAACTCGATCGGATTCAATCTGGACTGGTCCGGCATTGGCGCAGCGCCACCAAACAGCAAGCGGCTTGGAGTCTCGGTGTGATTTGACCGTCTTGCCAGCTTGCTCTCGTATTCCCTGGTTCTCCCCGCGCTTCTCTCCGGTTGAATGGCTACTTGGCTTTGGTTCCAAGCCTTGGGGTGGCATCTCCCCACATGGGGATTTCGTGAGCCCAAGCAGTAGCATCAGACGCGTCGTCGAGGACCAGGGCTTGAGATGGTGGTTGCACAGGGAGCACATACCCGTCGTTAGTCGTGAGACTATCACCAGCTGTGGAGTGTCTGCTCTCCCCATAAAATTAACTACTGGAGAAATGCCATTCAGTCTTGGCTGTCAGCGCATTTCCCTCCCGTTTCTTGGCTCTCGTCCCATATGAAACATTAAAAAAAAGGTCCAGTTCATTCCAGTTCAATCTGGTTCCTCCATCTTGCCATCATCGACTCCTTTCCCCTCCTTCTCCAGGCTCGGGGAAGGATCCATCCCCTCGGGCCTCCAGGGCTCTCAACCACGGTCGGACAGGAACTCTCAGGCCTTGTCCGGCCTGTTCGCAGTCCATCATGAGACCCCAGGTCAGGTCGACGTAGCTACAGGGTTACATCCACTCCCCCCACTTTCCCCAGGATCACTGGGATTTTCCTGTCTACTGGGGCCGTTGCCCCTATATCCGGACCCTGTTATGACCCCGGTCCGCGACGCCATCCCAGCCAACCAACCAACTCTATGTCACGAAAATTCCCCAAAGAGGCTACTTCTCCCCCGCCTTCCCCCCGACCGTTCTTTGTTCGCTTCTTTATCCCTCTTCCCGTCCGTCGGGATTCAAACTTCCGCCCAACTGAACCACAGTCTTCGAACGTCTAGTCTGACATCCTCGCTCGTCATGGGAGTGTGCGAGGGACCAAGGCTCGTCTTCCTCGGAGACCCCGTCGGCCTACATCATGAAGTCAATATGACTAGCTGACTTCAACGTGCCACTTTCTGAAACGGTCAGCAATAAGGAGTAGCGAGAGGGGGATTTCTGTACCACCATCACAAGACTTTGCTGTGGAACTAACTGAATGAGGTCCTAGTCCGTAGTACAGCAGTTGGCTCGAAGTCTGACATGGTATACAAACTAGTGGCCTAGTGGGGGTTTTCATGCTACTTAATCTCTCACTTTATTGCGGCCTTGGCGCTACGGCTTGCCGAGCATGTGCTCTCGCTCTGTCTTTGGTCTTCGCGGCGCACGAGAAGAGTTCTGGCTGGTGATACGCCAAGGAGTCGATGTAACCGTCGAGTACTAGGGGCTCAAGGACAAAGAGAATAAGAAATGTGAACACAATCGCGACTCATCTTCCAGTCTGAACCTGTCCAACCTGTGCCGTTTCATCAACCCCTTCTGAACTCAAATAGTAATAACTATTTCAAATCAATCGCAACTAGACGAGCTCAGCGTATTCCAGCGCTCGTATGAAAGAACTCACCCCTCCCTCGTTCGCTATTCATATCCCCCGTTGGCATTGGCATTGGCATCCTCACCCCTTCCCTCACCTCGGTGTATCAACATCCGAACGCCCACAACAGTAGAGCTGTAGAGTCCGTCCTACGGCCTCGTAAAAGGCAAAGCAACGCAAGACAGATGAACAAGTCGTCAGCGGCGTGAATGTGGCATTCAAGCTAGTCTACTAAAACATTTTTTGCGTCCTGGGCTGTGTGGGCGTTTCTTGGGAGTCTGTGCTTTTTTCTCTCTTCTTCTTCTTTTTTTCTTTTTTATTTTTTATTTTTTTATTTTTTTCCCGACGTGGCTGGAAGTGGACTTGGCTGGGGGCTGGGCATGAACCACCATGGTCATATCATCGATCATTTGTCGTGCGCCTTTGGCTTCGGCTTTCGATCAGGGATGATGGAATGGTCTAGTCTAATCTAGAATATAGGACACGGATGAACTGCGATAGATACAGTACCTAAGAACCCAAAGACAATTCATTGGAAAATCGTATGCTAATCCTGATGATTACTTGCGTAAGGCAGTAATTCTTTGTAGACCATTCTGAAATAGACAATCATCTCATCCATCCATCCATCTGTCCATTCGTCCATTCACTCATTCGCCCATTCATCGATTATTCATCCCCTCTCCAGCTTCCAAGTTCACCATTTTTTGTCGTGTTATTTTGGGGCTTTGACGATTCCTATCAGAATCATGTTTTATACTGCCATATGTGTCCCGGCAGTTGGACCGCTGTAGGCAAAACACATTAGCTCCGTGTTTCACACGATAAGGCAGACGGTCATAGGTTGGTCGAGTCGGCATAGTTGCAAAGTATCACGTTTGTTGTAGGAGATCCAAGTAGCGCGCAGGTTATGTTCGGAGAGTCCCCTTGTTCATGGCTCTGAGCGGCGCTAGGTGATAAGAATCCCGTCGAGTAAAGACGACGGGCTAGTTGGGTTGTCGGTAGTGGTGGAGTTTTCCTCGACAGATCGGTCGGAAGGGTCACTTGGGTCAAGAAATTCGCTGGTATTATCGGCTTGCTCAACGGGCGGTACCCATTGCATGACCTTCAGGTTGAGAGTGTGTGCATGGCGCCCAAACTTGCACGGTTTGGTCCCCCGACAGCCGTCCTTTTGGCATATATGGCCAAGATAGCATTTGATGGATCGGCAGCGCCCGGTCTTGGGGCATACATGCTGCCTTAAGATATACCGCATGACGTGAAGGCAATCCTCGTCCGCCGGACCATGGTCGAACTCACAGGTGGGGTTGTCACAGTCCCCACCGAGCTGGTGTCTATTGCACAGCTTATGCTGCTTGATGCGCCGGTTATAGGAGTCCCAGGCGTCTGTGGATGGGAAGGGACAGTAGCTATCAATGCGGTCGTCGTCGATGTTCACTGCGATGTGATCTTTGTATTTGCCCCACGTACCCGGGAGGTTTTTGTAGTAGTATGCGTCGTCTCGGGGTTTGATGGGAGACTGCAGCGGGGGTGGAACGTAGTGTTTTGATTGAGACAGTTGCTGGCTGGGCATTATATGAACTTTCATACATTCATTGCCATATCGGCAGATACCCTGTCTATGGTCAATTGCGGGTCATATCACGAAGGTCCGAGGGTCTAACCTTTTGAAAGTGCTTGCAGATCGGTCTGGAGGGCGCGGTTGGCACATTCTTTGGACTGGTGTGATTGTTAAACGCGGGGCCAACGCCAGCATGACCATTACCATTACCGATTTGGGTTCCCGTTGGGTTAGTGTTCATGAAGACCGCTGGCAGCTCCCTGACAGGAATATCAAGCTTTGCATACTCCGGGTGAAACGAGGCGGCCTTGATAAAGGTAATACGATCGGATTTGCCGCGATAGGGCGTCAACATAGACAGGTATCCTGCATCGTGACAACCCGCAAAGAAGATATGTTTGCATTGATTATTATCAGCAAACAGACGGAACATTTCTACCTCTGTCAGCCATGGGAATATCACTGATGGTTGTTGAGCTGCTACCTCTGATTTTATAGTCGGCACCCTCTTTCTTATCCCCCGCGTCAACATAGTCAAACAGGTCCTGCGACCGGGTAAAACTAGCCGCAAATGGTGACAGAGACCGGGCCTCATACCCCAGCAGACCAATACGAGCCAACGACTTCGACAACCCGAGGACGTTGGAATAAATACGGACCATGATACGACACTGATCGGCTTGGCCTCCGAGTCGGTCCTGCAGCTGTTCTCTGATGGAATCGCTCAAGAGTCTGGCAGCGGTGATACCACCGTCACTGCCAGCCTTCACAAGGTGTTCCTTGAACTGCACTCCTTAGTTATCACTCTCTAGATGCAGACAAGGAAAGCTTACCAGACAGCCATCGCCATCGACCAGCACCAGAACAAATGGGTTCCGCTCCTAGATTGTAGTCAGCCCCTATTCCAACCCCGTCCAGCTCGTTCCATCATACCTGTCCCCTTGCCAGTTTCTTGTACTTCTCGCGAGACTCCTTCTCCTCCTCGTAGTCACTCTTCAGCCGATTATAGTCGTCGAGAAGGAGATGGAAGCGCTGGAGGAGTTTCTGCAGGGTGTCATGATGCTGGTCGTTCTGACGCACTACTGAGGCCAGGTCGGCATCCAGGGCCTGGATTTCGGTTTCTGCAAGCATCGTCACCGGACGTTATACTGGTCTGGCGGGCTGTGAGGTATCTAGGCTGAGCAATCTGGTGCTGATAATCGCGGCCACACTGGGTAGGCAACCATGCAGATCAGCAGGACCTAGACCCGCGGCGGTACGGGGAGTCCTGGGGCTGATACTGGGGGGTCATATACGAGACAAGAGAAGGACGGATCCGTTGCTTTGCACCATTCAGTAATAATGTTCAAGAAGAGAAACTAAACTGGCTCGGAAGTTTGCCATGAGAAGCCCGAACAGGCAAAAGAGAAACAATTCCAGATTGCGTTGTGGCAGTCGCTTAGGGGGGATGCTTCGTCTTTAGATGTATGCGGTAAGCGGTGAGAATGGCCAGCTGTCAGGCGGGGATCCCCCGTTTAGTTCCACGGGTCTTTCCACGGTTTTGCCCGCACGGCTTGCCCGATACGGAATTCCCCGTGATTTCGCCCCGGCATCTTTTCAACAAAGGTACAGAGTTAATGTCGGCCTGAAATGCTTCCCATTCACAGTAGGATCATGCCATTTTCTCTGTGATGGCTACTCACTATACCCAGGTAATCCATTATCTACATAGTATGCTCACATGGATATCTGATGAATATATATCTTTCTGTTCGAAGGCATATAGCATGACGATTGAGGGGTTTCAACCAATGAATAAACTAATCCTTTATTTTCTTTCCTTCCTTCACTACCTCGACCAGGTAATACTCAGTAGTTCATTTGCACGAAGTAGTTCGTGACTCGATGCCAGCCGGAGCGCCTTTCTCGATGTGATGCAAAACGAACAAACAGATTTGGATGTCGACTGGGATAACTTACCTAAAAATAAATTCCGAGTTCGACAGCACCTGCAATTCAAGTGTCTCGATCCTCGAGTATACAGTACACACCAAGCTTAACGCCATCGATCTTTCGAACTCACTTGGTCTTCAGTACTGGCTATCTGGTCACAATGGATTGTTCAAATGTCGAGTCATCCGCATTCATGGGTTTCTATCTGCTATGCTTCAATTTCTAGACTAAGAATTTTCGGTTATTAACCTTCATCAACAAATGAATTGATGGTGTTTTCACTGTTCGCGATAAATAGTAAGTAAATCCCATGAGACTGCAATGACGCAGGGATCCGAAGACAAAATTCACAAGATAAATTGAAGCCTCAATATTCAGGCAAACATCAAGAGAATGTGCATAACTTGTGCAGCACTTATGCACCGGAATAATGACATCATTCACGAATTAGCTTTGGATGAAGACTCCATAATGAGAAGATATCCACATCTCGCCCTTCACTTTCCGTGGCCTTTTCCAATTAGCCAGGTTCGTACAACCGCGCCTGGAAGCAACATAAAGTGTAGCACAGAAACCCTGGCACATATCCCGTCCGGACAAGCTACAACAACATACCACCGCAACAATGGCCGGCAAGATCATCATCCACCATCTTCGGATCTCCCAATCCGAGCGAGTCATCTGGCTGTGCGAGGAACTGAACCTCCCCTATGAGCTGAAGTCATACAACCGCCAACCCCCGTTTTTGCTGGCGCCCCAGGAATACCGCGAACTCCATCCCGCCGGCACCGCCCCTATCATCGAAGACGGACCGATCGTCCTGGCCGAGTCGAACGCCATTTTCGAATACATACTCACCAAGTACGGAAAGGGCCGCTTGGTGCTGCAGCCGGACCACCGGAACTACCCCGACTATTTGTTCTGGCTGCACCATGCCAACGGCGGCATGATGCCGTCTTTCATGGGCGTCATGATGAAGCAACTTGCCGGGCAGCCCGACGACGGCTCGCGGCCCAATGTCAGTCAGCAACGATTCGATCGCAGCATGGCCGCTCTGGAGCAGCAGTTGGGCAAGTTCCCGTATGTCGGGGGCGACCAGTTCACCGCGGCCGATATCTTGGTGTTCTTCCCCTTGACGACGGGAAGAATGTTCGCTGGGTTGAGTCTGGACCCGTATCCGAATGTCGTCTCCTATCTGCAGCGAGTGGGGAATAGGGAGGCTTATCGGCGGGCGATGGAAAAGGGCGATCCCGGACTGGAGCCTCTGCTATCGGCAAATCCTCCTCGGCGAAGTGTCCTATAGAAACGAAATTAGTTGGATAATGATTGTGGTCGATCAGGAATGCGAGATCTTCAAACTTTCATTCAAACAGTTAAAACCCTCGCAGACCCAGCATGATAGATCATTTCAAGTGGGCCAATCGGTAAAGCGAGGAGCACATAACAGGTCAACTGTGGAAATTAAAAATTAATCTCGGTTGCCCCTTTTCCAGGGTGGTTTGTGATATAACGTTTTCAACCACCGAGCGGTCTAAACCCCCGAGCGGTCCGTTTTCTCCACCACCCCCTATCTAATTCAGAACTTCAAGTTCGACGCGTCTTTTTTCCACCACTATCATCGGAAATGCATCTTTCTAAGGAGAGTCGAATTCAGATGGCAGTATCTGCCTCTAAATCAAAAAAAATTCGATCAAAAACGCGTACGGCAGACCTATTTAATGTTTCAAAAACGACTTTACTGCGACGGCTTAATGGAATCAAACCACGATCGGAAACACGCGCTAATGGCCACAAACTGATCGAAATCGAAGAACAATTGCTTTTAAAGCAATTACTAGATGCAGATAAGCGAGGATTCCCAATTCAGCCCTAATTTCTGCGTGAAATGGCTCAGATATTGCTTAATAATTGCCTACAAGGCATGTCTGCAGCCCTCGGAATCAACTGGCCTTATAAATTCGTTAAACGTCATCCTGAGCTTCGTACGCGATATACTAGACGTATTATCTATCAGCGCGCAAAGCAGAAAGATTTAAAGATTATAAAATCGTGATTTGAGACTGTACAAGCAATTATTCAAGAACACGGCATACATAAAGACAATATCTGGAACTTCGACGAGACTGGTTTTGCAATGAGACTTTGTTCTACTTTAAAAGTGATTATTGCAGTTGAGCGAAGCGAGCGGCCGCGTAGAATTATTCAGAGCAATCGTGAATAGATCACAATTATCGAAACAATCGAATCAAAAGATGTACATCTATTGTCAGTCATTATATTGAAAGCAAACGTCTAACAGGCTATCTGATTCCAAGAACATAAGCTTCCTCGCGACTGGTGGATTTCTACTAGTCAAAATGGCTGGACAACTGATGAAATAGGCCTTCTCTGATTGAAAAATGTCTTTGAACCGCTTTCTAAGCACTATATGACTGATGCTAAGCGGTTACTTATTCTTGACGGTTATAGCAGTTATCTAACTGCTGAATTCGATAATTTCTGCAAGCAGCATGCAATAATCTGTCTCTGCATGCCTGCCCATGCTTCGCATCTTTTTCAACCGCTTGATGTGGGTGTCTTTAATCCGCTTAAGAAAGCGTACAGAAAGCTTCTTGAACATCGTATGAAAGTCGGCAACAATCATATTGATAAAGAAGACTTTCTATCATTATATCCAGATGCACACAAGGAAGTCTTTACTTCATCTAATATCTGCAGCGGTTTTAGAGAAACAGGACTTAAGCCGCTTAATCCAGAGCATGTTCTCTCTACGCTTACCTTTCAACTACGTACGCCTACACCACCACTAGTTGAAGGCTCAATTTCCTCTGCTTTTCAGACTCCGCAGAATACTCGCCAGCTAGATCGAAAAGTTCGAAGCCTGCAGAACAGCTTTAATAGAAAGCGACAGCTTTTTAGCAGTCCTATTGCGCATATTCAACATCTTGAGAAAGCGGCGCAAATGGCAATGCAAACCCAATTGCTTTTAGAGCAAGAAATCAGGGCTATACGTGCTGAAAATGGACGACAACACCAGAAAAAGACAAGAAAACGTGCTGAAATAGGAAATGACCGCCTTCTTAATGTACAAAAAGGTGAAAATCGCGTTCAGCAGCTTAACACGCAGCTTAATAAGCAGCCTGCGGAATCTACTCCGGCGCCTCGTCGACGAGCTCCGCAACGCTATAGTGGGTGTGGAACAATCGGACATACAATTCGGAATTGCCCTAGTAAATAGCTATTATTTCATGTATTTTAATTAATCAATTCTAATAGCGTTGGTGGTTTTAAAGGTCGATTTAGATGGGGGTGCGGAAGAGAACGGACCGCTCGGGGGTTTAGACCGCTCGGTGGTTGAAAACGTTATCGCAGCTCCAAGGCCCTTATGTAAGCAGGGCGCGACGCGTTTGTCAAACGTCGAAAAAAAAACCGACAACCTGACAGACAGCGTTAATCTTTTCAAAATTAATTAGAAAAACCATCAAGTTACATTCGGGCAGATTTCACGATCAGAAAACCCGGTCTCCCAAATGGGTAACGCGCCTTCATTCATCAAGGAAAGCTCCTATGTACTTGACCCGGATGGAGAGGTGACCATAATACTACGGAACCCAAACGCGCCATTTGCGGTTTCAAAGTCACAAGAATCGAGCGAATCGGAGTCAGAAGATACCGACAGCGAAACTGAGAGCAATCATGAACAAATGGACACCGATGAGGCCGAAGGAGGCGGTATCGAAAGTAAGGGCCATGTCGACGCCTCCAGCGACAACCCCAGCCAGAACAACAACGACAAAAAGAACGAAGAGGTCCGCTTTCAAGTCTGCAAAACATCTGACTGTCGCTTCTCCCGTGTTCCGAAGGTTATTGAAAGGACCGTGGCAGGAAGGCAGCACTCTTCAGGAAAACGGGGCGGTGGAGATCCCGATCGAGGGTTGGGACACAGAAGCGTTCTTGATTTTGATGAACATCTTCCATTGTCGACACTCTGCCTTGCCGCGCACTCCAATAATCGAGATGATGGCAAAAGTCGGTGTTCTGACCGACTACTATGATTGTCTTTCATCCGTACAAATTTTCGCCGATAGGTTTGCGCCGGAAATTGGTGCACTACGATCGGCCGATGGCATCCGTGACTGGGTGCTCCGACTTTGGATCGCCTGGGTCTTTCGTCAGGACCGTATCTGGAAGGACATCTTTTTGAAGGCTAGTGAGTGGTTTCCAGTGCCTATTCAGACATATGGCCTCCCATTTCCTGGTCATATATTAGTGGCGGACCCGACCACCCACCGGCGAAAGGCGGTGGGTGGTCGGGTCCGCCACTAATAATCAGTAATTCTCCCTAACAATGCTGTGAAATCCTTGCTCATTAGGAATTTAGATGGACTGAATGAACGAAGAGAGTATTGTATCGAGAAGATCGTGGGTCCATTGAATTCAATGGTTCGCGACCTGGCCTGTGAACACTCGAGAAGCAAAGTTTTAGCGAACCCGGATTGCCGTGACTGTCGCTCATTCAAGCTAGGTGCTCTGATGAGACAGATGCACGCTTGCTCATTAGTCTTGCCAACACCAACTGCACCATTTGAAAAGATCTCCTATGGCCAGATTCGGAAGGATATGGAAGAATCCATACGCAAGGGTATCTTGTACAGGCAATGTAACAGGAAACGGTGCCATCCAGCCGATGTCCAAACAGCAGTCGAGCGCATACTTAAATCTTCAGCGCCAAGAAGATTCAGTCAATATAGTCAGCCATCTCGGAATGTACCAGGTGCAGAGAATCTCCCGCGAGGTACAAAACGTCGCCGTCCGGGACGTCATGGACGGCGTCGAACACGCCAGAGACGCGAGCATCAGGAACCTGCGGAATCGGAATCGGAGGAATCGGATTAGGGAGCATGTTTTGACCGAATATCTCCAGAGCCCGGCGAGTTGGTTATCTCGGCTTAAATTGGCATATAGACTGTACGTCATATTATTTCATAGAATGCTAGCCGTTTTGTTTTCCCCCCGATTCAGTAGATATCTATGGCGCGTCCATCTGCGCCGCAATAACTGCGGAGGCCTTGGTTTGTGGTATATATTTTCGGAAAATCTGAACAACTAAGATATCACCCAAGAGATTGCTCCCGGGCTCATAGCCTGCTGTAATACGGAGAAGATTGATGATTATTAGTCACATCTGAAAACTTGAAGGTTTGTGTACAAGATGAAGACCAGATTGGTTGGAAATCAATCTGATTGTATACGGAACAAATTCCGTGTATGAAGCTCTATTGTTTACTTGATCGTGGCTCGATTCACCAAAAGTTGAATAGCATCAAAATTATTACTGATAAGACGGTAATGCAAGCCCTGCTTACCTGCCCCACACACGTTTTCCCTTTTTCTCATCTCCTCTAAGCTTGAAATTTCGTCGTTTAAAACCAATATCATCGATTTTCATCGAATATAATTTGGCTGTCACAGGGACCTTGATCTAGGAGCTAAATCATCCATCCGTGTACCCGTTTAAGGCCATGGTTCACTGAGCTTATGGCTGTCCGCCCCATTTCCCAAGGCGTGATAGTAAACGGATGTGTAAACGCCTTTCTCTGTGACTGTAGCCGACAGCCATGTGTGAGCAGTGCTAGTCTTCTTGAGGTCCCGATTGGGCCTAGCATCCTCGTCAACTGATTTTATCTCCTGGAGAAACGACAACAGAAGATCACTTACTGAAGATATCGCAGAGTATCCGAGTATGAGCTTGCAGTTTCATGCCATCCAAGAAGTTCGAACCATTGTGACAGAGCCTGTGCAACTTCTTCGTCACTTCGGTCACAAATCGCAAAGTAGATTCTAACATCGGGGTAGGTTTGGCCAGGGTGGATTTCATAATTCATGTGAATGGCATTGATGGTGTAATTCCGTCTAGCTCCAAGATCTCCCATAGCCTCCTCAAGAGGCCAATACTGCGATCAGTCACCGGCCCGCCAAGCTTTCCTCCAAGCGTGCAAACTTCTTTCATCTTGGCCCAGGACCATTGATGTGCAGTGCCGTAAAGCTTCAGTCGTGATTTGGAAGGGTCGACCAAGTCCCAACTGAAGAACCTTACAGGCAGATCGAGACCGAGGTAGAGATTCATAAAATATCAGACACACATGCTTCTCTTAATAATCTTCATGGATTTCCAAATATACATAGAGCCTCTCACGAAGACTTCTTCTGCTTCGACACCTCCCTCTTCACTCCACCCATTTCACTAAAGACAAGCTCATCTCTCTCCCACATGAGCTCCACAGCCGCACCGACCGGGCCTGTAAACACGCCCAACAGCACCGTCTTCACCACCAAGCCAAACCATCCAACCCGACTGTAGACCGCGAGATGGGCAGCTTTATACATACTAATCGCCCAGACTAGCACTCCCGCAGAGCCAATCAAATAATCCCATTGCAGGAACGCATGGACACCCTGCCCGAGGGTTTCGACCTGCAGGAGCGGCGATCCCCACGGCAGCGGGATATCATATACCTTCAGCGGATGAAGTGATTCTCTCAGATTTTCATCAATAATGGCGGGAGCTACCACAGTAGCAAGCGTCACAATCCAGGAGATCAGATGCGTGATGGCGGTATTCGCGAATGCGAATGCATACACCCGTCTAAAGGCACGTAATGTTGCCCGTCCCCCGTCAGTAGACCGGTCGTCGGCGATGAAGGGAGTGAAGACGAAATGCACTAGGGTTGAGAGAACCGCCACGTATGCGGGCCAGGGTTGCCAGATGGCGATAAAGATTTGCTTGAGATCTGTCGTGATGGTCTCTGACAGCGGAAGGATCATGAGCGTTGAGGGCACCATGTATCCGACTATGAAGACAAATGGGAGCGCGTTCAGCACGGCGCGAGGAGCTCGGATGGTCTCCACCGTGGGTTTGCGCGCCGTGGCTGAAGTCATGAGTTGAACGAGACAGTACAGTGGTGTTGCAAAGGCGAATGTAAGGACTTGGGCTATGAGGCCGAAGATTGTAGGGCTGGCATGTAAGGTTAGCATGGCTGAAGTTCTCGGCTTACTTCCAATTTCCCCATAATGTAAGGGATCATGGATTAGCACTCACAAGGCAGCAAACGTCCACTGGTTTCCTCTTCTCCATGATTCCAAGGTCACCAACACCCAAGCTGAGCCAAATGTTCCGGAAAATCCAATGGAATGTAGCGTGAGACCCGGATGAGTTCCATCTGTCGTGGGCCAGAAAAACGTAGTCAATACTGTAAGCAGCCTATCGACACCCTCTAACCCAGTGTAGACGGTTCTCAACGGCTCATCTGTGCCTGGCAGTCTCTTAGCTGCAATCGCATCCAGAGCCAATCTATGCGCGCCATTGATTTCGGCAAAGTGAAAAATGGTGTAGAAAACGGAAATGCTTAGGAGCAGTAGAATGATTTTAGCAGCCATATTGGGTTGTTATTACTGTGCAGAAACCGGAGCTCCGGGTTCATCCAGCTTATTTAAATTTCTAAGTTGGTTGAATATAAATTTGTGGATCCATGGGTATCCGAGGGATGGTCAGGTCAACTACCCCATTTGGCAAGGGTTGCGAGGAAAAATGCGGAGTCGGCGATCAAGGGATGCCGAGGGAAGTATAAGCGATCCCACTCACATGGTTTTATTTTGTATAGTAATCAATACTACGAAGTACTTTACTAAGTTTGATCTAATTTGTTCATCTTCGCTTAGCATATCATCGTGAATGAGACTCTGGGGCTTGGCAGTCACATGGGGTTGATCCCCAAACACACCCATGGGAGAGTGACTGGGGTAAAGTTCCAGGTACGCCGTGAATGAGCCATATGAGCTTTCCCTTCGAGTACTGCCTGCATCAGACGTGGTGAATATGTTCTAGGAAAGGGTGAAGCTGAATGCCTCGGCGAGAAATCGGCTCTTTTATCTGGAGCTCCCCCTCTGGGAACCTCCAAGTTTCCTACATCCCCCCATACAAACCGTTCATCAGTTCTCCAGATAAATTTCCTTGATACATGTCCTTTGGGACAACCAAGGGCCTATTCTGGGTCTGCTTATTGCGTTGCAAAAACGGTGTATGCCGCCCGATACTCTCCTTCTGATAAAAACGTCCAGTGATGTTGCAGCAACATCCATCTAACACCAACCATTATGTCCTTACGACTTATATCGTGACATATCCCAGGCCCGGTATTCTCCGGGTTGACAAAAGCTCGTGAATTGCGCGTTCAAGCAAATACTGGGCTTTACCACACGCTTGTACAACTTCAAATTCTCATATGACGGCAGGAGTCGAGATACTGTCGCATGTCATTGCTAAAAGCTTTCATCTCGAAAGATGCCATAGAAGCATCTGGATCTTGATCTTGACCTTTGCATTTACCAGACGAATAGCGATGTGATACATGATTGTCACTCTGTGATATCAGAATCAGACACAGTGCGTTTATGTGCATTGAACCAAACCCACCTGTCGTGAGAAGACTGCCGCGAAATCGTTGTCAGGAAGTCATCAAGAGATCAGCTAGCTACCAAGACGGATATGCCGAGGTACAATCTTGGTGCATGTCTTCATGCAGTATCGTCGTCTGTGAAAATCCAAATCGGACGGCCGACCATCCCTTTCTTCTCATCAAAAGGGCGAAACCGAAGTTCGCCCCGAGTCGGCAGTGTACGAGAATAGCCGGCTTTTGTACACCACAGTCCGATAGATGCCAATCTGGCAATTGATGGCTCCGGAGCCCCTGGTCCATCTTCTAATACCGGCATTTGACGGAAGTCTCCCTGGCATCACACCGCGGTGGACACGGAGGTCAATTGCAGACATGCATCGTTCGAATATCCAAGAAATCGATCTCACGGACGCAAAATGCCCACAAGACCTAGTTGAGGCCGCAGCAAATGTATCCTAAAATTTCCATTGCCCTCATAGTGGCGGTGAGTGAGCGTCTTTTGCAAATCGGAACCCATAGGGCTCTCGCCATATGTGACAAGTACACATAGCAATCGGCGGTGACCAAAAAAGCAATTTACCAAGGCAACAAACGACGAAAATTCGTCCGAGTTTCAACATCGGGCTCCATCATATGGGCTCAGTAAAGTAGCATGGCGTATCAATAATGGCAGCTGTTGAGCCGGGGAAGATAAAGCTCAGCACAAGATTTTAATTTATATCTTCCTGTTGCATTGTTTTGCTCGTTTTCGTGATTTCGACTTGTCTTGTTCAGCGTGGGTCGATTGTTGTGGGCTGGGGACTCTCTGCGGACTATCGCAATTGGCCTTCGCGATTTCTCATGTGGTTTTCTCACTCGCGAGTTTGCGAGCGTTCGCGTGTTTTCGTCTGACTGTTCGCGTGATTCCAGTCTTTTTTCTGTGCCCCCCCCCCCCCCCCCCCCCCCGGGATTTTCGGTTTTTTTTTTTTTTTTTTGCCAAAAAAAAAAAAAGTCTGCTATGTCCTCCAACACCGCGAGCCCGGCCCCGTCTTCGCCAATGTCCGAGCTCTCGGCCCTTGGGGCCACCCCTCCCCCCCCACCCCACGCCTGGGTTCTTTTTGCCCTCCGCGGAGGAGGGTGGCGTAAGTGTTCCTTCCACTTTGGCTTCGCGTGCTGGCTATGCTTCTGTGCTTCAAGGTTAGCTAGGAAAGATAATGAGCATAACAACATGTACAAGGAGCCTGGTGCAGCCTTTGTCCCACGTTTGCGCTCCGCCTTTCCTATAGTGTTCCTTGAAGTTGCTGTCACTGAGTCGTGACCAAAGCTGGTCAAGCACATCGGCTACAGAGTGGCACCCCAGAGTCGACCTTCTTCATTATTCTCTCCACGTGCAGGACGCCCCAAAAGTTACCGTTCACCATACACGCAGTGGGAGCCGCCTATCGAAATGGAGCCATCTATTCGCACACGTGCCGTTACCCTGCTGGATCTCCCGGACAGCGTCCTGCTCAAGATAGCTCGGTATGCCGACCTATTATGATCATGCGTCATCAATATCAACACGGAGAAACGGATCATCGACCCCGCCGAGGATGCAAACGACCATCTCCCAATGGATCAGTTGATCAGAGGGTGGCATACACCGGTCGCCTGCCCCCGCTATCACCAAGCTTTGCCCTGTCAACGCCGTGGCAATATCACACTATCTTTACACTGGCCTATCTATCCGGTCGTCTCCATTGCAGAAATGGGACCTTATGAATCTGATCCATCTGGACGAGAGCAAACGAAGCCCGAGCAATTCGAAGATGATGAGCATGAAGTAGAGAGCATCCTAGGAAAGCAAGAGTATAAACGAGATATTTCAGCGACAAAATCCACAGAATACTTGATCCTCTATTTGAGAGGGGTTACGAAATTAGAGATGACCAGTGGATCAGGCAATCTTGACTTACTCGTCCGACACCTTCCCTAGGCAACTAGTCTCCAACTTGGCCGAGAGAAAAAAATGTCCTGTATTATATCCCATTCCGCATTGAATGGCATGAGGATATGATCACCATCATACTTGTTATTAGTTATTTCTATAAAATACCCACTATGCCTTTCGCATGATATATGGATACTGATGGGCTATCATAAAGACGGAATCGTGGGAAACACAAGCAAGTACGAATCCCCGAGAGGCAGCGTGGGAAACAAGGTGATCAGACATTCTAACCACAAATTGGAAACCAGTCCATTGCGAGTTTCCCTACTACTGGGCTTGTGATCTCTACAATTTTGCAAAAATAGGACTTGAAGATGTCTTTGCCATCGCAAAAAACCCAAAACATGTCTATGAGGCAAATCATGAAGGGTACAATACCCTCATCATCATCGAAGCATATCAAATGCTCGATGAAGACCCCCGGCTCACTTACACCACGAATAAGAGTGGGCTCCAAACAACTTCAAAGCCTTACGATCCAACGAATTCTTTGCCCCCTGTGGTTTCACGTGGGAAGGTTAGACTTTTCAAAAACCCCCTTTCGAAACCTGAACACCCATTATCCGTGGACTCGAAACAATGCTGAAGTTCTCGAACAAGCTAAGTACAAAGGAAAATTTTCACACAAAAGACTGGCACAGTTTGGTCGATCACGTCCGGATACAATTATCTCCAGCCACATTCGAATATGCCAACGATTGGCAATGTGTACGCAAAGAGCAAGAGTTCGCATCCCATAACTGCATGCTATCCTCCGCGAAACCCGTTCATGACAAGCGCGACGAGGCATACAGTCGGTGGTTCGAGCGGGACTCAGAATGCCACGGTCTTTAACAAATCGCACCGGGTCGACTAAGAACCAAAATCGGCCAGACCGTGTCCACGGCCTAGAACCGATATGCTTGGAGATGATAAGAGAACACGAATGTGGCTGTGGCACTGGACATGGTTATGAGGATGCACGGTTAGCGAACTCTAACCGCACTATGGATCATTTGCAGAAGGAAAGCCAGCTCCACATGTAATATTTCCACAGCCTTCTGAGGAACGATAATGCTTTTCATGATTCGCACATCGACACATGTCATACGGTTAACTTTGAAGGAGGTCTGATGTCATTTGGAGCACGGAATTCAACAAAGAAAATCATAAACCTGTCATAGAGGAAGACCCTTCGTCGAATCTGCAACAAAATCCAAAATTGCGTGTTTTTCTTTGGGTCGCATACAGATTCCTATCTGATGCGGCAGCAAGCTGGGCGAGGGTTTTCCCTAGCAAGCTAACGAGACGCCACCCAAAACTACGTATAATTTTAAGATCTACCAGGGATTATTCATGGTCTTGCCTATGCCTTAGGAATTGTTTCCAAACATTGACTAGACGTCGAATTATGATTCGCCGAGAATCATCTCCCCAGAGAATATTTCGTGAGAAACCTTCAGAACAGATGTCATTGTGCTAGAAAGTATCTCTCGGACTTCTCCAGGTGATAAATATACATCCATGTGATCAATCCACATTTCCTAGTCGACAAAAGGCTTTACTATCGCGTACATCTATATTGCCCAACAGATGGATCGCGGCCTTTGACTACGTGCTGTTGACTCAAGCAAAGGAAAAGCTTGTGCACAAGCGGGACCATATTTTCAGATTGTATCCCGGCAGGATACAAATGACGGTTCAAGATCATGCTAAACAAGCCGACACTGGAACAAATGTCAAGTGCAAGCCCATTCGGGCCTGGTCGATCAATTCGGTCATAAAGCACCCATACTTACTAAAGACCACAGTCGGGAATCAAGTAGCTCATTCCTCAATTGGAGGATGCGCGTTGAAACTGACCGTTGCTCGATTTTCAGAATTAGTCTTAAAGAGTCCCTGCTAGCACCATTCAAAGCCGTTCCTATGTGTGTTAAATTATAATTCATGTCGTATCTTTCCCAACTAACAGTTCTAAGTTCAACTTCACCTGCACAGTCATCAGGCGTGAATCAACAACTTCTACGCACTTATGATTCCTGATATTCCTAGACGTTTGCCATGTCGCCACTTAGTCTCTGAACCAGAATGAATGATCAACGGTGCTCGGACCTGGGATACTCAGAGAACCAAGGCGTTGCGGTGGTAAGTATTCAGGGCCATAGATACTTCAACTGGGATATTACACTTGCCCTCGGCGATGGTGACACTGTGGGTGATTTCAAAATGTCTCAGTTATGGTGGGTTTAATTTATAAGGAATTGGAAGTCGATTCTGCCTGTGACTGTGGCTCGGTTCATGGGTTAGAACAAGGGCATTCTATAAAGCACTCACTTGGCATGCATTATACAGTTTTATGGGAGCGTGCGAAACCGACTCAAGCTGTCCGCCACAAATACTGGCCGTTCGACTTCGACACCAATGGCTTGCCGAAAATGACTCGGAAACCCTGCGGCCAACCCGTTCTCGTGACGGACCACAAAGACAGACTCACTATTCCCGTCATAAGAGGTTACTACCTTCTGTGTGGAGGCGCTATTAGCGATCGGTATCAATGAATCGTCAACTCCAGAGGCCTCGAGAGAGCTAGTAAGATTCATTATGGTTCCTTCTATCTCACATCGGCTCTTCAAAAGGAATTCCCTGCGGTGGATTGGAAACCGAACTGGGCACCCCGATCCTTCAGTTTCGTTCCCTATCCAGGCCCCGGCGCCTTTTTCATCAACACCGAGGACCAACAGCCTTCGAAGCCCAACCAACTACTCCAAACGCTACAACCAAGCCTTCCCTGTCCGAGTAAGGCCATCTAATAACTAGCCCTTCTCTCTACGTTTAAATAAACCCCATTTTGCCTAAATATCTCCCAATTTAGCCGGATAGCTTCAACATGCATACTGCCTACATCCCAGCCTAGCTGCATCTGTCTAGCTCATCCTGCACCGCCAGCAAATCCAATTCCCAATTCATGAACCGATTTAAACCAAATCCTCATCTTCAACCCACTCGATAGAGGGACACTTAAAATGGCTTCCGTCGCTGAACCCAACCCTATTCCTCCGCTCACTTTTTCCAATCGAATCCAAATCGCAACAACATACATCTTCCGCGTACCATGGACAATCTTCACTACTCTTCTCCGCCGCTGGAATCCTTTCTCCACGTACAAGCCACCCCCGCTTAGAGAACATCTCTTTCGACATGTTATGACCTGGTAACAACCCTACACCTCCTCTCGTAGCCACCACCCCCAATCCACACTCCAGCCCTAACTACCAATGTAGTCTTGGAAACAACCTCCCCATCTCCACAACCAGCCTCTCGATCGACAGAAAAGGAACCTCAATCCTAACATCCCCCCGCTACTCCCACATCCAATCCAACATCTACCAACGCATCTACACCCCCACTTTCTCCGGCTACTTCATCTGCCGTGGTCTCTCCCCGTCCCCTCTCCCCCCAAAGGAAGCAGACATCTTCCTCCTGCACTGCCACGGAGGCGGATACGTCGCGGGCCATCCAGCAGCCGGCGCCGTCGCGCATCTCTATGTAGCGGAACAATTGCGGAAGAAAGGTCTGTCTGTGGCGGTGTTTAGTCTGGATTATTCACTTGCGCCGAAGGCGCGGTGGCCTACGCAGTTGCGGGAGGTGGAGGCTGCGTTTGATTGGGTGGTGGGTGAGTTGGGGGTGCAGAGGGAGAAGGTGGTTGTTATTGGGGATTCCGCCGGGGGGCATTTGGTGTTGGGGTTATTGGTTAGGTTGTATCTAAGAAGGATTGAGAACACGGAGGGTGGAGATGTGGAAATCGAAATGGAAAGACAAAGGGATGATGATAGACCCGGCGCAGCGGTGTTGTTGAGTCCGTGGGTGAATCTGCATTCGTCGCATCCTCGTGTCTTGGCGCTACATTGGGAAGAGAGGTTGTTTAAGATCGGGCTGGATAAGTACTGTGAGATGGTGATGGGGGAAGCGTCGCGGGAGGTGGATGAGCTGTATGGGAACTTTGCGGTGGGAGGGGAGAAGCGCGGATCTTGGAAGGAGATTTTGCCGAGAAATACTTGGGTCTCGGCTGGGGAGGAGGAGCTGGTGTTTCGGTATGATATTGAGGATTTGGTGGATAGGGCTAGAGAGGATGGAGCGGATGTGCAGCTGGAGGTGACGGAGGGGAAGAATCACGCGTGGCAGAGCGCGGAGGCGTTCGGACAGCAGAGTCAATTTCTGGCGCTGTCGATGGATGAGGACGAGGGGGATTTAATGCAGGGATATAAACGGGTTGCGGAGGAGATATTCAAGATGGTGGTCAAGATTGAGTCAGATGTGTGTACTGTATAAGTTTATTAATGTTCTAGCGGTTGGCACTGCCAACGTCTTGATCTATATGAATATGCCAGATCACAGCTTCGCCTGATAATCTTTAAACGCCTCATACACAGCCGTGACATACTGCACCGTGTTCTCGTTTCCCAGCAACCCATACCCCATCTTATTCATGGCATAAGTGATCGTCATCTTGCGATCAAGGTCCATCATCCCGAAGGACCCTCCAAACCCTCCCCAGTAACAGATTCGTCCGTCCGGAATCCATTTCAGCGACGGTTCCGCACCTTGCGGAGGCAAGCCATATCCCATGCCAAATCGTAGATACAATCCCAGCACCAGGTCCTTCCCACTCATCTGTTCCTGGAAGATCAGATCGATCGTCTCCGGCGACACAAACCTCTTCCCGTCCACCTCACCGTGCAATGACACGATGGACAGAATCCGATTGACAGCCCTCGCGTTCGCAAACCCTGCCATCGCACCGATCCCCAGACGCCGGAATTCGGGCGTATTGCACTGCTCGGCATCCATGTGGCTGCCGCGAATCGCACGCGGCTGGATGCCATCGCCGTCAATGGTGAAGGGCAGCGGCGGCGGAGGCTGCATCTGGCCGATACGCGACCAGTGCTCCTCTGCCACTGGGAGATGGAAATCCGCGTCGCGAGGTCCGGCAAGTTCGGCGTGGATGAACTCGCCCAGCGTCTTACCGGTGACGCGACGCACCAGCTCCCCGACCAGATAGCCCTGAGTAGTCAAATGGTAGCCCGAGGCGGTGCCGGGCTCCCACCAAGGCTGTTGCTGAACGAGCTTCTCCAGCGCGTTGGCAACATCGTAGAACCCATTGGGCGCGAGAGGCGGATCCCATGAGGGTAGACCGGCCGTGTGGCTGAGGAGGTGTCGCACTTGGATCTTCTCCTTGTCAGGGGTTGCGAAGTCAGGCCAGTATTTGGCGACCGGCGCGTTGGGGTCCAGAATGCCGCGGTCGACGAGGATCAGGGCGGCGAGGTTCATCACCGTCTTGGTGATGGACCAGACGGGCACGATGGTGTCTTCTTTCCAGGGCTCGGTGCGCGCTCGATCAGCGTATCCGCCCCAGATATCGACCACGGTGCGGCCCCCGATGTTAACGCAGATGGAGGCGCCGATCTCATCGTGCGAGTTGACCCGTTTTTCTAGCAGGTCGCGCACGGCGGAGAAGCTGGGATCGCAGGATCCCTGGACAGAAGTCATGATGGCTATGGCTGAGGTGGAAGTTGTGGGATTCTGTCTTCTGCTCCTCTAACCGAAGGCCGAGCTAGTCTGGCTTTAGCGCCGACGTGGCATTTTTCATTATGACAGGCGATGATAATTAATAAACTAGTTCGTTGGCTAATTAGTAATCTATTGTGTAGGCAATTCTACAAACTGACCATCATGATGGGTTCTGTCTGCCAAAGACCTTTGGCAGGCAACAACTTGGTTCTTAACTGCATCTCCTGCCAATCCCCACGAGGGGGTTTGTATGCAATGACGTCATGCATCGCATTCGGAGTGTCGATGCCGAACAAACTGAATGAGGTTCCTCTGATTATGCGAAGACTATGCTCGCCTCTCCAGGGATAATCCAATGAACGGTGTTCGTAAAGTCCCCTCAGCCGGCACAGTGGTGATGTAACCATGGATCCCAATTCCATGATGCCATCACTCTCCTCTTCCGGCGCTTCCTAACCTTCAATAAAACCACTGCCTGTTCCTGTCCTCCAGGCCCTCTTCGGACACGGCTTCTGTTTATTCGGGCTCAGGCAAAATGGCGTCTCCCGGCAGTTCTAGCAGCACGTTATCTACCCGACAGACGGAGCGACCGCGCAGGGATAGCAATTATGAAGCCATTCGGTCGCCCACGCTCAGTCGGCGGCCGACGAATGTCGAACTCTCGCGGATGGAATCGCTGCGAACGACACATCAATCAACGGTCGGATCGACGACGGGGCCGGAGCCGCGCGAGAAATGGCTGTCCTTTGGCGGAGGAAAGGATTATCCTCCCCTTCTACCTGATCCGGAGAACTATGTGGTGGAGTTCAGCGAGCAGAACGATCCGATGCACCCGCATAACTGGCCCTTGCGAACTAAGTATGACATGCCATGACATGGACCAGATGTCCTGCCTATGTAGATCTTGGATCGTGGCTGACAGCACACTAGGATCATGCTGTCCTCCATCCTCGCCTACGTCACCTTCGTCTCGTCCTTCGCCAGCGCCATCTTCTCCTCTACGGTCGGATCCACCAGCGCCCAGTTCGGCGTGAGCACCGAGGTCACGACACTCGGCGTGACGCTCTACGTACTCGGGTTCGCGACCGGTCCAACATTCTGGGCACCTGCTTCGGAGCTCTACGGCCGACGATGGCCCATCACCGCCGGGATCGTCGGATACAGCATCTTCACAATTGGAACGGCCACGGCCAAAGACGTACAAACCATCATGCTGACGCGGTTCTTTGCCGGCGTGTTCGCCGCCGCACCTCTGGCCATCGTGCCCGCCGCGTTCGCGGACATGTACAATAACCGCACGCGCGGCGTCGCGATCGCCATGTTCGCCATGGCCGTGTTCGTGGGCCCGTTCGCGTCCCCGTTCACGGGCGGGTTCATCACCATGAGCTATCTCGGCTGGCGCTGGACCATGTATATCTCGGCCATCATGGGGTTTCTGGGCGTGGTCTTGTTGCTGCTGTTCTTTCGCGAAACGTACCCCCCTGTGCTGCTGCAGGAGAAAGCGGCGATTCTACGCCGACAGACTCGTAATTGGGGCATCCATGCGAAACAGGACGAGGTTGAGATCGATTTCAAGGAGCTGATGACGGTGAATTTCAGTCGTCCGTTTCGGATGCTGTTCACGGAGCCGATCGTTTTTCTGGTCACCGTGTATATGTATGATTCTTAACCTCCAGGTGGCCCCCGTTCAGAAGTTGACGGCGAACAGGTCCTTTATTTACGGTCTTATGTACGCGCTCCTGGCAGCGTATCCGGTTGTGTTTCAAGGCATCCACGGCATGAACCTCGGTGTCGGCAGCTTGCCCTTTATTGGGCTCATGACTGGCGAGTTCCTCGGCGGCGCTTTCACGCTGCTCGGTCAGGGATCGTATAACAAGAAACTGGCCGCCAATAACGACATGCCGGTATCAGAATGGCGTCTGCCGCCGGCTATCGTGGGTGGGGTTGCCTTTACCATGGGGCTGTTTTGGTAGGTTTGATCGGTTCCCTCGTGTGTCATAGTCCTGGTGATAGGATAGTGCTAATCAGGAACCCTAGGTTCGGCTGGACCGGCTTCACAAGCGACATTCACTGGATGGCGCCCACGGCGTCGGGCGTTTTGACCGGATTCGGCATCTATGTGATCTTCCTGCAATGTTTCAACTATCTGATTGATTCGTATCTACAATTGTAAGTCAATACATGCATACATCGGACCGTACCTATCTCCTCGACGCACTTCCACGCCGACAGAAAAAGGAAATACAACTGACCGATAGGACAGCGCCGCCTCGGTGTTCGCCGCCAACACGATCCTCCGATCAGCCGTCGGGGCGTGTTTCCCGCTCTTCTCGCGGCAGATGTTCCAGAACCTGGGGGTGCAGTGGGCAGGCACGCTGCTGGGATGTTTGGCGGCGATTATGATTCCCATTCCGCTGGGGTTTATGGTGTGGGGGCCCGCGTTACGGCGGAGGAGCAAATTTGCACCGACGGCGGCGGTGTTTCAGGAGAAGTCGGGGTAGCCATGCAAGGGAGATGGGATGGAGTGGACAGTGAACAGTGGACAGGTGACTGCGCATAATTGAACATGGAGTATTCTGTAGCCTGAGGCCTACACATACCGCAATCTGCAATCTGCATCTGGAATAAAGCAAGGGATCGAGGCCCTCGTGCCGCGAACAAGAAATGAAAGGATGGTCATCCCGGCGCGTGCCAAGCCAAGCCCTAATTGGAAACGAGGATAGCGTTGCACTTGTCGCAGCCTATCTGTCTTACCAGTCCCAGCTTCCCAGAGATTGGGAGTTTCCTCGCACGGGAAAAGATAAAAGATAGTATAACTCCAGATAAGCCCATTGAACCGGAGCGATACGCGTCTGAGCACACGGTCAGCACACGATGGCAGCTCCGAATCGGCGAGGTCCGTCCATTGGCATGAATCATCCGCTCTTGTAATCCGTTGCCACCATTGGCGCCACCGTGACGACGTGCTCGGCTCTCGACCCACGGGCTGATCGGCAAACGAAAGACCGTCACCTTCCGGAGCTTTTTTTTTTTCTTTTCCGTCATGGAACTGGAAGCGATGGCACTGGTTGGCGCAGGGTCTTTGCCAAGCTGACCGTGTCAGAGGGGCCACTGATAAGGAAGAACAAAATGGAAATTTTCCCTTCGGTCGCGTGGGCGAAAAAAAAAATTCAAATAAATAATAATAAAAAGCTCGGCTTGGGCGTTTTTGTGTTCTTCTTTTTCTTTTTTTCTCTTCTCCTTGGGTCTTCTTTCTTGTCTCCCTTTCCCTGTTGTAGGGCTTGATTGCCTCAAACTTACCCCCCTTGTGGTTTCTTTACCCTTGTCACTTTTGTCCCCATAGTTTGTCCGACATCACCGATCTGCCTCACCATGGGCTTCTCGAATTGGGTGCACGACACCAATTACGCGGTGGCAAGGTCCCCCGTGGGACGATGGTTTCGTCTGGAGAACTCGGGCCATGTAAGGGAGCTGCGATGCTTCACATACCGTTTATCGAATTGCAAACCCCTCCGAGGAATTAGGTTCCTAGGAGGGGCACACTGACTTGAACCGTCCGTTGGAAACAGCCCCAGGAGCGTAAAGGCAGCTTCTTCTTCACCGAGATCCGCGCCGGCCTGGCCACCTTCTTTGCCATGGCCTACATCATCAGCGTTAACGCCACCATCACCTCCGATACGGGTGGTACCTGCGTCTGTCCGCCCGAGAGCCAGGCCGACAACTGCAACACGAACACCGAGTACCTGCTCTGCGTGCAGGAAGTGAACCGCGACATCGTCACCGCCACCGCCGCCATCGCCGCCTTGGCCACCTTTTTTATGGGGTTCCTGGCCAATCTGCCCGTGGCCCTGGCGCCCGGTATGGGTCTGAACGCCTACTTCGCCTACACCGTCGTGGGGCATCACGGCTCCGGCATGATCCCCTACAGCATCGCCGTCACCGCCGTCTTCGTCGAGGGGTTCGTCTTCCTAGCGCTCACCCTGCTGGGTATTCGACAGTGGTTGGCTCGCGCCCTGCCGGCATCTATTAAGTTGGCCACCGGCACGGGTATCGGCCTGTATCTCACCCTGATCGGATTGAGTTACAGCGCGGGTATCGGGTTGATCACAGGCGCTACGGACTCGCCGCTGGAGTTGGCCGGTTGCTCGCAGAGTCAGCTGAACGACGCGGGCATGTGTGAAGCCAGCGACAAAATGCGCAGCCCGACCATGTGGATCGGTATCTTCTGCGGCGGTGTCTTGACGGCCCTTCTGATGATGTACCGCGTGAAAGGCGCCGTCATTATGGGTATCTTGCTTGTGTCTATCATCTCCTGGCCCCGTCCCACCGCCGTCACCTACTTCCCGCACACGGACGTCGGCGACAGCAAGTTCGACTTCTTCAAGAAGGTGGTCACCTTCCACCCCATCAAGCATACGCTCGTCGCTCAGGATTGGAACATCGCGGAGCACGGATCGCAGTTTGGGTTGGCGTTTATCACGTTCTTGGTGGGTTTTCCGTCACAGTTCCGAGGTCATGCTGTACTGAGACTAATCTTGGTTTAGTATGTCGATATTCTGGACACTACTGGTACGCTGTACTCGATGGCTCGCTTTGCCGGTGCCATTGACGAGCGCACGCAAGATTTCGAGGGCAGTGCGATGGCCTACGTATGTCTTTACCTTTTTTTTTTTTTTTTACTCTTACTATGCCTATACTAATAAAATCAGATGGTCGATGCAATCTGTGTTTCGATCGGCTCCCTCTTCGGCACCTCCCCCGTCACTGCCTTCGTGGAGAGCGGCGCCGGTATCTCTGAAGGCGGGCGCACGGGCCTCACTTCCTGCGTGACCGGAATCTGCTTCTTCATCGCCGTCTTCTTCGCGCCGATCTTCGCATCTATCCCTCCCTGGGCGACGGGCTGCACGCTCGTCCTCGTCGGAGCGCTGATGTGCAAGGCCGCGGCGGAGATCAACTGGCGGTACTACGGCGACGCGATCCCCGCATTCCTGACGATCTCGATCATGCCGTTCACCTACAGTATCGCGTACGGGCTCATCGCGGGTATTCTCAGCTATATGACCCTGAACATCATCACGTGGTTGATCGAGAAGGGCACGTTCGGGCGCGTCGTGCCACCCAACAAGGACGAAAAGGACCCTTGGACCTGGAAGGTTCCTGGCGGTTTCTTCCCGCCGTGGTTGCGACGAGCAGCCCGCGGCAAGAAGGACTTTTGGCGCCCGTATGAGAATGAGGATATTGATTTGGGCGTCGGTCCGGATGGGTCGGTGTCGTCGCAGGATCGATACGCCGAGAAGACGGATGGGAGGAAGGGAATCCCTGCGTGAGTTCCATGTTTGGTAGATATGCAGTACACTGGATCATGCAGAGATGTCGGGTAGAGAGGAGAGGGATTGTAGATATCCTAGATAGTTAGGTAGTACTCAGTATATGAGTAGACTGTAGAATGATATAATTAATATATATTGATCTTCTATTCATCCAATGGTCTATCTAAGAATAGGGCTTCGACGGTCACGGGCTGGAAGTCAGTTCCGCCCAACCAATCAGACGCGTACCAAGTCCGCAAGCGGCGCTGTATCGTATGGTCACGACCTGCGCCGCAGCGTTTAGACAAGCAGGCGGTGAGGGGTCGTCTCACACAAAGTTCGTGGTAACTTTGGTAAGCAATGGTAATACGGATACTGCCGCATGCGGGGAAGCGGCGTGCATTTCCGGCAGCCAATGAGCGACGATGACGAGTCATGCCGGATGGAGATTTCCTTTCCCTGCCTGAGGTTCTTTCCAGGTTCTCGGTCTCGCTCTCTTCTGTTACTTCTTTCTCTTTTCCTCTCCTCTCCGCTCCTCTCGTCTTTGTCTCGTCCATGCTCGTACACGCCCAGCATGGTCTGACTTCCACTCGTTCTATTCCCCTTCCTCCCCCTCCTCCTTCCCTCTCGCCTCTCTCCCCTTCATCCCCTCATCGCCATCGATTCCTCGCCATGTCCGACGCCAAACGCCGCTTGGCCCCGGCTCCGACCGGTGCAAACGCCGGCCCTGATTCCCAACAGCGCAGGAAGAACGTCGGCACCGCGTGCCTGGCCTGTAAAGCGCGCAAGCTGAAGGTCCGTCCCCTTCTGGCCCTCTCTGTCCGATTTCCCCTCCCTCTTGTCTCGCCGTCCTTATCGCCTCCGATATCCACATTTCAAGCCACCCAGCTCATTAGACCCTGAAGTGGGGTCCGGTCGTCCAACTTATCCCATTCCATCCCGTTTCCAAGCCCTCAAACACTAAAGCACTCAATGCCATTTCGCATGTCGCTGACCATCTCCTCTTGTCCGTGCAGTGCACCGGCAACTCCCCCTGCGGCAACTGCGTCAAACACGGCCTTGAATGCACCCTCAACCAGGCCGCCGACAAACGCCGTCGCGGTCACATGAAGCGCAAGATCGACCTCCTCGAAGACAAAGAAGACCTCCTCATCGGCCTGGTCGGCATCATTCGCGAGAGCGGCAACCGACGCACCATCCCCCTCCTGAACCTCATCCGCAGCAACGCCTCCCTGTCCGAGCTGCGCCACTACATCGACCACGAGCTCCCGCGGGCCGATCTCGCGCGGACACCAGAATTAGTGGAGGTCTGCAATGAGGTGCAGAGGTTGCAGCAGAATGAGGCCCGGTCCGTTCGTCGCATCCTCGATGCGAAACGTCTGTCGGATATTCCGCGCTTTCGCGTCCCGGCCGGTCCGTGGACCACTGTCACTGAGGATGATGACTTCGTGTCGCATCTTGTCTCCTTGTGGTTTACTTGGTGTCATCCGTTCTGTAACTGGATTGATCGCTCGAGGTTCTTGCGCGATATGACGGCGGGGTCTAAGGCGGGGGCGGCGTATTGTTCGCCGTTCTTGGTCAATATCATTCTGGCGGATGCGTGTGTACGGGTCCCCCTGGTGCTTTCTGAATGCTTGTTTGGTTGTGAGGATATGGAGTATGGGGTCTGTATGCTGATGTTGGTCTAGGCGTATTCGGATTATCCCGAGGCGTGTGCGAAAGCGGAGGATCCGACGACGAGAGGGTCGCATTTCTACGACGAGGCAAAACGGTTGCTGGAGAAGGAGGAAGGCAGGATTACGCTTCCGACGGTGCAGGGCCTCGGAGTGCTGTGGAGTTGGTCAGCTGCTTTACTCCTTTCAATCAGTGGTCATACTTACCTGCAATAGTGCCTCCATGACCGGTCGGGACCGCCAAGGTTGGATTTATCGCAGCCAACTCGCATATTCCGTGCAAGAGCTCTCTCACACTTACTCGGTTTTGGCCCACAAAGCCGACGAAGATACTCTGCGCATGGCCCGAGTGATCAGCAATACTCACTGGGGCTTGTTCAATATCGCCACGTAGGGAGACCCCGTTCCCACCAGTCGGAAACCACCAACCCGCCTGGCTTTATCTCATTTTGTTCTTCTGCTATGTCCGTGAGAAAGAGAACAACTGACCAAGGGCCAGGGTGCACGCTTTGTTCGAGAAAAAGATGCCGCCCATCAAGCCGCCGAAACGAGTGTCTTTGCCGCCGGTCAGTCACGATTCCGACCAGGATGACTGGCAGCCGTACCCGACCTTCGCCGAGGGAATCCAGTCGCACACGGACTGTCTGTTTAACGCCCTCTGCCAGTTAAATCTGATCGCGTACGACCTGTGTGCCTTGTTCTTTCGTGGCGACCCGGAATGGTCCCCTGTCGAATGTGACCGTCGTATCGAAGACGCGCATACCCGATTACGCCAATGGTCCGACCGACTGCCAGACTGCCTAAAAGGGAGTCAGATTGAAGCTCCGCACAGTTTGTCTCTACAGTTTGTCTTGCCAGTACTCTCTCGGATTCCGATGGCGTAACTAACATGACCAAAAAGCATGTACTACCACGCCATCATAATGATTCTTTGCGGCCTTTCAAGTACCCTTCCATCATCTTCTCCCCATTCGCACGATCACTTGGACCCTCGTCCTCATCCTCAGTGTCATAACAACCACCAGGAGGACTCTCTCAACAACCCTCGTCTCTCCTCCGCCCGCACCATCTCCCAACTCCTCCGCATCCACCGCACCTCCTGGGGCGTCGACCGCATGCCCGTGCTGAACATCCACTTCATTGCGACCGCCCTTTTCGCGCTGCTCGACCACCTCTCCGACCCGGCCAACCGCGACGCCTTCGTGGACATCAGCATTACGGCGAAGGCGTTCTCTCGACGCTGGGAATCCAGTAAGACGATGCTCAGGTCGTTGCGCGCCACGTCCCGCGAGAGAGAGATTGAGTTACCGACTGAGGCGGATCCGTTGTTTGCGGTGCTGGAATGTCAGGGCCAAGGACCCAGACTCGGACATGCACCGGTACTTGGAAACAGTCAAGCGTCTCAGTCGGCCAAATTAAAAGGGAGAGAGGACACTGTTGTGTCAACGGAGGGGGGAAGTAGTGATCTCTCTTGATCAGCTTGCCCTTGTTCTTAGGGTTCATCCCTTTCTTTGAACTCCCCGTCGGCTTGACCTCCGTACGGACAGAGTTATCATACGGCTGGGTTGCCTTGAGATGAGTCCGTAATTCATTGGATGTCCCGATGACCTAATTTCCTCGAACCGAATGGCAGCTCGCGACAAGACTGGCCTAGCAGACATGAACCTGCTGGTTTCTCTTCCTCAAAGCTTCCTCCAGGAAAGCTTTTTTTCTACCAAGAACGCGGTTACTCACTCGTTTGCCAGCGACTACACAACTCGCTAGACGGCACGCACAACCATACACAAACACACATTCCTACATCTACACACAGCACAGCACAGAATCTAGACGACCTAGACGTCCGATCAGACTATTAGCATTTCGGAGTTGGCGTTCGTATGCTTGAGTTCCATTCGGAGGAAGAGCATACCTACACGGAAAATCGCCCCTTTATCATTATTGTTTTGTTGTTTTCTTTTTCTTATACCACTGGTGATCTTTCTGGCGTGTATGGACTTTAATTAATGATGGTTATCTTAATGAATGGGTCGGGATGTATTAATGGTTTTCAATAATATGGTTCGATTTTGGGCAGATCTATATGAGCTGTAGGAACTTATCTGTTAAGCTGAAGTTGATTGAGGGTTTCCATTATATGCCGTCATGTCCGTATGGTCTTGTCTACCTACCTAATTGTTCGTGGTCATATATTGTATCAATCAATTGTTCAGCCAAATAAAAAACTCACACTCACTGAGGGAGATCGGAACCTAGATATCTCTACCTATCCTGCCCGCAGCACCAGAACCAAAAAGAATCAGCAAAAAGAACAGCCCAACGCGGGGCTCGAACCCGCAGCCTTGTGATTAAGAGTCACACGCTCTACCGATTGAGCTAGCCAGGCGCTGTTGTTAAAGCAAGCTTTGAAATAGTGTTACATAAATCAAATGCAGCAGTACCCCAGTTTCGTGGGAGGACGCCTGCCTGAGGTTGAAATATGCCAAGCCTCCTTCCCCCAAGGCCGAGTCCTTGTATGTATGCAGCAAGCCACCTAAGATGGCCTTCTTTCTATATTATCTATCCTTCTAACATCTTCATAATCCTCTCCGCTAGTTCCATTTGTGCTCGTTTATTTATTTCAATTGTATACTGCAATGCTAACACCTCACCAGCAGGTGACATGAATCCAACACCCGATATCATCAACAAATATATAATCCTGTCCAAGCCCACACAACCTCCCCACAACAGCAGGACTAAGGTCCCCAGGTCCCCAGGATACCCTAAACAGAAACCCCCTTCACCTGCCCACCGACCACCATCACCTCTTCACTCTGCTTGCACTCCCTCCTCTTTTCCCTCCACCTCCCCCAGTACTCCTTCAACAGCACCCGCCAATGCCATAATGCCCAAATCACCACCGTCGCTAACGTCAATGGGATCGTCACCGCCCAGTACATCCAGAACGTGCTGGCTGTTTTCCAATCGCTGTCGTCGCCGGGGGCGAAGTCGAAGAAGTTCGTGCCGAAGAGGCCCTTTGCACCGGTTAGCTTGGGGTAAATTGACTTAGGGTAGATACAGGGTAAGGGTGTAGGGCTAGCCTACAGAAACAAACGTCCCAGGCAGATACACCAAACTAACGACACCGACTGTTTTCATCATCGCGCTGTCGGATTGCGCGTCGCGGCCATAGCGTTGGGAGACGATATTGAAGGCCTAGAAATCGCATCGCGTCACAATCCAGTTAGTCCAATCAAAAAATCCAAGTGCACGATGTCTGTCCAGGGGTTATGGAATGGGAGAAACGAACAAGATTAATCTCATTATGCAGCCGCTCGGTCAACGACCTGGACCTCGTCTTCAGCGAGTGCACCTGCTTCGCGAGACTGTATAGTCGCTGCTGCGTGTGCAGGTACACGCCTCGGCCCTTTTGTCGCGAGTCCGGGAACTCTTCGCGCCAGCGGGTCTGCTCGGCGACGATGTTCTTGACGGTGTTTTCGGCGATTTCGAGCGTTTCCGTTGAGTGGAAGATGTGGCGGCCGATGTCGTGGAGGTGGGGGAAGTTTGGCGGTGGGGGATTTGGTTTGTCTCGTGCCTATTCATTCATCTCTTTGAATATCGAGATCTCTAAGGTTGAGGGTGTAGGTGTGTGGATTAGGTCAGGATGGCTTACCTTTTCTATATCTCGAACTAGATCTCGCAAAAACCAGATCGAGGCATCGTATAGAGTGATAAGCGTGCTTGAGAACTCCATATGCCAACGAAACGGGTTGACTCGGGCTTTGATCTGTGGCAGCTTGTGCTGCATCTGAAGTTGTTGTTGCTCGGGGAGGTTCAGCACGAGGACTGTCTGGCGGTTATCGGTCATCGTCCAGTCGATCAGAAGTGTGGTCTGGACCCATTCGTATTTGTTTGGTTTGAGGACCATCTTGACTTTGAAGCATGTCCATGATACTGCTGTTGTTAGAGGCCGCGGTTGTCGGGATGGATGGGGTATGGGCATAGGCTTACCGTGGCGGATGATCTGGTCGTCGTCATCGTCGGAGGCGATGTAGTCGCAAAAGAAAGAACCGTTGAGGTCGTCGTTGATGATAGAGCTGAATCCGTCGGGGAATGTGATGGGGATGTGTCCTTCCAGGGGTTTGGAGGAGGTGAATCTGCGAGGATTAGTATATCATCCTATCTTCTTGCGTAGTGTTCTGCAGCAGGAATAGACGCACATCAACCGAGTAGAATCCTCGCGACCCGGTTCCTGATACTGATGAGTGACTGTTCTCATATGGGGAGTGTTGGCCACTTACTGTCAACGCATTATGCAAATCCGCATCGCATCTCTGCCAAGGATCGTCCTCTACCATCAATCTAATCAGTACATGAAAATCTACGCATTTCGTGCGGGCGCACATGCATATACTCATACCGCATTGCTCGAATATCTTAACACCATCGCGAATAGACCCCATGCCGACTGCAACAAGCTTCTCTTTAGGAGAAAAAGAAATCCCCGCGATCGCAACGCGCCGAGCACGCCGGCTTTATATTCGTCGGGCATACGGTCTAGGGCCCTGCAGCGCTTGCATTAGTGATATACAGCACAGCCGCTTTCTCTCTCGAGTCCGCCTATAAAACGTAGGGCTTCGGATCAGCCGCCCCCAATCAAACGTGTCCGTGAAACGCCCGGGGAAGGTCATTCGGGAGCCAAAGCACCCTGGGCAGCCTCGCCCGCTTTTAGTGTCCAATGGTGTTGACGTGCTAGCCTAGTGAGCGCTAAGAGTTTGCCCCACGAGCGTGTCAGGTTGGGCGATCGAACTGGGTAGCTGTAAATATCAGCCATCTTGCAGGGTTAATATAGGTGTTCCGGCAGCGAAATTGAAGGGTTGATTGGATATGGAGTTTTGATGTCGTGCATTATTTGGTTCGGAGTCACTGTTTACATACAGTACTTGGTTCAATGTCCTCGAGGCTACTGTGTCTACGCGCCGTCAATTCATGACACACGGTTCTGGGCCCGGCTAGCTAATGAGCTGCGTTGTACAGTACAACCGCACCTGCACTTCGGTCATCTCCTGTTATCTCCTGCCGTGATTGCGCTCACTGGCATTTATGACTCATGAGACACGTCCTCCTTGCGAGACAACTCAGATGCATTAGTGGCGAAGCGCTGATGTCGGAGCCGAGGCAGACCGATAGAATGAAGCCAGCCAATCCCGGGGTAGGGATATGCGTGAACAGGCGGTTCAAGGGATAACAAGCATTGGAGTGGGTCGGGCCTTTAATCGTCGGTTATAGCCCTGGAAATATTAACAGGGGAACTAATGCATGGAATAGGTGGCGGGATGGCCGCGGAGTAACAAAGGAAGGTAATGGGTTTGTTCGGATGAGGCGATTCCTTCAATCCGCCTTGCAGTGGCTGCGTATAGCTTGATTCGAATGGATGTGTTAGACGGGTGAATTACCGGGCAAAAGAAGTATGACTTGGTCTGACTAACTGTTACAGCCTCAGCATTGCCCGACTGATGCAATGTGGTGCCATGTTTGACTAGCGACTTCTTGCAGCTCTAGGCCATCCATCATGTAGATAGGAATGAAATCAGATATTATCTACCGGTGCAGCAGTCCTGGGATCTGTTAATTGTCTGGTGTCTACTCCAAACGCCCGATCCGTTCTCTGCAGCAAAACGTCACTCGGCCCGATATGCTGCATGAAAAGGAAGTTCGTCGCGTGGCGAAGAACTAGATTTAGAACGAGGAAGGGTGTATCTTGGCACAGTGAAGCAAGAACAGATTGATCTGAATAGGGTTTCCATGGCGTCAGTCATAGACTTTAGAGTGACTGGTTCGCGGTAGAGCTTGTTTCGGGATGGGTTGTGTCCAAGAAAAGAGCAGGTTCTCTGGCTGATTGGGTGGCTGCATGCTCGAGAGATAAATAAACGTTGGTTGGCTTCCCCGGAATATGGTGACTTAGAGATGCTAGGCCTTGATCATAAGGGATTTCAATCAGATATCTATAAAGTGATCTCACCCAACCTTCGGCCTCTATCCCAATCAAGTTCTTAAACGTCGCAAAATGACCACCACTCCAATCGATCAAGCCCACAGAAGCTCCTTCTGCCCCGTCTCAGGCGGCTCCCTATACTACGAGACCATCGGACGAGGCCCAACCCTCGTCATGATGCCCGCGGGACACGGCACCGGCGTAGTCTTCGAGCCCCTAGCCGCCAGCCTCGCACGACACTTTCGCGTCGTGCTCTACGACCGTCGCTACTTCTTCCGCAGCTGCAAGAACGACCCGACGGACGGGTCCCCAAGCCAGACGATCCTCAAGACACACGCCGAGGATGCGGCAGCGCTGATCGCGCACGTTTCACCGGGCCGTCCGGTCTACTTCTTCACGACCTCCAGTGGCGCGCCGATCGCAGCGGAACTGCTGTATTCGCGACCGCACCTGTTCCGGAAGCTGGTGATGCACGAGGCTTCGTTTTTCACGCTCCTTCCGCTCCCCGTGCATGAGCAGTATCGCAAAGACTTGGTGGAGGTGTGGACCCGGGGACGCGAACTGGGAGCGGTGCGGTTTAACATGTTGATCGTGCATTGGGTGCATCGCAGCGAGGAGCTGGAACGGTTGAAAGAGACGAAGACGTATCGCCGACTGGCCTCGTTATCGCGAAATGCGCAGTTCAACTGGTTAGCGAACGAGCTGCCCGAAGTGCTGGAATATGAGTTCGAGATGGACAGGATGCGACCGTTCCGTGATCGTCTGGTGCTGATGCGAGGGTCGTATAATTCGCCCGATGCCGCGGTCGGGCCGGTGACGAGGTTGGCGGATGCGTTGGGGATTCAGCTGGATGTTGTCCCGGGCGGACATGAGGGATACGTGACGGATTATGAAGAATTCGCTGGGTTTTTGATCGCAGAGTTGAGGGAGAAAAGGGCACGCTTGTGATCTCATTCACCTTGCGGTGGAGGGCGATCGTAGCCGTAACCGGACACCTCGGTGTACTCCGTTCTCCGTACATAGACCGATCTGCTCCGATCCAAAACAATCGATAATCCTGTCTTTTGCATTTCCACCTTTCTCCACAGACTGTGCCGAATGCGGTGCATCGTCAGGATCACTGTGAGTGTGCGCCCCCTGCTGGTACCAAGATGAAGGAGCCAGAATATCTATTGCCACCAGTTACATCGGTATTCTCGCTGCAAGTAAATGCGGGGGAATTCACTAGAACCAGTCCAGTCATCCCAGCCGAGGGAAGCTGCTTATCGGACGCTGAGGAAGATCCACGCTAAAGACATGCAATAAAAGCCACCGCGACGATCGTCCAGACCCGCAAGGACCTGCCCAATCGCGTAAAGAGGAAGCGATTCGACAAGTGCAGGGACGGACCTGGTCTGTACGTGCCTGCTCCAGCGGACTTGATAAGGGCCGATCGTGCAGGAAACATTTAAATAGCGTCGGTTCGCCCGCAGATCGAGAGCCGGATTTTGTGCACCGTCGTTCAAAATGTTCGCTCAATCGTTGTTGACAGTAGCGTTGGGTGTCTTGGCTGTTCAGCCTGGTGCTGCCCATGTCTCTCATTCTTCGAGGGGTCAGGAGGGGACGTGTAAGAAGACTACGGTCGCTATTTTGTATGCTGATCGTGGATGATTCCTGGTTGAGATGGCGAACTGACCGAGTCTAGGGGAGGTGGAATGGCTGGGATCTCTGCTGCAGTACGTATCTTCTTCGGCGACGAAAGGCCCGACTGACGAGTCCAGGAAACCCTGTCGAAACAAAATGTCGACGACTTTCTCATTCTGGAATATCGCGATCGGATCGGAGGTCGCGCATGGCATGAGAACTTCGGAAAGGACAAAGATGGCAGGCCTTACGTGGTAGAAATGGGTGCTAACTGGGTATGTCGATCAGCAACAATTCGAGTCTTGACTGACCAGGCTTTAGGTACAAGGATTGGGAAGCCCTGACACCCATGAAAATCCTATCTGGACGCTGGCAAAAGAGTTCAATCTATCAACAACCTACTCCAACTATAGCAACGTCTCGACGTATAATGAGCACGGATTCAAGGACTATTCTCATTTTCAGGATGAATACGACGCGGCGTATGAGATCGCGTCTCAGAAAGCCGGCACAATGCTCAAGGACAACCTGCAAGATCAATCGGCGCAAGCTGGACTGGCACTAGCTGGATGGAGACCAAAATCCAATAACATGGAGGCGCAGGCCATTGACTGGTGGAACTGGGGTATGTCAAATATCCCCATGAGCGAGGAGCTGAGCTGACTAGTACAGACTTTGAGGATGCATACTCACCACTAGAGAGCTCGCTGGTGTTCGGATGCGCTGGCGACAACCTGACCTCCAATGGCTTCAGCGATGAGGACAACTTCGTGACGGATCAGCGCGGACTCAACCACATCGTCAAAGGGATGGCGTCTCGATTCCTTCGTCCAAACGACACCCGTCTGCATCTCAACACCCAGATCACGAACATCACCTACAGCAAAGATGGCGTTGTCATCTCAAACCGCGACGGCAGCTGCGTTGAGGCTGCGTACGCCATCTGCACCTTTTCTCTCGGGGTCCTGCAAAACGACGCAGTGACCTTCCACCCCGAACTGCCCGAATGGAAGCAAACCGCCATCCAGATGTTCACCATGGGCACCTACACCAAGATCTTCATGCAGTTCAACGAGACCTTCTGGCCCACAGACACCCAATACTTCCTATACGCGGACCCCCACACCCGCGGCTGGTATCCCATCTTCCAGTCTCTCTCGACGCCGGGATTCCACCCAGGCTCAAACATCATCTTCGTCACGGTAACCAACGAGTTCGCCTACCGCGCCGAGCGTCAGTCCGACGAGCAGACCAAATCCGAGATCATGGACGTGTTGCGCAAGATGTTCCCTGAAAAGAACGTCCCCGAGCCCACGGCGTTCATGTATCCGCGCTGGAGCACCGAGCCCTGGGCCTACGGCAGTTACTCCAACTGGCCTGCTGGCACGACGTTGGAAATGCATCAGAACTTGCGCGCGAACGCTGACCGATTGTGGTTTGCTGGGGAGGCGACCAGTCCGACGTACTTTGGTTTCTTGCACGGGGCTTGGTTCGAAGGACAGCATGCCGGACGGGAGATTTCTCGCGTGTTGGGTGGATGTAAGCGTAACGGGTTGAAGTGTGGGGCGAGGAAGCATTATGAGATCCTTCGTGGGACGACGCCTCTGGCTGATTATACCGTTGTGAACGGATGGGATGGGAATAGCTTTGTGGATAATAATGAGGACTAGGGTGGACCCAGGGAATAGGATCACACAGCCTGGCTTCCGGTTAGGCCACACGTCGTTTAGATGAATCGTTGCGATAAAAAGATGAGATTCAATGGATCGGGTGTTAATAATAGAAAATGCATCTAGCCATCCAGCTGTCAATTAGCATGAGCTTGCTGTACGTGATAGACTTGTGTTCTATTATGCTTTCTACTCGAAACCTGCTATAACCAAATTCTAGGACTACTATTAACATATAACCTAAAACATCATTTCTCATCCCCCTTCCCAACAACAACAGGCACCGTACTCACATCTCCCTCCTCACGCACCACCCCCCTCAACGCCCTCCAAGCATACCTCAACACATAAACCCCCAACCCCACAAAATCCACCCACACCAACACCGCAAAATAAACCAACGCCCTCGGCGGAATCCACCTAAACACCGCAGACGGATCGAAATCCACCCCCGCACGCGTCTTGAACTGGTCGATTTCCGCCAACGCCGTCGTCGCTGCACCGTCATCCTGCTGCCCTGCTTGCGCGGAGCCCATGTTATCCGTGGCGTGCCATCCCTCGGCGTCATTGTATATGATCGTTGCCACGACGCCGCCGAACACGGTCATGAAGAACAGGAGGACGGCTTTGCAGAGGAGTTCGTAGAGCCAGGTGCAGGTAAAGGCGAAGAGGAGGAGGGATTCTTTGCGGGAGTGCCGATGGGCGGAGGTTAGGATGTGCGCGATGGTTTCATTGGCGGGGGTTCTGGTGGGGGTTGTTGGGTTGGAGAGCACGAGGAGGCGAGCGAGTAGGAATGTGAGCAGGCTGATGGAGGCGATGGACTCGATGTAGGTTCTATTGGTGTTGAGGACGTTTAGGGCTGTGAAGCCGAGCGCGGTGAGGGTCCATGTGGTGAGTAGGAGGATGGAGAATCCGGTGGATAGCTTCGTGCTGAGGGTGGAGAGTGTGAGGGCCATGGTGGCAATGGCGACGACGATAGGTGTTACGGGATGGGTGGGATGTAGATTGGAGGGATTTTAAGACATCGTTTCGTGGATAGTTGAATTGTTTTCTCAAATTGGTATGAAAGGCTGACTGTGCTAGAAGGCGACATTGTTGGCTTTTATTTCTTATAGGTTTTGGCCCCCATTTGATTCTGCTGGAGCATATCAGCCTAGCGGTGTTTAGTTGCCTGGTCGCTAGTTCGTTAGTCGCAAGGCTTGGTAGTTCGTCGGAGGTTTGGGTCTTCGTTCGGCTCGCACCGGAGATGACTGCGAAAAAGCTTTTGGAGATAGGATTTAGAATCGTTATGGGTTGGTTCTATATGCTGTTGAGATATTTCAAAGAGAGACGTACTCTAAATGTCATATGGGATTCTTTCGAATGATCACCGAACCAGTGGGGCTAGAAGGCCCTTTTCAAAGTCTTCTAGACTCGCTAGCTCATCCTCGGTGCCTGGAGCCCTGGACAAACCACCGCCAACAGCCCCGAACGCTAGAGTATAAGGTGGATCCGTAAACGGGGCCTCTGATGGAAACTCACATCAAAAGGATTCAGTGATGTGGATAGCCGGACGAGCCGGGAATGAAAACTTCAATCTGCGAGAGGCATCGATCGCAAGTCTGTTGGATCTAGTGGTCTCATCTTCAAATAGAACAACGGTAGAATATTTAATGTCTAGAACTCATTGATTCATCAGAAATATTTAACTATTTTGTCTCCAGCGAAAAGCTTATACTTTCACAGCAGTTGGAACATGACACTGTTGGGACTGAAGTGCTTGGGTTCGTCGCGGAGTGGTTGAAGCTAGGAAGGTATTTCACTTTGAGCCCACGCAATGGAAAAGGACAGTCAATATTCAGCTCATTCTATATGCAAATCAAAACGGATTAAATAACTTCCCAAAGTGTCTAGAAGTCCCACTGATTCAGCCAATTTGCCATCTCGACCCTATGAATCGGCCCCAGCGACGCCATCGTCTTGCTCGCTTCCTTCGTCCTGGAGACGCCAATCTCAGCAGAGAGCATCTCCTTGCCACCAGCCAATCCGCGATAGAAGTCCAACAGCTTCAGCGCAGGCTTTTGACGGACATCTTCATCCGACGGGTTCTTGATGTTCTCGAGCTCCTTGATCCAGTCGTTGATAGGCACTGGCTCGACCGAATATCTATCCTGAATAGCCGGGATTATCGAAGCCCAGCGCGCCTTGCTTGGGTTGACGAGGTTGAAAAAGGCAGTTGGCACAGTAGAGAGCTGATTGCGTCGCGTCTGGAGAAGTTCAACGATGATGGTGGCAAGGGTGTCCTGCGAGTGTGTTAGTATGTTCTTGAGAATTAGGAAAAAGTAAGATGCATACCACTGGAACCCAATCCACTTCATATCCCCCAAGACCATCTGGTACCTTGCCTAGTGATTTCGATGTCTTGACCAGAGTGGGAACCCATTCATCCACATTCCAAGCGCCTTCCTTCGTGGTCGGACCGGCGATCTGTCCGACCCGGAAAATGCTCGTCGGAACAGCGGACTTCCGCGACGCTTCAAGACAGATACGCTCAGAAACATGTTTTGACTCACCATACCCCTGTTCTAGAGCTGCAGCTGGGTCTTCAACGGGTAGTTCTGGGACCTGTGGGCCCATGTCCTCTGTCCATCCTCCGATGGTACTGACCGACGAGACGAAAGAGACGTGGGCATTGTATTTACTACTAATGCTGAATTTGACAAACTCGAACAGACCCTTGATATGGGGGTTCTCGAACGATTCGAGGGGATGGTTGAAGTTGACCTTCCAAGCGTTGTGGATGATGACGTCTACCGTCTCCAAAAGCTCCTGGTATTTGGATGACGGAAGGCCAAACTGGGGCTCGCCAAAGGCCACTGTGAGGAATTCAACTCTGCTTGTGTTGTGCAAGGGAGCAGCAGGGAGACCCTTGTCTTGGAAACTTTTGATTTGACGTGACTGAGCGTCTGATCGATTGAAGCAGTAGACCTTGGCCACGGACTCGTCATGCAAAAGCGAATTCAGAAGGTATGTGCCGAGTGAGCCGGTCGATCCAGTTAGGACAACAGTAGATTTATGAGGAAGTGCGAAGTTATCTCTAGATAACGAAGGCAGCTCCTTTGTGTATTTAGACACCATATTGTTGACTCTATCTGTCCTAGATGCGACAGACACGATATCTCCTCGTAGCACAGTGAGCAAGAATTGTGCCAGTTGTGAAATGGTAGAGTGGGCATAGATATGCTGGGGCGTAATTGGTTTCCGGTCGGCATCTGGAAGCTGGAAGGAAGTAGCCTTGGTGAGGGTCTTCGCAAGCTGAATGGTCTGCAGTGAGTCCAGTCCGGCCCCGTACAGATCTTCCTCCGGGGAAATATCTTCACGGCCAATCAAAGAGCAAACAATGTGGTGAATAAAGGAGACCATGCTCCCCTGATCAAGAGACTCTGGTAGCTTCTCTTGCTCTTCCGTGTCGGCAGCCGCATATATCGCCTCGATCTCATCCTTGTAGTCCCGGTTCACGGCATTGCGCTGTGTCGTACCCTTGGGTGTCACCTTGAAGGGCTTGTCGCGCAATGCCAGTCGAATCTTGTTCTTTGCAATCCGACCATAATTCGGGACCGCTTCGTTTGCTTGTTGGACGGTCGGCCACACAGCATCGATGAATTCTTTCTCATTGATCTCCCCCTCCTCATCCCACTTTGGTTCGACAAGCAAGGAGGTTTGGAATCGTGATTGACCGATTAGGAGAGCACGGTTGACGCGAGGGTGACTTCCAACGATCATCTCTAGCGTCACTGGGTTGAGCTTCTCGCCGTTGCTAAGGACAATCACATCATCGCGGCGACCGTGGTATTTCCAGAGATTGGGATTTGAAGGGTGCCGAACGAAGAGGTCGTTGCTTCGGTACTCCTGCTTATCGGGGAATGTGTGGAAAATACCGTGGATAGCGCGAGAATCCTCCCGACGAGGAATAACCAGTTCGTATAATCCGTCGTCGACATCTTGCATATCCACCCCATAATGCGGATTCCACTCGAAGTGGTCCCAGTCTTCCTGCTTCTCGGGAATAAGCGAGATAAGGAGTCCCATCTCAGTAGATCCGATTACTGATATAATCTTCGTATATTCCGAGATCTTGTCGCCGGTTTCTCTAGCCAGAGGAGCACCGGCAAAGTAGACAGAGTCTAGAAGGCCGAGGCACTCTAGGGCTTCCTGTGACTGGCTCATATCTTCAAGGAGTGATGGAGCAAGTAAGGCTGCCGCTGGTCGTGTGGCACGGATTGTGTCCATTATCAGGTCAACCGACAGCGGCTTGTCTGGAAGATTGATGAATGGAATTTGAAAAAATATGGCGTGAATATAAGGGAGCAGACCCATGAGGTGAAAGGCCGGGGTGGTCGCAAGGAAGGGTTGGGACGACGAGAAGCAGTTTGGCGTTGTGGAAGCTCGCTCCGTGCGGCTAGAAACATTTTTATTGAATTCGAACGTGGACCAGTATCCATGAGTCAGGGGAATGGGCTTCGGCATGCCTAAAAAGAGCTGCTGTCAGTGCATCAAAACCATAGTTCACGTCATCACATCCTACCTGTTGTCCCCGAGCTATGAATGATCAATGCAACCTCGTCTTCTGCATCTGCATAAGATTTGAAAAAAGGATACGGCTGGACTCCGACAGTCATAAGCACATCATCAACGCTAGGAACCTCCACGTGAAGTGTGCCTGGCCGGAAGTCCCTGATCTCCGAAACCCTTCGTTCATATTTTGTGGTAAAGAAGAATGTTTTGCATGCCGTGGCGTTCAGAATGTGCTCGTAGGCGTCATTGGACAGTCGTGTAGAGGGAAGCAGCAACTAAAGATCCCGCGGTGTCAGCTTGTCGAAGAAAGGCGGTTAAATAATAAGGGAAAGACATGAAATCAGAGATTATGGCACCTACCTTGTATCCGGTCTTGTGAGAAGCTAGAATAAAAAGTAAATACCGAATATCATTGCTTCCCATGTACGCAACAGTCTCATCACCATTGCCCTTGCCAATCTGCTTCTCAATCCACCATGACATCGCGTTCACAGAATCGGCGAGGTCCTTTGCTGTAACATGTTGAAAGCCGTCCTTGGGGTCAGAGCCTTTAGGGACCACTCCAAGACGCTGTGTCGGGCATGACGAGGCAAGATCGTCGACAATGTTGACAAGCAAACGTTTTCCTGCTTCTTGAGACATGTGGAATTTTGGAATATTGGTATGAAAACTGAAATAGGCGATGGCAAGTAAGACGTTCGTATGAGGCCTTGATTGGTAGACTGATCGACAGATGAACTGAATAGTGGACTGGTGGACTGGTTGATAGAACTCTGAATGGAGCGCAGACACAGCCAGGTATTTATATTCCTTGAAGCAAAGGACAGATACTCAGGAGCGTTGAGTGCCGGTCAGACTTGTTTCTAGAATGCCTGGGTTATTCGCCATGAAAGAGGCACTAGGAAATTATGCACGTCGATCAATCTGTCAAGTGCATAAGATGTGGATCTCACACATGCCGAGTAAACACCGCTGTATTCAGCGCAGCCCTGACTCCGAAAGTCACTTGCCAGCCGGCCACGAACATACAGGAGTCCTGCAAGCTGCAGCATGACGACTTTTCTTTGTCCTCCGTAAGCGAACATGCGCCAAAGTAGAGTATAAACAAGCAAATATGATCACCGGATCCATTATTCGGCAGGATTCTTGGCCATGGGAACTTCCGAGGACCCAAATCCGCGCAAAGCTTGGCTGGACACCATTGACGAGTATTCAGCAGTAATGCAGGCTAAGCTTCGTATACGGATAGGATGTGCCGTTGTTAGTGCCCGGATCCCCAGCGATCCACTTTCTGACGTCAATCCCTCCTGTCCGTGCTTTGTCCGAACAGAGTAATATGTGCCTATCAGCTCCATCTGTGTGCCTGCAGGTCGGATGTCGGCATACCAATGGGGTGGGCTTGCCAGGCGAGTCCACAGGGTTGTCTCTCCTTGCATGAGCCTGGGCCAATGATCTGCCATCAACGGAATGCCGCGGAGCGTATTACTTTTCTGGGTTTAAAACAAGCTGTAACCTGGAGAGAATCTGCATGTGGCAGTCATTCGATCAGAATCGCACAGTTCCGCTCAGGGCATTTCCAACATCGGAGCCGAAAGGTACCTGCTGATCGGGTCCTCGGAATCGCGCCATGGAACGCAATTGATCTTCTCGATATTCGAGAGGCCAAATATCGATGACAGCTTTCGTTCTGGCGCAGCCGTTGACTGTCGATCCATTGTTGTTGGGTTCCTTGCAATATTCAATTCGGAGAAGAGAGACGGGACCGAAAGGGAGCGCTCATTACAAAGCACCCACTTCGGTGTTTTATCGGTCGCCGTCCATTTCTCCCGTCTCTGCGTGTCTCACCTTGAGTCTCAAGGCCTCGATTTCGACTTCTACATGATTCGTGCGATGAATTCCCCATGCGTTGACTGTCGCCACTTTGTGTTTCGGAGTTTTCGGAGTTTCGCGGGCTAGTGTTTTAGTATGAGCAACATAGTATTTGTTTAGAGGTGCCGATATCCAGTCGGATGCATACTCAAAGAAGTATTGATAGAACATCCTTCGACATAGAGAGCAGGATCTAAAAGGGAGGAAGATGGTACTGCCTGGCTGGCTCAAAGGGGAATAGCCGTTCACAAACGACGCTAACCAAATTAAGGCGGCCTGCCGTTGCCTTGCTGCCTTGTGGCCTGGTTTAACGGTGGAACAGCCCGTCCAGAGAAGGACAGAGCGAGGCTCCTGGCATCTTCGAAATACGAGCTGAGCCGCACCACTGCAATATCTCAACATTCCACCGAGTACTCATTTCTTTCGCAGATAATGGCTCCCGTGTGCTGTCAAAGACGCTCTGTATATTGCATTCAGTTCTTATTTCAATATGCGGTGGCCTGATCGAGTCTCCGTCTAAGATATCTATATGCTTGTTGTTCTTTCCAAGTTAAGGCTTCTTGCCAACGCCCTCAGATTTCTATGATGGCTATACAAGACTTCAAAGGTAGGTCTAGTGAGGAGACTCGTTGTACTCAAGTCCTGAGACAGATCTCATGCACTCGAGAATCAATAGTGCAACAATAAGCAAGTTACTAACATCTCTGGATTATTTACAGGATAGGCAATCATCCAATCAACCCTTCACCACCTCCTCGAAGACCTTGAATTCCACCAATCGCACCTTCTTCTCATCTTGTGGCCGAAAGACCAACCGGATCTGATTCGTGGTAACTTCATCCCACGAAGCCAGGGTAATCCCGTTGGCCAAGGGGTCGCTATACTTGGCATTCGAGACGTCCTTCCATGAACCAGATTCATTAGTCTGGATGCGGTAGCTCTCGGGCGCATCAAATTCCTGCGTGCTGTTGGCAAAGAACGCGATCTCTGAACTGGCGGTCTTTGTGGCGCTTCCAAAGTCAATCTGGTACCATACTTCGCTGCCGTTGCCGGCCGGCGAGTCCCATCCGTTCGCGATGCTCGAGTCAGGGAAGAACCAGACGCGACCGTCAATGGCGCCGTGGACCTTCTCAGCATCGGCGTTGGCGACGGACACGCTTCCTTTGGGGTGGTCGGAGGAAGTGGCAAGTTGGATAGAGACCGAGATGGGCTTGTCGAAGCTGGGGGGAGATTTGCGGCTGACTTTGGTTGTTAGGCGGCTGAGCTTTTCAGCGGTCGCGACGGTTTTGCCGTCAACTTCGACGATAAGTCCGGCCTTGCCGTACTTGTCCCCCGTTGCGTCCCATTGCACTGCGACCTCGTGGCCGTGGTAGAGGATTCGCTCGGCCCGGAAGTAGGATACCGACTCTGCGTCGGCGAGCGGGTTCACTTCGAGCACGTCGTCTTCACGGGGTCTAATACCTACGAAACCGGACAGAACCTGGTCGACATAGCCAGAGTGAAAGTAATGCGGAGAGCGGGCGAGACCGACTATCGGGTTTCCGGTGTCAGGCTCGTAGTCCTCCTCTATGTTTAGACCCCCGCGGATGGGGTTATAGTGCAACTTCGCGTACTGTGTCAAGATGTGGGTGTAATCGGCTTTGGAGATCACACCAGACCCAGAGCCAGTGGGGTAATGGTCCAACAGGTTGGCAAGGGCAGTGAGGGCCTGTGTCGTCTGGTATGGCCAAGCCGGTCCATTCCACTGGCACTCGCGATTGTCACCCTCGTACCGATACTGACGCATATAGTATTCGTAACTTGGCTCGTTGGTACGCAGACCATGCGAGCCGGCCAACTTCTCGGAGTCCAACAGATGCTTCCATGCCTGGGCATAGTCTTCCGTGTCGTCGGGCAGATCGTGGGTCCAAGGAACGTAGCCAACCAGCTCGCGACCCCGGATGAAGTCCCAGTAAGTGACATGCTCGTTGTCCTGCTTGTACCGGTCGATAAAGTGCTCGAAGGTACTGTTCCATAGGTTATCCTGCACCAAGCCCTTGATCGTTTTGGCTTGATCCTCGTAGTCGTCGGTGATTGCGTCGTTGCCTTGAAGCTTGGCCAGCTTGGAAATCGCTAACGCATTCGCGTACTGGTAGCTGTTGATACTTGGACGGAAGGCAAATCCGCCGGTGAATCCATCTTCTCCTCCCGACGCGTCAATGCTGGAGATGGTGTACTCGGTCGCATCGGTCAAGGGTTGAATCCAATACAGCCCCTTGGACACGTCATATCCGCCGATATCCATCGTCGAATTCCAGCCCTTGAAGACTTTTTGCATGGCGTCGAGATGAGTAGTTGCATCGTCGGCCACGCCATCAACTAGGTACCCCTGCCAGACACCGTCGGCCATACTCTCGGAAAACTGGTACGGATTGCCGTTGGGGCCGTACAAGAAGCTCGCGTATTCATTCTTGAACCGGCGATCGCGGCACCATCGACCCTCTCGGAGGTGGAAATTGGCGGCGTTGATCAGCAGCGCATACGGTTGCACTTGCCAGCCTACGTCCACGATAAATTCGGTGGAGATGTAACCGTATGAACCGAGGTCTCTTTGGTGGGCTCGGAAGACATTCCAGCGATAATAATAGACGTCCTGGATCTCGGACGCACTGGATTCAAACAAGGGGATCCGGTCCAGGTACCACGGCGCATCGTTGCCGAAGTATTCCTTGGCGATCGCCTCGGCGTCCAGAGCAGAGGCTCTCAACACCAACCCAGCCAAGGCCAGCGATGAAAAAGTCTTCATGATGTTGTGATCTCAGACATTCCGGAGAAAATCTAAAGCCAGAAACAGGGGTTTTTATAGGCACTCATGCGCGATGGGCCCATTTCCCCATTGATCTTGGCCATCCGGTGGAGGATGAGACAGATAACATCATCGGCACAATATTCAACATCTGCCAAGGTCCACAGTTGGCTCGGCATGCGGGGATCAACCGGTTCCTGGATGATCAGAGAGCGACCTTTACTGACAAGGCAGGACTCCTGTGGGATGGACTTTATCGGAGCCCCGCAAACATTCTTCACAGCTCCTGTGGGGGATCCCGCCCTTTTCCCCGAAGAATGCCCGTGCGGTTATGCAAGCCTTCCGCCATCATTTAACTATCTACGATGTGTAACGTTTATATAGAGAGAGAGAGAGAGTAAATTTGTGTGGGTGAGTCTAATCAATATTATCAATTCATTCCGGCTGTGCTCCGCGATTCACTAGTATAGGCCCCAGCTGGTGAGGCTGAGCGCCTCGTTGTCTTCGAATCCGAGCCTGCTCCCTATTAATCGCGTCTTTTACACGGTTATCGTGCTCCTCCTTTTCCAAAACCCAGTCAATTGCCATGAGGAGGATTCGCTCGGCCGACCAGTGGTAAAAACCCATGTTTCGTTGGTCGACCCGTGACAAGTTCTTGCCTCTCGACCTCAATCTAATTTGCATATCCTTCAGTTCTTCCCAGCTCTTGATAAATTCCCCGGCCTGCTCATACATCGATACCGCAATTCGATCCTCCCACGGTAAGTCATGGGCAATAACCTCCCGAAGGCGCCTCGTTGCGGCGAGTGCGGTGGCGGATCCGTGGTACGGTACTCCACGCTGGAACGGCAGCTTGACCCACCGATCCTCTGGCATGGCGGTCGGGAGATCGGGTGGTGTCTTCTGGCTGTCTAGTAGGGGTTCTCGTGGCCTCGGAGATGGCCAAGGCTTGCGCTCGGGTTCCAATGGGATATATTGTTCCATAAAGGATGTGGGGTCGGCATTGTCTTTCTCTCGCCTCAGAGAGGAGTTCGATGATTGAGACATAGCCCTGTTTTTTGGTCCTGGCAAGTTCTCTGCGTGCTTTTTTCTCAGAAAGCTGGACCAGATTATTAAGGTCCCCACGACCACCAAATCGATAAATGGAAGATAAGTGAGACTATGAAAACTCGTCAGTGGATTGAATAAGAATTTTCCGAATATAATGTCACCGGTGAAAGAAGCCTGAATGCGCGTGAAGATGAACAAGTCTGGGCGAATATGATATCTTACTTCATAGTTGCCTCAGTATATATAACAAGTTGCACAGCCAGTAAGTTCTAGGTCTCATTGATTGATTGCAGACAAATATTAGGTGGCCATAGCCGTCAAACCAAAATGAGAAAGCATTGAGGCCAGGAATGCACATTCTTTTAAGCTTTATGGGTACTAGGAAAGAGGCTATTTACCCCGGAAAGTTCCTGATTGAGGCTGTTTTGCTGGAATTGTTCCTGCGACTCACTGGGGAAATCATGTTAAAATCTTATTTAAATCTCCATCAATCCCAAATTGAACGTTCACCTTTGATGAGGACGCGTGAAAGCCTATTGAAATTGCCATTTCCAGCATGTCCTTTCAGTAGCAGGTGCATTGTTTGCTGTTAATATTATAGAGGAATGAATCATCATCCTACTTTGGTACAAAGAGACCAAGGTTCAAAAAATTCTGCTCATTGGCTCAAGCAAAAATCTCAATCAGCCTGTATAGACAAACCAAACCAATGTTGTGCTGAATACGTTACAAGCTGGAATCCGGGGTTGCTCCTAAAAAGAATTCACGCAAAACTTTTAGGAAGAAAAATTCTGTATATAATAATCCGTCTTAAGAACTTTCATTGTGTGCACAGATCCATTCGGGCAGCGTAAAGCGGCGACAGGTGACTATCAGGTTGAATCCTCAGCCTTGTCCTTCCCCGCCATCATAACATCAAAATCAACCCCCTCACGGCATCAACAGACCGACAGTTGACTTACAAATTCCTTCGTGCAACCCCAGCCATCATGGAATCTACTCCTAACCCCCAAACATCGTCCCAAAACACCTCAAACATCAATGCCCTTGCCAATCTTATCCAGACCGGGCAAGCCAAAAACATCATCGTCATCGCTGGCGCCGGCATCTCCACGGCCGCAGGGATCCCAGACTTCCGAACCCCAACAACAGGCCTCTACGACAAGCTCGCGCCTCTCAAACTCCCATACCCCGAAGCCGTCTTCCAACTCAGCTACTTCAAACACACACCGGAGCCTTTCTACGCGATCGCGCGCGCCCGACATCCGCGCAATCTGAAACCGACCATCTCCCACGCTTTTTTGGCACTTCTCGCCAAGAAAGATCTGCTGGAGTTCGTGTTCTGTCAGAACATCGACAGTTTGGAGCTCGATGCGGGCGTCCCCAAAGAAAAAGCTCTCTCTGTGCATGGGAACTGGAAATCGCAGCGTTGCAATGTCTGTCGGAAGCCGTACCCCGGGGATCTGATGAGAGAGGCCATCCAGAAAGGGGAGGTCCCGTACTGTTTGCACTCTGGGTGTGGAGGCGCCGTGAAGCCGGACGTTGTGTTCTTTGGAGAGTCGCTCCCGGCAGCGTTTGATGAAGAAGTCAAGCGTCTTCCGAAGGCGGATTTGGTTCTCGTCATGGGGACCAGTTTGAAAGTTTATCCGGTGGCTGGTTTGCCGAGGCAGGTTGACGAAGACGTGCCTCGCGTCTTGATCAATAATGAGAAGGCGGGCGATATTGGGTATCGGCCGTCTGATATGTGTATTCTGGGGTCATGCGATGAGACTATTTCGGATTTGGCCGATGCGTTGGGGTGGAGGGAGGAGTTGGAGTGTCTTTGGCAGGAAGCCATTGCTAGGAAGGGGGAAGAGGAGCCGTACGATGGACCTGAGCTCGATGAGTTGATCCAGAGACTGGCAGAGAAATCCAAGGATAGTATGGTCTCCGAGGGTCATAAGGGTATGCTGGAGAAGCATTTGGCATCCAAGTTTGCTGGCGTTCTACGTGAAAAGTCGATCGTGGGATGAATATCCAATGGTGCATTCTTCATTCATGTCTCCAGGCGTTCTCTTGGCAATGATTGTCTTCTTGATGTTTTCGATGCTCTGTACTACTTGATATCTTCAGTAGGCTACATAGGCGTGAATAGATGAAAACTCGAGATGTCTAGCATTGAAAAGGGGCGCCCAGCCACGTGCCGCCTGAATCGCCGCCAGATCCTCCAGGCTGCGAGGCGGCCAGGCATCCGCTGTTGGGGTGGGGCCCCAGGCAACAGTCACGTGGTGGATCGGTGCCTGGGTTGCTGGCCTGGCCGTCAGCCAATCAGGGTGTCTGGGGGCCTGGAGTATAAGGCCGCCGTCGGGACGGGTCCTGCCTCGTATTCCGGACCCCAACGCTGTCTATTGCCTCACCCTCTTCCTTTAAAGGATGGCCATCATCCGGCAATGAGCCTCTTCTGTATCATCATACACTGAGCTTCTATCATCAAAAAGCTGTCAATCTTCCCTTTGCCAAACTCAATTCCTTTCTACATGCACCGCTAAGACATCAGTAGCGCTGACTACTACGCCATACTCTTCCTTCAACGTCATATCGACAGCAGAGCCTCTTCATCAACTTTCTTCGACATTTTCCTCTTTTTGAGTTACCTCAGATACACTGCCTCATTGGCCACACTCACAATGCCGTCCGCATCATTCAAACACTTCGTAATTTCCGTCAGTGGATCTTTCTCGGGGTATAAACAAGGTAGCCAAATCGTCCCACCATGATCAAATTGTGCAACCTTGAAGCTAACCAGCTTCTTGCACACAATAGCCGATCTGAAATCGATCATCGAAAGCCGTGGCGCAACATTCAGTCCTGGTGTCACAATTGGCTGCACCCACTTAATCACTACGCAGAGAGAAATCAACAACAACAACACGAAATGTATGGCCACCCCACCAAAAGAATTCCCTTGAACATCCCAAATCGACCATATCCAAGTACTTACCTATTCTACAGATGTCCAAGCTACCAAGGTCTACAACTGCAAAATTGTCTCTGTTGACTGGCTCATCGACTCACACGAAGCCAAGAAGCCGCTCGACGAGAAGGATTACCTGTTTAACTCCAACTCCAAGTCTGATGATGAGGACAGTGGTGATGAAAAGAAAAAGCGCACATTGGAAGAGGCTTTGGATCTGACGGACGATCGCGCCAGCAAAAAGCCCAAAGACGCGCAGAAGGCTAACTCTAAAGCTCTCAATGTCCCCGTTGATGAAGGTTGCCATTTGAAAGGTGAGCTGAGTCGATGAAAATCCGATACGGGGCAAGTACTAATATAAATTCCCCCAGGAATTCGTTCTGTGCTTATCGATGAAGCCGGTCTCATCTGGGACGCGACGCTGAACCAGACTGTTTCGGGAAAGAACAGCAACAAATTTTACCGTATCCAGATTTTGACAGACAAATCCGGGACAGAAATCAATACCTGGACCCGTTGGGGCAGAGTCGGTGAGCATGGTCAATCCGCTCTTCTAGGGGACGGTTCGCTACAGACGGCCGAAGCCGAATTCAAGAAGAAGTTCAAGGACAAGTCTGGTTTGACATGGGACAACCGGCTTGACGACCCTAAGAAGGGCAAATACACGTTCATCGAGCGCAATTATGAAGAGGACGACTCGGATGATGAAGAAGACCAGAAGAAAGCTGTTACAAAAGAGAAAAAGCCAGAACCGAAGAGTACCCTTTCGGGGCCCGTTCAGGACGTTATTTCATTCATCTTCAACCCCGACCACTTCCAATCCGTGATGGCATCTATGTCTTACGACGCCCAGAAACTGCCCTTGGGTAAACTGAGCAAACGAACCCTTCGAATGGGCTTTCAGTACCTCAAAGACCTCTCCGATCTCATCTCTAATCCCCGATCGGCGAACAGAAAATACGGCACCAACTTCGCAGCAGCAACGGAAGATCTCAGCAATCAGTACTTTACAGTTATCCCACACGTCTTCGGTCGCCATCGGCCACCCGTGCTCAACACTGATCAACAGATCAAGAAAGAAATTGAACTCCTCGAAGCTCTGACCGACATGGAGGTCGCCAACGATATCATGAAAGAATCGAAGGATGAGGACACCATTCACCAGCTGGACAGCCAGTTCCAGAGTCTTGGATTAAAAGAGATGACGGCCTGTAAGCTCCTCCAGTCAGCTTCGTTTCCCGTTTTCTTTCATTCGTTCGTTGGGTCTAACCCGTCATACAGTGGATCGCAAGTCCAACGAATTCAGCGAGCTTTCGAGTTACCTTCTGCAGTCGCGTGGATCCACCCATCACTACAGATACAACGTAAGCCTGCCACAAACATCTACACCAAAGCTTTACTCTCCCTAACACCACCAGCAGATCATGAACATCTTCCGCATCGAACGAAACGGCGAAGAAGACCGCTTCCAAGCCTCCCCATACTCCTCCCGCAACCCCAGCAACCGCCGCCTTCTATGGCACGGCTCCCGCAGCACCAACTACGGCGGTATCCTTAGTCAAGGTCTCCGGATCGCGCCCCCAGAAGCCCCCGTCAGCGGCTACATGTTCGGCAAGGGCGTATACTTCGCCGACATGTCCACTAAGTCAGCCGGATATTGCTGCTCCTACAGCAGTGCCAACACGGGACTTTTGCTTCTCTGCGACGTCGAGCTGGGCGACCCTATGCTGGAGCTCGATAACAGCAGCTACCACGCGGGCGAAGAGGCCAAAAAGGCCGGCAAGATCGCCACCTTGGGTCGTGGGTCTTCGATCCCCGCTGGATGGAAGGATGCCGGCTGCGTTCATCCCGACTTGAAGGGCGTGCAGATGCCGGATGTTGGGAAGGGAGCGGCGTCCGCAACGTCGAATTGTCTCTGTTATAACGAGTATATCGTCTATGATGTCTCACAGATTCGGCAGAGATATTTGTTTCAGGTTCATATGGGCTAGAGGGCCTCGGCTACCCGGCGGATTGACTATCGTGCACTGTCTATGGGTATCCCCCATTTCCTCTTTCTATTCTCCTTATCTTCTTTTTCTACACTGTTCTTTCTACTCATGCCCTTTTACTGCTCTGAAGTGGCATTTCATGGCGTTTAATTTGACGGGAATTCGCAACCGCAGCGGGAGTTTACTTCTTTTTCGGGCCTTTGTTCTTTGTCGCACTCCTTAAGATGAAATCACGGGAAACGGTGTTTCTACTTCTACCATCTTGCAGACATGTAAAAGCATAGAGAGATGAATGAGAAATTATTGTTGAAAACACCATAGAAAGTTCTTAACACATTCAAACCCATAAAAGTTACGCAATGCTAAATGACTGTTGTAACTAATGCAAGGTCGTAGCATCGATGAAAATGGTCAAGCACTTCAAATACTAGTCATGTAAAGACGATGGTGAGGCAAGGGCTGCAATGCAGGGCGAAGGCTACGTCAACACAATAGACCGAGCCGTCGCAAACCCCACGGCAGACCATCTCGACAAATCAACCTATTACTATTTTATCACCAGCGTTGACGCTCCCCGATCCCAGGTCCGCACGTCTACAGTGGTGACCCTCCAGCCCAAGTCATTCTGTTTCACGATGCTACAAGGTGATGCGCAGCTAGAGCTTTCTGGTACCCTACACGATGAAACAAGTATGGAAGAAGTATAAGAAGCGATATTATTTTTGTTTTCTATTCTAGAACACCCAAGATCCGCACACGGGAAAGACGACAGTAACGCCACACAATGAAGCAATGGAGCATGAAACCCAACCACTCTAAGAACTAAATAAAGTGCCTTTTACCGGCACATTCTAAACCACGGGCAGCTTCACCTGCTGATGGCTGAGGTCGTGACGGTCCTTGAAGACCTCTGTGATGGGTTCCAGGCACCCAGCGGCGGCGGCGAAGAAACCAAGGAAGGTCTTGCTGGGAGCCAACACGCGGGACAGGTACTCGGGGTGGAACTGAACACCGACATACCACTTGTGGTCCTTCAGTTCGATGATCTCCATACGCTCGCCGGCCTCGTCCTTGCCGATGAACGAGAGGCCGCCGTCCTCGAGCTTCTCGATAAGCGAGGGGTTGACCTCGTAGCGGTGGCGGTGACGCTCCCAGACCTCCTCCTTCTCACCGTACAGCTTCCGTAGACGGGACCATTCGGAGCCGGACTGGAAGATAGTGGCGCGCTTTCCGAGACGCATGGTGCCGCCCATTTTCGACTTGTCGATTTCGGGCATGTACACAATGACGGGCTGTTCGCATTGTTCGTTGAACTCGGCGCTGCCGGCCTTGTCCATGCCGCAGACGTTGCGGGCGAATTCGACAACGGCCAGCTGCATACCCAGGCAGATACCGAGGTAAGGGACGTTGTTCGAACGGGCCCATTGAGCACTCTTGATCATTCCTTCCGTTCCGCGCTCTCCGAAACCACCCTGGTTCTCGTTAGGCGCGATACTAGTGGTAGATATGAAATGGTTACGTACCGGCACAAGGATACCGCTGGCGGTTGTGAGTTGTTGCCAGGCGGTGTGGTACTCTCCAGGCTTGTTGTTTCGGTGTTCCTCTTCCAAGTGAGACGATTCGACCCAGATGAGCTGCAACTTCCTTCGGCAGTGCATGGCAGCCTAAAGTTGTCCATTGTTAGGATGAGATCATAATGCCGGAATTTGAATTCACTCACATGTTCCAGCGCCTTGCTCACACTCATGTAGGAGTCATGCAGACTAGTGTACTTGCCAACCAGGGCGATCGTAACGGTCTCGAAAACGTGATCTTGGCTAAGAGCCAGACCCTGCCACTCCTGCCACATCAACTTGCCGTATTCCAGGAGTTTCTGTTCCTTGGGAATAGCATCGATTTTAAGCAGCTGGCTGATGGTGTGGAGGAATCCCTGCTTCTCCAACAGAATGGGAACCTGGTAGGTCGTCGTGACGTTGTGGACGCCGACAACCTGGGCCCGCTCGACCTGGCAGGAGTTGGCGATTTTTTGAATGGTAGCCTCTTCCAAGGGGGTTTCGCAACGGCAGGCAATCAGATCCGGTCGGAGACCAGCACTGCGCACGTCACTGATAGCCCTCTGCGTGGGCTTCGTCTTCTGTTCCGAGCCGATCAAAGGAACATAGCTGACTTGGATCTGAAGGAAGTTGTCCTTTCCAGCGCGGCGTTGAAGCTGGGACATGGCCTCGACGAAAGGCGCACTCTCGATATCACCGACGGTTCCACCAAGCTGCGGTCAGAGGCATTAGCTGTGGTCACATCAATCATCCCCTTTTGGAACTTACTTCGACTATAGTGATAAGTCAGTAATCGTCCTCGAAAGTATAGTCAAGAGCAAAACTCACTAATGCAAACATCGGGTTCCCGTCCAGACTCGTCCACCGCAATCTTAGCAACCCGTTCGACCCACTGATAATCAGTTAGCTCAGCTCACAGATCCATCCTCAATATCTGAACTGGAACCCACGTTTTGAATCTCGTTGGTGAGGTGGGGAACGATTTGAACTGACTATGTCAGTACCGATGACAAGAACCCAGTGTATTTTCAAACCAACCTGTCTTTCCAAGGTAATCACCACGACGCTCCTTCCTGATAACGTGGTCGTAGATCTTTCCGGTCGTGATGTTGTTGTCACCTCCCAGAGTCACACCCAGATAACGTTCATAGTTTCCGAGGTCCAGATCGGTTTCGGCACCGTCGTCGCAAACGAACACTTCACCATGTCTACGATACAGTCAATTCCAGTCCGCGATATAAAGCGAGGGGCGAGCGGGGTGGGAGACGAACTCTAAAGGCTATTTCGTCCACAAAGAATGAGTCATAAGCCGTACATCACAAATTTTGAGGGGATTAGAAAACTCACGTTCATAAGACCAGCATCGATGTTCAGGTAGGGATCAATCTTGATCGTGGACACCGTCAAACCAGCAGTCTTGAACAGGAGACCACAGCTCGAGGCAATAATACCCTTTCCCACACCGGAGATCACACCTACCAACCAATTTTAGAGGTGTTGGGAAACGAAGAAATGGGCGGGAGAAACATACCTCCAGAAACCAGAACGTACTTCATCTTGGCAGGGGTGTAATAGCGTTGTCGGCAGAAGAATTCTCAAAGATAGCCCTCCTGGTGGAATACCAGGGAGGGGGGGAGAGAAGAAAAAGCGGATCTGCCTGCCGGCGTGAAGATAAAAAAAAATTCCTTACATATAGATCACGTGGGCGGTCGGAGGCGGCATTGGCGGGGTATTGCCGTCAGCTCTGCCTGACAAAGCGGTCCTTGCGGTAGGCGGTGGCCATGGCGGTGTACCTCTTTCTGTCCTGCATCCGCCAGAGTTTCCCCAGTTTTAACCGTAAGCCCGGCACTCTTAGGAGCGAACACCTACGGAGTATCACACACTCCACAAACCTGGAATTCTTCCATGACGAACTTCGCAAGATGATTGCTAGTATATGATACATCTATTTTGGGTACATCGAGTCCTTCCCCATCCACCATTTCTCGTGCTATGTCAACCTTCCGCATTATATATCCCTGCAACAGTTCCAACAACAGTCGTCGGGCCTCCTAATCTCATGATATTCTCCAACTCTTAACGACCGATGTAGATATATCGCCTTCCCGAAGCCTCCAGACATGGAATATGGACATTATCCAACGTCTGGTCGGGTGGCACTCTGAAGTAGGTGCAGTTCCTGCAGTTCGATGCCTCACATACCCCCAGAACATCAGGCGGCCCAAGAACAGGACCATCACGACTGGCTTTCATAGATAAGAAGTAGTGATTTTTAGGGAGGTTGATGTCGTAACAATGGTGTCCTTCCGAGCGGGTGAAGGTCCACTCGTAGTGTAGCTGAGGGCCATGGCGTCGCGGGCAGCTTGGGTTGTTCACGTCCAGGGTACCGGCATATTGGGTAGAGGAGAGGCGTGCAAGAAGTAGCACGAGGATGGAGAATATAATCATGTTCAGGTATAAGAGAAGTCCAAGTTACAGAAGTTGGACGGCTTTAAAGAAGAATCTCGGTGTATATATGTAGCTACGTTGGTGGGCAGACTACCGGGTTATATGTCGACATGTCTGTACCCCCTACTGACTGAACGCATGTACCAGTTACCCAGGCAGCTGGGGTATAGGCGCCATGTTTATGAAATCCCGTCTTTTGTGGCACCTATTTGAACACCCGTACAAGGTAGAACAGGCAGGTGCTCATTTAATTTCCACCGAGATACCGCCTGATTCTGTCTTGGCTTCAATCTCGGAACCCGGCTTCTAATTATAATAGAGTCTCTAATGTGCCACTCATTGATTTGGTTGCTGTCTCGTTTAATTTGCCAATTTCAATTGGTCCTGTGGCTTCGGTGGTTTAATGATGGCGACTGGCGAGAACGTTCGACTGGGCGCTTGGAGGACAAAGAGGCAGCGGAACGGTGTCACATCCGGCGCCAAATCCTTGTGGATCAACGAGGATGCCGGGGCCTCGGACCAATGATTCTGTTGAATGGATCGACACCTTGCAGGTGTGACTCGCATTTCGTCAACCTGTGTATGCAGGTGTAGCCGAACGTTGGCCAGATGTCTTTGAATTGTGAACTGGAAGTAGTTTGCATCGGCGACGCGCCCAAACGGGGGTCTTATCAATCACATCACGTGCCGGGATGAGATAAGACGTCAACAGACAAATTTCTCGCATCGATCGAAGATTTGGGATTTGGATGCACCCACAGATTCCGTAGGTTTCCCAAATTCTGACATGAAGCGTACATATGAGGTACATATACCAAGAGCCAACTGTTGATTTGATCTAACCGCCGTCAGAATGCCCTCAAACTCCTAGAGACGCGAAGGCGAAAAGCGCGACCGAAGACGCCCGCCGTCTCCACTCTCAAGAATGTGGCCACTGCGACGGACAGCCAGAGTCTCAGGGGACTGCCAAGCCTGGTAGGGATGAGGGAGTGGCTGCAGCTTCTAGGCCACACGGTAGGTCACCCCAGCGATGAAGATAGGGTTGTCGTGGTCATCTGACCGTGTCTAGGACGACGATGTCAACAAATTGAACATAGTCCATATTACCGGAACCAAAGGCAAAGGAAGTACTTGCGCTTTCACGCGCAGCTTTCTGCACACACATGGATTGAGGACGGGGTTCCCTAATCGAATCGGACTGTATACGTCCCCGGACCTGCAATGCGTTCGTGAGCGAATCCAGATCAACAATCATCCGATCACGGAGGAGTTATTCACGCGATACTTCTTTGAGGTATACGAGCGGCTTATATCTCCGGACATAGAGCAAGACGGGAAGACCAAGCGACAGCCGCGCTACTTGCAGTTCTTGGCCTTACTGGCTTTTCATTCTTTCATCAGAGAAAATGTCCAGGCAGCGATCTTCGAGACTCACCATGGCGGAGAGTACGATGCTACTAACGTGATTCAGAAACCAGTCGTGACTGGGATAACGTCATTGGGACTCGACCACATTGATCAGCTCGGCCCGACCATCGAAAATATCGCCTGGCATAAGTCCGGGATCTTCAAACCTGGCGCACCTGCATTCTCTGTGCCGCAGGAAACCGGTCCGTCCGAAATGCTGAAAAGCCGTGCAGCGGAGCGAAACACAGCTTTAAAATTTGTCTCTACCGATGGTTGTCTTCCACCTGACAATAGAGCACTCAGTGTGCCGGTCCAGCGACTGAACTGCTCCCTGGCCCTCGAACTTGCCATGGCCTTCATACAACTAAAAGAGCCGGGGCAAACTCTAAACGCAGACGATGTCAGTGATGGAATCAAGAATTTTTCGTGGATTGGGAGATTCGAGGTCATCGATGACGGAGCATCTCAGTGGTTTATTGACGGGGCGCATAACACGCTGAGCTTGGAACAGACTGGGGTCTGGTTTGCGAAAAACATCCACGCGGAAAGCCCGCAGAAGTGAGTGTACTTGAAACCGTATCAAGCACAATGGGGTCCATTGACTAACACATCCGACGTTGCATTAGATGCCGCGTGCTGATTTTCAGTCATTTCTCGGAGGAGCGCGATGGGTTCCAGCTTCTGGAATGCATCGCACGCACGCTGCTTGACAATGATGCGAAGCCAGATCATGTTATATTTACTACATATCAAGAGCGGGAGGATGGGACATCCAGAATCGGTACGGGCTTGACGATTTCGCCACGGACAATGGCTGACATCATATGGTAGTTAAAACACTTAAAGTACCGGAGACGCCTTTCCCTGATCTCTGCGGGATATATTCATCGCTGTGGAAAGCATTTGATCCCCAAGCTACCGTGTCAACTGACCCGACGATCGAGGGAGCGATTAAACAGGCCAAAAAGATAGTGGCACAGGAGGACGGTGTGCAGGTGCTTGTTACAGGCAGTTTGCATTTGGTTGGAGGCGCGCTGAATCTCCTGCGACCGTAAATCTGAGTGTTGGCAGGATTCTGATTTGCCTTCCTATGGTGGCACGCATTTTGTCGGCAGCCAAAATTGTACAATCCTATCAATTCAACATTATACCCAACCAATACCCCTTTTCTTACGACTGTTTTTTTTTTTTTTTGCTCTCGTTTCAATTCCTCCATTTTGTCTCATGGATTCTATCTCTCTTTTCGAACGATTGCGGAACACATCGATAGCGCTTGGGGGCAGCAGTCTAGCGCAAGCAGACTTTTTCAGTTAGCAACAAGGCTCGCGGAGCGGAAATTACCGAAAAGATGCCATTAGCTTGGGTTTTACATGAAAACAAGAACGAAAGCGCGACTGGCGCGCCCCAGCGTGCACAAATCCGCAAAAAATACTCGTGAACGGATCATTCACCACCACTAGTATTGGGTGACAGAATGTGAATGATTCATGTTGTAATTGTCAAACATCGGGCCAGGGACACCATTCCATCGAGCGGCAGGGTGTTATCATCGCTTATCCTGTCTTCACGAGAGGATTTAGATCGGATGGGGTCACATTAATCCCCAAGAAGGATCTTCAGGCAAGGGTGTTGGTTGCTTGATTCTGCGAGTAATAACCATACGCAACCAAGAATTCATATCGACAGGAACCTTTTCCCAGCGGATCTGAGACTTCATCCAGGGAGCTATGCCCAAAATTACCTTCCTTCGTTGCCGCATTGTGTTGCAGAACAAAGGAGGATGCTGCGTCTGATGCCAAGAGAGTGGTGGACATTAAACGGAGGGTTCATTGATTCCTTCGGCGCCACGACGGGCCAATATCCTCGCCCTCCAGAGGCTGCACAGCCCACATGGCTTGTTTCACAATCGCATTTGGCGCTCGGTATTACTAAGAAATAAGCTGAAGCCGGGATTGACCAGCAGCACAGCCGACTAGGGTCGATGGGGCCGATTAAGGGCCCCCGATGGAAGCGCGAGTCCCGGATGGTCGGCCTATCCTCCACTATTGGCCTGGTAGTTTCTTGGTAGGGCCGAAAGGGCCTTGGAAGGCGAACTAGAGAAATGCAGAAAGTTGGATGTAACCGTCTGACCTATCGAGGGCTGAGTTTGTAGACATGCCTCGCCTGCTCCTATTCCTGGACAATGGGGGTGGTAAACGCCCAGTGCTTGGACTTGGGGGTGTTCCTGTGGTTGGTTTTGATTTATCTACCCCCAAGTACCTACTGTTTGGAGACTTTCTTACTTTCTTCTCTTTCTTCACGATTTGCGCTGCTCTTGCCATTCATTAAAATTTGCCCTAAGGTGGCTGGAACCACTAAAAGAAGTCATTCCTTTGAAAACACCACACTCATTCGACCGATAAAATGCGCGTTAATACTGTGAGCAAAGCGCCCCTGGGTCTCCTGGCCCTATATGCTACGTCGGCATCTGCATTCTGGCGTATGATGTGTCCTAGTCGCCTGGTCCAGCAACGTGCCGACCCTATCATGAGCCCCGGCGAGGTGGCTGGACATGTGCACACCATCTCGGGAGGAAATGGCTTCAAATTCGACATGAACTACGACGACGCCCGCAGCTCGGACTGCTCGTCGTGCCCCATCAAACAGGATCTGTCTAACTACTGGACCCCCAAACTCTACTACCATGCCGAGAACGGTAGCTTTATCAGTGTTCCCCAGATTGGCGACCAGTGGGAGAACACCGGAGGAATGAACGTTTACTACTTGTATGTGCTTAAGACTCTCCTAACCTTCCCCAAATATTGTTATCGATGCACGGTCCGGCCTATGCGACAAAGCTAACCCACCACAGCCAACGCGGCGGTCCTAACCAGGAAGAAATCAAGGCCTTCCCCAAGGACTTCCGCATGGTCGCCGGAGACCCGTTCAAGCGCAGCTTCGACGATGACGCCGCCTCTCAGGCCGTGAGCTTCGTCTGTCTCGACTACAACGCCGAGCCAAAGCCCGAGACCAACGAGTTCCCCAACGAAAACTGCCCCGACGGTCTGCGGGTGCAAGTCTTCTTCCCCAGCTGCTGGGATGGCGAGAACCTCGACTCGGATGACCACAAGTCCCACGTCGCCTACCCCGAGGGTTCCTTCAACGACGGCACTTGCCCCGAGAGTCATCCCGTCCATCTCGTCTCTATCTTCTACGAGGTTCTCTGGAACACCGGCGTCTTTGCGGACCAGTGGTACGGTGACTCTCAGCCCTTCGTCCTGGCGAACGGTGACCCCACTGGATACGGATTCCATGGTGATTTCGTAAGCCCCCCAACCCTTGCCTCCGATCATAATACCGAAAGCTAACACGTAAAAGATCAACGGCTGGGACGTTGACGTCCTCCAAACCGCCATCGACAAGTGCCTGAACCTCAGCGGCAACCTGGAAGACTGCGTCGACGAGAACGGCACGCCCGTCTTCGAATTCTTCTCCGACGAGGAATGCCAGGCCTGCTCTGTCCCTAACCTCGTCGACGAGGACATCGACGGAATCTTCGAGAACCTGCCCGGTTGCAACCCGTTGACTGGTGGACCTGACCGTGCTGAGCCCCAGGAGTGTGAGATGCCTGCTCTTCTCGAGGCGCCGGCTGAGAAACGCAAGCGCCAGCAGCATGAGCATCTTGCTCGCCACCGTCACGGTGCTCACCACAAGGCGTAGATAAGTTCGTGAAGCGTCTTGAGGTTGGGCGATTGCGGCTAGGTGGGTTTTGTGACGTTATATATATTTTTCTATGATTGGAGGACAATTTATGTGTATGTGTGTAATATAAAGGTTTTTATTTATTGCTTCGTCGTAGAGCTTGTATATCGGTGGGTGGAAAAACGTGCGTCTTGGTTACGAGACATCGTTTTCCATTAATTAGAACTCTGTATTTTTCTTGTAATAGGCGAGATTTGTGTTGAGCAGGTATAATAAAAGCTTTCAAGAACGGAAACTGTGAAGTATTTCTACCAGTTCATTGATGTGGATGTCCATTGGAGGATCATATTATACAACATTGCTGATTGAGTGCTTATTGCTGATGGGTTAGAGGTCCGGGGCACGAATTAGGTGTCAAATATTCTCAAATACCGGTGGACAAGGGTTTAAGGATGTAGTCAATCTTTTACTAAAGCAGGATAAACAAAGAAGATAGATGATGATGAGTAAAATTAAGATTAATATTAATATCGAAAACAGTAGAATGCACAATAAAGACCTAGGTTGAAACAAAACAAAGAGACAGTAGACAGAACAGAGAAAGGGAAAATGAGGAAAGAATCGAAATGCGTCATGAAAAAAGCCTTGATTGAAAGCTAGGCGACCCTCACAAAGCAAGGTCTATGTCTTGGTCACTAGCGGTTTTGTTGTTCTCACTCTCCAGCAACTGTAGGAAGTGCTCTTTGATGCCACTGATTAACTTCAATATTCGACCGCGATTGTAAAGGCCACTTTTGCAGAACCAATCTTCATCCAGCATAATCTCCTCCAGTCCTAGAACAAGGTTGGGTAAGTTGATATCCTTTCTCGAATTTATAAGGTCGTCAATCTCGAAGAATATCTCTGGATTGAACCGAGACGTCCAATACGATGTGGGCAAAACCCATCCGAACGCTTCCAACATATTCCGTATATCGTTGATTCTCTCGATACTCGGCGGATGACATTCGTATATGGTATCGACGATCATCATCGCAATTTCCGGAAGGATGTTCATAAAGGAAAACGCCGAAGATACTTGGCGATCAGTATCAGCATCACGCGAGAATTGAGAAACTAATGTTTGGATAGCCGGTATCCGAAACGGATTTCCTGGGAAATGGGTGCGACAGTTGTGCTGGTCCGTAGCACCGACCCGCAATTTCCTGACCCATTTCGAATAATCTTCGCGGTGGCCGGTCGTTCTGGGACACATGTAAGCGAAACCCCATTCCGTCTTGTGTTCCCCCCAGTATCTTTGTAAGGCTTGAACAAATAGACCAAGATTCTGCATCAGAAGGCCATGTCCCATGAAGCGGTCAAGAAGCATCCAACAATGCGCATGAATGGGATACCCCCAAAAGCTCTTAGGACACGTTTTGTTTGACGAGAAGGGGTCGGCCCGCTCCCATTTGACGTGCCATCGACTGCTACTTTTCACGTCCCCATGAATGAGGGCATAGTCGTAATATTTCATTGCTCTTCTGGATGATCCGCGATTTATACCGGACACAAACAGCACTTGAGTTTTGGGATGAACGAGGACTGTTTGTTGTTCAAGGTTAGTAAGATTCTGTAGACGAAAGTGTACTTGATCGACTGTGATCAGTTTGTTCGGAAAAACAGCAACATACTGGATCGATGGAACAATTTCCATACGTCGGGCTTTTTAATAAAATCTGTTTGCTCGAACTCCACTGCTGGGACCGTTGTGTGTGTTCTCAACTTGTGCTTGCCTATATTATCGGTCAAGTATAAGTTAAACAAGTCTTCGCGTGCATACAGATTGTCGCGTTCCAGTCCTCCAGCAAAACCTACTGAACAGACTACACAGGACACGGTGCGACATGAGTTCCCAACCATGATGAGCAGATGAGATTGAACTGAAAGGTGAGGCTATGAGGGTCGGAGGTATTCTCGATGTTACAAAGGTAATTCTGTGGGATGAGGTCATACTGATCAGCGTATTACCTACAGCAACGCTCTATGACTCGGGTATGATACGCATGGCTTTGAGTTTTAGGTCAACCGGGGGAGACTTCTACGGAGATTGTTCTTGATATTGAACTGTTTAGGACTTAACAGCTCTTTCATATTTTCAGAGAGGGGAAGCAAGGACTTTCGGTATTCTTCGTAGCTAGTGATATGATCAATCATGAATGCGTAGATTAGCTAAGCCCATCTCTTGTCCCAAGTTGTTAACGTCAATGCGAATGATGAAAGAAATGAACAATGACAAACAGAAATACAGGCGGAAAAGTTGTGGTGGGAAGCTGAGGATATGGCTATACTATTCAAACTAGAAGATTGTGTTTCAGATCAACTTCTGGAGTCCCTTCTAAATTAAACGGAAAGTCAGAGTAAAGTGGTTGAATGTAGAATGAACTATGTCTATGGGAGAACTATGGAAGCCGTTTTCGCCTCATAGTACAATCATAGTACAACATGCTTGTCCTTCAGATGTAAAACAGGGACATATTTAAAGCACACGACAGAGGAATACATTTTGCTCTGGGAAGTAGAACTTATATTGAGTTACCGGCCACAATAGACTGTGCAAAAGAAATAACGAGGGCTGTACACGGGCAAAGGCAATTTACGTCAAAGAAAATCGCACATTATTGGGTATTGAAACAAGACTTCCTTGAGTATTCAGTTTCCTATCTACTACTGAATCGCTCGTTAACGGTGATAAAGCAGCGAGGTGTTGTCTTTGCCGTATGATAATTTCCAACCACGTAAGTTATTTAAGATACCATTTCGAAAAACAATCTTCCCTACGTATGTAGTGAATACGATTTAGTAGACACTTGGCTTGTTGGCGGTAGGCTTCACCGAATCCGCATTTACGTTGTACATAGAAGCTAAGCAATGCACACCATTAGCAAGGGATCCGGGCTTTCACAGGCCAACGGTAACATTACGTTTCTTTATTGAATACTTGGGTGGCTTGACTTACCAACCCCTTACATGTCGGCCGGTTCGGACCCGAGTGTCTTTTTCTGCGAGCGAGATTGAGTTCAAACCCAATTTTCCTATGCTTGACGGAACTTGATTTCCGGTAGGCTTGCATAACAGAATAGGCATAATTACACAATACGCCCTGAATGTCTACAATTTTTCCTAGTTTCTGGCACAGCATATACACGGAGAACTCTCGTGCTGTGAATATTATAAATGATTTAGTCGAGACGGCGGCGCATCGGCCGACTTGCCGTATTCGAAGACCAGAGAATATACCCTTATCTGGTCGCATATGGAGATACGTTTAGTGGAAGTCTGTGTACCAATGTGGCAGTGCTATCGTGTACCACAACATAAAAGGTAGACCCTCCTTGCTGTCAGTAGTTGGAGGCGCGCAAGGCGGCAATGCCATGCATACTCCCAGCAGTGATATTGTGACAATTCCGTTTACCTGGCAATGGCATTAGTTGGAGCGATGGTATTTCTGTTGATGTTTTTTGGAGAAGAAAAGGGAGCGAAGATCGTGACCGTGGAGCATGATTCGGTCAATTACACCTTTTCAGGGAGGAGGTAAGGAGCTATGGAGGAGTGGAATGTTCTCCTCGCTGCGAGAATTAACCAACCCCGACCAGCAGTTAGAGGGACAGACTAAGGAGTAGAATGAGTGCAAGTTATCCGAATACACAACCTGCAGCAAGTTGAACATGGCAAGGAAGACTGGCATTTCATGATTTCATTACCTCCGTCAACAGTGCAAGATACACACATATATAAGGGTCGTGGGAGGTAGAGGGTCCTAAACACTTCCTCAAGAGTGAAAATTGACTGCACACATTAGATCTTTCCAGAGCCTATCTAAAGACCCTCCACGTTCAGTTGCGCGATCAATTCTCACAAAGTCGCTCGCCTAGGATGCATTTCTCCCATGTCAACGGAAACAGCCCAGCCAGAACTCCGGACAAGCAATGGGCGCATGTTTTTCAAGCCCATGATACAGGTGGGAGTTAGTCTGTCTGACAATAAGGCGACTCTGACGTGCTCTAGTGGTTGAGCTCAAGAAGATTCCTGTTCCTCATCCTGCTGATGACGAAATTCTGGTTCAGCTTGAGTACTCTGGTGTTTGCCACACGGACTTTCATGCTTGGAAAGGTTCGAAAACCTCGGGACCTGCACGAACGCGTAATCTAACATGATCACGTTCCTCAGGCCACTTTCCCGTAACTTCGAAGCAGAACCTCGTAGGTGAGTTGTTATGCCCCGAGCCCACAGATGCTCAGCGAAAGATGCTCATACTAGTCGTATTTTAGGTGGCCATGAAGGAGTTGGCTACGTTGCAGCATTAGGACATGGTGTTGGTGATATAAAGGTTGGAAATAAAGTCGGAATACAGGTAAAAGACTGACGGAGGGAACCATAGACAACAGAATGCTGACGGTTTAATGCAGTGGATGAATAGAACCTGTGGTGAATGCGAATTTTGTTCCGGCGGCAACGAACCTCTCTGTCCGGACCTCCAACTCTCTGGGTATAACGTGGACGGGACATTCCAGCAGTATGCTGTTTGCAAGGCTGGGAATGCAGTGCACATTCCGCCCGGGATCCAGCTTGAGGTCGCGGCTCCGGTGCGTACGACGTTTAGTCCGAAAAGTTTCATTTTCTCTCTTGATTCAATGCTTGTGTTCCTGATATATCTAAACCTTGCTTATCTTCATTGAGACGTTACTAAAGATTGAGCGGATAGATTCTCTGTGCCGGTGTTACTGTATACAAAGCTCTTAGGGAAAGTAACCTGAGCCCCGGGCAGGTCATAGGTAGGCTCTATTTTACCGAATGTATCAAAGTCCTAGCTGACTCGCAATCGCAAGCTATCGTCGGTGCTGGCGGTGGATTAGGGTCGTTGGCGTGCCAATATGGGAAGGCCTGCGGGTACCGTGTGCTCGCCGTATCCACGGGGGCCTTGAAGAAGAGGATGTGCGAAGAGGAATTGGGAGCTGATTATTTTGTTGACTATAAATCCCCCACTATGGCGGACGAAATCAAGCAAATCACTGGCGGAGGGCCACATGCAGCGATGGTAGTTGCTGCGGCTGAGGGCCCCTTTCATCAAGCACTGGAAGTAGGTGAGTTCAGATTCACTTATAACAACTAGGGTTCTGAGTCTGTATAGTACATCAGGCCTGGAGGAACTATTGTTGCCGTTGGTCTCCCTCCTGGTAAGATCTCGGCAGATATCTTTTCCATGGTGATCAACAAGGTCAGTATCAAAGGGTCATACGTTGGAAATCGACGCGAAACAGAGGAGGCACTTGAAATTGCTGCGAGGGTTGGATTCTCGGTGCAATCTCGGGTAGTCGAATTCTCCAAACTCCCCGATATTTATGAAATTATGGAGAAAGGTAACAGGTCTTTCTTTTCTCTCGGGTGTTATCATAATTGACGTGTCTCAAGGTGAAATGCGAGGGCGGGTGGTTCTCAAGATTGGGAATGACCCGTTGAATAATTCGGATCACGAAGCAGAAACAAATGACCTATTGGATAGGCGAACTGACCAGAATAATGGCAGGTTGCTAACCAGATCCCACCTCCGAGCCATTGAAAGAGCCGGGAGAGACTTTCGTTCTGATACAGTGACTGTGCCCACGGAGAAAATGATGCAGGTAGGCCGAACTTAACAGTATAAACCCCCATATGACGCTGCGATAACTAATATGTAATGCTCCCCAAGGCTATCATCAATGCCTCCTTCGGGGATAACATCTATAACGAGGGTGGTGATGCATCAGTAAAGGCCCTACAAGAAAAAGTGGCGCAATTAACAGGGAAGCCGGCTGCTCTTTTTGTACCATCTGGAACGATGGGTAATCAGATATGCTTGAGAACTCATCTTCAACAGCCCCCTCACACAGTCCTACTGGACTATCGTGCCCACGTTCAGTGCTGGGAAACTGGCGCACTCCCTGTCTTATCGCAGGCTTCAGTAACGGGTGTGCATCCGAAAAATGGGGTCCATCTGACACTGCAAGATATCCAAGAACATCTAATTGGTGACGATAACGGTATGTACAATTGTCGCACAGGCCCCTTCTGGCTCTTGCTTTGTGATTGATCTTGTCTTTAGTGCATTTTCCACCAACCAGAATCGTATCACTCGAGAACAGTCTGGGTGGTTCAATCCTACCTTTGAAACATGCCAGAGAGATCTCCAAATTCGTGTGGAATTACCCTACTGCACCCGGTAGACCACGAATCGCGATGCATTTAGACGGAGCTCGAGTACTGGATGCGGTCACTGCCGAGGGGGTCGACATAAAGGACTACTGCGCCGCCTTCGACAGTATCAGCCTTTGCATCTCTAAGGGTCTTGGGGCGCCAATGGGAAGCGTCATTGTGGGTAGTAGGGAATTCATTGATCGTGCAGTTTGGTTCCAAAAGATGTTTGGAGGAGCAACAAGACAGGTAAGGCGGAATATCTGAAATTTACACCGCTCATTGATCGGTGAGAGAAGGAAGAAGTGCACTGACCAGTCAATTAATCTTATTAGATCGGAATGATGGCTGCAGCTGCATCGGTAGCACTAGAAACAACATTGCCTCTGCTTCCTGAAGTCCATGCCCGCACAAGACAAATGGCCGAATACCTCGATGCGCTGGGATATGAATTTTCGCTTCCTGTTGACACAAACATAATCTTTATAGATCTAAAGAAGATGGGTATTGCACCATCCATGTTTGAGAGTCACTGCAAGCAGCGTGGATTGAATGTGTTTGCCACAGGACGAATAGTTTTTCACCACCAAATTTCCACGGATGGGATTTCAAGGTTAAGGGAGGCCATGCTTGACTTGATCACCAGCGTGAAGAGACCCGGTTATAAAAGCCTTGGCAGATCCTGGGGTCCTTCATATGTTTAAACTGGACTGTGCTACGAATGCGCCCATTTTGTGCGGTCATTCAGTCTACTGATCCAACACCGATTCTGATCCCCATTGTGGGTCTGGTTGGTCTGCCGAAGGTCACTTGTATGAGTGTGAAAAGCTGTCTGGATAATGGGTTCCGTTTCCTTCACAAAATGATAGATAATGAAGGATTGGGTGGCTGAGGCATTCCAGTTCTCGATACCGAGACCAGAAAAAAGAAAGAAGAAAAAAAAAAAAAGAAAGAAGAAAAAAAAGAGAGAGAGAAAAGGAGAGGGAAAAGAAGAAAAAGAAAAAGGAAACACGAAATAGAGAAAAAAACAAAAAAAGAAAAAAAAGAAAAACTATAACGAGAAATTGTACTGCCTAGCATCTTTTATAGCTAAGGCTTGTTACTTGAAAAACTACGCTTTTGGTGACCTCTTGATGATTTCAGGCATATCAGAGAGACTGCAACACGTTAATTGAACTCGAAAAGCTCAGCTGGATCCTTTGTCAATGCTTTAGCATATTATGTGCGCGTTTGGCTGAGGTACAAGGAGTCCCTGCAACGCCACAGTAATTATAAATGGGCGACAGAACTCTACCCCACAGGATGTGGGACGTCATTTCGACATCTGGATCTCTAGGGAATTTAGCTTCCTATACAAACCAGCCTAATCTTCGCTTCGCTTCATCACTCTTCCAATGAATAACGGAGACTTTCGAAGAGTAAAAGAGACATGATGGTGTTTTACTACTTTCCGTCTTCGCAGGCGGTTGGCATATATATTTAACCACGGTATTTCTGGGCTCTGCTTCAACGATCCCACTATGTTTGTGGTTGTACATGGACCGATACCTCTGTGCTCCCAAGGTGGCTGAACGCTATCTTATCTTTCTGCCTGCCCCACTTCTGATATCTCCCGAACGAAGCACCCCTTTCCCCCCATCTATTCCGCATGGATGTATATCCCAATGGCCATCCACTTCTGTTGATAAGGATATATAGCTTTTGTTATAGAGTTGTGCTGAAACCGATTATGATACTGGACACATAACTTGTAACATGGCATTGACGGCAAACAGGCTTTCTTCAACAGTATCGCAATAAAACATTACATTCGGAAGATTTAAAGGCATACCTGAAGTGAATATAGAAATAGAGGAATTGGAATAATTGAACCTCTTTTACAAATTCATAGGTGCTCGGCAACAAGTTGGCTCCAGCAAATCCTGCTCAGAAATTACTCAGTCTACGTATACGTGACGGGCACTTGTTGCTGCTTGGGGTTGGTTGCATTAATTCAAGCCAATTAGAGATTGCACCGTTAATGACCAGGTCTAACCACTGGCCAAAGTTGGCTACTTGCGAGAATACGCTATTACTTGGCTTAGACATACAACAAATGAGGCAGATGCCCCCATTCTTAACCCCACCAGGCCTCTGAACTCTCTATCTTATCAGCGAGTGGGTAGCCTAGGTACCTCGAGCGCATTGAACCCCCCCACTCTTGCTATCTCTACGACCGATAACCCACTGTACATAAGCTAATATTACCCATGAATACGCTCCTAGCAACCTACTAGAAAGATTGAGTAATAGGACTTTTCAGTAGCAGGACTCAAGATGTGGTGGCTATTCAAAAAAAGCAACACGCGAGAAGATCCCCAGTCCAGAGGTCTTCCAGCATCATGGTACCGATCAGAGGCAATGTATCAGCTAGAACGCCGTGCAATCTTCTCCAAGCGCTGGATTCTACTCACGCACTCCAGCCGATTCATGAACCCAGGCGACTTCCTGTCTTTCACCGTCGCTAATTTCAATTTCTTCGTGGTCCGCGACCGAGAGGGCTCTATCAACGCTTTTCACAATGTCTGCCGCCACCGCGCATTCCCAGTCGTGCAGTCCCGCTGCGGCACTTCCTCTATTTTAACCTGCAAATACCATGGCTGGTCATACGGCCTGAAGGGCAATTTAGCCAAAGCTCCCCGTTTTGAAACAGAGACTGATTTCGACAAGACAAAGAACTCCCTTCTCCCTGTGCACGCGCACGTCGACAAAGCCGGTTTCCTATGGGTGAATCTCCAAGCTAGCGAAACGCCCGATGTCAACTGGGACGAGGAGTACAATAAGATCGATGAGCAGCCGCGCATGCAAGACTTCGATTTTGCCAAGAATTACTCTTTCGATCATTACTGGGATATGGACGTTGATGCGAACTGGAAAGGTCTGGTGGAGAATTACAACGAGTGTTATCATTGCGCGACCTCGCATCCGCTGATCCGTGGCGTGTCCGATCTCCCTAAGTATCGCGTTGAGCCCAACGGGGGATACATGGAACATCATATTTATAACAAGAAGGGCAGCGATGCACAGTTCAAACGCGCTATTACTTATTTTTATCCGACGACGTCGGTGACAGTGACGTAGGTGCTTCGATAGGGGTTAGGAGAGTGTGAGCAGGGCTGACCAAATTTGAACAGGGATAAATTTTTCTACATCCAGCGCATGTTCCCGGTGAGCGCGACGAGAAGCAAGATCGAAAATGAAGTATATCGGCATCGGGATGCAACGGATGACGAGTTCAGGGAGATAAATACATTTTATAGACAAGTACTAGACGAGGACAGAGAGTTGTGTGTTGGAACGCAAGGGAACCTGGATGCTGGTGTTTTCACCAACGGCGAGTTGCATCCAACGAAGGAGAAGGTGAGGACAAAGCATGATAATCCTCAGGATGCCATAACTGACAGATACTGCCTAGGGTCCGGTTCACTTTCAAAACACGGTGCGAGAAGCTGTCATGGAGCATCGGCGGATGGAAGAACAGAAGGGTGGACAATCGATCTGGCCTGCCACACCGGCTCCTCCGATGACACAGAAGCTTCACGAGGAAGAAGCATTTTGCTCGAAACTAGAAGCGGACAGCTGTCTAGATAGACCGGAGCTCTCGTGGTGATACTTCCGAACATGATTGACTGGGACAAACTATTGAGCAAGAATACTTGAATAGGCCATAATTCATAGTGGGAATAGCATGAACTGCATGATTGGAACAGAACGCTCTCTCGGCCCATGACATAATGATAAATGTTGTATTGTGGAAATAGGTACTTGAGATAACGGAGTCGTTTGGTTGCTTCAGAGTACCGCAACTAAATTGAAACATCTAGCAGCAAACACAAAGGTGTATAATCTGACCAGCAGTCAATCTCATAGGTGAGAATCAGTAGTTCCATGTTCTCTGAGGCCTCCAGATAACCCATCGCTGCGGGTTGCGCATAGGGGATTACTAAGCGATTGGCTGTTCCCTTTCATAAAGTTATGAGTGGATGGAACGAATCTCCCATACTTTGCCCACTGCCCTGGCAAGTTAAAACGAATGACATGTGAAAGGATTGCTTTTGTTGAGAAAAAGAAAGGGACCGAGGCTCTTTCAGTCTACTTGTTCTTGCTATCGTGCAAGGGAGCATCTCGAATCGATTCTATTCATGGAATATAGCCCCATCGTCGTATTGTGGAGAATGTGCCCTAAAGATCAAACCAATTGGGCCCAACAGAATATCTATTCGCAAGCTGATCGATCCACGCCATAATTAATCGACACAGTCTATGGCCATAAAACACAGTGCGGTGATGACTGAGTCTTACTGAAGTGATCCTTCCGTTGTGGTAGCCAGTGAAAGAGACGCTAAATTTCCACCGACCAAGGGGCAAGTTGTTGGGGACCCAACAGACGGGAGCCGATGGGCTGATCTTCCCTTGGTTCCATTAGAAACTAGGAACCAGGGCATCATGTCACCAGCCCAACGGTCGTGGAATTCTTGGTTGGTATTGGCCAACTTGGTCATCTAGGCCTGGCAGTCTTATTCCTGGTAATTATGAGCGCGTGCGGATGGGCCTAGGTTGGGATATCGCTAAGGCTGGCATATAAATGCAGTTCACCTGTATACCCAGTTACTAACCACTCCTTTGCGTCAATTCTTCTCATTTGAAGTGTGATTGATGTATTATCTCTTTGATCTTGGAGATCCTGTCTTCTGCTGTCCACTTTCGCTCGGTGTCGCGGCCTAAATTGATCAACGCAAGCCCTTGGGGCAGTAAAGACTCACGATCATGGCTCGGTCTCAACATAAAAAGATGGAAAGCAGTGTCCATATCGCTGATACACCAATAACTGCGCGAAACTGGCACAAACACGTTAACTGGCTGAATGTTTTTATGATCATCGGAATTCCTCTCTACGGCTGTATACAGGCCTACTGGGTTCCTTTGCAATTGAAGACAGCCATATGGGCTGTAGTCTATTATTTCTTCACGGGCCTAGGCATCACAGCGGGTGAGTTACTGCGCGTTTGTTGGAAGATATCACGCGGTTAACCTTTTATTCTATAGGATACCATCGCCTTTGGTCTCACACTTCCTACTCCGCACGATTACCTCTCCGAATATGGCTCGCAGCCGCTGGTGGCGGCGCCGCGCAGGGCTCAGCCCGATGGTGGGCTCGGCTGCATCGCTCGCATCACCGATATACCGATACAAGCAAAGACCCGTACTCCGTCAGCAAGGGGTTCGTCTATTCCCATCTGGGCTGGATGGTCCTCAAACAGAACCCTAAGCGGATCGGACGGTCGGACGTGTCGGATCTCAATGAAGACGCTGTTGTTGTCTTCCAGCACCGTCACTACCTGAAAGTAGTGTTCACAATGGGCATGGTTGTTCCCATGCTCGTCGCCGGCCTCTGGGGTGACTGGTGGGGCGGTTTCATTTATGCTGGCATCCTGCGAATTTTCTTCGTTCAGCAAGCTACCTTCTGCATTAATTCGCTGGCTCACTGGCTTGGAGAACAACCATTTGATGATCGCACCTCTCCCCGCGACCATGCCATTACAGCTCTCGCGACACTCGGAGAAGGATATCATAACTTCCATCATGAGTTCCCGTCCGACTACCGCAACGCGATCGAATGGTATCAATATGATCCCACCAAGTGGACGATTTGGTTGTGGAAACAGGTTGGGTTGGCGTACGATCTAAAGCAGTTCCGGGCCAACGAGATTGAAAAGGGTCGGCTACAACAAATGCAGAAGAAGGTGGATCAGAAACGGGTATTGCTCAATTGGGGGACACCACTGAGCGAGCTGCCAGTCATGGAATGGGAGGACTTTATCGAGAAGTCAAAGACCAAGGCATTGGTTGCTATAGCCGGGGTGATCCACGATGTGACTGACTTTGTTGACGAGCACCCGGGTGGTAAGGCCATGATCAAGGCGGGAATTGGAAAGGATGCTACAGCAATGTTCAATGGGGGTGTGTATTATCATTCAAATGCTGCCCATAATTTGCTGTCGATGATGAGGATTGGGGTGATTCGTGGAGGTAGCGAGGTGGAGGTTTTCAAGCAGGCCCAGAAAGATCGATCATCTCTACATGGTGGGATCTACTGAAGCCATACTTGTATCCCAATTTGTGTTGTTAATTACATGCCTGTTCTATGTATACTACCAAAGTTTTATAGTAACGTTGAAGGTTCAGCATATAAGCTGGCATTCTCAAGAGTTGGTAATCAAAGTAACTTGAATAGCGGTAAATCTGGAAAGGTCAGCACGATCTAGATATTGAAGGGAAGTAAACATACGCAGAAACGGCGGCGAATATCTCCACTCGACGGGCTCGAACCAGAAGCCCGAGAAACATCGAAAACAAGATATTGTAGACGATGACAGTCAGTATTCTTCCGGCAGTGTCCTTGACAAAGTACAGCACAATCATACATGAAGCAGGCAGGACTGCTGCAACAACGACGGTGACTACATAAGTGAACGACCTAATCTTTTTGTCGCTGTAGTGCCGGACTCTGAACTTTTTGATATCATACTCATCCTTGTTTATTCCTTCGATAACATCTTCTTCCTCGTTGAATCCTTCGATATCATGCTCTTCCTTGTTGCTGTTAGCATGTGACCCAGCATTACAATTGTCTGACCTTACTTCAAAATGTCGGCCACACCGTCCCTGGAACCATTCGCTAGATCGTTCAAATATCCATCTTGTCATCTTGTCAGCCCCTTGCTCCTTGTTGGATACTGTGATCATGTCATGGTTGTTCTTGGAGTTATATATGTCCATTTCAGCGCATGTCGCGAAGTAGACATCGCCCTTCACACTCTGATGCGCGAGCCATTGTTGATAATTTGTTCGATCGGTCTCATTCGGGCTATCAAATGTCAAAAGCTCTTTGTATTGTATCAAAGCCCTATCTATGTAGATGGGAAGTGATAAGATAAAATAGTCAATATAGGTTGCAAACTGCAAATCGACTACTTCAACTGATATTGGAGGGCGCGTAGGGTGGGCCTGATAGGACTCACAGTAGCTTTCCACTAGCTCGCGACCCTCTAGGAACTTCGACCATTGCGCTCTATCCTCTGGCTTTGTACTTTTCATGGATTCCTGCAAGCATCGCACAGAGAACGGGTAGTATGGACTATCTTTGCCCCCGGAGGCTTTGTCGTCGGCGATTATTTCATGGAAATCTTCCTCGAAATTTGCTATCTGGGCTTGATAGTATAGTAAGTTTTTCGCGCTGAATTCATCGAAGCGTCTGAAGACAGAGCATCCAGGATCTCTAGCAAAAAGTAATGCAATTTTGTCGTAACCTTGTGCGTTCTTCTGACCGCCCCGATTTTGCATCTTTCGTAGTGAGTGTCTCGTCAAGTCGCCATATGATGAGAATGCTCAATTGAGAAATATGTGGTGTTGTAGATTCCTGTACAGCTCCTTATAAAGTCAGTCATCCTGTCATAAGACATGTGTACACTGGCATTATTTTCTCAGAGCTGCCCGATCTCTGGGCAGTGTGAAAATCATTTGCCAGATGTAATAACTTTGAATAATGGACCCCAAAAGAATCGGCGAGGCAGGTTGAGGTTGCTGATTTGGGCAGAAATATCATATGGTTCACTCGTGGTGAGGTTAGCAAGCGTCCGATTAAACGGTTCTGTTTAGGTGTTCCCATACGACTTGAGCCTTGGCCAGCAAACAATGCAAGGATGTTTCTGTGTGTGAAAAGGATCGCATAAGGCGGCCCGAAATCACAGCCCCGCAGCGAGACGGATACTTGGTCTTGTATGACTGGAGGGCTACCCGGTCAGCTTTCTTTGATCAATTAAGAGGTCAAAGCAGAATTTTTCATGTAGAAGAGATTCTCAATTCTAAGGCATTCTTTCACCAAAAGCAAGTAGATAATAGGCTCATTCATGCGCCACGTCACGAGAAATCTGAAAGCATACACTCCGTAAAAGTAAATAGCACGTCCTTGCTGGCGTTTACTGTCATTTCTTTTTCTTCTTCTTTCGGCGTTAAACCACTTGCTATATAGGTTGCTTTCTTTGGCCCCATCTGTGACTTGATCAATTGCACATCAATAGATCAATATCTCAAAAAAGCAAGTATCATTGCTTGTTCGAGGATCGTAGCCTGGTCGCAACCCACGGATCAGCTCTGTATAAGCCAAGCTGTCGAACTGATTCCCTTCCAAGGAGGACGTCAAACTGAGTATTTCCAACTACCAGAAACTCTGCGTAGTACAACCTCTCTCGGCCACAAATAGTCCAGCTTGCGCTGCACTTTCCCAATGGCCGAACAGTAGACTGATTCCACCACGTGATATCATTTCCTGTAAAGCTTTCTATATGAGTATCTAACTTTTTGTATACCGCCTCGCTCATGATGTTGATCTCTGTTTCGAAATCAATCACCATACGCCTTCGAATCCTGGATCTTCGGGGTGTCAAAATCATGACATCATATATGTAATCAGATTGACAAAGGTCTTCGTATGATCCAGTAGGGTGATATGCATTTTGTTCGTGCAGTGTTCGTTGTAGAGAATCAGTCAATTGCTCGTGATCCACGGGACTGCATGGCAGTGATTCTGCTGAGAAACCATCGCGTTCCTTGCTTGTTTGTTCCTGGCCGAAGGAACGCTGAGAATTAATCGAGTGCGACTCTGTACTGCCCGTATACCGATCTGTATCTGCATACTGGCGAGTCCAGTCATTAGGTGAGGCGCGTAGTAGTATTGCCGAGACAGTATTTTTCAGTGAGTTCGTGAAGAATGACATCTTATTGCGTCAGATACTTGAACTCGAGTAGCAGATCAAGGGCCCTTCACTAACAGCGCAATACGCATGCCTAGTGATGGAAGCCCTGGCACAGATATCTCCAACTTACTGAATGGCCGTTCGTACTGTGGGTTCCCCAATACCAGTGTGGGTGAGATGTGCTGGCCTTATGCGTCGTTTGCTCCTCAAGGTTCGGAGGATCTGAGCGGCTATCATCGGCCTGCGGAGTCGAAAGAAAAGCTCTTGAAGAATTGAAAGCCATCATCAACAGATTTATTCAGGTTAGAAGAAAGTGAAGTTAATTATAAAGCGTGGTAGCACTATCTAGAATACAGGTGCAAGGACACAACTGTGATGAGATATTTTCCAGCTTTATAGGAAGGCAAGTAAGCGCTTAAGATTAACCTGGGTGGCCCCGCTTTGCTATTCTCAGCGATACGTGCATTTGCTGATTCACTTTGCTTGCCACCTTTATTCCCCCACAGGGGTGAGCAACGTGTCCCGAGCCTTAGGCTTTTAGTACGGATCAGTTTCTTTTTCAAAGAGCCCAGTCTTACCCCGCTTATTGTATCTATCTCAAAATATTCAGACAGTCGTTACTAACCTTGCACAGTCCCAGTGAGGCGAGTTCAAAATTAGGGCGCCTTTTGTGGCAAAAGAGGAAACATTGGCCAGGGGGTTCGCTTTTCGAATTGTATGCGGCCCTGCCACCTGCACGTAACCTAGTACTTGGTTTTTCGGTTTGACTTTCACAAGGTACATAAGGGATTAGCCGTGATCCTTCTTCACTAGGCATCAAAAAACATAAAAAAGTTCAATGGAACCCTGTACAACAAGTTATCCGCCATTTTGGGTCTCTCGACTCTGCTGCTCAGCACGAGCCCTGTCTTGCTCGCGTCTTATTCTATCTTGCTCGCGCATTAGCCTATCTCGTTCCTCTGCTGCTCTTTGCCTCTCCTGTGCAACCCGTTCTTGCACCGCTCTTTCTGCTGTAATTGACTTAGAAGAAGCCTTATATCTCTGTAAGGATAAACAACATACTTGAACTAGGATTTGACAGCCTCATTGTTGCGACAGAATCACCCTCTGAGTCTGGACTGTCTGGAGGGAAGCAGTTAGGGCTCAGAATCACGTGTAAACGTTGTTCGTGCAAGTCCCGTTGCCGAAGTGTATCATCACTCATAAGAACATAGAACCTTTGATCTACACTCCTGGTATCGCCATCCCTCCAAATCTGGAGGTCGACTACATCTTGAACTGCAAATGCAAAACCAGTTCGATCAGTCAAAAGCTTCGGTTCTTGCCGAGGATGAACTCTAATGCCTTGGAGTAGCCTGAGTCCTCTCTGTGTCAGGATATTGTGATTGAGCTGGTCAAGCGTAACTGCGTTAAGCTGAGGCTGAAGCTCGCCTGGGCCAAAGCACAGGATACGCATGATAGTGAGGCTCGTCTATCAGAAACCCGTTAGCATTACTTCTCCCAAGCATAGACAAAGACAAATGAGACTATCTATAGAAACATACCATATGATTAGCCATGCGGTGTCATGCAATAGGTAGAGGGTATTCACATAGTCTTGTATGTATATACGTTTGGTAGGCTGTTCAATGATCGCTATATATTCTTCGAGCAGCACTCTGAGGCTCCATCTTGGAGCCCCAGGGTTAACAGCAACCGCATCGAGATGCTAGATTCAGCTCCTAGAACCAGCATGTTTGCTTCATTGAGACGAACGTGTATGGTCGAGCTTCAATGAACCCCGCGAGAAGTTCACGCATTACGTTCCGACAGCCAATGCCACCCGTTATCATTGATGGTTGCTTCCCTGCCCAAGGAAATTAACACATATTAAACGCATTGAACATGCCATTAGAGAAGGGTGGTCGGAAGCAGTCATGACTCGTAAATATAGACTATCTGGGCCCCAGGCAGCTTTCTGTATCCTAGGATTAGCGCGCGTTCAGCACTATCTCGGTAAATGTTATTGATTGTTTTATCATATAATCAGCTGTGTAGGTCCATCAACCAGTCAGCGTCAATATTATCTTGCATTCCGAATCTCCGTAGCCGGTAGGGATATTTTTTGACAAGGCTGTGGTTGCGATGTATGTCGAACACAACGCTTCATAATCGATCTTCATTCGGTCTCATGACCTTATTGTTGGGGTTCCGTATGCAGTTCGCAGGACCATAATGTGGGATCCTGTATAGTTTCTATTATTTCGCGGAAAAGCCACAGTCTATCCAGACTTTTAATATCGCTGCTTTTTCTATGAACACGGAGACTGCTATAAGTGCAAAAGTAAAAAAGTAGGTCCAGAGTATCCAGAGGCGCAAAAAGAAAAGAACCAAAGAGCCAATCAAAAGAAATATCCCAAATTAAAGGGCCCAAAAGCATAAGAAGAAATAATTTTGGAAGAAAAAAAAAACAAAAAAGCCAACGAATGATGGCAACAGACTAGTAGCAGGGATCAGGGATCGTGTAACTCCCATCGGATCTGTTCGGACAGTCAGCCGGCCTAGATTACAGGGAAACGAAACATGGTCTAGGACCACGCCGCCGTCAGCATCTGCGCCCTGAATCTTGACGTGGAAACATACCAGCCAATCCTACTTGTTCGTTTGCATTGGTTGGGCCTCCTTGCAGATCTTGCTGCCTCACTTCCAGTGACGGGGGAGCGGTTTTCGCGCCTTATGCGCCCCAAAAAGCTATTGATTACCGCAAGGCTCCGGTTGCTCCGTAAGATGCAACAAGTGCGATTACCCCCAGTACAGTGCAGCAAGACTCTGCTCCTACCGCATGGTTTACAGCTCTTAGACCTGGTCTAGGTAGCGTTAAATTCTTCGTAGTTAGGCTTCTGAAAAAGCATAGAATGACCCGTTCATTACGTACCACCTTGTATGATACCTGTTTCAAATGTTTGAAATACGGCTGCTTATTGCCACTCTACGTGACAGCATCGCATGTTGATTAGCTACCTAGGCAGTAAATAGAAGAAACAAGGGTGACAACAGGATGAAGCGGAAATATTGCAAGCAATGTAGTATATGTAAACTCCCGTGAAAGTCTGACAGCCCCACCGACTCCACTGAACTGTATACCATCCTTTATATTGGAACTGTAGGTTTGTTGTCTGAACTCCATGCCATGCGAGAGAAGCCTTTGCCAAACAGACTGTTAATGGCAATGAAAAGAAATATGCATCAGCATCTGATAACATGATTTAGCAACACAAACTGACATCATACAGGTCATAACACGTTAAAAAAGAACAATGAGCATCCAGGCCTAATTTATTCAACATAGGTGATCTTTGCATACCAATTGTCTTGAAACAATAAGACAATTGAGGAAAGTAAAAGCAGAAACGCGGCAATCAGCAGCGCAAACCCCAAAGGGAAGGTATTGGACAATGAACGGTAAGAGAAATCCAAATTACCCTTGCCTCGAGAAATATCTGATCCAGTTAGGCCTGAACCAAGTTTCGGTCGACGGCAGGGCGCTCAATTCCGGGACCCGGCCGAAGGATATCGTATCTTACGATGTCACTCTGACCAAGAACTGCATCGTAATCTCTCATGTCGACGACCAGGTAATCGGAGATATTGGTCCTCATGTGGTTGGCGATATGCCACTCCACGTTCTTAACAATGCCGTGCGGCTTGACTCCCCTGACCGGCGCGGAAAATGTCTGCAAAGGGTACAACTTTCGGTCATAAGGCTCCATCTTGAGGTTCAAAGATTTCCATCTCTCGAAGCTAAGGAGATTGTGACATGACTGTGTGTCTATCATCATCAAAACACCACCCTTTTCGCCGTCAGGTCTAATGATATAGGCAGTTGTTTGGAACAGGTTCTTGTCTTTGAGTGGATGAACAGAGACAGGAACGATGTCGGTCGGACTTGAAGTGACACCAGAGATGTCGCCTGTATGGTCGTCTAACTCAAACGGGGTTGTCTGTTCAGTTCCAATGCGTTGGCGCTCAATTCTCTCAGTGAAATCTGGTATCTCTAGGAGTGACGGATGGCTCGACGATGACGATGACGGTGTCAGCCCAATTGCTAAGTTGTCGGCTACGAGCCTGTCGTACTGGGCAGGACCATCTTCCGAAAGAAAGGGTATTCGAAGATCGTTACTCTGGCTATAGATTGCATAGCGCAAGGAGGTAGCTGTTCCAAGAAGTTGTCCTTCAAATCCAAAAGTGCTCCACGGATTAAGGAGAGGAATTTGTGCTGATCGAATATAAGGAGTTCGGGAGGCGACTGTGGAATGCTCGGCATAGCTGACACGCTCCACTCGACGTCCTCTCAAGTTAAACACACGTGAAGGCTTGATATAGTCCAGGATCCATATAAACCTTCGAGTTATGGACTTGAGAGACGAAGGCTGTTGCTGAACATCCTCACGGGAGCCTAAGGCTGCGGTCAAAGAACAAGTGGTCAGATGAGATGCCAATAGCCGTTTATTTGGGGTCACTTTCGCTCGGTAAGGCATTACTCACCGTTTGGAATGGACATGATAATCCTGGTTTTCAGTCTGAGGAGCTGGAAAGAGAGAGACTGATTCGCCTCGACTTTGCAACTTGAAATGGGAATGGGATATGGTATCACAGACGCTTCGAAAAGCTCTTCGAAGGATCAAGGAAAGGAAAGAAGAGAAACAGGTTGGCTCAACGCTCAACTGAAGTTATTGCTGCGGCGGGCTTGTGGAGATACCAGACGGAAGCGACAGCTCGCGACAGGACGGACACTTTGGCTCAGCGATGACTTCAGCGGCCATCCATTATAGCCATTTCTCTTTTTGCCGGCCAGGCCGTGTTAATTTACGAGAAGTGCTTGATACAGTGCCTGATACAATGCTTGGTACAGGTGTTCGACCGGACTCTCATTTTGTGAAGGGGGCAGGGCAGATTGTTCACTGATTATCCTCAAATCTGTTTTCTGGAGACTGCTCAAGGCGTTGTCATCTTTCGCCTCATTTTTTTGCAGCAGTGATTACTGACTAGCTTTCTCCAACCATGCCTTAGCAAGTGATCTAGAGGGCCTCTACTATTTCTTTACAACGTGGTTTGCCGACCGTCTGCCTGTGCCAAGCTCGATCACGATTATTCACGGCCCCCATAGCGAGATGATACTAAGCCATTTATCGCTAGCTGTCGGCTTTCTGGTGTCTTCGCCTTGACACGTTGACCCTTACATTGTGGGATTTAGTGGAATGGAAGCGCCCTCTTCTGGCCCACCAGGAAATGTGCGATGGTACCCACGGACCTCTACATCCGGTCGGTCTGGATTTATTAGAATGAAGATCGGATTGTGGCTGTGACTATCTCCGAGAAGACTCTACCCCTGATGCACACTCAGTCAACAAAGGTATTCCGAACGTCATAGAGTTTTGACTCGATACATCGTCACAATCGAGGCCTAGTCCAATACTCGGGTCCCTGACCAAACCGAGATCCATCGCAAGGCTGAAAACGCGCGCTTTACCCGATACGTTCATCGTCGGCGCTAAATGGTTTGGGGGCGCAGCTTTGTCCTCGCGTCGATCCCATCCTTTTGAATAGAAGTGGAGAATTCTAAAGAATACAAAGGCATGCACTTCTTAACACAGTACACGATAGATCTCTTTCGCGCAGCTTTCCCGCGTTGCCCGGTAAGCACCTTTGGCCCAATTTTTCTAACAACGCTATATTATAATAGCTTGTAGTATAGTTTTCCCGCGTTAGCCGGTAGAGGCCTTTACTATAGTTTCTTTTACTATTATGTTAGCTTTATAGTACACTCTATATAGTCTATATAGAAGCTTTATAAACGTGCTCTTGTTATACGGATAATAAAGCTGATAAAGTGCTAGCCGTGGTAACTGGTAAGGGTGAAGGTAAGAGAAGTAAGTGCTGAGAAGTATTACTCTAGTGTCAAGAAGTCTATTACGTTACCTCTCATTATACTTTGAATAACTTCCCTTATTATAGGGGTCTCGAATAGCCAGTATATTTCGTTTAAGCAAAGAACTGACACCCACCGCGCCGAAGAGGCCTTGTGCAGATACGAGGGCAATGAGAGTGCACTAGCTATAACAGGACGACTCGGCGCCAAGGTTTATGAAGCATGCTGGGTGGCGAATTTATGCAGCATCATGCTTGCCAAGGAATTGGCTTAGTTCCTCGTTCACGATTTAAGAAAGTGTTGTTGAGCATGTTCATCCTGGCCCTCGTACCGAGAGAACAATGATTTTGCTCATGTGCAAAATCATCCGGCATGCCTTCTAGAACAGCTAATACTTCGAACCATAGCAAGTACCTTGGTCAACACTGAGCTTTGGTGCATGTCTTGCATTCTACCTCAGCACGAGCAGAAACTCGCTGACATTCTTTCCCCACGATCTCTCATCCACCAACCAGAGACAAATCCGCTTCAACTCCTCTCCCGCCCGCTCGATCCACATCGTCGACCTGTTTGTCAATGACCCTTTCAACAGCAATACAATATTTTTCCCATCACCGGTGAGAGCCCCGTTAGCCAGCATCCTGATATTTGATCGAATATGCAGCTGCATCATGGCCATTTTCCGAAAATGATTGGCCCCTGAAGCCAAGGCACCCAAGCCGGGCATCCAGTTGAAGATCAAGGATTCTGCAGCTCGTACAAGGACATCACCGGTGCTGTCCAGACGATGAAAACCTTCGTGATACGGGACGGGCGAGTGTTGGCTTAGTTCTGCCGACTCCTGCTGCACTCGGCACAGGTAGTTGAGGACGGTTTCCTGGGGCTTGAAGGAGATGAGATTGAGGACAAAGCTCAGTACTGGCCCCGCGACGTCGATTACCGTGCCTGAGCTGGATGGTGAAGGTGAGACGAACGGGGATTTGGACCGGGAACATTCGAGGCTAATGAAGAATGCGTGCGTGTGATTTGTGTAGGAAATGATGGGTAGTGCCACGGCAGAGCGCACTAGAACCTCCGCTGTCACCTTTGGGTGAGCTCTATTCAAAGAAGTGATGGGATTTCGAACGTGACAAGATGGTCAGATTTTGATGCTCGCGAGCGAGCGATTGTCAGTTCGGCCCTTGGGTGAAGCCAGACAACGTGGCAGTGGTCCTCCACATTACGTAGATAATAGACATGGTGCGCAACCGCAGCCTTAGCTACTGGTGACCTGCGTAGAGTATGGTGTCGGCCCAGAATTTGTAGCTGACATGCGAATGGAGCGGTTGGCCACCTAGCGCCCGGTCCAGGTCGTCATGCAGTGACACATGAAACGTTTTGTTGAGGACACAGTGGCTGACTAGTGATATTAATTGATTATTACTCGCCATAAGATCAAAAGACGTGGATATTACTGCTCCAGATGGAGGCAAGACACCTACTGTTTGTCATAGAAACCGCAGGCTTCATTTCCTCAACATAGAGTACCAACGCTCGAAACAGCGGTCCAGGCAGCTTAGTATGATCCTTGAAGGGACACTCCATCTCTATCTCTTTAACATCCTTCATGTTCTGAACTTCTTCATGATCCATAATGCATTGATCCAGGGTGTCCCGAGATTGCCTTATCAAGGCGTAAAGTCCTAGCGTAGGGCCCGAGCGGGTTGGATCCACCACCAGAAAAGATAGAAGAATCGGGTTATTGAGCAACATATATTCAAGGGCACTGCGCATTGCCTTTTTTCGTTGCTCCCTTGGATAACGCGGTCGTGCGGATATTCCATGTGTCCACGATGCGTGGTTCGTTGATAATCTGCATAAAGCCTGTGCACGGAGTAACCGCGGTGACATCGTTCCAGCTCATGGAAAATGTGTTGAGTGCTTCCTGTATGGCAGCTTTCGTTTCCAAATATCCTTGCGGGCTCCCTCCAAGTTGTATCATGTCGTTTATTCTCGGTGAACTGTAGCCAGCTGAGAACCCAGAAGGGGACGATAACGAGGTCTCTTGCGTTGTCTGAGTGCATGTATCGTCTTGACCAGACTGTTCGGTCAAGTCTATTTGCTAGGCGATTGTAAACGCATTAACCCAATCGTCGAGCGGAACATTCACCCCATTTTCCTTTCGTGTGATGAGCATGGTGATACTGTCCGCGAGGTGCGTCAGAATGACATCCACGTCAACCTGGGACTAATTCACCCGAAGCACCGAGGCCCATGCGGCAGTGATTTGCTCTCCTGTCAGGGCCCTCTGCTCCTGTGGCTGACTTGAAGATCCTTTTGTCGCCAGTTCTGCCAGTTTTCCTTTTATTATCTTGCCAGAGCTTGTTCTTCGGTAGTCATTCACGTGAAGTGATGGCAGAGAAATCACGTCGCCCGGTACGTACATGTTTCCTAGTACGGTACGCACAGTGCTTTGGAACAATTGTGCCTCTTCTAGGATGATTTCCTTTTCAACAACGGCGACAGGGGCCTCACCAGCAGTATCATTTGCTAGGCCGACTATTTGCGTGTCCACGTCTGCCAATTCCTGTAGCATGGAAAGCACATATTCAATCCTAGCTGGCGATTTGTTTTCACCACCGCGCACAATGATATCTTTATCACGGTCAACGACAAATATTTGATCGCCGTGGTCTATAACCGCTTGGTCCCCAGTATTGAACCAGCCTCGTCCATCGACCTCATAGAACTGCTCACTATGTCCAGTGAAGTAGTCCGATGCCAAGCGATCTCCCGTAACATGCAGCTGGCCAGGGACCCCGCGAGGTAGGATAGTTTGTCCATCTGCAGAGTATAACCGAGCTATGCACCCGGGTATTGGCTTGCCAACAGTAACATCATGATTTTCCTGTAAGGTTGTCGAATCACTGACCGGTCCCGTTGTGATAAACTCGCTCTCCGTCATACCATATAGAACCTCAATCTGCGAGACACGTAAATGGTCCACACATATTTGCACTAATGCTGGTGTCAAAACCATACCGGCAAACGCAAACTCTTTGATACACTTTGCATCGGCCTTTGACAGAAGAATGCGCAGGCTGTGTACCATCGTCGGAACCAAGGTTAAGAAGCCACATTCTTCATTAACAATTGCCTTGGCTAGCGCAGACGGATGAAATCTAGGGCCAGCGAAGACGAGACTGCTCGCATTTAACAGGTGTTGAAAAATGCATATTCAACCGCATGGGTGACTATTTGGCAATGGGACAGCGACCTTTTCAACAGGGGACAATTTTCCAAATCTCACACGTCTCCCCAGCGCGTTGAACCAACGGTCAGCGCGAATTATGCAGCCTTTAGGACGGCTCGTTGTTCCACTAGTAAACACAACCATACTTTCTGAGCCGTGTGGAGGCGGAGGGGGTAGGTGACTTTCAGTCAACATATCATCCTCGAATGGAGTCCATTCTTTTTGCGGACCATCCAGGACACTCATCAACTTATTCGTAGGTAATCGAAGCTGATCCACCTTATGGGAAATCTCATTGTTGTTAGCCATAACAAGGAGGTATTATGTTTGCCCTGCTCCAGCACACAGTCAACCATATATTGGATATCATCCGTTTGATATAATAGGTCCGGTTTCAATGAGGCTTGAAGTAGTCCAAGCAAGTACCCTGCCATGCTTGCCAAGATGTACTTGGCGCGATTCTGATACATCAGAATGAACGGTGTCAATGGTTCTAGGAGGTAGGTGGAGAGGTTTATGGTCAAGCACTGGAGGGCTTGTTCGAGCTTCCTGTATGTCCATCGGAGACAGGAGTCTGAGTCTGCACTTGTGTAGCCTAGTTCACATAGGTCCCTGGGCTGATGCGTGCAAATGGCAGCTGTAGTCTCGGGATGCGCTGTCGCAACGTTTTTGTACTGATCAATGAGGGATCGAGTGGGTAGGCAGGGCCCGCCGTCTAGTTCGCTAAGTAGTGTCCCTCCAGCTCTCAGTATGGCGATTTGCTTCAGCAAAACTTGAATTTTTTTTTTTTTTTTTTTTTCCCTTCATTCGCAGAGAACAAGGAGAGAATGACTTTCAGCGCCTGTCGTTGAAAGAGAGACTCTAATGGCGTCCATCGTGTTTCACTCATGTTCTCATGTAAACCCGGCGACTCTCCTCTGCTTATTTTGGGCTATCATGGAATGTTTGCCGCCATAACCCCAGATCATGGTGAGGTTCCATGTCATCCGGTGATTTTCGCAAGGGGCGCGAAACACAGAACCGTTTTGGCATCGCGGGCCGTTTATGCACCTGATCTCTAGTATGTCTCCCTTACTAAAGCACTCGGCGTTTGACAACGCCATGACGCCAATCAATACACCCGGTCGCATCCATTTACCTTCACAACGCGATTGCTTCTAGGGGACCCGATCGTGTGAAACTACAACAAACGGAAGTTTGAGCAGAGGCGGTTTTAGCACAAGTATATCCCGAACAAGGATGGTACTTAGGCGATGACGAGAATTGATTACCCGGACATCTTCTATCCAGGAAATTGACACAAACGCGCCAAATCAGAGGACTATGTATACAACTCTCAATTCGTATAAATCGAATTTGTTGCAGCACTATTCCGAACGATCATAGAACCTGTGAACCACCACGTCATATGTTAGCAGTGTTGGTTGACGTCCGAGCACTGATCAAGCAAATATTTATATATCAGAATGGGGAAGACATTAACAAGAAATACAATCCAGCAATGGCTTTTTATCGAGGATTGACAAACATAAGTCATTCTGAGCTCGAATGTCGTAGAAGCAGGAACCATGGGAACGGGGGATTGCGAAAATGAGATGAAATGCCCGAGGACGATCACGTGTTGGTGACCTCATGCTCAAGAGACATAATTCTGAAAAATACGACTAGTACACATGGTTGTGTAGTGTAATGGTTAGCACATGGGATTTTGATTCCCATAATCCCGGTTCGATCCCGGGCATGACCTTCATTTCTTTTTTTTCCTCAGTAGAGGTCACCTCTATATGGTATTAGAAATCAATGAGGGACCCTGCCCTCTGTTATCTGGCCCCCCCGTCCCCCCAAAAAATAAAAAAACTCGTTACGCCCCGGGCATGAAGTTGGAGTTCACGAATTGTAATTAAAATCCGAATTTTTATTTGACAAAAGAGTGTAATACAACAATTGAGTGTAATGCAGAATTTGTACAGGTGACGTGGTGACAATGATTAATAGTTACATGTGCATTTTCTGTTCTGCCGGGGACTCAATATTGGCAGCAAAGATAGTAGAGTGGAAGAATGTAATGGCCCAAAAGGCGTGAAAAACAAGCTAGGAATCAAGTCTAAGCAGACGGGGGCGCAGAACCGGAGGGAGGCCCCTGTCCTCCGGAGCTGGCATCGTTGCTGACACCGCCGGACGAGGTAAGGCTCGCAGCATAGCTGACAGCGGAATCGTGGTTGGCAGTCACGTTGACACCAAGAGTGATCCAACCGAGAAGACCGTCCTCGATGGAGTTGCCGAGATAGGCATACTGGAAGAAGGGGTCGGAGTTGCTGTCCTCAGTCTCGACCTGTACGACGTGATCATCGGCGTTCAGGGTAATATCGACGGTGTTGGTGTTGTAAGGGTAAGTATCCTCGACGACAGAGATCAGGTCTTGGTCAAAGAACAGCTGACCAATGTGGGCAACATGACCGCCGGTAAGAGTGTTGTTGGGCAGCACAGAAGCACCGACGTGGGCGACAACGTGAACGTGAGTAGCGCGGCCATCATAGTGACCGGGGAAGACGGTGTTGAACTGAGCTACGCCCTCCTCGTCGGTCTTTTGGATACCACGCAAAAAGGTCCGGTTCAGGTTGGCGGCATCGTTTCCATTTCCGTTCATGGAGCTGTCGACGCCGGAGTAGACACCGGTGGAGTTGCAGTTCCAGACATCCCAGTACAAGTCCTGAATCGGCTCACAGGTGTTGATATCAATAAATTGTCCGTCCAAGATGATAGGGATACCAGCCTCCCCGTCACCAATGTCGGAGCGGATGAGCTCGCCCTTGACCCAGAACGGACCAATTTCTCCTTCAGGTGCGAGAAGGCAGACGGGGTTCTTGGCAAAGAGCTCCGAATCGGGCGTGTTGGCGGTAACATGGAGTGACGAGTGGTGGGAGGTGTTCACAACTTTGTCAGTGTCGCGGGCGTTGAGAGATCGTTTCCTGTACATATCGAGGATGGCGGCGCGACGGGCTTCCGCACGAGCATTGATACCGCGGCGCTCCAGCTGATTAGAGCACTTGTCTAGAGTCCGGCGAGCATGGTGCAAAAAGTTCCTTTTGCTAACATCGGTGTAGGAACTGGGCTCATGCGCACCGGGGTGAGCAATAGAGAGCCCGGCCAGGACTAGACCGGCGATTTTTCCGAGATTGGCGAAATGCATTATAAAACCTGTTTGACGACAGTTGCAACGAGGCAGTGGAGCGATAGAATGGAAGGAAAGGAAGAAAACGAAGTTGATGGTAAATGATTGACCTAAAACTTCGAGGACCAGCAGTCACTTTATATAGGGTTCATTCCCAACAGTAGCTCTATCCATGATAGACAACCAGATCTAGATCCACCCTACTTCCCAGGTCCATCTCCGAGGACACCAAGGTATTCCAACCCCGGTCACAGGTTTTGTCGCGGTATTAACTCGTCATGGCAGTCGTCAGCCAGCCGGGATGCTGTAACAGACTAATCCACTCAAGCACCGACATGCTAGGCATCTGGATATTCTTCAAATAGAGAGATAGCGAATTTACTACGGTCGACGCGTAGGAACTCCATCTGGCTGACCATCAGAGTGAGCCTGATTGAAGGGGAAGGATGGACCGGATGCTTGGCAGCGCCGAGGCGGAAGGCTTGGCATGCTTAAAGCACGGGATCGACAGGACGCCATGCCCCATCGGGGAAGGTGTCTCGCCCCCAGCCGGAGCAAAAGTGCTCCGCTGACTCATCTCAGCATCATCCACTCTGCAGTTCTGCAAGCAACTATTTACCCGTTCTTCCCCTGAATCATCTGCCGTCTCCCAATCACTGTCGACTCTTTGAAAGCATCGGGATTGATACTGTCCGATTATTCACCGGAAGTGGCTCAGCTAGCCAGTTACGGTCGCCTCCGAGTATGCAGCCCCCACTATCTGTCCATTCGAGATAGGCTTCCTGCTCACGTGCCTGCAGAACTTGTGCCGATTCACCGTGCTGTACCTTGATTGCGTGCTGGTCTGTAGGAGAAACGGTTGGTATCGAACATTTAGAGCCCCGTCGATCCACTATGAGTGGTCCTCCTGTTTCCGCACGGGGCGGGAAGGTCCGTAGTGCCTGCGATTTGTGCCGGCACAGAAAGGTAATGTGGGAATCCTAACACCGAGGCCTGGACCATAGCCACTGATTTGCAGGCCTTAGATCCGCTGTGATGGAGTCAAGCCTACCTGCGAGACGTGTCATTTTGCAGGCGTTCCTTGCACGTTTACCATGACCCCGACGGAATCCCGGAAAAGCACCCGAGAGTAAGGCCCAGACATGGCTGAGGCATGAGTGTACTACGTCTGATGAGTCTAATTGTGGATGTGCAGGCAACTCTCCGAGGCTAATTCTAAAATCAGAGCCTTGGAATCTTTGATCGCAGCCCGCGATAATCTCCAGAGGCTTGGTCATAGCGCCCCGGGCCAGGCTTTGCACCGAACCGGCATTTCTCTGTCGCTCGGTGATTCGTATTTGTTGGACACGCATCACATTGAGACGGCTCTGGCCACATTCCGCCAACACATTGCCTACTGTGGTCCTGGAGTGCCTTATTTTAGCTTACGGGCATACTTCTATTCTGCCGTCAGCGAACGCACGGGCTCGGATCTGGACCTCGACTTCTTTTTACATCAAGTGGCCGAATCCTATAAATTACATCACCCGGTAGAGGAACTGCGCGCCATTCCTCAAAAATGGCCAACACCTCAATTGATTCAGCAATGCATAGATCATTTCTCCAGAAGCGGGTTGTATTCGGTGTTTCCTATCGTCGATACCGCCGTTCTAAGGGAGCTGCTCAACTCTGGTATCATGGATGACCCAACAGACCCAACCCACACTGCTAATCGCGCATGCCTCGTTGCTTTTACCGCTCTCGTCACCGAGCTTCATCGCCTTGAACCCGCTTTTGCCAACGCAGATCCCGATGCTTATCTCCAAACAGCTCTGGGCCTTCTACCAAAACTGCTGATGGAGACGCCGGACATGAGAACTCTAGAGACTGTCGTCATCATAGTGAGTCGAGCCTGTTAAGTTGCCATAGTAGGACACTAATCAAATACTCAAGATGGTTTACATTCTGCCGATCGGCCAAGCTCAAGCAGCCGGCATGATGCTTGCAATTGCCGCCCGAATCCTGTATAGTCTTGGCGGCCACAGAACGAGGCAGCTGGACGAGTCGCAAGACCACCTTCCACACCGGAAGCATCTACGCGCTCTCTTCTGGCTTTGCTATACGTTGGACAAGGAAATGTCCATTCGATACTGTGTTGCTCCTCTTATAAATGATGCCGATTGCGATTTGGAGCTACCCGAGAACTACGTCATGAGTTCTTCAGACCACCAATTCCTTCAAAAACCTCTGTCGTCCGACGAGCTTCTTTACCCCTCTGACCTCCGACTCGCGATGATAAAGTCCAAAATCTATCGCCTTCTCTACCACGACCATGGCTATACAGTGGATGAAGCGAGGCGTCTTCAGCATATTCGGGAGTTAGATCAAGAACTAAGCGAACTAAAATCGAGTTTCCCTATTGGCTTCGAGCCCGACTCTTTGGCGACGGAGACAGAGCCGAACTATGGGTTTCACGATCTCAGTTTACGGGGAGTTAACCTGCACCTGGAATATTATCTTTGCCTGGGCAAAATCCACGAAGCAAGCAGTGCATGCGGAACTCCATCGCCCAATAGCTGGTTCCCGCTCCCTTCCAGCGTGGAGATATGGTCTCATGCTGCAAGATCTACACTGTTGTATGTTAGCCGGGCGCGCGAGTATTTGAACTGGCACACCTTTTGGTGAGTACATGTGAGAATTCCTTGATAAACCGAATTCTTAACTTCCCGCAGGTTGCACGCACAGTTCATTCTGACGGCTGTTCTGTCGCTTTTCTGTTACATGATTACGTACCCGACTGCGCCGACCTTTCCCAGGGATATCCAAATCATGCAGGACACAGTAGAGTTGTTCGGCGATCTTCATCGAAAGAGCCATGAGACCAGGTGCTTTCCACCGATGTATTTCGCCGAGGCTTTCATTCAGAGGCTGGTTTTCTTGGCTCAAGAGGCCTTGGTAAAAGCGATGAGGCGATTATAGTCTTTCTAGCCGAGACCTCAGTACGAAAAACAATAACGAGAAATAAGTTCCACCATTTGATCGAGGCTCATGACATGCTAATAACTGGAGCCTGGACGATGATAACTAGCGAGAGGGTTGATCACTTTTTGTTTTGTCGTCCCATGAGATTTCGCCAATCCGCGCGGATATCACGCAAGCCGACCCCTCCAAATGATGCCATTTTGGCTGAATGTCCATCAGCAGACTCCAGAGGGATCGCGGGACCGGGGAAATACAGTTATTAATTGCCGGCTTCTGGCCGTCTTTGTTTTTTCATCCTTCCAGCTGCGGATTCTAGGCATCGGCTGGCCTGCCGCGACGGAAATCAAGCAACCGCACCAATACAGAGACTCTAGCCGACCACACCCATCATCAGATCATCAACCTTTGGAATTGCGACAGTCGGATTGAGCTTGCGACTCTCCGACACCGGCACTCGAACCGTCTCAGTACGTGCATAAGGTCCTTGGCGGAGCCTAGGCACATCGCCTATCATTCATATCATTAGGCCTGAGTGGCTAGGATATGGTCGCTTAGCAGAGGACACAATATTGCCGAACGATAACAGCTTTGACGGCTGTAGACCAGTTCAAACGTAACAAATCTGGCATATTGCGTGCCAGCGTTATCTTGACACCCCATACCAAAAGCTCCTGAATAAAAACCCAGATTGTCGCCCAGCCATGACAAGATTGCCAACGCTGGGCTTTTTCAAAAGCTCCTTCCGGTATTCTAGAATCATGTCCGATGATAAAAGAATAAGTGAGCCCTTGGTCGAGGAGTTGCCTCGGCAAACCTACACCCACCTCCATAGGGGTGCAGATTCTCTGCCGAGTAAAGATGGAGTACGGACAGAAACATATGGGCAAGACTCTGCGGCGGACGGAGACAATCCTTTTTCTGATCCGGAAGTTGCTGCTAGATATGCCCTTCTGTACGAGAAGGCGCAGTATGAATGTCGGCATGTTTTTGATCCTACGATGACCTGGACCCCGGAGGAAGAGAAAGCACTGGTGCGGAAACTAGATTGGCATGTGTGCTTGTGGGCGGTGCTTACTCCCCAAATCATCCCTTCATTTGGATTGTGCTGATGGAGCTTTAGTGTGTCATGTTCTTTGGACTCCAGGTTGATCGAGGCAATTTGGTTCAAGCTGTGTCAGACAATCTGTTGGACGACCTCAACCTGTCTACAAATGGTAAGACCTGCACTACCTCAGCTCGATGAAAGGAAGCTTACCACCTTTAGAATACAACACGGGAAACATCATCTTCTACGTATCCTTTCTTCTAGCTGAGCTGCCATCGCAGTTGGTCTCGAAACAGATCGGTCCTGATCGATGGATTCCAATGCAAATTTCATTATGGTCGATTGTTGCCACCACCCAGGCCGGGCTAACGGGACGGGCATCCTTCTACACAACGAGAGCTCTTCTAGGTATTTTGGAGGTTGGTACATTCTATAGTTTTTAAATTGTTTCAACTGACCCATATCAGGGTGGATTCATTCCCGATATTGTCCTTTGGTTGTCCTACTTCTACACAAGCCGAGAGCTTCCGACTCGCCTTAGGTAAGAGCGACGTAAATTCTCCGGCTATAACCACTAACATTGCATAGTATATTCTGGACCGCACTCTCTGTGACTACAATTGTTACCTCTTTCATGGCCTTTGGGCTCCTCCACATGCGAGGTGTTCTGGGGTGGGCAGGCTGGAGGTCAGTAATCCTCGGCTTCTTCAGAATAGGATCGTAACTAACGGAATCAGATGGCTATTCCTCATCGAAGGTCTCATCACCCTTCTCATAGGCTTGATATCATTCTTCAGAATGCCCGCATCGGCAGTAGAAACCAAGAAATGGTTCCGCCCCAAAGGGTGGTTCACCGACCGTGAAGTCCGAATCGTCGTGAACCGAGTTCTCCGAGATGATCCATCCAAGGGTAAGCAAACACCGCCATCGCCTCCATAGGACAAGGTCTAATTCACCTAGGCGATATGCACAATCGACAAGCAATCACTCCACGACGTCTCTGGAACGCTCTCCGCGATTACGACCTGTGGCCTATCTATCTGCTTGGCATGATCGTGTACACTCCCATGGTCCCAGTGACTCAGTATATCACTCTTACGCTTAGGGGACTTGGTTTCAACACAGTAAGTCATTGCATTCCCAGTCTTAGCTTCCTCATTACTAACAAACTAGTTTGTAACCAATCTCCTCACCATTCCCCACAGCGTGGGCCACATCATTCTACTCCTCACTCTGACTCGTATAAGCGAGTGGTTGAACGAACGAGCCCTCACATCCATGGCACAGAGCCTTTGGACATTGCCCTGCGTCGCGGCATTGCGGTTTTGGCCGCAAATCATGGAAAACGCATGGGGAACTTATGCCGTGGTGACAGTGATGCTCTCTTATCCCTACTGTCACGCGATCCTGGTGGGCTGGATATCTAAGAACTCGAATAATGTGGGAACAAGAACTGTTTCTGCTGCGATTTATAATAGTAGGTCTTTCCATTTCCCCAAAATATAAAGGCCTGTCTGTCTAAGTCAAGAAACAGTGTGTGTGCAATTAGGCAACATCATCGGAAACAACGTTTACCGCGAAGACGACAAGCCCAAATACCACAGGGGAAATTCAGTTCTACTGGGTCTTAATATCTTGGCTATATGTCTGTTCCTTGCGACGAAGGTGTATTATGTGCTGCGAAACAGACACAGAGATCGTGTGTGGGCTGGCATGACGGATGAGGTATGTTCTTTTTTCCGCTGTTTTGCTTATTTCGATGTACTGACGTGATGGCAGCAACGGCAAGACTATGTTGAGAATACCAAGGATACAGGGAGCAAGCGACTGGACTTTAGGTTTGCTCATTAGCGATTGGGTTGACTTTTCCGGTTAGGTCCCTTAGATGGAATCTTCAGGCGGCGAAATACACCATCTTCAGGTGAATTTCGTGATATCTTGTTATCCCGGGCAGCCGTTTCTAGTCTCGGTCTCCAGCCTGGTTAACTATGTTGCTTGATTCAAGTTCCTAATTTAATATGACATGAACCGCTACCTAATTTTCAAGCCCCTGTCTTGCAAGCAACAAACGCTCATCGAGGTGCAAAAGCAAATATGATAATCTTAAGTCTCGTCCCACGCGGAAAGTCAAATACCAAAATCTAGAAGCCTAATAACCAAAAGTCCCATGGAAAAGTGTTTTAAAACAGATGAGAATGAAAAGGAACGTCCCCCCAAAACACCCCTACTTTAATTCTTCCCCATCAACTCAAACTCATCCAACCAATTTCTCTCATGCTCATCATAGCACGGCTTGCTCCCATCATCATTATCCCCATTTACATCCTCAACGTCCACAAATACATCTTCGCCAAGTTGCACCCACCCCGTCGCGACCTTTGCACCTCTTGTCCTCCTCAATCGCTCCATCAGCGACACCCTACCACCATGCTCATCGCTCCACTGCCCGGGGTTCTTCCACACATTCACACGGAACAGTTGCCCAGGGCGAAAGAAAAAGTCGGGGCCGAGGTCTGCGTTCGACTCCGGGAACGGATGACGCGAGGCTTCATGAATATCGGCAAAAGTCAGGATCAAGGTGCGTCTGATTTCGGCCGAGGGGAGACGGGTATTCTCGTCTAGTGAGAGGTAGATGTTGCTGGCGTCGAGGACGATATTGGGTGCGCGGACCATGATGTGCGAGATGTGCCATTGGAGGGGGCTGCCGTAGAGGTAGAAGGGCATTTCGTCGGGGTAGATGGGGTCTTGGGTGCTCCGGGATAAGGAGTGGTGGGCGATGAGATGGGAGAGGGTTAGGGGTCGAGGGAAGAAGAGGGTTGGTGTGCTGTAAACTGATTAAATGGTGACTTTTAGACAGAGGGTGTCTCTTTCCTTGAGAGGAAGGGGGAAGAAAGGAGAGAGAAAAGTACAGTACCCACTTGTTCTCGTGGTAGGATACATCATTTACTACCGCCCGGCCGTCGTGTTTGAAAGAATTTATTATCCTAGCCAGAGAAATACCGGAGATTCCTGTGACTGAGCATATTGCCGAAGGATTTGTTTCCTTGGCGCATCTGTACGGTTTTCTGATTGCTGATGGCAGAGTCGCTGCGAATATGACTTGTTGTCGGCGATTCGCCTGGTGGAAACAAGGTCGACTGACTAGGTATATGTCCTTGCCGGTGCCTTGCAGACGGAAGTCGACAGACTCGGTCGTCAAGATATTGCGACTGCGACAATACTATATTCAAATTCAACCCAGGTCCTTTGGAAGGGTGCAGGCACGGATAAGCAGATAGATGGGTGGATATACCTCGACCTCCTCCTGTACAATCTTCCGAAACTCCCTCGTTATCGTGGCGAAACAATCACTGCGTCCCATAAACGGATTCATGACCGTGTTCCTGAGCACGACCAAGCTCTCTTCTGACTCCTCCAAGCCAAGTCTTTTCTTGTATGACTCTAAGCATCTTCCATATCTGCTGACCGAGAATTCAGTAGAGGTTAGATAGAACGGAACTTTAGCAGGGTCCGCATTTGGCAAATCGATGGACAGCCTTTTGACTACTCGTCTCATCAGGTCATTTGCTTCTTCGACATCAGAATTCAGACTTCCGTCGCTGTAGCGCCAGTTCAACGCAAAGGCATTGATATTAAGATCTGAACCCATATTTCGCACAAAGGGTATAGTTTGGTGGTCTTGCTGCTTGGTTGCCTCATCTTTCACGATACCGTCATATGATTGGTCAAGGACATCACGCTGGATACTGTCCGTTCCAATGGGAACTTCGTTGAATAGGCCACAAATGAAAGAGTCAGTCGAGGAGGTTAGAGTGGCCCAGCACGCGGCCATCTGTATGTATTAGCTCCTATCCGTTCCAGAAGGCTGAGATCCTACCTTTGCGCTGTTGAAAGACACCTCCCCGAGAAGCGCGCCGTATCCGGAGCCATTCAGGCCGATGCAGTAATTAGATAACCAAATGGACATGGCAGCCGCACCTGGTTTGCTACCAAACGTCAGTATAAACATTTCCGTTTGCTGTCAGAAAGCACGTACCTGCCCTGCAAGCCGTTCGAACCGACATTCCCTTCCGAGCCATTTGCTAAGTATGGTCCTGTGCAGGATACCAAATTCCCCATTCTCCTATCCCGATAGACAATGCTTCCCGCCGGATAGGGAACATATCCCGCTTTATGTGGATCTACTGTGATGGAGTCGGTATGCCGAAGTGCAGCCAGGGATTCTTCCGTATCTTCACTCAGCTTCATTGCATGATGGACTTCTCTCTTACTCCCTTTGAGGGGAGCAGCCTGAGAGGAGGTTATGGGTAGATTATCATGGTCGCGCGGTAGCATCGTAGTGAAGTATCCACCCCAGGCTGCGTCGGCATGAACGAGGAAAGATAGACCTTTGGCTTGAAACCTGCTTCTTAGAGCGATGATCTTGCTCAGGCTATCGACTGCTCCTACCTCTGTGGACCCGATGATTGCAACGACGGCGTATATAGCTCGTTGTCTTTCAAGGCATCTATGTAGATGCGTTTCAAGCATCTCGATGTCAACTCTTCCTTTAAGGTCCACTTCGATACCGACCATGTTGTTCGATCCGATTCCTATGACTCCTGAGCATGTTCTGTTAGCGCTCGTCTCTCCAAAAGTAGAAACTCAAGGGTGATAGAAATGGAATACAAACTTACCTCCCCCTTTCTCCCACGAATAATGATTCGTCTTCCCCAAGAGGAGTTGCATCTGATCCTCAATTCCAAATATACGGTCCAGCGCTTCCTTTCCCACTTTCTGTACGCTATATCTCGCTAGGGTGGTCCCTAAAAAGCGTGCTGAGATACCGAAGGTTCGATGAAGCATGGCAGGGAGATCCAAGATTGTCTCAGGTCGCAGGTTCAGCAACTCCCACGTGTCCAGCTCCTTGAAAAGCTTCTCCTCCCCGATACATGTCCGAACCAGGAACCGATCCGCGACGAATGCAAGATCGCCCTCGGTGATAGCAAGCCACAGCGTCAAAGGATAGTACTTCAAGTTTCGCGCTGTGCTTAGGAAATTTTAGCGGCATGTTTCACATTACACCTATCGTCGAGTGTAGACACGAAAAACGATAGAACGACTTACCAACCCACATTGCCTCAATGTTAGCCACCGTCCCGTCGCAAGTGACGTGACCCCATCCCTGGACCTTCCCATCGTTTCCATTGCCAACGTTGTACCCGAACAATCGACAGAACTGGTTTCCCACTTCCGCCTCCACAGCAGTAGTCAAGGGACTGACTTCGGGAGTTATATTGTTGGGATTGTAGAGCATAGCCATGAAATAGCCTAACAGGGCGGGCATGCTGAGGTCGCTGCACATGTGGGCGCCGTATCGCGGAGACCAGTATGGGATGGAGTGCTTGGCTAGCATCTTACTGGCAGAGCGGATGGCGTCTGCGATGCGCATGGAGAAGGACTGAAACTCGTGGGTATTTTGGATGCTGGATGTTATCGCTCTCTTGGAATCTTGTTAGAGGGTTCTCGATTATGTCTGATTTGTGGATAGATGGAGGGATTGGGAGGACAATACTTTGTCGCGCGGAGCGTAGCTCTGTCGAGCATTCTCTAGCTCACTTAGAATGGTAAAGATATGTTGCCTGAAGATGGCCATGTTCTCTGCATGAGGACCTATAAACAAGGCGCCGATGGCCTGGTGGATGGGATCATTTTCATCCATGCTAGATTGATGTGATGGCAGTTGCAGAGAGCAGGATGTGAAGCTTTTCTTTTCAGAGAGCTCATGGTGGGATATCTGCTGGAGAGCTAAGCGAAGTTCATGTAGTGAATAAGTAGATGCTGCCGTCGGGAATATCTGCATCATCTTGGAAGCTTCCGCTAATTGTTGCATACACACAGCGCTAGTAAGTACTTGGCATTGCCGTGCAGGACAGTCTTGCATCGCGAATCTCCACTCTAAGTACCTATATGCTGGGAGGGAATATTTCCGGTCGGTAGATACACTTTCTAGAAGAATCTTGGAAAAGTCCTGCATCGAGCCTGGGCACATGCGCATATCCCGAAAGCCAAAATGGGGATCCTGCTGGCTGATTACAGCTGACATCATCATTATATTCTAGATATAATACATAACTACGTAAACAGATATTCTAGATCTATTGCCCAACCCGAATGTCTAAAGAAGCGCAGCCAATCCCACTGCTGCAGCTCCCAGCATCATCCCCGTATCCCCCGTCACCCTGGCCATTCCGCCACCACTACTTGTCGAGCTGGACCCCGTCTGCGTCGCCGTCGCTGTCGCCGTCCCAGTAGCCGTGGCATGAGACGTACTCGTCCCCGGCCACGTCGGAGTCGCGCTCGTCACCTCGCCACCTGTTATCGTCACCGGTAATCGCGAGAAACTCGTCGTGGTTGTGGAGGTGTGCAGGCCCGAACTGGAGCCCGAGGCGGAGCTAACGGTTGCTCGACAGACAGCCGTTGATTTCTTCTCGTCGACCGAGCAGATTATGGCGAAGAATCTAGATAGGTATTAGTAGCTGTTCATAATTTGCACCACCATTGAGGGTTGGATAGACTCACGTCCCGCCTGTAGGGTCGTCCATCATGTACGTTGTCGTTGAGTCTTCGGCCAGCAGTGTCATTCCGGCGCCCATCCCGCAGTCATCTTTGTCTGTACTAGGGCGACAATTGATATTATAGCTTGTGACGGTAGCATCCTACATGCACGCATTAGATCAGCCAAGAAAAAAAAAAGAAAAGAAAAGGCAAATCGTCCACCGCGGGAATCGAACGACCTTCGTAGCTGCTGCTTTAGGCAACAGCCCCGGTCGGTCGGAGCGGATCGGGGCGACTGCGGGGGAAAACGGGGACTGACGTTTCCGATGATGGAGGCCACCAGCGGCTGCTCGTCGGCGCCGTAAACGAACATCGAACTGACAGGGTCCTTTGCCGCGACCAGACCGACCAGAGCCAGTCCGGCGAGAAATTTCAATTGCATCGCGCGCGAAGGTAAACAAGGGAAAATCGGTCGGGCGTTAAGGTTAAGGGGAAAAGGGATCACTGAATGGGATGGGATGATGAGAGGATGGGAGCACCGGAACAAGGCAGCAAACAAATCGTGGCGCAGGGACCGGACTAACTAAGGCCGATTTTGGCGCCGGGATCGACAATTGAGTTCCAGGGACCAACAGGGTCAGACAGTCAGACTGTCAGTAACAGCATCTGAGACGATATTTGACGTCATGACATGCTTTGCCGTTTCACGTCGGGTGGAATGCCTCAGGATGAACATGCGGGCAGGTGCTCTGTCAAAGCCCTAATTCTTTCATCTGCGATACTCCATTATCACAGCATCTCTGCGGAAAATGTTCTTTCTTTGATTCCGCTAATGGCTGAGGAAGTTAATTATAGACCTGCTTGCACCTCCGACCGGGATCTGCGCCACACTATTGATTTGTCCAGATTCTGAACGGTCTGTGCGCCAATGATTGCTGCCTGTTTGCCGCTTGGCCCTTGCTCTGGAGTTGACAAAGAAGAAAAGGCACAGAAAGAGCCTCTTCATCTTTATTTTTTCTGTATCCCAAGAACCTGAGTCTCCTCAAAGATCTTTAAGATGAGTGCCAAAAATGTATGAGCCTCAATATCAGCGAGAATAATACCTCTGGCATGCATGGAATATTTTCCATTCATCTTGAATTAAATGTAGTTTACCTATTTATAACTCCTTTTACGGACAAACGGACAAGGCAAGAGGAGAATTCACCAGCAACGCTAATGATAAGCGAATCAAATATAGCCTTTCCTACGGTGATTATCTTAGATCATCTAACAGTATAAGATTGATCAATGAAAGGATCCAAAATCCTACTGTGTATGGGGATACAAAACATTTGCTAACCGCCTTAGAGACCGGTCGCATTCGTCGTCTTAATGCTAGCTAGACTCCTACCTATCAGTCCTATAATTTTCTTTCGTCGCAAAGAAAGCTGCAATCTCATTGAGTTAGTCATAGGCTGCTCATATACTATAATGTACATCCTGCTTTCTTCCTCCGATGATGACCTTCATTCTTCCCTTTCATGCGGCCTCGCTCTATATTAATTTCAAGACAACATACCCAAATCTATTATAACCACAAACCACTTCCCTTTACACGGGATTTAATTGAGTAGAAGCTTTACGATACGACGCCTATTTGCCATTCATCCAGAGAACAAGTTATTCATATACAGCAATTTTCATTTTCCGCACTATCAACATTCACTATCCGAAACCTGCCATTCATCAAAAGACACCGACAACAAGCATGATCCCCTTTCTACATAATGCACAAGATCCTTTCGCGATAGCATTGACCCAAGATCAAACTCGATCTTCGAAAGCTTTTGAATCATGGAAATTGCTAAAACCAGGGTTCAGGAGGTAACAAACACCGACCTCCCATCTAAGGTATCAAAGCTCGCTATCCAAATATGCATAACAGCCATGAAGACTACTGGGGTAGCAGATCGTGAGACAAAGCTTTAACGGCCCCTGCCAAAAGATTGATCGCCGGCAAGGTTTCTCAAGTCCCATATCTTAGGTAGTCGCGTGTATTACTTATGGAGAACATGAGCTAGTACTGGCCGTCTGCGTAATATTGAAGAGCAGAGTAAATAACGGACCAAGAATAGGCAGTCTACAGATTATTCGCTCTCTTCAATGTTTACTTTTTGCTGCTTCCGAGAGCAAGAAGCTAATACCAGCACAGGTTGATATAGTACCCAACTTTAGTATCGTTCTTTGGGAGTTCGAGGTGCTCGGCAAGCAACCAGTTAGGTACGATCTGTTATGAATGGAACCCCGAGAATATGTTTCTACTTTCTAGCTCCTATCTTCTGTATCGAGACTTCTCTTAACTTCTTTTTTGAATTGCTCGTAATAGTTGAGAGAACCCTGCCTCTAGTTTGAATAGACTAGGGCTGCGTCCCGTTTCCCATTCATAGACAAGCATGGAGCGACATGGACAAGTCGTAGTCAGACTCGCATAGTTATTTGTGGCCACGATAAACAGAGGAGACTTGCAAAGGCGATCCATCACTTTCCATGCAGCATTCGGATCGCCTTCTCAATTAATATAGATTGAGGTCTTAAAAAACTTATGGATGCTGTATCCCTGTTAACTTGCATGGCGTGCGGGGGAGTGAGGGAAAGGGAGAGTCCTAGCCCCATCTTCTCCGGTCTCCCATCGCGGTGTCACCGCTTCCTCGTGCAAACACGACAACAGAACCTCGAAGAGGGGTAGGTGAATTGTGAAATGCAAGTAAGCTCGAATTAACGGTCACTCCGATGGTATCCGCTCCTAACGGTGCGCCACCAGAGTCCTCACTATCTGCAGAACCGGTCGTACAAGTGTAAATGGGCGGAAGTGGGAGAAACCCACGATCGATAGCCTATGCAAGCTCAGTGTTCAGAGAACAAATAGATATACTCCCTCTGAGCACACACGTGGAAAAAAAACGCACTGTTGCACAGCGTGGTGAATGTTCCTGGCATTCCCGTCGCGGAGGGAATTCGCAAAGAGGCAACGATCACCTCCCACCGCACCAGGAGCTCACGCAACGAGACATCCATGCAAGGAGGGAAACACACAATTCTGCAGGAACAAGCGATCTACACCGATTGGACACAGCTCCGGTTAGCCTGTTCTATCCGAAACTGCCACATCCGAACCCCTCACCAACTTCATTTATCCATTCTTCGACTCATCACCGGGTGGCGACGACGCCATCCCGCCCACAATCAGGCGACGAAGCCAACTCGCAATCAGTCCCAAGAAAACCGAGATGAAAGAATGTCTTGGCCAGTGCAACCCTGACCAGCATCGCCGTCGGGGTCCCGTCGAATTGGCTCGCCGCCATACGCAGTTCTTATCTCTGCCAAGCGACGCGATGCTCTTGGCCCGGCACTCACCCCAGCGCCAAGGGAGGTCCAGCCGGACCAGAGGCGGGAAATGCCTGCTTATGCCGTGCGATGGCGCTGGTATGGCCTGCGATGGCGCTGGTTCTGCGATGCGGGGGAGAGAATCCTGACTTTCCGTAAGGAGACTGTGATTGTGATCACTGATCATGCGGTGATAACCAAACGGGGGGGTAAGTGAAGCCAGCGCAGGGCAGGCGCGACTATAAATACCTCCCTCCCGACGCATTGGCTGAGGACCTTGAGGATTGCGTTCCGGCACGGTTGGTCTGTCAATTGATTAGTGTGTTTATTTTTATTGTTTGCTTTGTCGGTATGAAGACTGCTGTGTTGGCCTCGTTGATCAGCTTGGCCTTGGCTAAGGGTCACCATGGCAAGCCCCCTGTGTCTCCGGTCAGTTTTCCAATTGCCCTGTCGCTCAATCCACCGCAAGGTCCTCAGTTGACTGACACTCTACATTCTCTAGAAATCCTTCCCCGATGACATCAAACTGAAGGATCTTCTGCGGGGATCTAAGGTTCTGGAGGACTTCGCCTATTCCTACCCTGAGCGCAACCGTGTCTTCGGCGGCGCCGCGCACCAGGACACCGTGGACTGGCTGTACAAGGAGCTGAAGAAGACGGGCTACTACGATGTCTGGAAGCAGCCACAGGTGCATCTGTGGACCCGGGCCGACCAGAGTCTGACTGTGGACGGCGAGTCCATCGAGGCCCAAACCATGACCTACAGCCCAAGCGTCGATGTCAGCGCTGAATTGGCCATCGTCTCCAACCTGGGTTGCTCGCCCTCCGACTACTCCAGCGATGTCGCGGGCAAGATCGCCCTGGTGCAGCGTGGAGAGTGCACCTTCGGCGAGAAGTCGGTCTACGCCGCCGCCGCCGATGCGGCCGCTACGATCGTCTACAACAACGCCGAGGGAACCGTGGCCGGCACTCTGGGGGCCCCGACCAGCGAGCTGGGCCCCTACTCCGCCATTGTCGGTATCACCAAGGCCGACGGCCAAACCCTAATTGACCTGGCCAAGGCCGGTGCCGTGACGGTCGACCTGGTGGTGGATAGCCAGCAGGAGAACCGCACGACGTACAATGTCATCGCGCAGACCAAGGGCGGCGACCCGAATAATGTCATCTCTCTCGGAGGTCACACCGACTCTGTCGAAGCCGGTCCCGGTATCAACGACGACGGCTCCGGTATCATCAGCAACCTGGTCGTGGCCAAGGCGCTGACCAAGTACTCGACCAAGCACGCGGTGCGCTTCTTCTTCTGGACCGCTGAGGAATTCGGCCTGCTGGGCAGCGAGTTCTACGTCAACAGCCTCAACGCCACCGAGCTGGCCAAGCTGCGTCTCTACCTGAACTTCGACATGATCGCCTCCCCCAACTACGCTCTTCTCATCTACGACGGCGACGGTTCTGCCTACAACCAGTCCGGTCCCGCCGGGTCCGCTCAGATTGAATACCTTTTCGAGGACTACTACAAGTCCAAGGGTCTCGCCTACTTCCCCACCCAGTTCGACGGCCGCTCCGACTATGAGGCATTTATCCTCAGCGGCATCCCCGCCGGTGGCGTCTTCACCGGTGCCGAGGGCGTCAAGACCGAAGAGCAGGCTGCGCTGTACGGCGGCCAGGCCGGTATCGCCTACGATGAGAACTACCACGCCAAGGGCGACAACTTCACCAACCTCAACCAGGAGGCTTTCCTGTTGAACTCCAAGGCCACCGCCTTTGCCGTTGCCACCTATGCCAACGACCTCTCTACCATCCCTAAGCCCAACACCACCTTCTCCGTCTTCCAGCGCTCCTCCGAGCGTAAGCGTCGCAACGCCATCCGTCGCCAGAACCCTCGGGCTTTGTCGCACTCGCATAAGCACGGCACCGGATGCTTTCATTCCCTGGTGGAAGCGTAAATAACCTTTTTGGGTAGATACATCTTTACAGTCTCGGGTTTGATTCTCCTGAGAGATAAGAAAGAAGAAACGGTATAAAAGAACCTCGGTTCACGTCTATGTATATAGACCTTTCCTATAGCATTTCAAACGATCAATGAAATATCCATACCAGGCATTGGCTCTTCTTCCGTTTCATTCCTTAAACACAGTAGTACTCCGTACACCTTACTACTCGTACAGCATGCACATACACCCATTCAGTCATTCATCAAGAATCATCGCTCACTCATTTGAACCCCCAACTCCAACCAGCCATGCACTCGAAATCCTCAACCCACCCAACACCTGAGCTCTTACTCCTACATAACCACACACGACCCCCAAGATAGTCACTGCGCCTTAGGCGGATACTTCTTTCCGTCCTTCTCCACTTGCGGCGTGCAGCTGCATCGCTCGCTCTCGGGGATCGAGTCCATGACGGACGGGATGTGGCTGCCGCAGCCGAACCAGCTGGTCTTTTCTAATGGGGGTTAGTTGAGTTCAGTTTTAGCTGTGAGGGTAGGTTCGGTATGCAGGTGCGGGGGTTAGTTTAGATAGATGGTGATGAGAGGTGGGGTTCGTACGGCAGGTAGAGCAGACTGCTTTCATGCACATTTTGGTTGTTTTTTTCTTTCGTTCTGTTTTTGGAATTGGGGTTGTTGATGAAATGGAATGGATTGTGAGGGTGGAGGACTGGTTCTGGAGTTGTACAGTAGAGGAAGGAAAGTAGAGAAAGATATAAGGGAAAGAAGGAGGGGAGATTATTCGGCAATTGAGGAAGGAAGAAAAAGTGGAGAGATCGGGGTCTTAGTCATCGGTCTCTCGTCTTCGCCGAAGTCGCGGGTTTCTTGAAGTCCCCGAGATGTAACTTCGTGTGACTATTCCGACTAATATCCAGGGGCTTTATTTCTGACTTCTACTTGGCTGTGATTGCTACTAGTTGCTAGGCAAGGAAGAGAAAGTGAAGTCGTGGTCATTCCTATTCCTATCTATCCTGTAACTCATGGATCAAATATCCTCCGTGCACTGATACATCGTGAAAGTCATTAGTATATTACAGCTTCACCGTCCGGTCGGATCCGGGTGCGCAACATGCTCGCGCTGGCTCCGGGTGCAGTGTCGACTGGTTGAAGGCCTGGTTCGACGGAGGAACATCGAGCGCGGGATTCTTCGTGAAGAAACCGTCGGGTCTCAGCATCACGCTGACGCGCTCCATCGGCATCACGGGGAAGTCTTCGATTCGGGGGTTGTGGGTTAGGCCGAAGGCTGTTGGATTTTGTTAGATTTGGCTATCCGTTGGAATGGGAGAAGGAGGGAACTTACTATGCCAAAGCACCACGTCCTCATTCTCCACCGAATCCTTCCGCGCCACCCACTTCTCAACGCCCTGGCTTTCCTTACTCTGGTTTGTGAATTCGCCCGCCGCGTAGAGCTCACCGTCTTGATACTTCGTCACCCAGATCGGCTTCGTCGCGAACCCGGCTCGCTTGACGCCGTACGATCGCGGACTGGCCAGGAGCATCTGCGCGGGCGACGTCTGCAATTTATACGCGATGGGTTTGTAGGTGATGGGATTGATGTGGGAGTCATTCCGGATCTTGAACACGCGGTGGCGCTCCACGCTCGTGTTGGCAGTCCCGCTGGTCTTCAGCACCGTTTGCTCCGTCGTGTAGCCCACGTTGTACGGGTTGTTTTCGTCCTCGGGCATCGGCACGCTGTCTTCGTAATAGACCGTGTTATGGAAGCCATCGAGAGCGGGATCCATGCGGAACGAGAACATGTGTTGATGGTACGGCGCCATCACGCCAGGTCCGACGTTCGTGCCCCATGGAACGGTGGCGCCGAAGGTGTGATTGTCGAAGGGCACTGTGGAAAGTATACCGGTGGCGCGAACCTCTAGCTCGATGTTGGCGGCTTGGTCGAAGATGAACGCGAAGATGTATTCGTAGTTGGCGACAGTGCAGATCATTTGCACAACAAGCTGCCGGTTGCGGACGACTGTTGCGGCGCCGGTGCGGTAGTTTGTGTGTTTGTATTGCAGACCGTTGTCCTGCTCGTGGAGGCAAATGACGTTCTTAAGGAGAACTGGGTTGCCTTTTGCGTCGGCACGGTAGCCGTCGAAGTACTTGATGTGGCCGAGACAGTCGCAGCCGAGGGATAGTTGGTTGGCTGTGATACCGAAGCCGACGTCGCCGACGTCGAATGCCTGTTTGCGGTGGTAGGGTGCGCGCGGATCTATAATTGTCAGATTCGTCTGGTAAAAAGGGTGATGTAAGTACATACCTCCGTATGGAACAGTCATCTCAGACACTGAAAGTCGGTAGAACACGTTGCGCTGATCGTAAGTCAGGTTGTGAATGACCAGGCCCTCCCGGCTATTGAAGCCGACGCGAAACTTCCATTTCTGCCATGAAACCAGATTGTCTTTCACAGTGAACGAGGCGCCCTGTGGCTGTTGCACGATGTACGGCTTCAGGTCGGTGCGCAGCGGCTCTTGGAGCAGATCATGGGCGTACTGGATGGTCTCGACCGGCTTCCACGGTTGGGTTTCCGTGGTCTGGAAGTCAGGACCACCAGGGAGGTAGTCTATGCGCACAAGCTCCCTAGTGATGCCGTCGAAGACAGGAGAGAATTTGCAGGGCACCGAATAATGATTATTCTGGGGGTGGTCCGTGGCCACGATGTACATGTAGCATTGGAACAAGCGACGGTGCTCCTTCGGATCATCGGTGCCATAGATCCAGGGGTCATTGCAGACCGTCATTCCGGCAGGGAGTTGCAGCTTAGCCACTTCGGCCTTGACGGCCGGGTGCTGGAGACACATGGCCTCGATTTCAACCATCTCGTCGGCATCGACGGGGCCCTGATTAAGTTAGCGCTTTGTCCAATCGGCTTGAGATTTTAGAACTCACCTGAATTTCCTTTGGCAGCTCTTTGGCATAGAGGATTGACCGCGTTCCAGCATTCAACAATGCCTTGAAGAAGACACCGGTATCTAAGCGATGAAAGAGGACTTGCAGCAAACGAGCTGGCCTTGGAGGAAGGGGTTTGCCCAATCTCTCGGCCTCGATGAAAGGGACAACCTCCTTCTTCGTCGGTTCTTGGATATCAATCTTCTTGTACCGCAGATTAACACCCGGAAAGGCCGCTTCCAGAATCTTGGTGGCCAATTGGATCTCGGCAGGGGTGATGCCGTCGAAAGGATGTGGTAGTGTGCCTGTCATTGTGAACTTGTTCTTTCATCGATGTTAGAAAGTGATAGGAAAAACCAACCGCAGGGGGAAGTCCGAGTGGCAAGCCTGTTATATAGATAGCGGGAGAGGGTGAAAGAGAGTTGCACCCCCTCGTGGATCCCTTACCTGATAGACACCCGCTTCCCCAGGCCAAGATCTGTCCCCGCTCTGATTGGCTTCCGGCCGACCTGGCGTATCTGTTTCCTCATCGGGGCTAGTGTTAACGTAAGTACAGATCACGGGATTAGCAGTTTGGCCTGTTTGCAATCGACGTTTCCTGTTTTGTCATTCGGTCTTCCCTCCGACATCCCCGTGATTGGTGCCTCGCGCCGTCGATCGATCAATATTAGCGGTATGCGTTGTGCTACCAGCACATTGTTCGTTCTACCGTTGCAGATGAGCGGTGATGCTACTCTGTCCTACGCGGAAAACCAACCAACAGATTGTGAACAGGCGAGCCCCTCTTGCGGAGTACTCTTTCTCCGGAGTACGCTGTCATTCTTGGCAAGTTAGCAAGACTTCCGCCGAGAAAACCGAGGAGAGTGAGGAGAACGAGGAGAGCGATGAGGGTAAACAGAGATGTCTCCTTAGTGCCCAGACCATGCAACAATAAGCATAAGGCACCAAGGCATCAGCTCCATCTCTTATCTTATCAGTTTACTTTGCGGGGTCGCTGACTCATCGCCCATACCGCCTCCGCGTCACCAACGAGATCGACAAATTGGCCCTCTTCAACACAAATGCCAAAAGTCTCCGCGACATGTACTATGGACCGCTCGCAACGTATAAAGCGGACCTCTAATGCGTATGTCACTGAGTTCTCCCCCACAACACTCGTTTACCGAGTTGATTCTAACCTCACGCAGCTGTCAACGATGTCGATCTCGAAAGGTCAAATGCTCCGGCACGCATCCCTGCGACAAATGTCGTCAGCGTCGCCAGGAATGTATCTTTGAGGAGGACCGGAAGATCATGGTCTCGGAGGAGTACTGCTACCCGTTTGATTTAGAGTTCAGGGTAGCCAATTAACGCATATAGCCTCTTCTTATCCTTGCAGCGCCGAGTAGAGGAGCTTGAAGGGACGTCGTCACCGCCGCGTCGTAAACGAGCGCGTACGTTAAGAAATAGCACTCCGCCGGAACAGGATGACCGTATGTTTCTTGGATATTGGATGGATCTTCAGCTCACCTTCATATCAGGCCGCTCATCAGAGGCTCCGAAAGAGTTGACGCCTGACCCCCCAGAAGGCAATCGTTATGATGACCGATTTGCTTCTAACCCGTTGGTCTCTCCATCGACCTACGTGAAGCAGTCCGGCCAACGACAGCGCGTCTGGTGTATGTATTCTTTGCCTTCAGTTCGATGCCCAGGCTGACCATCATAGTATTTTTGGGTCCCACATCAACCTGGTCCTTCAGTCGCCGCGTTCTCAGTGTGATCCAAACTCGGTTAAATCCCAATCATTTCGCTCCAATCCCCACCCCAGTGGATGGCGATGCCTATCACATTCACTGGCGCAAAGCCAGCTCGGAAGAAGCGCCCGACATCAGCGGGCTTCCCTCGCTGGAGCATGCACTTTACATTCTCAACACCGTTCAGTTCCATTTCGGTCATCTATACCGGATGTTTGACGAGACTGAATTTTTGCGCCATCTCTACGGCTTCTATGAGAATGCCGCGGCGAAAGTGCAAGAAAGTCGTCTATGGTATATTCAGTTCCTGGTCATCTTGGCTTTTGGCGATGCCTTCTTGGCTCCTGTCCGCAAGGCCAATAACACGGCAAGCTGGACGAAGTTCTTCTCCCGCGCCATGTCACTGCTGCCGGATACTACGGGCTTGTGGCAGGAGCCTACATTAGCTATTGAAGTTCTTGCGTTGATTGCTCTATACCTTCACTCTATTGATATGAGGGATAATTCATATTGCTACGTGAGTCATACCATCGCCTCAAGTTGAATGTGGCGCTGACAATTCAAGATCGGGCAAGCCATGCGAGTGGCGTTAGTGGAAGGGTTTCATCGCGCACTACCAGTCGAGCAACTCGGTCAGAAGTTAGTTGAAAGATGTAGCAACATCTGGTGGACGGTTTACATCTTAGACCGCAAATTCTCGTCTCTGCAAGGTTCGCCAAACTCGGTAAATGATGAGGATATTACCACGGCTTTGTATGATGCCCGATTGGGCTCGGACAAGGAGGCTGCATTGAGTCTCCATGTGAAGATCTCCCAGGTGATTACTCGTGTGCTCAACAGTAAGTCTTTTTGACTCATCCCGTTCGTGTCCGCCTCTAACAACAACAGCGGTGTATAGCGCCGATGGGAGGCTAGGCGGCAGGTTTCTTCGCAAAGTGCGGTCTGTTTTGCATGAGATGACCGAGCTATCTCGGGAATTAGAGGAAGTGTTTGCCCATCGCTTCTCTAACTCGGTTGATGCCCTATCTGGAGTAACCACGCGATTAACTCTGTCTTGTCACCTAGTATGTGTCCCCTTATCACACTCAAGATCCGAGCTAACACTATCAGTGCATAATCGTCACCACCCGGCCCCTCGTACTCAGCCTCCTATGGGAACGCCTCAGCTGTTTCGAAGAAGGCGACGTGTTCCGAACACTCTCATCCCCCGTCCGCACACTTCTCGAAGCATGCACTGATTCCGCCACCAAGTCATTACGGATTCTGTCTGCGCTGCGGGATCAGAACATCCTCGGTATGTACCGACCATCCTCACCCGACGGCCCAAATTCTAACTCAATCGATTCCAGAAACCTTCCTCCCCTTCGATCTCGAAAACCTCTTTTCCTCATTCTTTGTCCTCTCCCTCATATCCGCCATCCTCCCGGACACCCTCCCGGATCCCAATTACCGCGAGATGGGCTTTAGCCTCCTCGACGAGATGATCTCACGCGGCAACCGCGTTGCACAGATCCGCAAATCCGAGATCGAGCTGCTAGAGGAACTTGTTCAGCCCATGACGCGGTCGTATATGGACCGCACCCAACCTGGGGCGAACGCGCTCGCGCAAGTCATGGCCCCGTTAGCCCCGAATCAGCTTCCCGAGCAGGTCAACACCCCCATCACGGCGTTGGATACAGCCGTCCCGACTCCGGCGTTGCCGCCTGGCCAGGAGGAGGAGTTGCCATTTGACTGGCGTGATCTGGGTCTGTCGATGGATCATATGCTCTCGGTGACGGATCAGTTGGATGCGAACAACTTGATCCTGGACGCGGACCGGGAGGGGCTGCAGGCGGATCTATGGTTGTGGAGTGATAATCCTTGAATTTCCTGATGTGCATTTCTGGTGCAATGGCGACTATGCCTATATCGCATTGAGAAGCAGGATTTAAAACATACTGTTTTCATCTCGATGCGAGTTTACCTGTTGGTGTAGCTAGAAACTCCCGTAGGTGTGCCTGCAGTAATTGAACATATATCGGTCCAGACTACCTTTTATAGCCTCATAGGAATGATTTCTAATCTACTCACCTGCGGATGGGACCTTTTGGGGGAGAAAACGGAGAGAGAAAACACCATATTTGTTTGTCTTGTTTGCCACATTCCAGCTCAAAACCTTGGCGCGACTTTCATGCCCCAGTGCCTAACTCATAAGGCACTAAGGCATACATATCCCCCAGGCGAACCCGGCATCATTAGAACAGGATCACCACAGCCACAAACTAAACCTGCTAGCCAGTCCAAGCCAAGATCTCCCTGCACATCCTGTCACTAACAGTTTTATCCCCAAAGAAAGAGAGGGGTTATCCGACGCACAACAACCCCCGCCTTGGCATCTACATTCTTCCACCAGTAAGATCGGTCAAACATAGAAGATGTACTTATACCAAGGCCAAATGGTTGAACGGAAAGATAGATATAACAATGAACTACCCCTCACTGCGCGTCTGGGCTCTTTACCAAGGACAAGGTAATGAATAGGCCAACCTCCTAGCCATATCACTCTACTCTATCCACTATGTCCCTCGCAGCGCACGCGCAAGACCTCTCCGCCTCGCTGGCAAAGGCAGGCCTCGTGCCTGGCTCGGCGCCGCTTATCCCTGATACCTTCACGCCCAGCACGCAAGTGACAGTCGCTTTTGGAGAGAAGGTTGTGCAGTTAGGGAACTTATTTCGCGCCAGTGAGTGTAAGACGGCGCCGAGCGTGGAGTTTACGTCTGAGGTGAGATTATTCATGTTCTTTGTTTGCGCTTCCCTACTATCCTCTTCGCGGTGATTATAAAAAGGATATCCTTGAAAGCGAATGATAGATAACTGACGCGATTGGATCTGGATCACGCTTATAGCAGGACGTGGACTCTTCGAAACGATATACGCTTCTCCTCGTTGACCCTGACGCGCCGACACCTGACGAGCCGAAGTTCGCGTACTGGAGACACTGGGTCGTCTCGGGGTTGGCGCCTTCTGGGGAATCAGACTCGAAGAAGGTTCTGACAGAGTATTTGGGTCCCGGGCCGAAGGATGAGTAAGTGCAGCTTTGGTTTCTATGTGGTAGATGCTGGGATGTGGGAATGGAGCTGATTGGTTATGGTTCTAGGTCTAAACCCCATCGGTATCTGTATCTTCTATTCAGAGAGCCCGAGGGATTCAATCTGAACAAGGAAGATGTCGGGGGTGAGGAATTCGTCGAGAGGCGTTCATTCAAGGCGGCGGAGTGGGTCGATAAGCATGGATTGGTGCTTGTGGGTGTGAACTGGATGCTGGGGGCTGGGGATGGCTGGACTGCTTAGATGGGGTATAGATATATGTTACTGTTTGAAGTCACTGTTAAATGATCTGGTTATTCATTGAATCAAAATGTTTTTCTCGAACTAGTAAGCATGATATGCATATAATTAAGCGCTTAAGCACGTGTGAAAGTTTATGCGAGGTGTAGCCTACAATGGGCCCAAGGACAAAGAGAGGCTTGGTGGCACAAACCACTGAAACATTCAATGCTATTCTTAAACCAAAGCCAGGATCAGCTGGCTTAACATTTGATTGTCTTTGTGAATATCCATGTACCATTGTGTCACAGTGATTCCTGTCCTAGACAAGTTCAATTCTTCAATTACGAACTAGGGTTGACCAGATAGTATCTCGAATTATAGAAGTATTTTGAATTGCTGATCAGGTCCTGGTGTATTGGAATGAGTCTAGTTAACCACACACCGCAAACTACATAGCTTCTATGTAGCAATGTCCATCTGTTGATCTTGAAAGACTGAGTGGAACACACATTAATCACGGTTAGATATAACTATGGACGTAGTATTATTCAGTAATTAGTAGGTTATCGATCAAATCGTTTGCGTAGTTAGCATTATAATGTAAGTCTTTATAACAAGGATACAAATAGACGGTTTTGCTACAAAGGACTTCAGTCATTGATCAACAAAGGGGATCGTCAAATAGTGCTATGACACAAGATCTACTCAATAGCCTCAATAGATCTTGTCAATAAACCAGGATCTACTTTCTGTAGCCTTGTATCATTCTGTCCCGATCCAAGACAAGCAGTATGTAGACCTGTGATTTGCATCTACTAGACAGACTTAATGAGAATCGAATATAAAAGACCCTTCAAATCCAAGGCCTTCGGTCTTTACCATGGCTCTACCATCCACTTTTTCATTCAATAAAAATTTAGTTTCTCATTCCGTCGCTCGTTCATTTTTCCAGCGCAAACATGAAGCTCCTTCACTTGATCTTCCTCGGCTTTGTGGCCGGTACATACGCTGCCGCCATCGGAGACTTCAACAACTCAACCGAACATCTTGAAACCAACAATGCCGAAGCCGACGTGAATGACTGGCACTACGAGAAGGTAGTTGCTGGGGAATTCACATTCACCAAGAGACGCAGTCCGGTTTGTCCTTCTGCCTCAATCACTCCCTCATTAAAAAAGCAATTACTTACCGCACCTCGCAATACCCAGACCTTGGAGGCCAGATTTGTACGTTATTACGACATAGTCCCGCCCAGTTACTGATCACTTCTTGTCGATCATGTCTCTAATATATTGACTAGGGAAGGCAAGAATGTCCCGCAAACAGAAGATGGGGTGATAGTTGCACGCCTTATAAATGCATGTGCAAGGACGAATTTGGCTGTTGGTCTTGTAATGGGGCTCGTTATCGATGCCAGCCGGGTCCTCATAAGCAACCCTTGGTATGTTTGGGTAACTGAAAGCTGTTGGAAATCTGTACATGCATATGATGCCTGTATGTGACATAGGTTGACTGAGGATGGCTCGGACGGTTGTTGTTATGCTACTGCTAGGGTAGTCTTTTCTTTTTCTTTTTATCTAGCAAAATTTGGCTCTTTGTTTAACCTGGTATAAGTCTTCGTCTATTAAGCCTAGAAAGCCCGCCGTTACGTTCATGCTTTTGCGATGATGAAAGTGCAATTGGACAAGACATAATATACGATTGAGAGTGATTTATGTCCATTGCATGAATTCAAACATATAAACTTCAGAACATGCCTTCGTGGAATCATAACTTATCAGTATGATGTGTTATTATGATCCATGATAAATTCAGCATCACATAGCGTTATTAATCCAAAGCCTTCTGGAGATCTTTCTGGGATCCCAAACCTTCGTATAGAGCTAGCCCAATAGACGATCAAGCACACATTGTGAACAAATACCGCGTAAAATAAACCCTTCATTCATAGAACCACTTCTTCCCGTCGTCGCCGAACAGCAAGAGTCGCAAACGGATCAGCAACCAACGTAGTCCCAAAGCACCGTGGCTGTGGCTTCTCCTCAATGATTTTGAAGTCATTTTTCATCAGAATATGACATAACACAACTTTGATCTCATTCGAAGCAAAGAAACGGTCGAAACATGAGTGTTTTCCTAACCCCCAGGATAAGTTGTCCGGGGAAGATACTTCCCACCCTGGCCTGCAAATCTTGATATTTCCGAGTCACAATGACAATGGACCGATTGAACAGCATTCTAGTTCCGCTTAGGTCACGTATCCTATACTAACCCCGAAAGTATGGGAGCAATGATTCAAGTACATTATAACGCGAGGACTTGTACATATGCTCAGTATCTAGATCTTCCCTCCCCGAATTGCCAGCAGCGGCAGGAGTCGTGACGCACTTCGTCAAACCTTGGTCCCGGGATTATAAGAAGATATCGAACCTGGTGACTGTCTAAGCCAGTGAAAGTAGTTTGATGGTTCTGATCCCTTCTAGGAAGGAGGCGAAGTTTAATGGTTCCCAGTAGAACTTGTTTTTGCTCTGAAGGTAACTGTTTGGCTAGTATCATGTCATTCGGATCCGTGTGGTATAAATAGTAGTTCGCAGGTGAGCGACTTCCCCAATACCCAGGTAGTATTACAATGTCCGCGGAGCACAGATTCTTGACAAAGCAAAATGAACAATATTTTATGTTTTGTTCGCGGTATCTGAAAGATGTGCCTACATAAATTATTGGGAGTAATACGCCGACAATTTGTGATGTGGTTGTCTTCTAAGCACTCGTCAACTGATCGCAGACTGCACATAATCTGCGAATAGCAGCTATGAATGATCGGTGGAAAGGAGGGCATATGGAAGCTAAGTAGGATAGATGTCGGGCCCGATGATGTGTCCTAGTTCCAAATATGCTATCAAACGAAAAGAAAGGCTGGCTACATCAGTGACATTGAACATTCAGTGGAAAGAATCAGAATTGTTCGTAACCCCTGTCCTTTAGTGCAGTTATAGTTCAGGAACCAAGATGATGAGATAGTAGTGAGAGCCGAGCATACGTAGACGGACCCACCTTTAGAGCACTAGACGTGGCCTGTGGATATACCGGTTGAAATCTTTTCTTCTCGTCGATGAACAAAATTACATGTATGTTAAGAAGGTGTGCTGTACTTCTTGCATAAAAAAAATAAGAGGGTTCGGTTTACGTGAAACTGAAATGCTACGGTGTTGACACCGGTCATTGCCGATCTGGTGAGGTTGAGCCAAGATTAACATGAAATGATCGGACGAACTACATGCCAGACTGAATAATATATCTGCCTAGAACTACGCTAGACTGACCGATAAGCTCTAGACTAGTCTAGCCTTCGGCAAGAAACTTCTGTTCTAGTGAATAGCCTCGGCACCATAGGTCACGCCTAGCTGGCGTTGCGTCCGCAAATGCCACCGCACAATTTTCAAGGAAGTTGATGTTACGATAATGTGGCAATTCTATTGCTGCACAGAGATTTTGTCAAGCCAAGCCACAGTTCATTTCATTCACCTCTTAGATCTGGTCAGGAATGTGCCGTCGCTGGGGGTACCGGGTACCCAGGGATGGCTGGTATGCTGGGTGGTGGATGCCGAGCAGAGACCGTAAACAATAGCCGGGACCAAGCCACAGTATAACATAAGTGGATTAGTCGACGCTATTTGGACTAATTTGTTATTTTGCGTTTCATATACTGTTGGTCGCGTCCTCGAACTGGGGCCCTCCATTGACAGACGACTAGGTTTCGCCGGCAGGCAGCCCACAACACCGACTATACGCCTCAATTGCACGGTCGATATGGAGAGTCGGCGTAGGTGCTGACGATTCATCGCTCCTTAATCCCCACTTGGTGGAAATCGCGTGGTCGATTCTGCGGCCTGGTTGTCGTTATAATACGCTCGCTTGATGCACTACGCTCATTGAATCAACACAGTCGCTCTTTCTGAAATCTCTGAGTCGCTTTCATTCATTCATTACCAACTGCCTTGAGAGCAGCAATCATTCATTATGCAGTGGAAGTCATTCCTTCTGGTCATCTCCGCTGCCCAGTCAGCCCTGGGCCGGTCTCATATCCATCACCGCCGAAACAACCATCACCAACATGTTGACTTTCATAAACCCGAACCCAAAGCCGAGCTCGAAGCACGGCAGATTGTGAACTTCGACGCAGCAGTTAAAGTCAAGACAATCTTCGACCTAGAAATCGTCACCCTCACCACAACGATCGCTGGACAGGTTCCCACTGAAATCCCAACCACATCCCCCATCACCAGCCTCGTCTCAGAAACCGCAGTCGCGGAAACAAACGAAGGCGCCGCTCTCCTCAGTGCTAACATCGACATCGGCATTGACGCAAACAACATCCTTCCTCACCATACATCGACATCCACAGCAGCAGCAGCCACGAGCTCGGCATCCACCGCATCCTCCGACTCCTGGGCCACCCACCCCTCCAACAACCAATTCAGCACGACCGGCTTCGGTGCGCGCACTAACTCCACCGGCACGGGGGTCACGTATGCTGGCAACGTCGGAAACCCCTGGGGCAGCAATATCATCGAAGTCAGCGCCGCCTCCGCCCACCAATACAAATACGTAGTGCAATTCAGCCACAGCAGCAGCTCCGACTGGACCGTCGTCATCTGGAACAAGATCGGCCCTGACGGCGAAATGACCGGCTGGTACGGCAATTCAGCCGTCAACTTTACCCTATCCGCTGGCGAGAAGCGATACGTTGCGTTTGACGAGGATAGCCAGGGAGCATGGGGTGCCGCGGAGGGGACGAGTCTGCCCACGGACGAGTACGGAGGCTACTCGTGCACATGGGGGGAGTTTGATTTCGGGGACCAGAAGAATAATTACTGGTCTGGGTGGGATGTTTCGGCCATTCAGGCGCAAAATGCTGGACAGACGGTCCAGGGGATGAGTATCTGCGAATATGGCGATACCAAGTGTTCGTATATTACGACGGGGGCTGGAAAGGTCGTGAATGCGTATGAGAGTGCGCAGGCGTCTATCGATGGTATTGGAGGGTCGGTTGGACAGGGGGCTGTGAGGCTTGTCACTGTCCTGGATTATAGTGGGTAGAGGGTTGTTATTTGCAACGCTGTGCCTGCCTGTGTTGGATAGGTGCATTCGTGTATAAAGATTTGATTCGGCAGTATATACATTTAAGATACACGGTTTGATTATAACAATTCGGCTTAGTTGTGCAGATCAATCAATGCAAGTGTAGCGAATGTCTTAGGCATTCATCGCAGGGACGTTGATGGTCTTGATGGTCCACACCTTTCCGCCCTCGCTGGAGCTGAGTCCCTCGTAGGTGGCACCGCCAGCACTGGCGATCGTGTCACCGAAAGTCGTATCGGCAGAGGCCAGAGTGAGCTCGGTATTGAGGTACTGCTGGGGGTTGATGGTTCCGGTGCATCCGTCGTTGCACTCAGTACCGGTGCCGTATCTGCGCTGTGTTAGGTGATATAAATTTTGAAATCGGTTGGACCAACTCACCCAGTCATGTAAGGACCCGACTTGTACGAGAAAGAGGACAAGGCCTCACCCGTCTGGGCGTTGGTGACGGTCCTGAGTAACACATCCATATTAACGCCCACCCACTATCTTTGGAGATGAAGAAGAGTAGTAACTTACTGGACCCAAGTATCTTGATCATCCTGCAGCTCATACTCGATGCGGACCTGATCGTCACCCTTGACGACACCGGCCTCACCATCCAACTGACCGAAGCTACCGAACAGACTGGCGCGCACGCACCACTCGCCTCGGCTAGCACCGCACCATTCGTTGCTCTCCCAGTCCTCAAGGGTGGTCTGGACCAGATCGCCCGTTCCGTTGCTCATACCGGGCCAGAGGAACAGCACGCCATTCTGGGTGGCTGGGGCAGCGCCGGGGATCAGCGTCGTGACGGCCTTAGTGATGGTCGACTTGGTCGGGCCGAGCGAGACGCTTCCACCCCAGGTGTCTTCGCGCTTGACCTGGGTGGCGGCGAGGGCGAGGGTAGGGATGAGGGCAGCGGTGGCGAGCTTCATTTTGGCTGTATTTATCTTGTCGTGACTTGGCAAGTTGCGTTTGAGATGGGTGGCAGATCGGCTGGTGGCAATTCCCAAGTAAAGAAAGGATAGACAGCCGATCCGGGGTGAGCTTTATATATCCCAAAAACACGAACGCTGGTTCACATCGGAAGGAGTACTCCGTGATTTGTCTACCAAGGACCAGCGCCAGGACATGTTTCACCGTCAAACCACGCCCTGAGGCCCTGAAGAACGCCAGTCAAGGTGGGCAGCCATTCAGCCCTATTAGCGCGCTCGGTAGCTCCTTGCAATTACCGGATGGCCCCGCTGGCCCCCATAGCCAGACCCAGTTAATCCGAGACGGACAGCGAATTATGCACGCATCGGGGCATTAGCCGTGACTAGTGCGGGTGGTGGTGTTTGGGAATGAGACCGTTTTGAAGATGGAGGTTTGGGCTTCTAATTAGAGGACTCGAGAAATCAATCAAGGGCATGAAATCATCTTCCATTCTTCTGTTGACGATTTCGTTTTGATTCGATTGTTTTTCGTGGTGCTCTTTAGATTCGTAGGTGGAGTTTAGAGGTCTCGATATGCACCTTTAAATTAATATGCTGTCACCTTGGACTATTAGTTATTTTTCATAGTTTATCTTTCAAATTTACGGCCAATAGAAACTTCGTATGTTCCATACTTTGGTGCTAAGGAGTTACATTCTTGAAAAACAGATTATTGCGCAATTTCGTACTAATTCCGGTCTCTTCATGTCAGAACAAGCTACTTTACCATCAGCAACTCCGACATAAATAGACTTCTTCGGTCCCACCTGCCAATAGTTCGATCTAGCGGTCCGAGAACCTTGAGAGTTAATTTCTTTCTAACGGCCGGCCCACGCCCATGTCAAATCAGCCCATCCCCATGGCACGGAGAGCCACGTTTACATTTTGCAAAAGTCTCGACCTTCGCGAAGTGCTTTAGATAGGAGATACGATTGGTGGAATGAGCGTACCAATAGCCCCTGTGTCATGCATGATAGGCTTTGTCGGCAATTGATGGCTCCGGCGGGTTGTCAAGTGAGGTTTGTGCATACAGCTCCAACTCTATGGTCTTTTTGAGGTTTTCTAACCCGTAGAGAAGCACTAGGGACGAGTTGCTCGGATAGTTGCAACCCTGCTTTGATATGCAAAGTAGTGTTTGTTGCGGGAAGGAATATTTCCATCAAGCCCAGTCAAAGGTGTATCTCAAGGACCTCATTACCACCTCCCATGCGAAACACGGCTCATCCTTGTCGGTTGGGTCGCCACCTAGAGCCAATGCGCAGAAGCAACCTCCCTTGGCACTAAAATTGCCGCTACTCCGGTCACCGCTGAGATCCCTTTGCTTCCACACCCCCTCGATTATCTCTCTTACACACTGAACCGCGTTGTTGCCCACCGTCGCCGCGATACGCTCCAATTGCTGAAGGTTCTTCAAAACGACAGCTCGATCCTCGTCACTCTGTACGTGGCATGCAGCAATAAAATACGGCCACAAGAAGACGGAGCGACCAGATTTCCCGGGCGGTGGGATGGGTACGCCGGCATTCATGAGGCTGAGCAATATTGTGACGCTCTCTTTGACTAGTGGATTCTTGTCAAAAGAGTAATCGGTATTAATGTATTGGAGGAGAATAATTGCAGTATGGCGAAAGGCTTCGGCGGTGCGATTAACAGCTGGTATTGGAGGTGGATATTCAGTGATTGGATTAGAAAGGGGAGTGATAGTGATAGGCGATGACGGAGGTTGGATCGACGCGTGAAATTGAATGAGGTGAAGCAGGCGAGCCTGCGTCTCCCGTTTCCAGATTTGGAGTGATGAGCATTCACACGAGAGTTTGTGGTTTTTGCGTTGACGAACCCGGTGACAAGTTTCTAGGATGATGGAGAGGAGCTCAGTCGAACAATTCGTGTAATTGTCAATCTCCTGTGGCGGTCGCGCGATCTTTTGCAGCCAAAAAGTCCCGCCTCGAAATAGGACTTCTGCATCATCCGGATTGACAAGAGTGGTGTATGCAAGTACACTATGTGACGCCAGGAATCCAGCCAGGAAGGTGACCACGCCTGTGCTTTCGACACTTTGCCCAGGGGTGGGTAGCTCGAGGATGCGCCGCGCACCGTCCAAATGAGCGCGCCAAGCTGGGGCGGATCGCGGGCGATATGCAATATCGTTGGAGAATTCAGAATGGCATAACATGAGAATGATTGCTAACATCTCAGTTTTCGACAGCGAAGTGTTTGATAAGGCTGCGGATTGGCATGTTTGGCCATTTCTGCTGGCAGATGCGATCGTTCGGGACAGAGATTGCAAAGTTGTGCTTTGGTAATGCAATGCTGTGAACTCGAATCTGTTGTCATAGTGTTTCAGCTGGTTTGCAGCGAGAGCGAGGACCGATCGCAGAACCAGCGGTGACACCAACGAAATGGGTATGATGACCTGTCTGTAGCGATTCTTTTCCCCGTCTACGAGTCGACATTCGGGGCACATCCGATTCGCGTCTACGACGTTAGTCAGGCCTAAATGAGGATGCAGCAATTGCCCTACAGAAGTCAAATATTGGCATCTCAATGGCAGACAGATTCCATCTGGGATAATTGATCGATGGTGGGAGCTGACATGCTTCATTCCAGTCGGTTACTGACCGTGGAGGAAGACTGCCGTTGCGAAAAACTAGTTTCTTGTTGTTTTCAGACGCTTCTGGGGCATAACAGAGCTCAAAGTCATTCCACGTCGTATTGAGGAACAGAGTCTCTACTCGGTGTACTGCGTCTTTGCGACCGACAGTTTCATCAGGTTCACAATGTCGCTTAGTTTCAATCGATGCGTTCAAGTCGGGCCATGTCAACTTGAGTCCGTAGACACAGGATCTTCGACCGTCTCTACAGCGCTTACAGCTGGGCCTGGACTCTGTTTCCTTAATTTAGCTAGTGGTGACCCCAACTCAACGGCGTGACGCACCATCGCATTTGACCTTTCGCTCTCGGCAACAAAGACAACCCGAGCGAGTACGGGTCGACTTGAATCGGCCGTAAAAAGGTTTCGACCGCTGAATGGAATCACGATGATCGCTTGATGAGACTGACATTGTAATACGCGTAAATTGATGAAGAAAGATAGCGGAAGACTGGTGAGTTGGGAGGAGAACGTTTTTGGTTCACTCGATCGGCGTCTCCGCACGTGTCTTTCCCCTTGGCGTTAGTCTATTTTTGCCCTAATTTCTCCTGCTTCGTCGATGATATCTTGTCTTTCATTTAATCTTTCTGATACATAGTATGCAAATCTCGTCTACAGTCTGGCCATAGGCGACTCATACTCGTCCACCAGCCGAGCAACCTCTTTGCCCACCCCAAAACTGAAGACATAACCACCTCCTGCAACGCCGTACGCATGCACGACCTTCTGCCCATCGAGGGTTTCCTGTTCCACCCTAACTCCTCCCTCGCGCTGAGGTCGAATACCTACAATGTCTCGAACGATGGTGTAATCTTTCGGGTCCGGGGACGGAAAGTCGTCGGGCAAGCTTTCGTGGACTCGTCGGATAATCTGAGGTATGTTAGCCAATCTCAACTCCCCCATGAACGCAATGGAGAGTATACATCAGCTCTAATATTCGCATCCACTTGCGTCTCGGCGCTTCCAAACTGTTTGATTCCTCCGAGGACGGTGGTTCCATCTCCTCGCGCAAACGCATACGTGTAATTATTCCCATTGCGCACGAACAGCTTATCGAACTTCGACTTCACCAGGATCGTCTGACCGCGAACCTCCTGGACTTTAGTATCTTTGACATCCTTCAACCTCAAGGGCCCAATACCCGCCGCATTTATCAAGATATCGTGACCCATTTCTTTCAAGTCCGCCAGCGAACGGACTGTCGCACGCTGGAATTTCACACCCGTCGCCTCGAGTTTCGATCGCAGCCAAGGAAGAAAGACCATAGGCGTGAGAACAATGGTCCGATATCTGAATCCGACTGTCGTGCCAGGGAGTCTCTCCTCATCTGGAATGACTTGGAACTCGGGCACCTTGCCCGCAAACCAAATCTGATCCAGTGTCTTGGTGTCGCGGTATTCATTCATTTCGATGCGCCGAACGCTTGATGCAGGATCAGACAGCGCGAGTTTCCACCAAACGGCTAAAGCATTCAGCTGGAATTGTTGTTCACGGGGAGTCGAGCCATCCATGCCGGTCCAGACAGCGCCTGCCCAGGGACTGGCCCATTCTTGGGAATGCGGCTCGTCGCCGGGAAGATTGCGGGCGATGATTGTAATATCGTGGTGACGGGGGAGTTGACTGGCTATGGCCATACCGGTTATTCTAGGTGATGCACCGTAAGTATACTGGACACAATAAAATCTTGTTCTAATTTTATTAGAATAACGCTACTTACCCAGCTCCCAGTATCGTGACTTTTGTCATGTTGATTTAGTTTGGCTTGAAGTACTTGGTGATGAACGATCATTCAACAATTTCCCCTTGTCCAGAGCCCTTTATATAGCCTTGCATTCTCTTCCATATCATGCCACAACGCGATCAAACAACAAAATGATACATTCCCCTCAATAGGAAACACCAAGCGACCGGTATCGGTGATTTCCACGCCGAATAACCCCTCGCGTCAGCAGGCAAACCGGCTACAGATACCCGGTCGTCATTCGCTACATGATAAAAACGATGAAAAAGTTGTAGAAACCCCCAAACCATTCCTTGCAGTTCAAAGATTTCTTATCAGTGCTTATCTCGCTTCCAACATCCCTGGGTGGTTGATTGTCGTCTTTAGCGTCTCCGATGGATCCCTCCCCGTGGCCGTTCCCCAATGATGGCCCAGTTCCGGTTCATGACCTGGGCTAGCGCAGAGATACTGCGTGCGGGGTGCGTTCCTAGTCCATCCATCCTTTGAATCTACTGCTTTTCCGTTAGTTGTAAGGATTGCAAAGGTACCGGACCGGTGGCTATAAAAATGTGTGGTGGTTCCGGTGGGAGGTTCCGAGGGCAAGCAGAGGCGAGATACATGCTATCTTTCCCGTTCAATTGGTCAGTGGCTGCGACAAAGCTTTGGGGATAGAAGAGCGAAAGACTAGATCTGGGAGCGACATAGTTCACGGGCTAGTTCTGCTACCTGGACTACAACATACTGAGTCATCGATAATATAAATTCGAGTCTGTCGCCGTCGAACTAATTGTGGTATCGAAATGCCGATCTGCGCAATTTATTAGTTCTTCTTCTTTGTTGCTCAGAATTGGAGATTGACATCGTCGATTCCATCGTCCATTACTGCCTCCATAACAATGGGAGCACCTATTGAGCTGGAAGACGAGAAGATCTGCATGCAAGATCTTCGCAATCCCGGCGGAGGCGACGATACACACTCTACTGGTGTTGTTCTTTCGCCAGAGTATCATGAGTATCTGCGTTTGAGTGAGGTATTCAAGGGCGATCGACTACAGAAGCTTGTGCGGAAGCTCGAGTAAGAATATAAGAACGGAATCCCTATACTGACTTGGACGCTGACAAGAGCCTAGTCTACGCATATTACCTCAATTGATTTTTATCTACTTGCTCTCGTATGTGGATCGGAGCAATGTGAGTATCCATTCTTCCCTGGGTCAAAGAACATGATACTGACAACCCAGGTCGGGAATGCCAAACTATTCGGTGCCGAAGAAGATATGAATCTTAGCAGTCAGCAGTGGAACACCGGGTTAAGTGTGTTCTTCGTTACCTATGCACTTGGAGGGACGTAAGTACGGGCTGAATCAAGACAGCAGTCAAGGGATCGCACTGACCAGGTTCTAGCCCATCCAACATCATCCTGAAACGAGTAGGGCCCAGGATCTGGCTTCCTGTTCTATTGACCCTCGTTGGTCTGATCCTCGTCTGTTCCGGACTGCAAAGTAACTACGCCGGCTGGATCTCCTTCCGCATTATCCTCGGTCTCGTCGAATCCGGCATGTTTCCCGGCTGCAGCTACGCCTTGACCGCATGGTACTCTCCCCAGGAGATTCATTCACGCATGTCCATCTTCTATTCTGGTGCCTCTCTCGCCGGTGCATTCTCCTCCTTGCTAGCCTACGGCATCGGTCAATTAGACTACACCTGGGGATACCGCGGATGGCGCTTCATCTACGTGATCGAAGGCGTCTTCACATTCTGTGTCGGCCTTACATCATTCTTCTTCATTTACCCGTCCCCCGCCAAAGTCGGGTCCTGGCTCAGCGACGAAGAGCGCCAGTTCCTCCTCCTTCGACATCGGTACTCCGCCGGTGGTGAATCCGGTGTTGCCGAAAAGGAGGGCTTCTCGATGCGTTACGCGAAGCAGTCCTTCCGTTCATTCCACGTTTACGCCATCACGGCCATGGAGCTGACGCTTTGCGTGGTTGTGTACGGTATTTCGTTCATCCTGCCCACTATTATCGCCAACTTGGGTTACTCGGCTGCTCGAGCCCAGGCGTTGACTGCGCCCCCATATGTCTTTGCCTGTGTGGTCACGGTGATGTTTGGATACGCGTCCGATCGGTTCCAACAGCGCATGATTTTCGTGCTTTTGCCTAACCTCATGGCCGCTGTCGGGTGCGCTATTATCATGGCCAGTGTGCGTTACCCTCATGTCGAGGGCGTCACGATGTTCGGGTGTTTTCTCATGGCAGGCGGGCTGTATCCGATTCCGCCGGCTGTCACGGCGTGGATCTCTATCAACACGGCAGGGTCTATGAAGAGGTCTGTCAGTATGGCGTTGATGATCTCAATAGGTCAATTGGGTGGGGTAAGTTTTGCTTTCTGCGGTTCTTGGCGGATATCTACTAATGTGACTAGATAATGGGCTCTAATATCTTCATCGCCAATGAAGCACCGCAGTACCCGGTTGGCTTTGGGATCTGCCTGGCTCTGCTGGTAGTATTTGGGATCATATGGCCGGTCATTTACTACTTCATCTTGAAGCGTATCAACGCTCAACGGGCTGCGGTTCCGATTGACGAGATTCATGCCAAGTACACGGAAGAGCAGTTGGCGGATATGGGCGATGAAAGTCCGATGTTTCGATACGCAACATAGACATGCCGCCTTTTTCTGCGTCAGCATGGAATAAGTAGATATAGACCTTGATATATGTGACTTGTAATATAGAATGAGTGGACCTCGATTGTCTCTCAGTTCTTCCCGTAACTTGGGCTAAGACTTTTGTCTTATAGATCTGTAAAGTGAGCGCATCATCAACAATTGGTCCCATAACTCAGTCGGTTAGAGTGCGGAGCTAATAACTCCGAAGTCGAGAGTTCGAGCCTCTCTGGGACCATCAGTTTCTTTTTTGCCTGTTGCAGAGAATCATTGGAAATATTTTGGTTGAAGACGGACGGAGTGGGTCCGTGGATATCTAAGATTTTTGTGGGCGGGCGTGGAATATGGACATTCCATTCATTTTCTGTATAAAACCATTGAAGTATACGGCTGGCAGTCAGTCAAAGGTTGTTGATCCCCACAAGAGCCTAGTAGGGAGCTGGGAATCGGGGATAATGCAGCTCTCCCTATGCCCGTCTCCCTTAATCTGTGATCGGGGAAAACTACTTGCTCGGTAAAGTTCGGGCAGTTCAACCCGAACAATGTGGAGCCCAGCGTGGTGTCTACCAATGCGAGAGTATGCAATTGGGCATCATCTTGCTGTCTTGCTTCCCCTCATTCTGTATACTGTCAATTCTCGCCGATTTGCGCCCTGGTCTATTGTATTAGGAGGGTTTCTGTCACTGGGTGAATCGGAGTCAACTCTTAATATGCCCAGGTTGAATCTGGAGCCATGGTAAGCAATGGCCGCAATATACCTACTTCCTTGGTTCCAAATTTACGATTGATCAATCGTTGACGAGGTACATATTTGAAATAGCCAGAATTGCCGAAGTATGTACATGCCTCTGAATAATGTCTAGAGAGGGTTACTTCGACTAACAACTTGAATTGAGAACGACATCTTAAATGTAGATTCCCAATCTATCCGTACCACTACCGTTTAATCTACTAACAGCGGTAGGTGATGGATTCAAGCCTACTTGTTCACGGTGCAAGGAACGAGGCGAACAATGCCGCCCGAACAAGGTCATCCAGTACCGTTCATATCGCTTGAAGTTTGCGGATGACCAGCCGTGGCCTACTATATTAGCGTCTCGTAAGTCCATTCTCCTATGCAAGATCATTGGGTATTGACCTTGTATAGGTTTGCGTTTCGTTGATGAGACGCCGGATCTAGCATATTATTACAATCACGACATCGAGTCCAGATATCCAGAATCTCATTGGGAAGAGTCAGATAAATATTCAATGGAACAGGCGCAGCTGCGACCTACCGATGATCAGACAGACACCAATTATCAGACATCTGAAGAAAGCACAACTGTGCGAACAAATAATAGCAGATCTCGACCAGTCAGTCTGAATTCTGTACCACAGAGAAACCCTCTCACTTCAGAATCTGCCAGCTCAGCAATAGCAAGCATATTATCTCTAACATCAGATACAAGCTCAAATAAACCATCGGACCTGCCCCGATCTTTCTGGTCCGATAAAGAAGCCCAGGATGCTTGTTTAATGCGATACTTTGTTGAAGAGCTCGCACCATGGGTATATTCACACCAGCCTCATCAGACTTCGAGAATATGGGACTCATCGTGGAACAGTTCGACACATGCGACATCGCTAAACATTTTGCTCTTGTGGCTCCCCATAGAGCGAAATCATGCCCACCTTTATTGTACGCTATTTATTCTGCGTCCGCAAGACATCTTAGTCGGCGACAGATTGTCAACGGGAGTGAAATTCTATTTGCAGGGAAAAAGCTTCCTCTACTTGGTGAAGAGACAGCCCTCGAGTATCAAAGCCTATGCATCTCCCATCTTATGTCCCTGTCTGGTGACTCGACCGAAGTTCAAGATGAGAACCTCCTTGCAGCAGCTGTGATACTTCGCTTCTATGAAGAATATGACGGTACGTACCAGCCTCTCTTCCGGGTTCTTCTCCAACTGCTAAACCGAAATGAAATAAGCACCCCTCGTCGGTATCGACGATGAGACCTATCTCCGCGGAACACAAGTGTTCCTAGACGCCCAGTCCATATCAGCCATGCAAGCCGGAAGCCTTCGACACGCCGCGTTCTGGGTGGCCTTTCGCCAGGAATTTCACCGAGCTTTCATCAAGCAGCGTGCATTTCGATTCAATTCTCATTGCTGTGCTTCTTCGCCGTATAGATCTCTCGATCCCGCTGACGACAACACATGGACGAATCGAATGGTTTTGCATTGTACAGATGTCCTTACGTACTGCTATGCTGGGGGGTCTGATCTGTCACGATACGATGAGCTCTGGGCATACACCCTCCGATGGCAGTCCTTGGTTCCTTCAACTTTTAATCCTCTTTATTCTAGGGACCCGGATTCGAGTGCGAACGAGGTCTTTCCGGAGGTTTGGTATCTTGATGATTGTATAGGTAGGAGCCATTTCGTGTCCTGAGTCAACGCCGGGTCATTAAATTTAGAGCAGTCACCGCAATGCAGCACTGTCATATAGCGCGCATGCTTCTCCTCGCCTTTGACCCACGTGTTCCGCGTATGGGTCCTAATCGAAAGACGGCTGTTGAAAAAAGAGAGGTAGAGCTGTCGAGACAACCGTTACTAAGCTCTGCTAACCAAACAGGCCGAGATCAAATGGAACCTGTTCAGTCTATGCGGGATAGCTCGGTCAAATAAGACCGCTCCTGCACTTGTCATGGCTTGTATGGGTGTCACGATGTGTTAGTTCTGCAAACTCAAGCGGCCAAGATGCATCGTGGCTAATGGCTCATATAGGTGGCGATCGGGTTACGAAACGTGTGGAGCAAGAGGCGCTGCTTGGGATCTTGGTGAAACTAGAAGAGGTCCATGCCATTTCAAGTGGTATGGCGCAGGCTCAGCCTCAGCTGAGAGAGGCGTGGGGTTGGGGTTGTTCTACGATTCATGTATAGATCACCTCCGGGAATATATAACGGTTAACAGACGGTGCTAAAAAAAAAAAAAAAAAAAAAAAAAAACTGCGCGAACCATGAGTTAAACAACCATAACATTAACTCATATCTTTGTTTGTGCTGCTAGTCTCGGCTTAAGTGGGGAGTTGTTGCTAATACAATTGAAACAGAGTAACACAATGATCATTGCTTCGAACTTGATTGTTTTCTCAAGGTCGAAATCTCAGCGAAATGGGATGTTGGATGCCAAACCTTTCCATAGCTCTATGATACCAAATTACGTGCAGTTTAATTCATCAAGTCAGTGTGGCCGAGTGGTTAAGGCGATAGACTAGAATGGATCTCATCTATCTCATCTATTGGGTTCGCCCGCACAGGTTCGAGTCCTGTCGCTGACGGTTTCTTTTTTTGTTTTTTGTCTCCCCTTTTTCCGACCGCACTCCGCTCCTTAAAACCAACCATTTCATCACCCAGCTGTCTATTTCTTCTAATCGACTTCAGCCCTCTATATCTCTCTCATCCTATAGTCGCGAGGCATCCTTCTGCTTCGCCCGCCTCGCATCTTCCTCCTCGAAGGCCTTCTTCCAGACTTCTTGTACCTGCATCTTCGTTAGCCACTCATACTACTGTTTCCATATCTGGTCCACTCACATCGTAATGATACAACCACCCATATTGGTCAGCCCATTTGCTTTTGATGGTTATCTCTACGGCCTCGTCGAACGAGGCAGCATTGCGAACCGCTTCGTTAGACTGCCCGAATTTGTCCAAGATGTTGTACTGCGATCCGTCACTGAGCATCCCCAGTATAGTTAATGAGTGCGATATTCACATACCATCGCTTCGTAGTGTGGTGATCTCACTCGATCATATATTTCGAGAGCGTCACGCACGGGATGGCCTCTCTCGTGCGCCCATTTAACGGCTTGTGTAAGCACGTATACATCCTCTAGGGCGAAGCCCACTCCGGCGCCTTGGTCTAGTTAGATATTCTGACGAATGGGAAGGTAGATGGCATGGCACCGGGCTGGGTCTCTTACCGAATGCTCCCGATAGCGCTGAATTGCGGAATTGGCTGTTAGAAGTATATTTATAAACAGAAGTGAAAACTTACGATGAGATGCGTCTCCGATCAACGCGATTCCGTCGCCATATATTACACTTGACAGACGAGGACCGGCAAAGAGGGCGAATTTCTTGACGTCCTTGACCTTGCTCAATACTTCCCTGACGACCGGGGAGAATTCCTACGTCATTACCATTAGCATTTGAACTGCCCATTCGGTGATATAGGTGGCTCACGTCATATCGATGCCGAATATCATCAATATTCGCATCCTGGCCCCAGCTCACGGTCTTGCCATCTTCCGGTAAATCGGTCCGCGCTGTTACTTCGTATATATCGTTGTTCAAATTGCATGTATACAGCCATCTGGTTGGGCCATGCCAGAAAGTCACAGCATCGGGAAATCCCTTGATGCTGAGGATCTCTTGGGCGTTAACGAGGCCACGGTAGGCGGTTGTTCCGGTGTAGCTGATACGGTGGTCTGGGAAGGCGTGTTGACGGACGACCTTGCCATGTTTAGATACCCTGCTAATCGATGAAATGGTCATGAAGCCATGAGATATACGTACTGATCGAACGCCATCTGCGCCCACGACAAGGTCTACCTCATCGGAGTATCCGTCTTCAAACGATAGAGATAGTCGTCTGGAAGGTAGCTCGGTGACCTTAGTAAGTCGACTAGACAGTCTCAGTCTGGACTGATCAACCGCCTTGAGCAAAGCCTGCTGTAGAACGGATCGTAAAGCTCGAGCGTGCTTGTGTCGCGGAGGCGTATCTGTAATTCATCAGCGACAAGCACTCGGGAGGAACGGAGTGAGAATCGCCACCTTCTTGTCCGTTGGATATCCGGAGTTCGCCTGTCCGACCATTTCTAGAACATCCAATGAGCTTTCCCTTCTACATCTGTCCGTTACCAGAATCAATGCCAGAAAACATACCGATGCTGAACAGAATGGCCATCCGGCGCCCGAAAGATATTCTTCGGGTCAATGTTATCATATACGCCGAGCGCATCCAACATGCGCCATGTATTCCGCTGGATACTGATGCCGGCGCCTACCTCTCGCAGCTCCTTCGCTTGTTCATATACCTGCAGATCAACGAATGGCAGTTTTTGAAACTCAATGGCCGCGCCCAGTCCGGCCGGTCCGGCGCCGATCACTGCTACTCTTAGTTTAGAGGGATGATGGTCACTCGGCATATTTCTGGATGCGATGGATTATAAGACGCTGTGTATCTCAAAATTTGGTGTGATAGTGAATTATCCACTGGTTGGATTTTCCATCTTAAAGCTGACAGTTGAGAATCCGGACGGGCTGTCACCGTGAATGGCGTGATTCGCGCGTCTTACAGCTCATCCCTTGCAGATCGGAATACATTCCGTTTCGGCTGCGATGATGCACGTTGGTCCAATCATGAGATGGCGATAATGCAGATTCTGTTCGATCGAGTATGTTGTATTAAAAATCAAGCATGTCTTATGTTGTAGGCTGGTGTTTTCGGCGCCATGGAGCCGCGGAATATAACCAGACCATGAATATCACGGCATTGTGCTCACGTTGTCAACATAGTGGGGCCGAGGGGAACCTTTATTAGAAATCTGGTAAGTATTTAGACTTATGAAGTTGCTAGCATAAAGCCTGGATCTTCTTAACTGGATATAATTCCATTGAGCCTGTTTAGATAAAAGTATTCCATGGCCTGGTCTTCTAGCTTTCAAGAACCGGCTCGCTTAATAAATTAAACATAATTGTACGGAGTAGATCATGGGCAGGAAAAACCTTCCATTATTTTGGCGGCCAGGCGAAATCCTTCCACGGCCTCCCCTCGGTCTCCTTCGCCAAATCACCCAAAGACTTCCATTTCCAATGTTTCTCTTCCGGATTGACCAGCTCATTCGCATTCCCCAGTCCCGTCAAAGTATGATTGATGCGGTTCTCTCCCATCAAAAAGCGCAAATAACTAGCCGGATCCCACGATGGCTCCGCCGTCGTCTCATCCTTATACTTCTGCAACGGAATCTCCGTCACCTCCACTACCCCCGCCCCTGCCTCTTGCATTGTCTCTGAAATTTCTGCGATGGAGCGCGTATCACCAGCTAGATGAGCCACCTCGGGGATCCTCTCCCTCGGCAACGAGCACAACGAGGCAACCGCCCTGCCGACATCGTCCAACGAGGTAAACGACACTGGCGACCTCGCAGATCCCACACTCTCATACCTCCCATTTCTCGTATCAAACCCGAACCACGGCCCGATACTATCCTCAAGAAACAAGCCACAAAAGACGCGACAGATCTTCACGCGGGGAACCAGCTCCTTCGCCAACGCGACATGCCTCTTCTTCTGGTCCCATTCTAAGTGCGGAAAATCGTGCACGTAGTGGTCCACCCCAAACTCGGACGGGAGGTACACCTGGACGTCGGTCTGGGGTAATGCGCGCACGAGCTTTTCTTTGAACGAGTGCCCGGAGGGTCCGACGGCGTTTACGAGCACTTGCACGCCCTGGAGAGCGTCGGCGAGATCGTGGTCGTTGTATTTGCGGATGACGATGTGGGCGTGGCGGTTCAATTCGAGGAATTGAGCGGGTACGGCGCCTTTTCGCGAGAGGAGGATCACTTCGGAGAAGTTGTCGCGGAGTGGTGAGGATAGGAATGCGGATGCGATGTGCTGGCCGAGGTGGCCGGTGGCGCCGGCAATGGCTACCACTGGGCGCCAGGCAGAGGATGACATTGTTGATGGTGGTTTGAGAATAGTATCTTTTAGTCTTGAGACGAGGTATTACGCTCTCTATAGGGGCAGTATCCAAGTTAAATAAATTGTGCCTGGACGACAATGCTGTATAGATGATGTCATCAATCATACGAGACAAACAGGGCAAACCCTCCAGACACCGAATTGATTGATCTGATTGGCTCTACGGCGCCCCTGAAAAGGTCTAGACCGGTTTGCACCTATGACAAACAGAACAAACACACAAACAGAGCAGACAGGACAAACAAGACAAACCGTCAGCGGGGCTGTTTGCATGGCTCTCTGCGGCTGCGGATTGGCCGGACCGAGTCTTATCGTTTGTGATGCTCGACTATGAAACATCGTGGCTTTTATGGGCCGCATTCCCTTCATCCTGGTTCTTGATTTACCCTTTTTCTAGCTTATATATAACAGAAGGTCTATCTCTTTTCCCAATTCATTTTGTCAGTGAAGATTCTCTCCTCCCAGAAATTTATTCATATCGTTCCACGCTCTATACACTATCTTGTCTACTATTTCTGCCAATAAGCCAACTAGAGGCGCTGTGTTGGACAATTTGAGTCCATTTTACAAATTCCCAATGGAGCTTAATTTCTCACGCCTGGAGGACTTTTCAGAAAGACTTTCCAAAGTCCTTCTGTATCTCATACAAGAAAACAATGCCCACCATCACCATCATTCAGGCCATCATTGCGCACACCACAACGATTTAGAATGGGTTTCGGAGTTGGACACTTGGGCTCAATTAGAGACAATGCATCAGATACTATGCCAGCGTCCCCCAGATCCCGCCCTTCCTGATGGGATTTTGGTCGATGTTGACGCTATCATCAAATACCATAACAGCCACAACCTCCTGACCTCGTCGAAATCGATCGCTCCTAGCGCGATTCTGAAAACCAGCCCTAACCCAGGGAAAAACAAATCCATCAACCTGTCCGTCTGGAAAGGCGACATCACCACCCTTACAGACGTCACAGCGATTGTCAACGCCGCAAATTCCCAGCTTCTGGGATGTTTCCGTCCAGAGCACCGGTGCATCGATAACATCATCCACGGAGCCGCGGGTCCTCGGCTTCGCGATGCCTGTCACGCCATCATGCTTGACCAGGGCCACCTCGAGCCCGTGGGCTCCGTCAAAGTGACTCCAGGGTTCAATCTCCCAGCATCGTATGTTCTCCATACGGTGGGTCCACAGCTGAATGGTAGACAAGAGCCCAACGAACGACACGAGAAACAGCTGGCGGACTGCTACACGTCGTGTCTGGACGCAATGGAGGCTCTCCCATCACTCCCGGATGGCCGCAAGGTCGTTGTCTTCTGCTGTATTTCCACGGGGCTATTCGCGTTCCCATCTGACCTGGCGGCTAGAATCGCTTTGAATGCCGTGGTGGAGTGGTGTTTCGCGAACCCAGCCACGACGGTGACGGATATTGTTTTCGATACCTTCCTTGAGAAAGACTGGGTTATATATAGAGACAATGTCCGCTCGCTGCAACAACATCCCAACATCGCGGTCTCGGATTTGATCCCACCCACAAAGCTCCTCGATCCCGTTGTCACCCCAGCTGTATCGCAGGCCCGCGAATGGCTCCAGAACGCAGACTACCTGCTCATCACCGCGGGCGCCGGTCTCTCAGCAGCCATCGGCCTCGATTATACCTCGCGAGACCTCTTCGCAAAACATTTCCCTGCATTCCAATCCCTCGGCCTCAACCGCCTCTACGACGTCTTTGGCTTTCAACGCTGGAAATCCCAGAAGCAAACATGGGGATACTATTTCCTCCACCTCAACATGGTCCGAACGTGGCCTCAATCCGCACTCTACGCTCGACTACTCAAACTCGCCGACCGGTTCGACTCCCGATACTTCGTGCGCACGTCCAACGCAGACGGACTCTTCGTGGCGAATGGCTTCCCCACGGACCGAGTGTCCACACCGCAAGGGGGCTATCGGCTCCTGCAGTGTCTGGCCAAATGTCGACCCGATGCGGTGTTTCCGTCAGATCCTTTCGTGGACGCCGCACTACCGCTTATTGATCCCACCACGCAGTCCTTGACAGACGAGTCGAAGATTCCTCGTTGCAAATACTGCAGAGGCGAGTTGACGCTGTGCGTTCGCGGTGGAGATTACTTCAACGCACGACCGTTCCGGGAGCAGGAGAGGAAATATAATCAGTTCGTCTCGGACGCGTCGCAAGCGCTTGACTTGCATAGCAGCCGTATGCGAGGAAAACAGATACAAAAACAAGAGCAAAAAAGAAATGGAGAAGTTGCTTCCGATACGGGGAATCGAACCCCGAGCTGCCGTGTGAGAGACGGCGATGTTAACCATTACACCATATCGGATGTGTTTGTTGAAAGGAAGCGGCAGATTGTGGTTCTTGAACTAGGTGTTGGTCTGAACACGCCCGGGGTGTTGCGATGGCCGAACGAGGAATTGTTGGAATCGTCGCCAGGTCGAAGTTTCCGGTTGATTCGCGCAGGCATTGGGGCTTCTGCGTGTGTGCCATGGGATTTGGAGGAACAAGGCTTGGCGGTGGGGCTGGCGGGTGATTTGAATGCTGTGGTGCACGCATTGGTGGGTTGATGGTATTTCTTTCTCCCTCTGTTGTTTTCATATATCGTTGGTTTAGCGAGTTATAGGTCACACTCGAAAGAATATAACCAACACATTTAGTAATACACTGACCGAATGCACACTGCAGCGAGGTATACGTACAAATTTGGCTCCAAATCACATACCACAGGCGGGTTAGAAAAGGAAGAAGCAAAACAAAAACTCTACGCGAACATAGCCTGTCTATCCACAATGCCAATACCTCCTGGCTTCCGGAGCATACAGGTAAACCGCATTTTATCTTCCTCAAACCCTTGTCGCCCGGTGAATTCATCAACCCTGTACTCGATGACATTCTCTGTCGGGTCGTGTGAGATATCCTTGAACCCCTTTCTTTGGTAGACTGGATACCCCGGGTCCGACGATTCAAGGTAACAATCTAGACCGAGTTTATCGGCCATATCGCATCCCCACTGCGTGATGAGCGAGCCAGCACCGCGGCGCTCATACTGGGGATGCGTGAGGAGTAACTCAAACACTGTCCAGCGTCAATATACATTCAAAGACCCACGAGAAACAAACCAAAGTTAGAAGATCGACAGAGTGAAAACTCACAACAGTGCTCCCTCCCTCCATCCCCAAAGAAAAATCTTCTTTTATCAAATAACTTCCCCATAATACATCGATAGCCGTCACTGTTCAACCCAAACGGGATTTGCATCGTGTTATCCGTTCGGGTGGACGACCGCCACGCCTCCAGGCCCTGATCGCCGCGATAAATATGCCACTTGCCCAGCGCGACCATGTTGCCGGAACGGCTGTCCACAGCTTTCAGGTAATGAAGCGTCGGATCGCTATCTAGCTCTTCGGCGATCCGGCGCGCCATGTTGACGCTGTATGGCGAGCAGATGAAGTCTTCGAATGTGATGTCCCGGTTGGGTACCTCGCCTGTCGTGCGGCCGAATCCTGTCGGCGCCATGACGGAGAACATGATGTTCATGACCCGCGGGATGTCCGCTTTGGTGATGTGTTTTACAAGGTAGGACATTGTACGCGCGAGGGGAGTTCGATTCTAGTGGGAGGAGGTGTATTGGGGACTTGTTTAGTTTAAAGAGGTTAACGAAGGAGGACAATCTCTGCTAGGAGACCCCATGGTTTGCCCTTATTTATGTACAATAGCTATTGAAGAATTCCGCGAGAAAGAATAGTTGTGGTATCCATCCTGTGAACCTTTTGAGTTCTACTGTAGTTTCAAACTTGTTGTTTGGACGAGCGAGTTTGGAAACGAGCCAATGATGCCAGGCTGTGGCTGCGATGACCGAAGGTCGCTTCGTTACCAATTGACTGAATGAAAATGACAATGGAAGTCAATGATCTCTGGGAATCCGTTCCAAGTTTTTATATGGGACGGGTAGAGTTTTTAGTGACGGTGTGGCAAACTCAGCCAAGGGATGCTGCTTTTATAGCTCCCATGGCCCGTATCTTGAAGGGGCAACAAGGGCGAGTAGATCCAGGGCTCGCAGAGGAATCTACTTTGAACGTCTGAGTGAATTGAGGCTATTGGAGGCTGTAGCTCGTCTGCAATTCTGGAAGTCATGTAGCCACTTGCCTATAATATTGTTCGAAGCTATTGCCGTTTTCTTCATTCCTCAGACTCGTTGAAGCGAATAATTGAATCGTGACAGATTGGAGTAAGATTTACACATGGAATAGATCACATGCATTATAGTGGTCGGTTGATAGGTGGAAAATCGGTCCATACTTCATACTGACCTCGTAGATCTCTAAATAGTGGAGCGCAAGCGTTAAGCTCTTATAAGATCGGCGATCGAGAATACGGGGCAAAAGAAAACTTAGCACAGCGGAAATTCCGATTCCAAGACCATCATTAGTGTTCAATCCTCATTTTTCGCCGTTGACGAAGGCCGAAGTAAGGCCTAAATGGAAGCAAGTATCAGTTGTCGCAGAAATCAGCCCAGCTGTCATACCCCGGATTGCGACATAAAAATCGTCATTCCCACGGCCTAATGCAGCAGCAGACAGGAAAGGTCTTGACTCATTCGAGTTTTGCTATTTAATCAATCTTACCTCTTGATCGCGAATCGAGTTTCTTGGATCCTGAATCCGTGGGTCCACTTTGATTAGTGTAGGCCTGCAGCAGAAAGTTAACCACCTTGGCCGACATCATCAGCCATGAGCGTGGCGGCGCGGCTGCCAGAAATTATGTATATGATGTTAATTCCGGTCGCGGACCCTGGATTCATACCCTTCTTTACCAAAAGCTGGAAAATACGTCCTTCACCTTTTTATTTCCCAACGAAGCTAAGAAAAAAAGTTTTTTTCAGTTCTCAACTCTGGTCACAGTTTTCTTTCTTCTTTCTTCTCTCTTCAGCAGAGCTGATTTCAGCTAACTTGGACCCATGGTCACATAGCGCTAGACGCCGGAAATGGCGTTTCTTTTCCCAACATTCTGTACAACTAGGAGTAGAAGCTTTGTCGGCGTTAGTTGTATGTGGAATTGGTTTCAATCATCTCCGACGGAGGGATTTGGCCGTTCTGTTCTTCGGCGCCCTGATTTAGTCTTATGACGGCGTGGTAGGCGGACTCGGTTTCTGAATTTTCTTGCTGGGGCAGAATAGTGTGCTGAGCATGATGGATGTCGCGATAGATGTGTGCTTTCTCTTTGCGTTGTTTTCTTACGGCCATGCTTATGTATCATTGCTAGGACCTCAAACAAAGTTTTATCTATTACTGGCGCTGCCCTATTGGCTAAGTATCTTCGTGAGTATACCCCACTCCTAGTCTCAAAATTATAGATGAGTTTGTTTTCACGGCAATAGAGTGTGGAAACGAGACAAAAGGCGGACACGCAATAGGGCGGGACGCGAGATTGAAGAGAAACAGATCCAAACCCCAGAACGTACAGGACCCTTTCTGGTCCCAGGAAACAACAAAATAGATGAGCCATACTTGCGCCAGAGCAGCATCTAGCGTGTTTCAATAATAACTTCCGCCGCCTTGAGACGCTCGCTCTCAGCCTTGACCGTAATTTTTCCCGACGCACCTACCTTAGCCCGAACAATGCAAAGAGCAAGTCCATTGAAAGCCTTTCGCTTATCGGACGGAAAAGGAGTAAAATCGGCTTGGAAACCATTATCGGTTGCCACGATCTCCCCTGGCCCGGACACCGAGAAACGGATAAAGCTGTCTGCCTCCGGAACCATACTTCCCTTGGCATCGACGACTTCCACGGACACGAAAGAGAGGTCTTCGCCATCCGAGGCGATCTGGTCTCTATCCGGTGTAACACGAAGGCCTGTCGCTTCTCCCACCGTACGAACGGTGTCTGTCGCCCATTTATGACCGTCTTTGTAGGTGACGACGTGTAGTTCGCCGGGCTTGTAGACGACATGGTCCCATCTGAAACGGTAGGTCAATGGTTCCTTGTGGATTCTCCCTTGGGAGATACCGTTGAGGAAGAGCTCAGCCTCGTCGCCAGAGGTAAACACATGGACCGGCGTTACCTTTCCAATCCGCTCCGGCCACGTCCAGTGTGGAACGATATGAGCCATTGGGAAATCGGGCCGCCAACGTGACTGGTAGAGAAAGAACCTCTCCTTTTTGAACCCGGCAAGATCAATGATGCCAGAATACGCGCTTCGAGCTTCACCGTACGGATACGGCTCACCCAGGTAGTCCCATCCCGCCCAGACAAAGCCCCCGGCCACAAAAGGGTGCTCATCTTGCGTTGAAAACACTCTATCTGGACACGAGCCGGCATCGGCCGAATATAACTCGTACGCAGAGATCTCCAGAGAAGTTGAATTTCCACCAGACGTGTCGTTTACCGGTGCGCTTGTATAATTCGTGACCGGGAATAGGAACGAGCCACGGCTACTGAGCGACCATGCCACTTCGCTACCAATGATGAGCTTGTCGGGATGCGCCTCGTGGAATCCCGAGTATTGTGGTGGCTTGCGGTTTCCGTCCAAATGCGAATAGGCAGGTCCATAGCGCGTGCCTTCGCCTTGGTAATTGAGAGTTATGATGTCTACCACGTCGGTGTACAGGCTATTAGGACCCGACCGATGCATCGAGCCTGTGGATGGACGGGTCGTATCTTCCTGGACGACGATCCCCCGGAGGTACGTAGCAATCTCGGCCGTCCAGGCATCGTGGCTCTCTTGCTCTGCATTCTCATTTCCATAGCTCCAGACGATAACAGATGGGTGGTTCCGATCACGCCGCATGAAAGATCGGAGATCCGGTTCGCGCCAGTCTAGGAAAATTAGGTGGAAATCGGACTCTGTCTTCTGCCTTACCCACGAGTCAAATATTTCGTCCACGACCAAAAATCCCATCCGATCGGTCATCTCGAGGAGCTCGGGGGCGGGTGGGTTATGCGCCATTCTGATCGCGTTCACACCGAGGTCTCGGAGCAGGTCTAATTGCCGCTGAGCTGCTCGTTTATTGAACGCAGCACCAAGTGCCCCAAGATCGTGATGTTGGTTGACGCCTTGAATCCGTAGGGGAATGTCATTGACTGATAATCCGTTATCGGCGTCGAAATCTAGGGTGCGGATCCCGAATTGAGTCTCATAGGTATCCAGCAAGCGCTTTCCGGAATATAGCTGCGTGACCACAACGTACAGGTTTGGGGACTGGCTCGGTGGAGGACCCCACAGTTTTGGATTTCTGATGGCCGTTGAAGCAGATACAGAGCCTTTGCTGGCCGCATGTAGTCGAAGAATGCATCGAGGAAACTGCTCGACTTTGCGACCGCGACGGCCGTTCTTGTCAATCTCAAAGATGTTCGATACGACTTCAACGTCCTCACTCCTCGGCCCCCTGCTCTCAACCTGAATTTGCAAATCAACGGTTGCTTTTTCTGACGAAATATCCCTCGTTGTAACTTTCGTACCCGAGTGTGCCACATGGGTAGGATTGACCGTCGTCAGCCACACATTGCGGTAGATTCCAGCGCCAGGATACCACCGCGAGGAATCCCCTGCAGGATTCTCAACGCGGATGGCGAGCTGATTCTCTCCTTTCTTTAGGTATTGTGTAAGATCAAGCTGGAACGAGTTATATCCATAAGGCCAGCCACCGACCAAATGGCCATTGAGCCAGACCATCGGGTATGACATGGCACCGTCAATCTCGAGGAAGACTGTTTTCTCTAGATCGGCTGAGGAAACGTGCAGCGTTCGACGATACCATCCCACTCCCTGCACAGGCAAGCGGCCCATACTGCCGGATATCTCAGGGTCCTCTCCGGTATAAAACGGTCCTTTGATCGCCCAGTCATGCGGCAGGCGGACCGGCTCCCAGTCGCTGTCGTCAAAGTCCGTGTCCACATAAGGAATGTCTATATCTGGATCATGAGAAGGGCGCTCGTGCTTATAATCTGGGTCTTCGATGTAGTCGTTGCCTGACGGGAGGATCCAGGGTTTGAGAACGACTAGGCCTGAATCGTTTGCGTCAGGACGATGATCATAGACGATGTTATCTGGAATTGTCTTCGAGTGCCAGAATCGCCAATCTGCGTTTAGGCTTACTCGTTGACGGGGAATTTGCGAAGAGTCGGCCGCGCGCGAGACGGCATACGCCTCAACAACTTGTGCTCCTAAGAGCGACAGGGCTAGGAGGGCCAGGCTGCCGCCGTATGCAGAGGACCGAAGCTGCATACTGATAGACACTGATTCTGGATTCTTGCATGGACGATATCCGATGGATAACGGGCCACCCATATACCCTTCGCCCGGCAATTAATATTTAACCGGATTTCATACATCTGCACCATCGCCAGAAAGCCACTATTAGCCTATAACAGAGAAAGATCCCCAAATAGCCGATCGTGGTACTCTCAGAAGGATTTCCCACCAATCGCACTCATATCGTGGCATCATTGCACCGGGGCAGCTGTCATGGTCTTCGGAAGAGTAGCTTGCCAAGCTGCAGATCTGCATCGTCTTTAACCCCGCTGTCCGCCCCCTCACCAAGACTCCAAGACGCTCTAAAATGTGGGGTATTGGTGGAACTGGAGAACCTGGGGCAAACGCGGAAAGAAGCGGTTGATTTGCAACCTTGTTTTCTGCTTGGTCTTGGGGTCCGGGACGATGATAGACCGAACGATGCCAACAGGATGTGTCAGGAGTAGGCTGATTCCTGTTTTACCGTCACCGATATGTCATCTGAAGCCCAGCTAGCAGAATAGTCTTTTACAGATCAAATTTCCACTGTAGCCCCGATTTCTGAAGCCCGCGTGCAAGGATGACAAGAAGGGAACTTTGTCAGGGTGCCTTGCCTTGCAATGCGTATGAAATCGCATACTAGAGGTAAAATAGCCAGTGATTAACTCGGGCCACACAGAGGTGAGAACCGTTTTTATTGTATTCAAATACTTATAAACTAACAACAACAGAAAGACCGTGCGTGCGACCTAGGGCATTTAATAAACGAATAGGTATATTTCCGGAACCACGAAAAGAGGGACATCTGTGTTGTTCAATTGGATATGGACCTTCTCATTCCTCCGATACGGAGTTCGGGCTGCTTCTCAGAGCTCAACCTTGATCTACAGCGGCACAGAGAAATGACATATAGAAGCGTAAGGCAGATGCTTGATTCTCTTTGAGGCATATTCATACCCATCAATGAAGCGTCGAAGCTCTTTGCAGGACATGCAAGCTCTGATAACTGGTCAGATATTTTTAGGGGCTCATGTGAGCTTTTCAACATCAACGCAAGTTTGTCTGGTAGTTGTCTGCTCTGAAGTGGCAATAGTAGGTTTAGCTATGCAATGAATATAATTTTAGTCAAATATTGCATCTTATCTTAACCTAGTCACTAGCCAGACGAACAAACCATAATAAAAATGAAGTGCAAGGGGCGTCAGATAATACTGTACCCAGGCAAATGTTTCATGGAACAGAGACCACTATCGGGCCTTACAATGTATCTGCGGAAAACAGCATTCTTACGTGGAGCATGACATCATACCCTCTACAGCACCGTGTAGTCATCGGGCTGAGTCTCGGCCAAAAAGAGCATTGGTATCTCCTAGTGAGGCTCTACCATGAAGAAAGAAATGCAGATCATCCGGGTCTTATGGGCGGATTCTGGTGCATATCCGTTTTCGGCAGTGGGTGGTCCACAGGATCCCGGAGGCCACGGATAACCAGAATAAGCCTTAGAGTACTGGACCCACATACCGATACATTCCAATTCCAAAGATACGCACCAAACTAGAGCTAATCTGCTGTAAGAATGAGTGCCGGTATAAAGCGATACATGTATTTGGGTAAGATATCCCTTGACTCAGCGGTGCGATAATGCTGGACAACCAGTACATAAGAAGTAATCTGACAGAAATGGTCAGGATACGAAGGTAGGATGATGCTGACATATCCGTTCAAGTAGATACATAAGACAGACGAGCCTCCGTGTTCTCGAACGTTGACACTCACATCCAACACTACTCATTGCAGCATCAATCTCAGAAACATACACCAAAGGCAACAATAGCACGTTGACCCACCACCAAAAATGACTGAATACATTGAAACAGATGTCTTGATAGTCGGTGGCGGGCCTGTAGGTCTCCTCATCGCGTACAGCCTTGCCCGTCAAGGGGTTGATTCTCTTCTCGTTGGTACGCTCCCTATCCCATCCATCCCCCATCTATTAACACCACCTAGAACAACACGACAAACACCAACAAGCTATGTACGGTCGCGCCACGACGCTCTTCCCACGTACCCTCGAAATGCTCGACCAGCTTGACCTCCTGGAAGAACTAAATCAGATCGGATACATCGGGCGGAACAGTGTCACCTATAAGGACGGGAAACGGGTCACGTCACGAGGATGGCATGTCATGTTCGAGCGAATGAGTGGAACGTTTCTTGACTACTGTCTGAACATTCGCCAGAAGTACTCAGAGGAGGTCATTCAGGGCGCGTATAAGCGGTTGGGCGGCGAGCCGTATGTGGGCTGGAAGTTGGAGGAGTATGCTGTTGATCAGGACGGTGCGGGTGGGGATGAGTATCAGGTGAAGGCGAAGATTAGGGAGGGGTGTACCGGTAAGGTTTCCACGGTGAGAAGGTAAGAATCTTACTCCCATAACATTTTGATTTGACTGATTCTGGATAGTAAATACATCGTCGGCGCAGATGGCAGTCAATCGCTGGTTCGACGGTTGGCGAACATTCCATTTGAAGGGGACCGGACCGAGTTCAAATGGGTGCGAATTGATGGGTATTTCGAAACTGACATGCCGGATGCCGATATGGGGTTCGCGTCAATCGAGTCCCCGAGTCATGGCAATGTGCTGTGGGTGCAGCTCGATCATGGAGTGAAGCGGATCGGGTTCGCCACGACGGAAGAAATGCTGGCAAAGTACGGCGGCAAGCTTACCGAGGAGCAAGCTAAGCACGAAGCTATTGAATCCATGAAGCCGTTTAAATTAGATATCAAGTCGGTGGAATGGTGGACTCTGTATAGGTAGGCTGATTAGTTGGCTGCACTTCTGTCAAACGGTGCTGACCATGCGCAGTATCAACCAACGTGTGGCTGATACTTTCTACAACAACGACCGAATCCTGTTGGCGGGTGACGCTTGCCATACGCATTCTTCAGGAGCCGCGCAAGGCATGAACACAGGCGTCCATGACGCCGTGAATCTCTCCTGGAAGCTTGGCGGGATGATCAAAGGCTGGTATACCCCAGACTTGCTGCGCACATACGACAGCGAGCGTCGACAAACAGCACAGAAGCTTATCGAGCTCGACAAGGCATTCTCGGCCACCATGTCCGGGCGAGTCCCAGACAGCCACAAGGCGTCATACACCGATGCAAATGAACTGCTCACGAAGCTGTTCGACGAGACGATCCAGTTCAACATCGGCCTGGGCATCTACTATCCGGAAAATATCATCAACAGAGCGCCTTCTTCCGGAATGGTGTCTGCTGGATGGAGGGCCCCAGATGCTTTGCTATACGCGCCTGGTTCTCGTCTCCCAACTCGCCTTTTCCACAGGACGAAGAACTTCGGCCAATGGTCAATTATCGTCTTCGCAGGACAGCCTGCCGTGACGCACAACGTCCTGGCGCCTGCAGTGGAGCAGTTGGGCGAGATTGCGAAGATATTCCCCACCAACATGACTCGCTTCCTGACCTTGGTGGCCCAGAGTGCAGCAGAGGGCGACATGATGTTTAACCTTCCCAAGATAGGAAATGTGTACTATGACCAGGATCGTTCCGCTCACTCGGCATATAGTATCTCGACTATGAATGGAGGCGTTGTGGTTCTTAGACCGGACGGTCTGTTGGGGCATGCGGCACCTTTGGGTGACCTGGATGGTGTCGCATTTTTCTTTGAAAGATTCATACAGGTTGATGCATAGAAGATATGTACTAATACTGATAGATAGCCTTGATTTGAATTAAACAGACTGTATTGTGAAGCTAGGCTCCAAAGTCCATAGAGTATCCCGAGCAAGCCATCAACATCACAAATACATCTACAGCATCGCAACCGCTTTCCACTCAGGAGTTTCCGTCGTAGACGAATCCCAAGCCTGATACGGATAGCTCTTCGCAACCTCACCCAACCAATCCTGTTCCGAGCGATACGACTGCTCCTGGGAACAGCGCACAAGATCCTTGGCGACAACAATAGCCTCCTCCAACGGCAAAGTATAGATCTTCCACAATGCATACAAGACACCATACGGCTTCAACCACCCGCCCCTCCGCTCGCCGATCACCGCTTCTATCGAAACAACGGTGCGCTCGCGAAGAAAACCACGTAGAAGTGAGTCCATTTCCGCGTTCGTGGTCGGCCTCATCGCGACGGGCTGCGTTTCGATCAGCTCGATGAATTCTGACAAGGCGATCCGGATGAGTGGTGGTGTCTGCGCGACTGCGCGAGGGTGAAGATAGCGATAGACGGACTCGGGGTAGAGGCGGTCATGGGATAGATCGTCACGGTGGAGAGCAGCGAGGACTGGGTCCCGGCGATGGAACCAGGCTTCGAATTCAACGGCACAGTCGGTACTGGTTCTGATTCCTTCAGCGTGTTGGCGCATGAAGCAGCTGTATCGCTCCCATGTTACGGTCACGACGTCGGAGAGCAGGTGGGCGTGGAATTGGGCGATTTGGTGGATGTGCTCGGGGGAGATTCCTGCGCCGTGGCAGATGGAGGGGATGTTATCGTGCCACTCGCCCAGGGGATCTCGGTATCGACTGGAACTCGGGCCGAGAAGAAATGATAAGGCGCTGGATGTGGGTCGTTGCATTGACATTACGGAGGCCTCGGTGCGTATGTAGTTGAGATAGCGTTCCTGCGTATATCGATCGAGCCAGTAAGGCGATGCTCGTGGACCGTGCTGAGAATCAAAGTCGCCTGGGTAACACTGGGTCATGAACTGGTAGATATTTCCAAGCCGACGTGTCCACTCGGCTTGGCTGGGACTGATCTGCAGGACTCGGTGGTGGTGTGCACATGCCACGAATGCTGAAGGAAGCTCAGCCCGGTCACCTTCTGGGACAGAGTCAAGCACAGTGCGGAGTGATTGGATGATATTAAGAAGCGGAGGGGCCAGGCTCACTTCACGCGGAAGATGCTCGGGGTTCATCCCATGAGACTTTGCGAAAGCGAGAAATCGGTCTGCCCAAAGGGGTGTGTCTGACACCTCCTTCTCCAGCATGCATGCCAGCGTCGACGGGTGGTTCAAGAACGCCCGTAACTGCTGGGCAACCTTTCCTGGGAAAGCACCCACGGTCAGAGGATCGTCCAGTAGGCCTCCCTGCGTAGCTTTGTAGGACTGGGCAATAAGATCATATCGTCCTTGGTACGGGACTCTGGATGATCTGAGAAGCCACTCGTTGGATACCAGCTACTGGACCGCGCGCATGCACGGCGCGAAAAAGCTCAAGTCGCTGTGAAATAGAAGGGACCTGAGGCCTCTGCTTGCGCAGCAGCGGGTCGATGTTAGCTAGAGGACCAACATCATCCAGCACCTCTTCTGGCTGAAAGAGCAAAACGCAATCATGACTGCCGTCAAAATGGGTGACGCGACTGCGAGGGCAATTGAAATGTTCCAAACCAGCCCCGACATCGAACTCATCGGACGGGTCCGATCTTACGACCTGCCAGGTGAACGCCCCGTCGACAGCAGACTGTAAGGTAACCCACCCGACCTGATAATGGACGCTGACCCTGTTAGGTCCACCGACTGCGTTGGGGATGGCAGCACGTCCGAAGTACCCGGGGGTCTCGACGTGCAAGCGGATGGCACCGGCAGGCACGCGAGCAGCTCGGGCCAGAGCCACGGTCAGATTGGCACTGCCAGAGCAGGATCCCTGACGAGCGCGTAGCACTTCGAGCGCAGGCTGTTGCCACCCGCCGAAGTTATAATGAATGGAGTCGCGCATCGCGATGTGGATGACAACGCTAGCAACGCGTTGTGCCATGGCGAGCCGCTGCAGGTCGACAGTAGTGAAGCCCGTAAGTGGCTGGGATTGATGGGCCTGGCCCAGTAGACGATTCATCGCAGGGCTATGAAGCGTGTTCCACAGCTCCTCTTCTTCCATTAAGTGGCAGTATGTCGGATGGAAGGCGAGTTCGTCAAAGGTGTAGGACGAGCCGTCGTGGCCATGAATAATGACATGATTCCCGGTGGTGCCATCGGGAAATTGCTGCTGTAGAATACTGGCCAGTCGGGGCATGGTTAGGAGGTGTCGGGCTGTTTGGACAATTTGAGGCGTTTCGCAATCAGTATATTCAGTACATGCGAGCATCGGCCCCAACTCTAAACCGCTCCTCCAGGTATTCGTCTGTTGCTCCCACGCCGTATCGGCACGGTGAGCCTCATCCAGTCCACTGAGACTGGGACGATCAAACTTTCCATCGTCTCGTGCGGTCTCCGGGTGAAAGTCCTCGACTGGAGGTGGACCCGCAATGGCCCTTTTCACATCTGCCAGAAGATGCTCCCGGATCTCGGTAGAGCCCTGGGCAAGAAGTTCCGCCGCTTTGGTGTCGGGTGATAAAGCCCGCATGAAGGCTTCATGGTCGTCTTGCTCGCGACGAATCTGCATGTCTAATACGCTCCATGCGGCGGGTGGAAGTTTCTTCCCGGCACTGCTTGCTAGCAGAGCACCCCCAGTAGCTCGTCGAGCCAGAGGTGTAGAGGGACACGAGGGGGACGGCGGATTCTTATGATGATGTCCTCCCAGTACGTGAGACGGAGAGGTTGGTATATTCATCTCATGAAGTGTTTTTTCCAGGGTACGGGTGCGTGTCTGCACCTCAGTCCAAACGGGTGCTGATTTTGTTCCTTTCTGTTTTCCCAATTGTGATTGCTTTGACGTGGCCTCAACGTACAGAGCTTTCAGACAGCGGCTGCCGGCTTGACCCAAAGCACCCGCTTCAGCCTGTGCAGCTGACGACCCCAGGAGAGGGAACTGCAAAGCGTTCTCCTGGTTGATACGGAGTTGCTTTTCTGCCATGTTTGCGTCGTCGGATTGTAAAGATGCCCAAGTAATCAGGAGCAGTAGGTGTCTGTCAATCAAGTGAAAGAAGGACGACGGGCGAAGGGTAAGGGTGCATGCACTATAAATATATGGCAGAGTAAAGATTAATACTCGCTCGAATCGGTCTTGAATCAATTGATACTCTACAGTTATCATAGGGTCCTTTTGGAAACCTACACAACGTTAGATACCTTCCGACAAACAAGATACAGTGCTTTAACAACCTGTTGGACCTAGTTATACGACAGGCCAAGACCTTCAGCCCCAAGCCTCGAAGTCTCAAGAATGAAAGGCAGCAAAAGACGTAGCAAAAGAGGCAACAAATTGATAATTGACCTTTCTCTAGGACCTATCTTGAGAATGTAAGCCATTGCCTATAGGTTGAGACAGGCCCTGATTACTTCCCTGTAAACCCTAGTAAGCACCGTAATCTTCCTAGCTAACCTTCTGGTGGAGAAGCCAGAAAGCTATAGATGTCAAGGCATATCAGTAAAGTATAGCTAATAAACTAATCTTCACAGAGGAACCAAAACCCAATTTCACTTTAAACATAAAGAGTAAAAAGGCTATGTTGAACTCTCCCGATGTCATCCACGAACCATCATCTACAAACCTACTGCCACCTTCGACCGTCCTCCCGAATAGGAAATAGCCTTCAGCCCTATCCCTCTAATCCCTGCTTCCATAGCGATGGATTTATTGACCGCGGATAATACTGGCCTATCTTTTTAGTTAATCTCGGACGGTATTAGATCCTGCTCACGTAGGAAGTGAAGCCAACGACAGGACCGACGCCATCGCGAAGCAGGCAAGACCACAAAGCTAGACTGCAGAGCCTCGTTCTGGATGGGCTGACCCGGTAGGTGATATAACAGGTCTGCTGCTGTTGCGTTGATCCGATATGATAATGATCATGGTTGCATTATATCCGAATATTAGCTCCCTAACAGGGCTCTTCCCGGGGCATCAATGGCTAGTTGGCCGCGGCAGGACCAAATGAAGCAGTAAACAAGCCATACAAATGTCAAAAATAAGCCATCCGACTCCTTGTAGAACCCGTGAAATTGACAAATCAACGTCCTCAGGTCAAAACATAAACTCGTCTTGAAGCTGACCCAGCGGACAAGACATGGATACTCAAGGCCGAAGATATGGAATGCCTTGATCTATCCGTGCCATGGTGAGAACCTTCCTCTTGCTCCGGGCAGATTCGAAGCGCAGATGTTACAAAACCATTTAAGCATTTAGTATCATGGAGAGCCATTTTCTATGATCTCAGATGACAGTCAATCTCAGTTACGAAAGGGATAACAATACTGATGTACTGTCATATGATCTAGGTTTGATTTTCAAATCTGAACACAATAAATGACCTCGTGGGCGAAATCGTCGGGGCCGACGAGTGGAGACCCATGAGGAAGATTCTATTTCGAATCTTTTTCCAGCCTAGCAGACTCTAACACAGTATATGCGCTATTATTAACCTTTTAAGTCGTTTCTCGTGATTGGCCTCTCTTTGTATCGTCTGTTTAGTGTTTTCGCTATTCCTGTGTTGAAAAGATGTAAAAATAGAGTCCTAGACTAGGCATTTTAACGAAATACTACAGTATCATCGCGGCCGAGACCCTTCTAGGGTTGTTATGGTTAATGTTGGGCCTCACTCAGGGTGCAACTGGCACTGCCTGAACCGCCTCCCGAGGGCTCCGAAGGAAGAGAAAAAAAAAAAAAAAAAGGAAAAAGACACCAACAAACAAAATCCGGTCCGAGGCAGTGCTGATCCAGGCTCCTCGATAGATCTCGGGGGCGAGCGTGAGTGGAGGAATCGAGCGTACTAATTTCTTAGCTCTCTGCTAGTTTGGCCACTCATCGGGACGCGTTTTGCGGTGTGCTGGAGACGCCCGGAGCTTGGTTGCAATCGTTGGGCTGCCTCCCCGCAACGGGCGAGAATTGGCGAAGAAAGTGAGTGACTGGTGGTGTTTTAGTTGGATTGAGGCCTTGAAGGGTCTGGACGGGCTTTTGTATCACCTTGTCTAACAGTTTTACTATAGAGGGCGTGCTATAACCGGGGGAACTGAGCAGCGGTGAGTTCCGTACTTCAAATAACTATTCATCCGACCGGTCGCACGGAATTGAGTTTCCAAGATGCAGGCGAAGAGGATCTAATATCTGCACCGTTGAGTGATTGGAGATGTTCGACAGAGTCTGGTACTCCGATCCCTCAGAGGAGGCAGACCAAGTGAAACATCAAAGGCAGACATTTTCCTTCCCCCGACGCTAAAGACGCACCTCGCTGACTGACAGGACAAGTGAGAAAGTCGCCACGCTGCCAACGCTAAGCTCTGGACTATCCGTTCGATCCAGAAGGGCCCAGTCGGCAACGGATCCTTCCATGCTGCATGGGATGAACACGCTATGTGGTCATCCTCACTGCTTATCACGTCCAAGGCAAAGCCTCGATATGATATCATCTGTCCAGCTCCACTCCCAACACCCGAACAAGAAATTAACGTCGAGCAATCGCCCAATGGAACCGCCATCGCGGTGGAGTCCACGCTATTTCCAGGCACCGAGTTTCCTGTTGTGGTGGGGATTTGCCTTTTTTTTGCGTCTGTTGATTCCGTGCTCTTAGTTACCTCCGGTGTAACTAGTGATGAAGCTATGATAAATCAATGATCCCTTGCCTCTGCGGCCAACGCCGACTGGGAATAAATAATGCCACCATGGACGCCGCTCGCGGTATTCCGGGGAAACCACTCCATCAAGAATTGACAGTTGCACGTTTCTTAACGCCTTTGGATTCGCGAAATGAGGCGCTCGAGTGCCGCTCAGGGCTGGCTTTTGCGGCTGGCGCTTTTGGCGTTGATCACACTATGCACGTGTGCGCCCTCCAACATCACCACCGACGTCAATGTCAATGAAGTGCAGACTCGCGAGGTGAAGCCTTTCCTCCTCCGCATAATGCCCCTCGGTGCTTCGATCACGGTGGGATACCGGTCCGACGACGGCAATGGGTATCGGAAATGGCTGCGCCAGCAATTGCGCTATTCCGGCTGGCAGGTCGATATGGTCGGCAGCTTGTCGAACGGGTCGATGCACGATAATGTGGGCGACTCCCTTACGTCTTGTCTGACGTTACATCAATTATACACTTCCATGGAGCTAACCGGTCCATCTAGAACAACGAAGGCCACTACGGCTACCGAATCAACCACGTCGCCAAAGAAGCCGAAAAGACAATTCCGCAACAACCCAACCTCATTCTCATCAAGTATGCTCTCCCCTCACCTTCCTCAGATCTATCAACTAATCGACACCACCAGCGCCGGAACCAACGACGGAATTTTAAACTACCAAGTCAGTACCGCCGGGAAACGAATGGACCGGCTCATCACGCGCCTCTTCGACGCCATCCCCGGCACGACCATCATCCTCTCGACGCTCCTGACGAACGCCAAACAGCCCAAACGGATCGAGCAGATCAACGAGCAATATCGCAAGATCGTGGCCCAGCGTCGCGAAAACGACGACCGCATCGTGTTGGCGGAAATGAGCGAGTTCATTCACAAGGATGAACTGGTGGACGGCACGCACCCGACCGACTACGGGTACAAGAAGATGGCGTCTGTCTGGTGGGCGGCGATTCAGGAGGCGGAGTCGGAGGACCTGTTGCAACGGCCGACGACTACGGTCAGGAGTCATAATAAGGCTCTTGAGAAGGAGGTGGATGATGGGGGTGGTGACCCGCATCTGCCGGAGTATGATGCCCCGGATCAGCCGAACTCGAGTGCGACCGTGACGCGACCGGCCTTGGGTCAATTGGGTGTGCAGGTTATTGCTGGTGAGTTCTTTGTTCGTGTGGCTGTATAGGATTGAGTACTGATTGTGTCCAGTGATTGCCGCCCTGGCGATGATAACTTGATCTGTTCCTGAAGGGAGGACGATTACCTCCGCCTAGAACAACCCACTTGAACCTCACAACTGAGGCAGCAGCACGCGGCCTGTCCGCAACCGAACTGGTCAATTTCGTAAGAAACATGGAATTGAAGTCGCTCGAGCCCGGCGACGGTGGCATATGACACCATATCCCCGGTCGGAGCCGAGGATACTTCAAGCGCGACAGCCCTCTTGCGTGCTACTGTGAACTGGCGAACTACAGGACTTGAAGCGATAGCCTATTCTCTTCAAGGAGGATAGAGATTACTACGGTCGCTTCGCCAGGCCTAGCCAACATCCTAGCTACTCTAAAATTGAATAGACAATATGACTGAGCTGACACTGTCTCCTGCCTAGAGTACATCTTCGAATATAGAGTAAATCCTTCATCGACCGTCAAAAGCCAAGACGGACTCTACGAGCGATGAACGAGTAAACTAGCAGATAGCCCTCCCGACCGTCAGGAAGAGTGAGGCTTAGGATGCATCGACGGGTTAAAGTCGTGGGGGCTAATTCGCTCCAGGATTTATTTAGTCCAGGTAGAAGACGCCATGTAACCTTCTGACTCACATCCTCTCAAGACATACCTATATAGAGACACTTCTGATACAGTTGATGTTTAGCATCCCCTCCTAGCTGTCTCATTGTTTCCTTCGTCAAGTTACCCTTACTGAACAAAAACCAACCACCAAAATGTCCCTCCACAACCACCCCATCACCCAAGAACCCTACCTCCGTCTCCCCTCCCCACACCAATCCATCATCATCACGCCCTACCGCGCCCCCAATCCAGCCGATGAAGCCGCCAAGGTCCGCAATATGAACGACCCCCTCGTGGCAGCCTGGCTCATCGGCCCGCCGTATCCGTACCATGCCGACGACGCCAAGATCTGGACCAATATGTCGCGGTCCCAGTGCATTCAGATTCTCGCGGAGGCAAAAACCCAGCAATACGTGTCCGGCAGTCCGTTTCGATGTGTCCGCGAGATCGTGGAGGAGGATGAGCACGGCGTGATTCAGAAGGACGTGTTGATCGGCGGGATCGATGTCACTGAGTATCCGTTTCTGGAGTTTCCGGAGGGAAGCAAGGAGAGGGAGGATGGGGTGAAGAGGAACGGGGAGTTGGAGACGGGGAGTTCGGAGAAGGTTTGGGGGGTTGGTGGTATGTATTTTCCTTTCCTCCTCCCTGTGGCACTATATTCTTCTTGACTTGGGTAGGTGATAATTTCTGGAAATGCTAACTCCCTCTACCTACTAGACTGGCTGGATCCAGCGTACCACGGTCGAGGTATCATGACGGCGGTCGTGAAGACCGTCTTCTATGACTGGGCGATTCCTCGCATGAACGCGCGCCACTTCAAAGTTTCGGCCTTCGTGGGGAATCAAGGCAGTGTTCGGGTCTTTGAGAAATTAGGATTCAAGCACCATGCGAAGCTGGACGACTGGGTGCAGATGCCGGCTAGTCGAGGAGGCGGAAAAAAGTCGCTTCATATCCTTTCTTTAGATATAGAATAGAAGGGCTTGTGGGTATGGGGCTGATTGTTTAGAAGACTCGGCACTTTCAATCGTTGCCGACACAGAAAGTTTACTTTCTGTTCTCAATGATTGATTGAACCAGTTTTCGAGGACTGGGACGAATGGAGCACATTTGCTATTCAACCAATAATGTCATGCATGATGGATCATTCCATTGAATTTGATTTAGGATCTGCCAGGAACCCGATCCAGGGTCGACGATGGCGCGGAACGCCAATGAATTCCCCCGGACTTTTTGAAAACTGGACACTTTTGTCGACGTTTCTATTTTTGCTCGAGCGTTCAAATGGTTGATCGGCAACTGACGTGGCTCTGATTTTGTCTCTACCCTATACTGTCTCATTTGTCTCTACGGCGTACTGGACACGATATGGTCAATTTCCAATGCCAGACGGACGGAACCCGACACTCGCCTGTAGAATCCAAAGGATGAAACTCCGGGTGAAAGAAAGATCCGAAAAACGATCTCCCATCTGCAGGCTCGATCGTGAAATCATCCTTTCAGGGGTAAGCGGATCGGCGCGGTGGGGCGGCTGGTCCAGATGTTTGGATCCTCCCGAAGAACAGACGAAGGTGAAACAGACGACGAAGATCTCGCGACGTCTTGAGGCACGTTGAAACGGTTCCTGGAGTATCACATGAAGGCAGATTTTTCGCTGCTCTGTATATAAGGGTCGGCATGGTATGCTAGTGTTAAGAAGGAAACCAGTCTCTCGTTGATCCTTGTCTCCGGTTGTCGATATAGTTACACTCGTTTACACTATACTATCGTTTTTCGCCAATTGAGTTCTTTGAACTAGTCACTCGTTATATCAAAATGCACTCCCTCAACCTCCTCCTCGCCCTTCTCCTCCTCATCTCCCTCGCCATCGCCAACCCCCTCACCCCCCGCGCCAATCTCATCCACTGCACAACCGAACAACAATCCATGATCGAATCCGCCCTGATCCAATCCTCGCGAATGGCCCAAGCCGGCGCCTCAGCCATCCGCTCTGGCTCCTCCTACTCCAACACGCTCTTTCAAACCTTCTTCAAAACCACCGACCAAGCCACCAAGTCCCACGTCGCCGACATCCTCGACCAGATCGCCGAGGAAGCGCAGGCCCGCGGCGCCGGCCGCGTCACATACTCCTGCAGCCCCGACGGAATCCCTTGCTCTGACTCGGCGTCCTTCACGGTCACGGCGTACGGCGAGACGGACGGCTACAATGGCGATATCAGGACATGTCCGGCGTATTTCAATATCCCGAGTTTTTCGAATAACTGTGATGCGTTGGATCAGGCGACGTCGACGACCCATGAGATGGCGCATACAAAGGGCATCTTTGGGGTTGAGACGTATGGGTACTATGCGGTGCAGGGGTTGGATGAGCAGTCGGCGTTGATTAATGCGGAGAGTTATGCTTTCTTTGCGAAGGGTGAGTTTTCTACTTTCTGGTTTCCATATTTTTACTAGGATTGGTCGTGCTAATATGGGTATCTATAGCGGCTTTGTTGAATTGCCAGGTTTAAGATGACATGGACCTGCAAGATGAAAGTCTTGGATACACATGGAGGAAGGGATGGCACATACATTACTCGTTCATCATGGTGAAAATAATCAGATAGATCAAGCATCAGCATCAGCGTCAATCCCAACATCTCATCCATATCAAACTCCTATTATATCATATGTAAACCTCCACTAACACAAACTGTCTGCCCCGTAACCCAACCCGCATCCCACCCACCAAAAATACCACCACCTTCGCTACCTCATCCGCCCTGCCAACCCTCTGCTCTAACGGTGTACTCATCATTATAAGATCCCTCAAACCCCTAGGCACCTCCTCCCTTAACATCTTCGGCTCCGTGCGCAACCACATTCACCGGATGACCGTCCCCGCCGATATCGAAGGCCAAGGCGCGTGTGAACCTCTCGACTGCGGCCTTTGAGGCAGCGTAGATACTCCCGCCAGTAGAGCCGCGACGGGCTGCTACGGAGCTTATGTTGATGATTCGGCCTGGGGCGCGGAGGTGTGGGAGGATGGTTCTAGTTAGGAGGATCGTACCGTAGACGTTCAGGGCAAAGATATTAGACACTACAGAGGATGTGGTTATCGGGAGAGCCGCGCAGTGGAATACGCCGGCGTTGTTGATCAGGTTGTCGATTTTGGATTAGAAGACTAGGCGTCGTATGCTCTGCTTGAGGCTTTTAATCCGTTCAAAGGGTTGGCTTATAAAGGTTTTGGTACTCGTATAGAATGACACCTACTCCCGGCGTCACATTATGCAGCATAACGTCATGCTCGCGCAGGATTCACATCTGGTCGTTCATTACCAGCACTCTGCTGTAGGAGCGATATTCGTTATGCTTGACACTACTGGCATCTGGCTATTCTGAATTATGGATACTTCTTATCTTTTGCTCCTATGAATGTTGTCCTCGGGCAGGTGAGCCACGGCACGAATTGGTTCCTTATACTATAGACAATGACATAATTAACACCCGAATACAGGTATAACAATACAATTCATGTGTTCAGTATCAAAAACGCCTGTCTAGATTGGAGATTTTGTTCCAAAACGCCATATCCCTGTTATCGTACATTCCATGGCCAGAAAGAGCAGCGCAAATCGATCAACGTAAATGAAAAGTCATATCAGCAGTAGGAAATCATTTCAAAGCACGCAAAGCTTGTTCGTTTCCAGATATTCATCAAATTGGTCCGGAAGTCCTGATGGCTCCACTACTGCAACATAGGTGTCCGGTCGAAGTAGATAAGCTGTATCCTTTTGAAGCCCAACGTTCTGGTACTTCTCGTTCCATGGGAAGACCGTCAGATGCACTTCCTTCCTTCGACACCAGTCCGCCAACTTCTCATCTGCCTGGCCATATACATGCACCTGCCATGCAATCGCCCCGAGGGTGTCAAAGTTGTCAACATCTCCTACCGGAGCCCAGGGCAAACGATCACCGCCCTGAACTTCCCCGATATTCCCGGCCGACAGACTGCTCTGCCGATAGTTGATTAACGTCTGCGACATTCCCCGGAAGACCCTATGTCTGAACTTTTCGAATCGCGTCATAAACGGCGCCGCGTACGGGATGATCCACGTCCGGAAAGAACTGACGAGATATCCAGTCCCAACAATCGAATTGAAAGCCCAATCCGTGGTCTGCACAAGGGTGCTCGCAAAGGCACGACGCTCGACCTCGTACGTATCCAGCAGCGCAGGATCTGCCTTCCCCTGTACCACAGCCGCCAGCTTCCAGGCTAGATTAATCGCGTCGCCGATCCCAGTGTTCATTCCCTGTCCGCCCACCGGACTATGAATGTGTCCTGCATCGCCGACCAGAAACGCACGACCTTTCCGAAACGACTTCGCCAGCCGATGATGCACCTGGTACGTCGTGAACCAGTTTACTTTGCTGACGTCCAGCTGCATGTTCTTGCGCATCGACGGGGCCAGATCTTCGAATGTGATCTCGCCCGCGTCTTTCGCGATCCGGCTCTCATCAACAGCCCCTCCTAACCTAGCGGTCTTGCCGGCGTCTAACGCAAACAGGAGAGAAAAGTCCGACTGGTTGAAGGAGACATGCGCTTCGCCGTTCATCGCCGGCCCGCTGGCTTCGATATCCGCCACGTAAAATAGCTGCGTGTATGTGTCGCCTTCGAACTCGATCCCGCTGATATGGCGAACGGCTGAATGCGCCCCGTCGCAGCCAACTAGGTAGCTTGCTTCGCGGATCTCGATCTCCCCGTCCTCTGTATTCTTCAATCTCGCGCTGACATGCGTCTCGTGTTCGTCAAACCCAACCAACTCGCGATTCCGATTCACGATCACGCCCATCTCATTTAACCGTCTCTCTAGCACCCGCTCGTGCACGTCCTGCGAGAGAATAAACACAAACGGATACGGCGTTAGTCCTTTCCCGACGTCGCCGATCGGGATGCGCGCGCGATACGAGCCTTCAGACCACAGATTCGTGGCTTCGACTTTGTGGCCTAGGGAGAGGAGCTCGTCGGAGAGGTCGAGCTGGCGGTAGAGTTCGAGGGTTCGTGCGTGGATGGCAAGGGCTCGGGATGTCGAGGCTGTTGCGAGGGCTTTGTCGATGATGTGGACGTTTAGCCCTTGGCGGGTTAGCCAGAGGGCGAGGACGAGGCCGCTTGGGCCGGCGCCGGTGATGAGGACGTCGGTGCGTGGTTTTGGCATGTTGGGTTTTGGTGTGCAGTATGTTATATGAAATGTGGTGGTTTGGGATGTGAGGGTTTTGTATGAAGGTAGATTGTTATGATAGTCATGAATAGTAGTCAACCTACGCCCACTCTACTTCCTATTTATACATGACTCCATGTAAACTTCCGCCCCTGCGGACTGTATACTCACCCAGGGGCCATGACGCCCCGTGATGAGATCACCGGGCTGACGATGACTCTTGATGATCGTCTTGGCCCTCCAAGATGCCTGAAGCGGTATTCCTCCCCGTGAATGCCCGACGTGCGGACAAACGTGCGGACATTCCCGGGATTCCGACATTCCGACGGTCGGCAGTCCGAAGACCGACGCCGATTGACTCATGTAGCCCTGCGAGTAGGTACAAAGTAGAAGAAACAATTTCATATTAAGATTACCATAACTGATTAACCCAATAACTAACTGAGGGAATTGAACGGTCGCAGTTTCGATCTTGCTCATTACCGACCACTTCATAACTCAACAACAGGTAAGGAACAATTACTCCATCACCTCCGTCGCAGTCGCCGTCGCAGCTACCGCGGCAGGCTGATCAGCGATGGCGCTGCCTTCGCCGTGAACGCAGTACGCGTACCCGGTCAAAAGGTTCGTGCAGCTGCGATTCAGCTCTGGATTCCACTGCTGCAGTTGCGCCATGGTGATTCCGAACTGGGATTGCAGTTTCGCGCAGTAATCACCTTGTAGGACGACGTACCACTGTTGAGGTGAAATGTTAGCAATCAAGTTATCTAATCCAGAGTCATGAGGAAGGTCACTAATAGTGGAAGGAGAACGGGGAATGGAAAAGGGTCAAAGGGAAGTCGGGTATGTATACCTCGTAACAGTTCGGCGTGGTCCCGCTGGCCGTTGGAGCAGGAGCAGACACGTATACCGAAGTGGTGGTGGTGGTCAATGTAGTGGACGGCTTGTTCCAGTCGGCTGTCGGGAGCGTGCAGTAGTATAGACCGGAAATGAGGTTCGTGCAGTCGGCATTCAGGTCTGGGTTCATGGCTCGGAATAGTTCCAGGCTGATGCCAGCGTTCGAGGCGATGCGCTGACAGTAATCACCGGATTGGACGAGGTAGTACCTGTCATGATGTATATTAGCGTGATATGTTCGGACTGGGATGGTGAGAGTGGAGATGGTGGGAACTGATTACCTTCCACATTTTGTAGTTGTACCCCTGGCTACCGGGCCTGGCGGGGCCACCGTGGCTGTCGCGTATGGGGTGGACATGGTCGAAGTAGCCTGCGTCGGGGTCGTGACGGTCGAGTTCCCAGAAGCTGGCTCGCTGACGCAGATCTGGTCCCCAATGATCAGGTTCGTGCACTCGGCGTTGATAAAGCTATTCCATGCTCGCAGTTGCGCGAGAGTGACTCGGTACGTGTTTGCGATCCTCCAGCACGTGTCGCCCGACTGGACAGTGTGTTGTTGACAGACAGCTGCATCTGTTGACCAGTCTCTCTTGCTGTTGTTTCTAACAATCTCGCGTTTAGGGTTGTGTTGCACGGTCAGGTCGTCTGGCGAATCTGTGTTTTGGGACCCTTCCTTTGCGGATAATGTGGGAACTGGGAGAAAGGGATCGAGTATGACATACGGACTGGTGGCTGGTTCGTCCGAGGGGTCGTCGTAATCGTCGAAGTCGTAGCCGTCGAGATCTGTGCATATTAGAATAGTCTTCATTTTCTGCATAGAATACGTACAGTCATCGAGCTGCACCACAGGACCTTTCCCGCAGACGTAGTTGTAGTTGATCCAAATGCCATCCCCGTACGCAGTAGCAGGTACACCGGGCCAGGGGTCCGGGTAGTCTTGACAGGCCGAGAGCACCGAGTCATGATACTGAGCGAGAGACTGCTCGCAGGTGTCGGTGCAGATGGATGACATGTCCATCGCTTCCTTAGAGCGAGTCTCGTCTACACCAGCCCGGAAGTATGTACTGCAGGCAATGGGAGCAGTCATGGCGGCCTCGCATTCTGCAGATAGCAATCCATCTGCTGCAACCATGCTCGTGTCATGAATAAAATCATTATTGAAAAGAATCAACTCCGGGGGGACAGAGAGCCCGAAGGCAGGGAACTGGAGCCAAGCGAGGAAAGTAGGTAGAGCGAAAGCCATTTTCAAAAACATCGGCTTCTCGAGCTTTCATGATCACAAAGAAATCACAGACAGGCCCTCCTGCCGGGTATTTAAATGTCACTAGATAGGCCAGCTAGCCCCCTATCCGTTTGACTGTTCTATTGGACATGTTCGAGTTGTTTTCTCGCCAACGTATGGAACGGCTTGTAAGATGTCTGTTCCGTCTCTTCCGCGGCAAATCCCCCATGTACGACCTACTTTCTGCTAAGGAGATGGGGAAGTTCGTTCATTCTTCGCTCTTCCGCAAGGTAGCAGGATTTGAAATTCATCCGTATGGCTGGTGCGGGGCGAAGCATTGGATGGGTCTTGGATTCATGCATAGCGTCCCGCTCTTTCCAGGGTCGAGCTGCACCGCCAGTGGATTGGCTGTTCCACCTGATCAACCTGTCGTTTTCACATGGTGCATATCAGGGTCGTACTGTTATGTCATTCAATATCATGATTTGCCTTCTGGCTGCCGATCTGCAGGCCTTTCTGGAGATGAAGGTCTTCGTCTGTGAGACTGTTTGTGCTGCTTGAAGGACATTAGCACCTTTATAGATTGCTGTAAGTTGCCACGAATAATCCAGTATTTAGAATGTTGTCATTTGTAGAGTTATAATTAGTAGAACAATTAGGCAACCTAATTTAAATACCTTCTGATAGCGCCTTCTCCACGTTGCATCGCGAAAATGCAACCTCCAGTTGACTAACTTCCAGCGTTACACAAAGCCGTCAAAGACCGGAGACTTTGTAGCTGCAGCCCCTCAATCATGCCGCCCATTTCGCCGACCTTGCATCACCTTTGCTCTCACAGGTCCTGTGTCTGACAGGTTCATACAGGAGGCAAGGGATGGGTAAAAACCCCAGCCTGGAAGTGGGGATAGACCAGCTGAGCAAGCCGGGTAGCCCAGTTTGAAATTTGCTCGTCTGGGGAGGCATAACTGCTCGGTTGGTTGTAGAGATTTTCTCTCTAGAAGCTGCCCAAGACCATTGAAGAAATTGTCACTACACAGCCTGGGTCAAACGATTTACTTTGAACACTACTATGGTGTTGAGATGATGCAATGAACAGTAATATTTCTTCTTGTTATTACTAGTTTTCCTAGATACTTGTTTGTGGATATTGCTATGCTCTAACATATCTCATCACGTAACAATATCAATAAACCCCACTCTCGACTGTTCTGCTATGGACTCAGTATATAGTTCCAGCATTTGAAATTAGATGACATTCTGTCCTTGAGAAAATTAGGTCAAGCGTCAACTTTTGCAGTGCCATAGACCCCGCAGCTCGTCGTGTCTGAATCCTGAACAATGAGAAGTAAGAGAGAACGTTCGACCTATGCTCCAGCATTCATGTTTCAATTCGAACAAGTGTCCCCCAGTCCATGATTTTGGTCATGACGGGCTATGCGCGTGAGGGTGTGCTATCTGCATTAGACTGTTTTTTGGGCCAATTTCAAACTACGTCGCAGTAACGCATCATGTTCTGATATGAGTCACAACGTCCACCATCAAAATTCCTGTCTAGCATTTTGTGGAATGCGGGGTATCAAGCCTCCTTGCATACGTAATAGATCCGTTTCTTCTAGCACAGTATCTTGGGTTGATTTAATTGCTTGTAGGACGTAAATAGGCCGTTCATAGTGTAGTCTACATGAGTAACCGTGGATAAGCAGTTGCAGATGCATCTACATCATCTTCAAAATCTTGTATGAGACCGAATCTGGTATCACGAAAGATAAATGAATCTGTTTTTGTTGACTAGTTCTTGCATTATGTAGAAAGAATCAGGTTGTGCGCCAGGACTCACTCCAGACATACTTCGCTTGTAAGACTCAGATAAATTGTGAAGTAAAGAATAACATTCAAGTATCCTAAAATATTTTACCAATTTCTCACATATGACAAGCTAAAACACAGTGGTGAACGGTCACGCTTCAGGCATTAAGGCATCAATGAGTACCTTGCACCTTACGGTTTTGGGCAGGTGCGAAGTGGGGTCACGTGCAATGCATGACTCAGCCGTCGGAGGAGGGTTGCCACTCCGGGCCAATCAGCATCCTGGCCATTGTTTCTTCATCTCTTCCACCTTCTCCCTTCTTCAACTCTCACAGCTACGATGGGTACCACTCGGTACAATGCCTCGGCGTTGTCATCAGAGAAAAAGCGTCTTAGAGACCGACGGGCGCAACAGAACATGCGCCAGAAAAAAGAGAACTTGATCAAGTCTCTCGAGGACAAAGTTGAATTCTGCGAGCGACATCACACCGGCGGCTCGATCCAAGAGCTCATAGAGACCATCGAGAGCTTCCGCAGGGAAAATGAGGCCCTTCGCCAACAGATCAAGTCGTTGAACGCAACCCCAACTCTTCTTCCGGAGAAGTCCCAGTTCCTATCATCGCCATCAACAACGGAACTTATGCAATCACTCGAGGATCCAAACAATCTAGAGAAATCGCATGTTTCACATGAGACATCGTCACCAATTATGCATGAAGCAAGCTTAGCCCTCGCACCAATTACAGCTAGCGACCAATCAAGAATATTAAACCAGGCCTTAAGCCTGAGCTATTCATCTTTCCTGGTCCCTCCGCTCATTCCGGACGAGGCGTTGAACTTCCCCACGATGTCCTTTTCTGACCCAGCTCAAACAATTCCGAATTCTGCTCCCATTTGGTGCTTGGTTCCGATGAGCTCCTACGGTGACAACGCGTTCCTTTTACCCGGTCACTGTCCCTGGCTGTCATATCCAGAACTAATTGCTGGCTGTTCACCATTGCCGTCCCCGCTCGATATGCTTCACGGTACCAAACGTAACTTCCTGGCCGACCAGATCAACCAACGTATGCGACTACGACGAGTTCGAGACCCCGAGTGCCTAGGATTTGGCTGGCTCTGCTATCTGTTCAGCAAATGGCGAATCTCTCCTAACCCTACAACATTTGCTCGCCTTCCACCGTTCATGCGCCCGGTCGTGGCACAATTTCAGCGAGGCCACCCTAACGCCTTCGACCTTCCCGTGTGGCCACAATTGCGAAGGAACCTGATCAAACGTTGGCGTCAATACGATTATTTTGAACTAGTCGGCTATTTGTCTTGTTGTGCCAGGGTACGGTGGCCATTTGCCGAACCGATCCTTGAGCGCGATGCTAGTGACAATTTGCAAATACGACAGGATTTCTTGGATACTGTTACCCGGGAGAGTGGCTGGGGACTGACTTCAGAATTCATTGACAAATATCCCGAGTTGCTGGAGGGGATGGATGTCGAGGCTGTTAGGTTTCGGATGGATGTGCTCTAAAGTTAGAGAAAAAGGGATTGATTCTTAATCCTATTCCTCAAAGTATCATGCAGCAGCAGTTAAATCACTCGCGCTTGCCGATTGTTGGCGGCAACGTGACGAGGGGGCACATGACGCTAGACAGCCTCGAGTCAGCCTCGCACCTCTCGTTTTCACCTCCACAATACTCAGTTCTGGTGATGCTCCTTCAAACATTCCGCTCGACCCAGCTCTTCATGACCCGGCATCCTAAACCCACATGGCAAGCGCCAGCGATAAATTCGTTCACTACAAAACACTTTCGCACGATGATTATACCGTGGGCTGGATCTGCGCGCTTCCCGTTGAGCTGACAGCAGCAAAAGGAATGTTGGATAAAAGGTTAGTCTCTGAATTCTACTCGGCGAATGCCGCTAAAAATGGCGTTTCAAGGCACGAGTCCTTGCCACAGCCTGCAAACGATAACAACAACTATGTCCTCGGAGAAATCACCGGCCACAATGTTGTCATCGCATGCCTCCCCATCGGTGAATATGGAACGACATCCGCCGCCACGGTCGCAGCGCAAATGCTTTTGACCTTCTGCCAAATTCGCTTTGGTCTAATGGTGGGGATTGGCGGAGGAGTGCCAACTACCGAGGATATTCGATTGGGAGATGTTGTCGTGAGCAACCCGACCGATGGGTATGGAGGGGTCATCCAGTATGACTACGGAAAGACAATCAGCCGAGGGACTTTCGTGAGAACTGGGATGTTGAACATGCCGCCACAAAACCTTCGCACCGCGACCGCAAACCTGCGATCTGAACACCAGATGCGACCGAACCGAATCCCCGAACTGGTGGCGGAGATGAGCAGAAAATATCCTCAGATGTCGGAGCTTTTAGAATTCGACCGTAGTGCAGATGATCTGTACTCCGCAAACTATACACATATCAGCGGAAACGATACATGTTCTGATTGTGACCGATCGAAATCATTGAAGAGAGAGCCTAGACTCTCTCAGAATCCGAAAATTCACTACGGCCTCGTGGCTTCTGGAAACCAAGTCGTCAAGGATGCGGAGACCCGCGACCGATATGCCAGGGAGATGGGTATCATCTGTTTCGAAATGGAAGCAGCCGGTCTAATGAATCATTTCCCTTGTTTGGTTATTCGAGGAATCTGCGACTATTCGGACTCTCACAAGAACAAAAAGTGGCAAGCGTACGCCGCCGCGACCGCGGCTGCCTATACCAAAGAGTTACTGTCAGTCACCTCGGTTTCAGTGACACAGAGTATTATTACGGCCAGAAGATCCCCGGCAGGTCCAGGTAAGCTCTATGAAGAGTTTTCGTGTCATTCCGGCTCGTGTTAATTCCCATCTTAGAAACACTCACGGTCGACGATCCTGCACGATTCCTGGCTCTGTCTCAGCGGCCGGAATGGGCCCTTGTTCATCAATGTACGTCTCTCCTACCTCTGGGCTCATATCTTGTCTCCTAACATTGCTAGTGGAACAACCGAGGAATATATTCCAACGACTCTCCGATTACGATCCTGATCGAACCCATCGCAGTCATCTATGGGACAGGTGTCCACATACTACTGAGTGGATCGTAGACAATCCAGCATTCAAAGCATGGCTGGGCGGTAGTGCCTCTTCGGTTCTGTGGCTAACTGGCAAGAGTAAGCTCCGACTATCGAAAAAGAACTGTTCAATCGTTTCCTCGAACCTAACAATTGACTAGTTGGATGTGGTAAAACGCTTGTTTCGTATGTTCCAGATCAAACGTTGATCCTTCAAAATCCACTAATCTTAGCTCAAAAACCAGGAGCACTGTCATTCAACATCTAAAATCTATCACCCAGGGCACCCAATGTATAGTCGCTCACTTTTTCTACAGCCACTCGAACCGATCAAGATTGGACGCAAGGCATGTGTTCGAGAGTTATATCAAACAAATTGTTGGGCATCTTGACTTGTTTCAGATAGCCTGCCCTGGTCCAATTCGGTCTTTCATCAAGAGGTTTTATGAAACTGATCAGCAGATCCCCACTTTCCGAGAGATCATACATGAGATCTTTCTTCCCCTTTGTCAATCCCGTCCCGGTATTATATTCGTCATGGATGGACTTGATGAATGTAACCGTTCACAAACCCTGAAAGTCTTCGAGGCTCTGCGAGAAATCTCCAAGCTGCGCTCCGTGAAAGTCTTTGTCTCCGGACGAGAAGGACTTGATATGACTGGAGCTATCCCTGGTTGTGCCACAATAAATATAGCTGATGATGGTAACAACGACGATCTTCGAGCTTTCGTCGACTGGAAAATTCAAATCAAAATGAAAGAAAGACAACTCACAGAAAGTGAATCAGTGCTTCAAGAAATCAAAGCAAAGCTCCTTGAAAGGGCCGGTCATATGTAAGTAAAATGATTCCTGGTATTGACTGCAACTAGAAGCTTATATACTGCGCTAAGGATACTGTGGGTAAATCTACAGCTGGAAATGCTTTGGGATGATTGCTACACGGATAGTGAAATCAGGAAATCTCTCGACAGTTTGCCTAAGGATCTCAGCACAACGTACGATCGTTGTCTTGCTAAGATCATGGGAAAGGGCATGGTCTTCGCAAGAAAGGTTTTGCCATGGGTCGCTGTTGCACCGGAACCATTCACTGGAAGCCAGCTTCAAGAGGCAGTTGCACTGAATCCACGCACAGGTCTCCTCGATCTTGATGGTTTCGTGCCTGTTAAGGAGCTTGTCAAGTCTTGCTCGCATCTGATCACCTGGGATATGAATGATGAGATCCGTCTTACTCACTATTCGGTTTCTCAATTTTTGGAAAGTAAAGGTGGAGAGAATAATTCCTGGTTTGCGGACATCGCTCTTAACAATGAACGGGCAGCACTGGGTGATCTTTGCATGAAACATCTACTTTCGCCGATATATTCCCGACCGGTGATACCCACTCAAAAGCCCAAACAAACCGTGGTAAATGCCGGGGCTATTATGCAGCAGTTGTGGACTCACATCCCACTCTCTAGTCGGCTAGGCTTCCAGAACACCAAGAGAGTTGAAATACGGTTGCCTTTACAACAATCAACCGAGAAATTCAATCAAGAGCAGCCGTCTTTCTTCGAGTTTGCCAAGGGACAATGGCTTCCACTCACTAAACATCTCACCCAATCCTCTACAAATTGGGATGAATTCGAGAGCCTTGTCCTAGACCAGAACTCGACTTGGAACATCCATCCTTGGGAGCCTTTGGGCATGTCCATGGACTCACATTATGCCGCTATCTTGGGCTACGCTATTGTAGAACATCACAGCCCGCTATTCTCTGTCTTGATGCGGGCGAGGGGCCTTCAGCCACGCACTGATATTTTCCGGTTGCCACTACATCCATACAACAATTTACTGCCGCTCCATCTTGCTGCTAGAGCGGGGAATAGTGATTGTTTAGTGCAAATAATGGGTCAAAGCACTTTCAATATGCTGGATGAAAACGGCCAGACAGCTTTGCACCACGCTGCTGTCATGGGTCATCTGAATGTAACTCAAGTGTTACTGCGCAAAGGCATGGTGAAAAGTGACCATGCAGACAAAGATGGATGTACGGCATTGCATGTGGCAGTATCACATGAACAAGAACACTTACTTGATACAATGTTTGTGAATCTCGCAAATATCGACCAACAAGATCATTTGGGCCGGACGGCACTTCATCTAGCTGTGACGAACAAGAATGAAAACGTTGTGAAGGCACTGCTTGCACAAAACCCGAATCTTTCAATCACCGACAAAGCTGGCAGAAATGCGCTCTCTATTGCTGCACATGCCTCCGATACAGAAACGGTTCGCTTATTGCTCCAAACTGATTACGCTCGTGGGTCATTATTGGGCTCAGCGGGCTCTTTCAGGTCAGTCGTCATAAGACTTTCGAAGTTCCATTCCTCAGCATTCTGGGATCTACGCCAGTCCTGGGAAACATTTTCCCTATTATCACCTGAGGAACTTCTGCTCCATGCAGCAGAAAACATCAATCCCAAAGATGTTGGTCTGAAGGCATTTGAATTATACATGGAAATCTTAATGGAATCTCGAGTGGATGGAGATCATGTACTGAGATACAAGCTTCTGTTAGCCGCAGTGGGGTGTGGAAACAGTGCAATGGTTTGCCGCCTTGTCGAGGCCGGGATTTCCGTCCAAAGTTCCAGATTAAATCTTTCTACTGATCCTGGCCTTTCTGGTTATTTCAGGGAAAGGTTGAAGATTAACCAACAGCTGGAACTCACGACTGCGTTGCGAAACAACCCGCTAGTCCTGGCTTTAGAACAAGAGCACATTGACAGCGTGGAATTGCTTTTCGAAGATTGGTCATTTCAAATTTCAAGCCGTACGGAGCTGTGCGATAAGCTTTTCAATCTAGCAGCTCAGCACGGGAAACGACAGTTGCTGGAGAATTTCCTGAAACGCAAATTTCCATTTCATCGCAGGGCATTAAATTCTGCCTTGGCAAGCTGGAATCCTCATTTGATCCATCTACTGGTCTCCAATGGGGTCCCTGTCACCTGTGAAGTCATCCTCATGGCTTTGAGAAACGAAGACGAAGCCCTCTTGAGCAAGCTTCTTGAATGTGAAGCTGTGTGGCAACCCGACGCGGTAATGACAAATACTGATAGTCTTTCTATCCATATGTTAGTGCGAGAGGCTATACGCCTTGGCCGCAATGACATATTGGGTTTGTTATCTGCTAACACGGCTCCTGGAGACATGTCGGATTAGATTAATCAGTTGCCAAATAATTGTTTTCATCAGTTGCTCAAAAGACCTTAAAGACGGCTGATTTTGCAGAACAATATACGTACGCAACGTAATTCGTTCAACTCCTGCCAAAGAATCTTGCTACCGGACTGCATAAGCGCGTAACAGGGGATATGGTGCATCCAGCTAAATTCCTCATGGCGCAGAGGCCATTGTACTCCAAACCCGAACACAAGATCTCAACAGAAAGCATATGATGTTAATCATGAGCCAGTAGTAACTGACATGAACGAGTGAATTATTTATTACTCAGTAACGACTGACATAAAGGTAGGTATAGAAATCAAAACAATAAGGAAACAGTGAGGCTTGCTGAGATTAGCCCTCATGGGCTGAAGCGACGAACTGAAAGAAACTGAAGATCTGCGCAGAGACAGAGTAATTAGTGGGTGCTCGGCGGTTCACAGTCCTGGTTCGCGCTGATGTTCCGGATGCGAAAGTGCATCTACTCGTCGCAATCCTCAGGAGACTCGGAAGGAGAAGAGTCGGCTTCACATTCAGCGCAGTCCTCTCCTCCAGCGGATGATGAAGAGCTGCTGCTGGAGGAAGAAGAAGAAGACGAGGAGCTGGAAGAAGAGCTGGACGATGAAGAAGATGAGCTGCTGCTGGAGCTGCCGGAGCCCGAGGCCGAGCCGCTAGCACCAGAGCCGGCGTGGCCACCCGCGCTTCCGCCAAGGTGCCCGCTGGCTTCTCCGCTGGCTCCTCCGTTAGCACTTCCGCCCGCGGTCCCGCTGACATCGTCGCCTGCGTTTTCTTCAGTGTCACCACCGGCACTGCCGCTGACATCGCCGCCAGCGCTGCCACCAACCTGTCCTCCGGCACCTCCGGAGATGTCACCGCTGGCACTACCACCAGCGCTTCCACCAGCGCTGCCGCCGGCTTTTCCGCCCGCGGTCCCGCTGACACCGGCGCCAGTGCTTCCTTCGGTGTTTCCTTCGGTGTCTCCGCCAGCACTGCCGCCAGCTTTTCCCCCTGCGCTGCCAGAAACATCACCGCTGGCGCTTCCACCGGCGTGTCCTCCAGCACTTCCAGAGACGTCACCACCAGCGCTGCCTCCTGCACTGCCACCGGCACTTCCACCAGCAGTTCCGCTAACTCCAGCACCGGTGCTTCCTTCGGTGTCGCCTTCTGCGCTGCCGCTGACATCGCCGCCAGCGCTTCCGCCAGCACTGCCTCCGACGCCTCCGCTGGCACTGCCGCTGGCACTTCCTCCTGCGCTTCCAGAAGAGCTGCCACCAACGTCAGCTCCAGCGCCTCCACTGCCAGAAACATCACCTCCGGCGCCGCCGGAAGCACCTCCCTTTGCGCTGCCAGATACGTCGCCACCAGCGCTGCCGAACGCACCACCGCCGACACCTCCACTAACACCACCATTGGCGCTGCCGCCAGCACTGCCCGAGACATCACCACCGACATCTCCACCAGCGCTTCCGGAGAGACCGCCACTGACTCCTCCACTGGCGCCTCCAGAAGCACCAGCGCTGCCAGAAACGTCGCCACCAGCGCTGCCGGACGCACCACCGCTAACATCTCCGGTAGCACTGCCTCCGGCATCTCCTGACGCACTACCACTGACGCCAGCACCACCGGAGACGTCCCCGCTGGCACTACCACCGGCACTGCCTCCAGCGCTTCCAGAAACATCACCACCAGCACTACCGGAGATGTCTCCCCCAGCACTACCGCCAGCGCTGCCGGACGCACCCCCGCTAACATCTCCGCTAGCACTGCCTCCAGCGCTTCCAGAAGCGCTACCTCCGGCACTAGCGTCAGCACTTCCGCTTGCATCAGCTCCGGCGCTACCGCTACCGCTAAGGGCACCAGAAAGGCCGCCTCCGAGACCAAGGCTGCCACCCAGACCAGCACTTCCGCTGACATCGGCGCTGCCGCTACCTCCCAACAGGCCGTGTTTGTGGGCCAGCCATGCCAGTAGACCGAAGGTACGGGCCTCGAGGTGATTGTGCTGCTCGGGGGTGTTCACGGCCTCGGCGACGGGAGCAAGGATTCGGGTGGGAACGCCAGCGTTCAGAGTGCGGTTGTAGGATGTCACAGACATCGGAACCGCGAGGGTAGAGGCGGCCGAGAAGGCGAGAGTGTAAAGAGCAATATGCATTATGAAAGAAGGAATTAAAGATTGGCGTATTGAGTAAAGGCAAGAGTAATGAAAGTATGGAGGATTATGAGGATTAAGAGTTATAAAGAAGAGAAGGAGTGAAGTGAATTAGATGATGATGATGCAGATGAAGGTCGTGCGGTTCTGGGAGCCTTTATATAGCTTTTCCCTGTCCTGCTGTGGTCTCTATCTTAGGTATACTGTTTGTATGGTTTTGCACCTTGGTGGTTATGGCTATTGCCAAAGCTCGACTAGAGAGTCATGCTGAAACGGTGCTATCCAGTATATGGTTAGGATTGATGGTAGATCTGAGTTTCAAACAGGACCACCCGCTCCGGGGTTGAGCTTGTAGTGAAACGCACTTGAGCTAAATATGGATGCCCATCCCGGATCTTCCGATGTCAAGCACAAGCCTTACTCCCGGGCCATCGACCAACTAATTGTTGCATCTAAATCTGTTGTCTTCTCAGCACAAAAAAGAAATGCATGATTTCTTCAATATTAGCTTTCATACTGTGCTTTTCTGGTGAAAGTAGTTTATAGTCGGGAAGCAACTGGATCGATAACATCCGAAGATATACCAGGAGAACATCGATTGCCAACATCAAAACAAAAAGAGATTAGTTGAGAATCGTGCACATCTTTATTGCCAAGAGCAGCTCTAGCACCCGTCGTTTCTACTCTAAGTCTCTAACCAGTAGCCACACCTGAACCCTAGCAAACCCCGAGGAAAGGAGTTCTTTCCCCGACCTCGCTCGCTAATTCAGTCCGTAGCTGTTCAATCCCAAGCCAAAATTAGCAAATAAAAGCTCCAACGACCCACCCTCGGCCCAAATAGAGTTCTCGATGTGGAGTACGCGAGGCTTCGGGAAGTTGGAACGATAGAACGAACTACGCTCTAGCACCTGAAACCGCCTACCGGGTCCACTTAGCTCAATTCAAGCACGGAGTTCGTCTCTGCCCGAACGATGGCCGGGGAATTTTTCAACCATAGTTTGCGCTAGCAAATACTGCTATAAATAACGAAGATCAAACAGACGATGGTTTGAGTATGCCTTTTGGGCTATGGATGACTCGATGTAACCCTTTCCCTCGTCCCATTTGGCGGGATAGCTTGTCAAGGAAGGGCTTGAAACGGTTCCTGTAGTATAATTGCTGGTAGCTTTGGTGTCAATTGTGAGTGGCATGTCTGTTGACTCTAGCGAGCCCTAGATGGATATTCTGCTTACTACGAGTGGTACTGCGGAGGTCTCCTAGAGACTAGGAACATGTTCTCCTCCCTTAGCTACGGAAAGAAGGATCCGGAGATTGCTCCAGTCCACAATAATTTGGACCAGGTAAGTTAATTGTTGATAGAGTAGGCGGGAGCCAGAGGCTAGCCTAGACAATACTTCCCTGGCTACACATTATTATGTTAGCACTGAGCGAGCTGTTCAATCAGTGGAGAGAGGGTCACATAACACGAAACCTGGTTGAACACTAGTCAGAACCTAAATTTCAATGCTTTGAACCGATGGTCTATCCTCTTTTCGTAGGGTATATAACGCCCCTTAAAGTGCCAGAATTATCGATAAGACTATTAGCCAGCATTCAGGGTGTATTTACCATATCTGTTGTCTCGTAACCAAATATTTCACCCTGTGAGTATTACCCGGGTGTTTATGTATGTGGAGGACAGTTTCATATGCTATTAAAACTTGAAGGGTTTTCTACAGAGTCCTGGGGACGACGGGAAGAGATCAACGAGTGGAATGGCAGAAGCTCATCCATAGGACATGTTTCACGGTTGTAACCACGGGTCGTTACTTGCAGTCGGACCATGGGGGGGATGCTGGGGACGGGAAGGATTCCACTGAATGTCGCGCTAACCAGATCATTTAGGGATAGTTGAAACATACAAAGGGTATTTTCCGATCTTACCTTGAGTAGGTCAGTGTAATGACTCGTTGTGTCCGTTAGTAACAGCGGGCTGGTTGCATTGCTCTGCCGTGGTCCGATGGGTATTGAGGGTTGTTTCCGCAAAATTCAGCGCATCGGTGTACTTCTCTTCATTGTCGCTTGGTATATGCGCTCCTTTGTTTACATGATTTGTTACTGGTTTCCGGTTCTCATGACATAGTCACTGAACAGCTCAAGGATTGTCAGACTATTCGTCGGACCATCTCATAAATCAAACTCTGCATTATTCGTGGGCATACAATTGACGCATAAATCGAGATACCCACATCGCTGAATTCATTCAAATACCATTATTATGTACCTGAAATACCTTGCAGTTCATGCTAATGATGATATCCTTCTCCAGTTCAAAAGACGCCTTCATGCCGGGCCATGCCTATGAGCGGGAAACAAAGAAATGTACATGTACATGGGAAAATAGCATTTCCATAAGATCAACAAAGAAATTTAGCTGCCATGCGGGGACATCCACCCGCTACATAGTGTGATTTTACCTATGGTGGACAAAGAAACGAACCGCAAGCCTCACCAGCTCAGGTTTTCTCCGTCTACTACACGACATGTGTTCTTTCAGCACGGCAGTAATCACATTATGTCTTCGGGAGGCTGGACATACGTTGGGCCCCTTCCAGCACTTATCATTGTCATATTCCCCATGAAGGCCCAGATAACAAATGGCTGTCATTGTTACCAGAAGAGCGCCATTATTGTCGACTTGTCAAAGTTCGCGGTATAAATAGTTCGTTTTTTCCACTCGAAGAAGAAGAATCATCAACATACACATCGACAACATCCCCTCTACACCCACACTCTCCCAAACCAAGTTCTCTCGGCATACACATCCGTACCCATCCCATCCCACTCACCTTCGCTCACAACGGGTCAACTCTCCGATCTCCGAGCTATGACTCTCGCTTCGTCCTCCAATCTGCGCCTGTGTTTCGTTTGCCGCGGTGCGCCGAAGCCCAGCTGTTACCGCAAGGGTCATATCAACTTGTGCCCTCAGTGCAAGAACATGTTTTCCGGCACCCGCGAGGAATGTCCTCACTGCAATCCCCCAACTGACAAGTTTCGTCCTACCATGACGATCAAGAACCCCGAGACCCCTATGCCCCAGACCCCCCAGCTCACTGTCACTGCCAAGATGGTGTACGCCGACGGCCCGGATCGAACAATGAAGGTTGACGAGGTCAAGGAGGTTGAGGCGACCGAGCCTTCGGCTTCTGTGTACGAGGCTGTTGAGGAGAGCTGTATTGTTGACGAGGAAGATGATGTTCCTGTGACTGACGACGAGCCGGTCCCTGAGGAAATTGAAGATTCTGAGAGTCTTAATGACGAAGAGGGTGTGTCGACTCCTGTTGAGGAGTCCCCTGCTGAGGAGGTTCCTGTTGAGGTGGTTCCCGTTGAGGCTGTTCCTGCTGAGGACGCTTCTGCCCCGAAGACCTTTGAAGAGAAGCTGTCTCAGTTGAGTCTGATTCCCGATCGCGAGACCGAAGCCGAGCAAGAGCCCAACGACAGTGAGGTTGAAGTGATCCCCGACACTCCCGAGGATGCATTTTTTGTGACTGAAAAGATGATGCGGGAGTTGAGCCAGCCCCGACAGGACTGCGAGGAGGTTGTAGAAAAGCCCGTCCAGACATCCGCTCTGCCAGCGAAGAACGGAGTGACCCGGGGAAAGTCTGTCAAGCACCTTGCAGCTCAGCTTAACCAGACTTCTGAGACTTCCTCGTGCGGCCGATGCTCAGTCCATGGCAAGCGGGCTGCTCAGGCCTGTGAGAAGAAGGCAGAGTTTCATCGTCCTGCGCTGACCAAGACCAAGACTGCTCGCGCACCTCACCAGATCCGAGGATCGGGTGACGAGTCTAACGATGAGCTTGGTGAGTGCTTCTAGATGGCCATCCAATTATACTTTCGAAGTTTCATTTGTCTGGGCTTCTGGGTTGAGAATGAGCTGTGATCTCTTATGCTGTATGGTGTTTGTTGAACAGAACGTTTGTGTCTTTATCTGCTTTCCTTGGGCATATATATAAAGACACAAGATCAATACATACTTCTCGTGCTATTCATTTATTTATTTTTGTTTTTGCTTTTTTTACTGTAAGTTGTAGATCTTTAAGCGCTCAGAAAGGCCTTCGCAGCTTGGACGGACACATAGTAAGGTCCGAATGTTCTAAGATGAACTCCTTTAGCAGAATTTCACTTTGACAGTAATCTTCATCCATTCTTTGTCGGGCATTCCTGAATCCGGAAAATCTTCGTAGTTCACGGACTGTGTTGTTAAGTCAGTAGGACTTTCAACTTATTTTCGTGCTTCGGATCCGGGCGCGCTATGCAGTTCGGATCCGAAGCCCCGGGTCCGACGGCCCAGATAGAGAACCCGGCATCAGCACGGAGCGCAACCACAGACTTCTAATTGTATAAATTAATCTGTCAGAAGCACATAACCTCTTTATTACTTGCCATCTTCATTCTCAGTCAGAATAAATACTATAGTTTCAGTCTTCGGTTTATCTCCTCCATCTTCCCTTCAAGGTTCTTTTATTCCAACTCTATCACCACAAAGATGCATGTTCTCGTCATCGGTGGCAGTGGACGCACTGGCAAGCTTACTATCAATGAGCTTCTTCGCAAAGGTAAAGTCAGACTCCGAGGGCGCATGGGATATTTCCAGCTAACACTCGACAGGACATCAAGTTACTACTCTCGCCAGAAACCCTTCCGCAATGGAAGACCTTCCCGGTTTGAACGTCATCAAAGGTGAACTACATACAAACAAGCCTCTTTCTATAACACCGCGGTCTTATTCTAACCAAATTACAGGAACACCACTAGAAATCTCAGACGTCCGAGCTGCCTTCAAGCACAACACCACAGACGCAGTGATCGTGACTCTCAACGCCCGCAGAGCCACAGAGAGCCCCTTCTCTGCTCCTAATCCCGACCCCCGCCTTATGACCAAATGCAACGAAAACGTCGCCACGGTCATGAAAGAATACGGCGTCCGCAAGATCGTCGTCTTGCAAGCGTTTGGTGTGGCTGAGTCGTGGTCCAACATGCCCTGCGCGTTGCGCCTGCTTATGAGCAAGTCAAACATGATCTACCAATATAATGATCATAACGAGACAGCCCGCATTCTCCGGGCTAGTGAACTAGACTATGTCTTTGTTCGTCCCTCTCGTCTAGTGGAGACTGAAGAAGAAAACGTGAAGGTGTGGCCGAATCATGGCAAGGGTGTTCCTTTGATGGCTAGTATGAGTCGAGTCAGCGTTGCGCGCTGGCTTGCTGATGCGGTGGAGACTGATAGATGGAACCGATCCGCTCCTGTTATTACTAATTGAGCGAGGACTATGTTAGGGATGCAAGGAAGGAAGGCGTTCGGATATATATTTGATGGTTGGTTTTAGTTTTAATATTCATTGCATCTCGTTGAAATGGTTGTTTCGATATAGTCTCTAATTTTTTCTAAAACGAGGATTCACTATCAATATCACTAGAACAGCTTATACGTCTTTTTCTAGCACTGATTCTTCAATGTAGTTCGACGCGTTGAAAGGGAGGGCCGGATTACCCAAAACGGCAAAGCGAAAACACCCAATTAGGACTGCCATCGTGGCTAGACTGGGCAACCGTAGTCAGGAGTAGATATGGTCTGGCCCCACTCTAGACGTGAACGTATCTCAGCCAATTTCAACTGTATCATTATAAGCAGTCAAACTATTTCAGCCAAGACAGTTCAGTTAAGGTTTTGTCAATATTACAGCTATGGACGATACCCAATTATCTCGCAAACGGCCTCGACCGGTGGTTTCATGTCTGCGATGCAGGGAGAAAAAATTGAAGTGTGACCGACTATCTCCATGCGTGAACTGCGCGAAGGCTGCGTGTCCTGCAGAATGCATGTACAGTCAAGATGCAGGGGCTTCTGGTCGGCCCCCCAAGGCTAGAAGAGCCCCGGCTAGTATGGACGTTGTGACAAACGATCAGTATCCCGATAATCGCAGCAATGGTTGTGGAATAGCTGGAGGCAGGGGTATTATTGAAGATCTCCAGCAGCGGGTTGCTAAGCTCGAAGAGCTTCTTTCCGTTCGGTCTGGTTCTGTGAACTGTGAAGAAGTGCCGGGGATATCTATTTCAGATGTCAGGTACGAAGATCATCTCTGGGTGGTGTATACAGTCTGCTAATCACGAAGAGATTGAAGGAATGAAGTAGAGCAGTCAGAAGCACCGGCTCCGTTTCAAGGTACGCTTGTGGTGAAGGGGAACAGGACTCGGTATCACGGTCAGAATAATCGAGGTTCACTTCTAAAACAGGTGATTGACATTTCTTGCGACCGATATAGAACCTTGACTGACAACATGGACAGTTCCCGGAAGCCAAGCAGTATATTGCTCAATTCATCAAAGACCCAGTCATGATCGGTTTAGCCAAGGAGGTGCAGTTCCTTCAAAGCAAATCGCGAGTACCGTCAAATTCTCCCGCGAGTGTCTCGGACTCGGAGTTCTCTCCAGAGCTGATGCAACTTCGAACACACCTACCTCCCAAAGCAGTATGTGACCAGCTATTCGAACTATATACGCAGAATTTCGAAGGGGTGTTCTGTATCCTTCACATAACTTCTTTTTCTCGTCAATACACGCAGTTCTGGGCCGATCCTGACGGTGAGAACGACCGGTCAAGTGCTTTTCTTCCTCTCCTTACGGCTGTTTTGACAGTATCAATCAGGATTGCCAAACCCAATACTAAATTCGGAAACCTACCTGCGTGGGATTATCTCAATAACGCGGCAATTGATTTCATTCGAGCGTGGCAGCGTAAGCTTGGCAGAAAGCAACAAACAGAAATTGCCACGCTGCAAATTGAGACGCTGGTTGTAATGGCTCGTCGACTACGACTAGAGTCCGCAGAAGAGATATGGAGGGCGACAGGCAGTCTGGTTCGCTCAGCAATGGTGATGGGGCTGCATTTGGACCTTTCCCGGTACGGAAACCTATCTGTCTTACAAGCTGAAATTCGACGTCGGCTGTGGATTACAATCGCGGAAATGGATCTCCAGGCATCTATTGAATCAGGGATGCCGGTCATGACACCAGACCTTGATTATGGAGCGCTCTCTCCCGCTAACCTCGACGATGTTGACGTTGACGATTCGACGGTCGAGTTGCCACCCAGCAAGCCCTTGCATGAAGAGACAAGGTCTCTCATACAGGTCACTCTAGCTAAGTCGCTAAGGCACCGCATCAAGACCATGATCTTTGTAAAGAATGTTAGTCCGGGGCAGGACATGAACGCAGCCTTAGAGAACGGGCGAGTATTAGAAGATTATCTACAACGGATTCCGGACTCACTCAAGCTTGACTGCAATTCCCAGGATGATGAGACCCCAGGACATTTGTTAAACCGCGTTCTACTGGACATCCACATTCGCAGACCTCTGCTTTGCCTCTACCGATCGGTAGCCATGCTTGAAGGTCAAAAGGAAGAAGGGTACCATACACTACGACAATTGCGTTTGGAATCATCATTAGCGATCTTAACCTACCAGGACTTTTTTGACCCAAATGTGGGCGATCCCGATATTTTCAGCTCCAATGTTTCTTGGGATATGTTCCTGGCACTCTGCAAAAATGACCTTCTTTGGGCTGCGCTGAGTGTGTGTGAGCATATGAGATTATCTGGACAGACACCACACTCAGTCCAGACCCCATCCAGCAATTACAGCGTTGGTTTTTCGGCCGAACATACCCCGACATATAGCAAGGGTATCATGATACGCACTGTCGAAAGCACTCTTGATGCGTTGATACGGAGGATTGCCGACCCTGGGACCAACGTGAAGGACATTATCCTTCTTGCAATTGTTCTCCAATCAGTGAGAGCTCGGGGCTCTACCCAGGTGAAAGATTATCAAATGCAAGAGGGGGCAAAGAAGGCTTTCGCGGCTTGTAGACAGTATCTACTTCCCTCCGTCGCAGATGAATTTGCAGCAGGAAACGTTGCTGACGTCGCCCAAATGGTAAGCTCTACTTCCTCGGTTTGCATTCCTGAAACTTTCTGATGATGTATTTTTAGCTTCATTCAAATCAGGCCCTGTTCCCTAACGGTACAACTGGATTCGAGCCTAATGTCCCACTGCCTGATCTTATAGGACCATCCTCTAGTTTGCTTGACGAATTCAACGATTTCCAAGGAAACATCTTTTCCTTCGACGACGGATTGTTTGCGTGGAACCCATGAATTTTTATCTTTTAGTTCTACGAAACAACGCAACATCTGCCTAAAGGTATGGGTCTCATCCTGCAAATTGCCAATGGCTGTTTGGCTGATCTCCGATAGCCCTCCGGATCCGAGCCCGGATCCGAAGTCGCCCGGATCCGAACTGCCCTGGGAGCGAAGAGCTGCAGCGATGGAAGGCAATCATATGGATGTTGTGGTTAAATCCACATGTTCTGCTACCAACACGCCATTTACAAGATCACTACAAATGCCTGGGAATTCCCCCAACTTTTCACAACTACAATCATCCTCACAATCTCAACAATCCGCAAACCCGAAGCCAGAGCGACAACTGTCTTGTGAAAGTTGTAGAAACATGTCCTCCACTCAGAACGTCGCTATCATCGGTGCCGGCCTTTCAGGTCTCACTCTGGCCCTCGCACTACACAAGCAGTCCATCCCCTGCACTATCTACGAAGCGCGACCCGCGCCCCTCGACATCGGTGGCGCCATCATGCTCTCTCCCAACGCTCTTCGCATCCTCGACATCCTAGGCGTCTACGAGCGTATTCAGCCGCATGGTTATGATTTCGACGAGTTGCACTTCCGCTCTGCTAGCAACGAGCCCGTTGATGTCTATGAGTTCGGCAACGCCGAGAAATACGGCTACCGCGGCATGCGCATCTACCGCCACATCCTCATCTCGCAGCTCTCAGTCATCGCCGAGGAATCCAACATCCCGATTCAATACAACCGAAAGTTCTCACACATTGTGTCCGAGACACCCACTGACGTGACATGGCAATCCGTTGACGGAGCCACCGAGAAGGCCGCCTGTCTAGTGGGAGCCGATGGCATCCACTCTCGTGTCCGCAAGTACCTCTACCCGGAACTGGAGCCGAAATTCACCAACATGATGGGCGTGACGGCTGCTGTGCCGACGGCGAATCTAAAGGTCCCCGAGGGATACCAGTTACCCGTGACAATTATGAACCCGCAACATGGAGCGTTCGTGATCGCGCCGCAGCAGCAAGACGGGTCGGAGGTGTTGATCGGGCGACAGAAGCGTGCGCCAGAGCTAGATCGTGCGGGCTGGACGGCACTCATGAACGACACGAACTGGTGCGTGGAATTCCTGCGTGAAGCCGCGGATGATTTTCCGGAAATCGTACGAAGCGCCGTATCGGATATCTCGCCTGACAAGATCAACCTCTGGCCGTTCTATGTGGTGCCGAAGCTCGAGAGGTGGAATTCGGAACACTCTCGAGTTGTTATTATGGGTGATGCGGCACATGCGATTGCGCCAACTTCGGGGCAGGGTGTCAATCAGGCTTTCGAGGATGTGTATACCTACTCCTTAATACTGGGTAAGGCAGGGCAGTCTCAACTTCATAGGGCGTTGCAGGCGTGGCAGCGTGGTCGACAGGAGCGGGTTGATAAGATCTTGGAACTCAACGCGAAGATTGATAAGCGGAGGATGCCGAAGCAGGAGGATCAAGATACCGTGGAAATGGGTGAGGATTTTGATTTAGAGTGGCTATATGGACCTGATTTCGCGGCAATGGTTGAGGGATGGCTTCGCATGGAGGGCTTGGAGTAAATTTTGTCAAATATCTGATGCTCGTTATGCTATTGTGAGGGAGTTGCGTGTTTCTGTTCATCAAACACTTCGATTCAATCATAGACACTTATATGATTTCTTGCCATCTTGATTTAAAGTAGCCAAGTTATTCCACCAACTAACAAATCCAATCCCTATTCACTCCCCCTTAATAATACCCCAATCTCCCTCCACCCAAGTCGAATTTATCTTGATTGCCTTAATCCTCCACAGACCTCCATCTTCCTCCCGTTTGACAAGATCAACATAGTACAAACTCCCACCCAACAATCTCGGCTGATCCGCCTCCATGCCCTTTCCCGCACGATAGTGCTGCGCAATCGACGACGCAGTCAAAGACGCCTCGGTTCCGTTATCTTCAATGTTAATCCGGATATTCGAGATGAAGTGTGTGGTATCGAGCTTCGATATCGGGTCGAAGCAGCCGGTGTGGATTTCTGGTAAGCCTGAGAGAACGCGTCCGTTGATCTCGAACGTGGAGTCTAGGAGGAAGGCGGAGTCGAATAGAGCAGTGTCTCCTGTGTCGAAGCCTATGACGCACCGGTAGAGTGCGTCGGCGATGGCGTCGCGGCCGGTTAGGGCCGGGGTGAGGGAGGCGGGGAGGGTGGGGATGGTTGTCATTGTGAATGGTTCTACTTCAAAAGAATATTTATGATTATTGGAAAGAGTCACAGATTTATGGATTCAGGGTCGCTGAAGACAGACGTATAAATGTACTTTGTGATGAGTTCACATCTCATTGCGTGGTCCTTAAGGCCGCTTATCTCCGCTGGCGGAGATAGCACTATGCCGAGCGATTGACCCAATAGTAGTCGAATAGAATAGGCAGACACAAGAGAACAATTTATCTGTTGGGAATGGATGCTCGTATATTCAGAACAAAAAATGCTTTTCTGCATCCCTTCCTTGGCAGAGCATACCAAGCGTAGGCCGTAGACAGTAGTTGAAACCCAGAATCACCTCGCATTGATCACTAGACTGACTCTATATCTATGCCGAAAACCGGCCTATAACATCCTGTAGCACACCAACTGTCTCTCCAATCCCGTTTATAAACGGCCCACAATGACTACACGCCATCTCCTTGACAATCCACTCCTGCCTACTGGCTGCCATCATACCGTATTGCGCGTCCTTCGGCACCGCTCGATCTTCCGTTGTCACAATAAAAGCCAATCGACCGCTGTAGTCCGCATCAGCCCACGCAGGATGTGGCTGCGGAGAAGTGAAGGCGATATTCGAGTGCGGTTTGATACTAGTTTCGAGATCCTTAACTAAAGCCAAGTCGACATCCCCAGCGAAATTGCCGATCGGGTCTTCGGGGGTGTTTAGATCGCGCGACGGCTGAAACTCATTAATTCCCTCACACATCAAAAGGACATAGTTAAATGCTAGACATACCTTATCGAGCAAAATCCACGGGGGCAGATTGCCACCCTGCAAGCCCGCACAACTCAGCCCTTCGGGAACTACAAAAGCACCGATGAAGATCAAACCGACTATACCGCCGGGTTTGCCATGTTGCGACCGCTGAGACTTGGACAGTCCTGTGGCTGCAGCGGCTCCGGGCATGCCCGCGTAGGAATGCATTAGGACCGCTACGTCTTTGCCTTCTTCTTCGACTAAGAACCGTAAAGTCTTGGCGATGGCCTCGGTGTCGGTTTCGCAGTCGGCGACGGACGGATCGGTGGGGCTCAGAGATGGATAGCTGGCATGATGGACGGGGAATCCGGCAGAAGTGAGAGCGTCAGAAAAGGGTTGGTAGAAGGACGGGGTGATCCAAGCTCCGGGGACTAAAACGATTGTCGTCATGGCGTTAAGTTGCATGAGAAGGGTGTTTCGATTTGCCTGATGTGGAACGGGTTCATCGGTTGATCTTATGCCTTGGCGGATGGACCAACTCCAACACGAATAAAACAATGATTGGCTTGTAGGGAATCCGGACCATAAGGCTGAGGGTGTCATTGATTAACTAGAAGCACAGCCTCCGTTCCTCGATAGTTTAGACATGGGGGCCATTTTCCGGCGCTAGGAATTAATTCATATTCATAAATAGATCCCGTCAAGTCTCAAAGCTTTTCCCTCCCTTCTCACTCTCCAGATGTCGTCGAGTGATCTCCTCGAATAGCCATCGAACATTCTCTCCTGTCATTGCACTCGTCTCGACAAACACATATCCCCTAGCTTTTGCTGCCTCCTCGCCAGCGGGGGCGCTGACCTTACGTCCACCTTCTTGGTCCGTCTTATTCCCCACTAGGAAAACCATCGACTTCACCTTAGCCTGTTCGACTTGACCTTTAATCATCCGCAAGGCTTCGTCCAGTGACTTCTCGCTTGTGACATCGTAAACCGCCACAATGACGGGTGCGTCCCTGGTAAACTGCGGAACCAGGTACCAGTATCGATCTTTTCCTGAGCAGTCACATATCGCGAGTCGGAGCGCTTGTTCGCTTAATGATATGTTCTGCACACACCGTTTAGAGGGGCCAATAGTAAACCAATTGGAGGCTTACCAGAATAATCAAGTCCATTGCAACGGTTTCCAGAACTGACACGTCAAATTGATCCTTCTGGAACCGTGCAATCAAGGATGTCTTCCCGACTGTGAACTGGTTAGTGACGATTGGACGTTTTTGGGAGAGGTAAGTACCTTTTGCAGCGCCTATAAAAGGTACCCTTGTGAGTCATTTAATAGGTGTACAACCCTAGGAAATCAGGGAAGCGTACTTAATGAGCGGCGGTTTTTCGACATGGTTAGGTCTTTCATGAGAGGCTGACGAGCCCATGGTGTACTTGAATAAAATATTGCAAGAGGCTTGACAGACAACAAATTTGTCTTCAGGGGGATAGCGACCTCGGGATGATACGAAGATCATCGGCCAGCCCCGCTGCCAGGACTCCAGCACAGGAGTGACTATTACCCTGAGATGGCCATATTAGGCCACTATGATATATTTGGGTACAAGTTGTACATAGAGGTGCTCGAGTGAGGGACAGCGTGGAAGATTGTTTGTAATTCATGTGAAGGAACAGGATCATATATCATTATTTTCATGACATCATTCAACAATTCCTCGATGGTCTAACGGTCATGATTTCCGCTTGTCACTCAACCGAGAACGAGCGCGGGAGACCTGGGTTCGACTCCCAGTCGGGGAGATATCTTTTTTGTCCTTTTATTTTTGGCCGTATGCAGATTGGCGTATCTCTAAAATCCATGAAGGTTTACCAAGGTAGATTGGTGGCTGCTCGCATTTTATGGTCACTGCAATGCGTAAAATAGTTTAGGGGATGGATTGACTCTTAATTTTTATTTATCATACCACTTCCGTAGGCACGCTGCTTGTCGCCGGGCATGAATGGCTACTACTATGTACTATGAGATCATATGCGGACTGATAAGAAAAGTGCTCAGATTCAAAACCCGTAAGATGTGCAAAACGCTTCAGGCACCAGCTCATATATGACGTCACACTGACCTTGTTCCCCTTGATTGGCTCTATGCAGGACGAGCCAGGGTTGGCCACCAAAGCTTAGCCTGACGCTTTCATATACTTCACCTTGCGATGAACCTCTTCAGCCTTATAACTTTTAATGCTGAAATCATTTCCGATACCTCCCATGGCTCCTTTACGGTAAGTGTTCCACAATTGATCATCATCTTGGCATTTTCTCATCATCCACGCCAGGCACCATCATCATACCAATGGCTGGTCTTACCACCAAGTAGCGGCAGCTTCGTTCCTAAAGACATTTCTGCGCACTTTCACGACCCTGCGTATCAAATGGCCAATATCACTTAAGCCACATCATGAATCCACCCGGTTCGTGGTCATAAATCCCGCACCCACAGACCTCTACACGGGCGTCGCAACAGACGCGGACATTCAACCCGCCCAAATCGGAGGCACGTGGTATCCCGAACCCTACAACACTCCTCCGGCTTCTTCGTCCTCTTCATCCACTCCTACTTCTCAAACCTTTTCGCTCGACGAAGACCCAAAACGCGGACACGTCATCCTCCACTTCCACGGAGGATCCTACGTCCTCGGCGACGGCCGCACCTCATCATGCGGGTTTCTCGCCAAAACCTTCCTCGAAAACACGCCCGCCTCACACGTCCTCTGTCCACAGTACCGACTCGCCACGCACCAGGGCGGCCGATTTCCCGCGCAACTCCAAGACGCAATCACCTCGTACATGTATCTGATTCGGGACTTGCAGATCCCTGCGTCCCGGATCGTGCTGAGTGGTGATAGTTCGGGCGCGCATCTCGCGTTGGCGCTGTTAAGGTATATTGTCGACCATGGGTTTGAGTTCGCGTCGAAAGATGAATATCTGGGTAAGGGCAGTGGCAGTAACACCGGGTCGTGCCTTGATATTCCCACACCGAAATGCGCGTGGGCTTGGTCGCCTTGGTGTGATGTCCCTGCGGCTGTGGATACGCGGGCATGGACGCGGAGTGAGAATTACAAGACGGAGTATATCCCCGGTTCGTTCCCTGCGTGGGGAGCGAAACGGTTCCTTGGGGATCTGGAGATCACGGAGGAGAGGGAGAGGTATCTGGCTCCGTTGAAGTGGCCGTTTCGGGTCCCTTGTCCGGTCCTCGTGGGGACTGGGAATCGGGAGGTTTTGTATCGTGAGCATGTGCGGTTAGCAGAGATGTTGAGGGAGCAGGGAGTTGGGGATAGGGATCCGCCGGTGGAAATCGTGGTCGCGGAAAAAGTGCCGCATGATGTTTTTATGATTGGTTGGATTATGGATTTCAAAGAAGAGGCGAGAGATTGTGCGAGAAGGGCAGAGGAGTTTGTGAATGGGATAGGGGGTGATGGTCATGGTTTATGGAGGTTATGAGTATCTGTTGTTTTCGGTTTCCTTCATTGTGGTTTTGTTGGTTTGAGCGTTAGATATGATACGGTGCTCTGTCCGGTGTCTAGTTGATCATGTACATACATAATTTTCGGTTCTATCATGATCGCGATGAGCAATCTCTAGATCTATGTTTCCTGCCAATTCTCAGCCCATCTTCTACCAGCGCATTAACAGGTGTTCCTTAGACCCTGGTCAAGATCCAGAAGTCTCTAATCTATCAGCCATCTTCGACATGCCATTCTTTCGAGCCCTCCATTTCGCTCTATTTTTGCGGCTTGGCCATAGGTTCGATCTTTCGAATAACTTTCGCCGGATTCCCCGCCACAACATGAAATGGAAGCACATCCTACATCCAGAATCAGCCATTCGTACGCTCAACTCCCCACCCCTACCTCGTCAAACAACAAAGCTCCAGAAGGAAAGGAAGAACAAACCTTAGTAACCACACTCCCAGCCCCAACCGTGGATCCCTCCCCAATCGTCACTCCTGGCAAAATCGTCACATTGCCCGCAATCCAACAGTCCTCGCCAACAGTAATCGGCTTCCCGGACTCGGGTCCATTCGTCCCATTCCGCAAATACGGGTCCGTAGGATGCGTACCGCTATAGAACGAGACGTTCGGGCCGACGAGCGTTCGCGAGCCGATGGATACCAAGCACGTGTCCACGAACGTGCAGTTGAAGTTGATGAATACGTTGCTGCCGACTTTGACGTTCGTGCCGTAGTCCATGGCTAGGGGGCGTTCGATCCAGGGGTAGGCGTGGAGGGTGGCGTCTTCTGATTCTTCAGACGGGTTGGATGAGCTGGGTTCGGGGAGGGGTGTTGGGTCGTTGGTTATTCTGTGTTGATTGACCTGTGTGAGTGTGTCTGGTAGTGCCGGATATGGGGCATGCATACTCTCTCCAGAATTCGGCCATCTGTCGACGGCTTAGCTCGTCGGAGTTGTTGAGGCGACTAATGATCCTAGTGCATCGCCTTCGCGCGGCTACGAGGTCAGGCGAGAAAGCGTAGTAGAGCTCGCCGCGCTGCATGCGCGCGAAGTTCTCTTTCTCGTCGACGTTGGTGATCATGGTTTGTTTTTGCGTGGGGGCGGTTCGGATAGGGTTGTACAAGGGGCCGAGCCGGAGTAAGGACGAGTTTAAATAGCATCGAAAAGATTGTATAAGTCTTGCTGCCTCGGTAGCCTATTTTTGACTTTATACTCGGAATTGGAGATGGTCCCCTTGATGTTAACAACATGGAACTGGAGAAAGAGGCTAGCCAGAATCAGTGAGATAATAGCCGCGGTGGGTCCAGACTTCAGAGGTGTTCCAATCATGAGTAGAATAAATGTTCCTGACTGTGGATCTGAGGTACGCTACACAGAATTGCAGTGAAGGAGTGGACCTCGGCTGGTGCATGCCAAGCACGGGAAGCCGATATCCACACCAAAACCAGAACACAATCACTGTCGCCACCCACCATGACGAAAAAAAAAAAAAAAAACACATTCTGATCACCGCAGAGCAAGATATACACAGTCAAAAAGCAAAAAGAGATGGAAGGATGGAGAGGCGGGGAATCGAACCCCGGACCTTTCCCATGCTAAGGGAACGTTATACCACTAAACCACATCCCCGATATATATACTAGAATATATACCGTCCGTGACCGACGCAGGGGTCGAACCTGCAATCTCTTGATTCGTAGTCAAGCGCCTTGCCATTGGGCCAGCCGGCCTAATTGTTGAATATCTTCTTAAAATTTGACATTATATCCTGAACATATACTCAGTGCTCACTCGGATTGTGTTTATACACAGTGGTAGTGTTACTATGTTAGGATATTTGTGTTATTTGTTGCTCACGGTGGAGGAATAGTGCTGGCAACACGTATATCTTATACGATTGAACTCAGTTATGATTCAATCCATGTGTTGTTAAAAATTATGTGCATTCACTATCTCAACACTAGATATATATCTCTCTCGTATAGATCCCACCACACGATCAAGTCCCATTAGCAGGCTGCTTATACACCTCCCCATCAATCGTCGTAGTCAACGTCCCATTCGCTTCGAAAATATTAACCATCGCATCGATCGTCAATTGAAACCCACCCGGTCCGGTCTTCTTGCTAGCCGTCACCGCACCAGTCTGGTTGAGATCCGAGTACCAGTCCAAAACATTCAACCAGGGGTTATCAGCCGACGGGATCCTCGTCGTCACCGACTCACTCCCGTGGATGAAATGCTCTCCGTCGTCGGAGTAGTTACTGTATTTGACCTTAACCGTCTGGACAATCCCCGACGACCCCGCGATAAGGGACACCTTGGCGGATCCACTGGAGCTACCGTGCAAGGTATAGTTGCCAGGTGGGACCGCGTAGAGCTCAGGGAGGTCGCTACCAGGAGGAAAGGGCGTGGCCCAGGGGATCTCGTCGGGGACTTTATAGATTGGGGCTGGCTCCGTGGGTTCGCGATCTGTCCGGGTGGCGAGCATGAGTCGATACCGACGACCACCCTGGGCTGTGGACTCCGGACAGGCGAGCGGGTTATCGCCGCCGCAGGAGGGTGAAGTCACCAGGGCCTGCCAGTAGACGATTTTGGTTCCGTCGGGGGAGAAGGCCGGGTCTGCGCGACCGTTCCAGTTGGGGTCGTTAACGGCGCCGTTGCTGCCGTCTCCTTCTTCATTGATCTGCTGACCGAAGTAGTCGTCGCGGTCGCCGTAGCGGTCGATCAGGATGGGTTGGAAGAATCGGCGGGGGCCATTGTTGCGCGTGGACGAGGCGGCGGTGACGGCCACGATGTCAATTAGAGGTGGAACGTAGCGCATTCCGGACATCCACATCTGTCGGTCGGTGCCACGAGTGTCCATGGCGACGAGCCAGTCGTTGTCGTGTGAGAAGGCCACCGGATCGGTGTATTCGGGGTGGCTGGTCAGACGGCGGATGGCGCCGGTGGTGACGTGAATGGCGAAGACGTCGATGTTGTTCGCCTCCCGGGGAGAGCCGATATAGAGGATCTCGTCGCCGCTTCCGCTGAAGCCGCGCAGTTCGCCGGGATAAATGGCGTCGTCGTGGATGACCAGTTCGTCGCCGTCGGCCATGATAGGTGCCGTGCTATTCTCTCGGTAGAGGATGTTCACGTCGACGAGGTCGTATCGCGGAACCGATGGGTCTCCAGAAGTGGGCTTGGAGTTGAACTTGAGACGTCCGAAGTATGTGAATTGACCACCCGCCGTGAACGAGCTCCAGCCCATGTGTTCGTCATCGGGATGCATGCGCATTTCTCGCGGACTTCCTCCCTTCCCGGACCCGTCAGCCGAAGTGGGCCAATAGATGGGATAGACGTGTGTCGTATTCGGAGTGCAGGTATCACTCCAAAGGGAGGCCGTACCGCAGTCGAGGATATTATGGCCCCAAAGAGCCTGCTTGCCATTGCGAGCAGCATGGGGGTAGTCTCGCTGAGGGTCAAGCGACTGCGCGTTCTTCTCAGGAACGCCACAGCTAAGACACTTCCATGCGTCTCCGTTGGCGAATTTCTTCCCGTCAACCTTGACAAGGATCAGCTGCTCGCCGGAGTAGATGCTGGCAGGTTCCGGAGCTGCCGGTGCGCCGACGAAGTCGACGTTGACGAGTACATGCTTGCCATCCGGGGTGAAGTCTCCAGATTGGAATTCGTCGGATGTTTGGCCGATACAACCAGTTCCACGGGGATTAATCTTCTCCGTACATGCCCCTTCTTTACTGTTTGGTGCGACAGGTGGTAAGGGCAGTTCAACGATAACAAAGGATTCCGGAGATGGAGGAGAAGGAAGGGCTGCGGCCCCGGTGGCAATTAGTAGAAGAGACGAGGTCCAGCGCATCTTGACAGAGCACCTTTGTGGTAATGGCCTGGTAGACAGAGGCATTCATAATACAAGGAGGCAGTATTTAAGAAGATTTGTTTTCTCATGTGATTCTCGGATCTTCAGGGACCAGTTCGTGTCTGGACGTATTACTTCGAAAACCATTCCGGAAAGGGAATGGAACACGACCCACGCGGCCCCATGGGGAAGCTGGATCGAGATATGCCGAGTCCCGACCTGAATGATCAATAGAACAATGCCCTGATGACAATGACATACACCGTACGGACTAAGTGGATCTTGCAACGAGCCCGGAGATAAAGATAATCATTGTTCTAGACGTTGGCGAGGTCCGATTTGCTGACGGCCCAATCTGTCTGAATTGAGCGGGTCATTGATCCCCGAGACGAACTATTCGGCTATACATTCACTCACTCACTGTTTTTCTTCTAGCCATATTCGTATTTATAGAAGATGTTAAAGCTCTAGCTGACCAATTTAACCATTGTCGGGCTCAATACGAGTACGATTCTTGCCAAGGTCGTGCGTCCATGATAGACCTCATCTAGAGAGTCGAGACCCTGGCAGCTTCAGTGCAGGAAAAAGCTCGACGCACTCCCCGTGCATGAGGTCATCACCCTCGCTAATTTCCTGCAATAACTCGATCAGGAAGTAAACATACCCCGTACGACGGTGTCGGATCAACCGATATTGATGACGTCATCTGCGCTATAGCTTTGTGCAGGCTGCATAACATATTTATGTACATAAGTCCGCAGTGGGGTGATACAACTAGCCTACAGAGAAGTATTGCGATACAACCATTGGTTTAAGCATAACCAATTGCAATATGGCTGCTCTTCTGCAATTGATCTACTAAATCCAAACGATTTTGTTGGGGAGAAGGTATGCCGCCGCAGTTACAATGTAAGAGGCAATGGCCCAGGGGGCCTGAGAAACGGTGAAAAAGCCCTCACCCGTTATCAATTTGTACATGTATTCAGACTCAATGGCCAAGCTCGAAAGAATCGGAGGTTTTATTCAGTGGATAAACCGGGGAGAATCCATAACTGTAGATAAAATACTAGAGCCAACTCACAGTAGGTAATAGGATACTATTGCATTCTCACTAAACGCAAACAGAAGGGATTCTGGATGAATATCACAAGATAATACAAGCAAATAAGATGCGTACAACGATCTGAAAATATTCGGATAAACCAAGGCAGCGAATGGATAAAAATAAAAACAATGAAGTTAAAGCAATATGAGGCCTAGTCCTCTTTCCTAGCTCCTACTATCCGTGAGCGGTGGGTGGTCCGCAGGATCCCGGAGGCCACGGATAAATGCTTGCATCTAGTAGACCGTTACAAGTTAAACCACAGAGGGCACTTCGTCTCCTTGCGTCTTCACTGACGCCTCAGAGGCCTCGCGGGTCTTTCATGCCTGGCGCTGGACTGGAATCTACTGAATTCATCGTAAACCTCCGAATCTATTAATGGATCTTATGACAAGGCTCTTGAAAAATCAACTCGGGTCGCGAAGTTGGGTTCCGAGGTGTGTTGGCAATTGTCAAGGCAGACGTGCTTATTCAAGTAATGAGCAGTCGAGCACAGCCTACTCACAGTTAGTGCGGGGTTATGATCACTTCTCTGGGCGGCTACAGATAGCCAAGGCGCCCAGGGCACACGGGCCTGCTACTAGACAACTAGTAGTCACGAACGTGTCTTGCTAAGCGCCCGCTAACTATAGTGACTACTTCTTTAGTCTCGAGGGATCAGTTTTATTACCAGGCAATGGTTCCATTATCCACGTGAGCAACGGACTTGTTTTTTTGTATGAATCCATAGTGAGCTTTATATTATCTCTTATCAATGTCAATTCAGTATAAATCAGCCATGCGGTGGCTTGCTGTATCTGGTCGTTAAGTTGGGTAATATGGCTACAGTATTTTGGGCTGTCGCCGATAGCCTCGTCATTCCTTGGAACAGTTGCTTGGCAAGCTGTTACTACGTGAGTCACGTTTTAGCGCCCGGATGTACTTCCGGGGTGTGCTTTTGCGATTTCAGCACTTCATTCGTGCAATGATCGGCTCTAAAAATAGCACTCTATAAGATAGCACAATATATGGACGAAATAAGTGGCGAGCGCTTAAGCATATCTTGTTGTAGCCTTGCGGTCTCATGGGTCCATAAGATGTAACTGTGTCGACCTCTCATTCACCAGTATGCATGAAAGGTGATTCGCAGAGCCTTGCTGGCGCTAAGAAAGCAAAGTTCAGCTTGCCGCCGCGGCCAATTTTACTAGCTATGGTTTATTTTCTATTCCCAGGCCCCGTTATAAAAGAATTACATCGTCAATGCCCGGATCTTAAATTCTTAATATTTTTCTATCTTTCAAGTTCTTATCAACACTGAAAGCTCCATTTTCATTCCCCATATTGTTCGAAGTTTCTTATAACAAGCGAGGTGGCTCTTGAAGGCCTATAGCATGCCTCGTTCACGGACTGCGGCTGGAGGACCAGTAGGCATTGTTCGAGGGACATCGTGAGTAGCATGCTAAACATTCAATATAATGCACTGAAGATTGAGTACACAATTTGACCTTAAATTTCATTCTAGCCAAGGCCAACGCGAGTCAAACAGTCCCGCGGATGAGTGGTATTCAAACGTAGGTTTTGGGATTCAGCGCACTACAGGACCTGGCCCCGTTCGAGAAGTCGGCCCTGGTCGATTTGTCATTGAGAACAATCCGTAAGGCCCCCTTTTCCAATTTCTGGTATCTTTGGTTTCTCACCAAGCCGTCTTCACGGATTTCAGTTCTCTTTGCCCCATATACCGAGGTACCGATTGGGACAGTGCTATGAGCTACGTTAGGGACGGAGACCGAAAGTATATTGTGAGCGAGGAACCCGGCGATCTCCATTACGGAAGAGAGGCATCGTACTGGACGACCAGCGAAGACTACGCAGAACTTTGCGCACAACGGGCAGGACGCTATCATATGAGAGGAGGCATGGTTCTGCGACACGACGTACCTTTAGAGATGCTTGACAGTGCCTATCATTTCCCTGAGCCTGAGCCTGAGCCTGAGCCGGCGCTCAGCCATGGGAGCGAGCAGCTTATTGATGATCGTCCATATATCAAAAACTCTGAGGAGATCGAAGCCATTCCCTTCACCTGGACCCCTGAGCTCGCGAGACTGACAATTTCTCGCGGCGGAATCCATCCGTTCCTTGGACCTTTAGAGCCCAGCAACGAGTACCCGTATTATATTTTTCACCCGGACTGGGCGCTTCCTGATCCTGCGGATACGCGTGAGTGCCTAAAATGGGTGGGTCTTTCCGACGACAAAATTATTCAAGTCGAGCAAAAGTTCAACGAACTATATCCTGATTACCAAGGACCTGTCTGTGGATACGACGAGAAGTACACATCTGGGGGAACACCTGGAGGGCGTAATTATATCGACTTCCCGGTTGTCGCAAGAATGGTGAAGGTGTACTACGGCATGGTGGATCACTGGAGTTCTGACCACGAGTATACTCATGGTAAGTCTTTCAATATTATAGGCTCTACGAATGTTGACTAATCTAGTAAGAGGGCTACATTAAAAAAGCTATCCAGCAAGGTTTACGGCCAGAGTTTGCTGTGTCCTGTGGAATGCACAAAGATGATCCCCGCTGCGTCGACGACCCGTTGCTCTTCGAAAGAGACTGGTTTGACACAGCTGCCTCGTCAATCGTTGTCAGAATGGTAAGATCACATTGGGATAAACTCAGCAAGTTTCTCTTGTGCAAACTATGCGACGAGGGAAAAGCATGGAGAGACGATTATGATCATGGCTTAAGCGAATGGTTAGTCCACGAGGGAGAAAGTATGAAGCAGGCCAAAGAGCGGGTGAACAATCTAGATCGACAAGCACTGTGCGAGAGAGCTTACAAGGAGGAGAGAGAAAAGATCAAGCGGGAGTCGGAGGAATATCGTAAGAGGATTGAGCAAGAAGTCGCCGAGGCTGAAGCGGAGTACAGGTCGTTCAGAGAGGAGTAGTCAGATATTGCGACGACAGGCTACGACACAAATTGAAGGAGTCTATCTCTCGGCGGATATAGGGCTGGCCCGAGTGATGATATGTGCCTGAATCCATTCAGTTTCCCTGTTTTCTCTTGATCTTTTCTTTTCGCGCTTGTGTTGCCAGTTCCAAGTTTAGATCATCGAAACCTTCATGCTCCACATATTTTTTTTCACTGCAAATTAGAACTTTGAATTTTAAAGTAGCGAATAAAGTAGGTAATCAGAATGTTAAGAGAAATGAACCACACTTAACGGCATATCAATGTTGACATCGGCTTGTTCATTTTCATACTTATACCTTGAGACTTTTTACCAAGTGAAACAAGTCATAGCACTCTGACGCGATCACTAAGCCCTGACATGACAAACTACAGCGGACCAGATATTAGAAATGCGTTTAATACCATTATATCTATATAATGGGCCGTATATATTACATAGTATTATCATATCGCCCATGATAATGAGTTGGTCACAGGCAGCAATAATAACTACGATGGGCTGAGGTGCGGGTTCAGAACATATACGTTCGCCACCAAATAAACCACCAAAAGCATGCAACATAGCAGACATCTTTATCTCAGCAAAGGAACCCAAATATACAAGTATAACCTTTGGTCCAGCCAGCTTACTCGCTAATTCATGGCGCCATTGCCATTTATTTTCATCAAGCAAGATAACGACCCTTCTCGGCCAACTCGCCGCAGCTAGTTCCCCATCAGATCAAACAAGTTGATACTCGCACCAATATCCTAGTCGAATCGGGTCATCTGGCCAACCGCAAGAAGAGAGTTAATTCTATATATATGTGCACAGGCTTACCGGGGTCAGTGTATGAGGCTGACAGTCCCAACATGTGGGCCAGGCAGTGCTTTATCCGTAGGAGGAATAGTGCAATTCTTTCTTCGTTAGGCTTCTGGCGATTTAAATTGGCCTTGTCCAACCCCTCCAACCCCGGTACCTACTTGTTGTCTTGTTCGTTTTGAACGATATTTTCCCTTCCCTTTCGATTCCTGCCAGCAGCAATCATGGATACAACTACCATTACCACTCCCACTACCATCGTCCTCGTCCACGGCGCCTGGCACCAACCATCTTCCTACAGTTCATTCATCACCGCCCTTCGCCGCCTCGGCCACGAAGTCCACGCCCCCCGCCTCCTTTCGATGAACGGCGCTCGGCCTCCAAACGCCGGTCTCAAGGAGGACAGCGATCTAATCCGCACGTACGTGGAGAGCCTCGTCTCTGCCGGCCGCGAGGTTCTGGTCCTACTCCACTCCTACGGCGGCCAGGTGGGGACCAACGCCCTATCCAACGGGCTTGGAGTCACCGCCCGTCGCGCGCAGGGCCTCCCCGGCGGCATCGTTCAACTCGTCTATATCGCCGGCTTCGCCCTCACCGAAGGTGTCTCCATGATCGACGTCGTCGTCTCGCACGGCCACGGCCACCTGATGGATTTGGCCTTTGACTTCGCCGAAGACCGGACATGTATTTCCCGAGACCCTAGGAATCTCATCGTCGGACCATCTCAGAAATCTGACGTGGAGACCGACGCCTACATTGCCACCTTCCAGCGGTGGAATGGAAACGGGTTTGATACCAAGTTGCAGAATGTCGCCTGGCGGCCGGAGGAGGGCGGCATTCCGCAGATCGGATACATCTACTCGTCCCAGGACATGACGGTGCCCTTGGATTACCAGAAGGAATTTGTCAAGACGATGCAGGACGCTGGATGTAAGGTGCGTACCTGGGAGTTGGAGACAGGCCATTGTCCCTTGTTCACTAAGTGTGGGGAGGTCGTGGAAATCGTTCACAATTTAGCGATCGGAAAGTAATTATTACTTCTTGACTTTAACTTATACGACTGTTGATAATTGCTCTCTTATTCTTGTTCTACTTTTCTCTCTCTCGGAATACAGTCGATAGATGCCCAATTAGAGAGGAGACGCAAAGTGTTACCTCTCCACATTTGGTCCAACCAGCTATAAAAGCGAGCTGGTAAGGATTGCTGAATGGGGGTCTGCGTTTCTTTTTTCCCTTGTAGTTTCTTTCTCTGTATGCATCCTCGTACTTCTGTCCTTTATCTATTCATTTATTTATTTTTAAGAATGAGGTCCTGAGAGGCTGACACGCCTTTTCTCTGAACATTAAAAATAGAGGCACTCTTTGTTTCGATTATAATTGGACGGCTTGATCATTAACTGCAAGAGACCACTGATAAATACAAGGACTGTACTAATTACTGGGATCCAAGATTGATGTCTTATGCATGGAGGCAGTGTTGCCTACATAAAATCAAATATTGGTTCAAAAGCATGTCCATTCAACTATATGAAATTTCGATCGAATATTTTTCCGAGGTAACAAGCTAATGATTCCAACAACAGACTGACAACCCCTCATTCTTTGCCTCATTCGCTTCCTAGGCCCCCGACCACCCCTCAAACGTAGTTGACCTTCAAGAGCCAATGATCGGGATTTGTCTTGATGTCCCAATCCAGGCCGAAACAGTCCGGGGGGTTCAGAATGCGCTCTCCGTAACCATAGTCCTTCCCGTCCTTGTCAAACAGTTGAAGATAGACCTCATCACCGTTCTGCACGTACGGAGAATGGTTTCCGACACCCGGATAGAACAGTTGAAACGTTGTAGCGTTTTCAAGCCTACCAGCCCAGATAATGCCGGTGTCTATAAAGCCACGTAGGATGGAGCTGGTGGCCAGCCAGGTGCTCCGCCCGTCGCCGGTGTTGGTCTTGTTGTAAATGCGGTAGGGGTGGTTATATTTGAGCTGCATAACAGAACCGGTTGATTAACAAAAAACTGAAAAATAATTGAGCACGACGTCAGTAGACAAAAGAGGCATACCTGTTTGTCTTCATTGGTGTTTGTGGTCTCGACATTAACGTAGAACTTCTGGTTCGTCGAGTTGTCGTTTGCCAGCAGCTTCACTGGAGCCGCTCCCTCGATAGATGGAATCAACTTGTTTAGATACGCCATGCGTTCTTCTGTCATCACCTTGGTCTTGGCGAGATCGTAGACAGTTTGTGCTACAGACACTCTATTAGCTAGGGCGTTCGGGCGGGGCAGGTATACTGGGGACATACTGAATTTGCCACCATCCGAGTTTTGCGGCGCAGTAAACATCTTCTGGTTGCGCATTGTCAAAGTGAATCCGATTGTGGTTTGGGAGGTGGTGGGCTTGATTTGACTTTCGTCGCGCAAGATATCGGCGAACTTCTGCTTGGTGCCCTGATATCCAGGGATGGTGGAGATCACGTCTTCAATGGAGAGGACACGCGATTGCTGCATTGCGGTGTTAGAGACTCACAACGAGGGATTAAACGAGAGATTAAAAGAAAAAGAGTGCAATAGATGATAGAATCTGAAGAGGTGCTCTTACCTTAACAGTTCGCCAGTTGTAGAAAGATCCAACCGTGTATGCCCACGCAGGGGGACTGCAGCGAATTAGATAAAATTATCAACAGCTCGAGGACGACAGGGAGGGAGAAAACACACTCATTGCACAACAGGGTATCACCACCCTTGGCTTCCCAGCAAACAGACTTGCTAGTAGAGGCTCCGGTGTTCTGGGAGCTGGAGTCGGACGATTGAGCATAGCTCATATTCGCCGATGCCTGCACGTAGGGCGATGAGAACGAGAGCGCCGCGGCCGCACGCATAGACTTGGCTTGTTCGGCTTTTCCAGCAGTCGTCGAGGCGGTGGATTCTTCGGAGGAATGAAGTCTTCCACCCAGCTCGATGCGGGTGGGGAAGAAGCGGCCTATTATTTCAGTTAATACTCCATACGCCGCGGAAGGATCATCTTAGTATGAGCATTGTCATCTTGGTCCATACCGTATTTGTCTTTGAAGTTATCGATGGCAGCGACCGAGTCGACAGATGCGAGATCGAGTTGACACTCCTCGGAAAGGTCAAGGCTGTAACGATCAAAATCGATCACAGCTCGTGGGAACTGTCAAGAATCGTAAGAGAGGGAACATCGATATTTTAGCCCAGGGGTACTCATACATTGTAGGTAATAGACATGACGCGAGTGTCATCACTCGAGCTCGACGACGATGAGGATGAATTATCTTCACCGTAGCTGGCAGAGAGACTTGCGCTTACACCGAACGCTCCACCCTCACTGTATTTGTGCCGGTCAGTGGAAACCAGACATGACATGGGAGAAAGGATGACCTACACAGCCAACTCCGCTGCGAGCTGTGACAGGGAGCTCTGGGCGATGGCTCGAGAGACAGACTTCGTCTTCTCGAACTGCTCAATGTATGAATCGTCTTCAATGCGGAATCGAGGGATGCGAAGCGTTTGCTGTTTTGGGATTTGTATTTCAGCAAAACTGAATGTTTTCTATCTGGAGTGCAAAATGGGACATAGCTATACCTTCTGCTTAGCGATAGAGTCGGAGGCCGCGCTGGCAGAGATCTGATAGTTCTGGAACAGACGTGGTTTGAGGGCAAAGGCTTGAATGTTACATCAGCATCGGCATCAGCATCAGGGGAGGGTGGAAGATGGCTGATGACATACCGGTATGCATTGAACGCTCCACTATTCTTCCGATCTTTCCTCCTGCGTCAATCACTCGGTACGCATTCAGCAGAGAATTGTTGCGAATGACGACACTCCATTGCGTCTCTGACATGTCCGCAGCATGACTGGATAGTAGAGCAGTGAGTCAGCAATCAGTGCTGTCTTGAGAGAGTGGGCCTTCTTACACAATGCTAAAGGTCGTGGTTGGATTCAGAAAGATATTGTGGCTGAAGCTGGTGGGCAGCTCTGGGGCCTTCGGCTGGGAAGCTGGCGGCAGCTCCGGGACTTTCTTCTACACATGAAAAAAGGGTTAGAAAGAGTCACAGAAGAGTGTTGCCGATTCACTTACGTCAATCGATACCTTAGCACCTCGGCTGGAGAGAGCTCGGATATGATCATAATCAATGATCTTTTCCGACTTGAGGTAAACCCTGTAGCTGTCGGCGTTGTCTTCCGCAATGTCCTTGAACTGGTCAGTACACCCAGCCTACAAGCTTCCCTGGTGAGAAGGTGAGACTTACTCCAACTTCGCTTGACTGTGTTCATTCAAGTCAGTTAATCAGCCATCTCTCAAAGCCTGTCGTGGTAGAACGCACCTTCTCATTCAATATACCGAGGTATGCCTTGAAGCTTGTAGTATCGAGGATCTTGGCACCTCGCTGATTACAGAAGGAGCTCCACACCCTATTGAAAGAATGAGACGCTTCAACTTCGTCTTAATATTGATGATTACTTACAAAGTCGGCTCCAGGACCCCCTCGGTAACCAGGAGTTCTCGGATGTCGGAGAGCTTGGTCGTGGACATGTCCGCATTCTTGAATGCAATACATGATTTTTCCTGAATGGTCTTGGTCTGATCACTCCACGAATAGACATGAAGGACCTGTTGCGGTTGTTCCGCAAGGTCTATCAGAGGTTAGAGGGTTGGGCTGTACTATATCCAAAGAGCGACACGTACTGCTGAATAGCTTTTCTATTTCCTTGTTCAAATCGATAACGATGTTGGTGGTCTCCTTTGCTGCACCTGCTGCACCTTTGAGAAGAGAAGCCATATTGAATGACGGGGCTCGTGAATTTGTTTTGAACTGTTTCAATAGCACTGGGATCCTCGCTCGTTGAGAAAAGGTCAAGAAGTTCCCCGGAAATGGCAGCGGCTTTATAGAATGAATGCCAAGGTCTGAGGTGCAGGTTAACTCGGTAGTACTGATAGCAATTCCGGGAATCACCCTTCATCAGTCATGAGGGGCTACATATGGCAATAGACCATGAATCTAACTGAGACAAGAAAATTGCATATTCCTGCCATAATCCTTGCAATCTTGCACAGGAAACCGCAATGTCCTTGTTTTAGCCTATCTTATTGGTGCTGGAGATAGTCTTCTTTACCCCGCTCGCAAAACTTGGATGTAGATAGCATCCTGCAGGCAGCTGAGCTGAAAACATGCAGTGTACTTTTGAAAGGATGCGAGCATAGTGGGCCTATCCCGGAAATTCAAAAGATGTTCCCTGATGGCGTTAGCATCAAGTTAGGGCCCCGCTTAGCCCACGGGCACCATCAGACTAGAGGAGATCACCGATTCAACCAGGGCCGCAGATCCGGGCTAACCTTGATAGCGCGCATGATTCTGGCCCGGCCCTATGCATGGATTATGGACCAAGGACAATAACCCCTCAATTATCTCGGGTTACCAGCGTGCAGCATTCGCCACTGTACCCTTGTCACCAACGCATCAATTGCCCCATCTCAGCTCGCTCTCCTCTTTTACAACCCCGCGCTATCAACGGAGAGGTGACGGATTGGGCACAGGCCGAATTTTGAAAGCGGTGCATCTGTATTCTGTGTACTTGCCCGCAGCCGTTCTCATCTCTCACTGACAAGAAAATTACTTTCCGAATATATCACGTCCAAGTAGAGCACACATCATGTCACACCACTGACTAATATCTTTGGATACCAGCCAACCGTAATGGGTACTTCATGCAGAGAACCAGGATTAAATAGAACTGCCATTGAGATTTTTGGCCTCTGAGGTGGGGAAGTAGACCAATTATCACGCCACTGATGCCATAGTACGCAAGCTCGATCTGCCATCTGCCAAATATTGACGAATCCCCAATCCTCAGCTCCCTCCCAGAGTAACTCTGCGACCGATCTTAGGCCAAAGCTCCAACACATCTCTTCGATGGCCAGGCGTAATTCTTGTTCGTCCCTTTTTGCCCAAACAATAATGCCTCATGGCGGATCAATTTGCGGGAACCTAGCCAGAGATCTATTTGTTTACTCTCGATGCATGCGGGATAGACCGGCGTCTTTTAGTACTGCTGCTGCGAGTGCTGTTGGTAAAGTTTTAGGACTGCCATGGCTTGGTGATACTGCGAAACTCGCATGAGTTGTTCAAGAGTGCCAGTGAGACTAACCATTCCATGTATGGATCTCTAAGCATAAGTGCTGGTCTTTCATGGATCTAGATCCGCTGGGAGGCAGCAAACTTCGCTGCATGAGGGGCATGACAAGTAGATCCAATAAATGATGGAGGGGACCGATGCTTACTCTTGCTTGAGCCGGATAAATGACTCAGATTAGGGGAGTTGTAATACAATGAGGGATGCAGCTGACGATAGAAGGTTTAGGTTTGCATTCTCCGCAATACTAGTGTCCTGTTATCGAATACTTTTGCTCCAGCCTCTGGTGGAAGCACAAAAAAACAAACAACCTCAGTATGGCGAGTACGGCGGGCAACAAAGAACGGCTGTAATATTTTCCTAGTAGTTGATAGTCACAGATGACGGCTTACGGAGTAGTTTAATTTTAAACCTTTTCGCTGTACATGAGCTACTCTATCCTCCTGGTGCTCAATGCACACAGGACTGTAGACCTACAAAGCGAAAACATAAATTTTCAAAGAACGTCGTAAGTTAAAGGTACTCATAAATAGGAGTGAAGAGACTTCTCCTTCTAGGAAATACGAAGACCTAATTGGGTTTACATTGGCTTTTATTGAAATCAGATGGTCCCGGAGAGGCTTATAATTGCAGTAGCGCTCGACGGAGCATGGGTCTCTCAGCCTTCTCGCCTCAATGTTGCAACGTGAAAGCAAGACACCTTGATTCTTATCAATTATTTCCTATATGTTTTACTATTGACTGAAACCAAGCACATACGACCACAGGGTGTGGAGAACAGGGCTTCCCGTCCGCTCAGCCGTACTTAAGCCACACGCCGGCCGGTTAGTAGTTGGGTGGGTGACCACCAGCGAATCCCGGCTGTTGTATGTTTTTGCTTCTATTACTTTTTTTTTTAATCTCTACTTAAAAGACAACATTACCTGCGGGCAGTCCTTATAGATCTTTTGCAACGCTGTGTGTATTGTGTGGGGCGTAAGGTGGGATCAATTAAGTTAGGTCCCGACCCCGTTGGTTGACATGATATATAGTGTAGAAAACATGAAGCCTTGTGTAGGCAAGTGTCTGTCTCTGCACTCAACTGCGTGGCATATTGGTGGCATTTCTCTATCTCGACACATGCCACGAATCGCCAACTCGAAATCCGTTTGGAAACGGATCACTTGGATCAAGAATGACTTGCTGGAAACCGGTGATCCAAGCACTTCCTTTAACAGTCGGTAGAACTGCATCATAATCTCCGACCTTCGTAGTTCCACGGATTGTGCCAATGAATTCAGTCCCAATGGGACTGAAATGGCGGAAAGCCTCTCCGACCGAAAGCTGGTTTCGAGCATGCAGCTGGGCCATCCGGGCGCATGTACCGGTTCCACAGGGGCTCCGGTCGAGGCGCCCCGGAGATACAACAGTGGCGTTGCGCGCTGTTTTTCCAGAGGGCTCGTCCTGTAATGGCTCCGTGAATACCAAGTTAGTCACGCCATTGATGCCCGAATTCTCCGGATGCACGGGGTGAATGGATTGTTGTACAGCGCGTTTGATCCTTTCGCCATACTGGACTAATCGCTCTCCATCGGCGGAGTTGATGGTCAGGCCTATCTGGCTGATATCGAGGATTGCATACATCATCCCACCCCAGACGATATCACACAGAACATTGCCGATGCCGGGAATCTCAACTTCCAAGTCAAGCTGGAACACAAAGGCAGGCACGTTGTCAAAGGCAACTGTTTTACATTTCCCTGTTTCGCATTCTGCAGTAACACAGACCAAGCCAGCCGCAGTGTCTAAATTCAACGTTGTGGTTGGTTCCTGCATTTGAACCATGCCAGTTTCCAGCAAAACCGTCGTGGTGCAAATAGTGTTAGATCCGGACATCGGGGGGTACTCCTCGCTCTCCATGATTATGAACCCTGCATCGGCTCGGGGGTCGCAAGGAGGTAGAACAAGGTTCACGTTCTTGGAGGGCCTACCACGCGGTTCATTCAGCATCAGCTGTCGGATCTCGTCTGCATTCTCCCAAAAGTACATCATTTTGTCAAACATAGTTTTCCCAGGGACATCCAGGACCCCACCGACGATAACATCGCCGACTTCACCAGCGGCATGCACACCGACGACATGAATCGTTCTTTGAGCACGCATTGCAAGGGCAAATGGTGAAAGGATAGCACACGAGTTTGAGCGTACTTTCTTGGCTCTTTGCTTTCGACGTATCGAACTCTGCAGCGTTGAGAAAATCGCTTCGGAATAATAAGCCCAACAGCTTATCAGGGCTTTCTCGGGACGGTGCTAGTTTATAAATTGCATCTGAGATAGTCACACATGCCCTATGAGTAGTAGATTCCGCGGAAGCGGAAGCAGAGCAAGCGGGGGACACTTTCGAACGGGGCAAGTTATTCCCGTGGTGATCCTGAAAAGAGCTGCGTACTAGAAAAGCACTGATCCTTCAACACGGCCTTATTCATCGGTCGTTGCTTCTGTCTAGAAGAGTATTTCTTTCATCGCGGTGCCTTAAGCCGTGTGCATTCCTGCGGGAGTCTCGGAAGGCGTAAGGTTGCATTCTGGCAAACTATCCGCAGTTGTATGCTTCTCCATGACTGATTCAAGGATGTCATCCTAGAAGAACCCTTTTATCATACGTCATCATCTTGGCTCAGTTTCGTTGTACTGGATCCAGTTCTTCAATGAATTTCATCATCCGCTGGATTTACTTATAAGTAATGATGGAACTCCAAAGGTGTAAAGTGCTTGTATTGATGAAAGATCTTGATGACCGGTGATCTTTGCGCTAAACCACATTAAGAACACGCGGGCCGCCGGAATTATTTCAAGGAGTCTCTAATTGAAGCATGTAGAATTGTTCTATAGAGAATACGGCACTGTTTTAACGGTTATAACCCACCATTCGACCTATAAAGACAGTGATGGGTCTTTATAACCTTCGCTATCTATTATTCTAATACTATTCTTTTATCGTTCAAGCCCGATGAGCAATTCTTGATATACGTTCCAAAGCCCAACACGATAGGATGCAATTTACTCGGTACAGCTCTGGGCAAATACAACAGAATAACTTGGTTATAATAAGGAAAGCACCCTGTGGGAAATGGCTTGGCATGTTGCAACCTAAGGCATCCTAGGATTCTACAGGAGACATTTCTATTTTCTGTCTACTCCCCGCTCCTGACGTCTTTTCATTCAAATGCCCCCAAACCGAGAGGTGAAAATCAAAGGACCAAAAATAAAACCAAAAACATACAACAGCCGGGATTCGCTGGTGGTCACCCACCCAACTACTAACCGGCCGGCGTGTGGCTTAAGTACGGCTGAGCGGACGGGAAGCCCTGTTCTCCACACCCTGTGGTCGTATGTACTCGCTTGGCCTAATTGATGATTTACATACTTCAAGTTTAGGCGATGGAAACTATGATTGCAAGATGTGATAGACGTTCACCATGTCCAATTGTAAAAACAAAGTGGTCGTCAAGAAAGGGAGATAATGTATAATTATAATTCAGGTCATTTTTACCTGCAGAGGCCCATAGTATGTACTATAGAATGTTAGTTGGGATAACTGGGGCAAGAGTTTTGATGATCCTGTTCAAGCCCGATGGATAATATATATTATAGGAATGTCGGGGAGCATTTCACTCTGGTCCCGGCAAACCTCACATTAAAGGAGATCGGTGAAAGGGTTGACACGGCTAAACCCCATTGTATATTCGCAAGCACCAGATGCCAGGACTGTTAAGTGACTCAAGTCAGTCATCAACACTATGGAGCGGCGGAGGCTTGATCCCTTTTCATGGAAATTTGTATTCTGGGGGCTTTAAATGGAAACTTTCGGACTAACGCTACGTCCCGCATCACGAAAATATGTACAACTAGTGTAGAGCCCGACGGCCCTAGCTAGCGAGGAAATAATGTCAACCAGCGTCACTACTGTCTAATAGGTGTGAAGAATTGTAAGAAGTCTCCCTCAAAATCCAGTACTGCTCATACTAGCGACACTGTGTACGTGGGTAGAGTATGCCACTTTGAAGTTTCAGGTTGTCCATCATTCTACCTGGGCACTCTCATGATAATAGTAAAGAATTGGAAGGAATTCTGTCGCTATATATACTGGTATCCTTACCGTGCCCCTTTTAAGCAGGCAGACCCTTCAAATCCTGTACAAGCATCTCGGGCTCACCGCAGATCTGTTGGAAGATGGTATCAAACAAGGAGATAGCGCGGAGCATTTCTTGCTCTGGAAGTACCTGTTCATCATAACAAGCGAAAACCTCAACTGAGCTCTTTTGGAGATAGCAGTGAAGTGACAGCGCGCGAACATGGAAGGCACCCGTTTGAGGAAGCAGCTCTTGCTCGGAGTATAGCGAAGACGGCTGCTCTGGCGGTTGGGGCTGGACGATCAGAAGCGTTTGGAGTGCGACCGCAGAAGTTGGACCGGTCGCCAATCTCGAGATATTTGGGTTTCCGTAGTGCTCATGAGGCAAGATCTTGACGTAGTTCTGCTGTGCTTTGCGAAGAGCTTCTATCACAGTCACCTCTGGATCGATGTAGAGACGATAGGGGAAGATGCCTAATGTAGGCGTCATCATCCTTTCGATCCCGGCAACTGGCGTACCCCTTCCAGCCGTACCAAGACCGAAAGCTACCTCTGAACTGCCAGTGTAAAGTGAGAGAACTTGGGCCCATGCCCAGCGGACTTTCGTGGACAGAGTAATTTGACCAGTGGCACGTTGAGGGATGGGGACCTTCCGAACTAAAGTGGCACTTGGATGGGGTGTGTAGTTGGACGAAGGAACTGGTGGGAAGTTAGGAGCTCGGAGATTCTTGAGCTCTTCAGTCCAGAACTGCTTGGCTGCACCCTTTGTTTGATTAATGTGCCTGATGAATGACGAGGTGGGTAGATGTTCCAGAGCAGCTCCAGAGTAAGCCCGCTCAAGCTCTTGCATCAACACAGCCAGTGACCACCCGTCATACATGGAGTGCTGGAGGCTTATCACAAGCCTGTGCTGATCACTTGATGGACGGCGCACAAAAGCAATTCGGAGCAAGGGCTTTCCAGTTGCAACGTCGATTGGAAGATCGGGCATAAAATCAGATACATCTTCAGTTGGTGGCTCATAAAATTCAATATCAACTCCTTCGCGAAGGACCACCTGGTGCATCTCATCTTTTCCATCAACGCTGATGATGCGAGTACGAAGCTGAGGATGCGCGAGTGTGGTCGTGTGCCAGGCCTTCCGCAGCAACTCAAGATCGATTGTCGATCGCAGATTATACGCAAACTGAGCGACGAGAGTACCTTTCTTACGGGCGCTGAAGAGGAAAAATGCATGTTGAAGGGGAGAGCAGGGGTAAATATCTTCGACTTCGTCTTGTGGAACGACACATTGCTCCATGGCCTGCTGAATGACTACCTGGCGTGATTCAGGGTTGTCACCGAGCAGGGCGAAGGGTTTCGGGATATCGGAAACGCCCAGGGGGAGATCGCAATGCATCACTTGCGCCATTGAGTCCAGGCGAGGATGCTGGAAAATATCCGCAACTGTGATATGATAATTCTGCTCCCGCAGCAGGCTCACCAGCATCATTGCTGCGACGGAGTCGCCTCCTCGGCGGAAGAAATTATCATCCATGCTGACGTCTTGCTCCTCCAAAGCAAGGGTGATAGCCACACCACGGCACAAAATAGACTCTGCTTCGTTGCTGGGATCTTTTCGAGCCGCTCTTGCCTGGAAACTGCCTGCCCATTGCTCGTGCAAACCTGTGCTGAGAACCTTACGCAGCTGGCCTCGGTCGGTCTTTCCACTCCGTGTTTGAGGGATTCGGGCCAGTGGTAAGTAAATAGAGGGCTCCATATAACTAGGGAGTGAAGCAGCCAAGTCAAGTTTGGCCTGGGAAACTGCGCTAGAAAAGGCGTCACAGGGGGGATGAAGCAGCTGTTGACTAGGTTCATCATCTCGAGGAGAAGCAGATAAACCATGATCCCAGTTTGTCTGGTATATAAATGCAGCCAATGCCTTTGTTCTTCCTTGATTCAACGAGGCTACCTCGGCAATAACTTCGGTGGCATTGGGAAAGACACGGCGAAGATGCTCCTCGACTTCGCCCAATTCGAGTCGCTGGCCACGGAGCTTGACCTGGCTGTCTTTACGCCCCTTGTACAATAGTGTGCCATCAGTAGCGTACTGGACAAGATCCCCAGTCTTGTATAGCTTTTCTTCCGATGCTACTTGCATAAACTGGGATAGCCAGCGAGGAGGTGGAATAAAAGCTGCTGCTGTCTGGTCTGGACGGTTCAGGTACCCGCGCGCTACCACTGGGCCTTGGATGACCAACTCTCCCACAACACCTACAGGGCAAAGCCTTTCATGATCCTTCGGCTCGACTACCCATGCGGTGGAGTTGGACATAGAATACCCAATGGCATGTGGTAGAGACCCTAAGGTGACAGGAGCCTGCACTGTTACATTGATTGTGCACTCGGCTGGTCCATACATGTTGATAAATTGGATGCCGGGTACGGCACCCCATCGCTGGATATCGAAGGCACTCAGTGCCTCTCCGCTCACTTTGAGGGTCTTCAAAGACGTAAGCCTCTCTGGCTGCAAAGTTCGTGTGACGGTGGGTGTCAAAGCAACATAATTAGCCTTTAATTCGTTGAGACTTTCCAAAAGACGATTTTGCCGACCCTCAAACGAGGGTATGCAAAGACACCCTCCTGCCATAAAGCAGACAATCAGATCCAATACGCTGACATCAAACGCAAACGATGCGTACTGAAACATCCTCATGTCGCTGTTCATGGGAGAATGACGTCTCATTGAGGCCCCAGTGGTACATAGGGAGCGGTGTTCAATCATCACACCCTTGGGCTTGCCAGTGGATCCTGACGTGAAGACTGCATATGCCATGTTTCTTGGGCCGACCGTCACAGTGTGCTCCCCATCCAGCCTATTGGCTGAAGGAATAGGTGACTGATTGTCAAGCAGAACAACATTAGAAACAAGAGAATTCGCAGTCTGCCGGTATGTCTGCGTCGATATTATCACAGTCGACCCTAGATCATTGCAGATCTCTTGCAATCTCTGCACGGGCTGAGACGGTTCAAGAAGAACAAAAGCTGCCCCAGCTTTGAGAATAGCTAGTAAAGAAATTGGTACCCAACGACTTTTGTCCATGAAGACTGGCACGAAAGTTTCCGAAGTCACACCTTCTAACGTAAGATACTGTGAAATAGTGGTAGATAATTCATCAAGTTCCTTGTAGGTCCATTTTCCGTCCCAGGCATCCACTGCTGGTGCAGAGGGTTGAGCCTGGCATTGTGCTTGGATAATCTCATGGGCACATTGATCAACAGAATGTGGGACACTCTTATTCAAATGTTTGATCATCGAGCGGTCGTCCTCAGAAATAAGCTCAAGGTCATCAATGCTACGATCAAAACCCGTCACAATTGCCTTCATAATGTGGCCGAACAGAGCACCGATCCTCTTCATTTGTGCAGTTGGAACGACGGAGGTGTATGCTTTGAGTCTCGTCGAGATGTCGTCTTCAGATACCATAACCTCTAAGCCGAGGTCAAACTCATTCGGATCATGTCTCGAGACTTCAGAAAGTGCCATGTCGTATTCATCCCCGTGGGCATTGGTGAAGAGTGGGTATTGAGTAATGCAAGTGTTGAACATTATCTCATCTCTGTCAAAGTTCAACGCTCGTCGGATATCGGCAAATGAAGCTCCCCTGTGTGTCAACCCAGTCCCAAAGTCCGATTGGATAGAGGACAAGATATCGGAAACAGTGGAGGTAGGTTCAAATCGCTGTCTGCAGATCATCAAATCAATCAAAGGTCCAACAGCATCCATTACCCCATCTATGGGTGCATCGCGACCGGAAATCAGATAACCAAAACAAACATCATCCGTACGGGTCACCGTGCGCAGAACAAGGCACCATGCGAGCTTGATAACGTTTGCTAACGTGGTTCCCGTGGCACGGGTGAATGTGTGGTAGGTTGCCGCTGAGCCGATATCAACCATAACACTCCTGAACTCATGACTGTGACGATTTTCAATTGGCTTGGACGGGGGTCCGTCTGAACTTTCTGTCGGAAACTGGCAGGAGTCCATGCCACCAAGGTATTCTTTCCAGTAGGATAGAGCACTATCATGAACTGTCTGCCTTTTGTAGTTCGTGTAGTCCGCATAATTGAAATTCAAAGGCGATAGCTGTTTCTCATTGTACAAAGCGCAAAAATCCCTAACAATAATTGACATTGACAGACCGTCTGTCACTGCATGGGTGAGTTCAATCTCAACGAATACTCGGCCATTGGATGCAATGTGAATGGAAAGCTGTGGTAGCAGTGAACTAGAGAGTTGAGTGTTCTGGTGCTGCTTGACAACACTCGGGGACTCCAATCTTTCCTCTAACCTGTAGATCTGAGGAGGGGCTTCATTCCTTAGCTGAACCTGTGCCGCGAAGACTTGAGGCTTTACATTTGTCACGAATATGGATCGAAGCATCGGGTGACGTTGGGTCAATTGCCTCCATGCACTTTTAAATCGCTCATGATCAACCGTGGCACCGCTTTTGGCTAACTGGGCCTCATAGAGAACCCTCAGTGTATGCTGATCGGGGCTTTTTAGTTGACTCATCAGTATTCCCTCCTGCATTGGGGAGCATAGGTGAATTGCTTCCACCTCGTCCACCGGAAACCCGAGATTGTTCACTTGCTCGAAAACAGCAGAAGTAGGAATATCCTCACTTATTGATTTCCAAGGAGCTTGCTCTGGCGCCTGTTTTACCAGTTCGGCCAGTTCGGCAATAGTGCCGTGGTCCAAAATATCCTGAACAGTCAAAGAGATGCCAGCGCTTCGACACATCTGGACCAGCCGAATAGCCTGTATTGAGTCACCCCCAAGTTTGATAAATGGTTCATTGATCCCAAGATCATCAGGATAGCGGTTGAGAACCTCACAGAACAATGTGTGCAACAACCTCTGGATATCGGTTTGCGGCTGAACACGTGGCTCGTCATTGGCGTGAACATAGACTTCCAGCTCTTGCCAGGTCATTCCCGCGGCATGCTTCTTCAATGCTAGACGATCGGTTTTACCGGATGGAGTCTTCGGGATTCGGGCCAGTGGTATGTAAATGCTCGGCACCATGAAATCAGGCAGTGTTGCGCGAACTAGGACATCAAGCCTCGCTGTTTCCGTCTGGAAGGACCGAGTAGGTGGCACGAATGGAGAACATGAGGTGAGCTGATCTCCTGCATTGGAAGCTGCGTAGATGAAACAGATCAAGATGGTCGTCCCTTCCATGTCTGATGGAGAGATGGCCTCAGTAATTACTGTCTCGTCGGGTGCCAGATGCGGACGAATAGTGCTTTCAACCTCGCCAAGTTCGACTCTTTTCCCGCGGATTTTCACTTGCATATCTTTGCGGCCAATGTACACAATAGAGCCATCTTCCACATACCTCGCAAGGTCCCCAGTTCTCAGCATTAGGCGAGGAACCGGATCGGGGGAGGAATGAAGAACCCATCCTGGAGGTTCAATATACATGGCGGCCGTCTTTTCTGGGTCATTCAAATATCCTTGACTCACATTCTCTCCGTCAAATAATATCTCTCCGATCGAACCAACAGGAGCGGGGATCTGTAGGTTAAGAGGGTCTGCGAGCCATATGCGACCAGAAGGGGAAATCCCTATATTTTGAGAGTGCTTTGACACTTGGAGTTCTGTAGTGCATGCGCCACCAGCTATTTCAGACAGCCCATATCCTGACACAAGCTTGACTGACCCTGTCCACTTAGTTAATACGGCCTCACTTATTGGCTCTCCAGCCAAGCACAATGCGCGCAGTTCTTTGACCTGAGCCGGATCCATGGCTTTGCTCGCTGATGGTGTCATGATAGTAACTGTTACTTGGAAACGATTCATAGCCGCCTCCAAATCGTTCATCAGGTCATGTTGCGACGCGATGCACATTGTCGCTCCTAAGATCAAGGGTAAAACCATGTCCATCAACGAGGCAGCGAAGATGGACGGGGCAAATTGGAGAACCCTGCTGGACGGGTACATCTCGAAGGCGGGTGCTTGATTTACCAACGCAGACAGAGATCGGTGAGTGTGAACAACTCCTTTCGGGCGACCGGTACTGCCAGACGTAAACATGACATATGCGCAGCGTTCCAGGTCGGTCGCAGGAAGTTCTTCTTGCAGCTGATCGAGTTCTGGCAGACCCGCGATGAACGATTGAGTCAACTCCAGAGCTGGAACATGAACACGCTCAAAAATAGCAGTGAATTGTGGCGAGGTCATTGACAGTGGCGACTGTGTCATATCCGCAATGATTTGCATACGTGCTGTGGGATAATGAGGACTAACGGGGACGAAGGCTGCGCCCGCTTTGAGGATGGACACCACGGCAATAATCGCATTCACCGTCTTCTCGAAGCCCACAAGGACCAACGAGTTCTCTCCAATCCCAAGGCCCCGCAGATAGTGTGCCAGTCGACTTGTTACATTGTCAAACTCCGCATAGGTGAGGTTGCCGTCCCATGCACAAATCGCTGGGTGCGCTGGCTGCTGAAGAACATGCTTTTTGATCGCGTCTACGACAGGAACGACTTCAGTTGTCCGCGGGCGTTTATTCCATTCAGGCAGTTGATATTTGCCGCTTTCGCTCAGAAGATCGAGATCTTTCACTGCTCGGCTCGGGTTCTGGATCATTTCATGGATAGCAGTTTCAACGGAGCAAACGAGATTGTTTGCATGCCATGATGAAATCCCCGACGAATGGAACAACCAGAGCCCCGACGAGGAGATAGATAAAACAAAATGCAGTTTTGGCATCTTCAAGTTCAATGTTTCATCATCCTCCCTTATGTTAAATGCAACTCCGGTATTGCATCCCAATTTATCGGGCGAGGACTCGAGGGGACTCGATGTCGTCGAACTGAATTTGTTGGTCACAAGGTCGACAACCGATATATCTGGGTCGATTGTTGTTTCGCAAACGCTGGATAATGTGGTGTTGACAGCGTCGTTATTGCCGATAGCGAATGCCACGCAGTGAGAAGAGCTATACCGACTCAGGACAATCGCCCAGGCCTGTTGGCACAAGGCAGACAGTTTGAAGCCCTGGCATTCACAGCTCGCGGCAGCATCTTCATCAAGCGCACAGCGGATCCTCCGCCATGCCTGGCCTTCGCTTTCTCTGTAGTCAAAATCCAGAAAAGTCATTTTAGAAGCTTCACTCGCATTCACGAGTTGCAAAGAGAAGGGAAACAGATGAGAGCACTGTTCTCACCTTGCCAGAGTTATCGAGGTCTCCCTGTCCACTAGCCCCACTAGCTCGTTGACCGAACCTTTCCGGGGAGTGAATCCGGAAATGGTAATTCCGTATGGAGCATAAGGTTAGTAAATCCAATAGTGTGGGTGATTCTGCACTGTCTTTGTTGCTGGGACTGGTGGACCTCCCAAAAGAACACAATGAGCCCACTGGCCCCTTTCAGTTCTGGTGCGATCCTAGACAGTGTTTTGGGTTATTGGGGACCAACCAGTGTCTGCAGCGGCATGCACCTACCAAATAATACGCCACATAGCGGGGCGTACTCCGTATTATTAGAGATCTGCTCAGGCGCCTAGGGCTACTGCTTCACTAGTGTACTATCTTTAGGCTTTAGCCCATCTGGGTGGGGCGATCACTAGGGCTTGAGTGACGACGATCTCTTCGATCTCGTGAGATCTGGGATCTGCGATCGGGAACTCTTCACTCGAGTCGAGCAGAAGGGCACCGGTTTCGGTTTGAAAAATATTCGCCATCCATCATTTGGTCGGGAACACGCACAAAACTTGTGTGTGTGTTTCAGTCATGGCGAGCAGATCTCAACCAACCACATACACATATACCTAAACATATTTGTCGAGCCAATTGGCTGTTAGGGCCACTTTTAGGATCGTCACTTTGTTCATCGACTCCACAGTGCGTCGGCTAGACAGAAGCAAGAGGCAGGAGCCGAGCTTTTTCATTGCCTTAGACAGCTATATTAGTGCATCATTCTATCTCGCGATCGGCCAGTAACAAGCCGAGATCAGCGATCAGTTGTCCGATCCACTGGCAATTATAAAATACTGGATGTACCGGTTTCGTTTGCCCGTAGGGAAAAGTTGCGTTTGAAGTTACCTCATCGATTGTTGGAGGCGTCAGCCAAAATCGCCATGACCTATTTTCCTTTCTTGATCACCGAACATGTCATCGATGGTCAATATATTCGAGAATATCCACGGGCCACTGTGTCCCAGTCTGCTCGCCTGAAACTGGCAATCAAGAAGTACACCCCGATCGACAACACGAACCCCCAACCTGGCGACGTGACAATTGTGGGTGCGCATGGGGGAGGATTTCCCAAAGTATATTTCCACACCGATCCTTTAACGGTGTAATTGAATACTACGACTAGTAGTACTGGTCGCCTTCAAGTTGTGAGTTTGAAGCGTCTAGCTAACTTGGCTGGCAGGAGTTATATGAACCACTGTGGGAAGACCTCCTGGCACAAAGTCACGGGCAAGGGTTTCGAATTGGATCTATCTGGATTGCTGATACGGCGAATCTCGGTGCCAGTGGTATCATAAATGAGAACGACTTGGGTGACGACCGTAAGTCCTGATCGATATACCCGCTATTCTGACTTAAACTAAGCTCATCATTCAAAGCATCATGGCTGGATCACAGTCGTGATCTGCTATGTATGATCAATCATTTTCGCGACGAGATGCCACGACCTATTATTGGAGTGGGACATAGTATGGGGGCCGGGCAGCTGTGAGTTTTGAAAGCTGGTCGGGTCCGAGTCTATGATATTCATACTAATCGGTTAACAGTGCGCTTCTATCGTTGATGCATCCTCGTCTGTTTACATCCTTGATTTTAACGGAACCGGTGATTGTACCAGACACTTATAGTGGACATGGTCCCATGCTTTCATTACTCTCTCTCAAGAGGCGCGATACATGGCCTTCCCGATCTGCAGCTATCGAATCTGCAAAAAAGACACAAACGATGGGACCCACGTGTCCTTGAGCGATGGATACAACATGCATACCGTGATCTCCCTACCGTTCTTTATCCCCGAGGCGACACGGACGATATCTTGTATCTGAACGCGAGCGATCCTCCAGTGACGTTAGCCAGTTCCAAGCATCAAGAAGTCATGCAATATATCCGACCTAACTTCGGAGTGGTCAGGTTATCAGGGCAAAGGAAGCCAGAGAAATCTTCGTCGCATGGTATCCTAGACCAGCCTGACGTGATTGGACCTCCTATCAAAACAACACCCTTCTACCGAAGTGAGCCTGCAATTGCTTGGAAACTCCTTGAGCACATTCGACCCTCGGTCCTGTATATTTTCGGAGAACGGAGCCCAATATCGACAGCATACATTCGTACTGAACTGACACAGAGGACGGGTGCAGGTATCGGAGGCAATGGTGGAATCGATAAGTCGAAGGTGAAGGAATCTCTTATTGCGCGCTCGGGTCATCAAGCTCCCCTGGAGGACGTAAGAGCTACAGCATCGTCGATTGGGGAGTGGATCGGGCCAGCTGTGCGCGAATGGAAAGAACTTGAAGAGCGCATTGCTCAAACATGGGAGAATCAGACTGCGAAGGATAAGTTGAGTGTTTCTGTCGAGTGGCTGCCTTACCTGGAATCCGCCTGTCGATTGCCTGCACTTGAGCCATCGAAGCTCTAATCGTAAATGCTGGCACTTTTCCCGCATGTGAATTTCGAAGCTATCTTAATACAGCTGACCACCGTAAAAATACATCGTATTAGTACCCAAAGCTATATCTAAATGCGGTTCTCTCAAGCGAGCAAAGCCCATGATCAAGTTGCTATACACGTAATTATCCTAGACTCAACAAAGCTATAGATTTAGCCAGGCCCTATTCTCCACACCCAAAGGTCGTATTTCCTTGATAGAACACCATTCTGGGTTTTATTGCAACTATTCACTAATGCTATCTACTCATCCTGTTTGATAGCCTCGCTCTTTCCCACGACCAAAACCGCCAGATCCTCTAAACTTGGACTACTCGAGATATCCAGTGCCGACACGTTTGACTGAAATGCCCTCGATATCCACTGTCTCAATTCCACAGCTAGTAATGAATCCACCCCCTGTAGAGCCAACGACCGCTGCGTATCAATGTCTCCAGCAGGAACATCCAACGCGTAGCCGAGTTTCTGAGTAAGTCCGTTAATAACCACCGATGGAGCATCGCCGGGGTCCGTCTTCATGAAGATGGCGTGCCAGTGTCCTGCACTTGTTGCCACCGCGGCCGTAGGATCCGTCGTTGCAAGGGTGGCGTCAAACTGATCCGCAGGGTCCTGTGGCAGCGCGCGGAAGAGAGCTCGCTCGGTCATCCAAACGGGGACGTCGACGTGTTGTGCGCGCAATTGAGCAGGTGAGACGAGTCCAACGAGGACTTGATCGCTTTCTGCTAACTCATCGGTCTGTGGCGCGTTGGGAGGCTGGCAACACTGCTCCAGAATAGAGTGGAATTCCTTCTCCGAAATATCTTCCATAACTGGGACATTCTCCTGGTGGCGAGAGTATTGCGCGTTTTCGGCAATGACGCCAACTTCGCCCATGCGACCTAAGTCGACGGCGGTGGCACGCTGACCGATCGATCGACGGTACCTAGCGAATGCATCTTGGAAGGTGTTTCCGGCTGCGTAGTTTGCCTGGGAAATGGTCCCTACGACACCGGCGAGCGAGGATAATATGATGAAGAAGTCGAGTCCGGATGGGAGGGCAGTGTGCAAGTTTTCGGTGCTTTGGACCTTGGAGCGGATGGTCGTTTCCCATTGCTTGAAGGTGAGCATTTCGAAGATGGCATCCTGCGAGCCAGGATTAGCGGTATTCTTTTGAGAGTGGGCCAGTTGTGACGATGAAGAGCCATTGGAGGGGATGACGGGTATATTTACCTGCAAAACCATCGTCGCCTGCAAGCAACCCCTTATTGGGGGCATATCCCGACATTGCTCAAGCGTGGTCGACAAGGCATCTGCGTCAGCTACATCACACTTCGGCGCTCGTACTGAAACACCCTGCGAGGCGAGCTTCCCTATCAGCTGCAGAGCGGCATCGGTTCGGGGTCCAGATCTGGACAGCAAGATCAAGTTCTTAGCTCCCATGGAAGCCATCCATTGTGCTGCGCTACGTCCAAGACCACCTAGTCCGCCGGCAATAACGTATGTTGCGTCTGATGGGAAGGTGTATGACGGAACATGGGGAAGAGATACCTGCATATATTAGTTAGTCAGGCTCCGGGGAGAGAAGAGAGTATCCACTTACCGGCACAATGTGCTGTGGCTCAACGTCAATAACTAATTTTCCTGTATGTTTGCCACTTTGCATGAGACGTAGTGCCTCCTCTAGCGAAGACAGAGGGAACTGTTGCAGTGGCCATGGCGCATGCAATGTCCCAACTTGTAGCATGTCCATGACCGGACCAAGAGAAGACTGAATCAGAGATGGTCGGTCGCGACACATATGATCGACTGCGACCAGAAAGAAGGAAACATTCTTCGCAAAATTGACCATGGGGAGTTTCGAGTTGCCATCGACATCCGCTTTTCCGAGTTCCACGAAACGCCCGTACGGCGCGATGCATTCCCAGGACGCAATGAGGCCGTCCCCGGACAGTGAATTCAGTATAACGTCAACGCCTTGGTTATTGGTCATGCGCTGGATATGCCGAGAAAATGTGGTGTCTCGACTGTATAGGATATGATCTTCTGGGATATTGTATTTCTCCTGCAAGAAGCTAGCCTTGTCTGGGGATCCAACGGTAACGAAGACCTCCGCACCAATTGACTGGGCGACCTGGATGGCCATTTGCCCTGTGCCACCGGCTCCCGAGTGAATCAGAATAGTCTCATTCTTTTCCAAACGGGCCAAGTTCACGAGGGAATGGTAGGCAGTCACACCGGGTATCGGTAGCGCTGCTGCAACAGACAGCGATAGACCCTCTGGAACACGACAAGCCTGTCTGTAGTCGCATCTGGCGAGCGTACGCACACATCCCAGAATAGCGGCGCAAACGAAGTCACCGACTTGGACGTCCTTGCACTTGGAACCGACCCGCTTCACAACGCCAGCGCATTCGCATCCTAGGGTATCACCGTCGGATAGCTTGCCGAGCATCACGAACACGTCTCGGAAATTGATGCCGAATGACTTTACCTCGATTTCGATTTCAGTAGAAGACAGACCATGAGTATACTCCGTATCCTCAACGAAGATCATGGAGCTTGCATCGAGAAACCCTGGATTTGTCAATGATAGGGTTAGGGGGACATGCTGTTGGAAAGGGCGCCATTTCGTGGGAGCCTGGGTTTGCTCAAACAAGCGATCGTTGCGAAGGGGTTCTTCCACAGCTCGGCCAACGTGTAGAAGTCCATTTTTCTCGCGGTACTCAATCTCTTCATCCTTGGCACGGCTTGCTTGCCTCTTCAGAATGAGTGTATCGATGTGCCGGAGCACTGCATTCGGGTCATCAATGTGATCTTCCAGTGCCAGGGTAATAAAGGATAAGCGGTCATTTTCAGTGCACAGAACTTTGGCTAGGCCTTCAATCATGTGGGTTCGGGGCGACATGCGATCGGTCTGACTTGAGGCTGTTACCCAGATAACATCCTGCGCTTGGCACAGGAACCCGTGAAGTCGCTTGAATGTCGCCTCGGGCAGTTCGGCAAGGATTGAGCCTTCGATTTCAGGTAAGAACACGACTAAAGGGCTATCTCTGAGATCAACCTGATTGATCGACTCAAGAGGTAGCGACTCTACCGCGACCGTGTGTTTCTCATATCGCGCGCGGATCTCAGCGACTATCTGGGCCTGCAACTTTGACTCGGGATTCACGACACAGACGACCCGTTTTCGTTTTTCTCCAAGAAGCTGCAAGGGGCCTATACCCGATGCAGTGGCAATTAAGACGCTATGCTCTTGACATCGCTTGTTCTTGTAATCGGGAAATGAAAGGTCCAAACCATTGAATCCGTTCGCGCCAAGAATCTCAGCCCATTTCTCTTCTGAGACGCAGGCGCCGTGTTCGCGGTATGCTTCTTTGCCTAGTAACATAGTTATGAGCTGCTGATCTCTAGATGTGAGTAAAAGACCTACCCATCCACCATCCAGGTAACGTGCCGAAAATGAAGCTGTTCCGAAGAATGTCCGGGTTCGTTACTTCAAGGAGTACCAATTTTCCGCCCCTGAAAGAATGTCAATAATGTCCCGATAAGGCAGGAAATAGCAGCTTACGGTTTCAACAGCTGCCTAACGTTTCGCGTCGCAGCTTCAAGATCTGTAGTTGCGTGAAGCACCTGGTTTGATTAGTAACGTATAGCAATCTTAGAGTTACACGGCGAAACATACCCATGCACCAACAATCAAATCATAGCTGCCCAGCTCAAAACCTTGCTCTTCTGGAGAAGCCTCGATATCAAGCGTCTGAAAGTTGATTTTGCTTCCATGGGTTGAAAACCGCTCGCGCGCATTTGCAAACAATGATTCCGAGATGTCAGTGTAATTATAGCGCGCCACGCGACTCCCCTGCTCGGTGGCTAATGCTTCAAGGATATGCCCCGTAACAGACCCCGTTCCTGCTCCTATTTCAAGAACATTGAGACCTGGCTTTTCGTGCGCCAGTGCTTTCAGGTACCTATGGAGATGACCCGGACGAAGCATACGGTCGCAGACGATCTGGTAGTGGTGGGCCGCAAGGTCATCGTGGTATAGCAGATCGAGAGGGTCAACCGTACCGCTAATAACACCTTGTATGTTTTGAGCAGCGAGAACGGGGAGATTGCCTTCGGACGATAAAAATTTGATGTCGTTGCCGAATTGCTCAGCCAAGCCCACGTCGTTAGGCGATTCGACGAGTGGGTGTTGAATCGCGGTTGAAGCAACGCCGAGATCGTATCGCTTCAACTGCCACTTGAGCCAGGCAACATATTTCTGCAAATGCGATGGCATACTCAATACAAATTTCTCGTCCAACTTCTGGATTACGTGACGAACAGATGCCAGCAGAAGAACTTCGAGTTGGTCAAAAAAGGCCACCGGTTCCTCCACCTCGCTGGGTACGTCGCACCACGCGCGAAGCTGCTCCTTCGTCATCATACTCAATGAAGGCTGCCACTCAACGGTCCCACAGAGCTGTTTTGCCTGTTTCTCGGTCGGGTTGGCATTATTCGCGGACATCGAAGTGGTCTCCATACTTGTAATCCACACCTTGACATCCCCGCTTTCATCCAAAGCGACCACGTGGGTGTCAGTGCCACGGAGACCCTTAAACTTCGAGCGAGCATATGCCTTCAGCGTCGATGTCGATGGACTCGACGCGCCTGACGCCGCAATCCACGCCTTACGCACTCGGGTCGAGGCCAGCCCTGTCGTGACCATCTTCTCGCCGCCGTTCGTGAGAGCCACCAGACCGAGCTGGCCCAATCCGTCCAGCGTGGCCGGATGCACGACATGCTCCTCTCGCGTCTGCTGAGACTGTTCTTTATTCCATTCAAACACCTTGATTTCACCCGCTGCATCGGTCTTACCGTCCCAGGACAGGTTCTGCATAACCTGGAATGCAGGCCCGTAGTGCAGGCCATTGTCTCGAAGAGTCTGGTACATCCTATCTGTTGGGACTGGTAGCTGGCTCCGTGCTTTCGTGTCGTTCAACCGTTCCATATGGTATTGGGAGTCCAGTTTCGCTTGTCTCCTTGCAATATCCCATTCCCCTTCTGGGTTTGAACTCGCATACTGCACCGACATCACCCCCCGACACGCCTCCGTCCACTGCTCCCCGACAGGGACGTAGATCCGAAACTCGAATGAATGCGACGATTTGTCCTGACTCTGTCGGACAGCGCGCATATACACATCCGCCTGCGTACGGCCCACCGCGTCGATCACGATCGGGTGCGTGAACGTCGCATCGTGCAGATAATAGCCCGATTTCTCGCGCGCAGGATCTGCCAGCCGCGCGGCGCCTTCGATGGCCATGGCGATCATTCCGGTCGCAGGATAAATCGGCTTGCCGTTGACAGCATGATCCAGAACCCAGGGCATCTGAGCAGGGTCGAAGAAGGTGCGCCAGCGGGTTTCTCCCGGATGAGATTCCGGGGTGGGTGCTCCGAGAAGTTCCGTTCGCTTGTGTGAGCGGAGGCGCACGTTCCTTGTCTCTGGTGTTTCGTACCAGTAGCGACGGCTGTGGTTGAAGGGGTAGGCGGGGAGGTTGATGAAGAGTTTGGTGTGTTCTTGCTTCAAGGTGACTTGAGACGTTTGATTCACGTCCGTTATCGGGATGGAGTGTCCGACTGAATGCAGAGTACCCATGGCGATTTGGAAAGCTGAGAGTGAGCTCATGCGACGGTCTAGTGTGCTGGCATATCGAACGGTAGTATTATTATTGCCGGTCGGGGCACGCAAGATTTCGCGGAACGGGCGTTGCAGGGCGCCGTGGGGACCAACTTCTAGCCATTCGGTGACACCCTGCTTTCCAGGGGCCCCGAGCTTTCGAGCCCTGGGGTTCTGCGGTTGCGATAGGCCGCCCGCGATCGCGCCGCTGAAGTTCACGGGCTCCACCATGTTCCGCACCCAGTACGCCGGGGTGGATAGGATGTTGAGGTCGGCGATGGCCAATCCTGTAACTGATGATATGAAGGTTGTCTTCCGGGATGGCGATCCAGCCTGCAGACCCTTCAGGGCCTCCTCGTAGGCGTCGGCAATGACGCGCATCTGCGGCGTGTGGTAGGCGACGCCGGTTCGCAGCCGCCGATATCGAATGTTGTTAGCATCTAACAGCAACTGGAGTTGAGTCAATAGATCGCTATGACCAGAGATGGTCACACTATCCGGGCTGTTGATACAAGCGACGTATATCCCTCCAGTCGTTGCTCGAGACATCACGTCGTCAAGATAGGGCTGGGCAGCGTCACGGGACAGCGGGAGGGCCATCATGCCGCCGGTGTCATTCTCGCGTCGCAGACGACTGGCGTATACGCCGCGGAAGTAGGATACCTTGCAGGCGGAGACTAAAGATAGTGCACCGGCCGCATAGCTGCTGCGGTTAGTATTTATCTGTCAACACTCAAGGGCAAACTCACGCAGCTGCAATTTCACCGGATGAATGTCCCACCACCTTGGTCGGACACAGTCCGAGCGCTGACAGCAGATTGACCAGCGAGATCTGCAACGCCGTTGTCAAGGGCTGTGCATATTCGGGGTCGTTGATATCGAATGTGTTGGTCTCGGATTGACCCAGGAGATCTGTGCGATTTTAGCAACGGCTACTTGTCGGATGCTCTTGCTGTCTTCATACCGCTTGCAGACCACGTACACCCAAATGACTTGAATGCCTCGCCACAGAGATCTAAACTGCGCCGAAACTCTGGATAGAAGATGAGTTCCCTTCCCATTCCGTAAAACTGCGCCCCTTGACCGGTGAAAATATAGCCAAGCGTCGGTGTTGTCACAGCTTGAACCGGTTTCGAGATAATAGTCTTCAGGCTTTTCAACGCCTTCATTTCATCAGCCACGGCGAATGCTGTCCAGGAGAGTCGACTCCGCTTCGTTGCCAGAGTATCGGCCAAACGTCCCAAGGTAGCAGTTTGATCTTCAGCATTGATGGCTACAGTCTCGAAGAATTTACCGTATGACTCAGCCATGCGCTCAATTCCAGCTTCGTCATCTGCTGAGAAGACGAGGAGTTGTGACTGAGGAGCTGGTTCTTTTGCTCCATTCCCAGCCGTGTAGCAGCTGACGTGGCTGTTAGTGTGACCAGTTACCAAACCATTCGACTTTGGCTTGCACCGTGTGTGTTGCTCATCACGGCAGTGGCTACCATTGATTTCCGGTTGACCGTTGGAAAGATGTTCAACATGTACACCTGAACCTAATCTTGGAGGCTCGTCAACAGAGCAGTGCGCGGCATGCAAGCCATGGTCATTTAGAAAGTGATACGCATCATCCAGTACGACATGTGCATTGGATCCTCCAAATCCAAAAGAATTAACGGAGGCACGTCGCAACCCGCGAGCTGGCCAAGGAATTGACTCAGTTGGGATCTAGAAAAATTTAGCAACCGTTTGTTTCCTATCTACGAGCGACAGATATACCTTGATGTTTAAAAACTCCGCATCGATCCGTGGGTTCAAGCGCTCAAAGTTGCTTGAGTTTGGCGGAATGATTCCTTTCTCTAGAACCAGGACAGTTTTGATTATGCCTGCAATGCCACTGCCCCCTTCTAGATGGCCAATGTTAGATTTCACGGCCCCACTGACCTAGTTAGCACTATCCTTGATCAAGCAGCGGTGGAACCTACATGTACAGAGGGTCGTCTGCCGAGCGAGAGGTGCGGAAAATGCTGCCAATAGCGTCCGCTTCGATGGGATCACCGACTGCGGTCCCAGTTCCTGGTCCATATGAGGTCAACTAGTTCAACACATTTCGTACCAGAGGGACATACCGTGAGCCTCGAAGAATCTCGTCGGGGCAAAGTCTAGACCTGCTTTCGCGTAGCACTCACGGATCAAACGAGCCTGGAGTGCGCGACTAGGCTGTGTTAGACCCGGCGTGTATCCGTCCTGATTAGACCCAGTCGAGCGAATCACCGCCCGGATGACATTTCCATCATTAATTGCGTCGGCGAGACGCTTGATGACGATCACGCCACAGCCCTCACCACGACCGTACCCATTCGCGCGCTCATCAAAACTGTAGCATCTTCCATCCGGAGAGACGAAGCTCATGTTCATCAAAGAGACCACGGCCTCGACGCCAACGATGAGGTTAGCACCTGCTATTAGCGCCTGTGGTTTAGATTAGCCATTGTGTGAGGGCGTACCGGAGCTTAGAGTCAGCCCACCATGTTCGAATCCCCATTCCGCAACCCTTGGCAGGCCATATCAAGTGCCATCAAGCTGCTTGAGCAGGCCGAGTCGAGGTTAACACAGGGTCCAGTCAAATTGAAGAACCAGCTCAGTCGGTTGGCCAGCATACTCATAGTTGACCCAACCGCTGCGTATTTTGGGATACTTTCTGCGTCGTGACAGACCAGGTGTCGGTAGTCGTCTGTCATGCAGCCGCTGTACACGGCCGTCTTACTGCCGCTGGCTGATTCCATTGGAATTCCCGCTATTTGAAGGTTATTACGATGCTTTTTCATCTTGTGCCTATGCTAGGTATATCAAACATGAATAATGAAGAGACTTACCGTTTTCTAGCGCGCGATATGATGTCTCCAATACGAGACGATGTTGAGGATCCATGGCGGTGGCTTCGGTACCTCCAATCCCAAAGAACGAGGCATCGAATAGCGCTGGGTCTTCCTTCATGAAATGTGCCCCTTTCACAAAGCCCTGCGATCAATCAGCACCAGGTGCTCGGATAGCCAAGAAGAGGCTGACCTTGGAATCGCGATGCGCGAATGCCTCAAGATTCATTCGGTCATCTGGAAATGCAGTCATTGCGCAGCGACGCTCTTGAATCATTTTCCAGTACGACTCCGGAGAGTCTGCATCTCCAGGGAGTTTGCATGACAGGCCGACGATGGCAATGGGTTCAAGGGCATCTGCTTTCATGATGGATAATCGGTGTTGTGGTTTCTGCTGCGATAGAAATCCCCGTAGACCAGACCAACTCGATGCTATATATATACTGTGGATGTTTGGTTTCCCCAAAAAAGGACTAGGTCATCATTCTTACAAAATACTATCTCACCAACTCCATACCCATACCCCTAGATACCTGGAAATCGCCCGTTCGGAGAACGAACCGCATTGTGCAATCGAGACCGACAAGGCTCACTGGGCTCTTCATCACGAGTGTACCTATCTACGACGCTCAATTTGCCTGTCTCCCGACAAAAAAGACCCATTGAACTTGGCGTATGCACACGCACTCGGATCACCAACAGCGCCAGCAATGTCCAACCAACTAAGAATCTCCACTCCCTGCTAAGCAATCCCTGAACCGCCCCCAAGTCTAACCGCCTGCAGCCAGAATCACACATTAAAGCATGCACGTCCTCGCTATCACACACTACTTGCTCCGTACCATACCCCGATCCCGGAACAATCACCATCGATCATCCGGCGGATAATCCTCGTCCAGCGACCGCGTTACTTCCTCCGGCCCGCAATCTCTTAGTTGCATGTAACCCCCTTCGCTCCCCTCCCAACAAGCATTTATTCTCTGGGCTGTACTCATTTGTTACACAAGGCTGCGCGGTGTGAGGTGAATCTCTACGATCTACATTTACCACTTACGTCTTTATCCATCCTTCATGCGTTTTCTATGTCTTCACGGGATGGGGGAGAATGGCCGGGTGAGTAACTACCCCCCGTCGTCTGACTCCGCCCCCTCATATGCAGCAAGGGGTGTATGTCTGGGTTTCAAAGCCACACACATGCTAACAGCAAAGGGGGTATACGTAGGTGTTTGAAGCCCAGACAGGTGCGTGTTCCGAGCCAATGAAATGTTTTTGCGTGGGCATTGCCTAACTGCCCCTCGACAAAGTCGGGTGGAGAGTCCACAGGCAGACAAATATAATCCATGAAAAGCTGACACATGCTTTCTTTATCAAACAGCGGCTATCCGGCATCACTTAGGTCCCCTGCACAGCTATGAGTGGGTGGAAGGGACGGTCGCGACCGCTATGGCTCCAGGTAGGTTGTGTTGTTGTTACCAACCAGAATTCACGACGCCTTGCCTTGCAGCACGTTACATTTCGTTTGCCATTGTTTCTATTTTAATTGAGCCTCGTCACACCTATCCTATCGTATTTTTGCACGCGCCGTTGGTTACACATGAATTAACCCCCCTCGACAGGTCTCGAAGCGCTGGCCACCCCTGAGGACGAATTCCTCATGTACGTAGACGACAGCCTAGAGAGCCGAGTTCGCGCCCTCTCCGACATGAAAGAGTACATCACCGATGAGGGGCCGTTCGACGCGCTCTTGGCATTCTCGCAAGGCGCCAGCTGCGGCGCAAGTCTATTATTGCATTTGGAGCGCGAATACCGCAAGCGAGGTGGCCCCGCGTCGCCATTCAAATGCGCCGTGTTTTTCTGCGGAGGACCGCCAGAAGACCCCCGGGACTTGGAACTCGGGGTGGCCCGTATCATGGATGCTAGGGTGGATGGAGAGGTGCTGGACCTACCAACAGGGCATGTTTGGGGGCGGAATGATGATAGGTATGGCTATGGGCCGGGGCTGAGTGCGCTGTGCTGCGGGGATAAGCGCGAGGTGTTTGTGCATGAGGGCGGGCATGAGATTCCTGGGGTTAGGGATCCAGAGGGGGTCTTGAAAGCTGTTCAGGTGGTTAAGAGGACTTTAGCAAGGGCGGAGGTGGACTCTTGAGGGGTTTGAATTTGTGTTTACGTTATGCTCAACGGCGTTGACAAAAGAATGAACCGGACCAATGTAATATGAAAAAGTGAAAATGGAGAGATACGATGACCTAGCACCGACGTAGCTTAAGTAACCCCTTTTGTAGCAATCGCATCTTTCCTTGAACTCGCTTGACTGGACATCGCTACCAATGGGTACTGGTCCGATTCGCTGCCCTTCCCTGTCGGCATAACGACTGTGCCATCTCCTTGGCCCTTAGCAGTATTTCGAGAACTTTCGCGTGATCGCTGTCGGCTGCCACCCGTGACTGTCGACAACAATTCCTGGACTGACGCACCAAGACGTGATAGCCGGTTGTTCGGGTCGACGCTACGCACGAACCGAGGAATCACCGGCAGACAGGCGACAATAATCCCGGAAGCCAGCTCGGGCAATGTCCAGACACCTGCAAGGTAGCTGTAATACGATTTATTATCCGTCTGATAAAGATGAACCGTGTAGGCGAGGCGGACGACGGAGGAGACGCAGGCACTAAGACAACGTTCGTCAGTATATAAGCCCGCTCAGACAGTGGGCTAGAATGGCACGTACAAGATTCCAACGAAGAAAACCGCCGAAACGGCAATCTTCTTATGTAGTGGCATATGGAGGCCCCAGATGCGCAACTGCGGAAGAACTAAAATGACCACGTCTGATGCAGCATTGATTGAACTGGCGGCAATATTCAACTTCGTGGTATCCAGACAAGTGCCTTCTGTGATCAGAATGTTCCAGACTTTATCCATCGGTCGACATGAGAATATTTCTAGAAAGAAGCTGATTGTATAGAAAACGAAGTTGATCCAGATGAGAGCGTGGCAACTCCAGAAGAAGTAGTTGTTGCTCTTTAGGGGCACGAACACTTCTAATATCTGCAGGAGAATGGCCAATTTGATGAAAAAGATGCAGCAGCCGTACATAATAGAGGCGACGTGAAAGTACTGTTCACGGGTTAGATGGGCTGGCGCAGGATGGATGTCCAGCAGATAAGTGAGGTCATACAAATAATAGCGAGATGAAGTTCTTCAGACTGATATTCCATTGATCAACTCCGGGGCCGACCTTTGATAATAGCCATGCCGGCGCGAAATAACCCATAAAAATACCCTTAAGTTGGTTAGCATAGACACGATGTATCTGATTATCTTAACTTCTCATACCCATGCTAGAATAATCGAGTCTGAACATTGTTAGCGTGCGTCTAGAGTGTAGGAACTTGTGCACTCACAATCTGACAACTTAACCTTCCGGATCACAAACAGCTTTGTGTACATACGCAGCAAGAACAGAGTCGACGCAGAAATCCAGAAGAACAAAAGTACGGCACGACCAGCGGTCTCCAAGTTGGGTGGGTCTTTCAGGTTCGACTGCTGGCCAGGCGGGGGAGAGCCAGCCGGCATCTCGAGAAGTTCTTCCGGAGACATGTTGGATCCCATATCTGCAAGTGATTAGGAGATCATTGAGGAAACTATCATGAGCCCGGATTCATGCGGACGATATAATCATGCGAAGTCGACACTCGCTGAAGACGTAAACCATCTCGTCCGCCAACCTGGGGGCCAGAAATGTATAACAGTCCGACTGTGCGTGTTACATGCATCTAAGATTTTAATTACATCAGGTTACTCAATTATTTTCCATTGGAGTCGCCTGGTTCAGTTGGACTTCCCCGGTTTACTCCTTGTAGTAGAGATCGACGCCACCCGTCTTTGATCCCTGGATTCTCATGCAGGCCAGATCACGGTGGAGCAGCCACCAAATTCTCACCACGGGGCCAATTTAGGGCAAAGCCGCTCGCCTTTGTTGCTCCTTCAGGATCGTCTGAGCGAGGAAGATAGATATCGGGGTCGTATCCATCGCAATATTTGAAACGTTCTGTTGAACTTCACCCCTCTAGAAAAATAAGCAAAACACGAACCCCTTGCTAACATACAGGATGGGCAACAGCAAAGACGCCGCCAGTGTCGAGCACGGGACAAAGACCGAGCCGGTTGAGGTGGCTGTCGACGTTGAATCGTCACAGACGGATCCAGATCCTCCAGGCCAGTACCTGACGGGCCTTCGACTGCATCTCGTTACAGCGGCGTGAGCTTGTCCTCTGGGTGTTCTCTTTGCTTGACCTGCTAACTGGCTAGGCTGTGCATGTGTCTTTTCCTCACCAATCTGGAGATTCCCATTGTGGTAACTTCTATCGTGAGCATCACGAGTGATATTGGGGGACAAGGCAAGGTGTACTGGATCATAGCCTCATACATGATCGGCTACGTTGGTGAGTTATCTTGGCTAATCCCGACACGGAAAATGCACCGGAGAACTGACGCAAGGGGGTCGAAGGGGTGTTGGTGATTTCTGCGAAATTTAGCGATATCTTTGGTCGCAAATCATGTCTCTTGGCTGCAGTGTTGATCTTTATCGTGTTCTCCGGGGCGTGCGGCGGCTCCCAGACCATCGAACAATTGTACGTCAATTTCACACCCCACCAGGAGGGGTTGGTGGACATGGTCCAGCTCAGGCTGACATGCATCCAGGATCGTCTTCCGAGCATTCCAAGGTGTTGGAGGGGCAGGAAATTATTCCCTTTGCGCGGCCGTCGTTCTGGAACTCGTGCCTCCGGAGAGATATGCATCGTATACTAGCGGCATGTCGGTGGTCTATGCCATCTCGCTACTGCTGGGACCCATCTTCGGAGGTGCCATCTCGGAATCTGCCTGGCGATGGGTCTTTCTTCTGAAGTAAGTTCGAATTTCTCCACCTTGTCTAAGCTTTACCTTAGCTAAACGCACGGCTAAGTGTTCCGCCTGCCGCTCTGGCCGGTCTTGTGCTAATACTAGCCTTGCCCAACCGCTTCCCTCGACACAACCAGCCAAAGAATGCGAGTCGCTTCTCACTCCACCAATCCTTAACCGATGCGTTCCGGAAGGTCGACCTTCTGGGGTCCTGCTTACTGCTGATCGCGACCGTATGCCTCGTTGCGCCCTTGGAAGAAGCGAACCGTGAATTCGCCTGGAGGTCAGCTTTCACCATCGTTATGTTGGTAATCTCCGGTCTAGCATGGATCGTCTTCCTCCTTTGGGAGCGACGAGTGACCCTATCATCGGGGCCTACAGAGCCCGTGTTTCCTTGGCGCTTTGTGCAGAATCGTGTGTGGATGGGAATGCTACTGTAAGATCAAATTTCCCGACCTCCCTTCTATCGATGTATGCTGACAAGAAGTAGGAACTCCATTTGTCTCGGAGGAACCTGGTTCGTAGCCATTTTCCAACTGCCGCAACGGTTCCAATTTGTCAACGGCCTGTCGCCTCTGCAGGCGGGCATCCGCCTCATTCCCTTCACCGTGGCCGCGCCCGTAGGGTCAGTTCTGGCGCCCGTCCTAGCAAAGATCTTCAAGCTACCACTGGTGTACTTGGTTCTCGTGGCCTCGCTGATCCAGGTTGTTGCTTATGCATTGTTGGGGACTCTTTCAGAGTCCATACACATGGCCGCTGCACAGTACGGATATCAGGTCCTCGCCGGGTTTGGGTGCGGCATCAACATCACACTATTGATTTTGATGACGCCGTTCACTGTCGAGCAGCAAGATAAAGGTACGTCTTCTCCTTGGTCACGCGGATACAGAATGCTGACCTGCTTACCAGCCGTGGCAATGGGTGCTGTTGCCCAATTCCGCGTCATGGGAGGCGCTATCTGTCTTGCTATTGTCACCGCCGCGTCGCAGGGGTATCTACAGTCGCACCTCGCGCATTTACTAGACTCCCAGCAGGTACATGAAATACTGAACTCAACAGATGCATTGGGTGAATTCTCAGAAGCCACGCAGGAGGCAATTCGCGTGACCTATTCAGGCAGCTACAATCTCCAAATGAAGATTTTGATCGCCTTTGCTGGTGGCCAGGTTTTGTCTACGGCATTGATGTGGAAGAGAAAGCAGCTGACAGTTTAATTTGCTAGACGACGTGTTTTTAGATTGTTATTGGTTTCGTGGAAAGCTGTGACGTACTATCTATAGTACCTTTTTCTATGTGATCAGTTAGTAAGGTGAGCACTTGCTGCCTACCCATATTATCGTATGATGTAGATCGATACAAAACTAGTAAAAGCACAAAATACAAGACACGGCTATAGTGAATCCCTTATCATCACTCACTATCACCATTCTGCATACGCACCGCCCCGGTTTTCTCCCGATCGGCTGGAGATAATCACTCCGAAGCCCACTTGGTGCGGCAGAGGCCTGAAGCTAAGCATGCAAGGGTGGTTTTGCTTTTGCTTTCTTTGTTCTTTAACCTCTCAGCCTTGTTGATGGCTACCTTGGCTGACTAGGATTAAGCATTGGTTCGGCCAAACACGTAGAGCCATGTCTTCCCTGTCTCGTTGGCTGAGGTGAGGGGGTTTGGTTGCTGTTCTCCTTTTCGATGCATTCTCTTGACATTTTCCATGTACTGTACATATTCCACATCACCGTCCGGTTGACCGCGGCCAAGACATATCGGTCGTAAGAGCAGGAGCAAGTCAAGTATAAGTGCGCTGCTCCCATGTCCGCCATTAATCGCGTCTCCCAGCTGTCCTCTCACCTTAAACTCGTCGATATGGCTTCTCCTATCTCTTCTTTGAACGGCGGCTTTGCTCTCGTCACTGGTGTATGTAAATCCTACCCTCTGCGGGCCTATCAATTTCCATTTATCCCTTGTTTCCACTTCCCCTCCCCCGCTTTCTCAAGTCAAGCACCCACGGCATAACTTACCCTCATTTTTTATCACAGGCTGCCTCTGGCATCGGCCAGGAGACAGTGTTCTCGCTGGCGCAAGCCGGTGTGGAGGGCATCCTCCTCGCAGACCTCGATCTAGCAAAGGCCGAATCGACCATCTCGGAAAGTAAGAAATTCGCGACACACTCGAACTTTCGTGCGATCGCCGTGCAAACCGACGTCACGGACGAAAAGAGCATCGATAATGCCGTTGAGACGGCGAAAAAAGAATTCGGCCGCATTGATCACTGCGTGCATTCTGCTGGCGTGCGATTTCCTTCTCCCCCACTCCGTCCACTTAGGTTCTTTTCGAACAAGTCCCTGACAAACATACACGAATTCACAGATGGGAAACCTCTCCGGCGCGGTCACCGAACATTTGAACATTGAGATGTACGATAAAACCATGGCCGTCAACGCCCGCAGCACGATGCTGGTCCTGCGCGCCGTCTCCGCAGTCATGGCCGCCCAGGAACCTCTTGAATATACGAGTCCTCGACACGGAACAAAGAGAAGCCTAGGACGGGGGTCGATTGTCATAGTCTGCTCTGTCAATGGGCTGGTCGCGGCACCTGGTATGCTGAATTACTCGGCGTCGAAGTGGGCGGTTATTGGTATCGCGAAAACAGCTGGTAAGCCCTTTGCTTTTCTCAACCCCCTTTGAAAATAGTTTTCAAGTAGGAAAGAGAGAGGTAACCTGTATAAACTAACGAGTTCAATAACAGCGGTTGACAACATCAAGAACCACATCCGGGTTAACATCGTCTGCCCGGCGTGGACGCAAACGCCTATGATGGAACGGAGTCTGGAGCGGGTTCCCCAGTTAGGGCCGATTATCCAGGCTGTCAGTCCATTGAAGAGAGGCGCTTTTCCAGAAGAAGTCGCCGACTCGATCCTCTTCTTGTGTAGCCCAGCTTCAAGCTATATCAATGGGTCGGTGGTGAACATTGATGCGGGTTTGACATTGACGGTTCAGAGAGGGCCAGCATGACCTTGTAGGACTATTCATAGTTGAAGCATGTTGAATAAGAGAATTTAGAATGAGAACATTCTGTACAAGGTGACCTTTCTGCTTATTCGATGGGAAAGAGTGATTGACCCAGAACATGTATCTGACTTCATAAGCCTTGCCAGATTATTTACAAGTAACATTTCACACAAGTAGATTGAAGAACGAAATACCGAAAAGGCCAAAGGAATTGAAAGAGGACCGGAGGCGAAATGCAAAATCCCGAAGGCGTTACCACGATTAAATCAAGGACTTCAGCTTGTTTACGCCTACACGCCGCTTAGTCCGTCCAAAGCCCGGTAACTTCAAGCGAAGCCATGAGAGCTTCAGCACTTCTACCTCCACCACGCACTTAAGCTAACTTCTCGCTCTTGAAAGCACGCCTCAAGGCATTCTTCTTCAACACCGAACTCAGATCAACAAAGCTCAACAAGAAAACAGCAGGATACAGCCGCGGGACACTGTACCCTAGGTGAGGGATGGATATTGAGGTCGAAGTTGAGATCCATATGCTCGAAGCTTTGAAATCCCCGAAGTTAATGTGTAGTTTCGAAATAGTCTTTCGGTCTTGATAATCGGATTTCCGCCTGAAGCCGAACATGTTCATCTCCGGACCGTACCCGGACAAATAGAGTTGCGCAAATTTTCGTTATTGATCAAGAACGTCAGAACGTGGACAGAGTCAGACCGACTCTCAACTAAAGGCCATTAATCATGTAGTTTTATCAAAACAGCGTATCTCCATTAGCCGTCGGAGCGTCACTTATATTCTCACTCCCCACAGCGTTCGGCCCAGAGGCATTAGTAGTGCTATTGAACCGAGCCGCACGACCTGTATACTCAGTCACAATCTTATCTGCCAGATCATCGTCCGGACCATCGCCCGCTTCAGGCTCCTCGGTCTCGAACATCTCGTAGACCTGGCCAGACTTTGGCTCTTGTGCGCGTTTCCAATGATTACGAGTGAACCTTCTTCGACTGACAGACCGGGGAGAGACACTCCGAGGACGGCGCTGGCGGCCTCGGGGTGAGTGTGACTGCTTATCCTGGGATGACCGTCTGTTCTTCTTTGCTTGGGCTGCAGCGAACGCTCCGAGCATAGCGGCCAGTTGGTGCATTGTGCGCCTTCTCCGAGCCCGGCGTGAGGAGGCGGAGGATTGAGAGTCTGATCGATGCGACGACGTTTCAGCATCCGGTCTCATACAGCGTTTGAAAACGGCAAGAACACTCGTTGGCTCGCTGGGACCCTCGGGTCGGGCTGTTTTGCGGCGGAGCTTTTCGGCGAGACGCTTGCGCCGGCTAGTGTTTCCTTCGGTTGCACCGTACGATGGATCCAAAATCAACAGTTCCCAGTGAAAGGAACGGAATGACGTCGGACGAAGCCATCTTGTTATCATATTCTGATATGGCATTGGGAGAGTAGAAAGCGTGTTGTAGGCCTCCAGGTTTAGCGATCCCGACCGGTTGGATTTCCGTTCTTCCCGTAGCAAGCGTTTGGTTAAGAGTTCATGCGGATAGTTCACGGGCTCGACAGTGTATCCCAGGGATCTTTTGGAAATGAGAAGGGACCAGGTAAATGCAGTACCATTTGGTGATTCGGGGTCTCTCAAGATTAGAGGAAGGGTATTCTTTGGTTTTGGAGGAGCCGCCGTGACGACTTTATTCAAAACGCTGCTGATGATTAGCTTATAATTCAGGTCTCAACAGCAACCGCTTGACCCGATCGGCACAACTAACCTCTTGAGTGCCGCTGGATTAGACTTATACGAATCCCATAGATGGTTCAGGTTTTGCCTCGTCCCGGTGGCATCATCGCCGGGGCCTAGCACAAACCCCAGCGCGTAGTCGAGAATCTGTCGTCCCTTGGATTTCCACTCGCTCACGTATTCCGGATCGGGCGCAAATGGAAGCCCGATGGGTTCCGATGGCGAGCGATGTGTATGACGGTCGATATAGACGTCCTGCAAGACAGAATGTTTCCGGCGAGGCATCCGTTCGCGCAAAGGTTCCGGTGTTCGTTGACGGCGAGGATAGCCTCTCGGGGAACTATCTTCAGAGAGGCTGGATGTCGACAAATCTCTGCCTTGGCCATGCGGTTGCTCGACCTTCTCTGATTCTGGCTCTGGAATTCCCCTTTCTCTCGCTCTGACATCGTCTCTCTGCCTTGGCATTTGAGGGTACGTTCGATAATAGTCGTCGTTGGGGGTCTCGAGCTGCCGCCGGAAAACGATTAACTGACGACGGGCGATTGTGCGCGATTTCCAGAGCGCGACGATTCGTTCGGCTATCGCTTTGCGTTCCTCGGCCTTTTGACTGAGAACGTCCATCATCAGAATCATATAGGCATGTAAACCAAAGCAGGCGTAATACTCACGTCGCATTGACTCGATATGTATTCACTGCCAGCAAGATGTCGAGCTTTAATTTCTGCAACTCCTGCTTGAGACACTGAAGCTGCGGCTTCAGAAGGGGCCAATAAAGGCGATTGAAGTTCGACATGTCAATATCCGTCCGCGAGATGAGCGATTTTGTATCGTTCGATTTGGCTTCATCGGCACCGTTCAGCACCGGCATCCCCGGAGTGGTACCTCCGGATCGACGAAGCAGATCGGAAAGTCTTGTGATCACATCGTTACAGTCAGTGAGACACTTCTCTGCAAGGTAACGCCCCTGCCGGCTCCATCGCGCGGTCAGTTCATCTTCCTGGATGAGTTTGTCGAGTTCCTGCGCGTGTAAGACGGTCGCTTCGATCTCGTTGGCGAGGTTCGCGACGTCAGCGCGACCATGGCGCACGTCGGCGATGTAAGTGTTCAGAGTAGTCGCAATGCTCAAGCCAAGCTGGACGAAAGCGATTGCAGCGCTTGCTCCCTCCATCACAGTTGCGGTGTGGAAAGCAGTGGGCGAGGGAATCCAAAAACTCCTGCAGAATCATCGCGGAGGCAGTCTGAAATATAGGGACACCACGGGTAGCACAGAGTTTCAGCCTCATATGGAGGGGCAATTCCGTCAGGAGGCTGTGCTAGCGTCGAGCACACAAGGCTCTCCAGGCTTAAGAGGTGGATCATCACTGAAGAAGAGCGAGAGAAGCTGCTAAGCTGCAAATGTCACGGTCCCTCGTGGGGGGGCGCTAAGGCCGCCAGGTGTCGATTAGGCCAATCGTAAGGCATTACTGGTCGCTTCGACGGGAAATCGTGACATCTGATTGACTCCGTCGTATTCTTGGAGGATTCTGGCTGTTGATTAACTGTTACTGTGTGCTCCGCCTCGTTTAACTTCAAGATAGCTGACAGTCTCTATCGCATGTTTCCCTGTGGGTTGTAGAGTTCTCAACCTCCTTTCTCCATGCTCGTTGTGAATTTATATATCTCGATATGGGTGATAATAACCGCCTTGAATGAGGCCAAAAATGGCTTCGCTCTACATAGAAAAATCGAAGCGATCATCCATAAACCAATAGTTTATCATTCGAGTGAGGAAGAGGGGCAGATGAGGTGCAGGTATTTCGATCATCGTGCCAAACGGGTTGCTGCATATGGATGCCTGAACAGCCTCAGACATGAACCCGAGCGTTTCACGTATGTCGCGTACTCAAAATCGCATATTCAAGTCTCAATTGAAACAGAATATTTGATCTAGCAATAGCAGAATATCTTGGCCTGTCGATCATGGTTAATAAAGGTCTAATCGGACGCAGCTGCCATCCTTATTCCACCAGAAACCAATCAGAGAAGCTCATCTTCCTGAATGTCGAATGAGTCACACAGACCCACCTGGGCTTCTTGGTCAATCAATAATAGTCCAGAGAACACGTTGATGCGTTGAGGGAGACAAGGAGTTGAAGATATTCACTTGGGGGTTGGAGATGCCGAGGTGGGTGCCTGAGGTGGCAGCCTGGCGTTACGGCCTGAGGCCAGAACTATGTTCACGGCCTGATGTGTCAGGCATTAACTGTAAGGCCAACATGCTTTCTTAAGGCATCCTGTAAAGCCATCATATCTTGCTACTGTTAGCTGCTAACCGCATATTATGTTGACTATTGATTACCCCAAACAGACCAGCCCGGAATTCATATTAGAATGTCCCATTAAATTCCGGATCCTCTCGTTTCGTCTCCTGCAGTATCCAATTCTACAGCTTTCCAGCCAGCTCTTCATACCCCTTGTCTCCCAGGTACGGCATTCCACTGCATAGCCAAAATGCCAGTGTCGCGACAAGGAACTAGAAAATGGCAAGTATCAACGGGCGATCCTCACTATCCTCCAAATACTTGCCATGCGTCTTCGCTCTAGAGACCGGCGTAGCATAGACTGCAGTCCTACCAGCATCCTGAACGCTTCTTGCCAGAAGCCTTCGCAAAATTGAAAGGACTGGCTTAATCCACAAAGGCAAGGTCTTATCAAAGCTCGTGGCCACGAACCCGGGGCAAAAGTTATTGATGACGACTTCGGAGCTGGGAACCAGTGCAGCTAGATGGCGGACAAAGATGTTGATGACGAGTTTGCTGACCACGTACCGGTGCATGCTACTGTATTTATTGTGGTTATTGAAGTACGCCAACCCAGAATCAGAAGGTCCGATGGGATATCTTGTCAGCGAATGGTGAACCTGGTTGTGGGAGCCAAGGAATGTCACTCGTGAAGGGGTCCATCGTTTGACTGCCGTGGCTTGAAGTAGGGGAAGGAGCTCGAGAACGACGAGCAAATGCGTATAGTAGTTTCCTGTGTGCGGTAAGCTGTTAGCTAGCTATATGAAACCTATTTTGGCATCAACTGATCACCTTGCATTACCCGCTCGTTCCCGGACTTGCTAATTTGATAATCCACTAAATTGGCTCATCAATTGCACACCACAATGTCCTGCTGAGGTAGTTTCTCCCTCACCACCCGAGCCAAACGGAGTCCAGACTGGTAGTCATTTAGATCTAATGGGATGGTCTCAAGGGTCGCTGATGGATTGCTCTCGATCACCCCCTGATCTTCACGTAGCGCGGCAACAACTTCCTCCTCTCAAGAAAGTGAACAGGAATTTGTATATGGAACAGTTTCATTATTTCATTCACGTGGTCTACCCGGTCATGGTTGAAATACTAAAGCTCCAGCGAACTTCGTAGAAACTTTCCAGCACCTTTCGAGCCCAAACAGCTGTGATGCTGAGGATTCTGCAGACATAATCTACGGGATGGAAAATTGCCGCTAGGTTCTCATGCCCTATTAACATGTTACCGTCATGTCATTAAACTGGTCACCGCCCATTCTAACCTATCTAGGTGACTATTTGGCCGAACTATACGGGGTGATGTAGATTCCAAAAAGCCTTCCAGGAACGTTCAGATCAATTTAGCTCGACAGGTGTTAACAATCCACAATGAAATAAGTTTCACAAAGCAAATTCAGAATCGGTTCCAACACGGACAATATAACAGAGCCCAATAGTTACTAGCTCGAATTCGCTTAGCAGCAGCTAGTAGCCCCCGGTCCTGACCCACCCGCCCAGTCAAAAATAATGAACTTATTGAAGGCGATGTCATTGTTGCTATAGCTCTGACACCGCCAGCCCAGTTCCTGATCAAATTTCACGTTAGTATATACAGTCACATACATATATCAAGGGAAGGGGATTAGGATAGGACACACATCACAGGTACTACAGATTTTGACGCATCGGTTGGTGCTGGAGCGCCAGTTATAAGAGCGCCAGTTGCCGCTCACTTTGCCGCTGAAGAAGTGTTAGTTCAGGCACGGGATGGGCCGTGTCCCAAGGAGGAAAGTTACAGAGATGTCTGGAAAAGATCAATCAGTATAAAATTCGAAATATGGAAACAAATAACATTGGTGGGCACAGACCCGGACTTCACATTGCCCTCCCATATTGGTTCGACTGCAAGCCCTCATCTCGGCAGCGGAAGAGCCAACCGCGAAGAGAGCAAGGAGGGGAAGAAGTTTCATCTTGATTTGGCTTAATAAAACTGTTAGCAAGACAATCAGGCTTTGCGAGTAAAATAGAGGGTGAAGATATTTGATAAATGGAACTAGTACAACGGAGGTGAACAGACATTTTATACCCAATCTCAGCTCATCGACTCTAGGTATAGTATCGACACCCCACGCCAAGTAACTGATCATCATGACAGAGATCCGTCTGACCCTTGGAGCTCGTACCGAACTCGAGGCTTGTATCCCGTTCGTATTTAACGTCAAGTACTTTCCGGTGGCGTCGCGGACGAATTCCTCTTCGTGCGGAGCAGCCAAGCCTCCATTGTTTGCCATATTTTAATAGACTATCTTGATGAAGCGCAAGTCAAGCCTTGTTCGAGATAAGCTATTGTATGAACAGACGGTATATCTTCTTGGCATTCTCAGAAAGGCCCAAACGTCTATACGAGGTAGTTCGGATGCAGTGAAACGTTCTCATAACGGAATTTGCTGGTCCCACGGTAATTGGCAGAGCCAGAGCAGACAATCCGTCTTACTACAGTGATTCTCTTGGCTTGTTGCACGGAGTGGGGTATTGTTTGGGCATTAGGAGGCATGACCAAAGCAGCATGCTAAGGTCTCGATACTTGGGGAAGGACCCAGTCCAGCACGATGCCATTGGTTCTAAATAGAAGACATGAAAGGCATCGTGACCTGATTTCCAAGAAACACTCCATCCGACCCGGACATTGAGGTAGTACAAACTCCAAGTCTACTCCCACCCATCAATGCCCTTCTCCAAGCTATCCTGGATAGGTGTCCACCCCGACTGACCGTAGAACTTCCGCAGCAGGTCTTCTGCCCGCTTGCGAGGCAGAACTTCGGTTTGGTCTCGTATCACGTTTCCGGGGGGCTGGGTGAGATTACAATTTCCTGGGCGCAACTTTTGAAGAGTGGATATGATATCGTGCCCGGTCATATTCTCCGCAAAACCGAACAGTCGCTCGGCTTGGACGCTAGGGTCGAGAAGTCCCACGGCGCAGAGACGCGCTATGTCCTCTACGTCGACGAACCAATCTACAGTGTGTCCACATCGTCAGTGCTTCCCGTAAGTCGGGGGATGAACGTCAAGTGGGATGGGGGTCATACGTTGGGGAAGGAGCGATAGAAACATGTTGTCGCCCTTCAGTGCCAAACGTGTATAGCCCATCGTGGAGCCAAACATCTCCGAGGAGAGTACTTTGCCGAGCTGTTAGATTCAAGGTCAGTTTCTGCGATGAGGCTGGTTGCAAGGAGTGCGAAGAACCTCACCGTCCAGCAGGGAAGTACGCTGTTAAGTATGAAATTGGGCCGATGTTCCTCTACCCATTTATAAGCCTGTCGCTCAGCCTCTGTTTTAGCCGCTGAGTAAGTCATGATGGCCTTTCTGTCATCTGGGAATTTAGGATCCCAAGCAGCTTTTACAGCTCGAATATTCCATGTGTCTTTGACCGCGTTAGCGGTTATATACTCTTTAGCTAATGTCATAGAGGGGGTTAGGCTATGTTCACATACTTTCATGAACGGCCTTCTCTTCAATGCCCTGCTGCATGGTATATAAAGCAGTGGACGAAGAGACAAGCACCACCCGCTTGATAGCTGGTCTCTGGGTAGCGAGATCCAGCACATCCAGTGTCGATCGCACGACCCAAGAAATGACTTCCTCGGGGTCAGAGCTCAACGAAACATCCGAAGCCTTTTTTTTGTTCTTGATCAGCTCAAGCTAACAGTTCAAGAAACACACAATACAAACCACGTGGATGATACCATCCACCTCATCCAACACGGCATCAATCTCATCTCTATTCGTAATCGACGACACAATGACCTGTTCAAAAGCATCCTTTCCGTATCTTCCGTGAAAGTAGGTATCCAGCCATGGTTTCACTGCACGCACAGTGCCCCTCACGACGTATCCAAGCAGGAGAAGCTGCTCGATGATCTGCGTTGCGATATAGCCGTTTGCACCGGTGACGAGGACGCGCGACCCGACAGGTATAGCGTGATTACCGTGCGACATGCTGACGGAGGCTTATGCGCTGCGGACGAGAGTTTATATTCAGGGTTCAGTTACAGGATTCAGTAGCAAATATCCATGCTCTTGCGGAGTTTTCACAACTTGGAACAAGCGCCCCGCTCGTCTGATGCGGTGGGCCTATGCCCACTTTTCATCAAGAACAACCAGCCTCTTATATTGACGATTGAATCAACATTTCTTGTTTCCCGTGTTAGTGAGCATGCCAGTGGGATCTAGTGTCTGATCACCATGCCGATCCTTTCACGAATTGCGTTTAACTGCGGGGTTTTAGGACATTCTGCACCCACATGTCGGTCGGACATATTATCCATCGTCTTTGACTGGACGATAACTGCCTAAAAGCTTACAGACTGCACTATACGGTGTAGGTTACCGTTTAAAGGCTCCAGATAGTAATGTTACAAGGCAGAGCTCCTTTGTGGTCATCATGGACAGTGCATTTGGCTTAGGTAAATTATATGATATTCTTTGATGAAAGATTTCCTTATTCACCGCACTCTCTAAGATGGAGCGGATTTGGCTAATATTTTCTCAGCCATCTGTTACAATCTAGGTGTTCGTTATGGTACTATCTTTGCCCATCTTATGGCAAACCTATCACAAGTGTCGGTGTCCACCCTGTATGCAATCTCGCATATGCTAACTAGACCGACCTCTGCGATCTGATAAGTCCAAATATAATGGGCCAACATCGAATGCCACTATCAAATTTGACTGAACCGCTGCAGGGGGGAACCTAAAAGGATTACCGATGCTATTTGATCCGTGAAGACACTCCATATGTTAGTAAGACACTGGCCATCGCAATCAGTATGGACGAACGCCCTTGTGGTCATATGGATCGGAATGAACGTCGTTGTGATGGCCATTGACAGAATGTAGACGGGTATGTCAGAAAGTACGGCAGCATTCCAATTACGGAGTACTTCGAGATGGTAATCAGTTCATGGGATAATCCAATAGAGATGAGGGGAGTCCGATATGGTTCCTTACATCCCTTAGGTGTTTTGTTCCAGCGGCATTATCTGATACATACGTCATTGCTACCAGCCCTTCATGATCATCCGGGTGACTAGTACGGCAAAGCCCATGCACCAGGCTTCGAGCCCTTCACTCTGCCACACAGAGAAGGGGTTTGTTATTTTTATTTTTTTAGTTTTATCTTAATTTAATTTTTTTTTTTCGGAGAAGTGTTGCAAGCGGTGTACTCGTATTGTGACTTATTTGGCCAACTTAAAGTAGTCGTCCTCCGCGGACCATATTACATGTGCGGCCCACATACCAGACCACATATACTTGCATGTGTCATCTAATAAAGATGCGTGGGGAAAGGTGCCACCCTTTCCAAACTTACCCAGGGTCCATATGCATGGGCTTCAGTTGCTGTGAGATTTGGGGATGTCGTTTTCTTAGACCCACCAATAGGATTTATTTGCCACGATGGATTGTGCTAATCGAGAATGCCACAATGTCGCTCATGACACCCCCTTCCTCCGCACAGAAAAACGAGTCATCTTGCTTGTACATATTGTTGGGAACAGAACTGGGGCGGGGGGCTTGAAAGAAGACTATGGCATGCATTCGTGTTGGCCATGGAATCGACCCCGAAGTCAGTCCGGCCGAGAAGAGCAACAGGACGGTGGCGGCAGTTGGCGAGCCGCCCCCAGTGTGAGAAGAGTATACAGAGCGCAGCCGGGTTGTAGGGGTCGTTCTCTCGATACCAGATCACGGCCCTTATCATGCACGAGTATACCTCCGCCAGTCGGGCTTCGTCCAATAACCCACAGGTCAAGGATGGGAATGATGTTGTTCACATCACCGCATGCAACATCTGCCCCCAGATCAACCCAGTCATGAATCACAGAGGCCAGTACAGCTATGGCGGCCATCTTCTCTCCGCCGCCGGCATCGTAATAGACGTGGCAGAGCACGGCATCCGGCAGCTTATAGCAGGCCAGCCGGCGGAGGCCCTCCCAAACCACGAGACACGGGCGAGACACAACATGATAGTCTTCTGGCGCAGAATTGCATAGTTGCAACCCTTGACGACGCGGATGTCAGTGACATGTGGTCTGGCGAAGACACCCATGGCAGGGCTGTCCTAGGAATCGAGTAATCCACGACTAAGGCCGAAAATGACAGCGGATTGTGGGGCCGAAGGATTACTTGAATCCACTGCTCCTGCCCGGAAGACAGGGAACCGTGAACCCGCTTCCAATGGCTCCACGGCGCCCACGGTGTTATCTAGGCTCTACTGGCTATATTTTGAAGGACGGGGACACCGTATCTTTGCGGCCATAGAAATGCCTTGGGGACATACATTATGCGAGGTTAATGGTAACAGTAATTGATGGCATTGAAACAACCAATATTGGGGAGAGCGTGGGCGGAGTCTCAAAAAAGAACGTAAATCTCCGTGGCCCAATTACTGGATCAAAGGGGGAAATGTCTCAATACCGCCGCTAATAATGCCTCCCTGACCGGGATTCATGACCCCATGCCGGCACCATTGCTGCCCGCGGAATAGTCGTTCAAATTAGTGACATGCCCTCAGAACACAGAGGCCTCTCCAAAAGGAGAATGATCGCCGACGCGAGCGTTGTCATATCAAATTATCTCAGATCCTTCTGTAATTTCCACAGTCAGAGTAACCGGAGGCGCGTATTTCAATTGCCAAGGTCATTACCTGATGGGGATGCGGATTGGAGAGACATATAGGCCCTCTACTGCCCCCTGTGTCTACCTGCAGCACACTATTCTGGTAGATTTCTTAGACCATGCGAGACTTGGTTCTAATGGGCCACCGACACCTGACCGGCCTACAAATCCCCCAATGACTGGGAGCTCCGAACGCCATTGTCCAGGGTTGATCTCCCCCCACCGTGCAACGTCTAACGGTCTATATTCCTAGTGGAGGAAGTGATGGAGTCCGTTCTCACCGTGTACTTCTTTCATGAAAGGGGTATCTTACAGCCTAGCTTCTATGGGAAATCCGAGATGTTGCCATAGTGGCTGGTATAACTTGGGCCGTTTACCGTGAACATCCCCCTATCTCGAGAAAGATCTTTTTTTCAGTCTGAACTCAATATCCTGTGATACGCGACGCAAAAGCAATCAATCATGAGCCACAGGGACGGAATGACCAATGGAACCACCACTAGTCGCCATGCGGCCAATGGTCTCCTGAAAGAAGCCTTCGTCGATGGTGACGTCGCGATCTCTCCTAATGCGCCCGCCGACGTTCCGTCGCTGCTGAAGCAGATTAGAACGAGCGGCGATGTATACCTCGCCCTGCAAGATGAGAAAGTACGAACAGATCTTTTGGACACGGCTCGGTCATTGGTACATGCGCTTGAGACGCCGCGCGAAGCCATAATACGACATTGCTGGTCGCAGGTAAAGCCATTTCCCTTGTTCCATGTTGAGTATTGGTCCTAATGCGTCGTTCCTTCGGAATGTAAAGAGTACGTCGTATGCAGCAATCGAAACCTGTGTCGACCTGGGAGTATTCACAGCCTTGTCTCGCGATAATTCTCCTAGGACGGCTACATACCTTGCGGAAGCCACCAAAGCGGAGCCTATGATGCTATGTGAGATACCTCCCACCATTGGAAACGAGAGCTCCTGCGTTGACCATTTCCCAGCTCGAATCCTAAAACATCTTGCTGCGATGGGTGCAATCACCGAGACAGGCCCGGATGAGTACCGCCGCACTGGGTTCTCAACCGCGATGAGCTCGCCACGATACAGCGACGCTTATCCTTGCATGTAATCAACATCCTTTCTATTTCCCGTTCTAATGTCTAGTTAGCTGATTCAAACAGGACGGGATGTATTACTTCAGGCGTCCTCGCTCTCCCCGCCCATCTTAGGAGAACCGACTACCGCAATCCTGACAACGGCACCGATGCGCCCTTCCAGCTCGGTTTCAAAACAAACCTTCACTTTTTCGACTTCCTGCGAGCAAACCCAGACCATGCCGTTCAGTTCAACAATCACATGTCGGCATACCATCAAGGCCGACCTAGCTGGATGGACCCCGGCTTCTACCCGGTGTCGACGCTGATGGAGGGATTAAATATAAACAAAGACGATGTGCTTTTGGTGGATATGGGTGGAGGAACGGGTCATGATCTCTCTGAGTTCCGGGGAAAGTGGCCCCAGATCCCCGGCCGTGCTGTTTTGCAGGATCTTCCTGAGGTGATTCAGCAGGCGAATTCGATGAACCTACCTTCCTCGATCGAGACCATGAGCCATGACCTTTTCACTGAGCAGCCGATTAAAGGTGTGTAAATTGCCTTTCCTCGGATTAACGAGATCAGGACTAACTTGGCATAGGAGCACGCGCCTACTATATGCATTCCGTGCTGCATGACTGGAACGATGACAACTGCCAGAAGATCTTGTCGAATATCGTTCCGGCCATGGCCCGGGGATACAGCAAGGTTCTCATCAATGAGAATGTTATTCCCAGTACTAACGGATACTGGGAAGCGACCAGTCTCGATATTATCATGATGGCAAACTTTGCGTCTACCGAGCGGACCGAGAAGCACTGGCGTGCGCTGGTTGAGTCTGTCGGGTTGAAGGTTACCAAAATATGGACCGCGCGAAGAGGGGTGGAGAGTTTGATTGAGTGTGAATTGCCTTAAGGTATTCGAGTATTGAGACTGTACATGAATAGCTGTCGGATATTCCACAACGGTTCACCAAAACAACCGCTTTCGTGGTTACTTTATTAGGCACACCTTTCCATGTGGAATATCATGATTTGAGTCTTCGGGTGTCTAGAGCGCTTCATTTCCTCGTGGGCTTGGCTGTCAAGATGATCCAAGTAATAGAGCTTACCAACAAGGGGACGAAAGTGGGAGTATGTAAAGGACAGGAAAAAACATTGGACGATGAGAGAGCGTACAGATATATTGAAATGTATGAGGTCAGAAGCTTTCGGTTTAGATTATGACATATATTAGCTAGATAAGATAAAAGAACGACATTCAAAACTAATACTGACTAACGGGACAGACCACTAAACAAGAAGCCCAGAGGCATTCCACGCTGACCGAGTCTATCATACTCCAGAATCATCTTCCTCCGCCGTATACACATCTTGATAGTCACCCCACGCGTCGCAATTATCCTTCAAAGAATCGTAATCAATGAGCTTCCGAGCCTCATCATACCTCTCGACAAACTGAATCGCAAATCCTTCCGCTGTATGCCAGCCAATATGACAATGCATCAACCACGCCCCCGGATTATCTGTTTGGAACCCTACCACCAGGTGCCCACTCGCAGGAAGCATTGCGGTATCACGCCGAGGCGGGTTGCTAGTCATAACGCTACCATCATATGTACCACTGCCTTGTGCCAGGACCAGGAAGTCATGACCATGGAGATGGATCGGATGAGGCACGGAAAGCGTCGTCTCGATCACCACGTAAACCCATTCATCTTTGCGCGGCAGCTGGACCACCCCACTGGAATTGGCGAATGTGTGGTGCCCGCGGTAGATCTCCAGAAGGGTTGGGTCGGCCCAGTCAACGTGCATGGACGTGCTGTTGAGCTTCCAGCGGTAGAGACTTTGCGAGTTCTTTCCTAGGGACACCGGTTCGGATTTATTGTAAAGCGGAGCCGTGTCGATGGTGTAGGGATTCACGAGGGGGACGAGGGATGACATGTCTTCGTCGTCGCAACTGTCGGAGTATGAGTATGCGGATGTTGTGGGTGTCGAAGGTGAGTCTCCGTAATAGACGATTCCCTTGATGTTCTTTGGGTTTTCGTTCTCCGAGCAGGCCTCTTGCGGGATGGCACGCATCCAGAAGTTCTTCGCGATGGAGGATTTGTCGGCCTGGACGACGACGTCATATCGTTGACCTGGTGTGTGTTAATAAATTGATCTAGGGGGTTCAGGTGCGACCAGAAAATGTAAGACGATATGACATACCCATTGCAATATTGAGGACTGTCGTGTTGTACGGCTCGATAGGAACCAGGTCGTTAGAGATGACGGTCAACGTGTGATTGTCGATCATGAACTTGAAATGCGTATCCATGGCGGCATTGATCAGTCGAAGACGGTAGGAGGTCCCTTCTGTCACGGAGGTATTGAATCGATATCCCGTTTGGTTGACATTGCCATCATATCCAAAGACATTCGTTCCATTGATCAATGCCGTGTCCAGAGTCGGTGGTCCATCTGTCTGTGCCGAGATATAGAGCTCATCAACGGTGTTGATGTCCCAATCATTGAGGACCAACACCCCTTTGTCCTCGTCGTAATTGGAACTAGCCGGTCCATTGATAACAATACCTCCGAACAGTCCCTCCCAGGCCTGTAGGCCAATGTGTGAATGGTACCAGGTGGTGCCATACTGCATTGCCCGCCACCGGTATGTGATTGTACTGTTTGGAGCAGTGGGACATTGTGTGATAGACACTACCCCGTCGTTTTGGTTAGTGTAGTACTGTCTGATACCGTGGAAATGAACGCTAGTGCCATTCCTGACCGTATCTGGAAGACTATTCGTGACGTGAACGACAACCGTGTCACCCCAGTCTGCGTAGATAGTCGGGCCTGGGATCGATCCGTTGATGGCGAGGGCAAACCGAGAACGTCCATCAGGGGCAACGGTGACATGCTGCAGGTCAAACCAGTACTCTCGAGTCACGCCAGTGTCTGGAACGGTGGTTGTATAGTCCGTGTTGATGTCGTAGTCACACCATTCCTGTCGATTGGTTGCAGTGTTTCCCGCGCACGAGTCGGAGGAGGCAGAGGCCGAGGCGGTTGGAAACAGCGAAGCGGAAGAGACGCTAGGAGACGAAAAGGAAAACGAGTGTGTGGGCACTTCGGATGCGGCCCTTGCCCCTAGGGCAAATACAAATGAAAGCAATGAAATTTTCATGCTGTGGTTGTTCTTTCAAGGACAGCCAAGCATCAATGGCATATAATGAATGACAGCGAGTGAGAGAATGAACGAAAGTTGACTGGATTAGCTATTATCCTACAGGCTGGCATTTACATCTTTTAAACCTTCTTCCTTCACACTTCCTGTTGTTATGCTTACCTACCTGTCCCATAGAACCCAAATCCAATTCTCAGACATCAGCCCTCAACCAAGTCAACCTCTGCCGATCATCCCATATCCACCAAGTATCATTGGCCGAGTACATTTGTGCTGAGGGATTTAGATACGCCTGGATGATGACGCCGACTCGATGCAGGACGCGTGGATTTTGGCGGAGTAACCAGATCCGTCATTTAGGGCTCGATAGGCTTGATTCGAGTAGCTATTTAAAGAATAGACGACGGCGGGATCTCCGGTCTCTTTTCCGCAAGGCGTAATTAGAATGAATCAAAGTCCTACATGAATCGGTGGTTCGAATCGGAGCAGTTTTCGGGGCTGATGACGCGCTAGCTCTCTCCTAAGAGCTAAGACTCGATCTAAATAGCAACTATATATTTAGTGCATTTTTAATCTGAGCCTATCACCCGGGCGTGAAGACCTAATCAATCAATCAGCCACACCGCGAAGCGTTGCAGCGAAGTATTCGAACCGGTCAAGTCTGAAACCTCCATGTTTGGATTAAATTGATTAAGCTAAAGAGATGGTACGAGATAAGCACGGTAGAGACGTGGACGACGCGCAAGGCCAAGCAACATTTCGGCCGTCGGTCGGGCCCCCCAAAAGACTCCACCCGTCGTGTTCCTGGCGGAAGGCTGAACAATAAACATCGCGATCTGCGCCGAAATCTCCCCACACACGAGTGGCATACGTATGCCTCGTGGGGACCGACTTCAAGGCAAACCGGTGGATAGAGTCTGTGCGTGGACACTGCCTTGTCCATCGTAGAGAGCAATTATGGTATTGATTTGCTCAAGGAAACGACTAGTAGAGTCGTTACATTTATGCTCCTATCATCTCGACATCCAGTATATATTTCTTAACACCGAGTTATAGATGCAACCATCACTCACTTCAACGCTTTTCACACAGCAAATTCATTGAAAATCGAACAGTAAATTTGGGATTGCATCGTTTATCTTACGAACATGATGCTGCACTCCACAATTGGGATCATTTCTGTCTGTCTGACCAACTACGCCCTGGCGGCGTCGGCTTCATTCGGACTCTATGCCTACGGGGAAAATATCGGCGGACTGCAGATGTACTATGCCGACGGTGAGTAAAGCATTCCGATGTGACCAGGAAAATGTACATATTGACACGATTCACCCAGGAAATGCCGTCGTGAGCAAGCAAGCCCCCTCCAATGCAACCACCGCCGCGCCCGTTATCTGTAAGTACCGTCCAACGGGGCCTTGACTTGCAACTAATCCCCGATGCAGTTACTCACGACGACGACGAGGGTCTGATCGGAAACCCCAATACCACCGACTCAGCCAATAAACCGAATTTCACGAATGCCTCACTCTTCGTTCCCGGCTCGTCCGCCGAGTCCCACCAAGTCGGGTTCACCGACGACCCGTCCGCAAACGAGGTCACCAATAAGTTCGTATGGTACGGGAACTTCTTGATGGTGGAGGACGATTCCGGCGAGTATACGTCGCTGTTTACCGTGAAGAAATCGTCTTCGTCGACCAATGACGGTGAATATTCCCTGCTGTGGAACGTTACCGACTCCGATGAGGAAGTCATTGAGGTTTCCATGAGATCTATTGCGCCGTCGAATGATTAAATAACCAGTGAGCTGGAATTTGGCTACTACAACGTCAGGGCATGCTAGAGGTGATGTCACCAATGGTGTGAAGGGGTTTTTGGTGTCCGGACAGCAGGGGAATGGAGAAAAGATGGAGATGGGTTGTTTTCTTTATGCAGGCCCTAAGCTTGGTGGGAGACATGCAAGTATGGAGTGAGGTCTCGTGGAACATGAGTTTTAATACAAAGGTCTAGGCCTTGACGAACTTTCAAAAGTAGCCGCAAGTCTTTAGCGTAACATCGCAGCCCCAAGACTCTAGTCAACGACATGGTACATGATCAGATTTGAGAGGATAGCAAATCGAGGTCTCCGGACATGCTATAAGGTGATAGTGAGAACGGACTGCTGTCGCCGTTTGTCTCCGAGACGAGATGACACGACGAGTCGTGACATGAGGAAGGTTATTTGTTAAGACTGGCCAACAAAGGAGAGTGGAAGGCCGCATTGATAGAAGAGCAGATGAAAACCGTCAGCTCAAGGAACTGATAGATGATAACCAACAATGCTGACCTTCTAGATAAGAGGTAGAGACCGAAGAAAGTTAACAAACGATGGAGAACATATAGTGAAGCTTGGTCTAGGCAGGTACCCGAGATTTGAGTTGCAAAGTCCGCATGCCAGGTTACACTGCAGTCGGTCTTTCGAGGAGCCCTATTGAGAGAAGTATCTCAATTGGACGAGACTATAGGGATTATGCCCTGTACGTTGGTCGAGATCATCTATGGGCGGTTGTCACCCACCTATTACCTGGGTGTCTAAGGAAAAATGCACCGCACAAGTCAAAGTCATCTAGGGTGAGTCACTGAAAGAATGGAGAGTAAATGATAAGACCGGCCGACTAAAATATATAGGAGATGGTATGGATAAGTGTGAAACCCGTGCTGGGATTTTGATCCGTTCTCCCTCGCTGTTATTGCTCTCTGGTGCAAATCGGGATCTCTGCTCAACAGTGACTTTCGCTAATTAAAGAACATTCCGAATCCATGAGAAACATGGAACAAGCCTTTGTCAATGTAACCTTCCCCGAGGTCGAAACGTTGGCTACGATTCCATCCAGCTCAGACGAGCCTCTCAATCAAGGACAGGATGAGCGCAGTGACAAGGATCTCAATGACAGCCACAGAACCGACCCCGTTCCCTTTCCCATTGCCATCGTGGGGATGGGAATGAGGCTTCCAGGCGGAGTGAGATGCGCTGAGGGATTCTGGGAATTTATCGTCAATAAACGTGACGGTCTCTGTCAGGTACCAGACTCAAGGTACAACGTGGAGGCGTTCTACGACGTGTCGCGCCCAGGAGCCATCCGAACAAAGCATGGGCACTTCATTCACGAGGACATCACTCAACTGGACAACGTATTCTTCAGCATAGGCAAACCTGAAGCAGAGAAGCTCGATCCACAGCAAAGACTTCTGTTGGAAGTTGTTTGGGAGTGCATGGAAAACGGCGGACAGACCGACTGGCAGGGAAGTAACATCGGCTGCTACGTAGGTGTCTTTGGAGAGGACTGGCTGGATCTCCTGAGCAAAGACACCCTGCAGCACGACAGATATCGCGTCATGAGTGCCGGAGACTTTGCTCTTTCCAATCGCGTCTCCTACGTGTACGATCTGCGAGGACCAAGTGTCACTCTTAGAACAGGTTGCTCTTCGTCCATGGTTGGATTGCATGATGCATGTCAAGCCTTGTACGCTGGAGACTGCTCCTCTGCCCTCGTCGCCGGCACGAACCTTATCATGGGCCCGACCATGACAACCACGATGTCCGAAAACATGGTGATATCCACCAGCGGGATATGCAAGACCTTCGACGCAGCAGCCGATGGATACGGCCGAGGAGAAGCCATCAATGCGATCTACATCAAACCACTCCACGACGCGCTTCAGCAGGGGGACCCAATCCGCGCGATTATTCGGTCAACCGCAGTGAATTGTGACGGCAGAACGCCCAGTATCACGACTCCAGGGGCCGAAGCCCAAGAGCAGCTAATCAGACACGCCTATAGCAAGGCGAGGATCGACGGGGACGAAGTATGCAAAACCGCGTTCTTCGAGTGTCACGGCACTGGCACGCTGGTTGGCGACACGGCAGAAACGTCGGTCGTCGCCAACATTTTCGGGCGCGACGGCATCTACATCGGGGCGGTGAGCACATGCGGAATAGCGTTAGGGGGTTCTGCCAGCTAACCCCGAATAGGTTAAGCCCAATGTTGGTCACTCGGAGGGTGCCTCAGGCATCACTAGCATCATCAAATGCGTGTTGGCGCTCGAGCACAACCTCATCCCTCCCAACGTCCACTTCCGCACCCCGAATCCGAAAAGTTTGTATTTTCCATCCTAGACCCTGCAGCCCTGTCTGTCGGATGGCCTTTATCTAAATACTGATGATTTTTAGTCCCCTTCGACAGCGCCAAGCTCTGCGTCCCGGTGGATCCCACGCCGTGGCCTGCCGACCGACGCAACCGAGTGAGCGTGAACTCGTTTGGCATCGGAGGAACAAATGCTCATGTGGGTACTCTAGTTTTCTGTTCTTTTCCTCAATTGGCTCGCCAGGGATTTCGTCTGTCGCTAATCTTGGAAGACTATTCTCGATTGCGCCTCCCTTCCCTCTCCTGTCGAACCAATTATAGCAGGACCGCGTGCTCGACCAAATAACGAATCCCATTTGCTTGTTGTCTCGGCAAAAAGCAAGCATTCACTGGACAGGCGTGTTGACACAGTTGCACAATACCTTAAAGACAGAAACCCATCCGTCGAGGATCTTTCTTATACACTTGCGCGGAGACGCGTCCACTTGCCCAATCGAGCATTCGCGTTAGTCACCAAAAATGGGCTCCTCTCAGCATTCGAAAAGCCATCGTTCATTGCGCCACGGGTGGTTTTTGTGTTCACTGGGCAGGGTGCGCAATGGCCTACGATGGGAAGAGACCTGATGGTCCGATTTGCATCATTTCGGGATGACATCCGAAACTTGGACCGTGTGTTGCGGACGTTGGAAGCCGCGCCCGCGTGGACAATTGAAGGTGTGTTTTCGCCCAAAACTGGCTTACTAGTGATCCCTCTAACCGCAATTACCAGGGGAACTATCGAGGGAAAATGAAGCCAGCCGGATAGGGGATGCTGAGTTCGCGCAACCCCTCACCACTGCCATCCAAATCGCCCTGGTAAACTTGCTGCGTGAATGGGGTGTGTGTCCAACTTCAGTCATAGGACATTCCAGCGGTGAGATCGCTGCTGCCTATGCTTCTGGAGCGATCTCAGCTAGTCTTGCAATTACACTCTCCTATTTCCGCGGGCAAGCAATAAAAGCTATACCACCGAGATCTGGCGCTATGGCTGCGGTGGGAATGTCGCCCGAGCTGGCGAAAACATATTTGCGACAAGGGATCGCCTTGGCATGTGAAAATAGTCCCCAGAGCGTTACTTTGTCTGGGGATGCGAATGCCTTGGATGCCGTGCTCGCCCAGATCCATAACGACGACAAGGATACATTCACTAGGCGGTTGGCTGTCGATGTTGCCTACCATTCTCATCACATGACCGAACCGGCGCAAGTGTACGAAACGTGCATACTGCCGTTCATTTCGCATAATGACTATATGGTACCTCTATACTCAACGGTGACCACCAGAGTTGTTTGCGACCCGTCGGAGTTGGATGCTGGATATTGGTGCCAGAACCTGCAGTCCACGGTTTTGTTTGGCCCCGCCATCCAGCATATGGTACGAGACAACTCTACCGGCCTATTATTCCTGGAGATTGGTCCCCATTCTGCACTATCAGGACCAGTACGACAAACGATTCAATCCGAGCAGACTATCGAAAGGATTCCACCTTATGTTCCCACTTTGCGCAGAGGGCACGCCCAGTGGGAAAGCTTGCTGGAGACAGCGGGGCGTCTGTTTTGTCACGGGGCGACAATCGATCTTTCCGCTGCGATCGCAGATGGCAAGGTGCTCACAGATCTGCCACTTTATCCATGGCAACATGATGGTAAGCTGTGGAGTGAATCTCGATTGTCCCATGACTGGAGGTTCCGGGAAGCACCTTACCACGAGCTTCTGGGGTGCCGGTGCTTAGAATCGACCAAGGTGGAGCCTTCGTGGAGAAACCTTTTACAGCTCGACCAGGTACCGTGGCTTACAGACCACAGGGTTTGCAAGGAAGTTGTTTTCCCGTGTGCTGGATATGTTGCAATGGTTGGTGAGGCAATACGTCAAATAACTGGAACAACTGATTTCACGGTGAAGAACCTGTTCATGAAAACAACCTTGACTATTGCACCGTCCGAGGTTACAGAGGTTGTTACTAGTCTTCGGACAGAAAAGTTGACTGATAACATTGATTCGAGCTGGTACGAGTTTACCATCTCCGCATTCCAGAAGGAAGTCTGGAAGAAATACTGTGTGGGACAAGTCAGGCCTGGGCCAACCAAAGAGCATCCAATTCCCAAGAACCCAACCTACTGCCGCACCGTCCCCCAAGACAGGTGGTACAGTGCATTGGAAGGCCGTGGCCTTGACTACGGCCCTCACTTCCGGGGGCTTGAGTCTATCTTGGCTTCTACAACTAAGCCAACAGCTACTGCTACCATACGTGACCGAGGCTTGTTTCATGCGCACAAATATGCGCTCCATCCCATAATCATTGACCAAAGTCTTCAGCTCCTCAGTGTCGCTGCAACAAACGGTATACCTCGCCGGCTAACGCGATTATGTATCCCCATGGCCATTGAGGAGTTGTATATCTGCACAGGGAAGGGCCCAATGTCCCTTGAAATGTCATGTCAGGAAGCTGGGGGAGCCCTGTGTGGCAACGGGGTTGTTTTAGCCGAGAACAAAGTCGTTCTTTCTCTGCATGAGGGACATTTTTTCAACATCCAAGATCCAGACATCGGTCGACCATTGTTGCCAGTAGCCTCTGTCCCTCGCTGGATGCCCCATATTGACTTTGTTCCTTACGAGAAACAGCTTCCACCACTCTATGTCAATGTCCCGCTTGGTGAGGGAGTTGCCCGATTGACACTGTTGGCTATTCTGGAAACGTATCACCAGTCGAGACCTTTGGTAGCGGAGGTGCCGCATCTCAAGAAATGGCACTCGTGGATACAGTCGGAGTATGAGCGTATACGCCGTGGTGGACAAAGCTGGCTCAAGGATGTCAAAGATGCCCTATCCCTCAGTCATCACGAGCGTACCGAAATCCTCGAAAACTACAAATGCTACTCGAACACCGAGATTGAGATGTCAATATATGAGATAAGCAGGAGCATTATCGGATCCTTACCAGACATGATGAAGGGCAAAGTGGAACCAATTGATCTTCTCATGGAAGACGGAAAATTGAAGTCTTTCTATCAGTTTGCATCGAGAATGAATCCGTGGAACAAATATCTTACTTTGCTTGGCCATTCGAATCCTTTGCTTCGAGTTCTAGAAGTCGGCGGTGGCACCGGGGGCGACACTTTGATGGCTCTGGAAGGATTGACGTTAGGAAACGGCAACCGACTGTATGCCAAGTATACCTTCACCGATATCTCACCAGCATTTCTACCGCACGCTAAGGAACGATTCAAAACATACGCAGACATTGAATATGCCATTTTGGACATCAGTCAAGACCCTGCTGAACAGGGCTTCGAACCTGGAAGCTACGACTTAATCATCGCATCAAATGTCCTTCACGCCACGCCTAGCATTTCAAAGTCACTGGCTCATGTCAGAAAGCTTCTTGCCCCCGGTGGTCGATTGATGCTCATTGAATTGACACCCGAGACACCTCTCATGGATTATATCATGGGCATCCTTCCTGGGTGGTGGCTTGGGGAGGCGGATGGACGTCTTGGAAAACCTTACATTACAAGTGAAGAGTGGCATAAAAAATTACTTGATGCTAGTTTTACTGGTGTTGACGCTGCTCTGACCGATAACCAGGCCCCTTACCAGTTGAAGTCACATATCATCTCCCAGGCTGTCCCAATTCAATGTTCACCCAAAGTCGCTGTCCGTATTTTTTACCGTGGACCTATCACGGAATGGGCTTTGGATCTCGAAAGCCAACTATCACGGGCTGGTCATACGGTCAACTGGCACAGTTTGCAGAACCCCCCTCCGTTGGGATCGAATGTCATAGTCCTAGTTGATCTCGAAGGGCCTTTCTTGAATGACATGACGGAGGAAGAGTTCAGGTGCTTGCAACTGTTCATCTCCAACATGAACAGTGGTCGCATTCTTTGGGTCACACGGCCGGTTCAAACGCAGTGTGATGACCCTCGATTTGCGTTGACACTCGGAGTGGTACGAACAAGCCGACACGAAGTGACCCGTGACTTCGCTACACTAGAGCTTGACAAAGTCGATGAAGCCGCGGTGCAGTCAGTTGTTCAGGTCTTTGAAAAGGTGATATTACAAACGGATAAACCCACAGTCCAGCGAGATTTCGAGTTTGCGCTCCAAGACGGACTAGTCCATGTTAATCGGTTCCAGTGGAGCTCCCTTGACGAGCAGCTTATTGAAGCGTCCCAAGTAGATGGCGCAAGAAAGCTGGACATTGGTTCCTACGCCATCTTAGATTCCTTGACATGGTCTTGCGAGGGCTTCACCTCATCCCCGCTCAAGGCCAAAGATGTTGAAATAGACATCAAGTACTTTGCTCTTAACTTCAGGGTTAGCAAGCCAAGTCCACCCTTCCTATGACTGGACGTTTATGCTAACAGCTTGACAGGATATGATGACTGCGATGGGCTTCATTGGTAACAAAGACAACATCGGCTTAGAAGCTAGTGGAATTGTTCGTTGCGTCGGATCTGGTGTGACAGCTGTTTCAGTCGGCGACAGGGTGATGGTGATAGATAGGGGGCTTGCCTGTACGCGGAAGACCATTCGCGAGGACCAATGTCTTCCCATTCCGGACGACATTTCTCTGGAGGATGCTGCTGCAGTTACCTGTGTTTATGCGACTGTTATCTATTCCCTCATGTATATGGGGAACATCGAAGAGGGTCAATCAGTTTTGATTCACTCCGCCTGTGGTGGCGTGGGCCTGGCAGCCATCCAACTGTGCCAAATGATTGGGGCCGAAATTTATGCAACAGTTGGAAGTGAAGAGAAGGTCCGATACCTCACCGAGACAATGGGAATACCTGCAGAGCACATATTCAACTCTCGAAATTCCTCATTTCTACCTGGGTTGTTGAGAAGGACCAACGGCAGGGGTGTCGACCTTGTGTTAAATTCGCTCTCGGGCGAATTGCTTCACGCGTCCTGGAAATGTGTTGCCCCATCTGGAAAAATGCTGGAGCTAGGAAAGCGAGACTTTCTAGGCCATGGGAAGCTCGATATGGATCTATTCTCGAAAAACCGATCCTTTATCGGAGTTGACCTTCTCCAAGTTCTGGACGACGACCCGTCACTCCTCCACCAAATGGCACAGGAAATGATGGCGTATCTAACCGCTGGCAGAATCCAACCCATACGGCCCATACACACATACGAGGCCGTGAATGTGAAAAAGGCGTTTAGATACATGCAAGGAGGTCAGAATATGGGAAAGATTGTCATCCGTATGCCCGACAACCCATCATTGCTTCCTGTTACGCAATTGCACGAGGCGACGCCGTATTTTACAGATTCATCCTCCTACCTGCTGGTTGGTGGACTCGGAGGTCTTGGGCGTGCAGTGGCAATGTGGATGGTGGAGAAGGGAGCTCGACATCTCATCTTTCTGTCTCGCTCTGACACGAGCTCGTCCAAGCGACAGGCCTTCGTGCAGGATCTCACATCTCAAGGTTGCTGCGTAACAGCAGTCAAAGGAGACGTGGCAAATGTGGGGGATGTTCAGCGGGCTATCGCTGCAGCGCGTAACCCAATTGCAGGTGTTATCCAGATGTCTATGGTACTAAAGGTCGGTTTATTCGAGACTCCTATTAACGTAACCATACGACTCCTCCGCTTACAAAATCAATAGGACCAAAGCCTACGGAAGATGTCATATGAAGAGTGGAAGGCTGCCTTGAGTCCCAAAGTTCGAGGGACCTGGAATCTCCATCACGCGTTTCAACATTTGCCCTTGGATTTCTTCGTCCTCATGGGCTCCGTGGCCGGAATCTGTGGATGGAGCGGGCAAGCTAATTATGGAGCAGCGAACACCTTCCTCGATGCGTTCGCTAAATACCGCCGCTCTCAGGGCCTTGTCGCCAGTGTCATCGACCTAGGCCTGATGGAGGACATTGGATATGTCTCGGAGTTCTCGCTTCTGGATACCCTAGCCAGAGCACGCTCGAGCTCTATCCTGATGTTAGGGGAAAGCCATCTGCTGAAGGCAATGGAGAGGACGATACTTTCTCCCAGATTTGAGTCCTCAAGTCAACTCATCATAGGCCTTGGCTCCACCAACGTCATGTCGGATGATGACCTCGCTGTCATGTGGACTCAAGAAGCTCGATGCAGTGGCTGGAACAACATTCTGTCCAATGTGAACCAAACCTCGGTTATATCCAAAGCCGATGAATTAAGGGAGTATATGAAGGCGATTCAGAAAGCTCCTGAACTGTTAGACAAGCCGGCGACCGAGCAAAGACTGACTGAGGAACTGGGAAAGCTGATAGCATCTTACACCTCCCGTCCAGACGAAATGACGCGCGATGAGCTAGCGAACATTGCCATTGACTCGTTGATGACATTTGAAATACGCACTTGGTTCCGCCGCCATGCTGCAATCGAATTAACCTTGCTCGACGTTTCAAACGCTGGAACTGCGGGTGAGCTCAGTAAAATTGCGCTTCGAAAGTTGCGCGATCTGCTGAACCAAGGAAGATCAGGAGATGTGAAGAACGTAGAGAGTATTGAAAATATCAATGACAATTACGGAAAAGATATGATGCTCGGGACGGAAATCCGATCACTTCCCGGTGAAGCGCCGGATTGGACGTCCGAATCAGAAGGTCGTGTCTTTCTGACTGGGGCCACTGGGTTCCTTGGTGCATTCCTACTGGAACAGTTTATCTGTCTACCCCAGGTAAAATCAATTGCCTGCTTGGTCCGAGCTAGCAATGCTGCTGCCGGCATGGAGCGCCTGAGCGACGCGTGCAGAAAGTTCGGCATTACGACCAACTTCCGCGCCAAAGTCTTTGTCGTCCCAGGTGATATAACGAAAGACCATCTGGGACTCGCGCGACAGAGATATGACCAGCTGGCGAAATGGGCGAGTGTTGTATTCCATTTTGGAGCCTACGCCAATTACACGCTACCATACTCAGTCCATCGAAGCTCCAATGTGATCGGAACCTTAGAAATCCTTCGGTTCGCCAACAGTGGCCGTCTGAAAGCAGTGCATCATTGTTCCAGTATCTCTGCCTGTGGTATCCCCGAAGCTCTCAGCGGCGAGACACCCGAGGACCAGAGACCTCTTCTTGAATCCCAGAAGATCTCGCAGACCCTCGGTTACTCACAAAGCAAGTTTGTTTCAGAGAACATTGCTTGGAGCGCGATGGAAAGAGGCTTCCCGATCGCAATCTATCGCCCCGGTATAGTGACCGGCCACAGCATCACTGGTGTATGCAAGAAGGAAGATGTGTTCAATCGTCTTTTGTCACATTGTATCCGACTGGGCTGTTACCCACGTCCACCCGACCAGCTCGCCCAATTTGTCCCCGTAGATTTTGTCTGCTCTGCAATCGCGCAGATATCGCTCCGCAGTGATAGCATCGGCCATGCGTTCAACGTCGTCCTACCTGGTGAGGGACAAAAGATTACGCTCAAGGACATATTCGACCTACTGAGCCAGATCTGTCCCTCGCCATTGCGAAGTATGTCATTCCCCGAATGGGCAGAGCTGTACATGAAGGGGGGAGATACCAATATCAAGGTAGTCGGGCCTGTGCTTGTTGACAGACTGGCAGGCTACAGACTGTGGTGGGATGAGATGGATCATATTTCGCCATACAGCACGGTGAATTTGCATCACGCCTTGTCAGAGCACCCTGAAATTCTCCAGTTGAAGTCCATGCGAGAACTCCTCAAAACCTACTATGAGTATTGGATGCACGAAGAGCAGGATGAGTCATGAGACTTGACAACATGGAAACTGCGCCCTTCGGGCGGATCCAAAGCCTGCGGAGACTTGCTAACATACCCCTTCTCCAATGGGAAGCGTTGTATCTGTTATATTTTGGAATTGCCAAGCAAGATAGATTGAATTCTGGAACTTGCCATCCATAAAGAGCATAACTGCAATGTAAAGTCATATTCACCCCCGCTCACAGTGGTTTGCCTGATTGCTGTTGTCCAACTATGAGGTTGTCATGGCTCTGACTCAACGCGATGGGCATTCACATTGGCTTATTCCCCGACGCTAAAGCATGCGAGGCCTGAATGCGGCAACACGAGGAGAATATCAACAACTTCAAATAATCTAGAAGGTTCCAGCTCATTGGAGAGGCATTGAGGCTCAAGGGATCGAAAGTTATAAAGGCAATTCAATATTTCATCGTTGAGAAATCAGACCAATTTCGATGAGCAGCCGTCACCATGGCCCCCATCCAATCCGCCTTGTCGGAGACACTCCGGTCTTTGACACAAAGCAAAATTCGCGAACTAGAGAAACGTCGGCAGGCTTACGAATCCAACAAAACCTCTCTCCTTCAAACCGCCGATCGCTTAACAGACATTCAGGACAAAACCCCACGTTTATTGTCTGGTGTTAAAGCCCTTTTCCCGCAGACTGCCCGGGACCCTGTAATCACCGATATTGAGCGTTGGCTGAGTCAAGCGCGCTATGACTCGTCCATTTCCCTCGAAAAGCTTGTGTCGATCCAAGACCAATTAATTTCACGACTCGATGTAAATAGTCGACGGCTTGGTCTCGCGGATCTATACTCTCGTCTGGTGATGGAGTGGGTCAACGTCGATGCGGAGCCGAACCCATCACCTGGTGATTCATCCAGCGATAACGACGATTATTCCGTCGTGGAAGAGAAACAGAAGCTGCATCTGGAAAACCTCTGCGATCAATTCGAAAAAGTTGTCTTCGAGCCCCTAGAGACGAACCCGGTGGAAATCCGTGCGTTTCTGGAGGGCCTTTTTCCTGATGAAGAAAGCAGGACGGCATTGGAGGCTTTTCAAGCTGACATGAGAATTGAGTGCCTTGCCCTGTGGGAGAGAAATTCGACTGGGAATGAAGTGTTCAACACCGATTCTTTAACGCTCTGTATCAAGGGCCTACTGAAGGAGGACATTCTCAGCGATGCGAAAAAGGAGATGCTGAAGTATTTCCTCGACAACGAGGTTGCCTTGATTGAAATCGCCGACGTTCTGAACATGCGATACGATGACCTGAGCAACTGGGAATGGCATGCAGGCGAGGATGGCATTCCCGTCCTCCCGACGCAGCAGTTGAATGGCAAGTATCGGATCTGGATGGATGAGGACGTTCTCCAGACCATCTTCGTCCAACAAATTGGCGTTCGTCTGTGCGCTATTTTAAAGGAACACCTGGAGAAGCTGATCTTGAACGAGTCAGTGTGGAATTGGTCTCCTGGCCCAAGCATGATCAAACGCGATCGACTGCGTCGAGAGTATTACCTGGGGGAGAAGAGAGAAAGCTCGCAGAGTGTCGCGAAGATCCGAAAGGACGAGTATATGGACACTTATTTCGTATCGCAGCTTCCGAAGTCAGAATGGACACTTGCTCAACATGGTGGCTCCTACGACGATGAAGAGGACGACGAAGAGGATGACGATAAGCTGCCAACCAAGGAAGAAGACAAGAACGTCAAGCAACATCTGTTGCGTAAGGTGGCCACCGAAGCTCTGCTGCATCGTGCTCTCCACGGAGAAGCAGCTGCCATTCAGTCGGACCTGAAATGGTACGGCACTTCCCTATCTCACAGCACAATTTTCACCATAATGGAGTTTGCAGGGTTCCCGAAACGATGGATTACCTTTTTCTGTAAATACCTGGAATCTCCGTTGAACATGGACCAGGCATTGTCCGGGCGCGAACCTCGTGGTCCTCGAACACGGAAACGTGGTCTGCCGATGGCGCATGCATCGGAGAAGCTACTGGGCGAGATGGTGCTCTTCTTCATGGATCTTGCGGTCAATAGGGAGACTGGGATGCTGTTGTACCGACTGCACGACGATCTTTGGCTCTGTGGTGAGCCGGAAAAATGCGCTCGGGCGTGGGAAGTGATGAACAAGTTCGCCAAGGTCACCGGGCTGGAATTTAACGTCTTCAAAACCGGCTCCGTCTATCTGTCCGACTCAAGGGATACTGATATCGAGGCCCGATTGCCCACGGGTCCCGTTACCATTGGATTTCTGACTCTCGATCCTGAATCTGGCGATTGGAAGATCGACCAATCCCAAGTCGACGAGCACCTGAACCAACTTCATAATCAGCTCCAGAGCTGCGACAGCGTCATCTCTTGGATCCGCACGTGGAACAGCTGCATTGGCAGGTTTTTCAAGAGTAACTTCGGCCAGCCAGCATACTGCTTTGGACGGCCGCACGTCGACGAAATCTTGGAGACCTATGAAAAAGTCAATCGCGTCTTGTTCGGTTCTCAAAATCCCGAGAACGGCTCAACATTAACGGAGCACCTGCGCCATATGATCAAGTCGCGCTTTGGCGTGTCTGATATGCCAGATGCCTTCTTCTTCCTACCTGAAGAGCTCGGGGGGCTGGGCCTCCGGAATCCGTTTATTCCTGTCCTGTTAGTTCGCGACAGCAAGGCCACCTCACAGTCTCCTTCTGAGCGGATGCAGGCCCTTCATGAAAGTCTACTCTCCTCGTATGCGTCTCGGAAGAAGGAATTTGAAAACCTCACGGACGAAGATCGTCATGAGCGCCTGGAAGACCTGAGAACTGACTCGGACGAGGACGCAAAAGACTTCATCGACCCAATCACGTTCATGTCATTCGACGAGTACATGCAGTATGCTGACACCAGGAATTCCGATATCGCGGACTACTACACAATCTCTACCCAGGTTGCGGCTCCTACGGAAATTGAGCCGACACCGGAATACAGTCAAGGGCTAAGCAAACTCCAGGAAACCATACCTGTTGCCGATCCTCCCCCCGAGGTTAAGTGGGTTTTGCATCTGTATGCGTCCGAATTAATGGCCCGGTTTGGGGGGTTGAATCTGGTGGATAGGCGATTTTTACCCGTGGGTGTTTTGACTATGATTAAGGAGAGGAAGGTCAAGTGGCAAATGGTGCTGTGATCATAACTGAATCTATTCTTTTTCCGTCATCATCGAGTGAGGTTTCATGTTTCGTGTCATTCCGATCATACTTTCCTTTTCTGCATCCGTCAAATTGACCTTTGCTCGCATCTTCTATACTAATTTCCGGGACAAATAAAACCAAGCTGCGACCTCTACAGCTTCGGTGCCTCTTGCTCAGCAGGCGTAACCTTCGGCGAGCTCGCCAAACTACTGTCTCCCGCCTGCTCATCTTCCTGTTTCCTTAACGCCCTAGATACCCGGCTGTTAGCAAACCCTTCCGATCCAAAGATTACTCCCCAATCAAGTACTATACATACCTCTGCGCATTCTCCCTGTGATGCAACGTCCTCGTCGCCAACGCCGTCGCGATCATAATCGTCGATATGATCGTCACAGCGATGTAACCTTTGCGGTACTGTGGTGCGTCGACCTGCTGCCATACGACTTGCGGTAACCAGGCCTGGAACACGTAGGCCATTTCGTTCATGCTTCCGACTACGAGCGCTCGTTCTTCGTTGTCGTCGGAGCAGATTTCATGCGCCCATCTGGAAAGGGGGTTAGTCCTTGGTCTGACTGAGGATGAGGATGGTTTGAGAGAGGGGAAGGGTTTGTTGGAATGCTAGGGAAGGACGAGGGAAATAGGCAAACGTACGCCATGCAGAGCCCACTTAGACCGAAACCTGCGCCGCACATTATGAAGCACGCCCATCTCCAGCCTTCAGGGATGTCCCAGATTGCGAGAGAGATGTAGCAGGTTAGGTTCACGGCCTAGATTCAAGCTGTTAGCTGCTTGTGTTCTAGATGACTGAGGTTACAAAGGTACTTACACCGCCGAATAGAATAGGCGGCCAGCGCCTGCCACCTAGAATAGAATCCGATGTCCCTATTTTGTTGCATTAGTAGGTTCTAACGGGCCCAGACAGGATAAGAAGCAACATACAGGCATATATCAGTGTAGTAACAACCTGCACAGCACTCGTTGTGGTCGGATAGGCGTTGATCTGCCCGACCGAGTACTTGGGGTCCGTGGAGGCTTTGAGATACCTACGATTTTGTCTCTTAGCATTCACATCATTTCATTGTCGATAGAAAGAAAAAGGTAGACTCACTGTTGAAAGATCGGCTGTCCACCCGCGCCACCATTATTAAAGGCCCTGTACGCACGCAAATCGCCATTAGCTGCATCCAACGTTACCAAGTAAACCAAGAGAACTCACATATACAACAGCGTCAGCACATAAATATGCCACGAAGTGAATATCTTCTTTAGTTTTGCCTTCGTATAAGGCTCTCGAGATTTCCGCCCTTCCAACACCATTCGTTTCTGTGATAGCGCTACCTCTTCCTTGCTCAGATACCACGGATTACTGATCTCAGGGACATCAGGCAGCACAAAGAATCCGCTCAGAGCGACGGGAATAGAGATGATTCCGTCGACTATGAATAGCCTGTTGCATCATACCAAGAATTCTGCATTAGCGATGTCGCAATCAAACCGTCTTTTGCTGAGCAGTAAGGGGGGTGCTTACCATTGCCATCCACGGAACCCACCTTTCCCTTCGAGGTTATACACTGCTGCCATCAGATACCCAGAGAACATACTCGCTATGCCACTGCTTGTGTGGAATATACACGACCGCTTCGCGAGCTCGTCTTTGCGATACCAGCATCCGATTATATATTGCATGCCCGGGTAGAAGGTACTTTCCGCCAGTCCTGCGCGTGGGGATTAGCTGTTGCGATCGCCGTAGGTCAACTCAGGATTAGTTTCATCCATACCAACGAAGAAACGAAGAACGTAGAACTGTGTCGCAGTGTTACATCTTGACATGGCAAACGTGAGGACTGTCCACAGAAGCTTTCGGATTATGTGTAAGTTCATTGTACAGACAGAAGTCATGCGAGAGGGGGTCATAGAATACATACTTCCATAGCCGGAATCCAGTATCGAGGTCTTATCCGAGTCAGAATGATATTACTGGGTATTTCGCCGATAACATAGCCAACCGTCCAGCAGGTCTGCATGTAATTGAGCTCGTTTCCGTAGAGACTCAGGTCCTCCTTCCTGGTTTGCTGTTAGCTTGTCGGTTGTTTTGTGGTGGTTGGTTGTCGAGAGCTGCAGGATACATACATTCCCGACACGAAAGCATTGTTGATGTTAATCTGGTCCAGATATTTGATGAAATAACCTTTTTCGACGTCAGCTGGGTGTATTCTATTCACTCGAATCCATAGTAAAAGGAGCATACCTAACGAAGCAAACGTCAAAATCGCCGTATCCAACTTGAACAGCAATCTCCTCTCCTCGGGCGATTTGTCAAACGTGTCCCAGATGTAACTGACCCATTTCCGCTTGGGCGATTTCTGAACGACGTCGCTAGATGCATCCACGGCGCGTTCCTCCGCCGCGGCTGGTGATGGAGCCATTACCCTTGCGCTTTGAACTCTTTTCTCGTATCGACTGACGAGAGGAAAGCTTAAAGAAAAGTTGCAGACAACCGGATAAATCAACGATATGCTCACCGGGATCAGATCTAGCAGACCGTCATATTATATACCGTCAACCGAAATAACAATATCATGAGGGCTCATGGAACAGCAAAAAGTTCCGCTATCATGTTTGTCATGCAGATAGATAACATAAAACCCAATGCTAACATCAGGCGGGGCGGGGATACCCCCATTCACCATAATAGCGGTGTTCACGCAATCCCGCATCCTCACGATCCAGACGTATTATCAGGGGTGCGGGGAGCAAGGTAGCCGGAAGGAAGGGGGCAGTGGATCCGGCAGCGCAGATCGATTGATTGGATTGATGGGCGATGTATCATGTCGGTCTCGCCGGATCTGTCTGGTAGGAGAGGATGCAAGAAGCAAGGGTTAAGCTCTAGCCGAGTCTTGGGATACCGTATGTTCTGGATTGGTAATCTGGTGATTATATTGAGTTTGAGTAGTGTACTGGGTATAGTCGACTCGGAATAGGCGAATAGACACGTTCTCGGTGGAAGGTGTCGCAACGGTGGCGACGGAGCTCGCCATACATCAGTTGAATGATGTGCCTGTGCCATTGGATCCATGCGCTTGCTTGATAACTTAAATGGCATTTTAGTGCTGAGCCAAGCCTTGAAACGAGCGATATGCATGGTCGCTGATTTCGTGTGCTTGAGAGCTTCGGGGACTTTACGGCTGTAGCGAGACTATAATCATATAGCATTGGCAGTCGGTTGAGTATTGACTGTTGATTTGGCCCGACGTATGACGTCCGACATCTTCTCTATGGTGTCATCTACACTAAAATGAAATGCCGCTAACTACAGACTTCTAGTACCGGAAGCTCTCCGATCCCGCTATCTCGTCTTTCCGTGGTCCCTTGGAAAAGGTTTTTGATCCGTTCTCGCTGCGCGGCCTTCGCTTCGTGCCAGGTCGGCGTGTGTCCTTCGATTACTGGAAGTCCCTGGCTTTCCCGATTACGGTTCACCCAGCCTAGGATGTCTTCGACGTAAAGCTCCTCGATGTCTTTTAGCGAGTGGAACTTTCTTCCGGCTCCGATGCGATTCACGCGCTCGGTGTATTCACTTCTCATGTCTGCCTCTGTTGGTAGTTGCGCGATTCCGGATAGAACTGCGGTCACGACAATTGCTTGGAATTCAAACAACGTGAACGTCGCAGTATAATATGGGATCCCGACGAATATCAACGTCGGGTCGGGAATGTAGAAGATATCTTTGTGCAGGTTATGCACTTGTGTCCCGTCTGTGACCAAGATGCGGTCGTCGGCCTTCTCCGGGGATATTTCGTCGTTGTGGTATTTGGGCAGGAAGGGGAGGGTGATATGATAGCCAGTGCAGATGATGATACCGTCGAGTCCACAAAGTCTCTGTCCAGACTTGAGGTGTGCTACGATGGGCAAAGGATCGTTCTCCGATAGTCCCTGGCCGTCATCTTGTATCTCAAAGTGTGACACCTCGCTGATTCGAACTCCGTTTTCAGGAAGCATTGTGGGAGAGAGGTCGAACTCGCCGTTTCGGGTGCTCTGGTAGACATTCTTAGAGACGGCACCAATTTCTCGCGATATGTCGACCGAAGAGACACCTCCACCAATGAGTAGAATATTCTGCATCCAATGAAATCAGCTGGCCTGGATTGTGAGATTTTGTTCGTCACTGCTAACCTTGTCCTTGAATTCATCCGGTCTCCTATATCCCTTGGAATGTATGATCCGCGACGGCCATTTCGACTTGGCCTCCGACAAACCGGCTATATCGGGCACCCGAGCAGCATGATAATGTCCGGACGCGACAATCACCGAATCGAACGTCTGCCCCGGTTAACTATCAGCTAATATTCTCCCCCCCCCGCCGGAAAATTGACAGTACATACTGATATCTGTTCCACCTCAACTCTCCCCGTCTGGTCATATTCGCGCAGAATCGACCATGTCACGGACCATGTCTCTCCCTCCTTCGAGACGTTTTTCACCCGCGCCCCGTAGATCGTCACGTCGTGGACGCCTGCTTTCTCCGCTGTATCTCGGATATACGCTTGCATCACCGTATGACTGACGAAATCCGGTGTTCCTTCGGGCCAAGCATTGAGCTTGACTCGCATCAACGGCGTGGAGACGTTGTTCTTGAGTCCTTCGTAGCATGGGCTGGATATTGTCAATTTTTCTTCTTAGGAGAGGGGAACGACACCACTTACCCCGGAGGAGCATGCTCCAACACTACTTCGTTTTCATCATCGTTAGACCGTTTCCCTGTTGTATCGGCCTCTGATGGCTTGATTGAAGGATAATTAGGCTCGAGTGGCCGGCGTTCATCGTAAAGCCTGGACAAAGTGAGTCACTCCTATATCGACACAACTTGAACGTTGCAAAGTGAATCAACATACCATACACCACCAGGAGCTTTATTCCTCTCAAACACTGTGACTTCCAGACCCGCGGCCAAAAGATGGCCTGCGGAGACAACGCCACTGATTCCGGCGCCGATCACAGCCACTCGGCGGATCTGATGATTACTTCCAGTCATGATGCGGGTATTATTCTGTGTTACTGGGAATAGTTGCGGTAGACAGATTGATCTGACATTTACCATTTAAGGGGAGAAGACTTCAATCTCGCATGGTGCAGCAAAAATTTCGAATGTGTTGCGCGTAGCCAGGCACGTTATGCCAGCCCGAAGTGGTGTAATTGCGACGCTTCAAAAGGCCCATTATTGTGTCAGGCAATGCGATATCCACACAACCTCGGAGGATGGAGCGTTGATCGAGCCTAGAGAAAGAAAGAGCCAATGTGGTTTCAAGATGAAGAGTGTTTCATCGATTATAAATCATTTTGCTGGAGACGCCATCGTATCCTGGCATGGTGATATTTGAAACACGAGTCCCCCCCGCCTCTGAGGAATCGATATCTGCGCCCGGAGTGGACGGAGATAAGAGTTAGGCGGAGGGAATTGAGGGGCATTCGAGAGCATCAGAGTCAATTCGAGTTATGCCAGTCAATGCAGGCCCCGCAGTGGGAGGCTCAAGGCGCAATGGGGGGTTGTGATGATGTGATCGAATCCTGCATCGGAAGTCGTGGAAGACAGGGAGATGCATTCATTGCCAGCAATGGAACATTAGAAATCACAATCCGAGCATTGGATAGTAGAACACCGTGGATATAAAATGGGGATGGTGAAGCTTAGCCCGTAAAGTAGTGAGACTGGTTAGACCCATTCGTCCATGGTCATATCTGATATCTTCGGGAATAGAGTACCTAGCCAACATGGCCCCAGCTCCAATTGACCCACGCATCGTCGACGTCGCGCCGCCCCGGAAAGATACTCTGGCTCTGCCTTCAGCGGCTCGAGAGCGTCTAGAAAAGTCCGGGGTTGATCTCTCTGCTGGCTATCCGTACCGTCCTTCTCGTCCGCTCTACCTGGACGATGTCTACAATATCCGCAACGAGGACCGAGAGCATGTGGATCCTGGTTCTCGAGCCGATCCCGAAAAGAAGGCCTTGCTCTCGGCAGCCAAGGAAGTGATTCATTTGACAAGGCATATTGGAACAGAGATTGTCGGTCTCCAGCTCAAGGACCTTACCGACAAGCAAAAGGATGAACTAGGTCTATTAATCGCCGAGCGGAGCGTGGTCTTCTTCCGAGACCAAGACATCTCTCCGCAACAGCAGAAGGAGCTGGGCGAATGGTTTGGAGAAGTCGAGGTGCACGTAAGCCTATTGCTCCCTCCGGTTGAGTTTCCTGGCATTGAACAATAGGCACAGCCTCAAGTCCCGCAAGTGCCCGGGTTTCCCGGTGTCAGTGTCCTCTGGCCAGCTCTCATGGCCAGCGAGGGTGTAGCGCCTGGCTTCCGTCGCCCTGGAGGCGCTTCTCGCTGGCACACTGATTTGGTCCATGAGCGCCAACCCGCCGGGGTCACCCATTTGCACAATGACACCATCCCCACCGTCGGTGGAGACACCCTCTGGGCAAGCGGATACGCTGCATACGAGAAATTGTCCCCAGCTTTCCGCAAGATCATCGACGGACGGACCGCTATCTACCGGTCTGCGCATCCTTACCTGGACCGCAGTAACCCCGAGGCAGGTCCTAAGTACGTCGAGCGAGAGCATCCGCTGGTTCGCGTTCATCCGGCGACCGGCTGGAAGGCCCTCTGGGTCAACCGGGCCATGACCGATCGGATTGTCGGCTTGGATAAAGCGGAGAGCGATGTCATTCTAGGATATCTTTACGATGTGTACGAGAAGAATGTCGACATCCAAGTCCGCTTTCGGTGGAGTCCCAAGACCAGTGCTCTTTGGGATAACAGGTTAGTCTATGCATTTGCCGAACATTGCGGCCGTGTCTTCGGTGTTGACAGAGTGCAGAATCACGATCCATAATGCCAGTTGGGATTACGAGGGCTCAGAGCCAAGGCATGGAACCAGAGTGACGTCCCTCGCTGAGAAGCCATACTTTGATCCCAATGCGCCAACTCGCCGAGAAGGACTGGGCCTGCTGGGCAAGGACGAGATCGAGGAGTTGGGTAAACAATGATCGCTCACGAATGCTATGTTTTTACGTGAATACACCACTTGTCCATCTTGTCTTCACTGATATGTTACGCCGCTTTTGAGTGACCATCGTAGGCAGAGAGAACGGGCAATTAGCCCCAGCGAGTAGATGATTAGCACTGCACGTAGCCAAAAATCAGAGCAAATGACTTAATCCTACGCTTCTGGCTACCAGCTCTGGCATGGTAGATACCCAGGATGTCCAGTGATGAGCCGCAGCCTATTACTGAAAAGATGCGACCCGATTGCAAAAGACGTGTTGGGACAATGAACCCGCTCGAACAGACTGTGGCACAATTGATAGTGCTCGAGGCTGTCGTATCCCGTGCGATGATCGGCTCAAAAATCAAGGATAGGTGTCCGAATGAATTTTTCAACCTAGACCTAGACACATTAAGTCCTTGCTGCAACCCGAAGATCGAAGAAATCTACTTGCGTCGCAGGATGTATATCCAGTGAAACACCTCCGGCGTGTGCGCAAACGCCGAAGCCTCGCCCTGCGGCGCCTTCACCGGTGTACGAGACACCAGATCCCAGTAGCCCGCCAAATGCCTCATGTTGTCGAACCGCATCGTCGAATATGACAACGTAGCCCACATAGCACCCGGTCGCGTTAACGGCACTAGATGCAGTCCTAGCAGCTCGACCGGAGACAATGTCGTCTCGCCGTTATGCTCAATAATTTGCCGGACGGTCGGACAGATATCGGTTGGGGCTGTCTCCGGCGAGAAACTAGGTGACGGGCCGGTCGCAATCGCATCACTAGTGCTCTTGTCTAGGATGCTATCGAATGGCCCGAAGGAAGAAAGACGCGACATATCGTCCCACGACCGCAGGTCTGCGCGTAGCCATTGCATGGCGTACGACATATCCTCCTTGCTCTCTCTCTCTTGGCCCAGGCGGACGGCTTCGGCGGAAAAGTCGACGTTCTGTACGACGCGAAGGCATTGGTGTCAGTGAGGCTGTACAGTTGCAAAAAAGAGCGGACGGGGAAAGGCGCGCACCACGATGCCATTACCCAGCCAACGACGCTCCGTGAAAGCGTCTCGAAGTTTGGCACCGAGTTTGGATATGCCCGGTCCCAGATGTAACACGCGAGGCGTCGCGTCAACGGCAAAAGATGAACGACTCTCTAGGTCGGACAGTACGGCGTCGACAAGCGACTCGCCGGGATTTAGCCATTCACCGACATCTCGCCCGGTCGCAAACTTGTTATCCCAGAACTGTGCGTCGTCATAGTCGGGAGTACCGGCGAGTTTGGTGTGAGTTCTCCCATTTGATGGGGTGGCCATCCTTCGAAGTTCGACGCGATGCTTTGCGAAAAATTCACGATGATTGACGTCAGCTGACCCCGTTCCGCTTAGTCAGGGATGGCACGTGTCTGCCATGAAAACAAAACAAAACAAAACAACAAGCATCCTGTGAGCTAAGAAAGATCATGTTTAATTTTGTAGATGGTTTAAAGTGTAAAGGGTCTCCATAAGAGTAGAGTTCTATACCTATTATGTTGTGAAGGCATGATGTTGTTGCTCGGTTTTTCCGACGGTTGTTATCATATATAAATCTTTCGGTTGCCTCTGTCCCCAAGTTTATGTCAATTGGTTTGAGAATACATATTGAAGGTCAACAAAATTGGGATAGATATATTGATTTATCTGTTATTTTTGTTCTTCTCGTATGTGCGAAGAGAGGAAATACAAGAACTTTGGTCGGGCTGGTTATAGAAGTCGAGATAAAGAATAGTACTTTGACAATGGTGTTAGGATATGACTTCAGCTTGAATGCCCTGACAAGGCCTACACTTGAGCTGATACTAAGAACAAGTCGAGACTACTTCAGAGCTAGGAGATGCGGGCGAAGTTCTGGGAGTCATCTACTTCCTTCAGTCCACCAGCATAAGATTAACACCCAAAAGGGAAAGTGAGCCCTAATCGCAGAATGATCATCGACATATAAGAACCAAACGTGAAGAAGTTGTTGCCCCAAAACCAAATGCGTCAGAAGGAATTACTGGTCCGATTCAGCGAGTCTGATTTGGTTACTTTAGAAAAAAACAGGGATACGCCGAGATATAAGACGTATTTGAAACTCTACGTTCAACCTAGATTGTTGGACCCCAAGATGAGATCGTGGCGATTTCCATTTAATGCTCTACGTAATCGACCGCCGATGAAAGAGTCGGTCGGATACTCAGACTGTCGAGTAAGGCAGGGGGCGATCATGCCAGGGCGAGTTACTCGACGACCTGTCGACCGACCGGCCGACGGTCAAGATCACCACGCAACGAGCCAACGAGCATCGCCATGTCAGACGCAGAAGAGAAGAAAAGTCCCATACAGGAGACTAGACAGTGACAACGCCATCCGCCGACGATCAGCATCCAGCCCGACCATCTCACCCATCAGGCTCCTGGATTTGACGAAAGGAAGGAAGTCTATTCGTGGACACGCATCCAATCGCTACCGCTGTACCCCAGCTCCAGACCAATTCTGCAGCAGAACCTGACAACCACAACACGCCACCTCCAATCATGACCTCGTCCAGTCCAATCGAGCCGATCACTGTGTCTGGCGCTGCACCGCTCGTTTCATTCATTCATTCGATACCTCACAGCGCCGTGTCTCGTGACTACCCCGCATCCAGATGGTATATAATCCCTGGTCTGCTGGTGTCACCTTCAGGAGGTCTTGGATTCATCCATCGAGGGTACTGCTATCGTTATACTCTTCATCGTCTTACTGAATCTACTTGACTCTTGACTCCTGTGATCTCTACCAAACACAAAGATGTCTGCACCACAAGCCCTACAGAGCCTTTCCACCCTGGGATCCTCTGTAGGCCAATACGGGAGACAACAACTGTCGACTTTGAGAAACCGAATCTTCAAGACAGGTAGGACTCCTGTCACCCCGATCTAACTTTTCCATCTAACGACGTGGGGGGGAAAGACAAGTCTCGACGCAGGGCACAGATTGTTCAAGGCTCGTTCATGGCACACCGTCCCGTCTGGCTCACTGCAGGAGGGGCCGCCTATACCACCGCGGGCGCAGTTTACCTTACACTACAGTACATGCGTCGAATCAGATAGTTGATCGATTCGATAAGGGGGAGACATGTCTCCAGATAGGATGGAGATGATACAGCGGAGGGACGACTCCTAGACGGACACCTCGTATTTTCCTTTGTTCACTGCATTTGGGGGAGGGATTTGGGTTCATTTTGGACGGATGAATCAGATTCATATTTACATTCAAGCCACAGGATGGCCGGGAGAAACGGAGTTTTGATAATGTTTTTCTTTATGTATCTATTTCAAATTTCACGAGTATCAAGATAACTGACGAATCGAACGATGTTTCATCGACCAGGCCGAGAGAAACACACAGTAAGCAGGAGAGGAGGGGAAGCGGGCGAAGCCAGGGGGTGAGCGAGAGGACAGAAGCGCTTTGGGCTTTGTGAGACTCGTGACCTCATCATGGATGTAAATGAAATACAAAGAAACAGGGGTGTACTTTTCAAAACCCAATCAACGTCAAACCAATCTGCGTCCATCAGGCCACATCGCCTGCGTCAGTGGCATCACCCGTCCCCTTAGGAGTGAATATTAAGGACCAAGGATTCAGAAGTCTCAGAGACACATCTATGGGCTCATATCACCACATCTCGGACGTCAAAACATAAAGATAACCCTCCCAAACCACTTGTCTACTTGCTGCTGCCGGGCCCATGACTTCTAACCCCACCGTGAAGCTTCTCCTAGACACTAACCCATGGAGGTACCTTACCCCAGATCCACCGTGGCGGCCGTCGTCTCCATTCAGAGTGGTACGTATCCATCGGGCGTAGTGGTGGGGGACGATTGGCTGTCATCGAGGTGGCTTGCAGATTGGCTGGCAACCCCGCTCGTATAGAACCAATGGGGGGTGCAAGAATGTCACACTGCAGGATACCCCGGATGCTTGGCAACCCCGCGCAATCCTTTGACGGAGGACCAGGACCTTTAGGGAGTGGGAATAGGGGATAGAGGGGGGTAAGATAATAGGGTGGAATGTGAGACTAACTAGATGTAGGCAGATAAGAGGGTGTAGGTACTTTTTATCATAGGGGGCTATGGTGATTTGTTTTGGTGGCAACATGATAGGATTGTTAATTAGATGGACCGCTAGGACCGTGGAAACACGGAATTGTCTCCATGCAGGCCTTGCAGGGATTCTTGGGGCTGAGCCCTACATGTTACCCGTCACATACTCCGTGTACCTATCTGCATCCCCCTCGTCATACGGTCGATCACAACTTCAACAGGAGGATCAAGCAGCGGAGTTTCTTGTTCGCTCCCATCTCGGCCTCGACAATGTCGAGAGTCGCCAGGATCGAATCGAAGAGTTGATTGAGAATGTCAAGCGTGTGCTCGAGGCTCCCTGCCCCCTTCATCTCCTTGAGTATGAACACCTTAGTCTCTTCTGAGACCTCCTCTCGTTGTCCCTCCTTGCCAAAGATAGGCAACCGGCGAAGGACATCTGCATTCGAGCTCTGCTGTAGTAGGTGGATGAGCGGGAAGGAGAATTTCCCCTCTGACAGATCATCGCAGAATCCCTTCTTGGCAGTATACTGATCGGTGTTTAGCACTGACTTTTCTTGGCGTAGGCGGTGATATCATACCTCTTCTGACGCTAGATTTTGATAGTCATCGCGGATTTGATAGTACCTTCCCATCAGTGTGATCAGATGCATGAGGTTATCGTTGCCCTGGGCATCCGCATCAGTCTGCATGAGCTGCAATGCCAGACGGAAGAAGCCGCCTGTTTTGTGGTCTATCATGACAAGATATTCGCTAACTGTCGGGCACCTGTTGTCGAATGTCCAGTTCAGATCCATGCCTTGGCCCAAGGTGAGAATCTCGAGTTCATCTGTGACAGTCAGCAGATCCCCTAATACCTTGAAGAGATATACTGACTTAACATGACGCTAAGACATCCGGGCCGCAAATTATTATGCACCAAAGCCGTCGCTTTCCCAAACAGATACGTCGCCGAGTTTACAGTCTGACTGAGTCCAAATTTGACATGTGCAGCTGGCAGACCCCGTCGCAGATGGGAGCCGTCTTCGATATCGTCTAGCCTGTCCGAAGTTTAGGTTTCTGCATGGAATGGACCCAGAGCAAGCCTACATTAGCGAGGAAGTAAAAAGCATTGTCATGATCTCCATGATCACGTCAAGAGAGTTGTCGGATACCTGAAACCACGGGCTCAGGCTTTTCAGAAACTTCGCGATGGTGTTCTTCCCTGGAAGAGCCTTCGTATAGATGTAGGGAATCATACAATTCTGGGACCATCAGCGACAGGGCGATAGACGGGAATATCGGGAGCAACATACATCTTCGGCACCGGACTTTTGAAATGGTGCAAGGATATCATAGTTGGAGCACGAGCGAAGATCATCATCGTCTTTTCTCTCATCATGCTGCCGACTGTCGTCGTACTGCGACAACGGAAACGTGCAAGAAAGCCCCCCCGGCGCTAGATACTTGTTGGACACAACAAGGGCAGCTGGATGTGCGTACCCCGTCAACATCAAGAACGGTCCCGCAGGGTTGGCGATCATTCCAGCCCGGGATTCCTTCGAATGTGCTGGTTCATCAACATGGTAGCGCCCTGACTGCGCCTGCCAGAAGTTACTGCCACCAATCGAGAGAATAAACAGCCCCATGTATGAACGGAGGTTCTCCGGTTTAGGCCCAGGGGAATCTTTCCACTCTTTATACCCATCTATGAGCTTCCTCTCGGCGGATAAGACTTCAGCCTTCACGATCTCCTTTGCCTCATCTTCCTCATAGCCATAGCTCTTCATGAGAAGTGCAATACCGTTATGGATATGGTCCACAGTCCCATTCGCCACATGGTTGTGATATTCTCTCTCAAAGCCATAGTAATCATTGGAGAGCGCCGTGCTGAGGTATCCGTATTCCAAGAGCTGCGAGACGGAGTTGCGCTCCTCGTCGGAGATACAGTGGCCTTGGAAGAGCATTGCTATATCGAATCCGATTCTGCAGTTAATTCAAGCATTGAGTCCATGATTAGCTCGTCCCGGCTTTGCGTAAGAGGAAGGAAACACACAAACTCACTTCGCCCCAATGCTATCCATTCGGACCCTTTTGAACGTTTCGAATGTCATCACAAGATCCGGCCGCACTGGTTGAGAGCTGATTGCAGCCATTACGGTTTTCAGAAAAGGCTCCTTGAGATCAGGCCGACCTTTGATAACAGGGTTCAAGAGCATGCCAGCTAGCTTTCCATTTCCATCCGAATCAATGTTTGGAGTTGCGCCCATTTTCCAGAAACTCAGGATAGCAAGTAGCAGGTCATCATAGATATTGCCTTGCTGGGATGTGGATTAGCTTGTCGTGCTCTAGAGAGGCAGTCTTGCCACCTACGCTCTTATGATCGAGAATGTCAATCTCATCTGATCTGATTAGCATCTTAATTAGAGCCTAAGGATGAGGATCTCACCGTCCAGTCGTAACAAGAGATCTAAAAACGGCCCAAGAAGGTGCACATTTTCTGGGGATAGCTCCGGCATGCCCCATTTGAGAAGATGGTCTTGCTTGGTTGTAGCGGGTTGGTCGAGAAAATTAGGCCGGTCTTTGGGTCGGAGTCGCAAGAACTCCGCTACTTCATCATGCACGACGCCGTAATGCTCATCGCTGAGGGTGGACTCTCGATAAGGCAGAATATTGAAGTAGCGAGGCGGTCGGGGCTCAGCTGGATCAGGAAGCCTGGAGTACCGGAAATGGGAATTTGGTAGAACCCACATGGTAGGACGATACAGAGACGAAAGTTGTAATTGTGAAGTGGGCAAAGATTTGAAGCCTTGTTTTCGGGATGCAAGTGAGCATTTTTGATGTTCTGGTGGTGACTGATAGGCACGAGAACGCTACGTTTAGCGCGGCATGAGACTGCCACTAGTGTTAGATGAACACAATCATTGGTCCAACGCATTTTGCAGCTGAAATTGGCTCCCTGTTTGCTGTTTGCACGGGTTGCGAGGCCATAATCGTCGGTTGATAATGATAGATCATATTAGTTATGAGTCGAATGCCACAAACAATACATTTTCCATACCCTTGCCTTGACAAACGAAAAGCAATCAAACCATTCGATCTGATTCTTCCGAGAATGCATCTTCCAGTAGCTGTCGGAGTCCCCGAAACTGCACATCCGAGAAGAATCGTTTTCTCTGCTCCTGAACCCTGTCCATCGGAACAGCACTCGCACCCATAACATTCCATTCATCCATATATGCAACCCCCCGCTCGGCGGGTCCCAGGGAGTCCTCAGTGCGCAACGTTTCGAGGATACTCTCCTTGGTCTTCTCCTTCAACTCAAACTTCCTCCCATAGAACTCCTCCGCAATTTGGATAGCCTCATTCCACGTCCCAACCTGTCCAACAACATACGTGTGCTTCTCCCAGCTCCCCCGAGGCGCATCTAGTAGCTTAACCAGAGCACGGGCAACGTCCCGAGCAGACGTCCATCCAATGGGTTCTTCACCAGTTCCCAATCTCATAGCAGTGAACGTATCGAGATCGAGAGGCCACACACCAGGAAGGGGCTTCATGTACGATCGGACCTTGGAAGTATCGAGGTCTCTAGGCAGCATGACTGGTTTCGCAGCCTCACTAGGTCCGCGAGTAGCCGGTTTGTAAGGAACAATGGTCGGATCGACTTTGTTGCCCTGGACGATGTAGTCCATGAACCAGCCACCATTCACAAGCGTCCATTCCACATCTCTCTCATCGGTGATCGACTCTCGAAACACACGATGCGTGGAGTTATAGAATCTCGGAAGATTGGGGAAACGATCAATATCGCCACCATAATCCGAGGGGACAAAGCGCTTACAAGTCTCGCTGTTCCGACAGGCCATTAACATGGCCTCATGTGCGGTGTTGTAGAATGCTGGGTCATTTGAGTGCAGGAACGAGAAGAGGGCAGTTGCTTTGGTTTGGTTCAAGATGGACTGGATAGAAGGAGCCGAGTAATCGGTGACGTGAAGCGAAATGTGAGGGTTGGAAGTGAACCATGGCCGGTTAGACAATGACCGAGTGAGCACTCCTATATGCGGAGGATTGGAGGGACTCGAAGCAACGAGCTCTTCAATCAGGTATTTGGCGACGTCGCTGGCGCCGGCGATGACGATGCTTTGCGTCGGGGTGGACACTGTCATGACGGGCGAGACTGGTCGAATCGCGTATTTATAGAAACTAGGGTTGGCAAATATAGTAGGTACATAAGACTCAAACGCTCTAGTAATTATATACTCGACAGGGGAGCATGTTTATCACGACGGAGACTTGCTTAGCAAAGGAGGAGTTCCGTTCCTCCGACTCTCTTGGCCCCTCGGAGACTTTCTCGCCTTATCTCCGTGTTTATCTCCGCCAAGGCCTCTGTACAAACCGATCCTCCGACGCCAAATAACTTCGCCAAGTCTGAAAGAGAACCTGCGGAGTTGAGCAATCACCAAGTTGTGTCTTGTAGGGAGAAAGCACCAACGATAGTTCCCTCTGTGCATTAAGCACGTTCACATATCTTCTTGAATAAGCAATTATCAAGCCCGAATTCCCTCTCGCCGCCGCCACACCAGCTGCAGTGGAGCAGTCATCAAGGTAAAGGTATCGCGCATTCCATCCAGGTATGCCTCTTCGCTCTGTCCAGGGGCCATGCTAACATCGTACCGGCTCAAGAGTTGTGCTGTGACACATCGCAGCTCCATGAGAGCGAGCCGTTTCCCGACACATGTGTATGCCCCTAATTGGCCTTGGTGTCAGTAGGATTGTAAGAAGCATTCAATTAGAAGGAATATACCAGAGTTGAAGGGAATAAACACGGATTTATTCTTGATTAAATGTGGCTCGGTGGTCCAACGGCTGGGGAGAAACTCTGTGGGACGCTCAAAGTTGCGTTCATCTAGAACATTCATTCAATAAGCATTGAGCTAAGACAGCTTCCGGGAAGAGAATGATTACCTCGGAATACTGTGTAATGTGGGATCTGCACATTGACATTCCCTGGTATATAGGTGTCTCCAATCTTCAATCCCTCCGGAGGAGTCTGGCGTTGTGTGCCTGATGGCAAAACAGGATGCAGCCTCAAGGTTTCGTTAATGGCAGCATCAAGAAGGTCAATTTGCGTGAGGTTATCATGTGAGAGATCGCTGAGCTTATCCAGTTCCAATTGTAACTGTTCTCTTAGACCTGGGTCTGTCGCAATGTGAAAGAAGAGGTTTGTCAACGTAGCGGCTGTGGTGTCACTGAAAGAAATCAGTTAACATCTTTGTTTTTTAAGATTCAGTCGCCCGTGGGATTCCTCTTACCTTCCAGCTACCACAATCAAGAAGGCATCGGCGCGAAGGTTGAGATTATCCTGCTTGGTCTTGGGACCATTCCGATAGTTCTCCAGTAGCCATGAGAATACATCGGGGCTCTCTGGCTCATTCTGTGATAATGTTATTGCAAGACCGTCATGATACCTGTATTTGTACTTACATCCATTCGATCTTTAACCTTCGCATCGACCCGATCCCAGAACCGTACATTTTCTCTATTGAGTCCGGGCGTTGACACAAAGAAAGGGAACAGCCATACCAGATGACCCAAGAGTCCAATGCTTTTCATAGTAGCATGGAGCGCATTCAAGAAGAAGGTATCCCCGCTGTTAAGCAGCATACCGAAGGATTTGCCAAAGGATAGATCTCCCATCACGTCAAACGCGTAATAATTGCACCACTTGGCCATATCGATACTAGTGTCAACATGATCTTCGATAACGTTGACTAATTGGCTGGCATATTTCGCGACACGCGATTCGTAAAGGTGCAATGCTGGAAGCAATAATCCTGGTTAATGATGAACTCGAAGAACGACTGAAACTGAGCGTTCGTACATTTACTATTCAAACCTCTGTCCCAAACTTTGCGACGACGCGCATGTACCTTCTTGTCTCGCTCAAGCTGTAAGGAGATGCGATCCCCAAGAATCGTATACCACGGCCCCTTGGAGACCAGAGCCTGCGGGCCATGAAGAGCAACAATAGCCTCGGGGTCTGTGATAGAAAGCTCGGTTGGAGCTTGGATTCAGTCAGCAAGATTGAACACGGTAATCGGACTCAATCAAGACCATGTACCTAGCCGCACGTAGTCACCAAACCTCTTATGAAGTTTTTCTGTCTCTGTATAAAATTGCAGCTTCTTGGCAGCGAGGAGAGTCGCATAGAGATTCGACAGTCTGGCAGAAAAAGGACCGGGAAAATTATGCAGTGGGTGTAAAAAGGCGCGATAGACGAGCATGCTCGCATATACTCCCAAGACATGCCAGAAAATGATGTGAACGGCCCATTGGCGCGGCAGGGAGACCCCGAATCCTTCGCCCCACTCGGATGCGAAAGCCAATATACTAGCAAACACATAGCTGAGAAAAATCGACGGTGCCTTTTCATCCCACTCGCCTTGTCGATAGAGGAGAACATGGGCGCCAACTCCGGTGGCTGCTCCCACCAGGGAGGGAGTGTAGGAAGGCATAAGTGCCCTTGCACGGAATGAGGGTCAGGTATTTGCTAGCGAAGTTGCCAGTTGCCCTTTGTTGTGATTGAACAAGGTTAAAGATAATTGTTTGTATTCCTGATTCAAGAAGATAAGTTGAAGAGATTGATGTGCGAAGAAAGAAAGTCCCCATAGAGTTTCATCCTTTAAATTGCTATTGAGGGGTAGGCTTGGCAATATGCACCGCGCTGATCCACAGGCCTCTAGTATAACCAGCCAGACATCGTCGGAAATCATAGCCGACGCGGAGATATAAGTCGGGATATATAGTGTATTCTTCTTCCAATCAGGCCCTCTGCTTAGATTTCATGAGGTTTCAGCCCCAACAAAGAAGCTGGAGAGTCCTCAAAATGCAAATAAGAGACAGAAAGCGGAAGAGGAATCTACAGGTCGAAGGGGCTGGAATGCAAGGATAGCGTTATGCTTATAAGCGTACTATCTTGCTTTATGATATCACATTAACGAGCTATTGCAACATGTTTCTAATACTTCGTATTTCTCGTCTCATCAGTCGGGCTAATCTGTGGCCTCCATGCCGATTTCCAGCAAACCTTCCGTGACCGATTCGTTAAAAGGATATGTTTGTTAAAAGATTCTTCTCTTTCTCATGTTAATCGTGGGTAAAGCACGGTTTTCGCGCTTGGACCATATTAATAAGAGAATCAATGATCAATTTCACAGTTAACAACCGAAGCTCGCATAGGCGTCCTCGATCTCTCTTCTATATAACATCTTCGAAGCGCGTCTTTGCGGATAGCCCTTCACGCCCCTGGGTAGCGGTCTGCTAGGCTCGACGAAGATGACACCACTACTGCAGATGCGCCCCTTGACCGGCGAGAAAGCGTTCGCCTGCTCTACCCACCCCCAGATGATCTTCAACCACGACTCCCCTTGTCCCTGTCCGCTTGTCCCATCCCCATCTCCATGAACCCGCTCATGCAGCTCAACCAACACCGGCATACCACCATCTCTCTCCTCGCACACAACCGCCCCCTTAACAACTGCACAGGACTCCAAAACAACCTCCATATCTCTCGGCAGAAAATGCCCCGCACTATCCGACTCTGTCCAATCATCCGTCCGACCACAGTACCGCCATAAATCCGCTTTCTGCGGATCCGGATGTCTCCGAAAAAGATCCTTCATCGGATACTCATGCATGTCGGGGAACATGTAAAAAGCACTCTGCCCTATATTCTTGTCATCCCTGAGAATGACTAACTCGTGAAGGTCGTGCCCCACAGACCGGAATTCATGTGGCACCACTACGTCGAATTTCAGATATGCCCAGTCCTCGGGGTCTTGGGTGACGTGGATCGGGAAGACATTGGCTTCCGAGGACCCGTAGACGACAACCAGATGCGAGAGGTCTCGAAGACGGTCGAGGTACGATGGGCTGGCGCATGTGGCGCGAAGGTTTTTCGGACTCACGATCACGGATCGGACGTCGCCGTGTTGAATGATGCCGTCGAGCACATCTGCTGTGACGGGCCCTGCGCTGGAGACGGGGAGAACCACGGTGAGATTGTAAACTAGGTTGATACCGAGAAGGGTGTAGAAGCCTGCTGCAATGGTCATGGGTGCGAGATATGCGACGCGCTGGTCTCGCCAGTGAGCGAAGTTCACGGATACCGGGCCTTCGGCGAAGATATACATGAGTGCCTGTTGGTTTATTGTGGCGTGTGTCATGATGATGGGCTTTGCGGCACCTGTGGTGGCAGAGGTGTGGATTGCTGCGAAGGGAGTTTGGAGCACTTCATCTAGGGTTTTGTTGTAGGGGTATACTCGGACAGGAACGTCTGAGTCTGAGAGCCAGAAGTCGAGTGTTGGCGTCATGATAGCCTTCAGGTGTAGCTGGTTGGATAGAATCAATTTTGCCTTGGGAGATCCGGGCGCAGGATGCAGGAGATATTGACAGTTTGTCTTCTCGATAAGAGATACATGTGTGTCCAAGCCTGCTGCCGGGTGGCAAGTCAAAGTCTAATATCGTATGTTAGTCTTCAATGCTGGGACAGTCCAACAGAGCAACAAGGACAGTGAACATACAATATATCCTGTCTTTACGGCTGCCACTGCTAACACCATGTACGATAGGTCCTGCGGGGCAACATAATGCAATGCATCGAAGCTCGAGCTTCGCGATCCGAGGGTTTCGACGATCCACCAAGCGGCCCGATTCACGGCGCGCGCGAACTCACCATAGGAGACGTCGCGGTATCCCGCACTCGCATCATGACTATCGCATGGGATTGACACCATAGACTGGTGTGGGTGCAGATCAGCGAGCTCATCGAGGAGTGCTGGGATGGGTGTCCTGCGGCAGGAATGTTGGAAGTGTTCTGCGACCCAGGATGGAGTGGAGCCTATGCCCTATAGCTTTCTGGATCCACAGCCGGTAAAAGGTGCGCCATCCTTTCTCCTTTATCTGGATCAATATTGACACTGATTGCTCCATAGACGCGGCGATTTATTTCTTCCGCCATATCCTTCATAATTGGTCCGATAGCATTTGCCTGAAGATTCTCAAGAATACTATTTCAGCTATGGCGCCCACCTCTCGGGTTCTCATAGTTGATATGATCATACCAAGCCAAAATCCATCACAGTACATATCTTTCATCGACATCAGTATGATGGCCTTTGGGGGAATGGAACGCACTGATGCTCAGTGGCGGGGTTTACTTGGGTTGGCTGGATTGGAGGTTACGAGACTTGAGCCCATGGATCCGTCATCGACAATGTCGGACTATATCATTGAGGCAGTTCTGGTTTAGTTTATATGCTGGCTCTGCTGAAGCGGTACCAGCAGCATCTCCTTACTCTAGATAGATCACACCACGTAACTTAGTTCCACTAGAGTTTCTCCCCAGCCTGTCTCCTCACATAGTCCACAACCACGTCAGGAACAACCAGCCAGGGCGTATGAGCAGTCTTGACCTTCTCTGTCTCAATCCGAGCTCCCTTGTTACGCGCGCTTTCCACCATCAACTCCTGGACAAACAAGGGGATTGCCCTATCCTCTTCGCACAGTAAATAAGACGCAGGAATCTGAAGATACGCGGCGCTGGTAGCAGGCGAATTCTTCGTCGCCCAGGCATGCGGCCGAAGAGTCTTAGCCCATTCCTGACCGTCGGGAACGTCGTGAAAGAAGAGAGTGAAGGGGTCGCTGGCAGAGACAGTTCGGTTTTCCTTCTATCCACCATTATTAGTGGACTCTCATTAAGCCTTACCACCGCGTATCTCTAAATACGCATAGTGGGTACTCACGTCACGAATATACCAATCCGGCGGGGTGCCTCCGAAAGCACCGATCAGGCTCTGTCCCACATCTGGAATAAAGGCTGAGATAAACACCAATTTGACCACGCCTCCTTTCTTGCCCTCTTTCTCGCGGTCGGACTTGCTGAGGCCGTCGAGGGCGCTGTTCACGGGCAACCCCGACCAGCTGTGCGAGACGACAACCACATCCTTGCCGTCATTGGCCTCCGCCTCGACGAGGGATCGGACGGTCTCAATGTCCGGCTGGAGGTCCTCCACCGCAGGTGTCTGCTGGATAGAGGGGAAGGCGACCGTGTGGCTGGTGTAGCCGTGGGCATTCAGCTTCTCGATAATGGGGTTGAAAGCCGTGGGAGGGTACCAGGCACCCGGGGCAAAAATGAGACTCGGTTTGACGGTCATTTTCAATGCTATCTGTAAGATCGGCAAGGAGAATAAGAAAGACAAGACAATTTGGGGATGGAAAGGTATATCCGGCCGAGGGGCTTAGATTAAATGCAATTTCTCCCATTCTTCGTTGACTGGGATGGGGTAACATGGCTTCATTTTAGCGATACCGCTAGTATACTAGTCGTATGGTCGGGGTCACGCCAATCTAGTGCACGAGAGACTGGAAGGAAACTTTAGGGGGCCGACCGGGGTAGAACTGATATGAAACACTAGCACGGCGGTCGCAATGAAGTTAGGAGAGGTAGAGGGCCGATGCAAGAACTAGATATACATACCTAGTCGACCCCGTGATGAAAATGACTTGTAACATATCAAATGACCACATCTTGCCCTACTCAGTTAGATTGGATGTTCTACTGAATGGTACAGCATAGTAATGGGGCAGTTGCGCTTATAAGCAAGTGAGCATCATGCTGCATAGTATTCATGATTCCAAATAAAAGGCCGCCAATATTTTCGGCTGCGGTCGTCCAATTGCACAGGTTGTCCAAGCTTAGCCATCAAACTTTTCAGCGCGGATATATCCTCCTTGCTCGCGTCAAGCTTTCCATCATCATCCTCGTAGTCTATATCTCGATCGGTGTCTTCATATATTCTTTTGTTCATGTAAGGGCCGCCTGGGTGCCCCTCACAAAAGACCATGTAGCTATTCTGAAAGCCGATATCTATGGCTGTCTCCGTCTCAAACGGTTGGTCATCCTTTTCCCCACAACTTACGGAATTGCCGAGTCGGAAATGCTGTAATTGTGGGAGACTTTGCTCGAATGCCCTCAGGTAATCATGCCACCGTGTTCCGTACGAAGCATATCCCACAGTGTTCTCGAGCTTGGGGTGGGACTTGAAGCCATTTACACCAAGCAGTGTTTGCTCCTTCTTGGAGACCGCAACCTCGTATAGAATAGGACAGTTGTCCAGGTACAGCTCCTGGAGAGTACTCCCGTGTGAAAGAATCAAATCAAGCTGACAATCGTGTACAAACGTGTACTTTCCGAGGGCCAGAGTTTTGAGGCGCGGAAAATGGAAATCTAGAATATCACACTTGGGGTAAAAGCCGAAGTACAGATTGGAGTAGATTGTAAGGTGTTCTAGTCTCGATGCCGTTGGTTCCAACCAGAAGGTCGAGAGGTTAGGGAAGAAATTGAACACGTCCTCTCTCTGCAAGTAGAGTGAGCAATATAGGCGGCATTGGGAAGGAACCGTACCTCAAAAGGATCGTTCGGATAAAATTGATTTGTAATATTGAGGCGAAGCGAGACAATCTTTCTCAAGACCTTTGTGATGTTTGCCACAGTAGTAGGATGCGTTGGGATGATGTTCTGTAGATTTTGGATTGCCAATTCCCGGAGAGGTCGGCGAAGAGAGGCAAGCACAGACATTGTATTATGTATTACTACGTCGCGCATGCCAGCGGTTTGCCATGCATCCGGATTAGATTTGTCTTCTGCACTGCAGTCATAATGAAAGCGCAGGACAGCGCTTTTCAAGCGAGGAAGCGCGCTGAGACGATGGACGAGTCGCCAGAATGATCGTGGGATATCTTCCGGGTATATTTGCCTGTCCATAATTTCGTAGTCAGCTTGTTCGTCTGAGTTGATCTCACTTTCTGTGTAGCTGTTGGGGCCATCGTTTTGCAGGTGTGTATCTGCATTCCAGGGGGAAAATGGATCATCATCCATATCAATGGTGTCTATATAAATCTTCGCAACCGAACCAGCCAGACCTGAGTCATTCAATATTCTCCGGAAGTTTCCAGAAGTTTGCTTGAATGGGGAGACTCGTGCTGTTCGAAATGTTGAAGTTCGACCAACTTCGCCGAGGAGACCATTAGTGAGACGTAGTTTCTTCCGCGATTGCTGGTCGAGAAGTGAGAATATGTGGTGGAGGATCTCGATGGGAAGCGATAATAGCCCCATCATGTTGAATTCTTCTCGACAGGTGATCGAGTTAGTAGTGACCCGTCGGGGTTATTGAATTTCGAATTTGTGATTTTATGATCAAGGCCACAGCGACTCCTAAACCTAGGGAATGACTACGGAGTAGGTCACATTGACTCATATCGGTTAATTAGTGTGCTTGGCGGGAACCTTGTCCGGCTAATAATCAAACTTTACTACCATATGACTACTGTGGGATCGGGAACTGATAGGATGTGCCATGAGTCATGAAATACTGCATCAAGAATGAATCACTATTACTAGCAGTAAATGAGCCTGAAATCTGCAGTCTTGAATCAACGTCAACACAAGGAGCTAGGAAACTGTCCGGGAAAACCACTCAGCGTGAGTACATAGAGTCCAGGCTAGAAGTCAGTGGGCCTAGTTTTGCTCAGCAACTCAGGGTAAAGCACGTAAATCGGATCCAGTTGCTGAACTTGTCCTGCAGCCGGTTCGCTGATGGCATAGCCGATGAAATTCTGCGTAGCTCGGTCATACTTCCTCACGACGTCTTGGGGGACAGCCAGGAATTGGTTCTCTTCCTGTCTCAGATAGCCTCGAGTGGCAAACGTTGAGTACACGAGGCGCCTCTGGTCCGAGGTTGTGTTGTTTCCTCCGCCATGATAAACAGAAGCCATCATAAGAAAGGCATCCCCTTTCTCCATCTCAGCGAAAGCACAGTCTTTCAGGAGGGGAGGGGTCTGTCTGTTCGAGTCCCTGAATGTCACGACCAAATCAGTTAGATGATGTCTCACTATTGCATGGCATACGTACCATAGATGACTGCCCGGAATGAATTGGGTAGCCCCGTTCTCCTTGGTGACCTTGCAACCTCCAACCATCATTCCAACTGCTGATTCTCGGTTCGCATCACGAGCATCGTCCCACACGTCGATCTCGCTCAGGATATTATGGTTCACAAAGGAATCGCGATGCAAAGGTTGCGCCTTTCCACCGGGCCCAATCTCCATGGCGGTGCAGGACATAGCGTAGGGCTTGGAAACCGACTCTTTGCGTTTGTCTCCCCACCAGAACCAGCTGCGCGTGGTAAGGAAGTGATCACAAACAGCTTGAAAAACGGGATTCATGAGCTGGGTTTTGGTGTACGTAGGGCTGAGGGCGATCATGGATGGTGCCCGCCGCGTTTCCTCTAATTTATGGTGTAGAATATCAGCATATGGTGACTTTTGAGGGCTAGAGATATTTCCATACTTGGAAAGAACTCGCCATCCCAAGGCAAGTCTTGATCGAGTCTATGTCTTATCTCCTCGGTAGTTTTGTCGACATCTTCGACAGGAATTAGCCCCTTGATTATGACTCCCCCGTCGCGCTTGAGCAGAAAAAGGATGTCCTCCAGTGGAGTATCATTGGGAACATTCTGAACCCCAGGCTGGTACTTTGATGCAGATTTGCACATTGGAGCTTCTAAATAGGATGAGACTAAATACGCTTTGAGATTGAGGGTTGTGGATGAAAACTCGTATCATGGACCTACCGATACCATGCTTTATGTCTTAAGACGGTGTTGACATCCGTGATGCAACACTACCCCTCACATCCAGCTAGTCGGAGCTATCGGGGCTGAGTCAACCTTGGCAAGGTAATTTATGAGAAAGAACTCCGTTTTGGTGAAAATATTGGGCTTTTAGTAATGCCCTATGCAGTGCTAGTCAAGGTGGTTCTTGTCCCGACTAGTCCGTTGGAACCAAAATATCGTTAGTAAGTACGCAGACAAAGAAATGTAAAGTTGATCATACGAATGTGGAAGGAGTAGAACGCCTCCTGCGTCATGCAAAGTTTTGCTGACTGTGAAATATTGGCCGATAATTATAAAACTTAGGCAACGTGCAGGGTCATGCAAGCTTTGCCTTACGTACCAAACACTCACCACAACCCGTATGATATTTCATGCCACTTTGACATCTGAAATAGCAGATAGCATTGTTCATCCCGTCCCAGGACGATATAAGAGTCTTTAGGTGGCAAGTCCTTTGCGCAAAACAGTCAAGGGTCGTTGCAATCTCAAAGGCACGTGGAATAACCAACCCTAAGCAGAAAAGGACATCTCTCGACACCGCAACCAAAATGATGAACAGCGACAAGTATGCGATCCCCGTGGACTCTGTTGTTATGGTAACCGGAGCCAATGGTTACATTGCATCCCATGTTATAAATATCCTGTTGCAGTTAGGCTACAGGGTGAGAGGTACAGTGAGAACCGAGAAGCCATGGTTAGACAAGTACTTCCACGAGAGGTATGGGGATGGAGTGTACGAGTCTGTCGTCGTCCCTGCATTGGATGATCCAGTCTCTTTGAGCGAGGCCATGGAAGGTGTTTCAGGGATTGTTCATATTGTAAGTCTAACGTTTAGACATGGAGGTAGTAAGAGCGCCCCCTGTATACTTACGCTTTGCGATACAGGCAATGGACTTGTCTTTTGGCTCCGACCCCAGTGCTCTCACTTGGGTCAAACAAGCAACGGAATCCATGCTCAAATTGGCGGAGGACAAGAAGACGGTAAAGCGGTTTGTTCTGACGTCATCCAACTCTGCTGCCCATTTCCCCACGCCCAACGTGCCAGTTAGGATTGATCAAAGTGAGTTCTCAATTTGACACGATATTATAAGAATTATTCACCAGTCCTCTGATGTTGGTATTAGATACTTGGAACGAAACGTCTTACAAGGCAGCGTGGGATGAGTCCACTCCTCCAGAGAAAAAGGGATATCATGTATATGCGGCCGCGAAAACCGAAGCGGAGAGGAGTGCATGGGAATGGGTAAAACAGAACCGCCCTGGATTTGTATTCAACAGTGTCTTACCGGATGGAAATGTGCGTATTTACTAGAAGATCCCATACCTTTGGCCTGTCCACTGACATATGTAGTATGGACGGATTTTGCTTCCCGAGATATTCGGCTCAACAATGGGCTCGCTCCGAAACGTCCTCAAAGGAGATGACACAATCATGCGCAGGTTTCAACCACGTGAGTTCCAGAAGCAATACTGCCACGCAAATCTGGGTGACTGATACATTATCTGCCCTCTAGAGTGGTATATCAATGTCGAAGACACCGCACGTCTACACGTTGTCGCCCTTCTTAATCCAGACGTTAAAGGTGAACGGATCTTTGCATTCGCAGCTCCATTCACATGGATTGAAATTATTGGAATTCTCAGAAAGCTCAGACCAGATAACACGCTGATACCGGATGCCCGCGAGGATGAGGGAGAGGATATCAGCGATGTTGTGTTGGCTCCCAGAGCCGAGCAGTTGCTTCGCGACTTTTTTGACCGCCCTGGCTGGGTTGGACTAGAGCAAAGCATTGAAGAAGGGCTTGAAGGCATGGAAGAGTAGTCGGGAATATCTTTACATTTACACCTAAGTGGTACACGCTCTAATCATTTTCTGGTTTCGCAAAGCGACTTCCAAGGAGAATAACACCCAGTAGAGCACTTGTAACAACAGCACGAATCTAGCAACTACTAGTAGACAATTTTATATCGAGATACAGATTGGTTCTGTATTCTATAAATGTTTTATCGTCGATGAAGAATTGCGGGTAATTTCACAAGAGTATGGCATGCTAAAGTCTATCGCTGACGTCATAGACTCGAAAAGGATCACTTTCGAATATTATCTGGTAGCATGATTCATGTCAGAGCAATCGCAATCAGAGTCAAACAATTTGTCATACCGTATCAGCAACTAAGATATCTCACCTGAGAAACATTTGTTCCCAAGCGCATATTGAGCGAGGTCAGCTAGAATCACAACGGTGTCCCATGCTTGTTAGTCGCTCGTGAATTCCCAAGCCATGAGACGCTGGGCTGGGATTTTAGTGATTGAACTAGTTACAAAACCCTGAGATGCATACATTGTCAGATATGCAGTGCTACCTTAGATAAGATGGAAATTTTCTCATCATCAACCGTGTTCCAAACAGCATTACCATGTCTGTTGACATGAGATGCATCAACAGCTTGCAATGTGAACTACGGAGCAAACCTTCGTCATTGTAGCTAGTACATTGTGAAGCCACTGCCACCTGTGGCTGACTGTGTATGCTGCGATGATCTTATCAAGCACGTATCCTCTAGCGGGATTTAAGTTGGCCATGTGTAGTATCCGGGTGTTTGGTGGCACATTGACTGACATTATGTGACGTACCCCACAGTTATGCAGTATATCGAGCATCGAGAAAAGACTTTACAGGTTGACATGAACCTCGCAGTTCGGATTGCTTTCTTGATAGCAGAAATAAAACCCGCAGAATTAAAATCTTGACATTCGAAATCAGGTAGTACCACCCTAAGGATTGCAAATATGGCTGCTTTTGCTGTCCAAAGCGCAGGTGTGTAACAATACGTGACTAGCCCATAGTATGATTCATGAAAAGAATAATCGGATGCATTCGTGATAGCTTTCTACAGTGGCACTGTACTCTCTATGACTATTTCGCAGAATAGCCGCTGGTTTTACGTGGCTGCCAGGTAGCGCACTTAGACAGTTCCATAAGCAGTTATGCCTTGTCCTACTGATAGCTCAGGCTCACCCTGCAAAGCGTGTAAGTCAAATGTAGAAGCGCCGTCAATACTGGGGTTCCCTATTAGTATACGAATTAGACAAAAAGCAGTGCATGCGTGCATGCAGTTTGATCTATAGCAGTCGCCACTAGATGTGAATGATGCAGAGGCTACCCGGAGGCGAGACAAGCCAATGCATAGCCCGCTTTATAATGCTCATGTAGCCTGTACCTTGTAGCCAGTACTCATATTGACGTCATATATATTTCGTGGCATGGTAGATTTACGGTCATTCCAACTGCAGTAGGTGATCACACTGGTTTGAATGGACTTATTCAGGCTGGTACGCAGATGATCGCCATCTGTGATATGCCACTATAGATAGAGAAAGGTGAAGGATTCACATGCACTTATACAACTGTATGCTGGCATAGCACCTGAATTCGATACAATCGTAGTACGGCTCAGGTGTTCGATAAAATCCATTGTAAACTTAATATATCGCGGATGATTCTCGTGGATAGGAGATACAGTTTATCATCCTGTATGCAGATTGACACGAGAGAGCACTCTCATTGTGGGGTCATCCCTGAAGGAAATTATAATTGGCTGTATGCTTAGGTACATTGGTCATGGTAACAACTTCTTGTTTGGCAGAGGAAGCGGAAAGAAACGCAGCATGTCTGAAAATATTCAAACAGAGGAAAAGTGACTGCGAAAGGTGTTCTGCAACTTGATGACCATCCTGCGCAGGTATCCAGCTTCAGTTGTAGCAGTGTTAGGAGCCCCCTTGCATCGCCGCTCTCACGATTCCCTCGGCCTTGATTTGGAAGTCGCAAAATATCTGGATTGCCTGTTGTACTATTTAGAACGTAGACCTTTCAGGGGGGGGAAATCAAGAAACAAGTCATACCTGGGAGATTTTGAGTTGTGCCTTTCCATCGTCTGCGTGGGCAAAATCCATTCGGTATTTAGATTCTTCGTCAATGTAAGAAGGATATTCCATATTGTCTGTTTCAACCAACTGTTGGTTAAATAGCGATGCGTTTTCAATTTCAGACTCCACTCTGCAGGTAGAATCCAACAACTTCAAATCATCTGGGACGATAGTAAAGGCAGCCACTCCTGCCAATTGAAGAATCTCATCGACCCCGATGTTTGCGCACGCTTTCACTTTTGTTGGTAAAGAGCTTTGATCATACCATCTTTGAGCTCTGACACACAAGTCAAGGAGAGGACTTTGGTCGCGATAGCTATCCAGCTAAGTGGGTTAGCAACTCAAAACCTACCGCAAAGGCGTAAGCGTGTAGGAGAGATCAGACCTTTTGTCAAACAATGACTTCAGCTCATGGATGAAAGGAGAGATGGACACGCATCCCACTTCACCCGCCAAAACTGCTTGCTCCATGGTAAACAAGGTTGTTCCCAATGTCTTTATGCCATGATCTCGAAGTTCGCGGCACGCTTGGAGCCCTTCCCAAGTTGCTGGTACCTTCATGACCAACCGAGTCCTATCGAAGTTTGCATCCAGAAGGGCGAACAGTTCATGAAATCCTGCGTTGAAAGATGCCACGGTCAGTATTTCATCTGCCGAAGGATAGTAAAGCTCACTTTTTCCAGTCGCAATAATCCTCTCTTTCGAATACGAATACCACGGGTTAGCCATAACATGAATATCTCCTTTCACGAATGGGCGGATCTCAATTGCCATGTATACGGCCTGTCACAAGGTCAGGTCTATAGTGGGTATGGATATTTCTAACATACCGCAGCTTCAACCGCAAGCTCCTCCACTGTGACTGATCCAAAGTTGCCATGTTCCTTTTGAGCGAGCTTGATTGCCTTTTCCAGGACCCCCTTCCTGCCCTCCTTTGATAACTCATTAAAATACTCGAACTAAGACATAATTAGTCATCACTAGATGATCTTGGAGACTCGAAGAAAAGATTACCTGATTAGACGTACAATCGATACAGCCTCGAAGCTCACGGGCAGCTTCAATGTCAAAGGTGTCGAGGTCAACTTGAGTCCTCGAGCGGAAGTACTCCAATAAAGTCGTGCCGGACATGTTTACTGTCTTTAACGTATAGGTAAGTGGTGTGCTGAAAGTCTGGATGTGCGAGGTCTGGAGCAAAGCCGGTATACTAGGGCGAGCTTTGGTCTTTAACGAGGCAAGACCCGGGAACAGCTCTATACATGAAGTGTCTAAATATAGAACCTCTCGACTTCTAGCAGTGGGCAGCAGAAGGCCATGGTCCCAAAACCGGTTTCTCATCAAGCCCTATCATGCAGTCATACTAATGATGCGAAATTGTTGGATATCACATTTTGTTACACTTGCAGCTGGCTCGTATGGCGCATGAACGCCACTTCTGCACGGCTGGTCAAGTTACGAAAGTTTGCATAGTATCCCTAAATTGACTGCATTGCCGTATAGTTCATGATGCCAAGGGTGCACTCGTAGTCAGAGAGCACTATCTCTACTGGAGATTGGATCACGCCCGGATATCTCGGAGTGACGAAAGACCCAGCTGGTATCGTCACATGGCCCCGTAGTATCGAGCCAATTGTTGGTGTTGTTACCTTAACATCCTGCGATGATCCTGATGAGAGGGAACTGAGCGCAAGATCCCAAGCTGCTTAGTATTTAATCGCAATTGAAGGGCAACACTGGTGGTTTCACAGTCAAATTGGTCATCGACGTCGTGTCAAGTTTCTAAAGATGTCTCGCGATAGCCGGCTAGGTGTTGGACTAGCACAGTTTCTCCAGCAACAGTTCAAACGTTTTGGGAATGATGTCGCTATTGAGCATGGTGTCTATCGTGTCACGTTTACCGAGGTACACAAAAAAGCGTCCATTCTGGCTGTTCAGCTTCGGAAGCACGAGGTCCGAAAGGAGGAGCCAATCGTCATCTTGGCCAACAGGGGAATAAACCATATTATCTCCCAAATTGCTGTTGTATACGCAGGATGCACCTGTGTTCCTCTGGATGTTGACTTGCCCGACGAACATCTTCTGAAATTTCTGACAGGTTGCTCAATTGCGTTGACGGACCCAACAAACCAGGGGCGACTGCCGACTCTGCACCATGTCATTGTTGATCATGCTGCTATACCTATGAATGACATCGGCCTGCCGATGGATGTATCGAATAATGGGAGGGAATGTCGTTCTCATATGATGTATACCTCGGGATCGACCGGACGCCCAAAAGGTGTCCAGGTTTTGGCCGACAGCCTGATCAACCTTGTTTTCAATCACTTCGCACCTGTTAGAAGAGGCTCTCGAGTTGGTCATGTATGCAATGTGGGATTTGATGTCTCGCTGTGGGAGATTTGGTCAGTGCTCTTGGTTGGAGGCACTTGTGTTGTTTTTGAACGGCACGAGATTCTGGATCCTTTGATCTTTGAGCGGCGACTGAAGAGTGACCGCATTGACGTGATGTGGCAAACAACGTCACTACTCGCTACTATCGCACATATTTGTCCCGACATATATTCCTATGTGGACACGCTTCTCACTGGTGGTGAGGCAATAAATGTGCATACTATCCGAACAATCTTCGAGAATGGCCCGCCTCGACGTCTCCTGAATGTTTATGGACCGACCGAAACAACAATATTCACGACTTACCATGAGATCCATCAAAATGATGTTGACAGCGGTCATATACCAATCGGAAAGGCATTGCAGAATTACGACACTTGGGTAGTGGATAAAAATCTTCAGCCCGTTCCGTGTGGGTCTATCGGTGAGCTTCTGGTCGGCGGGAAAGGAGTATCGCCTGGCTATTATCGACAGCCGGAAAAAACATCGCAGGTTTTCGTTCATGCGCCGCATCTGCTTCGAAATGGTCAGAGTAAGGAGACGCGGTTCTATCGCACGGGGGACCTTGTGCGAGAAACAGATACGGGCGATCTTTACTACCTTGGACGTCGGGACCATGAAGTGAAAATTCGTGGTCAGCGAGTCGACCTGGAATCGATCGAGGAAAGTCTTCTGGAGACACAGCTACTCTCGTCTGCAGTTGCGCTGAGGGTTATGCTAGAGGAGCCCGCGGGAGGCTCAATCTTGGTTGCATACGTGGTCCCTATAACCCCTGATGTCACGGCTGACATGATCCGGGCAGCTTACACTGCTCTGGGGCCTCAGTTGATGGTTCCTCGTTTACAAATTACCGAGACAATTCCGCTCACATCAAGTGGTAAAGTCGATCGAAAACGATTAATCAACGATTATGTTCGGCATCTTCAGCCACTAAGAAACGGCTCGAGTGATATCCAAACAAACGGAGACCATGGTGCAGAGGAATACCTCAAATATTGGTGGCGAGAGCTTCTCGGATGTTCGTCCAACTGTTTTAGTGGGAGTGACAACTTCTTCTCATTAGGCGGTACTTCATTGCAAGCAGTCCTTCTGGCATCGAGGATCAAACAGTCCCTGGGGTTGTTAATCCCCGTGGCCGCGTTATTTGACAACCCCACGCTACAGGAGATGTCGGATCTGATAACCCAAGCAAGAAATGGCGTGTCGTCACAACATGAGAGTCTATCCGAAGCTACGCCTTGGCTCGACGACTGTAACCTAGGCCAAGGACTCGAACCTACGGGGACCTCGTATCCAGATTGGACCAGCCAGGAAGAGGGGAGGGTTTTCCTAACAGGCGCAACCGGCTTTATTGGTGCATTCTTTCTCGTGGAGATCCTTGCACTGCCAAATGTTCAGAAGGTGGCATGCCTTGTGAGAGCCCCAGGCCCTCATACTGCTCTTTCTCGCATTCGCAATATGCTCCAGCGCTATAAATTAGTCCTCAGTCCGGACAAGGAGGCTAAAATTATACCTGTGCCGGGTGACTTTGCCTTGCCCAAACTTGGCCTTGACGAGAAGGGGTATGAATGGCTTTCTATGTGGTCCAGTGTGGTCTTCCACCTCGGGGCTCATGTCAATTTCGTCCAGCCATATTCCACCCATCGCGCGGCGAATACTTTTGGAACGGTGAACATGATTGAATTTGCGAATTCTGGGCGACTGAAGCCACTTCATTATACCTCCACTATCAGTGCCTATGGACCAACCGGAATGATTACAGGAAGTACTGAAATTCCTGAGATTGAGAGGCCCGCATCTCATGCCGCCGCGGTGCGATACGATACTGGGTACGCCCAGAGTCAATTTGTGGCCGAGAGTATCATCTGGGATGCAGTGGACAGGGGTTTTCCCATTACAGTCTATCGTCTGGGTTATGTGCTAGGTCATAGTGAGACTGGAGTCATGAATTTAGAGGATTTTATCAGCCGCTTGATGACTAGCAGTATCCGGTCAGGTTGTTATCCCTTGCTCCCTCGGCACCGCAAGGATTTGGTACCGGTCGACTTTGTTGTTTCCGCTCTTCTTCGTCTATCATCTCATTCCGGTTATGCCGGTCATGCATTTAACCTGGTGCACCCAGATCGCGATTCCGCTATGGACCTTCCTCTAATATTCGAGGCGATTAACCAGCTGGGTGGCGAACGCCGACTGGTTGGGGTGCAATACTCTCAATGGCTAGAGAATCTGGCCAATGTCCCTGATTGCCCTCTCCTGTCTCTGATGCCCATGCTAGTGGAGAGGGTGTGGAAGGAGATGAGCAGGTGGGAAATGCAGCAAGACATGCCGACCTTCTCGACTGAAAATACGCGACAGGCGCTTGCAACACTAGCCCCAGAGCTATTACTTTGCCCATCAACATCATCAGTCGTCGCGAGATACTGTCCCGAATGGATTACAGCTGCTTCGGCATGACCCAATTGTTCTTTTTGCATTTTTATCCTTTTGTGGTGGAGGATGAAGCTTTTTGCTTTTGTAGGAAGATCGTTTGAGCGACCGACCTGACGGAACTGTCTAGATAGTAAATTTATTCAGGACCAATAAGCATTTTTCTGTTCATGTGCCATAAACAGCATATAGCGCGGCTAGTTTCCAAATCATTCAGAGCACGTGGCTATGGTTGCCAATCATCTCACTCTTTCACCAATTGTATCCTAGGCATACGTCTCAACTGCGGCCGAGGAGGCTTGCTCCTCAAGGTACAAACACGTCATCTTGGTGCATATTGATAGGCCGGAGCAGTAGCTCTTACGGCGCAAGCGGCTGGGCCGAAAAAGAGCACTATTTGCTGACAGGGACAGTCTGAAAATATTTCACCTTTTACTTTCAACCGTGTCTCGGTCATGCATGAACTTCTGGTAGTTGTATGTTAGTTTGCTGCAATCCTTGCACGATGACAACATCTACACATACTATGCAAGAACCATTCAGCTCTTCATATCTGTATGATACAACCATTCCTTTCACCATGACGTCTTCCGAGAGTCTCTTATCAGAGCAAGCAAGCGGAGTTGACGCCACCTTACACAGCTCTCAAACTTTATCGAATGTTGTGTAGCCAGTCCCTTCGTGTTAGCTTCAATTCAGAACGAAAGCTGAATAAGCTGACACACCTTGGTAATATGTGGAGGCCAGCTGACCATACTTGCTTACAGGTATTGGAACGATATTTGTGCCTCCTCCCATTCAAGCCAATTCAGTGCTGCTTGCATCAATGGACGTCCTACTAAGTCTACATCGCAAAGCCCAAATTGAAAGACAGAATTTGAATTATGAGAGCGATGGATTGCTTGTAGTCCACCTTGAAACGCCTCAATTTGTCTATTCCAAATGCTGATGTATGCTTAGTAATCTCTTTTTCTCACAATAGTGAACGAGTCTATGAGTTGTTGTTGTTTCTTCTTCACTACATTGTCGTGAACTTTTGAAAACACTGGATTCTGATTTTCAATAAGCGGCACATTCAGGATACTACAGAATGATTCATGATGGTGTCAAGTTGGGTAGTCAATATGGACAGAGATGGCGATCCTCCAGACTCTTCATTGTTCTTGTGACATCTTTGGCTTTGTTCTCTGGTGAGAAGAACGTTGTCTCATGGAGGCCGAGGGTGCTCTAACAGATTTGTATAGACACCTTTCTTTTCAGCTTCATCATACCAATCTTGCCAACCATGCTTGAAGATCGACTACATCAACCCCATTCAAAAACACAGTTTCTCACATCTGTGGTTCTCGCTTTGAATGCTTTGGTATCTATTGTCATTGCGCCCATCACGGCTTGGGTAGCGGACCACTCGCCCAAGAAAAACCTGTTTATGGTGTTTTCTTGGATCCTGAATGGCATTGGAACGATAATCACAGCTTGGGTCAATTCACGTGGGTAGACGATACGCATAATTTATCAGCCTAGCTAATAGCATTGCGGTTTAGTCACAGGACTCTTCATCGGCCGACTCGTCCAAACAATCGCCGGTTCGCTGATATGGAACGTGGGAATGGCCATCATAGCTGACACCGTCGGGCCTAATAATCTTGCCAAGGCTATGGGTTTTTCGATCTTGTTCATCACTGCCGGATTACTGTGCGGACCGGCTGTGTCAGGCTCGCTGTACCAATTTGCCTCTTACTCGACAACATGGGCCAGCACATTTGTGGTTTCAATCCTAGGCATCATTCTCCAGTCATTGATCATTAAACCATATTATCATGAAAAGCGTCCAAGGAGTCAAGAGTCACATGGCGAGGAGGAGTCAGACATCGCCAGACCCGGTAGCCCATTCTCAGGGCATTTCTACGATAGAAGTCCGCTTCTTCCTCCGACCTCGCCCACCCTAAGGCCATCATACCAATCTCTGGCCGACCAGCAACGCTGGGGGTCTGTACCCAACGATTCGATAGGGAATCAGCCCGTCAGACATAACGTTTATTGGATGATGCTTCGTAAAAAGCGAGTCAGCATGGCACTGATTGCTGATGCATTGTTTGCCATGCTCATAGCGAGCTTCGAAACTACCCTCCCCATTCATATCAAAGCCATCTTTCACTGGGAGTCACTTCAAGCGGGCCTATTGTTCTTACTTCTTCAGATACCTTCTTTCATCCTCGTTGTGCCCGCAGGGTGGATGAAGGATAGAATCGGCATGCAATATCCCGTCACTACCGGATATTTACTCCTAGCTCCGTTCATGTGGCTTCTCGGAGTTCCGGGTGATGATGGATATGCATGGGCTGGGACTGGCAAAACTGGTCAAATTATCTATGTCATCGCGTTGGTTGGCATTGGGATATGCAGAGTCCTGCCACTGGGACTAGGGGCTGTGGAGGTATTCAGTGAGTAGAACGACTTCATCATCTAGTACCATCTGCTTGATTACTCACGTATCGTGCGCTTTAGGGGGAGCAAATGAGCTCGGCTCAGAATACCCGGGCATATTTGGTCCTTACGGCGGGTACTCACGCTCATTCTCCTTGTCCAATATTACATGGAAACTGGCTATGTTTGTTGGGCCACTGATTTCAGCTGCTTTGACTCAAGCGGTCGGGTATTACTATCTTAATCTCTTCCTTGGTACGTGCCGATGTCCACGACGCGGTCAATCAACTCCTGTGCATGACCTGATAATCCATCTATTACAGCATGTCTATGCCTTGTTATGGCTATCTGCACATTTACGGTTCTTCGGGAATAGCCAGTATCCCAAACTGAAAATTTACTACAAGGTAGAGCGTGCAGGGTTCATGTATCGGGTCATGTTGGGGCGCCCACGGGGTCAGGTCGCGACTGGAGAACTGATTTGTTCGCCTAGAGATTCTTCGATCCCGGATCAGCCCAGAGCAGTGCAGTGGGTATTTGTGCAGTTGCTAGCCGCTCGTTGTCCGCACGACAACAACATGATGAACCATTGTTTAGGCTTTTTTAGGCCATTTCACACAGCCTACAGTGTAGTACATCTGAGAAGACTCCAATCTACTTGGTTTCTTTGTACGACTTGTGGATCGTGGAGGGGTTGAAATAGATTTTGGTTATATGTATTCTGACCGAAAGAGGTGAAGGCCCGGGCATTCGGGCATCGAAGAGGGAAGCATGTCTGCTAATATGAGTGATCTTGAATAAATTGCGTGTTTGGAAGGCTGTTCGGGCGTGACTCGCCGTGACGGAAGGAGGTTGTATATAGTGCGGATTGTAGGTGGGTTCTGATCGGGGTTTCGACGGTCAAAGTCACCGCTGTGGGGCGATCATTGCGATGACCCATTAAACCCTAAAACGAGTAGTTCGAGCTCCGGAAATGACTTTCATACTCTACTGATTCTCGGGAAAAGAGTGGTTGCATTGTGTCGTGCAGATAGAAGATTTATGGCAGTTATACGAGATACCGTGCAATAAAAAGGGTCGACTTTTGACTAAGGCTTATGGGACATAGCAGTTAACTTGTTATTCAACAAGATCCGATATGGTGTAATGGTTAACATCGCCGTCTCTCACACGGCAGCTCGGGGTTCGATTCCCCGTATCGGAATTTACAGTTGTCATTTTTTCCAGTGGCTAGACGCACTGGTAGTACGTCCTATACATTTTTTTGTCTTTTGATTCTTCCCATGATGGGCGAAACAAGCTATTTTGAAACTCTAGAGTCGCTCATGATCCTGTTTGTTGGACCTCGTCCTCACTCTACATCCGAGAGAGTGCGGTCTGTCAATTATAACCCTACGGGCTCGGTCACATACCCTAATGAAGTGGTTTACGTATATAACTCACACGACTTTGTCGTCTGCAATTATGCCCCTTTCCAAAATATTCGTTCGACCTCTCTAGAGCAGGAATTTGCAGCTGACACCTCAGGCATACAGGGAACTCCCATTTGCCTGAGGCATACTTCTTTGATCTCATCACGTGAACGGCGCTCGCGTAATTTTTGCCCAAAAAAAAACAAACACCGGCATCGATAGTTGTCCAAGCATCGTTGAGAGAACGCGTCCTCCGGTGATCGAATCGCAAAAATGTCCCAAACACCAGAAATCCTTCTCCTGAGTCTTACCGGCCGCGAATGCTCGGATGATTAGATGTACTCGCACATGATTTTTGATCTCGCCGACCGATCGTACCTGAGAAGCGTAAAATCAGTCAGTGGTGCAACCAAATATCTGGACAGAATTACTCCCAAGGCCATCATTGTAACCGATGAGGGCTTAACCGAGAGCAAGCATGAAGCCGTGCTGGACAGAATTCGGGAATACGTCAAAAATGGCGGAATGGTGATCATGGGGATTTTCTTCCCCAGTTTTACTCCTGTGGACAGCTTCAATAAGTTCTTCAACCAATCATTCGGTCTGATTTGGCGTGCTGGAGACAATTTCGTGTCTACTGACGAGTTAAACCCGATCTGCAGTCTTCCTGGGGACGCAACGAAGCATTCGTTCCCAGCGTCATACACCAGCAAGGCCGTCCATATCCGTGACGCCCAACCGCACGAAATTATCATGGGACCTCTCTCCGGCGCGCAAACACAGTCCCTTGTGTCTTCGGCAGGCCCAGGCGGCGAGTCCCAGGCTGTGGTCGTAGGGGCCAAGATCGGGGATGGCTACTTGGCTACATCGGCGATGTCCGTTCAGAAAAGAAAACTGTGCAAGTTATTATAGCACTATGTGGTCTGCCTCATCGCGTTGAATCAGATATATGGGGGTATTATGGTTACTGATATACGCGCGCTTGAGGGTCAGGGGGACATGAATAGACAACCTTTGTCAAGATTCATGTCAATTGTTTAGTTTTCAACTTCTCATCAGAGAAATCCTGCCTGTCTCAAGGCTTGCCGACAACTTTGTTTCTTACCTGTTCATCCTATAATTCCGCCCAAACTCGTGAGATTTGGAGCATAAATAGGCAAAACTCCTGTATCATAGAGGAAAGAGTTCTTTTAATATCGCTGATGTGCGCGAGACTACCGATGATGATAACATTATTGCGCGTTCGGAGAGCTCACAGCTAGTAGTTCTAGTGGATGTAGTACTCCATCCCGTCGAGACCATCAACAGATATCTCTCAAAAGTTCAACTCCAAATCCTTTCTATGGCTTGAGCTAATTCCCTTAGATTGTCCCGCATAAATTGGAGCACAGACGCTTTGCTATTCTTAATAGGCTTGGGTACGCTAAGCGGACGTAGCGGCTACTTAAAACAGGCTTAAATGATGAAACACACTAACCACCCGTCTGGCCCCAGCCTTAGGAAGCTGACGTGCCCTCTCCATTTTCTGGCGTGAAATCAACTTGATAGGTCATCTAATGTGACTAAGTTAGCGCTTTCAGTACCAATTGCGGTGCTTTGTCGTCCGTCGTTTTTGCCCCCTTTCCTTCCCCTTCCCCGTGCTTTTTTTATTTTTAGTATTCTATGATGACGATTGGATATATAGCAGGATAATTCAATGTTTGAAGGATATTGTGCGCGCTACGGAGAAACTGATATCGATTAATCTAGACCATTGACACATCAGATTCCACACACATGATTCATGGGCCCCTTTCCCCAAGCCTTATGCTTGCTCGGCCTTTGGCGGACTGAATAGAGTAACGCGTTTGTAGATCGCAAGAATCATCTGAGACATTCAACTGAGATCCCCAAACGCCAACATGCCTTAAACAAACCTTATTCTTATTCATTGGATCCTGGAGACGACTTCATATGGACGGAGCGACATCGCACTCTCATTTGGCTCCAGTTGACAGAATTCTGACCGAGTGAACCTAGTGGACGACTACTTGTTTTTCATTCTTGTTAGCCTGTCTACCTAACATGGAGCAATGCACGGAGCAAATTTAGCCGTGGCATTCCGGTCATGGATGTAGCGTCGTGCTCTCCCGCCACTTTTCTTTGTCTTTAGATTTTTGCCCGAGAGCACCTTATATATATGAAGCATATAGGCGACCTTTCGACACCTTATCTTCTCTCGGCAACGAAAATTATTGGTGGCATTTGTCGTATGCCCTATTATGCCATCGAGCCAGCATCGATTTTTCCTGGAGCCGGAAAAGCCGACATGTATCGCTAAACCTTAAGGATATCGCACCACTGCTTCAGCCCGTCTCCGAAAGCCCTAAATCCTCCCCTGAACACCGGGCCCCGTAGTTTTTGCGGGAAATTTTTCACCGGACCAATGCTCAATAAGCGTAACCAATTGGACGGTCCCATGCCCGCCCCCCCCCTCTTTCGACTGCCGTCTATCTAGGTGCCGCCTTCAATTTGCACCAAGGGGGACACGGATTAATAGGCGCCGTGGTGAACGACTCCGGAGCCTGGATTCTAGAGCGGAATTTTACTTAAACTGCGAGCATGATTGGATACAGATTATCAATTGGGTTATCGGACCCACCACATCAGTGGCAGGTGGATTCGAGTGAAGCTGGATGCAGCCGAGTAGGCAGACCAGGAGCTTCGACACATACAGTGTCCTTCACTCACGCTTGGGTAAGACAATCGCTGTCATAGATTTGCCACCGAGAATCCTGAACACTGATTTAAACGTCATAATAAGCATCAAAACACCAAGTCAAGCACGAGTCTGCTCGTCTCATCATTCTGTGGATACACTGGTTGACGCCAGCCCCGTGGGTCCTTGTCCAATAGCCATTCTGCACGGCCCACATACCATACGCAAGACAAAACAAGTTGTGTTTAAGGATCAGCCCCTACACTCTGCACGCTGCTTTTTTTTTTTTGTGGACACCCCTGTCGAGCACTCAACGTGAATCACTGTACCTGGCTAACGTAGGTTCCAGACGTGTCCACGACTCGGAGCTCTCGATCCTCATTTGGCTGTGGCGTACGGCACACCAGGCTTGCTTTTTCGCATAAGCGACGTGGGCCATGCGATCTGCTACTGGATTGCCTCTTCCAGGACGCTGATGGCTCCGGAGGTCATAGCGATTGTTGAATTGGGCTCTTCGATGTAGCTACCAGCAACACGGTAGTCTATTTCCGTTCGGAGGTTGTAGCCCTTGGGGCATACAGAAAGGGTTATAAATTGGGCCATGCCGCCCCCAGACATACAGCAAACCATCACTGCGATCATTCATTTCTTCATCACTCTTTTTTATACCAAGACAAGCACTTCTATTCTGTCCTTACGTTCTGTTTCAACATGAAGTTCACTGCTGTCGCTTTCACTGGGCTGGTCGGCTGTGCCGCCGCTCTTCCTCACTTCCCTTTCTTCCCTGAGCCTTCTGGCCCTGTCCCTACTGGCACTCCGACTGGTTCGCTGCCTCCTCCTCCTACTGGCACTGGTAGCCTCCCTCCTCCTCCCACCGGCATCCCCGGCTCCGCCGGTCCTCAAGAACAGGAGGGCTCCGACATCCAGAAGCGTCAATTCGATGGTGCTGCTCCCACTGGTACCTTCCTGACCGCTCCTTCGGGCTTCCCTACCGATGGCCCTCACGGTCACCACGGCCACCACGGTCACGGTGGTTTCCCCTCCGGATTCCCTGGCCCATCCGGCTTCCCTTTCCCGTCTGGCTTTCCCGAGCCCTCTGGATTCCCCGAGCCCTCTGGTCCTCCCCCCCAGGGTGGGCCTGAGCCTTCCGGACAGCCGGGACCTGAGCCCTCTGACCAGCCCGCCCCCTCCGGCTTCCCTGGCGCCGGTGCCGGCGAGGACGCTCCCACTGCCACTGCCAACGTGAAGCGCCAGTTCGGTGATGTCACCGGTTTCCCTGACGCCTCCGGCTTCCCTGAGCCCTCTGGTGGTCCCCAGGAAGGTGGCCCCGCGCCCTCCGGATTCCCTTCCGGCTTCCCTCAGCCTTCTGGTTTCCCCGGTGGCCCTGAGCCGTCTGGACAGCCTGGACCTGAGCCCTCCGGCCAGCCCCAGCCCTCCGGCTTCCCCGGCGCTGAGCACGGCGAAGCCCCCGCTCCCACCGGCACTTTCAACGAGAAGCGCCAGTTCGGTGAATTCCCCAGCGCCCCCGAGGGCTCTGGCTTCCCCCAGCCCTCCGGTGGTCCCCAGGACGGTGGCTTCGAGCAGGGTGGCCCCGAGCCTTCCGGCCAGCCCCAGCCCTCGGGATTCCCCCAGCCCTCCGGCTTTCCCGCTCCTTCTGGTTTCCCTCAGCCCTCCGGTGGCGCTGAGCCCTCTGGTTTCCCCAGTGCCGGATTCCCCGGTGCTGGTGGCACCGGCGAGGAGGCTTCCGCTCCTTCTGAGACAGCTGCCGCTCCGTTCAACTAGATCTGATGATCTCGGGGTTCGGAAATCGATTGTTCTATCGGAGTATCAACGTCATCGTGGCTAGCTGGTCGTGTTGCGATGGTTGATTCTGCGTTTAAGGGTTTAATTAGTCTTGAATGCGGGGCGATGGAATCATTGATTGGAAGGCTGAGCTTGTCTGCATAATTTCGTTCTTTTTTCTTTGTCTAGTGTCACTCGTTGATTGTGGACTTGGTCATTCTTTCTTTGGATGATAGAGTGGGATGTATCTAGTTCATAGCCGAATAATATTAAAGAGCAAAAATCTGAAATGTTCACTTTCAGTATTTGTTGGGATTTTGTGATTATTCTATGGTAAACTACCGATAATCTGTGTTATAGAGATGCTGGATGCAGGAAGGCTATTCATGAACGTTCTTTAAAACATGACTCAATGAGAAAAACTCTACAATAATTAGTTCTCCAAATCAAACCCCCTTTCCATCCTCTTCTTCTCCCTTTTCCTTTCCTTCTTCTGCTGCTTGAGCTCTCTCTTCTCGGCACGAGTTAACCTCGGAAAGTCCGACCTCTGTCCCCGAATAATATGCCCCGGATGAAACACGTTCAGCGCCAGCAGAGCCAAAAACATCGGTGCCGCATCCAACACATACTCATACGACTCAGTCGTCAGAACCGGATTCGTCTCATCATACCCACGCGCATACTGACAGAGCCGAAAGATGATCCGAACGGAGATCATAGCCAAAGCAAAATAGATGGCATAGAACAGTCTCGAAGGATGGAATAGACCTTGTCGGACCGGCGCCTTCTCGTCGTCCCCACCCTCCATGTATCTTAACGCGGATACTTTCCGTTGGAGCTTGATGGTTAGGGCTAGGAAACATAGGATAAAGAGCTCTTGCATTCCGATACCGCCCATGTAGAGGTGGAGCCCGAGCATGACGAACTTGCGCCCCATGCTGTCGTTGGTTGACATTGAGGCGCCGGCTACTTGGACTAGGAATGCGAGGATGTCTAATGCGACGAAGAGGAGTCCGTAGCGGCGCGCAGAGATCTTTGCGAGTCTTTGATGCGGTAGGAAGTAGTAGATCATTCGGCCGAGTGTCATGTAGATGAATGCGTTGATCCCTGGGCGCCGTCTTAGCGAGACTTTCTTCGATAAAACTCTAGCAACCCTCGTAGGAGTCGAATGGAATACTTACAGATGGGTGCAAGAAGAAAGAATAGCTCGTACATAGTACCCCAAACGTCTTTATTCTGCTGACGAGTCTGCATAACCCGGAAAATAAACGCTAAGAGCTCCCACGTGGCGCCCATGATGACTACCCATGCGTAGCGCTGTAAAGTTGTGAGTAGGAATCAAGTGCGAGGAATTATTTAATCTGACCTTATTGTACAAAAAAGCCTGAAACGTATGAGCCAATGTCGTGAGACCAAATAAAACAGAGAACAAAATCGCTGCCCCGAAAGACGGCTCGTAGAAGAGAAGCGAGCCGCATGCCTCTGGAGGTAGATATCCATTTTTGCCGGGGGCGATATCGAGACAGGTAGGAGACGGCGTCGCGGAGGCTGAAGTTGTCGCCGTGGGTGCCATGTTTCTCTTGCGTTACTCTGCTGTTTGTGAACTTGAACCATGAGGAATTCATGCTCTTCTTACGGTTTGACGGTAGCTATATATGCCTACAGGAATTTGCCAAGCTCGTTTGCTTTTCGTTCTATTGTTGGGGCCATGATCCCTCAAGGCATCCTTATATCTTAGTACAATCAGATTTGTCTAGGGTCATCAACAAACTCAACTTAGTCTCAACAGCAAGGGCAAGGCCGATTTGTACTCTGATTTTCGATGCAGATCGATTGGCAAGGCTACGCTAAAATGTACGAGGACCCACCGGCAGCAGGAATGCGCGCTAAAACACACGACGGATCAATCTTAGGCTTTCACACTTAGGCAGTGATGATGCTGTTAGTTTTTCTTGTTATGAGCCTCAATCTGTTTGGATGCTAATATAACTGATCCTTCGACAGCGGCAATTTGGAGCTCACTAGGTGGTTGTATAGCAAGGCTTTTATTCAATCAACAACATCATTAATGTTGGCGAGCCCCTGGAGCTCAAGACGTTGATGCCTGAGGCTCCCGGGGACTTGGCCGAAGAATAGGGCGAAACACCGCACTGCCTAAGCTCGCATAATAAAAGGCCTCTCTCTCTACTGCTTACTCAGTAGTTTAGGATAGTATCGCATATAATCAAGGCCTTCTACCGCTACATTTACTACACTACCCCTAGACCCCGTACCTAGCCTCCTACACCCCTGGTACTCATTCTCATTCCTTCGCCGTGCCCAGAGCCTATTTACAATAGTAAAGATCGAAAATCCGGAGTTTTGCCAAAGAAATGCCCACATAATCTTCAATCTAAGTTTCTCGACAGAGACACTATCCAAGTTCCTGATCGTAGTGACGTAGGTACATACCTCCGCGGGGTTAAAACATCAAATCGGCACCGGTGTGGAAGAGCACCTGCTTGCTCGCCGTCATGGGCACGTCGAACACGACTCTAAGAGGGCAGTCTTAGAAGATTTTTAGAGCCTGGTGCTCTTCCGGGCATTTGAAAACTGGAAAGTCCAATCGGGACTAATAACTAGAAGTTTAGGATGCCATCGTACAGTCTTGGTAGACACTGGCTCACTGGCTTTTGAAGGGATCCTTACTCTGGCGGATTGGAGAGCTGATTGACGGCTAATCGAATTCTGAAATTCACAAGCTAGTCCGACATCCGAGCGACCTCATGATGACAGGCCTTGGCTCAAGCTAAGCCACAGGCTAAGAGAGATACCCTTGGTCCAAACTTTGTTATTATTGTTTTCCTTACCTTGATCTGGAATGAAATAAACGGCTCCATCTCCACTCATCCCGGCCCTGAACGGACTTTTCCATAATTGCGCGCCCAATTTGGCAAAAAATCTCGACTCATTCGCAGTTGCCTCAATACGAATCGCACCCCCGGATTTACCATGGGACTCCGATCAGTCTGGACGTGTCTGGTTACTTTGGTATCTGCCAAAGTGTTATTTCTATCTTAATTCTTACGTAACAAAATGCCCTACAAAAACGGGATCTCCGCGGAACATCGATCAGTCGATGGGCTGCCAAGACAACCTAGTAGACTAAATTATACAAGTAAAGCCGTAGCAGAAAGGCCAGACTCATGATATCATGCTGACGGATAGAGGTCGTGAATGTTACTCTGCGGAGCCCCTCAGCACATTCACAGGGCCGATTAAAGCCTAGAACTGGCGTCTTTTGATACCAGAGATCTTGACTAAAGTTTTCCTAAATCACAAAACGAATGTAATTCGGATGAATCCGTTGCGAGCTATCTGAAGGTAGACATAAGCAGCGAATATGACACACAGAACGGATTCGTCCTAGGAGTATTCTCCAACAAATTTCAACCAAATAGCCTGGTTGTTTGATAAATAGATCTCGGTAGTCTCCATTCCGACCTGCTTCGACAAACATTTGAAATCGTGGCCGTAATTCATCAAACATACAGGCTTCAGGATCCCAGCGCCATAGTCACCGCTCCTAAGACTCCAGCCTGCGAGTAGGTCGACTTCCTCATCTCGCTCGACGTCATATTGAGAGGAGGACCATATTTCTTTACATGTTCGTCGTATTCTTCCGGGGTGTAGTCTTTGGGATCTTTGGCCGGTTTGGAACGAAAGGCCTTTTTGACGGCGTCGAAGCCCATCGTGGTAGAGATTGGTGGGGATCTGATAATAGAGTGGCTGAATAAGGTTTGCGGTATATTTAAACCTTTTTTTACAAATTCGATTCTTCCAGAATTGAGGATCCATGGGTATTGCTGTCTCAGGGTCTGGAGCGGTTTTAAATAAAGCTGAGTTGGACACTCCTTTACCTCCTTGGCATTGCGTCATGCACGATGCACCGCCCCTGGGGCCGCCCGTTTCCCCGGCCGTCGGTCAATAGTTTCATGTGGACGTTTAAAGTTTCTTTATAGAGTTTATTATATGACGGGGGGGGAAACGTTATGTGTAGTATCTACTTGGAAGTTTGATAACAATCCACTGGATAGTTTCACCGGTACGGCATGATCTGGACAATAGCTGAGGGAATTATGTATACAAGACCGCGCAATTACAAAACCCAAAATGTCTGTCTAGAATTCTAACAAGAGCTTCTCAGGCGAATTTCAAAGACTTCTCCGTAGGCCTGGTTAATCGCGCGGGATCAGAGCGAAGTTATGGTGTGGGGCTGATAGATATCATAGGCCAGTGGCCCAGTGGGTCACATACCTTAGGTAGCACCAACATTTCACTCGGAAATCTGATTCGACAAGGGCTCAAGAAACCTGGCATATCCGTGGCCTCCGGGATCCTGCGGTCCACCCACCGCCTTTTCGGCAGTGGGTGGACCGCAGCGAAATTGAAGTTTGCAGCGAAATTGAAGAAATGAAGCAATTTTTGAACATTTGAATTCTCAACCGCCCAACATGACGAAATATAGCGAAGAAGTCAGAAATCAATTATTTGAAGCTGTACAATTCGCTCAACGCGAAAAAAAAACCGAATATCGCGAAAATTGCGCGAGAATTTAACGTTCCTTATCGCACATTGCATGCGCGTCTTTCCAAACCTCCTTCAACTTCAACCTCGCGTATCCCACACAACAAGACTCTGGAAGAATATCAAAATGAGGCTTTGAAGCAGTGGATTGCTCAAATGGATAATATTCATCTTCCAGTTACGACTCGCATGGTCACGGACTTCGCAAATCGCGCTTTATTTCGCGCAGGATCAGAAAAGCGCGTCAGCAAATGGTGGCCATATCGCTTCGCTAAAACATTGCCTCCACACCTTCAATTGAAGCCGATGAAACAAAAAACAAAAGAGAAGAAGCGTTTGACTGCTGAGAATACTGGATTTCTTCAATTTTGGTATCACCAGCTTTCTCGCGTGGTTGAAAATCTTCCTCCACGTCTCATCTACAATTTTGATGAATGCGGATTTCAACCCGGTCAATGCAAAAGTCAACACGTTTTAGGATCCTCGAAAAGACCTCCTCCTGATCTTCCTGAGGCTGAAAAAACTCAGAATATAAGCGCTGTTGAATGTATTGCAGCGGATGGCTGGGTAATGACGCCGCTTTTTATCTTTGCAGGTGAAAAGTTTATGGAATCATGGTATACGCATGATAATTTTCCAAATTACTATACAGCGGTGTCAGAAAAAGGCTATATCAATGATCAACTCGCGCTTGACTGGCTGAAGAAATTTCATGAAGAAACAAGTGTTCCTGAACGCTTGAAAAAAAATGAAAAACGCGTGCTTTTATTTGACGGTCATACGGCTCATCTAACTCTCGAATTTCTGCAGTTTTGTGAAGAAAAAGAGATTATTCCTTTCGGCTTTAAACCTCATACAACTCATCTATGTCAACCGCTCGATGGAAATCCTTTTCTTACATATAAAAATCGATTTTATTCGCAGAATAATGAGATTTCACAGTATGGAGGAGTCCCTGCGGGAAAGTCCGATTTTTTGAAGGATATCACAGCCGTACGAGAAAAAACCTTCACACAACGAATAATTCGTCATTCCTTCAAAAAACACGGCATTTTTCCTGTCAACGCTTCACTGATCATTCAACCGCTTTTAAACAAATTATCGAGAAATGAGACCTCTATTTCTGAGCTTCATAAATACGAAGAACGCACACCTTCACGATCACCGGATATCGGCTCTTCAAACATCGAAAATACGCCTCCAAAAAGCGCTGAAGCAATCGAAAAAAATAAAAAGAAACGCTCAAGGCTTTTACCTTCCGATTCAATCACCCCAAAACTTCAACGTCATCTTGATCGTACGGATTTTCACCTCAAAAGAACTCAGGAGGAGCTTACAATGATGCGGGATACTGTGAAACGAATGAGAGAGATGCAGGCGCCTCGAATGCGAAATACAACACGGCGGCAAGTTCCAAACCTCTCGGATAGCGGTATTCTCACTGTAAATGATGCGAATCGCTCAATTGAAGCCTCTAGGAAGAAAAGGATTGATCAGGAAGAAAAAAGGCTTCAAAAACAGCTGGAAAAGGTTTACGGCAAAAGAACGCCCAATTCTGACTCTACAAGCTCACAAAAAGCTTCATCTCAAGCGGCTAATCCTGCTCATTCAACTGGCCAAGAACATTAATTCTTTTTTCATTGATTTACGCGGTGTTTAGTATTGATAATTCAATTGCTTCATTTCTTCAATTTCGCTGCGGTCCACCCACTGCCGAAAGGCAGTGGGTGGACCGCAGGATCCCGGAGGCCACGGATACACCCAGAGCAGTGATAGGATCGGCGGTAGCACAAGTGAGCAAAGAACCATGGACCAGACAGGCCACAAAACGGCCATCAGATCCGCATCAATACGATTTGTACCTGCCAGGAAATCACATATGCTGACCCCTCAACCCAAACAATGACAGACAGATATAACCCTGATCCGAAAAGGGTCAACCCTTCTTAGCGGTCGGCTATTTAAGACATCCACATGGCCACCACACAAACCTTAAGGAACACATTCCTTCCTCTACAACCAGATTGAGCACCTCTCGTTCAATAACTGAAGCCATTCTCTACGACAGTACGATCACACCTTTCGCCCTGTACTACGAGCTTTTGCGATGTCAGAGCTCGGTATCCCGTTGGAGCTTCTCCACATGATCCTGGGTTTTCTTGACCTGGAGAGCATCAAATCTCTTCGTCTCGTGAATCGAATATTGAGCCAACGCTGCCTTGGACCTCACTTCAACATCCGTCAGCCAACCCTTGATCTGACCGAGCAGAGCTTTCAGTCGCTGAAAGCCCTGATTGATAATCCGGTACTGCGTCAACAAGTTCACCACATCACAGTCGTCGCGCTTTATTTTGCCACCAAAGAGGCAGAAGAAAAGCGAAACCCGGATCGAAAAAGACAACTCAAATGGAAAACTCAGGATATCCAATCCGATATTCACTGGCTGAGAGAACAGAGCAAAATTCAAGAAGAAGTGTCTGCACAATCCTTGGTTAGGCGTCTAGGTCGGGTTTTCCAGCAGTTCGAGAACCTCGACAGTGTCGAGCTCGATGCGGCAGTCCAACTCGGGCCACAGCTACGAGTCAGTTCCGAGGAGGGTGTTTGGCCGGAGATCTGGACCAAGGCTACAAAGGTGCATGATATTGTGATCTCTGCCCTTGCTGAAGGCAAAGTTTCGATTGGCTGTTTGAGCATCTATCGAGACCTCATAAGATGCAGTGTTTTCTTGACTGATCACACGCTTCAACTGACAAACCTCGATCAAGCCGGTCGTGATGTTCTCGGTGCAAAACTGCACACCCTGAAATTGAGTCTCTGTACAGAGATGTCCAACGAAACAATGATAGGAATGGCATTGGGGGGTGACAAGATTTTCGATAAGTCTTTTGGTAGTGAAACCGAGCTGCCTAGAAGACGCATCCCCCAGGCAGCATCGTGCGAGCGACCGGGAATCTTGCAATTACTGCAGTCAACTCCAAAGCTGCGTCATCTCGATTTGCAGCTTTACCGTATGACTCGGAGAGATGGCGGATATGAGTGGATATCCACGGCCATTTCCGAACAACCCTCACTTCCTGAGCTGGAGACTCTGTCTCTAGCTGGCTTTCCAGTGATGCAGGATGCTCTACTTGGATTCCTTGCGCGGCACACGAATACCATCAAAAGTGTCACTTTTGAAAGTATTACGCTTACAACGGGCAAATGGGAGCCAATTTTCGAGCAATTAAGCACAAAGATGCCGTGTCTGAGCCAGGCGCACTTCTCGACCCTTTTTGACTACAATGGTGTCCAGGGCTCTGGAGAAAGGCCTCGAAGATTGATTAATCTTCTAACTATTTGGGAGAATGGCCTTCCAAAAGCAGGCCCCTTTCCGCCAGGGAGGAGAGACTGCTTTCCCCATCTTGGAAACTCATACACAGTGCACAGGAGAACCTTCAACGAAGATCAGTTGCGCAAAGGCCTGGAATTTCGACCTCAGCCACAAGAAAGGTCAAAGGGCTCACCTGATAATTACCTTTGGGGAAATAGGATTCGTAATGTCTACGGGCCCCCAGATCGTCTCTTGATGTGTCCGTCACAACCGGACATGACCGATTCGAGTGAATATGAGACCGATTCGAGTGAAGATGATTCTTAGGCAATGGTGTTCGTCTATGGTTCCGGAGCACCTCCTCGTTTACTCGCGAGTTTGTAATGCCTTATGGACTCTAGAACGATGGGACTCAAAAGGGGGTTGTTGGCATAGATATCGGTCAACGATATGGAAGATACACTGCCAAAACAGATTGCACTATTAACACAAATTGGACTTGAAGTTTCTCTTAAACCATGGCTTTGTAGAGTGTCGCACTATAATACAGTAAAATTCTCAGTAATTCTGGCTGAGACCTTACGAAGACTGTCCGAAGGTGAACTCGGGGATGTTGATGGTAGTGACAGTCCAGGTCTTGCCGTTGTCGTTGGTGGACATCTCGCCGGTAACACCCTCGCCCTTGCCGACGGTGTTGATGTAGTTGGGGTCAGCGGAGTCCAAGGTGATCTTGGTGTCGATCCACTCTGTGAAACAATATGCATTAGTCCAACAATCCATTACATAGGACGCAGTCCATTAGCTGCAGGAAAGCTTACTATGAGCACCGATAGTGCCGCAGTTGTCCTCGCCACACTCGACGGAACTGCCCCAGCCCTGGGCGTGCTCGTCGCTGGTGGAGAGGGTCGAAACGGTCTTGCCGTTGAGCTGAACAGTCTGCGTGTAGTTGCCGCTGTTGTCGTCGAACTTGTCTGTATTCACGTTTAGCTGCATGTTCCGGTCTCTTAGTGTGCGGGGTGCTCTTACAGTGCATAGTGATCTTGTCGCCCTCAGTGGCATCTGTGGCAGGTCCCTGGACGGGCATCTGGGACTGGGCTGAACAGATCGTCAGTTTCTTGAGGCTCTCAATTCAAAGGAGCCTAGGCTCGACTCACCGCCGGTGCTCAGCAGAGTGTAAGCGTAGACGCTCCAGTGATCGGAGTCCCAGTTATCGGCGATGGACTGGACCAGATCACCGTTGGAGGTGCCCATGCCAACCCAGAGGGAAGCAACACCGGTAGATCCACTGGGAGCCTTGGGGAGAACCAAGGTGGAGGTGGCCTCGCGAATCCAGCTGTTGTCAGAGACAGGACCGGTGCTGAAGGCAGGGCCCATGGCAGCATCGGCGGCCTGGAACGCCATGGCGGCGAGAAAGGGAAGGGTCTGGGCGATAGAAGGCATTGTGATGGCAACTGTTATTGTGGAGTGGCTGTCACAACTGTCAAGGTTGGACCGGCAGAGCGTTTTATATATGCTTCTCGAGAAACCTCGTGCCTGTCACCCTGGATTCTAGTGGAGGAGAATTCACTCCGTAATCTCTGATCAAAACATGCAATGGTACGATTAATCAAACCAGCCTCCACCTCTCAAGGGGTAAACCAGTCGGAGACAGTCGCGGTAGCAGCTTAAAACTGCCGATCCATTTATTTCCAACGCCGGAGACCCACAGCCACCAACAAGCAACGGTAAGATCGTCAGTCTCGCGGAGAAACTCCAGAGCGCCATACTGGATCTGGCGTTTCAACGGCGGAGTTGAATCCTTTTCGTGGGCCTGACCTTCAACATCCGAGCCCTGCTGGTAGTTCTTGTACTCGAAACATACTCAGTATTCCGTACCTTCCGTACCTACTCCTTAGACACTAGTCATTGCCTCCGAAACACGGTCGTTCTCTGACTCGAGACGAACAATCGCAGGCGTAATTGATACTCATTTAGGTATAAATCCCGAGAGACATTGGAATCTTCAATCTACACATAACCGCCCCTTCCAGGCCTACTCCGTAGTCGGGAGATGGGTGTCACTTCGCCTGCGGGACTGGCAAGTGACGGAAACAAAAATACCGTCCTCTCCGATCTAGGGACTACACATAAGCATTCAGGTCCATGGATGCCAAATGCTTAATCTTTCTACAGTCCACCGAGCCCCACGGGGTATAAGGCATCTAGATTTATGTTCACCATTCTAGGCCCCCTGGAATTTGGTAAGCGAAAAGTTCCGAGTGTCTGACTCGCTTAGACACGTCCAAGGTTTAAGGTTTCTAAACGGAATGTTATACAACGTTGACAACTTAAGTGTGGGAAATTTTGGAGCTAGAAAAGAAAGATTCCAGGTTGGAAAGTTATGATCTTAACCGGAAATGCTTAATTAAAAGCGCAGATATTTGCAAGGTGTACGGCCTGGATTGTTCTCAGATGAATTTTGGTCGATAGACTCGGCGGATCATTTTTCAGGTTATTCGAAGCCCTCTCCTTTCGCCTTGCGAAAAAACCCCTTCTTAACAAAAAGGGGGGAAGCACAGAGACTGCTCCATCTGTATAGTGCTTGATATGAGTTTGAGACATGGGCGGGTCCTGTCGGTAGAATTCCTTGAGATTCTTTAACATAGTGCGGAAGGCTGCTACATCCCTTCCAAGCATACTCCGTACGGAGTAGAAATTAGAAACATGCACTCCGGTGTACAATAAAAGCCAAATTCGCCCTGAAAGTCTTTCGGGTCTCTTCCTTGCACAATGTCTGCAACATCGCATGTCAACACGCCGGCTCCTGCACTTATGACGATAAGTACTCCTATTTCCAAATGTGTCCGAGTTATAACACAAGTTCTTTTCAATATCCACATCATCTTCCATACATGACGCTTCTCGACAGGCTTTATCTCGATTCCAAAAGAGAATTCTTCTCAGACGGTCAGGGGAAACGGGCACCACTGCAGGTTGATAATACTTTGCTTCAAAAGGCCCCATCGCAGTCAAACGCTTTGAGTACTTACCATGGTACAATGCAACCGGTGATAGCACCATCTTCTGCCGCGGAACGATCTATCTCTTGTATCTACTCTCACTCTCCTCAAAACAATTAAGCAAAATTGCCAGACAAGTGATCGATCGAAGATTTGCGATCCACGTATTTTTCTTCCTCTTATTCACGCTGGTCGATAAGCAAGATATCTACTAACACAGAACATGAGATATTTGCATGATTTCCTGTCTTTGTTTTCTCTCTCTTCCATCTAAACGACGCGAGACGCGTCCCGGCTTTGTTTACTCGGCATTTCTTCGGAAAATTCCCGTGTCCCCGGCGGAGGCGGAATTATCCCGGTTGAGTAACCACGGAGGTGTCTACACTTTGTTAACAAAGATGATATGCAATCCCCATCCTTTAGCCATTATAGAACTTAGATTAGATTTAGGTTACGGTTTGAATTGGTCTGTTACCTCATGGACTGATCACCTTGGCTTTTGAGCAACCGAGTTTACGGGCGCATGTAGCTAATTCCATCACAGTTTTCCTCTCATTAGCAGGTGATGAGATCGAGATAAACGATTACTGTAACGTTAAGTCTCTACTATGCAAGTGGCCGTAAGTCAGGAATGCTTTGCTACGGGGTTTCTGGTCTGTTTCCCTCAGCTTGGCCTTCGTAAGTCTTGAACATCACAGGTGGGTGTTCCAAGAAGAGCGGGTGATATATATAACGAACAACCAGTCTGCCCCAAAAGGGCTTTTTTGGGCACCCCAACAACGCATCTTGCCGCTCATTTGACGGTAACCTGATGTTACTCTCGGCTATTTCTCGCTTGCCGTTTGTTGAATCTAATCTGGGCTGACAATGCGACAGGTTTCGGTGTATGTTGTTGACTTACTGGTGTTTTCGGCCGGCTTGAACTGCCAAGACGCCAATGCATGATCTAACTAAACAAGGCTTAGTGGAATATGCCGCGGCGGATCCCCTCAAGCTGGAGCGTCACCAGCGATCATCCCTGTGATGATGTCCGTTGCAGAAAAGAGTTCAGGTCTCATTATCAAGGTAAAAACTCAACCTCAATCAAACTCAATCTGTCTGCAATGGACTTTTTAGTATATCACAGCAGTGGGAGAAGCTCTTGTTTTAGGCATATCCTACTCAGGGAGGGCTCGAGAGTGTTTTGTGTGATGATAAAGATCGGACTGTTGGCTATATTACAAAGTAAATATGCGAATTAGAGAGCGCTTCCCTAGTACTGTAGCTAACAGTAGAACTAAATTTCTCAATGAATCTAGGTTCATCTTGGTGTGGCTTTGCTTTGATGTTCGCTCAGTCATTGCTTGGGATGAAGTTCCACCCTTGTCTCGCCATTGACAGGTGAATTTCTTGCTTAACAGGAGTAAGGTACATAGCATGGAGAGCGATATTTGATAATAGTGAAACATCATGCAAGTCACCTTGCCACCGAGGTCCGGTCAATCTATACCTAGGGGCACTCGTCATCCCACATCCCGTTCTGGAAGCACGAAGCATCAACACCGGCTCCAACGTGGCAGTGAAGAATGCCATCATCATTAGAGATGATGTCATCTATTTTCATTAGCTCTATCAGGTCACGGGACATCTCGAGGGCTTGATTTCGACATACTCAAGTCAATAGTAGTTTTGACAGTCTTGTCATCGCCGTCCAAGCATTGGCACATCATCTTCCCATCGTAGGTGATGCTGCAAAGCTGGCAACGGCCAGTATAATTACCGCTGTTGGTTGAATGGTCTGTTAACTATCATCTACAACTCTGGAGAAGGGGGTGTACTTACTTTTCCAGAGGGATGAGGTTTCCATCAGCGTTCACACCATAGCACTTGTCAAGGTCAAGGAAATTGTGCAACTTGCCACGGGAGCCCGCGCATTTGGCAGTCATCACTCGGTTTTCCTGAATGTCATCGATTCTGCAGGTCGCATAAAAATCACCTGCTGCGGCGAATGCCGCTAGGGACAGAACAGAAAGGGCTTGCTGAAGCTTCATGTTTTCCGATTGATTATGGTTGGTAGAGTTTGTGTTTTGTTGGTTATGTTGATTGTAGATAGGTTTGTTCAAGGTGATCTTCGAGATATTTATACCCATTCAAAATGCCTCAGCTGGGTAGAAATCAAGCTACGCTACTTCCATCCTGGGTCTGGCCGAAGAGTAACAGCCTGTAGTTGGTGGTTTTCTCCATCCTGGTGCACGCTTATACTGGGTTTGGTTAATTACTGGCCCCATGACAGGGATCAATTTGCCCTCAAATTAAAATCGATGTCCAATAGGCATACACTGCGCAAGTCTGTTTTTAGACGTTACGGGATCACTGTTGGCAATGCCCCATTATGTCTCGGATGAGATTGAATCCGATATGAAGCCTTCTCGAAAACGCCCTGAGCCTTGTACTCCAATCTTCGTACGACTCCGTTTCCCGGAGAATGTAACTAAACCGACAAAAATAACCCCTCATGACGTCCTAGTGTGCTGCCACTATCGAACTATCTAATCTCTAATTTCACTAGCTCTTGCCAATCACTGATACTAAACCCTAGAGGACCAGCTGGACCCTTAAAAATGGCATATGCCCATTTCGCCAAGGAAGCGGGTGCCAGACAAAGGAACAAGCTAGTGGTGTTCCCCTGATATCAACGGTCAAGTGTCAGTGCCTGCTAGTCGATTGGCCCAGTCTAGCTGATATGGATCTTGAGTGTCATTGTTGGCCCCAAACTTTCGCCCCACAACTACCCATCGTGAACCGTAGTAGTGGGGGCTGAAAGGGAACGAGGACCCTTAATTCATGGCCACGCTGCACCTAGAGCCTCTAACTTTCTTAAGAGCAATGGGAAAACATCACGCAGAAAGCAAAGATAAAAAGCAGCAATCCAAAGTCTTTAATCGGTAGACGGTAGTTTATAAGGCCAATCCGAGTCTATACCCAAAAAAGGCCTTCATTGTCCGTATACGCTTGTTTTATGAGGACGACCTTTCCTAGTGGAGATATGGCCAAGAGGCTCACAGCTTCTTCAAAATTGGCACTAAAATGTACGAGATACTAGCCCGTTAAACTAGCTTCGAATCTAGAACCCCACTTTAGGCAATTTTATTTTGAGTGTCCGATCATTGCCCTTGTTAGCTGCAACTTGTCTCCACTGATTTTGCACGAAGGAGCCTCAAGCCCAATATTAAAATGCGTCTTATTAGGAGCGGTGTGTGCTCGCATTCTCGAGGTATATGACACCTCAGCTTGTCCCTCATGATAAATACAGAGCCTAGAATCCACTCTTGGAATAAAAGCATTCCTGTAGTTTGTTGATTAGAGCTCCTTTTCTAGACTAGGGCTGGCGCTCTTTCCCAGTTTCTAAGGTTTCAGTCCAAGATATCACGTGAATATCCATACAGAAACATCCATACGCGTGTTCTCTGGTCTGTCACATGATTCGAATAAGATCAAGGCCCCGTTATGAAGGCAGATATTCAAAGTTATTTTAAGATAAACGCCCAACGAGCGAGTTCAACATGTCAACCTTGATTTTATAAAGGTATTTATTTGACTGGTCGATCATTCATACATATCTCATTCTTTCCAGCTATTCACAAATTGGACTGTACAGGACCACTCGAGGACGGAAAGCCCCCATTGGGGTGGATGATGACCTTTGTGTATCCGTCTTCCCTCTTGTCGAACTTGTGATAGGCAACTTCTGCATCGTCAAGCGCGATTTCGTGGGAAATCACGAAGCTTGGCTTGGCCTTGCCGGCGACGATCATGTCCCGCAGGTATCGGTTATAGGCCTTCACATTGCATTGACCGGTGGCTAACGACAAACCCTATAAAAGTTAGATGCATACTGGACCACACAAGAAGTTGAATCCGTACCTTTTCAAAGAGCTTGCCAAAGCTGAGACTGATGGCGCCCTTGGCGGCGGCTTCATCAGAAGCGCCGGGGTCACTATAACTTAGATTAGTGTATTCCAGATATCATTGGCTGGGAAGTTTACATACCTAGGCACGTATAGTCCTGGAATACCCATGCCTCCACATGCTCGGGTGACACTGATCATGTTTTCCAACACAATGTTGGCCTTCTCTGATGACCCGCTCTTGTCTACAGCTTGGTAACCCACCGCGTCCACGGACCGGTCGACCATTCCCCCGTTCAGACGAATAATCTTCTCGACAGTGTCCACTGCAGTGAAGTTGATGGGAATGCAGCCAATATTCTGAGCAGCGGCGAGTCGCTCGGGGACTCGGTCAACAACGAACACGCGAGATGCCCCGCGGAGGGTGGCAGAGTAGGCGGCCATGAGGCCTACAGGACCCGCACCGAAAACCGCGATACTTTCTCCAGACTTGAAGCCAGAAATTTCCACTCCATGCCAGCCTAGCCAGGAATCAGAATCCGGAATATACTCAGGAAAAGTGTCGATTATGGGGATTACCTGTTGGAAAGATATCTATGGTGGGCAGTTAGAAAGTTCGACGGTCAAGAACAAACACTCGGAACTCACCTGCAAGAAGAACAAAGTCGGCCTCATGCTCCGTCCCAGGAGGCAGCAGAAGCGCATTGAAGTCGGCATATGGAACCCGGATATATTGCGCCTGGCCTGGAGTTACAGCTGGGTTAACTTCGAGTATTTTGGGTTTCAACTGTGCATGGCAGAATTACCTCCTCGGTACGGGCCCATAGCCACATAGCCTGTAGAAAGTCAGCGACCAGCGACCTGTGAACATAAAGGTGCTTAGTTCATACCATAGGCACCTCCAGCAAAACCCGGGTTAACGCCTGTGCAAAATGCAGTATAACCTTGTTCGCAATTCTGGCACCTGCCGTCGGCCACGTTGAATGGCATCACAACACGGTCGCCCTTTTTTAACAGTGTGACTCCTTCTCCCAGTTCCTCAACAATTCCCATGTTTTCGTGGCCTTGTGACATATTAGTAAAGAGTCGCTTAGCCCTCAAATGACATTGTGTTCACCAACCAAATGTGATCCCGGGCTCTGCCGCAGTGCGCCCCTCGTACATGCTGTGTAGCTGTGAGTCCAATGCTACTACTCATCGTCGACTGCACCCCCCTGTATACTCACTGCAGGTCGGATCCGCAGATGGCAGCCTACCAGTCTCATTAATAACTTATTCCACGCATTGGAAGGGAAGCGTACCGTGGTGACTTTGACAATGACGTCATCAGGGTGTTCCAGCTTCGGCTTTTCGACATCCTCCACGCGCACCTTGTAAGGGCCGAGATAGTTGAGTGCTTTCATAGTAGATGCCATGATGACGGTGGTTTAATGCTTTGAGTTGAAAAAGAATTCAATGGCATGACATACGGGTTTCGCGGTCGGGGATCGGGGAGATATATGGGCTAAGAGTTGCGCGACTCGTGTCTTCGGGGCAATGTCCCCCATTCCAAATCGGGTTCAGGATTCCGTCAATCCCCGCCATGGAGAAGCTCCATGAGCTGAACATTCGCCGATCATGGCAAGATTACCCCGTCGAGCCAGAGTGGACCATGCGAGCGGGGAATATTTCCCCTTCTACGTCGGCGGGGTTATTCTTGGCGCCGGTATGCGGAGAACGTTGCCCTTTCAATGTGGGATGGAGATTGCCTCATTTTGTTCCCGTCTATCATAATGAAGTCGTTTCGGGGATTGGGAGGGGTACAAATTGGCGAGCCTCCGGCCAGAGTGGTCGGAGGTTGCTGGTTAGGAAATCTGAATCTTGCAAAGTCACAAGGCTCCCTTTCTGCATTTGAGGACCAACATGACTTCTGTGCTGCGCTTTCGCTCGATCTGGGGTGTTGATGCTGGAGTCAACTATGAGAACTGGGATAAGTGGTTTCCTAGCCTAAAGGCCCAGGGCTACAGTAATGGAGTCTTCCTTGACTGCGTATACCCATAAGCTAACAAATGTGCCAAATAGCTGGGGTGGAAATAGACATTGCGCCTTTTGAGGATTTAGTCTCAATCCGCCGGCTTTGCGACGAAATTGGTCTGGAGATCAGTGTCTTGTGAGTTGACGAATTTCTACAATCACCTTTGCGACCAACTCTTTAACTCTGTTTGCCCAGAATTCATACACTATGGCCCATGTATGCCGGTCCGAAGCCCGCTGGCCTCACACCTAAGGATCACCTTGCCGGCTATCGCACGCAACTAGAGCGCGCCAAGACGCTGAAACCCTATAAAATCAATGCGCATTCCGGAGAGTGAGTTCATCATTGCGGTGCGCATAGGTCCAGTCTCATACTGATTATTTTAGCGACCAATGGTCGGTTGATGAGGCAGTCGAGTTCTTCGAGGGCTCTCTGGTCGTAGACGCCGAGGTCGGGCTTCAGGGCAAGGTCTGTCACGAGACCCACCGGAATCGAGCCTTTTTCAGTCCATACACCACCGCGAAGGTATTGAAGAGGGTGCCTAGGTAAGGCCAAGGACTCCATAATGCGGAAGCATACTGCTAACGAGTGATGTCAGTCTGCGTGTGACGGCTGACTTTTCCCACTTCGTTGTTGTCTGTGAACGGCTGCTGGACCAAGGCGAGGAGGATAAGGAGCTGCTCCACACAATAATTCCCCATGTGAGTCACCAGAAACTTCGCGACGAAGCCGACATATGGAAGGCTGATTACTTCAAGGTCAATCATATCCATGCGAGAATGGGCACGACACAGTCGTCGCAATGCCCAGAGCCAACGAACCCGATCTTCAAGGATGAAAGACGGTTCTTTGAAGATTCATGGAAACAGATTATCGAGGCATTTGCGACTGGCACATTTAAGTCAGAACCTATTACATTTGTCCCTGAGTATGGGTGAGTGATTGATCAATGTCGTACCTTGATAGCATTTGCCTAGGCTGACACAACTCGCTTTGCTCCTTGCAGACCTTTTCCCTATCACCCATTCGGTGCTGCTAGTGACTTCTCCGACGTCGCCGATAGAGAAGCTAGCCGTCTCCACCCGCTGTTTGAAGAGTGGGCTAAGGCAGCAGTGGCGCGTTCATAGAGGTCGAAGTCATGTGTAGGGAGAGACGATGGAGAAATCAACCCTTTCATCAGTCGAGATATAGGATCAGTAATTCCAGCTCAATATATAGAGCACTTTATTTGTTTACTACAATTTTGTTAGAAATTAAGATATACAATGGCAACTGTAGTGCCAATTTGCCCCAAAAGAAACCTTGAGCAGTGAAAGTATAGAATGAGAGGGAGGCCAGAAAGATTCAATATGTGAGTAAGCACCTGTGGGATACTCCTTTTACAACACCATTTGCTTTAATTAAGCTTTTGTTAGAACATATAGCACCTGGACTCGTTTATCGTTAAAACTTTTTTATCCCGATGTGGATAGAGAATGTAGGCCCCAATCGTCTTTGTTTGAAGATACATATCGCAGATATTCCCTCTTTCAACATGTGAACGGTTTGGTAATGGCCCCCGACTGAAATTTGGTAACCTACAGAAAACAAGTTAGCATACAATAGCACATCTAGGTAGACAAGACCCACCAGTTCCTTAATGCTGGAGTAAGTACCGCACCCGAAAACAATTATACCGACTATGAAGACAACAAGATTGCAAATGGCGGGCTGCAGGTTGTGCTTATCATACCATGCCCCTTCTCTCAAAAGGACAAACCACATCACCGGAGGAATGTAGAAAGATAGACCCGACACAAAAAGGGCCGAGATGATCGACAGTAGCTCCGAGAAGATGGGAATAGCTTCGGCAATAACCCAGGCCAAGACTGTGACAAGAGTTATTAGGCCCAACCAAGTCATCCAGCCCTTGCGGGTGTTAATAAAGCGGGCGGCAGAGTCATGGTAGACCTTTCCATGAATGTACCGGCACACCACTGTTGTGTTGATCGAGCCCGAGATGAAGATGACTGGGAGGGCGATTCCAAAAACCACTCTCGAGATCACTGGTCCGGCAGATAACAGTGCAGGAGATTGCACCCCTTGTCCCACAAAAGCGTAAATCAGTGATCCGGTCAGAGTGTATATGGCTATCTGGATGCCTCCTAGCCACCAAAGAGTTTTGGCATAGTCCTCGGGGGTATGCATATCTTCCATGAACGAGGGCAAGCAGCCAGCGAAGGAATAAGCGAAAACGATATTGTTGGTGGCCACAATCGCTTGTGAAAATGTGATCCCGGTTATCGGCCATGCAGACCACGGGGAATGTTCAACAGAGAAGGTGCCGGTATTATTGGAGCTTTGAATCCCAGTTGCAATCACAGTGATCCCAATAGCCAAGATGATGGACGCAAAGTCGATATATCCAAGGACTGCGATTTCGGCAAAGGACGGAGGGATAGCGAGAATCATCAGAATCGCTGCAGAGACCACACTGAATACCACCGAACACACATCACTTTCAGTGATAGTCTGGAAAGCAATTGCACCTGTCAAGCAATGCGAGCCAATGACAAAAATCAGCAAAGCCACAAAAGCACCCACGAAGATCTTAGATCCCACTCTTCCCAGCAGTAGCTGACCAACGTCCGCATAGTGCCCTACTTCGGGGTACTTCAGCTTCACTTGGCCGATGTTATAACCTGCATACATTGCGACCAGCCCGATACCAACTGTCAGAATGACACCAGTAACCATGCCCAAAGTGGCAAATGCAGAAGGAAGACCTAAGCTTCCTAGGGCAATTGCCTCCACTATTGAGATAATTGTGAGGCGTTTCCATCCTAGCCGACGAAATCTGGCATTTCCCTCTAAAATATACTGTGTTTCGGGGTCGGACAGATCCTGAGTCTTGGGAAGACCTTCACTGGCCATTGCGTCCGTGATGTATGATTGTGGAGGAATGTGGTGGTTGGATTTTGTAGCAATTGGCTGTGTTTTGTGAAAGCAAGGAAACCATTCAGTGATTTGTAAGGGGGGATTGAGGGTAACTAGAGATTATCAGATGATCAGATAAGATGGAAAGAATCTGGTTATATCCGACGGGGTTTCCTAGCCGAGTAACCCCACCCTTTCTGCAAAACCTTTTTGAAGCTAAGAAATCGCTAGTTTACTAGCCGCTTACCGTGCTCAAGTTCTTCAGCATCGACAGTGTGATTTCTATCTACTATCTTCTCCGATCAAGTTGCCAACCCTACATTGTGGCAGTTTACGCTACTTAAATGGGCATGGGGATACATTGTTATTCAAACCAGTCTCGTTCTCAGGGTATTAAGCAATGCCAACCCGAGGAACACGGCTTTCGAGACATGAATTGCAACATTTGTGGGGGTACGAGAGCACTAGGAGTTCTGGGCGGGGCTTCTATATTATCCAGGAACATTCTGTCCAATTGGATTGCCCCCTGGGATTGCAGGGCAGCCTGTCAACCGGTATCAGCCCATGCTGGAACTCTGGTAACCTCGGTTCAGTGCATGCTCCACAATACTGTTTGGGAAAATGCTAAAAACCGAGTGCTCTGTGCATACGGTCAGATTTAGCAAGTAACTGTGACGGTGCTAGTTGATGAGAAGAAACAAGAGAAAGACCGGCGGACAGTAGCTCTGCTATCCGTCACGATACATTGATAACCATTGTCTACATATCCGTGATACTACATGTTTGCACTTGTCACTGCTGTCATCGTTCATCGCAGTATCCGGAGGAATTGCAGCGTTGTCAATCGTGACGCGAGCCATGCCTCGGAGGAAAGACCAGTTCGGAGGACAGAACCCGGCCGCCAAAGTAACTAACAGTTAATCCACAAGCCAAGCCGACAATGTTCCACCGTAAATAACAATGAGCTTACTATACGGTCATTCCGTTTTCGTTCCGTTCCTTGGCGAAGAAGCACTCTGGTCATCCGATTGTACAACTGATTCCGGTCGGATTATTTCCCGAATTTTGGAAATTATGGCCGAGCGAAACAAAACGCAAGGGGTGCAAGGGAGGAATTCGGAATGTGAGACCACACAAATTTCAGTACGGGATACAATTAAACCATGCCTGCAGACTCACGCCCTTGGGCAAAGTGCACAGACTGATCACAAAAGTCGCTTCAATCACTCTGGTTGTTCTCTAACAAAAGGTTGATTTCATTGTGGCCGTGAATAGATTACATGAATTTCCACGTACGTAAGTTTGATTTGGTCAGGGCCTACATTTGCTCTCGCAAGGATGTCATCTTGAGCCAAGATGTAACGCAGTTGCAATTGCCATCATCTGGAATTTGCTGCATATGTAGGCGTGCCTTGTGCATTGAATGGCTGGTGACTTTACGCTCTACTTTCGTCATGTATGAGCAGGTGCTGAAAGAGGTATCCGTGGCTCGTAACAACGAAGGCTTAGCAATTGGCTTGGAATGGCAGGTTATCTAACTAGTAAGGGGTCTGTCCTCCAAATATCATCCGGGATTTTGGCTATAACACATAACTGTCTATAGGCTTTAAAAGCAATCATACATAACACATTTGTGAGCGAGGAAATGTAAGCAACGACCATTTTCAAAAAAGAGATTAATTCGATGGGGCTATGACTATTGGGGGTAGTATAGGAGAAGAATTCTTCTAACATGTCGCATAGGAACGGAAAAGGTTTGGCATGTTGTGTTAGGCATAGAAGGTTGAGTGTACAGCGTAAATCGGCGGCGATGATGGAAGGTAATTTCTATCATAAACCTGGCATGTACATCTGGTGTAAGTGAAAATGCTATTTTATGAGTCCTGACCGACGCTCACACCGCAGCCCGGAGTTTCCTGGGGCAAACCCTGAACAAGTTGAAGACTACTCTGAGATCACTCACGTTTCTGCACTATGGCTGACTAGTATGCATTGCTCCGAGAAACTCGGATCCTCATGACAGGTGTTAATGGCTATACTCTATTGCCTGACGCATTGTCGACAATCTCTTGGCCCTGGATACACGGTGCAGAAGACTGTTCGCCCCTCTAGCCCCTGTCTGTATCTTTATTGTGAAACCGGAATCTTGGGTCGCAACGTTTCAAAACAGCCATTGTGCCTTCAGTTTGGGGCAAGTGTATTTTTGAGTCTGCAGGAGACGATATTGATGGCGTGGAGCGCTTCTATCGCAGCGGAAGTGCAAGGAACAAAGGGAAAAGATCGATGAAACCACTTCACCGGATTAGGCCCCGAGACGACAGATGGAATCGATAACCCGAAAGAGCCCGAGTAGTTTGAATGGTATCAATCTCGAGTGGGTATTGAAGTATTAGAGGTTGTTGAACTCAAACTATGATTGGTCGTTCATTAATATGTTAGTTCTTCTTGAGGCGTGAATATCGCCCAAATTTATGTAATGTAGCTTTCGCTGATTTATGGCAGGCTGAAAGTTTATAAATGGCTGTGTTGCGAGATACATCAAATCTATGATCTATGTTTACCGAAGGTGACCTGGGATCATTAGCGTCAGGTTTAGATCAGATGTTAACGAAGTGAAGTGGAGTTCTACTAGTGTGCGTAAGGGGTACCCTCGCTACTCTTTGTGCAGAAAGAATATTCATATTGGTTGTCCCTAGTATGCGAGGACGGAAAACCTAGAACGACAAATCTGATAGACATATGCCCTCCGAGGACCTCAAAACAACATTCGACTAATCATTACGGGAAGTCTAACTGTTTCTCTCTTACTGCTGTGGATACCGCGTTGGGGCTTACGGTTAAGGCAGGTTGAACTCTCATGGCTTGTCGAACATGACGCATTTTCTCCTATCATAGCCAGTCTTGGACGTCATGAACGCTGTCTCATCAGGGCTCCTTCTACTTATGGCACTAGAAGTTGTTCAATTTAGCTCTATTAGACTTGCATACAGGTGAAGGCATGCGCCTCTTTCAGCATGGCTTCCATATCTGGAACGAGCTTACGGCGTCCGGCTGCCTCCCCCGGAGTCTATGGGGATGGGACTTCTCAAATGTTCTTGAACCAGTTTTGGATTGCAACAATACTTACTGATTAGCACCAGCTCCAGATGTGGCAGGCTGAAGACCTGACAGAGAGAATGCCAGAACGTTTCTTTGGTGGATACCCACAGATAGCAGCAAAATCCTCCTAGGTAGCGCCCCCAAATTACCCTTCGATCGGTGAAATCAAGATGTGCGGCTACATTCAAACTTAGTGTCTTTCTCATGCCGCTAACGCTGTGGGCCAGAGAGACAATAATCAACGAAAAGTCGATCAGGAATTCGTGCGCATTTCCGTGGTAGCGCTAACTTTTCACGATACAACTGTGATTGGATACCATTTATTTGATCTGACAACAAGATAATATCATTCGCAGTTCGAATTGTTTCCTAGCTGGGCCTGTAAGCGGTCTAGCTTTCAGCTTGTTCAAAGGTAGTCGGCGTCAGCTCTCTAGGCCGTGTTTGTGCTTACGGGCCGCCGGGTCTCTAGATAAGTACTTTGCTTCTCGCCCTTTGATATTTGCAGTCGATACTCAATTCCTCATAAACATTCAAAGCGTCCGGACTGAACTAGGTTCTTTGACCTCGGTCTAACGAACCATTTTCACACCCCATCCAACTATTCTCTCTTCCCCTACTACCACCAATATGGAACGCGGCTACACCGTCGCCTACGACGGCCTCGGCCTCCGCATCTACGATCTCATGGTACACTGGTGGAACGACAACTATGTCTGGCGCTGTCCGTCCTCCTTCCTCAATGAATTCTTCTCCGCCAACGTCGGCCAGCGACATCTCGATATCGGCGTCGGAACCGGCTACTTCCCCGCGCACCACCGTCAACGTGTGCTGCAGAAGGGCGAGTCCTGGCCCCAGCACCTCACGCTCGTGGACATGAACACTCTCTGCCTCGAGAGATCCGCCGCACGCGTCGGCTGTCCCGAGCGCACCACGACACTCCAGGCCGACGTGTTCGAGCCCATTAAGTTGCCGGCCGAAGACGGCGCCGGACCCGGCACCACTGCGTCGCGGAAATACGACTCTATTTCACTCATGTATCTGCTCCATTGCCTGCCACCGCCTTGCGCGAAAAAAGCGACTGTTTTCGCGCACCTGAAGGAGCACCTGAAGCCGGATGGAACGCTGTTCGGGGCGACGATTCTGGGCCAGCGCGTGGAGCATAACTGGTTTGGGAGGATCACGATGGGGCTGTACAACTACAAGGGTATCTTTGGAAACTCTGCTGATGATCCGGAGGTGTTCAAGAATGAATTGAGGAATGAGTTTGACGATGTCGATGCATGGGTTGTTGGTGCTGTGTTGGTGTTCCGGGCGAGGAAGCCGAAGTTGACTTGATTCTCATCTCTTCTCTGGGCTACTTGGGGTAGCCGAATCATGCAAGCTTGTCCTTGGTCGGAGGGAGGTTGGAGCAAGGGAGATAATGAGAAAGTCCTGGAATTGAAAGACGCAGGAGGTATATATGAAGAGGAAAGAAAACACATACAAAGGGGGAAAAAGACATACGTATACGTAACATTCCTCTAACAAACTCAAAATGCAATACTATTAACAACAACATATGGATCAAGATCCAACACTCTAGTAGTTATCGCTATCTACTTGCCCATTTTCAGCTTTCCCAACAGTCCTGCCAGCAGCTCTCTCTGTTTGTTCAACTCAGCTAGCTTTCCTCTCTGCAATTTGCCATTTACTGTTCGGGGGATGCGCTCGACAAAATACACACCTCCATCCAGCACTTTATAGCTTGCCAACCGCTGCTGCACAAAGTCAAACACCTCCTCTGCCGTCAGTTTACCTTTCGTGCCTCCGGTCCGCACAACATAAGCACGAGGTGCCTCAGTACTGCCATCAGCAAGGGTAATTCCCATGACGGCAATATCGGTGATAAGCGGGTGCTTGAGCAGCACGGCTTCGATTTCCGCAGGAGACACTTGGTAACTGCTTGCTATTAGCACAATCATTTCCATGTATTAACCAGAGACAAAGATGGGACAGCGACTTACCCTCTCACTTTAATCAACTCCTTTGTCCTACCCACAATCACGTACTCACCGTGGTCATTCACATATGCGACATCCCCGGTACTGAACCAGCCACGGTCATCGACCACGGACTCTCCTTGACCTAGATACTCACTAAGAAGACCCGGACCGCGAACAAGCAGTTGTCCAGATACCCTCTGTCCCTCGATCGTGTCTTTGTTCGGCCTCTCGTCGGTGGAGCCACCATCAGTAGTGGTGGGGACCAGTTTAGCCTCGTACCCAGGTAAAACACGCCCAATGCTACCTAGATCCCCTTGTCCCAGTCTCCCAGTTTCGGGGTATTGATTCTGAATTACAACGCCGCATTCCGTCATTCCCCAGACTTGGCCGGCACAGGCATTCGGGTGCAGGATATCCTGGAATGCAGTCATGGAGTCTCGATCGATAGGGGCACCGGAGAGCCCGATATATCGGAGTGAAGATAGCGATGGAATAACGTCCAGCGAGGCAGGAGCCTGGTTCAATGCGTGCACCACGACAGGCACGAGGTACGTTTCGCTAATCTGGTACCGCTTCACGGTGTCCAGGAAGACGGGTAACTGGAATCCCCGCAGGATGTAGAGCGGGTGGCCATATCGAACGGGGAACAGATGTGTCCAAAGTGAAGTAAAGACGTGAAAAATGGGTAGGCACACAAGCCGCGTGATTTTGTAGGGAGGGGTGTAGAGGATTGCGTGGTGGCGGGCAATGAGCGCCGCATGGGTAAGGACGGCGGCCTTTGGAAGGCCGGTCGTGCCGCTAGTGAGGTATAGAGCTGCTGGTGTAGATTTTGCGGTCTCAAGGTCGGTGATCAGGACATGATCAGCGGTTTGGTGAGAGAGAAAGGAGACGATGCTTGGTGGGGATTGAGTGTCAGGTGATTGGACAGGGAGTTGACCTTGTCCGTGAGTGAAGGCAATGGTGGCGTCGATGCTTGCATCATTGATAATGAAAATGTTATGAGATGGAATGTTGTTCTTGCTGGAGACGGTGAGTACAGTAGAGAGAGCGTCTTCTTCGGTAATAATAAGCCGCGGTTTCGATAGCTGGACGACGCGATTGAACTCGTCTACGGAACTGTGAGGGTTTGATCCCATGTAAATCCCACCAGTTCCGATAATGGCGAGGAAGAGGGCTGTGTATAGAACCTGAAAAAGATACCGTTAGTCTCTTTTTCTGGAGATTGTTGTAGCAAGGATCAATTACATTATTCCCCGTGTGGACAACAACGCAGTCACCTTTTCCAACACCATGCGCTTTGAGACCAGCTATGATGGTACGGACAAGTCGAGGAAATTGCAGTCCATTCAGGTATCGACCTGGATCCTGAGCATCAATGAAGAGGGGATCTGATGGGTCATAGTCTGCTCGAGCGTCTAGAGCAAAACTGACCACATCGTGGAAGATGGGAGGCATTGAGGAAATCATGGTGGAACTGGTTTGAAGGAGTGAAAACGGATGAGAGAAGCGAGGAAGACGAGGGGCAAAGGTCCATATATATAGATGATCTGACTCAGACTCAAAGTGGCCGCATCAGCCTCTGGGCACAGGGTGCATGACAGGAGATTTCGTTGATTGGCCTTGGACGAGCATCTATTCTAAGATGTCTAAGGCATCAGCGACGAGCATTAGGGATCAAGACAACCCATAATATGTGCGGGCTCTTCTGGATAGATTGACCACAAATGAACTATTTTGAAGTTATGAAAAGTTATGAATACAAACTCAGGAAGTAGGCTTTGGACTACAAATCATTTATGCGAAGCTTTACTAAGTCAACATTCTAAATTGCATAACGCCTAATCTATACCACAACATCCGCTCTATCCTCCATCAGACATGCCCATTAGTATGTACACCATTACTATGAGTACCATTCGTCTCAGAAGCATTTGTAACACCATTCGACGCTTCCTCCGTCTTGAGCAGCGGCACTAGCTCCTTATCCAACTTTCCAGCGGCGCTCTCAGCCAGCGCATCGATCGACGACCCCCCGAGCAACTGCAACACCGGCACATCCACCCCCAGCTCCTTGACAAACCAAATTCGCAGATCAACCGCGACCAGCGAGTCAACACCCAACTCTGTCAATAGTGTAATTCCCGGCAGCGCCGAATCGTCAGGCAAATGCAATTTGCGCCGGAGAGTCGCACGGAACCCATCAGCGATAATATCCGCCGCGGCAGGCAGACTGTCCGCAGTCAAAAGCTGCTGCTTGATAGGGACATCCTCCTTGTTTGTTTCGACGGCGCCAGACTCCCTAAAGTGGCGGATAAAAGACCACAGCTTCGGGTTTCGGTACCAGACAACATCTGGGAACTCGGCTGGGTCCGTCATGCGGTATCCGCCGCCGATTTCGGGCACACGTCCAGAGTCAGGCCGTCCGGCTAGGATTGCCTCCGCGAAATGTTCAAGAATATCACGTTCTGAAAGAGCCATGGGACCGAGTTGCTGAGCGAGCACGTTCTTCATGTGTGCATCCATGGCGAGAATAAGACCCAGACCTTGAATCTGCGCAGGGTGGATGATGCTACCGACTTGGCCTCGGCGACGCCGCTGGTTGATCAGAGCAGCCATGAATTCGTTGGCGGCAGCGTAGGCGGTTTGGTGGAAGTTGCCGTTCGGCCCGGAGAATGAACCCATTAAGATGAAGAAATCTAGGTCGGCGTCTTGGTACAGCTCATCAAGGATGCGGCTACCTTCGACTTTGGGGCCGAAGACCCGGAGAACATCAGTGTATGAGAGATCAGTGAATGCGGCGTCATGCATGACGACTGCGCCGTTAATCACTCCGCCGACGGGCGGTAATTCGGCTTTTATGTGGTTGTGGACTTTGAGGACTGAGGCGCGGTTTGATACGTCCCTGTTATAGTGGTTAGCGGTCATTTGTAGACACAGTGAGAATCGGGATGCTTACATAGCCATGAACTCAACACGAGCACCCAGTTCTGCCATCTCTTCTACCCATTCGTCATCCACCTTCGGAGAACGACTGGTAAGAACTATCGTGCGAGCTCCGCGCGTGATCATCCACTGGGTAACTGAGCGACCCAGATCACCAGTCATACCCACCAGCAAGAAAGTCTTGTCGTCACTCAGACTCACCAGCGAACTAGACGAAACACTGTTCGTTGAGACCGGCCCAGAGTGTAGCCAATCGATGATCTCCAACTTATGGCTCGAAACGGGATATGTCGGGATATCTTCAGGAGTCAGAGTATCAACGGCAGTCTGGAAGCGGCTGCGCTGTTCGGCGAAGAGGCTGCTCGCTGCCAAAGCATCCACCAGGCTTGAAACTTGCTTAGCTGCAGGAGCGAACGATGCCCCGTACAGGTCCTTCAGTCCCCAGTATGTGGCCTCCGGGGACAATGAAGACTGCAAGCGGGCCAGCGACCCATCGGCATCAGGCTTGAAGGAGGCGAGCACTGACACACCCGAGGGAAGGAGACGACTGATTGCGCGAACCGAGCTCCGAGGAGAGATTATCAACATCCCAGGGCCTTGACTAGCTTTTCTACTACCAGCACTGTAGCGAACCCTGATACCTTGGCAGTAGGCCACCGCAGAGACCGCATCCTGAAGCGCCTGAGGAGCTTCGTGGATCAATATTGTGGACTCGGTCTGCGCTTGATTTACCAAATGCCTGGCAAGTAAGGCTGAACTGAGATCGCTCAAAAATCCAGCTTCATATTTCTCGGGTAGCCAGCTAGGGACTGAGTGACACCAGGAGGCAGGAGTCGAAACAACGGAGGCATGGTCCACGGACAAGGCGACAACACGAGTCCGTGTTTTCTCGTTCTCACCCAGAACAAGATGCAAGAAACCGGCTCCAGCGCGGACGGCAGGAAGAGTGGCATAGTGGACTCGGATGCGAACGGTGTTTTCCTTCAATCCCTGAGATTCGCCCTTTGGGTCATAGCGTGTCGCACCAAATGACGACACCAACAACAATGGCGACTCCTCGACCGCATCGTCAGTTGGGCGTACCGCAACGCAAGTCTCTCTAGGCTCGACACGGCGGGTATTTGGGACTCCACGGCTTGTGAGCCATCTCTGGTTCATGTCCCGGCCAGTCCGCATGCGAGGGATCTTCAGCAGTCCGTCTTCCAGCGTAAGCTCCCATTCAGCGTTCTCGGTGCAGTTGGGAAGTGTGTAGTCGCTTCCAGCGTCACAGTGCACCAATCGCATCAACGTAGTTGCTATGAGATCCGGAGACAAAGCAGTTGGATCTTGCACCGCGAGATGTTGGAACTGAGCATGGGGATTCTCCAGACTCAGGGAGCGCAGGAAACCCTTGCTCATGCGCAGATACGGTTCCTCGGTTGGATTTCCCGTGGCCACCCACAGTAGTTTCCCGGTCACTCCGACAAGTTGCTGCAGGGCTGTGAATCTATCTGCGGTGAGGTCCTGCAGGCAGGGGCTATCAACATCGGAGACAGCGAGAATAGCAGCCAGCGAGACATTCTCGGGAGGAACAAAGTTTTCAATGGTGCTTGCAGCGGTGATCCTTCCGAAATAAGGGCCTACCAGCTCTTGGACTACCGGAAGTAACTTCGCGGTGGTCTCTGTCGCTCCCCCGATTATGAGCAGATCGCGATATTGTCGCTTTGCAGGAACCGCTAGAGGTTGTTGCAATCGTTGGATATGGTCGTCGACAGCCTGGGCAGTGAACACGAACATGCCGAAGCTCTTAGATTCCTCAACTGACGAGACGGCCTCAAATCCTCCAAAGCCACTTGACTTTAGGACTTGATCCCAATTATCCCGGGAAATAAGAGGACCTGATGGTTGAGCATCAGAGTCACCACGCCACCAAGCTTCAAGTCCACCAAAGATGAGCGGAGAGGCGATCTGCTCTGGGTGGGTCATGTCGAGGATAGCTACACGACCGCCGGGCTTCAACAAACGTCGGATACGGGACATGCTTCCACTGAATGAGCTAGTCGCATGCACAACATTGCTGGCAATGACGAGATCATATGCGTTCTCTGAGAAGCCTTGTTCCGAAATGTCTTTCTCCAGATCGAGAGTCTCGTAGATGAAGCGATCGCCGTGAGCGGCAAATTTTTCCTGGGCCTCCTTGAATGAGGCCGAAGTCATGTCAGTGTAAGTGTACGAATGATAGTCTCGGACAATTTGGTCCAGGACCAAGCGGGTGGCTGCACCGGTGCCAGCTCCAATCTCGATGATCTTCATGCGAGGGTACCGGAAAGCGATCTGGCCGACAAGTGTGGCAAGGTTCTGCTTCAGGGTAGACAAAGAGCTAGACTCTTGCTGGAACTTGGCGAGCAGGTCACCCTCGCGGTGAAGCTCTTCCATGAGACCTACTTCACCTCGTAACCAAGGAACAAGATTCTCTTTGACTTTTTCCAAAGTCACGATCTCGATAGGCCTGGCACGCTGAACATCACGACCGAGGATAGAGGCCGCGTCTCCATCCAGGTGGTTAGGCGAGTAGGTTGGATGCTTGCCTCCGCGAACGGACGCCAGGACTTGATCCATCCACGCCACATACCGTGTCTTATGCCCGTCGAGCTGCTGGCGATCCTCGCTAGTCAACTGGGCCTGTGCATCACGGAGATATAGAAGAGCAAGACGGTCGCAGAGATCAAGAGAGACGTGATTCCGGGGCGCGGCCGAGTTATTGACGCTTGTCAGTGAGGTTGTCGGCAGAAGGGGACCCCAGACTTCCTCAACGAACATCGGCCAGTCTTCTGGACTGAGTTGGGTTAGAGGCGAGATGTGCATACCCTCAATCTGTACGAAGCCTCTGCCATCGGCATCGAAAAGATGAATATCACCGGTCAGTCCAGTCTTGCCAACATCCGACAGCTTCGCCTCAACGGTGAGATGCGTCTGGGGGGCATGCAGGCTGCCGCCACGGGAAAGCCCCGGGTTGATCGAGGTGCGTGCCAAGCGAGTTGGAAGGAACAGGCCGGACAGTTGACCGTCACCGGGATACGCGAAAGCAGCCATCAGCGCCTGAAGGCTGGTATCAAGATTGGCAGGATGGATCAGCAGATCCGAGTCATCTTCTTCGCCATTGGGGACAGGAATAGTACCATAGGCGATATCTTTACGGCGCTGAATGGACCCAAGGCCACGGAATAGTCCCGAATAGCCATATCCCAGCTTGTCAAGCTCGCTGTAGAAGTGCTCTGACTCTATCTTCTGCAACCCACCAACAAGAGGGCCAAGAGCTGGCAACAGGGACTCGTCCTGCTCGTCAAATCTGATCTCCAGACGGCCAGTGGCACAGCAGCGGAAGGCGTCGTTAAAGCGTGCTTGACAAGTGAACGAAGCGGTTAAGCTGCCATTTTCCTCGCCATTGGTCTTGTAGAGCGAGAACTGTGTTTCCACGCCCATGCTGGTATCTGGAACAGCAATTGCCCGATCGATAGCTAGGTCATGAATGTCTACCGACTGTAATGATCGGTCCTCGGCAATGATATGAGCTGCCTCATATGCCATAATGAGATATCCCGTCGCGGGGAAAAGAACCTGAGACTCGACCTTGTGGCCCTCTATCCATTCCAGATCCTGGACGCGCAAGTAGTTCCGCCAGCGCCATTCCCCTTCTCCCGTTTCAGGGCTCGTAGTGCCCAAAATAGGATGACGAGGTAGACGCCGATGAGTGCGGGCACTGGCATGATGTGACACAGCCCAGTATGTTTGGCTATGGTCAAAGGGATATGTGGGAAGGGATGGAAGGAATTTCAGCTCCCGTGGAAGTGAGAAGAGCCGGACGAAGGAACTGGTGTCAATATTCTCCGGCCCCAGATGTGCCCAGAAGGATCCCAGTGCGAGCGCCATGGCTTCGATGCCAGTGGTTCCGCGCTTGCCCAGTCCGACGTACGGCACGTCGGCATCATTGGGTTTGATTGTCGATACGGTCTGAAGCGCGGGTCCTCGGAGCGCAGGATGAGGTCCGACTTCCACGATCGCGTCAAGGTCTGGCAAGTCTTTCAGAGCCGCCGTCAGGGCTTGCGAGAATTGAACCGATTGAAGCATATTCTCGCACCAGTAGCGAGGTTCGAGGGCGGTCATTTCCGCCGCATCGTGAACACTGGAGAACCACTTCGTTGCCGGCGAGCCTTGGCGGGTCTGAACCTGACAGGCCTTCATGGCCTGCAGGTAGGGCTCAGCACAAGGAGTCATATGATGTGAATGGTATGCTGTGTCAACACGCAGGCGGCGAGGAGTCTGTTCAAGACTCTCGAAAAGCCATTCTAGCTCAGAAATCAACTCTTCATCTCCTGAGAGTGTCACGTTGGACGGAGAATTAGAAGCCGCGACAACGACGTGGCCACTGTACGGTGCTTCACCGCAAATGGACTGTGCCTGGTCCCAGGAGATGTTGACAGCGAGCATGCCACCGGGGTGTCCCTTCGAACCTGCGTTCGTCGTCGCCAGCCCACGTAGGTAGGCAACGCGAATGGCGTCCGCAGCTGAAAGCCATCCCGCCGCATAAGCAGCGGCAATCTCGCCCGATGAGTGACCGACAACTGCAGCAAATTCGATACCAAGCGACCGTAGAATGTTCACTTGGATTATCTGCAAAGCGGTCCGGACAGGCTGCGAAATCTCCGCAGAGTTGAGGCGAGAGGAAGACTCCGGAGCAGCCAGCTCATCTCGCAGTGTATATTTCGGTCGATAATCAAGAGGTAGGCTGTCGAGGGATTTCTGGAGTCCCTGCAGCCAGACGGCAGCTTGGGGACATTCTTCAATGACATCTATTCCCATACGCGGCCATTGCGCCCCTTGTCCAGTGAAAACGCCCAAGACCTTCTTCGGTCCAGGACTGAGACGTCGGGTGATTGTCGTCGGTGATTCTTTCAATTCGTCTTTGAGTTTCTCAAGCAACTCTCCCACTGTTCCCGCAGTGAAAACAGTCCGAGTGCTTAGAATCGAGCGCTTGGTCAAGAGAGAATGGGCCAAATCCGACAAATCGACGGTCGGATTTTCCTCCAACCAGCTGACATACTGCTGCAGCACAGCCTTGAGCGATTTTTCGGACGCGGCAGAAAACACGAAAGGGAGGAATGCAGGGGTGGCAGTCGCGTCCGCAAATGATGAAACAGCATTGTAAGGAGTGTAGCTCTCCACAATAGCATGGGCATTAGCACCTCCAAAGCCGAACGAGTTGACCGAGACTCGACGAGGAGCTCCGACCGGAAGATCAGGCCAGGGGAGCGCCTTTGTCGGAATCCTGAGGTGGTCGGCAAATGGCGCAACCTTAGCGCTTAGTCGATTAAAGAGCATATTCGGAGGAATGACACCATGTTGAACAGCCAGTGCGGCTTTCATAATGCCAGCAATACCAGCCGCCGCTTCGGTATGACCGATCACGGTTTTGATCGAGCCGACATACATCGTCTCATCTCTTGGTGAATCCTTGTTAAAGAACGCATTTGCAATGCCCTCCGCCTCTTGCGGATCACCCACAGGAGTACCTGTTCCGTGGGCTTCGAAGAATTGGCATCGGTCGGCTGGATTTAGAGGGTCGAGTCCAGCAGCAGCGTAGGTAGAGCTGATGAGTTCACCCTGAGCCAGCCCGTTAGGCATTGTAAGAGACTTGGTGCGTCCGTCACAGTTGACTCCGGTGGCCCGGATCACGGCATCGATCTGGTCACCGTCTCTCAGGGCATCGTCCAGACGTTTTAGGATCACTGCGGCCACGCCTTCACCGCGAGCGTACCCATCCGCGGCCTCGTCCCACATATGACTGCGTCCCGAGGGCGACATCATATTCGCCTGAGACGAGGAAACGTAGCCATCGACCGACAGAATCAAGCTGCTTCCTGCTGCAACAGCCATCGAGCAATCTCCCTTCTGTAGGGCTTGCACAGCTAAATGTAGTGCAATTAAACTGGACGAGCAGGCCGTATCCAGCACGAGGGAAGGCCCCTTCCAATCGAAATAGTAAGAGATACGCGTGGCCAGCATAGACGGGGCACCACCCGAGATCATGAATGGAGGTACGCTATCCTGGTCTGATAGAAGAAGCTGGCTGTAATCGTAGTTCATAGCACCGCAGTACACGCCGGTCGATGATCCTTGCAAGCGTTTTAGCTGCAAGCCGGCACGGTCAAGTGATTCGTATACCACTTCTAATAGTAGCCGTTGCTGAGGGTCCATCGACGCCGCCTCCGCCGGCGAAATGTTGAAGAAGGGCGCGTCAAATGCACGAACATCTTCCTCCAGGAAATAAGACTCTGGAGAACTGATCATTCCAGGTGGTAGACTCTTTTTCCCAGCATAGTGGAATGTATCCCCGTTGTAACGGTCTGCTGGGGGTTTGGATGCCACGTTACGTGGCTCTCGCAGGAGGTTCCATAGTCGTGAAGGTGAGGATGCCGAACCAGGAAATCGGCAGCCACTGCCGATTATGGCGATTGGTTCGGCTGGTGTCATTTTGGTTTGAGTCGGTATGGCAAGAGGAATGCGATTTAGAGAGTGAAGGATAAATCAATATATCGCTGTGAGATCAAGTCTATAACAAAGATTGATGTATAGCGAATGTTGGAAAGATGAGGAGGTAATACAAGACAGGGATCTGGTAAATAAATGTCAAGACAGAAAGAATAAAACGATACCGATGCTACTTTTGAATAGCAGTCAACGCATTTCAGGATGGGGCATAATGGATTCTATAAGGGTGCAATCAACTGATGTATCTAGCTCTCTGAGCCTGTATAGACCCCGATCTGTCATCCTTTCAGCCACGACAGCCTAAGTGATGACTCGCTTTGGCAATCCACATCAACGAAATACTTACAACTAGCAAATAGGTTAGCTGGAACATTAGACATCTATCACCGTCTCACAGATACTATCTTACCTTCGGCGTATCAACATTCTCGGCTCCCGAACCTCGCCTCCCACGCGTCACGTCACGTCAGCATAACTCATGGATAGTAGCCTCAGCCGTTCGTCTGATGCGCCTCCCTGAATTAGAGTAACGCTACCAGGCGCGAGAACGCATCCATGTTTCCATGGCTGTTTGTTAGTGCCGTCAGCTTACTTCTAGGTCGCCAGATCCCGGCTCGATCGTCGAATGAAACGTGGGATCTGCGGCCTAACCTTAAGCTGATTGCAGAACACGAGGCATAGTGGGCGGAGGTATTTTACCTTCCGATCGGAGCCTTGGCTCTAGATCCCTGCTCAGCATCTTCAGGCAGGCAAGTTGATGCAAGAACCTTCAGTAGCCTATGGGGGCTGAGTGCATGTTAACATCTGCAGAGGCAATCTAATTGTCTGCGTGCATACAAGCATGCCATGCATAGAGATCTAGGGTACCCTGTTGTCACGTGGATGTTTCAGCCCGCCGACGGCTGCATATATATCGCCGTGTCCCCGGGTCCGCATGTCGAATTACATTCCGTTTGAGGCTTGAAGGATTTAAGGTCAGGCTGATCAGCCTCATGACAAGAGGCAGACTTATTAATCGGGTCTGTTTCAGACGCAGCGAACGAGATGAAGCTGTGGTTAGCCTTCGAAAGATAACACGGTTTTTGTTGATTTCCGCCAACGAAAAATCGGGGGGCTGACAAAGCAGGAATTGAGGATTCTTACTGGTGTAGACTAGACCACAGTCTGGGCAGAATGATGACATTCAAGAAGGATTGCTGGTTGGTGGCTTCGTATTGAGCAGAAGTCCGGGCCGCTTTAGCGAGCTGAGCATTGGCACTAAGGGCCAAGCGCTGTTTCAGCTGTGCCATTGTTCGAGCCGTCAGGCATGGCTCACTGAGTCACTATGAGTGAATCGGAATCGCAGGATGACACAGCACTTAATAGACAATCAACTTCTTCACGATCGGACAGCTGTCTGGTAAGCCTATGATGACCGCATGTCAAAGTTTGGCCATCAACTGCCGAATTGACCGTTAATTCAGCAGACAGGGGACCGCTGCTTAAGCTCAGCTGAGCCGCAAAAACGTGGACTTAACGCCATCAACCCATTTGACGGCCGACGTTAAGATTGCCCAGTCGGACTAGGAGTAAGAGCTGCAGCTTACCTGTAGCCTACAGGCTGTAAGCTGTGGCCGAGACGAGGACCAAGACTAAAACAGCTAGCCCCCAATGAGCCAGCAGTGCCACCTGTCCTGCAGGCTTTATACCTTTTTGGGCATGTGGTGTGCGCGACGTGCATATACAGATCTGACTTCGAGAATGCGGCGGAACGGGGACAGAATACATAAACACAATCGAGCAGAAGATGTTGCAGACACTGTAAAGAGCCGCAGCCGGGGTATTACACAATCTCATTGTATGCGACCATGATTGTTGATGCGACCGAGATTGTCCGACCCGACGCAATGGATGAGTCGGTCCACCCTGACACCAAGAAATATTTCGTTGAAGCAATCAAAAACTTCCTGGAGACGACCAACACTGCTGGACTCGAGGCATTGGCTAGTCGTCTGGCTCCTTACACGATTCAAGCGGCTCCGCCTGCGGTGATAACCGACGGTCCGGCACAACCGGTGCTAATTCTAATCGTGGAGGAAAGGTAATTTCCACTTTCCCTTTTCAGTTTGCTGCAGAACATCGGATTTCACCGTTCCCATGCCGCAGGGTTCATTCTCAGTGCTTCAGTTCGTTAACTAAACTTTTAGTACGCAATACCCCGGTTCGGCGGGTGAGTTACCTGATGTGGTCCGCCTGGACTCCTGTCCAAGTGGCTTTCCAGAGGCTTGGGACTTGCAACTATGTATGGACACGTCGCAGGAGAGTAGAGTAGAGACAATTCCGTCTGGAGATGAATTTGAATACCTCGGGGATCCTGTGAATAATATGGACTTCTCCGGCTCTCTTTCGCCATATTCTCAGCCTCCTCAAGGTAAGTTAGACATGCAGAAGATGATCTGGAGGAACTACCTAACTTGGAACACTTCCAGATCTTCTACAGAGCCCGGTCCATCTGTCAAACTTCAGTAATACGAACCAACCCGATCACCACATCACTGGCCCTACGAGTAGCCCGTCTGGGGCTAGCGTTCACGACACATACAATTCTCCTTCATTATTCTACAACCAGCACCCATCCCCACTCACAGAGCCCGACGGCGCCTCAACAGTATCGCCAAGAAGCTCTGAACAGTCTTTAGTTCATCCAACGAGTCAGGGTCAAACGCCGCACTTACCAGAAGTTCTGACCGGGTCGCCCGTACAGAATGCCTACATAAGAGCAGATTACGCCGAATACCTAATATCGAATCTGTCCCGGTGGCAGAGTAGTGGCATATGGCACCAAGAGACAGTCGTATTACCCAACCAACGACATACCAAATACGACCGGTTAGCAGACGCCTACTCGTGCATCTGCCAACTGGAACCTCGCATGGGCGATGACCCGATCCGGAATCGGGCAGCCCTAATTCAACTCCACACAGAATACGAAAACATAAACCAAACAGAAGAGTGCGGAGATGGGCCCACGCGACGCGGTAGAGGCCATGCTTCTCTAATAGTCGATCGACTACTTGACGAGATCCACCCGGAGTGGTCGACGTGTGACGAACAGCGACGGTCGAATTTACGCGCGAGATTCCATAACCGCAAGCGCTTCGGGAAGCGATGGGCGGTGCTTACTCGACATTTGGGCCCTGCAGTTTTGTTTCTTTGCTCGCGTAAGCTGGAGAAGATGGTGTATGTTTTCTTTTTCCTCGCCCTTTGACCCCAAGTCTGCGGCTAATAATCATTGCAGGAAAAACACCGTTGTCACAGTCCAATTTCTCGAGCAGATCAGTGAACACATTGCAGGCAATTGTCCAGATGTCGTCGAGCTTCTAAATACCCTAAACCCGCTAGCGACCGATCTGATCCAGAATCGAGATCTCAACGCACATAATATAAACAGCACAATAGAATATCTCTGGAGGGGTCATTCCGAGGGGTTATATGATTCGGGTTTGGGATACCTCTCACCTCATGTATAGACAAACAGTGTAATTTAATAGAGCAGTGCGATCCTTGACTGGACCACTATAGAACTTCAATACACGAATGGGTCACCCCGTTACAGCTTTGACGTTATTGTGCAACGAAGACTACGCCCGATGATCCTGCCAAGAGCCATAGTCGTTGCTTGGCTTTGCAGGTTGCACGATGACTTCATGAACAGCCACCGGAAGGACCGGCTCTTCCGTATTGTTCTATAGGTCTCCCACAGTAGCACTATGTAGGACGGGTCAGGGGTCTCTAGTTTATAACGAAACGTGTCCGTTGTGTACGGCTACGTGGCCAACGGTTTTCAATTATGGCGGCAAGCCATCCTTACTCAATTGTTACACTGTGGCTACAGATAGACTAATCGATGCAGTAGAATGATTAGAAGATGGGCTAAATATATATGGCCTCTTCAGCCGTCATATCCGGTGCATTCGATGGCGGTGCAATTTCTAATCCACTCTATGGATGCGGCTCCGTCAATAAAGAACAAGCTTCACGGATTTGGTTCGTCGTATGTTCGGCCTATCGAGTCTATTAGTAAATCATTCATCCCAGGATACGAAGAATAGGCACTATACATTTGGGCCATCAAAGATCGTAAAATGATTGCCAGGAGTATCCATCGTGGCCACAATAAAGCTAGTATCATAGTCTTCCCAGCCTAGGTACTTCCAGTCCCTGACCCGGTCAAAGTAATGCAGCGAGTGCTCGGCGTTTACATGAACCGGATCCGCTGCTCTGATCAAGACTGCCGGGGGAGGGCGTTCCGAGAATGCCGGCGGACGCCAGTCACGCTGCATCTCGTGCGCAGCCAGGATGCATTGCTGCGCCTGACCACGCCGCTCATCTGACATTTGCCCCGGGAGTTGGAAGCTTGCGACCACTTCCGGGAGAGTGCGTGGGTAATGCGTCGTGACGGTTGGGGTGGGATAAACGCTGTCAACCAACACGACGCCCTGGACTGTATACTGTGGCAACTTCATGAGTCGTGATGCCACTTCGACGGCGATGCATCCCCCAAGGGACCATCCTAGCACGGTAGAGTCAGTTTGGCTTCTATTGCCTTAATGTTGCGGGGCTCGTACCTCCGAGAATGACCTTGCCGGAAGCGACGGCAGATCTGACAAGGTGTGTATAGACCACACCCATCTGGCGTAGGCCATGCTCCCAATGACCTCCTCGCTCGAAGCGCGGGTTCTTAATGCCGAACAGTGGCCGTTTAATATCCCCGAGGCAGAAGTACGGAAAGACTGTGCCACCAGCATCGTGGAACAAAATCAGTGGGATAGCAGGGTCGTTTGGCCCTGGGCCTGGCTGGATCTGGCTAGGGTTCTGATTTTGGTCCATGTCGATAAACAATTAATGCGAATGACTTTAATCAGATAGATAATGAATGTCCGGTCGTCCCGTTGGTGCCATCTTATAGCACAGAGATGGTAAGGATACCCTGTGCCTCTTCAACACCTCGAACAAGTTGTTACGCAATGGGACCCAGATTAGTGGAACGCATAGAAGCATTCTTACTAGCAGCAGTAGAATCATATTACCTGAGTCAGATTGTCATCATGTTTTTACCTGATTATTTCCCTTTCTTCTTTCAAGGGTCTACCTTGTTAGGTAGTGTCACGGCTGTCTTCCATAAGCAGAGTCAATGAATGTCAATGAATCCAATGCTTGGTACGGATATCTAAGGATTATAATTAGAACAGCTTTCGTTTCATATCATGACATGACCTGAGGAGCAGTTAACCTCGAGACGTGTCACATGAGAAAAGGCAATAGCCATTTCTTTGCAGTAAGACCTTGTGGCAAACAGCAAAATCTTAGTCTAATCAAGGAAATACAGTTCTGATTGTTCGTATCGCATGCTAATTTCTAGGCTTTCAAGTTTATCTCGAACGAGTCCATCTCATCACCCCTAGAGCCTTGCCTGCTCACTAGCAGTCAAAACACGCCTTGGCGGACCAGCCCTACTCCCGTCTCCTTTGGACATCGGTTTGTCTGACGGCTTGAAGGCCCACCGTTGGCGTTGAGCGTCAGGTAGAGCATTCTCAAGGCCATCGACAACGTACTTTCCCAGCACTGGGAGAAATTTAAAGGCACTATAGATGGACTGTTAGACAAATACACTTCTGTGATAGAAAAAAAAAAAAAAAAAAAAAAAAAAAGAGAGAGAGAGAGAGGGAGAGAGAAACTATGCGATAACTTACTGTCCACTTCCGCCAGTTGCTAGGAACAAATTCGATATCCTCGGATGATGTCCAATGATAAAGTTGCCATCAACGGTGTCGGTATACCAGCAAAGAGACTTCTTAGCCCACGGTCGGTCCTTGAACTGAGGGAGATATCGCTCTAAGCCTGCGCGTAAAGCCTCATCCGCCTCCGGGGGGATGTACTGCCCCTTCATGAGGCGCGGGATAAGCCTCGGTCCAGAAATACTGCCTCCGTGCGTGCCATGAGCAGAGATGGCATAAGACGTCTCATAACCATAGCCGTGACGCATAACCTTCAGCACATGGTCTGCTGTGGGTGGAAAGACCAAGAACCCGGAAGTAAAATCTAGAACCACCGGCAAAGTAGCCACCTCCTTCGCCTCTTCCGGGGATAACTGGATATATCCGACAGGCTGACATGCAGAGACGGCGGAGCCTTGTAAGTCAAGAAGATAATTTGTCCATGACCCCGTCGCCAGGATGGCTCTGTCACAAGCCAGGTATCCCCCGGTGATATCTCTGACGCTGGTGACCTGGCCATCGGTCACGACGAGCGAAGACACGGTTCCCTTGGGTCCTGTGATGAAGGACACCCCTGCTGAAATGCACTTGTACGCCAAATCCTTCATCACGGCTGCCGCATCGACCCAGCCTGCGTCTTTGTTCTCATAGCCGCAGATGGAGCCACCGGAGAAGTCAGGGAAATGTCTCCGTACGTCGTAGGAATTGTTGAATGCGTTGAAGTCCTTTCCGAGCTGAGTCAATGTGTTCTTACATCCGTCGATGTAGGGATGGGATTCCGAATGGGCTACAATGGCCAAGCCACTCTTGTTGAAATACTGGCTCCATTCAGCCTCCCATTTTTCCATTGCCTCGTATGCGATCTTGGAGTAGAATGGATCCGCGTAATCCGGACGGATGAGCCGTGATGTATCATGGCTCGAGGCGTCTGGAGCCGGTGGAAGTGTCCGGTCCAAGACAGTGATATGCTCATATCCTCGTTTACGCAGCTCCAAGGCAGTCGTCAATCCAAATAATCCGCCGCCGATAATGATAATCTTGTCGGATCTTTGTGTCGGTCTCGCGTGGGGAGTATTCGATGCCATTCTGACAAGAGGTAATGTGGAAAATGTTCGTCACTGGTGTTGACCTGAGAAAAAAGACAGACACTTGACCGATTCGACCATATCCCGCTGCACGGAGTATTTAATTGACGATAGATAAATCCTCCCAAGTTAAAGTCGTCAATGAAAAGAATGTCTATATTCAGTTATCTCAATATCAGCACAGCCTCATCGGCAGGATGCGGAATGCCTACGCGAGTCTCTCGTCATTTTAAGACCCATGTCACGCCACGTTTCGCAATCTACTGAAATTCCCTGTCTAGATTAGCATATGAATTCATTGATGCAGTAGATCAAGCGAATCCATATTACCTCGTATTACTATCCCCAATAAAGCAGTACCTTCGTTGGCGTGAGCCCCCACAAACACCCCCATTGGTCCCACCGGGCACAGTAAGCCAAGCTTGAATCCTGCGGACTAACTTTGGCAGCTGAGTGCGCCTCGATCCACATAATCAATCCCCGTGGGATAAGTAGGCTATCTAGAAAATCAAAACGTGGCTAGCCGAATGGATTCGTTGATGGGACCTGCGCAAGTTCAAAGACCATACTTTTCAGCCTAAACAGTATCTGACTCAGACGTTCTGGATCGAAGGATGAGTCGAGGAAGATCCGGGGGGCCTCGATGACTGCCGATTCTATGACATTGCGCCATCTTATCGGCCTCACAGTCATTTCCATGATGGGCTACTTCCTGGTGTCTATCGCTTTGTGTAAATCAATGAAATATCATGCAATTGAGAGGCTCACACTGCCGTGCCGGATTCCGGGATTTGAGGGCATCTGTAGCTCGATGTCTATATAAGGCGTTATTGACACACCGAGTGACTATTTTGTACGTCAAATTACAAGCTCATTCACCTCTCTACAATTCATACCCGTCCTACCTTTTTTACACATATTCAATTCAACATGGCCAACCGTCCGCCTGCACTTGACAAGCATGTCTTCTGTATCAAGGACTTGAGAGAGGCTGGCAACAAGAAGCTTCCGAAGGCATACAGAGGTCAGATGATCTTGAATTAATTCAACAGAGAGCGGGCGGCTGACAAGCATAGACTTTCACGATGATGGATCAATGGATATGCTCACGTATGCCACAACTTCTTTCCATCCTTTGAAATGACCCTAACTGAGCGTTCAACAGGTTGAAAGAGAATGAATCCGCATTCGATCATTACAAGATCAGGCCTCGAGTGATGGTTAATGTCGACGACATTGACACGTCGACCACTCTCTTCGGCAGCAAGGTACGCAGCATCACTGATGCAAGAAGTCAACGTAACGGTTACCAATCTGGAATTGCATCTATAGGTATCATTCCCTCTTGGCTTCAGCCCGACTGGAATGCAAAAGCTCGCTCACCCAGATGGTGAGCTTGCTACGTCCCGCGCGGCAGCCAGCACCAACCTGGGTATGATTCTGTCGTCCTACTCAACGGTCTCCATGGAAGAGGTCATCGAGCAAGGCCAAGAGAACCCATATGCAATTCAAATGTGTATTCTGAGAGATCGGTCATTTGCACTGAAGTTGTTGAGGCGCGCCGAGGGTGAGACCACTACTCAAACCACTGCTGTAACTGTCATTTATCGGTGCTAATCTCCCCATAGCGGCCGGATACAAGGCCTTCTTTCTCTCCGTCGACTTCCCACTCATCGGTCAGCGACTGAACGAGTCCCGGAATGAGTTCGTGCTTCCGGAGCATATGTCCTGGCCGAATCTCAACTTCGGCGGTGACAGCTTCTTTGGCGGCGGCGGTGGCACATCTTACGGTATGTTCACTCGCATCCCAATATCAGCCTCATGCGCACCCTTCCTAACGCAATACAGACTCCAGCATTGAATGGCGCGAATTCATCCCCTGGCTCCGTGAAAACACCACCCTACCAATCTGGCTCAAGGGCAGTGAGTTCACTTCTTCGCCCCATCAATACCAATAACCAAAGGAACACCAACTCTAACCGCGGACGCAACCAGTCACCACCAAAGAAGACGTTGAACTAGCAATCGAGTACGGCGCCGACGGCGTCGTCATCTCCAACCACGGCGGCCGACAACTCGACGGCGCGCCCGCGGCTATCGACGCGCTGCGAGAATGCGAACCCATCGCTCGCGGCAAGATTCAGATTGCCCTGGAAGGCGGCATCCGACGTGGGTCTGATATCTTCAAGGCCCTGGCGCTGGGGGCCCAGCATTGTTTTGTCGGGAGAGTTCCTATTTGGGGTCTTGCTGTAAGAAACGCTTCTACGATCAAGACAGGGCTTGGGCTAACCACGTGCTTTGTTGATAGTATGACGGCCAGAATGGCGTTGAGTTGGCCATGAAGCTTCTTCATCGCGAGTTGAAGACGACGATGGCTTTGGCTGGGTATGTGCAACTGCTCCCTAATTGATAAAACTGTTACTAATGATTTCCAGATGTCGTACGATCGACGATATTCGACGAAGCCATATCTCCGTGCTTCAAGCCGACCGGGTCCTTGCGCGTCTGTAAGGGCGATGGCTGTTGGGTTGGAGGTATTGACTTGGAAATCGGGGGTGTAGAAAGTGATTAGATTCCTCTGTGACTGTAATTAGCTTGTTTTGTTTGTCAATTGTTTCTAGATATCTATTCGAGTGCGAAAATGTCAATTTTGTTCCAAAACAATCGAGGATGAAGCACCCTTACTGGCATGAGAAGGGACGCCAGGGTGCCTCAGGCGGAATGCGCCAAGCATTTCTTCGCTGCAAGGCCCAAGGCAGAAACCGCCGGAAGAGGTTAGCGGCTGGCCTCTGTGCAGTGTGGACCGACTATACCCGATGTAGCAGGAGCTCTCACCGGGCCGGTCTGCTGTGGTCCGTAGAAATTACACCGCAGTCGCTGCCTCCGAAACAGGCCAGTGTGTGAGAGCCGGATGAATATTCTAGAGAGATACGGAGTACTTCTGAATTGGCAAATAATAACGTTACAGTGTATAACCGAATCTCGGTCTTTTCTCGTTCTTGTTCCCTCTACCATGAAAGACTACTCCGTACTCCGTAAGCATATATATCTCTACTATCATGTCACCATGATGCAATTGATTACTGGTAGCTTGTTGAAACATGGAATCCTTCTTCTAGATCCCAGATGACTATACTATGACACCACTCAGTGATTATCTGCGAGTCATTGCTGTGCTTCTCTGACCATAACATTATTGTCTACATAGTTCTGATGACATTCTCTGCCATGTTTTCCCTGTAAAATGCTTATCGATAAGCGCGGGTTAGGCTAGGCGCATGCATAGCCACCGCTGCACATAACAGCCATCCTGGCGACTTATGGAGCGTAAAAGACAATTCAATTGATGATAACCGAGAGTGAACGACCAATTGAATCCTTTGTGATTTCCCATCAAATTTTCCTGGTTCACTCCTGCATCTACGGTGTCGTATACGTGGCCCGACTGTGGACCAGGTTACATGCGCTAGTCCTAAAGCAGCCAGACACCTAAGGCAGCAGCATATTCCCTGCGCAGATGGTGGGAATCTCGTATTCTACTTGCTAATTAATGTCTACTGTGCGCGAGGAAATTGTTGTGTGAACAGAGAAACAAAAAATATGCAATTCTATCTATAACGTAAATCCAGACCCAATGTTCGTAACTTCTTATTTTTCCCTCGAAGTTTTAGGATATATCATGTAGTCGTTGACTCAACACTCAACAAAGTATCGCAGACCTTGCATGTAGATACTAGCCGGTAATACCAAAAGAAGGCCGCACACTCTTCACCAATAGGCCTCGCACCCATTTAGTCAATAGCGGAGGCGGAGGAATCACCATGCGTAACGGGGTTGCTGATCTTGGGCTCCCACTTGAAGCCGAAGTCGTCGCCCAGCTCCTTACGGATAGCCGACTTAACAGCCTCCATAACGTTCGGGAAGACACCGAAGTTGGCAGGGTTTTGCTCATCGTTCTCGCCGCCCTGGAAGACACCCGTTCGGACCAGGCAGGTGTTCCAGCCGTACAGGTTTCCACCGATGATGTCGGACGCGGGGTTGTCGCCGACCATGTAAATGTTCTTGGGCAGCTTGCTCTGCTGGTGGATCTGCTCCATCCAAGCCTTCATGACCTCGTCGGCGTAGATGTAGGTGGCCCGCTCGGGCTTACCGTAGAGCACACGCTCCAGGTCCTGGCCGCTGGTGGCCTTGTACTGGGCCTCGACGGCCAGACGGAAGGCACCGAGGTGGAGACGGGGGGGACCCTTGTGCTCGGTAGGGCAGAGCAAGTCACCCTGCGAGAAGTAGATAGGGATGTGCTCGGCGCCCTTGGCGCCACGGGTGAGAAGACGACCGTTGTCGGACATGAGCAGGTCGTTGATGATCTGCAGGTCGGTCATGGCGTCGAAAGACTCAGCAAAGCACAGGATGGCATCGAACTGGACCTTGGAGAAGTCGCGAGGCTGGGCGTGCTTGCGCTCCTCGTCCGTGAAGACACGGCACGGCGAGATGGTGGGATCCCAGGCGAGAATATCCTTGGGGTGAATCACGTTCTTGAAGCCGTATTGTTGGGCAACTTCCCGGATCTTGTAGCCTTCTCCACCGCAAACCAGCACGGTGTCGTAGTATTCAGCAAGAGCCTGCATGGGGGTGTGCGATTGGATGAACTGATCCGTCGAGATGGGCTGCTCCAGGATCTCCGAGAGCTGTTGGCAGCGAGCCTCCTCGGTCTTTCCACCACCGTTGGTCAACAGAATGTAGGGGAATTGGATGCCTTGAGTTAATGTTAGCGAAGTTGTTCACATTTGTTTTGTTCTGAGTGGGAAAGCAACATACCGAGCTCGTTGTCACCGTTCAAGATCTTGAGAACGTCCTTTCCTTCCTGGATGGGGTTGCTGCCGTGCACCAAGACACCGTCAATGTCGAAAGCAAAGGCCATGTTCTTCACCTTGGCGACCTTGTCCTTGTGGAGATCCTGGATTTGGGAAGCAATGATATCCCGCTTCACCGTGCTGGGCCGGGAGGCCGTCGACAGCCGCGAAAGACGGGGCGACCGGGGAATGGGCAGAGAAGTGCTGAAGGAGTTCCTCGAGCCCCGACGGTCCTTCATGGACGGCGAGAAGCTGAGGTTGTGCATCAGGGCAGAGGCATCGCTGATGGCATCACGGGTCGAAGGGACCTCGACAATCTTGTTGGGATCCCGGGGGATGGAAGGGCGAGACCATCTGTCGCGCTTCTGACCCTCCGCGTAGGGAGGCACGAGGGTGGAATCCACCGCATGTTCGTCGATGCGGGGCATGGTGAAGGAGTTGAGATGTGAGGGTATTCGGGAAAGGTTGTTGTAGACGTTAAAGAACTCTCTCAACCGCGGAGCTCCTGGGGAAGGGGACGGGATTTAAGGAAACTCTCGAGAACCGGAATGACGACTTGAGGGATTAATGAGGGGCAGATTGAGGAGGGGCAACGAGAATCGCACCATAAACTTATACCAAAAGTGGTGAATAATGGACCGTAGATCGGTTGCCGGAAGAGGGAGTCCCGGTCGATGGATCCAGGGACCAGCGTGCTCCGTCCAGTTGTCAGTCTTGACTGGCTTGGGATGGCAGCTAGTCTACCTGGGAGACGCACCATACCGTCATCGCGCAGTTGCGAAGGTCAAGGCTTCAAGGGCGGTTTGGATAATTATCTCTTTCCTACATACTACTGGGCGACGGGGTTGGGAATAGAGGGGTCCCGAGTTGCTCGATGGCGGCCTCGTGTGCGTTGTATTGAATATAGTTCAAGAATCGAATCTATATTTGCTGGCTACTGGACATCCGCCAGATGTGCAGCTTCAGCTTGGAAGGCGATTCGAGGAACGTTAAATTAAGTTAAGCCACTTTGCTTAACCGAAAAGACTCCCCGAACGGCCTTGTACAACGGCAACCTCACGCCGTTGCAGTCTGCAGTTTACTTTTAAACGGTTATTCATAAATATAGAACAGGTGAAGCCCTGCCTCGTCTCGCATATTCTCCTACACCGTATAATGAAGCCATCACTTCGTTTTCTACCCAGCAGCCCGAGAGTAAAAGAAAAAGACGCAGAAAATAGAAAAAATAAAAAATAAAAAGAGCTACGGAAATAATGACGTCACGACCAGGAGTCAAAACCGCACCAGCGACACGCCGGTGACCACTAGCGTTGCTGCTGAGCACTGAAGATTAATCTAAGCATCCGGCGTCTGGGCTAAGAGCCTAAGACAGATCTTCGCCTTTCGCTGTTTCCGGCCAATCTCGAACCCTTTGCTGCAGTCACCGGCGTTTGGTTCTCTGGATAACATGCCCGTTTCGAGCTGGATAGACAACTCGACTACACAACAACCATGGCGAGCGACGTAGCTGGCGGCTCCCTTCGTCATTCCCATTCCCCGCGGGTTGCCGAATGCAGCGCACCCGAGAGTTTTGGGTGGATATTTTATGTGGGTTTTGATCCACCATATGTGCAGTCCGCAGCCATCCTGAGACACCATGATTTGATCTTCCCTTCGGGCGAGCCGATTTCTTTACGGCAAAGCGCCCGATGTATTTTCGTCGAGTCGGCGCCTATTGGCCTGGTATGATTTCCCAGGAGCCCCATAATGACGCAGTTCGATTATCCTGGATCATCCAAATCTGTGCTTGGCTCGTTGGCTGGTTGAGAGATGCTGCTTCATGGTGCGGCAACCGCGCGAGGGTTCAACAGTTTTAAACGAAATTGGTGGTCGTTCGGTTCCAATCAAACATTGGTCTTGTGCTAAGAATGTTGGTTTCTTCAACAACAATTCTTGGTTCACGAAGCTCTCTTGGAACCATCCGGATAAATATATGTTCCGCCCGCCGTGACGGTTCTGCCACTTTTATCAGGCCGCAACTACCCGCCTCCAGTCTGTAGATGCTTCTATGTGTCTTTCTTGCAATCTGCCCGTTTACTCAAAAATATCTGCAGTTCTGCATAATTCAGTGTTTGACCTATCTCATTTCATGTGAAACATACCACTGCACCCCCGCACAGCTGAATATAGTGTGTTCAGACTTCATAGTTCTCAGTTCGCGCAGATCTACACCCCGCAGTTAGCCCATACCATATCAATCTATGTTCGAGATTTCCTGTTTCCTACGCTGGTTTATTGTCACGAGTTAGGTGAATTAGACGAATCTACTCGCTGCTCATCGCGCTCAGATCTTATCCTGTCATCTATCCTCGTCATTGAACATTGGTGATCCCCGACCCGAGCGTTTCTGCACAAATCCAGAGTAAGCTAACAATGCGAGTGACCGGCTGGTTCGCTGATCGCATATAATGATCGACAACATCATATCCCCTTCTACTGTAGTTATATGTAAAGATCCACTTTCATATGCCAGGATCTTGAACCAAGGCAAAACATTTCAGATTGACTACTTGGATGTTTTTCTTAGTCATTGGAAATATGACAAATGATCATGCAGTATGGGTTTGAGAATTGGAGTGCGGGGTGTAGTTGACATCGTAGCTTGGGGAACGTACTGGACAAGTAAATGTGTGAGTAGCGCTGAGCGGAGCTGGGAAGGAACCTTTCTCCCTCGCTACAAAGTGCGATGATTTAATAGATGCATGAAGTCCAAAGCCTGCCAAACGTAGCTCTGTTGGATATGGTTAGTCCATTTGCTCGGCGGTTCTAAGTGACCGTGCACCTTTAGCTAGCATCATCATTGCATGCATGGACCTTAATCTCTAGCTGGCAATGTGACGATCTGGATGTAGTTGTTTCTCTTATATAGTCCCTCTTGTGTGGTGTAGGAAAGATCTGTAGCACGCGTATAAAATCTATAAGGAGGTACGAATGGAACGAAAGGTGACAGTAAACTTTAACTCTGTACTAAGAATTATTTGTGGAGTCTGGGTTTTTTGAACAGAGACAGGACAGAACATTGTAATATTATGGCATTCCAATAATGCCAGCAGTCAGTGCCACCTCAGAGTTGCCGCAAAGAAATATGCTAAAAGCATTTCCACCGAAGCTTTGCCTTTTCTTTGGGGATAGGGTGTTCTCTGATCTTTGCATGGCGATAAGAGTAGCCAGTCTCAGGGATGTAAGTATCAGCGATCATCTTCAGCGCACCTGGAGTTTCTAGCCATAAAGGGCTGAACTTTAGAATCATTTCGTGGGCAAATTCGGCCAAATTATCGAGTTTGGGGCGATTGACCAGCTGACCCGTGAACGGCTTTATACCATATACTAGATAAGGCCAGAAAAATGGATTCAAGCAATCAATTGCATGAAACAAATCGGCGGCTTGACTTTTGAGTCCTTTGATCGAGGCTGCATTATATTCTGGGTCAGAAAATGGTGAGCACGTAGCGACAACATTCGTCCCGACCTGGTAATACTGAATTATGTCTAGTATTTCCTCGGGTAAATATCTTCCAATTGTCCGTCTAGTTTCGGCCAATGCCTCAAAATCCCGGATTATGCTGATTTGCATAAACAACAGATAAACTCCGTTGACAAATAACACGCTACGATCCTTGGACCCAAGATCGATAGAAAAGCAGTCGCGGTCTTCAGCTTCAATGTATTGTAGGGCGTGATCCTCCCAACGACTATCTCCAGAAGCCTTGTGAGGGCCCACAAGTGTCTGTCTAACCAAATCATAGAACAGATGATATCGATCTCCCTGGGTTAGAATACATCGTGTTTCACACGAAGCACCGCTCGTGGGCAGGGTGAAGAAGCTGAGCAAGTGACCGAATTCAGTTCCAACCCCTCTAACGGGTCTCATCTTGCCAATCATAAATAGAACGGCAAATCGAGCGAAAATGTAGTCGACAAGGTCAGTGCTGTCGTGAAATACCTCCCACAACCAAGTACTGGTCATTTCCTTGTCTTCATGCAAAGAATCCAACACCGCCTCAGGGAGTAGGTGTCTCCTTGCCTCGAACTCTTTGAATGTTTCACAGATTTCCTGACACTGGCCAGCGTGTCTATCACTCTGGTTCCCTTGATCATGGCATATGTCGCAGAAGGCTACTACCTTGCACGCAGTGCATCGATGACGAGGGGGCCGGCTGCACCAAGGGCATTTAGGGCTCAAGATGTTAGTAGGCAGCATTTTGGTGAGTAGCAGGTGTGATGGCAGCAGACCGGTGGAAAGTTGATATATATATAGAGAGAGAGTGTGTGTGTGTGTTTGGTTAGATTCTGGATGTTGGTTGTCGCGAAATGATAGGGCAAATATCAGACACTGATTCCAAATGGAACGGTATTTATACTTTCATATTGACCGTTCAGTCAAGGAGGATACATACTGTGTAAAGGCATATCCCAAGACAATAATCCATATCTTGTTGTCCGCAGCGGCTATTACCATTTTTAATACGTGGATCGCCGCTATAGCCAATGCTTATTGTTCCCTATTAGTATGTAGTATTCGTGGTGGCATCCTTTGTGCGTGGTACCCGACAACGCTCTATTGAATATAGAGACAGATTTCCTTCCTTTGTGTTGGCTTCTCTGTTTTATCCCGAACTAAATTAGAGTTGTCTCTGATCAACATTCCTTGTCGCGCATAATATGGAACTCGGTTGGTGCCTGATAGACAATAAATTTAAACGGAAGGGTGCAGTTTGGCCACAAGTAAATGCAGGAAGATGCCTTTATTCTAATACATACAATCTGCGATGGAAATGATCGGCCAACCCCATTGGACTCTTCCGAACAGAGTGTATATATTGTATAGAGTGGGCAACACGGCGTGTCCCAAATAAGCTATACCTGACAAGTTAAACAAAATCTCAATCATAGCGATAACAATACATATATCTCATGGGATCCATTAACTCCCGAAGCGCTCGCGGCTGATCCAACGGTCCAAACTCCGTGACAAAGTCGGGCGTCACTAGGGGCATTGTCGGATCATCATGCATCACCGCGGTACCATTAAGCGCGTAGCGACGATTGTCCATATTGCCATTCTGCCACAAGGTCCACATGCGGTCCACCATCCCATGATGGAGCATAAACGCTGGATCTTGTGGCGACGCATACTGATCCGCCATGGTACCTCCTGCCGCAAAATGTCCACCACTGTGGGCGCCGTGAGCGCCCAGACGGCTCGGATTCAAGAAAGTCAGTAACTCGTTAATATCTTTCGCGTTCGTCATGCTGTTAAGAGAGGATTTATTGGCGTAATCCGCCAGATACCACGGTTGAAGGTTGCGCTCGAGGCACCTGGGATTGTAGTCGAATCCTGGAGGCCATAACGGCCTATTGAGATCGAACGTGTTGTTGAACGGACCGAGATGTATTTTATAGTCTTTGAAGGGGCCGGAAGTCACGCAGCGTCGCCCGGAGGTTTCGGAGCTGCTGCAATTGTCATGACATGTGGCGCTATCGTATACACCGTTACCTGATAGCGATGTGGCGCTACCGTCAAAGACTGGGCTTTTGGAGAGGTCTGAAGTCTCTAGCGACCAGTCCCAGTATCTGAAATAAGATGTTAGTCGGAGGTGGGATGGAAAGCCGGAATTAGAGCCTTACGGAACGCCACCGGTGTAGCCACATTCTTCCTGCAAAGTGCGTTCCCAGAGGAAAAGAAAATGCCGATGCCACGGAAGAAAAACGCCATTGTCATGAATGCTTGTTGTATAGTTTATGTGGGTTCTGAAATATTGAGTTAGCGCACTGGCTCATGCAATGGGGTTGGGACTCTTTGGACTAACGCCACAAAGTCATCCAAGCGATCGCGGACCCCAGGGTAATCCGAAGATGGGAGTACGGATTCGCGATTTCTGAGACACCATATTGCATTGATATACTCAGTGCGCTGATCTCCGCTCAATGTGCCCCTATAAGGTAGTACGAGTCAATAAATGAAGTACAGTTATCTACAGGCGGGATTTGGGGCTCACGTACCATTCCTGCCTCGTAGTCGTTGTATTAGAGCTACAAGTATTCTCGCACTTCGTACCGACAACGCCCATTAAAACAAGCAGCATACTTGATAGGTGCCTAACGTGAAACATATTGACGTCAAATTAATTAGAGCGCTACTACTGCTGAGAGGTAGCGTGTCTGTGAGGGGCAAAAGACTTTATGGATTGGCCCAATCCGAACTGGAATACCGAGGGGTGCGGAATGAAAGGAGGAAGTGAAATGAATCAAGGGGGGAAATCAAGGGGAGATTGGAACTGTTATAAACACACAAATTCATCACGTGTATTAAACTCAGAGCCACAAAGGTTAAGTATGCGAGGAGGTACGAAATAATTGACGCCTTGATTCCAGATCCTAGCGATCGAACACCGGAAGAACAAATCATCTTCAATATTGTGTTAACATTATCTCCGAGAAGGGTTCGGTGGGAAATTCTTCTTTTAGTGATATTATATAGACCTACAGACCTGTATAAGAAGGAGTGTAGTCTGTCTTTCCCACATGGCTAACAAGAAGCATTGAAACAGGCAAGATTTTAGCTACTAATTATTTCAGTTTTCTCTAAGCCTTTTTCCTTCGAATAAATTTAAGAAAATTTGGCTCAAGAGAATTGAGCAGTATGAGACTTCACCACGAAATCTCTCGCCAACCAAACATCATCCGGGATAAAATCTGCCGATTCTGGTACATTCACTATTGACCAATATATGCCAATACTATGCATTGTAGACCTGGAGAATATTTGTGGCTTAATTCTACCATCGAAGACAGCAATTCATTTTGGTCCGCGACAAGACCAGATAGCGGTGAGAGAGAGAATATGCATCAGTCTGAATGACTGCCGGAGCTCGCTAAGCTTCCTACGTCTGAACGTGTGATATAAGATGCCATTTTCTCTAGTGGGCTTAAGTGTGAAGCCTACGGTGTAAGCCTATGATTTACTAGCGAATTTATGACATAATATCATCGGAGACTAGCTGGTTAGCTAGGCCGGTTTTGCGTCAATTCCCCGCTTCTGTTGATTTTCCAATTCTCTAATGTCTGCATTTCAATATAATGAAGTCAAAATTTACAAGTTGAAGCGATCGCGTGTAAAGACTGAATTTTCTTCGCGGAAGATCACTTCATTGCTCCGCTAATCAGCCAATTTGGGAAATATAACCCCATCATGGACTCGCCGTCGCTCAGGATAGTCCCCTACTATTCTCCAACGGCAAATTCCCGAGGCACGGTACCCCGCAAACGCGCCCAAAGGGCGAGGGTGAGGGAGAGACAAAATGGGACTTTGTCCAAAGTCAAGAATGCATGCATATTGTGCAGAGAGTCTGGGGTCCACTGCGTAGACCGACCAAAAGACCATGAAACTGACGGCGGAGACAGAAAGAAAACACGATGCTCGGGCCATATGCCATGTGTTCGATGTCAACAGCAGAGGCAAACTTGTCGGTATATGTCCACTACATCGGATCACTCCGGTGGCGGTTTTGATTCTGGTCCGCATACAAGCTCATTCCTGACGAGTCATGGAATTCCGGATGACTCGGGACAACGAGCCTTGCCGCAATGCTCGACTGGGATCGCGACCTCCTTAAGACCGGTCACACCAGACGATACTCCTCCAGAAGATCAATATGGCCACTTTCATGGCTTTGCGTCTGGCTTTGCGTTTTTACAGTTCGCTAAACAAAGGCTGGCAAGTTTACCGTCTATGTCGTTGGACTTTTCGGATTATCCCTTGACAAACGCCGGTAAACTCCCCTCCATACTCCCTCCTAAATCCGTTGCCGACGACCTGATACGCGACTACTTTGACTTCGGTCTGACAACATCTCGATTTGTGCACAAACCGAGTTTATTGGCGGTAGTTGACAAGTTGTACAACCTCGAAGAAACCTTCCACTCCAACCAGGATGATTTAGCCCTGGTGTACATGGTGATGGCCACTGGTTCTCATTATTCCAAAAGGAATAGCGTTTTCTGCGGGTACTCTGCTAGGTAGGTGCATGCTTCAAATCGATATCGTATCATTAACAGGTAGCAGCGTGCGATTCTTAACCATGGCCCAAAAGGAGCTCCAGAAAGAGTCTAGCAAAGTTACGCTGAGTTCGTTACAAGCTAGACTGTTGGTCACTCACTATCTATTGAATCACTCAAGGATGCATGAGGCATGGTCTTCCTTCGGGATCATTGTTCGACAGGCTCAGGCACTGCGGCTTCAACGAAAGTCAACCGCGCCGTGTACCAATCACGTTGACTACGAGTACCGCAAGCGCGTTTTCTGGTCAATTTATACTTACGATCGGATTCTGAGTAGCATATTCGGCCGTCCATGTGCATTGCACGACGATGATATCGATCAGGAAGAATGCGCCCTGGCAAATGACGAGGGTATCACTGTGTCGGAATGTCGCACCCTGGAACAGGGCAACTTCTGCTCTGCGGCAGCACTCATCCGTTATGCGCAGCTGGCTCGGATGTTGGGCCGGATTCTTCGCGAATTCTACAGTCCAGTCGCCAAGCGATATAGTCTTCACACCTTACAACAAATGGCATCGGATATTGAGAGGGATCTAGAAGACTGGCAAGACAATCTTCCTGTTTACCTCAATTACGTCTCTTTACCGTCATCGGCCATGTCCACAATGACCCAGAGGCAGACGTGTACCTTGAAACTAACCTTTGCCCATACAATGCTTCTGTTGTACCGTCCGTTCCTTCTTCACTGGATTCGCGCAAGCGATCAAATTGCAACGGATCTGGAATCGTGGTTCAAACATTGTGGGAACAAATCCGTCGAAGCCGCCAGTATGGTTGTGGCCGAATGTCGCGACCTTTATGAACGCGGTCTCTTCTCTCGACTGTTCTGGCTTGTCAACTATGTCCAATTCGCGTCTGTCGGGACTCTGTACATGTACTCCTGTCTATGGCCACACTCGTCCAATGTCAGGGCTACGGCTGACGAGGCACTGGCGCAATTCCCGACCGGGGTGGAAGGCGACCTGGTGGGTCAACGTTATCTCGAGATTCTCAAAGAACTACAAGAAGTTACAAAAGGGTTTAATATCGGTAATGTCGCTCTTGATGATCAATCTATCTTACAACCCGGGGATTCTTTCGCCAACGAGATGCCTGCTTTTGATGACATGTTAATGAGCTACGGTGACCCGTGGGGAGTCGGACTGTTCGAAACAACGCCGCTAATCGATGGTCATGACGGAGCAAGTCTATAATAATTTCTTAGGGGCGATTTGTGGCTTTCCTCATTGAAATGTTCTACTTCTATCTATCCCACCCGTGTTGTTTGGATCCCCACAACAGCCTTTTCCCGAATAGGAAATCGGGCATTCTCCCCGGTGCCAAGATACAGATCGGGCCATTTCTATGCAGATCACAGCGTCCACCACTCGGGGCAGGTCCATTACAATATCACAGCATGTACCGAAACCCACTGGCTTGTTGAGCGACCGTTGGTCCGCTTCCCCCCAAGTCCCTTCCCTGATCAAGTTTCCAATTTTGCCTCTTCAGGTGAATCATAGTCACTGTTGCCATCACGATCGCTGCAACACCGGCAACCAAATTGACAACAAAAGCAGCCAAATATCGGGGCGCCCCATCGTAGAGATAGGGGGTCCAGATGTTGGGAGTATTGCAAACCGAGATTATGAAAGCGATCCCAGTGGCACGCTTTGGGGCGGGTTGGCTCAGCGTTCCTGAAATCCAAGAGAAAATCACCGTTGATGCGGCATACAAAGACCCGGGCATCAGCATCATGGCTATATACCGTGCCGCTGTGTTGAGGGTGGACACAGCGAGGATGTTCGCGATTATAGTGACGCATAAAGGTCCCACGACATGATAGTACCGCTCTTCTGTCGAGTCCGAGTGGAAACCATTCACCATGATGACAATGCAACAAAGGATAAATGGTGGCGCGGTCAGAGCATAGGTCACCGTGCGTGAGTAGCCAAGTGTGGCGACCACTGGGGGGAAGAAGTTTGTCACGCCAGCCGAGATGAAAATGGCATATAGGGTTGCCAGTAGTAGCCAGGTCTTCGGGTCTTTGATCGCCATAACTAGACCCTGCAGTGTGCTGGCTTCACTCTGGTCGTCTTGTTGGCCTTGGTCTTGCTCATAGTTCCATCGGATCCACTCCCGTTCCACTTCGGTCAGACCGCGGACGCTGGCAGGACTATTGGGAAGGATGAATGCAAATAGAATGGCAAGTACTATTGTGATGATACCCTCTACTAGGAAGAGCTGGACAAGAACAAAGTGTCAACAAGGGGCTTGAACATGAACGACTGTTGAAAAATGACTCACCCATCTCCATCCTGCGAGTTCATGATGTCCATCTAACTGGAGAATGCCGATTGCGAATAAGCCCCCAATGGCATTACCCAGCTGCGAGCCCGAGTAGAACAGCGCTGCCCGAAAGGCATATTGTTATAGAACACGGACAGATAATACAGGGCACCCGGGAAGAATACGGCCTCGACGAATCCGATTAGAAACCGAGCGACCATCAAGCCAGCGAAGTTATGCACAGCCGCCTGGCAAGCTGAGATCACGCCCCAAATGCCCATTGCAGCGCATATATACACCGCTGGAAGTTTGATTTTTCAAATTGACACGTGAGCTCTTCTGTCTAGCCAAAAACTGGACAACGGAAGCAGAACTTACTATATCCAGCAAACAAGACCGAAATGCAACTTTGATACTCTGTGGATGAGAGGTGAAGGTCCTCGGTTATATTTGCGTGTTTAGCGGCACCGATGTTGTTACGATCGAGGTAGTTGAGGATGTACATGAGCATCAGACATGGGAATATCATAACGTCCATCTTCAATGTCGCTCTGAAGCCCGTCTTCTTATACTCTTCCGGGGTGAGCACTCTCAGAATGTCTGGCATTGCCGCATTGGCTACCTCATGGCAGTCGGGCTTGTACAGCACTTCCTCATGATGCGAGTGCGACGGGCTGAGATCCTGCTTGTTGTCCATTGTGTGATTTTAAGTATGAATTGTAATCTCTGCCATTCATGACGGGTTCTGCAACATACTTATGGTGGAACCAGGTGGGCTGCAAGCTCGGTGACCACGTCTACCCCAGACTTCCCAGGCTCGACCCCGCATACTTCCCCGGAATCCGCTTTTGGCAATTGAGCCGGACGCATCATATTTCCTAATTTGGTGGACTATACTTTCCAACTTTCCTTCACTAGCTTAATGAATGACCACTTATGTGACCGCTGTGGGCCAAATGCGGAGAAGATCGTTCGCAAGTGCTGAGCATACCATCACAAGGGATGAAACCATTGTTCGCTTTACTCTGATGTTGTAATCTGTCTTAGGTACCTGGTTCGAACACTATATAATAGCCCGTTGTTCGGCTATTTACGTCTCTCAATTTTGCGAGCCAAGTTGGGGTCTTCCTCGCTGAACGCTGCCACTGTCCATCTTTCATCGAACGGCTGGCGTTTGTCTACAAAGCGGAGGTCGGTCGATACTCGGATCCGACCCTTATCCGACTCATTCATGGCGCCAGCATGGATCATGTATGGGTTATGAAAAACGATGTCACCGGCCTCATACTCTCCCTAAATATCTGTCAGCGCTTGCTCAATTGGCATCTTGTTCATTAAATACTCACCACAAACCACTCCCTACCCCAATTCCTTCCAAATTGTGACGAGTTCCGATCAAGCCACCCACCCTTATTCATATTTTGATTGACTGCGGAGATCTTCTCCGCATCGGTGAGGTTCGCATTCAGACGCGTGAAGTCATCCTCATACTGCTTTCCCAGATCATGCGACCGGTGCAGATAGATCAACCCTCCACCTTTTCTCTCAATATCCCCGATCGGCACCCAAGCAGTGATACTAGTCGGCGGTGCTGCGCGAAGGAAGATCTGATCGTAATGCACAGGCGTCGACTCGGCGCCCGGAACTGCGCACCTCAACAACGACCGAGGCAAACACCACGGGTCCTCAAAGCCGCAAAGCTCCCCGACGAACGGTTCTACCTGCCGGGCCACTTCGTCTTTAAATGCAAGATAAAACGGTGCCACGTGGCTATTGATCGCGTTATCGACAAACGGACCTTTATCTTCAAGGCCCATGGCTAGTCGGACACCGCCGGGGAGGACGAAGTCGCGCCAGTCTGCGCCGGAAAAGATGCCCTCTTCTGGATCGGTGTCGGGTTTCAACATGCCGGATCCCTGATTGACGAAGTTGAGGTACTCACGACGACACTTGTTGACGAGGTCTCGGTTGATGATGTTTTTGATCTGTTAATCACAGAACCACAGTCAGCCTCGGGGTATGTCGCGTGAAAGGCTTCAGTTAGTGGGAGGGACTGGAGCCAAACTCATACCCAGATTACACCATCTTCACGGTACCGTCGTCGAAGTTCCTCAACGGGGGTGTTTCGCGACAAGGGCGTCAAGAGTTTCACGTTTTCAATCTCTCCGCCATAAGCTCGCAGGTTTAAAGATTCTTTGACTGTTTCGGGTGGAAGCGTGATGGTTGTCATTTTGTAAACCGTTCCTCCTTAATGGTGTTATAGCTCTGTTGTCAGAAGGGCTTATGCTTGTCCAGGTGGAAAGTAATTCGCAAAAGCAATTTCCTTATTTTATAAATGCTGCTCTTTCAACCGACTCCGGGGAAGACAAGCCCTATTGCGGGGTTAACCTGAGATCCCGGGGAACGTTGACTTCCTAAATAGGCAACCCGGGCACTCTTCCCCGGTCTATCCTCCCAGAAGGCGTATCGCCCCAGCATGCTTCCTTCGAAGCAATATGCTAGGAATGTTGATCAAAGAAAGATCGGGAGCTGACTACCATCATAAGGTCCTTACAGTTATCCTTCTAACATCTATAGTCTATGCATCATAAATACTAATCATATCTTAAATCTTAATTATTTTATTTTCTGAGGTATAAGCAACCATCTGGGAATTATATAAAAAGACTATTAAAGTAACCGACATACTATATATAATCTTCAAATATTTGTAAATAATAGCCATTGGTAGTATCCCAGATCTTGACTATCTTATCAGCTAAACTAGAGGCGACTAGCTAGAAATCATATAAAAAGATTACTAATATAATCTAGTTAATATCGCTCTCAGGTGTCTGTAAAAGCTATTAGTAGTATCTCAGATTTTGACTGTTTTAATAGCTAAAGTAGAGGTAACTAGGTGGAATTATACGCGAAGACTACTAATATAACTGAGTTACTATAGCCCTCGAGTGTCTGTAGGCAATGGTTGTTGGTGGCATCCCAGATATTGACCGTCATGTCATCTGAGGCAGCGGCGACCAGTTCTATTCATAGCGGTGTAGAGCTTGGTCGCTCCTGGAGCATCTACTGATAGTTCCAGCGATCATCACGATTGTTTTCGACATTGCTACGACGTTTGGTATTATAATAACAGCTCAAATACCATCATCCTCCTGGGGGTCTAAAACTAGCTTTTTCGGGCTGCGCCCTTCCAAGACGTCGGTACAAGCAACTTGAATGCTGTTCAAGCCACCAGTTCGCTTTTCCAAGGGTGTGGGGGTCACGTTTCCACCCAGAGCCCCGGGGAGGTAGTCACCATACCACCATTCCGTAAACTCACCATTTTCCGGCTTCTGAGTAGTCATGCTGAAAAAATCGTAGACTAAATGGACATTCTTAGCCAGATTCATTTCACTGCTTTGCGGGCGGACAGAGGCAAATGTTCCACCATCCGGTTGCAGGATTTCACTTAAGGCGCTTGAACCTTTCGCGTCACCCGAAGCCGTCATGATATAGTCGTAAGGGCCGAAGCTCTTCAGTTTTGAGACGATCTCATCATCCTTGTAGTCGAGAACAGTAGAAGCCCCAAGACCACGGACATACTCGAACTTTCGCGAGGAAGCAGTTGCCACAACTTCGTAACCGACCTAAGAATCCATGTTAGCTTTCTCCCGAATGACAGCCAAGCCTGCTTCGTACTCACACTGGCAGCATATTGAACAGCGTAACCTCCCACAGATCCGCTACCACTCCAAATTAATGCTTTCCCTTTGCAATTCATTCCGGGTTTCCCCATGCCCAGGTGTAAGTGCAACGCAGAAACAGCTGTTAATAGCGCAAACGGTATTGCGGCAGCATCCTCAAAAGTTGTGCTTGCCGGTATCTTAGCGGTCGTGGCCTCTCTACTCACGACAAATATCTGCCAACCCCCGTACTTAGACTGTTTGAGCTGGTAAGTAGGCGTATCGGACACGACGCGGTCGCCCTTTTTGAATCTAGTTACTGACGGGCCGACGTCATGGACAATACCAGCAACTCCATTACGCAAGATGAATGGGTAGGGCACATCGATGTATGCTCGGGCCCGGACATTGGCATCGAAAGGTTGTATTGCAATAGCGCGGTTCTATCACACTCCTTAACCACGTGACTTCTGCAGTGATTTTCCATGCAAAGTGTTGACGCACCTCGATCACAATTTCACCTTCTAAAGGGGGGTTATAGGCCGCGGTGGATCGCTTGAGATCATCTTTTGGCTTCAGAATCCAGGCAGCTTCGTTGAGAGGTGGCATGGTGCCTTGATGATAACAATTCACAAGTTATAAGCTAGAGGTGAGGGTAGCTTTCTAGCAATGAATATCTTGCTCCAAGTGAGAAAAGATGCTCAATGACCTCAAAAAGGTTTGAGCAGGAAGCATCGCCCCGCAAGATAGTCAGCAGATGGCATTGGTAATTCTTACGACATCCACTAACTTAGTAACTTAGTTAACTAGTAGTTTGGGTTAAACTTTAATTAGATAACCATGCTTTCTCTTTTTTTTTTTTTTTTTTCCCCAACCACCTGGGCTTACGCGAAACTTTGTAACTCATTGCAAGCCCAAGACTATGCACGTCAGAAGCATACCCTCTTGAGTTTGCCTAGAACGTAGACAGCATCGAGCAATCCATGGCTCTCCGGTACTCCGCACCGACTGGAACTGGCCGATATGTGTCTATGACCATTCTGCGGAAATTTTTGGTAAAAAGTAACCGAACCGTCGGCTCTCTGCATGATGCACAGGGCAGAGTTAAAGATAAGATACCATAGAGAACTAGTTCGGAGATCTGAGGACGGATGATTTTCGCCAGAAGCCAGCTACCCGTGGGTGTCGTCCACAATGACAACATCTCTTTTCAAGCTATAAAAAGGAACGAAGTGGCACGGAGTATTCGGCGAGATGGTGTAACTGTTTATAATTCAGACGAAATCGCCTAGCCTGGCGCGGTCGCAGACAGCGGAGAGTTTGTTCTCTGTTTCGATGGCACCGGATATAAATTCCGGGGAGTTGAAGCAGACAGTAATGTCCTCAAGATATACAGAGTGAGTGATTAGAGTATGAGCTAGTCCCTTTAGGCTACGCTTACACCAATGGAAGATGCTGAACCGCAATGACCCTCGTCAACTTCATTACTATCAGCCGGGGTTTGGACGCATACCACCTCGATTTGGCAGGCCAGCAATGCCCTGCTGTTCATCGAGAAACCATGAACGTTGATCATTCGCGAATTGAAGCAGACCCCCCAAACCCGGCTAGTGCGCTCTCTGAAGCTAAGAATGGCCTCCCCGACGAAAATTGGAATACGTCTCAGGACGTCGAGGAGGTCTGGTTCGCTGGATGGCATTCGGACATTGGCGGCGGATTGAATGACGGCGAATATAAAGCACTGAGCCATGTGCCATTAGTTTGGATCGTACAGGAGGCGCAGCGTGCGGGGTTTCAATTTGACCCTGAAAATATGAAACTCTTCCATTGCTTTGATGATCCAGCTGGCTATAGCGATCTTCCGGATCATCTGGAAACAAGCGCTGGCGGCTAAAAGATGGAACTTACAGCGACACAGGGGACGGATCCAGCTTCAAGGTCGAGATTCGAAGGGCAACTACTACCGGACATATACATGATTTCCTACAATATGGCCACGGTATACCGTGGCCCACCGTGTAACTTGGAAAGTAGCAGAGTATGTTCTGTTTCGGAGGATGGCATTGCAACCCGATGGATCCTGGAAACCTGTTCGGTGGCCTCTTCCCCTTGGGGAGAGACGTGACCTTCCAAAGGAAGCCAAGATTCACGGGTCAGTTGTACGCCGCATGAAGGCCATTCCAAATTATAAGCCGGTCAATGTACTCGGGGATGGGAAGGAGAAGAATAGGCGATCCTTGGAGCGTGGAATCGGCACGTGGCAGGTGTACGCCTATAAAGGCTGTCCAGTAAGAGAAACATACCACCGGAAGTCGAACGAGAAGGTGTAGACCAAAATTCATATTAGATTAAGTACCTTGCCATTGACAAACAAGGCATGAGTCATGAGCTCTCCTAATGCGGCAGCAAGACGAACGCAAGACAAGACGAAACGGAAAACAACCGGAAGAAGAGGACCGGGGAACTACCCATCACATAGACCATGCTTCGGAATTAGGCAGAGGAGACTAAGTTACTCGCATTCCTCATTTCACTAGCCTAGAGCGCATAAGTGGCACACCTTTCCGCAAAGACCGGACCTATACCGTTACATTGTACCTGCTCGCGCAAGTAGTTGCATAGTCTCTCAGGATCAAGTTTACCTTCGTGCAACCGGGCATCTTGTTGAGTGAATTCCCAAGTAGCGTGCAAGTCCATCAGCCACCCGCCAGTATCTAGATCAGTTACGACTCGGTGTGTGGGCTCTTTGTTATGGTCACCTGGCGCCACTAAATGTGCGAAACTTGTGTACGTCATAGCAACCGTAAAGGGACCTCCCACTGGCAAAAGGCGGCGGAGGCCACGGCTAGGGGTCACGCAATGACTGCTGCAAATGGTTAGGTGCAAGTGGGCGGGCCACTGATTCAGCCCACTAAGCTCTAGTGATTCGTATTGATTATAATGTTGACGAAATGTTAAGGTTAACGAGTCAAGAAGAGGGTCGGAGACCACCGTGTCGGTGGGTACTGGGGGATCGGGCGGGCGATGAGTTAAACGGTACCCTACCCCACAAGCTTGCTTTTCAATCATCTCGTAATATGCAGAGCGGCAGGAGTCGTGATGCCATCAGTTCGGATGATAAATATTTAGATAATCCCATATGATGTACAGATATATTTACCAGTCCGATCATCCATTAGATTGGAATTTCAATCTCACCACGAAGTAACCTTCTATTTCGACAATCATTTCTTTTTTCCCACCTGCCACCATGCCTCCAGCATACAAACGTCTCGACCGCGACAACTGTGCTTTCCTGTTTATCGACCATCAGGTGAGCTTAAGTGATGTGTGCGATAAGCAAAAGGTTGACAAGAACTAATCTGAGAAACAGTCCGGACTTATTCAGTTGGTGCGCGACTTCGAGCCTACAGAGTTCCGGACCAACGTATTGGGTTTGGTGAAGACCGCCGCTTACTTCAAAGCACCCTCCGTCCTGACCACCTCATTCGACACTGGCCCCAATGGTCCTATTGCCCAGGAAATTTTGGATACCCTGCCTGATGCTCCGTTCATCCGGAGACCGGGCCAGGTCAATGCCATGGACAACGAGGACTTTGTCCAGGCGGTAAAAGCAACCGGAAAGAAACAGGTAATCATCAGGTATCTACACAACCTGCTGGTATCACTGCAAGATGGAGCTGCTCCTAACTATTGACAAGTGGTGTTCTCACCGAAATCTGCGTCGCATTCCCGGCGCTGAGTCTGATTGAGCAGGGCTACGATGTATTCGTTGTGACGGATGCTTCTGGCACCTTCAAGGAACATACAAGGGAAGCAGCTCACAAGCGGATGGCACAAGCAGGCGTGCAACTCTTGAATTGGGCCGCGGTGGCTGCTGAGATGCAGCGAGACTGGCGTCGGGACATCGAAGGCTTTGGCAAACTTTGGACCGATCATGTGCCTGGATATTGGTGTTTGATGCAGAGCTACTCGAGTAACCCAGCAAACACGAAGTAGGCGGTTAAGCTCTGACACCTAGTATTTACTGCGATCAATTTGGCACAGCAGTAAAGGCAACATCTGTGATAATCGAAGGAGGTCTTTGGACCACTGTGTTATCATGGACGCCCTGGAGAAAAGCAGGTTTTTATTGAATCAATATAATGATGCCAACATACCAAGAATGATACCACATCTATGGAGTATGCGCATGTTACTATATGTAGAACCGATCAGGACCATTGGCAAAGTCCCCCAGCCAGATGATCGAGAAACCTGTAGTTAGGGGTTCCACCTGACAGAGTTCCGCACTGAAGACCCACACCGAGGACACGAGGAACTTCACAGTCCTTAGTAACTGACTTAGAGTATTGGTAGTTAAGGATAACCAATGATGTCCAAGATCACTGCCAAGAGCCATAAAGAAGTTTCTTATCTCTTCCTATCCCTTTATGTGCTGCAAAAAATGTATCGATTGAAGTGGTTTTTAGTTGTGCTCAACATAAGAGCCCAGAATTTTTAGTCTCCAAATAGACAATATGTTTAATGGCAAGGCTGAACCGACATATGGTGGATATCACGGCTCATGATGCACGGGCCATAAGTCATGACGTAAGATTATGAACCAAAGGGGCATTCCAAAGCAGATCAAAAAACCCGCACATATGATTGTATTAACTGATTCAAGCAGAACTTTGCAACCAACTTGAATAACAGGCTCGACAAAAATGACATCTTTACTGCCCAAAGCCAGTTTCTGGCGTAGAGAACCGAATGCATTACCAGTCCCAGCCGACATCGTTCCCTTTGCTGGCCGTATTGGCGCAAACCAGGAGTTCTCATTGGATACGAACAATTGCGCTCATGCAGAGATTTTACAAGATTTCCCTGATGCAGCTCCTTGGATTCCGTTGCGCCATGCTTTGAACTTGAAGCATGTCTTACAGCTTGAGCTGTGGAAAGGAGCAGTAGTTGAAGCAATAGGTTCGCCCATGACCTCGTCATAATGAAATAAGTTGACATTTTGAAGGTAGCTGCATGTTGGTCTATCTTACCTGCTTTACAGCAATTGGGCTAGGCCAGTTGGCCCAGTGCGTGATTTTCACACAGATGACTCCCGTCTAGTTGCTGATAATAATTGTAGCAACTTCGAGTCCGGCCCATTGGTACCAAGTCTGCTTGGCGGTCTAACGGCTACATTGGTTCTCCCTTTGTTCATCTTTGCTACTGGCCCTGTCTCTGGAGCCCACTTGAACCCTACCATCACCATTGCCACATTATTTGGCCGACTAGCGACACTACCTAGATGTATACTGTATGTGGCATTCCAGACGTTTGGAGCAGCTCTTGCCGGGTGGCTATTAAGAGCGAGTTTTAATACGAGATCGGTAAGTCCGCTTGTTTCCAAAGATATTGATTTAAATGTCGTTGTTAGACGTATGCTTCTCCTGACGTCTTCGGCTTAGTTTGTTGTGCCCGGGTGTTATTTGGACCTGGAACTCGTCTCCGTGGGCAGTGCATTTGCGATTGAGTTTACCACCGACTTCGCCTTGATATATTTATCATTTAGTGTTGGTCTCGATCCACGCCAGAAGGCGATATTTGGGCCCGCTCTGGGTCCCGTTCTTGTAGGTATCATCCTGGGAACCTGTACCTTTGTGACCGGTTTTAGTCTTCCTGGCTTTACTGGGTTCTGTAAGCCTCTCACCCGATCATACCTTTGCTATCAAATGGTATGGTTGAAGAGCTAACTCTCTCGATATAGCCGGAAACCCTGCCCGGTGCTTCGGCGCCATGGTCGGATCTCACTTTGCTTCCTATCACTGGATACATTGGGTTGGACCGCTAGTGGCATCCATCGCACATGGGTTGTTCTACTGCCTCCTACCTCCTTATTCACGGGAAAGAGCACCTAGAAGTCAATAGTATCCTAGGGTCGATGTACCAAATTGCATATTTCGAGGCTGTACATGAGGACTGCAAGGGAACTCAACTTCATTAGACATCTGAACGACTATACGAAACGCACTGAAACCAGAAATTACCCAAGCTAGTCTAGATTAGGTCTGGGTTAGATCTGTGTTATATTGGATTATGCGGAAGTCTAAGTCTCTGTAAACGCACCTCGAAGTTCTCTGTGACTTCTACCGGACCAGTCAACTTTAAGGCTTAATGTGCAATCCTTGACCGCTCTTTGGAATTAAAAGAGCAATACCGATGCAACTAACTCTGTCATCTTCCAGGTGCTAGACAAGAACGTAATCGGATGGCTAAATGGACGTTTTCTTCGATTAAATTCCAATTACCATTCTTTTCTAAGGAAAATCATACTGTACGGCCACGGACTGAATTTTCCATCAACAATATGAAAACAGAACAATGAACAAAAGAGTGGAGCACATATGAAGAGCTTCCGGCTCATGGCGTTCATATTCCCAGATATTATTGGCTAAAACGTGGACTGGAAATGACAGATCTGATGACTCGGTATCAAGCGGAATATCACGCTTCAAAGACGGCATTTCAAGGGGCATGTACCTGATACAGATTAGATGGACCCACTTTTGATGAAGCTTCTACGGAGATATCATTTTTATTCACTGTGTCGAAGAAGGTTCTTCAGGGGTCTGTTGATTATAAATACCACTCCTCAAACGCTGTTTCGCCTCTTCTCATCTTCAAGATATCAAGAGTGATAATTTCAAATTCTCCTGTGCATCTTCGACAGAAAGTCTCCTGAAACAGATACACTCAGCTCTGCGAAACCACTCCAAATCTCAAAACATTGACAACATGGATAACGACAATAAGGCAGTGCACGGGCAGGACTGCCGTTGCAATCAATGCTCCCATATTCGTGAGTGTCGATCAGCAGAGTCTTGCAGTTGTGGGGGTTGCCTTCGCTTTTTGGCGTCATGCCGTTGCCTCGAGTGCTACTACGCTCTTTTGGCAGCATGTCGTGAATGTCGCAATGCAACAATTTCCTACCAGCGCTCCCACCAAGTCGTGCCTCAGGGTCGCCCTATACCCAATGATACTTCCGTGGAGCTCGGGTTCCCTGATCGTTTTGATTTTCCTCTCGGTTCATTGTGCCATGCGCATTCGCGCCAAAATCCTGCCACTGCCGGTTCGCCTGTTGGACGTCCTGATACAGCAGGCGATGCCGCAGGTGCAAGAGAAACAGGTTCGGGACAGTCAGCAGCTCCAATCTCAAGTACCGAGGGCAATGAAAGCCCAGGAAACCAGATATGCTTTCGGACGGCTAGCTACGAGAGTCGTCGTCAAATTGCTGCACGCCATGCAACTCCCGATCAGCGTACTAGCGAGACCCAGGATAATGCCGACTCCCCAACTTTCACTCCCCCGAGTCCAATTATGACAATTGGTGTTCATCAGACCGGGAATGTAGAGCCACCTTATTGTTCTGACGTTCGATCTACGCAGCCAAACACTGTTGGCTCTGGACCTTTTGGCTCGAGCCCTGGTAGCGCTCGAGTCCCGGCGGCGACATCGGGTAATTTCCCTTTCTCGAGTCAAGCCCAAAATTATGGTCATAACCAGATCTTCCCGAATGGATCCATGGCTTTTCCCCAACCCCATGTGGACCTGCCTATGGTTCCTTCACGCAACTTTATGCAGCCCTATCCAGCTAGTCACGGAAACTTTGGCCCTACCTCTTTCTTCGGGCAGCATCCCGCATACACGTCTCAAAATTATGAATCCGCAGGCTTCATGATGTCACCCGATCATGTGTCAAATGGACGCACCGGGTCCTTCGGTGGCCCACCCAGAGATGCATTTGAATGGCAACTCCCTGTCTCATCGGCCGGCTGGCCTCCGATGAATATGCGCGGACCACCCAACAATTGGCAAGCCGGAAGACAGTTTGCTCCGCCTCAATATATTCCCTTGTCAGATGGACGGCAAGCGAATCCCATGGATCCATACGTTCCCGTCACTTACTCTGCTCCTGAATTTCATCCTGAGAATATAGTCCTCTAAACAAGCAATGCACAGGCTGGATTTACTTTCTTCAATGGGATTCCGTGGGCTCAAAGTCCGCTCAATTATCAGTGCCAGAGTGACCAGCCTGTCATCCTTGACTGCCCTGACACCGCTAGTTTTCTCTTATTTTCGATCTGAATATTGTTCCGTTTGTGCAATAGGCTTGGGGATATAACTTCTGGGAGACTGATCGATTCCTTACTCTATTTGCTCGAGTGTGCAAATACCTATGGAGTTGGTTTGAAATTTCGTTCTTGATTCTCGTCTTTACTTTGTACATTTATGAAATCCCAATCCTTTTATCGCAATAAACTATTCATCCAGTAGACACAAAGATACCCGTATCTCAACCGTAGAAGTACATTTTTCCGCCTAAGTTCCAATACTTTGATGAACTATGATTAGTGGCTTTACAAGCTTCAATGCATATTAAGCTAACGTGTTCCAATGTTACGCACCGGTCTGTTGACTTTACCAACTGCACCACACACCGAAAAGGCACAATGAATGACCAACAGGTCATTCAGTCAACATACTTTATAGCAAGCTCCAGGTCAGCGATCTTACCTAGGAGGATCCTGACATCAAACGCCCCAAACACCTAAAGGAGGACTATGCTGATCAATGCATATGTTTGCACAGCTCAACAGTCTTCTTTGATAAAGACTTGACTCTCTGGTAAGCTTTGGCACCGATCAGTTCGATCCAGTCCGCAAAGCTTAAACAAATGTAACTCTGCTCAAACGGTTACCTACAAAGTCGCTTATAAATTATTGTCTCGAATAGATTAGAAGAGAAATACCGATGACCACTTGAGCGCCATTCTTAACTGCTCTGAGAGAATTATATTGTTATAAATCTATGTCTAGCAACGGCAATATCATAGTGTCGAAAGATCCTACTAGTCTTTTTTATCAGTCAAGTATAGTAGAAGCTTCGAGGCCTATGCAAGGAAAATAATGTTGATAGTATGGGAATTTTATTCGAATGTTTAATTATTGTTTATCAAGGGACATGTACTGCAAGTCAACATATGACGTCAACCTGTGTGTCCATAGCGTTGGTTGCTGTCTTAATATCATTCCATCCATCACTTTGTTTTATGGACTGTACATCGTTATATGCTTAGTATGACTTACCTTCGAAATTAGGCGGCAAGTTGTCTTATTGACAGAATATGGCCTGGAAGATTGATGGACAAACCCATCGTCATCGAGAATTACTACGGAATGCTTCGGGGTACAATATTTTGAAGGAGCATGAAGTTGAAAGAAGTTGCCCAAAGGAATTGTCCGGTATTTTTACCGACGGACTACTAGCCCAGCGACGTTTGAGTGAAACATTTCGGTCTCATCATGGAACATAAAAGGGCCTCAAGTCTCTACGAATCAAAGAAACCAATCTCTCCTTTATCCTCTTCCAACCAATCAACATACTTATCTGACCTGTCTACCTGTCACCATGAACACCCGTCGCTCATCCATGTCTGGCGCGCCTGGAAACGTCGAGATCACTCGTGGTTCTTACTACACTATTCGATACAATGGTGCCGCCAACGGTTCATCCGGAATGACTCCTGCCCAGTCCCGGCCTATCAGTTACATTAGTTCCTCGCGCTTTCCTGGAACAAGCACCACGAGCAGGAGTGTTGGATATGGCAGTCCTACAACTGGCCCTATGTCAAGTTCGACAACCCGAGGCGTTTCTTCTATGAGCCCGATGTCAAGTCAATCTAGCCGATCCTCGATGAGTCCTATGTCGAGCCAGACTAGCCGGGGACCTTCCTCCATGAGCCCAATGGGCGTTGGCTCTCGTACCAGCCGTTCGAGCTCTATGCATCCTGGCAGCTCCGTTCATCCCGGCAGCTCCCTGCACAGTCGCTCTACATCAACTGCGCGGCCCAGTTATACCACCCCTATTGCTCCTAACGCGAGCACCGCTGCTCCGCCCCCTCCGCCGCCAAATTCGGCATCTGGAATGGCTACCACGTCCGGCGCTCGTTCTTCGGCTATGCCTGGGTCGACTACTCAGAGTCGTCGCAATTCATTCTCGGGCCCCCACAACTCCTCTACAGCACAGAGTAGCCGTCAGCCTAGATACAGTGGTGGTTTTGCGCTTTATTCAAACCGTCCGAAGAGTTCTGGGCATGGCCTTTCTAGTGCGAAGCACCCGCGCAAGGGTTGCAATCAGCAGTAAGGCTATGATGTTGAGCAGTGATTCATTGATCCTGATATAAGGCAGGAATTGAAACACGAGCTTAGGTTAGCCCGAATAAAGTCCTTATTTCTCAAGTCGTCTTAAACCCCGGTTTTCTTTGCTGTCCAAGAAATCAACTCTACAAACTTTCGTTTGTCTGGCGTTATCACGTGGGCATTTGGTTCAGAATGACAAATTTGATTTCCGTTATTACTTTCTTGTGATTCTGAACTTTTTCTGTACGCTGCACTCTTTTGGCGACTACATAAAATTGCGAATGACTAGGCAGATTGGCAGGGCGTTTCTTTTCTTCTTGGTTAAAGAAAATAACTAATAAAAGAACATGTTTTCGTTCTACACACTCATATACACTCGTAAATTTAGTAAGCAAAAGCGAATAAACACATGCTCTTTGAGAATCATATCTACGAATTGTCTGATCCCATCTGGCCATCAGCTACCTGTTGGTAGTAGATGCAATTGACAGCTGGCCCAAGCGGCGCCTCTCAGCTTTCTCATAAACATCGTGTTTCTAGACATCCACAGCAAGTCAAGCGCCCCATGCACGCTGAACGTTTTTATCTCGTCCTGTACCGGTTTTGATCTTGCTCTCCTTGGTTGACATTCTTGTCTAAACTGATTGAAATAAGTAATCTAAGTATTAGCCCGTTCGGCCCATCTTAGCTGTTTGCTTTTCGATCGTCATCCCTGGTAGTATGGACAGATAAGGATAGTGTAGTAGAATCATGACATCTAGCCTAGGGTACGATTCAAACATGATCTGCTTAGCTGCGATCTCCCTTCGGAGAGGTCTCGGTGGCGGAGCGACCCATTATTGACACCGACGCCGATTAAGCACATAGGAAAGGCCCCGTGGGAGAAAGTACTCTTTCTCAAATGGCTATTCCCGCTACTGTGGATCGGACTTTAGCATGGGCTACGGGAAATTGCGGTCCTCACGTTGTTTGAAGGAGAAGATCCATGAATTAGCTGGCATTTGTCGGGGATGCACTGCGAATGAACAACAAAGATTGAACATAAGTATCCCTCCCTTCCTGTGATTGGTCAGTTTTGAAGTTCATTCAGTATCCTGCTCTTTTCATTGACGCTGCTTATATGATTTGTACCGAATGAGAATCAAGGTTCAAGCCTCTCATCATGTTTTATCGTCAGGGCGGCGGGCGTCGTCGTGAGTCAGGCCGTGGTCAGTCAGGCCGTGGTTCAGGACATGGATCAAGTTCAAACGACTATTCCGGGGGCTACAGCAGAGACACAGATCGTCGTCGTCAAGACTATTCTGGCACTGCTTACGAGAACTATTATGGTTCCGGCTCTAGTGGCTCGCGAAACCAGGGCAACAACTACTATGGATCCAGCTCCCGCGATCAAGGACGTAGCGGTTCTTCTGGCGATAGCCGTCTCCGACAAGCTGCTACCCGCAATGCCTACTATGACCCGGATCGTGGATACTATGACGGAAGGGCCTTTAACGACTACACAGGTGGTCTTCCTGGATCTGGCCGACATTCGGGGGCACGCGACGAGCGCCAAAGATTGCTGAACCACGACTACCAGGACATGTATAACAGGTCTTACCTTTACCCGAACGCCAGACAGCGTGGGCCTGATCCTTTTGCCAGCGGCATGTCAGAGCGTGATCTTCAGCTCCAGCGGCAAGCCCGCCAGCAGGCAGCCGACCGGCAGGCCGCTTATGATGGACCTCCCCCTGGCATTTCTTGGGACAACTGGTACGGATCGCGCGGCAACATCCGGAATTCGGGCAGACGGGATGCCACTTTCCGCCGTGTGGAGCGTTGATGCTCACCGCAGACTTGGGGGACATTGTTGGTGGCACTGGTCGCTACGGAACCTGGCAGCCGGAACGCCCTTAGATGAAACACGGTTCTCTTTTCCATGGGTAGGCTGGATCCAGTGGGCATACGAGTCTCCAAAGATACATTTCCTTTCAATTGATTGCTCTTTTGTTTTGAAGATTGTGTTCTCACAAAAAGTTGAATTTTCTTTATCGGACATTTCCAGATTGTGTTTTCACAGGAAAAGTTTGTTTTCTTCGTTTCTTTTCTTTGCAATTTCACAACAATTTGAATGTTCGTTTAAGTCTTTTTTTAACAATGTAGAAATCCAGTAGGCTTCTTTAACTATTCGGAGATCAGGGCGCGTTTTGTTCCGGCATGAACTAGCGCGTAGCTCTATGGGTAGGCCCTAGCCCTAGTCAGCTCAGCGTTTTCATCGAAAGGTCAAGAGTTTTCGTCACCAAGATCTTGGACTGGCGATCATTATAAAAGGCTCCGGAGGAATGTTAATCTAGCAGACTAGTAAGATCAGCAATAATTGCCGAGCCCGTGACCAAACAGGAAGCTGGTCCAATCGACCATTTCCCCCGGATATGCCCACCAATAGGCCCCGTTCCCTCTCCGTCGCCAAGTTGACCCTAATTGAGCTAAAGAGAAGCATGACTGCCACTTGTGTAACCTCCCTCTTTGACCATCAGCCCATAAGCCAAGAAAACACGGCTCACGGATACCGACTGATGAAATGTTTGCGGGGAAGGTGCAAGGGGGTTTGCACAAAGCCGGGGTCATCCTTACCCCTCCCTCACGCAGTCCCCTGAGATGAAATCTTTTAAATTCGGTGAATCCCCTTCGCTTGAGAAGTCTCATTCAGCACCTGCGTCCTTCACCATGCAGCAATTCTTCCTTACGCTCCTAGCCTCCACGCTGGCTGCGCCAACTTCCGTCGCAGCCGTCACGAACTGGGACCAGGCATATACGCAAGCAAAAACCGCCCTCGATAAGCTCAGCCGATCCGAAAAAGTTGGAATCGTGACCGGTGTGACCTGGGAAGGCGGTCCCTGTGTCGGCAACACCTACGCCCCCAACTCAATTGACTACCCCTCGCTCTGTCTCCAAGATGGACCCCTTGGTATTCGGTTCGCGAACCCGGTTACCGCTTTCCCCGCGGGCATCAATGCAGGAGCGACGTGGGATCGCAGCCTGATGCACGCCCGTGGGGTTGCAATGGGCGCGGAGGCCAAGGGCTTGGGTGTTCACGTGCAGCTGGGCCCGGCGACGGGTCCGCTAGGGAAGAACCCCGACGGCGGCAGAAACTGGGAGGGTTTCTCCGTCGACCCTTACCTCACCGGTGTGGGGATGGAGGAAACCATTCTCGGCATGCAGGAATCTGGGGTCCAGGCCTGTGCCAAGGTACGTATTGTTGTTTGACTCGCGCACGTCGCTGAGACCCGCTGCTGAGACCTGCATTCTTGGGCAAATAGCATTGGCTTGGTAATGAGCAGGAACATTACCGTGAGACAATTAGCTCGAACATGCCTGACCGTGCCACACATGAGCTGTATGCTTGGCCGTTCATGGATGCCATCAAGGCTAACGTTGCCTCCGTGATGTGCTCCTACAACAAGGTGAATGGAAGTTGGGGGTGTGAGAGCGATGCGATTTTGAACAAGCTGTTGAAAGAAGAGTTGGGCTTTCCCGGACATGTCCTGTCTGATTGGAACGCGCAACATACTACCATCAACAGCGCTGTTTCGGGACTCGATATGACCATGCCGGGAAGTGACTTCAACTCTCCGCGGGGCAACATTTTCTGGGGTAAGAACCTTGAGGCTGCAGTTGCCAACGGTAGCGTGCCTGAGTCCCGTCTCAATGATATGGTCACTCGCATCCTGGCTGGGTGGTACCTTGTCGGACAGGATCAGGGTTACCCGGATGTAGCATTCAGCTCGTGGGACGGTGGTAAGGCCAACGTTGACGTGACGGAGGACCATGGCTCGATCGCACGTACTGTCGCTCGAGATTCAATTGTTTTGCTCAAGAATGACGATGAGGTGCTCCCCTTGAAAGCGCCCAGCAGCTTGGCTATCATCGGCCAAGATGCGATTGTAAACCCCGACGGAGCCAATGCCTGCAGCGACCGTGGTTGCAACAAGGGCACGTTGGCCATGGGTTGGGGAAGTGGAACTTCTGAATTTCCTGTGAGTTTCATCCCTTTGGAGTACTTTGGGATAAATTTCTAACAAACGGACACTAGTATCTTATCGCCCCTCTCGATGCTATTAAGGAGCAAGCCGCTCAAGATGGGACGACGATCATTCGTAGTACTACGGACGACACCGCTGCTGCTGCCTCTGCTGCAGCTCAAGCCGACACGGCAATTGTGTTCATCACTTCCGATGCGGGTGAGGGATACATCACCGTCGAAGGCCACGCCGGAGATCGTAACCATCTCAACCCATGGCACAACGGCAACGAGCTTGTCAAAGCGGCAGCCGATGCTAGTGAAAATGTGATCGTTGTCGTCCACAGCGTCGGGCCAATCCTCTTGGAGACAATCCTGGAGCAACCTTCAGTCAAGGCTATTGTCTGGGCCGGTCTACCTGGCCAGGAGAGTGGAAATGCCTTCGTCGACGTTCTCTATGGTGACACTTCCCCAAGCGGCAAATTGCCCTACACCATTGCCAAGGCGTTCGACGACTATGGTGCTCGCTGGATCGATGGCCTAAATGATGAATTCACTGAGGACATCTTTGTTGACTACCGCCATTTCGATCAGAACGACATCGAGCCACGCTATGAATTCGGTTTTGGTCTATCTTACACAACATTTGAATATGACAACTTGGCCGTGAGCGTCTTCGCCACGTCAGGCCCCGCTACAGGGGAGATCATCCCCGGAGGTCCAGCCGACCTGTTTGAGTCCGTCGGCACGGTCTCCGTCATTGTGACCAATGACGGCGAAACTGACGGCGCGGAAGTTGCTCAATTATATCTGGGTCTGCCAGACTCAGCACCCACCACTCCCCCGAAGCAACTCAGAGGATTTGACAAGCTCGAACTCAGCCCGGGGCAATCGGCTCAAGCTAGCTTTGAGCTAACTAGACGCGACCTGAGCTACTGGGATGTGGCTCTGCAGAAGTGGGTGGTTCCCAGTGGAGAGTTCACGGTGTATGTGGGCAGCTCTAGTCGGGATATCCGTGAGGAAGATACGTTTACTATCGAGTAGAGATGTCTTTCGGTATGCTGATAGGGAAAGCTTCGGTGTGATGGAGATAACTCGGTTAATGCATGCTATACATATCATGGGGGCCTTTTCTCCTGTTTATAAAAATGATTTTTGGAAAATTCTGTGATTCCTGCATGCTACCATGAGACATTATGTAGATTGTAATCTTTTGGCTTCTGGATCATGGGTTTACCGCTTTCTTCTCTAGAGAAGAAAATCAGAACTCTCATGGTTAATGATATTGTACCGCTTCAGGGAACCTTGTAGAATTGACTTGTAGTCTCACCGATCTGGCATGACTATAATACCTCGGTTGAACGTAGTAATCTTATTAACACAGACCCTTTCTTGCACTAATAACGTGCATATATGATGAACTACCCAGTTTCTCAGAAGTATTCTGCCCGGACAACCTCCAATTGTAAACACCGGAACAGTCAACACCTAACTAAGTAGGTAGATTATAAAAACGAACAGAACTTATGATACTATAATAATCTTCCAAATTGCACTCTCCCATTTTAACAGACAAGATCAACAGAAGAAGAAGCCGATACACTTTGAATACGGCAGACTTACAGTTGTATAGAGTTAAAGAAACGAGTAACCTTAGACTAAGGTAGATCATTAGAGGGCGGCCGTCCCCATAACAGATACCTAAGGGCTGTCCGATATCATGCCCCAGTGCTTAGGCTCATTCGATGGGTGAAATTATCTACAGCCTACTATTAATAGAGCCTGGTACGTATTTTTATCGATCTAACGCAAAACAGTGCCCGAAGTAGATTGTACCACCGCGGTCCTCCACCAACGATCCAATTCACTCCTCTCACACCTTCAATTTCCTCCTGTCTCGTCATTCTGTCGTGTATTATTTTCTTCGCATTGCTTAGAGCATTCATCTTCTCATCTTCCGTACATATTGAAAGACCGCCTATGGAGAGTCCGCGTGAGACTAGTTACTCCAGAAACCCACCCAACTCAGGGGGTTCATTTCTCTCGCGAAACCATCGTCCGAATAATCGATTCCCTTATCCCCAGATGCGACATTCTGGCCATCGATCCCCTCGAGCACGGCAAATCATTCAACAATCGCATCTACTTTTTGAAGATATATGTCCCTGGCGAGCTGCGTTTACACGGCCTGAACACCGGAGCTGTCAATGATTTGGTCCTGAAACTCAACGGAAAATTCTTCGGCCAAACGAAGAGCGAAAATGAGGTGTCTTGTTCAACTCTTCTTGAGCATTTCGTGCGCGACGTACCGGCACCAAGGGTTCTTGCTTGGTCTGATAACAAGAATTCTGCCGTTCACAAGTTGACTGCTGCGGGGACCTTAGCAACCAAGGATCGAAGATCGATTCCGAATCTGATGGCCAACTTCAGGGCTGAATTCTGATGACTCGACTCCCTGGAGTTCCCTTCTCGACCTTGGATCTGGATACAGACACGCTCAAGGTCGTCGGCGAGCAATTGGCGGACATGGTCTATCTCTGGAGAGAGTCGCTCCCTGCGTCGACAAGCGCTGGAAACCTTGAATGTGGGATTTCTTGTGGAGAAGAACAAGATCCGACTTCATTGGAAGTTGCCGGTTTGCGTATTGCGACTTCTTCAAGTGGCAAACGAAGGCGGCTGGCCAGATGCATTTTACGAAGCATACTTGAGTAGACTTGAGGTCTGCGGAATGAATACTCCAAGGAAAGGCATCAAAGAGCAACATTGGAGAGAGGCGACAACGCTTTCGCGATTGGAAGACAACATAGCGCCCTGGTGGCTTGAGAATGCGGCACCAGAGGACAGGGACCAACACTCTGAAGACCTCCGGAAGTCGGAAAAGATGGTTTTGGAAGCCACTCAGCTGCTTGGAGCGGGTGTTTGAAGTTTCTTGTTTCTTTCATCAAAGCTTTTATCCCTTAGGCATAGGTATCGCTGGTATCGGTCGATATCAGCCATTCTGTACGGGGTAGGTTCGGGCTTGGCTCGAATACCACCCAGAACGAGCCCGATCCCAGCCAATATTTGGTGACACAATAACATGCAAACTTTAAATCTCCGACATAGCCGAGTATTAGAGCAATTGTCCTGGTGGGAATTGCCATCTTGGCGCGATCGAAATCAGTTGATTGATGGGGTGCGACCGGTGGATCAGAGGCGGACGCTAAAGTGAATGGAATGTGTACAATTCCTGACATGCCGAGGGGGATCAGGGTCTTCCTTTCAGTCAGTTATCTTTGAGAGATTATATGACAGAGGTATACCTTTTGACCGCATCATTCCAAAGAACTAAGCGCCCTCATAGAAGCGGCGACAGCCATGACAGGAAGGCCCCACTGGCAGACTATATCCTCTATTGCCGCATATTGCACATCCAACCTTTCCAGATGAAAAGAGAGAATGGCGTAGATATTCTAAAGATTGCCATCAGGGGTATCCAATTAAAAGACAAATTATCAAGGAACGTGCCAATTAAGGTGCAGCCCGAGCGAAGATCCGCGGTCTGCTCAAAGTAAGTACTTGGAACCACAAACATCGAACCAGCTAAGCTGCATGCATGTGCTTGGCATCTGTGGACAGTGCGTATCCAAGAACTATTTAGAAATGTATGTCTAAATCGAGACAAGCCTTGACTGAAAACAGCAAGCGAGAGCCGTGAAAGTGTGGGAGGTGTCGATGCAGTCATGATCGGCACTACGGGAGTGGAGCCTGAGGCTTGAATGTAGCGATTGACGTCATCCGGGGCCAATTCTCCGCCGAGACAAAACAAGATTCTCTCGCGCGACGATGATGCGTTCCCCGGCTGTCACGTCAGTGGCCACGAGCGAAGTCCCTTTTTGAAGGCCTCGTTTTCCCAGATTCTGGTCCGGTTTTTCTTGGTTAGTTTTACACTTCGTCCCCAGCTGCAAAGCGTGGTTTCTATTCTAATTTCTTGCCCCTCCAGCTTAATCTTTCTATCGCCACAAATGACTGTGATCTGGGGTCTAGATCTCAATGAGATCCAATGGTCGAAATTCAAGAGCTCGTGGATGTTCACGCCGTCATATCATCTGCGACGAACTAAGATGATTGTTTATCAACTGGCCATGATCTGTTGCGTGTGTTCCGAGTCCACTGGAACGGCGGCCTTATCAGGTATGTGCCTGTTGGTGCCTGAATTGTTGCCCCTGCCAATGTTCCCCGGATTTGGCAATTCGCCCCTGCTGACCCCATCTTTCTCCCTCAGACTACGTCGACCAACAAAGTGATATCCAAGGCAAACACCCCGGCATCTACGTCTACAACAACGACTTTGTCGGCGCGGCCTCCTACAATATCTGGTGCGGAGTGGCGGTCGCTTTCATCTTCGGTGGCGCCTTTTTCTTCGATCTATTCTGGCCCGAGAGACATGAGAGCAGAGGCGTGCGGTTGGCATGGAAGATCTGTGCTGTCACTGTGTCGGTCATGATGCTGAGTTCAGCATTGACGATGACCGTACGTCAGCCTCGGTCCTACGCTTGTCCGTTACGATGCTAATCTTCATCCCCAGATCATCACCGCTACACGCAGTGCATCCATCCAAGGAACCGACCCTGCCACCGCTCGCGACTACTGGGCAAATGCCATTAAACAGCCGTCTCTGAAATACCGCACCAACCCCAAGGCGATCGCCTCCGTTGTGCTTGCATGGCCCGGATGGATCTTCACGACCATGAGGTACACTTCCCCCAATCTCATCCCCTCCATAACGTCCCCTCATCTAACATCAACATAGCACATTCATCCTCTTCGCATCCGAGAAACACGACGATCGATACGGACCGAAGTCCAAGATCGGCAAGCAGGAGGAACGAGAGGAGCAGAATGACGCTGGCCATACCCACACCCCTACCGCCGAAGGTGGCGAGATGACCGAGAGCAAGCCGGAAAATGTTGTTTAGATTTTTGTATAATACCCTTCATGCCGCGATACCCCTAGGTTTTATGATGTATGTCACACTGTCAGTATACGATTTGGATAGATAATATTTGGTTTTGGTTCTTGGGCTTGTTTATGATGTTACTAGCGGACAATGTACAATTATGAATGTCTTTTACAAAAGTTTACCTTGTCGGGTTCCACGAAACTGTTATAGAAAGTACATTTCTACTAGAATTACCTTCAAAGGTCTTGTCCTTTGATTCGCTTTTCATGGGGCGATACATTATAGGGACATTCAATATAACAACCAAGGACATAGGATGAAACTGGCACTTGTACAGGCTTGCCAATTCATTGATTCATTCCGAATAAAGCTATATCGTATCTGTTAACTTTCTGTGGAAGCCATACGCGATGAAATGAGTGAATGGATGCCTGGATCAATACTTCAAGGTCTTCCACTGTGCTGCCTAAAGATGCCTTGGAAGCAAGGCGAGAAGTTGGGTTGGGCATCTTGCCTCAGGCATCCACACACCAAGACTATCAACGTCCCCTGCTCACAACACCGCAATGCAAACATAATATCCCAGCCAGAGAGATTCACAGCCTCCTCCGACCCCAGGATTCCACTTCAAGAAGTCCTGAAGAGTAATCCCGGCCTTGGATGCAATCTTTCCACACTCGTCACCAGAAACAACCTGATAAAACTTCTTACAAGAAGTTGTCATTCCGGGCTGAATCGGCGTCGGCGTGGCCACCCCGTTACCGGAGCGAGTGCTCGTCACAGCCTTCGTGGTAGTAGTGGGCGAAACACCCACTATACAAACACAGACATAGTAGTCACTCCAGAGGGCTTCGCAACCTTTTCCAACGGACGGGTTCCAGGCGTAGAACTGAGACAGACTTATCCCGTGCGTCTGGGCTATGGCAGCGCACCCGTCTCCGCTTTTCACTTTATAGAACGCGTTGCAGTTGTCGACCATTCCGGGATGAGTGGGTGTGGGCGTTGCAATACCGTTGGTGGGCTTCGTGGTGGTCTCTGTCGTGGTGGTAGCTTGTGTAGTTGTGACTCCGATCCGGGATACGCAAACGTAGTAATCCAGCCAGAGGGAAGAGCAGTAACTTCCTATGGTTGGATTCCACTCCATGAATTGGACCAGAGAAATGCCGTTGGCTTTGGCAATTGCTGCGCATCCGTCGCCGGATTTGACTTTGTAGAATCCGTTGCAGTCGGGTATCATGCCTGGTTGGATCGGGGTTGGTGTAGAAATACCGTTTGGGGATTTCGTAGGGCCGGTGGTCGTGGTAGTCGTTGGTGGAGTTGGCACCCATCCGATGACGCTAGTACAGAGCTATTTGCAGATGAGTGACCTGGTGAACGCAATATGCGAAAGGGGGACGAAGGGGCCATACATAAGTGTCTACCCAGAGGGATTCACATTGTGATCCGATTGCTGGGTTCCATTCGATCAAATTGGCCAATGTAAGTCCGGTATACTTTTCGATAAAAACCGAACAGGTGTCCCCACCCTTCACTAAATCCCACCGATTGCAGTTGGGTGCTTGGCCCGTTTGGGTTGGACCCGGGGCACGGTCAGTTGTTGTTACTGTTGTAGAGGGTGGTGCCGTATTTGTAGTCGTTGGTCCCTTGGTTGAGGTACTTGTCAATGTGGTAGGTCCTGAACTAGGCTTAGGCTCCCCAAGTGCCTCAACACAGTATGACTTTCCTGTCTCAAAACCTTGGCAATTCAAGCTCAGAGATGGGTTCTGGGATGTGTTAGCGAAAGGGAATGGATCACAGATATATCCGCGGCTGGTACGCACCCATCGCACAAAGTCTTCCATTGAGATAGCCCAGTAGGGAGGAACGTCAGTACACGCCATGGACCCGTCATTGTCAATCCACCAGGTGCAATAGGGGGTGGTGTTCGGGTCATGGGGCATGCGAGGGGTATCATCGCGCCGCAGGTTGCTAGGATGTGCCAGCGACCCAATAATGCTCAACCCTCTCACCAGTAGAATGATTGATCCAGAAAGCATGTTGACTGTGTTGGGCTTTGCAGGAATGCAACTCTGGTAATAGAAACAAAGAATCTTTATATGTCAGTTAATGTCGCATTGCTAGCCAAGTGCTGCCATACTCATGTGCTTAGTATGCGGTGTTCAGTCGATCTCTGTCAGTCAGGTCAGCTGTCATATACCGAGCCCTGTTCTAGAACCCTGTACTAGAAACCAGCAGGGCGTCCGAGTCACACGAGCTTTGCATCAAGCCAATAAATCAATAGAACACTGATTTGCACCTGGGGTTGCCCGATGTCACCACACCCTCACAGTCAAAAAGCTAATCGGTTGTCTCCAGGGGCTGTTGCTCTCCCAAGTGACAAACTGAGTCCAGATGAGGGTTACATCGGTCCGCCACAACAGGCCGCTCTGCCGCCAAAATCTGTGTAAGGATTGCGGGCGGGAAGCTTGGTCACACAAGCATGGGGGCGTGGAGAAAGACTGCCAGGATGGTTGTAAATAGATGTTACCCCATGCAGCCGGTGAACGACGGTTCATATGTACTACCCTATGGAGTCGTTAAGAATGAAAACTAATTAAAACAGACCCTGGCAAGACCCACGATTTCACTTCTTTCCTGAGCTCGTATTTGCTGATTCGTCTCTCTAACCCTCCTTAGACTATGTTACATTATCCCGCTCATCTTTCCCTCGTCAGAATCCTAGCCATGCGCCGCAACTCACTGTTGTTTCTGTCGGCCATTCCATCCGTGTCAAACAAGAGCAGATCAAGTGCAGCGCTGACAGGTGCTTCGGTAATACCTTTGCTAACCAGGAACCGAAAAAGCTCTCGGCGATTGTCATGCACTCTCCAGCGGAATGCCCGACAGATCTCCAGACCTTTTTGTGCTTGATAGTTATACGTTCTGCATAACGCCTCCAAGACCGTGGGGCCATTCGGCTCCAATCTGGCATGGATACTCGCTCCTGCCGCCAACAGACGTTCGATGGTGACCTGGCCAACATCCTTCAATTTGTCCGCGAGTCTTCCTTTGTGGAAGATGTATTGATAAAGCAGGGTAGTTGGATCCACCTGTTGATCTTCAAGAAGGTACGTTAGAAGGGCTTGCCATATGCCGACAATCTCATTGTCCCTTTTGTTCCTCCAGGCCTTGGTGGTGTAGTCATAACGAGCCAGCGATTCGCCTAAAGTTCCATTCTCGACTGCTTTCTTCAAAAGAAAGTACACTATTGTACGAAATCCGGCGAAGTCATGTAGGGTTATTGGTCCCCACTTCGTTAAAAGGAATTCAAAGCCCCATGGCGTTAAACTCAGCCTGTGATCATGATCGCTGTTTTCAAAGGGGGGGTGTAACGGCTGTTCTACCCAAGCTCCTCGATCTATCAAAAAGTTTATTGCCTGGACCGGATCTACTATAGATGGCTGAGGGTCCCAACCCGAAATTGATTCCAGGTATACCAGGAAAGGGGTACGGTAGCGATATATCGGATAGCCGGAACTTCGCTCGATCTTTTCCCATGCGCAATGATTAATGTCCGCGCCATTTTCAAGACAAATTTGGATCCATTCAAAGCCATTTTGAGATATTTTTTCGGCGGCAACGAAAATTGGAATGGGCCAGGGCCTTTTCACAGGGTGGGTGAGATTAGGCCCATCAATATGAGCCCCATGGCGCATCAATAAGTCGAAAGTCGGGCGATTTTTCAGTCGAATGGCCGCAACCAGGGGCGTTTCTGGCCTGTTCCGATATCGAACGTGACGTTCGTTGGGGCTGATTCCTTTGTCCAAGAGCATCTGCATAGGGCCGTTTGTTGCAGGAGATGCGCGGCGACAAATAACACGTTCGAGTTGCGGGTATTGAGTAATACAGACTTGAGTATGAAGTCCATGCTCATAGAAAAGCCGTAAGAAGGCCCAATCGTCAACAGGATTGCAGATTCTGTCCACAAGCCTGCGAAGTGCCTTGTCTCCACACCAGGGCAATCGATCCGTGCTCCTAGTTGGATCAGTAGTTGAAAGACCCGCACCTGCTTCCGCGTGGCAGCCAGGTATAGAGTCAGAATTTTCGATCGCTTCCTGACGCATCGGTCTCTAGGTTTGTCAGAATATCTCCACTCGATATCTATCGTACTTGGCGGGGCACCGTGCGACACCAGGTAGCGAATGAGTGGAAGGTGGCCGTTTGAACAAGCCCAGCGCATGGCCGTGTCCTTTCCGTTCTCGCGTCGGTCGAGTACGGACATCATATAGCTCCAGAACGCAGAGCTACACGATAAGAGAGGTAAAAGCTCGCTGTCATCCAGGTACGCAACAATCTCGTCCATCAACTCGGTGGGGAGCTTTTCGAAGGGATTCATTTTGCCGACAACAACAATGAAGCAGTGAATGTTTACATGTGGGCGACACGAGAGATAGGAAAGGAGAAAGGGGGGAGTCTGGTGTAACCCGGCCATGAGTCATCTTTCTAGGTTGCCATTCACCACGTGGTACTCCGTAGTACAAAGAGGAACGCCACTTCCCCCTCCCCTGAACTACCACAACTCCCAGCTGGCAAGAGCCAACGGTGCTTTCTCACACTCAGATAGCCTCCAAGCCCGTTTGGCCGCATCTAGCGCCGCCTGATGATTCCTATATTCTTCGCTCGCTTCTCCTTCAGTCAGGATTCTGTAGATTTCTGTCCTGACTTCATCCACAGTGAGACCCAAATGGCCAGCCACATCCCTCGCCGTCCCGTCGATATCAATATCAGAATAGGTCTTTTTAGGGTTTGTGGTAAATTCCACCTCTTTCCTGGTAACACGGATATCAATTCTTTTCGGATCATCTTTCGGCAAGATGTTCTTGAGTTGTGTTCGAACAACATCAATGCGTACCTTAGCCGCATCCTTTTCACGTAGGTCGACTGCATCTTTTGCTGCATCTTCCGCAATGTTATGCCGGGCCTTAAACTCTTTCCCAAGATTCTCGTCGCTGATCTCGCTTTTGTGGGCATCGTAAAACTCCCGAGCCTCCGCAGCTCGTTCACCCATATCGCCAACTGTTTGGTAATAATTTTCCTGCGTTGCTCCAGCGATCAAGTTTCCGATGGCGACGAAGCCAGTATAGCCCATTGCTTAAGATTCTCAGTGCGAGGATTAAGGTCATTATCGATACTTTCCGGGAGTTTCAGTCTGACTTGTTGAATCCAATCCCGCATGTTTTTTGCGGTATGGTCTTGGAGTCCTCTCGTAGCCGACATTCTTACTTGGCGTGCCCACCATTTTGCCCTCGGATCTGGCCTTTGGTCGTTTATATTTGGTGTTTGTGTCCATAAATGCTCGCAGAATTCCTTCAACGTGCATCGCTGGGGCTGCTTGCGAAGGCCATCGCGCGTTCCGACGCAGCCCGTGGCAATATCTCGGCTGTTCTCATCTAAGTAAATCTCTTGCATGACATACACAGAAAAGTAGAAGGCGCTGAGACCGATAGATCTTGTTAGCTTCTGAGCTTTCGAGCTGCCATCGGACAAACGGCAATATCTCGACTCTTACCGTTCTGCTGCTCCACGTTGACCCATAGAGACAACGCCTGACAGGACGCATGACCAGATGAGGATGATGATATAAAACATGATAGCTGAGAATAGATTTGGTTTCGGTGGTTCTCTTGAGTCTGGTGATCACCACGAAGGCTTTATCGCTATATATCACTGCATCCAATCCAATAAAACCCTCCATTGTAACGCTGGCAGATGCCACCCCTGTTCACCTGTGTCTACGCCGAGAAAAATAAAGAACGAGGCTTTCATGTGAATATGAGGACGATTGTGAACATGATTCCTTGCCTAGACTCGGCCGATGGACTCAGACGCTAGACGTGACTCCTCTCATGGTTTCGCACGGTGTAACTCTGAGACTCATGCAGCATCATTTGCATCCCACACTTCGCTACCCTAGTGCTGATTCCAAATTGCTTGACTCGTGACCTAATATCTAATCCCTGTAGGGATCATATTAAAACATAATGTCACCGTTGTATCCTGTACCTGCCGAGGCATGTCTGAGCTTTTCGCACGAGTCGTCGGCCGGACCAGGGCAATTCCGTTGGTTTTTTTGACTGTCCATAGAATAGGTGCATATATATAAGTCCCACATGACTGAATATAGAACGGACAGGTCTCTTAACATCACTGTCGTTCGTTCTTCTTTCTCCTCCGACAAACGACATTCTGGTTCTTCTGAATCTTCGTCCATTTCTCGTGCCCTGCTTCCAATCATTCAATCTTCCCATTTTGTTAACTTCTTTGCAGTCGTTCAGACTTTCTACCATCCCAATGAGACCGTTTTCGGTCTTCAATGTCTGCCTATTGGCCTATGTCTGGTGCTCCTTATCTCTACACTCTGAGGCAGCAGTAGACGAGAACGGCAATCAAGTTCTCAGGCTGGGCGATGTCGTCCCCATTGACACTCCCGAGACCTATTACTCAGATCTCCACCCCTGTCCGGCTGCCTGTCTCAATTCAAAGCCCGAGAAATGGACCGTCTATCCGTCCGCGGAGAGGTTAACCCTTTGCAGCCAACCGATGTTGTTCGACCTTTCTATCTCTATGCCCATGGATGAGCCGGCTTCTATCGTCCCAGTGCGCGCATGCACAGCTGGAGATGCGAGAAATGCCAACACAACTGTCAATGCTTTGTTCATAAGTAGTGTTTCCGCTTCGGACACTGAAGACCATATGTCGCTGGCCAGGCGGGCGTCGCCAAGCTGTGTTTCCACAACAAAAAGTACTACTGTCTCTGCCTCCTATCTGGAAAACGGCCTCAAGACTGCTCGGTTGAATGATACCATCATAGCGCTTAAGTATCTGCAAGACTTCCTCGTCGGTAATTCGGACTGTGATATACCCATTCTTTTGTCTTACGCAAATGGTAGCGTGGCCGGCGCATATCTTGGTCCTTCGTTTGGCCCACGTACCCTATCTTCGCTTTCATTCCAGTTGCAAGATACCATCGAACACATAGGCCCATCCGAGACTATGGCCACCGAGATTTGCGGTGAGGGACGCAATGCAAATCATGTGGTTGGCATCGCCGTTGACACGACAGGCAACGTTGCCGCAGTGCAGCAAGCTGTCAGATCCTGGACCGAGGCGAAGTGTCTCGCCGGGTACATGAGTTCCCACTCTTCGAAAGAAATAGAAGTATGGGAATCAACCGACGATTTGAAACCTCGTGTCCAAGCAACTCACACCGGAACTCTGCATCGCCGGGCTGACTGCAGGACTATTACCGTTGTTACGGGCGACAGCTGCGGCGCACTGGCCGGTCGTTGTGGCATTCCCCCAGCGGACTTTGCCAAATACAACTCGGAGAAGTCACTTTGTTCGACCCTTCAGCCTGGACAGCTAGTTTGCTGCTCCTCTGGAACTCTTCCGGATATTTCACCCAAGCCCGGACCAGACGGCACCTGCGCCACTCACCTTATTGTCAGCGGGGATACCTGCGCTGCGCTTGCAGAGTCAAATGGGCTCACGCCCCAGAAGATCGAGCAATTCAACAACGGCACTACCTGGGGTTGGAATGGCTGTCAGATCTTGTTTCCGGGGGTGAACATATGTCTAGGCAAAGGGAAACCGCCGATGCCCGCACCCGTTTCCAATGCTGTATGTGGGCCAACGAAGCCCGGTACTAAACCACCGACTGACGACACGACGCTTGCTGATTTGAATCCTTGTCCTTTGAATGTCTGTTGTAATATCTGGGGTCAGTGTGGTGTCACGGAGGATTTCTGTCTCGAGAAGCGTGGCCCCTCCAACAATCCCGGTACCTCTCCACCGGGCACCAATGGATGTGTTTCAAGCTGTGGGTTGAAGATCGTCAACAACGATAAGGGCCCAGCTAGCTATGGCCGCGTGGGCTATTATGAGTCGTGGAACTTCAACCGCAAGTGTCTGAATCTGCGCGCCGCTCATGCCAATACGGATGGCAGCTACACCCATATTCACTGAGCCTTTGCGGAGATCAACCCCAATGGTTGGACGGTGAATATCAACGACAGCTACGGTCAATGGGATGATTTCAAATCACTTGATGTGAATCGAGTGGTCTCCTTCGGGGGATGGGGATATTCCACGGAGCCTGGAACCTACAATATCCTGCGTGAGGCGATGAGCCCAGCTAACCGAGCCACATTTGCTGCCAACGTTGCAAGCTTTCTTACAAAGGAGGGGCTCGACGGGGTTGACTTTGACTGGGAATATCCAGGGGTATGTCAATCCTTAGCTCTCAAGTACGGAATACTGACATTGACTAGGCTACGGACATCCCAGGCACTCCACCAGGGTCGGAAGCTGACGGACCAAATTACCTCAAATTTCTCAGTACCATGCGCTCCAAGCTTCCAAGCGGAAAGTCACTTTCCATCGCAGCTCCAGCCTCGTACTGGTATCTTAAAGCATTCCCCATCAAGAACATGGCCAGCCGACTAGACTATATCGTCTATATGACTTACGATCTACATGGTTCGTTCTGCTCAAAATTATCATATTTTTGACGTCTCTCACGATATACCTCTAGGTCAATGGGACGCTGGAAACCAGTGGGCATCAGAGGGCTGTCCGTCTGGGAACTGTCTTAGAAGCCACGGTACCTTTCTCGTCCAAATGTGCAATGCTTTACATGCTGACCTAATATTATCCAGTAAATCTTACGGAAACAACTTACGCGTTAGCAATGAGTACGTCTCCTTCCTTCTCTTTTTCGGCATATTCATACTGACCTTCTTCATAGTCACCAAGGCAGGGGTACCAGCAAACAAGATTTTTGTGGGCGAGTCTAGTTACGGCCGATCATTCAAGATGAGCAAAGCAGGATGCACCGGTCCCACTTGCACTTTTGAAGGGGTCAACTTGGGAGACCTACATAGACATATTACTCTTTCCTCTTGCCCAAGGTGGAAGGGACAACTTTAATACTTGATCTAGAGAATAGCAAACCTGCCGCGGCTTAAACATAATCCCAGATTGGGATTTTACTTCATGAATCAATCTGAACACCAGCTTTCGTAGACCTTTTCAGGAATCACACATAAACTATCCAACAACTTTTGGCAACACGGTACAATTATGGAGATTCAATAGATTAAGATAATATACAGTTCATTCCATTCCATCTTCCCACGAGAACCTTCTTACAATGACTCCTCCACCTTGGTCGTGCCATCAACGCCCTTGACATCCGCTTCCTCACCATACCATTCCATATAACGGGCCAAATACTCAAGGAACAATCCTAGCGTGATGCTCCCACCGGTGAAATAAGACCCATACCGGAACCACCACCAACAGTTAGACGGATCCCGCAGTTTCACTCTCGCGGTCATGATCGCAAGAGAGATGATCGCGCCTCCACAGCTACCAGCATAGAAGATCGGGCCCGCGCCGGCTGCCATGCCCGCTGCCGCGAGCAATCCCACCTGCGTCACTGCGAGACCCGACAGCACAGCTTTCGCGTTTCCTTCATGACGCAGTGCGATGGACTTGACGCCTGCCGCGACGTCGTCCTTGATGTCCATGTGCGCGTAGACCATGTCGTAGAAGACCGTCCAGGCAGCACAGCTCAGATACAGACAAGTGGCAGCCGTCAAGGCAGAGGTGTCACCCAACAGGTCGATTCCCATTGCAGGAAATCCCATCCAGGCGCCCCAGGAAAAGGTCAGACCCAGGACAGCCTGCGGGTAGTCCGTCACGCGCTTGGCGAGCGGGTAGGCGCCCACAAGCAGCAAACTGGGAACGCCATAGTAGAGACATTGAGTCGGGAATTGGAGAAGAATGCCGAGACCGGCGAGGAGCTGAGTCCCGGTGAAGATAACGGCCTGAGGCGGTGTGATTGCGCCTCGCGCGATCGGTCGGAATTTCGTGCGCTCGACGAACGGATCAAAGCGTCTGTCTAGGAGGTCATTGATGGCGCATCCGGCGCCTCTCATGATCAGGGCGCCTGCGAAAAAGAGCCCCGTGGTTCCTACCACTTGTAACGGGGCGACGGGCTGCTCTGCAACCACGGTCGCTAGGAGAGTCGAGAAGGCGCAAGGGAAGAACAGGCAGTATGTGCCGATGGGGTTCTGAAGCCGGAGTAGCTCGGCATAGGGAATCCAGGTTTTGGGAAGAAGGGAGATTAGGCCGGTCTTGGGCGGCACGTATTGGTCAAGGGGCTTTGGTGGTGCAGTCGTGACGCTACGCGTCTTCGGACTTCGCGAGTCATTGAGTGACTTTGATTGAGAGAGAAGTTTGATGGTACTAGTGCAAACAGTAGACTGCTGGTTGAGTGAAGCTAGAGAGTAGCGCGATTGTCGATGACTGCGGACGCGGACATCCGAAAGATTTCCGCGGGACCGAACACCTGCGCGTGGTACTCGGGCTGTACAGCGCAGAGACCATCCAAGGAGTGCCGACGAGATCGGCGGAAGCATTGTGTTGGCCGATAACCTAGATCTGCCCTGTGCCTTGTGTCTGGAATTCTGGACCGAAGCGACAGGGACTCGTTCATCCGCTCGTCCCGTTTATTTTTGTCATCGAGCACGTGACTCGGTGCTAGTGACGCCGGGGCGCGCCAAGTGGAGCGACCCATGGTTTCCGATGGCAGCCCACTCATATCTCGAAATTTTCATTTTCAGGTGCCTGGAAAGATGGCAGGAGCCAAAAAAAAAAAAACTGAGAGAAAAAAAGTGCAAAAAGAACAGCCCAACGCGGGGCTCGAACCCGCAGCCTTGTGATTAAGAGTCACACGCTCTACCGATTGAGCTAGCCAGGCGCTGTTGTTGAAAGATGTTCTAAAGTTATGCACTATAATGCTTATTTCATAAAGTCATTCACAATTCCTTGCTCTCATTTGTAATTGGCGCCCTTGCTCCATTCACTTTCTCAAATGACACATTTGATCTAATCTAGAAACGGCATGTATCTTTGAGTGGACTCTACTGGCTGCATGGGTCTTAGTCAAAGGAGTAACGTACTTCTAACCTGGTGCTCCTCGAAATCGCAAACCAGCTCACCTTGTTCCAAGAAGATATATATCCTTTGTCCCCGAGAACACGACCAATCCACCCAGCCACCTAACCCGATCTAACAGATCATTAAACAATACGAGAACCATACGCCTAGATACTACTGCAATCTGACGCCCAAGGCTGAGATATAATACTATATCTGAAGTTTGCAGGCAATTGCTGTTGTAAGTTCGAGAATGCCAAGACCTCGGAGTTACTTACCCCGAGTAGGTTCGATATAGGGCACGGCCTATGACTTTGCCTACTGTACCTCACGGCTCCTATGAGACAGTGCAATTTTTGAGCCACAACATGAGAACGAGAGCTCAACAGAAACAACGGTCAAATTGATTGCCGGTGCGTTGCCTTCTGCCGACATATCAGCCCATCCATCAGTCTCGCTATGAGATCACCCTGCATAGAACTTGCGGGGTTATGAAGATCCCCCGAATAAAGAAGCCCCTTGCTTTCTATAAGAGGGCGCCCCATTTCTAATTCCAGAATTTCCCTCTGAGAATCGACACAGGCCCACTCCGTAGATGTTATGTTCATCCCGTCGCCCCTCAACATGTTACTATCCTTAGCCCTAACCGTTCTTACCCTCCCCCATATATACAAAGCCGACCAAACAGACAACACCTGCACCGTCATCCCCCTCGGCCATGGTCGCGACGACGTTCCCAATATCCTCGCAGCAGTCCAAGAATGCGGCCGCATACCAGGAGGCAGTATCCTCCTCCCAGAACCCTACACCTACCGAATCAACCAACGACTAACCACCCACCTCGAGCACTCCACCCTAGCCATCCACGGCACTCTACTCTTCAGCGACGACCTTACCTACTGGGTCAACAACTCCTACCGCGTCGACTTCCAGAACCAGTCCTCGGCATGGCGCATCACCGGCCACGACTACGAAGTCAACGGCGGGCCCTCGATGGGCGGAATCGACGGCAACGGCCAGCTCTGGTACACGTGGGCCCAAGGCGGGAGTAACGTCTTCGGCCGTCCGATTCCAATGCATATCTATAACTCGACGCGTGCGGTGGTTCGGAATTTCGCAATCCGACAGCCGCAGTTCTGGGCGGTTTTGGTGGATCAGTCGAGTCATGTCCTGTTGGAGAATTTTTACGTTAATGCCACGAATTCGGATTCTCATGCCACCGAGGATACGGTGTGGATTCAGAATACGGATGGTGTGGATACTTTCCGGTCGGATCATGTTGTAATCAAGGACTGGGTGTATGAAGGCGGTGATGATGCTGTTGCGTTTAAGGGTAATTCGATGAATGTCGTGGTGCAGAATATGACGGTCTATGGGGGCCCCGGGATTGCGTTTGGTTCTCTAGGGCAGTATCCGGACCTGGTCGATATTGTGGAAAACATCACGGTGAAAGATGTGACAGTATGCTATTGTTTACTGATGATGGGTTTCGAGCGCATATGCTAATGAGAATAGTTCCAACCATCTTTCCAGCGGGCCATCAACTCAGGGATCTATTTCAAGAGCTGGTCAGTATACCCAGTGCACTCGAACGGGACAGAAGCTGATGTACCACAGGATTGGGGTCAACTTTGGCAACCCCCCAAACGGAGGCGGCGGAGGCCATGGATATCTGCGGAATGTCACGGTAGAGAACATCCAATTCAAAGACGTACAAATGCCGATATACTTTGACACCTGGTATGTCCTTCTGAAGATTATTTGGAGTCTTTCTAACAAATAAAGCCTGAGTTATCTCTTCGACGAAGACATCACTCAATACTGCGACACATCGACCTATCGCTTCGAGGATATTCATTTCAAGAATATCAAGGGAAATGGCCTTGCCACCCCAACAGATTATCCAGGAGAGAACATTACGTTTGCAGTCTCGGTGATATGCTCCGAAAAGGCAAGATGTAGGGATATAACATTCCAAGATGTCGATATCAGCCTACCAGATCAGTATGAGGGAAAATCGGTGCTGTGCCAAAACGCCGATGTCGATGGACTGGAGTGTAATGTTTGATGTAGTATATGTTCGCGGTTCTTCCCGTCCGTCTCCACTACGGTTGTCCATATTGGCATAGATTCCTTCCGGCATCCGCAAGCAAAGATATAAAAAAGCAAAAAGAAATGACCAGACTGGGGCTCGATCCCAGGACCTTATCGGTGTTAACGATACGTGATAACCAACTACACCATCCGGCCCATTCATGGAAAATAAGAGTTTGTAAAATGACTCATGGTGCCAAAGGTAGGTACCCGATAATAAGAAGATGACCACTGCATGCTCTGAAAATGGATATCACATACTACAAAAGGCCTCAATGTACAAAATGTCAGCCACTACCTCACTCGACACACATTCTTGACCCGACTTATCGAGTCCATTCTCATGCTGTCCCTTCACCCAATTTCTTGATGTCCGACGCTGACATTCCCCGCCGCACGTTTGCCGCTTTAGAGACAGCGACAGCATCAAAAAGGGCCAACGGAGCGAGAATCAGGCCGCAGATCGCCAAGGGCGCATTATCCTTATCATCAACGAGTGTGTAAATATCCAAGGCAGCGTTTCCAGTGGCCCCCAGCAGAGAAACAATTCGTCCAATAGTTGCCAGGGATTGAACGGCACTTGCAACCTCACCGATGATGGGGATAAAGAAGAATATAGCACTGAGAAACGCGAGCAGAATGGCCTTGCTTTTCTCTTCACGAATGTCTTCCGCGATCTCGACGATCTTGTGCATGTTGTCCACAGCGTCGGAGATCATTGAGATGGGGAGACTGAGCGCATCGACGAGCTCATCAACGTTTCCCAGGAAATGATCCGCTTTGATATCTTTTATCACTTTCTCTAAATCTGGGCTGAGGTTTGTTAGGTTCTGGCGGGCCTTGGCGACTACATCTTTGGGGTCGATGACGTCCTCTTTATCGTAGCCCCTCGGGTAGGGGTAATTGTAGTCCCAGTTGCGATCGGCGCAGTGCTTGTCACTGGCCGAGCATGATGTAATGTGGTGCTCATTTCGCCAGCCGATGTTCTTCTGCTCGATGCTTGTTTCGGTGTATAGGTCTGCCCAGAACTGAGCCGCCTTGTTGGCTCGCAACGTCCAGTATACGGACTGGGTCCACCGCATCCCCTTCGCGGGCTGTTTCTGCCCGCGCATTGAAAAGTCCGGCGGGCAGGGTTGGGTCATGTTTCGGTACCGGTACTCGATATCACAGTGTACTTCAGGGTTATCGCAGATAGGATCCCATCCGCACTTGAAGTCCTCACAGTATCGGCAGTTGACAGGGTCGTGAGGGCCCCACGGCGAATGACACCAGCTGCAACAGGCGATCTCTTCCGTTACAACACAAGTGAAATAGTCGTTCCCGTGCTTCTGCATGAAGTTGTCAACTTGCTTGCCGGAGCTGTCGACGACTGCCTGGGCGTATATGGTAAAGCTCTCATTGTAAGTACCGGCGATTAATTGATCGTAACGGCTCAATGCGCTGGTGAGGTTGTGATGGAGAATTTCAAGGATATATTGTGGCACACACTCCTCCGGGATGCTACCCAGGCTCGCTTGGATTGCCTCTATGCTGTTATATGTGCCTTTGCATTCTGGTCGTGGCGGGGCTTTTGGTTCCTTAACCGCATCGCCGGTAGGGCCTTGAAAGTCGTCATCCGTGAAACTTTGCAGATCAACGGCCCAGTCGATTGTTCCGGCAAAGTTTAGGCCTCTCCAATGTGACCTTCGTGTGTTCTTGGTGGTCTCTGACATGTAGGCAACCCATTCGGTGCCTTAGGCGGCCACGCATCCAAATTAGCTTGAGACAGATAGATAATGGGCAGGAAGGCAGAACGCACCGTTATATACTACAATGTCCGAGTTGGAGACCTTCTACACTGTTATTGTGGATCCATGGTCCTTGAAACTCAGTATAGTAATCGTAGCCAATCAATGAAGGGGTTATATTGATTTCACACTAAGGATGATAATGAAGGGTAAGGAATGTTGTAAGTGGCATGATAAGGTGTACCGCCACAATAAAACTAGGGATGATTGAAACCTGATTTACCATGCGAAACTGGTCATCCTTAGTGATCCTGGATATAGAGAAAATGAGGTGGTATAAGTTTGGTATTAGAGTTGAGGATATTTGGTGCAAAGTTTGTTTGAATTAAGCTTATCGAAGGTGCTGGAAGGTTATTATGTCTACCAATCCAACCTCTTTTTGTAAGAACCTGAACTATTAATCTATCAAAACTGAAAAGAAGATGGCGGTTCTAGTTACTCTCCTTGTCCCGCAATCTTCTTGCTACACCTTATAAGCTCGCTGGCCCTGATAATTCGCTCATATCCAGTAAAATAATTTTCATGGTGTCCTCGTTGGCTCATCTTGAAGCCAGTGAGATTGAAAGTTCATATACGATTCAAGATGGTCGATACTATCATAGAAAGAGCCCCTGCTGCAAGCTTAGCCCATCGGTGTAAAGGCCAGAACATCAAGATACCGGATCTCCTCAGTCTCTGCCCTGACTGGAAGCCTCAAATTGATCCAAGATTTGACGAGTGTCGGCGCCCACCTAGAAGAATGGCAGGATAAGTTCGTGTTCTGAATCTATCCACCGAGGTAATCAAGAGAATTGGCAACTAAAAGCAGTTTAGGTGGTGCACGAGTCCTGAATTACTAGATATTAACCGCAAGACAAACGTTCCGTTTTTCATGAAAACATCCTATCCTGATGCAGGCATAGAAGAACTTCGCACCATGGCCAATTGGACAGGCTGGGTAAGTGAGTCCAAGCGATATCCCCCTACGTGCATCCAACTGCTTTTATGACACATAGCTCTTCTTATATGATGATGGTATGTTTTGATAAACCACTAATGGTGTAACCAGATATTTCAAAAACATGGTTGCCGAACGTGAGGCCTATCAAAGTGATATAATGAGGTGTATTAGAGACTCAATTCTTGGGGGTGATAACTGCAACATAGGCCTTACATTCGATTCGCCTTACCCTGTTATACAGGGGTTCTATGAGATTGGTCTGGAAATTAAACAAGGGGTGAGAAATAGTAAGCGAGTTCTTAATACTCTGTTTGATCAGCAAGCATAGTTAACGTTGAATTTGCCAATAGCGGACCTGTGTGACTGGATATGCAATTATCTGTGCGACTATGTCATGGCTGCCATGAAAATACAGGACTCTGTTGATGCAGAGGAAATTATGGGTATCGATCACTATCTCGACCTAAGAATGGACACCTCAGGTATCTACCCGTCGCTGGCGCTAAATATGCAAGCCCTAAACTTTTAATGTTCCAGTATGACTACCCTGACTCTGTTCAAAGCTTTACAGACCATATCAACCTTCCACGGTGGATCTTCGAGCTTGAAGTTACTCAACGATTGATGAAGCTTATCAACATCATGGCTTCCATGTAAATCCCACTCGCCTTGGCTATCATTGATGGTCTGTGATCCACTGACCTGTACATCTCCCAACCTGTTCAGTGACAATGATATGTTCTCATTTAAAAAGGAACTAGTGCGTCTTCTCCAATTAATTTGCATACAGTCTAATATCAATCAAATATAGGACCTCGGCCATATAGACAGTCTCGTTCCTTTGCTCGTGTACGAGAACTCCTACTCGACCCAGAGTGGTATCGACGCGGCAACTTCCTTGATTCGCGCAAGTTATACCGAGTTTTGCAACTTAGAACATGCACTCTACGGCCAGGTACCTGACGAGCATCTGGATGAGACACGCCGTCTTATCCAGTGCTGGAAGAATAGTCGAGCTGGGTTGGCCAATTGGCAGTAAGTTATGGCACTCATTCTTTGTGATTAACATTGATTGTCGGATCCAGACTAACTTGAAAAATGCAAGCTACGCCTCGGATAGGTACTATGGCAACTCGTTCGAGGAAAGCTAGGTGATTACCGCCACGTTTTGATTTGTCGGGGCTCTTTTGTGTCCAAGCGTTCTATTTCTTAGTTGGCTGGAAGGAATAGAGTGCTTCTATGCAAAATGACTACCATTAGACTGAATATTAGGATGATTGTATATGCAAAACATTATCTGATGAGATGAGATCAATAAATGACGAGATTCTGAAGATGTCTGCCGCTTATATCTCTGATGTTTTAACCTGAAAGAGCTGGGGGGCCCATTTGCCGGTATCTGGCTTGCTTTTCATAGGCCTGATGAGCGCGTGCACCTGGAATGGATCTCGGAGGCATGTTGTGTTGATCTAGGGGTTGATCGCGGAGCGGCTGGGTTGGCCATTCGCTGATGGGAACTGCTGGATTTTGCTGATCATCCTCACGACCAGAGAAGTGTTCGTTTTCATCTGCCCATTCCGACAAATGATCGGAATGATCAAGATATGCTTCCTCCTGGGAGTCAATTGGCATTCCTCGTTGTGGCACACGGAGCCGACGCCCTGCGTAGGAGTCACTCGGTCGGAGCCGTCCAGCCTGGGGTTCTCCCTGGAAAGTTGTATGTTCTTCTTCGTAATGGAGCTCGCCGTATGATTGCGATGTAGCATGATACGGAGCTTGCCCCCCTCTTGAGCGGTATGTTGCCGGTGGTGGTGGAGTCGCATATCCGCCACTAGCTTGACCAGGCTGTTGTCGTGCACCGAGGCGTGGTACTGTCCGACCTCTGGAGCTGGTGTTCATTCCTCCGCGTCCAGCTGAGTAATTGCTCGAGAATCGAGGACCAGGTGCCTGGCCCCCGAAGCCTTCGTATTCCACCGGCTCTTGATCCCCATCTTCTTCTCCGTAACGATCATATCTAACACCTTCCATATGAGCCATTTTAGCCTGATCAACGCGCTGAGCCTTCGCCATATACGCATCAAACTCGGTCATGGTCTCATGCACTGTCTTGAAATGCTCACGGGTGAGAACAGCTGGAAGGTTTTTACGGCCGCCTTTTTGGTCATGGAAGGCGATGCATGAGGCGATCTGTACAGCGTTCCGGATTTGACGACCGTTCCAGGGCCCTCGTCGGTGAGTTTGATAGTGCTTTTGATACTCGTCTTTGATGAAATCAATGATTTCTCTATCCATGACTTGGATATAATCACTGCCCGGGGTTTCGTCTTCCGGCAATGCATCGGCTCTCGGAAGTCGCTTCAAGTTGTTGCAGAGTATGGCTTCGGTGTCTGTGAAACTGAGATGAGGATAATAGAGACTCACATGCACTCTAGATCGGAATGCTTCGTCCAGTGCTCCGACTCGGTTAGTAGTCAGGAAAAGGATTCCACTGTAGTACTCTAGAACTCTCAGGAATACTAGCCTTGTTGTTAGCTACCGACTCCCTTTTGCAGCAAGAGAAGAGAGGGTGGGCTACATACCTGAAACGAGAGCATTCCTCTCGATATTGAATCGATCTCGTTGGGTCAGAAAGACATCGGCCTCGTCCAGAAGCAGAATGCAGTCCCATAGGTGAGCGTACCGAAAAATACGTTTGAGGGTCTCCTCGACTGCATCTGGAGTAATGCCTAGGTCACCACACGTTATAGGGAATAGTGGTTTGTTGAATTCAAGGGCCACAGCTTCTGCTGTCGCAGTCTTGCCTACCCCTGGGGCACCGTGTAGAAGAATAACCAAGCCTCGTCCCTTTCCTCTAATGATGTCTGGGTCGTATGGCCGTCGAGCTGCATCAGATCGGTTCCGGGCGTTTCGTAAAAAGTGCGAAGACACACTAGACCGAACAATCTTTCTGTGGCTATCCTTGATCTGGATATCGTCTAATGTGACCCTGTCATTTTCTGCTTTGATCTGAAGGTTCTGCACATTGAGGCACATGAATCTTCTCTCTCGCAACACATAGCCTAGTAGTCTCCTCGGTAAAATGGCGAAGTCCGTGTCGCTCCAATCTTCAAAACAAAGGGTGCCATCTTGCCGGAAGTAGGGGCTCTTCTCGTGGAACTGGGCTGCCTCTTGATAGTGACTCCCATCCTCTCGCATGACAAGACGGCTCGACCATGTAGTGTGCACGCCATTATCCTGCTGCTCTCCCTCTTGCGTGTACCAAACTTTGCAAGGGAAAGCTTCCTTAGCCCACGGCCTCCATTCCGCCCCGAGCTCAGGAACTTCTCGGTTCACCCACTCCGGGACATGGCGCTCTGCTTCTTTGATGTCGATGATCACCTCGCTTTCTACATACTCTGGCTCAGCAAGTCTCGCGTCTTCTACCTCAAAGATCCCAGTGACAAGATTCCATCCAGAATAGTAAAGATGCCGGACACCTTCTTGGGAAACCTCCCTAAACTGTCGTCCTCTCTCAACATGTTCCCGGAGAATACGATCTCCCTGCGGGTGGTACTTGAGTGGATAGCAGGCCAAAGAGGTGATTTCCCGCTCCCCCAGGAAGTAATCGAATGACACAGTATGCCATGCAGTTCGGAAAACCTCGCCATCGTAGTCGTAGCAGTACATTTTCCAGTCGGTCCGCTCGGAGACCGATTCTTTCCATCCATCGTCCGCGCGCTGATACAACACATCCAGCGGATTACAAAAATAGGCTCGGAACAGGGTTTGGATAGCAGATTGTTTCTGCGCCTTTACTGTCTTTTGAAACGGAGGAACAAAAATGAGCTCCCCAGGGCGAAACAGAAACGCGATCTCTTCGTAGGATACTTTCTTCGGAGTTGTTTTGCTGGGCTCCTCAAACTGGGCCCATAACGGTACAACCAGCTCCTCCACGAGCGCAACATAGAGCTTCATTTGACTCAGAGCACTACTTTCACTCTCATTATCGCTATCCAGTCGCGACTCCATGGACGCAAGGCGCTCTTTCATGGCATTATGATAGAAGTAAAATGCATGGAATGGACGGCAGAACACCAGCTCTTCTTTCGATGCCGATCCAAGATCGGCGCTCCAGTCAGCGAGCTCTGCAAGATGGCGAAGAACCTCTGTGGAACGAATTCTGACTCTGAAAAGATGCTTATTTTCCCCTATACCATCGGGGCGATCGGACATCAATGCAGGCGTGCTCGTTGGCGTTTGCTCCGTAGGTTTTGCCCGGTCGGGGTCGTCGATCTTTTCGCTTCGCTTGATCTCTTCTAGCATCTCTTCTCGTGGATTTGCGCCTATCATGAGACACTCGAATGTGTGGTCCCATTCATCGTTTTGGACCCTGTTTGTAAAGCCACGATAGTTGTAGTATCGCACCCCTACATGTGTTACGCGCGCCTCTGGCACCGGTCTCTCTCCGTCGCCGTATATATCGATGTCGATATTTTCGTCTGATACAGATTCCGGCTCCTGCTTTTCCTCTTCCACGCCGGGTGCCTCGGACTGTGTGACTTCCACTTCATCTTTGTCCATGATATTTACCGATAAACCTATCAGTGCTCCGAAAATGCGGGTGTATGTGTCGACTCGACCGAATGTGGTGATATGGAAGAAAAAAAGACTTGGCAGTGGAAATTGAATGAGGATGGAAGTGGTTGATAAGCTGACAGCTCGACCTAGAGGAGGTCATGCGTTGTCACGTAGAAACAGAAGGCTAAGGCCAGAATTATCTGAATCAACTAAGGTAAGTGATGGGTCCCGCACTTGTCAAGAACCCCTCCAGAGCTGAAACGAGCTGAAATCAAATTTCCAAGCAAACATCGGTCACTGAAGAATAATAGATATGCCTGCACCAGGTTAGTGTAGTGACCAATGAAGTTAGCGCGGGCCACTTAGTCTATCGTAGTGCTTACGCTGATCGTAAAGCTGACATATCGTAGGCGAATAACAAGCACAATATGAAAAGTGGAGGGTGATTAGAGGCCTTCTCTACTGCACCAGTGCACCTCAGCCACGTACGGTGTAGTCTGAGAATCGTGCCCAAACTATCCCGAGAAACTAGGTGCAGACTTTTGTCGACCCCGCATAGCTAGAAACACATCATTTGCGCGAAGCTAAAGTCCCTCTAGAGTTTGTACATCCAAGGACTCCGGGTACTTGAATTTTCAGGGACTGCGACAACACAATGAAAGGAATATTCCATCGCAGCTCACGCCCAAAACCCCCCACACAGTATACTGCCGAGAAAGCGAAGGAGTGGATGCAGAAGCGTGGTGGGGAGCGTCATCCAGCTTTCGCGGTGGATAGTCGATATGACCCAGATCGAAAAGTATACATCACAACAGAGCAAGGGGCGCTTGAGTATTGATTTTCATCTCCTTAATGCAACGGCCTACGCTAATCGGGCAAATAGACATCTAAATGATATTGTGGAAAGTCACGATGCAGATTGCAAAGCAGAAGACCAGAAGTTTTCCGAGTGCACATGGGAAACGGTATTCCAGACACTCGATGACGCGAAAAACGAGTACTCATCCAGAGGGCACTATCAATCCCATGCCATGATGGGAATGGAACTTGCATTCAAGATGACTGACCTAATACCATCCGAATACGGGTTATCCGTGATAAAAAGTGTATTGGGGATAGCCTTCGAGGTAATTTCTAGGCCTCGAAGCCTCGTTCAAATATTACGCTAACGAGCTCTGTACAGACTGCCCGAAAGCGCAAAGAGAATAGGGATAAGATTCTTGAAGCATTCGAAAGTATTCCCGAAAGTATTTTGTCGATCAATCTCGCCTGTGGTCTTTTAAAGCCTACCGAGGCGGATGAAAAGCTTCGACAGGACTTCCATACCACACTTCTTAAGCGCATGCCTGAACTAGTTGATATTCTCCTCGGCAAACCCGCCTGTATGGCCCATTTCTTCTTCATGTTGTCAACTCTGGCGAAACATTATTAAGGCTGATTCACTCCGCATAAATTCAGGGTATCTACGAGTCAAAAGCTACATGACATTCAAGATCAGCGAAACGCTAAAAGTGGATGAAATACTCTCTGAATGGAACAATTACATAGCGACTCTCAAAGAACGTGTAACGCAAATGAGGGATCGACTTTGGAGCGAAGTCGCATACCACAGCGCCGAGGCCCATAGACTAGGAGCCCAGACAAATACCAAGCTTGATACTTTCGGCAATCGGTTCAATGAGATCCAATCGATCATTGTTGCTCTCGGACCTGCCATTATTGATGCAATGAAGACGGAGTTTGGCAATGAATTCCGCAAAATGGAACGCGCAATTCAGGCCAACGAGGTAGGGGCCAAAGCGCAGACTCTTCTCCTCTATGGGTTCGAAGAACTAGAACAGGCAGGCCAGGTTGGTAGACTGGGTGCTCACCGGGTTGATAATGGTAAGGTGTCTTGATCTCAATTCAAGCTTGAGATGTGTTCATTGACAATATGGTTTAGCAGAGGCAAGCTATCACAGTTATGCATTCGTCCCAAATGGTTTACAAGGAAATTTCCTGCCGGCGCAAATTGAGCCATCCGCAATCATCACAGAACTAGAGCTCTTAGGCCTTCTCAGAGTGCCACCTTCTTCTGCCTTGGATGATTTGGATTTCACTTTACAGCAGTCAAACCGATTCCCCGAGTCGTTGCTTCGACAAGTATGGTGGCTGACTAAAATGGACGAGTTCGTGAGCTGGTACCACGGTCCCGAGTCTTTATTGCTCATAGCAGATGGCTATCTGGACACTGTCCCGTCGGAGATGATCACACCCATTTCGATCTTCAGCGCCAGCTTCATCCTCAACCTTGTCCGCAACTCCTCTCGCATCGTCTTATCTTTCTTTGTCGGCCTGTATAATGGTGATGACGCCCAAGAACACCCAGATATCAGCGGCCCATGCGGACTAGTCCGCAGCTTAATCGCCCAACTTCTATCCCATGAGAGTCTCCCGGAGCCAGTTCTCAGCTTTATAACATACGAATGGATTGATGCTTGCCGTGACGACGATCTGAAGGCACTATGTGAGCTATTCAAGCAATTAGTCCTGCAAGTACCTCGGGGGACACAGGTATTCTGCATTGTCGACGGTTTGGTGATTTATGAAGATCACCACACTTGGGGCCGGCAAATAAACTACGTTGCAGCTCTCTTCCAGAACGTTGCAATGAGCACCAGGTTTCCTGACGCGCCTGTCTTCAAGGCCCTCTTCACATTTGCCAACCGAAGTCTGCAAATCTCAGATAGGGTGGATAGGTTTCCTGACATCTGGGGGCATGCTGCGTTAGCGACTCACCAAATGGACGGCATGCCGTTGGTCCTGTGAGGCCTGTCGGACTCCCTGATAGATACAACATTTGTACACAAAGCGTCCACCAGTTTGTATCTCTGCAACCGTTCGATTTCTCTTTGGTAGCCTAAGAAGTGTCTAACAATGTAAGCACGGACCCCACGACCAGCCAGCCACACTAGTCTGCATAAGGTTTAGTGGCGGCCGCCGATGCCGACGGGCCGGCGCAATAAATAAAGTGAGCCGACTTTCTGCTTTCTAGGTGACGATTCTCCCAGAGTCAAGTTGCAAGAAACTAATATACTATCGGTCCTTCCTCGAAATTCAGTATGTCGGCCGACGGCGGTCTTGCCAGAGCTGCGCAAGTTTGTATAACCTGCAAAGCACGCAAGAAGAGATGCGATAAGACAATGCCTCGTTGTGGGTATTGCAGCAGGTAACCAAGAGACCCACTCAGGAGTAAAGATGAACGTGCTGCAATGACAGTGAGCTGATGATAGATGTTCTACCAGGAAAAACTTGCGTTGCTCATTCTTGCCCGTATCAAGGAGAGAGCGAGAGAAATTCCAAGAAAGCTATCCGTCTTCATTGGACCTGTTCTCGCCACAGTTATTGAACGAGCCGGCTGCAGCAGATGCGAATCTGTATCACCGAGTCCTTCAGATTATTCATGAGACAGGCCAATTCATTGATGATCTTACGGCGAAGTATTTTCAGGGACCTCATCATTATTTACCCGTTATCTCGCGATCGCATTTCCAGAGTAACCTCATTACACTCGGCGCTGTTCCATCCGCTGGGTTCTCTGTTCTTTTGCTGACGGTATGTTTGACCGCGTCTTCCACGTCGAAACCAAAGTCGACTGCTCATTATGTCCCTCCGACACATGCCAAAAACCGTGCGCTGTATCTAGCAACAAAAGCCCTTCTTTCTCGGGTTCAGAGCTCTAACTCAACCTGCATCTCCCTGATCCAAGCACGTCTCTTACTTGCTCTCTATGAGTACACACATGGTCGGCCTGAGGATGCATTTGACGCCATTGCAGGATGCGCACGCATGGCTTATCGTGCCGGGTTACATCTCAACTGCCGCCCGAATGATTCCAAAGAGACGCACTCGGGTTCAGATGCACAACTACGGGCAGAGGGAACCAATACATGGTGGGGAATCGTCATCTGCGAGCGGTAATTCTCTCTCAATGCTCCTCTTCGTCATAGCAGTCGCCATGCTAAGTATGTGCTTTGATTAGGGCCTTTTTCTGCGAAATAGGATTTCAGGAACAGCCACTTATTACAATCATTCCAAGTGACGCCATTCTCCCTTCCAGAACCGCGAGCGAGAAACGTGATAACTCCTCGCCACCTTACTTGTCCTTATCCTTTAATATTGAAAGCAATGCGCGCGGGTTTGATCGCTCCGTTCAGGCCGCCTGTCTACTAGACAAGGTCTTCAAGAGCTTCGCAATCTCTGACCTGAACTCTAAGCTTGTCGAACTTCATAACCTAGATATGGATATCCAGTCTTTTCTGACTGAGCTCATGCGACAATGTTATTCCGGGGATGAAACGAGTAAATACTGTCAGGCAATTGCCATCACCATCCGGTAAGTCTCTCCCCATTCTCCATTCCGACTTCTTTCTAATCAATACAGGACACTCCTGAAGCTGCATTCCCACATTATAGAGCAACTGGACCATAATATAAACCTCCAGGATCAAACACTGCAGGGCCGATATCAAAAATCACAGGCGGCGCTCGATACCGTCGCTCAAATGGTCCTCGATATCATCGAAACCCATCACACTCCGGCCCCGGACATAATACCTCCCACTTTTTCATACATGACCCGAGCCGCGCTCACATACATACGAGGGCAAAAGAACTGGAAAGCGGACCCGCAACTTCACAGTGCAGAGATACGAATGCGTGAATCCTTGCATTAAATTAACCCACTTTATTCGAGATCTTTTCTAGAAGGGCGCCTACCATAATAGATTTTAGTATCAAGATCCAACGTGATAAGATGCAGATCTTGCTCAAGAAGAGAAGATGTCAGACATTATATGGTCAACACAGTTTCATTCCCTACCATATATTCTTGCGGACTCCCTTATTGGCATGCTGAAGACCCTCATTGTCCTATAGGTGTATTAGTAGAGACGCTTTACATCCGATATCCGATATGGTGTAATGGTTAACATCGCCGTCTCTCACACGGCAGCTCGGGGTTCGATTCCCCGTATCGGAATAACTACTTGATCATTTCTTTTTTTCCTATCCCGAAGAAAGACAATCCATGCTTTGCTAGGAAATATTTTTTTGCCTTCAAGCCTATTTGCTCTACAATCAATTCTCCGCTCGATGGTCTAGCGCTCAGGCGGTGGCGGGGAAAACAATGACATAATGCAGGTCCAGCGGTCACCTGCCCCTGGAGCCTGAGGCAGCGGAAGCCTTACGAGGGCAGGAGCGCAGGTGGCACGAATCCATCGCGCATATCGCTCAGTCCTTCTTATTTCCCAGCTATGAATGGAATACAAATCACAGGCCATGATACCCCATGACACTCATCATGGTGGCTTCCCGTCTGCTCCACCGGCTTTTCCACCGCACCTCCAATCCTGATCCCGCACCGCATCAGCGACAACAACAGCAGCAGCAGCAAGCGCCAGCGACACCACAACCGATTCCAGCTCCAGCCCCAACGCCCTTCAACACCGTGCCCAATTGGTCACGTGCTGTCATAGATTCGATCGGAATCGATGCCTCGACGTGTCGCGAACATGGGGATCCTGGCTATTCTCGTCAACTACCCGTTCTTCCTCGCGACTATCGTTGTTTGGGAGACGACCCCAATCGGGTAAACTCCACGATTAATATCCAGGAGCAGAGCGCCTTTTTCACCCGCCTACCGCTTGAAGTTCGCCAATTGGTCTACACATATTTGCTAGGAAACCGTCGCATTCATGTCGATTATGACTTTCATCCTCGAAGGCGACGATGGCGATGGTGGTACCGCGTGTGTGACGACCCACAACACTGCCCGGATAAATCAGACCCGTTCGTGTGTCCGGAGTATGCGGGGGCGGAGGAGGCCATGCTGGAGCTAGGTTCCAGTGCCTGGGTGAAACCGGGGTTCGAATACAAACTCCATGCGCTGGGTTGGCTGATGTGTTGTTGGAGAGCGTGAGTCCCGTCCGTTTGCGACCCTGCCTTGGCCCAACATACTAACGGGAATACCGTGTTAGTTATCAAGAATCGGTGCCCCTGTTATATCAGTCCAACTGTTTCGTCCTCACCCACGGCATTGACCAGCTCTTCCGGTTCTGTCGAATCATGCCTCCGTACCACCTCACGTTGATCACGTCCATGAGCATCGAAATAGATATCTACCGTGCGTCGAAAGGGCCGCCGGAGATGGACAAGAGGTTTCATATTTTCTATAATAGCTTTTTCGACCTGCTCCACCACTCACTTCCTAACTTGAGGAACCTACGACTTTCGATCGCTGGCCTCCCTAATCGAGGACAACGAGGGATTCAATGGTCGGAGGAAACAGAATGGAAGTGGATTGGCCCTTGGGAAACCTTGGGTCTAAGTCGGCGATGGAAGGTACTGGAGATCGCTGTCCCGAGGACATGGATTGAAGACTTTGAATATGTGGTTAACAGACGAAGCAAGTTATCTGACAAGGACAGATACAAACTTGTCATGGGAGTGGACCTTTATCCGCGCGGGTGGTAACTCTTTTCGAATCTGCTCCTCTTTCGATCATCCGTGTTTCAGTTCGCTAAGTGTCGCGATATAGCCTCCGGCGACATTGAATTTGTAATTCGGCTTTCATAGTTGCCCTATCTGCGGCAATTCTAGGTCTATTACCAAACTTTCCGATCGTTTCACATTGGCCTTGTTCCTCGTCGCAAGTTGTCTACCACTCCCACAGTGTCGAGTCGGCCTTCAAACGCTCTGCAGCCTCACGACCAATGTTCATCGAGACATCTACTCCGTCATCGCACCAATGCCGTTCTCCTGCGGAATCCTTCTCCAATGCAGGCCTTCCCTCCGTTAACCAGATCATTCCATCCAAGTCCGGCATTTTGATATCCACAAACCGCGCCTTGCCCCACCTGCCTCCAAAGTCCACCGCATACAGGTTCAAATGAGCCCAGCTTGTGAAGATCATGTTTCGAGCCCCGAGGAATCCTTCCCAAAACCGTTGAGGCGCGCATTCAAAACACAGATCATATATGCGCGTCTGCAACGCCTCTTTCGTATACAGTGCCAGCGTGTTGTTGATTTTTCGGGCTACATCGCCTAGCGCAAGACCGCCGCTCCCTTCTTTCCCTGTCGTCGTAATCGTTGTGCTGAGGATAGGACTTCCCATGAAGGTTGTCGGCAGACCAAGTCGTTTCCTCAACCCAAAGATGACATGTAGGGAGACATTCCGGTCGTCATCACTCCATCCACGCGCCCGGTTCACGGCTCGCCACACATGGGCCAGAATTGCATCATGTCGACTCACGCCTTTCCCGGCCGCTTGCCAGATTCGTTCCGTCTCGGCCGATGTGAAGTGCAACTTGACGTGCGAGACAGGCGCGTTGAAATCCCAATCTTGCATAGGGGGTTTGACTCCCGGGGATGTGATCATGTCGCGCGTCAATCCCGGGGGAAGGAATCGGTCTGGGTCATCACCTTCGGCGGGCCATAGGTTATCATGTCGCAAAGATGGTAGGCTGCGCGATTTCTCCAGAATTGCCGGGTCCGGAGTCGTACCATCGATATCCCCCGGCGCGCATCTGTCCAGCATCTGCGGATCATAGAGCGGATTAGGGGGTGGAGATACGACGGTCTCCGACAATGTGGAGCTCTTATCGCAGAAGAGCACAGTGTGATCATATGACCAGCGATGGGCCACCATGGCCAACGTATGCGCATCAGCCATGGGATGCGTAAACATCATGCCGATCGCGACCGCACCACACGCAAATCGCGTAACTTGAACCAGCGCCGCAGGCGTTGGGCCTTCTGGCGCGTTTCTGAAAAAGGGTAGTTTCGACATATCCGGCAGAAAGAAGGCAGGGTAGGCGCTGCTTGATCCCCAGGCTCGGTATGCGGGATCCTGTCGCTTCTTATGGCTAGGTATGATATCGTCCAACTTGAGGTCGCATTTGGCCGTGTCAAACTGTACACCCGGGTCGGTCGTTGCCCCATATGTGATTTCGAGTCGGGCATATCGCTGTGTATGATCTCCTTCGGGGTTATGCTTCACCATCTTGAGATGACCAGCCAGGTGGGGGAAAACCGACAGCGTGACCTGGAGCGACTCTTTCAACTGTGCAATCACCTTCTCGATATCATCCTTGCCAGCATCCTCAAAAAACCAAACTGCCGACGAAGGACCATAGTGCATGACCATTGCATCCACAACCGACAACGGCACTGTCACCTCGTCATGCTTAGTCCTGGGATGAATCCGACTGGACGTAAGCACGTCCACCTTCGGTTTGTCAATGTCAGTAGTTTCTGACGCCATCTTCAAAGTTTAAATCCTAAGCCGAGATAAGATGGCCGGCAGTTTGGATGGATGGATTGATTGATTTGATTGATTTGATTGATTTGATTGATTTGATTGATTTGATTGATTAGATTGATAAAGAAAGAGAGTTTTTTTGCCAGGCGCGGCGAGCCAGCGATTCTCATATATTTTTTTTCTCTCACCCACTAGTTATCAACACACCCTCGCCACCAATTCCTGTATCAATAAGCGATGTCTCACTCAGCGGCCCAAACCGAAAGATTCCTGGGCTCTGATTGGAGCGGTAGTTCTTGGCTGGACCGGGCATTATTAGTGATTGTGGTTCCCCTCATTAGTAATGCCATCCTTCACTTAGGGCTATTCCTCCATATGGGATTAATTTCCGATCTGGTGGTGGGGGAAGCCCGTAGGAACCGGTGGACTTTGAGTCTTGGACGCAGGGTCTTTGATTGCTTTTGGGGACAGGTCACAGACAGTGTTTTTAGGACTCCGTGGGCCGTGGCTACTCCATTCTTCCCTCGGAAACCGGCAGGGCTTGAACATGCAAGAGCCGAGCGTTGCGAATTGTGGAACTGCTTGTGTATCGTAGGGCTCGTCGGCTCGGTCAAGATTCAAGAGTGGGCATGTGATCGGTCTCCAATTCTATTTTCAATTCGATTGATATGTTTATGGTTGCGGATTGCGATCCAACGCCGAAGATTTTCCGTCCGTGATTCTTCTTTTTAGTTGAACTTGGGAGAACTTGCATCGAAAGACAGCCACGAGATAGGAAGTCTCGAGGGCATGAACGAATTTTAGTTGCCTTTATATACTTTTCTTTCTTGTCGTACGGAGTAGTTATTCAAACCACGGGTTCGGAAGTCTCCCGCATACTGTGTACTCAATTCTGGAATGGAATGTGATTATCCGATCATCGGCCGCCTAAAAGGAACTTCCGGGTCGCCTGGTCTGTGCGCAGGGCGTTAAGAATATTCGCCATTGCTGCCTGGTCGTCGGTTTGCTGTTGTCGAAAATAAGTATTTTGTTACTGTCCTTATAATCGGAAGCTTTATAGTGGGTTTAAATGTTTTCAGTGTTCGCTGCCCTCAAGTGAAACCGAACCACTTTGTAGGTGGTACGGAATGGAGCAATTAAATATATAACAGACAAAACTTGGTCCAACAATTCCTCCATCGCTTAGGGATGTATGACACAAGAATTAATCCCTTAGACTTGTCCCCAATATAAGGCAGTATGCCATGCCACCCACAACTCCAGACTTATTACTCGAATTATTATAATCACCTTTGCAGTCCAAGCAACACATACGGAGTATACAACAGGTAAAAAGAACGTTGGCCACCCACTCAATCTTGGCAGCGGAACGGGAGCATCACAACTTAATAGCCCAACGTGGAGATATACAGCGTCGATCATCTTGTGGGGGAATGATCGACAATACGTTCACCAAATTGGGGATTATGAAGCGCTGTAAGCCTGGAATACGATGCGATGGGGTGCTGCGCCATGTGAAAGATGATTCTTGCCTGGGAAACGTGGAAACTTGGCATATGTCAGAAGGCTTGGATGCGAGGTCTGATTGTTGATGACGAGGTATATATAACTGTAGGATGGTGAGTTTGAGATGATTGTCTGAGAAGAAAAGTATTTTGTATTGGCATAAGCTCATAGTTGCTTGCCTGCGATTCAAGATTGGAATCTATTTATTGCGCGCGACACTCAGAAGTAGTAAGCTTGCGCCCTCATACCAAGTTGTGTCCTGTTGTACTTACCATCTATGATAGCTCATCAACAACCAAAAAGGATGTGCTTCGGATCTAGCAAATACAAAGACAACGACCCCTATTGGTGGGGTTACATTGACGACGGACAAGGCTGGACAGCCCGTCGCAAATCCGAGTACATGAAAACGCCCGAATACAACAAGGAGCTTCGGCGGCAGATGCGCCAGGAACGGAAAGCGAACAAGGGCCGAGTGCCGGTGCCTCAGGCGGCCTATAGTCAGGGAAGGCATGGATAGAAACCTTATTAGAGGACATTTTTCCACAAGAGTGATGTTTTAACAGGAATGACTTGTTTTGTTATGAGGTGGATAACTCGGTCGTTGTACTTTATGAGGAAAGGACAAAGCTTGGGATTACTTGTTATAGTTCTTACAGAGTTAGGTCTGTCTAGCAATATCAACCAGGGGAGACAGTATTGTATATTATCTTATTGGTCGACAGCAACTAAAAATAGAACAAGCAAAGTAATATAGCGATAGTCTGATAGAGCCCCTCATTTCCCTGACCCAGAACAGCGTGAGAAGGAAAGGAGAGTAGGTTTGAGTGGTGAAGTGCCAAAAAAAACCGTCCTGCTTATTCTCTGACAAACATGTCTTTGCACTCCTCCAGAAGATCGGGTGACATACCCATCCTCTGCCTCCTTGCATTAATGGCCTCATAACGCCCCTTTTCTGATTCGACAGCCTCATCTCTTAGTCTCTCTAATGAATCGTCGTCAACAAGCTCTAGACAATCATCCTTCCAATTATAGCGGCGGTCTTTGATATCTTCAATCTCGGCTATCCACGCTTTGTCATTGAGAGCAAAGTCATAGCCCATACACATAGGACATGATTGGTCTACGGCACAGCTGCCTCCAATGTCCGGAAAGCGTTCTTTAACCGGCCCACATCCAGGACAGAACACCCCTCATCGCCACAGTTGGGACACCAACCGTTGAAGTAATGCTTCAGGACGTCACTGGACAAGATAATCAGCAAAATGCAGCTTGGGGAATGGGAATCTAGCTATAAGCACCGTCCATGTGGTTTAACAATGAGCGTGAAGCCTCTGTTTGCCTGTGAGCCCTGTTTGTCATCGGAAGATGCCATCGAGTATAGGAATAGGTCGAGGCGAGTCTCGGGATTGTTGTTGGAATGCTTATCACACAAGCAATACTTATAGTCCTCGTTCTCCGTGCCATAGTGTGAGTAATATACTCTTGGACCGTCAAGAACCCAGTAACCTTCAAGATCTGGAACATGCCAATTGACTTTCTGGACGAAGACCGATGATGTGAGAGGGTTCGTCTGCTGATTGTCTAGGGCAAATTTGACAAGTAGCATGTAACACTTCTTGGTGTCGTAAGCGAGGATCAAATCATTTACCTGGACGGGCTGGTCTAAGGTGTTGGTCGCCATGATGGAAGGAGTTTCAGTTGTGTTCGGTGTGTTTGTTCACAGAGGAAGGAAGATAGGCCAGCAAGAGTAGTTGTAGAAAGAAGTTGTTCTGCGTAGAGGAAGAGTGGTTATTCTAGAGGATGTGGACAAGGCAGAAACCAAATGATCTAGATAGCGGTGGTAAAATTGGACTGTTACGGTACTGGCATTGTGACTCGACCGGCAAACTTTGTGCGGGTTGATGAGGCTGCGATGCGGTCATTTCGGAGTCATCCAAATATTCCGAAAACACTACAGCGAAGTTGAAAAGATTTTACACGAACTGAATCAGATTGATTATTATGTTGTAGTGGCAAACCCCGCGGAGACGCTGTTGCCCTATAATGAACCAAAACCACTAATAATGGATTCCACCATCGAACAAGACACCGGACATGAACAGGCGTGCCAACAGCATTTTGTCAACACTAACCTCGGAGACATACTTCTGCAGACATGACCCCATAGTGCAACACATCGATTTCCACAAGTAGATTAAATCTCATCGCAGCGCTCCACATAGCGCTGGAAATGCTTGGGGAAATCCTCATCCCACAGCTCCGGGCTCTTCGCATACTTCTCCACCTTCTTGCACGAGTCGTCGTTCATATGCTCAGTCAATCTAGGGAGCTCACGAGCGGAGGAGGCATTTATCTCCTTCCGGGCACATTCCAAAAAGGGGTTGATTTTTTCGGAGTCTTCGCAAAAGTGGCCTCTGTCGTCGATCTGATCCTGGCATTGGGATTCCACGCTCTGGAAAACCGCATCGAGATAGTCGATCATTGCTTGCTTGCCCTCTTGCAAGTCGTTACGCTTGGCTCCGTCCTCGACGACGGGCTCCAGGACTTCCTGTTTGCCGAATTTGCTCCAGTGGCTGAGCTTTGGTTTGCAACCAGCCTCGCAAGAGTGCTCCTGAACATGGGTCAAGATGTCAAAGGGGAGTTGCTGCATGGCGTTGACGGCTTTGACACAGGAGGTGCCGAGCACAGCAAAGGCGCCGGGAGCAAGACTGATGCCTGCGGCGAAGGCGAGAGTAAGGGCTTGGGAAGGTCTCATCGTGGAATGGAGGATTATATAGAAAAAGTCTGAAACGGGAGGAGAGATGGAATATGCGGTCACGACGATGCGAAATTGTTCGGTGGCTTGTAAGTGAAATGCAGAGTCCTGGTTATTCGCAATAGGACGACATGAGGATGTTTATATAAATCTTTGTTCGCGAAGATCATCATCAAAGAAACAGGGCCGCCGGAAGTAGCCCCTGGCTTTGGATCAGCAAACAATTATTTACTATTAATCGAATTGACCCCGCAATTTTATTGAAAGTGTGATGCTGATCATATCGAGTAGCCAATGACATCGATTACGAGATTCATTGTGACATTGATGCCACTTCCTGTCCGGAATGATCGGGGACAGTTTCGCATCGGGGATGCAGGGGCTAGGAGAGATGGTTGCTAGGTACCTGAGCATCCCTTGCATGAATCCCACCCCGCGTGTTCTGTTAGGTACGCCATAGGTGATTGCCCAGAAAGGTGGCTTGATAATACGAAGAAGTTATCGAATATGACGCATAGAATCAACATTTGGCCAATATATTGTGAGCCTACCACAGAAGTTATATGAGGCTGAGCTGAACAGCAAATAGCTCTCACACATTATTGCAGGCCAGGGACAATGGCTTGAACCAGTTGTATACGGCTATGACTGCAGAAAAGAAACCTACGTGAGCCTGGCCTTTGAGTCGCCATTATCGATGGCGAACAGTTTTCATTGCTCCCTCTTGACGTAGATAATGTGTAGGTCATTATTGATAACCACCATTGTTCTAAGGGGTCGTCTGATGATAGTTCTGTACCCCTGATTATCGACCATGCACTCCACACAGAAAGGCAGATACATGCCATAGAGAGATATCACAATGTGGCTTGTACGTAGGCGTTTTCGATAATAGTCGTTCAGTGGACGACAAAGTTGTTTGCTAACACTAGGTTGTGTGAGAGAGTAGAAATGACAGACAGAAATAGATTAATGATATTTGTCGTATGCATTTTGGATTCGAGTATGAAGCAATTGGGTATTATTTTCACTGATCTACTAGTGACCCAGGGTCCGTCAGTGACATTAAGAAAGGCCAAAAACCAGTCATGACAGAATGCTCATGACAGTGTGATATGCTCGGTATATGCATGAAGTACTTCGTCTATTCGAGGTTCAGTTCCTGAGGTTGCTTTTGAAAGGAGATCGTTGTAGAAGCATGACCACGTGACTACGCGACCGCGTTTTGGGGATCGCGTCCGACTCTATTTGTTCTCCATACGACTCTGTGCTTTCTATCATCTACACAGACACCCTAAGCTGTGGCACTTTCGTCCTCTTTCACCCCGTATCTTACACGGAGAGTCTCCGTAACCAATTTTGCAATATTCCCAACCGTTCTTGCCTTGACAATGTCCCCAAGCGAAAGCTCCACTTCCACCTTGCGGCGCAGCCAATGCTTGATCTGGAGACTCATCAGAGAATCCACGTCGAGGTTAGCATAGTGGGCTACACCTGTCTCCTCAGACAGCCCGTTGTGCGATGCGATCTGCTCGCCAAGGTTTTCAGCGATCCAAGTTTCACATGTGCCGTCTTGCAGGGGTGCCGGATTGTCTCTAAGTGACGCGAGTTTCCGTTGCAATTGTTCAGCATCGAATTCCCTGGCGGTTGTTGCGTCTGTTCCCGTGGTGGAAAGTTTGGAAAATCGTGCATCCTGTTTTAGCCATGGATCATTGGTAACAGCGGCAGGGGAAAGCCCGGAGACCACCACTGCTGGTCGCGACGAAGGCAGGCCACCTTTTGCTGAGAGTAGAGCTACCTGGAATGCCTTCAGCACATCCCCTTCCCCCATCACTTGGCGGAATGTTTGGCGCGCTTTGTTCAGGAGTTCTTGCTTGTGCGACATGAGACCCATTTCATCGACGGGACCCAGGCTGACCAGCGAGGCGGGCAAGCCTAGTCCTCGGCGATACTGTACGAATCCGTCCAAAAATGAGTTTGCAGCGGCATAATTGGCCTGTCCTGGGTTTCCAATCAAGCTGACCGCGGAACTGAAAACAATGAAAAAGTCTAATGTTCGGCCCTGGAAAGCGTGGTGAAGATTCCAAGTTCCTTGGACTTTGCTTTCCAAGCTCGTGGTCCAGTCCTCGTATGTCATCTTGTCGAATAATTGGTCCTAAATGCTGTGTTAGCAATCACCAATCTCTCGAAGCCATGAATAACAATCATAGTTACCTTCAGAACAGCTGACAACTGAATGACACCGGCAATTGGACGTGGATTGTGTCGAACCGTGCGCTCAACGGTGTCTGAATCGGCCACACTTCCAGCGACCATGGCCACGCGGCATCCCTGAATTTCAAGCTCCTGAGCAAACAGTTGATCTTCTTTGTGGAATCCAGCTGACCGCGAAAGGAATATAAAGTCACGAGCCCCATACTCCACCATCCACCGAACAACGGACCGGCCAATCCCTCTCAAACCACCAACAAGCAAATATGAAGACGTTGGGGAGAGACAAAATCTCGGCTGCGCGGGAAGCAATGGAAGCTGGTTCTCGTCATCGGGCAACTCGATGACGAACTTTCCAATGTGTTGTCCCTTTTGCATTTGTCGCATGGCAGCTGCTAACTGATCCACTTTGAAGATCGTATGCGGAGGCCGATAATTAGTGTCAGCAAAGAGATTAGCACCCGAGTTAAAGGCCCTGTTGAAAGTATGTGAGCTCGTGGAAAGATCGCAAAAGAAAAGCACGTTGCAGAACATACCATCTCCCGGTTTCTATATCGTCATACACACTATACAAGTCAAAACCACAGAAAGAACGACAACCCTGAAACCCACTGAGATCAAGCATGCCATGGCCTAGCATGTCTCTTTTACCAATCTCGAGCATTTTGCCGAATTGAGCGACACATTTCCATGATGCGCGGAGCAGCTCCCCGGCTAATGAGTTGAGCACCAAATCGACTCCCCTGCCATTGGTCTCCCTCATGATGCCCGTCAGAAATGAAACATTGTGTGAATCGAAAATGTGCGAGCGGGGGATTCCAAATGTTTTCATCAGGAATTCAACCTTTTCTTCGCTGCCGACTGAGGCAAAGACCTGTTTTCCTCATCATTAGAACACTAAACACAATAGTGGAATGGTTTGATCTACCTCGGCACCCATGCTCTGGCAGACATGCACTGCCGCTAGACCGACTCCGCCACACGCGGAATGAATCAAGACAGATTGGCCCTTCTGCAGCTTCCCGATTCCGACCAGTGTACACATAACGGTTGCGTAGGCGCTTGGAATGGCGGCAGCTTCTGCGAGGGTGAGCTGATCGGGAACCAGGCTTACTCGATCAATCGGTAAAACAGCTCTGGTTTTCATCGGCTGCGGGTCGAACAACGCTGCTCGATCACCAACTCGCATAGTTCTCACCTCCGACCCTACGCGAGTGATAATGCCACTGGCCTCAAAGCAAAAGTCCATTGTTTTGGTACGCTCAACGATACCCAAAGACATCATAAGGTCTTTGAAATTCAGCGCCAGATAGTTGGCCTTGATCTCGACGTCATGCGGGCCGACGTCCGCTGCAGGGACAGGTTTCCATCCGAGCGAGTCCAAGTCGCCGACCGTTTGAATGTCTAACTGATGGACATCTAGTTGGTCTGTTACCTGGAGATGGTCGGTAATCTTGGTAACAGTTGCACGACCAATGTGGCCCACACCCCCATGCGAAACGAATTCATAATCGCGAGACGTCTGTCCCACAATTGGCGCACCCAGCTGCTTATACGCTTGCGTTACTATGGGAAGCGCAGCTTCGTCAAATAAGTCAACCTCACAAGTGCCAATATCGATATTCAGTTCACACCGCAACGTGCGAGCGAGACCAAGTACGAGGCTGAATCGAGGATCTTTACATTCCATTTGCGATGAGTGGGTCACCCAAAGTAGACGTTTCACCGACGGTATCCAGCTTTGTACCGCAGTATAAGTGGACTGCGACATATCGTGCAGAAATGGACTTTCGAAATCCAGCAGTGCGATCACGTTATCTGTTGGATATTCTTCCCCCCAGATGCACCAATGCACTTCGTATCCTTGGGAGGACAGGTGGTGCGCTAGACTTTGTACCCAAGGGTCGGATTCAATGTTCGTGGTGCAGAGCAGGTTAATCGATGAGCGCGTGCAATCGACCGCAGGTTTTGTTGATAGCATCAGTGCCTGCCAGTGGAGCGGTGCAGGTGCATTGTACTGGAATCCGTCAAGTCCCGAGAAGCCTGCCTGGCATAACTCCTGTTGCCAACGCTCCACCGCAACGTACGGCTTATCAACGCGATTGTCGCCAACACCTAACCACCACCCAGGAAGAATACCCATGACCACATCAAAGTGTGGGAGCTCGGAGCAGGGCTCGTACAAAAGCAGCCGACCTCCAGGAGCAAGCAAGGAGCGGATTTGCGTAAGTGATTGACCAATAATAGGTGTTTCATGCAGAACATTGGAGACAACCACCAAGTCGTAGCCATCTTCTGCGAATCCCTGCTCTGTCGGACTCACTGAGATATCCAGAGTCTTGTGATCCATGTTCGGGACGCTTTCAAAACGCTGTTTCAACTGGCTGACGAGACCTGGTACGGCGTCAGTGACCATGAAATGACTGAAAAGCCGATCGCCCCGCTCGGTAGTTAAGGCACCCAAGATTGCCGCTGTTGCTGAACCTGCCCCTGCTCCAACTTCTAAGATGCGCAGACTGGGATTTGCGTGAGATAACGGACGAAGAAAAGTGCCCCAGTCGTATAAATCAAGCCCCCATTCCACAATGCCTTTGATCGTCTCTAAGAGCGACGTGTCTTCAAAGATGGTCCCCTCGACAATCTGAATTGTACGCTCAGTTGCGTATGCCCAGGCGTCGCTATAGAACCGTTCAACTCTCGGGTCTGGAAATTGGCCTTGCAAGGACCCGTATAGCGCCTTTCGCTGCTCTCTGCTCATTTCTTTCATCTCCTTCATACCAGCAACATGGTCGTACTGACCCTGGAAGATTTTCCTTCCTACGTCCATAACGAGCTCCCTGTAATTGGCCAGATGTGCAGGAAGAGACGTATGGGGCTTCAAGGCTTCAATCATCTCAAACACAACAAGGAAACCCGCCGTGGCAAAGGTTTGTGTGACCTGTTGATTCATGTCCACGGTCGATGGCACTTGCTGGGCCCCCGGCAGAAATCTGATATCAGGCTTCCACTCAACATGAATTGCAGTTTTCGATCCTTTGGCTTCCTGAGCTGCGTCTGGTATGGGCAACAAGCGCAGTCCCTTCATTTCCAAAACAACGTTACCTGTTGACTCAGAGACCACCTTGAAATAACAACTTAGATTCTCCTTGCTTGAATCCGTCGTCTCAGCCTCAGCTGTCATCGTGCTGCTCCCAGGGGCGAGGTAAACGCGGTCGATGTACAGTGGCATGCCCGCCTTGTCAGGATAGTGTGATACACCTTTATCACTGGCCAAAAGCGCGACTTGAAGGCACTGGTCCAGAATCGTCGGATGAATGGCGTAGTAGCTGTCGTGAAGATCACGATTGTCCTCCACTCGTCCACGGGCTGCATTCTTCAGCGGACTGGCGCTGATATCATGCAGCCCTTCGAATCTGGGACCGTACTCCAGGCCTTTCTTTTCGCATCTGCGATAGAAATTGTACGACGTAAGTTCACGTGGGAACGGCTCCGAAATAGAGTTTGATGGAAGAGGTTGATCCGTGCCAGCTCTCACTTTCCCGGAACAATGCTTTGTCCAGCCTTGACCGTTGTATGAGCACACTGTGAACTCATACCACTCTGACTCCATCGTTTGATTCATTGCCGCCTTTCGCAAAGTCGTCATGATTTCAATTTCTTCGTCATCTCGGACAAGGGCCTCCATTAGCAGAACCTGCTCGAGTGTGCAGTCAACTGAACCGGATATCTGTCGGATAGCTTCTGAGATCAAGGCCACATATCCCACGGCTGGAAATACAACCATACCCATCATGCGATGGTCATTGATCCAGGGTACCTCCTCGCCTTTGAGAATGTTTCTCCATGCCGGCTCGAAGTCATTCGATTCTAAACATCGCACCCCAAGTAATTCGTGGCGGGGAAATTGGCGCAACCGCCATTGTTTACTGATGCGTGTTTCTGCCCAGGGGATGTCTTCACGTTGCCATGGGTAGGGAGGAAGATCCGTAAGGGTTTGACCCTGATGGCCTTCGTTGACAGCGATGAGGTCCACAGGCAAATGGTTGACATAAGCGGTCCCAGCAACAGCAAAGACGCGAGAAATGTTACTCTCGTTGCTTCTCATGGTCGCGCAGTACGTGAAACTAGTGTCTGTCGCACGCAGAATCTGTTGAATCGGCCCGCGGAGTGCCGAGTTGGACCCGATTTCTATTACAACATGATGCTTGTTCTGTGTGGATGTGACCAAGTCTCGAAAAGCGGTTGAGAACAGGACAGGGGATTCCAAACTTCGGCGCCAATACGCTGCGTCAAGCTCTCCAGCTATAGTGGTCACTCCGCCGGACACTGTTGAGTACATTGGAATCATTGAGCCTCTATCATTGACCAAATGAGGTCGGGTGAGCTCTTCATATTTGGAACCCACGGAGGCCATATGAGCTGGTGACTGGTTAGCATCCGCACTGATGGCGTGAATAAGGAAACTCACCAGAGTGGTATGCTCGCTCCACGGGCAACATTTTCAATAGTGTGTCCGGTTTTTCGCTCCGGATACGAGACGCTACCTGCTCCAGCTGACCACGGTCCCCTGCAAGAGTGACACTGTTTGGACTATTCTCGCAGGCCAATACAATTTCGTTGTTCAAGTATTCGCTAACGTCGGCTCGGCCAAGCGCCACCGCCAGCATGCCTCCTCCTTCTGGGGCCATGTTAGCCACTACACCGCGGGTATAGGCCAATATGATTGCAGTCTCCATAGATAAGGCGTTGGCTGCGTAAGCCGCCGCAAACTCTCCACTCGAATGACCTATGACTTTGTCCGGGTTCAGGTTCCAACTTCTAAGGATGTTCACCAAACCAATCTGGACTGCAGTGCACAGAGGCTGTGCTATTTCGGGCCGGTCGATGTCACTGTTCTCTCCTGTTTTGACCAACTCCTCTTCAATTTCGCAACCGCGTCAGTTAGTGAAATAAAAGCATCGGGAAGTTACAGATCGTACCGTGGATTCGCCATGCGGGGGCATTTGGCAAGCTCTGAAGAACCTGATCCATGTGCTTCATGTCCTTCCTGAAGGACACAAAGCTATCCAATAACTCGGTCCCCATTCCAGCCCACTGAGCTCCCTGGCCCGGGAAAGCGAATGTTACGAGCTTTTGACCAGTCTTTGTGTTGTCTACTTTCGTGAAGGTGCTGTTCTGAGGAGGAACTTGTCCATCAGTGACTGCGAAGGCTCTGTGACGAAGGTGCTCTCGCTTTCCACTGAGAGTATAAGCTAAATCAGAAACTGCTTCTGGGTGTCGCAGAAGGTATCCCTGAATGCCCTTTGTTCGTTCATCAAGGGATTGAGGGCTGCTAGCCGACAATGGGAGTAGTCGTGGGACGTTGCTGCTAAATTTCAGCGACTCCACGGACATAGAAGACATTACCGATGCCGCTGAATCCACAATGACCTATTTTGATGAGTCTGAAAACAGTTCCAAAAGAGAAGAAGGACATACATGAGCATTGGTGCCGCCAACGCCGAAGCAGTTGACACTAACGCGTTCTTTTCGGTCGACTGGCCAAGGAATGACATCCACAGGAACCGACAAACCTGCTTCCCTGAAAAGAACTAAGACCGAGTCAGCAAGGGCTTATGAACGTGTTGTTGGTAGAGGGAAGCTGTACTGTTCGGGTTTGGGGTTGAAAAATTGACATTCGGAGGGATCTGTCGGTGCTCCAGCGCAAGCACGGCTTTGATCAAGCCTGCCAGGCCTGCGGCGCCTTCTGTGTGACCAATGTTCGGTTTCACCTGCGGGGGTATACATTAGCGACCAGGGATTTATTAACCGGTGACAAGCATACCCCTCCAATAATCATCGGATGGCGATCAAAGGCATTTGCCACGGCAGTGGTCTCGACGACATCCCCCACCCGCGTAGCTGTGCCGTGGCATTCTACAAATGCCGTTTCAGCAGGGTTCGCGAGATGCGCTTTCCGATAGGCTTTCCGAATTAGAGTCTCTTGTCCGACCGCCGACGGGACGGTGATATGATTTGTTCGGCCGTCAAAGTTGGTCGCAACTGCTCTAATGACTGCACGGACCGGGTCTTTGTCACGGATGGCATCATCTAGTCTCTTGATATAAAGGGCGCAAACACCCTCCGCTCTGGCGTACCCATTGGCTTCCGCATCAAATGTCTTGCAGATCCCATCCGGTGATAGTGCCCCGGCCTGAGACATATTGGTTGTCATTGTCGGGGTGAAAATAAGACTGGAACCTCCGACGATAGCGGAAGGACAATCGCCAAGGGCAATTGCTTGACATGCCTCGTGAAGCGCCACTAAGGAAGATGAACAAGCAGTTCGACAAGTCATGCTGGGGCCCTTCAAGTCATACTCGAATGATACCCTGTTCGATGCCGCATAATCACCGGTTCCAACCACGTGGAGGGGATTGAGATTTTGGGTGTCCTTTGCTGTGAGATCGAGCCAGTCCTCCCCAAACGTGCCTACGAAGCATCCGATATCCTTCCCCCGCCAATCGACTTGCCCGCCGCTCTCCATACACTCCCACACCACTTCGGATAGGAGCACCTGCTGGGGATCTTGGAACCCGTGCTCGTACCGATTGTTCTGGAAGAACGAGGTATCGACTTTTCCCAGGTAGTCGCCTTCAAGAAAGTATCCTTTCTGGGAGATCACTGATTGTGTGTTCATGCCCGGAGTTCCATGGAAGGCCTCCGCGTTGTAACGCCCAGCAGGCACAGGACCAGACGCGCATTTCTTGTCAATCATCAACTGCCAGAAGTCTTCTGGGGAGGAAACACCACCTGGCAGTCGTACTCCCATGCCGACAATGGCGATGAGAGGAGGTGCATCGTGAGGCCATTCATCTTCCAATCCTCCCCGGAACTCTTCGGGGTCAACAGTTGTCCATCCTGGGGAACTGCTGGATGCCTCGCTGGATGACATTGTTCAAAGATTTGCGACTAAGGGAGTTAGGGGGTGCAAATGGCTTGAGAACTGAGAATGAGTATCTGTCAGGATGAAAATAAAATCCCGGGAAATTCTTCTACTGCGGCACACTCCCTAATATAAACGCCTGTCAGCCTACGCATGCCCTCACCGTGTTGATTTGCATGAAGTCCATTGTTGATGTATCACGCCTATCAGCTCACCGCTAATCATCGGAATTTCCAAGTCTGCTCTCCAACCGCGCCGGAGGATCTGTTTCCCTTCTCAGTCCGGTATGTCATCTTAATTTTTGGGACAATGTACAATTCAAAATCTAAAACCGGTAAGCAGCATTCATACACAGTTCAGAGTGAGATTTGTCGTATCTCAGTTGTCGAGTTCGGCGTGGAAAACAAGCAATAACTGCGGCAGTCTTTCCAGCTTGTTCTCGGCGGGCGAATAAGCAAACACGATGGCTGCTTTGCTATGTCTCATGCAGTCAATGATAGCTGCATTCTCCACCAAACTGCATTGCACCCCCTGACATGTCAAACGCCGATCATTTGCTGTGTGCGTGTGGGGCCCATTTATCCTGCACTGGCGTCAATAATGACTTGGGCTAATGCAATTATTTGGTGTTTCCAAACCAGTTATTGCAAACATTTACACATCTGACCTCAGACATAAGGCACAATTGCAGTGGAAGAAAATCTCAAAGCCGTACTTGGGCACTGTCACACCTTACAAGTCCATGGATCCACATTCTGGAATGACCTCATGCTCCCCGGCTGGCTCCCTTGCAGATGATCTCTCACTATTACCCCATTTGAAATCCCCTCATTCTCTGTGTAACACACCGCTAATCGTGGGAATGATCCCGCATCCCACCGAAAGAATCTTAGCTTTTCAAAGCCGGACGTCTCCCCCCGTGTCTCCGACCGGTTGGTGTCATCTCAACGTAGGCTCTTCGAACAAGATGCATATGCCACCGTGGTTCACGTCACTGAGCTTTGAGAACATAGACCCGGCTATATGGGTGTATATATTTTCTTTAGGGTTGTTTTCCGTCTTCTCTCTTATCGGACTTGTCTTTTATCACCTCTACCTCAGCCCCCTTGCTAAGTTTCCTGGACCTCGGTTGGCCGCCGTGACGGGGTTCTATGAAACCTACTATGACATGATTCATGATGGGCAGTTTACCTGGGAGATTGAGCGTCTTCATCAGAAATATGGACCTATAGTGCGGATCAAACCGTGGGAGCTTCATGTGCAAGACCCAGACTATTATAACACGCTATACTCGGGGCCGACGCGAAAGCGGAATAAAGACGCCTGGTTCTCGTTCCTGGGATGGCCTCAGTCGATCTTCTCAACGGAGGGACACGCGTTGCACCGCGTCCGCAGAAGCGTCTTGGGGCAATTCTTCACCAAGAGAGCGATCTTGGACCTTGAGCCGGTAATCCAGGCCAATATCCAGGCTTTGTCTCGCCACTTTCGTCATGCGGAATCCGCACACGGTACCTTGGAACTTCATGCCGCGTTTATGTGTTTTGCGAGTGACACACTCTCACAGCATGCCTTTGGGCAGCGGAACGGGTTCCACGCACTAGACCAGGCAGAGTTAAATGCAATTTGGAAGACGAAAATGAATTCATGCTTTGAGCTTGTCCAGATGGCAAGGCACTTCCCATGGGTTTGCAAGCTCGCACACGTCTTTCCCTGGCCAGCAGGGATCATTAATTCCTTTTTCGACGAGGTTATCAAAATGGAAACGGTGCGTGTGCTTTACTGTCGGGATTCTTCGTCTAAAAAGCTGATGGAAAAGCAGGATGTCAAGCAAATGGTGCGCAAGTCTATACAGGAACGTGGTATGATAAGCAGTGAGAAACCCAAAGCGATTTATCCTACGATTTTGGAAAATGAAAAGGTACCCGAGGAGGAGAAAGAGTTTAACCGCCTGGCTGATGACGCCATTTTCTTGATGGTCGCTGGTACCGATGCGCCGTCCCAGGCCTTGGCTATTATCTTATTTTACATTCTGCGTCATCCTGAGGTCCATGAAAGAGTTCGCAATGAGCTATGCGCTGCTTGGGGAGATGTATCGATGTCGCCTGGCCTGGCGGCCTTGGAGCAGTTGCCATATTTTGTACGTCACCGTCTGCTGCTACCATCCTCACCCTCACCTAGCATTGCTAACAGACAACCAGACTGCAGTATTAAAGGAAGGCCTTCGGTTATCGTCCATTGTCACAACGCGACTGCCTCGTATCGCACCGGATGAAAATCTGCAATTCCACGAATGGGAGATTCCGCGCGGAGTATGCCTATCACATTTTGCAAATCAATTCTTCCTGGCTAATTTTTGTATCAGACACCCGTGAGCATGTCGACCTATTTCATCCTGCGCGACCCCAAAGTCTTTCCCGACCCCACGAGCTTCCGCCCCGAGCGTTGGCTCCTGGAGCCAGACGAGTTGCGCAAGCTAGAGCGCTATCTGGTCCCGTTCTCGAAGGGTACCTTGGGTTGCTTGGGCCCGAAGTAAGTGGTCTCACGGATCTCTATCATTGCGGTGCAAAGCTAATTGCGGAAAGTATGACCTGGGCGTGGCTGTACTTGGTTCTGGGGACACTGCTACGAAAGTTTGAGATGACTCTCTATGATACTACAGAACGGAACGTGCAGATGGTACGGGATAAGTTCATTGGACAGACAGAGCGTGGTTTGAATCGTGTTCAAGTCAAGGTATTGGGGGAATATGATTAGGCGGACAAGGCCTTGGAAATGGGTTGAATGATGCCTGGAGAAGCAAATGCACGGCGGTCTGAGGAATCGGGGTGGTTAATGGTTATGCTCTGTTTGTTAACTTGTCGAATCAAATAAGCCTTTCCTTGTCTGGGCGCGGAGGAAGCTTGGCAAACAATTTAAGGATATTACTTATACTTGCTGATCATAGTGATAGTCTTGGAGGGAAATATCATATCTTTTTGCTAAAAGAAATCTCTGAGCAACACTTGCGCTGGGATGTCTGGTTCTCACAACTTGGCCTACGTCCTGGGGATTTTTTTTTAGATCAAGTTGAGCCTGGCCTTTTATTCTTGAATTACGCATGTAGTATGACTAGGTTAATAAGGCTCTAAGTACTTCATGGGTGACACTGATCTTTATATCAAATCTTAGCCCAAAGAAAGTGTTTCTTGATCGCACCAGTCCTCATATTGATAAGTGAGATAATGGGAACGGGACCAGAGTCCATCTCCGTCCTTCAAGCTAGGACGTTTTCGCCTCAAATGATCACAAAGACTGTCTACTGCTGCGGAGTCTGCCTCATGTTGGCTGTACGTATTCATAGATTCTTCCGAATAGAAGCATTTATGAAAACAAACATTACCAAGATGAGGAAAATCGTATAGCTCCTTTATGAGATCTGTCCATGTGCCGTCCGCAAGATTCACAAAACACAAGCTTAGAGAGTGTAAGGTTCCTGCAAACTTCCGGATCGTCCACATTCCGTCAAAGGAAATGGTCAAGTGAGCAATAGAGACGTAGCAGAGTGGAGCTTCAGAAGGAATGGCATTGAAAGAAGCTTCGGGGTCATGGCCGACGCCGGTCAAGTCGAGATGCCGCAGTCTGCGCGCACGCTCCAAAGCAGAGAATAGACCCGTCTCCAGCGACCTTGGTGGGTCGATGGCGCAATTGTGACAAAGGACGAGGCTTTGGATAGTTGGAATTACCGGAATGAGTGCTGTTAGTATCTGTCCTTTGTAGGGGATTAAGCTGTTATCGATTCTCAGATGCTTCAGTCTTGGGAGTGGGTGATCTCTGAGTGCCTTGAGCAAGGCTTCCGCCATGGCTTGTTCAGGGAAGAAAGGCCCCTCTACGTAGGCATCGAAATAAGGCGATTTGTGTAGAAAAAGGCACTGCAAGTTTTGGAATCGACTAAAGCATAGAGATAATGTTTCGGAATACCCCTGAAGATATTTGCTGTTATGTTCGTCATTCTCCGTCGTCTTAGCATGTAGAATAAGCATTTGAACGAACGGTGCCAAGTTGCTGTGAGCAATATCTTTGAGAACGGTAAGAGGACTGCAGAAAAGTTCCCCTACTTGCGCTTTGACACGGCGAAAAAGAAGACGACTTGCGGCATGCCAGAACCTCTTATTCACTAGGCGAAGGCGTTTTAGTTCTTCTACAATGGGCCCCGGATATTCAGTCTCTCTGAACCCCAAAGCACATTGTAACACAATTAGTTCGTACAGCTCGAAGGGAAGACCCGAGATTCCGCCACGTGGGAGATCGTTGGCCATTCTTGGAGGTTGATACAAAGGCGAAGACATGCAAAGGAGAATAATCGTTGGTATGGCAAAGAGGGCTTTATATAGGCTTGCTATTGTGTAAAGAACCGGAGGTCTCCACTATCAAGGAATCAGGAGGAAACGGGTTAATCAAACTTATACTAGGCACAAGAAAGAATCATTGGTTGATATATCTATATCTAAAGTTTCCAGGACTATCATATCGTCAGTTTTCTCTTCTGTCAATATTATATGCTCACTGTACCTTCCTTAATATGGAACCTTAATAAAAGAAGGGCTGTATCCTGCTACATAGAACAGTGATGTAGTGTAAGTGCCAACAACTAGTGAATATCGAGCCAGTGAATCTCGGTCCATCTCACCAGCTTGGTCCGGATAGACCCCTCACACAGTTCTTGTTTCTTCCTTCATCTCAGCTTCTCTTTGTCTTCTTACCCTCCTCTCCTTCATCTGCCTCTTCCATCCTCCACCGCAGCCGTATCTTCTATTCTGATCCGCACAATGACCTCATCCGATCAATCGGTGCCCGAGAATCGTGGCGCCTCATCCAATCTCCAGTCCTCGTCTCTTGCCAGAAGAACCCATACTGCAACCGCGCGACTTTCAATGGCGCCCATCGCGACTCCGAGGGTCTCAGCGTTTTCTGCCTTACAAACCAGAGCTGCAACCAGCATTTCGACCTTTGACACTCCTGTTCAAGCGTCCTCTTCACCCGATCATCACTCCCAGCCTGCTAATACCGAGTCCCTGCATGTTGTACCAGCACCTGTGACCATCAAGCGCAACATCCCCTCTGACGATGATGAAGACACGAAGCCACCTCAAGCCAAGAGACCCTACGGATGGCATCCTCCTCTTCCCGCGCCACCATCAGACTGCAGCAACAGAAGTCGCCAGCGCTCTATCCTTCCATCGCCTCCACGTCGCATTCGATCCAGATCCCCACGAGCCAGAGCCATCTACGAAGACTACAAGCCGGGCCTCCGCCTCCCGTCCGGTGTCGATCAGAATACCACTGCCAACGACTGGCACGACAGTTTCATCCAAGCTACTCGCAATGCCCACATAGCGAGAATCGAGCGCCTTCGGGCCAGAGAAGAGTTGCAGGAGGCGATATTCGAACTGGATCTTTTTCAGCTGGAGGTTGCTAGAGAGAAGGTGGGAGAAACCCGTGAGGATGATTGAGTTTTCATGCTCTTCCTTTGTTGGGTCTCTTGTGTAGTGAGAAAGAAGCTTTCTCACAAGAGAGAAATGCATGCCATTGTTTCTCTCGCTGTCTGTCTCTCTCTATCAGCCTACCTAAGACAGCAAAATGGATACAGGGCCCGAATAGGATCACAATCCTACAGCACATTTATGTTCAAACATCAATCCCTAATTTCAGTCCCCACAGTGCTCCTAATAAAGAATATACAGTTAAGAATGCTTACATTTCTCCTCATTCAACTCTGAACTCTTATCTGGGTGCAGTCACACTATGATACACCCACACGTTGGGCTCGCAATAGACCAGTCGTCTGTCTTTCGGATAGTATCTGACAGGAACCAAAGCGCCAGGAACACAGATCTCCAGGTACGCTTGACCCTCCTTCAAACCCATCTCGCAATTTTCAACCTCTGACTCCACCAACTCTTCCAAATCCAATTTCGTCCAGCCCTCCCACGCCCCAATATCCCTCATCACCGAAATACTATTCCTCGCAATCTTAACCACCCTCCCCCCCAAGGAAACATGCTTCCTCAGCGCCGGATCAAACGGCACACATACCACATCACCGTCCCCCACAAGCGCCGACACAGACATAGACCGGTTCGACACAGGCCCAGAGAAAGCCAAAGACCCACCCACCGTCTTCGGCCCCAACTCCTTCCTCCAACCCAGATACTCCTGCATGTCGACCGTCGGAAAAAGGGCCTTCCCCGCCGGTCGCAACGGTGTGACCAACACACCGAATCCATCTTTCCCTGCAACGCTCGTCATATACTGCACCATCCGGCTCACGATCCCCTGGCCCCTCCAGTCCGGATGAACCACTATGCCCATCGATACCAGCGCATTAGGCGCCTCGCTGAGTCGCCGAACGGCCATGTCGCGAGCCTGATCGTGCGTCAAGGGGGGCGACATCGCGGGGAGACCGTGTCGGACGAAGAACTGCTCCACGGCGCGAGAGAGGATGGTTTCGTAGCCGCCGTCGGGGAGGGAGTTTAGGACCCGTTGACCGTCTTCTCCTGCTAAGCTGATTGTAGGGTTTAGGTGGGGAGGCTGGCGGCGATGAAAGCCGGCGAGTTCGGGCCAGTAGAACGGGACGGAACGAGCGTGCGCGACGAGCGTCTCTTGGCCTGTGTGATTCTGCCAGACCATCACGTATTGGTAGCGTAGGAGGCCCGTGTAGTCGATCAGTCGGGGGAGGTAGGTTGTGAGGGTCGGGCTGCCGTGGAAGAAAGCGGGCCACGGCTGCTTGAGGGTGTCTTGGTGGCGCTCGAGGGTGCGAAGGAGGTCGGAGCGGGAGTTGAGGCTGTGGATGCGATATTCTCCTGTGGGGCAAGACATCTTTATCAGGATATCTCTGGTGAGGAGGGGGAAGATAGGGAGAGGGAGTGGGCGAAAAGGAGAAGCGATAGAGGGAGAGAGGTGTGACCAAAGGTAGAGGGGCATCAGCGGGTCACAGACGAAGAGATAGCAGCGTTGTGTATCATTTCTTTGTTTGTCACAACGTCAGCTTACAAGGTAAGCTCTTCACGTTTGCAATCCTCCTGCAGGTCCCCGTGCATGGCGTCAAGTCACACCGGAAGGAAAGGAAGCACTTCCGGGGCCAATGACAGCGAGATATTTATGGGGATTGGACAGGGTATGAGGTCAAAAGTACGATCACACATGAAGTTGAATGCATCTTGCAATCATTTAGACATTTCTTTATTCACTCGTCGCGCTCCGACTCGGACCAAGTAGCATTGGCTGTATGTAGCGACCGAGTGAGATAACTATCCAACATCGTAATATGGCAAGCGGTGTAGCACATCATGTTCCACATCCAGGAAGACATAAACTCACTCAGGTCGTAATGGTGTAACTTCAGCTCTACCGGGCTAGAACGACCTTAGGAAATGACCAACTCCTGGATATCAGGACCTGGAACATCTTATCAGCCCGATTCACAACCCAGCAGATAGGGTCAACTCAAGACCACTTACAGTATTTCCCATCCAATCCCTCAAACCGGATCTCGTTCTCACTCCCATCGGCCAACTCCGCATGCAAAACGCTCGTGCCCAGAGAAGTCCCGGTAGAGCTGAAAGCGACCGAATAGGATTTGTCATTCACGACGACGGCGCAATATCTCTGCGAGCCGTCGCCGTTGCGATACGAAATCTGTACTGTGTGCTTGCCGCTGCCAGATGCAGAGACCGATTTAAAGGTCAGGGTTCCGTTGTCAGGACCACCGATATATCCTACCCTCTCGTCGGTCACAGACCGGGCGGAGCCGCCGAGTGTAGTGTCGTCTGAGATGGCTGGGAGTGTGGCGACCGGTTCGGCGGTGTCCCATCCTCCATCGGTGAATGTCCATGCATCTGCTTCATTCTGTGGGTTTTATTGTCAGGATATGGCTCAAGAAACGGAATGAGGTATCTCACCAAAGTTGCCTTGGTTCCCGAAATAGTCAACGGCATCCATACATAAGTCGATGAAGCCAAGTTACCCGGGACCCAACGGTCGCCCATGTAACTGAGAAGTCAGCGGAAGAAGCGAACGTGTGAGAATGAAAGCATACATTACAACGCCATCCTTTTCTAGGACAAATGTAGACTGCGATGTGAAAGTTTTCGATCCTTCAGGTGCAAAGTTTGTCCACTCGGACCAGGGCTGGAAAGGTCAGCTCTTGCGTGAGGCTTGATCGCGTAGGATCCTTACCCCGGAGAGGCTAGTTGCGGTTGTATACCGATTGTCATTTGCATCTAAAACCGCGTTAATAATCTTGCTTTCGTTCAGAATGTTTGAGAAGCCCTACCCCATCCTATCACGCTGTCAGTATCTTGCCTAATGTCGAGGCTAGCCGAAACTTACCAGTTAATTGCGATCCAAACATGAAATAGGTATCGCCGCTCTTGTAGATAGCCGGGGATTCATAAGTCTCAAAAAGGTAGACCGGCGACTCAACGGTCAAATAGTCGGGCGAAAGAAGATCGATCCGCAGCCCATTATCTCTCTAGTGAAGTTAGACCTATTCTCAACCTCGCGGTGCTCACTCACGTCTTCTGTCAGGAGGTAGGCAGTCCCATCGGTATCTACAGTCGATTAGCGCAACGCCACTCACTTGATGAGCGCAGGGTTAACCTTTGAAGAGACCCAAATCCCTAGAAACATATCCGAGAGGTCGCGTGGAGTTACTGTAGCATGTTAGTCCCATCTTAGAGGTACACCGACGGATCAAACATGCAGGTAAGTATAATCACCGCAAACGCTAGAGCCGGTTGCAACTCCGGCCCTTGCGTCACCGTAATTGCTGGAGTCGATGTGCATCCACATGACATATTGGTCGGTTTCATCATTGTAGATGACCTTTGGTCTTTCGACGATACGTTCCGGTCCGAGATCGCCCGATTCCTGAACGGAGAGAAGCTCGTTCACAAACTCCCATTGGATCAGGTCCTAATCATGTTAGCCTAAGCAAAAGGTATAGAATCGAAAAGGGGAATTGCCACCTTGCTTGAATAACAGTTGATCGACTGGAAATATGTTCCGTCGAGCTTGTTTTCTCCGACCCAGTAGTAAGTCCCGTCAACCTCGATGATCCCTAATCGGGTCAGTACTTAGAAGAGCAAGTCTAGCCCTGCACGGCTTACCTCCGCCATGGGCTTGAATATGCTGATCCGTTCCAGCCGCCGTCCATGTAGCCCCCGAAACCTGGAATTTGTAAGTCGAGGGCCGACCTGACGCATGAGGATCTTACTATGTCCAATGAGGCTTCAATAGACGATGCGAGGAACACCGCCGCAAGGGAGCTGATACCGAGGATCTGCATGTTGATCAACGTGTTCTATGTTCTGAAAATGGCCGCAAACGACAACTCGGTCGGTATGCCTAGTGAGGGTATTTGTATGTCCCCTCTCGCAGAGATCTTGCAAGGTACACGAATGACTAGTGAAACCACTTGTAGGGTTCCCCGCCTGTTAGGAACGCGGAGACCTGTTTCAGGAAATGATTTGCCGATTATAGTGGGTTGGTTGGTGGACAATTTACCGGGCTCGTGGCTCTTATGCAATTGTTGCACGGTTACCAGGTGTTTGTCCCGGGTGCAACTTTCCTGCGTCCATTTAACCGAGAGTATGCCTAACAGATCTTCTAGCCGTCAGGAAAATAGTCGATATACTCCAGAATAGTGCAGTGAAGTTGACGAACCTTGCGTCTGCAAGCAGACTCCAGAGAACCATGTCGCCATTAGCGCCCGTCGGGATCGATCACCCCACATATTTTGTTTCAAGAATGACGTCGAGGACCGCTGTATACAGAAGGGAGGGATAACGTGGTCATGCTGTTGACGTGGACTCGATTTACTGCGGGCGCAAAGGTCGATGAACAGTCAATGCAAAGTTTGGCACCGGGTTGGTAGACCAAAAAAAGGTGTGAGATGAATCCAAGCCATGGAAAGGGAGGTGAACTTACTGCCTTGCGATGAGCAGTTGATATATTATAGCGATGCAGCAATCGGTTTTCTGATGACAGGCATCTCATGACTTCACACTGTTGAATAAAAGCGATAGTGGAGCAGCGACACTTGTCGTGGAAAGATGTTCTGTGAAAGTTGATGGGCAGCAGCCTGAGTAGATTTATGGGATCGCACAAAGGTATACAATGACTCAGCAAGACTTATGCAGGGGATGCATAACACAGCCCACTTTGTGCTACTTTAGAAAACCCACTGGAATGTTCATATTCTGTAACTCTTCCCTGCTACACACTTCCAGTCCTACAGTGGCAGCCCGTGGACAACCATCATAAGCACTAGGTAGCTAAACTGATAATTGAAGATGTGTCTTCGAGAAGAATATATGTCTCGAAAACCCAGAGTCATGTGAATCTACAGCAGCAAGATTCTACTAGCAGTCAACTTGGCTTCAGAAACAATCCGATCTTTTCGAACCCACCCCCGTATGTTGTACAGGTTGAATGACTCTTAGAATCATGTTTAGCCCCTGGTGTTCTCTTGCTACACAAAGCATGGCGGAGGACAGAGCAACCAAACATTGATGCTGCCTAATGGCTGATCCTATCATCTGGAGGACTCCGCATACTTTGAATGCAACAAAGACACGACCTAAGGATACTCCCCCGCCTGTCTAGACAGCTAAACCCCCGATTGGAGAAGACTTCTTAGCCAAGCTCATCCCCTGAAGGCTTGATCGGTTTTCTTTGTTGACCGTCCCCACTTCTAGAAGGGTGGTTGCCTTACCAGAGGGGCATTTCTAGGCTTCCGAATTCGAGATTGGCCGCTGTTTACATCTCTTCAGGCAGGAAGGACTGCGATGTTGGAGATGGAGGCAATCCTTAGCGAGAGTTTCCGTTCGTGCAGACCTCGTGCCATTTCTACTTCTACCTCGCCCCTTATTGCCTTATCCTTTCCCTATGAAACATTACATGGCTGCCGTCCCGTTTCTCATTGTTCTCAAGTCTCCGGTGAGAACGATCCTCTAGTTCTCCTGCGCATGGCCGACAATGGGGATCATTAACCTTCACCAATACGGTGTTCCGGGAGTGAGCCCTACCCCCGACACGGTCTCCAAATTGGCCCCTTTCTCAGCATTGATCATATCCATCATTCTCGTGATCCTCTTCCTGATACGCTTCTATCTGCTAGAAGCGTTCCTAATCCGTCGTCTCTATGGCACGACCTACACGAAGCTCAGTCTGGAGAATCAGCGTGGTTTCATCAACCACCACATCGCCGGGACCATGAAGATCCTCATCCTCATTGTCGCGGCATATCCCTTCATCAGAGTCATTGTCGGCAAATCCACGTTCCACGCTCCGTTTGTCGATGGGTCTCCGGTGACAATGGGTGATATTTTGATTGTGGCCGCCCAAATGCTCATTGGCATGTACATCTTTGAGCTTCTTTATCGGATCAAGTTGTCGCCTATTGCCATCTTGCACCATGTCGGAACAATCATGATCGGTCAGTCAGCTATTGCGATCGGGCTAGATCGAGTGCATGAACCCGACGCGGGCATAGAATTCATGCTTTGTCTTATTTGGGGTACGTCTTTCGCTTCAACTTCACCGCACAGTACGACAAAGCTAATTTTACCGGTCGCGCAGGTGTCTTCGATATCATCTCCGAATTCTTTCCACATGTCGCCATCATCCTCTATCGAGTATACACTCACCGGCATCGCTTCCTCAGTCGCGTCTTTCTATATTCCTGTCTGACCACCGCTTTTGGTACCTTCTGCGAGACCGTCGTGACGATGTTTTTGTTCGGCTGTCTCTGGGATCGCTGGCAGATTGCCTTCAAAGTAGCCACGCCGTTACTTCATACCGCTTTTTCGGCCGCTCAGATCCACGGCAGCGTTGTCTTCTGGCGGATGTATAAGCGACAACAAGCCTTCCTCAACGAAGAAGTCGGTCAGCAGCTCGTGGAGGATATACACACTGGAGGAGAAGATTCGGAAAACAAAAGCGGTCCGTTAGTTGTCCGTGAACTTGTTAGACCTAATGTATGAGTCTTCCTGTGTTGTGTTTGTCTTTTATCTGTTCTCTTCTTCTTTCTGTCTTCCTTTCCCTTTCGCCTTTCTTTTCCGCCGGCGTTTCGGCGGCATAACTTTGTCCTAATCTAGGCTTCATGTACACTAATTTTTCTAAATATCAACGGAGGACGTCTCGAGGAGCAACAACACGAAAAAATGACAAAATTTCTTAAAGTCATCTCCTGATCATTCAAATTTGAATTCTCAAGGTGGAGGTGGAGCCCATCCAGCCGTCTCGGAATCATCCCGAGCACCTGAAACACAATCCGAGGCAGGGTAACAGAAACCAAAACACAATGCACGAGAATGACAAAAACTTCGTGAGACGAAAAAAAGGTGTTCGAGGTGTATTTGGAAGCCTAAAACAACAATCACTCCAATTATCTATGGTTCGGGTTATCATCGCCCTCCTGCTTTTTATATTCGTACTGCTCTATCTGTTGAGCAATCCGCAGTGCCATAGATCGACAGCAGCTTCTATGGTTCTGTGCCATTAGGAGCACTTTCTTTCGGCTAACATCCAAGCTTCTTTCTGTCAGACGCTTGCAATAGAGACGCTTTGTTATACCATATTTCTCAACGTATTCTACTCGCCGGGGCGTATTGGCCGAGCCACGAACCTATGTCACTATCACCCACGCCCGAAATTGAGTCTGGTGTCTCTTGGTATACCTCATTGAGACATTCAATGCTGACTCGGCTTTGCGAAGCGAGTTTGTCAAACATGACCGCTTTGACCCCTGTCGGTGCCGTTGCAGCCCAACTCCTGGGCTTCGTGCGGGGAAAGTCGATATTCGCATCTTTGAAAGATCGATATTCAAATCATGTGAGAGCGAGAATCTCTAAGTTTTATTGATGACTCTATAATGCGATGATGTGGTAGAAAGGATGAAGGATCAACATTTTCTAATTGCGATGGATTGCTTTGATTTCTGCGGCGATAAACCAGGAAGCCTGTAACCGGAGAGCATGCTCAAGAGGCTGTGTTCTAATTCTGGTCAGTACATCTTGATTTAAGGTCGTAATTGATTCCAGCCATCTTGTTTATGAGCTATAGTAGCTATACCATCCACGCAAGACCTGGATAGTCTAGTTGATCTAAGCTCCGCCCCCTTAGAAACCGTTAGGAATTCCCACTCTAATTGAACAACAAATCTATCCCCTACAGTCCATTAAGTGCATTCGACTATCAAACAAATCCCAAAGTTTGATCACCGCAAATCCTCCCAATTACATCACCACCAAGCCGCGGAACCCACATCCCATCCTCACCGGGCGAGCCCTAACGTTCCAGCCCCACCGTTCCATATATAAGATCCAGGACCACCCGTACGATCATGCCCCTCATCCTCCAACTACCCCTCAATTCAGTCAAAATGGTCTACACGATTGTCGTTCGTACGTGAACCTTCACCCACCCCCTGTATTCAATTGATCCCGGCCCACTAACCATTTGTTGTTGCTTATAGACATGCGGGCCAAGCCCGACGAGGAGTCCATCTCCAAGCTTCACGCCAAGCTCATCGAGGCCTCCGGCGTCTACTCCAAGGACAAGGAGACTTTGTCCTGGTTTGTGATGCAGTCCGTTCACGACAAGCAGGACTTCTGTATCGTCGAGCGCTACCTGAACGAGGGCTCGCAGAAGTATCACCTCGAGAACCCCTACTGGAAGACTTTCGATCCCTATGTCATTCCCCTTCTGGAGAAGGAGATGGATCTGAGACGGTTTGAGGAGATGTGTTAGATTGGGACATATTCTGTTTGGGGGGTGGATGGGTTGTTGAGGAGGGTTGGGTAGATGTATATATTTTGGATTCTGTCGAGTATACCAATTTGTTGGATGCAGTGATGATCAAATATTAGGGTTTTGTGTTTAATCTGTTGAAGGCAGTGTAGGTCGTAGGATTGACTTGTGGGCATGTGTTCACAGCTAAACCGATGTTCTGAGTGTTCAGATTCTTAGCTGATTGTCTTGATTCATCGCAGGAACCCGCTTTTCAATCTGTAGCTCCATGATGGCTGGAAACCGCGCATTTAAAACGCGTCACATCTCAAGATTAGATTCGGGATGGACATTGAATCAAGAATATAAAACCAACTTGAAACCATTTCAACACGTTCCTCCTGTGTCTTCCGATCGAGAAAATCCACCGGCCACCGGCAACCCGAGAGCAGCGCGGGGAGTCTCGGGAAGGGACCTCGCGTCCTGCCGGTCGGAGGGACGCGGCACTATCCTATTCAGGTTAGACTACGCCAATCACCCGGAAAGGCTCCGAAGATCTTCCGTGTTGGCCTCAGGCAGTGTTTCGGTCGTGCGTCTGTTGTTGGCTTACGGAGTGGGCGACATCATCCATTGAGCACGGCGATCGTCAGGGTGTTTCTTTACAAATGCATACGGAAACCTCGACGCCTAGTAATTAAAATTGCAGATTTTCGTCCCCGCTGACACTCAATCGAGGCCTGGCTCACGCGCTGGCTTTCTGTTTGACTGGATAACGATGACCTGGCGTTCGGGTCTCATCGTATACCTTATTGATCAGGTTCTATGGTTCTACGCGATAGGAATATTGATTCGTCTGGCAATGTTAAGGTATTCTCTGCATGGCCCCTTTTTGTCCGATCGAAGATAATTTCCATCAACGGCCATTGCATCATGAGAACATAGCATTCGCTCCTAATCGGGGAGAGAGGCGTCGGAAGGAAGAGCGAGGCATACGGAGTAGAGCTCTTATTCGACTTGATGCTAATTGAGCCGATTCTACTTGCTTTCCAGATGAATTCACAATTTCTTAGCGGTGCTTCGGTGATTGTTCCACCGGTTGGTCGGCTTCGGCGTTCGATCAAAGACCGAGAATCCAGAACACGTTCACGTCAACACGATTGACGCAGGAAGGATACGAAGGGCGCATTTATAATGACACTGGTTTTTGACTTTCATCAAACACGTTCAAGTGGGACACAGGCTATACTGAACAGTGTCGAGTGAACAATGAGAACCACACAACTGAATGTGTTTATCGCCGCATCGCGACAGTTGATATCACTGCTAAAGGTCGATCATCTCCAACACTCCAACACTCTGGCTCCAGTCACGGAATTCTTCTGGGACCCTAGAACACTAACCCTGACAATGTTTGAATGTACTGGTATTCTCGAACGTGGGTGGAAAGGATGCCCACTCGGCAGTTCTTCGCGACGGACCCACAGAGATCTGACAGACGCCGAAAACGAACGCCGAAGTCATCACAGCCAACAGCTCATTGGAGAAACTTACTCTCGGTGTTCCACTTGGCTTGAATTTGATGCTGGAGAGTCAGTCAAACACCGAAGTTCCACTTCGATATTGCCGAGCAGTCAAGAGTTTCTGGTCCGGCCAATGCATTTTTTTCTAATAGAAAAAGATCATATAAAATGAAATGCATATCCCTTGCTTGCGGGGAATCACGCAATTTACTCGAAAATGGCGAAACATATAGATCCTCCGGAGGGTACATCTCTATCAACACCATCACCAAGCACAGACGAACCCCCAGACGGTGGCTATGGCTGGGTGTGCACCGTCGCTGCCGCCGTAATCAACGCCCATTCATGGGGATTCAACTCCGCCTACGCCGTCTTCCTGGCGTATTACCTTGACAACGACGTTTTCCCGGGCGCAACAGCCCTCGAATATGCCTTTGTAGGATCCCTCAGTCTCACATTCCTCTTCCTCACCTCGCCCATCGCCACCCTTGCCGTCCGCAAAGTCGGCATCCGACCAACGATGTTCTGCGGCGTCGTCTTCGAAACCGCCAGTTTGATCTGCGCCAGCTTCGCCTCACACATCTGGCATCTCTTCCTCACGCAAGGCATCCTGTTCGGCATGGGCCTGGGTCTCCTCTTCATTCCCACCGCCGCTGTCGTCCCGCAATGGTTCACAACGAAACGATCGCTCGCCAGCGGCATCTCGCTGTCCGGCGCAGGTCTCGGCGGCCTCATCTACGCTCTCTCCGCATCGGCAATGATCCGTAATCTCGGTCTAGACACCGCATTCCGCATCCTCGCCATCCTCGCCTTCGTAGTCAACACGAGCTGCACGCTCCTGATTAAAGACCGCAGCACCGCGAACCCTTCCACCCCAGACCCACCCGTCTTCAACATCGCCTTACTCCGCAAACCCGAATACCTACTCCTCCTGGGCTTCAGCGCCTTCACCATGCTGGGCTACTTCGTGCTCATCTTCTCGCTAGCCAACTACGCCACCGAGCTCGGCTTCACCTCAACCCAGGCATCGCTCGCCAGCGCCATCTTCAACCTCGGCCAAGCAGTCGGCCGCCCCCTCGCAGGCTACTTCAGCGACACGACCGGCCGCGTCAACATGGCCGCCATCCTCACGCTGGTCGCGGGTATCCTGCCGCTCGTGGTCTGGACCAACGCGCACAGCTACGGCGTGTTGATGTTCTTCGCTATCAGCGAGGGTCTGGTCGCGGGGTCGTTTTGGGCGACGATTGCGCCTCTCGTGGCGGAGGTGGTCGGGTTGAAGGGGGTGTCGTCCGGGTTGAATTTGCTTTGGTTGGCGATTGTCGTGCCGTGTACGGTGAGCGAGCCGATTGCGTTGGAGATCTTTAAGGGGACCGGGAGGTATCTGGGGACGCAGCTTTTTACGGGGTTTATGTATGTGGCGGCGGCGGGGTGTATGGGTGTTTTGAGGGGGTGGAGGGTTGGTGTTGAGGAGGGTGGGATGAATAGTAATGCTAATGGGGGGAGAGGGAGGAGGGTTTGGGAGTTTGGGAGACGGTGTTTTAGGTGGGCGAATGTATGAGGAGGAATCTACTTTAGAGCATATACCTCTATCTAGGAGGGTTTAACTGATGAGGAACAAATGCAATTACTAGCGAATAACCAATCCCATCGCATGACTAAACATGTCCATTCTCAATCAACCACCTCACCGTATCAACCATCGTCCTCTCCAAACTCCTATACTCCAACCCCAGCACCTCCCTCGCCTTACTCCCATCCGGCGTATACGTCTCCGTCGCCACACCCGGCGTCCCCAGGGGCACACCTTGCAACTGAGGAAACTCCCTCCGAATCACATCCACCGCAAGCTGATAATCAAACTTCCCGTTCGCAATCAAGAACCTGCGCCCAGCAGCCTCCTCCACCTCAAACGCCCTCAAATGCGCAACCGCCAAATCCCTCACGTCCGCGAACCCCGCAAAATCCACCCCGGGCACCTCCCCCCCAGCCGACCCATCAACCAACCTCCGAATCGCCTCCAACGACTCATTCAACCGCTGCTTCCCATCCATCCCAGGCCCAAACACCCACGGCGGGTTCACCGACACGACCGAAAACGAGGGTTTATGTTCCCCGGCCCAGTGCCAGAGCGCCCGTTCCGCGAACGCCTTGGACGCGCAATACGCGACACTCCCGCTAGGCGTCTGTTTCGCTGCGTCATAGCTGATCGGGTTCCAGTCTTCTTCTGTATACTTGTATCCTGGACGGTTCCCTTTCTCGAGATCGAGGATCGCGGCGAACGAGGAGGTGATGACGACGCGGCGGACCGTGGGCGCGTGATGGGCCACAGCGTCGAGGACGTTGGTCGTGCCGCGGATGGCCGGCTGGAGGAGGTCTTTTTCGTTGTCTGACACGTCGAGGGTGAAGGGGCTGGCGGTGTGGATTACCCCGACCACGTTGTGGACTGCGGTGTCGAAGGCATGAGGGGCCGCGATGTCCGGGACGGAGACGAAGGTGAGGTTGGTTTCGTGGCCGGGGTAGCGCGCTGTGATGGCTGGTGCGCTGGACAGGGAGCGGAGCGTGCCCCGGACGTTGTAGCCCGCGTCGAGGAAGACGCGGGTGATGTGGGCGGCGACGTAGCCGGATATACCGGTGATGAGGACGGTTTCGGGCATTTTTGTCAGCGTGCGTTAGTTAGTTTAGTTCTGTGTAGAGCGAGAAAAAGAAGTAGGGGAAGGAAAAGGGAGGGGAGCACGCCATTTAAGTGGAGGTTCACCTCGTGTTTGGATATTGAAGCCGAGTAAGCCGCCGGTATCAATGCATGCTGAGCTGGCTCGCATGAGGCCGCTTCGCGATCTGGACAAAGCCACATTCGCGGGGAGGAGTGGGGTTGGACTTATGAGATCGTTTTGTTTGCGATCCCACCGGATGGAGGGTCAGAGAGACAAAGAAAATGGACCTCGTATGACGGAGGAGACTCTCATTGCCAAGGACGCATGGATGCATCTAGAGGGGATTTTGTGGCTGACACTACAGCTCCCTGATACACATGGCATGTAGTATCCCCTATCGATTGATTCATTAGCGCAGTCTAGAGTTGATTTAGACTGAATGCAATGTATGCTGTAGAGCTGCATCTTTTGCGCCGAGAGGAAAGTTCATTCACACTGTGGAGTTGGTTTCTAGCCCTAGCTCTATTTGTGCCACTCTAGATCACATAACGAAAGGAAAAGAATGAAAGTGTAGCGAATGTAGTCGAATATCTCCCCCCGTGGCCATTTGTCACCGAAGTCATTCCGGGCAGCCAGAATAAGACAGTCAGAATACCAAACCGGGGCTTTGCCAGAGAACAACCAGCAACTCGCGTCCACTGAAGTCAAGAATCTACTCGACTTACTCCTTCGACAACTTCACAACGTTGAAGTTGAAGTTGCATTTACCCCCATCTGTCACGTCCGAACCGCTAGTCGCACTGAACATAACCGACTCATCCTTTCCAAGAACCTCGATCTTTTGCTGACCGGCCGCCAGACCCTCGACAGCTGCGTAGTTCAGTCCAGGCTTAGCAGGGTTCGTCGCCAAGACATTACCACCGCTGGAGACTCGGATCGTAATGCCCTCCCAGAGCAGAGGAAGCACAACGGCGTAGTTGACGGAGTCGATCGCCGCATCGGCGTTGGCAGGCAGGTTGTCGCAGTTCTTGGTCATGCCGCGGTACCACATAGCGCCGATAGGCGATTCCGAGCCGGTTTCCATCTCGCCGGCTGATTTGCCCTCCTTGAAAGCCTGGATGAACGAGCTTACCAGAGGCTGCCAGGCAAAGTGCGGCCATTTGTCGGTGTTGGCGTATTCGACGATCTCGGGGACCGTGGTGTAGCTTTCGGACCAGAGGTTGCCGATGTAGTGGCTTTCGCCGCCGTCGTTCTGTTTTATCCAAGTTAGTGGAATGAGGATGGTAGGGTGCGAGGCAACTTACCCAGGTGATATATTCGGTGAAGTCCGGCTTCAGCTCCAAGATTTGGCTCATGCGCTGGGGCAGGTTGACCTCGCCGATTCGGTACCAGTGGCCGTCGCCGGTGTTCTTGTACTGGAGGGGGGAGAGGGCTGGTTTCGTCAGTATTAATTTGAATAGATCTCGAAAAAGACACTCTTACGCATCATGTAGCCCTTGTTCGATCCGTGAGCATAATCCATCACCTTCTGATCGCCCTCAGAGCTGACGTTAACCGGACCATCGGTCGAGATAGGCCAGGCCGTCTCCCAGCTAAAGTAGCCATCCACGAAGTCGTTGAACCCCGACAGCGTCTCTTCCGGGTTCGTATAGTACTTGGAAGAATCACCTGACCCGGACTCTCCGTCATCCAAGTTCGGAATTAGGTAGATCTGCGAGTTCTGCTTGAACGAAGACCAAGCATCCGCCTCGCTGGATCCGCCAAACGACGACACGACGGGGTTACTATCGGGGCCAGCCCGCATATAATTCGGATGATCGGCGTATTTGTTGAACAGGTCGATGTGGTCCTGCAGCTGCGAGTGCTGGTACATGTCGAAGCTGAAGAACAGGTTGAAGTCGGTTCCCTCGGCGCCGTCGAAGAGTGCCTTGACGCAGTTCTGGGCCCATTGGGCGGTCGGATCGCCCACGTTCATGGCGAAGGCGTCAAAACCGACGGATTTGGCATCTTCGACGTCTTGCTTGGCGTGGTCGGGGTTGGTTTCGCCGATCTGTATCCCAGGTTACTTGTTAGTGAGCTGCTCAACGGGAGGGTTGGCAAAATTGGTTCAGACTATTTACGCACCATGTAATGAGCAAAGACGCTCTGAGCCTGCGCAACCGAAATGATGTCGGATCCTGCCAGCAGGGCGGCAACAGCAAGGAGATACTGCATCGTCGGTGTGATTAAGGAAAGACAGACGGTTGGTACACCAGCCAGAGGTGTAGTAGGTCCAGCGCAGTGGACGGTTTTTATGAACCATGTCGCCTCGTATCTACGCCGTATAGAGGATCAACTTTCAGGTATTCCTTCGGGGACCCCGAATCCCCGAGTATCGTGAACTTGACCCCTTCAGTTGTGGCCCCCAGAGTTTGAGAACTGACGCCCTGCTTCCTGCTTGTTTTCGGCCCCAAATTGCCGTTGGACCCCAAGGATGATCCGTTTCTGTTTCAGATCCACGGTGACTCTTTCAATTCACCACATGAATCAGGGATATTCTGATAAGATAAATGATCTATCAGGATGACGTATAAGCCATGAATAATTCTATATAGACCATCCAGCCATATCGAACAAAATCAACCTTATCGTAGTTAATATCAGTCTCACCTGCAGTAGGATTAGCAATGGGGCCAAGTGTGTCGGCCAAGACCAGACCGTCTCAAGTTTGAATAATTGTGGAGATCACAGAACGAGGGTTCTGACTGGGCCAGGGGATCCATCGTACCATTGGCCTGGTAAGTTGCCAACTTGCCTAGTCCATGCTTTGCAGTCGGGCAATGAAAAAGCTCCGCTTCTGACTCGTGCATACTCTGTGGGCATAGGTACGGAGTCCCCTGAGGAGTCCGTTTCCAACGGTCCGAGAATAGAACAGAAATCAAGATGAACCGGGATGGTCCCCTAGCGTGCGTGCAGATTCGCTGATCCAGGCTTTAGCTAGAGGGCTGGGAATGTAACGTGCTGACTGCTGACAGGATATCGCCGATCCGAAACGTGAATAAAATGAAGGTTGTCATGAGAGTTTCGGAAGAAGGCCGAGGCGGTTGTTTCCGCCCGTGATAGGCAGGATGTGTGCATTCTAGGACTGGATCGTCAGATTCAGGGACTTGTTTGAGTTGGTTGTATGCGAGCAGGATTCCTTGGGCGTGTTACTATCAAGGTGTTTCGAACAACTGTTTGAGGAGGTAAGACTGCACCCGATTGATTCTGCGTAATATCGATATAGTTTTTACGAGGGCCCGGATATAGAAAAAAAATTTATAGTGTATGCGCTATGTATTTCGGCGTTGCGAGCAACAGCTCTGAGGATGCTAGTTCTCTCTGTTTAAAAAATATAGATTGGATTATACTCCACATTCACAGAACGAAAGAGACTTCTACTAGGGAATCTAGCGGGCCTTTGAAGTTAATATCACAGAGCTCTGGCTTCACAGTCAATTCTGGCCAGAACATCCGTAAATAATATATAGAGAAGATTAGTGAATAGATAATTAGTACTGTCGACGTCCGAGGAGTTTTGTAGGCCAGGCGGAACTCAGTCCTTTGTAGCATCTCCAAAGCCTTTGGAAGACTTCATACACATAGAAAAGAATGGCTAGCAGTGCGTGAAATTGAGAATTGTTGCTTTTGTGGCCAAATCCTTGTCTAACAGGCACTCGGGAGCCTCGTTTTGGGATAATTGAATACCAAAAGCGATGCCATCCACATAAGGAGATTCATGAAGTCCTTGCGTCCACGGAATGAGTTCAACACAAGAGTCATTAGGGCATTCCAGGCCCACAACTGGAAGAACCATATGGGCATAATAAGTCGCCCTCGGCAACACTCCGAAATCGTATCAAAACGACATCAGCCGCGAGCAAGTAATCTGCGGGGACGAGACAGGGGTTCAGGGCAGGTTCAACCAGAAAGTCGGCCGGGCTATGACCACAACCTTCGCCTCGCAGGGCATCGACCTCAGTTCCGGGGAGTTCTGCGCGACAAATTTGGGTTTTTCGAAGGTGCCGGACGTGGCAGTGATGAATGGGGCTGGAGAGCTCAATTTCCCTGGGAAATTTGAAACCCCTTGGGCTCCAGACCACAGTCTGGGGACGAGCGAGAATTTGAAAAGATCCTAGGTAAGTAACCATCAAGTTGTGTGATTATTTGGGGATGCTATTAATCAAAATCCCTAGACCAGCTCGCCATTTATCTCAAGGATCTCAAGTGCCGGTACGGATTCCTTTCGACTTATGACAAGACAACTTTTGTTCGACAGAACTGTACGACCGGAGGAAGTTGGGAACTGCACTATAGGCCGGTTGTCGATTATGCTTCTTCTTCCTCAGTGGATGGTTTGCCGTCAGTTAGACAGTGCATGTGGTATCTGGGACAGGAGGCGCAAGCAGGCCACACGAATGTCAAACCACTGCCGACAAACCAATGATATGCTCCCACCTAAGCCCAGAGAGGGTTCGTTTTCCCTGTTCTTGTTTATTTGAGTCGTGGGACCTTGGCGTTCGGATACGCCCAAGGGGCAGGAAGCATTCTGTTTCTGTGGAGAGCCCATAAATTTCATAGGCTCAAGGGCCGTGTCGATTGATCTTGGGTGAACTTGCAAACGCTGGTAGAAGTTATAGTCCGTGATGATATTGCGATTATCAAACCCTCTTGACATCAGTGTCCGCTCTAAAGTCCTGCAAATTGCGTTTCTGAGTTCCATCTTCCTGGAAGTTATTCCCTGATAGCCATCCCTCCATAGCTAATCTTATTCCTTCCTCCCACTCATCCTTTAACATCGAAAACCACGCCGTATCCCGACTCCGGCTTTTCACAACCATGTGCTGTCGAAAAGTCCCTTCATACGTAAACCCAAGTCGCAGTGCCGCTTTCCTCGACGGCTCATTTAGCGAATCACATTTCCATTCCAATCGTCGATACCCCAGATCCTGGAACGCATGCTTTGCCAGGAGATAGAACGCCTCCGTAGCACCGGTCGTGCGCTGCAAGGCAGACGAAAACAACACATTGCCAATCTCGATGGTCAGTTGATTCGGTGTTATGCGCATCAGAGAGAGAAACCCGATAGGCTTGTCATATGTCGCATGGGTATCGCGTTTGTCGATAACGGCGAAAAAGAAGGGATCGTTCGATGCTGACTTTCCGCCGATGGCATCTCGGAAAGCGTTCGGATCGGCGTAGGGACCGTCGCCCATGTAATCCCACAGTGACGTTCGGGATGGGTCGCTTCCACCGACAAGCTTGAAAAGGTCATCAGCGTGCTTGAGCTCGAGCTTCTCAAGCAGAATTGTTCGACCTGCAAGAGATGTTTTTGGGGATGGGAGCAACGCCGGGGGAAAGGAGACGATGGGGCCTCGAGGTCGCGCCGCTGACATATTTGTGATGCTTATTCTATTTAATAGGATATCAATTGGATGATAGGATAGATTCAAAGAACAGATTAAGGCGGGTGTTGAATGAGTAGACTTTATATGGCGATGGATGGTGTCGACTGAGTCATCCTATTCTGGCAACCCAGAGTGGACTGTCACATCTGATTGGATGAGAATGCCGAAGTACAGGATTCTCGGGGGTCATGATCAATTGCAATATCCTTCAGTAATTGAACGCTTACATGGATCCATTATTATTCCAACGGATTCAACCATGTCCTGCCAGACTCGCACACCGCCTGCCCTCTCCGCCGCGGGGTTTCTGCCACTGACTTCCAGCCACTAAAAGAAGGCGGTCTGCCTCAGCGCAATGAAGCCAGCGAGGGCCACAATTGCGCTTGTCTTCAGCGCTCTTTTGCCCCTCCATCCAAGGCCCAACGGAAGGGATTATCAAATCCCCGGTTGTCTGTGTACATTCTTCTGATTGACTCACCCCCGCGGCCTGATCTGCCTGAAGGTCGATTGAATGCGACCCCTTACGAACCTGAGGCTTTTTCCCTGGAAAACCCGCCCGCTTCGGTCTCCCTTCCCACGAGCCTTTTCGCATTCCACCATCATGGCCTCCGTCGTGGTTCACAACTCGCTGAAGCCCGGCGGGCCAGTGCCTTTCGTGCCTAGGGAGGAGGGTAAGGTGTCGTGGTATGCCTGTGGACCGACTGTCTACGATATCGGTCACCTGGGACATGCGCGCAATTATGTCTCCACGGATATCATTCGTCGCATCATGATGCATTACTTTGGTTACAACGTCAACTTCGTCATGAACATCACCGATATTGACGATAAGGTACGTTTTGCGACTGACAAGCTCCTGTCTCTCTGACTAAGGTTCCATTCGCTGTAGATCATCATCAAGGCCCGCAGAAAGCGACTATTCGACCTGGAGAAAAAGAAACCCTACACCCCCCAGGAAAGCCACAAGCTTGGACTCGAAGCGTTCCGCGCCTATGCGACAGGCAACCTCCCTCTCCTCCAACCATCGAATGACCCCGTCGACGAGACCAACTACCAGACTCGCCGAGATGCGGCCTACGCCCAAGTGCTGGCCGGCGGCACGTTGACCGGAGAGGGCAAACCAGGCGATGCGGAGGCCAAGCTGAAAATGCACATCAACAACATGGATGCCGCGGCGCAGGGACTCAAGGAGGGCAAGGTGTTTGAAGGCGCGGAGGAGATCCTTCTGCCTTACCTCGACTCTCTATACAAGGAGACTATCGACATCAACGACCAGACTATCTTTACGGATCTCACACAGTCGATGGAGAAAGAGTTCACGGCGGACATGGATGCGCTGAACGTTCTTCGCCCGGATGCCCTCACGCGAGTCACCGAATACCTTCCTCAGATCGTCACCTTTGTCGAACGCCTCGTGCACAAGGGCTACGCTTACGAGTCGGATGGCTCCGTTTACTTCGACATCACCGCTTTCGAGAAGAATGGCAACACCTACGCCCGGTTGCGCCCGGAGAGTAAGAACGATAAGGCCTTGCAGGAGGAAGGAGAGGGTTCTTTATCCAAGACACTGGGTGGTAAGAGGGGCGCCGGTGACTTTGCCTTGTGGAAGAAGTCGAAACCTGGCGAGCCCTACTGGCAGAGCCCGTGGAGCGACGGTCGCCCGGGCTGGCACATTGAGTGTTCCGTCATGGCGTCTGATAAGCTTGGCGAGCAGATGGATATCCACTCTGGCGGCATCGATCTCGCTTTCCCTCACCACGATAATGAGCTGGCTCAGAGTGAGGCGTTCCACCGCAGCGGCGCCTGTGAGCACACATGGGTCAAGTACTTCCTGCACATTGGACATTTGAGCGTATCCGGCGCCAAGATGAGCAAGTCGCTCAAGAACTTCCAGTCGATTCGCGCTGCCCTGGAGACGACGTACACGCCGCGTAATATGAGAATCGTTTTCTTGCTGGGTCGCTGGAACGACGGTGTTGAGATCTCGCCTGACATGCGGAAGCACGCAGACGGTTGGGAGGCTACTCTCGATGTAGGTGCCGTTGCTGGCTTTCTTTTCCAGACAATATGCTGACTCAATTAGAACTTCTTCACGAACATCAAGGCTCGTTCCGCCGACGGAATCGGAGCTCTGTCCTTGTCGGATAAGACCGATAACGAACTGACGGCGAAGCTCGACCAGGCTAAGAAGGACCTGGACGCAGCTTTCCGCAACTCTTTCGACACGCCCGCCGCCATGCAAATCATCTCTAGAATTGTTCGGGATGCCAACATCTACATGGGTGAAACTAACGATTTGCGCACGGTGGAGACCGTCGGTCGGTGGGTAACCAAGATCGTCGGAATTCTCGGTCTCGACGCCGGCGCACAGCCGCCGTATGAGGGTCTCGGCTGGTCGGCTGCCACCGCAAATGCCAATGTCGACCCCCAGACTGCCGTTCAACCTTTTGCTGCGGTTTTCGACAACGTCGTTGGAGAAGTTAGAACATTTGGTCTGTCTGAGTCTTCGGTCGAAGCTCTCCTGAACCAGTCCCCAGCAACCGAATTTTCCGAGTTGGAAAAGAATGGCGAGCGCAATGCGGAAACCCTCGCTATGCCTTACGTCCGTGCAGTGTCTCGCCTCCGTGACGAGCTCCGTCGTCTCCTCTCATCCGGTACCCTCGAGCCGAAGACCAAATCCGCCATTATTGCGCTCGCCGATCGTATCCGTGATTTCGACCTCACAGACCTTGGCGTCCAGCTTGATGACCAGAGTGACCGACCCAGTCTGATCAAGTTCGTCCCGGCCTCGAAACTCATCGCGGCCCGTAACGAGCGAGCTGCTTTGCTGGCCGAGAAGGCCAACCAGAAGGAGAAGGGTATGTTTCGTTGCCTTTATCCTTCCGATACTCACTCACTAACATTCTATCACAGCCCGTCTTGCCCGCGAGAAAGCCGAAGCCGAGAAATGGGAAAAGGCCAAGCTTCCAGCCCAGGATCTCTTCAAGAACGACCCCAAGTACAAGGAATGGGATGCTGACGGACTCCCGACCAAGCTGGCCGATGGCAGCGAAGTCCCCAAGAGCCAGTCCAAGAAGTTGAAGAAGGAATGGGATCGACAGAAGAAGCTGAACGACGAGTATGCTGCCAAGTTCGGAGCTGCAGCTTAGGAAGTCTTGAACTTGATGTTCGGTTATCACTATTGTTACTCCCTGGCATTGGCTCGATGCTAGCCCTCTCATCAGGTTCTACCTCGCTGGCTAAACGGAGATGGCCCGAAGTGGCGCCCGTTCGCCGTCGCAAACTGCGTCTCTAGATCTACCTCATCGAAAAGACTCCGTGCTTAGTTTTGTAGATCGCCGCGAGTTGAAAGATATATACCTTAAAAAGCGCATTCGGGGGTTTTTTTGGGCAGTTTACCATAGACCTTATCACAAGAAGCAGTTGTTAATGCTTTCAATGGATTTAGCATTGCTCCTCGACCTCCTTTGTATGATAACTTGGATAGGCTTGCTACACCTAATCAAGCATTCTGAATGGCCTTTGTTTTCTTCAAGGCTCTACCATATTCTTGTTTGAGCGACCAATGCCTTATATTGAAACCCAAGAGATAAGGCCATCCAATGACCAACACGACTGTATCCAACCAAATGTCTTTCGTTCCGGCACTATCTTGGGGCCTCAGTACTCCCCTATACGTTTGAACACGCTCATACTGGCTGCCTGGCATATTCTGTTAGCGACTTCAAAAACAGGAATTAATATCTGAGTTATACCCTGTAGTTAGGCAGGGTCACACCGTCACACTGTCACCCCACAATTCTCCATCATATTGAATTGCTCGTAATAGAGACCTGTCCCACTGCTGTACTATGGGATACTTGGTCAATATGCCAGTTTCCTTGATGTACTAGGCTAGGAGATAACCGATTGAGAATGATACTGCTCATTGAAATTGCTGTAGAGGAGGGAAGAGAACTTTCTGGCTCGTAGCAGAGTAAGTTTCCTACAAGCGCTGGCCGTTTCACAATGGATACTACTGTTTTACCGTTTACATCTAGTTCGTAGCTTATGGCTTTCCCATTCACAATGTGCTACGTCTTACTCCTGTCAATGTAATTTCGTGCATCAAACTTACTACAGTCCTGACGGAAGGCGTTGGGGCCACAATTGTAGCATGAAGCTACATAATATCTGGATCTCCATTTTGCAAAAGCAAAAGGGGCTGTTACCTAGGATAGTGATACGCATTACCGCTATAAAAGTAGACACAGCGTATAGTAAATGGCTACAGCACAATACTTAGTAATGTAAAACTTGTAGTGACTGTAATAGCTCAATAATTGTATAAATGCGATGCCCTACTGTGTTCGAGTAAGATATCTCAGTGGGCCGTGAGACCCTGTTTAGATAACCCCCTACATTATGTCTCAACGCGCCGAGCGAGCTATCGTCGGATATCTCCGAATTGCGTAGAAGGCGATGGATTTGGCACCCCAGAGTAGTACTTTTTAGCCTTTGGAAATCATGATACTGAAAGATCTGCTGTTCCAGGGAATGAGTGGACTGTGAATCGCGCCCAGGCAAGATAACCATCGCGAGTCTGTCCATCTGCTACGATAAGAGTCATATCAACCAGGACATGCGACTATGCTTGGAGGCTAAAAGTAGCTTCGGCAGTGTAGGATGAAAGGCAATTACAAGCCATGTCTCATTAGACAACCGGGCGATACAATTATAAATCCTTTAATTCCTCTTGCGCCAGATAGACGAGCCCTAACTCTCCCAAAGGGGTCCATGAAGCACACCACGCAGCATGCATACCGAGGATGTGGCGACGCCGAATATACTTGTTGCAAGGGGCAGAAAGTCTCCTTCCTAAAACGGACTGGCATTATGATTCTTGGCGACTCTAGGGTCTTCGGCAGATATAGGCTCTTGACCTAACGGGTTGCTCACTCGGTCATTGGCCGAGAGACGACACAGCCTGTTGTATACGTCGTCTCATGGATGCCTGGGTGAAGAGCAAGGGTCAGGACGAGCAATTCTGGAATGAACATCCGTATACCAGGGCCACATCTTAGCCCCCAAAGTGTCTGAACACCACGGATGAGAACCATATGGCAGTCTAACAATCCGACCAGTGATCTGAATATTTTACATTTCCTTCATGTAGTTCACTACTAGTTCGCTCGATAGAAAGAAACCAAGCAGCAATACTACGAAGAGACCGGGAAGAACAATTATCTACAAATAGGGCCACTCTCTTCTTGTTGAGATAGTCGTGCGTTTCAGTTGCCAGCATGTTGCGGATGTTATGGAGACGACTTGGCTTGCCTTGGAATCGACAGTCCAGATAGAGTGTCTCGCTGAGACGGTGAGGCTAACTGCCCACCATTGAATTAGGAAATGTGCGTCATTCCTGTTATTACTTAGCGTTTCTATATGGCCCCCAAAGGGTTAACAATGGCACTACGGTTGTTAGTCTCCAGAGCGCGGCCCCCCGCTTATTCCAGAAACGGTATGCCGTACTTTGTTCTTGATGTTTCTTTTTTTCTTTTCGATATTATTGGCGGGTAAATATGGGCACCGAGCTTAAGGGGGATTAGTTAGTTCTGCCAGTCGACGGTAGCGGCGGAATTGTGGAGAGCATACGTTATAGGCTGATGCCTATGCATGTTGACGATTACCCGTACGTGGTAGGACTACTAGCAGACAGCGTCATGACAAGTAGGATCCTGTATGAAACTCTGCGCAGCGAAAGATATTGAAGCGATCTCCACAGCCCCGAGCATTATCTGCGCGTAGTCTTGTAACTCAGAAAAGCAAATGCTCTAGGAGTCGAGATCAAGCAAGCACGGCGGAGCCAAGACCCGGTTTTTCGGGGCCAAAATTCAGGATCGCCAGGGCTTGGAATTAATTTGGAATCTCCAAGACTTCTACCTTCCGCATATGTACGACAGGTACTAGTTTCCTGGGGGAAGTGGGAAGAGAATGGCTTCTGAACTACCTGACCCAGTGGTAGGTTCTGCATTCTGGGGATCGAATATGACCATGATGGCCATGCTTGCCGACTTGGTACTATAATTTCGGACTACGAGCTACGCAGGTGCTTCGAAGGTTTTGATGCATGTAGACTGCGATTGGAGTTACTGGGCTACTATACTTAATTGGCTCACTAACCGGCAAACACGAAATGAATAAGGAAGCCGTACTCCTAGGGCAAACTATGCAACAAGGCAGAGAAAATGTGGCCCCCTCCGACCATGTTTCAAATCACCATGAGTTTTATTCATTTGGCTGGCTTAAGATTGGGGCTAAAGCCTAAGTAGCTAGTAAGATAGCTTCGATTTTTGATATCGTCAAGACTCTTGAGGAGGGTATAAATAAGGGCTTCGCTTCTCTCCAATTCAGACTATTCCATTCAAGCCTACATCCCCAGTTAAACAACTATCCCTGCTCAAATCTTCTTCACAATGCAGATCAAATACCTTCTCTCTGTTCTGTCCCTGTCTGCCGCCGCGGCTGCTGGCGGTAACTTCATGTCAACCTGTCTTTCAGTTGAATTGAGAGAAGACCGCCACACCGTCGCGGCTGTTTGCAGGGGTAATGGGTTCAAGGAGAGATCTGAACTTGATTTGAACAAGTGCTATGCTACTGTTGAAGATGGATCTATTGTTCCTCGCCGAGAGTGAGTGCTCTTGAGATTCTCCCAATACATATGAACATCACTGACCACGACTACGAAATAGCGGGAACTTTTACGGCCGTTGCGAAAGCTGCTCGGTCACCTACAAGGGTGTTTTGATCTGTACCTGCGAGCAAGGAGAGGGCAAAGGCTTTGCCAGGACCGTTGAGGTTGATTTGAGTAAGTTTTACCACTCTATCACGTTCTTTCTTCCATCTTTCCTGTTATAGCCCCATTTGCTTTTGCTTCCTTCCCTCTTCAAGACTCGGGCTGACTTGGGAATCAAGATGAGCGTATCTCCAACGTCAATGGACACATTCACTGCGATGTCTCCGATGGTGGGTACGATGGGGAATGTTTTCGGCAGTGGAACGGTGAAGTCGACTGTGATGATGATCGCGTGACCGCCTAGGATGATTTATCCTTGAGGAAGGTATAGCTAAGGTTCTTCGGTTCTCTTCTTTGACTTGTATCAGTATAGTTTTGAATGCACATATGTACATATAATGCATCCATTGCTTGTCTGTGGTCTTTCTATACTTCAGTCAAGATCTTGATAGACTTACAAATGCTTGAGGAAATTGAAAGACATTAATAAGTTGTAATGAGCAGAGTCGATGATAAATAATTGCCATATTGGTAGGTTTAATCTTAGCTAGTAGGTTTAAGAATGATACGCGGCATGTACGACAAGATCGCTGATCTGAAAGGCTTCATATGCCTTGGATGTCCTTCCTGGTAGCCAATTTAAGACCGAGGCTTTCCAAATTAGAACAAGTTGCACATACTTCACATTCTACGCAAGATTTTGAATTATACGACTGATGAACCCGAGGTCTTCAAACCCGCCAGAGCCTCTTCAATCGTGATAACCTTGACTGGAACTTTCGGGAAAATGTCGTAGAGGATGGAGTGTTGGATCTTCTCCCCGGTAGGACCTGGCTCGATGGTATTGTTCGAGATGACATACCTGATGCTCTGTCAACATACATCCTCACCAAGGTCCGGGGAGAGAGGATAACTTACACGTTATAATCCAAATCAAACAACCTCAACGCCGTCGCGAGTACAACTCCCGATGTTCGAATACCAGACTGCAAAAACAGATCCCATTATGAGTCCCACCGTAGATTGATTCCCGATAGAAGCAAGCCGGGGAAAACATACCAGAATCACTGTCTCTATCTTCTGACTGTTCAGAATCTCCTCGATCGAGTTCCCAGCCCCGGCATAATACCTCGTTTTCGGCACCACCACATCGTCGTCCTCCGTCTTGAAGGCCGTATAGATATGGCTCTTCGCGCTGGATTCTGTCAGATTACCAAGTCCCTCCACGACAGACGCGAATGGCGTGTCGGGTCCGACCTCGGGACGCTGGGATGTGGAGAAGTAGATGCGCGTGAAGACGTTCAGCAGTGCGGGGTTTTGCTTGTGGACTCTGATTCATTGATTTTAGTTCAACTCAGAAACCCTCGATTTGCTGGGAATAGACCAAGGTGATGGGATATTCGAGGAAGCTCACGCGTCAATCCATCTGGCAGTATTGTTGATCCATTTCTTCCCTTCGTCCGTAGTGTTCACATTAGCGACGATCGCATCGATCAGGTCGAGGTTCAGTACGGCGAAGTGGTTTCCAAAATCTGGAGGCGAGTTTTCAATGGCCAAAGCTTGGTTTGAGAGGTAGACTGGCTTGGTTCCTGGTTGGGTTGCGAGGACAAGAGGAAGCAGCGAGAGTGCCTGGAAGAAAACGAATAGCTTGAAAAGCATTTTGTGGTGACCAGCGCTCTATGAGACAAGATAGGAGAAAGATGGTTTGATTGAGAATTCGAGACTTCAGATTCTTAGTGTGCTATCTTATTGGGCTCTTTAACTGTCTCTCGGTTGGTGTTTTGCTGCGCAGTTTATCCCTTGCGTCCGTAGCATTCAATCATGCGAGAGGAATCCACTGTAGCGATGGGACCATTTGCCAGGACTGAAATTTGGATTGAAAAATCCAACTTACAGAAATAACTGTCAGACAATTTCCTTGTGGCTTGCAACTTCGAGGAGGGGAGGGAGCAGAAAGAGAAGTGTATGCACCTGTGGACACATGATAGATATGACGTCACCATGATCCCGTCGCAGACGCAAGATGCGACAATCAATCGCGAAGTCGGTTTTCCGACTAGATGATTCAAATAGTATGCAAAGCTAATTGTTATTTAATGTGTTGTTTGACATCCTATTGAAAACTACAGCTGAGGAAAGGAGCTTACGGCTACAATGTTTAGACTACTCAATGAGGTTAGCGTTGTGTAGCATATATATGTTTCACCACATGGATCATCGTTGGACTATTCTACTCCAATTCCTCTATGGCAATCAATAAAAATACGTTATGTGAATATTTCGTATCTATACACACGCAAGAGCCACCCTACAACTCCAAAGAAATAGCAGACACAAGCTTCCGGTGCATCCTGCTCGACCAATTGGCAGAGCTCTTCTGAGTGCGTCTTAGTTTTCACGATCTGAGCTGTGCGGTTGAGCGGCAAATTAGGTGCTTGATGCCTAGTAGTTCGCACTCTGTCTGATTAGTCGGATGTCCATGAAAAGTCTAAGCTTGGTCTGGCCATTGCACCGCTCCACTGCCAATGTGGTATATGTTAGGCTTCAATGCCCGATATCACTCTGAATGCTCATCCAAAAGATGACACTGCGAATTCTTCCATGGCAAGCCCCAGCCCATCACCCCACACACCCCTTACTCGTAACCACCGTCTGCGCCTTCTTGCTCTTATTGATCATCGCCAAATGCGTCGCTTCGGTATCAATCTCATTCACCGATCTCCGCAGCTCAACATACCCCTCATCATCAAGCGCATACAGCGCCTCCTTCAACCACACCCGACACGTCACATTCTCCTTAAATCGACCGGAATATTGAATGGGGACTTCGCCCAACCGATCCCCGACGGCGTCATGCACCACCGGGTCCAAGACGCCCAGTTTCAAAGCTAGCAGGACCCGGTTGAAATACGAAGCGTCGGTGATTAGCTGCATTTCGTATTTCCAGGTCGTGGGGTCCGTCGTGTCGGGGTTGATGAGGTGGTACATCATCCCGCATGAACCTGGTTTTGCCAGGTACAGGGCCCAGTGGAATAGGTAGCTGTCGCCGCGGTCTAAGAGGAGGATGTAGAGAGCGTTGGGGTCGAGGCTTGAGAAGGGGTCCTCCATGTTGAGAGCCATTTTTTGAGCCGAATCTGGGGGCAGGAGCGAGATTGAGAGTGGCACTTTGCTTGACCAAGACATGTTCAAGGGCACCTTAAAATCAATCGTTTTTCTCGGAGCCTGAGAGGGAACTATATAGAGTCCCTGGATCTTGCGCGCATCAGATCATGGTAGGTGTTGCGGATAAGACGCTCCTGCCAAACAAATTAGAGCCGAGGGATTTACAAGCCGACATCCATGGATGGAGAAATTACCTTGATCATAGACCGTTCATCTTTCATACACAAACCACACACAATGTTGATACAGCAGTTTACGTCGTGTTGGACTGGGAATGCGGAAACTTTGTTGAGAATTTATTCATGACTCGTGGAGCGTGACAATAATCAGCCATCCTAATCCGGTTAGCGCCCTGCAAGGCTTTTGTGGCACGTGCTGAGTGATTTCTCATCGCTAAAGATAGGAACTGGCAAGTGAGCAACAATCTGCTCGGAAAGACAACTCACGGGAATCCCAGCGACAGACATTTCGAGAGGCTGATAAGGGTCGCCCTTATCTTTTTTAGCAATGGGAGCACCTCATCGATACAATTCCATCACGGTAGTGCGCGCGCCAGCTCAGAAATTGTGGAAGAGCCTGTGAGTCGAAGAAGTTTCGGGATGACTTCATTACTGCTTCGCAGCGGGCCGAGAGGACGGTTTTGATGGAATAGAAGTGCATGCTGTGGTTGTTTGGATTCTGATGCAATTCCTATCGCCTTTATACAACCGTCACACAGATCGGTACGGAGACACCCTGTATAACCGGTCACAACTTCTCTTCGAAGTAATAGACGGCATCCGCGCAGCATGTAGTCTAAATTTCCAGATTGAGCTGCGACTTTCTATGGAGTGGTAGGATGTAGCTCTGAGGAAGATCTGGCTGGTAGCGACAAGAGCTATGCACTAGGAGAGAATTGACCACCTGGATCTGGCCATCCCGGATCATAGGGAAATGACCCATGGAGTCATTCACTAGACGCACTTTGCTTAGCATTTTCACGGAGCAACCAAGATCGTGGGTACGCCTATGTGCGTCGGGCCACATCATGACGGTTGACCAGGTTGCAGAAGTGTTCGTGATTATGCTCGGAAAGGCAGCTAGCTACCTTGGGCCTCGACTTCCCGCGACACGCCGAGAAACAACCTGACTATTGCTTGCTTGAATTTCCTGTTACAGAGCGCTACCTGCGGAAATCCGTGCTGAGTGAACGATTCATTGACTATACGAGGGTATGGCCAGGATTAGTAGCAAGCGATTCTTATTGAGATGATCAGCATTGTGCCTTGCGGCACATATTGACTATTCCAAGGGAAAACGGTGCCCTGCAGGAGTTGATGGGTTGCCTGCAAATGAGCAGAAGAACGGGATAGAAGACATAGGTATCCGAGGCTTCTACCACAACAGCATGAGCCAAATCATTCATCCATAGAAGAATAGAACACCGTTGGATCATTTTCGACTAGTTTCCGTGCTATTAATGTTGATCCGTAAAATGCATTACTCATCCCAGCATTACTCAGCGTAGCGCCAAAAATAGAGCGAAGTCACAAATGCCGAGGTGGCCAAATTGATAAGCGGGACCGAAATAGTTAGCTGAACGTCACACGATTCGAATTATTTAGGTGTGGATATCGAGGGCCGCTGGGGTTCAGGTCAGGTCAGGCCTAGGTGCGGCTACAGAGCCATTGTTCCTAGACCATTCAGTAGCAGACAGTCGCCAGCCATGTTCATCCCATACACCGGCCCCTCTTCGAAGAAAGACGCCAACATGCGTCGAGCAGTCAATGCCTTCGTGGCGGCGGATGCCGGAAAGAAGCGTCGACAGCGCAAAGGGGTCTCCGGACCTCGGACGATGACAGGCACCCTACAGTGGGTTCAGGTTCCTGGCTCTGGCGACCCACAAGAACCATCGGATGAGACCCGCCGTGATCGCCGTCGATCGCGCATTGACAACTCGAGCCGATTGCTATCCGTTGGCAGACCGCTAGGGGCCGGAAGATTCTACCCCATCGAAGACGTAGGCTCAAAGGGCCCTTTCACATTGCATGCTCTTAGTCATTGTGGGTATGGTCGCTCCCTATATTGGACATTGGACTGAGAGAAGTGCCACCTAGACTTCGACATCCTTCTTCCGCACGACGCGAAGGCCCTTGGTCTGGGTCACGCTGAAAAGAACACATATAGTTCCGGGCTCCTTTCATGGGCTTCCCAGTATGATATCATTCTCCACGCTCTGTCAGCATTCACGCTCTGCAGCGTAGAGAGCCAGGATGCTACCGGTGCAACCAGTCGTGCGATTATGTATCACCGCAGTCGACTTCTTGGCGATCTACACGAGAGACTTTCGCGTAGGCAGGTTGACGATGTTCTGATTCAAGCAATATGTCTTCTGATTCCTGTGGACGACTACCTGGGGTACGTTGAATACGGCCCAGTACACCTGAAAGGTCTCCAGGACGTTGTCCAAATACGCGGTGGTTTCGATCAGGTCGGAAGTTCGGACGCAGATGCCTTTGGGAAGAATCTGCGCATGAGCATGCTCGTTGTGACCAGTATGGTGGAGTTTCATTTGCAAACGAACATTTCCGATCAGCCTCTGCAAACGCTGGTACTTGCTGAGATAGCGCTTCAACAGTCCGGGTTGCAGGCAAGGATCTCGAATCTAACAAATGGGTTTCAAAAGCTTCTATTTTCCGGGTATGTGTCCGGGGAAATCTTTGATATTTATGAGAGCTATACTCTTTGGAGCTCCAAGGTCAAGGATATAGACGCCTCGATGAGAGAGACATGGCGATACTCAAGCTCTCGAGAATTGAACAACCTCGAGAAGTGCATCATTGTAACGTTCGCATGCTTAGCCGATGACATTAGCGCGATGGGCACTCATCCCGCAGCGCTTATATTTCGAAAGCCTAAGCAACGCGCGCAGATCCTTGCCACGGTCACCGATCTCTGGAAAATTCCTGCATTAATCGACTGCATGATTTGGATGTGCACTGTCATCTCGACACCGCGCAACAAACTGTTGTTCTGTCGGGAGGCGCAAAGCCAGTTGTTGAAGAAGTCGGTACGCAATCGATCCCCGGCGCGGAATTGGGGTCAGATACAGACTATCTTGGGACTTTTCGTGGTTGAAAGTACGCGTGAGCTGGACTGGAAAGAAGTATGGAGTGCGGCGTTGGACGACCTTGGTGGAGATGGGAAAGGAACTCTCGTTTGTATACCACGTTTAGCCGGAGAGATCACGCGGAATTTCGAAACATCTTCACCCTCGGCCTAATCAACTCGCTAAACTTTAGTTTTCCTGTTTATATTCTGCCTTTTCTGGTCCGCTTGAACTTTTCACTGTGTTATACATAACTGGCAAGTGTAACTGGAGCATTCTGGTTCCATATCAGACCGTGAGGCGACATGTCATGTTGCAAAGAGGAATGAACGCTTGGTTGTAGTCCGAGATCATTATTCTCCGGTAGAATGTCGAGATAAACATGATCATTGCCATGCGGCAGAAAGCCCGGGTAAATCTGATCATCACTGGACATGGGAGAAGCAGTTGCCGCGAGCTCGTTGGGGTTAAATAGTGCATCTTCCCAGGCAATGTCGGGATGATTGTTCTCAGTGAGCATGCGAGAGAGATCTATCCTCGAGAAATCATCCCCCGGACGATCAACCTCAGTAATAGAAAGTAATTGCAGCGTGTCATGATGAAGGGACTGCCACAAAGATGGTGAAGTTGTTAAAGACCCTGTGCCCTCAACAGTGGCGCGGATACCAAGACATAACCTGCGAATATTCGCCATTTTCTGCTCCAGCTCGGTGACTTTAGTTTCAAGAAAAGCCATCCTTTCCTCTTTGCGGGACCGATGGGCTCTCTGCGCTAAACGAATCTGCCGCTTCCGTTTCTATTTCCCTGTAAATTAGTCCGGGAGCAACCGTCATGAACCTTCATGGGTACTTACGTCATTGGCCATTTCCTCACTCTCGTTCATTCGAGGACGGCCTCGTCTTCTGTGTTTTGTTTGAGACTTCGCGGCTTCCGTTCCAGTCGGGGCCTCCAGGGCGAGTGGATCGTCGGTCAATCCCGCATGCATCATCTTGTAGTGCTCCCTGACCACCTCGGGTGAGAGGACACCATGAAATACGATGGAATCTGTTCCCTGGGGTAGGCCATGGTCGGCTTCGCCTGTGACTCCCATCTTGAGTAGGATGAGATACGAGATGAGAGAGGGTTTAAGGTTGGATGTAACAAAGTCCTCCGTAATACCTGTTCAATGTTCCACCAGAAACGAGGAGGATTCGCACCGTCCACCGTTCTGGCCAGCTGACTTTATAGGCCTCGGCCTGAATGCATGATTCGGAGACACCGACCCAATTCCCTTAGGTGAGCAGTCAATAAACTGAAGAAATCGCCTCCTGCCCCCTGCCAGCCGCGCTATCGTAAGCAAAATCGCGAGAAAACTCATAGGGAGACCTGACAACACCTACTCTTTTCAGTAAGGGCCTTGTCCATCAAAGCGGATCTTCGGGGCACCGATTGTTGTCCAATCTATTCACACAGTGCATCTAGCATCGTGGCGGCTCTAGGGATTGGGTGATGCGCGGGTTGGAATTGAGCCAGACCTCGTATTTCGCCAATTGATCCATGAGGCGATGCAGTGGGAAGAAGTGGACTTCGGGCCAACTAAATTGTGGAGGTGCCTGATAGACCAGGCCCCTGGTCCCTTCCCGATTTGGAACTGCGACTGCCTAATATGGCTTAGCCCGCCTACATTCGTGACGGATAGCGCTAATCCTTCTGGGCCTTGGCCTGTTTGCCTGGTTTGTTCTGTTTGGCGATCGGGGATGTTATCCTTTCCTCTTGTACAACTTTCATCCGTCATGTTCATCACTCTCTCTCCTTCCCCAGACATCAAATCAATCATGCGCTTCCATGACTCAGGTTCGCTCACAAACCAAATAAGCCTCACGGTCATGAATCAGCTGAGATGCAGTTATCTCCGCCTAGATCCCGAACAGCCCAGTGCTAGTGTGTGTGTTTCGCCTTAAAGCAGCAAATGGTCAATTTGTGGCGTCGGGCAAGACGATTCTGGCGTCTTCTGCAGACATAAGATTGGAGGCATAATCACTGCCTAAACTATGATTACTGATCGTACCGACACTTCGAGATTAGATTCTTTGCTTATGTCCAATTATCCTTCGCGATTACGCCTGCTACCGACTTACCAGACCATCGCATGACGAGAGAATCCACAATGCGGCACTATCGCGATTCCTCTGCACACAATTGCCCCATTCCCCGGGATTTGAACCATACGCCATCTGGGACGGCTTGATGACATGTATTTCCCCGGTGAAGCGTATAAAGTGTCGCTGCGAAGACCTGTTGAGGGATTGTGTTCAACATCGACTTATTCTTCCCTGATCTCACCAGCACTTTCCACAACGGAAACAACAAGATGTCTACAGACGGCTATAGGAACATCATCCTCATCGGCGTACGTCAGAACCCTGATTGCCCCATCATGTACCCCTCGAATCTAACCCCAACAACAGGGAAGCGGCTCTCTAGGCAGCGTCCTCCTCCAGTCCCTCCTCTCTGAGCCCAAGTTCAACGTGACCGTGCTCACACGAGAGTCATCCAAAGCGCGCTCCAGCATTCCCTCAACGGCCAAGGTCATCACCGTCCCTGACTCCTATCCCCAGGAGGAACTTGTCAAAGCGTTCGTGGGCCAGGATGCTGTGGTGAACGCCATTACGAGCTTCTCCGTGGCCGAGCAGCTACGCTTCATCGATGCCGCTATCAAAGCTGGTGTCAAGCGCTACGTCCCGTCCGAGTATGGCCTCGATAACAACACCCCCAAGGCGCAGGAACTAGCTCCCGTCTTCAAGGAAAAGGGTCTTGTGCAGGAGTATCTCCGGGGAAAGGAATCGAGTGGGTTGACTTGGACGGCTATTGCTTGTGGAATGTGGATTGGATGGTATGTTATCAACACATTTCATTCCTTTTAGAAGTGGGTTTCTAAACATCGAGCTGGCTGATCATTCTAAGGTCCCTTCGCAACAACTTCCTCGGATTCAACTATGCAAACCGCACCGTGACCTTCACCAACGACGGAACCGGATATTTCTCCACCACTACGCTAAACAACACCGCGTTGGCTCTGAACCGCATCCTCCTTAACCCCAGCACCACGGCCAACCAGATCGTTTTTACCAGCGACTTCGCGACCAACCAGAAGGAACTCGTTGAGACGATCGAGCGTCTCACAGGTGACAAATGGCAGCGAAAGTCCATCGACACGAAGGAGGTCATTCCGTCCCTCAAGTCGGCGTGGGAGAATGGCGAAGCGCTCGCGGGTTACGGATTGATTAATATTGGGTTCACCGAGGGCTCGTACAGTGGATACTTTGAGCCTACCCGCCAGATCCGCAACAAGGAGCTTGGACTTCCCGATAAGACGATCGATGAGGTCGTGAAGGAGGCTTTGGGAGAGGTCGGACATGCGGGTTTCTAAACTGGAGTGCATAGCAATATTGGTCTCATTTTATCTTATATACTATTGAAGTAGCATGATATTGTGTTGTTCATATTACCATCACGCACGCCCTATCCGTTATCATTGAAATCAACTAATCATCCTTCGGACCAATATCCCCTTCCGCAATTTGCAACCATTCCAACGCCGTCCAGTCTTTCGAATAATCCTCCATCCCGACTGAGCTGTTTCTCTCTGGCGACGTTTCAGACATTGTCAAATCCCCTGTCTTCGAGGATGTCTTGCCAATAGATCCAGAATCATCGCTGCTGTTCTCACTAGTGCTGTCGTCCTCACTATCGTCCTCTGCTGTGACAACTTCACGGTAAACATACGGCGCGTCGAAGAAAGGAATCGAGTCCACGTTCCAGGGAAGGATGAATTTCTCCTCTGCTTCGCTTTCTGTTTCGTAATCTATGTCTTCGTCTTCATCTTCTTCGTCTTCATCATCACTTTCGTCATCGTCATCATCACTGTCGTCATCTTCATCTTCTTCTTCCTCGTCTTCCCACTCGTCTTCTTCGTCATCGTCTTCCTCATCTTCGTCTTCCGAATCGCTCAATTCCGGCCATCCATCTTCCTGCCTCTGCAAAGCCTTCTGAAGCACTTCATTGGCATTCTCCAGTACGTCTTCACTCAACTGAGATGGCTTGCAATCAACTAAACACCACCCTGCACCGTTTCTCATCAGCAGCTCCAGTCCATACTCCCAGCCGGCGATCGCAGCCGCATGCAAAGCGGATCGATAAGCCCCACCCACAGCGTTAACATCTGCACCTCGCTCAATGAGAAGTCCTGTGATATCAGGGTCGTATTGCACGCACGACGCCTGAAGCGCGGTGTGATACTTGCCGCCTCGAGCGTTGACGTCGGCGCCGTGGCGCAGGAGAATGAGAACCCCTTCGAGATACCCAGCAGCGCAGGCCGCTTGTAAGGGATATCCGTAAATACCGCCCTTCGCGTTCGGGTTGGCGCCTCTTTTCAGAAGGAGCTCGATAGACTCGGCCTCGCCGATCATCATACAAGCGGCTAAGGGGGTGCCGAATTTGCCACCCAGAGCGTTGACGTTCGCGCCTTTCTTGACGAGGTATTTGATTATCTCGTGTTTGCCTGTGATGGAGGCCGCTTGGAGAGCGGTGCTGTATCTGCTTGGGCTGGCGGTGTTGATGTCGACGCCCTGCTTGATCAGGTACCGGACTATGGGTAATGAGCCCTTGTATGAGGCGTATTCGAGAGTGGAACCGCGGATTCCACCGCAAATGTGAAGATTGGCGCCGCGTTCAACGAGGCGCTTGAGTGTCGGGAGGTCACCAGCTCCAATTGCCGCATGTACGGCAGAGGGATAGTATTTATTTCCTTCGAGGTTGACATCCGCGTCGGCATCCAAAAGGGCTGTAATAGCATCTTCGTCCTCCAATGCGACGGCCGCTATCAGGGCGTTGCCATATAGACCTCCACGTGCGTTGATGTCGGCGTTTTCCTCAATCAAATAGTTGATGGCATCATCTGAGCGCCTGGCGATGCAAGCTTGGATTGGGAAGCCGTATTTGCGAACCGGGGCATTAGGGTCCGCTTGGTATTGCCGAAGGAGCCGCGCGACCAGCGTCTGGCAGGATCCGGAGAGGGCACTGCCAAGGGCAGTTCCATATGTTCCGCCATAAAGAGTATGAGATGCCCCATGGTCGAAGAGAAGCCAGATGACTTCATAAAAGCCTCCTGTGTAGGCCGCTTGCAATGCAGTACCGTAGATTCCGCCCACAATGTTCGGGTCCGCTCCATGCTCCAACAACATTCTACATGCATCAGGACCATTTTCCGAGGCTGCTGCCTGAAGAGCCGTGCAGTATTTACCCCCTTTGGCGTTCACATCAGCTCCACCGTCAAGGAGAATCTGAACGATAGTCTCGTGCAGGTGATAGGCCGCAGCCTGTAATGGGTAAACATTATCAAACTCCTTTGTGAGCGGTGAATTGACATCAGCTCCCCTCTCAATCAGTAGTTTTACGATATCTTCAGATCCCTGGTCAACAGCCGCAAGCAACGCACTGCCATTTTCGCCAACATTCTTCACGTTGACATCGGCACCAACGTCCAAGAGCAATCGAACCACGTCAACTTTCTCCTGAAGTGCGGCGGCTTGTAGAGCCGTCCCATAAGTCCCGCCAACTTCATCGACGTCACTTCCGAGTTCGATCAAAGTCTGAATGACATCTATATCACCACGATAGCACGCCGCTTGCAGAGCAGATTTGAAGTGGCATTCCGTTGACTCTACTGACAAGCGTGCTCCTTTTTCGAACAACTTGCGGACTGTTGTCGACGATCCCGACAGAGCTGCAGTTTGGAGTGCCGTTACAGCAATGCCGCCAGAGTCCTCCTGACTATCCTCAATTTGGAGGTTCACATCAGCCCCTTTGTCCAACAGAACGTCTATGACGCGTTGATCATCCGACTCTGCGGCAAGTTGCAAGCAAGAATAATAGTTCGCGCGGGATGAATTCACATCCGCACCCTTGTCGATAAGATACATGAAAATGTCGTAGTCTTTCACATGAATTGCCACTGCAAGAGCACAGGCACAGTTGGCGTCGGGCGATGCTATGGCATTTATATCAGCACCAGAATCGACTAGAATCTTGACGATGTCTAAGTTTCTTCGTTCGCTGAGGATAGCTGCTATCAATGGCATGCTGAAATGGCCTTCGTTGCAATAGTTCACATCCGCACCTCGATCCAATAATAGTTGTATCACGGCGGGGTGTGCTTTGTTTGCTGCAGCCTCCAGGGCAGTACAGAGAGGATAGCCCGACATGGTGCTGACGTCATTCATAACGGCACCTGCTTCGATGAGTGCCTCGACGACTTCAACATGTCCCTTCCGGGCAGCTATCATAATCGCGTTGTCTATCTCTTGAGTATCACCAGACGGGACACCCAACTCAAAGAGAAGAGAAATGATTTCTGAATCTCCATTTTGAGCAGCGGCAATGAGGGCTGTTCCTCGGTCACCACCGGAAGCATTGACATCCACGCCGGCGTCTGCCAGGACGCGCACAATATCCTTATGTCCAGCAAAGGCAGCCACCTGCACTGCATTGCCATAGTGCTCGTCGAAGAATTCAACGTCCGCACCTTCCTCAAGGAGATGTTTCACAATTTCAAGGTGGCCTTCCGCGCTGGCAGCATTAAGTGCATTACGGTGCTTGCCGCCCCTGGCATTGACATCGGCACCCAATTCCAACAGAAGTTTCACTGCAGCCAAGTTCCCTGTCATACAGGCAGCATACAGCGCATCAGACCCTTTGTCATTCTCATCATTCACCCTAGCACCGTGGTCCACCAGTGAGCGTATCAAGTCAAGCATGCCCATATGTGCAGCAGCCATCAAAGGACAGCCATGTCGACCACCAAAAGCATTGACATCAGCGGCGTTTTCAAGCAGAATCTCTATGATCTGCATGTTCTTGCCAACAATCGCCGATGTCAGTGGATATGCGTACCAGCCTCCACGACCGTTCACATAAGCCCCGTGTTCGATCAATCTCTGAACCGTGCGCAAGTGGCCCTTTTCTGCAGCAGATGCCAAAGGCACTCCATATCGTTTGCAAGCAAGGTTGACGTCTGCCTTATAATCGAGAAGTACCGAGACAACTTCATAGCGACCCTCGAGAGCGGCAACCTGTAGCGCGGTCCCATTCTTGCCACCGCGAGAATCCACCTCAACTCCAGCGTCTAGTAGTTGCTTAACCACCTTTTCATGCCCTCTGGATGCAGCCACATAGAGACACTGGGAGAGTATTGATGGGTCCACCGGGTTGCATTTGTCCAAGAAGATCTGGACGACATCATCATGGCCAGCATTACCTGCCGCCTTCATTGGCTCTTTGATGTCCATCTCGTTGGTGCTGCTTTCTATAAAAGCCGACACAACAGTATGTAAGCCGAACAAGGAGGCAAAGTATAGTGGCGTACAGTTCGAAAACTTCAGGACTTGGCCGACTGCTTTCTGAAGATGTTGATAGATCCGGCACCATAACTTATAGTTTCCCTTGTTCGCATCGCCAGATTCAAAGAGTCTCATTATCAGATCAAAGACATCATCGTTCAATTCACTGAGGCGGGCGTGGGATCCCCAGGCCTGAACCGCGTAGGATAAAAACTTGTATTCCTCAAATTTCTGGAGAAGCGCATCACCATTGCCATGCGGATCCTCCGAGAAATCATCAAAGCATAGGTATGTGAGACATACACTGGCTAGCTCAGTGTGAACATCACCATTCCCCACCCAGAATTGTGGCATAACCTCTTTGAGGCTTTCGGAGACAAGGAATTCCTTGACGGTATAATGCGCCAAGCCAACCGATCCGTTGGCCGACTGGCTGACAAGGCTTCCGCACAGTTCGATTACATCTTCTGGGTCAGTGAACACGGCATCAAAATCAAACGTATCCTCGGCCTCTGCAGGAACAATGCTAACACATTCAGCCAATTCGCTCAGAGTGAGATTTCGTACACCTCGAACAAGCCATCTGAGTAGACGGTGTACTATCTCAACTTCGTCTTCGTTCTCGTTTTGCAGTCTCTGGAGGATACGGAAATATGTGTCGTGCAATGTTTTTGGTAGATCATCCAATGCGTTTCGGACAGCTTTGTCATTACGAAGTCGACAGAGCTGATCAATCTGACATTTTACCCATTGGAACATGCCATGGGCGCCTTGAATCAATCGATCTGAGATGATCTGACTCAGCTTCGGGTCACGGAGCTTCAGTTTTCTTGCTTTGATCTTCGCTGCAACCTCCGTTTCCACATACAACCGGATATCACCTGCGACATCTTCCGGCTCAATAGAAGCGTTTGGTAAATTTTCGAACGTGCGGGCGATATCAACCTCGTTACGACTTGTGACAAAGATTCTGGAAGAGCTGCAACTTTCGGAAATGGATTTTGTGGCGTATGCAACACACTCACGGTCTTCGGTCTCATCGAGAGCGTCGATGATAATGAAAATTTGCTCGAAAGAATCGCCGACAAAATGACTGAAATTATTGAGAAGTTCGTCAAATTCTGGGGCGTAACCCGGGTTTTCTTTCAATTGTTCTTCGAAGAATTTCTGGATCCTGAGAAATACTTCGTCGTTCTGAGAGGCAATCGAGGACAGGAGTGTACTGACAATGCTCGTAGGCGATTGTTTCTGGGTGTCTTTGTAGTCGCAATAGAAGTACGCCAAAGCGACGTCTTGGTTCTGCTTGTGTTCGCGAAGATAGTTGATGACAGTTGATGCTAGGACGGTCTTTCCAGCTCCGGCTAAACCACAGTTAGAATATCACATGCTTTTGAATAATGGCTCAAATCTCTTACGAATTGCATGCAGCCAGAGAAACGAGTTCCCTGTCGACAGCCAGTTCTGAAAGGGGCTACTTTCAAGAAACCAGACACCTGTCCCGTCGTGCCGCAACTTGGTAGCCGCGTTGTGGTTCGAGGCGGCATTCACGGGCGCAAGCCAGTTGTTCACCTGTGTAATCCTCTGCTGGTCGATGTACTTGGTGACAGATCTCTGATTCGATTCGAGTTTATCCCAACGATCTGTTTGTCGCTGGCGCTCCCGCTCCGCCTTGCTTCTCTCTTCACTAGCAAGTTCTTTCTCGGAGATCTCAACCTCGTGCTGGATACGAGCCATCGCTGACTTGATGTCTCCGACAATGCTGCCGAACTGGGAGTTGAACGGTTTCCAGATGAGTTTCCATGCCGTATGAAGACCCACGGGGGTAAATGCGCGGACACCTTTCTGATGCTTTTTGCCCTGGTGGAAGACATTCCGAGCCTTGACGCAGAACTGGACAATCGCCTGGAAAATATCCACCATGGCTTCTTGGAGAATTTTGTTATCGGGGTAGAGTCGAGGATATCGACGGAGGGTAGACAGGTGTTCTCCGATTTCCTCGAGCATGCTCGACAGCTTCTCAAAGTATTCCCCGAATTCTTTCGCGACCTAGTATGTGTAAGTTGGAGGCACACCTCGAGACAAGACACAGCCCGTAGGTCTATACAGAGGCCACTAACCGAAAGAACAACTCGTACAGACGCCCATATCGGGGACATCAACGACACCGAACCAGCTAGGACATCCAACGCCGTTCCATATTGTTCAATCCCCGCCACGAACTTGGTTATACCCGGACCAATTTTTCTTGAGATCGAGCCCTTCTGACAATCATCCACCTCACGAAGGTCATCGATCAACTGTTGCGACTTCTCCGTAGCCTCGAATAGCTCGCTCTCGTCGGCGGATAGATTCTGGATGAAATCCAGCACGGCCTCGTGGCATTCATCTTCGATACTAGACGCATGCAAGATCACACCAATCAACCTCTGAATTGAATTCCTAGTCGCTCCAAGGGACGGATATACCTTGTAAATTGCACTTGTCGCATCTTGTTGAAGAATCTCGATTAGGCGACCATGGCTAGAATTCGAGGATTCTAGGAGTCTGGAATTTCCAAACACAGGACAGGGTAGATGTGGGGAAAAATCGTCTAAATCCATGGTTTGGTCGCAGCCTCGCAGGGGCTAGGAGCACCTGGCAGTACGGCTGAAAGACCCCGCACTAGCAGGCATCTTCTGCTGGCGGTCTGACCCACGACCGGGCCCTTGGGCTTGATTCGTGAGGATGACACTGGCATCCCTGCCGATGCTGGCGTTCATTAAGAGGCTTGAAACCAAGCTCGTATCGAGACATGCTATCCCTGTTGATGCTGTAGGATAGAAGAGAAATTGGTGTGGCTGAAACCTCCGGGTTTTCACACCGGCGTGATGATGGTTGATGAAGGACGATACGAGAAGTGTGAGACCGAAGGGGCCAAAAAAAGGTGGTGTTAGCGAGTCAGGAGTCAGCCCAGGGGTCGTTATCGATAAGCCCGACCCTTTGGGGACAAGCGCGGCCACGCCATTTCGATGGCCTCGGAGGACAGCTTCTCCATTTTGCAGCAGCGATTGAACAGTGACACTCAGATACTAAATAGAGAGCCACAAATACTCAGAGCTGTCTTTTTACCTAGCATAATGTTTCCCTCATTCTATACAGGTTATTTTTAGGATCTTACTGGGCAGAATGTCTGATATTGTCCGAAATATATATCGGACATTATATGAGAGATAATTTGGACATAAGCCGTGAGCTCGAGAAGGATAGCTGTCGCTGTGACTTAAAAGGCAAGACATTACGGAGTTGTTAAGTGGAATATCTGTTTTTTTCAAAGAAAAATGTGTGTGTTTGGCAACAGGAACATCCCTTAGGCACCCAAAAGTATGGCCTGATAAAATGCCCGGCGGTTTGCACCTCAGGCAGCCAAGCCTTCTGCTGAGGCAGTAATAACGAAGCGGCCCGAAATCTCAGGCCCCACCATAATGGTCTAGGCCTGCCCCTTGCTTCCCACTAAGAAAATGAAGCTGACAAAAAGGAAATGATACAACAACGGAATGATACCAGCATAAACTTAAAGTATGCCATTACTTTCATATCTGATAACATATACCTCATACTTCATATAGCGCTGAATCATGAACAGATCAGAAAAGTTGCCGTCAACAAGTCGAACCAGACACAGTCTCGAGATCAATACTGCCATTCTGATCATCCTCCGAAAAGATATCCTCCAGATACGGCACATTGAAAACATGGCCCCGATGGACCTCGCGGATGGTCCCCGCGCTGACAACCACCCAGAGCAGTATCACCATCGTACTAAATATCTGATCTAGCAGTTAATGCTCCAGTCGACCCTGGATGTTGTTGCAAGGGATAGCAACTTACCGTCCCCATCACTTTGAAAAACATCGAGGACATCTCAACCCCGAGCTGAATCGTGTTGACGCAGAACACCCCGAACGGAAAGGTTGTTGCCCACCAGCCCATGTTGAACGGGACGGGCCATGAGCGGATTACCGTCGCGAAGGCGAAGACAAGCCATAGTAGACTGAATCCCCACAGCGCTAAGGCGACCATTATACCCAACACGTAGGCGACATCGCCGACCATGGGGTGAATGGGATTGCCCTTGTTAAAGGCAGTGGTAGAAACCTTCCCTAGGTACATGATGCTGGAGGACAAAGACTATGATTTAGTGGAGGGCCCGCATTGTCGGTTTTAGTGAACTTACCCGAATCCGCCAAATCCCATGGGCCCGAGTGTTAGAAAGGAGCTCATAGCCAGCTGCTTTGGCGGTAACTTGTGCAGAATAAGGCGTTGATAGTATATGACGAGAATCATCATGGCCATGGACATGCTTAGACTCCAGAGCAAGTAGGACGTGATAATCGTGCCTCTCATATGTGTCAAATTAGGCAAAACGGCGGAGACTTCTGCGCCGACGCCGGCAGCAACAATTGTTGCTGCAATGGGGACGAGCTGAACAGCCGTGATCTTGTCCAAGGATGTTGTGTGATTCTGGCAAAGCCTAAGGATTGCGTCAGAAGAATAGCAAGATTATCCGTAGCGCAGCGCCCTACAAAAGAAAAGCGATGGCCACCGTGATCACAACCGAAACAGCCGTGTCAATCATCCACGCCACCCAGGCCAGAGTTGTCGCCCAATTTCCCCATATAGGGACACAAATAAAGATCCACATCTCGATGAGGGTAGCGAAGCCGATGGGACACGTCGCCAAGAACAAAGGGTCGACCGGGTCGCGCAGCATGACAGGCCAAACTCGCGGATATAGCATGTATCGAAGGACGGTCAGTCCCGTTCCTAGTGTAAATAGGAAGGTGTTGAGAATGAAGAAGACGATCGAAAGGTAGTATAGCCACGAGGCGTGAAACGGAATCAAAAAGAGCAGGATGGCGGCGATTCCCGTCCCCATAGTTACGGCGAACCATCTACCAAGGCCGTTAGCCAGTAACTCAACAGTCCGTTGTTCCTCCATACGGTGGTCCAAATCCCAAGACTATTCGCCGCCATCCCATAATGTAGAAGCCAGCTCTCATGAGGCCCGGTATATTGTTCTGACTGTGGGTGTTGAATTCTGAAGCAGAAACTCAGCATGTCGAAGGACTTTCGGAGGTAAGCCACCTACAGCATGAAACCGATCGAGCGAAGGAACGGTATGGGTCGGCATGACGTACAAGTTGGGTAGCCGGACTGGTCCCAGCGGAACCAACCCAAACAGGAACATCTGCTAGCGATCGTTAATCCAATGAGACGAGGAAATACCGGGGCCTGGGGTATGTTGGAAAGATCGCGGTGTTGTGGCATCGTAAACTCCACTGACCTTGTTTGGGGGATTCCTCGTTCCGTTGATGATCTCGCGCGCAGAGTTCTTCTAACCTGTAAAGATGAGATGAACTCAATTAAGAAGGAACGAACACGGAATTCGATGGATACTGAAGGTCGGCGATTTAATTGACTGAGAGAAAAAGAGAGAAAAGTTCGACAATAAGGCGGGCCACGTGCTGTCACATGCCAGACAGCAGAATGTTGACTGTTGTTGAATTTGTTGAGCTCACTTGAAAAGGGACCAAGGCTCACATTAAGATAGATCACATAACCTTGGAAGAAAAGAAATGATATCTCGCGTCGCCGCATTTTGCACTGAGACCGTATTGTCTGACTCTTCCATGTAAACGGTATCCTTGCGACCACCCCGACTCCTAGACTCAGATACTAAAGAGATTACGACAGAAAAGCAAATAAAGCCCCGATACCTTTGCCAGGATTTAATGTGATCTAATAAGGGATGGGAGGAAACTTTCTGGACACAGACTGGGACATAAGTACTTACTGTTGGCTACTAGGGACTAATTTTAGAGAATTCCGATGATATCCCAGTTAGGATATTCCCACTTGCTTCACATCATAAACACCTCCTATATTATGGGACGGCATGTTCATAGTAATTTTCTTACTAATGCCATGACTTTAGAATCGATCAGGTACGTCTTTTCAGTTCGCTATTCCCGATGGAAGAATTGTGGCAATTCCGATACAGTATTAGGGAGAATTTCGCAAGGAGCCTAGGATGAGTCACCTTGGTATATTGTGAATTTGCAGACATCGTGCCAGCCTCTATGCCAATTTTCATGACTTTTTCGGGGCGATGCCTGGGCAATCCCCTGATCAATGATATCAATTGTCCAGCGTAGCAACAAATGTGCTTTGTAGGAAGTATATTTCAATTTTGGCCTCTGTGGTGAACGAGTAATTGACGACTCTCTTTCACATAGAGTGAGTGACGTGGATGGTGTGGCCCGAAGAGAATGTCCGTTCGAATGGTATATTGACTGCGGTGCTAACATATTTACATGTAAGAAAAAGGAAAAAACTACCTTCTGGACATGCCGAAACAGATGTTTATTTGCCCTTAGCAGCAAGCATCTTCGCCTCGCGCTCGCGCACGCACTGAGCCATCTGCTCACCAGTCTCCGTCTTTAGGTTGTCGAATCCCTGAGCAACGCCTGCTCGATCCCCCTCGCCCATTTCCTGACTCATTTTAAACTTCCCTCCCAGGTGAGTAATATCGATCTTAATGCCAATGATCGCCTTCTGCAGGAGAGCAATGTATCGATCCGGCGCATCAGACACCTTCCACTGACTCGGACAGTCACCGCCGGTGTACCCCATGATCGAAGTCTCGGCATGGTCCGTAAGGGCATTGATTTGCGACGTCAAGTACTCCGTCGACTCCGCTCCGGTATCGAGATAAACCGTGGCCTTTCCGTAGGCCTGGACCGCGGAGTAATTCCACGTGGGCACCACCTTGCCCGTATCGGGCTTGGTCTCGGTGTAGAACTTGGGGGTGACGTAGTGATGGGCCGGGCCGTTGAACAGGACCATGACTTCGTCTTTGAGCTGGATGCCGCCTGTTGCGCCGGGGTTCGCGGCTGTCGCGGATTCAATTATGGCCTTGGCTTGGGGGTTCTGTCGGGCCATGTGGCCGCGCAAGACTCCGAGTTCGGTTTCGCTGTCATCATCGGCGACGTCGAGAACCCAGGGGATATGGCTGGATTGGATGAATGAGTAGACCGAGGAGGAGATGGCGGTGGTTAAGATGCCGAGAGGATTGGCCTTCACGAATTGGCGAAGGGTGGGAATGTGGGTTTCGGCGTGGATTGCTCGGAGATACATGGTGGGAGGATAGACCGTTTGACTCTGTTGTCAAAAGAAAAACGTGAGATGGAAATGCAGACCTGCAGTATGGCTGCCGTCGAGCCTTTATACTTGTGGTCAGTTCTGGCCATCGGCGTTGGTGGCCAATAAGGAATGGATGATTATATGGAGGACTCCCCGGTTGACGTTGACTCACGCCGCGGAACAGGGCCGGTCGCTCGTCCATTCTATCAACCTCGTGGGGGAATTCGTCATTGGTCGTGGTCGATCTCCACTGGAGCGGGGCAACTCTTTTGCCATTGATGTTGTTTTGTTTTCACTTTCGTCGACAAATCGACGATGCAAGAAGGCTCCGCAATCAGGCGATAGGATTAAGATCCGGGGCTAGTGGCTGCTGCTTAACTCATTTCTAATCAGGCAGTTCTGGAACGCCGCTGGGAAGGGCGCAAGGGCGTACTCCGTAGGGCCGACCTGCTAGAAAGTTGAAAATACACCCTTGCGGCTGTCGGGAATGAGGGGCAGTTGAAAATCATTCCCGACATTCCCGATTCCGGCAGGTACATGCGAAGTTTCTACAAAGATGTGAATTTTCCATTCCCAGCAGGCAGTTTTTACAGTTTCACTCTACACAACTTCCTGTTTGAGTAGGTGGGTCTGTCACCATCTCTGTCTGTATCGGGTTTAGCCTGTTTAGAAGAGACCCACTTACCAACGCCTCTTCACCAGTCCATATTTACTTCTTCTATGGTCAACCGGGGTAATTGTATGCAATGTCATTTGTTGCCAGGAAAGTGAAGTTACTAGCGTTACTGCGACATTGACACCCCAGAAAAAGGTCAAGCTGCATGAAAGAAATAATCTGGTAGGCACAAGGGAACTTGACTAACAAGTCAAGGAGATAGTAAGACTACCATGAAAAGGACAGAAACCATGCAGACAAGGCAATAGAGAGATGGAGAAGACAAGATCAAAGATATCAGAGCAGGCGCTGGGTGTCCCGAATGGGCATGATTCAGTCGAATCGCCAAACATTCAGTCCGAATTCCCAAATCACCAGCGACTCAGTATCGATAGGCTTTATCTCGGAGGGGTCATCTTTGACAACGTGCGCGAAACCGACAAGGTAGCTAGTAACCGTTAACAAAATCCCTTAGGTAAATTGCGGGGTTGCAGCCAAGTAGGAATCGAACTTACATTGCTTTGGTTTCCCTGTCGTACAGAACATCCTCCGAGTAGGCCTGGGCGTATTCCCAACCACGGATGCGCAGGTTTCTATTGATATCATTAGGACGAAAAAGCTATGAAAGACTCTGCAGACAGGGCGTCTTACTCGCAAATTTCGATCAGCTTGTTCTTCACATGATAGATTTCGACGTCGCTGAGATCACGGTAGTCGAGTAGGCAGCGCCCAGGGAGCATGGTCATTGCGATCAGGTTGACGTATCCATCCTTGTACTCAAAGTCGGGGCCTTGGACTCTGCACTCGTGTCCCAAGACAATGGGCGTTCGGACCGGCGAGGTATCACTGCAGTCCTTGAGGGCTTGCACTTGTTCGTTGAATCCCCTCTAGATGGCAATGGTTATCACAACAAAATTCTTTACTATATTCACATTCTGGGTACTCTTCTTGCCTTGGCCACCCTAGCGATTCCTTCTCTCTCGTCTGGGTATGGGATGTTCAAGGGATGCCGTCTAATTTTGAATACTGGTTAGACTGGCCAAGGGAGGTAAAGAAGGCGCTTTGAACATACTGGATGTGCATTTTGATGACGGTGTCAAGCATGTCACTCTCACGTTGAGCATAGAAAACACCAATGCGCTCGTTGTCATACACGTTGACTTTCTCGGAAATGAGCCGTGTCAACAGATACGAGGTTCCCTCGACATGGATGTTTGTCCCCTGGAAACGCATCAGAGTAGTATCTTGAAGTAAAGAACCCATGACAGCAGTATAAATGTGGCTTGATTTCTGTTGAGAACTGAAGAACATAAAATAGAGGGTTGACTGTTGGTGGATTGCGGGGCGGTGGTTGACACGGAAAAGCTTGGCTGAAATGCCTACCTACTTATGATGTCAGGTGAATAGCTTGCACACGCAAAAATGGAATTTTTGGGACAACCTCGGCTCTGCCAAAGTCCCTCCATTATGCCTTATAGTAATATGGTAATATCGCAGATAGACTGAAACGACTCCAGTAGACCTCTGTAGGAATTTCACAGCCTAGAGTACAAGATACAGTACTATACAAACTAGCTATTTCCTTGACCAGCGGCGCAGCCTTCCCAATCACAAACCGGCATTTTAATCCTTTACAATATCAGAAGATCGCGTCGTGTACACTGGGTAATATACATCCGTAATAGATTGTTCATAGAATGGGTTTCACCAATAATCCCACCTGCATCTAAGGAGTTGATAAAAGAGCACCGGCCATATAGTATTGCAAAGTACCAAATCCTGTATGATAAGAGAGAAATGAGAAAAGAGCAATTAAGAATATGAAGCTTCCTCTTATCCAGCATATTCCAGACTACCTACAAAGGGAACGAGCCCCGCCTTTGTGGTTATATGAAGCTAAGCCTGGTGAATGGAGACTAGACCATCCCACAGACTTTGAAGTATGTTATAGTGAATAAAGCCTACTACAGTGAATGTACTGGTTAAGCTCAAAAGCATGACATTATGGGACCTCTGCCATCCCCTATCGTAGCTCTCGAATTAATTTTGCAGCTACATCCTAGCTAGACAAGGGCCACACGAACCCTCAAAACAATGGATCCCACAAAGCAGCGGCAGACTTTGTGGTCTGCCCTCCCCGAGCTGCTCGTCAGACATGGAGAAAAAACCGGTCCATCGAGGTCATATGATTTGCTTTCGAAAGATCAGATTGCCGAGTGGAAAACTTTTGAAAACGAAGTACGAGAGGACACAAAAGCGAAAAACGGTAACCCGGAGCAAGCCTTGATTAGTCCTCCTACTGTTGACTCCTATGTCGTCGCGACTGAAGATGGTATCCAGGCCCGGTTTATCGAGCAGATTTGCTCAGAGATTGGGAAGATTTTCGAAGCCCAGGGGATCTCAGTGAGGTTTGCTGATAGGTCAACCGGTCAGCATGCCATCACTGGCCACAATCCAGATGTGATTATTCAAGGAACATCCCAGGATGGAAAAACCAAAGTCGCGGGCGAGATCAAAACCCCATGGACGACGACTCTGATGTCGTTGGACTCAAAAGGCATTAGGCGTGTTCTCGGTAGGTGGCAGGGCGAAGAGATAAATAGCCTGGACTCCATGCTAAGAGAATAAATAGGCCAGATCGTGCGATACATGGATCGATATGGATGCCGGTACGGGTTTGTCAGTACATACAGACAGACTGTGTTCGTAAGGCGAATGTCTCCATACAGGTTCCAGTTTAGTCCAGTTATTATGCGCGGCCAAGACTCCCAAATCAGTCTGAATTTGAAGGTTTCAGTGCGCGAGGCTTTCTACTTCCTCGCTAGAGTAGCATCACGCGACGATTGGAAGTATCACGGAAAAGTGATTGGAGATACCTTGGTGAGTGTTATCTGGCGGAAACGGATGAGACTGTACTAAACGCCATGCATATAGGTGGACGGAACCTGGAAAGCTTCAATGCCCGTCCGGAACTAGGAAGATGGTCGAAAGGCGCTCATACGTGGAAGTTTTGCGAATGTTAACCGAGCTCAGGGAAAGAGGAAATTCATGAAATTGGCAGTGCGTTCCAGCCAGGGACAGAACGGCATGGTGTTTACTTTTGACGACCTTCGTTTATTTTTTTATGCCAATTGGAAGGACATTTGGGTCTACATTTTCTATTTTCGTGTTCTCCGACGATGCGAAGGGTACACCTCTACAGATAGGTAGTCAGCAATGGCCACGCGGATACAAACCAACTTTCCATTCCCCACATTCCATTGGACATGTCTTCCAGAGCCTCGCCGGACGGGCAGTGTAAGGCTGATGCTTAATTATTGCCTCATTCGTCTAGCGGGAGCTCTAAATACGAGGGCTGACCCGGTGGCTTACGGTACCCGCAATTGGAAAATCTGCCGGTCGATCATGGGGATTCTGGGGTTTAGAGTTCCATTGTCCACTGTGTTGCATTGCCACGCTTTCGATGGAAGACATGTCCACGGATCTATGCTTGGCGGACAGCCTGATTTCGGCGTCGATTGGTGGTGTTCGACGTGGTTCTTCGTACTTGTCACGTCGGGATGACCGGTTGAGCTGGTGTTCGTCATCTGCTTTGGATTTTGTATCCGTAAGGCTCTCAAGAGTCATGTTAAATTTAGAAACAGTGACGACTTCCTTCGATGGTCTGTAGTGGATGGAGATGATATAAATACCCCTTCGATTTCATGTCAAGATGAGTTCTCGTACACACAGATTCAATCAATCTCGAATACAAACCATCTCAATTACCCAATAAACAAGCCATCGTTCCTTATCAAAATGAAGTTCCTCGCTCTCGCTACCCTCGCATCCGTGGCGACCGCTGTGAACGTCGGAATTACATTCCACGGTGCCCGAGGCGAGTCCTACACCGTATCAATCCCGACCGATCGCACGAACGTTCAAATTGGTACGTGAACCATTATTTCTTAAGGGTACCACATTAGTTGCTGACAGACCATAGACAATCCGATGGTTGTCTACTCCGTCTCCTCCACCAAGGGTGGATTTTGTAATGTCGTTGGCGCCGAGGGAGAAGTGGTTGTGTTGTACTCGGATATGGAGAAGACCCTGCAGAAGCCTCAGGTTATGAAGAGTGGAAATTGCGGAACTATCTAGATTCTCTGTTCTTAGATCTAGTTGACTTCTGGTTTTGTGGTCGCAATATTGTTTCTTGCTTTCTTTTTGCTTTCACTGTTACACTTGATCTTTTGATTCGCTCTTGAGTCTACGGATGTCCTGTTCTGGATTCAAAGGTATGATATGATGTGGCGCTGAGCAAAGAGACATCTAATCTATTCGCAATAAAGAAGATAAACGTACCTGGGATAGACATGTAGCGGAATGTCCCTCTTTATAAGTCTTCTACTACGGAATCATTCGCTCGTGCCAGAAACCAATAGAGCCGATGCATCTGTGAACACCCAAATCGACATATCCACCCAATCAATACTCCGAAGTACTCCATAAACACCCGAAAAAAAAAAAAGAAAAACTATGTATAATGCCATGCTCCCAAATCGCTAAATAGCACCCAAACGCAACAATCACAGACGAGACCTCGGTCCACGAAATCTCCTCAGCGGCATAGAACCCCAGACAGGCTTCATTCTCATCCCAGGGAAGCCAGGACCCACAGGAACAGGCTCATGGCGAGAAAACTGCAACAGAAGATTGATGAGTTCCGATTTTCTGATAGGCTTGGACAGCACGTCGGTCATTCCTTTCTCGATGAATGCGTCTCTCTGACCCCGATGCCAGCAAGGGTGGATGCCGATTATGGGAGTCATTCTAATCTTGGGGTCATTGACAAAAGGTGCTTGCGATCGGATTATTTGTGTCGCTTCGATGCCGCCCATAATGGGCATAGAAACCTAGATGATTGGTTAATCTGCTTTATCTGGCTTTCTGGCATGTTGTGGAAGAATAGAAGGTATAGGGTAAGTGGGGTGACCTACATCCATCAAGATGATATCAGGGAGGGGACACGTATTTGGTGGACCGGCAAGGTAGTCGAGGGCTTCACGGCCATTGTTCACGATCGCAAACGAGCAGCCGACCTTCCTAAACGTTACCTCGCAGAGGCGCTGGTTGACGTGGCTATTTGAGACACACTGAGTTAGATCGATTAGTGAAATATCGGAGTCGGAAAGCTTACTTGTCTTCGGCAAGTAGGACATGCATTTTGGTTCAGATAGTGTGTTTGTTGATGCGCGCTTTTTTCTCGGTGGTCGTGGTTGCGGGGAGGAAGCAGGGAAGGCGTGTGGGGGGTGAAGATCTCTAAACGACGCTAAACGACGCTGGGCGATCGACGCTTCTGCCTGGTCACTCTCCTCTTAGCTTCTCTGTGCTGATTTGTTAAGCGAGAAATACAAATAGTGTGATCTCCTCCTGCGTCTTTCATAATAACTGCTCGCCTATACTTGAACTATAGCCAAACACGCCCACCATGGAAGAATTGTGGAGGATTTCGGCTACAACAGTACAATTTCGATTCAAGACTCAAGGGCTGACAGTCGAGGAATATGCTACCTCTCTCCTCTGTCGTACCGTGCAGCGAGACCACCACGTGAATGCATGGGTCTGTTATGACCATGACGCTATCATCGCTGAGGCAAAGAGGCTGGACAGGATTCCGCGCGAACAAAGAGGCCCTCTCCATGGTATTCCTGTGGGAGTTAAGGATGTGATTCTGACGAAAGGTTATTGACAACAATTTATCTCATACATTCTATGCATATAGTGACAGAGTGGTAGATATGCCCGACGAGATACGGGTCCAAAATATGCGAGGACGGCGCTGTTGGTGCAGATGCTCCAGTCGTCTCCATCTTACGCAGCGCAGGAGCCCTCATACTCGGCAAGACAGCCACCACTGAGTTTGCCGCAACGTCTCGCGGAGGGCCATGCGCGAATCCGCATAATCTGGAACATACACCTGGAGGTTCATCTTCTGGCTCAGCGGCCGCTGTGGCGGACTTTCATGTACCTAACGCCCTTGGAACGCAGACTGGAGGGAGCATTGTACGGCCAGGTTCGTTCTGTGGAGTGTACGCGTTTAAGGTATGTTTTCCCTATTCTTATGGTTATGACCAAGAAGAGGAAATCTGAAAGAGACGATTTGTGCAGCCGACATGGAATTTAATATCAACTGAAGGCATGTCACGGTTTTCGATATCATGCGACACGATGGGCTTGTTTGCCCGAACGGTTCCCGATCTTCAACTTGCGCTCGAGCCCTTCTTCACACACATCCTGGATACGAACCCCTTTCACTCACCGACATCCTTGCAGGGAACGAAAGTCGCATTCTTAAAAACACACGTCTGGCCCAAGGCGGGACCGGGAACACAGGCGGCATGGAATAAGGCCCAGGAAATACTCACCAACACAGGTGCAATTTTGGAGGATGCTGAACTGCATCCTGACTTCTCTTCATTTCCCGAATTGACTAAGACTATATTATCGAAAGAGGCACAATCATCATTCCAATCTTGTGAGTGCTATCGTTATCCACCTTGGGGGACACGCTAACTAATGGATCTTTCATAGATATGTCATCGTCGACGGAATTGTTGGACGCCTCGATCGTACAAACAGTGGAAAATGGAAAAAGCATCAGGACAGTCGATCTGCTCCAAAGCTACAATGAAGTTGCTCGTTTGCGACCGATATGGGACTCCTGGGCCAGGCAATATGACGTCATCCTCACTCCCAGCGTGCCCGACGAGGCTCCGCGGGGGTTGGACTGGACAGGTGACTCGGTAAGCCCTCAAAGGTATTTACTCAATTTTCAACGGTCGCTGACTGGCGCTATTAACCTAGTCCTTTTGTTCCATGTGGACATTGCTTCATGTCCCGGTCCTGAACATTCCTATCGCACATGGTGAGAACGGTCTTCCAATCGGACTGTCGATGGTTGGACCTCGATACGGGGATATGAAGGTCTTGAGAGCCGCAAGATTACTTGAAGAGGTTTTGCGTTGATAAGAGACTAAGAATAGGACTTGATTACCCCTATTGCAATTTGAATTACCTCCAAAGCAGTTAGCTTGCCTCAATACGAGGTCTAATTTCGGGGTTTCCCGTTGAATGCATTGTCTATGGTGCGGGCTTTTTGGACTGCATGCGCTTATTGTCCGACCACATCGGCTATTGCTCTTAGTTGCAGGGCCAAAAACAGCAGGGTGGTGTGACCATTCATCTTTTGCTTGTGAATTGCAATCAAAGGTATTTTACTGCTGGTTTGTGTATTAGATGACTCAGGAACACTTGAACTCTGCATTTCACACTCAGAAACAGCGACATGGCGAACAACCGGTACCCTCATTCTATCACCGGCATCAGAAATCAAGGTCCAAACCGTGGGTCTGGCCACTCAACAATTTTAGAGGCTATCGAATGACCACAAGGTTAGCGCCTGCAAATTTCCACCAAAAGACCCTCGCCGAACGGACTCGGCCTTAACGTGGGGGCAAGCGAGCCCACGGAGTAGTCCGACGCCGACCATGGTTAGCCCCAAGCATCTTAGCGCTCAGGTACAGTGGCGGAATCAGGGCAGAGACTGCTCGGATTGGACGAGTAGCGGTAATCTAAGGCGAGCTAAGTCTCGCCCTAATGGACTAGGCCCGTTCTTGGATTGCCATTGTCCAGCCTGAGAGTAAGCTGCTATCCAATATCCAAGGCTCCAGGCTGTATTAGCGGCATCGGAGAGTTTGAACCAACTCATGACTGGAAATATAAGCTGCAGCTTTTTCTCACTTTTTACCTCTCTTTTCTTTTCTTCTTGCTGCCCGGGTATCCATTCGCTGAATTATCGCTCCTTTCTTTTTGCCTTCCCGGCCACGGTGACATTCATTTGCCTCCACTCCAACTTCAAGTCATTCACTCAAACAACAAAACTACCACAATGAAGGCCTTCACCCTCCCCGTCCTCATCTCCGCTGGCCTCGTTGGCCTGGCCTCTGCCCGTACCGATCTCGGCGGCTGCGTTTCCTCCGCCACCGTCAACCAGTGGAACGAAGCCAGCATGATCTGGTACGTCCCTGACAGCGGCGAGATCTGCGATATCCCCGACTGCGGTGGTGGTCGCGCTCCTCCCAAGTACAACCAGCCCGGTTGCGCCGCCTACACTGGCACCGAGACCCTGACTCCCAGCTACCTGCCCGGCTGGGGTCCCAACGGCAAGTCCGCTGCCACCACGGCTCACACTGCCTCCGCGACCACCGTCGCTGAGACCTCCGCTGCCACCACCACCTCGGCCGCCTCTTCCACCGACGAGTCTACCTCTTCCTCCTCCACCAAGACCAAGCACGGTAGCACTCTCATCACCGCCGGTCCTACCCTCTCGAAGGCCGCTTCTTCCACCCCTGCCGGCTCTTCCTCCCCCGTCAAGTCCTCCTCCGTGGCCGGTGGCTCCAAGCCTTCCGGCACCAAGGGCTCTGGCTCTGGCTCTGGTTCCGACTCCGGCTCCGGCTCTGGGTCGGGAACCAAGACTGGCTCTGCCTCCACTGGTCTTGCTACCGGTGCTGCTTCCAGCGTGTCTGGTTCCAGCATCGCCGGTGTGGCTGTCATTGCCGCTCTGGTCGGTGTTGTTGGTCTGTAATCGGTTGTCTTATACGTTGATGGGCTGATCCGGTGAGAAGTTGGGGGTTGTTGATAAATGTCTAATAAGTGTAATGTGCTAGCTATCATGGGATACTTTAATGATACGGATAATTATATACACTGCGAATAGTTCTTTCTCTAATGTAATTTCTCGTCATTTGCATATCCTGCTTGTTGATGGCACGGTAGATCTTCCAGAGCACCGAACTCCGTAAGACTAAGATGTCTTAGATTTTGGATCTTCAGCCTTGTCGTGTTGATCAACCGCGATCGTCGCGATCAGCACAAGTACCGCGTTCCACATCGGTATTGTCCGATTGGTGTTTACAGACTGCGTTTCTCGAGGCTAGAGAGAATAAAAACCTTGAGTTCTGTTAACTGTTGATAGTGTGTGAAACTGTATTGTTTGTACGAAATTGCAAAATCTCAGGTCACTTGTTCCCCCCTGTTTCGCTAATTTGGAGCTGTGTAGTAACGCATCGATGTCAATTCTAATTTGTAGTATCTTCGAGCTCCCTCCAACAGCAAATATATCAATTCATTCTTTCATTGATACCCAAATCAGTACTTAGTGCGAGTTTTAGGGGCTTCAATACTAATGCTTAGTGGGTAAGTAGATATTGAATTTATATTGCTAATCCCCACTTCCAAAACCAACCCAGCATGGAGACATATTCTCAACCATTTGACGAAAACCAACATGTGGTCGGCATCTCTGCGAAATCGGTAAGGCGGACCCTACATTATTGGGTTACCACTGTATTGATGATAGAAGGTGTTAGGCCTACGACTAAGCAACTGAATACAAACCCAGAGCCTCTGACGTGTGAGTTGATTTTCATTCCATTCCATACGCAGGCCCATCAAGAGGTATCCAGCCTGACTAACTAGCCATGAAATCAGGACTCGACATAGAGAAAGCGACCGGATTTATGCTACCTGTCGTGTATGTACGTAGTAGTAGCACAGGTTGAACATGTGATTAAAACGACGCCGGCGGCGTAAGAAGACTTGAGGACGCCGTGTGAACTATGAAAGGGGTCGTTCAACTGGAGATCTCTACAGCATGTGGCACGTCCGAGGGGTCAAAATCCCTTTTCAAACCAAATGTTCGCTATGCGACTATCAATATGACACTCCTGTGGCCAAAGAACTCTCAAAAAACCATGTATGTTTCATGTGGGAAACCTGCCCCGGGGTTTTAAGTTCGAGGTCCTGTAAGATCAAGAGATTGTGCCGCTTGTTTGGTATATCAAGGCGTTGCGACCGTCCGCATGCATGTCCAAAGACTGTTTCGCTTGGACCAATGACGAAATTAATTATATGTTTTTGGAAGGTATTATAATGCCCGTCGTTGTAGTCGTGCTGAGTACGTTCGGTCATGCGAGGGTTGTGTTTCAGGGAGGAGATCTTGCAGCTTATGGATCAGAAATAGGAGTATTAAATAATGCAGCATGGCGAGTGAGCTGGACAAGACCGCATAAGTACTTTTGTGCGGTGTGTTTGAGGATAATTACCCGGGGACCATGGCTGAGATCCGATTGCCAGGGCCACCATGTCTATTTGGGTTATTGCTCTCAAGTCAATCAATTCAAAATTCAGGGTCAAGGGTAACATTAAAGGACTCGGGTACATCAAACCTGACACATGGCTTGGGTGACAACGGCCCCATAACACTGCCACAACTATAACACGCTAACCTACTCGCCCGATGAATGTCTCATATTAGAAATCGAACACCCCTTCTTTCCTCCACACAAGCCACAGGTACACAGCGTAGCATCGTAGATTTATTATGCAGGGGCAGAAGGACCCTCACAGCCAAAACAATAAACACGCCCTTGATTGGACTCGGAAGTCCGGCACAAGCCACAGATGATGGCCCCTTGGGGAATGTGGATTATGGGTTCCCGGTTACACCAACGAATATATTGCTCCGGGTAGATATGATTGGGCGATCTTTCGACATGGCCCGTAAGATCCCCCCTTCGTCTCGCTTGGGCGAGGGAGTACTCCATACTGGACTGGACTCTGGTGGAGGCTGAAACTTAAGGCTGCTATTTTTGATGTCACTTCATCTCCAGGCGCTGACAGGGTAGGTAAACATTCAAAAGGTGGGTTCTTCCCTCAAGCTGGGCGATCATTCAATCTATTTTGTTAAGTCATAAAATCCTTGAGTCCGAAGAGTTATTCTGTCATACCTGTCACACCTAATTTCTTCCAACACAACCAACACAATGAAGTACATTAGCTTGATGCTCTCTATGGCTGGCATGAGCCTTGCGGGTAAGACCTCTTTTCCGTCCACACATCCAGGGAATTTAGCTAACAACATCAAGCCTGCGGCAGTCTCACCCTCACCAGCCAACTCGACGTCGATACCCAAGTGTCCTGCTCAACCATCAACGGCGACGTCAAGATATCCTCCGAGTTCATCGGCTCCCTTAGCCTTTCCGGCGTGAAGAAGATCAACGGAAACCTCAACGGAACCAACCTATACCACGCCTCCTCGCTGAGCTTCCCGGACCTAGAGCAGGTTGGGGGTGCGCTGCGTCTGACGGGTGGATTTAACGAGTATGTCTTGCACTCGAGGTGAACATACCGTGAGCCTGTTGCTGATAATGATGCTTTTAGGATTTCTATGCCCTCTTTGGATATGGTCAAGGGCGGATTCAGACTTGCCAGCACACAGAACCTTCCCTGCGAGCCTTGGAACGTGTTGCAAGAAAATCATCGCATTCATGGGCGTTATACTTGCCAGCCATATGCCACTCCGGATATTGCTTAGTGTTGTTTTCTGGGTATTCTTAGCGAGGAATAGGTGTTTCAGCAACTCCCATGGTGTATATCGCATTAACCTGTGTGGACTTTATGGCGAGGCACAAATTGTAAATAGAAAGCTTTCACCACTTAACACATACATCTGTCACGCGATTGAAATTGCTAAGGCACTAGCCTCTTGGTAGAAGCCCCATCGGAGTCAATTTGTACGGTTATATCAGTCTTCACTCTCACACCGTCCTCACAGGTCTTGGTTGGCTGTCGATCATGGCCTTCCTCCGATCGCCCTTCAACATTGTGCTCTCCTCTACCGTCAGACGAAGCCTCGCGATCGGCAAAGATGGACATAACAACTGCTCCCTTGCTATGAGTATGGTCGTGCTTGTCAAGTTCAAACCCTTCTTGGAACTGATTCGACCAACTATGCGACCAGAAACTTCCGGTTTGGTTGTAGCTTTCTGAGGTCATGCGTATGAGGAGTCGAACGACGGGAGCGCAGGTAGCTAGGAGGATACTGTAGTTCTCAATCCTGGGGGCACATCACGTTAGCAACTTCATAACTTGTTGCGCGTAGTAATGAACACTTACTTGACCCATAAGACAAAAGGTACGGTGTTGTCTATTCCAGTGTTAGCAATATGAAGTCCATAGGTTATTTCTCGGGTTCACCTACGTGTAATATCATTCTTGTCCCCGATAGATTTCAGGAGCTACAACTTATGCATTAGCGCTGCGTATCCTGACATATTTCACAACAATGACAGGACAACTTACATATGTCTTCACAATCGACGCAATGTCAGATAAAAGCAACGGTCCACTCAAGGTAACCGTCTGCCAAATCCGACGAACGCGAGTCTGTCGTGGCATATTGTGTAGCTTGGCCAAAAACGAATTACTGCCGGGGGGTCCGCTGTTAGTGGCTCGAATCGTGAATCGCCACAACTGGATGGCCGAGAGTACGGTGAGGAAAAGGTCGACGGCCGTGTTGAAACCTTTAAAATATGAGAATAACGCATTGGTGATTTCATAGAGCAGAATATGGTGCACACCTCCTTGAACAAATCCAATTGTGGTTTGGACTGAAGGTGATTGACAAGTAACCGATCCATCCGACGGTAAAGGATCCCACATATAATGGAAGTAGGCGACTCGATTGGGCTGTAAAGCCTATCACATCAGACAAAGGATCAAATGATACTATAGTTCTTGAACGACCTCATATCAAGGGTGTTGCCACTGTTAGTGCACTTACCGCGACGAAAGTGCTTGGACCACATTGAACAATAATCTGTATGGCCGTCACCAGGTTCGCAATGACCTGTATGATAATACAGACCACGATGCTGATTCGAATATACTTATCGGCGCTGCTAAAACAGGTGTAAAGGAAACACATCATGCCGGCTCGAGAGAACATAGATGCGACTACCGCTAGGAATTGATCAATTACGCCGAACATCTTTGGAACAATGCTTCTTGTCACTTACCGAGAGGTTGGGATGTAAACTCATTTTTTAGTGTTTCTGCCCTTTCGTGGTCGCCTAGAAACCACATATGTCTTCCGAGACCCCAATCTAGACTGAATTAACAATCAGCGAATTCACGCGGAGCAAGGAGGCTAATCATTTCAACCTTTTCTGGATGAAGACCATATGGGCTATGTCCAAGCCGTAGCCGATAAGAAAAAGAAGGCCCTCGGGACCCCATATTCGCTCAGGAGAGCTGACGCGAGGAATCATCCAACGAACCCATAATTTGACACCGACTCGAAACAACAATGCCAGAGTTGCCAGACCGGTAAGAGCCTAATATAGAACCCGGCGACCAACATTAGCATCATTTGCACAGAGCTTCTGGGGCCGACCGATGTTCACCCAGCAAGCTATTATATACGGAGGGTCTTTTGACATCACAACGAATTAGCAATCATCCTCCTATCAGAGTCGCCGTTCACTGAGATCCGTCATATCGAAGTTTGCGTCGCGTTATCTCTCCAGGGATGACATGGTTTGAGTTGGGTAACGTAGTCACGGTTAGTCCTCTTCCCAATAATTATCCCAGTTTATCATTCAAAACGTACTCGCAGTATTCCGTCAACCTTTTGTTATGATAATTATTAAAAACGCTGGTACCTATAGTCATCAAGCAAAGGAACTGGTTCAATTGCAACAATATAAGGGCAATATATTGATATATCAAGTTGAATTGCAAAGGAAAGTCAGTAGAACACTAGAAATAGTCATTTTGATCTGGAGCCACACAGGCATCTAAGACGACGAAGACAAAGAATTAAGATAGCAGCATTCAGCTTTTATTTCAAGATTCCGTGTTTTAATCTTTATCTGAGTTTATGAGTACGTTCGGGATTTAAAATCAATAACAGGGTTGTGTTCTGTCTTATTCGTGCTACGGTGTATGGATATCGATTCAAGTCGCTAACAGGGATTAGAGTTTATGTTTTTTAGAATATTAATGGCATAACTCGTGGACATATCTCGGAAAAGTGATCAAAATCTGTAGCTCGAAGCAATTCTCTAGTGTTATTAATCGTTTGGTCATTTTGCTATCCTTTGGACTACTAATTAGCATTCAACTTACACCATATAGCTCTTACTATTCTCCTTGTGGATATAGATTAAAACTACATTACTCGTTAGCTGCATGTCCCATCGGAACAAAGAAACTAGGAGAGTTAGGTAGACCGACGCGTGTCTAGCAATTAATAACCTGGATTAGTGCGAGTAACATCCCTGCAATGTAGCATCGTGTCTTAGTGGACTAAATTGTCGTATGCGAGGCAATATGGCTCAATATGATGTTAAGAGCTAAATTATGCCGGGATCTCGAGAACAAGAAGATTCCGTCTCCACAGGTGAACTAATGAAAAATAGCCTGGAGGCTTGAGTAGACTGTCTGCCCCGGTCGTTCGTGGTGCTCAATCGGATCAGAGCATATAAGTCCTGTGCTCCGGTTTGAAACTGTGGGCGAAATAGCTTCCCTTGAGGGCCTTGAACAATAAATCTCGGTCCGTGGTTATCGTATGACTCGGTGGAGAAAGTTCATGCAGGGATCATCCAGTGGTGGTATTCGTAGATAAACGATGTTAAATTAAGTGCCCACTTAACCCATTTCGGTCCTTTTACGCCATTACGTAGTGGTACTGTACAAGTAAAGGTCCAGGCCCCCTCTTATTATCTGCCGCTTCATGGGAAGTGACTCTGTGGCAGATTAGGTGAGTTTAGAGACATCGGATACAGATACGAGATTATGCTATGAATTAAACATCATAATGCTAGAGAAATGGTGCCATCACAAATTGTCTAGCTATTGTCCTTACGCCTTGCGCATCTCAATCAACCCGTCGCCAGGCTCAGGACGAACCTCGAAAGTAACTTTCAATCCTGCCAATGCGGCCAGCTGCTGGAACTCGGATGAACTCCTCTCACGACCTCCGTACAAAACAATCATCGTAGAATGCAGCTTCGCGAACCTTTCATTCTTCGAGAATTCGTGAATCAAGAGTCGGGAATGAGGGGCCATAGCCTGGGATATTTTCTGCAACAATCGCGCAGCCTCTAGATCTGGGAGATTATGAAGAACGTGCGCTAAATGATAGACCAGAGCACCTTTGATCGGCTGAGGGCTATTCTCCGCTTTGAAGTCCCATGTGGCGAGAGTGACCCCTTCGACTTCTCCAATATCGTGGTTAAATTCTTGAACTACAAGGTCTGATGCTTGGAGTTGTGGAAAAGCTTCCTTGATTTCAAGAAGCAGTTCGCCACGACCTCCGCCGATGTCGACCATAGTCCTGGTGTTGTTTGGGGTTGCTTCGTCCAAGACAGCTTGAAGATCGTATCCGACCATTTTCAATCGCTCCGGGACACTGCTGTACTTCATGAATTTGCCTACCATGAAGGTGTTGAAGCTGCCCATGCGGCCTTGCTCGGCCATGATGGAGTAGGTGTGCTGCTTGGCCAGATGCTCGTTTCCCATTAGTTTGTGTGCATATTGGATAGGGGTATCCAGTTCCTCGAATGGGTAGGCGAAATTTTGCGCCTTGAGCTTTGGCATAAGGAATGCTGCACCGAGGAGGGCCTCCGTCGCACTGGATCTAGTTAGTATTGAAGGTCGAGATATAATGATTAGAGTATCCACTGCCAATGCTGGTCAACGTACAAATGTAGTGCCCCGTGTTGGGCGGAGGGAAAGGCTGCCAGATGCCGCGTGATCTTGTTGGCGCAGTAAAGCTCGTCGCTCGTGACATCGACAAACCCTAAGCCAGCCATCGCAAACAATGTGTCCGCTATGCATAGTTAGTCAAATTTTGCCGGTCATTAGTTACCATAATTTAGTTGAACAGGAAATCCCGACCGATCAAAAGCACGCCTGTTTCGGAGATATTAGCATCAAAAACGCAGAAGTCTTAAGAGCAAACAACCGACCTGGACTGGGCGATTCAGCACCTTCCCTCTTGGCTGTATCCTTATACGCTGCCAGGACCCTCTCTGCATTCACAGGTTCCTCGAACGTCACCAGCAGATCGAAAAGACGGAATTGAACCGCCACTGCTACGAACCCGATCGCAGCGGGCTATAAGTCCGTCATGTCAACCCAGGTCAAATAGCAATTGGAAACCTTCCTACTAACCGAAGTGACTGTTTTCATCACAACAACACCGGCCGATACCGAAGCCATTTTGTACGGAGTATGCAGCTACAGGGGACAATTGCAATGGTCAAAGAGGGGATCACGATAGCTGCTTTCAGGTATGATTGGCATTCCAGGTGATTCAGCCCCTGGTTGAACCAGCAATACATTTTTATATTAACCGCATGGGCACCAGCTCTTGGTTCCACGGTCGGTTTATTTTGGTAGGGCGACTAATATCTCTGCCGTTTGAACCTTGCTAGTGGGATAGCTCGGCGTGAGTAAATTGTGCGCTAACGTGGCGTACGTGGCACCCGCTTGTACGGAGTATGCTCGGAACGGTCCATTTTGTGGTCTCCGAGATGGTGTGAAGCTTTGGGTGATTGCGCCGAATGTTACTGCTTGACTTGGCGGACTTGGCCGCGAAAGGCTTCGGGGCTTTTCACTTGCGGGATGTTTAACATCCATCGTATTCCAGTTCTATAGACCGATTGAGTGGGTAAAAGATGAGTACGGTTATTCTCAATATAAGGCGCGAAATAATTTATACAAATGTTCTACACCCAAGACGTGTTTCCAACAGTTACTCTTCACGAGTATTCAGTATTGTAATCCATGCTTTTCATCCCTTCAGTGTTTTGTAATTTACAAGTAGATCCCTGCAAGGACATTGACGGCTTTGCAGCCGGAGGCGCATTCTGGCCCACCCGTCAATATCCCTACCAATAAGTGAACCCAAAGTATATTGTTCAATCATTCGAACGCCAACCAAACGGATAAAGGTCTATCTTGCATACTGCGTCCTTAAAGGGCCGAGAACAGTCGAGCTAATTCGCTATCTGTCCAGGACCATTTAATGTTCCGTTCCCTGTCCAAGCTGCATGGCTGCGACCCACGGTCTTCTTAATCACACTGGCTTTGTGGGAAATTCTTGCTCTGTCCCTTATTCATCTTTGTGTTTCCTCCTCAAGCTTTCGGCCTTCCCCTTCCTTCCCCATCTCCTCGTTTCCAACCTTGTCGCCAAAACCTTGATTGAAAGTCAAAGCAAACACCGGGCCTGACCTGCACATATGGTCATAATGGCCGAATCACCACATGACGAGCACCCATTCGAAGCCCCGAAAAACGAAGCGTCAGTGCAAGAAAAAGTGTTCAACGAAGCCGACACAAACGTCGCCGAAGAGGAAGCCCTCAATCCTCGGAAATGGAGTCCATGGAAAAAGCGCCTAATGTTCTTATCACTGATGTCGAGTTCTATACTAGCTGATGGGTACGACGACTATCAACCCCCAGGAAACTTTAGCCATTAACTCAAAAGTAACCGACGACAGTGGAATGACATGGGGCGCTACATTGATCGTCCCTCAGGCTATGGAATGGGGCGTCAGCGTCGACTATTCGGCTACCAGCATGAATTACGGGATGTTGTTGCAGGGAGTCGGTGGGTTAATGGCGATTCCGTTGATTGAGGCTTTTGGACGGTAGGTTTTTGTGGGCTTAGGCATGTCGCTTGCGTATGGATACTGATGTGACTAGACTTCCTGTTTGGTTGTGGCCGCAGCTCATAACGACGTTTATGGTTCTTGGTGCCACGCTGTCGACGAACTATGATACTTTTACTGCGTTTAGGTCGCTGCAGGGGCTGTTTGGGACCGTGCCGCAGGTTGTTGGGCTCCCGATTATTCATGATATGTATGATCCTGAAGGTGAGTGGTGGCGAATGTATAGTGCTTTGTATGTGCTGATGGGATACGGCAGAATGGCCTCATATGATTAATATTTGGTATGGCCGCTTCCTTGCCTTTTTTTTTAATCTGGTATAATGTTGCTTTTGATGCTAATCAACCCGATCCAGGGGCACTACTTTCTTGATCGGTCCCTTCCTCGGCCCCGCCATCGCAGGATACATCGGTGCCGGCAGCGACTGGAAGACATCATTCGGCATCTTGACCTTATTCTATGGCCTCTCCACCATCCTGATTCTGCTATTCGGATACGAAACGTACTTTGTGCGAGGTCAGGAATGTCAACGTAATTCTCGGATTCTGTCGATGTTCGGCATTAAGAACCACAATTTACCGGTGTTTTCGACAATCACGTACTGGAGCAAGACGCTTGTCGTTTATATCTTCAAAGCCCCGCTGCTTTTGACTGGCATTGCGACCATGGTTAATTTTTGCTGGCCAATTGGTAACCACACACCTCCATTTTTCCTACGATATCAAATTCTGAGATCTCACACTCGTCAGGGATCACCGTAACCGTATCCACATTCGTCGCTCAACCACCCTATCTCTTCGACATGGTCGAATCCGCCTCTCTGCGATGGGCTCCGATCATTGGCGGTCTTCTCGGTAGGCAGTCAGCCTTTCTTTAACCTTCTACTTGTTGAAAGCTTCAGCTCTAACATCAAGGGCGTCTGTTAGGCTACTCGTTCGGCTACTGGTTCAACCACTGGATCCATAAATCCCGCAATCCCAAAAGCACCTGGTATCCCGAAGCCCGACTGCACGGTGTCTGGGTGGCGATCGGCGTCATGGCGTGTGGTCTGCTCACGTACGGTCTGACGCTGCATTTCCAGAAACATTGGATTGGGCTGGCGTTTGGGTGGTTGATGGTGGTGTTTGGGATGATTTCGAGTACTGTGTGAGTTTGTCCCCACATGGCCTTCCCTGTGCCAGTCACGACTTGTGTCATCTGAGTCCTCACGAAGCCTATCTATCTACTGGAGCTAACGTGACTTACATAGATCGATTACTGCCTACGCGCTTGAAAAATACCCAGACCAATCGACCGTTGTCTCGGCTATTATCAACGCCTGGCGCACGGCGAGTGGCTTCTCAGTGGGATATTTTCAGCCGGCGTGGATCGCGCGAAACGGGATTGCGGCGGTGTTTGGGACACAGATTGCGGTTGTGATGGCCGTGTTGGTACTTACTATTACGCCTGTGATCGTTCTTGAGAGAAAGAAGATGAGGGGAGAGTAAATCACCTAGTGATAGAGAGCTCATACTTTGTAGATCTTCACAAGAGACAAGATATATAGTAGAACCAATCCACGACGGCAACGTAAACCAGTAATTTCAAATGCGTATGAGGTTCCCTCCGGACCACTAATGTCATATGCGAAGTGAGAGGGATACTCTTATATCATATATTTATACTCAATATGCACCAATTCGATGGCGAGCCATACAAACACCATGCTGGTGGTGATCAATTCCTAGACCAAGTAAGTCACTGAAGCCAGTAGTGTTGCTCACTCTCATAGTCCCGGCAAGCCCCACCGACAAGTGGCGGCGAGAAAACCCACTAGCAACGTGGACGAAAAACAAAAAAGAAAGCCATAATGGGATGAACCGGGATTGAACCGGTGACCTCACGATTGCCAGATGAACTGACTGACTGAGTGACTTCAGTCGTGCGCTCTCCCAACTGAGCTATCACCCCATTGGATGATAAGAGGCCAAATTATTTGTTACATGAGCAAATTGTCAGTATTCGAAACTCGCTCAAAGGCCGCAGCCCGAGTTATCGCTGGATCAGCACCAGGAGGAAACCCACTCTGTGGCGCGGCGTCGATCGTTTCCGACGACGGACGGGTGTCAGAAGATCAGTTCCAGAGACGAACCGTGGATAGGGAGGTGCCATGGCTTTTTTGAGGCTATAGCAGTGGGCGGTTATTCACGGGAGGTATATTTAGACTTGCTGGTGGTGGTGGCTGGAAGGACGAGTACTTTTAGGAACCTGGGGTAGGATTAGGTGGAACTGATTGTAAAGCTTAAGCTAGGGTAACGAATGATTATATGCACGCTTGACCATAAGTAGCTTCAAATCCAGACATTTTCCTTCCTGTAACGCCGATCCCCGACCGAGTAAAGCAGACCTTTTTCGTAGCTGTTCGTAACGAGGACGTGTCCACTTAAAACGCCGAAACGAAAGTATTTACATGTAGAGAATTATTAATAAAGAAGTAAAAGGGAATAGAAAGCGCACATATCCCAAGAGAGATCAAGCAAAATCAATCATATCGTCGATGCTCGCATCCGAGAACAAGGTGCAAGTGGTGCTCAGAAGACTCTGCTCCGAATCGCGACGAGCGGTGTCAAGCTCCTGCATGGCCGAGTCTGACAGCTGCAGAGATTCGTCAAAGTCCAGCCCTGCCTGCTGCTCTTGTTGCTGGGTGGCAATCGAGCTATCCGGCGACGAGGATAGTGGTCCCGTAGGATCACTCAACTCCGGCGTCCGCAGGATGCGATCCTCCCGGTGCGTGACCTGGCTGACCATCTGCTGCAGGTATGTCTTGATGGCCTGGTCATCGCACTGCGAGTGTCTCAGGAGTTCGTCTTTCAGGTATAAGACCTCCCCGTGAAGCTGGGCCACCTCGGCCTCGAGCCTGGCCTTGTTCTCCGCGGCCACTTGGAACTGGCCTTGCAGTCGGTTTGTGTTCTGACGCTTCTTTTGCCGACATTTACTGGCGGCCATGCGGTTTCGTTCGAGGAATTTCTCCCGTTTTTCTTTTTCTTCCTTGCTTGCATTGTTCTTGGGTTTGGGGGGGTTGTTGCGTCGTCCCGATCGCTTCGGGGTTTGTGGTTGGGTAGGTGTCGTCTCGTTGGAAGCGGGTTTAGGAGGCCACGAGGAGGTAGGTCCTAATAGAGATTCAAAGCTTTGTTCATCGTGTCCAAGAGAAGCCGGCAGCTCCAGCCAGTCTGGCACTAAAGGGTTGTTGTAAAAGACTGGGGAGGGATCGGCGGCTGTAGGGTCTGCAGCAGACAGAACGTCGGGGCCGGGGCCGTAGAGACCGAGTTCTGCAGTCATTTTCTTTATTGTGCGTCTTGAAAGCCAGTGGTGAACCAATTTTATGTTGATGAGAAGAAGTGATAGAAAAGGCGCTGGATGGAAGAAAAGTATGAGTGATCGGTTGACAAGAAGGTCTAGACCCAAGCGAGCAGTAGGCGAGCAAGGGTCATGGCTACTATATATACGGTGCAAATGCAGGAGGAGCGTTCCAGATCCGGCCGGATCTGGCACCACAAGGCAGGGAACAATGAGGAGAAACAACAAGCCCGGGGTGGTTTGTAGGACAAGTCAAAAAGGTCGAGAAGCCAGTGGGAGGGAAGCTGGAACTTGTATCCGTCATAGACTTGCGGGATGCACCCGCCGGACGAGACTCCCTTGCAATGGTGATTGGGCGGTGAAGGGCGCCGGAAAGCCTGCGGTTGTGGGCCTTCCCACGTCATTCCATCCCGCTCGACGGGCGACCCTCAATCTGAAGGAATATTGCATACAACTGTTTCAAAGGCCGAGCCATCGCGATATGACGTTTACTGCTAAGCTTCAACCCAATGAGAGAGCTGCTGTCACCCACCTCGCAACCCCCCTGTACCGCTCTGGGATGTACCACCTCAACTCATAGCATGTTTTGTGGGTAGATGATGCACCGCCAAACGCAGTTTGTCCCGGGGCATGCGCCCCCCCGGAGCGTTTTTACTCAACATAACTCTAATCTTGCCGGTTGCATTGGGCCTGCATTTGGGAAGAGCTTCCCACTGAAGAGGCCTGTATGCATTTCCGCGGGGACGAAGAAATTTCTGTCCTCACAACGCCTTCTTCTTTCTTGTTTCCCCAGACAAGTCCAAAATGTAGACGGGTGCTACTAACTCAAGAGATGCTGCAAAGAGCAATCCAGAACTTCAGAACCCCAGATGACAGGTTCAAATCAGGGAAACCAGGGAGATCTGTCGATCAGCGATTAGATAATCGCCACGATCCTGATCGAACGTTCTTTGGACTACGGTGTAGTTATGAACTGGGGCGATCGATTGCAAATCTCCTCTGAATCGTCATCCATCTCATAATCCGCCATGGTTTTCAGCCAGCCGTTTGGGGCCATCAACAAAAGTACCGTGTGGCGAACCTGTGGTACGAGCGTTGGCATCCAAGAATCTCAGGTTTTGGGCCCTTCCCCCCCCCTTATCCGGTTAGAAACTTGTGGGTACATCGGGTTCCCACGTGACAATAGGCGCTTTTCTTCCCTGAAGCGTCAGCCCAGGCTGTCGAGCATCTTAAGTTGAGTGTAAATCTTTGAGAACCATGTCTGACAATTCAGGTAGCGACATCACGGATAAATGTACAAAATCTAGCGAAGTCAATCATTTCCTGACTTGCTTCCGAAATTGGGGAGAAGTGACGTCAAAGCGATGCATTTCAAAGGAATCAACTAGAGCTATACAACCTTAGACAGATATTACTGCCTGAGGCATCAGTTGCAGCACGCCACCTTCCCAATGCGGAGCAACCGGGCGGGAACAACGCTAACCTTATGCGGAAGGCGTCTGACTAGTATTGATGCCTTGCTGCCTGGACATTTCCCAGTTATGATTAATAAATGCTTTGGTTTGCTGGTTGATGACTAGACATGTCAAGGTAATTTGGTCTAGCTTCCATGATTGAGCAAGGCGTGCAACACATCTTGTTATAGCGCAGATGTTTCCCTACACAGCAGGACTGAACTGCTTTTGCTTCCCTGGCCATCTGCAATGAGGAAACAGACATGCACGTCCAACCCACTGCATGCACCGAGATTCCATGTTTTTGAGGAATCCGGAAACATTGTATCTGCCTTCACCCATAGGTAAAGTATTTTATTTGGTTTGAATAGGGGGTTTCCCAAAGAGTATATATCCTCTTGCCAAAGGCTTGAATGCCGTCGCGAGACGTCAACCAACCGTTCTGTCACAAGTCCGCAAGTCGCAAATGAATATAGAGTATTATGCGCGGCACTAGGAACAAGTCTTAAAAGCCGAACAAGAGTAGGCTCATTCATTTGTCATATGTGCACTATTGTTGGTAATGCAATTGCAGAACTTGGATATTAGTCTCATAATTTCAAGCAGTTAACCACAGATCCTTTCGAGTTTTGTCCGGTCTACTTGGGTCAAAGTTTGCTATCAAACGGCTTTTGAAGGGGTTTCAGTGTTCCTGGGTTACGTGAAATCTATGCAAACCTTTACCCCGTGTCTTAATGATCCCTATAGTGTTGTGGGGTACCACACCGAGGCCTAAGGATCACCAGTACTTCATTACTCGCCTCAAAGCCCGCCGTGGGTCTATATACCTGAGCAGCGTGCCAAGAAGTATAGAATAGCCGCCTTGAGGTTCGATGAGGCTCGGGATGAGCCGTCTATCAGCCTCACACAATAAGATTTGATATATGGAACCGACTTGACTCAGGACATTCTGTAAACTGGTCATGTTCAGTCTCATTCCCGTCGTCATCCTCATTGCCAACATCAACCGCAACCGCAATCGCAACAACTACGCAAAGAGAGTATTGGTTTCGGAATATACAGCATAAACGGAACCGAGCGGCCTCGTCTAGAGATTATGTTTTAGTGTTCAACCGATGAGATGGCATTTTCTACCAACCGTAGGATGATTCTCAGAGGGAAATGACCCCTAGCACAATCAGTCCCACGAAGCTAGGAGGTTAGGGGCTATCTGGAACAAGCTGATATACAACTCACACCACCCGGATTTGAGAGATGGCATTCTGCCTTCCAGAAAGCCTCAAACAGCACGACCGGGGCTCACAATAGGAGACAATCTATCACCCAATACATGGTTGACGATAGTATCGCGTCTCGAAGTGGTAAAAGCTATCACCCTCTAGCAATTAGTCGATAGCTTCATATGATAAAAACCATACAAACTATCAGATCATATCTGAATACGGTATATGTAACATGCATATTCGGTGATTTGCGACGAAAGGTACATTAACATGGCGTTGAGACCGGTTTTATCCAAGCCTAGAAGGACATCATATCGTAGTGGCAACACTTACCGAGGCCACCGATAGTGTCGGTTGGAAGACTGGGGGCTGTTTTCACGGAGGTATCCGGGTTCAAAATGCCGAAATTTCAACAACTGCCCGGGGCTATATACTGGTATTACAGTTATTTCTTGGACACTCGACTGCCGATGAATGGAACTGGAATTATAATCGCAATTTGAGATGTCTCTGATTGTCTGCAACCTACGAATATCAAAATCGCCTTCAACATAGCCGATCAAATTCCAACCTTTATCGATTTCGTGCCAACATCTTATTGGTGTTAGCTTAAAATAGCGCCAATAGCGTACTTTTGCCACGAGCTACAGAGTGCTTAGCGTTCTTGGCATCGAGTCAGCCTGCCCCCTAGAAAAACGATCTTTCTGCCTTGATCGAGAGTGAAAATTGATCTTCAGCTCCAGTCTCCACTGATCGGGACCGGACGAAGACAAACAAGAATGGTTTCCACCAGGAGCCGGCAGATCACCTGTCTGCTTGTTACACTTCTCTTGGCCTTGCAGGTTCATGCGATATCCCGCATGCAGCCCATTGGAATTGACCTTGGGCCAGAATTAGTGTGAGTGATTATCTATCTACCAATAATGGGACCTTTGGGTCGATCTAACTCACGAGGAATGCTAGGACGGCGGCGTATGCCTATGATACCGATAATGTTACTATTATATCTGCCGTCAACGCTGTGGTAGATGACCCTTATCGAGATATCATGCTGCGCTTGCAGCTGCTCTATTCACAGGAACGTCCGTCGCCGTTCGCAAAGAATAAACCTGCAACCTCTGGCACTATCAAGGCAGCCAAGAGGGTGGTGCAATCTATTGTCTCTACGGGTGAACCGTACCTACCGTATCTGCACGACATGGGCCTGCCGCCCTGGCTCGGTGGTGCAATGTCAATGGCAATCCGTACAATCTCTGCATCGTTAGGAGCCGGAGACAGGTATTTAATCGACCCTGTACCACCGGAGGACATCAAAGGTGAGTTCGCCAGAGTATTCCGGCAGGTCAAAGAACATGCAGAGACAGAGCACGACATTAGGATCCGATCCGCCTTCTTCAGCTCCCCGAGTTTCTTCAACTCCACATTGAATAACCTAGTTGTTGAAGCAGCCAAAGAGGTTGGTATCAGGGCCAGTACTATTGTTCTCCCAAGGTCTATTGCTGTTACCTACACGTATGACGACGGCCGCAGTGGCGGGAAGGGCATTCGGTACTTAATCATCGACCAGGGAGAATACCACTGTGACTTGCATACCGCGCATATGGGAGAACCAGACGATGAATACAGGATCAAGGAGGTTTTTCTTCCGATGGAACCCTTCTCTAGCGCGAATATCAACAGACGGCTAGCGGAGAAGTTGATTGGCGAGTCAAAGGATATGAAGAATCAGGTCGCATGGGGAGCCAAGAGGGGCGATCTCTGGCAACCTATTAAGAAGGCACGATTTTTGATCCGAGATGACATCGAATCTGAGATAATGGGAGTGGAGAGATTCGAAGCACAGCATTTAGACGAATATCCCCTGGACTTGATGAACTGGGGAGACGGGAGTGTTCAGGCCGTGTTGAAGTGGGAAGACGTTCAGAAAGAGGAAAACGAATTTGTGGACGCGTTGGCATCAAATATCAAGACCGTGATGGTTGCCCTGAGAGGTTAGCATTCCTCCATTCCGCATATTGATCAAGAATGGCTGTGGCTAACATCGGACAGGATGGCGGAACCAGGAAAGTCAAGGAACACCCAATGATAGTGAGACACCAGAGGAGGTTGATCGCGTCGTCATCCTAACCTCGCACTACGATGGACAGTTGATCAAGAGAGCTGTTCAGTCAGTGGTTGGGGAGTCAGTTGAAGTTATTGGGGGCACTGTTCGTGGATTTCAGTTGGCTGCAATAGGTGCCTCACACGTAGCCCTGGCGACACATCGCACTAAAGCATGGACGAACCCGGGATCGTCCAAGAAACACGACGAGCTTTAGGTTAAGTGTATGGATACACGGGCAGACTATCCCTTGCTGCTTGATTGCTGAAGTTGCTGACAACTCCTTTTGTGATATACTTATGTGGAGCAGCCATGGTTGCAACGATGTCAACAACAGCATCAACACAAACACTTTTTGGCTCTTTGAACAGATGCGCTGGCTTTGATTAAACAGCATGGGATTCTCGGATCTTCAAATGTCGGTCAAACCCGCAACCAGCAGAGTGTTATTCATCATCTCCACTTTTTCGTCACAGTTTCCAGGACAGAGTGGATCACCCGAACCAAACAATTCATTCAATTCGCAGACTCTGCCGGGACATTAACCGAGTTCTCCAGATTCAGGCACTGGAAGTTTCTGCTCGGAGGCGAATTCGACCGAGTTGCATTCAAAAATCGGAGACTTTTGGTCAGCACATGGCTGTGGCGGTGATCAGCAACAGGGATAACCTTAAATTCTTCTGCCAGACCAGAGCAGGGGGTTGCCTGTTGAACTTTCCAAGTCTCCGGGTTATAAATTATAGGAAAAAGTTGCCGGTATATTAGAAATCAAACCTCGGGTCATTTTGTGCTTTGCAATCGATGTAGACATATCCACTTGTTCCGAGAGAGCGTATAAAGTACCTTTGCCCCTGTCAGATCTTTAATCTCGTTCAAGCATAATACTGTATTCATCCTCCCAAACTTAGACACAATGGCAAACTGGCCCGACGTTCCTACTAAGCCCGCCGAGGGCATCTCATACTTCACGCCCGCTCAGAGCCCGCCGGCCGGTACTGCGCGGGATCCTCAAACGAGCGGAAAGCCCATTCCGAAGCTATTCAAGCCTCTCACCATCCGCGGCACCACATTCCAGAACCGCCTCGGAGTATGCACCCTTTCTTCTCCTTTTCCACCAACCCACCTGCTGACTTGTTCTCTCAGTTGGCTCCTATGTGCCAGTATGGCGCCGACGACGGCCACATGACCCCGTGGCATCTCGCCCACTACGGCGGAATCGCGCAGCGCGGCCCCGGAATGATGATCATCGAAGCCACGGGTGTTGTCCCTGAAGGCCGTATCACGCCCCACTGCGTCGGTCTCTGGAAAGATTCCCAAATCGACTACCTGAAGCAGGTCGTTGAGTTCGCCCACTCACAGGGCCAAAAGATCGGTATCCAGCTGGCCCACGCCGGCCGGAAGGCCTCCACCGTCCCGCCCTGGCTCGGCGGCGTGACGGCCACGAACGCCGTCGGCGGGTGGACCGACAACGTCAAGGCCCCTAGCGCGATTCCCTTCGCGGAGGGCGAGATCGTTCCTAAGGCCATGACTAAGGAGGATATCCAGGAAGTTAAGGATGCGTGGGTGGCTGCGACTAAGCGCGCCGTGCAGGCGGGTGTTGATTTCATTGAGATTCACAACGCTCACGGATACCTGCTTTCTTCGTTCTTGACGCCCTCGGCGAACCAGCGCACGGACGAGTACGGCGGTAGCTTCGAGAACCGCATTAGACTGTCCCTTGAAATTGCCCAGTTGACTCGCGACACGGTCGGGCCTAACATGCCTGTTTTCCTCCGCGTCAGTGCCACCGATTGGTTGGAGACCAGCAAGCCCGAGGAGAAGGGTTGGAAGTTGGAAGACACGGTGGACTTTGCCCGGGCGCTTGCGGCCCAGGGATGCATTGATCTGATCGATATCAGTACCGGAGGTGTGCACAGCGCGCAGAAGGTGACGTCTGGAGCTGGATTCCAGGTGCCTTTTGCGACGGCTGTCAAGAAGGCGGTTGGCGATAAGATGGCTGTCGCGGCTGTCGGTATGATCAACAATGGAAAGCTGGCCGAGCAGATTCTGAACGAGGATGATTTGGACGTCATTCTCGTTGGACGTGCCTTCCAGCGTGACACTGGATTGACGTGGCAGTTTGCTAAGGACTTGGACGTTGAGATTGCCATGGCTGCCCAGATTCGTTGGGGCTTCACGAGCTTCCGCAATGCTTCAGAGTATATCCAGCCCAACTCGATGAAGGCATCCATCTTTGATTAGACTTGATTACGAGTGATAGCATGAATGAGTACTAATAAACTAGACTATACCTATAGACATTTGAATATTATTCACTACTTGAGTGAATTTACTCGGCAAATTGGCAGACATAGGATAATTGAAGATTACACATGTTGCAAATTCAAAAGATTCAACTAAATCAATAATAAAACGTAAAAAGGAAGCATCCCAGGGAGTGTAATTTGCCGACTAACGTCTGTAGACAAGACGGTAATAAAAGCGGCTTTCCTGTTGTTTGCAAACCAAAGGAATGTTGTTCATCCACAGTCAAATACCGCCCCCCTTTTCCTAACCGATCAAATCAAGCCTACACTTCCAGTTTGTTTGCAATGCCAACAACCAACTGCGATGCATAATCCCGTAAGCGCGAAAATGAGGCAATGGGCTAGAAAGGTTCGCCTGTCACTAGTACATTTCTAACCCATGGGGATCAACGTCTCCCTAGGTGCTCTCTGCATCCCGCTTATAGGATCCATAGGTGGTATAAGGGGCGTAGGACTTGTATGGAGCGTAACTTCCATAGTCGGTTGGAGGTGGAGGAGGAGGAGGGTGGTCATCGTCTCCCCTCTTCTCCTCTGCGTCACGCTTGTAGGTGTGGTAGTCCTCGTAAGGCGCATAAGAGCGGTAGGGGGCATAATCTCCATATCCATCGTCTGGAGAGCCGGCATGATCTTCGTGGCCGGCGTCATCCTCACCCCGTTTATAGTTGCCATAGGTTGTGTAAGGGGCATATGACTTGTATGGAGCATAGCTTCCATAATCGGTTGGTGGAGGAGGGTGGCCGTCATCTCCCCTCTTTTCCTCCGCATCTCGCATGTATTGTCCGTAGGAGGTATAGGGATCGTACTTAGCGTAAGGCACGTATCCGGCGTCGTCGGCAGGATGATCATCACCGGCCTCGACATCCGTCTCTGCTTTGTCCGCGACGGGAAGAGCACTCACTCCTACGATGAGAGCGAGGAGGAGTTGTCCGCGCAGGAGACGCATGTTGATGGAGGTGGTGGATTGGACTTGGAAGGATGAGATTATTCTTGATTCAATTCTGAGTTGGCTATTTCGATGAAGAAGCTCAGTTTGGGGAATTCGATTCCGTCTATAAATAAACAGCCATCTTCTTACGATGAGGGTTTGAATGAAGGACCAGTCTCCGTCATGATGACTATTATATTTGAATAGTGATCATGGTGTCTCTGAATACGAGATTTGGTGGAGGTCATGAGGGGGCAATACTGGTCATTGCAACATTCTTGGGATACCGTGATAAACTCTAATATTGGCAAGTTACATTGTCCCTTCAATGGTATTGTCACAGGAAGCTGCAACAAAAATAGAATAATCATAACCGAAGGTTACATCCGTTCGTTCAGCCTTAAGCCATGTACTGTACCGTAGGACGTCGATCAACCGTTCGTGTTCCAACCTAAATCACCGAAGTCTCGGAAGCCTCGGATACCTCACCCACGGCATGACATGCAGGCGCAAGAACAAGAAAGCTTACTTGACACAGAGGAGCTCAATTCATCAGTTGAACATGCTCGTGTTCAAAATTAGACAAGTCGGAGTGCGCGGTCGAAGCTTCTCCACATTCGAAATACGAGGTGAACATGAAGTCTTGACGTCAGGGCATGACAGCTCCAGCCCTAGGCTCTACCAACGCAAAATCGACTTATTGGGGGTTTATCATGTTCAACTGCATCTACAGACCACCTCAAATACTCATTTTTTGACTTATGAGAAACAGACTGCTCAATTGATCGCTACCTAGATTTGAGCGATTTTCCTGCAAGATGTCCTACTCACCGATCGAGACAGATGCAGGCACAAACAAGAATTTGCTGTCGGAAGAAGAGTCGGCAAAATGGGGACCCGATGAGAAGGTCAAGACAATGAGATTTCCGTCATGGTGGAAGGTGATACTTTACCCTATAGTCCTTGCCATTGTCTTTACCTTTGGGGGTCTGGCGGGCTACCGTTGGAACGATATCGACGGGCTATGCAGTCACCACGTATCTCAATATTGTAACTCACCCCTCTCTTGCAAACAGGGACAAACTGACTCTCCACAGCGCCCTTATTCAATGACGTCGATATCAAATATCATGTTGAAGAGTTCAACGGGGAGTTCATAAACCAAAATATATATCGCCAAGATGCCAGCCCCGAGGTTGATGCAGCATGGGAAGCGCTGGGAACTGACTGTGAGCTCTGGTTTCTCTGTTTCTGGGACATAGCCTAACAATGTAGATCGCCCACTGCGAGTTCCACCAGAAGATGGTGAGAAGTCTGGCATCTCATCCGATCACGTCAAGATCAACGATGAATATGGCGGGGGCTACCCTGCCAACTTGGAGGGACTGCACCATCTCCATTGCTTGGTAAGATATCAACTTCACAGAAAAGATTATAATGCTTATGAATCGATCCCAGAACCTTCTTCGCAAATCTCTATACTATAATTATGACTATTACCACGAACGCGGCGAAGGCGCCTTTGTCAATGCAGACCATGTAGTCCGCATTCATGTTTGTATGTGCACCCTAGAGCCTATCCAACTACAATCGCTGACGAGCCTCAAGCCCACTGTCTCGATATTCTTCGTCAGCAACTGATGTGTACAATTGATACTGGGGTGCTAGGCCGGGTATGGGTCTTTCCCGACGAACCAACCCCGTTCGTAGACTTCAACACCAAACACAAATGCAAGAATTTCGATGCGATTCGGCAATGGGCAGAAGACAATCAGCTGCCGGAGCAGCCTCCGACAAACTTCATCCAGCAGCTCCCGAAGAAGGGAGAAAGGGTTTATAAGGAGATTCCGTGAAAGGATGATTCTTTTATGTACAACTTGATCCACTGGTCATGATAAGATATACTCTTTCTTATATTGTTAATAACACCGCTCGAAGCAATGCATCTATTATTGTGCAATATTTACCTATGGCTATCCATAGCCAGAACTATTAACATCCCTACATTTCACTAGGAGCAACCAAGCAGCCAAGAGCAGAAAATGAAAAAGTCAACGGTGGACACAGTAGAGACTTGCCAAAAGTTATCGACTATGACCTACGTTTCGACGATTTGGGTACCAATCTTCAGGTTGATGCTTCCGGCTCACTGGTAGTACAAGGACGTGTTGAGATTTTGGGATTCGGAGGTTCGCTCTCTTGGCTTCGTCGACAATGTATCATATCCAAAATATCATAAATTTACCATTACTCGTGATTGTATCGATGTGATGACAATTTCGCAATATTTGACTATTTAGGACGTGAGATATTTGAAATCACGTTTCAAGCTCGGCGATTCGCCGGCTCAAAGTTCCGTCCCATCATTTGCCCTATACACCCATGGATGCGCACTAGTTATAGGTGTCTCCCCGTGCGTTTCTGACGTATACATCACAATCTTTCAGCACTTTCCCCTATATGGAAGAGAATTCAGGTGACCTGTCTTAAGGCCACAGAGATGATGATCAAGTGGGAACCGATGTCGTGTCGATAATGGAAAGATTTGTCACTATCCAAGTCGCATTAGAATGGATCGTAAATATTTTCCATTGTCCTCAGTAGCCAAGCCCTGGCACGCCGGTCAGAGCCCCAAAGGACACAAATCAATTGGGCTTCATTGTAAGGTCCGTGGATGTTGGTGCTTTGACCGGGGCGTAAAATTGAACAGGGGCTTGGTCACTAAAAAAGCCACTTGATGGTCGCCTCGGCGTTAGTTTTCTACCAGTAATAAACCGCAAACCTTTGTTGGATTCACCACATTCCAAATGGATTGATCAATCTCAAATTCTTATGGCAAGTTCGGGGCCGGGAAACAGAAATCTCACGACCAAATTTCACTCATGTACCTAATACGAATTTTCGCTGATCCCCGAATTGTTCTCCGAACCTGTGGTGATAGAGTCAGTTCCTCACGCTGCCAAGATAATAGTTCGGTCCTTTTGCTCCCCTAATCCCCCTATGGCTTGTTGTACATTGACAGATCTACCATAAACTTCTTGGATCCTGGTCCTTGGCACAACCTAGAAACCAACATTGGCCGTATAAGACTATGTCAAAAGTGATCCACTAGAGACAAGCAGTTGGAACACTCGAAGTCTATATTATATTATCTTTCATACTCCTTGCCCCAAAATAGGTACCTATTGTTACGATAAATAATGTTGAATTCAACTGAGGGCGCACTGAAGCCGCAACCATTACCGGAAGATACAATCACTCACGCCGGCTGGATTATTCTGAGCATTGCACCACCCTTGACATTGTTATCCACTCTTTGTGTCATTTTACGAATACTTTCCCGTCGAATGGCATCATCAATTCAGATAGATGACTGGATTAGCTTAGCTTCTCTTGTTCCTGCCTACGTTGCAATGATTGCTTGCATGATGTCGGTCACGGTCGGACACGGGGGCTATCACGTAGTGCAATACAGCAAGTCTCAGCTGGAATTCTGGGTCGAAGTAAGAGCTAAGCATATTCAAACCCTCTGTATCTCTTGCATATTCGAAAGTGTATGCTGTTGACAAAAGCAGCTGGAGAACTGACTGCTCATTGACGTTGTAGCTGAACGCGATCTTCAACATGATGTATCATGTAAGCATTGCGTTAACGAAAATATCGATATTGCTCTTTTATCGCCGGCTTTTCAGACTGCACCAAGGGGTGTTAACTCTTATATACACCCTCATTTCCCTGGTTATCTGCTATGTTGGAATATCAGTCGTGGGTAACTCCTTTGGCCTCACGAGGTGGAAGGAGCCATCCCTGGGAAAGGACGTTAAAGTCATCAGAGCACTTGACTACTCAATGAGTATTCTAAACGCAATACTCGAAATAACAGTTCTCATAATCCCCCAGCACATAACCTGGAGAATGAGATTGACACGAAGTAAGAAACTTCTTGTCTCGGGCGTGTTTATAATAGGAGGCATGTATGTTCAAATCTCTTAATTTTCCCTCTCTGGGGCAGGAATATACAGACTGTCTAATCTTTTACGTGCACAGTGCCTGTACTCTCGGTATCGTGCGAGCTGTGTTCGTAACGACTGTCTCGCCGATGGATCTGACCAGTAAGTGAACACCCAACAGCATGCCAGGTTTCATGTTATGGTCAAGCTGAGATCAGCGGAATATAGATACTACCTTGATTCCAATCACATTATCCGAAGCAGAGATAAATGTTGGCATTATCTGTTCCTGCCTTCCAATGTTCCCACATCTCCTACGGCACTGGAAAGAGAAGCTCAAGAAAAGAAATAGTCATGCACCCAGCTCATACAGGACCTTCCGTTTAACCGTTGGGAGAGCCCCGGCTCGGCGGTTTCTTGGAGAGGCTGGAGTACAGGATTCAACTGAAGCTCTCAATCTCGCGCCCAGTACAATTGACCACGCAGGTAGCCACAATATGAAGGGCATGAAGAGCCCTCGAGTGCATAATCGGACACCGGAAAATTCTGACACTACTTTGACGGCGCGGGATTGAGTGACAAATATATTGCAGCTGGTGGAAACATCAGGCTGTTCCTATTCCATGTCTTTTTCTTCTACAGGTATTGGTAAAATTGATGTACTTGAAGTTTTCAATACTCTTTTGTCTGGCGATTCCAAACATATGATATCTGTTTATACCTGCCAATCAAAGCTGCATTGGAATTCGATCTTCCTATGCTTGGGGACGCGGCTGAACGCTCAAGGGCGGGACTTGTTATCGGGTACCCCAGTGGTCAAGCCGTTTCTGGGCCCTGGAGTACGTTAGCTATGTCCATGAAATAACCAAACCACTCTCAAGTCATATTTCCCTACCAACAGCAAGGGTCTGAATACTAAGCAGGAGTTGAACAAAGGGGTGAGATGAGTAATACATGGAAGCAGTACAGAGACCTTGTCCCCAGAGCACCTTGGGTTCTCGGCATCATGGTATTTTCGGACTTACCACCTACTTGGTTCTGGAAACTCCGATCCCTCTTCCTGGGTGGCCAGAGAGCAAGTTTCCTTTGTCTGATGTGTTGAAGAGAGTAGCGCCAAGAGTTGTACGTGAGGCGAATGATATTTAATTAAATATAGTTCGGGGATACAGGGCCGCATTCCGCCGAAACTTCCAGGCACAACCAGAGAGCGTTCGAGCGTGCTAGAGAGATCATATAAGCCGGGATAGGAAATAAGTAATTTGAGTGGCTTTTAGAAAGGAATATCCCAACGAGAGGATGTCCACGGGCAGAACGACTTCCTATTGTCTGTGCTGTCTCATGTTAGAACCGCGGTTTCTAGAGCTCAAGGGTTGGTGCGCAGCTCAACGAAGCTAAAATAGTCAGGGGCCTATGCGCACGGAGGGCCCAGAATTTCAGGCTTACATGTAGGTACCAGTCAAAACCTTCGAGCCCCTATTCCCCAGGCCCTTATAGGCCCAACCGGCTCGGTTCTGGTTGTCCAATTGGCTACCGTTCCGCCGGTACAAAGAAATATCTGGAACCAGACAAGCCTTCATAAGGGCGTGATGTAGAAAGTTGATAGAGAAAGATTATAGCTGACCGTTGTGGGGGCCACTGACCTACGGTTGGTGGATTAAATGAGCGATTGGCTCGATGGTCCATGTTTCCGAAATCCCTTCACTGCTCAATATATACTGACCTTGATGCTCCGCAAAGGAGAACGGAATGAAATCATTGAATCATCTTGCCAACCCTTCACGTACAGTTTATATTTTACCCAATTGTTGAAATGGTGACTTCCACTGCACACACACCAATACCAGATCGCTTCGGTTATGATGGCTTGAAATTTCTGATACTAGGCTCAATTGCACTGTTCGTCAGTATTGTATTTGTGGCTCTGCGCTTTCTTTCAAGGCGCTTAACACACTCAGTTAGCCTGGAAGACTGGGTATGTTTGGCAGGACTGTGCTTTGCCATTGCATTCTCGATTTCCTTTAGCTTACAATTGACAATTGGGCGAGCCGGATATCACCAAACACAGTTCAGTCAACCGCAACTGGAAACATACAATCAAGTAATCTCCTACCTCATTGACATGTTTGGTATTTTAATTGCAAACTAACAGTCTTCGCAGCTTACGTTAGCAAGCAACGCTATTTACATTTGTACGATAACCCTGGTCAAGGTATCTATCTTACTTTTCCTCAAGCGTGTATTCGCCGTCCACGGGTCATTTGTGCGGTTTATCTGCATCATGATTGCAGTTGTTGTCGCATATGGCTTCAGCACCACGTTCGCTATAATTTTCTCATGCACCCCAGTCGAGTCACTGTGGAAGACATGGCTACCAAAAAGGTGCACAGAGGCCAAGCCGTTGGTCTTCAGCGTTGTCATTATCAACGCAGTGCTAGACATTGTTATTCTGCTCTCTCCACAGCCACTCGTTTGGCGTTTGCAAATGGGCTGGAAACGCAAAATGCTAGTCTCGTCTCTTTTCATGGTTGGTGGCTTGTACGTGTTTTTGATCCCGTTAGATACGTACTTGTAGCCTAATAGCCTTATAGGGTTTGCATAATGAGCATTTTGCGTTTTGTTGCGTTGCAGCAGATCGCTCCGCATGATATGACATGTGAGTCTAGCCTGCGTGCGATGGGTTTCTCTTTGATACAAGAATGTTGATTGTTACAGATTCCGCAACCAAGGCTCACGCCTGGTCTCTGTTCGAGCTGAATACGTCCATATATTGTGCATGTATGCCCATGATACCAAATGTTGTCCGGAACTGGAGGGGCGAGCGCTTGACCGGCAATTCCGGCATGTCGGGCCCGTCCGAGATATATGTTGGACGTCCCCGTCGCACCTCGATATCACTCCTACAGGACTCTACTGAAGGCTTATATACGAATGTTGAGCTCGTGGATCAGAGGGGCCGACACGATGAGACTAAGAGCTTGTCAGTGCGAGTGCAGACTGATATACAGACTCATTGGGAGTCGACGTCATCCAGAACACGGGCTGAATACGTTTGAGTTTGCACATGTAAAGACTTATCATCTTTCTCTCCCATCCTTTTTAAGAAAGGCAGATAATTTATAAGCAATTCACAGACAGCCCTTTCAGTTTATTCCTCTTGCTTGTTTGTTTTCTCTTGTTCAGAAGGGACTGATACTAGGCTTTATATTTTATGCATGCCGTACCATATAGTCTAAAAACTACGAATGAGAGTGCAGCGGAAGCTTCTCCTCTCAATGTTGTTTCTGTTAGGTGACTTGTAAGAGTTGTAAGTTGTCCCCAATTTATTTACTCTCACTCCATACTTTGCTGATCGGGCATTTATCATGTGTATTGTGAGTGCATTCTATCGTCACCAAGTATGCGAATGGCCGCTGTTAGCTGTGAGCTCATGTTTATCGCGGGCATCCATAATATTGTCTTGGATTCCTCCACCATTCCTGGAATACGGACTGTAGTTAAAAAGAACATAAGCATTATATCTGCCCGAGTTACGATGTTACACAGCTTAACTTGCCACTTACAAACTGCACACAACACTTCTACTTTCATATAGTCTAGCACAGAGCCTCTGGCGTTTCAAGAAATTCCAACCCGCAGGTCGTTCAAGGGGATTTGGTTGCAAAATTCAACGGAACGGCTGTTCGAGCACAGGATACCGAGTGGGCTTTCCAAGAATCAAATGCTATGATGACTAGTGGTTCTCAAATTACCTGAGGATATATGACCTTCCATTTTGTGACACCATTTGTCACAAGAGTCATGCTTTCTTGCAGACACAATTATCTATCCACTTTCATAGCTCTGTGCTCATTATCTGAAAACCCCGTACGGAGTACACTGTCCGAATTACTTTTCAGCAGTGTTGCTATTTGCTGTTTGTTCCATCTTTTCCCTCCCCCTTCGTTTGTGGGAACGAAATACCCCGTACTTACAAACATTGCCTCTCAGACCACCCCCTCAATATGTCATAATCAGAAAATGACGCAAGCCACCTAGCCACCTTACAGGGGTCAAACAAAGAACTCCTGCCGGTTAGTCGGTCCTCCAGTTTAACCACTGGACTATTGGGCATCAAGCGTGAACTCAATTTTGCCGGATGGGGTTCCGTGTCACTGAGCGATTTATCTATCTTCTTTACACCCTTGTCATCTTGTTGGTGTGTTTCGTACACCGTAGTATTCTTTCACAGAGGGTACTTTTTTGTTGCTACCTAAGACCGCCAAGATGTCATGACTGTTTACCTATTATTATTATTGGCCCTGTGGCTGTTGGCCTTTTCCTTTTTAGGGCCCGTGCGGGTTCAGGTGCGTGTTTCCATTTTGGGATTAGTCGCAGTGCATCCCATATTATTGATACCTGAGGTGTCGACGGGCCGTTGCATGTCAAGATAGGTATATGGGGATGTTGTTTTACATACATTTCTCTCTATCAGACTTCTGTTTCTTTTTCGTAACACAGACAAGGCGCAAGCCATGGCAAACAAAGCAAGCTCTGCTCTTAGGACCGATTCATCCCTGCTTTTTATTTGGCTGAGTGGAGTGCTAATGGACGACAGAATGTCTTTCAAGGATTTCACTTTTGAGATGAGAATAGATACCAGGCCCCATGGGTGCTATCTCAAGATGTTGCATTCTAAAGCAGTTTGAGCGGCATGTTCTCCGGCGGAGTCTAACAGAACTATATCGTCTCAGGAATGAAGGGATTATACAAGGCTATTTACGTAGAGTAGTCATAGCCCTAACTTCTATTTCCGCGGACATTACCAAGGTATTCGCGTTATTAAAGTTGCTTACTCCTCGATTCACGGGCAGATGGCCGATAATACAACTTCTTAGCCTAAGAATAATATCTGCGACCATTATCCTCTGCCGGTTACGGGGATAATAGAATGGACGACAAGTAGTTGAATCATTCACCAAATACATCCCTGCTCAAGATTCCTCGAACGGTACCACTTGTCCTATGCAGTCAGTGGCTTCCTGCCCACCAAGCTCCATCGCGTGAAGGCCCAAGCTGACCCCTGCGCAGTTTCTCGGGCGGCCTCCTCCAAAAGCCCTTTCATCTGATCTCTCACGGGAGCCGTGTAGATATCTTTCCGAATCAACAACTCCGGGATCAAGAGGCTACATTCGTGCATCGGAACCAGAAGGTGTGGTGGGACTTCTTTCACATCAACTTCAATGTCTTCCAAACCCTGGTTGCGAAAGAGCGTGGGAAGATTTGGGACCCACGTGGGACGCAGTCTCGCATCGTCTCCCTGACTCAGTTTCAGGATTTGTTCCAGTGCATCGGCCTTGTTATGGGAGCTGGTTTTCTCGGTGCGCCACGTTGACATATCAGGTTCTGCCCATTGCAAGTATCCTCCTGGTTCTGAATATGTGAAGCTGTGTTAGGTATATGTTCATTGAAAGAGGATCTCTAGCGATGATGCATACTCAGGAGCCCCTGCAGTCTTCCAAGAACCGAGTTGACATCGTTGTTGGAAAGTACGAGGGAAAAGAGCCGAATGTGGACCACATCAAAAGCCTCAAGAAGGTCTTGGGGTGGATCGGAAAGAACATCCCACTGTCGAAGTTTTATATTAGAGGGCAACCACTCTGGTGGTGCGGTGGCCGCGAACGAAATATCCAGACCGTGGAGCTCAACGGAAGGTGGCAATTTATCAGTCAAGTCTGATAGCCAAATGCTTTAGCAATTCGATTAGCAAATTGGAAAAAGAAAACCGACTAGGTATCATACCCAGTGCCTGTCCCAATATCGGCAACTTTGAGGCATGGGTTCTCCGTTGGAATACTTGGGTGAAGAAGGTATCCAAACAGACGGACCCAGAGGTAGTGTTGAAGATTGATACTAGTGAAGAGTCAGCTGGCTGAATTGGCAATGAATCTCCTTGCGCCCTCAAAAACTTACCGATCGTTGTCGAGATAATCTCGTGGAAAGACATATTTGTCTTCAGCTTGCATCTTGTAGCGCGGTATGGGAAATTTTACCACGAGTGTCAGGGATACTCTGAGGAGAAGAAGGTGAGTGGGAAGCGCTGTGATCTCGATAGCCGGGAGCAAATCTAGGGAATGGGAAGATAAATAATCTCGGAGCTGATTGAAGTCTGATCCGTGATGTCACTGATTTCTGGATGATTCACGCCAAGAGTAGAGAACAAAGGATGGACGAGCCAATGAGTTCGCTGTTGAACTGTTAGTGTAGTACCAGCCACCCACGCCGTTGTAAAGCAGCAGGGGCCATGGATTACCCAATGATACGGAAGAAGTAGTCTTGTTGTTGTCGAAATCCCAACCATTTCGTACACCTGTATGTATCTCATTTGTTCATCGTGCACTGCATGGCGCCTAGTTGTTACAGGTGATTCAATTGGTAATCAGGAAACAGAAGACGCACGCGATAAACATAGTCTCAAACCTCGCTAGGAGGACCATTAGCGTTGGACAATGTGTGATCAACTACCTTTACTTCATAATGAGGTGAAGCACAAAGGCTGGCTATCAAACGGAATGCGGGTAGTACATCAGAGCTGTTGATAATACAGAGACAGAAGAGCCGGGTCAACGCCGAACTTGAACTCACAGGGCCCACTATCCTTGGACACGGTTGACACTCGACATGATAATCTTGATAAATTAAATGAAGCCCCTCACCCCTTGCGTGGCTTGGCATAATAGAGCATGCGTAACAAACAGAACCGGCTCGAGAGGACGATGTGTCTCTAGCGGAGCTGTGAATAAGGTCGTGTGGCCAACAGGGGCTTGGGAATGGATGATTGAAATCCCACTAAGGATCTATAATGGACAGAAGAGCTGCTTACGATAGACTTCAGCGAGGTTGGCAAGACGTGGCAAACTGGGTCTACAAGCCTGGAGAATGAGAAAGAGACTGGAGGTTTAATTTCAAACGCAATGGAAGTTTTTCTTCTGCTCAATTCAAGAATTATCCGGATGGTACCGTGGGGTCGACTCGCTCCAGCGCTCATTCCCGCTCATTTGATATTCCATCCCACGGACAAATATCTGAAGGCTGGCGCTCCCCTCCGATAGAATGTCTTGTACAAGCTGCTGATGCACCGACTCCCACTCCCGGCACATCGTCCACAAAACCCGCTGCGCTGCGGAAAATCCGAGCCCGGCCTCGTTAGCTACTACCGGTACCGCTGAGCAGAGAGCCGCGCCTTCCTGATGTAAGATTTGTGATGCGAGCTGTTCCTTGTGCCAGCTGTAGATATCGTTGACAATTGCAATGTGCTTGGCACAGTTGTGCTCGACAGGGGCCGCACGATGTAGCTCATCTTCGGTCAGATGAAGCTTCATTGTGAAGCGCAGAAGCGCGGAGAGCAGGCTAGAACGCCAACGTCAGCAAACGCCATTCAATTAGTGGAATTGGGAAGTAGAGAGCTTACCCCTGTCCCACGTCTCGTTCGCGGTAATCCAGGTATTTTCCGAGCTCGTTAATTCTAAGACGGGCATTGTCCGTCTGGGCACGCATAAAGGTAATAACAGACTGGAGCAGCATATCTGCGAGGGCTTTGTCGCATTCTCGCATCTCGTGCCACAGATCATACGTAATAGTTTCTACCGGAACTGTCCTGTCAGGGAGATGGTCCCCCCTGGATATGGCGATAAGCCGTTCATTATATGCAGAGCCATCCTCGAGCGAGATCTCTTCGAGACGGTCTGTGCAGCTGCGGTCAGCGAGGGTCATATAAACAATTCTAAGAGGCTCATACCATTGACCAGAAAGAGAAGTGTCAGCAACCGACATGCAAGCTCAATCCGGTCGTGCAACGCCTTAGGAAGATATAAGCACGTCGCACGCGAGAAGCCCGCTGCGCGAAACTTGGCCCGCTCAGCGTCACTGCGGAAGGGCCAGCGTTGTAGGAAGTATGCATCGACTTTCGCGGAGACCGCATGAGCATTGGGGTGGATCATAGCTGTGAGAAGAGATGTCGGTGGTTTGTGTCTGGTCAGTTTTGGCATCAACTCTCGATCCTTATCAATTAGCGAAACTCCCTGGGGGTAGGAAGTGGATAGCGTAGAAGGCACACTATAGGTACTGGCTAGCATAGTGTAGAATTCAAAAGCACTAAACTGTGTAACAAAAAGGAATATTGATCCATTTCCGAGAGAACATCGCATATTTATTTCCCGGCATGATCATGTCGTGGCGGCCATGCTGTCCCCACAGAAAGCCTTCGTACCAAACTCTGTGAATTTGGCATACTAGCTCAGAAGTTTATTCACTGCTGATTTGTACATCACTTCGTCAGGTGAGTGATAATGGCCGGTCCCCAAATAGCACAACTTTTACTCTAGTTCAATAATCGAGATGATAGGTGTGATATGGATAGCTCCTTGTGAAATCGTGGGGTATAAACTTTGTTAATGCAAACTGAAATACATAAGTTGAGTGAAATTTCCCGTAGAGGAAATAGACTACGTCTAAATAATTGCACCTATTATAGGCAAAACCATCATATACGGCGACGGAGGATGGCAATATCAATACTGCCACCGAAATCATTTTCGATTCATATCAAAGTTCATCTCTAATGTAATACCATAGCGCTCCTTGGCTTGTCTTCACTACCTGAGAAACAAGCTTCTCACACCCAAATCGTTATAATATAGCTGTCTCAATACTTGGCCTAACGGCTGAGATCACCATATATGCCAAGGAATTAAACAAGTGATGCAAATATAGAGCCCCCTAACTACCAGTCAGTCAATGGGATAACTAATTAATTTCGCCGTAGCAGTCCGAGCTACATAGCCCGAAAAGCGTGCTAAGAGCATCTTGTGATGCTCTGGCGCTGTTTTGGGGTCTAGAAGAGGATTCCAATGTTGTACCGGACGTGCCCAGCACAGCCTTTCTGTACACAGAGACACAGAGTTCATGGAAACCAACAGAAAAGACAGGATTGTTCTTGTGAATGGTGAAAGGTGTCTAGTTCCTTGGCACATTAAGCTAGAGTCATTGTTAGCTTTTGGGGTCCAAAACATTGTAGGCATGACCGTACATTTCGAGCCGCGCCATAGCCTGCTCTCAAGTGAGGCAAAATCTTGGCGATCGGCGCATGCTGATCAATAAATCTTCCACGTTTCCCACCAGGCGCCACTGTTAGCGGGGGGGTGTCAAACCACTTCTTCATCATAAGATTCGTTGGGAAACACAATGGCCTAGTAACCCGTTCGACTTGCTTCTAAAATTAACGCACATGTCCGCAGATCCCAGAAAGGCTGGCCGGTTCCCCACTTCAAAGTGTTTGAAATAAAGTCGTTGAGACAACTCTAACATGTTTGCAATACTCCGCAACTCAAACAACCAAAGCTTGTTAGCCACGGAGGCCTCCACCAAACCACCGCCATACCACCGCCCACCCCACATTGTCTGTCAGACGTGCCGGTCCAAAAAGGTATGCACTCTTGTGATCCTAGATGTAGCAACCCGCTGACAAGGCACAGTTGAAATGTTCGGGTTTTCGCGCCGACGGATGTCTACGTTGTCGAGCCTCTGAACTCAAATGCATTCCAGTCGATCGTCAACCTCGAAAGGATGTCACGACGAGGAAGAGCAATAAACGCATTCAGAGAACCAGCTATGGCCGACCACAGGATCTAGAGAGAACCACAAACAACTGTGGTCCGGTGGTGGATCCTTGTCCTCAGCCTTCAATGTCTCCGTCCTGTGACAGGGAAGTCGTGACCGAATCTTCAGAGACACAAATTAATGGCTCCTTAAACCTTGGTCCCTGTACTGTACTGTCCTCTCCTGATGAGGCTCACAGTCCAATACCAGGAGGCCCGCTGTCTACGTTGCTCATTGGTCGTTCCCACAGCGGAAACACTGACGCCACTGACGACCCGGCGATAGAAGCCCCAAGCCAGGGGACTGTCAGTCAGTTAGAGTCGCAGGATACGGAGTTATCATTGGAAAAGGCATTCGAGGACGTCGCCACTGAGCCTTCCCCGTTCCAATCCTGTCAATGCACCGAGGAAGCACTCGAACTGTTAGAGCAAGTATGCGTTCAAGGCAGGGAACGGTGGTCCACCTTTGGGGGCTCTAAAAGTTCTACGTTCGAGAATTGGGCCACTGTACGCGCCGTAGTCCTAAGGCTGGGGTTGTTCGCCACTTGCTTCGACTGCAAGGATGTGCCGCGGCTGATGACGCTCCTCGTTTTACTCTCTGAGCGTCTTTGCGCTGTGTTCCGCATCACTCTGGAAACCACCCCCTCAGAGGACGTTCTAGGATCCGGAGTCCCGAGTCGACAAGAAATATATACGTATTCTGATACATTGAGAGGATACCGAATGTCACATCGCACTGATGGGTATGACGACCCGACTGTTACGCTATGCTGCGGCAGGTACAGCCTGGATGTATCGGAGGAAACATCGACGCTGTTTATCACCTTGTACTTGGCGTCACTGCAGCAATTCCGCAAGGCACTAATAATCTTGTGGGATCGGGCGCAGGAGGAGCAGTCCCACGGGCATCTGGAAACTCTTCGAAGTATCAAGGAACAGTTGCATGCTGTATCTGTAGCCATGAATGCTCGGCTCACGGCCGAGTAGTGTTAGTTGGAGGCGACATAGCGTAGGTAGACAGATTATTCAGTGCACAAATTGATACATAACCGCGTACAAGGAAGCTAATTATCTAGTATGATAAGACTATTACTCTACGTCTAACCTTTATCCCACATATTGATGGGATGGTCCTTTGCTTGATTCTCTGGGATGAAATCGCACCCCCAAAGTTGGTTTCCACCACATAACGTGCAGGCGGCTTTCAATCTCCCAGCCCTTGGTAGGATTGACCAACTCGGCATCGAAGGCGAAGTACATCTTTGCTAGGACCAAGGATATCTCGAGCATGGCAAAGCTGTTCATTTGTTAGTCAATAGGACAGCAAGGCAACTAGAACGGTATTTGAAAACCGACTTTCGTCCTAAGCAGCTCCTCGGACCTAGTGAGAATGGCTGGCTCGCCTATCTAATATCGGTACATGTCGGATCCAACCACCTTTCTGGTTTGAAATGAAAAGGGTCGTGGAAGTATCGCGGATCGTGTGTTATTGTCCACGTAGATGTGTACACCTCAACCTATGTTCTAGTTAAGAGTTTGCTCTTTCCACATGTTCGACAGAAATACGTACATTCCCCGGAATATGTACACCGTCAATTATGATCCCCTCTGCTGGTGTGTTGCGAGGAAAGCGTTGAGAACCTTGTGGATAGATTCTTAGACCTTCCGATATCACAGCTTGAAGGTAGGATAGCTGCTAGGCGCTGGTGCCATCGATTTCGGAGAGGGCATGATAACGATTGCGGATCTCCGAACGAAGCTTTAGGTACACTACTGGATTGGTCAAGATATGGTAGGTGGTAGCCGCCAGGAATGTGGCCACAGTTTCCCCTCATTCTATACTGGAAATACTGTTAGTTCTCTCGTCTCAATGATATGATTTTTTCTCTGACTTGACAGATTCTTCGTCGGACGTAACGTACACCAATGTCGAGGCGTGCGCCGTCAATTCCTCCAAATCCATCTCTTCGTCCTGCACCTTCCAGATTAACCAGGACATGAAGTCCGCACGGGGTGACTTAGCCTCGAGGCGTCGGGCAACCTTATCGCGACTATAGTTCGTGTGTTTGTTACGCACTCTTACCGTGAGCCTCGGGAGAATGGTCTTGCCTATCGCTGCCAGCAGCGGATATCGCCGCAGATTATCCAAGATTGTGATGAAATAGAGATGTTTTTCAATCATTTCCGACCAGAAGTGCGGTTTCCCTAAGTTGATCAGTCTTTTCCACGGCACCAGGTAAACTAGCTCACCAGTCTCGATGCAATGGAACGACTCTCCAAAAGCCATCTCACCTAACACATCAAATGCCAGTATCTCAAATTACTTAGTCATATTCAATCCCTCGGGCGTCCTGTCTTTCGCGCGGAGCTGGTTTACGAAATCATCAATGTAGCGATTGATTATACTCTCCTGCTCGGGGAGTGCCTTTCTCGAGAAGACCGCAGCGAGAGGTTTCCTGATTCAACTATGCGTACTAGGACCTCTCTCACTTCCGACGCATGGCGACCAAATTCCTGAGCCGTAAATATTATACCAGTCGCCTTTTGAAAGTAGGTTCTTGCTTGGGTTGTAGATTGCCTTCCATGATTCAACTGATACACAGGATAACTCATCCGGGGAGATTCGGATAATATCACCTAGAAGGCTGTGATATTAGCGAGTGCCGGAAGCAAATACTAAATAGAATGAGTCTTACCGTATCATTTATGTTTCTGGTCAATAGAATGATGAATGCGACCTCTTGTTGTGTGCCAAATACGCCATGCCTTTGTACCGCATGGAAGACATGGGTCAGTAAAAGAACTGCAAATTGCGAAAAGATATGCATTTGATTACAAAAGACACTCGACCCCAAAAAGGGCCAGTAAAAAAGGCTAAGGGGTGAAATGGTATGTTGTAGATCACCACCCCTAACCAGTAGACCGTTGCCTGTGCATCATCGGTGGGGAAACGTCCTCATGCATCATGCACTTGGAGAGATTGCCATTAGGCCCACAGCCACGCAGAACGCCTGAACCTGTGGTATCTTCCGCTCGGTCGGTAGGAAATCGGTATCCGCCATTGTTTATGCAAGAAATATGTATCAGGTGCTGTCGGTCTAGGTTGGTCAGAACCTGTCACCAACTGCATTCTTATAACACCAGGCTGAGAATGCAAAACTCGACATCTGGCAAACTGTAGATTGGTTTTGCGCTGAATCTGGTATGATGATTAATCTCCTCAAGGCTGTGGGGACTTTGTTCTGATGTGGAAATAGATGACAGCATATCTGGAGATAAAGTGGTACATAGACTTTTACCAAACCTTGACTCTACGTCTCATTCCATTCTTCCTTACTATCTACAACACCACGCCCACCCACTTCGGCATTGTTGAACGAAAGAAAGAAAGAAAAGCCCAACTCTCAATGGCTCGCTGTATAGCAATAATATAGTAGGGCAATGTAGATAAAAGAGAAGATCCTCTTTAAGATTTCAGTACGGCAAGAAAATATAAGTCCAATAAATTAATAAACTTCTAGTCACCGACCAGGTGCAGAGTACCGGCAGGTAGCGGTAAATTATATCATTTACTAGTTATTTCCAGTTCAGTGCCCTTCGGTATATTTTTCGACTCTTGGTTATCTTCAACTTCCAGAGCCACAAGGGGCCAAGACACTAACTGAGATTGCTTTCTCTCTCACTCGTTATTAGCTCTACATGCAAATTACATTTACATTTATGACACTTATCGATTCTGGTGCTGGAGCTCAGGGAATGACCTTAGAATTCTCATCAAAGACAAGCTATGGGCCATATGGCGTACTCAACTATATTGGGCAAGGATTGTCGAACAAGCAGACCAGTATTCTAACATATTGCGCTCGTCCTCTGGAAATATTGCCCCTCTTTCAAAATGAGTGATGAGACGGGAATTATATGAGAAGTAACTATCTCCATGAAAGTCCACGTTGAGGTTGTGACCCTGGAAGAGAAAAGCTGTATCCTTTATGCTGAGACTCTGCTACTTGTATATAAGCTATCTTCGAGACCAAGAGATACGCGTGATGGAAAGGCTGGGATCGTCAGACTAAGCTTGAGAATTTGGAGAATCTGCTTCATCTTTTACCACCGAATCGCAAGATGGAGGTTCATTTCAAACGGGTGCATCCGGAACATGTAGTATGCAAGCAGACAATGCATTGAGGCTGGGTGTTCCAAAGTTTGGGTCCATCGTTGCATTGGCAGCATATGTATAACCCAAATGCGCTTTCTGAAGGAATTGCGTTGCCCAATATTGGGTCACGGCGACTACTCTGGCGGTGCCTCTGTGGATCCGGCTCAAAGTGAGAATCAGGTCGGTGTCCGGACGCAATGGTTTCGAAGGAACTCAAATCTTTCCAGACCTGCGACCTCGTTTCGTCGACATCCGGACGATGTTCGAGATGGGCGATGAGTTTCTCCGAACCTTCATCAGTAGTTGATTGTTGACCTTCGGCCCTCTCTGAGCGCACCTCTGATGGCTGTACAATCTCAGCTCCTGGATCAGGTCGTGGCAACGCAAACAAGGCTAGCTCCTGTAAATGGCGGGCCAGATGTTTCTCAAACTGTGTTCCCGCTGCAACAGGAGATGAGCATAGTGGGCAAGACATACAGCCCTTGCAGTCACTTCCGACAGAATGCTGGCTCTGCAAATGAAAGAGCCATTCCCGACGACTTTCATATAGCCGCTGTGGGGTAGGACAATTTGGAAACACACATATGTATGGCAGTACATCAACGAATACATGACGCGCCCAATCCTGTAATCCCGTATGGGTGATTATTCTGTAACAGTAGGGACATTCGAATGGAGTTCCATCGGCCACTCCGGCTGGCGGTGGTGGAATAACCGATCCCTCGCTGCCAGATAGAAGCGTTTCGGCATATGATGTTTGTGAAAGGAGAGACCGGTTGTCTACTTCCTGCTGCGGACTATTGACTTGCATGAAGTTACTCACAAGGGTCTCCGATAGTTTCGTTGATTGCTTTTCTGATACGTCATCCAACATACTGTTAAGACCTTGACCAAGCTTTTTCGAATGTCTTTCACGATAGCGAAGTATAGCCCGACGCTGAGAAATCGCCAAGCCAAGACGGTCTTGAATCTCAGGATCTGCATCCGGATATTTGTTGGCGGTATGCTGCTTATCGAACGGTTCAAAGCCTATGGCATCTATCCTCTTTGTCCCCGCGAGCCGATCGTGGGGTGCGGGTCTGTATTCATGAAAATTAGTGCCGATTACTGGAAGACTAGGGCTTTACCCACCTTCGGATTGCCATCGAAATTTGGAACAAATTGTTGATTGTGTCGCAGAGTGCATTATAGTCCGACTGGATTTCTGTCTCTGTGCATTCATCATCTGATGGCGAAATGTCATCGGAACCAAGTAGATCTTCAGTGGTGTCCTGCAAGTCTTCCAAGACCCTCTTTAATCTTTGGAGAACCCGCATGGTTTGATCCCTGATATGCGTTGCCTCACGGAGCCGATGATCGAGTGATAAATTTCCTGTCTGGTGGGCGCCAATATTTGCAGCCCATACGCGTAGGCGTCCAAGCTCATCTTTCCATCTCGCATGCCGGACCTCGGAGTCATACTGCGCCAATTTATCAGATGAGATAAGGCTTTTAAGTTTCTTGAGGCAATCTATAGCAATAACGGCGATGGCACTCATTGTGCGGAGGTATAGAGGGAATGTTCGGTTCGATGACCAGAGATGGGCACCATGGGTCCCACAGAGAAACCGAGTCCAACATATAATCGTTATACATTCCTATCAATTCACTAAGCACCAATGCATGTTTGCTTTTTGTCTGTGACGTGTTCACCATTCTGTGGACTTGACAGGGATTGATGCGGGGCGGACTCCAGTGAGGCTGAAGGAGAGGGATTTGACCCCTCCCAAGGGGACTGGAGGGGCTCTTGCCTTTCTCAATCTGATTTTTCCTTCCTTGAGTTCTCCTCTATATCTATTGATCGAATGACCAAACGGTTGTCATGGAGGCAGCCGGTCTTGCTCTGGCCATTCTCCCGCTTCTAGTCAACCAACTCGACAATTACGTCCAGGGTCTTCAAACAGTCAAGGGATTCCGGGCAAAGCGCTACCGTCAACAGCTGGATAGCTATTTCTCGAACATTGGGACACAACATGTCATATTCTCGAACACACTGGAACGAGCCCTTGATGGGGTAGTTGATTACCAGGACGGCATTGATGAATTGATTAACAATCCCTCGGGAGAGGCGTGGAAGAAACCCGAGCTAGTGAAAAAGATGGAGGAAAAACTTGAGCGCAACTATTTTCCATTCAAGAAAACAATGACGGAGCTTGCTGCCCTGTTGCAAGACTTAAGCAGAAGACTGAAGTTTGAAAACATATCGTCGGCAGAGGTACGTTTCAGAATAATGCTCATATCAGCAGTCGGGATTATTCTCGATTTATTGACGAGTGTGCTGTTCAATAGAAGGCCTGGGAAGATGCATCCACCCTGGAACGCGAAGTGAGGAAATTCCGCGATATATTCTCGAAGAGTATATACGCCGACATTCTAGACCGAATCAGTGTTGCCAACGCCATTCTCGACACATTGGTCAAGCAGTCCGAGTATCTGAATCAGCCGCAGAGACGAAGGATTTCTAAGCGCCATCTTCTTCGTTATAGAAAGGTTCGGAAGTCCGCAGGCAGCTTGCACTACACCCTCATTCGAGGCAAATGCTGGAAGTGCCCATGCAAAGCCAGCCATCAAGTTCATTTGATCTTGCGTCACCCTGATATGGAGCTCGCCGATGCATCGACTGAGGGACATTCTGCAAACCCACGCTTCAATCTGGTGTTAATGTCTGCATCCGATGCGGGACCCAGAAGCTCCCTTAGCAAGAGCTATAGACTTGAAGCGGAATCGGAAATCATTCATTCGAGTCTCGGGGTGCGCGATGTATGTTTGGGCGGCCACGTAGGCAACAGGACTCCCGACATCGCCCCCAACAGACACAAGAAGGCAGTGCAATTCTCTCTGCCCACTGGTAACTCCAGTTCCTTAGCATGTCTGAAGGTCCAACCACCTCCAATTTTTGATATCTGTGCCACTCTGTCGGCTATGACCACCGAGGAAAAGGGCCAGAGGGCTCTTGGGTGGCTATACGACGAGAGCCATAGACATAACATAACTGTTCTTCAAACCGGCCTCGCATATTCCAAACCACAGTCACTTCAAGACCTTGTCACGGCTTCTGCTCGCTTCTTGAAAGGCCAACCAGATGAAGGATTTCTCTTCAGTCAGCTTGATCGGCTTCGCGTGGCTGTGATTCTTTCATGCAGCGTTTTCCAATTTCATGGAAGCTGGCTGAGACATGATTGGAGATCCCGGGACATCATGTTCTGCCCGCAAGACAGAGATGCAACCGGATACTTCTATATCTCGTGCAATATAGAAGACAACACAGATGGCCTCAACATGTTCGATTGCCAGAATGCTCCCACCCTCATCCGGAACCTGGTCCTGTTTCCTCTGGGACTTGTTCTCGTGGAGCTATCCTTGTGTCAGAATCTGGAGTCCATGCGCGAACACGATGATACTGATCATAATCAAGCACATGCCAACCTTAAGACTGCAACCCGTCTTCTGCCTCAGGTGGAGCAGCGAAGTGGCCCGGAGTATGCGGAGGTTGTTGACCGGTGCCTTTCTTGGCACGATAGAAAGGAAACCAGTCTTGACAGCGAGAAATTGCAGGAAGAGGTGTTTCAGCTGATCATTTCGCCGCTGGTCAAGAATCTCAAGAGTTTTGAGGAATACCTTGAAGTTGATGAAGTCTAAACTAAACGGCGTCTTAAATTAGTGGTTCAACTCACATCGTACGCTATCGATTTTCATATCCGAATTCCCACAGATGGAAATCAGCCCGGATTCGTTTACACGATCCATGATGCCTTGAGAATCACTCCTGACAATATCCACTTTTTCACTTGATCGAACTCACTAGTCTGGAAACCTTGCTATATCTCAGGGCGTTTAAAGGGCATCATCCAGCTACACACTCGCAACCAATTTGGTACATGACATGACAAAATCACCGGGTTTAGATGTCTTCGTACACCAGCTCAGCCCTATCTCGGTGGGCTGTTTGACCACGAAGCAACCTTCATGGCCACCTCAGCCAGAATATAAGGCCTCCGGACTATCTACTCAGCAGCGCTCTGCCAAGGCCAAAAATAAGCCGAACAAGCAACCACCACACCCTCCCACACAGCGAACCAGCCCTACTTATGATGACGATAATACGATATATGGCCGTTACTCCTCACCAATTTTCTACCACGATATCTACAAAATCCCACCCTGTATTTACCTCCACCCCCTACTGCTTTTCCCTGCATCGTAAGATGCCCCCGCCATCGCAAAAACCCACCATTGTATTCATCCACGGTGCCCGGCATGATCCACACATCTACCACAAGTTCCGAACCGCCCTAAACGTCCTCGGCTTCGAAGCCACGGCTCCTAACGCTAAATGACTCCCGACCCCCAAACGCAGACCTTTACTCCGACCCCGACCTCATCCGTAACTATGTGACCAGTCTCGTCGATGCCGGTCGCGAAGTGATGGTGCTAATGCACTCCTACGGCGGCCAGGTTGGCACTAACGCACTAGCGGGTCTCGGCGTCCAACGCCGCCAACAACACGGTCTTCCCGGCGGGGTAACCAGGCTGGTCTATCTTAGTGCCTTCGCGCTCAAAGAGGGAACAAGCATGGTCAATGTGGTTGAGCGCTTTGGACATACGGATCTCATTCCACTTGGGATGGATATTGCGGAGGATAAATGGTGTGTCAATAGGGACCCGTTGCCCCTGCTCCTGGGACCTGGTCTGACTCCCGACGAGGAGGGGGGTTATTTACGGCGTTTGGAAAGGTGGAATGTCACGGTTATGTATCAGGCGATTGATGCGGCAGCGCGGAGGTTATTCCGGTGTCGTATATCCAGACTACGGAGGCTATGTTGCCGCCGATAGACTATCAGAAATGGATGATAGGTGGGATGAGGGCGGAGGGGAGGGACGTGCAGACGTTTGAACTGACGACGGGACATTGTTGTATGGTTACGATGGTGAATGAGACAGTTGCTATTGTGAAGGTGATTGTGGAGAATGATCAGGTTGGCTAGTAAGAACCAGGTTTCTGTGCTTAGAGTCACTCAGGGTAATCATTGAAGACGTATTTGATGAAGAAGTGGTGGTTCTTTCAAGGTTCTACGTAGTATAAGAGTATCACATCCCCAATTTACGTCTGCTCTCGACGAAATGCAAGCAGAAACTTTCTCGAAATCCGTGTTAACAAGCCACAGTTCGTGTTTATACATACAGACTTATCACAGACGGGTCCTTCAGAGTCAAATCACCATATCCCTATGACCATCCCACGAGTATGACTCCACTCGAAGAAGCTGGCTTGATAACCGAACCATCCCATGGTTATAGTTAATCTGGATCGTCATTCTTAGTACCTACTATGATTCCTTGGTTATATCCTTTTGGTCCATACCCCCATCCTAATCTCAAGCCAATGCCAAGAGTCAACCATGCTAGTGACTAGGAAGTAGTAGCATGCCCAGAACAAAGAAACCGTAGTCTCTGCGCTAAATGCGGCATCCAACCAGTCCATTCCTTTCGATTTCTTTACTCAGTTGATTCTTTTCTCTATAATGTCTTTGTGTCTCAACGGCGAGAAATTAATTCTTCACTTGAGTGGTTCATAACTGTCCTACCAAGAGGATATTGTCCAGCAAGATGAGGTCATCGAACAAGTTCGTTCATCTCCAGCGATTCGCTCGGGCAAGCTTCAAGACTGCAAGGTTCTTTCTAAACTGTAATAAATGCAAAACTCACTTATTGGAAATAACGTTCAATATCAGAGTGATAGCAGTTTGTGATGTGATAAGGTGTCGAAAGCATGCTGTGTGGCGCTTCCCCGGGACAGAAACAACATCTATCCGATGGATGGTTGGATCTTTTAATCGAAGTGTTCTCCGCAATCGGCTAGACCATTTTGTTAGTTCCACTGTTGGACTACTAAAACCTTGTCTGGGGATATAAGCAACGGACTGCACCATCTCCTGGTCCATTCTTCCTAGAATCTCACAAGTTCACATGCGATGTTGTGACTTTCCATTATTGTTTTCAATACGTATCGAGCAATATCGAAAGGTCGGAAGGGGCGATCATCATTAAGGACAAAATGTCTTCAGGGACTAGCTTTTCCCTACGTCGTGGTCACCTAGACAATAGCCGGTAGTTACAGAATCCCAATGACCATAATGACATGTCTAAGTTTTAAACAGGGTCAACCTTCAACACTACCTCTGGGTAAAACAATTCGGCTATCTTCTTCATCCTGATATTCCCACGGAGAAGAAGGATATGCGAATCGCGGACATTGGCACCGCGACGGGGTATTAAGATCCCTGCATTCATTGCACAGAGGTCGATGGTAACCATTTGCTATATAGGATTTGGCTGATCGATCTGGCGGAGACACTGCCTCCATCGGTCCAACTCGACGGATTCGACATCACGCTCGACGCTACACCACCATCCAAATGGCTACCTTCCAACGTGACGCTCCAGCACTGGGATGCCCGCACCGAGCCTCCACGCGAATGGATCGGCACGTACGACGTCGTGCATATCCGACTGTTCGCCATCGCTTTTGACGAGCGCGAAGCCGTCTCTATGCTGAGCAGATTAAGAAAGCTTTTGAGTATGCCTCTGCCTTCCTTTGCTTTCCTCCTGTCTAACGATCCGCGTCACTTAGAACCAGGCGGCTATCTCCAATGGGCCGAAGTCGACATGTCATCCTGCAGCATCGAAAGAACACACCCATCCAACAAAGCCGACCCCATTACCGAGCTCCTGAGCCACAGTAACAAAGAATACACTACAGAAGATTGGACCTGGTGCCCCAAGCTCCCGGACTTGTTCATCCGGGAAGGATTCGAAAATATCCGGCAAGATGTGCGAGATACGCCACCGCACCTGCTAGCTCCAACTGATGAATGTAGCCTCTTTCTCTTGGACTCGTGGGTACGTAGGATGATGAATGGCACAGGACAGGGAGCCAAATACAGGGCCTTGATGCAGCAGGTCGAGAGGGAGGCTAGTCAGGGATCTGTCTGGAAGTTCACACGGTGGACTGTGGTGGGCAGAAAACCTTTCAAAGACGTTGGTGGTGAAGGATTGGAGACAACTCCAGTTGACAGGGATGCTCATCCAGGTGGGCACTTGTTTTTTCCATATTAACGTTTCTTTGTTTCTTTGTGATCGGGAATCAACTCGCGATCCTCCGGGATTTGCACTCATTCTGGACTAATCCTAAACAGGCAGGTTCTCCTTATCCGGAATTTGTCAGCAGACTAACCCAGTTAGGAAGCTCATCGAGATGGTGCCTGATTCGTTTGTGGATGCAGCCCCTTTTCCTATCCTCAGGAGAAATTGATGAACTGTGCAATCACAATTGCGCTGGTCAATGTATTCTGCCCGCTAAATTCATTGCTATCATCCCACATCACGGTCTGTCGTCCAGCGACCACCGAAGAAAGCCTATGAACAGATCCGTCATCCCAGCAGACGTCCCACGCATTTTTGAGCAATTCTAGTATTCCAATTATAGTATACAAGTGCACTAGGAAGGTGATCAAGCTTGCGACCCAGCTTCATGGTCCAGACCACGTGAAGCATCACCGGGCAGATCGTCACTAGAGCCTGTCAAGTCCTTCGTAGCGGGACCGCGTATCTCCCCGACTGCCTCGCCGGGTTCCTTTACCGTGCAGGAGGCATACGTAGTGAACGGCACGCTGACCCAGAACACCACGAACCCAACAATAAGGTTAGCCATAAGCGAGACATTCTCACTAGCACCGATGCCGAACGCGATCGCAAATCCCAAACTCTCAGCCGACCGCAGGATCCCGGTTGTATACGCCAGGACGTCGACATGGACATCGTACGTTCCGAGGATCCAGTATGTCCAAACGACAGACGCTTGACTCGCCACACTGGTTTGCGTTAGCAGGGATATCCCAATCATCAGGAACATGGCTCTTACCCGAACAAGCAGTACGCCGCAATTGCTTTGCCGTATCCAGGATCGTGGATATCTAACGACGGCGTGGGATCCTGGCTCTGCAGCGTCTTCTGCATGACAAAGTTCAACACCCACTGTGGGATGAACACGGCCAGCATGATCAACCATCCACTCAGGGCGAGAACCTTTCGCGATTTCACGATCATCTGAGAATCTAGGAACTAACCCCACAGTAGCGTCGCGATGATGCCCACAACCGTCTGAATGAACCCGGCCAAGGTACGGCCTCGGACAGAGAAGTACTCGGTCAGATAGTTCCCCTGGTACGTCTGACTCCAGCGCACGGTAATAAAAATGGGCAGCAACATGAGCATGTACTTTTGTTTCGATGCTTTCCACAGACCCTTGAATCCATCCTTGATTGAGACGTGCTCTTTGTCGGTGCTGAAGGTCGGTTTGCTTCCGTCTTTGCGGATCAGTTTATGTGCCGGCGCGACCGTCAGAGCGAGTGGAAGACCGGCGCAGCTGAGACCGATCAACACGAGGTAGGTTTTCGGGCTGACGCTGCCTTTAGCGGAATTGTCGATGTTCAGAGCGAGTTGAATTGCGTTTCCGATGATCGAGCCGAGTTTGTTGAGGGCCATCCAGATTCCGACTATTTGTGTCAGTTTGCAGCTGTCTTCGCCATGTCCCAAGAATTGCGACGCTTACTGTATGTCCCTCTGTTCTCGATCTCGGGGTATCCAACTGCAATGGCAGCTTCGGAAACCCACAGTGCAGCGGCCTATCATTCATTCATCAGCCATCTCCCCCATGCAACCATTCGACGTGAAACCTACCGAGAAACCGCACAGCACCGACCCGAACAGCAAGAACCACTGCGTCCCAAAGACACTGTTACAGTATAACGCGGCAAAATAAGGCACGTAGCCGATCGTCCCTCCAACTAACACCCATTTCAAACTGAATCGATTCCCAGCGACGGCGAAGAGCGGACAAGTAACGATCATAATGACATACGTGATAACATTCGAGGCGTTGACGAAATACGGCGTCGCGAGACCGCCAGCACCCAGACCTGAGAGATCACCGATTAGCTTCCTTCCATCATGCCTGAACCCTGCAGTTTCAAGCTCAGAGCTCAAAGTCAGTGCTAAATCCAAACTCACTATTCAACGCATCCCAAATACCCGGCTGCGTGAAACTGATCAAACCCAGCGCCACAGCCTGGTACAAGGTCCCGCGATACCAGCGGTGCAGGGTCCCGACGACTTCACCCATCGTAGATGTGATGTGAACGGGTTCTGCGATCAATATCTGCAAAAGCACCAAAAGAAGCTTTTGTGTGTCCCGACGTCGGCATGAGTCTTATTTAATTGACGTCTGCTGGGCCAGTCGCGGACGCCCCACTGCGATGTCGTGATCGAGACCACCAGCCTATCTTTTCCTGAATCGGCGCAGACAACCGTGACGATTGGGCGGTTTTCATGTGTCATGGAAACGCGGTCCCACTGCTAGAAGGGCAAAAAGGTGTTGAAGGCACGCCCTGTGTCACTTGCAGGGCGTGTGCGTTTCAAACCCCGTCGTGTCGGCACTGGGCAGGTCAGTTTCCTGCATGGTTTGTAGATTCTGGTCGAGAGATATAAACATGGCTTCATAGTCAGAGTTTCATTCCTTCCACGATCCCTCGAGTCAAATTTCACCCTGTCTGTGGTTGATTGGATGACCCCGGGTAAGCGCTGCCGACGGGCCCACTGTTCGGCAACTTTCTCGGCCTGCGTCCAGAGTGCCGGGTGTGGAGATTCGGGCATGCCCTGCTTGTCCATACTTTATGGCGTTAGCATTTGCTTGGGTACGTTTGAGTCACTGTAGATAAGATATACGCATTTAATCCGATGATGGACTTGAGTTCGGCCAGACATCCATGCGTGCATGCATCCTCATATGAGGGCACGTGACATCAATCGACGGGCGGATTAACAGAATACAGCTCAAGAATATTTATATGTATGTAGAGTTCTGTGGCAATTGGAACATGCAATCGAGATCGCGTTGCTCTTCTTTGCTTTGGCTTGTTTCATGTGGTGTCGATTCGTCAATGTGAAAATGTAGAAGTTGTATGACGCGGTTTATATGAAGACATGTAGGAGACAAACTCGAACATAGCGCAAATTCTCCACGCCTATCACAATCTTCCATGTTTTTCAGACCATATGGCTGTCATCCCTATCGACCTAACGCACGCACGCCGACTCCTCGTTGCTGATGAGTGACATCTCTTCGGAATTATATATCCCCTCCCGGCCTTCCCGCTCCAACAACCCCGCGACGCACAGCACATATACTTAGATGCCCAACCAAACATTAAACGTACATTGAACAACTAACAAATTAACAACACATGCGCCGAGGGCAGAGACACCACCATGCTACCCTAACCCCACAGACCTGCCTAGCCATCGCCATTTACACATTAATCGAGCAATCCCCCATTCGACTTCTTCGTCATGGTCAACGGCTCTCCAACACGGTGCAACACCTTGAACTCTCTCGGCTTGACGAACATCGGCTCCGTGATGGCGAAGTATTCGTGATAGTAGTCTTTCGTGAGTTGGTTCTAAGTCAGGGAAGAATTGTTAACAGGTCTTCTCGCATTTCGTTTGGCCTTCTCTGATAGCATCCCTATCGGATGGTGTTTCGTCGAAGGTAGAAGAGAGGTGCGTAGGAGGGGGTACAGTATTACCTGCACTAGCCACTCTTTCGACTCGGTCCTAGATCGATTACATTCGTTCGTTAGCTCAATAACTCGTCGGCTCGCTCACCCATTAGTCCTTGGCCCATAACCCCGCTAGAACCTCACACCACGAGGTATCTCGTTACCTAGGGCTGACTATACAACAAATAACGGACCAAAACTAGAAAGTAACACTCTTCATAAATCAATCAACAAATTAAACGTACCAATTCTCAACCCACGACAACGTCCCCAGACTCTCAGGGTCCTGATATACTTCGAAAAACGTACACTGCGGCTCAGCGATAACTTTCTCGTAAACGGGCTTAAAGGCTTCAAGGAACTTGTCCACGTTGGAGGGGTCAATGTGGACCGTGACCTGTAGGGAGATGCCGTGTTGCGGGGTAGCCATTTTGAGTAATTATTGAAGATAGCAGTATCAACCTAGACTGAGAGGTGGTTGATGCACGTGTGCGCGATTGGATTGTTGACGAGACGCGAAGGATCGATCACGAAAAGATACGAGGAAGGGATGATTATTATTGTTATTGTTCGTTCAGCGGGGTAATACGCAGTAAATAGCCCCAGACCAAACCAGCCCCTCGATTCGGCATTAATAATTAACGTGCAAGGCTGGCTGTTTGGGGCTAAAATCTGACAGATGCGGGTGGGTAGACCATCTAGGACATGTACACCGTAGTGCATGCACTGTGTAGACTAGAAAAAGAGACTAGAGGGATAACAGACAAGGAACCAACACCAACATCAACAGCCTTGACAGATAGAGATGGATGTCGTGCCTGACCAACCAGTCCCCCTGGGAATGGCCTCCGGGCGGAGATTGCGCCTAATCTCCGGCGTGCTGCTTCTCAGAAGCGGACTCGGAGTAGGCCATGCTAACACGAATGGAGTATGGTAGACATGAGAGGGCAGACCAACATGAATACACAGTACACTACTTAGCCAGTTCAACTACGGTGTACACTACCATCCTGGTGCGATTCCTGGCGTATAAGCTAGGATTAGAGACTTACGAAATAGTATCATGGTCTGGACTGATCAGTGACTACTCTTGTTTTTGAATAAATCATGGTACTTGGCGTGCTTATTCAGTACTGAGTTACTCCGTAGTATCCATCTAGTTGAATCTGAAGGATAAATGTTCCTTTTCCGTTTCTAAAAATCGCCCTTTCCCCTGTGTCAGTACAACCCCAGTAGAATCCGACACGGACTGGCTTATGCGGGTTGATGTAGGCGTCGGTAATTTCTGATTTAAATGACTAAGATGTGTCAATCAATGTAGGGAGGCATATGTGGCGCAGTGTTATTCTATGGACTGCATGAAGATTATTTTTGCGCAAGGGTGGCTCGACGTTTGGTTGGGATGCAGAGCCGGACAAAGGCTTGGCGGGTGGCGGAAAGCAACTCAGAAGAATCCTTCCTTTAGGCAGACACGGAGGCGGATATACGGAATTACAGAGTGGAGAGGCCAGTTGTGGGTTATGAAGCGGTGTTGATTGAGGTGTCACATAAATGGGCAGAATCGAGACAGGCAATACAACATACGGTGTATGCTATAATGTTTCTGTTTCATGATTCTCGTCTCTGAAAATGCTTCGGTGTAGATAGGCTATAGTTTGGCTAGAGGGGGGTTGTTCTACTCAACTAGCAACATCACCACACAAAACCGCAACTAGAAACTCTGTACATCTACAGAAGGTGCCACTTGAATTCCCATGGTATACGGCCTGTAAGCTGGAGGAGTGTTCTCGTTCAATGCGACCGTACGAAACTCTCATTGTGGGATATAGATACCTAAGACGCCCTTCGCAACAATCGACACATCACACGTCCTTGAATCAAAGCGAGACGAGGCATACGTCGGAACACCCGTCGCCTCCGGGACGAAGCGATGTTGACTTTCTTGGCGCCATCATGGATATCTCCTCGTCCGAAGAGAGAAAATTAAACAAAGGAGGAAAGTTGTACACCGTAACTCCCAGTCAAATCTGGCAGATCGATGGAAGAGACGCCACGACGCCACAGGAAACATCTCCACATGCTTCAACCCTCTCTTCCTCGGCCGGTGTCGATCTCCGTAGACCGTACTCCGACTGAGTACAGTGTGCGGAGTACTCCGTACATCGTACTGCACATCGTCACCACGGAGCAGCGCTTCACCGCGGCTATCGGTGGCTGTACACCGCAAGTCATTCATCATCATTGATATGTAATAACTAACACTCTGTCGTGCAGCCAAGCAACGCAGTCTAACCCGACGACCCCACCTTCAGCGTCTGTCGTGGCATGGCTGGCATGCAAAACCTTCCGACGATCACACATCCATGAAACCCCGCAGCGCATTTGACGGCGTCAGGGCTGCATAAGCATGGAATGGAGTTCACGGACGCGGGCTTGACCACGGACCGGTCGGACGAATGCACGGTGATTTCATGCCGACTGTTGATCGGCGACAGTGCAGAATTGGCCAACCAGGGGTGTTGAAGGGGAGGGGGCATGAACTGTGGACGGTGACAGCTGGCAGGATGGAAAGAAGCGGGAAGATGAGAAATCGATATTCAATAATGATTCAACCTGCGACAGGCCGGAGCGCTAGTTCTACGACAGAGTCAATGCGCAAGGGAGACGGATGGACCGACGGTGACATGATGCCATATCGAACATGCGACCGCCACGTGGTCGGGTGATTTGAATTCCTGCGCATCCTAGTCTAGTGGTTAGTATATCAGTGACTACTCAGAAAAATCATAGATGCTCGGCCCAGGCCGGTCTATATCCGTGTCCGAAGCAGGGAACTGGGTGCGACAGGGATTGCAGAAGCGAAGAGAATGCTTCCGGGCGCTTCCACTGACGGGGAGGACGAGGATTAGCATGGCTATTATTACTAACTAGGGATCCACTTGGGGCGAGAGGAACCGAGGGAAAGCCAAATGAACCTGTCCGCTGGAGCCGGAGAATTAGATGGGAAACGGTCGAAAGTTTTGGGCCTTGGGCTAAGACCCCTGGTGCTGCGCGCTCGGAGTCCGTTTCACTCCTGTCCGCGCTGCGATTGCTGCACTAGCGCTGCTAGTCATTAGTTAATTAGATTAAAAAGAAAACGGATGTCGGGTTTTTTCTGCAGATGTTCATCCGCCTGGGAATGCTCACCCAAAATTTCCCTCCTTTAGTTCCCTTATGGAAGCTGCGGTGGACTCTCCGATTAAATAAGATGACCATTGCCCTGGGTCGGCCTGCATCGTAGCCGGTTCCACTTTTCCGCTCTTTTGATTACTCTTTTCTATTTTTTTCTTTGTTCCTTTTTTTGCCATTCTTTTTTCTTTTTATTAATTATTACTGACCCTCTCTCTGTTCTGATCCTTTTTGCTCTTTTTTCTCTCTGAGGTCCAGACTCCAGACCCATTTCACAATTATTCTTGGCCGTTAGAGCTTTTTGCAGGCAAACGCTGGCAGTCAATCCGACTAGTGTTTCTACTTCAATCCCTGCACCCCCTCCGTCATTCCGCCTTTTTTATACCTCTGATACTATAATAATACTACAATCAAACCCTCCCCTCTTCCCACACTCACTCGCACCACACAGTGTGCCCCTTTTCTACTACGCATGTCGTCTGCTGCCCTCCACTCACCGATTGTGCTGCAACGCTTCCACAAAATGCCACCGGTGCACGTCATCGCCACCGAGGACGAGAAAGAAGGGCCGGCCTTTGAATCACTAGGAGACCAGTATGGCGGCAATCAGAAAACCGGCATGCTGTCCATCTGTCCAGCTGCGTGGGTGCCCTACGTGCAACTAGCACGCCTCTTCCCACCCGCCGGTCTCTTCCTCATCTACTTCCCCCACGCCTTTGGCATCCTCCACGCCGCCCTCCGCACCAACGCCTCGCTGCTCTCCGTCCTCCAGGCCAGCGCCATCCTGTTCGCCGGTAGCTTCTTCTTCTCCAATGCCGCGCACATCTGGAACGACCTCATCGACGCCGGCCTCGACGCTCAGGTCGAACGCACCAGCCGCCGTCCCATCCCGCGCGGCGCCATCTCTCCCACCGCCGCCCTCGTCTTCGCCGCTACCCAGGCCATCGGCGCCGCCTGGTTCCTGGCTTACCTGCCGCAGGGTTTCTGCGTTGGCTTCCTCTACGCCCTCCCCAACATCCTCGCCACCATGTACTATCCTCTCAGCAAGCGCCACACGCACTTCCCGCAGCTCGTCCTCGGCATCTGTCTCGCCTGGGGCACCGTCATGGGCGAACTCGCCATGAGCGCGCCCCCATTCACCTACTCCCCCTCAACAGGGACCTTTTCCATCGACTACGCCGTGCTCTGCCTCTTCCTCGCGGGCGTCGTCTGGACCATCATCTACGACACCGTCTACGCGCACCAAGACCTGCAAGCCGATCTGCAAGTCGGCATCAAGAGTCTCGCCGTGCTCTGCCAATCCCGCACCAAGGTCCTGCTGTGGCCGTTGCTCGCCATCATGGCGGCGTTGCTGATCGAGTGCGGCGTGCTCAGCGGGTTCAGTCTCCTGTATTATCTGGTCGCCGTGGGGGGCGCGACGATCTCGCTGGGGACGATGATCACTAAGGTGGAGCTCCAGAGTAGCCCGAGTTGCTGGTGGTGGTTTAGTAAAGGGTTCTGGTGGGCGGGGGGCTCCATCTGTGGTGGTTTATTCGTGGAGTATGTGGTGCTGAGGATATGGGGGTAGAATATCAGTCACGCTCCTTTTTGATTCCTTGTTACCTTCTCATGTTATCTTCTCTCTTTGTGGTTTTTTTCTTCTTGTGTATTGTCTTTAGGGTTGGGATTGATTGGGATTGTGGAGCGTATTGCATTCAGCCTGCCATTTTTTGGTGTTTTATTGTTTTATTGTATGTATGTATGGATTTTACCTTTGTGCATAACTAGCTTTACCTTTTTTTTTTATTATGGGTCCGTCCAAATAATGAGACTTCGGCTTTTATCCCTGGGATGTTTTAACGTTATGCCGCTCATTGTGGGATTGCGACATGCACAAATCCATGTGGAGATGTGGGGCCGGGCCGGGCATTCTTTGTGTTGAATACGAAGGGCACAACAAGATGGAAGGAAGGATCATGGTACTCAATGCCAACCATCGAGAATGAGCTGCCCGGGAGCGACAAATATACATCGAAATCCAAATTAGGAATTGCAAATCTACCTCTTGCATTAGATACCTCCACCATTGACTTTAGTTGATCGAATCGATTAAGGCCCTGTTCGCCCACATGGATAGCCATTACCCTGTTTGGCCCCATGCACTAAACGACGCCTATGCAAGTGCGACCGTAGTGTAGTCAGATCTCAGCTTCGACTGCATGTGTTGGACTAACACAGACCATAGTTGTTGAAACGAGACTCTGAGCGGGGAATGTTCAGCTCCAAAGGCAAGGGATCGTGGATTCGGGATTGCTATACGATGTCTTTTTCTTTGTCTTCTTCGATGGCTCGGCTCTGTGAGTTTTGTAACCCGTGGACTGTATCCTTGCTGTCCCGAGTCCGTGTATGGCCCCACCTTTGACTGAACTCTATCTGGCTTCTCCACATGGAGAGTGTATGTGGCTGTGGTCGGTGTTGGTCGGGGGGTGTAAACAGCTGAGTACTGTGTGTTTCTGGGGAAGTGGGTATGCGGGTATAAGGAGGGTAGAGCTGGATAGTTTAAGCTGTTTAACTTGATAGATGCAGTTATGGGGTCGAGATTGCGATGTGAGGTGACCTGTCAGTGAGGAATATTGGCCCCACCATCTAGATCCCTTGCTTGGTATGGCTGTTATGTACTACTGCCTACCTAGTTCTTGCTTAATCTTTCTAGTATCAGACTTCCATCTATCCATTCCAGACACTGAATCAAAGCAAGCCATTCTACCCAATATCTTCCCCTGATACTACCCATACAATCATCTAACACACCTCCTACCTCCGGACCTAAGAAGGAACCTTAAACCCACCCCCCACCAACCTCCCCCAGACACCATCCCCATCATACTCCCCAATCACCCTCTGTAACCGCTTCACATTCCCCTCCCCATAATGCCCAATAACATCCTGATCCCAGCTCGCATCATTCATAAAGATATACTCGACATACTCGTCCTCCTCCTTCGCCGCCTTTTCAATTTTCCGTCTCAGTGACCCCGTCGCCTCATGTGCTGTCTTGTCGTCTTTCGCAAACTGCCATCCCACGTCGAGGACGAGCCAGGTTTGGTCCACGGGGGAGAGGCCGAGGGCGTTGCCGCCGCGGGCGAGTCCCGCGGTGACCACGGAGGAGGAGATGGGCTGGAAGCCGATGGTTAGGGTTCCTGTGTTTAGGGCGGAGAGGGTGGATAGTTCGGGGGCGTTGACGAGGAGAGAGGAGATGGTGGAGTAGAGGGTGCGGGAAGGGGTGAAGCTGGTGGCGTGCCAGTCCCATCTATTCCATCATTCATTATTCATTATCAGTTAGCAATCAACCAACAAAACAATTTCCAAGGGAATCAGAACAACGAGATGAGATGGAACAGCGACGGGAGTAACGTAACCAACCTCGGAATATCAGGCAAAACCGCACCACCCATCATCTCGACGAAACTCTGTACTTTGGTCGTATCCGCCACCGTCGACAGTTTCTCGAACGGTTTGAACGCGGCCGGATTCGCCTCTGGTTTTAGGTATACCATGTTCACTAGCACGCCGATACTTTCGTTCAAGGGCGCGGCTTGGATCATGAGGTTTGCGTGGGGGTCTTTGTTAGGCGTGCTTTGGTATTCGTGGAATGCGTCTAGTACGGACGGGAGTTGGTCGAGTGTGTAGATCTTGATTCCGCCCCAGACGGTGGGGAGGGGGTAAGTGTTTATGGTGAAGGTGGTCACAATTCCTGATGGGATTTAGTTGGGGGTGATGGGAATGGGTGAGGGAGGGAGGACATACCGAAGTTGTTGGCGCCGCCTTTCAGAGCCCAGAAGAGGTCGGGGTGATGAGTGTGCGTGGCGGTGGTGAGGGTGCCGTTGGGGAGGATTATCTGTTATTCGGTTTGTTAGATTATCGGCGTTAGAGAGGGAGGGGAGGTGGGTGTATACCTCGAACGAGACAACGTTATCGCATGCGAGGCCGTATAGATCGGAGAGATAGGAAAGTCCACCTTAACCGTCAGTCTTCAGTTGATACGTGAGGCGACGGGATCAAACAGAACATACTTCCCAAAATGAGTCCCCCCACGCCAACATCAAGTACGCGACCACCCACGGCTGTCCGATTATATTTCTCTAGCCCCTCGTAGACGTCTCTCCATCGTAGCCCGGCGCCGATGGTCACGACCTGTTCTTTCTCGTCATACACCAGATTATCAAACCGGGACATATCAATCAGCACTCCGTTGTTGATATTCGCTCCTAACGGCGAGGGCATATGGCCTCCCGAGCGAATGGCAAACTGGATTTCATTCTCGACCAGAAGACCGACAACTTTAGACAGACTAGTTGCGTCGGAGGGTCGCACGATGCAAGATGGTTCGGCCCAGGCGGTCGCAGACCTGCAGAACAGTCAGATACCATCGATATCGTGGACCATGTAGATGGCATACCAATTCTCGGTGCTCAAGCCTACGTATCCGTCATCTGACGGACCAATTGCTGCCGGGTCGATGTCGTGCAGTGCCTTGCAGAGACTTATGCGGCTGGTTGATGCTGCAAGGGCCACGGTTGCATATATGCATGACAATAGGAGGGACTTCATGTTTGCAACACGCATTGATTTCTTGACCTCAAGCTATAATTACTTAGTTACACTTGTGGCTATGTATACCTCCATTTATATTCAGTGTCCAGCATCGTTACGAGGCAGTAGGCAGACAGACAGGCATGATAGACCAGGTATCATTCATGTCTCTATTCCTTGCCATTCAGCCTGAGCTGCAGCAGGGATATATCGATGTTGGTGCTCAGCTCAGCCATCAGCATCGGTGTGTTGATAGATGCAGTAGTTCTATATCTATATCCGCAGTAAGCTGAGATGTTAACACGCTGACTGACAGTAGACATGTGGGGCTGTTACACATAGATTACTGCCCCCTTACGTGATTCTCACTGTCATAAACAACCGAATGATTGACTGATCCGCGATCAACATACTCTAGATGCCTGCGAAATTGAAAATGAAGATCATGTAGACGAGTGACGAACCCACTATCCACCGGCATACTGGCACCGGGACAAGGACCAGGAATCGGAATAGGAGGGGGATTCGGAAATAGGGATCCCCTGTAACGGGCTCTTTCTGCCCCGCCAACTCATCTCACCGCTTTGCTGGGCCCCAAATTTCCCGCCCCTTCAAGGCACTTTGGCCCTTTGCCCCTCCTGGGAGTAACTAAACCTCCTAGGCCTCGGTCCGCTCGGCCGTGACATCCTCGCTGCTTTTCCTGTCTTGGTTGCTGGTACGACATTGTAGATGCCCAACCAGCTAATTGCAAGCGTTTTGAATACGATTGTATTATAGAACAATGATCAATGGTTCAGTGTGCACCGTTGATTCATGAGGTAGCCGGTACCTCGGAGTACATAAAGGTACAAGCTATACTACATTAGGAATCTAATACCCTAGATATACGAGGCACGGAGTCCTGGCAGTCATTGGGTGGCAGATTGCCCTGCAATCAGGCAAATACCAATCACACCCAACAATTTTAATCTCAAACAGTACTTCAAGCCTTGAAATTGACAGCGAAAGAAACTGAGCTCGGACCTGTCTCAACAATTCTCCCTTCCTCTCCATCTACTAGACTATATCCGTACTCCGTATAGCTAGACAGGCCGAAAGAAGGTTCAGCCAACCATTCTTTGAATTACTGGCCCCATAATGACCTGTCCACCGCCAACGTCAGCCAAAGTTTCGTCTAATTGTTGGGTTCGGATATATAATTTATGATTTGGGAGTTGGGACTTCGTGTTTCATTTAAACTAACTGTCTCTGGAAGCTTTATAATTCACTAACGAAGATGTCCTTACCCAGTATGGGAATCGTACTCCTGAGCCTGGGGAGGGCCACAATCCCAAAACTCTAACTTACGACTCAGGCAATCCGACAGGGCCGACCATACTCCGGAGTTTGGCCAGTGGATAATGTCCGCCCTAACATAGACGCTAGATGCCTGAGGCAACGCAATTGACCGCTTCTTCCGAGCCCAAGTTCCAATTCCGTTTCCTGCTCCGTCCCCGACTTGCGTTTAAATTTTAGTAGAGTCGATCGCTAGGATTGTCGTCGCTGCTGGCGTCAATTCACCATTTAGACTTAATAGGTACTACTAAGTACTAAGAAGTTACTTGGACGGTGGGGTACTTTATACGAAGCAATATCTTCTCACCGCTCGAGAAGGCAACGTGGACGCGTTGAAGTTCTCTCTTTTTGGCGTAGTGAGCTTTCGACCAGGACTCGTTCCTTGGGTTCTGTCTGTGGGTTTACTGTTATTTTTAAAACTTTGGTTTGCTGATCGGGTCCGGATTCGGGTTGTGCTCCGCCTTTTTTTTTTTTTTCTTTTTTTTTTTTTTTTTGCCCTCGCTCTAGACTCGACGTTCTTGATTCCTCGGCTGGGATCTTGGAAAGGTTCCGAGGCTCCGAGTCCCGAAGGACAGCACCGCTCGAGTTGTCGGACTCGGAAGAAAGATGCGTGCAAACTACAGTCAGATTGCCCGAGCGTGAGACAGGTGGATGAAGGATCCGATCCTGTCATGATTTCATCGTCCCTAGCGAATTTATTTCCGGTGAGTGTGGCTGTGCTACATAGGATAGCAGCTTTATGCAGGTGTATACTGCATACATAGCTATTATTGCATATTATTGTCCATGGATGAGATCTGAATGTCTCCTGTAGATACAAGTTCATGCTGCTCTGTTCTCTACATACCTACGGAGTATCCGTATTCGCCGACCTATACCAGGACCCAAAACTTCGGAAGGAAACAAAAAGTAAAGATAAAAAGTAATAAGCATGTAACAATAACAACAAAGAAAAACAGAAAGGTTCCGATCCGACGCAAAGAAAACGCAGAGTTTGTCGGTGGTGGCGAGTTTTGAGTGGGTTTGGGTCGGTTGACTCCGTGATCTTGGTGTGGTTCTTTCATTGGCTTTTTTGGTGATCGCGTTGAGGCGGTCCGTGGTTTTGATGGAGTTTATCCGGTGGTCGAGTCATTTCAGATGAAGAGGGGGAGTTATTGAGTCTGTTAATGACTGGATGCTTGATTGGGTAACGAGTGGTTGACTGTCATCTCATCGAGCTTGTTAAAGCGATATTATATATCTAAAATCAGATTTTTGAGCTGTGAGGTTACATTAGGGGTTTATATAAATGCTATCGATGAATATATGAATAAGTGTCAAAGCGTATGCCTGTGTCAAGTTACTATCATTTGAACGGATATACAGGACCAGTCGGGATGATAGACTGGACAAGGAAATTGTCTCAGAATCCAACCGTCAACATCCTCTGCATCATTCTAAAAGATACACAACGAAAGCGATACAATTGTGATTCAAGTAAGGCTTTAGGACATTTCATCGGCTACTGAATGAAATCCAACATATTTTGCGGTTGATTGATGATGCACAAGATCATAGGTTGTTTCTTGGTATTGTATATGTAGAGACAACCGAACATTGACATATTCACTGAATTACACCCTCAGGCATGAATATCTCCAAGATCATAACCTAATTTTAGTTGATTTGCACTGTGTTTAGCAAGTCTATGCCAGTTGCAGGATTTATTCTCAGTCATAGCGATGCTACCAATCAGGCTATCTGGAAGCTGGAAGTTTATGAGCTACTTTATAGTTCTGAGAAAAGGAAATTACCATCTATTTTATTCAATCATTCCCCGTACATGATATGGTATAAAGTAACCATATCTAATGAAGTCTCTAGAGAGGGGATATTCAACCCATGGTTAAAGACCTTTGCATCTAGTATCTACATGTCTTACCATGTCAAATGGAGACATAGTAGCAACACCGGAAGTATGAAAGTGCTCAGAAGAAAACCTTCAGAACAGAGAAGAAGCAGATTAATCCTCGATCTAATTGATTTGACAAGGACCTTTGTGCCTACAGTATTCCGACCAAGAGTCTCACAATCACCCAAAAGGATTCACATCGCCACCCCCGGACCCAAGAACCTGCCACATCGGATCAAGTTCCAGAGCCTCCATATGATCTCTCCGTAACATGACCATAACCTCCAACACCTCCTGAGACACCGACCGCTGACGTGGTAATATAATGGCGACCCCATCCGCCTCCATGTACGGCAGCCTCACGAACCTCGGTCGCCCCATCACGTTCCCGAAATCCACCCCATACAGATCAAAGTCCGCCCAACTCGTGATAGTAAGATCCCGCGATCCGAACAAATCCCAGCCCACAAAGAGAGACCCGGCATCCACGCGTTCTGCCACGCTATATACCTCCGCGATATGGCGGGAGTCGATAGTAGATGGGGACTGCGACTCAGCCATACGGTTGCATATCTGAGCGAGGGCTCGCACCGGGGTTTCGTCGGATTTAGCCAATGTCTGGGCTGAAAGGTCTGTTAGGGAGTAGGTGATTGCGTTGCCGAAAAAAGGGGCGTCGGGGGTCGAGAATGTCTGGCTTATGCGCGGTCTGCCATTTACTGCCATGGCTAATCGGCTGGACTGCTGTTCGAGGGATGGATTATGCGCCATTCGGATCCGGGTGAGTGTTGTCCAGATCAGTGCGCATAGCACTGTATTCGTTGTGAGTCTTTTCGACGTATACGGGCGCATCAGCTCCCCCAGGACGTCGATCCAGTGTTTTGAAATCGGAAAGATCTTGGATGTGCACGAAGGAAACGTTTCGGGTAGGGTAGGGGGTGTTGTGGAGAATTCGGGGTGTCGCGCCAGTAGGGTCTCGGTTGAAGTTGATGATATTTCTGGTAGGTCGGCCGACAATGCCTCTGAAAGGCGTTCAAGGCGAGTTTGCGAAGTAGCCAAAAAGGAAGATTCTGGACTACTAACATTTTGAGCCCAGAGTCGCAATATCGTAGAGCATCCGCTGGCGTCGACAACGTTGTGGTGCATGCAGACGCACAGGCCCAGTCCTTGGTCAGTGAAACGGAAAATGCTCGCGGCGAAAACAGGAGCACCCGCCGTAAAGCAGGTTTCATCAATCATATCTGAAACTGGCCATACGTTTGATGGAATGCATTCTCCGGGCATTCCATGAGCGCAGGCCCATTCGTATGATGTCTGTATAGTCCCTTTGTTGACAATGCTTGGCGCAGTGGTCGCATTCCAACGGATCTCAGGGGAAGTAGGCTTGTCTTGACCTGGTTCTCCTGGGAGAACCCGCCCTGCTAGCCAAGGTGTTTGTTTTGATAGCTTGTCAAGACCTGACTGGAGATTTTGAATGGGTAGAGCGGTTGAGACTGGCGCTTCGAAAACCAAGAGAACCCGAATGTAGGTCCGGGGCATGAGCAAATCCAACGGGGATAGCTTCTCTGAGAAAGTGGGCTCGGCCATGGGATCCGGGAATGAACGTATCTTGAAACGAGCCTCTGACAAATAAGTTAACAAGCTCTGATACGCGACATACGAGTCTTTATATAACTCCATGGCGGTCGGTGGGCCCGCGCCCGCGGGACCGCGGGCGCAGAGTCGCGGGAGTATGGACTGATCTTCATAGCACACACGAGAGAGCTTGAGGTGGACCTCCACAAACAAGTATGAGCGACCCAGTATCCTATATTTGAATTATACTATTATGACTTTAAATTAATGTCAGTGCAAACGCGGGAGGTCAGAGGAGATGAAAGTTCGTCTTCCTAAGATGGGCCGCTTGAGGCATGCCACGTAGAGGAGTCGGAGCTTAAGGAGGAGAGATCGAGAGCCGATGTATCTCACTGCGATGATAATGAAGCACGGAGTGTGCGGCATAGCATTCTTAACGTATTAGGTAGATGAAAGGGTGAGGACTCGAGCTCAAATAAGTGATTCATAGAAGTGCTTGCAGCAATATAACCTTCTATAGGGCACTCGCATCGAAGATATCTTCATTCAAACTTCAGGCAATCAACCGTATAAATACAAAGGCCGATAAGCCCTGTCTGAATAAACCTGGATTTCAAAGGTAAAGAATGAAGAGTAGGTGGAGTGTTTTGTTGGGTTTGCATCACCAAAGAGATGCTCGTCAAAACATCCCAACCACAGGATACTATGGAACGGTACTGCGTCTGGACTACGAGCGGATAAATGACGCAAGGCGGCACTAACGCTCACAAAGCTACTCCAGCACAGGAGCAATTTTATTGGCAAGCAGATCTTCAGGTGTGTGATCAAATCACGGTTTAGGAAAGCCCTAGGCCGCAATGCGAACTGTGTTACGGCCACCTAACCATCATCGGAGTTTACCACACGCCATAGAGTTTTCTGGAGATCGGTCAGCTGAGATGGTGCATCAATGGAACTGAACTTTGACAGTCTTAGCAATTGAAGGATGGGAAAAAAGCTTCAGCGATGGCATCATTTTTACATGAGTCGTCTGGCTAGGAGGCTAGCTAAAGGTAGGAATTGTCCGCTTACGCAGCGGCCGTATCTGAGCCTCCACGACGTCAATAGATGTGATCTACATTCGCAGAGAATAAAAAGATGGGAAATGAAAATTTGAATACTCCATCGTGAGCTATAGTCCCTCTAGTATGGAGTGATTACCGTCCACAAGGGGCTGCTTGTCTATAAACATGGCCCAGTCGCCTCAAATCTACAAACTCAACCCTCAGCCTTTCTTCTCAAATTCAACACTTTACCAGTCGGTGATTTTATAACCATTGAACCATAATGAAGGTTGCTACTGTTCTTGTCGGCCTTTTGGCAATTGCAACTGCCAGTAGAGACAAGCGTTCTGTCGGTTATTCGTTCAAGCTTGAGAGAGCCAGTTCCATCTGGGAGGTACGTACACCATAACATGAGTGATGAAGTGCATTACAAACAACCCTAAGAATAAGATTATAGGACAGAATACCCATTATCTATGACTTCAGCGAGAGCCAATTGACCAACCTCAGTGGCTCTTGGTGGACTAGCTCCTACATAACCGGCACCAGAAAAGAACAGTCCCTCGTTGGACGTTGGAATCTTCTCGTACTTCCGATCGTCCATCCTGAACCTAAACACTCACGAATACGCCCAATCCCTGGTGACCGGCAAAAGCGATGCCTCCAACAGCTCTCGTCTCGACATCCGCCAAGGCAAAAACGGAATCCAGAGCCTCTCCGCGGACAATATCTCCAAAATGCGCGCCTACAGCAACCGCAACCGCGAAAACGTCACATTCGACATCCGCTACGATGACACCACCACCGCTCTCCCTAACACCGGTGGCGTTGGTTTCCAATTCGGCCCAGCCCAGAGCGACGAATGGGGTTAGCCGAGTTGTAGAACGCACGGAGCCCTAACTAGCTTGGACGGCAACAATGTCACCATTGACCCTCAAAACTCGTTCACCTGGTATGACCGTCAGTGGGGCCCTAGCGCTGGCTCCCCGCCGACTGGTAACTAGACCTGGTTCCAGCTGCATCTTCCGCATAGCAGCGAGAAGTTCAGCATTTGGTTCAATGATAATCCAGACACAGACAAGTACGCGAAGTTCGCGACTATTCGTGGTCCTACCGAGCGCCTGGAAGTTGTTCCGGTGGAATGGACCCCGAGGTATCAGCGGTCCTGTCGGTCTACTGCTGAGGAGAAGGTGCTTTATCCGTTGGACTGGACGGTCAGGATTGGAGGTGTCGCTGAGTTCGAGATCACTAGTGTTGCAGAGGACCAGGAGATTGTGGGAAGTAATGCATTAGAGACCGCTTATGAGGGGTTTGTTACCTTCAAGGGGGGCTTTAATCACCACGACGTTACTGGGTTTGGGCTGATGGAGATTGTGTATGGCTCGTGGGATTGGCTCTGAAGGTTATCCAATGTGACAGTGGCTCTGGGAGGACGTATGAATTGATGGTTGTGTGCCATGTCAAGGGGGCTGTCAGGATAGATGTTGTTGGGTGCTCTTTTGTTAGCGAAAGAGCAGGAACCAATAGAAAGAATTCCATCTTAGATAACGGAAACACGTATGACTTATTTGGGAGTTGGGGATTGCGTGAACAAGCTGCATCAACGAGTGAGTTCATGTTGATGCTGTGTTGAAACAATATACGGGCTATAGGCTGCGCGCCATCATAAGAAATAAAAACCTAAACAGTTATCGAAAACGAGGGGATAGTCCACTGTAATGCAATACTGTTATTATGTGCTTCTATCACCTAAAAGCGAGAACAAAATGGCTGGCAAGCCACGAAGTCGTGGCTGTATAGCCTGTTTGAAAAGAAAGAAGAAGGCATGGAACGGAAGTCTCAGGATCAAACATATGCTTTTCCCGGAGCTAATCGAATCCCTATCCTGCAAAGCGCGAGGAAGTCCAGCCAGTATGTTGCTTGTGTAGTCGTCATCGAACCGAATGCGAAGACATCGGCGTCAAGTGCCGGAGGCTCCTCTCATATGAGAACTCAGATCAAGAATTAATTTCAAGCCCGACCAATACGCCAAGCAACGAGGAAACGATGATGCGCGCTGCTTTGGCGCACATTTTAGAGACAAAAGACGCTAGATATGATATTCGAACATTTGGGAGAGACTCATGGTTGCGCTCAATTCGGCATGAACGTAGAGTTAAACACGGCTGTTTCTGCGGCCATTGCGCTATATAAGCTTCGCAGAATAACGCAGTTCGAAGCAAGAGCACTGATTCATTACGGGGATGCTTTACAGGCTACCCATAGAGCGGTGCAAAATCAGCACGATCGCCTGAATGACGATGTCGACAATTGTTTTGGTTTATATCTGTCAGGTCGTTATCTTTATGGACTCCGGGAATAACGGTGAATATCTTACTCATGGATAACTTGTCCGTTTACCCATAAATACGTCGTCTTAGGTATGGGCGAGCTTAGTCGACCGGACTTTCTAATTAGGATCCTGGTTTTGGAAAGTCCACGGTACATGTGTTGCGCCTCGACCGATCAAGTGCCATCAAGTAATATCGTGTCAAAGCCTTGAGGTAACTCAACTAGACAGCTATCCACCTACGCAGCCCAGTCCAGCATTTCAACAACCTAGGTCAGTTGTTGAAACTCCTGCAAAGAAGAGGCCTATACCACGCGCCACTGATTCGCACCAAGCCATGAAGCTTCGCATCTCGTACTTATTCTCATGGGAAGCGATGCTGTTAATCTCAGGAAGCAGCTGCCTTTCTAGCGACTCTAATTGTTCCAGATAAGTACGATGCACCCAAGTAAGCATATAACCATGTTATGCGGAAGTAGCTCAACTTATAATATAAAGTTCGATTATATGACCATCCCCATTCCAGTTAAACAAAATACAGTCCACGGTATCACAATATCAAGTCCAGCTATGATACTGAGTTCCCTCAACACTCTAGCTCAACGAAGGTTAATTAGCAAGAATGGTGCCCCAAACTAGGTACCTGACCGGCTTGTCCCGGACTGAATGAGAGAGCGTATACCGGATATCCCATCATGAACAATTTCTACACCCATATCACAGATCCATTCAGAACGTGATATTGAACAAGAGAGAACGGGATCGGTCAATTTCAATCTCAATACCGAATAACCCACTTCAAACCGACAGATCCCCTCCTATACCAATACCACTCAGGCACGACCGTCTCCCCCGCGATACCTACCAAAAGCCCCAAGTGAGACATCATCCGCTCAAAAGAGGGTGATTATGAGCAATGGGATGAGAACTTCACCACGGTCGGAAAATGTGGCAAGTCGTTCAAAATCAGTAGTAAACTGAGAACTGGCTTGCGGGACGAATCTTTTCGCTTCTCTCATATTATAGTACCTGTACCATCGGGTGTTTGTTGGGGGATCTGCATTCTTAATGCCTTACTTGTTCCGGTGTCTCCTAACTGTACGTAGCAAGCTAACTGACTGCTAGATTGTGACATGAATAACACGATCTATGGTTCGAAATCACTGGGGAGACAGGAGCTGGACTTATAAGCCCACCATTAAAGATGACCAGATCAGGTTGGAAAGTATTTCGATACGCACTGTGGTGGGGTTGGCTGTATTGGCCTTGATTGCTGGAGGTATATAAGGAATAGAAAAGAACACCGGGTTATTAGGTAAAAGAGATATCAACCGAACTGTGTTAAGGGAACAAGAACAAAAGACGCAATAGAGGTACGGGGCACTGAGATGCGATATCTTCGACGGCATGTCTGCTATCATCCACGTCACGATACCCACACACTGCAAAGCACAGCCACAGAAGAAAAAATTACCTCAAGCAATCCGCTCATAGAAGCATCCGAGCTCAGCGAAATTCTGACAAGGGACGTATATCCCAGCCAACCGAGTACCAATCGGCGGAGTAAAAACGGCATTGGCCTGCGCAACATTCGCTATTGCATTTGCAGACTCTTCGTCTTTGGACCATATGTTGAGAATGCCACGGTCAACAAAAGTATCTTGTTGGATCGGCTGTGGCACAGCCAGTTGGACACATCGGGACTGAAGCTTATCATCCTCCCTCCAGTGCTCAACCCCGAACTTGACAGTGCAAGTTAGCAAAGCGAACGGGTTAATGGGTACTGGCGAGGGAGAGTTACCGAAATCTCTTGAATGCCTTTGGCTGTGCGAAGCGACAATCCGACGATCCGGTCTGATTCCGGGATTTCAAAGGACTGTACCTCATGCGAGTGATTATCACCTATGATCCATGTCTGTCCAGACTTGTAGGCAAACGTGAAGCCACGAAAGGCACTTGCATCGATGTGTCCGACAACCTTGGTTAACTTATCGTAGCAGCCGTCACCGAGAATGAGCTCGAACGGCAGCTTTTGTATCTGACTGAAGGCAGCATACAGTTCAGGTTTAATGGCAAAAATATGCTCTGGGGTCTTCGGAGAAAAGATGGTTCTGACGCGGTCAAATCGAGAATTAAGAACCCACGATACAGCGGCCTGAGAGACTGGTCAGAAAGGTAAATTCAAGCGATGACGGGAATAGGTTTACAGACAAGTCCTTGGTATGGGTCAGCCTGATACTGTGTCTTTAGGCAGGTATCCAGAAAGTTCGGATCGATGGACGGGCAAAATGTGACATTTTGGCCACGGTCGGTGACAATGCGAATGGCCGCCACCTGACCGTGAAGCATGGTGGGATACTCTCCAGATACGGCGTCTTTGGTAATCCATATAGTCAGGGATTGGATAATCTCATGACGGGCTAGATTCGCTATAGACTTGTCAGAACCCTTCATCCATTGCCCTACGATGCTGGGGTTCCGGTGATCGTAGAATTCAAATTTCAAGCCCGAAATTCGACGAGAGCATCGAGAGCGTCTCGACACCCCTACTGAGGCTTGAATGCTTCTGACATCATTTAAGGACGCATAGGTTTCATATTCCCCAAATCCCTTAGTACGTATAAGGGTCTCGGCAAACTCTAGGTCATATATAAGGTCAGCCTCCGTAGGCACGAGAAACCCGCTATTCTTCTGTTCGATATCTGGGCTATGTCTCTCTATGCCCGGCTGACTTTGGATGCCAATTTTTGAGAATGTGTGTTTGAAGTTCTAGCACTCTGGTCAGCACCCGGGAACAAAGCAACGCCTTATACAAACCTCAATTGATCCAACGAGCCCTGTAATGGCGTGTCCGGGATAAACTGGAAAATGATGCACATTGTTTACTCCGGTTCTTTGACAAAGACTCGCAAATTCAGCTGTTCGGCCGCGGTTGGTGACAATCTAAGCTTGATTAGCCATTAGGAAATGCCGGGTAATAGCAATATCCAGACCTCTAAGCCGGCTAAGGTGAGGTCGACCGGTTTCTGCGACACGCCGATTCTAGTGATGCGCTCCCCGCCTGAACCATCGATACAAAACGAGAGCTCGGCGGCAGGAGGGCCTGTTCCAAAGCTTCTCACCACCCCATCGCTATAATAGAACTCTATGCGAGAAATAGGATGGGTATGGGAGAGCATGTGTACAACGATTCTTGACAAGGTCTGAAGAAGAATGCCATGGGCCCCACCGAAGTCAATGTTGACCAATGGTTCAAATGGACCCTGATTGACGGTTGGAATGAGGCGCGCAATCTTAGCATTTTCCTGCTCAGGGATATTCGGTGTCCAGAGCTGAGAATGTACTGATATGTACTGGGCGTCTTCTATCTTCAGGGGGTTCGCCAGGAGAGCACCGGATCCAATTGGCTCACTTGGTGTCCCGAGCCCGACTTTGACAATCTTCAGGTCCTGTTCCGCCGTTCGTCAGCAAAACAATGCAATTAGCGAAAAAGGGGCGCAAGTCCTGACATCCAGTCCGGCCAATAAAAAGCATTGGCCCGCATTATTGGGTATATGTAATCTGCCATGTGCTACTCCTTCGCCTTGACTTTGTCCAACCCATTCCGAAGACCCGCCGTCTTTATAGACAAACCTTATTCCGACGAGGCCGACCGAACAAAAGACGACGTCAACTGATTGAAGAGACGACGTCGACGGCACTTTAACGATCCATTGGATAGGAGTATCACAGAGTCCGAGGCGAGGTTCGTAATCTTGCATGCCTTTTCTCCAACAGCTAAAGCCTGATATGACCTTTCTAGCCCCTAGACGGAGGACGGAGATTGTCAGTTGCCCCCCTTCCTGAAAGTCGGAGGGGTGAAAAGCCGCTGCCCTGACTTCAAGCATGTAGCAGCCACTCTCTAGAGGACGACGTTCAGCCGTCTGGCTTATCTGGCCAGAGAACGACTGGGCGAGGCGAATTGCACCGGTCGCGTCCTCGGAAGGATTTCCAATTGAGGACGCGTGGTATTCGAGTCCATCTTCGGACGAGGACAAAACATATCCATCTTTTGTTCGTCGTAGCTGCAAATGGAATTCTACAAGAGCAGCGATAGGATCCAAGAGACCCCAGATTCTCTTCCGGTTCGTCAACGACAGGTGACCCGTGATCAATAATGATGTGGTGCCCCAGTAGGCTCGGAACCAGTCTCGATTCACGGTTGATAAATGTGGGCACATGAAGGCCAGCTCCTGTCCCAGGCAAAACTGACTCTTCCAGTAGGATTGTGCCAGCTGGTCGGGTCGCGCCTTCCACGCAAGGTCCCGACACACAAGTCTTAGTTGGGCAAGCTGTGCATAAGGAAGGTACGATAGGATTTCGTACACCAATTCGACCGAGAGTTTTCCAAACGCAGGAGAGATGGGTATCAGCCGATCTCCGGCGACATGTGCGGGTTTGTTGACCAATTGTGCCACAAACTTTGGCGGCGTTGTCGAGTCTACCGTCTCGAGTGATGGTATATCACACGGATGCGCATAGAACGGAGAAAGCAAGTCCACAGGCCGAGGAAGGCCCCAGGATTTATGCGTGCTAGCTGCACCGCCATAACCGTGACCAAGGTCTAGGCTTGAGTGTCCAGGGCAGGGACTGTTGAGGAATTGTATGAAAAGACACCGTATAATATCATCTATGTCGCAATCCGAGACGGCGAGCCTTAGGAGAAATGTTTTCCAACATGCATCATGGAAGCCAAATCCCCAGGACGCGTAGGAGTATTGAAATAGCAATACTGGCTCCAGATCATCTGTATCCTGATAGGTGGCATCGGGTTTTCTTGGAGCATGGAGTACAGAGCGACTGCGCATTATTCCGACGCCGGTAAGCCTAACTTTATCGGAGGTTCCATCACTTGGGCAAATGGCACGAGCTTCGGAATACCATGGACGGCGAATTTCAAGGCTCTCCGGCTCCTCAAGGTTGTCCGGTTGGATAACAACACCACAGAAACAACAGTATATATTCGGAGACTGCATTGCAAGAGGGAAGGATATCTCTCTGATTAATATCCAACCCTCTCGTGAACCAACTAGCGCATGAGACCCATGGGGCTTGTCAGTTTAATCGCAAGCTGCGGGTGTCGAGGGGCTTGGGATTGATGTGAATTTCATCAAACTTATGGGTCCCCCTTTTGGCATCGTGTAGCTCGGCGTGGGGAAAAGCTTGGCGTGGTCACAGATTCGGAACGGAAAGACTCTCGGTGTGGTTCAGAACCAGAAGGTGCATAATTTATAATACCCGCACTTATGCAATCCCGGGATCGGCAGAACTACATAGTTGGTACCACGAGTTCGAACTGTGGAAAGAACAGTAATCTCACCTCCCCAATATGCCCGAATTCTCTCATCATCGAATCTTTGTTCGCCGGACCGTGGGCAGAATGCAGACTTGAATGACCACATATCGGGCATATTGTTGTTCGTAAGAGTTGCAGCCTTGCTGCGGCAGTTGTAGCCGTCAAGTGCTGGGAACCATGCACCAGCAATAGCCTCCCATAGCCTTTGGACGGCGTCCTTAAGACTGTTGGATTGTATCGCCTGTAATGGCAGTGCGATGGCCGGGATACGCTCAATTGGGGGTCTCTGGGCCATGGTGGATGAGGTGTAAACGATATATAAGCAGGAGAGCGGCAGTACCGTTAACGGCTGTATAAAGCTTCTTGTGATGCTGCTGCGGAAACGCATTTGTAGATGCGAATTGGGGATCATTATATAGACACATTTTCTTGCATAGACCTAAATGCGCAGCACCGGAAATACAGCCTCGGCCTAGGCAAGGACTGCGTGAATTATTCCATAACCCCCATCCAGCGCTTAGGATCAGCCACTTATATGAATCAGGCGTCTTTCTAACGCTCATGTAACATGTTTTGGCGCTGATAATGAACTTCCCTCGCAGGTGTGGAGCAGATTTATGGACCTTCAGACGCATTGATTGACCATCAGCACTCCTCCATCTTCACATAGGCTAATAATAGAAAGCACTGAAATAGGCGATGATGCCAAAGCGCCAAAACGAAAGGCTATGCATAAGTATAGCGCCAACTATCCAACCGGCTTGGAAGGCCGTACCTCAGCGCTTACGGATATGATCTCGACTCCAAGCCAGCCAAACAGAGCACATGATATGACCCTGGCGCTAGCTGTACGTTCTGTAATTGTCTATTGGAACTTGGTGGTACGTGGACACCTAAGCACTTACTTGCACGCAAGCGCTCCTGGCTCGTCGGAGGGCCCAATAAGTCTCAATACATCGATTGGTTCTAGGCTGCGGCAATATCCAACGAATATCCGTTAAATAACAAACATAACAAATATGCCAAACCCCGTAACATCCGCGAAACTGTATAAATTATGCAATTTTTTTGTTTTTTTGAAATATACACACATAATTTTTTACACAAATTCTTAGAAAAACAGATACTTTTTTATCTCAATTATAGTAATCTTTCTTTATCTAAAAAACTAATATTACAACTTATCAATCTCAAATCCATTTATAGACCTCGCCACGACCCGCGGGTCTACCCAAACGGGGTACCCATTACCCGTTTCTTGGCGGGTAATGGGTAGGGTTCGCCTACCCGCGTGTGGGTAGTGGGTAGCTGGGTAATACCCGTGGGTAGTTTTTGGGTACCCGCGGGTAGTTAAACAATGCAAACAGGTGGAAACCCGTGACTTGCATATTTTGTGCATATTCGAGCTGTAATTTTAAGTATTTCATATATAACTACTAACTAGTCAAGACTCAAGATTTCTCGGGTATTAAATGAGTTAAAACAGGATTAATTCTATAGCTAATATTCAATAAACTGATCATTATCTCGTCTTCGCTTCCGATTTCTACCCGAAATCCGCTGTTGAGTCTCTGGAAGAGAATTTGTAGCTTCATCGTCGGATAATGAAGCTTCATGAGAAGAGCCTTGAATAGTATCCTGTTCTTGCGTGGCCTCTGTGTCCTCTTCTTCGTTGTCACTAATAAGATCAATATCCTGTAGTAACTGAGGATTTTTTTCTTCTCTTTCTGCCTCGATTTCTCCGTTTGTGAGATAATCCTTCTTGAAAGCAAGATTTTCATCTTCGACCTCGAATTGTGTTGTGAATCTATACATTATGAGCTCTTGGATCATTTCGGACCTTAGTGAGTCTCGACGGTAGTGACAGACATCTTGAGCAGAGTTAAAGAAACGTTCAACGCCTGCACCTGTAGCAGGAATTGTGAGAATATCGCGTGCGAGGCTTGCGAGTGCAGGAAATTCACGCTGATGATCTTTCCAGAACGTCTGAATGGTTACTCCGCTAATAGTACCTAAATATTTATTAATAAAGCATATAAATAGCTAGAGTAATACTGACCAGAGTCAAGATACTTCGTAAGCTCGTCTCGCTTAGCTAGGCTTGCTTGCTGAGATTCAGATTCTCTGAGTATCCGCTCAAGATCAAACTCTGAGATTTGTGTCGTGGATATATGAGTCTCTGATAATATCTGGTTCTGTAATAGACGCTGCTTATAAGGTTCGAAGTAATCCATAAAGCTCTGACGATATCGATCACGCCATTCGTTGTCTCAATCTTTTCCTGAAAAGAACTGGAGCTTGTTTTGCGGCGCAAGCATTGTTCCAATAGCAAAGAGATTGCCAGGAACGTCATCTGTTTTGCTGTAATATTGGGAAAGCTTCGTCTTCGCTGCATGAAGCGTGTTTAGTATCACCTTCTTCCAAGCTACTTTTTTATGTCTAAACTGATTAATAGATCTTTCAAGGTGGCCAAAAAGCTTGTTATAGATACTAAATATAAGATGTACTGTGACATCCTTTGTTTTTGAAAGCGCATTCGTGAATTGGAAGAAAGGTTGAGTGATATAAAGAAGGTAGTCGATCTGATGTCATTGCTCTTGATCAAGCTTCAAATGCGAATTTCCATATTTAGTGCAGAACTCATTGAACATAGACTGTAGGCATTTCGCACGTCGGAGCATAAGAAAGGTCGAGTTCTAGTGTGTTCTAACGTCTTGAATTGGCACAAGGGGTGTTGATGTAGTTTGAAGCTTGCAGAATAGCTCTAGGCGTTGAGGGCTCGCGTTGATGAAAATAGCTAAGCCCCGTATCTATATATAATTGAATAAGTGAATAGGCTCTCATTATATCAAAGCTATAGACTGATCTTATTAAGTGTATCAACGATCTTTCGTTTTTGTTGTCTTGAGCGGATCAATTGATCCTGTGTTTCAGACCATTGCATTTCAGCTATGTCATTCTTCGGATTTGCTTTCATTTGTCCGAGAAGCTGCTTAAGATTGAGTTGAATGACGTGGGCGAGGCAGGAAATCTTGATAATTGTAGTACGATCGTTGATTTCAAGGGACTGGATAGAATTCTGGATACTCGATAACATAGTACTATTGTTTGATGTATTGTCGGTAGTAATTGCAAGTACTTTATCTGTGATCTGATGTTTCTGAAGTAGTTCAAGAAGAACGGCGTTAAGATTGACCTTTGAGTGTGTTTCATATAGCGGTTCAAAACCAAGAAGTATTTCCCGATAGTTCCAATTCTCGTCGAGAAAGTAGCCAGTAATTGCCATAAACGCCTGCTGGAAGGGAGATGTTTAGCAGTTTAGGGCCACTGATAGTTTTCCATCCTTTGGTAGCTTTCGGAGAACGCTATTCTGACGTTCGGTGATAGTGCCTTGAAGTCGATGTCGAATTGTTTTTAGGGATGGGATTTGTGGACACCCTGGGGCACGAGAGGCCATATAAATTAAATGATGAAAGTCGGGGTGTTTAAGGATTTGGAATGGTAGCCGAGAATCAGTGATAAAACGGAGCAAACTTGCTTCCCAGGCCTCTTGAGTGAAACTAAGGCTATCTAAAGGAGGTGTGGTCTAGTAGAAAGAAAGGTATTAGTTAAATGATTTTTTATAACATAGGAGAATACTACCTCTTGGAGAAATTGCCTAATATTAGGTCTATTTTGGCTATGACATCCAATCCCTTTTAAATGCTTGATCATTGCTGTAGTGCCATTTTCATGCTGCTGTGGGTGATCAAGCACTTTCTTGCATCGTTTACACATGACCTTCGGCGCTCCATCGTTGGCTTTAGCCACTTGATCAAAGTGCTTCCAAACGTCAGATTGCTGCTGAGCATCCCAACGTATTCGTTTCTTTTGTCCGAAGTCAATCTGGAGTCACCAGTTCACAAAATTGTCCTTTGTCATGTTGGAGTAAACAAGGTACGCTGAAATTCGGTCAGGGCAGACACGCTCGAGGGAGGGAGGTATAGGGGCGGGAATAGGTAGATGAGTGAAATCCGAATTAGCGATTGATTGTGACGCTTGCTGACTAAATGAAAGATTGGAGGTGAGGTCGTCTGGTTGAATAATTTGAAGGCTATCTGGATTGTCAGCATCATATAAGGATGATGCGTACGCGTCAGAAAACTGGGAGAGTTGAGACATTATAGTAAGGGAAATGAGGCCAGGCCGGTGATATAGAGTCACATAATAAAGCAAGTACTTATCGCAGTAAATTTTGCGACTGATAGTTTTAGACTTGGGGACTCTAGATACCCTGAGCTATAATGACATACGAATAAATGACTCACTATATCAGTGATAAGCTATTCTAATTGGTGAGTTCTACGGGTTACTCGCGGGTACCCCGTGGACTACCCGCGGGTAGATGGGTACCCCGCGGGTAGTCCACGGGGTACCCGTTTCACTTTAACAATTTTTTTATGCTTCAGTCCCATCAATTCCCGACTAGACCTCGGCATGGTCCGACTCAGGTTCTAAAAGTTGGATCCTCGAACCTGAACCTGAGGTTCTCAGGTTCCAACTTTTAGAACCTGAGTCGGATCGCGACTTTATCAGGTTCGATTCAGGTTTGAATCTGACAGAATCTGAATTGCATAATTTTGCCAAGACATTTCTTATTTCGGATGGATAAACTGCTAATTCATCTCTTTTTTTACTGTTATTTACATCCGTTCTGGTCACTACATGTACTAATCTTATAGTATATCTACTTTGGCTATGAAATTATACGAAATATTTTTGTATTTGAATTATCTGATATCAAATCACTTGTCTGGTCTTTAATTTAGTTTTATTTAGACTTTCCGTGACTAGGTTGACTGGATATCGTAGGTGATACAGTATATAGAGTAAAAAAAATATATTTTGTATTCAATACTATTTCAGTATTCTTCTGACGATTTCTTTTAAGAAATACTCATGCGCGGTATGTTAAGAGAACTAGTTAATTCTATGCTTAAATTAAAGTAATAGATCTTAGAAAGTACCCTGGATTCTTAAACCTGAATTCTTAATACTGATATCCTCTATTTTCCCATCTAAAGCGACCTGCGACCTAACTATGTGCCTTAGCTAGTATATTTAGGTAAATTAGTTTTCAGAAGTCTCAGAGATAGGTTCTAGGTTCGATCCGGTTCAAATTTAGGATCTGTCAGGTTCAAATCCAGGTTCTGTCAGGGTCTATCAGGTTCAAATTCAGGTTTCGTCAGATTCGAATCTGACAGAACCTAGCGGTGTAGGGTATAGTAGCTAATCGTTACGCGTAGAGATAGATAG